ACACTTATTTTTCTTTTCTTTCTCTTTTCTTTTATTAATTAGATTTAACTAAAATAATACTAAAAGAATCTATTATAGTTAAATTTATTTAAAGTTTAAACTAAATAGGTTTTAGAATGTACTTTAACTAGCTTCTAGTTCTTTACGCCTATTAGATTTCTTTAAACTAAAGTAAATAAATAGATCTAAATTCTTATAATACTAAAGGAATTTTTATAAAATCTATTCTTTTACTCTCTTTACTTTATAAATCCTATCTATATAAACTAATATTTTTAAAAACTCTATTTATATTTTACTTTTTAAAAAAACTTGGAGGTTTTAGTTAATTTTCTATAGAGGAATTTAAACCCTCTAACGTAGATACAGTTAGGTTCGCTCTACAGTAGCGTTACGTATACAGCGTAGTAGACAAACTAGAGGTACTATAGCGATATGTTACGAGTGTAAACGTAACGATGCGCAGGTCATGTCGACAGAGGAGCGTGCGACAGAGCTATTAATGCGCGAGTTTACTTGTTCCCTATAGAGTAAGGCCTAAGCTACTAGGGAAGAGCGCGGAGTTGTGATCGAAGAGAGACGGGGCCGGAATATGTGCGTGAGCCCTTTAACAGGGGACGTAATGTGTCGGCCATAGCGGGCAATCGCTGCTTGTTGTGCGCACCGTCCGTCTCATTAATATACCGATGTGAACCCTCGCAACAGCGAGAAGATCGCTTTCCCGTAGGCTCTATGTCGTAGTGTGTCTACGCGAGCTCTTTCGGCGGCGTGGAAGGATGTGCCTCGCCGTATCGGATTGAAGAGCGCAAGCTTCGTCACAGCTCTTTCTGATGTCCTCATCCTCTAGCAGCACGAGAAGGCAGTGCCGCTGTGACGCTAATGGGGTGGGGCTCATCACGGAGGCAGTGGAGGAAACGTCGTGTGCGGCGGAGACTGCGAAGGACAGGGGCGCAAGTGAAGTAGCGAAGCTCTAGGCGCGGCGACGGGGAAGAGCATGGCTGTGCGTGTCGCTGTGAGCGCAGGGCTTCTCGATGTCGGCAAGGCTGCAGAGAGCAGAAGAGCAAGGACGGGTATGCTGGTGTGCTTCTCTCTGTCTACGGAGGTTGCGGAGGAAGGCAGCTAATGCGGCGCAGTCAATGCGGAGGACGAAGTACGTGCAGGCGACAGAGGGAAGAGGAGAACGGGCGGCGTAGGTGGTGCGTCGGTGTCGTGGTGCAAGCCTCCTCTCCGCCGGCTTTTCTTGCAATGCCTTAGTCTCACATTGCTGCTCGTCCTTCAGCTCGTGCTGCGAGTCTGCCTAACATACTGACGACGGAAGAAGCGGGGATAGCAAACTCAGCTTACGAATTCTGGGTCGGAAATCGGCGTACGCCGGTGAACGCCGCGCGACATGACATCATCGACCGTCTTCATGTCGAGACCGTTAAGGCTTTGAATTCGCCTGAGATTCAGAAACTTTGGGAGTCGTTAGGCCAAGATTTTCACATACTCCCACCTAGGGAGTTTGATGCGTACCTTCGCCGGGAGGCAGCATCGAACAGCTCACTTATCAAAGCCGCAAACATCAAGGTGAACTGACATGTACGATCTCGCGATCATTGGCCATGGAGCCGCCGGCCTCGCCGCTGCAGTTGCTGCGGCAGAACGCGCCCTAGGCGCTCGTATCGCAGTGCTCGAACGCGCGTCCGAGGACTCGAGCGGAGGCAACACGCGGTAGAGTCCCTCCAACATGCGCATGAGATCCGTTAGAGAGACGTTGCCCGGATTTGAAGACGACATGATGGCGGTGAGCGGCGGGCGCGGCGACCGGGCTTATTTCTACAAGCTTGCTGCCGAAGCGCCCGCTACCCTTAAATGGGTGGAGCAGCATGGCGTGAAGTTCGAAACCATGGACTATTTCCTGAGTGCTTGGCCGACGCGCATCACGCCAGTTGGGCGCGGTGCCGCCATCGTAGACGCACTAAAAGAATCCGCGAAGGCTAAGGGCGTCGAATTTCACTACGGGTACCACGCTACTCGGCTGCATCTTGACGCTCGCGGGGCGGTCGAAGCTGTTGAGGCCTCCGATGGCCGTCGGCTTTCAACCCGTGCGGTGGTTCTCGCAAGCGGCGGCTTCCAAGGAAACCCGGAAATGCTGCGCGAGCATTTCGGTGAGGGCGGAGAATTCCTCCGGACGATTTCGCCTGGATCTGCAGCCAACGCGGGCGAGGGAATTCGCATGGCGCTCGAAGTGGGGGCGCTTGCGGCCGGCGACTAGAACGGGATGCACATCGAGCCCGTCGACCCAAGGAGCGAACGCGCCGCCGCACTGGTGCTTGTATATCCATACGGGATTATCGTTGACAGTAATGGCCAACGCTTTTTCGACGAAGGTAGAGGCCTTGTGCACGAGACCTGGGAATACCTTTCTCGCGCTATCCACTTCGATGCGTCGGGCCGCACGGCGTGGACGATCGTCGATTCCCGCCTCTTCGACGTGGCGGGCCACGAAGGAGCGATTCGCTCTGAGATCGCGCCTTTGAAGTCGGAGACCGTCTCTGGCTTGGCGTCGCTCATTGGCATCCCGCCTAATGCTTTGGAAGAGACTATCGCCGAGTACAATGCGGCTTGCACCGGCGATTACGCGCGTTTCGAAGCGGGCCGCCTAGATGGTCTAGCCACTGCTGCCGGCCTTGCGCCGGTGAAATCAAACTAGGCGCGCGCGCTCGACGCGCCGCCATTCTTCGCTTTCCCGATTGCCGGGGCGATTGTCTACACATTCGGTGGTGTCGCCACCGACGTCGAGGCGCGTGTGTTGAGCGCGCAGGGGCCGATCCCTGGTCTGTTCGCAGCAGGCGAGATTACAGGTCATTTCCACGGCACCGCGCCGAACGCGGTTGCGGTGATGCGCGCGCTAGTTTTCGGACGGGTCGCAGGAATGAATGCGATTGAAGCGTTCTCCTGATCGTTTAGGGAGGATATGCTACAGAGGGGTCCAGTCACGGAGGTCACGAGGGCGGGCGGTTGCATCCTCTAGAGGATATGCTGCAGAGGGGGTCGATTGATTGATTAGGCGGCTATATCCTCTAGAGGATATGCTACAGAGGGGGTCAAGTCACGGGGGCAGCTGCAATCCTCTAGAAGACCTCCTGCGGAGGGGCCCAGGTCACGAGGCGAGGCGGGCGGCCCGACATCCTCTGGAGGAAGTTTTGCAGAGGGGATCAGCCACGAGGGCGAGCGGAGGATAGCCGCCGGACGTCTGCTCGTGACCTGGAGTTCCTCTGCAAGACACCCGGGCCAGGACTGAGAATTGCACTACACTTACCTCTAGAGGATGTGCGAAGGAGAGCGATGACAATCAGTTGCTGACATTTGATGAGCGCCTGATTGCCAGCGTGGACGCTTGCGAAGTTGAAAACTGATTTCGAGGATCAGAAGTTCGATAACGTCTATGTCTGCGGTCGCGCTAGCGGGACGCCCCGCTTTTTGGTGCAGCCTATTCTGGACTGTCCCCTACCCTGCTTTCCGCGCGCCGCAGAAGTCTAGTCTGACTTCCTGCAAATCGTTTTCGGACTTTACATTCTGGGCGATTCAAAGTCGGGTAGAAGCTCGCTGTATGCCGTCCTCATGCTATTCCTTGAGTCGGCATGTCAGATGACCACAACGCATCTGTCAGATACCGCGCATGAGCACAAGGCGGAGGAGAGTCGGAAAAGTCGCGGCTTTCATTGATCGGACTTGACGAAGATGATCTGGATCAACGACACCTCCTCTCGCCGATGCATTGCTCGCGAACGCACGCTTGCTACGCCTACGCATGTATGTTCTAGATAGGTGAGACCGCCGCAACATGGAATGCGATGGGGAGCGAATATGGAGCGGGCCGGCGTCACTCTGGTACGTCACTGATTCAGCATACAGCCGCGGATCACGCCGTGGCCGGTGGGCAGAGTGTTTGCCGAGAGTGAAGGAATCATGCTGTTTATCGCTGGCCATTTCTCCAAGCCAGCCGGCCATGGCGGCCATGAAGCTGCAGGAGCCTGATGATGAGAAGGTGGGACAGCACAACGGTATGGCTCGTGTCTTGAACTTCCCGGTTGTGACAGGAAACAGGACTAGAGGTTGGGGGGCCATTTGTCTGATGCGCACTGGAAGTGAAAGGGTAGATTTGGATCATCGTATGCTCGTTCACTTGCGTCTGTATCATGTATATGGGGGAACAGAGGAGACGGAGATGAGAGTCGCGGCCAAGTGGAGATGCGGGAAGTCGGTAGCAATCGCCGATTGCGCGAGGCTTTGACAACCACGCCACCACCACCATCACGACTCCGGCATGTATCTGTATTGAGCCCCTCGAGTCATCATTCCCACCTTCTTTGCAATCTGCCATTGGCTTCTTTCTCTTCTCTATTCTCTGCGCCGCTTTTTCAATCCGCTCTCTTGACATTGTCCTCTCGCTTTACGCCGTTGACCGCGTCTACGATACCCGGACCTCCGCCTGTAGGCCCAGCGATCTCCGGGTCAGGGTTAGCCGTGTGATACTAGAGATTGAAGAGAGAGAGTTAGTGGAGAAGAGGAGGGGAAAGCATCGGTGGTAGATTTTCTTACCTCCAGTGCTTTGATAAGAGCGTAGAGGCCGACGGCGAGACACGAGCCGGCCAGAGGGCCGACCCAATAGACCCATTGTTCCGTTGTGAAGCTGTGCAGGGCGACCTGCGGGGCGAATGATCGTGCGGGGTTCAACGATCCGCCCGTCCAGAAGACGCCTAGACAGAAAGTGTCAGCACTGCAGGCAAGCCTTCCGCAACATGGCAGCCTTACCGGTAAGTTCCGCAATGAAGAGGGACAAGCCGATACCGAGGGGTGCAATGAAGTTGCCCACGTGCTTTTCCGCGGCCAACATGAAGATCGTAAAGACGAGTTGCGACGTGAGCAGCATCTCGATGATGACACCCTGCGCAATCGTCGTGGTGGGAGAGAGGGAGGTGCTGACGTTGAGTTTGCCGGTGAAGAGAGCCTGGACGACGAACGCGGCGACAATCGCTCCGACCATCTGAGCGATGAACAGAAGGATACCGCGAAAGACGCTGATGGCACGGATGAGTACCATGCCTAGCGTGACCTTGGGGAGATGGTTCAGTACAGACTCGAGGAAGCGGAATTGGAAGCCATACTGCCGGGTTGAACAGGCCACCACTAATGCGAAAGTACACCCAGACATTGACGGCGAGGGAGAAGCCAAAGGCCAGAGCGGTGTAAAGGAGTTGCGACGGCGTGGCTTGGATGGCCTTGGTCGTCACTTTCCCTCCGGCATTCGGATTCGATGCGACGTTTGAAGTTTGCGCGCCGCTGAAGGCGAAGAAGAGGAAGAAGAAGGTGCCGGCAAATTCGCCGATGAAAGCAACGACGTGTCCGCGAGTGGTCGGAGGCAGACGCTCAAAGAGACGATTGACAAGTCTCTTTTCCGCGGAGGTTGGGGTGTCTACGTTCATCGTAGATGAGTGGAGTTGGCAATGTCAAACGAGCGTTGTCTGCCAAAAGTAACCGGGGAAGAGGAGGAAGGTTGGCAAGAGAGCAGGGGCGAGCGCAAGTGTTTCTTTCTTGACACCAGTAAGGGAGGACGTGTCGCGAACAAACGACGACGAAGGCGAAATGCGGTCATCATTCTGCATGCTGCCTGCGCCCGCCTTCAGCCTGATTGGCTGGCGATGCATGCAAGGCAGGAGTTTAAGATAAAACCAGGTTCTGGCCGGTTTGTGGCTTTTGCCTTTCTCTCCAACCAGTGACGCGCTTTTCCCAAACACACGTAAGGTACGATTGTATTGCACGGCGAGAGACATACGAATAGGCGGAATGGGCTCGTGGTGTTACTGCTAGGTGTGGGTTGGTGTTATCAGTTGTGATCATGAGCCGCAGCTCGTGCAGGTTGAGTCGAGCATTCCGACGCGGAATCGCAACACGTGGAGGTGGGTTCCTTGCCATCCAATGCACATCTGGCGACGTGAGACCCTCCCTCTCAATCATTACTTCCTTTGCAACCCAATCATTCTTCATGCCGCCATGTCACGGCGAAATCCAGCCTCACAAGAAACCACAATTTGGTCGTCTTCTCCTAACAAATCACGTCGATGACGTAGCGCATGCACAGCAAGGCTCGACTACGCGGATGTGTGCATGTAGTCACCTACACCGCCGTTAAATCTCCTGATGAGGCCCCCCCAGAGCGAACTTCACTCCTTCCGTGTCTCATCACATGTCGCTATCTGCATCGTCAAACCCCCGGGCATGACTCAGCCTTACGTTGAGCGCGGCGTGGGGAGATTTTGGAATCCAATTACTGCTTGGAGCCGACGACCGGTCGGAGTAGGGCGACACTCGTCCGTCTAACGCCGGGCGTATTACAATTGTCGTCTTGCTTTAACGCCGTCGTTGATGATGAAAATAAAACCGCCCTTTCTATCCATGGAGGCGTGTAGACAACAAAGCATTAGACGTCCTCGCCCCGCAATTCCTCCGCCTTCTCCATTCTCACCCGGGATAGCCTCATCATCACCACCGGCAGCAATCTTCAGCAATGTCCGCCATCAAGAAAGTAGCATTGGCGGGCGTGAGTGCGATGTCACAAGCAAATCCAGACCAACGCTGACACTCCGAGCCCATCCAGGCCACTGGCATGCTTGGCCAGCCCATCCTCCACCATCTGCTGGCACAAGGCTTCACCGTCACCATCCTGACCCGAGATTCCTCCAAAACTGCCAATACGTTGTCCCAGCAGCCGAATGCCGCCGCCTACAGCATCGCACAAGTCGACTACTCATCCTCCGAATCTCTGGAAGCAGCCATCAAAGGCCACGATGCCGTCGTCTCCGCCCTCGCCCGCCCAGCTCAAAAAGACGAAGAACGCCTGATTGATGCCAGCATCGCCGCTGGAGTCCCCCGCTTCATCCCCTCCGCTTTCGGCGGCGACATGACGGTCCCCTGGGTGCGAGAGCAGCCCTTCTGGGCCGACAAGCTGCAGCAGGAGGCCTATCTGCTGAGCAAAGTGGAGGCAAGCGGTGGAGAGCTGTCTTTTACTATGTTGACCAACGGCCCCATCTTTGACTTCGTCATGCAGGCCAAACTCTTTCTCAACTTGCCAGAGAGGAAAATCACGCTCTGGGATGGTGGAGACAAGCGGCTGAGTGTGACGACAAAGGATACGATCGGTCGGGCGGTTGCCGAAGCCTTGAAGCTGCCGGCGGAGACGAGGAATAAGAACTTGTTCATCGAGGGCGCTGTTGTGTGCCAACGTCAGCTGCTGGAGCTCGCCCACGAATTGACGCCGGATGAAGACTGGACGGTGACGGAAATGCAGTCTCTTCCTCTCTTCAAGGCAGCCCAGGAGAAGTGGAGTCAAGGAGTCAGAGGGCCTGCCGTCGGCCCTGGCTTCCTGCTGCGAGGTCTATTCACCGAAGGCTTCGGCGGGGCATTTGACAGGACAGACAACGATCTGTTACACATCGACCGAATGTCGGAGAAGGAAGTCAAGGATTTCTTGTTTGCATATCTGTAGACGGCACGCTGGTTATGTAGATCTAGACGCCTTCCGGCTTCAATTCAGCTTCAGATTGTCTTCATTCAACGTCCCAAACAGCGTCTCAATCTCGCCAGAGACGGCATCAATATCTGACGCCAACTGCCCAGTCACAAGCACGTAGGCGTAAAGTAGTTCGTAATCGCCCTCGGTAGCAACTTCCGTTCCTTGTTTTGTCTGGCGAAACTCCGAGATCCGGGCCAACAGTCGATCTCGACTATTTTCAATCGAGGGAAGAGCATCGTTCAGCGGATACTCGAGCTTGTAGCTGCTCGCCAGGACGGAAAACAAGTGGCTGATTCTGGTGGAGAGGGCGAATCGCTGCTCGCGGGTGTACCGCAAGACCGCCGCTTCTCCTGGAGTACATTTCAGCTCCTTCGCAATGACGACGTTCATGGCGTGAAAGGCATCCAGCATTCGTCTCGTGCGCTCGATAATGCGGCCGACAATCTTGTCTGGAAACGGGCCGCGAAGTTCAAACTCGGATTGTGCTGCGCTTCGGAGAGAGTCAATGTAGGTCAGGAATGAATGGAGAGTCGCTTCTTCCCGGATGTCCATGTAGCTGGATCGCGGCTCGCCGAGCAAGAACATTGCCAGGGGATCACGCTTCCAGATGAGACTCATTCGCAGCCAGAGTACACAGAGACCGTCCTTCAACTTCCGCCTGGCGGATATCGGCCAGATCAGCCGGGTGATGATGATGGCCCATATGGTTCCCACGACCACGGCGACCAAGCGATGCAGCACAATGTCCCAGATGGCTGGATCAATACCACCCTCGTCATCATCGTTGTCATCATCATGCACAGACAGGCTGTATGCATAGAGTGCGCAAAGGTTGTACGTTAGCAGCATGAAACGTCCAGTTGGGCCCTCATTCTTGGCCAGGATGAGGTAGTAGCAACTGGCACGGCATCAGTAAGTGTGTAAGAAGAGGCAAGGCTGACGTACCCAATGGACACAAAGTAGCCAAACACTGCAAGGATGTACGGATTTGCATCCCCGTGTCGAGCAGAGAGAAGCCAGCCTGCCACGGCGAGACATGCGCCCATGAATGTACCAAAAAATCGATTGATGCCGGTCGTGTTGACAGCACCTATCGTCATGGTGCACACCTATCGGATCAGATCAGTCAAGCTATCAGTCAGTATCACTAAAAGGCCTTCATACCGCCATATACGACACAAGACCCCATTCTCCACGCCAGTGGGTGAAGAAGGGTCGGGTCTCAAAGAGAAAGGCGGGCGCCGAAAACAAGACCGCCCCAATTCCCACTTTGATGCCGAATCTCACGTCGTCTCTGCGGAAGATGCGAAGTCGTCGATACAGCTTCCAGGTCCATGGCTGTTCCACAGGAGCCCTCTCCGGGTCAGCAAATCTGTCTGCTTTGCGAATCGGCTCCGGGATCTCGTGGATTGTTCCATGCTCGTGGCTATGGCCAAAATGCACTCCGGGCTTGAACTTTGGTGGATCCTTCGTCCAGAAAAGCCTCCAGAACATCAGCCAACCCCAGCTGAAGCTGGAATGCTCGAACGCAGACTTAAACTCCTGCAGCACGTCGAGATAGACCATGACATCTTCGGCGAAATCCAGCAACGAGAATGAGAAATGGCCACAGCAAGCCGATACTTCTTCCACATCCGCCAGCACCTCCTCCGCCGGCCGGTCAAAGATGGTGTTCGCTTTTACCGTCCCACGCGGCGAGTCGAATCCCGATTTGGATCGCTGAGCGCTGAATGCATTGGTTGTTTTGCGGTCTCCCTGCGGCATGAAGGCGGCGCTGAGAGCCCGGCTGGCGTACAGAGTCTCCAAGGCCTCTTTTCGTGATGATCGATACAAATCTATTGCGTCTTGAAGGCTCGAGCGAAAGGTCTCGGTGACGGCAACCTCGACTTCGGAGCTCCTCAGCCAGCTGAACATTGTCGGCTTCGGCGTATCTCTTTCCACAAAAGGTAGTTCGTCCAAGATTTGCTTCAGAGTGAAGACCAGAGACTTTGTATGCGGGCCCAACTGTTGTATGAATTGGAAAAACATGTCTTCGGGAGTCTTCAGAGACGCAACGGACGCTTCACTGAAAACACGGTTCAAAGATGCGAGTGAGGACTTTCGAGTCACCCCATCTTCGATACTCTCCTCAATTGCATCCTCTGTTTCTGCCGGATCTTCGGTGATGGCATCGAGGATCTGCAAGTTCGTGAGCCTGCGAGCACCACATCGTGCTGTAAAACGCAAACTTACCGCCGGCCTTTTATTCTGGGATGCAGCGATCCACGAGGGTCGCCGGTTCTCAGCTGGAGCTGATTGCTTGGATATCTGAAGTTCAGGAAGGGCGGCATTGACCAGCGCAAATTGGGCGAATGCTGCGCTGCGGAGACCTCCCAGATCCTGGGAAAGACGATCGAGACAATCCACAACTTTCGAAGAGACGTCATAGATCTTCTCGCCGCCGAGCATGAGATATTCATTCTTCGCTTCGCTGAGATTGCTGTTCATCTGCTGCAATACCTTTTGTTGTTCCTTCTGCAGCTCGGTGAAATAGTCGTCGTGCAAGTCCTCTTCACGGCCCGAGAGAAAAGCGCGGGTGATGCTGATGAGTAGCTCGCCGAGTAAGTCCGTGTTCTGCTCGAGATCCTTTTTGAGTTGCGATCTGGCCGTGACGGGCAAGACGAGCACATTCACCACGGTTGATATCATGATGCCGATGAGGAGCATGGACAAGACCTGCGCAACTCGATCGACGGAGAACTCGCCTTCTTGCACCGAGCCCTCGCGCACGAGTATCGTCACACAGCCCAAGGAGGCCAGGGCGGTGGCAACGTTGACAATGGGGTCGCCATACTTTTGCTTCACCCAAGCGATGCAACCCATTCCACCGCCAAGAAAGACGAGGAGTACGAGTACGTGGGCAGCAACGAGCATGCCGGCATGACGGGCCGCCAGCGATACACCCATGCTCGTGAAGCCAATGAGGCCAGAGTAGAGGAATCCCACAATGCCCAGGATGGTGGCAAAATGCATGCTGCCCATGGTGCGAGCGGGATGGAACCAGACCGTCACGGTGGCCACCATGTGCTTGCTGTCTTGCTTGTTACCGATGAGACCAGCGATGGCGGGAACAAACGTGACCAGACTTCCGAGGAAGTAGGCGAGAGAGCACTTGAAGATGCCGCGGCCGGTTTGGGAGTTGGCAAAGTCGTAGAAGAGACGCAGACAGTGGCTGAAGTAGTGCCAGGTATCCCCCGTCCACGAATCGCTGGCCGTGCGAGCAACAGTGTGGAGAAGAGGAGACAACTCTGATGCGTCGCCATCATGGGAGCGATGGGAAGCCTCGAGTAGGGTGAAATTGCGTTTTGATCGTTCACCAGTCGTTGGCGAGATGAACGACGCTCTCCTCAGCTGAGGAACTTGGTTAGCCTGGCTATCTACATACCAAAAGTCATCTACCTACTCTATGCTGGTAGAAGCGCCCCTTTCGCGGGGCTTTGGAGCTGCTCGTCCCTCCATGCTCGCTCATGTCGGACGATGCGAGCGCGGCATTGCTGTGCTGGGGAGGAAGCAGAACATGATGGAATAAAAGTCACAATGTATCCGAGCTGTAGGCGAAAAGGATGCTCAAAGGATGCGGTCGTCAAGACTGACGAGATGATGCCCAGACGAGGATGGGATGTGGCGCAGGCGTGGCTGCAGCTTCCCAAAGTGGCTGGACAAGGGAGCGCCCGGCGTTTCTCCGGTGGCATCCATCGGCTTAACAGCTCAACCTCAAAGCAAAGAAAGTCGCTACCCATCATCGACTTCTTCGCCTCCCTCCTCGCCTCTCACCTTATACTCTTCTCCCTCCTTCTCGACAGACTTCCACCAGCTTGATATTCGAAAGCTGCGACAATGTTTAACCAAGTCCTCCCGCGAGCATGCGCTCGGAAAGTCGGAGCCGTTCGAACAACCTCCCCTGCACTCCTCAGATACTCTCCGTCCGCCTCGCTCCTACAAGATCGCATGACATGGCGAAGAGGCTATGCGACGCCTTCTGGTACGCATCGAGCTTGTCTTTCCTTATCAACAGCCCACCTAACTTCGTGACAGAAGAGAAAGACCTCGTCATCATCGGTGGCGGTGTGGCGGGATATGTCGCCGCGATCAAGGCCGGACAAGAAGGCTTGAAGGTATGTCGTCTGGTCTTCGCGAGCTGCACAACATTATACTGACACCCCCGCGACAGGTCGCTTGCATAGAGAAACGCGGCGCGCTCGGTGGCACCTGTCTCAACGTCGGCTGCATTCCGTCCAAATCCCTCCTCAACAACTCCCAAATCTACCACCAAACCCTCCATGACACCAAGAACCGCGGCATCGAAGTCGGCGAGGTTAAGCTCAACCTCAAACAAATGATGAAGGCCAAAGACACCTCCGTTGCCGGCCTCACCAAGGGCATCGAATACCTGTTCAAGAAGAACAACGTCGAGTACATCAAAGGCGCTGGCCGATTTGAAGATGAGAACACTGTCGCTGTTGAACTGAACGATGGAGGAGAGACCACCCTTCGAGGCAAGAATATCATCATCTCCACCGGCTCCGAAGCCACTCCCTTCCCTGGCCTCGAGATCGACGAGAAGCGAGTCATTACATCCAACGGAGCCATTGCGCTGGAAGAGGTACCAAAACGCATGGTGGTCATCGGAGGCGGCATCATCGGACTCGAGATGGCTTCCGTCTGGTCGCGGCTGGGGAGCGAGGTGACCGTGGTCGAGTTTCTCTCTCAAATCGGCGGCCCCGGCATGGACTCCGACATCAGCAAACAGTCGCAAAAGATCCTGGCCAAGCAAGGCATCAAATTCATGCTCAACACCAAAGTCAACTCAGGCGATGCCTCCGGTGACAACATCAAGATTGAGGTTGAAGCCGCGAAGGGTGGCAAAGGGCAGACAGTTCGTCATCCTCCCCTCTTTCCTCGACAATCATGTACTAACTGCCTCTCAGCTCGACTGCGATGTCGTTCTCGTCGCCATCGGCCGTCGTCCATACACCAAGGGCCTCGGTCTTGACAAGGTCGGTCTAGAAACCGACGACAAGGGCCGCCTCGTCATCGACTCGGAATACCGCACCAAGATTCCCCACATCCGCGCCATTGGCGATTGCACTTTCGGCCCCATGCTCGCCCACAAGGGTGAAGAGGAAGGTGTCGCTGCGATCGAATTCATTACCAAGAACTACGGACACGTCAACTACGGCGCCATTCCCGCCGTCATGTACACCCATCCCGAAGTAGCGTGGGTGGGACAGAACGAGGCCGAGCTCAAGGAGGCCGGCGTCAAATACCGCGTCGGCACTTTCCCCTTCTCCGCCAACTCTCGGGCCAAGACCAACCTCGACACCGATGGCATGGTCAAGTTCCTCGCTGATGCCGAGACGGACCGGATATTAGGCGTGCACATCATCGGCCCGAACGCCGGCGAAATGATTGCGGAGGCGACGCTGGCGATAGAGTACGGGGCGTCATCAGAGGACATTGGCCGGACCAGCCATGCGCATCCCACGCTGGCCGAGGCGTTCAAGGAGGCAGCAATGGCCACGTACTCCAAAGCTATTCATGTCTAGATGGGGGTCAATCCGGAGTGTGGTCCTCGCTGAAACATGGCAAAAGTGGAATTTGACGGGAGAGCTGGTGGCTGATCCTACGTACGTCTTGTGTAATCATACTGCAGCGAATTCATACACGTTCACAGGATGGAAGCCGTTGCTTCAGCATAATCGTTACTCTTCCACGTCTTCGAGCTGCTTACTCTTCGGAAACTCACGGCCGACACCTGCCCATGTACCGCGGGTACAAGCACGCATCGCGAACCGTGTGCTGCTTACACAACCACGCCAGGAACCTCTCCAGCCCCAGACCATACCCTCCATGAGGACTCGCTCCATACTTCCTCTGATCAGTGTACCAGTAGTAGGGCTCTTCACCGATGCCCTCCCTTCTGTACGCAGCCATGAGCTCATCATAGTCCCAGATCCTCATGCTCCCGCCAATAATCTCTCCCACGCCGGGCATGAGACAATCCACAGACTCCGTCACGCGGGGATCTTCCTTATCTTTGGACATGTAGAATGACTTGATCTCGACGGGGAAGTGGGTGAGGAAGATGGGACGGTTGATGATGTCCGTCATGCGTCGCTCGGCGGCTTCGGCAATGTCGTCGCCAAAAGTATGCGGCTGGCCGTCTTCGTTGGGGATGTCGTGCTCGCGCAGCCAGTCGATAGCGTCCGTGTACTTCATGCGTTTGAATGGGCGCTCGGGCATTTGGAACTCGGGGTTCAATTCCTGCAGCATGGCGGCGATGCGGGGGTTGGCGAAGACGATGCTCAACACGCCGCACATGAGGTCTTCAAGGTGGGTGAGGAGGTCGTCGAATGTAATGAAATCGAGCTCCGCCTCGACGTGCGTGTACTCGGACAAGTGGCGACGGGTGAGGGACTTCTCGGCGCGGAAGGACTTCTCAATGCAATACACGTTGCCGGCGAAGGGAATGGCCGTTTCGAGGTAGAGTTGGGAAGACTGGGTCAGGTAGGCCTTTTCGTTGTAGTAGTCGAAACCGAACAGGGTGCTGCCGCCTTCGACCTGAGTCTGAACAAGAGCAGGAGGGGAGACCTTGACGTAGCCGAGCTCGTGGTATTTGACGTTGAAGGCATGCTCCACAGCATCTCGCACAAACATGACGGCCGAGGCAGTCTCACCGCGGAGGACTAGATGGCGCATGTCGAGAAGGGTCTGAGCATCACCTTTGGCCTGGACCTTGTTGGTCACCGCATCCTCTCCGCCCGGAGCTTTGCCTATGATCTCGAAGTAGTCGGCGTGCATTTCGCGGTTGTCCGGGGCGTGGGCTCCTTTCGGCACTTCAAACATGGAACCCACGATCATCATGCTCGTCTCACGCGCGAGGGTCTGGGCATCGTAGGTCTTGGCCAGCTGACCAGAGATGACGCATTGCATGTAGCCGTAGCCGTCACGAAGAGTGATGAACGTCGTCTCCTTCTGGGGCCGCAAGCGATGCACCCTACCAAGCACCCGCACTCTTGTTCCCGGCGTGCTGCCCGATCCGAGCTTCACAACTTCAGGGCTGGTCTCGTTCAGGTGGATTTTGACAGCCTTGGGTAGGCTCTCATCTTCCTTGACCACAATCTTCTTGGCCTCCTCCAGCGTTTTTGCCCTGTCCTCCTTCTCTTTCTGCTCGCGAACCGCCAATTCTCGCTCCTTGCCGGCCTTCTTCTTCTGAGCGTCGGCGTAGTTGGCTGCTTTCTTCAGAGCAGCTTTGGCGGCAGGTTTGTAACTTGCTTCCTCCTCATCTCCTTCCTTCCTTTTGACCAGGTACTGCGCCTGGTCTCCGGACTGGAGGTATGCGTGTGATACAGTCTTGAAAGGTTTGCTCTCGCTGCCGTCTGCTGTAGTCGTATCTTGTCCAGTCTCTTCGTCGACATAGATCGGTTTCTTGGTGGGGTCCGCCATGGTTGGAAGGTGATTTGATTTTGAGGAAACAAAAGTCAAGGGTGTGCGGCGGAGCAAGACGCTTTATATCGTGTGCGTCTGTGACTCCAATGGCTGTTCGGTTTTGTGAATCACTGTCGGTGACGCATTGCGCTGCTGCGACTCACTTTCACCGCTTGAGATTGGGAATTTCGAAGATCCGAGCTTCGGTGGTCGGCGCCACAGCCGGGCGGAGGACAGAAGTCGTGGTATCATTTGGGGACCTCCGGCAGTCTTCAAAGGTATTGAATTGACAATCTGCTCTGCATGGCGTTGCAGGGAGAGGGGCGGCTTTGAACGAATTGACGAGGCAGGATCTTCATTAGTTGGAACTCTTCATACCGATTCCTCAACAATGGCCGAATATACGATCCCGACGACTGCCATAGTCTCCTACACCGAGCATGACTGGCGTTATGAGCGCGTCTTATGCCGCGAGCCTGGACCCGGAGAACTATTGATTCGAATGCTGGCGACGGGAATCTGCCATACCGATTTGGCCAATGTTGTAAGACTCCAACATCCCAATCACTGCTGCAAATCCACGATAGACTCTAATCGCCAGCGAAGGGCGAGATTGCACCTCGAATCCTTGGACACGAAGGCGCCGGAAGAGTCTTGAGGAAAGGACCTGATTGCAAAATCGACGTCAACGTCGGCGACCCCGTCCTTCTATCCTTCGCACATTGCAAAGAGTGCTACATGTGTCTGACTGGACACCCAGCGCATTGTGTAGATTCAACAACCCTCACGATCCGCGGACAAGACCCCAACTTTGCCCTTGCCGATGAAGACGCTCAAGATCCGCGACTGGAAGATGATGGGCAAGGGAGAAGACGAGTAATCAAGGCCAGCTACTTCGGTCATTCAAGCTTCTCGGCAATCGCGCTTGTCAGGGAGAGCTCGGTTGTAAATGCCAAGGACCTGGTCGCTAATGATGAAGAACTGACAATGTTTGCCCCCTTGGGCTGCGGCAGTAAGCTATGGAGAAACATGATCTCGAGCTCGGCAGTACGCTGACTTTCCCCCAAAGTTCAAACTGGTGCATGTGCGGTAGTGAACGTGATTAAACCCAGCCCGGAGGACAGTGTGGGGGTGTTTGGGCTTGGTGGCGTGGGTCTGAGTGCGATCATGGTGAGCTCAATCCTCTTCATCGTCTACTTTATGTATTCTAACTCCTGCAGGCCGCCAAAGCCTTGGGCGTGCGAGAGATTATCGCTGTAGACATCCTCCCAAATCGGCTTTCGCTCGCCAGCTCTCTGGGTGCGACCCACACAATCAACAGCAAAGACATGTCCAAAGACGAGCTTATTCGCGCCATCCGCTCTCTTCCACCCTTCCAGCGAGGAAAATCTGGCCCCTCCGGCCCTTCGGCAATCGTAGACACCACAGCGGTGCCTTCACTGATCCAAGCTGCGTTGGCCGCCGTACGGAAGATGGGGCGGGTGGTTCAGCTGGCGAACAAAGGGCCAGGAAGTTCTCTTAGCGTCGGATTGCCGGAGCATATGGCATCTGGTGTCCATCTCTCCGGCACCATTCAGGGCGACGCGGATCCAGCAAAGAGTATACCACTGCTGATCAAGTGGTATCGCGAGGGAAAACTGCCTTTGGAGCGGCTGGAGAAGACGTTTGCCGTCGAGGACTTTGATCGAGCACGGGAGGAGATGCATAGTGGTGTCACAATCAAGCCGGTCCTTCTATGGCCGCAATAGAGTTGGTCTGGTATGAAGGTCCGCGCTCACGGATCATCCGTGTAGTCTGCGGTCAGATCGTCTTGTTCCTGAACAGCGCCATTGTGCAGTTGCTCTTGTTCAAGATGGACAGACCAGAGAGCGCTGCCAGCAGCGGAAGTGAGCAGAAACATCATGCTCAGAACCGGGACGAGCTGCAGAATCATGTAGACAACACCGTACCACATGTATTCGAATCTTCGTTGTTTCGATTTGACAAAGTCGTTCCGCTCCTTTTTGGTGAATCCTTTGACAGCAAAGTACCTCCAGTTGACCAGCGGCCCAGCTCTATATCCCGTGGCGAGAAGAAACAATGGGATGCCGACGAATGGTACGAAGTTCAGAGGCAGCAAAAGGATGAACTCCAAAATCTGGCGGAAGGAGAAAGGTGCAAACGTTGCGCCGCGTTCCCGCACTCCAAGCCTTCTCACCGGATCGGCCTCGTCAATGTCTTCGGTGACTGGGCGGCGAGTTCGCACCAGCGTTTCATACCCTTCGGCAACCATGACGGCGTCGAAAATGTCGACTTGGGTTTTGTCGACCAGCAGAGCCTCGAAGAGAACGGTGACGATGAGCGTGCCGATTCCGAGGACCAGAGATGTGGCATTCGCCCAGGCCGAGCCTTTGCTGAGATGAAAAATTGCCATGACGGCCACGAGCGGCAAATAGATCGTCATGAAGAGGAGGACCAGCACCAGGGCTGACAGGAGAGTGAGCGGAATTATGCGATTCCGAATGAGGGGATGAAGATAGCGGTGCGTTGCAAAGTACCAGATGCCTTTGAGCGGGTAGATGAAGGAGGTGGTGAAGTTGGCCGTGAAGAAGGCTCGCACTCGTCCAGGGGGTTGAGACATGGCTCTGGTATGTACCCTCGATGGTGGACCCAGCGGGTGAGATTATGAGCGCGTTGATGAAACGGATGATGTTGAAGATGTCGATGCTGGATGTGCTGATGCCTGCAAAGATTCCCGTCGTCTGGTACCTGCATTAGTCACTCCTGCGCCACACCGCCACAGCCCAACCGTCACCACGCGCCATATCGCTCACTTTCGTCGCGGCACGCGCAAACGCTTGATGGAGTCCATTCCAAATCTCAACACCTTTCGAAGTGGACGCGGTGGACCGAGACGAAGGCGGGCTGGTCTCGGCGGCAGCAGCGATGGACATGGCCTGGACCCTCACCAACTTGTCGACCATGCGGAACCCGCACGAGACAGAATTGTGCGCGAGACGGACAACGATGCCGGCAGCAGTCGAATGAGTGCTGTGGCTCTTGGCTACCTCCACGACGAGTATGCTGGAATCTTCTTCCCCGGTCAAGATCCTATCAAGCGATACCCCATCATTAATCGAGGAACGTACGTTCGCACCACGGCGGTGGACGAGCTTGTGGTTCGATTCATCACGACACGACCGGCTGAGAGGAAGCAAATCATCTCCTTGGGCGCCGGCTCCGACACACGCTTCTTTCGACTCTACGATCGTCTGAAATCAACTCAACCCGGTGGGATCGTATATCACGAGCTTGACTTGGAAGCCAATGTGGATCGGAAACGGACAGCCCTACGGAGCTCCATGGCACTCTCTCAAAAGGTCCACGATGCCGAAAGTGATGGTTGGAGATACCATCTGAACGCCCTTGACCTTCGCGACTTGACAAAGAAATCACCTTCTCCCATTCCAGGGATGGAAACCCAATGTCCAACGCTCTTGCTGAGCGAGTGCTGCTTATGTTACCTGTCCCCCGAAGATGCCGGCAGTGTCATACAGTACTTCACGATGCATGTCGCCGCACCGTTGGCTCTGGTCCTCTACGAACCAATACGTCCGTTCGATGCTTTTGGAAAGACCATGGTGTCGAATCTGGCATCTCGTGCCATTCATCTCCAAACACTCAAGCGATATTCGTCGTTGGATGCTCAAAGACAACGCCTTCGAATCGCTGGCTTTACCGGCGGGCAGAATGCGCGCGATGTACGTCAGCTGTGGGAGACGGATGCGTGGGTTGCCCAGAGCGAGCGTGAGCGGGTGGAGGGTCTGGAGTGGCTTGACGAAGTGGAAGAGTGGAATCTGCTGGCAAGCCACTATTGTGTTGCATGGGGCTGGAAAGGTGACGTCTTTGGTGAAGCATGGCAGGGCTTGGAAGGCTTTCGGACAGCCTCTGAGGACAGAGATGCGGAAAATGGGTAGCATCGACACCTGGATCACCACCGATCAACACGGGACTCACTGCACAATGCTTGAGATGAAGGGTTGTCTATATCAACCCGATTCGTCTACGTTGCGGCGGGTATACGTCAGGCTGCGCTGAGCGACATCGTTGCGCCACCGATCACCTGAGGTTTCCAACATCTCGCTATCGACAAAAATCCGACCTCAGCAAGCTAGAACTGGACGAAGGTCAGGCGCAAGATCAACGTGTGCCAAGTAGAATATCTTGGTCGGCTTCTTGGTTCGCAGTTGCAGGTAACGTGGTCTCGAGGCAAAAATAACTTTGGCGCTTTGCCGCGCCTGCCGCGCCGGCTTGCGCGTTCCACCCTCTCCACAGCCACAATACGTCGACGTCTCACTCGACTGATCCGGGTTCGCTTCTTCTACCACCTCTTCCTCTCTCCAAATACATGCGCATTAGCTATTGAATCAACAGAACATACATCCTTCTTGCCAGTCTTCCGATTGCGAGCGCAACAGCCTTGAGCGCGAATCCCCGCCCACGCCCGCATCCGCGATGGCCACTGTAAGACAAGCACCTCTCCCGATCATTCTCGCGGAGCCGCGCAACTAACACTATCGCACAGAAACCGCAAACCGAAGCTCCTCCCGCCTACCCCCAACCCACCTACGACGCCGGCCCAGCCGATCCGCGAGCGCAACAAGGCTATTACGGCAGCCCGCCACCGAATCAATACGGCTCCCCAGCACCCTACCAGCAATACCCGCAGCCGCAAGAATACCCGCCGTACGGTCAAGGCGCTTATCCGCCGCCAGGCCCATATGGTGGCCCGGGGCCATATTCGCAAGGACCGTACCAGCAGCAGCCCATGTACTACCAGCAGCAACCCCCGGGGGGTTACTATGACAATCGGGGGTATGGCGGAGGTTCGGGAGCAGGCGGTGGCATGTGCGCGGGTATCATGGCGGCGCTCGCGTGCTGCTGCTGTTTCGATCTGCTCATGTTCTGAGCCATAATCGACGTTTGAAGAGGGAAACGGGAAGAGTTGTGGATAGGGATGAGCGGTGTTTCAGTCGTGCGTTCAAGGCGTTCGGGTTGGTGAGGAGTCTGGGGTGCTATTGCTTAAGACATCATACGATGAGGAAGAAGTGCAAGTCTGGTGTGTGATGTATCCAATTCTCCAAATGCTGCCTCCGTCTTCCCCCTCGCCGTGTGAACTGAATGGCACTTGCAGGCTTGAGAGATGCTCTAAGCTGCTTAAGGCTTAGCATGGAGATCAGTGCATATCCATCCTCCGCAGGATCATGGGGACGGCAAATTCGCATCGATCCAGGCCCATAACCGATTGAAATAGTCCTGATCCACTGGGCGGACAGTCTGCATGATTGGCATCTCCTCTTCGCTACGCTGCATGTCAAACCGGACTGGAGACTTGTCCTCGGAATTTGTGGCGTAGCTGTTCTCCCAGTGGCCAACAAGGTGCATGGCGGGATGCTGATGTCCTTCATTGCAAGACGATTCGTTGAGCTGCTGGAAAAAGACCGATGGCTCGACAATCTCGAAATCCTTGCATTCCTTCAGCCACTTCAACAGGTCGCTCCAAGTCGGCGTCTGGTGTTTGTTCAGGACATGGTAGACTGCAATATCGGTTCCTCGTTGCGATGGCGCATAGACGCCTTGCAACATTGCCTTTGCAGCGATGTCGAGAGGCAGCCAATCGATGACCTGATTCTTCAGGTTTGGCAGGCTTCCTGTAAGCTTTGCGCAGCTTAGCATGATGGGCCACGCCTCTTTCGCATTCCAGATGCCAGTTTCGGAATCACCACTCAATTGTCCCACTCGAAGAACAGAGACTCTGCCTCGGAGACGGGGATGCTTGGCCGCATTACGACAGACTCCTTCTGCGACCCACTTACTCTGTGAGTAGCCCAAATCGCTCGCATACGACGGATCGTCCAAGATCTGTTCCGGCACGGCAAATTGAGGGTAGTTCGCAGCGCTGGCCACCGAGGAGCAGAAGGCGAACCGAGGACAAGTGCGTGAAGGAGTTGCACTTAGAGCAAGGTTGATGAGGTTTCGAACGCTGCTAATCGAGTCTTCCACGAAGCTTCGCAACGCCATCCGAAAGTTCACTGACCATGCCAGGTGTATAATTAACGTGACCTCTCCAGAGAGCCGGGAGTATGTCGCATCGTCCAGACCTAGACGTGCTTGTCCCAGCTTCGATGGCAACACTTCGACTTTGTCGTTGTCTCTCAAATCGCCGAATCGACGATCCTGAAGGGCTTGACTGACTCTGGACCTCGCGGACCGAGCATCGGGCGCCCGGGCCAAGCAGTATATCTTTCCAACGGCGGAATCACGCATTAGTTGATGCAGTACGTGCGCACCGAGTGCTCCAGTTGAACCTGTGAGCAGCACCACCTCTCCAATCTTGATGTTGTCATGCACACCGTTCACGACCACCCCCTCAGGCTCATCGAACTGACTGTACTCTTCGACAAGGCTCAACATTTCTCGATGTCTCGACTCCGCTGACATGTCTTCGTCTATCGACTGACCATGCCTGACTTTCCTGATGTACTCGGCAAGTTTCCTAACATTCCCGCACTGCTCAACGATGTTGGTGGGTAGAGGGGGTGAGTCTTGTGGCAGCAGTGCTCTCAGTCGATGTCGGATCTGTATACTCGCGACAGAATCAACGCCGATAGAGAATAATTGCTGGTTGACGTCCAGAGTAGCATTAATTCCAAGGACTGCCTTGATCACGTCTTCCAGGTGGCCCTCAAGTTCGGCGTCCGGAACATCCAGATCAGAGCTTCCATTCACATCTTCTTGATACGACGCTTCGATTCGGGCTTCGTATCTCTTCTCCGCCTTGCTTCGCATAAGTGTGCCTTTGCTGGTCTTCTCCAGCGAATGTTCCGAGAACGGCATCGGGACGAGCATGTCAGGGATAAGTTTTGCATGGCCAGGACTCTGCGCGTTGACCTTACTTATCGCCGGCGTGATCTTTCGAACCAGTTCGGCATCGCTGATACTGTTGGCGGACGAGGAACGAAAGAGTAAGATGCCCGGAGAGGGTCTGTTGTTTCCAAAAACGAGAGCACTCGACACCAGATCTGTGGCGGCGACTATTGCGTCTTCGATTGGCGCAGGGTCGAACTTTTTGCCAGTGATCAGCGTCAGTTGAGCATCTGAGCGGGAGTGATACTTCCAGGCATCTCGAATGTGCGGATGCGGCTCGAAAAGGTCGGACGTCGCAAACGATCCATTCACACGGGTTGCCTTTGCCATGTGTGGCCACCCGGCTGTCACAATCAGTTCATATAACCCCTCTTCTCGAGCCTCAAACATCAAGTGAGGTGATGATGCAGGCTTCCTTAGATACTGCCACTCCTTGTCTATTTCGTAGTTCCGGTGCGATGATAGCAGAAAGCCGCACTCCGCACTCCCGTATCGCGACACGAGATTCACACCTGCATTGACCAGATCGTCTCCATTCTGCTTCGGAAGTGCGGCGCCACCGACTCCTACAAGGTCCATTTGCTTCAAGACTGCTAAGCCGTGCTCGTCTTCGGACATCATCTGCAGGATGTACGGGACGGACGTGAAATACTTGACTGGCGGGCTCTTCTGGTCTTTGGAAGCCTTTCTGGCCTCATCAAGGCATTTCAGTACGTTGGGTGCGGTGACCGGCGCATCTCGGCTGGGGAAGAACCAAATCATGGCGCCGCTTGTCCACGCACGAAATGTGTCGGCAGGCCCCCCGTGGTAGAGAGGCGTAGTGGTGAAGGTCGCCTTGTACCGACCGTCAAGAGCAAGAAGTGCTCCAACGGCTCCATGATGCGATTGTGGGATAGGCTTCGGTCGTCCAGAGCTGGTGCCGGAAGTGTGGTGAAAATATGCTACTCGCGCAGTCTCGGGTGGAACGCGATCTGTCCCGTTTCCTGACGTACTGTATTCGAATACATCAACCTCGCTGAACGGGATCGGAAGATACTGCAAGTCTGGGCCAGATTTGTCGATTTTGGGCCAATTCTTCTCGTCGACGAGCACGAGAGCCACCTCCGTGTCGTGGCACAGTTGGTGAACAGCTTGAGTGGCACATTGCGGGTCAATCAAGATGACAGGCCATCCCAGTCTAATGCAAGCAAGCCAGACGAAGAAGAACTGTGGTGAGCTGGCGCTGAGCAGTCCAACAGCATTGCCAGGAGGAAGAAGGAGAGATTGCTGAAGAAGCTCCGCGGCTTTGGCAACGCTTCGCCGAACCTCGTCGAAAGTCAAAAGTATAGGCTGGAATGTTGTTTGATCATCTCGTTCGCCAACTCGGTAGAAGCCAACGGCGATGTCTTGTCCGATAGAGTTGGCTTGTTGCTCGATCAGATCGTTGACGTCTTGGAATGGTCGACGCTGTGACTGAGCCTCGCCGAGCGTGCAGGTGAAATAGGTCTGTCCATCGACAACCTTACGGGCAACCATCGCAGCAGTATGAGTATAAACACGCTTCAGCACCAAACGCAGCCACTCGACGATTCAGCATAGCAACCAGTATGCAATGGCAATCGGGATGAGTGTGAGAGTAACGCTCAAGAAGATGCAAGAAGTGCTATTACCAGCTTTCTCACTCGGTAGTCTCTTGGACTTTGCTGAATCTATGATGCGTTGAAACGCCTTTATTCGAAAGCCTGACACGCGACGAAACTGTGTGAATTATCTTTCATGACTTGTTCTTCAAAAGCGTCAGAGCTGCAGAGCAAGCGGCAGACCTACAGTCATGCTCACTGCCTGTGATACAACATTTCGACAATCATTGAAGCAACGTTTTTGAAATGCCAAACGAAAGATCTATATTTTCCACCCATGCTACAGTCAAACACTAAGACTGGTATGCTGCTTATCTACCAATATGTCCATTACCATTGCTGAGAAACGCATCTTCCTCGATGCCCGCGGCGAATTTCTCGGCCTTCTTGACGCTGCCGTTGACGCCGTTGACACCGTTAGGAGCATGTCCATTGACACCCTTAGATGCGTGTCCGTTGATACCATTGGTCGCATGTCCGTTAACACCATTAGATGCGTGTCCGTTGACCCCGTTGACAGCTTTGGCATCGTCGTTCAGAACGTTGATCTTCTTCGCGCCATTAGGAGTCGATTTCTTGATGTCTGGAGTCTGCCCATTGAAGGTGTAACCCGTGTCACTTGCATCAACGTAGGACTCAAGCCCCGCACCTTGTCGTGGAAAGTCCTGGGCGAGCTGCTTGTGCTTCTTTAGAGCATCAAAGAGTTGATCGTAGGAAAAATCGTTGATGAAATTGCATGATCCCAAGGGACTCGGGACGGCTAGGCGCAGCGATCCGTCTCGCGTCCGCAGGATGGCCTTGGTACCTCGATCAAGCACGTCTTCATCGAATTGAGGGTGGTCAATTGGAAGACCGGCTTTCGAGAACAATCTGAGGAGTCTCATATGCTCGGCGTCGCCAAGCAGGCCCAGCGTGTTGGCAAGAGTGGCGCTGTAGGCCATGTCAACTGAAATCGCCGCGCCATGTCGAAGAGCCGGCTCCGGAATGAGTTCGTGCAGGGGAGACCAAGTATGTCCATACGCAATCACTCGATCGAGTCCAATCTCGTGGAGGTTCGGTGTTTCCAACTTCAGCATCTCATAAATGCTGCTTTCGTTGATGGCGTCGGCAGCCATTCTCACTTCTTTTGACGCTCCATCCTTGCGCCCAAAGCCGGTGGAGATGAGCTCCTCGCAGTACTGGTCGAGCAAATCGAAGGTCGCGAGGTCCGCACAGCTCGAGATCTTGATGAGCTCGGCGAAGCCGTTGCGAGTCTGGGCTACTGGAAGGGTTCGAAGGAAGCCGAAATCGAGGAAGGTCCTTGTAGGTGCGTGGTAGGCTCCTAGTCGGTTCTTGTAGTTGCCGTAATTGACGGCCACCTTGATGCTCACCGAGGCGTCGATGAGTCCGATGACGGTCGTCGGAATTCGAATCTGTCAATATTATGTTAGAGCAGGCCGGAACAAATTTGGTTGAAGACCACCTACGTAGGGAGTGTTGCGGCGGTAACTCGCACAGGCGAAGCTGATTTATCTATCGTCAGCATAATGTCACAACGCGGAAGGAGTTGTGAAAGCCATGATAGCCGTAAGGCTGCATGCCAGAGTACCTCACCCCGCAATATCGGTGACAAGCCCGCCTCCAATGACCAGCACTGGTTCCTGTACGAGCGTCAGCAGATGGACGTCTACCATATTGTCCTGCTCTCAACAGTCCACACACCTTCCGGTAGATGCCGAATTGCGTCATCGAGTCCACAATGCTAAGATAGGTATCAATGCTCTTTGCCTTTTCCCCAATCATCGTCTTGTGCACGTCGAGCTGGATGTCGTGGTGGTCGAAGTAACGCTGCATGTCTTCGCCGTAGACATCAAAGATATTGGCGTCCATGACGGCTAAGCATCGTTTCCACGGCTTGTAGCAATCGGCAAGGTCGCTCCGAGAGGGGTCGAAGACGTTGTCGATGAAGACGAAGTCATACTCAATCTTTTCGTAGCCCTCCACGTGGAAGCCATCGCGGCTTTTGGCTACGGTAGCCTTCATGTCCGACATGCTGGAATAGAGTAGAGTGAAAGCTGGGGCGTATTCGGAGGTCGAAGGTGACAGAGGACTTGAGGACAACGAGACGGGTGAGAGGGAAAGCGTTGCCTGCAGCAGCACATCAATACCTCTTATAACGGACTGGCAGCGGCAGTACCTGGCAGCCGTATCCCTGACGCCCCATTCCAGTTTCCCAATGCCAAGTACCATCATGGCTGACCCAGCAGTGCCTACGACATATGCCGGATGGAGCAATCCGCAGCTGGTAGCGCGCCTTGGTTGCGAGTGGTGATGTAGAAGACTACGGAACACACCCCATTACTAGGAGTCTGCCGGCCGAGGCCGCGTGAGTGGGCCAGGTGTGCCACGAATACCTTGCCGCATGTGCGAGTTTGTACGCGGTTCGAGAACTTGATCTCTCCATGCGAGATCCTAGCGTGAAGTCAGCAAGATTGAGTTCGGTCCGTCGCCCAAACGCGAGCGGTACAGCCTTGCGGGTGGAAGATCTCCACTAATTGCATGACGCTATCACCACACAGAAAAGTTAGCTTGGTGATGCATGAGTATGAAATGCAGACGCATGCTTCCTTGATTCAGGATGGATGATACATCATCGAGGTCGACATGGCCCATGAACCCTGTAATAAGATCGGCAACGGCATTGGGCGGCCTGCGCCCTGCAGCAGACCAGCTCGACGTGCTTGAATGTTGAAACCTGGCAGTCCTGCTTGTTTACACTTGACAACAAAAAAGCTCAACATCATGGCGCAAAACGTTTACCGCGCAAAAGAAGAGGTTTTCGTGAGTTTGCAAAGAGCTGATGATTGTCCGGATCTGACAATGACCAGTTCGACGATGGAAGGGAGATTGAATTGCTGCACTTCGTGTACGGCAAGGAGAACATCAACGAATTGCGAAACAACCCCGATCGAGTCCTCGCGGCCATTGACGAATATGCAAGAACAAAGTGGGTGACCTCCAAAGCTCAACATGCCTTGAAGTTGACATATCCTTCCGCGCAGAAAATACTTGATGAATGTGGGCGATAAGAAAGGTGCGATTGTGGTGGATGAGATCACATCTCGGAAGCCAGAAGTCATGGTTGAGCTCGGTGGCTATGTTGGATATTCGACGATTCTGTTCGGACAGGCTGTGCGCAATGCCGGCGGGCAGAGATATTGGTGTCTTGAGAGGAGCCCGGAATTCGCGGCCGTCATCATGGCCTTGATCGATCTTTCTGGACTCAGCGACACGGTCAAGGTTATCGTTGGTCCAAGCGATGAATCGATTCATCGATTGCACTCCTCGGGCGCCCTGCAAAACATCGACATGCTGTTCATGGACCATTACAAGCCAGCCTACGTGACCGACCTCAAGCTCTGCGAAGAGCTGAAGCTCATCACCCCCGGTACCGTTCTCACGGCCGACAACGTGATTGAGCCGGGAAATCCGCCGTATCTGAAATACGTCCGCAGCACTTGTGAGCAGAAGAGGAATGTTACAAAAGAGGTGAAGGTCAATGGAGCGGAGGAGAAATTTCCCGACCGCACGGCGAATCAATACAAACGCCCAGAGAAGTTGAATCACTCTCTCCTGGGTGATCCGAATTTGATATATCAGTCGCGGCTAGAACACAGCTTCGAGCCGACTGGAGAACCGGTAAGACTGATCAGTGAACCAAGCTGCGAGAAGAGTTGCTGACAATCTAACAGGATGGTGTCGAGATTACACGGTGCGTTGGAGTAGAAGCTGCGTGAGTTAGAGACAATGATTGTAGTTCGTGTCGTAATGCGCAAGCGGCACTTGGTAACGTGCTCGACCCACTTCATGCACCTCGGTCTTGACGTCTTGGTGCAATTCCCCATTGAGCGTCAATGAATCACCACTCCCGCGCGTCATGATGCACTTCACGTCTCCCCGCGCCTGTTGATCTTGGTTGTACAAACGTGATGATGACGCACATCAATGAGTACGCCGGTGGCCGCGGCTGTCCATTTCTGACTCGTGTAACCTGGGCGGACATGCATTGCGGATGTCAACTCCAGGTTGCAAAGGCGTCTCGAATGGCTCCGACACTGCAGTGAAGATGCTGAATGGTACCGACAGCCTCTTCAGGCACCGATTGCAAGACGTGCAATTAATACTCCTGAGTGTGTTGGCCCTCCCGCTCACCACATTCGCACTCTTCGTCACCTTGGCCATCGACCGCTTCCGGCAACACTCCGCTCTCGACATCCGCAGAAACCAACTCGCCAGTCCTGAATGGCGGCCGAGAACGATTCTCGTCACTGGCGTGGGCATGACAAAGGGTCTTACTTTGGCTCGACTGTTCTACCAGGCCGGACACAATGTCATTGGCGCCGACTTTGAAAGCCATGGCGCTTTGGTGTGTGGTCGCGTCTCAAAGTCTTTGTCGAAATTCTACTCCTTACGCAGACCCGACAAAGATGCAGGCGTAAAACCATATTCGGACGATCTGCTCAGGATTGTTGCCGCCGAGAAAGTGCATCTTTGGGTGAGCTGTTCTGGAGTGGCCTCGGCTCTCGAAGATGGAATGATCAAAGAAAGGATGGAAACGGAAACCGCTTGCAAGGCCATACAATTCGATGTGTCCACGACCCAGCTACTCCACGAGAAAGACAGCTTCATCCAGCATGCGAAAGACCTTGGGCTCAAGGTGCCTCAGACGTACAAAGTCACCAGTCTTGCAGCAGCCGAATCATTGCTCGCTAGAGCCCGTCTGGATGGCAAACACAAGTTCCTCCTGAAACCCACGGGAGTCCAGGATGCTGACCGAGCTGATATGACTCTGCTCCCAAAGGATAGCCACACCGACACGATCAGTTACCTGTCCCGAAAGCACTTCTCTGCGGACTCGTCATGGATCCTGCAGCAGTTCATTAGTGGCCCCGAATATTGTACGCATGCCTTGGTTGTCGACGGACAAGTCAAGGCGTTTGTTGCTTGTCCAAGTGCGGAGCTGCTCATGCACTATGAGGCGTTGCCCACGGATTCGAAGCTGACCCAGGCAATGCTCGAGTTCACGACTACCTTTGCATCCCATCACGGCAAGGGCTTTACCGGCCATCTGAGTTTTGACTTCATGATGGAATCGGATGGCTCTATCTATCCGATCGAATGCAATCCGAGAGCTCATACTGCGGTGGTGCTCTTCAGCGATACGCCTCAGCTCGTCGATGCGTATCTGTCCGCACTCGAGGATGCAGGCGTCGAAGATTCTGGTGTGAAGGCCAATGAATTGTCCGATCAACACATCCAACCAGATGGCGACCAGAAATACTACTGGGTCGGCCACGATGTCATCGAATTGGCGCTTGCTCCGCTCTTATCCGCGCTCACAACCTTGCGACTGAATCGCAAGCTACCCTCGGATCTCTCCAGACTGCTTGAGCACATCCTGTGGTGGCGAGATGGCACCTTTGTTTCCTGGGATCCCGCTCCGTGGTGGTGGCTTTACCATGTGTACTGGCCAATGCAGTTTCTGCACGCACTGTCGGCCGGGAAGAAATGGAGTCGTGTCAATGCCAGTACTACGAAGGTCTTTGAATGCTAGAGGGGGAAGAATTGAAAGACTTTCGTGACTGACGTTGATCTGACTTGCCAGCCTTGTCCAAAACACCTAAATAAACCCTACGATGTCTGTCTGCATGTGTGGCGGATCTACCAAATCAGCAGGGACTGCACATTTATTATGTACGCACGTGCATGCACGCGAATCGACTGCCGGGTGTAGGGCTGGCCGGCGTGTTGTTTATGTATAGGGAGTACATCCGACATGGAATCGTCGGGAGCATCGTCGATGGTTAGGCGGGAGGCAAGGAGGCAGCCAATCGGAGACACTCCAGCGATCCAGCTCGCCGCCGGCCGATGGTGGTGCCTTGCCGCAATCGACGCAACCGTAAATCGACTTCTGCCCACCACATCGAGGCATGTATCGCCCTCATCTCGCGCCATCACCTCTACTTCATTTCCCTCCTTGCTGGGATGTGGCCGGTCGATTGTGTGGATTGCACCGCTCCATCTCGCCGGCGGTGCGCGATCGACGCGCCGCGGTGTGCCGGTATCCCGGAGCGCGCAGGGCGCAGGGGCAACGTGCAGCACAGCCTTACGGCAGGCAAAGCGATGTCGCCCTGCGTGTAGGACAGTGGCGAGCATGAGGTTTCAGCAGTTTGAGGTGTGTTGTGCATCGTCGATGCCACTGGTTGGCCTCACGCAAATTGTATGGCGAGGGAAGGCCAAGAGGATCCGAACGGGCCCAGGCCCGAGTCCGGCAGAGTTTCGGGGCTTCCCGCCGGCCCCCGATCTGGGCCTCGACTTCCACCCATCGAGCCCGTCGTGCAGATCTAGAGCGACACGCTGCGATCGATGCAAAACCCGGCGGCCCCTCCATACGTCGTGCGCTTCTGCCGCGCTGACGAACGGGTGATGGATGGAAACCCATCCTCGATCCTCCCCTCCCAGACGTCGATGGGCGTGCTGGTCCGTCATCCTTGCGGCATGATGGAAACGTGACTCTGGCATCCACACTCCCTCACTCAATCTGTCCCATCTCCGCCTTCCCGATCACACCTTTACCCTTCGACGTCCCCTTCGTCTGACGCTATCTATCCGCACAAGCGTTGTGAGAACTCCCTCTTCCCTCCCCATGGAGAGGCAAACTTGGAAGTGACCAAGCATGACCTCGAGAGGTCCGACCACAGCGACTGCGCGCGCATCGCCTCCAAACGCTCCGCATCCAGTCCCCTTTCCCCGCCGCGCATCCCCAAACACCTCCGTCTCCCTCAAACATCACCGTCAGCCCCGCCAGCCGTCGCGCCTGCACAAAGTCTCCTCCCCGGACAGCGAGGACGCGGACGCGGACGCGCAGCAGCTGCAAGAGGACCCAACCAACGCCGAATCAGGTGCCTCCACCTCTCCCTCCAGCCTCCAAGCCGTCGGCGCCAAAGGAAGCTCCGGCGAGAGCAGCAACGCGGAGAGATGGTTCGAACAGTCCAACAACCAAGTGCGAGATAGCAGCGCCCCCTTCGCGGACAACGACCCTCCCTTCTTCCTACGCAACAACTCCTCCTCCTCCGAGACTCCTCCCGATCGTCGACTCGGTGTCGACAGTCTTCCCCGTCGCGACGCCGCCGAGTCTTTGCCCCTTCGCACTGGACTGTTGCATATCGGCACCGACGGCAGCAGTACAGAGGACTTTAGGAGCGTGATCGACGACCTCACCATCGCCAACAAAAAGCTGAAGCGGAGGCTGAAGAAGTATGAGAAGCTACACGATTCCCATTTGAAGGACGAGAAGTTGTTTGAAGTGCGGATCCATGGTTTGCCGGCGGAACGCAAGCGAGAACTGGAAGAGACCTTGCGCAAGTTCGCATTAAGCCTGGGCCCGGCTGGCACCACTGCCTTCCCTTCCAATGGATATGCAAGCCTCGCCACCGGCCTGAAGACGGGCAAGGACTCCTCCTCGCACACTTCTCATCAAAACACCGACTCGGCCTACGCCTCCATGTCCGCTTCCGGGCAGTCGGGCAACGACCAAAGATCGACCCCGAATCAGTATCCCGCCGCTCGGACACAAAACATCCACAACTACCTGCACCACATCCCCGAGGGCTTGCTACCCCAGCAAAATCCCGCGAGTATGACAGAAAAGGCAAAGAAGAAAATGGTGGTGCGGAGGCTCGAGCATTTGTTCGCGGGGAAGGGGGCAGCGAGTGGTGGGCACCTGCATAGCATGCAGCAACAAGAAGTCTCGCAAAGCGCCGCGAGAATCGATCGGTCGGCCATGGAGGAGTCTGATCAACGCGCACGATATGAAGGTGCTCGGGAGGCGTACATTATGGATGACGAGGGAAAAGATCAAGGAGTGGAGGGTGGAGGGGTTGGACGGAAAGGCCTTTCCGAACAACGACCCACGCGACCCCTCGATCTCGATCCACACCGTGCCCAAGTACCAGCAGAAAATATCCGCTACATGCGCCAGATGGGCTTCTCCCCTCGCGATCCAGGATCAGAGGAGCTGGCAGAGGGACATGGCTGGATCTACTTGAATTTCCTCATCAACATGGCCCAGCTTCATACCATCAACGTCACTGCCGACTTTGTTCGCAAAGCAATCAGCGATTACAGCAACAAGTTCGAAGTGTCTCTGGATGGGCGCAAGGTGCGGTGGAGAGGGGGCGATTCGGTCACCCGATGCAGCAGCAGTGCCGGCGACTCCTCCCATCGCACCAGCAACGATACCCCCGATGCACAGAGCCCTCGCAAGCGACAAAAGCTATCGCACGGCGATGATCGCTCGGGCGGGCAGCCAAGCGGCGGGTCTTCCGCGAGACTTCGTCAAGAGAGCACCAAGTATGCGTACACCCCGCTCTTCTTCCATCGCGCAAATTCCGACGAGGCAGAAGACTCGTCGTCCGAGGAAGATGATGATGATGTCAGTCTGCCCTCGCTTCCACCCGCGCTCTTTGCCGGCGATTCGTCTGGCATGACCAGCTCCGGCATTCGCACCAACTATGGAGTTCCCGGGCCGACCGGCAAGAAGAGGCCCAAGCACGACGACGGTCCGATCATCTTTTACAATAACGCGCGGTTCTGTACCGACCTCAGTGGTGATCGACGAACTACGCCAAACCACGCCATCCCCTCCTACACAATGGCGAGTAGTATCCCAATTGGACCTCCTCTACATGGCACAGCTGGCGGTGTCATCGAGAAGCGAGGTCCTCTTGCAGATGCATCGGAACTGCCCGAGCCAATGGATCTTGGGGACAATCCCATCCCAGAGTCCATGGAGCTGACATTCCCCGCGCGATCACCGCCGCAATCTCATCAATCGTCGTCGACGGCACAGATGCCGCTGGACCTCGAGGTTACCGGGATCGGGGGTGTCTGGCCTGCCGACCACTTCTCCATCTCCGTCGAAAGCCGCAACACCGTCGTGGTGCAGCAGCAACCCGCAAGACCTGTATTATCCATGGTCCCTGGACGATTTACCAAAATTCTGCAAGACTCCGAATCGCTGGGCATTACCACACCCAGACTGCAGAAGCAGGTGGTTGCTTCGAAAGTGCAGACTCTCCCACCGTCGCGACTGCCGGAGGCGCTCAATTTCATGGCTTTTGGCGAAGATTCCGAGGGCGAGAATGACTTCGATGGGGACGACGAATCTGAAGCACCCGATTCTCTCGACGCACCGCCACCCGCCACCGCCCCGCAGCCTGTCGACATGCACTACGCTTCGATGTCGGAAGACGAGGAGAGTGATGATGACGAGGACGATGATGACGACATGGAGGAATCTGACGGCGAAATTGACTTTCTAGCTACCGCGCGTGCAGCGGAACCCGAAATGGTGCGACAGCAGGAGCGCGAGTACGAGGCCAACATGGCCGAACGGCTTGCCGAAGAGATTCCCACTGGAAGCAGCGCTGCTACTGCTGGAGGGGGGAGTGGATTCGCAAGTCCGGCTGACGGTGTCGACCGCACCGAATACCGACGGGCGATCCAGGAAGCGCGAGCCAAGGCGAAGCTAGCAAAGGCAACGGAGTCAATGACCGCGAGTCACAAGCAGACATCTTCGAGGGACAATGATAGCAATGGCGAGGAGCAACTGAGTGATGTGCCATCTGAGATTTAGCCGAGATACCCACAATCAAGTCAATATTCTAACGTGCAAAGCTCCCTACGTCGCCGTTTGATGAACTTCAAAGCCTTTCCAGCCGTCGAGGGCGTCCACACAAGCCTTGTGCCACATGGGAATGCCTCCAAGGTAGACCAGGAATTCCCGTTTCTTACCAGGGACACTAGAGGCTTGTTAGCTGTAGCAAGAAAGCGTCAATGACAAGGCTGAACGCACTTGGCTCCCATGTACCAGGAGTTGGTCTTGATCAACAGTGTCTTGCTGGCGAGATCCAGACAATGCTCACGCCACGCCTCTTCCGCCTCTTTGTTGGCCTCCACCGTGGCAAGACCGTCTTTGATTTGCTGCTCGATGACGGAGAGGATCCAGTCGCCTTGCAGTTCCAGGAACGGCGGTCCATTCGTGAGGGAGGTTGGAGCTAGAAACGAGTTAGCCACTCGCCGTCTGGTCTTACTATCGCTTCTTGACCAACCTTGCGGACCATACACCCTGTTTTCATCTCATTAGTGGGCCTCCTCAAAGATGGCAGTATGACACTCACATGAACATGTTTGGATAGCCATGAGCAATCATGCCCACGTTAGTCGCGACGCCATCCTTCCACTTCTCATCGAGATCAACGCCACCGCGACCCTTGAGACCCATCTGCCTCAGCCCACCCGTCACCGCGTCGTAGCCCGTGCAGATCGCTACAATGTCAAATTCATGCACCTTTCCATCCTCCGTCTTGATACCGGTCTCCGTGAACTCGACAATCGGTGAGTTCGTGATGGTCACGTGGTCGAGATCGCACATTTCATAGTAATCCTGCTCCAGAGAGGGCCGTTTGGTGGAGATGAAATATGGCGGCTCCAACGGGGCAAGGAGCTCACGTTTCGGCCCATCCTTCATCCGCTTCCTCGTCTGCTCTACCCAGTAGTCGTACATGGCGCGGTTGGACTTTTCGTCGATGATGTGGTCGGTGTAGCCGCCTTGGCTCCAGTTGAACCCACCGCGCTTCCACCTCTCATCCCAGATGGCGCGGCGTGTTGTGTCGTCGTCGTCAAACACTTTTCGTCCAAGATTCTCAATAGGGAGACCGGTTCGGGTGCCACGACATGCTCGGAAGATGTGAGGGTAGAGACACTTGTTGGAGTAGATTTCCTCCTCAGAGATCTGGCGCTGCCGCATGGGAACGGCCAAGTTTGGGGTTTTGATGAACTGCGTGACGGCCTTTGCCACCTTGGGCGCTTCTTGCATCACTTGCACACCGGTGGAGCCACAACCGATCACTGCCACTCGTTTTCCGGCCATGTCAACAGGCTGTTCAGGCCACAGCGAGGAGTGATGGATGACGCCTTTGAACTTTTCCATTCCCTTCCAGTGAGGGATGTGAGGTTTGGCAGACGTGCCGGTGGCGGCAATAAGCCATTTACACGACCAGTGGTCTCCAGCGTCGGTCTTGACGCGCCAGCCGCCGTTGGAGTAGTTGGCCTCGACGACTCTCGTCCGGAGGTGAATATCCTTCTCCAGATCCCAGACCTTGACAACGTGTTGGAAGTACTTGCGGAGCTCGGTGTCGCAGGGATAGCGTTCGGTCCAGGTGAAGGTGCTCCAGACATCGGGATCGCTGAAGCCGTAGTAGGGCATCTCACAATCTACTCTCGCACCGGGATATCGCTGTTCATCGTATTAGGCTGAGGCAGATATTGATTTGGGAGTCAGGCCATACATTCCAAGCCCAAACACCTCCAACTGTTGTGCCGGCCTCGAGCAGCTGCACGGACAGTCCATGTTTCCTCAAAATATGCAGTAGATAGCACCCTTGATCGAATTGATCAGTATTTGGCATTGCAATTGGAGATTGTGGCATATTACCTCCGAATCCGGCACCAACAACCAGAACATCGACTTTCTTCTCGCCTACCGAACCCATTGTTGACGAGTAAGAGACCTGAAGGATTTTGCGACTGGTAGTAGATTCTGAAATATCTTATGCCAACAAGGGAGTGGCCGAATGGGAGGCAAGTCACGCACCGGAGTTCTGATAGCCGGTCTCGTTGTCTCCAGGCCGATCGCTGTGCGGGTGGGCCTCGGCCTCGGCCCCCGGATGCGTCGTTTGTCGCCGGGCGATCACCTTTAACCTCACCCATCAATACACCTCCCATTATCCGCTTCATCGAGTAGCCGGTGGAATCGCATCAGCACGAGAACACACGAAATGCCTTTCGACACTGCATTGACCCGCGCGCTGGGCATAAGAGGTGGGCGAGCTGTCCTCTTGCTCCGAGTTACGCTGTCCTGTACTGACGTAGACTGCAGTGCCGGTGGTGCAGGGTGGTATGCAATGGGTGGGATATGCCGAACTTGCGAGCGCCGTGAGCAATGCCGGCGGGCTGGGCATTGTGCGTTACCGTCATATCTTGTCCCTGGATCCCCCCTTGCTCACACGCCGTATCTAGCTCACCAGCCTGACACAACCGACTCCGGAAGACCTCCGAAAGGAGATTCGCAAGACCCGGCAGCTGACCAAGAAGCCGTTTGGTGTGAACTTGACCGTGCTACCGACCATCAACCCTCCTCCGTACGCCGAGTACGCGCAGGTCATTCTGGACGAGAAAATCAAGATTGTCGAGACGGCCGGCCTCGTCAAAGACTTTGTGCCCAAGTTCAAGGCCGCCGGCATCACCGTTCTGCACAAATGCACCACCATCCGCCACTCTCTGTCCGCTGTAAAGATGGGCGTCGACTTTATCAGCATTGATGGGTTCGAGTGTGCTGGACATGTGGGCGAGCACGACATTCCCAACTTTGTCTTGCTCAATCGCGCGAGAGAGGCTCTTGGCAACACTCCGTTCATTGCCAGCGGTGGGATGGCGAACGGCCACAGTCTGGCCGCTGCGATTAGCTTGGGTGCATGCGGAATCAACATGGGTAAGCGCTGGTCTTACTATTGCGCCGGGCCCTGCTCTGACATTATTCCAGGAACCCGATTCATGTGTACGGTCGAAGCACCGATTCACAACAACATCAAAGAATCCATTGTAAAGGCATCCGAGGATGACACAGATTTGTTGATGCGGAGATGGACCAACACCGCGCGTTACTTCCGCAACAGCGTCACTCAAGCCGCAGGCAAGATTGAAAAGGAGAGCAAGACGGGCAAGTTCGAGGAGATTGCCGAGTACGTGAGCGGCAAGCGAGGACGACAAGTCTTCCTCAACGGCGATCCTGACTATGGCGTCTGGACGGCGGGCATCTGTATTGGCCTCATCCACGACATCCCGACGTGCGATGAGCTCTTGAAGCGTATTGAGAGGGAAGCAAAGGAGAACTTGGAGCGACAAGTGAGCATGTGGAAGGACGACGCTCGGTTGTAGAAGTCAGTCGATCTATATATCCTAGATGCGTTTTGAAGTACCATCACATTATTGACTGTCTTGTTAACATGCCAGAACAACATAACGGCGAACACGGTCTCAGTCTCCCACCAACAAAGCTATGGCCTTTTGGTCGGTCGCCAGCCGGGAAAACACTGCCGAGGCTCCGGAAGTCTAATCTGCTGACACGACGAGCCCGAGTCGACGACATGTCCTCGCAGTGAGTGCTTTTGCCTGCAACCACTCGCTACTCACCAGAGGACGAAAGTGCAATGCCATTCTTAGCGGAGACGCACCATCCGTGAGTAGTTCTGCCACTCCAATTCCACACCGCATCCCTTTATTGACGCCGACACAGAATTCCTACCAAGGACATCTTGTCTTGGTACTTTGACAAGCCCAACTTCGACCAGGACCGACCGTTGTACATCGATGCCGAGGATACAAGTCGCTTTTGGACGGCCAATCAATGTCGAAAAGCAATCAGACAATTAGCCGCCGGCTTCAAAGCACTCGGCTTGAAAGGATGGCAGGATAGAAATTCCCAAAGCGACATCACTCACGCTGGCGGCGCGCCTCTGCCTCACGGCAAAGCCTCGCCCGGTGACACGGTGGTCATCCTTTCGTTCAACGAACTCAACTATCCAATCCTCGTCAATGGCATCACCGGCTTTGGCGGTGTGTACACCGGTGCCAACCCCGCATACACATCCTACGAACTCGCACATCATCTCAAATCCTCCGACGCTCGGCTGGTGATTGTAGAAGTGGAACTGCTACCCAATCTATTGAAGGCTGCAAAGGAGGTTGGACTTCCTCAAGACCGGATTCTCATCTTCGATAATCATGGAGAGACCATACCGCAAGGCTTTCGATCGTGGTGGACGCTCTTTGAACATGGTGAGGTCGATTGGCCAACTTTCGACGACTACGAGAGTGCGACGGGAACTACAGCGGCATTGCTTTATTCTAGTGGAACTACAGGTCTTCCCAAGCCCGTCATGCTCTCCCATCACAACCTCATCACCGAACAAACGCTCTTCAGCGAGTGGCAGCCTACTCCGTGGCAGGTACGTCTACCACCCCCCTCCCTTAAAACCATCTGGAACTCACACAGTCCATCACGTTCCCAGAGAAGAAGACTCATGGTGTTGCCAATGTTCCACGCGGCCACTGCTCCACTCTCACATTTCTCGCCATTGCACTGGGGCGATTTGATCTTCACCATGCGCCGATTCGACTTGGAAAGCTACTTGACGATGGTGCAGAAGCATCAGATCACCGAAGGCGCTTTCGTTCCCCCAATGGTGCATATGATCATCTCTTCTCCCTTGATGCGCACGGAAAAGTTTAAGAACAGCCTCAAAAGCATTCGAGTCGGGCATACCGGCGCCGCACCCCTTGATCCTGGCAGCCAGGCCCGTTTGATTCCGTTTCTGCATCTAGAAACGACGTTGACCCAAGTCTGGGGCATGACCGGTTCGTCGCAGAGCCAACTGCATCCAAGGCGCTCACACAGTACTAATCAGCAGTAGAGACCAGCTGTACATGTTGCATGACCATGTGGAATGCCCCGGAGGCCTACGAAGCCGGTAGATGGGGCAGTGTCGGGAAGATGCTTCCCAACATGGATGCCAAACTGGTGGACGACGACGGCAAAGACATTAGCGGCGACAATGTGAGCGGCGAGCTATGTGTGCGAGGCCCTCTGATTGTCAAAGGGTATTACAAGAATCCGGAAGCAAACCAGAGGGATTGGGATGAAGATGGCTTCTTTCACACCGGTGACGTGGCGTGTAAGTATTTTCGCCCTGCTGCTTGAATGTTTTCTCACAAAAGATACAAGACCGAGACGGCAAGACCAAGCACTGGTACATCGTAAACCGGAAGAAGGTCAGCGGACACCAATCCCTTGCCATGTCTGGAACTGGCTGATCTTGTAACAGGAGCTAATCAAAGTTCGTGGCTTCCAATGCGCGCCGATCGAACTGGAGGGAGCGTTGCTAGCCCATCCAGATATCGTCGATGCTGCCGTTCTCGGAGTCCCTGCGCCACGGGAAGTCGATGGTGAAGAGCCTCGAGCATATCTCGTCACGCGGCCCGAGGCAAAGGGCAAGGTGACCGTCGAAAGCATCAACAAACACATGGCGGAACGGCTGGCGAAGTACAAGCAGATTACGGGCGGCATCGTGTTTGTGGATGCGATTCCCAAGACCGCCTCGGGCAAGATTCTGAAGCGCATCTTGAAGGAGCAGGCGAAGAAGGAGTTGGAGGCAGCTGGAAGGACGGATATCAAAGCGAAGATGTAGTACGGTCGGAGATGCACTACTTCAAAGCCCCATCATTTCTCAAATCAGTCACTTCGCTCTCTCCAAGACCAATCTCCTCAAGGATTTCATTCGTATGCTCGCCATGTAAAGGGGGCCTGGTTCGAATGGAGGCTTGGGTGTCCGAAAATTTGATGGCCGGTCCTGTGAATATTGTCAAAACCTCGACGTTTCCAAAACGGCATGTTACCATAACCTACCGATGACCCTGATGCTCCCATCTTTGGCAGCCGGGTAGTCAATCCTTTGCACCATCTCACGAGCCTCTGTTTGAGGATGCGAAAAAACCTTCTCCATCGTATTGACAGGACCGTACGGCATTCCACTTCCCTCGAATGCCGCAAGCCACTCATCGGTACTCTTACTGGCAAAAGTCTCATTTAGAGCTTCATATAATGCATCCCGGTGAGTGACTCTTTTGGGATTTGTGAGGAATCTGTCGTCGCTCGCAAGCTCCGGCCTCCCTATCACGGTGACCATCTTTGTGAACTGCTTATCGTTTGTAGCGCCGACGACGAAGTAGAGGTCTCGGGTCTTGAATGCATCGTAGGGAACAACAGATGGATGTTGCGTTCCCCAGCGCTCCGCCTCGACGCCCATGTTGAGCCAGCTGAGACCGACATTGGAGAGCAGGGCGACTTGGGTTTCGAAGAGACTTCCATCAATCTTCTGCCCTCGCCCTGTTCGTTGTCGCGCGTACAGGGCAGATGCAATGGCTCCATGCATGAAGAGACCTGTGGAAATGTCGGTCAGGCCAAGACCGGGACGCACTGGACCTCTGCCACGCTCTCCGGTGAGATGGAGTAGGCCAGCTTCCGCGCCCGCGATCATGTCGTAACCTGCTCTCGCTTTGAACGGTCCAGAAGCGCCGTAACCTGATCTAACGTGAGATGCAGTCTGCAGAAGCATATCTTTTCAGCTCGTACCTGAAGTGCTTGCGACAATGATGCCCGGATTGATCTTCCTCAGTGCTTCAAAACCAATACCCAGCTTGTCCAACGCCCCAGGACGGAGATTTTCAACGCTGCATCGTCAATCAGTTGCTGGTTCACTCTCAATCGATATGACAACTTACACCACATCGGCATCTTTCGCGAGCTTCAGAAAGATCTCCTTTCCACCTTTGTGCTTGAGGTTGAGAGCAATGGAGCGTTTGTTTCGATTGACGGCGGCAAAGTAGTTTGATATCGGCCCAGCGTCGCCATGCCATGCTGCATCTTCGCCCTTGATCCGCCAATATCGGGTGTCGTCCTGGAGCATTGTCGTAAGTCTTTAATTCTGCAGGCTGGCCGACGAATGGCATACTCCTCGGTCAACATCTTCCACTTTGATCACATCCGCACCGTAGTCGGCGAGGATTTGGGTGCAAAACGGAGCCTACGGTTCTGCTGCTTAGTTGTTCGCCTTGGAGATAGCGGAAGGGATCACACGCACAGCAAGCACTCTGGAAAGGTCCAAAATCTTGACCCCTTTCAACGGTCCATCGGATGCGACGTTCTCGTCTACGTTATCCGAGCCTGAGTGCGACCATCGGGAAGTCGTTCGGTTGACCACCGTCGTCCGCGAATGACTGCTGTTGGACCACCTGGCTACCGCACGTGGAGACAAGACTGAGAAACGTGCGCTGGGCATTCTTTTCTTTCCTCAATACATTGTCTGAACTACTTGGAAAGAGTGAGACCTCATTGATTGATGCGAATGGACGATTCCTGCCAGGGCTGGGCCCGACTTTCGCAGTTGCCGAACTTCCTCGGCCATCGAGACGCGCTCTCGGAGCCTTGAGCCGGTGAAGCTGGGCAGCGGACCGCACTACATGGCTAAGATACAGAGATACGAACCAGCATTGAACGGCATCAGAACACGCTGAAGGCGATGTGAGGATGTTGAGACCATAAAAGCGTCGAATTCATTCACACGAATGGAGTATAGGTATTCAGAGCAAGATCGCTTAGAGATTACCTGGATGGCTTTGCGTCCAATCCAAGGACAATTCAATCATTCCTGCACTCTGCGGACATGTAGTCGGAGGTAGTCCCTGTGCTTATTGGGAAGTGGAGTGGCAATCAGGCCCTTACTCAACACAAACTCTGGATCATCCGTCGTCGATGTCTCAAAATTGCCCCAGATGGCGGCCATTGCCACGCGCAGACTGCCCAGCGCAAGGTGTTCTCCGACGCATTTCCGTGAACCAGAGCCGAACGCCCAGAACCAGCGGTCCATTTCTTTTCGCTCCTCGGGTGTGGCATCCAGCCAGCGTTCTGGCCGGAAGTCATCGGGGTCTTTGAACACGCTGGGTTTACGGTGGAGGGAGAGGGCCTGACAGGAGACCTGCACCCCTGCGGGAACCATGACTTCATGGCCCGGCGGCCCAAGAATGATAGGTTTGTCTGTGTAGCGGGGCAGGTTACCAAGTCCGGGAGGGTGGAGACGAAGGGTCTCTCGAACAATGGCGTCCAGGACTGGCTGCCCCTCGAGATCAGGATGGCGTTGAGAGGAAGCATTGCGAGCAGACCGCACTTCTTCCCGTAGCCGATCCTGCCAATGTTTATTGCTTTCACTGCTGAGCTCCCACGCGCAGGTCATGAGGCCGATGACCGAGGTATCGATGCCTGCGACGAAGTGATCCTGCATCTCGCTCGTGATGATTGCCGTCTCCTTGGGGGAGAGCTCCAACTTCTCACTGTCCTTCTTTTCTCTCGCCGCGAACACGCTACTTCTCATGAAACTGTAAACGCTGGTCCGTCCATCAGTCGATCGCGCCGTCCCGGCGCTTTGTTCGGCCTGTTCTGTTTGTTTCTGCAAAGCCCGTATGAACTCGAGCTCTGATCGAAACCCCAACCAGTCGAAAACTTTGGCCGGGATGGGAAGCGAGGCTTGGATGAATAGATATGCTCGTTGACGGTAATATGCCTTGCGCATCCGCTGGGCTTCGGGGAGATTGTGCAACAAGTTCACGGCCCTGTCTTGCCCAAACACATACGTGCTCATGGTAGCCATTGACCAAGCAAACAAGATGTCGTAGAGCTCCACATCTGGGCGTGGCTGAACGAGCTTATCAAGACCGCTCACGAAGTCGTCGGCGAGCTTGGCCCGCTCCTCCTGCCATTCGCGGCTGCCCATCAGGAACGTTTTGCCATACGGCTTGGCGAGCAGCCTCTTCTGTCGCCTGTGCGAGTCTTCGTTGCGAATTGCAAACATCGGCGGCTCCCCAAAGGCCACGGCGAGCTGGTAAAGGTCGGTCTTGGGCAGACGGCCCTCGTAGATGGGCTTCAGCCCGCCATCAACATCGTTGACGGAGATCTCATGCGGTCCGACTCGGACGACGGGGCCCAAGCGGACATGGGCGTCATGGATGGCTTGGGCATCCACTTCGTTGACCGTCTTCCACCAAACCCATGCCGCTGTAAATTTCACCGACCAGTGGGCATCCTTTGCAGCGTTGAGGGGGGAGTATTGCACATGGTGGTAGAGTTTCAGAAGGGCATAGAATGCGTAGATGGAAGTGAGGGCAAGGCCCAACAAGGCCACAGAGCTGTTCAATTCGATCATTGCTGAACACGACTGATCAGGCGGTGGGAATGATCGTGAGGGAATGAGAAGCAAAAGGAATGCAGAATCAACTTATGCAGATCGGACCAAGTCACCATCCGGGGCGGCTTGGAGAGTAGGATTGCGGCCCATCGGCGCATGTGAACCGAAATGAGTAGTGGGAAACCTCTGTCAGGTTAGGGCTCTGGCACCCAGTGCAAGATGTCAAACTCTGTGGCGATCGTGTCAGCAGCAAGCGTCGGGGGTGCAGCTGCACTCTGTGACCAAGCTTGATCTGCGGATGCCCCGCTTCGGCAGGCGGTAATGTTGTGAACCAACCCTCATCACTGCAACGTCGATAGCAATGCAGCAGCGGCCAATTGACTGACGAAAGAAAAGACGCCTCCAACTAATCATTACTCATGTCCCTCGCGACCGACCAGCAGCCGAGCCATAGCTCGGTGCTGCACGCAACGCTTGCGGCCAACCCGCCCAAGATTGTCGGCGCCCAAGGCCATTACTTCAAGACCGCGGACGGCCATTCCATCTTCGATGCCTCTGGTGGAGCCGCGGTGTCGTGCATAGGTCATGGCAATCCCCGAGTCAAACGGGCGATCAAGGATCAATTGGATCGCGTGGAGTATTGCTTCTCTCCCTGGTTTGCCACCGATGCATATGAGAAGCTGGCCACGTTCCTGACCGACTCCACCCATGGCGAGATGGAAAAGGTGTTTATCTGCGGTTCGGGGGCGGAAGCAATCGAGGCAGCGCTGAAGATGGCCCGCCAGTATTTCCTCGAGCTGCCAGAGCCCCAGCCGCAACGCACACGCTTCATTGCCCGGGATCGATCCTACCATGGCAATACCCTTGGCTCGCTTGCCTTGTCCGGACATGCGGCCAGAAGGAAACCATACGCTCCGATTCTTTCCAATCAAATGACCCACGTCTCGCCTTGTTATACTTATCGATATCTTGGAGATAATGAAACCGAGGAAGCATACGTACAGAGACTCGCCAATGAACTTGAAGAGGAGTTCCAACGAGTTGGGCCGGATACGGTGGCTGCGTTTTGCGCAGAGACGCTTGGAGGTAAGTGGGATGCCATAGACGTGCGAGACAGCCGCTGATTTGATGTAGGTTTGGTGAGTTCTTTCATGTGAGAGATGGTTGACTCTCGTTGACGAGATTGTCTGCAGACGCTCGGCGGAGTTCCTGCTGTGCCCGGTTACCTCAAGGCGATGAAAGAGGTGTGCGACAGGCACGGGGCTCTTTTCATTCTTGATGAGGTTTTTGCGGGGATGGGCCGTACTGGCACTCTGCATGCATGGGAGCAGGAGGGTGTCGTTCCACATTTACAAACAGTTGGTTGGTTCTGCCATTTACTTCTTGATGCCGGGTTAATCTTGCTGACACAACGGCAGCCAAAGGATTGGGAGCCGGTTACATGCCCATTGGGGCGCTTCTAATCAGCAAGCAGGTGGTCGATACATTCTCCAAAGGCACCGGCGCTTTTGTACATTTCCAAACTTATCACGGCCACCCGGTGGCTTGCGCAGCGGCCCTGGCAGTGCAGGAGGTGATTCGAGATGAAGGGCTGATTGAGAATTGCCAGAAGATGGGCAAGTACCTGTCTAAGGCTCTTCGCAATCGTCTTGAAGGTCATAAGAACGTGGGTGATATTCGAGGAAGGGGTCTTGTTTGGGGAGTGAGTCTGGTGTTGTACAAGAAAGACGTACTGGCCAAAGCTGACAATTTCCAGATTGAGCTCGTCAAAGACAAGGCGACCAAGGAGCCCTTCCCAGTGGCAGACAAGATTGCTCCCACCATCCATGCCAACGGCCTGCGACCGGAGTTTGGCATCTCGCTCATTCCTGGCGGAGGGGTGGCAGACGGAACGAACGGCGATCTCATTGTCGTCTCGCCGGCGTACAATATCTCAATCGCGGACGCCGATTTGATTGTCGATCGGGCTGCGCGGGCGATTGAGAGTGTGCTGGGTCCGGTAAAAGAGTCGAAGCTGTAGACGACGAACAGATGCTCAATTCTTGTCTCCATAATCCCGCTTCCATATTGCGTCGAACTTGGTCAGGTCCTTTGCAAATCCCCTGACAAACTCCCATTCCATTTCATGCATCTTCTTCCCGCATAGAACCAGGCTGTGCAACGGGCGTCCCAGATCTGCAGCAGCCAGATCCTCCAGCGTCCCTGCGACGATTTCTTGATCCGCACTCCCAAGTCTAGCCACACCAACCGCCAATGCTTCTTTGCCACAGACGCCCTGCTGTCGATCCTCTTCGATCTCTAGCATCTGGCTTGCGCACTGTGCGACCGTCATAAAACGCGGCGGCTCATAGACAATCTTCCCGCGTGCGAGAGCCTGAAGATCGGGTTCCTTGACTTTGATGTCGAGCAGGACCAGCGTGTGAAAGCCGAGGCGTGCATTCTCGGCAATGCGATCGTAGAAACTGCTAGGTTTCCAGGAGTCGGTGAAGAAGACCATGCTGACTGTCTGCCCAAAGGTGTACAGAGACAAGCCAGTGGCACCCACAGCAGTGAGGATGCTTGCATTTGGCAATGTTCTGGTAGGTACCGGAGGCTCGTGTTGTCTGCAGCGTAGCGCAAGGTCGGTGTGCGTGGTGGCGCTGAACGGATCACCAACGACTAAGAAAGCAACGTCTTTGGTATCGGCATCCCTAAGGATTTCGTCACTCTGGGATTCGACCAGTTCCCGGTCGGCGAGGATGACTTGGCGGCCATAGTACGCCTCCTACTGTTTTATGCACGATCAGCATCATTGCTCCGTAGAATTCTGGAATGCGGCGCACCAATTGTTCCTTTTCTACCAGCAGGATTGCCGTGTAGGCTTCAAGGTACACTCGATCGGCTTTGCGGACAATCTCCAGCCCTTTGACAGAAATGTCACGCTCGTCGGCAAGGCCGAGGCCAATGATGTAGAGCATTTGGGAAGACTTGCAATCGTTGCTTCGACGGGCAGGTAAATTCAAACTTTTGTACGGAATGTCGCATGCGGTCAAATTGAGTTCACGTTGGAGTTTAGCGTGAGAGGCTCGGGCCGGCCGTTCAGTCCATGCCGCTGCAGCATTCAATGCTGAGGTGAACAATCGCGCATACAACATAGGTGGACTGCCCCATCTCCTCCGTGCTCGTGTCGCGTGTTCCGACACATACTGATACGACTGCGCACTACATTCTCCTCTCCAGCAAGATGGCGGCAGATGTTCGGGCGAAATACCGCACGGAGATCCAGCAGGTAAGCGAGCCCCGAGCATCGGCTCTCACATCTTGCTAAAAGTCATAAGATGATGTTCGTCTCGGGCGAGACTGGCGATGTCTCACCAGAGACCACGAGCATGATTGAAGGAATCGTGCAACAGCAGGTTTTGGAAATGGTCCGTTTTCCACTCCACACCCTCAATTCACAACTAAGCCTCTGCCCAGCTGCGACGCGCGACAGAACTTGCTGGCCGGCGCGGGGTCCGCACAATCAGCACAGACGATCTCATCTTCTTGATTCGCCACGACAAAGCCAAAGTGTCCCGGCTACGCACTTTCCTGTCCTGGAAAGATGTCCGGAAAAGCGCCAAGGATAGCGATGAAAAGGGCGGCGGTGGGGGTGATGCCGGCGGTGTCGACGACTTTGACCTCGCTACGAACGACCCTACCCTGGGCACTGGACCGGCCGTGGGTACGAGGAACAACAAAACGAAGAAGGCCAAGGTCGGGCTACCCTGGGATGTGAGCAGTTTCTACGCGGAGCAAGTGCCCGAGAGGGATGACGAAGAAGACGAGGAGGAAGAGGAGATGAATGCGGCAACGCTGCAGCGACTCAAGCAGGCCGACGATCGCACCAAGGGCATGAACGCGGAGGAGTACCTGCACTTTTCCGAATGCCGGCAAGCATCCTTCACCTTTCGCAAAGGCAAAAGATTCAAGGAATGGGCGGGCTTTGGCATGGTGACTGAGAGCAAGCCGAACGACGACATCATCGACATCTTGGGCTTCCTCACGTACGAGATTGTGACTTTGCTGACGGAAGAGGCGCTCAAAGTCAAGGCTGCCGAGGATGCGCTGAAGCGCGAGAGCGGTGGAGATGAGGAGAAGCGGGGGAGGAAGCGAAGACGGGAGCCGGGACTGTTTGATCCGCCTCAAGAAGCACGAACACCCGTTGACCATCGGCATATCCAAGAGGCTTTTCGCCGGCTGCAAAAAGCGGAGCTCAAGACCAATTATCTCTCTCATGTGTCCAAGGGCAACTGGCAGCGGTCGTTGAAACTGATATGAGGGACCATCGGGTTTTGACATTAGCGACGGCGTTGTGAGCGTTGCATCTGTGCGGGAAACTCATGACATGAAGGCATCAGTATTGCTTTAATGATATTCAGCCAGTACCTGCATGAGGTACTTTCCGCATTCGCATTACCCCACTCTATGGGTATGACTGAACGTGATCGCCATTGACCTCCTCCATCACCACAACACAAGCAGGATGCCACACTTTTACGACTCTTTCCCGCCTCATCTTCAAGAATGGGCACTTGAACAGTCCGTCTTCTTTACAGCCTCTGCGCCCACCTACGGACGGCACATCAATCTCTCCCCGAAAGGCGTACCGTCCAGCACTCTCGCCATCTTTGACGAAAATCATGCCGCTTACTTGGACCTCACCGGCTCCGGGACGGAGACAATCTCACACATCTACGAGAATGGACGGCTCACAATTATGTTTTGCAGCTTCTCAAGCAAGCCTCGCATTCTGCGACTCTTCTGCACCGGGCGGGTAGTGGAGCATGATCATCCGGCCTTCCAAGAAACCATAGCTGCTATGAAACTCGCGGAGATTCCAGGAACAAGAGCGGTAGTGTTGTTGGACATCTGGAAGGTGGGCTTAATTTCGGCAAAGTACTGATCATGTCTAACCTTGCTAGGTTCAAACCTCTTGCGGCTATGCGGTGCCTGTCGTCGAGAGCAGCGACTTGGGTGAGACTGAGAAAGCGATAGAGCCAGGGGCGGTAGAGAAAGGAGAGCTCAAGCAGGCGTCCCGTAGGGGATTCGACGACAGGCATATGCTCGAGAAATGGATGGTCAACAAAATCGAAAAGAAAGCACTTGGCGAGTATCGGATCAAATGGAACAGCCGGAGTCTGGACGGACTGCCCGGGTTGCGGGCAGCTCGCCGGATGAAAGGCGAAAGCGTGTGGATTGGGGATGCTCGTGCTCGCGCATACAATGCTCTCTACCATCCGATGGCCGTGATGTTGGGCATGATTCTGGGCGTCGTTCTAACTTTGGCTGTCTTGCAGTCATCATCGTCTGGTACTCTCAACGTGGACAAGACGCTTGCAACGCTGTACTTAGTGCTTCGTCGCCTGTCATTGATGGTGGAAAGAAGTTGGACTGTCGTTTCCGAAGGGTTCGGAAGATAGAAATCCATTGATGAAGTGAACGATGCGATGATCCCCATGTTGAACAACCACTACTTTACTGCAAAGGCCTCGCATCTGCTACCATCGGAGGCAACATGCCAATCTTATTGAACTCGCTGTACGCCCGGTGCAGGCTCTGCAGAGTATCAACGTGCCCAGTATATCCAAAGTTTTGGGCTTTGTTTGTGCTGAGCTGGAAACGGCCTCCCCACTATTGAATCAAGGCAGTCAGCATAGTCCAGGGCAGCATCTCAATAAACAAACTCACCGCGGCAACATCTGCAAACGCCCAACATTCGGGGTCGTCGAAAGGGTTGTGAGTGAGCTTATGCTTCTTCATAATCTCCTTCCACGCTTCGACATTCTCAGGCTGCTGTGCCCAGTGGCTCATAGTGAAGCTGAAATGAAACCCGGGTTGAGAGACATATCCAATGGGAGTAGGCTTGTCGCCACCAGGGATTGTAGTGATCTTCGCATCATCCGACTCGGGGAGGCCGACTTCTTTACAGCCGAACCAGCGAGCGAGCTCAGGCCAGAGACGATTGTTCGGCAACAGGCTGTTGTCGCCAGCATTGAACTTCTGGTTGGCGCACTATGCTTTGATCAGTACGATGCATCGCTGGATCGCCTACTGCTCTGGTCTACCTTGTCTTCGAGGACTGCCCACTCCGATAGATATCCCGTAAGCTGCGCGGTGCTGTGCTCGTGGTTTTCGAGCCAAGCGGCCGCATTTCCAGGAAAATCGAGCTTCTCGCCGCGGTGTTGTTTGACAGCTGCATACACGGCGAAAGGGTGGAGGGCATTCATCGCCGCGTTCTGTGTTGCGCCGATGATCTGCGAGGAGTTCAGTGGAATGTATGCCTCTTCGAAAGAAAGGCTGCAGTACCCAAGCGGGACAAATCACATTCCACCCAATCTTGTGCTTTGCGCAGTACTCCTGCAAAACGTCTTCCTGCGGGTAATAGAAGTTTGGCTCGAGCAAGACCCTCGGATCAGATTCAACGTGGGGAGTCCTTGTTGGCCCCAAATGCAGCCCGTAGTTCTTGGCTCCAGTCTGCAGAAGGAAGCGTTTGGGAACGATGTTTGCGATGTCCATTGCCTGTGTGAGGTTGCGGATCAACGAAGCTGTGATACACCATTAGCACGGGCCTTGTCTTTGCTTGCGTCGGAGGCATACTGTTAACGTCCACCAGCTCCTGCGCATTCGACCAGATCTGTTGGCCCTCTGGTGGCCGCGGATGTGCATACGAGTCTACCTCTGTCAGCGTGATGTCTTCTCGGCGTTCTGGAGACATACAGAAGAACACATAATCGGCAGTGACTCCCTTGTCGGTCAACTGGCGAGCGAGAACCTCTGGCTCGGCCAAAAAGTCGCAAGCGACGTGCTCGACACGCGAGCGTTCCTCGGCCGTCAGCAGAGCCATCATCTCTTCCGGTGGAGGTCTGCGACTCGCAGCCCAGACTTTTGTCCAGCGTTGCGGGGATTCCTGTAGACATTGTTAGACCAGCGGCAGACTTGAGAGACTCGTCGATCACGTACCAGCAACGCCCGCATCGTATGGAAGCCGGAAATGCCATTTGCTCCCGTGACAAGTGCCGTCAAGCCCTTGATATTCGGATCAAAGGAAGGTAGGTTCCTGAAGATGCCTTTGTTTTGTAGCGGATACCGTTCAGAACCCATTTTGAAGAAGACCAGAAGAGTGTAGAAAGATGAAAGATGAAAGATGGATACCAACTGTGTTTAAGTACTTGCGGAGATCAGAGGTCGTCGGCAGCAGAGCTTACAGTTTCACTGAAGAGGGGCAGGAAATGACAAGGATGGGGTTGTGCAAAAGATGGTGTGTACGTACTGAGCTCCATCCTTCCTTCCTAATTCGGACTGGCTCCGCAACTGCGGCATCCCAACAGTGTTGCTTGGCTTTATACCTTGGTTTAAGGGATTGCACAGAAGACTTGGAGCAGAAATGGCGTCGACTGCGATCATGCGAAACGAGAGGCTTGCATACATGAAGTTCTGGATCGAAGATGATGACCAGCATATCTCTTGTTCTGACATGTTCACCGAACTTCCCCTTCCGCTTCGCACCGAACATTCTAGAGACAACCGCCCTTCTGTCCGCGGGTGATATGAGGCAGTGCGGTGAAGTTCGACCAGCGTGGAAACTCGTCACTGGAAGCTGCGGGTTGTACCTCGGCGGAGACGACGGTAACAGTCAAATCAGCGACGTTTTCCACCGGCACTTCTGTCCCGTCAAACTGTTGGGTTTCGTGGTCAGCAAAGCATTATTCAAGGATTGGGAAGTCGTCGTCTTACCATCGCCACCCTCCATTGCAAGTTCTGTTGCAAATAACGCTCGACAGTCACTGGCGCCATATTGGCCAAAGCTCCAGCTCGCTCCTTCAACAGCAACATCGCCGTGAGCGGGACGCTTCCGGTGACTGGGATGGACTTCTTTCCCAGTGTCTTGGATTGCGGATTGCTGGAAGCATCAACGAGGGCCAGTGCAGCGAAGACGGCATGAGTGCCGACGAGGTTGGAGCTTGTGGGCCACGTGGCGGGATTGGGGTCGAAGTCGCCCATGAACAGGTAGATGGCATAGGAGCCGTTGAGAGCGAACTTTTGCGACAGAATGTTGGCGATGTACTGGCGGTGTTCATCGTTGACAGCCTCGCCCGAGGTATGCTGAGCAACGGCAGGAATGGACGTTCGCTTATCTGTGCCACGGCGGGAAAGACCAGCGCTGCCGACGTTGCTTCCGTAGAGTTTGTTGATGGCGGCTTTCACGGCAGAGACGTTGAGCTGGCCTTCAAGCTCTGGGTAGGTGTAGCCAAAGGTGTTAGTGGATCGCGCAGAGGCCGCAGACCAGAAAGTGCCGTTTGATGTGGAGGTGAACGGTTCCAGCGCTATCAATCGTTAGTCCAAGCCAGAGTGTGCATTGAAGGGGAGTGCTAACGGGTGTTCTCGGTTTGAACGGTACCCACAGCAACGTTGTACGTCTGCTCGACGGCAGCCATCGGCTCGACATAGCTGTCGGGATAGATGGCTTGCCACAAAGCGAAGCAGCGGTCAACCATGGCATGGTGAAGCCAGAATGAGGGGTCGAAGGCAGAGTAGTCCAAGTATGTCATGTGCCCATTTGAGCCGACGATGGAATGAATGACGTCGTGCAGAGACTCGAGGCTGTCGGCGTTCGATATACCAGGCTGCATCCATGCCTCGTTGCCAAACTCGGTGAAGTTGTCGTAGAAGGTGAAAAGATTGTACAAGCGATTCTGGAAAGAGACTTGATTGTTGGCCAGGATGGGACTGAGGAGGGCGTCTTGGCTCGTTGCGTTGATGGCCCAGGAAGTCGGGTAGCGTTTTGTCTGATTCCAGAGGGCGAACTGGGATGGTTAGTAAAGTGAAGGTAAATGGTGAAGATGGCAAGCTCACCGGACTGTAATAGAAATCTGACACGCTGACCGGGTGGAAGCGGTAGGCATAGAGGGGGTTGGGGATGACGTTGGTGCCATTGGGCATGGTTACGGTGACGTTCTCTGCTTGTAGGCTCGACGGAAAGGCGTATTCCTCGTCAGCTACCGTCATTGCCCAATCCCAATACGGCAATCGCCATGATAGAGCTGCTTCGGCGTAGCGTTGTCGTTGGCGGCCTGCGGGGAAGGTATCTACGACCTGCACGATGTGACGAAACAACGTCTGCTCGAAGAGAGCCAGGTAAGGGCGGTGCCAGCAGACGAAGACGTTGGAGACGTGCTGGCAGAAACCGGGCGAATCCTGGTGCGGGGCAGGACCTACGCCGTTCCAAGGGATGTACGGACGGCCATGAATGCCGGCGATCTGGTAGTAGGAGTTCATTTGAGACTGATTGGTGTTTTGGAAGCGACTGAGGCCTAGTAGGAAGAGATTCCATTGGTCGGCATTCTGTTGCAACTGCCGGATCTCGAGGCGAGGTTGGACTCCAAACTCTTGGATTCCGGTGATGGGCAGATACGAGGTCTGACGTCGGGCGAGAAGCTGTTCCACCTCTTGCGTGTCATCTTGCTGGAGGGTTGGGGAGGCGGAGAGCAGTGAGGCCAGGTGCAATAGCCAAAGGCTGAGGAAGAAAGGGATCATGGTGGGATGAAGGAATGAAGGAAGGAAGGGCAGGACAACTGAACGAAAGTACGGCGGACTGAAGTGAGGCCGCGATGTTGCGCTGCTGCAGTGGAAAGGAGAGTGATTGAATGAGTGAGTGATTGAGAGAATGAGAGGGGATGAGGTCACGGTGAAAAAGGATGTGAGGTGGACAAGGGCATGCACTTGCGTAATTCCGTTGGAGGCCGAGGAAGGCACAAGGCACACGCATGCGCCAAACACAACATGCATGCATGCTCTGCGTAACAAACCCCTGGGGGCTTATTTGTACCGCACGTCAACAATCCCGGAAGGCCATGGGGTCGTGGGAGGCTTGTAGAGAGTTGATGGTGTGTCGGGTGGTGATGGTGACGGCGTCTGAATGGTGGTACGGGCGTATGCCCATTGACGAGCCTGCCTACGCCACGCACCACATCATGCAATCAAAGCAGTCATCGCGATCCTCGGGAGTATTGTTGCAATGGAACATCATCCTACTGGAATTCCAGTCGAATTCCACGCGATGCGGCCGGGAGACTCGCAGCAAGCAAGGGACGTGAGTTGCTCAATACGCTCTCCTTGTTGGATTGTCGGGTCTTCCAAATGATGCATCGCTGATTTCGTCATTCATCTGACCGCTCTCTTCAGTGCGCGTGTGTTCTGTGCCGCTGCTCGTGGCATTTCTCCGGCAAGGCTTCGTGGCCGATTTGGGCCTTGTTCTACTGCGCTGGGTGACATCCCTCGACTCTGGCCGCCGGAGAGGACGATTGGCAGTGTCATGCCATTGCCGCCTGATGAACAAGAAGTTGGATGTCACCGGCGTCTCTTCATGTTACGAAAAAGACCATGGCCTTCCACGTTGCTTTTTGCCCTGACTCGACTCCCGAGGCCAACCGGCGACGATCCCCCTTTCCCCACAACCGGCGCGCTCCTAGGCCACAGCTTTCCCCGGGTTTTTGCTTCTTTCAATGCGGAGAAGGAGCGCCGGCGCCATCTCCGCCCAGCAGTAAGCAGCGACGCAGCACTCGTATGGTATATACGATAAGCACCCGCTGTTCACTGCAGAGAGTGTAGCAGTCCAATTCGAAGACTCTCCGCATATATACACCTCGCCCCCTTCATCCCGGCTGGTCTGGCCAGCCCCGCGCCAAGCAAGCCCAATGTGGCTCTTCCACGCCTGCCGCTCGCCCGCCGTGGTGCCGCGAGTGTCAGGTGGATGGAGGAACTTCCTCTCCAGCAGCCATCGTCCCCCTCCCATCCCCTCCACCCGCCCTTTCCCCGTCCAAGCCCCAGCTCCATCCATGGCCCGCCGTGGCCAAGCGAGCATTGCTCGCCACAAGCAAGATGACGCCTACGAGCAGTCCATCAAAGACCCCGAGAAGTTCTGGACGCGTCAGGCCAAGCAGCTGGTATGGCACAAGGAGCCCACGCATGCTTATGCGGAGACCCAGAGGAAGCTCGACTCCGGCACCGAGCACCGCGCGTGGTCCTGGTTCCCCGACGGCGAGATCTCCACCACCTACAACTGCTTGGAACGACACATTGAAGCTGGCAATGGAGATAATGTCGCCATCATCTGGGACAGCCCGGTCACGAAGCAGAAGGAGAAGTATACTTATTCCCAGCTGCAGGAAGAGGTGGCCACGTTGGCGGGAGTGCTCAAAGAGGAGGGTGTTGGCAAGGGAGACGTGGTCTGTGTATACATGCCCATGATCCCCGCTGCTCTCATTGGCATCCTCGCAGTCGCTCGCCTCGGCGCCATACACGCTGTCGTCTTTGGCGGCTTCTCCGCCTCCTCCCTCGCTCAACGAATTGAAGCCAGCTCGGCACAAGTCATCCTGACCGCCAGCTGCGGCATCGAGGGCGCAAAAGGCCCCTTGCCCTACTCACCCATGGTGCGAGGCGCCGTAAAAGAGTCTCCGCACAAACCACAACGTACCATCATCTGGCAACGCGAACAGAGCAAGTGGGAAGATTTGTCGGAGCAAGACGGCGAGCGTGACTGGAAGCAACTGGTGGCCAAGGCCAAAGAGCGTGGATTGAAGGCTGACAACGTCCCTGTCAAGAGCACCGACGGCCTCTATATCATCTACACCAGCGGGACAACCGGCCTCCCCAAAGGAGTCTTGAGAACGGCAGGCGGCCACGCTGTGCAACTGAATCTCTCCATCCGCTATCTTTTTGGTATCCGCGGCCCAGGCGACGTCATTTTCACGGCCAGCGACATTGGATGGGTTGTCGGGCATTCTTACATCCTCTACGCTCCTCTCCTCGCCGGCGCCACGTCAGTTTTGTTCGAAGGCAAGCCGATCGGAACTCCTGATGCCGGGACGTTCTGGAGGATGCTGGAAGAGCATAAAGTCAATACCTTCTTCACCGCGCCCACTGCCTTGCGAGCCATACGCAAGGAAGATCCGGAAAACAAGTTCTTCAAGAAGCGAGGAGAGGCAGGAGGGCTGAAGAACCTGAGGGCGCTCTTCCTCGCAGGCGAGAGATCGGAGCCGAGCATCATCAATCTCTACCACGACCTTGTGCAGAAGTACGCTGCCCCCGGCGCCCAGGTCATCGATCATTGGTGGTCAAGCGAGAGCGGAAGCCCCATGACTGGCCTGACGTTGATGCCCAATGTCGCCTTTGACGCCGCCGACACCGAGTTTTCCGAACAGCTGCCCATCAAACCCGGCTCTGCTGGAAAGCCCTTGCCAGGGTTTGAAATCAAAATCGTGGACGACGACGGGAAAGAAGTTGGGCCTGGAGAGATGGGAAACATTGTCCTCGGCATTCCATTTGCCCCGTCGGGTTTCACTACGCTTTGGCGGGACGATGAGAGATTTTGGAAGAGTTATCTACGCCGCTTCAATGGGAAATGGATGGACACTGGCGATGCTGGTTTGGCCGACGAGAACGGATACATCTGGTAAGTGATATTCCCAACCAAAGCACGAAGAGTCCATGCTAACTCCCCGGGTCAGGGTCATGTCAAGAGCAGACGACGTGATCAACGTCGCCGCCCATCGTCTAAGCACCGGCGCCATCGAGCAAGCCATCGGAACCCACCCCGACATCACCGAAGTCGCCGTCGTCCCCATCCCCGACGAAATGAAAGGCCATATTCCATTTGCCTTTGTCGGGCTCGAAAACCCCCCCGATGACCTGCTCAAGGATCTCAATGAGCGGCTACGCAAACACATCGGCCCCATTGCCATGCTCGGCGGCTTCATTTCCCAGCCCGGCGTCATCCCCAAGACCCGCAGCGGCAAGACGCTTCGTCGGTGTCTGAAGGAGATCGTCGAGAATGCTTTGAATGGCGAGTTTGATAAGGAGATTACGGTGCCGGCAACTGTGGAGGATGCATCTGTGGTGGACAAGGCGAAGGTGAGTTTCCATTTCGAGTTTAACGGTGGTATCTTGCTAACAGCTTTTCGATAGGCTGCTGCGAAAGATTACTTCACCAACGGAGCGGGTGCGAAGCTGAAGGCGAAACTATAGCCGCTTTTCCCCTCTGAAATGCCATCTGTATGTAATCGGCACATGCCGTTTGATCTGGGAGATACCAATGGAGAAGACTTCGTGTTCATACAATAATATAACGTGCTTCAGGAACAATCTATGCGTCAACTTTGGCGTGATCAGCGAACCGTAATACCTGCTGACCCTGGTTGGTCCATCGGGGATACAGGTAGGAAACGGGAACAGACGATTGTGACAGTCTTTGCGAAGTCGCCGCCCGTCTCACGCCACTCGGCGTACAGCAAACTCCAACAGCTGCACCCCGGGCCCCATCCACGCCATTTCGGCGGAGTCAATTCCAATCCATTCCCACGGGTGAGGCCAAGCCTGGGTCTCCCAGCGTGTGCCCGTCGATGCACCCACCTCCTCCCACAGCTTGGCAAACGACTCGGGGTTTTGAATGTACAACGGGACTTTCAGGCCTTGCATCACGACGGCGCCGGCAACCGGCTTGCCCATCTGCAAGCCTGCTATCAGCGAGCCCGGCTTCGTGAAGTGCGTGAGCGCCGTGGCGCCGCGCACCTGCCCTACCCAGTCCCATTGGTGCAGTACGGAGGCAATGAAAACGATGTCGGTGTTGGCTCGCAGGGGTTTGAGCGTCGGATTCGTTTCGACAGTCAGAAAATCGGCCTCGATGAACTTCCCCTGCCAGCGTTCACGGTCGCGGAAGAAATCGAAACCGACGTCGAAGTGGTTGGCGATATCGATGCCCCAGAGATGGTCAGACGGCGCGCCATCAACCACCAAGCGACGCAGATCGTGGCCAATGAACGTGCCGATATCGACGACGGTCTCGCCGGCTTTGGCCCGAGCCATCACCTCCGGATAGACCGCGGACAGGCAGAGCTGCGCCTTTAGCCAGCCTCCACCGCCGGTGCAAGGATATTGGCGGATTTCCCAGAGGCGATCGCGGGTACGATGGATGTGGTCGTCATGCTCGCTGTGAGGAATTCCGCTGTAGGTCTCGAGAAGCTCATGGGTCTGATTGGTAGCTTTGTCAACGCGACATATCTCTGGTAGGCGGAGTAGACACTTGCCTCTGGTGGGGTCCTTTCCGCGATCGTAGCGCGCCAAAAGGGACACTGGGATTTGTCTTGCTTTTGGACGTAGTCGGGTTCTGAGTACTTGGTCTGGGACTCGGCCATTTTGACGCGAGGGAATGTGGACTAAGACGAAGAATGGGCAGCACGAAACGAACACGGCCGAGGCCTTATGACGCTATCGGGGATATGTTACATTACATGTAAAGGAAGTTAGTTTCAGCTGAAATGTGTTTTTGGAATCGAGCTGAGGAGGATGCAGGCCTCACGGTCCTCTGCCCCGATGCATTGATGGTAGCCTGGGGTGAGGCTGTCTAGTGCTTACCTTATGTAAAGGCGGAATCAGGCTGACTGATTGGACGACGCAAGAGATATAAGGAATCCATTGAAAGGCGTCAGGCAGCTCGAACGAATGGATGCAGGAAAAGACATTACGGTTCCTGAGATCTCGACATGGCCTCTCCACCAGGCTTCTCTCTAGCATGCTCCCTGCCGACCGGCCGACCGGTCTCGACGGAGGAAAGGAGTGCGTGGGAGCTGAAAGCGGCACGCAGAGCTCTTCAAAACCTCAAGACCCTGATTGACGAGCAGACCATGTTGAAGCTGCTAGACACGCAGATCGAAGCCGGCGACCACTACTTCAAACAGCTGATTCAAGAATCGCACGGCCAGTTCAAAGAGTCGCGGGTCGACTTTCACGCCAAAGGCCTTACCTCCACGCAATTTCTCGCGTGGTTCGGGGCTCTGGCCGCTCACGACGGCACGACGCATGGCAGGCGCAGTCTGTACCTCGACCTCATGGCTCCCGCGCACCCCGAGCATTACGCTCTGGGCCCATATTTCATTGGCAACGTCGAGACGATCGGACGGCACATGTGTCGGATACAGATGGACATCGAGGCCGAAGTGCCGGATTTTGTCAAGGCGTACGGCGATCCTGCGTATCCCATCAAGCTTGCCAACACCGGCCTGCTAGACGACGGCACCGCCTTCCTCTACGGCTTCCAAGAGCTCCGAGACGTGGACGATGGTTGTGATTTTCGAACCCGCATCCTCTTCCCGGCCGCATCACCGCAGATTCTTTTTGACGAACACACCGAGCATCTAGCCATCGAGTTTGGGCATTGGATCGTCGCGGCCTCGGAGAGCCCGAAGATTTGACGGATTGCGTCACATTCGCCGAGTCGCGGATGCAACTTGGCCATGTCCATCGAAGTGTAGAATATTTAACGACTGACCTGGGCGTGGCATTCCGCCAAGATGAAGCACAGCCTTCGAGCAGATACTGCTATGGATAGCATCGTTGCAACACACCGTTCCGTTACATTGTCGTCGCGAAGCAATAACCAAGACTTCCATCAAGGTGCAGTCAGAGGCTCTCGGCGGCTCGCGGCGAAGACATGCCAGCTCGGCGTGACACTCTACGACACCTCACTCGCCATCGTAGAGATGGGACTCGGCGCACCATGAAGCCAAGGGCCATCACTGTGGTTGGCACTTGGACATGAGGCAGTTTCCTGCTGGGCACCAGCAGCCGCGTGCTCGCTCTGGCAGTATATCATCCAGCAATGCCGTCCCGAAAATGCGGTGCAGATGACACGGAATTGGTTACTCTTCAACCGCTCTCAACACGAAGCTAGGTTGCCATTGGCACGCTGAATGCCTTCAGCGCCGGCATCGTACTGTGGATCGGCGTGACGGAGATGTGGTACAAGGAATGGTGGAATGGCCCGTTGAGACACGCTGGACTGCTCAAGATCAGCGTTGCGTTTGCGGGACTCGTTGTGGGAATGGTCATCATGAGTGTCTTGGGCAAGTGGGCTTGATGTAATCTTCCATAACCAACCCGAGCGCACATCTCGTTCTTGTACCCATTGCATCACTCTCTACAACCCGAACATATTCGTATCCGGATCATATCCCCACTCTTGCAACGCCGGCAGCGCCGCTTTGTGGATCATCGACGGCGGCCCACAAAGCAGCACCAAGCTATCCTCGGCCGGCGGGAAGAGATGCTCTCGCATCGTTTCTTTCGTGACATGCCCTTTGAGGCCCTTCCATCCATCGCTCGGGTGGCTTAGAACGTGAGTGATGCGCAGCCGGCCGTTGCTCTCCTGTTCGAAGCGACTAAGATCCTCCTTCAGCAGAATGTCTTGCTCGGATTTGTTGGCATCGATGACTCGAAGCTCCGTCGTGTCCTTGGGATCCAAGCTGATGCGGGCGATGAGCGAATACCCGGGAGTCAGCCCAGTGCCTCCAAGCACCAAAGAAATCTTCTTGAACGACTTTTCTTGGCCGACGATGTTGAATTTACCTGCACCGTGGTAGACGATCTCACCTGTGGGACCTCGCATCTCTACTGATTCTCCAATGGGTATCGCAGCCAAAATGTTGGAGAGTGCTCCGCCGGGCTGGTCTTCGTCAGGGAAGTATGTCTTCACGATGAGCTGGAAGCTCCCACTCCCGTCGTGGAGTTCTGCATCGTTACCGGCATCGATGCCGCAATCTCGCGGTAGCACAGGCTTTGTGGGCGTGTATTGCCGGATCAGCATGCGATCGCGCAGGTGGAAGCCGAACTCGATATGTTGACAAGTGCCTAAGCCCAAAAATTCCGTGTCACCGGGTAAGGCGAATTTGTAGACTGCGGTGTCGTGCGAGACCCAGTCGCGCTCTAAGAGCTTCGCTGGCACCCAACGGTGCTTCTGCAAGGCCTGGTCGGCGGGGATCTCGGTGCCAGATTTCGCTTTATCCTGCCGCGTCCGCTCGATGAAGCTCTTCGTCTTGTCCGTGACCACGCCCAGAACGCATTCTGGAGACATCATGTGAGAAGCAGCATACAACTCATCTCGGGACAAAGGTACGTACCGTCTAACTTCTGATGGGCGTAGTCATCATGCACGGAGGAGAACTCCTCGGTGGTATCGTAGTGCACCGCGCCTGCATGCATCATAATCGGCGCTTTCCCACCGGGATGCCACGACATGACGCTCGTTGCGTCGTACACTTTGTTGTCGATGACGATCCAGCAGTCGTCTTCCTTGTCGTGTTTCTCTATCTCCGCACGAGTGAACTGTTTGTTCGGAGCGTCGGTCTTCATTGCGGCCTCGGCGATTAGATTTTCGGCGCTCTCTTTCATCCAGCCGCCGTCCTTGTTCGCCGGCTCGACTGGATGGCGGAAGAGGACGTGGGGGGAGTCGTCGTTGACCATCTCTGGTTTCACGGTGTACTGGGCGTTGTTCAACGAGCCCAGTAGGTTCCATGTTGGCTGTTCTGGTTGAGTGAGCATCTTCACGTCCCATGCCCGTACTCGAATGCTCGGTGCGGAAACGATGTCTCCGATGTCGATGTCGACATGCCAGAAACACCACGTCCAATACTTCTTTCCGTGTCTGACGGGTGCCGGGGGAAACCTTCGGATGCAGTAGTACCATGACTTTCCATCGTCGAGCGAGACTTCGACTCTTTTGATCGCGTCGCCCCGGCCGTTGAAAGCGAACCCTTTGACGCGATACATTACGCCCTTTGCGACATTTTCCAGCGGGATTGTGTCGCCGTGATGAGGTACGGTGATGGCCGAGTTCAGACACTGCTCATACAAAGCAGTATCGGGGTGATGGAACATGGCCACTGCGAGCTCGTCGTCGTTAGTCGTGACAAAACTCGGAACAAAACGGTTATCCCAGATGTGGTAGTAGGAGTCATTCTCTTTGTCGCTAACCCAGACTTTCTGCAGCCTGGACACCGAGGATCGCTGCATCAGCTGGCTTGCTCGCTTTCGCACTGTGTATAGCTTGACAGACTCACCATTTCACCTGTCTCCCACCAATATATCCCGGTATGATGATGCGGATTGGATAGCCATGATCCGGCGGCAACGGCACATCATTCATCTCGTAAGCCAAGATGACATCGTTAGTACTGTCCATGATGTATTCAAACGGGATACTGGTCTCGTATAACGCCTGGCCCGGGTTATCTGCGCCCTGTAAATGAACATGATACTTCTTCCTGTCTTCGTCGGGCATGTGCGCGGGAACGCCCGAGGCCATAAGAACGTCGCGGAGCAACGGGCCTTTCCAGTAAGCACAGCCTATAGCACCGGCACCGAAACCGAAGCCTTTGGTGCGTTTGAGCATGTTCATCTCCTTACGACGCCCACCTTGGCAGCCCACGAAGACGGGAATGTTGATCGAGTGGAATTTCGACTTGATGTGGTCCATGGAGAAACGCTTGCTTTGGCCACGATAGCAGACTTCGAGTTGATGGTACTCCCAGAGCAGGCGTGGAACCGCACCGTGGTTTCGGACGTAGAAAAGCTCGTTTGGTGTAATCATGCCGGCCTCAAATAATTCCCGCAACGGTGCTTCGGCGTTGAGGGGGTGCTTGCCGGTCAGGCGGAAGAGGTCAGGAGCGCGAGGCACCCAGTTGTCGGGCGTGAACTGGTCGGCTTCGTCGATGGCAATGGTGGTGCGGTTCCGGACGGTGGAATGGCCGGTGCCGTCGTTCGTTTCGAGATTCGCCATGTACTCACTCTCGTGCTGGACGGCTCTGAGCAAGGCAATCTGCTGGGGCGTGTATTTGTCTCGCAGCTTTTCGTCCTCGCTTCTGTTGTCTTGCTGTCCCTCGCCCTCGCCGTTGTGATCAGCTTCGCCATTCTGCTGGGAGGACTTTTGATCGCTCTTGTCTTTGCCTTGGTTCTTTGGGTCTTGCTGTTGCTGCTCCTTCTTCTCCTGCTGCTGGCGCTGCTTCTCCCATTTCCGTAGATTGGCGGGCCACTTTTGCTGATTTCCAATGCCATCTTCCGTATAGTCTAGAACGTAGCGCCAGCCATTGGGATGACCCTCGGGGTGGTAGAGCGAGAGGTCTTTCTCGCTCCTGATGGCATCTTGCCAGTTCACCAAGTGTCCGTCTCTCTCTTTCTGCTGCGTCTCCTTGAGTTCATCCCAACTGGCTTGCACATCTACCTCGTCTTCTTCATCGCTCCTGCCCACTACCCCGGGCCTTCGTCCGCTCCGGTTCTTATAGCCCGCGTAGTGTTCGTGGCCGGCCCGAGCCCAGTCAGGCTCGTTCGCGATCTCCTCAGTGCTCGACCCCGAGGGGTTCTGCTTCGTGACCTTACGGTCGTCCTGCGGGTGTGCTAGAGGCATTTTTCCAGGGGCAATTCGCAATCTAGCGAGGAGAAGGGGTAAAAGAATGCCACGAGAAAACAGGGCAACCTACATCTGGACCTTGCCTCGTCCACGTAGGGGGCGTCTACCCCGGTTCACCGTACGCGACGCCTACCTGTCTCTTCTCGCGCAGACAGCACTAGGTTCGTGGTAGCCCTCTAACACCGTCATGGCAACGTCATGACGACCCAATTTCCAGTGCCTGAAGTTCTAGAATGTCTCCGAGAGTGAGAGTTCAGACAGACCGCTAAGCATCATCAAATCGTCAGGTGGTGGCGGGGAAAGCTGGACGTTTCAAGCCGAAGAAGTGAATTGGTTTCGGGTTGAGGTACTTTAGCTTAACTATTACATACTACCACACTAATTTATGGACAGCCGGCGGTCAGAGAGCTGACAGAACTGACGTTTACGGCCACGAAAGATTAATGAACGAGAGTACAATTCAAAGCTACGAAAGAGACAAAACCAGAACGACGGAAACCCATCACGCTCGAAACGCTCCACCCCAAAAAGCGTAAACTCGCTTCAAACGAACGTCCATCTCCCCGTCACAACCCCTTGCTCCCAAAACGAACGCCATTCCCTCTCAACCTCACTCCTCACTCGAAATAATCCCTCCCGATGCAACTCAACGCGGGAGCCGTAGTCGGCGCGTCCGTCCCAAGTCCACTATCGCTGGGCGGAGCGTAGATCTGCAGCTCCTTCGCGTGTTGATGCGGCGCGTCAAGCAGCCACTGTCCTCCACCACTTCGTGCAGTCTCCTGCTCGTTCGCACTTTCGCGATCTGATGTGTGGTCCTCTTCGTCGCCATCCAGCTCATGGAACTCCTCGCTCGGATCCTCCTCGATGAGAGAAGTGCTCTGGCCGAGGACCGCGTTCGCCGAGGAGCCGCGGCCGATACTGTTTCGATCCGCCTCGCTGCTGCCGGTCAGATAGCTGCCCGTCATGTACGAGAGATCGCTGGGCGCAATGCTGCTCCGCGGCTCGCCGGTGTGCGCATCATCCCCGTCCGTCATGCGACTGTGCGATCGCGACAAGTACATCCCGCTTCCACTGCGCTCCGAAGGCATATCGCGAGACTCGGGCCGCTGGAATTCGTCTTCGCTGACGTCTGACAGTGCCGCGTCGTTCTCCTTGTCGTGATCCGCCAGACTTGCGATTCTCTTCGCGGCCCACGAAGGCTTGCGCGGAGCGGGCGCGTTTCGCACCGAATGGCTGCGCTTCGGCAGGTTGCTTCCGATAAGCGCTCGCGTCGGGGAGTAGGCGCTCACACCAGTCGGCACGTTATGGTTGATCTGGTTAAGCGACATGATACGCCGCTCCGCAGTAGCAGGACTCGGCTTCAATGCTCCATCGTTCCTCGCCAGAGCCGGCCGCGACTTCATCGTCAGCGCATGGTTGGCTTTGAGCGCCGGCAATGAAGAGGTAACAGTCTGGGCCGAGGCGGCCGAACTGTTGCTAGGAATGCGGAGATCCCGGCCTTGCGGTTTCTTCTTTGGCGCCGGAGCCGACTTGACGTTCTTCGTGAGAAGCAGCATGCGTGATTGGTTCATCACGCCTTCGAGGATGCGGCGCTCAATGGTTTCGGCCTTGTGATCCATGTCGTGAAGCTCTTCGCGACGAATCTGCATCGCCGTTTCCAAAGACGATACCTCCGCGCTCAGACGGGCTTTGTGGGCGACGAGTGCCTCCTTCTCCGCTCGCAAGGCTTCCACAGCCGTACGCAACGAATCCTTCTCCTCATTCAGCACGGTGATGTCGTCCTCGATTTCATCCTTTTGAGCTTGTCGCTTCTCCAGGAGCAGTGCGAGCTCTTCGGCTTCCTTTTCCTTGTTCAGGTGATCTTCCGTGATCTGCTTCGTCTGCATGGCCACAAATGCCGAAACCTCCGCCGCGGTACTCATGACCTTTTCATGGATCTGGTCCAGACGCTCAAGTTGGGTGGACGAGCTCGAGCCTTCCTGCGCTTGACCCATGAGCTTGTCGAGTTTCTCGTGGATGGCGGTATCATCAAACTTCTCCGGCACCGGCACGGTATCTGCAGACGGAGCGGGCATCAAGCGTGGCAGAGAGCTGACATTCGTCTTCAGTTCCTCGTTCTGGGATCCTATTCCGCGAACTTGTTCCTGCAGATCTCTCACAGCTTGTGCGTGCTCTGCGGCCGCTTCGGATGCCTTTTGAGAATGCTCGTAGTGCTGCCCGATCAAAGCCTGGACTTCCTTCATGGCAATCATGAAGCGCGGGTTGTGCTCCATTGCATCGCTCTGCAAGTTGCCCACGGTGGCTAAGATCTTCGCAACCTCGTCGCGGGTGACGGAATGCTCAAACTTCAAGCCCGCCTGCGTCTCGTCCAGCTTGTTGTACGTATCGTCGACCCGGTCAAACACCGTCTTGGACTCTGCCACCAGCTTCTCCATTGTCTCGGGGAAAGTGGTCAGAGTGCTGCCAAGTGTGTCGATGGAGAGTCGTAGCTCCTCAGCCATGGCTTTCATGCTATTCAACAGCCCTTCTTGCTCGGCAGCCTTGCTCTCCATGACTTTTGAGCTTTCCTCTGCTGCGCGTTGAGCATCGTCGTACTTGCTCATCAGGCCGTCGAAATACGTCTCGAACTTCTCACCAACCTCCAAGACGACAGCATCCTTCGAAGAGTCCATCGCGTGCTGCTGATCGGCCTTCAAGGAGTCCACTGCGGTGTGAGAGCGTTGGAACTCGAGGGTGACTTGCTCGATGAGTTGCTTGAGGTCATCACCCAACGGACCAGTCTTCTCCTTGAGCTCGTCCAAGGTCTCGCCCAGATCGTCAAGACTCGACTCGCCGTGGCCCAGTTTCCCCATCACCTCATCCTTCACCGTGGCGAGAGCTTTCCTGACAGTACTGATCTCCTCAATGGTGTCGAGGAATTCCTTCTTCCGATCGTCAAATGCCTTGGCAGTGACTGCGATATCCGTCTCGTAGCTCTCACGCATCTTATCGTGACTCTCGCGGAAATCGTTGATCAAGCCATGCAGTTGCTCGATATCGGCTTTGGAAGGCTGGTCTGCGGGATCCGGCAGCTCCATCTCGCCAACTCTGGTCTTGATCTCCGTCACAATAACGCCAAGAACGTCGAGATCGGCTTTGGTCATGAGGTCAGGCTTCTCATGCTTCAAGGTGTGCTTCACGTCGTCAAGAGCGGTCTTGATGTCTTGAGCAAGGACCTCCACAACTGCGACGTCCGCCCTTGCTGCTGCGCTGTTGTCGAGCTTGTCCACCAGACCATCGATGCCGTCGTTGGTGAGTCGGACAGCAGCCTCAACGGCGTCGAGATGCTCTTTCGTAACGAGGCTCGCAGGATCCGGGAAAGCCATGTCTTCCAGTTGGGCCTTGGTGTTGCGAAGCAGCGTCTCGATGGCGTCGGTATCTGCCTTGGTTGCTGCACCATCCGCAGCGGAGACACCATCCTTTCCAGCAATTGCCGAGACATTGTCGTGTATCTCTTTAAGAGTGATTGCCACCGCAGCAATCTCATCTTTGATCGCTGCACCATCCCCGAATCGAGCAGAGCTCAATCCGGGCAGATCCTGCATGGTCGCATCCATGGCTTCGATCTTGATCTGGAGCTGCGCAAGAAGGACTTGCATTTTCTCCAGTTCACCGTGATCGACATTTGTTGGTCGAGCAGCAGTCGCATCAGCATCTCCATTCATATCTCTGGCCTGACCAACCGCAGCTCCATCCGCCAAGACAACCTCACCACTTCCAGGCATGATGGAAGCGCCATCGCCCCCTTTCAACTTGTCCATGTCCACACGAAGTGACGCCAAGCCATCTTTCAGCGTGTCGAGGATCTCGTAGTTGACGGTCATATCCAGAGGCTTGTCGAGAGTTTTGACAATATCGGTTCGCATCGACTCCAACCCGTCGTTGAGCGCATCCAGCAAGTCGCCATGCTGCTTGATGGCATGATCGGGATTGTCGAACTTCTTATCGACGTGAGTTCTCAGATCGTCCAAGCCGACATGAAGCTCGTCCAGAATCTCTTCATGCTGTTGATTCGTGTTGCCGCTGGAAGCGATGGCACCCCTCAGATTCTCAAACTCGCCGCGCAGTGCCTCGAGCAACTCGTCATTGACGCCAGTCTTACTGACGGTGTCGCGCAGCTCGTCGAGGCCGGAACGGATTGTGCTGGTGTCCTCGTCGATTCCACGACTGTGAGGTGTTGCATTGATATGAGCCAGCTGGGCTTTGATGGCACATAAAGCTTCAGCCGAAGCGTCGCTCTGATCAGCCGAGAGTTGCACTCTGAGATCATCCAGGGAGGTCCGAATGCCTGCGATGATGAAATCCCTGTCGGCTTCTCCAATGATTGCCTGCAGCGTCTGCTTCACCTCGTTGAACTCGGCATGGATTTCGTTGATGATCTCCTCAGTTGCTCCTCCTGAGATGCCATTAAGTTGACTGCCGCTGAATTTGGCATGCATAGCACCCATGCTGTCTTGCATGGTCTCGATGAGCTCGCTCTTGTCGATGGCGTTGGCGTTGAGGAGGGAGCTCTTGAGCTGGTCGAACTCTTCCCTCATCGCCTCGAGCATTTCCTCGCCGGGGCCGTCCTCACCAGTCTCTCGACTTGCAACACCACGCGAGTGATGCTTCAACTCGTCAAGACCTTCTTTGATTGCGAGGATAATCTCAGCGGCCAGGATCGGATTGTGCGTCCCGTCACCGAGGTCACGAGCGGAACCTTGGACTCCAATGGCTCGGTGTAGGCGCTCAAACTCGCCAGAGACATACTGCAGCATCTCATCGCGGCTACCTCCGGTGAAGCCAGGGCCATGCAAGCCATCCAGTCCAGACCTGACCGTCTCGATAATCTCATCCTTGCCGGTGACATCCTGTGCGCGGTCGACGTAGCTCTCGATTTCCGCGCGCAGACGCTCAAGGCCGTCTTTGATCGCATCCAGAACTTGCTCGGTATCTCGTCCGTTGGCGGCAGTGTATTCTTTAAACTCCATTCGCATGCCATCGATGAGTTCGTGGAGCTGTTGGATCACCTGCTCGCCAAACCCGCCGAACGGAATGGATGAGCCGTCGAGACTGGCTTTCACGGCAGCGAATAGATCATCGCGGCTGATCTCCAATTCACGAGGCGCTGCGGAGCCATGTTCTGCCAGACCATCTTGGACCGCCGCGATGATGGCGATGCGAGTTGCTTCATCCGTGCGTGCTACGGCTGAAGTGTCGGGCATGTATTCGAGCAGCGCTTGACGGACGTGTCGCAGCATGTCGTCCTTCATCTGCTCCATTTGCTCCTCCGGGAGGGGCGGACGGAAATCTTTGAGAGCCTCGTGCATTGCCTCGTAGATTTCGCCTTTGTCGAGGGTCGAGGATCCCGGTTGAGTGCTCTCGTACTGTTCGAAGCCTTCCTTTAAGACGGTGAGGATTTCGTCACGTTCCAAACCGAACTGCTGCAACTCGATGTTGGGTTCAAAGTCCTTGAGGCCTTCTTTGACTGCTTCCAGGACATCTTCGCGGTCGATGTTGTTGTCGTTTTGCGCAACAGCAAAGTCCTTTGTAGCGATACCTCCACCATGTTCAGCCAGCGCATGCTTCACAACGGTAAACATCTCATCGCTGTTCGGCGCACTGCCGGTGCTTGCCAATTGCCTGAAGGAATCGTCGTCTTGTTGAGATCGCTGCTTCCACAACGAAGTCATGTGGTCTTTCAACTCGCTCATACCTTCCTCCACGATTCGTTGGATCTCGTCGGTGTCCAGCGTGCCCTGGCCAGCCTCGATCGATCGATCAAGAGTAGTGTTAAGCTGGGTCTCCGTAACTTTGTTGAGCTTGTGTCCCAATTCTCGTCCCATGCCCAACACTTCGCCTCTCAGATCTCTCACCAATCCTTTGACTTCGGCCGTTGTGCCGCCGGAATGTGCGATCGAGTCTTTAATGCGTTGCAGCATCTTCATGATTTGGTCGTCAAGCCCCATCACCACGGCCTCCCGACCGCCTGCTTCGCGTGTCCTTAAGCCGGGAGAATCAAAATTCAGGTCCAGCCTTGGAGGGCCACCATCCTTTGCGAAGGGAACCACGGCTTGCGAATGCGACTTCTCCTTGATGAACGCGGACAGTTCTTCGACCTTCTTGGCTGCTGCGCTATTCTCCTTGGTACTCTTTTCCAGTAGCTCGGAGAGGGAAGACTGGAGCCGCTCCTGCCCGTCCTTCGTCACCATTTCTCGCACAATCTTTTCCAGCATGGCCACACTGGCCGCGCCTTCGATGGAGTATGGAGAAGGTGAGCCGACTCTCTCTTCCAAGAAGCCATGTGCGCTTGAAGCTCTCGGCAGGTTGAATCCTTTCGACGCTGAAGGAGGGGAGTTGAAGGGCTTGCTGTCCAAGATGTTGCCGAGACTGCTCGTGCTCCGATTCGTCGATCCAGGCGGAGGTCCGAGGAAATGTGCAGAACCAGTGGACATGTTGGTGGTGAGGTCGCGCAGACTCTTACGAATGTCCTCGTCGCGCTTGCTCGTCGCATCTTTGAGGCTGATGAGATCGGTAGCATTGTCTTTGCTTCGGCGACTGAGTTGTTTCATCTCTTGTTGGAGATTGGTTGCGATTGCTGTGAGGTTCAGCAGCTGGCTGGAGAAATCGTACGCAGCACTCGGTCGAAGGCCCGTTGGAGTGGTGGGTCCATTGGTGATGTCGACCAAGGAAGGCTCGGGAACTTGCATGTTCTGCAACGCTCGCATGGTCGCAGATGGAGGAGTGTTCTCGCCGAGTAGGGGACGTGTTGGGGAGCGTGTGGATGGTCGAAGGGTAGGAGTAGTAATTTCCTTCAATGAGTCCCTTGAAACAGGCGTAGGGGTGGTGGAGCGCTCGCGAGAAGAAGGTAGTAACTCTCGACTGCTCTCACGGATTGGGGTTGAGAAGCCGCTGGTTGATGAACGCCTCTCCAACGGCCGTTCTGGCGACCGCTCCGGTGATCGATTGTCCAGATAGTTGCGGAGGTCCTTGACGCTATTTGTCTGCAGCGTGTTGAGTCGTCGATGCTGGCTTCCCTTCACCAGCGATCTCTCCGGTGATGACTGTTCGCGATTGGAGGTGTAGGAGGACAATGGAGCGCTTTCGCGACATTTTTCCACAATCTGCCTGGCAGCGGCGGCAATACCGCTCGATGTGTTCGCTTTGGTGGGAGAAGTGTGCGAGGGGTTGAGAGGAAGAGGAGGCGGAGCGCGGTCAGGATCGGAGCTGTCCCACCTACGTTTGATAGATGTCAGCAGTTGCATCCTGTCGTGGTGTTGCCCATCCCATCTCGGATAGCCTTGTCATGGTCGCGAAAGTTTGACGAGCGTTGTTGTACTCACATGGGCACGCTCGACCTTCCACAGTCGGAAGAGGAATGCTGGTGTCTCAGCCCGTACTCGCGGTCGCGAGAGAGGTCTCTCTCTGATGCCGGCATCTTGGGTATTGCGGAGGAGGAATGTGTCTGTGTGGTGGGTGGAATGCGGGTAGATGCGTGTGGGTTCAGGCTGCGCAATGCCCGCCAAGCGAGTGCATTGTGCGGTCGATGAGTGTTCTATTGGCCTTGGCGAACAACGTATCGTCGAGTGCAGAGTACTGAACCGATGTGAATCTCTCCGAATGTCGCGGAGTATTCGAGTGGTAGGATGGAGCTAGCGGACATTTGTTTACAGCCTGACAGCGGGATGACAACAACGGCCCTTCCCGAGGCAACATTGCTCCGATTGGCTAGCGCTTTCCGCGTTCACATCTCACGTGACTCGGCCCAAAGTCGGCCAGCGGGCCGAGCTCGGTGATCCGCAACGCCAAGCCCGACCCGCACTCTGACTTTCAAGAATCGATTTTGGCGACAAAGTGAACGTCAGGCGTGAAAATAGCTGCGCATCACCACAACATTCGCATCCCGCCAGCACGCGACAATGAAGTGTATGTATCCTCGCCGCTCTTCTTGACAAAGCTGCACAGACTAACAGACTGCAGTCATGAAAGTTGGCCGTGTGGTACGAGTTCATCCAGTGTTTCCATTGCCCTGCTTCGCCTCCATCTAACCCATTCCCTCCAGGCCATTGTCTCTCGCGGACGCTACGCCGGCAAGAAGGTGGTTATCATCCAGCCTCAAGACAACGGCAGCAAAAAGCATCCCTTCCCCCACGCCATCGTCGCTGGCATCGAGCGCTACCCCCTCCAAGTCACCCGCCGCATGTCCAAGACCCGGCAGAGCAGACGCAGCAAGGTCAAGCCCTTCATCAAGGTCGTCAACTACAACCACTTGATGCCCACGCGATACACGTTGGATTTGGAGGCGCTGAAGGGTGTGGTGACGAACGAGACGTTCACGGAGGTCAGCCAGCGGGAAGAGGCGAAGAAGACGGTCAAGAAGACTTTGGAGGAGCGCTACCTTTCCGGCAAGAACAGATGGTTCTTTACGCCTCTGCGTAAGTTGAGTTGCTTGGGACAAATGCGGTACGAGGAGCTAACACGTGTTGCAGGATTCTGAATGAACGTGGGCATGGAGTGAGAAGATGTCGTTTGCAGCATCGGGGCGTTCATGTGCTCTTCGCGCGGCCACGCTCCAATAACGACGTAGCTGCTTGAATCATACAACCGTTCAACTCATGTCTCTCCGTCCTGATCTCGCTAGACAACCTCGCGCGTGTCTGTCGTCTTCAATACTCATGTCTTGTTGAGATGGATTGATTCAGCTGGTACATTGCTACACCTTCGGCTCGACCGACACCACCGCTCGCTCAACAACAGGCCCGTGATATTGCTTCCTCCCCCGAATGGCATACCACACCAATCCCAGAATCACAAAGCCACTAAACACCACAATAGACCAGTTCATGGTCACCAGCGTCACCGGCGTTGCGGGCGGGAAGAAGCTGAAGAAGGTTGAAAGGACCAGGAAGACCGCTGCAAATCCATTTGTGAAAATGCCCAGGGCCTTGCCCATTTTCCAGGGGCCGTACTTTACTTCCTCGCCCTTGATTTTCTTGCCCATGATGAGTGTGATGGGGATGAGGTATGACAGGAACAAGCCCGCTTCAGTCAAGGACACAATCGCGTTGAACGCTGCCGTGCTGCCGATGTTAATGAGTCCGATGAGACAGACGATTAATGAGCAGAGCACAATGGCACGCAGTGGCAGGGCCAGCCGTTTGTTCACCTTGGCGAAGTAGTTCGAGAAAGGCAAGCCGCGATCTCGCGCAAAAGCCCAGGTCTGGCGGGATGCGGTGGCGAGGAAGTTCATCGTCGCGAACCACACCATTACAATCAGAATGCTGGCCATTCCGCTCATCCCGGCGGGTCCCACGGCGGCGTAAAAGACCTCCATGTAGTCGTAGCCCGTAGGACTGCTGGTAGCCGCGTTGAAAGTTGGCACAATGCAGTAGGAGAAGGCGATGGCGACGGCCCAGCCCAGCGGTGCATTGATCAAGACCGTACCGATCATCGCGCGAGGCACGACAGTTGCGGCATTAGCGACCTCCTCGCTGAGATGTGCCGGCCCATCGATCCCGATGAAGACGAGGTTGGAGCCGATCAGGCCAATCCACCAGGCCAGTCCGTCGCTTCCCCATCCTCCCGCGTCGGTGAAGGTTCCCCATACGGCGGCCGAAGAGCCCTTGCGACTGAAGTAGAGCAGCGGCACCAAGATGGCAAGAAAGCCGGTGAGATGGAGGACGAAGACGATGCCTTCCACAACTGCGAGTAATCTTGTGCCAACGCTGTTGACGATGAAAGCCACGAAAATGGCGGCGTAAATCAACAGAGTCCCCTGCCAGCGATGAGGCTCATATCCAGCATCGGTCTGCACCAGAACTCCCTGAATCATCGTTCCAACGAAGAAGGCGCCTGCGCATGCGTTACTAATCCATCCTATCGTTGAACTGATATTTCAAGGTTAGCAAGTGCCTTTGTGTCACTTGAAATTGCTTACACCCATCCGCAGAGCCAGCTCAAGAAGACCTTGTACTTCTCTGGCGCCAGCATCGCAGTCCAATGGTATTGCCCTCCAGACGTCGGCCACATGCTCGCCAGCTCCGCCAGGGAAGCCGCGGTGGTCAGCGCGCCGAGGGCGGTGTAAATGAAACCATACACCAGGGATGCAGGGCCGCCGTCAACCATGGCGGTGCTATTGGCGAACTGCCGGAATTCGAGGGTCAGTACTTGTCAGAAAAGAAGAAACGCACTTCTCTTGACTTACATATACTGCTTCCCAGGTGGCCAACATGCTCGTCGTCAAGCCCAGGATGGTCCAGAAGCCAAAGTTGCGGCGGACCACTTGTACCTTTCCCAGTCGCTCCATGTACATCGTATCTTCGTAAGTGTTCCCGGCATTCTCAATCTCCGTTCGCTCATCGGAGACGGTCGATGCGAGTGACTTGGACGGCATGGTGAGTTGTGCGAGCCGAGACAGCCAGGGAACGAGGAGACGATCAAACACGAAGGTGAGGAGAATAAGGACGAGAGATGGACAGAGAAGGACGAGCAAGAGAAGGAGAGAGGGACAAGAGGAAGTAGTACAAGAGTGTGGTGGCCAGTATTACCTTTTGACAAGCCTGCACTACCATCCAGCACAGCTGTGGGTTTTTTTTCTCGCGCAATAGCAGCCACCGCAGCTTGCAACGCTCTACTGGTTATCGATGGGGGTCCGGTGGCTCCTCTCGTAAAATGGGGACTGCACACGATGATTTACAGGTGAGAAAGTGATGTCGATCAGTTGCTCGGGAGAGGGAGGACTACCGCAACGAGTTTAGCCTGAAGGTTAGACTTGACGCGCATCAGCACGTTTTGCTCAACCGAAGCGTTTGATAAGCAACTTAGCGCTTAATAACTTCAACCAGCGCAGCTATGTAGACGCAGGCACCGGCAGCTGAGCGCAGGAGGGCACGTTAGCACCAATAGTGCTGTGCCGTGGCAAAACGCAGTTTGCCTTCGCGGCATGCAGATCCTTTACCGGTGTGGCGGCTGCTGCGGTCCGCCCAGTTGTTTGAAAATATCCGCCAGGTTGGGGAGTGCCGGAGAGCCTGACGGAGCTCCGTATGCAGCAGCCTGCGAGGGGTGTTGAGCATTCGGCGGTCCTGGCATTTGCGGGTGCTGTGGCCAAGAAGCGTAATTGGGAGGCTGCCGCTGTTGTGCCTGCGGTGATTGCTGGGGCTGCCCGGACCACTGCATCTGCTGTCCTTGGAAGAAAGCAGGATTGACGTACGAGCCGGTAGGGGGCATCTGCGCATTGTAGAAGGCTGCTTGAGCTACTGGCGGCTGAGCAGGTGGGATGCCGTATTGGAAGTTGTAGCCGTTGAATTGGTAGGTTTGCGGGCTGGGCGCTTGCTGGGTCGGGTGAGGAGGACGCGAGGCTGGGCGTTGCTGCTGAGGCGGTGATGAATGATGTTGACCACGATCCTGGCGATGCTCGTTGTGTCGATCCGGAAAGCTGTGAGCAGGGCCTCGATGATTGCTTTGCTGGGCTGGGCCACCACGGTCCTGGCCAAAGCCACCGCGGTCCTGACCGTAACCGCCTCGACCGCCCCGCTGATCGAAGCCGCCTCTACCCCGACCACGATCGCCTCGACCACGTCCTCGATCCCCACGCCCTCTATCGCCTCTTCCCCTCCCACGGCCACGCTCAAAGTTGCGCAGAGGCGGTCTCGGGGGTCCACCGGCAGCCATAAGTTGGCTCAAATTGTCAGGCCGCTTGAGCGGGCTGTAAAATTCCTCTCTGATTTCATGACCGTCCTTCACATCTTCGTCATCGTAGTTGATATCGCCGCCGTACTGCTGTGTCGGCGCGTCGCCAGTTCTGACATATGTGTACCCGCTGTCGTGTCCGGGCGCGCCAAAGCTGGAGCCTTGGTGTGCTCTCGCCTCGTTGAATGCGCCTCTGCTCATCACATCTCTTCCTTCCTTCTTCGCATACTTCTTCATTCTCTTGTACTCGGCCTCTTTCTCATCGTCTGAAAATTCAAGATCATCCTCACCAACCTCTTCATCGTGGATATTGCTCGCATCGGTGCCTTTTAAGTTCTTCAATGGTTGTGTGAAGACGAATGAGCTGTGGCTGTCGACATAGAAGACCTCCGTGCCGAGCTGGAGTGCTGCATCCTCGATTTCCTGCTGGTTGGCAAATGCAACACTGTACATTGGTTCTTGGACTCGTCCGATGGTGTCGGCTACGGCGCCAATGACTTTCCGGTCGGCCAGACAGAGCACCGAGCCGTACTCGAGCACTTGATATTCGCCGGTGGTGACTGCTTTGACGAGGATCATCTTGTCCACAATGCTGTCTATCTTGCCGAGCGATGTGATTTTCATGTCTTCTGTCACAACCACGTCGGGTTTCTGAACCGTCTCTTCCTTGACCTCGTTTGTTGTCCGTGGTTGATGGTCTCCAGAGGCGCCTTTTCCTCTTCCCCCATCTTCATCATCTCCCTCACCTGCCATGAGGATCTTGGCGGCGGTGGCAGCATCGAGCATTTCATACCCATCTTCGCTGCCCTCATCGGAATCGTCGGATGAATCGTCGGAGGAGCTGTCCGAGTCTGAGGACTCGCCGTCGGAGGAGTCGAATTGCCACTCGGCCTTTTCGGTCTCTTTCTGTGCCGCTGCTGCTGCTAGGAATTCAGGGTCGTCTTTGGGAGGTTGCGTTGGTTGCGACGCTTCGCCAGTGTTCGGTGCTGGCTCTTCATCGGCTTTCGTTGAAGACTCTGCAATTGGTATGTCGATCGGAGGCTGTGCGCTGGCGTCTCCAATAGCCGCATTCTGCTTGATCTCTCCCTCGCCGTCTTCTGTCGGAGCTTCCTTATCGAAATGAGGCGCACTCGTCTCTACCTGCGTGGTTTCCTGCATGACTTGCGCGGACAGAGGATCTGTGGCATCGATGTGATGTTCCTCCGTGACGAGGTCATTGCCATGTTCGATAGCTTCGGATGGTATATCGTCGACTACATCAACGTCGCCATTCTCCGTCGCATTCGCATCTGGCGTAAACTGCTCTTGATTCGGCACAAGAAGGGCTGATCCGTTCAGATGTGGTGCTTCTCCATCCCCCGAGTCTTGTGCGCCCTGAGCACTCAGCCCGTACACATCATCCCAGTCATCATCGTCCATAATTTCCTCTTGGACCTCCTCCGTGATGTGCAGGGGAGCGTCGAGTCGTGCGCGCTTCGCCGGTCGCGCCTCGTCGGGCTGTTGGAGATCGATGTCGTTTTCCATTGGGAGGGTAAGGTACTTCAATGCGACATGGTGTTCCCAGCCATCAAGACTCGTATAAAAATGAGTGTCTTGAATATTTGTAGCAAAAGTGCTGCATGTTGCTGGTGAAATTTCCCCAAAGGCCCCGGTCCAGACGTCACCCAAGCGCGTCGCCCGGCCAAAAGCTTAATCCGTCGCCCGAACCCACTTTGTCCACTCCACCTCATGCAGGTACACTTCTGGATTGCCCGTGCCATCTCCTTGAATACAACTCAGTAAGGAGTCAAGCATGGCAGACACTGCTGCTCGCCCGGCACAGCCCGCGCCTTCAGCTCCCGCCAAAGATGCGGCAAATACAGTCCCGTCCAAAGCGTACGTAGCCATTGCGCCAAAGTTGCAACCGTGTCTAATTCAACACCAGACCAACCACACCACCCCCTCATGACCCCCTCCCCTTACGACTCAGCGTGACATTTGCCATCTTCTTCGCCAGCCACATCATCGCCGCACTCTACCATCCCATCCAGGACTGCGACGAGGTCTTCAACTTCTGGGAACCCACTCACTACTTCAACCACGGCAATGGCTTCCAAACCTGGGAGTATTCTCCCGCCTACGCCATCCGATCCTGGGCCTACACCGGCCTACATGCCCTCATCATCTTCCTCGCCAGTCCCCTGGCCGGCGTCTTCGGTGGCAAAGTTGCCGAGTTCTACCTTCTTCGCATATTCCTCGCCGCCGTCTGTGCCCTTGCCGAAACCCGCTTGTTCTCCAAAATCGCAGCCATCTTGAACCCCAGGATTGCCATTACCTTCCTCATCGTCATGACCACCTCTCCCGGCATGTTCCACGCCAGCATTGCCTATCTGCCCTCCAGCTTCGCCATGTACATGGCCATGTTCGGCGTCGCAGCCTTTATGGACTGGCGCGGCGGTCTACGAACAGCCGAAGCCATCGCCTATTTTGGAGCTGGAACAGTCTTAGGCTGGCCTTTTGCTGCCGCCCTGATTATTCCCTTTCTGGCCGAAGAGGCTGCGATTGCATGGGTTGCGGATGAGGAAGCTCAGTACGCATTTCTCGACCGGGTGTGGAACGGGCTCATTCGCGCATCCATGGTCCTCGCCACCCAGGCCGTCACCGACAACTTCTTCTACAAGCACCTTGAAGTCGTCCCCTTCAACATCATCCGCTACAACATCTTCTCCGCCAAGGGTGGCCCGAATCTCTACGGCACGGAAGCATGGCATTTCTATCTGCGCAACTTGTTCCTCAACTTTCATGTCTGGTTCCTCCTAGCGCTACTTGCGATGCCCCTGATGCTTCTCCAGCAATCCCTCCGAGCCAAAGGAGCGACAAAGACGAGCCACTTGCGCGGTCTTGTCTTCCTTTCCCCCTTCTATCTGTGGCTTGCCATCTTTACTCTCCAGCCGCACAAGGAAGAGCGATTCATGTATCCTGCTTACCCCCTCCTCGCTCTCAACGCCGCCGTGGCGCTGCACATTATCCTCGCCAATTTCGGCTCGAGCGATCCCAAGCACGCAATCAGCAAGATTCCAGTTCAACTCCGCCTCACCGCAATACTTCTCTTCGTCGTTGCCAGCCTGGCAGTCTCCGCATCGCGAACAATCGGCACCATTTCAGCATACAACGCTCCACTCTCAATCTACAAGCCCCTCCATGACACCAACATCGCCCGACCTGGCTCACTTGTCTGCCTCGGCAAGGAATGGTACCGTTTCCCCTCCCATTACCTCCTCCCCGACAACGTGCGCGCCAAACTCATCAAATCCTCCTTCTCCGGCCTCCTCCCCGGCGAATTCCACGAAGCACAACCCGGCGCCGCCCTCGGCATCTTCCCCGGCACCTTTATGGAACCCTCCGGGATGAACGACGAAAACCGCGAAGATCCAAGCAAGTACACGGACATCAAGCACTGCGACTTTGTCGTCGACCTGCGATTACCCAGCACGCCGGCCACCACACAAGAGCCGGATTTCATCTCCGACCGGGAGACGTGGGAGCGCGTCAAGTGTCTGCCTTTTCTGGATGCGGCGGGCACGAGCACGCTGGGCCGGCTGGGCTGGTTGCCTGATTCGCCGCTTGTGCCGGAGCAGCATCGGCGGGTGTGGGGAAAGTATTGTCTTTTGAAGCGGAGGAGGGGGCATGGGAAGGGGGAGAAGGGGGGGTTGCCGCATATTGAGGTGTTGAGTTAGGTTTGTTCATACTTGTATGCATTGTATTTTGATGTCCCTGTCGCGGGACAATCTCAGCCACAGCATCTAGGCACGGTGAATTGGACATAGGCCGGCATACTGTGGGAATGGAAGTATCAACGAGATGAAGTGACCGGCTTCCCCCGGATTGGCCGGTCCACCGCCATGATCTACAGCTTGGCCGAGTTGGGAAGGTCGTACTCTATTCCGTGAGGTGGTGGTGAAGCAACCCTGACGTTGCAATGGCATTTCATCGTGGTTGTATTACCTAAGCTCGCGCCTGTCAGACAGTCTTCAGTGTACAGTTACATGAATGAGATACGACAGGTATAGGAGTAACGTAGTGACGTCGCACTGCAATGGCTCCGTCCCCGCGTCGATCATCCGGCATTATTACGCTGCTGTCACGTCCCGCTGGAACCACGGATGCCGGCGCCACTGATGCTGCAACGGTTGTGATTCAGCCCACCTCATGCTGTAACGCGCGAGAGGGGAAGTGGTGCACGTGCGGTGTAATTATTGTGTAGAAGGTGTCGCATTAAAGTGGCCAGCATCGCCAAACAGCGCGCGCTGATCGACTACATCTCCATTTCCCGCAATCATGGCAATGTGGTGGCTAGCAATCCTCTCGCTCGTCGGGTTCTCCCTCGCAATATGGCCCCTGCCCGTCAACCAGAGCATGGGCACCGACGTAGTGTGGATTAATAAAAACGTCAACATCACCTACAGCGGCCCGCACGTCGTGGGTGGGCAATACGCACGACAAAAGGCCCTCACCCACTTCACCCGCCAAAGCAACAATGCCACGAATAGCACCTCCGCCTGGACGAGCCGTATCATCAACACGGCCATCAACAGCACCTACGCCACGCTGTTCGAGTACGGCATCAGCGCGTGGAAATTCAACCCGCGCATGTCCGACTTCGAGCCGGCGCCCAACGCCTCAGGAAACGTGTACATCACGTCCATCCAGCTGCAGCAGAATGCCTCCGATCCCGCCGACATCATGAAGCCAGCGGTCGGCAGCGTCGATGAATCGTACACCCTCAGCGTCAGCAGTGCGGGCGAGGTGCTGATTACGGGGGTGTCGTCTCTCGGCTTGGCTCACGGCCTCACCACTTTCACTCAACTTTTCTTCTCGCATTCCGCTGGATCGGTGTATACGAAACTGGCGCCTGTGGAGATTTCCGATAAGCCGATGTTCCCCTGGCGTGGTCTTAATATCGACTGTTCGCGGACCTTTAAGCCGGTGGCGGATTTGAAGCTCATGATCGATGCGCTTGCTTACAACAAGATGTAAGAACTCAAGGACGACTTCCCTATGAGTAATGCTGTCTCTGCGATGCGGAGAGATGTCTTCCATCTTGAAATGGATCCGGCGCAGATGCATGCTCTGGGAATCGCCCAGTATACTCACATTTTTTGACCACCGTGCTGACGCTGAATCGATGCATAGGAATATTGCCCACCTGTACGTCAATATTGGAAGCAACCGCTGCCTTGAACAATGCTGTCCACGCTCTCCTAGAACATATCCAACTTGGATTGCCTGTCGTCCTCTCTGTCGTGCATTGTGTCCAAGCTGACCCCAAAACTTCAGGCACATCACCGACAGCCAATCGTGGCCATTGGTGATCCCTTCAATGCCCGACCTCGCAGACAAAGGCGCCTACGTGTCGTTCCAAAAGTATATCCCCTCAGACATCTACGACTTGCAGGAATACGGCGCTCTCCGCGGCGTGCAAGTGGTCCTCGAAATCGACCAACCAGGCCACACCTCTTCCATCTGGTTCTCATATCCAGAGCTGATCTCTGCGTTCAACGTGCAGCCCGGCTGGACCACTTACTGCAACGAACCGCCTTGCGGCACCCTCAACTTGAACGATACGAACGTCTCGGACTTCCTCGAGAAGCTCTTCGACGACCTGCTACCCAGACTCAAGCCTTTGACCAGCTATTTCCACCTCGGCGGGGACGAGATAGACGCCGCAGACTATGAATTAGCAAGTCTCCCTGCCCTCTGAGAGTGTCGTCGTTGCTGGGACAAGTCACGTGCATTTGAATTCACCCTAGGGGGTCCCACGTGCATAGAACCCTTGAGAAGAGCCAACGACACCCACTGTCCTTTACTGACTCATGCTAATTGTGATGATGATGCAGGATCCCACCGTCCGATCGAATTCGACGTCTGTGGTGCAAGCACTACTCCAGAAATTCCAGGACCGAAACCAGAATCAACTGAAGCAATACGGCTTCACATCCCTTGTTTGGGAGGAACAGCTACTCGTTTGGAATCTGACGCTTCCCAAAGACACTATCGTCCAAACTTGGTTGAGCAGCCAATCCGCCAAAGAAGTGGTGGCGAAAGGCTACCGGGCGCTCGTAGGCGCATATGAGCTTTGGTACCTTGACTGCGGACACGGTAAGTCTATCTCAGGCCAACTTAATGCTACGGATGGCTAATCAACTACAGGCCAATGGGTCGACTTCCACCAAGGAGCAGATTCAGCGAAGTACTGGCCATATCTCGACTACTGCAACCCCCTCCACAACTGGAAGGAGATGTACAGCCTGGACCCCATCCAAGACATCCCCGAGAATCAGCAACACCTCATCCTAGGAGGAGAATGCAGCATCTGGAGCGAACAGACCGACAGCGCAAACTTCTTTCAGATGGTGTGGCCTCGGACGTGCGCCGCCGCGGAGGTTCTCTGGAGCGGCGCGAAGGATGCGTCAGGGCAAAATCGCTCGCAGATCACGGCTAGTCCGCGGTTGGCGGACATGAGAGAGCGACTGGTAGGCATGGGAGTCTATGGCGCGCCGATCCAGATGCCGTTCTGTACGCAGAATGGGACGCAATGCGTATGGCCGCTGGGAGCTTGAAGTGAGCGGAAGGATATGCATATTTTGAGCATGAACCTACAAGACACAGCTCTTTTAATGTCAAATGGAACTTCTCCGGAGATTTGGCACCGTCGAAGCAGCGGCTGCCTCGCTCTGTACCTTAGCCCAAACGAGCAAAGCGACTGAGATGACCCTTATAATCACGCTGATGGATGTGGAGCGAATGAACGGGTATTTGATGCTACATTCTAAGAAACTGAGAACAGGTCCGTTATGAGAGGTCAATCCTTCTTTCCTCCTTCAGACTTTGCCGTTTGGTCTTTCTCCGCAACGACCGGCGTCGTTGAAGCAGCGCCCTCCTTCTTCGAAGCCTCGTTCGATACGAAGACATGGTTGAGATTCCCCTTCTCATCCTCGTGCTGCGATGATGCGACGGACTTCGGAGCCGACGATGAACCTCCGCGAACCTTCTCTTCATGCCACTTGGACAGATTCAGCGTCTCGTCCACTTCCTTGGTCAACTTATCAATCTCATCCTCCAGCACTTCATCCTTGTCCTTCGGTGGCGCTTCCTTCTCCGCCTCTGCGTCTGTCGGTGCATCCCTCGGCGCCGTCTTCGCCCACAGCGCTTCCAGCTCCTTCAACCACCCACACGCCTTTGCAAGTTTCCTCACGCCTTCGTCACAGTCTCCAATCAGCAGTACATCGTCCGCCTGGGAACCGAAACCACCAACCCTCTCCTTATTGATAAGAAGTCTCGGCGTCTCCTCCCTCACCATCCCCGGCAAGGAAGCGAAAGGCTGCACCGTCAAACTAGTACCCATGACGATGACCAAATCCGACTCGTATGGCAGCATGCGGTTCTGGAAGAATGACGCAGGCAGTTGCTCGCCGAAGAAAACAATCTCTGGTTTAACCAGCCCCTTGCAAAGCTCGCATCGAGGGATCGTCTTCTCCTCGATGTGCAACTTGATGTACTCCTCCGGATAGGGCATGCTGCAATCGATGCAGCTCTGGCGGGCGAATGATCCGTGCGCCTCGACGATTTTGTCGTCGGGTACGCCTGCCTCGCGGTCCAGACAGTCGATGTTCTGCGTAAAGTGCTTGAGGAGCAATCCCTTGTCATTCAGAAGTCTGATAAACGAATGCGTGATTGTCGGGCGAAATTTGCCGGGATATAACTCGTGGGCTAGTTCGTAGAAGGGCTCAGGCGATCTGCGGAAGAAGTTGATATCGAACACCGCCTCAGCATATGGCAGATTCAGCCTTGCGAGGTTGGCGTAGAGTCCCGTATCCGGCGATCGGAAGTCGGGGATACCAGCACTCGTACTGATGCCCGCACCAGTCATGACGCAGATCTTCTTCACCTGGCCACTCTTGATGTGCTCCGCCAGAGCCTCGACGGTGCGACCAGGAAGTGTCCGGGGCGCGACGGACTCGTCGACGGGCGAAGACTCGTCATTACCCATATTGAAGAAGCGGCCGACGCTGTCTCGCCAGGTAGTGTCTCTCGCTCCGCCGCCTTTCTGACCGCGGTGCGGCTTGCGTTGGCGCCCAATAGTTGCGAGGAGCTGGCGGAAGAAAGTGGGAATATTGGTAGGGGAATCGGGGGTTCTGTCGGGTCCGGTAGAGGTATATGATAGAGCCTGGTCCTCGCCGGCGGGTGGCGAATATGCGGAGGTGTGACGCAGAAGTAGAGTTGCAGCGCAGGGAAGGACTATAGCACAGTTCAGGCGGTCCAGTATCATCCACGGGCTGTATTGTTCTTCGAGTGTGTTGTGGGGGTTGGCATGTACTGGAGTCGGGAGACGCACGCACAACGTCGAGTTTGAAGAGGGAACGATGAGCTCACGTGATCCGTGCCACGATTGCAGCAGAGCTCTGCGCCACACTTTGCCACACGCATCAACTTCGAGCTTTCCTCTTCCCTCGCGGAATCTCGACAGCCTCGCAGCCTTCTCTCACGTCCGAGGCATTAGGACAACACTGATTTACACGAAATGGATGCAATGTGTCCAACTGCCGCTTCGCGTCCGCCTTTGTCTGAACAGTAGATGAGCGAGACGACGGCGCTAACCGAAGGCAAGACTACAGGACAGCGTCGCATCGAATGTCAAGCAGCATCGGACCAACGTCCCTGTCAGGAGATTGCTTCCGACAGCGTTGGAATAGCCGCTCACAAGTCGTCGCACGTGAAGTTCAAATAACGAGATTCTCCCTCCAGCAGCAAGGACATACCTTGGCTGGATAGAGTTCGGCAGTTGCTGACATCAAAAGCTTAAATCTCGGCAACGGCCTGCGCGAACCGTTGTTTGGTCCAAAGTGTACCTGGCGCACCATGTGGCGAGGCGAGGCCAGACGCGACAACAGGGCCTGGGTGAGGAGATGGAGCCTCACAATCCTCGCTGCGATGAGGGTCTTCGTCGATTGACCAAGCATTTCGCCATTTCCCCCACGATATGGACCCTCATCTGTCAATCCATCCGTTCCGCTGAAGATTTGCACTAGTCCACGTGGTTGTACTGCCCGTTTTCGACGCCTTCCCAGCCTTGTTCTCAACCCCGCTCGATTGCCTACGCCCTGCTTGCATTACACGTGCACAACACAGCACTAAACGTGGCAACAGAGAGGCTTAAGCACCACAGCGAGATGCGGATTACAGAAGAGCCAGTGCCCAGTGAGGAATCATGGGGCAAAGATGTTGGTCAGGACCGGGATGGGGTGGCGGTCGAGGCCTAGCCGAGCAAGTTGAAGCGCTGGTCTAGCCACCACTCTCCTAACCGAACCCCAGGCTGAAGGCAAAATGGGCCAAGACGATGATGCTAGATGAGCCGCCTCCTCCTCCACGCCTTTTTGTTTATTTCTCGAAACATCGGAAAGATTGCGAGCACCTGCATGCACGATCTGCAGTCATGGCTGACATGTTCTCCCTCATCACCTTCCTTGGGCTGCTCCTCGCTCCTCTTGCTTGCTCGCAGGATATCGCGGAAACCTTGTGCGGGCAATATGGCGTCTACTCTGCTGAGCCATATCTCTGTACGCAAACCCCACTGCTCCTCTGCTTGTTGCGCACTAATACTGACTTTACCTCTTTAGATAACAACAACGCTTGGAATGAGGTGGGTAGTATTACAGCTTGCATACAACTACGCCAACTGACATCGAGATTGCTTCAGGACGACTCAGGTTCGAGTTGTACATATGTAACTACCACCGTTGTTGCCGTATCACCCAGCGCAATCTCTAACTCACTCTGCAGATCTCGAACAGTGTAGAGGGAGCATTCCATCCCTTCTATACCCTATGGAAGTGGACCTCGGAGCCGCCCGTGGTCCACGGCTTTCCCGACATCGAACTCAAGACCGACCTTCTGCCGCTGCAAGTCAGCTCGCTGCATGCGCTCAACGTTTCCGCATCATGGTCGCTCAAGCCGGTGTCTCTGATCCCAGGCGCCTCTGCCGATCCCAACACGCAGCCAGACGCCGATGCCCTGCAAGCAAATGGCATCCAGTGCAATGTCGCTCTTGACATGTTTGCCGACGCGAATGCAGAAGCCTCGCAAACTCCCGCCAAGCAGAAATACGAGATCATGGTTTGGCACGCTCGATTCGGCGCAGCTGCTGTGCCGATTGGCTGGACGAGCGGTGCGGTTGCTACCATCACGATTGGCGGCTCCGATTAGTACGTATCGCCTTGACCTGGAAATCGACGTTCTCGCTAACGCCGCAATCCCAGCTCGCTGTACACTGGCACGAATTCCAACGGCCAAACCGTCCTCACCTGGCTCGCCAACGAGACGGTGACGGACTTTAGCTTCGACGTTGCCCCTTTGATGGGTTTCCTTGTTGACCAGCAGCACCTACCTAGCGATGTCTATTTAGGGACGATCCAGTTCGGCAGCGAGACCTTCTATGCCGACAACCAGATGAACTTCTCCGTCTCGGCCTTCTCCGCGTACGTGGAAACCACCGCGGGCTCTGGCGCTGGGCTTCCGCATCCGAGCAGTGTTCATACCAGTGCTGCATCGCATCCGCAGATGCCATTGGGAATCACCGTGATCGTCGGGTGTGCCAGCATCGCATTTGCAACATTTGCTACCGGATCCGGGCTATTTTGGCGTGTGAGGAGTCCGTGTGGAAGGCAATAGCAAAGATTCCCCACGGAAGCTCAAAGCAGCTGAGCGTAAATGGGGTTCACATCTTCCAACCGTCCCTTGCTGAGTCCAGCAAAACGTGCAGCTTCAGGCAAGAGCCATCGCAGACGGATCTTCGATCGCCGCTGATAGCTGCTCGAACAACCCCACTCAGCCAGCCCCATCAGAAGGCCAGCAGGACGGCGTCAGAGATCGGGAACGAGGCTCCTAGGGATGAAGAGGAGAAAGCCGGCGAAGAGTTTTCCTCAGTCGAGAAAGGCTCGGCGATCAGAAAGCATGTTCCCACCCTGGCGGAGTCCTAGCATGCTTGCGACTAAAGAGCGGACACGTGATGAAAGGCGACATCTGGTGATTTCACGCACCAGACGACGAAGAAAGTTCACAGCCTCAATTGAATATCTACTTCGTTCCAATTCATTCCATCCCCACCCCTCGTTGCCCCCTTTAATTCCGCGGGCAACTGCCAGCGCACCTCAAGTCATACACACCACGCTTCATCGAGGTATCAGTAAGCGAATGATTCACGCGGTCTAGGAGTACAGCAAAGAATACACCGTTCAACTTCCCCTTACACATGCAGGGAAGACCGCAACGTAGACTGACTGGATGGAGTTTCTGGTGACATCGCGCATCTTCGAGCAACTTCTCATTGCTATATAGGTAGTCTTTATAATTATCTCCGCGGGAAATTGGGGTCTGAACCATCAGGCATTGTGGTTCTTGAGCCTTCGCCATTACAGCATGGCATGGTGTGACTCGTACATTCGCCATCGATCCTCCAAAAACACTGCGCGCATGGAGGATGTTGATCGCCCATACTAGTCCCGCGTCTCGTCCGGCTCTCACGGGTTGTGACCAGCATACCAGCAACTCGAAGGAAGACGTCTGGTGCAACGTGCCGAAGCTGGTGAGTCACGTGCATCATTCTAGCAATCACCCGGGAATTCCGCGAACCAGATGTCCTGCACGAGGCCGTACGCTGGGGTCGGCGTCCGCAGTTCAATGGCGCGTTCTTCTTCACGCCATCGTAGTCGCGCAATGTCCTCTCAGCCGTGGAGGCATCATCCGGGAGACAGCACGAGGACCCGTGCGCGTGGAGGACTGAAAGCGACTGCTGCTCGTTAACGATATAAGCGGCCAGAAGTGTCGAGCAGCAGCATTCAGCCCAGGAACTTGCAGGTCGGGAGGCGATAGGTCTTGATGTTGGCCCAGTACGGTCGGCGCACCCCCTCCCATTCGCCACGGCCGGCCAGATCGGGTACATCAATGTCCATCCACTCGACGTCCAGACCGGCTTCGTCTAGGTGGAATTCGACGACCTGTATATTGTTAGCGACATGAAAGAAACAATCTGGAGGTAGAGATGCTCACCTTGGTATACACATCGTAGCACACTTGCCGATCCGCGCCAAGCCCGTTGTAGAAGCCAAACAACCCGTGCGTGCCCAGCAGAGCAATGACATATTCATCAAAGAACAACTTCAGGTCACTGTAGTCTTCGGCATAGGTATCGTAGTACATGGCGTCAAGCTCGACGCCCTCGGCGATCAACTTTGGCAACACATCCTGCCATTTCCCCTGATGAATTCTCACATTCGGCTTCTCGAACCAGCCCTTCTCTCGCATGCGCTCAATGACCTGCGGATGCGCCTCGACAATGTGGTGTTCGGCGGGCGAGTTGGCGAGGAACATGGTGTCGACAATGCCCATTCCAAATCCAACGTTCATGGTGCGAAGGCCGGGTTTGGGACAGAGCTTGTTGGCGGAGATTTTCATAATCTCCGTCTCCCAGTCCATCATGACCGCGTTCTTGTCGGAGTCGAGCAAGCGGTCGGCGGAGTAGGTCAGGTTGGAACGCAGGTAGTCCTCGCTGTTGACGTTGGGGTTGGTGAGGACGGGCTGGGTTTCGTGAGTGGAGTTCTGGGCGCTGGCACGTGTGGGCGAGCCGGACGCGGAACCAGAGTTAGAGCTGCCAGATGAAGCATTCTCATCCTCGATCTTGTAGGAAGGGTTGGGACTGGGTTCGAAGCCTTCGAATTCTTGCACGCCATTGGTATTCCGCGGCAATGGTTCATTGCGTTTGGGCGCGGGTTCAAAGCCGATGATGTCGTCGTCGTCGTGGTGATCATCATCATGGGTTCCATCCTCGCCGTCCACTGGCTCATCGGGCAGCAACTCATAGTCGTCCAGGCGACTGAACAGCAGCTCGGCTCGCACACCAGCATCTACAATCGCATCATAGACCTTTGACAGGCCCAGTCGGAGCGCAAGACAGCCCGGGGTGTCGTCGTTATTGTCCAGCTCATTCCAGATGGCCCCATTCTCAAACAGCAGCTGCACCGTGGCCAATGCGGACTGCTCGCTGAGAGCATGGCCATTGATCGCGTCGCCCTCGCCATTCATGCCCGTCTCGTCCTGCACGTGCTCGTCGGGTTCGCATGAAGCAATGGCGGCGTGGAGGGGGGAGAAGCCGGTGTCGGAGTCCTGGACTTTGGCATCGTAGGTGCGGAAGAGTTTGCGCAGGGCGTCGAGGTCGTGGTTGGTGGCCGCGAGCAGGATTTCTTCGGTCGAGGTGTCGGCATCAATGGCGGCGGAGAGGGTGGCGTCGATGCTCGCCGAGGCCATGATGACGGGGGGGCGGGCACATCCAGCACGCACAGCACTGCACACGGGTATGAAGAGGGGAAGGGATCAGGTGAAGCAGGGCAGGTAGGAGAAAAAGCCACGAGGCAGGCCAAGCCAAGGCACGGGAGCGGGTCAAGCAGAAGCGAGACGGCGGGCGGGAAGATGAAACCGCAAGTGCGATGCTGTGGTGGGGTCGCACGAAGCGCCGGCAAGAGCCGCCATTGGCCGTGCCGTCGTGCCGCCGTGCCTTCCCTGAGCTTCGAGGGGCCTGAGGCGAACGTCACAGCACAGGGCAGTCTGGGGAGGTGTACGTGTGATGCTTATGGCGCACAGGGCAGGCATCGCATCATCTTGCCACATCGACATGAATCTCACACTGCTTCTCTCTCATCCACCCAGGCTGTCCGGCGCTGCTTCTCCCAACACCTGCGGAGCCAGTATCCCCCTGAAGCAATGCCGGCACTCCTGGCATCTCCCTCATTGCAGGGGTCGGGAAGCACCAATCCATCCGCAGCCTTGAAGTTTCGCGATGTAAATTACAGAGACGGCACCTCTCGCAGCAAAGACAACGGCAATGGTCATAGGAACGACAAGGGCGATGACAGTGCTGCCCTCCTCACCCCGCCCAACGGACCAGGAGATCTGGACTCTTCGGATGAGATGGGAAGCCACGACGAGCTCGAATTGGATCCCGACACCTTGATTGCCAGGCGGAGCATTGATGTCGGCCGTGACCCTTCCAATCCTACGACCACCGCCTCCTCCGACTTCACCCCCGTCATGCTCGGCCTCAAGCGAAGGACCAACAGCATCCCCGTGCGCCTGGAGAAGACGACTCACAAAGGCCGCTACATCCTCACCGCCGATGACCCAGACATCAAAGAAATCCTCCGCAAAGGCATTGAACGAGAGCAGGTGGAACGCGGGCACGCCAAATTGCGCTCCTCCTTCCGCGACCTCCTCTTCACCCCTCGCCTGACGGCCTTCGACCGCCGCAATCCATCCGCTGCCCACTCGCCCTTCTTCGGCTTCTTCACCCTCTTCTGGATCGCCATGGTACTGATGCTTGTCAAAGTGTCGATGCAAAACTATCGCGACTACGGCAGCGTGCTGGGCAGCAACCAGATTATGAAGATGATGTTCAGCCATGACGTCTGGGTGCTGGCGGTAACGGACGGCGTGATGTGCGCAGCAACCACTCTGACCTATCTATTCCAGCTGGTCGTGCATCAAGGCTGGCTGCGATGGGAGCGGGGCGGCTGGATTGTGCAGAACATCTGGCAGTCCCTCTTCCTCGGCGCTGCCATTGGCTGGGCGTACTTTCGAGAATGGCCCTGGACGCACACCATCTTCGTCGTGCTGCATGGACTGGTGTTCCTGATGAAGCAACACAGCTACGCCTCCTACAACGGCCACTTATCCACCGTGTACCGGAGACGCCAAGTGCTGGAAGGCAAGCTGGAACACCTCGAGCAAATGGAACCCAATGCCACCTCCCCCACCCGCCCCACCTTCTTCGGACGCAGTCTAGATGGCTCGCGACGCAGTATCGACAGTGCCCTCCCGACAGATCTTCCAGAGTCCGCAACCAACCCTCGCCCTTCGTTACGACCGCGCACCGCCACCAACTTCACCAGCGAGAAATCCGACGTCGCCACCGTAGCCCGGGCAATCGAATCAGGCGACGCCATCGACACCACACAGCTGCACACGTTCGAAAACGTCATCAAAGCCGAGCTCGCCGACCTGACCAAAGAACTGCAAGGCAAGAGCTCCTCCGCGCGCACCGCCTACCCGCACAACCTCACCCTCTACAATTTCCTCGACTACATCTGCCTGCCCACGCTCGTCTACGAGCTCGAGTATCCGCGCCAGGAGCGGACAAACTGGTGGTTCGTAGCGGAAAAGATAACAGCCACCTTCGGCGTGCTGTGCGTAATGATGGTCATCTCGCAAGCCTTCATCTACCCGCCCGTCGCCAAAACGGTCCGGATGAAAGAAGCCGGCATGCCGCTCGAACAACGCTGGCAAGAACTGCCCTTCATCGTCTCCGACATGCTCTTCCCCCTGCTCATCGAGCAGCTCCTCACCTGGTACCTCATCTGGGAGTGCATCCTGAACGTGCTCGCGGAGCTGACGTGCTTTGCCGACCGCGGCTTCTACGGCGACTGGTGGAACTCCGTGACGTGGGACCAGTACGCGCGCGACTGGAATCGCCCCGTGCACAATTTCCTGCTGCGCCATGTGTACCACAGCTCCATCTCCACCTTCCACTTGAGCCGGAACGCGGCGACGTTTGTCACGTTTTTGCTGTCGGCGTTGGTGCACGAGATGTGCATGGCCATCATGTTCAAGAAGGTGCGGGGGTATTTGCTTTGCTCGCAGTTGTTGCAGATGCCGTTGGTCAGTCTGAGTCGGTCGAAGTTGATGAAGGGCAGGGATGTATTGGGAAATGTGATCTTTTGGATCGGGCTGTTCATTGGGCCGAGTTTGTTGACGAGCTTGTACTTGGTTATGTGAAGGATGTACGCATCTGCGGGAGATATAGACATAGAAGTATCACTGTGCTAGGATCTCCATTCCATGTTCATTGACATCATGTAGGGAGTGGGAGGGAATTACAGCAGGTGGCGAGACAGGAGAATGACAGACACATGTGGAAACAGCATCTCTACACAGGATGCATAGAATTTGCTATCTCACATCTAAAGTGACGCTCAACACAATCCCAGGATGATCTCTCTAAGCCTCCGCCTCGAAAGCCTCGGGGAAGCGACGGACGTTGTACTCGAGCGGGCCCTTGTTCCTCAAAAACTGCACGTACGCACCATCCACACGGACCTTGCCCTCTTGTCGGCGGGCGACGTAGTCCTCGCGAGCGAGCGGAGTGAAGCCCCAGTTCTTCGAGACGATGATCTTTTGGCGGCCGGGGAACTTGTACTGGCTGCGGCGGAGGGCTTCGATGGCGGTGGCGCGGTCTGGAAGCAATGATGTTAGTCGAGCTGTTGGGCGAGACTACTTCAAGAGCGGCTAAACTTACTGGAGTCACGAGTGCGGACAGAGAGGATGATCTGGCCAATGTTGACGCGAGCGACAGAGCCGTTGGGCTTGCCAAAAGCACCACGCATACCGGTCTGCAGTCTATCCGCACCGGCGCACGACAACATCTTGTTGATGCGGACGACGTGGTAGGGATGGGCGCGGACACGCAGATGGAAGCCTTCCTTTCCGGCCGTCTTGACGAGGTACTTGTTGGCGCAGATGCGGGCGGCCTCGAGGGCCTCGGAGCTCAGCTGCTCATATTCGTTGGAGACGAGGTGGATGCAGAGGGGGAATTCGTCGACGTTGGCACGCTTGCGGCCGAGATCGAAGATGCGGATCTTGGGGTCGGGCACACCACGGTTGAATCGCGACTTGGGGTAGGGCTGGGAAGAGGGTGGATGTCAGAATCTTGTCTCGGTCGTGCGGTGGCGCCTCTTGCATCGCCGGACGCCGCTCAAATCGGGACATACCTTGTTCTTGCAGTAGCGGTAGCACCTCGCTGGACGACGGGCCATTGCGACGGTGTTTTGGGGGGTATTTGGATGGTGTTGGTGATGGAAAAGGAGGAAGAGTGACGTTCTGAAGTGCACCCTTTGAGTCAGCCCAGGTGGATTTCAAAGCAAAGCCCACGAGAAGTCTTGGCATCAAAATTGTGGGTCACGTGATTATGACACACTATGAGCGATGGACAAACCGTCGCAAATTGGGCAGAAGTTCAGTACAGAGGAGTCACTGGCGAGCAAGGGTTGAGATGAAGGTTCGTGATTTGGTCTTCATGAGAAAGACGATGGCATTGATTGAGATATGTGGCATGCCCCCGCTACGGCAAAGGTGCAAATCCAGCACTCAGCGCATCACAACGCCGGAATATAGTCCCGCTGCATCAACGCCGATTCATGCTCTCCGAATACCTCCTCTTCACATATCTATGCCGTGCTCGAGCTCAAGATGTCGGAGTCACCGGCGTCGAGAATCGCCATGGTGGAGCATCGGAAGAGTTTACCGCATGCCGTGCCGAGTTCGATCTGTAGCGCAGACACATTTCACGTCAGTTCAAATTGTTTCACCCTCCACAGCTGCCTGCCGACCGAGACTACAAGAGCGGTAGGAGCTGCTTCTCAGGGCTCCAGATGAGTGCTTGATGTACCCTCCAGAGCCGCGAGAGACTCCTTCGCTAGGTATTGTCTTTGGGTCTTTCTACAGGCCATTGTGTGGCGCAAGGGGAGGGATGAGGCTTACGTTGTTGCCGGAGAAGTGGTGGACGGCGGTTTTGGCGAGCATGCTGTAGTCTTTTCATCAAAAGTCAGCGAATGTGAATTCCATTGTCGACTCCGCATTGGCGGGGATGGTGCGCTTACATTCGAGCTCAGATTTCCGCAGAGGAGGCGTGTTGCCGGCAATGATGATGAGCTTCGCCTTGCCAGATCGCAGGCTCTTGAGGGTCGATTTGTAGCCGAGAGTGACCTTGCCAGACTGAACAATCCAAGCCGTCAGTTTCCTGCTTTCGCACGCGCCGTCTTGTCCATCTTCATGAGACGCACCTTGATCGTCAAAGCGAGCTTCGCGTTGATGCTGTCCGCACCCTTCTGGTTCTTTTTGGGGGCCATGGCGATTATGTGTTGTGAAGTTGTCGGCTTGCTGAGGAGTGGAATCGGCGAAGAGAGAATTTGGCTTTGTGGAATTTCAAGTTTTGCCAAGGCTCTGGCTGAATGCCTCAGGCATCAATCTCACTACTAACTTCATAACCGCCCCTCCAACCTCTTCATGACCCTACACCTCGCAGCATTAGAACATACTCTCTTTAATCTGACTTTCTCGGACAATGATACGCTATTGAAGACGGCTAAAATCCGCATGATTAAAAGGTCTTCATCGCTTCGCCAATGCCGCTCAAAAGGGCTAAGAATGACCAAATCACGACTCCGTCTCTCAGAACACGAACGCTCACAACAATGGAGGAAACGACAGGGTATCTCGTGCTCTCTCTTCAGCCAGAGCCACGTCATCAAGTAATCACACCAGATCAGAAATGATCAAACGCATTCTCCAAATTCACGGCAAGCAGATCCTTCTCGTTGACCTCCTGCCCAAAGTACGGCCGGCCATCGCTCTCCACAATACTATCCAACCCCGCGACATTCGCAGATGACATGAAGGACGTCGCAGTCCCCGAACGGCGGAAGAATTGTTTCGGCGGGGCGCGCACCGCTGGACTCATCATGATGACTTCGTCCATCTCTTCATCGTCGTCGTTGGCAGTCTCCTGGTTCGGCCCGGGCTGATTGGGTGTGGCGTCCGGGATCTTCGTAACGAGCGCTGTCATCTGCGATCGGCGTTGCATGCGAAGCTGCACGGATGTGCGGTGTTGTGCACGAGTAAGTGACGGCTCGTCCTGCACCAGAGGGCTTACAGCACCGGAGCGGACGGGGCTGTAACTTCTCGCGACGCTGCGTCCGCTGGGACTGATGCTACGGAAGGTGAGGGGGCTGACTGTCCCGCTTCGCATATTAGGGATACTCATGACCCGCCGGCCTTGCGCGATGAGGTCGGGGCTATCTGAGCGGCGTCGGCCGTCGCTATACCCGTCCGAATTTCGTGGCGATGTGCTTCGCAACGAAGACAGGTCGGAGTGGCGGCGAGCGGAATTCCGGCCCTCCGAACGTTGTGGAATTGGAGGAGCATCCGAACTCTGCCGTACCGGCACCTTCTTCTCCGGCTCGATCGGCGGCATGTTTGCATACTTCGGTTCAACTGCCGGGAAGACGGTCGCGCGATAGTCGGGGATCTGCGACGTCCTCCGGTACTTCGTCGCCATCTCCAAGTCGGGAATGAAGTTGAGCTCGTCGGGAGGAGGAGTGGAACCACGGCTGCTGGTGGGAGTCATCGCGGGCAGCTCAGCGATGTCATCCGGCAGTGGTGGGGTGCTGGCGCTCGCACTGGGTGGAATGCTTGGAGTACTCGAACTTCCGCCGCTCCGCGCCGTATCAAGGCCTGCATTGTCATTAGTCAACGAGCCACCCGGCAACGAGGATTGTCAGGAGGGACGCGTACTAGACGGCAACGCAGGACGTCCGCTGCTGGACTCTGCCTCCTCTTGACTTGCGGCGATCGATGCTTTGGACTGGGAACCGGTAGCTTTGTTGTCGGCCAGTTGGTCTCGACTAGCAACAGGGTTAGCGAAAGACTCGACGTGGGAATGGAGGGTCTTGTTCCGCACTCACCTCTTGCTCCGACCGAATCTAAAAAACTTCTTGAAGCCTTTCGGAGTTGGCTGTGCGATGGTTGTCGCCGGGGTGGCCGTAGGCTTATTACGTGCTATACTCGCAGCAGAAGCGGCTCCGCTTGCTTCGCTGGGAACCTCGCTCTTTCGATCCGGAGCAGCAGCAACGGGACGCGCAACTCTCTCCTCGTCTCCGCAGACAACAATATACCAGCCAACCTTCTCTTCCGGAGCAATCTTGTCTCGAAGCTCCATCAAGGCCCCCCACTGCTCGTTGGCCAAACCCTTGCCTCGCACCTCGTCAATCTCCAAGCCAAGGCTGACCTCCTCCACCAGATCGGCGACGTACGCAAAGGGCTGGCTGGGGCCGGTAGCAGCGGCTATCGTACTGGGATCGTATTGCTCGACGAAGCGCAGGCTGTTGAGGTGTTGCATGCACTCCGGGTAGAGCTCGTGGAAGTTCTTCAGCAGGGCAAGGGTGGTTTCGGGCGCCACGAGCCATTCCGGCGCCGCGTCGTCGAGGTTCTGCATGATGATGTGGATGCGCACCAGTGGCCGAGGCCAGCGGAAGCCATGGAGAAGATATGTCGGCATGTTGGCGTGGGCAGGTCGGGTCTGATGTTCGAGAGTCTGGGTGCACGGGGCTCGAGGCTCGCGAGGAGCGGGGGAGCGCGAGAAGGAAATACCTCTGCGTGAGTCGAGTCACACAAAGCAAGGCGTAAAAAGGACCGAGGGAATGGGCGAGTCGCGTGCGGAATGAAGAGGGTCGGGAGAGATCGCAGGTGGTGTAACGTTGCGCAACGGGTCGGGTTATCGCGAGTCTGAGAGTACGGGGGACAGAGGAGGATTAGACGTTCCGATTAGGTGAGAGGCCGAATTAACGCGAGGGCGTCAGCAAGCCACGGCGTGCGCGATGACAGCCGCCATGGGGAGTCCGACGGAAAGTCAGTGGCGGATCTGCAGGCTGATGAGCGCGTGAGTGGTGATCCGACGCTGATGCCCGTCACACAAATGCGGAATGCGGACTCGGGAAAGCTGGTGAAACGGACACTCTGTGAACACGAGGGCGAGAAAAAAGAAGGCAAACACGTCTCTAGTTGAGCGGGTGTTGCGCGGCCGTTGGAATTACTGTAATATTGCGGAGAGAACGAGGCGGAGGAGGGCGTTGAAAGCGCTCATTTTGCGGGAAGCCGTAATGATATGATCAGCACGACACAACGTCCGCCCAACCCCAGCCCGCCGAGCCAACGTGTTGGTCATCGTCGCCTGACGCAGCCCGCCCGGCTACGCTAAGAACAAGGGCAATTACCAAAGCGATCGTCTGGAGTCCGGTGGCGCGCGTCTGGCCCGCGAGGCTCGCCGGGTTAATGATGAGCTCATCTCGCCCAAAGCAGAGTAGGGTCTGGTGCGTTTTTATTGAAAATGCGAATTGACTTTGAGCTATTTCCAGGCCCCGGCCGCTGCCCGCCAACCAACCAGCGCGCGTCCCGGGAATCGCTGCGCCGGGATTAGCCTTTTCGTAGGCAGCTGAGATGCTGCAACTCTGTTTGGCGGACCCGCCCCGCCGCCGTGCCTCGACTAGCCTCATGCAGCTTCGGACATTGGGGGGAGCCTCTTCTTGCCTCATTCCAGCAGAGCGCCTCTCAGCCGCCGGCTCCCTCGACTTCCGGCCCGTGACGAGCGTGACACGGCCGGGCGGCGTCTTCTCAGCTGATCCTCGAAAGCTAATCGTCCGAGGCCCGCCCGTGAACGATGGTGCTACACCTCCTCGGCAAGAAGAGCTGGAATGTGTACAACACCGACAACGTCGAGCGCGTGCGGCGCGATGAAGCCGCCGCCCAGGCACGGCAGGAGGCCGAGGAGCAGCGCATGCAGGAGGAGGATGCCGCGACACGCATAGCCCTCCTCCGCGGAGAGCCCCCTCCCGCCGCCATCCGCCCTGTCCCGTCTCCTTTGCACGAGTCGAGCGAGCGGCGTCGAAGGCGTGATGATGACTCCCAGCCTCGTAAGCGCCGGCGACTGCGAGGAGAGGATGATACCGATCGGGATATTCGCATTGCCAAAGAAGATGCCGAAGCTGGCGCTGTTGCCAGACAAGCCCTCGTGAAGCATGCGGAAGATGGCGATGCCCCACTGCAAGACCATGCAGGCCACATCCAGCTCATAGCCCCTCCGGACGAAAAGGCACTCCGCAAAGCAGAGAAGAACGCCGAGGCGGAAGCGGAGAAGGCGAAGAAGCGTAGACGTGAGGAAGACCAATATACCATGCGCTTCAGCAATGCAGCAGGCCTGCAAAACGGTATGGCGAAGCCGTGGTATACTTCTTCCAAAGATGGCGGTGGCGCGAAGCTGCCGGATGAGCCTATGAAAGACGTCTGGGGTAATGAAGATCCGCGGCGCAGAGAGCGAGAGCACAGTCGTATTTCCTCCAGTGATCCATTTGCCGCGATGCAACAAGCTCAGCGTCAGTTGAAGCAAAGTGAGGCTGATAAGGAGAAGTGGAGGAGGAAACGACTGGACGAGGTCGCTGAAGTCAAATCTGACGAGCGACGAGAGCGGACACATCGACGACGAGATGCGGATGTTGACAGTCTGGATGGATTCGCGTTGGATGCCCCTGTGCAGAAACGCAGTGATCACGGCAGATCTCATAGACGACACCATCGACGGCACAGAAGTCGATCACGAGATAGACGAGGATAAGCATGAGCCTCACGGCCGACGAATGATCAATTCTATCCAGCGAGAGTACGAGATATGGACACAGTCACCAGCCAAACGCCAACGCTATGCCCCAAATTACAAGTGAAGTCAACATCACCCTATTTCACACTCCTTCTCCTCCTCTCCTTGATCAGCCCCTCCATTCTGCCAACCATCCCCTTCAATCCAACCCCTTTCTCGCAATTCTCCTCCAACCACCCCTCCATCTTCTCCCGCAAGCCCCTCAGGCCCTTCAACACCGGCATCTTCCGCCCCTCCTCCGCCTCCAAATGCATCAGCGGATTCAACAGCATCGCAAAAGCCTCGGCCCAAATCTCCGTCTGCCAGTAACGCTTCAAATTCTCGCGAATGCGATACGTCTTCGCGCCGAGAGCAGCGCCGCCCGCCTTCTCCCCCACAGTCTCAATGTACTTGCCAAACAGCATGCTGTGGATGATGCCCGCGAGCCCGTGGTAGTCGATTTGGTACGTCCAGGGCCGGAGCTCGCGCATCTCCGCGCAGTCGCTTTCCGTCGTCTTCCAGTCGGCGATGAAAGCCACGTTCGGCGTGAACTGCTTCATGTCGATGCCGCGGCCCATGTCGATGAGGCAGATGCCCTTGCTTGCCCAGCCGTGGGCGCCGCTGGGGAAGTAGGTGGGCGACCAGTCTGTCTCCATGCCTGGATCGTCGAAGCGAACGAGGACGTTGTCGGCTTTCAAGTCGCCGTGGATGATCTGTTTGGCGTGCAGCGCTTCGACGGTGCGGAGTAGTTCGACGGTCAACCACATGGCGAGCAGCTCGTCCATGCCGCCTCCGCTCCCATTTTCGATGCGCGCGATGTTGACCAGGTCCAGAAGCGTGCCTTGGTCACGGTATTCTTCTACGAGAAAACACTCGTCGCGGAAGACATGCATTTCGTGCGCTCGCACGATCGATTCCGCCGCTCGACTCACTCCTAGCCTTCGATGCGACTGGCGGAGGATGTAGAACTCCCATGCGCTCGTCGGTTCCTCCATCTTCACCGCTTCCAAGGCTTTGCGGTAAGCTGCTTTACCCACGCGAGACGGAGGTCGGTTCTCATCGTTCTCATCCGCTTCAGAGATGGAGAGCGCCGCGCTGTTCTCGATGAGGTACACCGGCGCAAATGTTCCGGCTCCCAGCTCGCGCTTGATGGTATACGTTCCATCGCCGCCTTGGAAGGTCAACATCGGCGGTAGGAAGAGAGTTTGCGCCGTCTTATCCACGCCGGCGCTGCTCTTGTTGACTTTTGCAAGGGTGCGGATGTATTTCTTGATCTCGGCTGTGCGGCCGGATGCGATATCGGGGCGCTCATGATAGCCTTCGAAAGACGAGAGCGATGGCTTCATCTGCGACAGGATCGTCTGTCGAAGTTGCGGGTCCATCGGGTTGCACTGTTCGTCTTTGATGATCGGTCCTTTCTGCGTGAAACCAACATCAGAAGACACATTCGCCTTCGCGTCGATCTGCGACTTCGCCGTCCCCTGCCCTAGCGATATGGTGCCTTTCGTCGTCTTCGTGCGGACCGGCTGAAGCACTCTACGCTTGTCTTCGGCATTGTCAGCCATCATGACCTCTTGAAATGGGCTGCTAGAAAGGATGTCGTCTTCAGGCAGAGACACAGGCACACCTGCTTTCCTGCTGGGCGTTTTGGCGCTGAAGTTCGACTTCTCCGTCTTGCCGGTCCCCATTCCGAGAGAGTACTCGGTCTGCTCGACGATGGGCGTCATGTAGGGTAACTTGTTGTTCGCCATGACAGACGGATCCCGATACGGGCCCACGAGAGGTTCGTAGCCTTCCGGTGGGACGGGGATGTACTGCGTGCGTGGATAGTCATCTTCTAGAGGTGTTACGACGTCTTCTCCAGCTTCCGCGGACGGCTCTTCGTCTTGGTATACGTCCCAGGTGGTGCTTTGCGTGGACTCGGGAAGGCTCTCACTAGCATGGCTGTCTTTCGGGATGTGCTTGCTGGTAGTGAACTCAGACCAGCTGCTGACATTTGTTCGGTCGTCCTCATCGGCAGTGGCGGACTTCTGGCCAACGAGAATCTCATTCCTGGTTTCATCGCCATATTCGCTTCCGGGTATTGACAGCTTGCCAGTGCCGGTGCTCTCATCGCCAGTCGTATAGTCGGTATCACTGTCGTCATCCTCGCCATCCGTCTGCTCAGCCTGCGATGGAAGAGGCTGGCTGAAAATGCCGTAAATCTCGTCCATTGCCTCTCGAGTGTTGATGGTCATGGTAGGCTCCGATCGTTCCACCGACTTCTTGCGTTTCAGCTTCGGCCCCGTCGGCGAGTCGAGATTGAGCTGGATCGTCTTCGTTTCGTTCTTGATGTGCTTGACATCCATGACTTGGATCTTTCGCGTTCGATTCGCACGCTCTTCCCGTCGAAGCTTCTTTGCGAGATCGACATCTTCTCGTGTGGGCGGCGCGTTTTCGTCGTTCAGCGTTAGCGTTTGGGAAAATGTCTTCGCCAGTACTGCCTCATCTTTGGTGGTTGTGGCATTGACTGTACTCGGCTCCAGAGCGTCTTCAAAGATCTGGAACCCGCCTTTCTTCTCTCGCCTTGCTTCGCGCGCGGGCTGGGGTGAGACTGCGCGTTGCTGCGCCGGCTCCTCACGAGCAGCGGGCAAATCGAGCTCCATCTCATCCTTCTTTGCGGTTCTTTGCCGTTTCCAATCTCTGTTCAACCAACCCCGGTGCCTGGCTCTCAACTCCTCGAAGCAATACTCCTTCTCCGGTCTCGTCACGTCGGGATACACCGCTTCTAGATTCACAAACACGCAGTCCAACCTACCAGTCTTGGCATTGGGAACTCGCTGTTGCTCGTGAGCGCTGCTGCCTGACTGTTCAAAGAGATGTCGGGGTAGAAATGTGTGGGAATGCTTCAGGGATGACTGGATATAGATAAGAATATTACTTAGTCCTGCATCCGTAAATACACGACTTTGTGTGGTGCATCGCGTGTTTGGACGCGATCGGGGGGGATTTCATGGGCTTACCTGGTCTTTGAACACCATGATCTTCTCCATTCCACCATTCGTCTTGCCGCCCTTCAGCTTCTCTCCAACCCAAGGCTTGGCTTCCACCGTGTTCTCTTTCTTTCTATCTGCGAGCGTGCCGATGTTGTCCCAGCCTTTGGAGCTGTTTCCGGAGTCCGGTCGTGAAGGCGCGTCGATGTCAGAGAAGATGGCCATCTTGGAGCCTTTAGGCTTCTTGCTGATCGACTTGGCCTGTTGCGGTTGGTCGGTAGGTGAGGATGTCAGGGCGAAAGGATCGAGCTTCGCGGCCAATGCGGGTCGCGCAGCAGGCAGGGCTGGACTTGTGGGTTCTGCGGTGTCCTGTGGTCGCGCGGCATTTCGACGTTCAAACTCGTTGAACTTCCGCAACAGTCGTTCGGCGGGTCGCGCTTCCTTCTCCAACCCCATCTGATAGATCTCTTCGGCTTGATGCCATCTGCCTGCGTTCTCCAGCCAGGCGGCGAATTCCTCGTAGTATAGCGCCAGGGACTCGCCGATGCTTTGTCGCGCGAGGAAGACGAACACTTCGCGCGGCGCGTCTGAGAACAACCTGATGTAGTGAAGCCAGATCTTGAGATACCTCGAATCATTCTTGTAGTGTGGGGAGGTTTGGAAGGTCTTTGTAGCGCGCTCGAGGAGGGGTAGAAGTTGGGATTGCGGTGTGGCTTGCGCGGATGGGTAGGCGTCCAGAGTCCATTTCACGTAACGATCGTAGACGTCGAGAGGGTCATCTGCTTCGTCGATGTTTTGCAGTTCTTTCTCGAACTCTGCTCTCCGGGCGGAGTTTGCATCCGGAACGAGCGATGGAGACGGGTTGGCCTCGAGTAAGGGTGGAGAGTAGATCTGAGCGAGCGCTTTGGCGGAGCGACCGCTGGGGAGAGCCTGAATGTTCTCCTTATGCCCTTCGATGACATTGAAATCAATGAGGTCCTCCATTCCCGCCATGGTGCTGCGCAATGCACGAGTGAAGGCGATGTGCGGCGGGAATTGTGACACGAGACTGAATTAAAGATGAAGTTGTGTTGATCGAGTAAACATTGGTGGTTGCTACGCCGACCTCGACTTTTGGCATTGACAGAAATCATGACAGGATGCCAAGCTTAATCCCACACAAGCATCTTCAAATTTGTAGCAGCGACATCACCTCACACCCATCAACCCCGACCGCATCCAACAGCCAAGATGGTGAGTGGAAATTCAGTGCACGCAGAGCTTCAGATCGTCGGCAGCATTTTGCAGATTCGAGGTTTCGCCGGAGGAGGAGGTTGGAGGTTGGCAGTGATGAAGCGTCCGAAGCAGACATGGCATCCGTGAACCATCCGCATCGGCGCCGAACACCCCGAATATCACTTCAGGCGGCGATCGAGAATCTGTAGATGCTGCAGACGCATCAACAGCACTGCGCAATCGCTGGAAAAGGACGCTATAGACTGACAACGCAACGCGATAGGTGAACATTCCCAAAACCCGCCGCACCTACTGCAAGGGCAAGGACTGCAAGAAGCACACCAACCACAAAGTCACACAATACAAGGCCGGCAAGGTATGCCCTCCCCCTCGATGCGCACACATACCGGTTGAGGTGGATGCTGAACATGTCTTCAGGCTTCGCTCTTCGCCCAAGGAAAGCGCCGATACGACCGCAAGCAGTCCGGTTACGGAGGTCAAACGAAACCCGTATTCCACAAGAAAGCAAAGACAACGAAGAAGGTGGTGCTGCGGTTAGAATGCACACAATGTAAGACCAAGGCACAATTGGCATTGAAGCGATGCAAGCACTTCGAGTTGGGGTATGTTTGTGTCAGTGTGGCAATGATGGACCATGCCTGCTAACTAGTATCGCAGTGGTGACAAGAAGACGAAGGGTGCGGCGCTGGTGTTCTAGATGGTTACGATGCATCGCCGGGAAGATATGGAGAGCGTTCGTAATGCTGCTGTGAAACGAACATCACCTTTCACCATCTCTCCTCGTCCCAATCCAGCAATTGTGTTCTGTTCGGTGTTGCATCTGCGCAAACTCGGCGGACGAAAGAGCGCCTTCGTCTGATGACGCCGCTCCATGATGCCCCCTCCGACAATGTCTCCACATTGAAGCCTACCCATGGGCATGCGGATTCCGCGTACGAGGATGGTCAAATTGGCGTTCTCAGATATCGCATCACGCCTTTCAAGCAATGTTCCAGCGGCAAGCCAGCCGTACAAGCGGGCCTCGCTGAGTCGTGCCCTACAGCCTCCAGCCTCAGGTGATCGAGGCCATCCTCGAATCGCGGTCATATAAGAAGTCGTAGCCGGGACAATCGTTCTTTGCGGACTAGCTTGGGTTCCCAAAGCGGCTATCGGTTTCCATTCCGACTTGACTGCATGAACAAGATCCAGGTAATTGATCTTGTGACAAAGCATGAACAACTAGAACTCGGCATCGAATGACTGATGAGAGTTGGGTAAGGAGGATTGACTTTTGCGCAAAAAGCAGCAGACATCCGAGCTAAACTTCCTGCGGCACGAACGTGTTTCTTCGTATGAGAGAAAAGAGTTAAACTTACGCCGTCGCAGCGCCAGCACACGTGGTGCATCCCCATGCATCCATAGCCGTCATACCACCACGGCGATCGGCCAAAGCTGTACCTTGCAGATCCCGCTCGATGATCTTCCCGTGGAGAGGAGAAGGTTCCAGTTGCGTCGGAAGTGTATACTGTTCTATTACAACCACGATCTTAGCAAAGGTGTTCTTGAGATGATGAATCAGCTTGATCCCAGCTCCCTGCCGTGCGCGGGATCAGGGAGAGCAGGCGTTGCATTGCCATGTGCAATCACTGCATTAGCGCACCGTCCATTCCTCGAGTCAAAGCGCCGGTCAGCCCATATGTTCCGCGGCCTCGACGGAGCATCCTGTCGTATTTTCCCGTTCCTGGGGCTCAGCTGGAGTGGACACTGCACGAGTGGTGGAGATGCCTCTGGATCTTCCGCGATCCCCTAGGCTCAGCCATTGGGATAGCAAAGACGAAGAGTCGTCGGGGATTAATCGACGGGAAAAAGGGCCAGGCGACGAATGAGAGGGAATTGGGCGTCTGATTGGCCGCGCGTTGCCCGAGTCCATGGAAGCTTTACCGCAGCTCCTGCAGCAGGAACCGCCTTCCGCCCTTCCGCCCTGTACGCCCTTGGCCCAACTCGGTAGTCGCGTGTGCGCCCACGATGCAGCCAGCACCGCACTGCCATCGCTGCTTTTGCCGTCACTCTCGCTCTCGCTGCCCTGCGCTGCTATTTCCTCGCCTTCTCCACCACCTCGGCGTGCAGTCGACCGTCGTTTCAGCCTGCATCTGCCCACGTCATGTCACGCGGCTGACCATTTCCACGTGCCAACCGGCTGAGAGACCAACCCAAGCCAACCAAGCCAATCGCAGCGTCCATTGCCCTTCTATTCCTCCCATTCCACGCCGCAATGACCTCGACGAATATGCGCGACACGCTCCTCTAGACCTTCCGACTCTCCTCGCCATGCATTGACGCTGCCCTGCACCCCCTCATGGCTCGACATGGACCGCGCTTCTTACGCTCGCAAGCGTCGACAAGGCCCCGGCCAGCCGACCACAAAGCCGCCAGTTCGCCTTTCTCGCGAGAAAAAGGACGCACAGAAGACTCGCACAACACAGGGAAGCGGTGAGAGCACCGTTCCCACACGAAGGGACGAAGGAGCGCAACGTCCGAGTCACGATGGTGATCCCAGCGCAAAGAGCTTCACCGTCGGCAACGTGGGTCGCAATGGCACACTCTACTTGAAGCCCAGTACTCGCGTCTCCAACGACCATGGCTCTCGCATGCCTGCAACACCCCCACGGACCTCCGGCAGGTCGGAGGGCGGGAATATCGAAAGATTGGGGAGCCCTCCTGCGGCTAAGATGGCCGGCTATGGGAGCCCGAAAGTCGACAGCACTGCGGGTACGACTTTCAATACCACCGTTCCAGTGCCGCCTCCAAGCATATCAAATGCACAAAACCGGAATCGGACACGCTCACATTCCTTTTCCACCGTCGATGATGCAGTCAGGGCGAAGCCTCAAGATGCAGCTGAGTTCCAGCTGCTGCTAAACGGACAAGAGCCCGGACGGAGACCCAACAGCTCCTTCGATCTGAGCGAAGGCCTCGCCAACTTCCGCATTCCCCATTATCGACTCGGCACACCTCGCTTCAGCGACCGCGGCACGGCATATCTCCACAACTCCATCCGCAGTTCGATGACCGAGGACTTCCGCTCTTCCGTCTTTTCCAAGGCAGAATATGACCGATTTCCCGCGCCTCCTGGAGCTGGCACGCGCTACAATTCTCGTCGAGCGTCTGGAGCCATGTTTCTGACTCCATCCCATGCTGCCTCGTCCACCATGTCCCACGCAAATCGCTTTCGCACGCATCACAGCGATCGGGCGATGTATGATCATGTTGAAGCGAACATCAACAACCCCTCTCTCGTGCGATACTCGGCCGTCACTGGTCGAATCATGGCCGCAACGCCCGCTCGACTAATCGCCCAAATCACCTCACCTTGGTTCTTGGACTACGAGCTTCTGTCCGACTTTTTCCTAACGTACCGCAATTTCTTGACGAGTCACGACCTTTTAGACTATTTACTCGTCCGGCTCGACTGGGCATTGGCGAATGGAAGCGATTCCGGCCGCATCGTCACCGTGCGGACATTCGTTGCCCTTCGACATTGGATTCTCAACTACTTTGCCGACGACTTCCTCCCTGATTTCGAGCTGCGTCAAAAATTCTGTGATCGAGTTAACGGGGTTGCAAACTCCTTGCTTCAACTGTCCGACCGCGGCGGCAGTGATTTAAACATTATCGGCGAGCTCAAGAAGTGTTGGAGAAGGATATGCGCCATGTTCTGGTACGTGCCGGATGTGGCAGAGACGTCGCCCGACCTCGACATTGTTCCTGGAGAGGAGGAGGAGCAGCCTTCGGCTGTGCGGGCGTCGGCAACGAGTCTGATTCAGTCGGGGCAATACGATGGCTCGATCATGGACTTTCGCCGTAGCTCCATCGTTCGTCTGCCTCCGATGGTGGAGGAGGATGGGGCACGAGCGAGAATGTCTACATCCGGTCAAAGGCTTCAGAGTACCCATACTGCGAGCATACCTGCGACTCCGGCGAGCGAGAACAGCATGACCGTCCTGTCTTGCTCCGTCCCGTTCTTGAGACACATGAAACCTGTCAAGGAGGCGTCGCCGACACCAGGACACGATCGTCCTCTATCCCAACGCTCGACCGCCACAGCACGCAGGCATAATCGAAGCGCGAGCTTCTCCGATGCACTACGAGACGAACGGACGCCTCTCTCAGGCGGCAGAGCAAACAGCGTAGACCTGCAATCCCTCCCTCTGACCAGCTTCACCGGCGGCCTCGTGCGTGGTCTCTTACTACAACCCTCGCCGTCTAAAGTGGAGCTTCTCATTCCAACTAGTCCGCCTCTCGACACCCACGCGTTCGACTTTGGTCTGCCCGAGCCGTCTCCATCCCTGCGAGAGCGAGATCGGCAATGGCAGACCCCTAATATCAACGTTGGGGTGAAGAAGGTGGTAGGGGATGTACGTCGAGTACTCAGCCACCGGAATCGCGACTCTCCGCCGTCCAGCAACCGATCGACAAATTCCTCAGCATCTCATAGCTCGGGCCACAGTGCTCGAGGGGAGCATACGGGCTCCTGGCAGCAATTGCAAGGCCCACCGCGCGTAGATGTCTTGGGAGAGAAGGTGGAGAGCACGTACAGGGAGGCCGTCGACGAAGCAATGGAGGCAGAGGCGGCCGCACCTCCACTGACCGAAGACCAGCGGCGCGAGCCTGGAATGCGTCTCGATTTGCTGCACAGTCCCCACGACAATCGTTTACACAGCCATGTGACGACGGGCAGTCGTTCCATCGTCATTGTGGACGACACTGGAATCCCGAACCTGTCTGGCGCCGCTTCTCCGCCTCTTCCATCCCGTGCAATGGCTTCCCAGCCTCTATCGGACGGAAACGGATCGCTTCGAGAACGGTCTATGCACGATCTGCTTGCCATCCCCAACTCTTCCGGAACAGATGCCACCTCGGCGTTTGATGCCGCACAAGCCAGGAAGTCCTCCAGTGCACATCCTGCTATGTTCGATATACCACCTATCCGTCACCAACTTCGGCGACGGCCCGGCGGCGATCTCAAGGGCGCAGACAACGTGCAAGACCTCGAGCGCTCCCCACGTCCGGACACGGAAGATTCATATTCTACCTTTTCCCAGGCCATTCTGTCATCTGGACGGCCGTCCGCCGACTTATCACACGTCCACGTTGTTGGGCACGATGGTCACGGCTCACAAACGCCTCCGTCCTTCCTGCAGGCCAGGAAGAAGGAATCGTGGACTCTGCTTTCGACCCACTCGTCGCAGCCGAACATGCGGGCGTCAATGAAAGCAAAGGTCTCTCAGCTGGCGAGACTGCCGGATGATCCGACGGAAGGGGGGATTGAGGATGCGTTGGCGAAGCTCGAAGGGAAGAGCCCCAGTCCTACGGCGAGCGTGCGCACTGCTAGTGAGCAGCGCTCCAAGCCTACGCTGCCGCTGTCTCGACTGAGGGGTTCCCGGAATGTTGCTTCTGTGCAGCCGTCCCCATCGGTGGATGGTATGCGCAGCCCGGCTACTGATCGACAGGGCGCGAGCATCTATCACCTGTCTGATGCCCCATCTTCCGAATTTAACACGAATGTCCGACGACCGGAGCGGGATATGCCGATTGTCGCAAAGCATCAGTCGCAGGGAGATCCGGTGGAGCTGTCCGAAAGTGCGGTGGCGCTCATCACGGGCGAAGCGAAGAAGAGCCCGCCAACCTCCCCTGATCCGAAATCGGACGACTCTCAGACCTCCTTCCTGCTCGACGACAACCAGAGTCTGAGCGACATCTCGACGGAAATGGCGGATGATCAGTCGCCAGATGGCGACGATCTGGGCGTGCGGAGCTTCTACTTTGACGATGCGGTCGAAGACGATCTTCGACACATTCCGTTCCGACCGCCACCCACTCCTCCTTCTACGGAAGGCGGCGCGCCTAACACCCAATCCGAGCCGAGGAGTCCAACGTCGTTGTTCCAAAAGTCGCTCAAAGAGACGACCAGCGTGCCCAAGCTCTCATCGAACGCAGGACATTCTCGCGCACAATCGAACAACGTAGATCTGACACGCGGCTACACCGTACCCTCGCAAAAGCACACCGCCCATCTCCCCTTTGTACTGGCCTTCGAATCCGACGTCATCGCCGAGCAACTGACCATCATCGAAAAAGACGCCCTGGACGAAGTGGACTGGAAAGACCTGATCGGCCTGAACTGGCAGCACTCGCCCCTGCACCTGCGCAACTGGGTCGACTTCCTGCAACGCCGCGACTGCAACGGCATCGACATTGTCGTCTCGCGCTTCAACCTGATGGTCAAATGGGTGGTGTCGGAATGCGTGTTGACGGAGGCGGCGAGCGAGCGCGCGCGCTGCATCACAAAGTACATCCACATTGCCGCGCACGCGCACCGCCTGCGCAACTACGCCACCATGTACCAAATCACGCTCGCACTGCTGTCGACGGATCTCGCGCGCCTGCACAAAACGTGGGCCCTCGTGCAACCGGCGGAGAAAGCGGCGCTCACGCGCCTGGAGAAACTCTGCCAACCGCGCGGCAACTTCCACCAGCTGCGAATGGAAATGGAAGCCGCGTCCGCCGACGACGCGTGCATCCCTTTCATCGGCCTGTACACGCACGACCTGATGTTCAACGCGCAGAAGCCGGCGCGCGTGAATCCGCCGGCGACGGGCTCCGCCGTGCGCGGCGCCCCGACGGAGCCGCTGGTGAATTTCGAGCGCTTCCAGACTGCCGCGGGGATTGTGAAGGGGTTGCTGACGCTTATAGAGGCGTCGGCTAAATATGTTCTGCGCCCGCATCCGGAGGTGTTGAGTCGGTGTTTGTGGTTGGCTGCGTTGGAGGATGGGGAGATTTTGAGTCGCAGTCGGGGGTTGGAGGCTTGAGTGGATTTGCTCTGCACATGACGGATATCGGCATTGTTCTTCTCAATCTCGCGATGACTGATGGCATTTATCTCAGCGTGGATTTTGGAGAAGATGGGAAGAAAGGCATGCACACGCATAAAGTAAGAGAAGAGGAATGGAATGATGAAACGTAGCGAAAGTCTTGGTCAAGTATATGGCATGATCCTATTAAGCAATGGTGTCTGCTCATTGCACAAGTGTGAGTGGGTGAGACGATGGACGTGGGCACAGCCTGATCACGCTTCTTCCCTTTTGGGAAGCCGGCCGTGCTGGGTTCACTCGGCTCTCTCCTATTGGCTGGGGCGCGGCGCTCTTTCCTCTTGTCGTTGGAGTATGCGGTGAAGGTATTGCTCTTGCCGTGCAATTTTATTCTATACAAGTTAGGACTCCTCGCTTGCAACTTGTCTACGACGATATTGTTGCATATAGAAGCTGCTGAGCGGTGAATACATTAAGGTGGCCGGCAGTGGGTGACGAAAGCCCGCTCCACCTTCATTTGCCCCGCTGCCACCTCATCCCCCTCCCCACGTCTCTCCATCTCCCTCCAGCCTTCATACCCAACCTCCAATCTCTCCCTCGTACCAGCGCCACTCTACATCTACCCCAACGTATCCTCTCGCTGCTGCAAACACCCCCCACCATGGCGCCCGCGTCGACGCTCGTGAACCGCCTCAAGGTGCAGCTCAAACTCTCCATCTCGCGCCTGCGCATGGTGCAGCAAAAAGACGAAGCGCTCGCCAAACAAGCCCGCCGCAGCATGGCGCAGCTCCTCGAGCAAGGCAAAGAAGAGAGCGCACGGATACGCGTGGAGAACATCATCCGCTCCGACATGAACACCGAGCTGCTCGAGATCCTCGAGCTCTACTGCGAGCTGCTGCTTGCGCGCGCCGGCCTGCTCGAGGCCAAGGAGTGCGATGCGGGGCTCGAGGAGGCGGTCAAGAGCATTATCTACGCGGCGCCGCGGATCGAAGGCGTCAAGGAGCTGGGGATGGTGCGCGCGCTGCTGGCGGAGAAGTATGGGAAGGAGTTTACGTTGGAGGCGGTGGAGAATGCGGATGGCAAGGTGGCGAAGCGTGTGTCGGATCGGGTCAAGGTGGAGCCGCCGCCGCGGGAGCTGGTCGATGCGTATCTGAGCACCATTGCGGAGGCGTATAATGTGGACTGGCCGCCGGGCACCAAGGCGCGGAGGGAGGCGGAAGAGGGCGGGGATGGAGAGGATGACGACGACGAGCCATCGACGGGCGAGAAGGTGCTGCTAGAGGAGCCGCAATCGACACAAGAACTCAGCAAAGCCACGCCGCCACGCGACATGGGCCCGAGAAGTCCCATTTCCGTCAATCCGCCTGCGCCGAGCACCGACAACGTTCGTCCCAAGGTGAACCTGCCGGGCCCGCCGGTGCTGAAGCCGGGGAAGAAGATGATGGATGCGAAGAAGAAGGAGGAGGTGAATGGGGATAAGAAGGCGGAAATTGGGCCAGGCGGCAAGATCCCCGATGTCGACGAGTTGGCCAAGCGGTTTGCGCAGTTGAAGAGATGATGGAGATTGGCGTGGTCGGGGGGGATGGCGGTGATGGTTCAATGTGTCGTGTGGTTGAAGCGACAGTCACGTGAATGGATGCCTCGAACTCGGTGATGACGCTTGCCTGCTGCATCAAACAACCACAATCGCTCCTGTGCAAACAACGCCCCCTTCATCCAAGGCACCACTCCTTCCAAACATCGATCTGGCAGTCCACCACCAAACATGGATATTCATCACCTCATCCACCAGCATGACCAGCCACTTCTCCAGCAGGACTACATGCCCTTCACCACCATCCCCGCCCCCGACCTGCCAGCAATGCGCCTCATCTGGTCAGCTCACGTCATCCAGCCTTGTCTCCGTCCAGTCACACTAATCACTCCATACCCAGGCACCTCAGCCAGCTCGCCACCACCCTCACCACAGGCCTCAACACCTACCTCTCCCTCGAAGCCCTAGCGCGCGACACGCGCACCCACGGCCCGCTCAAACTCCCCCTCAACCCTCACAGCCCGACATCCCACCCCAACTACGCCTCCGCCCTGCGCGCGCAAGCCACGCTCCTCGCCGACTTGACCCGCTCCCTGCTGCACGCCCGCGACGCCCTCCTCGCCCACCACGCCCCCTTCCACGCCATCTGCGCCGCCGAGCTCCCTGCATACCGCTCGCTGGTCGATGCCGTGCATTTCCTCCCTCTCACAATGCAACTTATTCCCGTGCCTGGATCGCCTTTCATGGACGCCGCTGCGCTCGATGGGTTTGTGGTGTCGACGTTGCCCCGCGAGTCGTGCGTTCCTGATTCGCAGTGTGTGGCGTTGTTGCGCGCGCGGTGTGATCTGGCTGGTGAGCTTTTGGTGGGTTGTGGGGAGAGAGGGATTGTGGGGCGGACGCATGCGTGGAGGGAGGTGACGGATATGTTTGGGGCTCCTCCTGCGCCGTGGTAGGAATAGGGGGTCTCAATGGACGCTCTGGGAGGTATTGGAATGATCGCTGTAGAAGATCGCTACAGTAATGGCACGGCCCTACTTCGACCCACCAGCCGCCGCTTTCCTCCCATCAAGCACCCGCATGATATCCGCCATATTATTCCCATCCCCCTTCCTCTTCTTCGGCTTCCGCTTGCCCTTCTTCCCCGCTGCACGTTTGCCTCCCTCACCATCATCCTCCCCATCACCATCTCCGCCCCTCCACTCCGACAACTTCACCTTCCCATCCTCCCCTTCATCCTCCCCATCATCGAACCGACTACTCCCAAACCCCATATCGAGATCCTCTTCATCCCGATCTTGCTGTGCGAGCATAGCGGCGCGCTTCTTGAGGCGGGCGGCGCGCGCTTCTTCATCCTCGTCGTCGGGATCATCGTTGGTTCCTTCTCCTGTTGCGGTGGAGTCCATTTTGGCGGCCTTTTTGAGGAGTTCTTGCATGCCTGCCATGCGGTCTTGGGCGGGTTCTTCTTCTGCTGTCGTTGATGGGGTGTCTTTGAAGTAGTTGCGCGGTTGGGGCTTGGTTGTGTTTTCTGTAGGGGTTGTGGTAGGTTGTGCGGCGGTGGTGGTCTCTTCTTTGGGCTTGTTAGGCTTGGGTTGAGATGGTTTGGCTTCTTTCTCTGTGTCTTCGTCGTCGCTGCTGTCGTCATCGTTGTCGTCTTCATTTCCAAGTGGATCATATGAGGTTCCGACACCCGCGAAAATGTCTTCGTCCTCGTCGTCAGCCACGGGTGCGGGTGCTGTCTCTGGGATTGCAGCATCTGCTCCAAGCACCGGCTTGCTCTCATCTGGCATGTCCGCGAGGGGAGGTCTATCCTCCTCGCCCTGTTTCGACATAACCTTGCGCACCTTCTTCTTCACAACACCATCCTCGTCCACCGTAATCAGCACTTCTCTCCCCTTGTGATCAATCTCAATGCGACTTTTGCCCGGATCCCCCGCCTTCCTCCATCGGCTGTCAAGTAGGGGTGCAGCGGCCTTTGCTTCGGCGGCAGCTTTACGCTGAGCCTTGAGCTCCGCCATGAGTTCGTCTCGCGTCCTCTTCGTCCCCGCGAGAGGTTGTGGTGCAGCCATGCTCCCCTTCTTCTCCACCTTTTCCTTCCTCACAGCCTCCACCTCCCTCTCCCCCAACTTGTCCAACTCCTCGTCCACATCCGCGGTCGCCTCTTCTTCCTCACCCTCCCCCTCTTTCCTCCCTCCCAACACATCCTCCCCCCTCCTCACCCGCTCCAACAACTTCCAATCCAACCCCTTAACCAAATGCGTACTCCCCGCATCCCCACCCGCAATCCGATCCCTCAGCGTCTCAAACGTCTCCACCGAAATCTGCCCGAGTTTCATCTGCTCCTCCAGCGCAGCAACCCGCTTCGCCTTGTCCTCCTCCTCCCCGTCCTCCTCCCGCTCCGCTCTAGCCTTCGCCCGATCGGTGTAGCCAGCGGCATACTTGACGCCCTTTGGCGCAACGGATTTGAATTTCTTATTCTTGGAGGGATGCAGGGCGGTGTTGCGTTCGCGCACTTGGCGGGCAAAGTCGACTTCGTTGCTTCCGCTGCCGCTGCCGCCGCGATTGAGGGTGCGGGGGGTCATGGGCATGAAGCTGGACTTCTTCGCTCCCAAGGTGGAGGGCGCGGTGGACGCTGTGGTGGTGGGTGGGGAAGTGCCATTTTTCGCGGCGTCGTTGTTGAGGATGAGGCGGCGGAATTGGTTGTTGTTCATGGCGAGGGCCGTTGACTCTCGCGCACGAGATTGCGAGGTTGGAGGGAAGTGAGTGAGTGAAGTCGGACTTGGATCGGCGGGCGGCGTTCAACTTCTTTGGGCCAATTTAACTAACTCCGCGGTTTATCTCCACCACCTCCACCATTCACTTCTCCAGACTGATCGATCCAAGACACCGTGACTCACGTGTTGAACCGGATAGATCTACAAATGATGTCCTCCGACGCGCCCTACGCGTAAACCTGCTCACGGCTGCCTGTTGCTGCCTGTACACCAGCGACAGAACCACGATAGACTGCTTTCGTCAATGCGGAACAACGACACTCGAGCGGAGCTCAAACCAGACACCGCGCCACGGAACAAACACACCCCGGCCCATATATAACCCTGAACAGAATCCCTTCAGTGCATCCCAGCATCTTCCAGAGATACCAACCGTCAAAACACAGCTCAATCATCCGTCCCACTCCCAGGTTCTAAGCAACCCCAACCACAACCATGACCACCACCCTCCCCCCACCTCGCCTCTACAACCCCAAAACCGACACGCACCACCTCCCAACCCTAGCCCAAATCCACGCCGACTGCATAACCCACGACAACCAGCTAGCCACCTTCCTCCCGCCCCTCGACGCCGCCAAAATGCACTCCTACTGGCGCGACATAAGCGGCGAGGTAGAGCGAGACGTCACAGCCATCATTCTTCAACTTGCGCCTGCAAAACCTGACGAGGAGGAAGGCGAGGTGGCGGGGTATGTGTGTCTTATGATGCCGCCGTCCGAGACGGGGCCGTTTCGCGGAATGGTGAATAAGTTGATGGTTAGTCCGCGCTTTCGGCGGTTGGGGATTGCGAGGCGGGTGATGGGGATGTTGGAGGAGGTGGCGAGGGAGAGGCGGAGGGAGTTGTTGGTGAGTTTGTCTTCTTGTTTCTGAGTTGGTGGTGAGTTGATTACTGACGTTCGGCAGATTCTGGACACGACTATTGGGTCGGGTGCGGATTTGGTGTATCCGCGACTCGGGTACAAGGCGTTCGGCGTGCTGCCCAAGTATGGCATCAGCCCGAAAGACGGGAGTCTGGTGGACGAGCGCTTCTATTACAAAGATTTGCGAGATGAATGATAGTGGAGTGTTGAGTTGTTGATCTTGTTCAGCGCGTAGGATACAAGGTTACCTTAGAATCTAGAAGGCTCAGGTTGCTGATATGCACGAGTCCATCATTGCTTGGCCTCATCAAATTTGACTGTCCCTTCTCTCCCAACGCTTGCAAAGCTGAGAGTTGCTGGCCGAGCCTGCGATCCCGGCGCTTGCGTTGATGTGCCTGCTTCGGCCGCTGACTGCAGGGCGATAGCCTTCGGCGCAACACCCGCTGGAGTGTCCGCGAGCTCATTCACGTCACGTGTGGTCAGTACATCGCGGAGAGAAGAGCCTCGTGACTGCACCAGAATCGTTGCTGGGCCGTGGAAGTGGAGAAATAGCTATGACACCGTTAGTGAGGGTCGTTACATGGACGTGGTATTTTGAATCGGCCTCACCCGATCGCCCCAGATGGTCCGCCGCGCCCAAGTCCGAATCGTAAACGAAGCATCCCGGAAGAACCTCCACACCGCCGTCTCCCGCATGGTCCGCCAGAAGCGCGTGTCCGGCAGCCAGGAAAGCGGATTGGGAATCTGGAATCTCATGCTGCTAGCTTTGAAACGATATGGCTGCGGCGCGTGTTGCATGACGCTGTACGCGATGATGTTGCTCGGATGAATGACATATTCGTCGCCGGTCTTGAGGGTGATTTGGTGGATCAGGCCTTTTCCTGAGAGGGCGAGGAGGCCGCGTCCGGAGACGGATGTGCTACCCCAATGAGCCAAGCTCTTCCTTGGTCAGTCGAAATCGGATCAATAGCTTCGCGGAAGTAGAATAATTACCAATTTTCTGTTCACGCGCGGTGAAAGCTGCAGTGTATGTCCCGTCCATGCTAACAGCGCATTCCGTTGCGCTACCATCCAATCTAATCTTCCGTCGAGGTGCACAACCACCAGCGAGGTAATGGCGGATTTGGTGGAAATTAAAGCGGTGTACGGCGTTGTGGAGGAGACGCGTTGGTAGACGAAGGGGATTCCGAAGAGGATTCGACGGAAAGGCTCGAGTAGGGACAGGGTGGAGACAGCCTGGTGCATGACTTGTAAGCACAGAGTCGCGATCCGTAGCGACACATGTCCAACATACGTTTTCGGCCTTGCCATTGAAGCCAACAAGCGTGCCTTTGCGGGTGTATAGGTTCTGAGACGCGGAGATGGAGGCGGAGAGGAGGGAGAAGGGAGTGCCTAGCACTTCGAAGCGCGCATCTACAAGATTCATCAGCGCGCATTCGCCAGCAACGACGCACAGTCGACATACCAGGAGTGGAATTCGAGCCGGGACCGGCTTCACGGGTATCTAAATGCTGCTGCGGCTCCGTTGCCGATGGGGTTGCGCTGATGTGAATGAAGCGACGTGTAGGGAAACGAAGGGCGGTCCTTGATTGGGAGCAATGGCGACAGGAGGCGCAGACGGAGTCGAGCGCACGGTGGCGCATTGTGAGGAAGTGCTGCAACTCTGCGTTCTGTTGAATCGCGGCGCGCTCGGGACGAATGAAACATGAATGCTGGAAGCTCGAAACATTGGAGCTGCATGTGGGAGTGAAAGCTGACTAAGACACGACTCGACATCGCGCGCGAAGTCACGTGCCAGGCAGCCACGACTTGAGTCACGCTTCGGCTTGGCAGCGCTAGTCGATTCGGCCCGCGCTCCCTCCCGCGAGAGTAAATATTTAAGCCACGCCCGACTCCCCCTCTCCCTCTCTTCTTTCTTCTTCATCCGAGTGCACGGGCAGTACGCATATCAGTGAGGATTCGTCCGAGATTGCGTTTTTGCTAGTTGAAAACTATCAACAGACCGCTTCTGTTGGTCCTAGGATCGGCAGGGAATTTTTGTACACACATCACACCTTTTTTCATCAGTTTGCTGGCCATGGATGCTGCGTGCTGGAGAAGAAAGAGCGTCGTTGTTGAGAGATTGATGCGTGCGAGGGAGGGTGGTGTTGGTGACTGTTGGTGAGGTTGCTGCCTGGTGTGTTGCTGCCTCTGTGTGCGCGCGTGGGTGTGTTGGACACGTCTGCCTTCACGCGCCGGTGGCTTCATAATGTTTGTAGCAAGGTGGGATTGGAGACAGTGAGTGTGGACTCTTTTTGACTTCACATTCAATTTATAAGATTGTTCTCACATCACTGCAGTCACCGTTTGCATGCTCTGAACCTCTCGCCTCCTTGTAAGCGCGCCGTCATGCCGCGCTCTCCACGTCACTAACTCACCTCACCGCCAGCAGCGCTCGTCGTGCTCTCCCAACAACAGCGCAAGCAAGATGGCGCACCATGCCTCATCACAAGCTCACGGCGAAGAGCAAGACGACATACTCCAAGGGCTGATGGCCATGAACTCACGCGAACGCGTGGAAGCCTTCCGCTCCCACTTCATCCAAACCGTCGTGCCGCTCCACCTGCTCAAGCAGCCACCGCTCTGCGAAGACTACCCGCCCGACTTCAGCGACGACATTGTCGCCTCCTATCTCAGATTCACCACGTTCACTGTCACCGTGCGCGTCAACTACGATGCAGCTTGCAAGCAGTTCTACACGGATCGCCGAGTTCAAAACTGCGGCAAACTCGTCTTTCCGCCAAAAGCCGAGCGTAAGCTGATGCGCATCCCCGGCATCGAGGAGATTCCGTTCCGCCGCGTGCGCTTCGAAATCGGCACGCCGTTTCAAGAACTGGCCGCCGTGCTCTTCACGATGGTCAACACGAAAGACGGAGGGAGGGAGACCAGGGCTCGATGGAAGATGGTGACTAATGAGGAGCATCTCCACCTCACCAACTTCATCGACGATACGTGCGCTTACATCGAGAATAATTGCTCCCCTTCCGACGACTATGATGGCTTCCAGCTGAACGACATTCGCTTGCTCGCCGGAAGATTTTCACGCCACCAGACCGAGCGGGAGCTTGCGATGAAGCACCGTCAGTTCATTCGTCGCGAAGGCGTGTGGATGGATCTGGAGGAAGATTACGAGAATGAGGGGTGGACGGACTTTGACGCGCTGGGTAAGACGTGCTCGATGAGTTGCGAGGGGTGCACCAGTGGGTACATCAGTGGCATCCGACGCCTTCGCGCCAGGCGGATCGCCTGAGCGCAGCATTCTACGACGGGGGGAGTGAGACACGACGGAGGGAGACGTCCTGGACGAGTGCACGAGACACATGAATCACGCTGATGACACGGGAGATGATACGCAAGGAACGACTTCATTAAGCCACAGCTGAGCAGGCTGGCGGATGGTATGGAATGTGCACCTTCACAATTCCTCTCTCTTGCTCTCACTTCCTGTTCCACCTCCGCTTCCATCATTGTGAGGTCTTTCCCATCTCTTCCTTTTCCACCAACAAGCATCCACCTAATAGCAGATGAAGCTCCCGACTTGATCGTTGAAGCCATCCGCGGTCAAGTCCGCAATGCCAGGGTAGGCGACATTGGGCAGATCGCCGTCGGCGTAGTCGCAGTCGTTGCTGCGGTAGAGGGTGCAGCCGGAGATGTCCTGCCCGGGCTGAACAGCAGAGACACCGAAGTGGGGAGTGTAGTCTGTTGAGTGAGACAGTAAGCAGTCAGCAAACAATGTCACAGAGGGAGAAGTAGACAGTGATGATGATCAAACTTACAGCACAACCCAGGACTCACGTACCCGCCGTCACACGGGGGAGCAAACTCCGCATTCTCGCACATGATGATGAAGAGCTGGCTGGGCACTTTGATGCTGAACTCGTCGGAGGGCGGGGTGACGGGGGTGAAGGCGAAGTGGGATTTGCTGTGGGCACGGCCGCGAGGGGAGGCGGCGATGGTGCGGGCCAGGCTGAGGGTGAGGATGGCGGCGGAGAGGAGCTTCATTGTGGTGAATGTTGCTTCTGCTGGTTGTGGTGGAGGTGGATGTTGGGAGTCTGAGGCGTGAGAGGTAGAGTTGATGGAGGAATCGTTGTCGCTTTATAGGTTTGCAGAAGTGCTGAAGTTATTCGATGATGGTCGTGCAAAGCTCGTAGCAAACGCCGCTCCCGTGGCCTCGGGGGATTGCAGGTGCGGGTGTGACGCAAGTGCCTGCCTGATGGTTGCACAGAGGAGATTTGATAGGGAAGGTGCGAGTGGCATATGCACTCCCTTCCAGGCAGTAGCATGATTGGCGATGTTCCGTAGTGCAAGCTGGAAGAAGACGAACTCCCGCATTGCGATTTACGCTACGCTACGCTACGTCCGAGTTGGGCTCACAATAGTATAATGAGCACCATCCTTTGCGACTGTGGGAACCTTGAGATAAGGTACCTTATCATGTGCCTGTTGTTCGGTCAGTCCATGTATGTGTGTAATAGCTTACAAAGCAAGGCAGCACCGCGGCAGCGGGGATTGCACAGCCTTGTGACGTGAGAAAGTGAGGCCGAGTTGGGGCCAATGGGCTGGCGCGAAAGCTTAACAGCTCATGAAACTCAGGTCCAGCTCAGCTCACGCGGGCATGTTGATCCTCTCGTGAAGTGCTGAGCGGAGGCTGGTTTCGTACGGCGCTCATCTACCATCATCATCATCTCCGTCTCCTGCCTCCTCCGCCTAGCCGCCCACCCCGCTCCCCTCCCCCTCCCAACAGCGCCACCGCCGCAATGCAAGGTATCAAGATTGGCCTCCTCGTCACGCGCATCTGGCTGCTTATCTGCGCCTGCGTCGTGCTGGGCACCTCGGCCCACCTCACTAGCGTCACCAAAGCCATTTGCGATTACATCAATGGCGATGGGGGCTACTGCGACGAAAGCCATCTGCTGGCCCCCTTGAGGTACTGCATATTTGTAGGAGTCTAGGGCGTAGTTCAAGTGCTCGTGGGCCTGGCGGGCGTCTTTGCCGCCGCCGTCCCGTGGATTGCGGTTATTGTCGTCGATGCGCTGGCTCTCATCTTCTATCTCGCGGGCGGAATCGTAAGTCTCACCTCTTCCATACTTGCCCGCCGCTTGCACCCACTAATGGCACATGTGCAGACGCTGGCCGTGTGGATGCATAACATCGGCGGCTGCCGCGCCGGCCCTATTTGTGGCGAGCTCAAAGCCGACATCGCCTTTTTGTTTCTTGGCCTGTCCGGCTACATTGTTGCTGTCGTCCTTGTTTTCGTGTGGCAGCGGAGGCGGCAAGCCAGAGACTGACAGCGAAAGATGAACGAGACATGCGGAGTGGAGGGTGTGGTGTTTGTTGGAATGTACTTTGCGTGTGGGTATCTCGTGCAACTATCGTGCGCTCTGTGCGCTAGCAAATGCCATGTAACGCCCGCTAAAGCCATAAAGATAACATCTCGAATGGCATGCATCTGTCCTTCACGACTTCAGCAGTCATCCATCCTCCTCCTCGTCACTCGTGGCTTCATGGTTCTTCTTGAACTTGAACTTGTCCAGCTTGCTCTTCTTCTTCGGCACCGGCTGCTCCTCTTCTTCTTCTTCTTCTTCTTCCTCCTCCTCTTCAACAGCCTCTTCCACTACATCATCATCAGCCTCCTCTTCCACGCCTTTGTCCCCATACGAAGGTCGCGGCACCTCCGCCCCTCGCGCCTTCAGCACGCCCTCTACAGCCGGTAAGAGCTCCAGGAGGGCGGAGTATTGCTCGATGGTCATGGAGATTCCCTGCCACCGGTCAGTCAATCATCCAGACACATGCTAGAGAATCTCCTCAATCAAGGAAGAGAGCACACACCTTCTTCCCCGGCAACATCTTGCCATCCTTCTCGTAAAACTCGCGAATGCCCACCATCAGCTTGCCGTTGAACGTAGATACTCCGACTCGGCGTTTGTCAGTCAGCTGAACATACGAAGTCTCACGTCAGTCCTCGAATTCATCTCAATAAGCAAAGCAATGGCTGCGAACGCACCTCCCAGAACTCATTCCCCTCTTCGTCCTTCTGCATGTGGGCATTGCGAGGCTTGGACTCCGTCTTGAGCTTCTTGCTCTTCGGCGCGTCTTCCACGAACCCGTCGTCCGATTCGTACGTCTCTCGATGCTTGCGCGCGAGCACCTTCTTCGACATTTTCGCGTTTCGAAGTGATTGTGAGGAATTTGTTGGAAGATGGATCGCAGCCTGGTGACAGTGGAACGCGACTTCAACGCGGTGTCAAGTGATGTCACCGAAAGCTGACTAAGCTCACTCTTCTCGTCGAGATGCGCGACACCAGGTATATCTTCTAATGCCCTTACAGAGGTGACTACAGGTGTCTCACTAAGAGTGAATCGAAGGTCAGAATGCTTGATTCACCCCCGTCCACCCAGGATTCTCCTTCGCGCTTCTGAGCATGATACCAGGCCAACTCGCAGCAGGCGCCTTCGCAGGTTGCCGCATAGCCTGCTCAACAACAGCATCGCCCAGCACCTTCTCAATCTCGGCGCGTGGGAATGTGCCCTCGGTCTCCTGAACCACACTCGACAATCCCTCGAGATGAGGAGACCGCTTGAAGTCCACCGACACGCCGATCCGCACAAGTCTCGCCAATGGACTGATTCTCTCCGCGATGCCCGGCGATGTGTGGATCGCGATCGCCACCCAGACATCGTGCATGTCCTGCTCCGACGCATTCGTGCCTGAGTCTCGCATCACTGCGACAGCTGCATCCGCGCCTTCCACTTCGAAGCGTTGTGCGCCGTTGTGCGCATCCGTGGTTCCTACATCGTGCATGATACTTGCAGTGAACAGCAGGGGCAGGCGGTCTATCTTGCTCCACTCGCTGGCTTCGCGAACGGCGACTTCCTTTGCGTACAGGAAGACGCGAATGCTGTGGTTGAGAATGGCCGGGTGGAGAAGTTGGCTCGCGTACTTGTAGGCCGCTTGGGACAAGTCGTCGGATGGCACGCAGTCGGGTATGCTGTCCGATGCGAGAGCCGTTCCGGTCAGCGACGAGGCGGTAGTCGGTATACACATCGCGGTCTTTCGATAGCGTTGCCGTTGGTCTGGTTTGAGCGGTGGTGTATCGATGTTGGACAATATTAGCTGTTATGCGCTCCGTTGCGCCGAAACATTGACTGGATCGCGGAGGGCGATTAGTCATCGCGAGACCAACCCCGCGCCCTTCGTGTTGATATGAGGTCGGTGGACGAATCACTCTCTTTTGACCCAGAGGGAGAAGCGCGTGACACGGGTGGAAGCAGCAGGAGATTCCGATGTGATACGGTTCGGCGATGTGGTTCGGCTTGCAGCAGATTTGACAGAGCATTCCCGTCACTCCACCTCCATCTCTTCGGCAGGCGTGGCAACAGCCTGCTCGCTTGTGGCCGCTGCGCTCGCAGTCCCATCAACCTGCTCTTCTTCCGCTTGCGCGTCTTCGGCCATGGTCGATATAGCCGCCGGCGTCTCCTCCATATCCACATCCCCTTCCTGAGCCTGCAGCATCGGTGATCCGGCCAAGCTGCTGCTCCGCAACTCTTCATCGACATCCAGCATTTTGTTGCTGGGTCGTGGAGTTCCATCACCGGTCTCCGGGAACGGTGTCTCGTCTCCTCGCATGGGTGTTCCTCCCCCAAGCTCCGCGCTTCCTGGCATAGGTGTCCTGCCTCCCAGATCCGTGCCCTGCATCGGTGTTCGCCCGCCAATATCAGGACCAGGCGTTCCAAGTCGACTTCTCCCTCCCTTGGCAGTCGCTGCCCCCTCCTCTCCATCGTCCATAGTCTCATCCTTCTCAGTCTCGGGCTCAGGCTCATCTTTGATCCCCTTGATAACCCTCATCATCGCCTGTCCCTCCGCAACAACTCTGTCGAACGCCTCTCGCCTCCCCACCCATGTGCCATCATAGTCCGCACTCTCCTGCTGCAGGTCCTCAATCTCCTTCTCCAGCTTCACGATGTCTTCCGTCGTCTCCGCGCGAGCCTTTAGTTTCGGCGTAATCAGCTTGGCCGCCAACTCATCGTATCCCTTTCGGAGTTCAAGCATGCGCTGCGCTTCTGCCAACTGCGTGCGTAAGCCTAGTGTGTTATTCTTCACCGCCTGCGCCGTCTCCACAATCTTTGCTTTCTCGGCCGCGTAACGCTGACGTTCTTTCGCGTTGGAGGATTGGAGGAGCTGAATGCGGCGAATGCTGTTTTCGAGCACGGCAAAGTCTAGGAGCACATCATCGTGGATTCGCTGGCGTTTGGCGGCATTGTCGGTGGCAGTGGCATCTGGTGCTTCGCTTGCCTCGCCTTCGGGAGGGGGTGAAGGGAGTTGAGTCGGCGGAGTCCATTGGAGGAGGGAATCTTTCCCGAGTAGATGGCTAGTTACGCGCTGGAATGGGCGCTCTTCGATTGCGAGGAGGCGCGCGGCGTGAAGCGCATCTGTTTCGACAAAGTGAGTAGATGGCGATAGCGCGCGATGGTAGGACTTTGCGCTCACCTTCTTGTGCCTGTTCAGGGAGAAAGGTGTAAGCATGAGCGGACATTTCGACGGCTTGTCACCTTCGATCAAGCGACAGGGTTCGTAGTCGGTCACTGTATGAGTGTACAAATGTGGACTTCTAGACGCGAGCTCGTTCACTTCCACCAAGATTCCTGAACCTTGGTTGCTTACTAAGCCTCCCGCGGGTGACGCCTTCCACCGGCGCCTGAACGCGAAACAACGAGGAAGCTCATCAAGCTCGTTCCAACACCATCTCCCATCCCTCTCCTTCATCTCCTCCCATCCGTGACACTCCTCCACAACCTCCCCATTCACCCACCCTCTCACCGCCACGATGGACGCCCTCGTCCAACAATACTCCCGCCCATCCCACCAAAACACCCTCTCCTCCAACGCCGCCTTCCCAGACGACTCCGAACTCACCACCACGATCCCTCCGCCTCTCAGCCTCAAATTCGCCCTCCCTCCCATCACAGCGCCGCAATCATGGCTCCGCAGCATGACCGACGACCACGCGAACCCCAGCTGTCCTATCAAGATTGCGCACGGCACGACAACGCTGGCTTTCCGATTCAAGGGCGGGATTGTCGTGGCGACGGATTCGAGAGCGACGGCGGGCAACTGGATTGCGAGTCAGACGGTGAAGAAGGTGATTGAGATTAACAGCTGTTTGCTGGGGACGATGGCGGGCGGTGCGGCGGTGAGTTGGAGCTTCGTAAATGAGTGAAACTAGGGAGAAGTGCTGACAGATGGCTGCAGGATTGTCAATACTGGCTCGCATATCTCGGCATGCAGTGTCGTCTGCACGAGCTCCGCCACAAGCAGCGCATCAGCGTGGCCGCGGCATCCAAGATTCTCGCCAACCTGGTGTACAGCTACAAGGGCATGGGGCTCAGCATGGGCACGATGTGCGCGGGTGTCACGCCCACCGAGGGGCCTGCGCTCTACTACATCGACAGCGATGGTACGAGATTGTCCGGAAACTTGTTCTGCGTGGGAAGTGGACAGACATTCGCGTATGGCGTGCTGGACGCGGAGTACAAGTACGATATGGAGGACGATGAGGCGCTCGAGCTGGGCAAGCGGAGTATTCTCGCTGCCACGCATCGGGATGCCTACTCTGGTGGATTCATCAATCTTTACATTGTCAAGGAGAAAGGTCAGTCGCAGTCTTGATCTTGCAGAGCGCTGCTTTGAAGGCTTGTACTAATGCTGTGTCGCTTAGGTTGGGAGAAGATCGGCTTCATGGACACCAACCCCATCTTCTGGCAAACCAAGCTCGAAAAGGGCGAGTTCTCGAATGTGACGGCCAAGCTGGACTAGAAGTCGAGATGATCTCATGTGATTTCGAGAGGATGGAGTAGTGGGAGATTCGCCCGCCCGCCTGGATGGACGGATGCTTCACCGGTGTAATCGTAGTACTACTAGATGCATAGCGTGCGCAAGGTATCCTTTATCTCACACGTCTGTTCTCCTGTCTGGTTTCATGATCGCAAGACCGACCGCCTTCACCCTCGCGCTGGGTCTTGGCGCATATTGAGCTCGCAGCCTCCAGGCTGATGCGCGCGCCCCACCACGAACTTCAAGTGTCACAACCAACCTCACCTTATCATCATCACATTCACTCGCGCCGAACCTCAATCACCACCACTCATCCCTTAGTCGTACCTACACATCTCCAACCCTCACCCTCGCCGACGAAGCGTCAACCGCAAAGATGGAAATCAAGTACGGAACTCCCCACCTCACCCCATCACCAACACTCCCCCAGCTAACCAGACCCTTCCACGCAACCAGAGTCCGCACCCTCACCGGCAAAGAAATCGAGCTCAACATCGAAGACAGCTACAAGGTACATCAACGCCCATCCGACGCGCCCGCCTACCCTCCCTTATTCCATCTCACCCTCGACATCTGAAAGAGCGAGAGCGTGCGCTATATACCCCACCCACGACAAACCCTCTGGCCCCGAGAATGCAGAAATGATAGGGCTAACCCGTCCTCCCTCGCACGCACAGATCTCCACAATCAAAGAGCGCGTAGAAGAGAAAGAGGGCATCCCGCCCGTGCAGCAGCGGTTGATCTTCGGTGGGAAGCAGATGTACGTGGGAACTACCTATCCGAATCGGGAAGAGACGGGGCAAACCGGGGGAAGACGAATGCAGGAGCGACGGAAGCTAATGCCAGTGATGGTTGTAGGAGCGACGATAAGACGGCGGAAGACTACAAGCTCAAGGGCGGCGATATCCTGCATTTGGTGCTGGCGTTGCGCGGCGGGTGCTGAGGGCTTGCAGAGAGCGGAAAGGTGGCGTGGAAGGTGGGGAGGTGGTGCGCCAAGCGAGGACGCCGACATGCCTCGTCTACGGACTATGATTGAATGAGATGCGGCAGAAGAGGGAGATAGAGGAGGAAAGAAGCATTGGAGCAGCGTGGATTCATGGTAGCATTCCAAGCTCTTGCATCGATTGATCGTGGCTAAACAGGAAGTAGATAGTATGCAAGCAATCCCAAACTCCCCTAAGACGCCGACATGATCCAAGTCAATGCAAAAACGTTCACGCCACCCCAGTCACCCTCCTAATATTCCTCCTCGCCCCCTCGCCCACAACCTGCACCCGGCCCTCCTGCTCCAGAGCTCTAACCGCCTCCGCAAACTCCTGCCCTTCGATAGGCACACTGCTCCCCTCGCTCAACGTCCGCACCACATCTCCATACCGCGCACTACTGCCCCCACCCGTGCGCAACATCTCATCCAACACCCCGAGAACCCCACTCTTCAAGTCCTCCTTGCGCTTCCTCTCCGACGCGCTCGTCCCCTCCGTCAGCAAGCCCATATCGATCAGCCCCGTGCGAGCATCGGTAGCGGCTTGCTTGAGCGCGGATTGGATGAGGCGCACCGCCTCCTCGACATCCTCGGCCGTCACTTCGGAGCTCAGGCGCATTTTCGCGTGCGCTTCCGACAGTCGGATCATGCTTTCTAGCTGTCTCGTTGTTGCCGTTATCCGGCGTTCGGCGGCGCGGATGTCCTCGCCGAGTTTGCGCATCGCGACGTACGCACGCACCAGGGCGTCGGCGGCCGGTTGGGTGATTTGAGGGTGAATGTTAGCGCGGGCGTAGGAGATGTAGGACGTGAGGAATTCGACGGGCTAGAGAGGCGGTGTTAGTCGGAAGGTCATTGTGAACGACATGGTGGCAGCACTTACCAGGATTTCCTCCCTGCTGGCATTCTCAGGGGCGTCCTCAAGATACATCCCCACCAAATGTCTCGCGAGCTTCCGATCCGCGCTCTCCTCAATACGATCCAGCACCAAGTACACCAAGTCGAATCTGCTCAGCAGCGTCGGGGGCAGGTCGATGTTCTGCGGCACTGGAAGGTTGGGATTGTACTTGCTTCCGATGGGATTGGCGCTGGCGAGGATGCTCGTCCGCGCGTTCAGCGTGGTGATGATGCCCGCTTTGGCGATGGAGATGGTCTGCTGTTCCATCACTTCGTGCAGCACCGAGCGAGTCGACTCGGACATCTTGTCGAATTCGTCGATGCAGCATATGCCGCCGTCGCTGAGGACCAAGGCGCCGGACTCGAGCACAAGGCTGCGGGTTTCAGGGTCGCGAGTGACGTACGCTGTAAGACCGACTGCTGAGGAGCCCTTACCAGAAGTGTAAACACCTCGAGGGGCGATCTTGTGCACGTATTCCAGCATCTTGGATTTGGCGGTGGATGGGTCGCCGCAGAGGAGGACATTGATGTCGCCGCGATACTTCGGCGAGCCACCCTTCTCGAAGCTCTTGTTCGTACCGCCAAATAACTGAAGCAGGATGCCCTTCTTCACGTCCTCCATTTCGTAGAGGGAAGGGGCGAGAGAGCGAGAGAGGATTTCGTAAACGTCCGGTCTCGCGCCAACCTCTCTAATCTTCTCTTCCTCGGCCTCAGTCACCTTTCGAGACTCTTCAATGCTGCCGGCAGCCTGCTCAGACAGCTCTTGCTCGATTGTGGTTGTGTCAATGCCCATGCGACGCTTGTCGACTTTCTGCACGTGGAGGCAGTCGACGTAAGTCTTGAAAACGTTCTTGACACTCCTTTGTCGCGGGTTGGTTCTGACAGAGCTGCATTTGAAGATGCCCGTGATCTCGACGCGATCGCCAGCCTTGCAGATATCAACGAGCTCATCATACGCGCACAGCGAGACAGAGTGTGGCGTCTGACCGTCAGGCATGGAGTCCGGTGTCTCCTGAAGCTTGATGACCTGCTTGTCTGCAAAGTCGGAGCGGTTGTGGACGATTTGCATGCTGTTGCTCGAACTGCAGGCCTCTCGCGGACATCTCGTCGGCTCGGCGATCTTGCCACGGTCGATGTCGACCTTCAGAGTGTGATGGCATACGGAGCAACGAAAGAAGGCGGCTTTCATGTCCGGAATGACGGGGGTCGTGCGGATGACAAGACCTTTGATGGAGACGAGCTTGTCCATATCGTTCGGGTTGAGGTCGCGAAGGTTGATGGTGTGATCAAGTCCGAAGGGGCGGACACGGTAGATGTTTTGCTCGCACTCTGCGACCAGATCTTCCACATCCGCTGGCTGTGGAGCTGCCTCGTTTGCTTGACCGCCCATCTCGTTGTCCATATCCGAGCTCGGCATGGGAGGCATGGAGCTGGAGTCTCTCGCTCGCTGGGTTTGATTCTGACGAGCCTGCTGGGACTGGGTGGATCGCCGCTGATTCATTCTCTTCTCAGCCATCTCAATCATTGCATCCTTGACCGCGGAATCCATGACGGGGATGATTTCGGCCGGGAAGGACTGCAGCTGGTACCACAGCTTCCTGGTCGGGGGGTAGGCCTTCAAATTCTTCGCATCAAGGTATAGACATGTAGTTCCGAGCTCCAACATCGTCTCCAGCATTTGCACATACTGCTTTTCATTGTCCGGGTGCTCTTCCGGCAGATATGGGGAGTCCGTGGTATCGCCATCCAGCATTCGCCGGTACTTGGGCTGGAAGTTGCGCAGAAAGTCCTTCATGGCGTGGAAAGCATCTTGAATGGAGACATTGGTTCCCCAGATCACCCTGCTTGACTGTCCACCAAGCACGTCTGCATCAGAGGTATTTGGATTGAGATTGGAGAAGGTGGCTGCGTCGGAGCCGGCGTCTGGGATTGGCAAGCCATTCTCATCCACCAACACTCGTCTTCTTCGTCCACTGCCAGCCTCCAACACGTCCGAATCGATGTCATGTCTTCTCTCTCGGGCATTGCTTCCAGAAGCGGTGAATGGTGAGCGCACGAACAGGCCGGTCGAGCTGGGCTGATCTGCGCGATGGTTATCGGACGTGGGGCCGGGAGCGTCGGAACTAGGGGCGTAGTGGATCGGCGAGGAGTCTGCGGAAGAGTGATTAGCGATGTTGCTGATTGCAGGGTATGATGTGGTGCAACTTACCGCCATAGCCTCCCGACTGACGTGGTGTCCTCGCACCAATACTGCTGGAAACATCGCTCTGCTGGCGCAGCGGCGAGCTGCCTGCAGTGAAGCCATTCGCCGCAGGTACATTCAACGACTGGCTTTGGCTCTGCGATTGGGAGGCGGCGGGAGAGGAGCGAAAGAAGAGCGGGGAGGAGGTCGGCGGCGCCTGTGACTGCGACTCGTTCTGCGATGATCGAGCGTTGCCGCGCGGAGTAGTCTGGTCGTCTCCTGCTGCGGGCTCAGGGAGGATGGGATCGCTGCTCATGGGAGCATCAGAGCCGGCGGTTCCACGGGGAGTGCCATTCACGGAATTGCGATTGGAGCGGCGGGATGCTGGCGACGACATGTTGGCTGCTCATACAATCGTGAAAGCGAGCAGATGTGTGAAGGTGTAGAGAAGCAATGCGGAGGGGCTTGATGGAAAGACGCGCCGCGTCGCGTAAAAGTCGCGGTGGAAAAGCGGGTCCGCGCTGCAGCCACTTTAGGCCCGATCGGGAAGCACAAATGATGAGGTGAAAGTGGAACGTCGCGAGGCATTTCGTCGACCTCGACACGCAGTAAACCAACACAAGACTCAAAAATGCCGCCATCGCAGTTGGCAATCGCGACTTCGGTCGTCAACCGTTTGGTGAAGGAGGAGAAGAGCTACCACAAAGAGCACGAGCAGCAGCAAGCCCGCATTACCAAGATGGAGCAGAGCAACAGCACCGAGGAGAATGCGGAGTATGAGTTGCGACAAGAGGTACAGATATGCTCCGTCTAGCGTTTGGCGACCTGCGTGTTGATGTGTTTGAACAGCGCAAAGCTCTGGAGGAGACCAACGCCATGTTCCCCGAGCTGAAGAAGAAGATTCGCGATGCGCTTGCACGGCTGGAGCAGCAGTTAGTATGTTGTCTCACCCTACCTGTCTACTTTATCTGCCTGTCGTGTTCACTGACTGGTCCTTCAGGAACAAGACAAAGGCCCAGGAGATCAAAGCACTCCCGAGGACATCACCAAGGCGAAAGACGCCGTGGCTTCTGCCTTGACAGCGATACGGGAGAGCTCATGATGACGCGTTTACGATGGGTTGGGAAGCGCTTTAGATTTGAAACATTCTCAAGGCCTATTTCCACAGTCCTCCTCATCCTCCATCCTCCCAGTCCTTGCGGTGCGCTTCCGAGTCCTCCTCTGATCCCAGTCCGGTCCTTCACCCGACCTCCTCACTTCACCTTCCTCTTCTTCGTTGGCATGAATATCGACACGGGAGCCGGCGATCGCTTCTTGCTCACCACCGGTGCTGGAGTGAGCATGACGGGTTTCGGGCTGTCTCCGGGTGTTTTGACAGGGGACGGCGTGCGTGCTGGCGGTGTGATGGTGCTTGTCGTCTCTGTGTTGGGTTTCGCGGTCGCTACCGGGGTACGAGCTGGTGCCGGCGATTGTGCTGGTCCTGTCGCAGTGCCCGTAGCTGCCGTCTTGGATTTGAAAGTCGCGTCCGGTGTTCGTGCTGGTGGTGTTGACACTCCCGTACCCCCAGCCTTGAAGGTAAAAGGCGCCTCAGGTGTTTGCGCGGGCGGTGTCGAGCTGCCTGTCCGTGGTCCCTTGGAATTGGAATAGAAAGTCGTCTCTGATGGGGTGCTGAACGTGGTCACGAGCGGCTTCACCCGTCCTCCGCTCTCTTTGGCCATCTGCTCGTCCCGATCCAATCTGCTGAATGCTGCCTTGAGCGCCCTCTCTGGCGCGACGGACGCTCCTCCAGTGAAGCGATACATGAGCGGGCGAGCTTTGGGTACTCGCATCCTCGTTTGAGATTGTTGGTACTCTTGTAACCTCGATGGTTTGCTGTATCTGTCGGTCTCCGTGGTTGGTGTGTTCGTGGCGGTGGTGGTGGCCAGGGTCCTGGTCTGCGGCGCCATCGGTGTTGTGCGTGACGGATTGAGATTCCCGGGTTTTTGCGTCGAGGTGACCAGGGATTTGGGCGCCGGCACGGGAGTGCGCTTGAATGGCGGGTTCGTAATCGGGCTCTTCCATTTCGCCGCCGTCGAGCTCTGCTTTCTCAGCGCGCTCATCACGTCGGCGCCAGTTTTTGCATTCTTCAACGTTGGCTTCTTCACTGGCTGCACAGAGATGCCCCATCTACCAGCGTTGGGATTGGGTTTGCCGTCGAGGAAGGCGGTTTGTCTCTGCGGCTCCGGCATCACCCTCTGCACGAACTTGACTCTGCTCTCCTCCTTTTTCTGAAAGGCCTCCGCCATGTTTGCGCGCAACTGCTCGTCCTGCTCGTCGTGTTCCCTCTGCTGGTCTCGGAGCATCTTGCGGTACACCTTGCCCCAGCTCGTTGGATTCTTCGGCTCGAACTTCTTCTTCTTCCACTCAATGATGTCTCGCATGATGAACTTCTTCCAGAGAATGGCGTCATGTTCAGCGATGTGGGGGGAGTTTTCTTCGATTTCTTGGAGTTGGTCGGGATTGGTGATTGCGTCGAGAATGGGGAATACCAGTCGGTATTCCATGTCGCCCACGCTCTTCACCGAGTCGATGTTGCGGATGCATTCCCGCTGGGCCAGGGAGCGTAGTGACGGTGCTCCCATGGTGGGCAGCTGACTGTCAGTGTGCTTTCAGGCGGTTTTCTGGGGTCGTGGGGGTTGAAAGTTGCGGATGTGTGCTTGTGTTTGAGCTTGAGGTTTGGTGGCTGAATGTTGGAGTTGTGGAGTGTGCGAAACTGCAGAGGTTTGCAGTATCTTGACAACTGAACATGAGGAGGAAGAGAAAGGGGATTTCGGGGGGGACGGGGCTTTATTAATAGGTGACTCGAGCGAAAGCAGGACAATAGCGAGAACACGACAATAGGTAGAATGACGGCTGGTTGGTGGGGCTGGGTTGCCTTCAGCAGATCCACGGCTCAATTTAGATGAACCTAATTCCCACTTCACCTCCACCATTCACCGACGAGCAATTGTCAATCATTGGCAGTGGCGCCGTCAAGAACAGTTGCCACATGATGCTTTCGACGAATCTCGGCTGGTGACAACACGATGTTGCCCAGTCAATCACAATGTCCACAAACTGGCAAACAGGCTTGACCTTCAGTGACCGTCTCGTGGCAACCTCTAAAATGTAAGTGCACGCGTGGAAACATGGTCCAGCCCAAAATCTAATTCGGTGAGAAGTTCAGCGGCGTATACTGCAGCGAATCCGAATTGCGCCCCATCGGAAGCTTCCAAATATGCAAAGGGCGTCGAAGAATCCGCGAGGAAGCATGCTACGTCTATGGTGGGTGCCGCGTTACTGGAGACTGCTTGATCTTTAATGCTGAATAAGCGCAGACCGAATATGCGGAGCAGTGCGCAGAGGCCACTCGCCGCCTACTCCACTCTGCAGAGTCTGGGTCGGAAACAGAGAACCATGTGCCCGAGGCGTCGGTAGTCGAAGAAACGACAGACCCGGGCGTTTGCATCGGTCGGTACACTAATGCGCGGCATTTTGTAGACGGCTTGTTCTCCGAGGTCTACAAAGCGAGTCTCCCAGGAACTGAGTCTACGACTGGTCGAGGTCGGACTGTCGCACTCAAGGTAACGACCACATCGTTGGTTAGACCTCCGCACAATGCCGAAAGAGAGGCCCGCATATTACTCGTGGCAATTTCACCACACGTAGTTCCCCTGCTGGAGTCCTTCAAGCAGCCCGGTGGCAAGCTGGTCCTCGCCTTCCCATATATGCTTCACGATCTGGACGTCCTCCTGCATAGGAGACAGCTCCCCAGCCAAGCCCGACGGCCTATCTTACGGGACCTTTTCTCGGGTCTGGCGCACCTGCACAGTCTGGGCATCATCCACCGGGACATCAAACCATCCAATATCCTTCTCGCATCTCCCACGGGTCCGGCGTACATTGCTGATTTTGGCATCGCTTGGTCCGCAACAGATGCCGCATCAGAGCCTGCCAAGGACAAGATTCTCGATGTCGGTACGACATGCTATCGGCCGCCGGAACTGCTGTTCGGACATGCCGCGTATGACTGCTCACTGGATCTGTGGGCTGCTGGCTGCGTTGCTGCGCAAGTCATTTGCTTGAACGGCAAGACTTTATTCGATGCTGGGGATCTTGGAAGCGAGTTGGCGTTGATCAAGAGTATCTTTGAGACGCTTGGAACGCCTAATACGAGTGTCTGGCCTGTAAGCGGTCTCCCGGCCTTGGAGAACATGAAGGACGAGCTAATCTTGTACAGGAGGCGGCAACTTTCCCCGATTGGGGCAAGATGAACTTTCGGATCTATCCCCGCCGACCATGGGAGCAGATACTGCCTGGCGTGGAAGTCGACGCGTTGGACTTTGTGAGCAGGCTGGTGGTGTATGAGTCGGGGAGTAGGCTTCGGCCGGAGCAAGCTTTACAGCATCCGTATCTCAGAACCTAGCATGCTGAATGGAGGAACTGAGCTTCCGCAATCCCATTAGATCTATTGAAATGCATATTATATGTCTCCGTGGTTGTTGCGATGTGTGTTCTCGTCGAAGCCCGCGAGGCGCGCCGTTGCTAGAGCATTGTTTTGACCCCACACACACCACCCCTGCAGCCCAGCCCAACCCTGAAACTCTATTTGCGGCGAGCAACTCCTTCTGCTTCCCCTCTCGCTACGGCACAATTTCCATTCCATTTGCATGCACATCAACTCGCCAGCGGAGATGCTTAGGTGTTGCTAGCCTTGGAAGAGTCTTGCAACAAGGACTGGCGTCTTAACACCGAGCGCTGAGGTGGGCGCTACAACGCCATGGCGTTTCTCTGGGGCCGCAATCGGCAGCGCTCTGCGTTGGATCTGGTCAGGTCGAGCAAGGAACTACTTCTCCGTCTAACCAAAGACGATGGACAGCTGCAAAAGGTAAGGCCTTACTCACATCTCTCCTTTGGGCCATCCCTCGCTAACCTCCATCAAAGACGGAAGAGGAGCTCGCACGCACATTGTCCGTCATGAAAACCACCCTTCAAGGCTCCCCCGACACCGATGCACAGCCCGAGCAAGTCCACCAGCTCGTTAGCACCATCCTCTCCGAATCATTATTACCACTGCTCGTCTCGAATATGCACCGATTACCCTTCGAAGCACGCAAAGATACACAGACCATCGTCTCGAACGTCTTCCGGTTTAGAAATGCTGGCAGCACATCGAACGAGCCCGATGCGTTGAAAGAGGTGTTGAGGCTGCAGCCTGGGATAATCGTCAATCTTTGCATGGGATACGAGAAGAGGGAGAGTGCAGGAGCGTGCGGTGGTATCTTGAAGGAAGCCCTGAAATGGGACGCCGTCGCTGCGGTGATCTTGTACGACGAGCCGTTCCCCGATGGCAAGACCATTGACATCTACAATGATGTGGATGTGTCAAAGAAGAGCTCGGGCAACGGGGTGTTCTGGAAGTTCTTCGATTGGATCGACAAGTCCTCCTTCGAAGTCTCGGCCGATGCCTTTGACTGCTTCCGCGTGATCCTCACCAAGCACAAGCAATTGGTGTCGCAGTACATCAACACCAACTTCGATCTATTTTTCGACAAGTACAACAACATGCTGGTGAAGAGCGAGAGTTATGTGACCAAGCGACAGTCGCTTAAACTGCTCGGCGAGGTGCTGCTGGATCGGCAGTTTTACGAGGTCATGACACGCTACGTTGACTCGGGCGACAATCTCAAGCTCGTCATGTGGCAGCTGAGGGACGAGCGGAGGATGGTGCAGTACGAAGCCTTCCACGTCTTCAAGGTGTGTATCCTCACCATGTTGCTTCCCGGCGGTAATGCTAATCCCTTGGACTCCAGATCTTCGCCGCCAACCCGAATAAATCCTACGAGGTGCAGAGGTTCCTCGTGATGAACAAGCAGCGTCTGCTCAAATTCCTGCCGAGGTTTTTGGAAGACAGAACGGACGACGACCAGTTCAACGACGAAAAGGCGTGGCTTGTCAAGGCGATCGGGAATCTGCCGGATAGTACAAGCGCACTGCAGCCTCCTGGCGCCATAACTCCGCAGACTGCTGGACGATCGGTACAACAGCAAACAGGGCTAGCTCAGGTCCATTGATGATGCGCATTTGGTTGCGAAACGGCGTTTGAAGACAGGAGGGCTGGAGTACTACAATTATTGGAGCAGCATTATACCGGGGTCGGGCGTTTGCGTTCTCAACGCTCTACATGGCGTATAGCAGCACTTCCGCGTCAAATGAATTGTTCTTTGTCAGTTATTATTTACGATTCATTGTCCATATCCTACGTCGATTTGGTGACGCGCGTGAGTGCAAAAGCGCGCTTGCCGAAAGCGTCCAAGCCCGCCTGACTTGCCAGCGACGTCATTATGCATGGCCAAACATCGCGCCTGGCAATTTTCCACCTCCCTTCATCCAACCACGCCAACCGACACAAGGCGTGTCGCAGCCCTGCATCCACTACCGATGCGCCCGAAGCGCGAACGCACTTAACCGCTCCTCCTGTCGCATGTACCGCTGTGTCTCGGGCGGTGGAGGCGGATCTGAGAGTCTGCGCGATGGATCCGTCCGAGGGCAACCAGGAGGATTCCGGAGGCGATGATGCCGGCCCTACCCCGACGGGAGCGACGCCTCGCCCGCCGCTCACGAGAATCTCCCAAGAAAGACTGCCGGCCACATCGCACATCGCCACGGCGCGACGACGGACGGAGCCCAGCATATCACGGCCGGATGCCGGTGGCGGTGAACAGAAGACCGCCAAAGCCGATGCTGCCGCGGGAACAGGCGCCGGGATGGAGACAGAACAAGAGGAAAAAGCTTCTTCACCAGAAGAAAGACGCATTGCGGAATTGCGCGAGGCCATGAACGCCAAACTCCTGCTACAAAACCGCATGCGCCGCAGCTACGGATCTCCAAAGGCTGCTTCGCCGACTGCTCGTGTGGCGGCGATTCAGGCAGAGCATGAAGCCGACGCCACCCAATCCGCTACCGGCTTGCTCTCTCGGACTGGATCTACGGATTCCACAGGATCGACACGTACTGTGCGGGCTGGCGAATTGGCGGCTACGGGGAGTGGCAATGCGCCGCTGAGAACTCCTTCGTACCCATTTCCCTACGTACCGGGGACTCCAAAGGCGTGGCCGTCGCAGCTTCATCAGCCCTTCACAGCCTTGTCACCCACGACGATGCATCATTTCTCTGCGCGAAGCCGGGAACCTAGTGGGACAGACGTGACCATGTCGGGTGGAAGTACGCCTGCCGCGGATCCCGAGGCGTTCGCCCCCCCAGGATTCAAGGATTACCCCCAAGAAGACCCTCGTTTCCCTACGCCGAATCTGTATGATCTGGTGTTGCAGGTCAACGCCGAGCCAGGTCTCGAACAGTGGTGGACGACGGTGGTGAATATGCTGCACGACCACTTCAAAGCCGAGCGAGCTACTCTCGTCATCCCGCGAGATTCGAGCGAGATCGAGAACGTTCCATGGGGTCAGAAGGCGAGTTTCAATATGAGCGGTCGGGAGGAATTTGTCCCCCATCGCACTCTCCTCAAGCAAATGTTCGACGCCGCGGATCGCACACAACATGCGCCCAAGTCCAGCTTCCCATCAAGAAATGCGCCAATCCACGATGTACACCCCCAAAAGCTGCACGCCGAGCGGTTTCGTCCCAGGCTGGAAACGCGACATTCGTACGCTGGGCATGGTAGGGAAGCGAGCGATAGTCCAGCCGAGACTAGACCAGCTGGTCCGATGAGAATGGCGACGCATGCGGCCGGGATGCTGCCAACTGTCCTGCCGCAAAGACTCGCTCCTCAGCGTTTCGATTCGAGCAGCACACAGCATCAAAGCTCTCTTGGCTTCAGTAGCGCCGGAGTTGATGCTGGGCCCTATGCCGAAGTCTTCTCGACCCTTCGTGATCTACGCCATGAAGTGCGTCCGCTCATCGAGTCTGGCGGAGTCAGTCGGATCCTGGCGAGGGGCCGCGTTGTCACTGTGACGCGGGACTACCTACACACCAGCAACGACGAGAGCATTGCGGAATCTCAAGCGCCCGAATGGCAATATACAAAACCCACCCCTGAAGCAACTCCTCGACCTTCCAGGTCGTCCACGCTGGAAGACTATCACCGAGCACATACTTCCGATGCCCCGCATTCGGTCCTCAGGGACTATGAAGAATACGAGCAGTGTCCCACCTCGCCATGGTCACAATCTCCAGCTCCTTCACCAGCGATTCAGGCGGACGAAGAAGTTAACCCCTTTTTCGCATCGCAAGAGCAACGCGTAGAAGACGCATTCGATCCAGGAGTTTCGCCGAAAGACTATACCCAGCTCGGCCAAGTCGAAGCGATCGGGGTTGATCATGCGAGCACCATCATTCACATTCCCTTGGTGCATCCCACCATCTCACAGCCAATGCAATCCTTGAATGCGTACTCACAGCCCAAAGATGGACCTGACGCGCTGCGGCAAAGCGATACCGTGGACAAGGAGCGCAAGGCGCCGATTGCAATCCTGTCAATCCTAACATCCACCGTGCCTTATCCGCAGAATCTCACGCAAACATTGAAGCTGCTTGGGCCGCACCTGGCCACATCATTCGCTACTTCGCAGCAATTCTCCTCATCACGACCACAAGCTGTGGCGATCCGCCAACGAATGCCGGAAAGTGGGGATCCTATCGATCATGCTCCTATGGTGATTGTTCCCACGTCTTTGGAGGATATCGTGGAAAGGGGCAAACCCACTGGATCAATGTCGGGCAGATCCTTATCTGCTAGTGGCACAAGTCCGTCTGACTACTCCGGCCGGTCTCCTTATAGTGCCACCAGCTCGATCGTTGGTACGCCTGGATGGGATCCAGCGACTCATGGATGGGCATCGGGGAAATCACCCGCCGTGACTCCTGCACACATCGGCAGTGAAACGGCTGATAACTATTTCGAGGCCAAGAAACGCTCAGGGAAGCGAAGTACGAGCAATGCTGGTGCTCAAAATCAGGCTTCTCGAGGTCGAGCAGCGAAGCGGACGTCGGGCGCAGACCGCAAGCAGACTGCCCGCCGGCAATCACCTTCTGGTACCGCCGCGAATCCATCACGGTCAGATCAGAAGATGTCTGCTACCGAAGAGCAACACACTGAACGAGACTACTCCCCTCCACCCGAGTCACCACAATTGTTGGCACAACAGCGCCGCCTGTCTCATCATGGCACTGCCTTCCCGCAGGACCTGAACCTCCAGAGACGGCATTCGCAACTACATTCGTATGGTGCAGACGTTCAAACGTCTTTTGGCGGTCTCCCCTCCACAGCCGGTGCCGACATACCAACTCCCAACGTACCCGGCCACGCAAGGACTCATTCATACCCCGAAGGCATGCCGCCGCCGTCTGAACGCCTTCTCCGCACCATGATTGACTCTGTCCCTGTGCAAATCTTCACCGCGGAGCCGGAGACTGGTAAGCTGACGTGGATCAACTCCAAATTCATGGTGTACCGGGGGCAGGAAGCGCACGATGTCCTGAGCGAACCCTGGCAAGCCATCCATCCAGACGACCGCAATGAGTTCATGGCGTCTTGGCAACGATCCTTACGCACTGCGCAGCAGCTACAGCAACGAGTGCGACTGAAACGGTTTGATGGTAATTATCGCTGGTTCTATGTTCGCGCGGCACCGCTCCTGGACAAGAAGCAGAAGATTGTGCACTGGATTGGCACAATGATGGACTTCCACGAGCAGAATCTGGCGCAGGAAACGGCAGCGAAACAGCAGGAGACGGCGGCTTCGGAGGCCAAGTATCGTGCATTGGCCAACTCAAGCCCGCAGATTGTGTTTGCCGTCAGCAAAACGAAGGGCATCACTTTCTGCAACACACAGTGGGTGCACTATTCTGGACAGTCGGAGGCGCAGGCACGAGGTGTTGGCTTCATGGACCACGTTCATCCCGACGATCTTGTTAAGTGTAAATTGCCGGCATTTGAAGAGGGCTCCAACACCCCGACAGGCGTACCCACCACTGTTCCTCCGGACTTTCAGCGATCGGTTTCGGGTTCTGCACAATCGAGTAGCGGATCCTCCGAGACGGAACGGATGGCGCCCAGTCCGGGGGCTACGCCTATAACCACAACGTTGCACCAGAAGAAGCTGTCAGACCTTGCGGGCACTGGAATTTTGAAAGTCAGCCGTGATGCCGATGGACGTCCATCGTACTCCACCGAGGTGCGACTCAAGTCTAAGGATGGCGAGTATAAATGGCATTTGGTCCGGGTACTACTTGCAGAGCCATTGATACAGCAGGATCAGCAGGAAGAGACTTGGTATGGTACTTGTACGGACATTACCGACCACAAAGCCCTGGAGCGGGATCTGAAGGAGACCATGGACGAGAAGTCGAGATTCCTGAGCAACATGTCTCATGAGATTCGAACACCTCTCAACGGCATCACTGGCATGGTGAACTTCCTCATCGACAGTAACTTGACGGCCGAGCAGATGGAGCACGTCAACATCATCCGGGCGAGCACGGAGGGGTTGAGAGGTCTCATCAACGACATTCTCGATTTGTCCAAGGCGGAAGCTGGCATGATCTCGTTGAGTATGGATTGGCTGTACTTGCGAGCGCTCATCGAAGAGACCAACGATCTCACCTCCGCCATGGCCATCGACAAGAGACTGGAGCTCAACTATCTCATCGAAGAGGATGTCCCTGCCCAGATCAAAGGCGATCGTTTCCGCATTCGCCAGATCCTGCTCAACATTGTCGGCAATGCGATCAAATTCACACAGAAAGGAGAGGTCTTTATCCACTGCAGCACGTATGCGCCGGAGAACCACGATCTGGCCGAGAACGAAGTGTATATCAAGTTTGAGGTTGTCGATACTGGTCCAGGCTTCACGGAGGAAGAGGCCGAGCTGCTCTTCAAACGCTTCAGTCAGATTGATGGCTCCTCGACGCGGCAGCAGGGTGGAAGCGGGCTCGGCCTCGTCATTTCCAGACAGCTGGCGCAACTCCACGGCGGTGATATGAGAGCGAAGGGCGCGCCTGGACATGGATCGACGTTCACATGCGTGATCAAAGCCACACTGCCGTCTGTTGCTGATCAGCCTCCCACCCCCTTGATGACACCCGGAGGCTTCCAGATTCCCATCTTTCCCGTACCAACTACCACCACCGCCGCTACAGCGGTGCCAGTCTCAACCCCGCTCGATGGCCTTGCTAAAACGGTGCCAAAGTTCGCACTGGAGCAGACGCAATCCCCGTCTCCTTACGCAACTTCCCCGGAAGTGTCGTCCGCTGGATCTGAACGCTCTCTGATCTCGACCACGAGGTCTAGCAGTTTGCGATCGGAGCGCTCGTCTGCGTCGTCGTACATCCAGGATGTGGGGGTCACGAGTCCGCCGCTGAAACTGGCGCTTCCTCAAGAAGGGGCGGGACATCGGATGAGTGCAGCTGAGCTGAAGCTCGCGAGAGCAGACTCTTCCCCAAGCACGGCTACGGGACATCGGTTGAGTGCAGCTGAGCTGCAGCTGTCCAAAGTAGAGTCTTCTTCAAGCACGGGGAAACTCTCCGTCGCGGCCACAGAATCCTCACTTCCATCCCCTGGGCCAGGGACGATGCCGCCGATGTATTCCATCCTCGTCGTCTGCCCGCTCAAGCACAGTCGAAATGCCACCGTGCAGCACATTGACAAGACGCTTCCGAAGAACGTGCCTCATCAGATCACCGCCAAAGAGCACCTCTCCGAATGCCAGGAAATGCTCAAAGGCACGGACGCGGTCATATTCACGCACATCGTCGTCGTGCTACATGACGTCGCGGAGATCATTGCCCTGATGGAGCAAGTGTTCGCGTCGCCGGCGTGTCAAGCCACGACCATTGTCATCATCACCGACCTCGTGCAAAGACGCAGCATCATGGAGAAGGCACCGCGGGTTGATTACGAACAGCTTGCTCTGCAGCGCCGACTGCTGTTCGTCTTCAAGCCGCTCAAGCCCTCGCGCTTCGCCACGATTTTCGATCCGCAGCATGAACGCGAAATGAGTCTGGACCGCAATCAAGATAGTGCGCAGCAGGTGGCGTTGACGCAGAAGCAGGTGTTTGAGGAGGTGACGAGGAGGCTGGGCAACAAGGATAAGAGGGTTCTGTTGGTCGAGGACAACAGAACCAACCAGCTCGTAAGTTGCTTCATACTCTCTGTTGTGTTCTTTCAATCTTCTAACCAACTCACAGGTCGTCCTCAAATTCCTCGCCAAAGTCTCCATGGCCGCCGACATGGCCATGGACGGGGTGGAATGCATCGACAAAGTCTTCTCCCACCCCGTCGGCTACTACTCCCTCATCCTCTGCGACCTGCACATGCCCAACAAAGACGGCTACCAGACGTGTCAGGAGATCCGCAAGTGGGAGTCCGCGCGCGGCTACGCGCCGGTGCCGATCATCGCCCTCTCGGCGAATGTGCTGGGCGATGTGCATGAGAAGTGCGTGGCGAGCGGGTTCAATTCGTACCTGACGAAGCCGGTGGATTTCAAGGAGCTGGGAACGGTGTTGATGACGTTTATGGATCCTAGTGATCCGCAGAGGCCGCCGGAGTTTATGAAGTTGAGGGCGAAGAGGCGGAAGTAGTGGGTGGTGAATAAGATTGCATGGTTGGAGAGGACGTTGGCATGTGCATCGCATGCGTTATGCAAGCATTGTGTTCCGAGCGAGCGAGCGAGCGAGTCGTGAAGCATTGGGCGGAGGTTGGGTTCGTGCTGGGGATCGGCGGCAACAAGCATTGTGAGGAGTATGGGATTTGGATTTGCGAGACTGTAATGTTTGTCGATTAGTAGTCTAATGATACATACTACTTGTTGTTGTTCTAATCCGCATACACTCCATTGCGCGTCGTTGATATAATTATGCGGTAGAAGGCGGCAGGCTCTGGGTGAGGCCAGCGGCAACTTCCGACTTCACCTCAACTTGATCATGAACATCAGGCTTCAACAATCACCCTTCCATTCTCCCATACGCAACCATGGCCAACGGCCTAGATGAAAACTCACACCTCCCCGCCTCTCTCCGCGTCATCACCCTCAACTGCTGGGGCCTCAAATTCCTCTCCAAGCACCGCCACGCCCGCCTGACAGAAATCGGCCATCAACTCGCCACCGCATCTCCCGCGCCTTCCATCGTCGCCCTGCAAGAATGCTGGACGCAACAGGACTACCTCACCATCCGAAAGCTCACCCAAACCGTCCTGCCCCACGGCAAATTCTACTTCTCCGGCGTGCTCGGCGGCGGCCTCGCCATCCTCTCCAAATGGCCCATCGAAGAGTCAAGCATGTACCGCTATCCCCTCAACGGCCGACCCGCCGCTTTCTTCCGAGGAGACTGGTACGTAGGCAAAGGCGTGGCGTGCGCACGCATCCGACTCGGTGACGGTGCTTCCGCGGACCAAGTCGTCGAAGTCTTCTGCACGCACCTGCACGCCCCGTACGAACAAGACGACTCCTACCTCTGCCACCGCACAGCGCAAGCGTGGGAGATTGCACGGCTGATGCGCCTCGCCGCCGAGCGCGGGCACATGGTTCTCGGGCTGGGCGACTTCAACATGGTGCCGTTGAGTCTGGGGCATCGGCTGGTGGAGGCGCATTCGCCTGTGCGCGACGTGTGGCGGATTTTGAAGCCGGATTCTGCGCTGGGGTCCGCGAGGCATGCGGCTGAGAAGGCGAGGGGACGGCCGGTGCCGAGTGCGAGGGAGTGTTTGGTGGAGCATGGGGCGACGTGTGATGGGAAGTTGAATACGTGGAAGTGGAGCAAGCAGTTGCGGAAGGAGTTGGATCGGGGGAGGGAGAGTGAGGTTGATCCCGATGCGCCGGATGAAGGGGCGCGGCGGCTGGACTACGTCTTCTCCTATGATGGGGGTGGAGGGAAGGGGGACAGATGGAGGGTGGAGAGTGCGGAAGTGGGAATGTTGATGCGGCATCCTACACTGAAGTGCTCGCTGAGCGACCACTTTTCCGTCGAAGCCACGCTCGTGCGTGCATCCGGACAAAAGACTGCATCCTCCTCGCCATCACCACCGATGACGTCCCCACTACCCAGCTCAACCTACGACGAAGTGCTCGCCCTAATCTCGCTCTACGAGCAGCGCGAGCGCAAACAGCAGCGCGTCCAACTCACGCACTTCTGGGCGCAGACGGCCATTTCCATCGGCTGCTTCATCGCCGTCTGGTGGTCGCCGGCGAACTACGTGGCCTTTATCCTGATGCTGCTGAGCACCATTGGCTTCGGCGCGGGCATTCTGAACGGGCTGATGGGCTTCTTGTTCGTCGAGAGCGAGTTGAAGGCGTTGAAGGAGTTTGAGTACGACATTCGCACTGCGAGGCTGCGGGCGAAGGATGGGGCTGGTAGTTCGTGAAGTTGTCTTTGCATCGAACCCATTCTCATGCTGCTCATTCAGCTCGTTCACTTCAACCGATCTTTGTTCTGCAGACACGACCGAAACCCAACCACGTGATCAAATCAATGCGCAGACAACGTAGCACAGCAGCTGTCTCGCCGCACACACGAAGCAGATGTCGTGTGACCATTTCCCTCTCCTGGTAGGGTCGTGATCGACACTCCGACTGCAAAAGAATGACTACTCGACAGCTCCAGCAGCAATTTCGTTTAATCGAAAGGCGGTCGAAAGGACCAGGCAAGAGCCTTGCAGAACATGAAATCCAAATCCACCCCGGTCACCCAGCAATTTGTCATTAAACCTGTCAACTCACCTCACCTCGCAGGTTTCGAAGCTTGCTAGCTCCCTGCTTCCCCGGACGCCTCGGACGACCGCCTCACTTCTTAGCTGCGACGTTGGCTATTGTATGTATGCCCATGGCAATGGAAGCGACAGGCCCCAGTGCCCAATCAACACTTTTATGTAATGTGTTACCTGTTCTGTCGTGCGGGCGGGCGTTTAATGCGATCGCGTCGCCAGGATTGTGACGTGCTTGCTGCATTGCGTACCGTTGAGTTGAAGCAGGCTTGCAGCGGGGATGCAAGCCGCGAGAGGTACGATCTGGCCTCGAATGCGGGCTCGCGTATCGCCATTTCGACACCTTCCTTTGCACCGAACGGAGAGATTGCTCGGGTGCGAAAGAAGTGTTGTAAATTGACCCATGTGCGCCCGTTGTTCTCTCTGTAGAAAGTTGGACGCGCACGCACGCAAGGCCCACGGGACTCGGACAGCACGGCCACGAACTGCTGACTGTTGATCACTTCTTGGCCCTCATCTCGCTCGCCTCATTCTTCCCTGCGACGAACGACAGCTACATCTCGCTCGAGTACATGCGTCACCAGCCGAGGGGAAAGTCCCGAAGAGAACATGAGCGAGGGCCGCCTGGCAGATGTGGAGTGGTTACAGTATTGCAGTTAGCATTAGCGGCCGCTGAAATCCGCAATGCGTGCATCGAAGCGAGGCGGTCGGCATGCGACTACGCGGCTGCGGCCTTCGCATTGGCTGTCCGCCTTTTTCCGTGCTTTGTCTCACCGCCGCGATTCCTGGCTATTGCAATAGCTTGCGAAAATAGCTTGCATACGGAGATTCGTCCGCGATCAGTAATCTGGAGAAGGTGAGAGCCAAAAGATGCTCCAGCGTTCCATTGACGCGGATTGGTGTGCCGGGCCAATGGTGTCGCAGGATTGCTCGATATGACCTCTGTCGCTGCCAAGGCGAGTCGGTCAGTGCATTTTCATCTTAAATCGAAGAAGGAGCCAGGTTGTGTGAAGAGAATCGTAGGCCTTCGTCGGCAACAAGGCTTCCGGGGACATCGGGATGATTTGACCTGTTCCAAGTCCGAGGGTAATGAATCAGATCGCCTGACTCGCCTTCATCGCTACGCTGGCCGCCAAGCTCAACAAATACGCAAGATGACAGGACATGTACGAGCATGACTAGACAGGTTGGTCATGGCTTCGTAACGAGAGTCAGCTCCACGCCAGCCCCCAAACAACCTGGCGATTTAGACTTTCCACAGGCGCAAAAGCTTCCACTTCGCAGAACGCTGTCGGCGGCCACGTGTGGGCTCCATTGTTTCCCAACTTTAATGTTCGAAGCACATCCGCCCAACCGCAGGTCTGCTTCATGGCATTCTCGCGACTTCATCCAGAGGACCGTATGAATCTCCGATGCGCTTTCATCGGCACTCGACGATTCCGTCCGCATGTGTACGTACCCGACTCGTCACGAGTGCTCCAGATCGACAGTCGCGACTTGGGGCTGGTCGCAGAATCCGCCGATCGGGCGTCCTGCCTTGCCTCCTTCACGCCTCACTCGCACGGCAATATTGATAATCATCCCGTGAGATTGGTCCTGCCGATGGTATTGCCGTTTGCCGTCTGCCGTGTCCGCATTGGCCAGTCGGAATGACGAGGCTACCTGTCAAACGCTGCGGGCGTGCGGCAAAAGCAACGCTACGGACGATCATCAGACACGCCAGGGGGCGCTTGTGACAAGCCACCTCCCATGGTCGTGCGCGCCTGCGCGGTCATGAGCCTTGAATAATGACTGATGACAGGTGCCGGACGCTACTGGCAATGACGAGCTGTACGAGGCTCCAATTTCATGGGTTGGCGAGAGTCTAGATCGCTCATTTCCGCTCCATCCCGAAGGACTGGGCGTGGTTTGGAAGGCGTGCGATGATCAGCCGACCTGATGTGACCGTTGCGGTGTCTTGCCCCGTTCAGGAAGCTTGGAAGACTTTAAGGTTGCGTAGCAGCCAGGTTTTTGCGCACAGTTTTGACAGGTCCAGGTTGTCGGGAACGTTGGGGGACAGCTGCAAGGGCAATCCTTGACATTACAGATGCGGGGGAGCGGCGAGGTTTGGAATCCTTCTAGGCATATTGCCGTACGCCTCAATCAATGCTGCATGGCAGATCCTGATTGCAGGGGCAGATGTGGCCATACAGAGCGCGCAATGGACGGCCATGCGACGCAAAGAGGCAATCACACTCCCCTCGCTGTATTTTTGCCCAACTGGTTGTTTCGACCGGGGGTGTTAAGCTTTTGCAGTAAAGTTTGGGGGTAGGTTTTGGCTACAATCTCGGTCATGCCCTCGGCCAATTGCCTGAGTCGTGGGGAAGGCTGCTGTGCGACTTTGAGTACAGCACACACCGATCTGCTACGACCTGGCGAATCTAAGCTGCTTGCCAAGCTGGCGACAGGATCCACCCGGCCAACCCAGGACTGCGGGATTGAGGCCAGCGTTCATAGTAGAGGCCACCCAACGGGCAGCAGGGGCAAAGTGGAAAATAGATAGGCAGGCGTGGGGCTAATCTCTGACGAGTCAAGTGAGGTGAGGTGGGCGTTGGCCAAAGTCGAGTGCCGACGGCCGGCAGACAAGGGGTGGTGATCGATGGCCTTTCCCTGCTCCGGGCATACAGGGATGGCGGTAGAAACCGGGCTCGATGGCAGGATGCTCGGCAACGAGAGCCAGGTTGGCAGGTTGGTCGCTTACCTCGGCCTTGCCAACCCCGATCTGAGATGAAGCAGGGTTGCGTACCTGTCTGTACCTGATGAGGATGAGCTCTGCCCGGGGATTTTCTGGCTCCTCGGAGCTGCTTTTGCTCCTGCCGCTTCGGGGGATTTTTTGGGTGGCGTCCAACACCCCCGGCCGATGATCTCCAGGTGATCTCACTGGCCACAGCCGTCTCGTGTTTGCGGGCAGACCGCCTGCACGTCTGCCCTCGCTTGGGTGCAGTGGGCTTGCGTGGACAGGAGGAGCAGATGGATGAGTGGCTGAGGTGACATCGGTGCGCATGCAGCCTGCTGGCGAGCCCGTCGAACTTAGGTCAGCAGACAAGGCAAGGCAAGGCAGGCAGGCGCAATTCCGAATAATTCCAATTCCAATTCCCTCCCACTGGGCAAGCGAGTCGCGCATCGACTGCAGCTCTTGCCCTGGCGATGCGCGGGTGGGTCTGGGCGGGGGCGCCTAAGCCCAAAGCACCTGCCCAGGGACCGTAGCGACGGGACGCAGGTCGAAGCTTAACCAAAACTAACTAACCCGGGCGGAGCGGCGGGCGGTGGACGTTGCAAGCAGCTGCCAGCCCGCACCACACACCACACCCTACGACGGAACATGCCCTTTCCCTTCCAGTCCTGCCCAGCTGCGCCTATCCTTCCCCTCGTCCAACCGCGCCCGCCTGGTGTCATGCCCATGCGCATCCCTGCCCCGCCTGCTGCCGCCCCGTCCAATGCCCGTCCGTCCGGCTCGCTGACATCGCCGCCGCCACGCTCCCGACTCCCCACGCCCCGACCGCATCTTCCCACCTTCCCCGGCCGCCCCAGCTGCTATTAGAGCCTGCTTGACCGCATGGCTCGTTCACGCTCGCCATGGACCCCCGGACTAGACCACCGCCGCCGCCCCATTATCCTCCCAACCCTCCCTACCATCATCCTCATCCACCACAACCTCACCAGCCGATAGACTCGCGCGCTCCTCCACCTCCTGCTGCTGCTGCTGTTGCTGCTCCACCGCCGCCTCCCGGCTTCGCATACCCTCCACACTCCCACCACCCTCCGCAACCTCCACCTCATCCCGCCTACGCTGCTGCTCCTCCGCCTCCAGGCGCACCGGGGCCTGCTCTGCCTCCCATCCAGGCGTCATATGCGCCGCACTCTGCCCCGCAAGACCAGCATCACCTCCCTCCTTTCCGACACTCTCAGGAGCCTCCGCGGGAGGGCAATGAATACCACTCATACAACCAACACGATCGCTCCGGTCATGCCACCCCGGCGCCTGTGAACCGCGCATATTCCGTCGACTCGGCCCAGCATCAGCGCACGCCCACCACTCCCGCCCAGCCTGGACCGTACCCGTCCGCAACGGGTGCGGACGGAGCGCCGCCGCCGCAGCAATCCCACATGGAGCACGTGGCACACTATGGCTACCCACCACACACCAATGGCGTCGTACATCATCACGGCCTGCCCGGCCCTCCACACTCCCAGCATGAACACCACCCGCCGCCGCACCATCCTTCCTACTCTACCCCGATCATGGACAACCACGCATATCCCCCACCTGTCCAGCCCATGTCATATCCTCCTCACTACGCCTCGTCCTCTGCAAGCTACGCGGCTTCCGTGCAGAAGAGGAAACAGATGCGCGCTACTCAAGTACGCTTGCTCTTTGCCTAGCAAACCCCGTTCGACTTCCCGCGCTGACTCTCAACAGGCCTGCGAGCAATGTCGAGCACGGAAACAAAAGTGCGACGAAGGAAACCCGTGTTCTTTTTGCAAGGAGCAGAACCTCAGTTGTCAATATCGCGACACACCACCTGCAAAGTACGTTGTCGAAGTGTCATCTTGATCCGTCGTCCCACACTGACCCCTGCCTAGAACCGACAAGAACATTGAGAAAGTGTTGTCAGAACTCTCACATTTAGGCCAAATCGTCGCCGCCGTCAGCGGCAAGATGGACAATTTAGACCATCGACTTCGAGGAGTCGAGCGTGGCGAGAATGCCGGCGCCGGAGGCGGATTTGCTTCAACGCAGAGCGAGTCGATCCTCCCCGAAGACATTCCGGAAGAGAAGCCGAAACTGCTTGACCATCGCACTGGCGCGCACAAGTTGATTTTGCTCTGGCCATCCGTACGGGAGCTGCTGAAGAATGCAAAAGTCGAACACGGCGAGAGCTACGTGATGGAGGCCGAGGATCGGGGCTTGCTTCGCATCTACACCCGTGGAGAGGGCATTGACGAAGGCGATGGCACCCACCTCGGCGGTTCTGCAAGTCCGGCACGAAGTGAGGACAGTGACGCCAATATGCCAACTCCACCAGACGGCCTTTGGGGCACTGGCCTACCGACTACGATGAGCAACGACACTATAAGACGACCGGAGCCTGCTTGTGAGGGCGGACTCAAGCCGGATGGATCGTTGGATCTGGACGTGACGACCATTAACCGACTATACGACAGCTACATGAAGAACTTCCATCGCATGCACCCTTTCCTCGACAAAGGGAGGCTCCGCAAGCTCTTTGATCGCTTCATCAGCCGGTACGCCACGGGCAATCCATCGTTCCGAAAAGTCGCGGTGGACAGCGGGTCTGATCAAGAACGGCCGATGAAACGCCAGCGCTCGAATGGATCAATGCCCGTTGCCGTACCACATAGCCAAGAAGGCTTTTCGGTGCGAGCAGAGCCTACCGAACGCTCCCCCGGCAATGCCATCGTATGGCTAGTCATGGCACTCGGCAAGATGTGCTTGCACCACACCCCTCTCCTCAACTATGTCCCCGAGGGCCGCGCCATTGCGAATTCCGTGGTGTCTCACCAGATCTCCGCCAGCAATGGCGTGACAGGAAACTCACCGATCCCAGGAGTGAAACCGTCACCCATCTCGCCAAACTCTACACCGTTCACACACCCCACGCCGCATAGTATCGACGGCGTACGGACGGGCGAACGGAGCCCTGTGGACAATTATCCGGGCGCTAAGAACCTGGATGTCATCCCCGGCCTAGCCTACTACGCCAAAGCAGCAGAGATCCTCGGCGATCAAGGCGATGGCAACGATCTCGTTCACGCGCAAATGTTCCTTCTAGCCGGCTTGTACAAAGGCCAGCTCGCGAGGGTAAAGGAGAGCATGAGTTGGATCAGCATGGCTGGGCGCGCGTGCATGATCCTCCTGGATCGATACAAGCTGTACAAGGAGGAATACTGGGCCATCTACGGAGACACGCGCAAGATCTACGAAAGAGGCCAGGCGCGCATCAAGGACAAGCGACACAGTCTCATCGTGCTGGCCGCGTGGACGTGTCTTCAGCTGGAAAGCGACATTCTCGCCGAGCTCAAGCTGCCCTCGAGCGGCATCCTTAGCATCGAGAACTTACTGCTCATGCCGCTCAACATGCCCGACGAGGAGACGGAAGGGTACGAAGGTCTGCAGCAGATGCAGGAGGAGCTCGACGACTTTGAGCCCTACGACAACATCCTCTTCTACTACACCGCGCAGTGCTTCATCCGCGGCCGCTTGAACAAAGCTCATGCGCAACTCCACGGCCATGAGTGCTTGAATCAGAGCCTCAACGAAGTCATCTCCGTCCTTGTCGGGCACGAAGAGACTCTGCAGAAGTGGCGGGGCCAACTACCGCCGCTAATGCAATGGGAGGACGACGACCCTCCCCCCGCCGACATCTTAGAAGCGCGACTGCGCGCAAAGTACTGGGGCGCGCGCATGGTCGTCAACCGGCCATTCCTGGATTTCGCCCTGCACATCATGCCGCAGTTGAAGGAGGGGCGATCGCTCGAGGAGGTGGCGAGAGACGTCCACGGCAACCCGCGCGACCCGGCGGAAATTCACATCTTCAAGGCGATTGCCACCATGGGTGACATTAACGTTTTCGAGGCTGCCACGCGCTGCATCGAAGCTGCCATGCACAGCACCGTCGCCTTCGACGGCGTGCCAGACAGGTTGATCGTGACGAACATCCACGGCACCGCTCACGCGTAAGTCATCCCTGCCCTCCCCCAAGTCCTCCTCTTCTAACAAAACCACCCAGCCAATTCGGCAACATGCTCGTCCTCTCCGCCACCTTCTACAACAAAGCCATGCACCGCATCGTGCCCGAGCCGAAATTCCAGCGCCTGCTCGAGCGCACCATCCGCTTCCTGCGCAAGCTCGCCCCGCTCTCGCCCACCTCCTACAACGACTGCCAGATCCTCGAGAAGATTAGCAAGCTGCTGTTCGGCGGGGCGCCGCAGGAGGCCAAGCACCTGTATCGCGGCGAGATTGAGCCGCAGAGTCTGCCCGGCAGTGCGGCGACGAGTTTTGCGCATAGTACGTGAGGGGGCTCGCGCTGCATGTACTCAACCAATTCCGGGGTTGTATTTGCGGTCACACAATCCCTTTTTTACGGACACTTTTCAGCACATCTAGCAACGGCGAAGGCGGCACACGAGTCCTTCACACACAGAGGCTCAAATTGGATCTTTGCATCACCATCACACACACCGACTACCCCGCGAACGCGAGCAGTCAGCGGTGAGGATGGAAATGGCGGCTTTTTTCCTTGTTTGCAACGCAATATACCAAGGGCACCGGGGCTGCCATCTTCTCGGCGTCCCTCTCTGTGTTCAGCATCCATTCTTTGTCATTATACTGGATTATATACCTTATCGTTTCGCGTTTTTGGCTTCGCTGCGCTGCTTTCGGCTTTGATTCGCTGCTAGGCGCACTGATGCGCACGATTGATGAAACGCCGAGGGGAGCGTGGAAAAAGCAACTGCTTGTTTTCTTGAAAGCATACGCTGGAGCGCATACATATTGTAGGAATATTCATGGACACGGCCGTGCGCGGGCTATGGGAGGAATACGCTGTGATGGACGTGTGATTGGCTGTGAGGCAAGGGGGAAGGGGGATTGTAAATGGAGGAGACGGAAGGAGATGTGTATACAACAAGAATCCAAGCAGAAGTGCTCAGATTGCGGATACGTGGCTTTCTTTTTCGCATTGTCATGCTCGAAATGGGGCGTAATGAGTAAGACTCTGTGCGAGTGGCATGGGTCGCATGTCATGGGTATTTACCTCGTCAACATGCATGCCGCCCAACCTCAGCGCGAAGTTCCCAATTAGGAAGCAGCCGCAGCCGTGCACGTGACTTTGAAAGGGCGTACAAGAAGCCCGTTCTTCGCTCTGCACATTCCTCTCTGCACACTTTACGCAATTCTCACCACTCTCTGGAGGGGAGAGTGGCTGTGGCTGCTGTGGTCTTCCGCGTGTCATGGACCTCCAGCCTACTTCTTCGGATTGGAGGGACGATCAACAGAGCGGCGGCGGAGGTGAGCAAGGATTCATGTTGGAAGCTGATTGTAAGGAAGCAGCGGCTGAATGAAATCACGAGAGGTCTAGTGAAGAAGAAATGAAGCTGTTGAAGAAGCAGTGGAGGCGCTGATGAAGATGAGGAAGCAGAAGTGGACGGCTGAAGAAGGATGGCGCTGCTGAGGCAAGTTTGATGCGATCTCGTGCTCTGCACCGGCCTTCCCTATCCCTGCCAGGTCGCGGGGCTCTGTTCTCGTGACCTTGGGAAAGAAACGGACGACAGTGCATTCGGCAAAGAGTACATCTTAAGTCGAGAAGATAAGACCCAAGACTCCCAAGCTTTCCACTAGCGCCTTTACGTGCACCGGAGCGCGATTGGATTTCACTTCACTTCATGTTGCGCATCCATGCCTCCCAATTCCGGAATACCCAATGTACCAACCAGCATATTCATTAACCACCCATTGAGACTATATGGAGACCATAGACCCTCCGATCCCCACTAGCACCATCTCCTCCCCATGTCCGCCGACTTCTGGGCCGGCTACGTCTCGGGAGCCATTGGCATCCTGGTCGGCAATCCTCTCGACCTCATCAAAACCCGTCTGCAAGCCGGCCCGGCAGCGATAACAACAGCACATACTCCCAGCTCTCCATCCGCAGCACCTCTCTCACCCACCAACCTCCCATGGACGAAACAATTCGAGAACCTCTCCGCCCTCGCGCGCGGCGCCGCAGCTCCAATCCTAGGCTACGGCGCGCTCAACGCCCTCCTCTTCGTCACGTACAATCGCAGCCTGGCGCTACTCAACACAGGCCAGCTAGACAACTGGCCTGACCGGCCATCAGCACTGAGCATCTGGACTGCGGGCGCGCTCGGCGGGCTCGCCATCTGGTTCGTCTCGGCGCCTACGGAGCTCGTCAAATGCAGGGCACAAGTGAGCCAGCCGCCGCGGTCTTCGCTGGCTGTGACGCGCGAGCTGTGGAGGCAGGGCGGGTTGAGGGGGTTGTATATGGGTGGGGGGATCACGAGTGTGCGGGATTCGGTGGGGTATGGGTTTTAGTAGGTTCTTTTGCCTCCATCTGCTTTTGATGTTGGTGCTGAGACGTTGTGTTTTTGCGTTGTAGTTTCTGGAGCTACCATCTCAGCAAGCAGGCCGTTGCGCGTGAAGACGACACGCCGAATCAGCATGCGATCAAGGTGCTGCTGTGCGGCGGTCTTGCGGGAGTAGTGACCTGGGCGTCCATCTTTCCTCTCGGTACAGACAACACTCCCGTCTGCCCACTGCCTTGGCTAATCGATCTGCTTGTTAGATGTCATCAAGACTCGAGTACAAACATGGGATCTTCTGCCTTCTCAGCCCAAAGAGCCCGCCAGCCAGCCGCTGCTCGGAAGTGCAAATGGATCATCAACATCGCCCAAGAACGTCATCACCGACAGGCCGTCTACGCTGAGCATCACGCAGCAGGCATACCACAACGAAGGCATGAAAGTCTTTGTTCGCGGGCTGGGAATCTGCAGCGCCAGGGCGTTTGTTGTCAACGCGGTGCAATGGGCGGTAAGTCATGCTTCATCGTCCTCATCCCTACCAAAATCCGCAAGCATTGACAAAAGAAACACAGGTCTACGAATGGATGATGAAACTGCTAGCCGCATGATTGGGATGCTACGTACCCAGCTACTCAACGCAAGTCAAGAGTCAGCCTTCCGAGTATGTTGATCCGGCAGCAGTAGCAGTGTGTGTGTAATGAAAAAGCAAAGCCATTCCCTCCCAAAAACTCTCAAAATACGCTTGCCCAGAGTGTCGTGATAACAGCCCCTAATGTTACATGCCTGTATGGGTCAAGCTCGCTTTTGTTTTCCGGGAGGAGGCATGGAGCAGCAAGCAGCTGGCTCTCGTGTCGCAAACAAGTAGTGGTAGTAGTCGTCGTCGTTTCGAAGCATGATCCAGGCTCCGCCATTAAACAGGCAAGAGCAGTTGAAAAGCCGGGAAACGCGAGGTGTCGTCGATGTAGACGAGTGGTGCGGATGAAGTGCCGTCGTGAGTGACTGTCGCTACATCATCTGCTCCTGCAGGCTGCCGGTAGGCTCTGCTCCGTCCATCATGTCGCCGCCTTGGCCGAGGTACTTGACGTAGGTGAGGCCGAGAGGACGGCCGCCGTACACGTAGCCGGTGAACTTGGTGATGGCGGTAGCAGCGTCTTCCTGATTCCCGAACTCGACCACGCCAGAGCCGCGCGAGCGACCGTTGGGCTCGTACTGGATCTCGGCGCGCTTAACTTCTCCGATGGTCGTGAACAGCTCAATCAGGTCGTCGTTGCTGGTGCTCCATGGCAGCTGTCATGCGTTAGTTGGGCTTGTCGTGTCGATGGGACTGCAGATGTGACTTACGTTGCGCACGAAGATGACCGGGCCCGGCTCGGTACCAGAGGTGGCGTTGTCCGTGAAGGGGTTGGGGGCGACAGCGGCAGGTGCAGGTGCATTGCCACCACCGTAGCCAGCGCCAGCAGGAGGGCCGCTAGCAAATCCGCCTCCACCATATCCACCGCGACCACCGAATCCACCGCCGTAGCCTCCACGCCCGCCGAAGCCACCGCCGAAGCCACCACGATTGAATCCGCCACCGCCGTATCCTCCACGGAAGCCTTGTCCTCCGAAGTTGCCACGGCCACCGAAGCCACCTGGGGGCCCACCGGCTCCAGCGTAGCGGTCCTCGCGGACTTCAAGGATGCGGCCTTGCCAGTCGTAGCCGTTGAACTGAGCGATCGCGTTCTGGGCGTCGTCGGGGTTGTCAAAGGCGACGATTCCGGATCCCTTGGGGCGGCCATCGGGGGCGAGGTGGACGTCTGCACGAATGACGTTGCCAGACACAGCTGCGAGCAGTCAGTGGGTGAGGCACATGATGTGGTCAGTGATAGGACTCACCAGCTTGACGGAAGAGATCCTTCAGATCTTGCCAACCGACCTGGAACGGAAGCTGGACGATCACTGTCAGTAAGTCCACACAGGCTGGGGGAATGGACACAAACATTGGAGACGAAGATTTGCCTGGTGGCGCCTCCCATCCCGCCACCGTATCCACCTTGGAATCCGCCGCGGCCACCGTAGCCTCCGTCGTATCCGCCGCGGCCTCCACCGGGGGGTCCGGCAGCTGCGAAGCGGGGCTCGGTCTCGCGGTCCTGGTGAAGAGTGAGCGTGAGCGAATGAATCAGATATTGAGCGTGCAGTGACTCACTTCGCGAACGTATACGAGGCGGCCCATGAGCTGTTGGTTGCTGAGCGTGCTGATAGCCGTTTGTGCCTGATCTCTTGTAGCATATTCAACAATTCTGGATCAAAGTCAGCGGTGGTGGTCAAGAGAAGTGAGGGTCAGCAAAGGTCACTTACCCGCATCCCTACAAACCCGGCGAAGAGTCCTATCCGTCAACTACTGCTCACAAAAATGGATACCGCCAGGATTCTAGCCATGATAAACGCCCACCTTACTCATTCCGTTCGGAAGTAGAAGAACGTCTGCGAAGAGAACGTCGCCGGCTGCAAAAGCGCGTCAGTCTTTGGTTCTTGTGAAGTAAAAGCGGGGTATGAGTGAGGAAACTCACCGGTGCGCATGAAGTCTTTGAGATGATGCCACTTGACATCGTATGAGAGGTTGCCGACGTAGACACGACGGTCTTGCTGCGAGGTCTCGCGGAGGTTGCTCATCATTTGCTCTCTTGATTGGTTGCGGTCTTCGTAGGAGCGGGAGGGGGCCGGGGCTCTGCTACGGTCGTAGCCCGAATCGTGATGGCCGTTCACCGGCGAGCGATCACGACGGCTGCTGCGATACTCTCGATCGCGGTCACGGCTGGGCGAGCGAGAGCGGGAGCGGTGACGCCTCTCCGGCGAGCGCGTGCGGGACCTGTCTCTCTGTTTCATCGTTAGCAAACACGCACTGCCGGGTAGAACGCTCTCGTCGTCAAAAAGCCATCAGGTTAGAAGGATGAGGAGGTACCAGAGAGGCAGAAGCCCCCTGCCCGAGAGCAGGAGGCGCCGCAAGGGCAGGACCGGAAGGACGAGGGCCCCGAGGAGCAGCGGCCTGAGGGCGCGGCCGAAGGTAAGCTCTCGCTCCCGGCGGCAAAGGACGCCCCGGGTTGGCTGCTATCCAGTCCACCCACCAGGGAGGCAGGGCAGAGGTGTCGGCCGGCTGGGCCATTGCTATGATGATTTTTTGATTGAAAAAATCAAAGAATCAGGGGGGTGCGCGAGTGTGAAATGGCCAGCGGAGCGAGAATTTTGAAGGCAGGGGCGCCAAGACTTTGGCCGCGGATGATCCGAGCGTTTCCCTAGCGACGTGCAGCACGTCCAGACGCTCATATGAGGTACTTCGTCGCCAGATTGGGGTTGCTGAGATGGAGCCAGCAAAGTGGCTGCCCATTTGACCTTTCTCATCGAGCAAGACGAACTCCCAAGGCTTGAACGAGGCGTCAGGGGTAATGCCAGCCTAGCTGCGGTGAAGGGGAGCCAGCTGGCCATTGGCGCCGCCAGGACGAAGCATCCCAGGATTGACATGAAGCAAGACACCCCGCTGCTGTTGGTGGAGGCCTTTTGGGCATGGCCAAGGCTGTATGAGAAGGAACCAGTCGCCAGCGATACAGGTTGCAGGATCTCGGGTGTGATATGAGGCGAGGTGCTCGGCCGCTTTCGATACAGGCCTTTTGACAATGGGATTCGGTGAAGGAGAAGGAGCCAGCCGGCAGCGCAGCCAAGATTCAAGATCTCAGGCGTGATATGAAGCAAGATGCGCCGCCTCTTTCGATACAAGGCCTTTTGGGTATGGCCTTGGGCGAAGAAGAACGAGCCAAGCCGCCGGCATTGCCAGGCTGAAGTATCTCAGCCGCGATGTGAGTAGAGATGGTCCTCAACGTCTTGCAGCGGCTTTTTGGCCCTTGCTGATGGTGATGGAGAAGGAGCCAGCCGCCAGCGTCGCCAGGGTGAATGATCTCAGACGTGATATGAAGAAAGACTGCCTCAACATCTTGCAGAGGCTTTTTGGCCATGGCTTGTGGTGAAAGAGAAGTGGCCAGCCGCCGGCCCGGCCAGGATGAAGCATCTCAGGCGTGATATGAGGCATGGCAGTCCGCAATGTTTGGCGAAGGCGTTTTGGCCGTGGCTTGTGGTGAAAGAGAAGAAGCCAGCGGTCCAGCCGCCGACGCGAGCGGTGTCTTTGTGTATTCCTCGCCGCAAACTCTCGGTGCGCAGCAAATACGGCTTGTGTCTTATACCGCGTATTCCTTGTCGCGCAGTCCTTTTTCTCTCTCATTTGCTCCTTCCGTCAGGCTCCTGCAGAAGGACTTCTCAAGCCCTGCCAAGCTCGAAGCCTTGCACTTCATTCCACGCGAGTTCCGGTCCAGGGTGATACGGCTCCGCGGGTCCAAGGGCCAGTCCATAATCCAGGGAGGTGGGGGAAGGGATGCAGGGGATGCATATGTACGCGTGTGTGATGAAGAAAGGGAATGGTATACTTACGTCGCGCGGGCGGTAGTTGTCGTCTAGAGGAGAGAGCCGAGTAAGCAAAGCTGTCCCGAAAGGAGTGTGCGCGTAGGGTGGGCAGAGAACAAGATGCAATGGGCAAGCAGGGCGAGGCAAAAGGGACAGTCGATGGAGCAGAAGTGATGAGGGAGTGATGGGGGAGAAGGCGGAGGATGACTTACCCATTTTGGAATGACCGTGGGTGGAATGCGAGGGAGTGTTGAGTTTTCAGCAGCAGCGTCTCTTGCGCACAGAAGCTCGAGTGCTGCAGGCGATACTTGCGACAGGGATGCCGCGCCTAACCTAAAGCCCCGGCACAGCAATTAGCCTTTTGTTCTATTCGGAAGGTGCTCGCTGCACGCCTGGCGTGGGGTGGAGCAGCTGGGGCGGAGGATGCAGCAAGAGCACGCGCGCGCGCGCCCTCGGAGGGGTGGAAGCTGCAAGCGGGTGGACTCGACAGTCATCACACCGCACCGCGCGCATCCTCCTCTGACTCGTCGAGGTGCGCGAGGTGTGCAGCCTGATGTGCCGGGGGCACATCGGCGATGATGCCGAGTGCGCGCCGCATGGCACAGTGATGGATGCAGGCACGGGTGAAGGCTTCGTGACGCGTCTTGCTCTTGCGCCATCAAAGGCATGCCTCGCTGCTCCACCGCGAACCACCCGGTCAGCGTGGGTCGTCACTTACTGGCTAGCTGGAGAGTCGGGGCCTGCGTGGTCTCGATGCTTTGATCTGCACAGGGCTGGTGGGTGTGAGGGGTGGCGTCAACAGTGGGTGCTGAACGAGGGGACCGAAGAGGAAGGCGCTAGTGGGCAGGAGGGGCTGCCAATGAGAAGGAGCGAGCTGCCAGGTTCATGCAGCGCGGGAAAGGATGGGGGAACGAGGAGGGAATGGGATACGCGCGGGCGACAGACTGCACGGAGTGTGGGCGTGGTGTCGGGGATTGATGGAGACTGGACTTTCGATAAATTGGCGCCAAGACCCATGCGACCGACCCAAGCTTAAACTGGTCGGGAGGCCGCACCGCGCGGGTGATTGGTGGAGCGAGGAGCACCGCCAAATCTCATTGCTGCAAAGAGCCCACTCCGTCAACGAGCATTCCATCCATCAACGTAGCCTGCCGTCGGCCTCAGTCGTCCCTGTGCCGCGGCATACGCTGTGCGGTCCGTCGTCGTCGTCGCCCAGCCTCGGCTTCTTCCCCTTGTCGTATCTGCCATCTTCCCTCGTCAACGAGACAGACTTCCCTCGAGCATGGCTAGCTTATTATACGGCTACATCAGGCTCACAGGTCCCTCCTTGCTTCAACACCCTTCCGCCGGTCAAGTATCCTCCGACCACCCATGAACTCACCCACGATGATGTACCCGCCGACCTGCTGGCGATTCGTCGGAGACGGAAGGCTTAATCCCCCACGGACTTCAAAAAGGCTCATTCCGCGTCAAGAACCTTGAAGCTCCACTGGTAAAAGCAAGTCTCTCGCCTCTTTCGGCTTACTCGACCAGGCGGCACATGCAGATCTGCTGGCCTTGCATTAGGCTTCCCGTGCCTTTTGGACCTGCTTGCGAGCTCGGACTCTCGAGGGCCAAGCACATACACACTCGTAAAGCACGGTTTGGTCTCGTGTAGGAGAACTCAACCTATCCCAAGACAGAGCCTCTGCCGAGACGCGACCCAAACTTTCGCCGGCCCGGTGGGGCAAGGCTCATCAAAGACGACACCCCAGCAAGCTCCTTCCTTCTCCCCCAGCTCAGGCTTACAGTATGTATTTGTGTTGACTACGAGGGACATATGTACACAGTCAGCCACAGCTCCACACCGAAGCGTCGAATGGCGAAACCCGGCCCGGCAGACCAAGGTCGGTTAATGCACTTGCTGCAAAGTCTAGCACCCTCCATCAACATCGTCGTATTCACCGGTGAGGTCTGTCGTCCAATCGTTCGTGGCAAGGGTGGAAAGTACCTGGCGTCTGTGCGTTCCGGTGAGAAAGGCTGTCGAGGATGGATTTGCCACCGTTGCCACCCTTGCTTGATGAGACCCTCGATCAGTCCAGTCCTTTCATCTGTCTGATCTGTGATGTCGTTGCAGTTATCTCCTCGTTACAAACTTGCCACATTTGCGTTCGCCATCGACGGAAGACTTGTCGAAGATCTTGCCCGCGTTGCGGATTCGACGATGACTGGCATGCGCTCAACCAAGGCTCGCCGCGGCGATAGCCGTCTCCTGCCGCGCTGCAGACGTTGGACCGCCGTGCTGCCAGCCGACGCGTGCGCACAGCGAATGACTCTGCTGTAGATCCCCGTCCAGCGCGAGATCAAGAGATGGGACGCTGAGTCGGAGAGGCATGAGATGCCTTGGCGGCTCGTTCGGATTCGCGTACTCGAGGTAGGTGCACCGCAATCACTTCACACAACTTGAGCACAGGAGCCCTCATCGGCGTCATACCGTGTCTTCGTCACGACTCGTTCCTTTGTTGAACAACGCGTCGTTCTCGTCACCGAGTCGGTTCGAAGCCTGGGACATTGGCGCGATGATGGTGCGACGGTCGATCGAAGTGAAGAGGCTGCGTTCAGGAGGACATCCCACTTTTGTACTTGATAGCTCTTCGTTGAATGAAGAGGGGGGTAAGCATTGGGGTCCTCGATCCAGCACTTCCATCTACAACTACCAGTTCACGTGCTCGCGAAGAGGTGATGGAGTTGGGAGAAGAGGGGGAAGGTTGAGTTGCGAGATTGGGTATTACGTAGCCAGATGATCGAAGATCTTCCACAAGGGTATCTCGGCCGCTGAAATTCATCCTCGACTCGACATCGAGACATGTTACGTGGGCGAGTAGATCCATTGACGGTCGCGAGATGAGATCAGCCATGATGAGCTTGCCATCAGCAGGAGACGATATGGAACTAGAATCCAGACACCCTCATCCTTGTTAGGTGGCCCAGTGACGTGAATCGATGAGAAAGAATTGGCGGTAGAAAGGGTTTCGGCCTCGTTGTAACAGCCCACTGCATCTCCAATGTCTTCTCTTCGTTGTGGAACGTCCAATCGACTACCCCACCTTGAGTAGCGCAGAAAATACCTGTACTCCTCCACCCCTGAGTTGTTGGGCAATCTGCCTCGAATGCTCGAGTCGGTTGACAGTCTCACGAAGCGCCCAGCCTGGTCCTTGCTCATCGAACAGGGCCTGCCATAGCTGCTCGTCAGGCAATAGAGCCTGCCGTTGTCCGAGCATGTAATCTAGATGAGAACCATCCTGGCTCACTGTTGCAAAGCAGCTATTCCAAGGTTCCAGGGGGTGTTACAATCGCTCACAGGGACTCTGTATTGTCTTCGGCCCTCTTTCTACAGTTACCGTTTTTTACAGACCTCAGCAGCAGCATAACAACAATTGAACATTACTCCGACCTGCCCCGGCCGGAGTACTCTCCGTAAGTACATCGACCGTGTCGGCTTCTCCCAGCTCTGCCGCAGATGCGCCGTGAAAGCCCGGGAAATCGATACGCCGCCCGAATGCATTTCTCCAGCACCCACAATCGGTCCCATAATAATCATTTTCCCTTTGTATCGTCTCGCGAGGAAGGATAATGCGATATGGCGAAGGAGCACGTCCGCGCCAAGCTTTCTCTAGTGTTCCCGCCGGTTTGGATGGGCTGGCTGGACTGGCCCGGACCGAGAACAACCACACATCACCGATCGTGCTAAGGACGCTGCATGCACGTAATCCAACGCCGCCTGACCTGTCCACCTCTTTTGCAGTGAATCTCTCTTTCAGCCCCATCCTCACATTTCATCTCTGGTGCCTTCATCACCCTCCGCACCATCCTTCTCCCCCCACTTCCACCGCCATCTCACCACCTCACCGTCTCCCGCAGTGATGGCGGAAAACGAAGTCAAGCAGATCATCTCGCAACTCGAAGCCATCAAACCCGCCCAGCTCTCCCAAGCACCACAACTGCTCTCGCGCGGCAAACTCGCCCTCCTGCACCTCAACGCCCTCGTCCCCACCGCCCAAACGCAGACCCCGCACCTCCTGCTCGCCTGCCACCTGCTCGAGCAAGGCGCGCTCGTCAGCATCAGGCTCGGCGACACCGATGCCTTTACGCGCTACTTCCAGCAACTGCAGCCCTTCTACTCCCTTCCGCCGGAGCGCTTAGGGAATCAGGTGCCGGCGCGGACGGGGAATCAGAGCAAGGTCACGGGGCTGTATCTGCTGCTTCTCCTGAGTGGTGGCGACTACGCTGGCTTTCACACTGTGCTCGAAGGGCTGGAGACGACGCGAGGGAAAGAGCAGATTGAGCAGGATCAGTTCATTCAGTACCCCGTGCGGCTGGAGCAGGCGTTGATGGAGGGCAGCTACGACAAAGTGTGGAGCGAAACGGATAAGAAACGGGTGCCGAGCGAGGAGTTTGAGAAGTTTTCCGAGGTGAGCACGCTCGCTACAGTGGCTGCAGGTATACCTCTTTCCGTTCATGTCCACTGACGATGCCTATCAGATCCTCATCAACACTATCCGCTCAGAAATCGCCTCCTGCTCCGAACGCGCCTACCCCTCGCTCCCCATCTCCAACGCCAAGAACCTGCTTTTCCTCGACTCCGAAGGTGCCGTCATTCAGTTTGCTCAAGCCCGCGGATGGATCGCTAAGGACGGGCGGATCTACTTCCCGCAACAAGAGGAGGAGCTGGCGGCGGCGGAGAGGGATGTCATGAGCAGTACTGGTGTGGTGATTGAGAATACGCTGGGATACGCGAGGAAGCTGGAGACGATTGTCTAGAGGGAGAAAGACGGCGACGATGGATATGGCTGCGGGAAAGGCTTTGATCGAGAAGCGCGCAGGAAGATGGCAAGACAGGGTGGATGAGGTCGCATGACCATGCAACACCTCCACGAGCGCCGCAATCAAGACAGCACACGCTGTGGGATGCTCGGCTCGACATAGAGTAGGCATCACAATCAGCATCACTCCCGTGATGAAGCTTCTACAAACACCTTTACCGTAGCTTCGTGAGATTTTCCGCATTCCCTCTCCCTGACACCTGTCCAACGCGTAAAACCCGGCCGCGTTGAGCTGTCAACATCACCTTCCTCTGCCCATCTGTACATGCTGCGACTCCCAAGGGCAGGCTACGTGCCGTGACCACATCGCCTCAGACTGCGCAAACGGTGCATCTTTGGACGCGTTACTGCACAACGGAGCTGTGGCTGGCATCGGCGGTGAGCTGCAGCAGACTAGAACGCGTCGAAGAAGTGAGGTGAGTCACGGTGGCGTGACATACTCGACAGCAGACCGCAACATAACCCCTCCCTGTTCAAGCGGAGATGGCTTCTTCTCCAGCACCAAGCACGCAGCTCAGTCTCTGATGAAAAAAGGTGGTTCGCATCGATCCGGCGGCAGTGGAAGGCCGGTGATACGGTGCCCCCTCACATGTGCAAGCACAGCGGTGAGGGGACCGGGTGCAAAAATAAGAATAATCTTGAATGAGTCACGTGGACTCGTTTCAGAGATTAAACTGAAAAGAACAGATACTACCTGTATGGAGCGAAGAAAGAAAGTCAGCAAGCACGTCTCATGCATGGGATCGGAGTTGGGTGTGAACGTACACTTGATCTAAGCCAAAAGGCAAAGAGAGCTGAAGAAAAAAGAAGAGAGATTGAGGGTGAGTTGGTTGTGCTTTTGTATTTAGGAATTTCGCCAAGCCGCTAACGCTGAGTGGGGCAGAGCAAAATAATGACTCGCGCCTCTGCAAAGCTCAGAGTCACGTGAATTTTGCGCGAGTCATGCAGCTGCTCTCCAGCGCGGTGGAGCTTCGATGACAGCAACAGACTCCATGACACATCGGCCTCGCATTCATTCATACAATTGTCCAGAACGAAGGGGAAACTTGGAGATGCGCAAAAGATCCAAACACCGCATTTGCTTTGATTTGTGTACGACCATCGCGTGGGAGTTGGAGTCATGGAGCGTTGCTAATCTCATCGGTTTCCCGCAGCTCGTCACCACTCATTCATCGCCTCCGTTTAGAACCGCGAGAAACACAAGCACGTATCCGCCTTGCCTTGCATGACGGCCACCACCGAGGCCAAGCCATGGGACTTCTCCCATGTCCTTGACCTTGTCAACACCTTGTCCACCAGATCAGATCCCTGGTCGCCACCTGCCCCAGCCAACAAACACGATGCACCGAGACAGAGTCAGGCGTTAGTGCCATTCGATGATGAGCACAGTCATGAGAGGGAGCAGCACAACGCCGGTGCAGACTCTCGCGGCCTAGGCGACTTCTCCAAGTTGTGGCATTTCTTTGGCACATCTACCCCTCCGCCCGAACCCTCCTACCCTTACCGAACCCAACAACCACGCAATGTCGACATTGTCGACTTCCCTCTCTTCGCCAATTACGCATCGGACGGCGCTTTTGACGCCATCTCAACCAGCAAGAAGAAGACATCCAGCAAGGCGAAGGAAGCACACCATCCGCACGACCATAGCAGTACGGAGGATCAGGCAGGGGACACCCTTAGTGATGGTTCCTTTGCTCCAGACACTCCAACCCTGACCAAGTCGCAACGGAAGAAAAAGAACAGAAAAGAGAGGAGGGCGCAATTGGCCGCTGCTCTGGAAGAGAATGCGACTAGAGCTGTCTCGATGTCGGAGTCGGAGGCCAAGGCTAAATCCGGCCATACGCCTGCGAAGAAGGCCAGCGTCCATAACATATCCACTCCCCCGACGAATACATACAACTTACGCCCACGTGATGGATCTGGAAAGGCCATATGCGAGGCACCACAGTACTGGACAGCACCATCGCCTGCCAGCGCGAAGCCCACTACGAAACGCCTCGAAGCTGCCAAGAAGCCCCAGTTGGACACGTCCTCACCCAAGCTGCCATTGTCCAAGTCGAAGGCTACATCGACAGCACCAAGTAGCCTACCTGCAACTCTGGAGTCTGCGGTGAAGAGGCTCGAAGATGCGAAGAAGACACTAATGAGCACATCTCCACCCAAGTCGACACTGCCCAACTCGAAGACTACGCCAGCCAAGCCAGTCGCCCAAACTTCTCCGGCCATCGACATTCGACGCGCACATGATACACAGCACTCCACACCTCAGAATGGAGTTGTCAAACGATTCCTGCCATCTTCAGTCCCCCCTGCTCCCTTTGCTGTTGATCGGGAAATCTCAGCACCACCTTCCGTTCCGTCAATTCAGGCCACATCTCTTCCCAAGAGAAACAATGCTATCCAGCCCATAGTCGCCCGCTCTGGAGAAGACCGACACTGGGCACTTCTTATTAAACTCATCGGCGACTTCTACGAGGACCGCAAATACCTCATTGCTCCGATGAATCTGACCACGCACAACAACAACCCGAAAGGGATCCACGTCTTTGTAGACGCCAGCAACATCTTTATTGGCTTCCACGACCAACTGAAACGCTCCCGCGGCATTCCCTCTTACGTACACGTCCCAGCAGTGGACATGTCCTTTGACGCCCTCGCCCTCCTCATGGAGCGGCGCCGACCAGTCGCGAAGCGAGTCTTGGTCGGCTCAACGCCACACCTGCCAGCCTTTGACAAGGCCAAAGCAGTCGGCTACGAATGCAGCATACTGGAGAAAGTGTACAAGGCTCGCGAACTGACAGAACGTCAAATCTACTTTAAAGAACAAGAACGCGCCTACCACTACGATCGCAACGCCAGTGGCAAACGCGCGAAAGCGCCGCCGCCGCCGCCCGCGAATCACGTGGCTACGCTGCTCAATGGCACCAGCGGGAGCGCGGCAGGCAGCAGCTCGGAAACGAGCACGCCGCCGCAATATGCTCCCGCGCGCATGATTGAGCAAGGCGTCGATGAAATTCTGCACCTTAAAATCCTGGAGTCCGTCATTGATGCCGAAGAGCCGAGCACGATTGTGCTGGCGACGGGCGACGCGGCGCAGGCCGAGTACAGCGAGGGATTCATGGCGATGGCGGAGCGGGCTTTGAAGAAGGGGTGGACAGTGGAGTTGGTGAGCTGGAGTAAGAACATCTCCTCCATGTATACTCGTCGCGAATGGACGGGTGCGTGGGGAGGGAGGTTCCGCGTTGTGGAGCTGGACGATTATGCTGAGGAATTGCTTGATATGTGATGCGAGCGAGACAATGGTAGGCGATTTCGAGATGATGATTCTCCCGCTGAGAAGCGGAGTTTGCTCACCCCTCAAACACCGTCGTTGCAGATAGCATCTTGATGAAGCATCAAAGCGTGACCTCTGACATGGTTCCAACCTTCTATTACTATGTAAAACGCGGTTCCTTGAATGCCGGCCCCACAAGGACCAGGTAGGGGCACGCGCGACAGCAGGTTTTGGCGACAATCCTGTTTGACGTGCCAGCGCGGCCGCCCACTTCAGGGAAGATACCAGGATTTCATGCGCCACAGTCCATCCAACAATGCTGCCTTGCTTGGAATTGTATTCTTGCTTGGAGGTGGGAATCATGGCGGTGACATCACGTTTCGTCTCGTTGTTGGACGGATGAAGGACTCTTTCCTCTTAATCGATGGTCTTACTTAGTTCGCGATAAAACGTGAAGGTGTAAAGCGAAATGTCGAAATTGGAGCAAGTCAAACAGCAGAGCACGGAGCTCGAAGGTACGTTAGATGCATTTGAATGATCGGGTTGCGTTACTATGTCCGTTCTCTTCTTCTTCTCAAACATGAGACCAAGCTTGAACGATCGATTCTTGCGTCAACCCAGGCCGTCCGTTGGACGAGATATTCCATCAGGCTGAGAGAGTTGTTGACGCTAACCGATCTGGTTTCAACGCAGGAAGCATGCAAAAGATCAAAATGGTAGACAACGAAGCGAAGCAAAAGGCCGCTTCTGCTCCGGCTGCGAAGACGCCGGCCAAGAAGCCGGCTGGAAGCACTCCGTCGAAACCGGCGGCGACAAAGATTGCCGCAAAGCCGCCTGCTTCTGGGACTAGTCAGACGTCAGTGGATTTGAATCGACACAGTAGTGAGTCTGCTGCTGATACAGGATTCCGTAGCGCCTCGACGACACCAAAGCCCGCGAGCGCCACGGCCAAGACGGCGACTGCGCAGACGTCGAGTCCGGCTGCGAAAGCTCAAGCGACGACTGGCACTGCGTCGAAGAACGCTGCTGAAACCAAAAAGCCTGTCCCGAGTCAGCCAAAGCAAAGTCCAGCATCGGCTGTGGCCAAGAAGCCTGCTGTGGCCACCACTGGTCAAAACAAGGCGGCAGCTCCAACGCAAAAGGCTCCACAGGCGGTTGCCACTCCCGCCGCGGCTCCGGCGAAGAAGAAACCGATTCCGGCGCCTGTCAAGCCGCAGAACAAACCGACGGCGGGCCAGACGAGCCAGGCGAAGACGGGAACGACGCCGGTGAAGAAACAGCCTGCGCAAGCTGGAGGGGATGGCGGTGGTGCAGCGCAGCCGGCTGGTACGTCACTTCCCGGACTCAGATCCAGATCAAGGAAGTAATGTTGATGTATGTCCCAGGTGCCACGAACAAAGCCGTCACCGAGAAGACGAACCAAGCGACCGGCACTCTGAACAAAGCGACGGACACAGCAACTGGAACTGTGACCAAAGGCACGAATGCCGTGACGGGAGGTGTGGACAAGGCCACTGGCGGAAAGGCTGCTCCTGTGACAGGCAAAGTTGGACAAGTGGCTGGCGGCACGGCGAAGACTGCCGGATCTGCCGTCAAAGGTGAGATTTGGACGCCAAGAACTGAAAGAGATGCAAGAGGTGACGATTCTTCTCAGGTGTAAGCAGCACTGCCGGCCGCACTGTCGGCAATGTCTCGAAGACTGGTGCTGGAGTTGTGGGAAATGTAGCCAATACGGGATATCAGACGGCCGCGGCTGCTAGAAAGGGTGATGTGAAGGGCACTGCGAAAGGCTTGGCTTCTGGTACTGGACAGACCGTTGCCGGAGCCGGTAAAGGTGTCGGAGATACGGTATCTGGAGTCGGCAAGGGGCTTGATTCGACGGTGCGTGTTGGAATTTGGGTACTATTCAGCTGGTATGCTAACTCCAGTCGTGGTTCAGGTCGGTGGTGTTGGTGGGAGTCTCGGCGACACGGTCGGCGGCCCCGCTGGACCGACTGTGAAGAATGCAACAGGTAAGCGGATGAGCGGGTGTGCTGGCTAATTCCGAAGATGCTGAATGGTACGTTCTAGGAAATGTGGGCAAGACTGCCAAAGCTGCAACAGGCGGTCTCGGGAAGACGGTCAGTAGTCTCTCCCTCGAAGAAAGCATATGATAACCACATTGACGCGACGAACACAGGTCGGCGACACGGCCGGTGCAGTGGGAAAGGGTGACATGAAAGGAGCTGCCGCAGGCGCAACCGGAGGAGTGGGTGGTGTCCAACATTTTGGTAATGATGCCGGAGAGTTGACAGCTGACGCGGCCTCAACAGGCCGGACAAACCGTATCTGGTACTGGAAAAGGTGTCGGAGATACTGTCGAGGTACGTTAGATTGACTTCGGTGTACCGATCGTACCATGCTGATCGGAAGTATAGGGACTGGGTGACAAAGTGGGTGATCAGATCCCCAACAAGCGTGTCGGAGGAGCAGTGTCTGGCGTAACCAAGGGGTACGTCACAAGGCGTATGAGGCGTGTTCAATGACTGATGTATGTCAGCGTCGGCGATACCGTCAGCGGAGTGACTGGCGGAGTGGGAGAGGGTGTCGGGAAGATAGGTGCGTATTCAGGCCAGCATTGGTGATGCAGAAACAGAAGAGCTGACATATGTCGAACCCAGGCAAAGGAGATGTCCTCGGCGGCGTAGGGTCTGTGGGTAGCGGCGTAAGTCTTTCCAGGAGTGTTACAACACTCGCCTATTCCTAACGAATCGCAGGTCGGTCGAGGTGTCGGTGGTCTGGCCAGGGGTGTATGGGGCGGCATCTCCGGTTCCAACCAGAAAGAAAAGGACGCAAAAGCAGCAAAGGAGGAAGCGGATAGCGGAGAAGGCGAGGGAGAGGAGGAGGAATCGGCGGCAGGTCAGAAGAGCTTCTTCTAGACGCGTGATGCGCGAATGAATGGCCTCTTCTTGGCGACGGCCTCGGTCGCCGGGCAATAGCAGAATGTTAGGATGACACCGATGTTCGATAAGAGTCTGTTATGCAAATGACATGGCAGTTCGGCTGAACCTCGTCACCACTTAAGAATCCTAGAAATTGATTCTTTTAGCCAGCACGTCTAACCAATGACTCGCAGCAGCAATTGATCTGTTTGAGTCGAACATTGGCCGCAAAAAGTCACAACCTGTTGGGGTCCTACGAGTCTCGCCTTGCTTCTCCCTGAAAAGGAGTTTCGTTTTTTGACCTTTTGGAGGCCCCGAGTTCGAGTTCGAGTTCGAATCTGTGCCGTTGGCTTTTTTGGTCTCGCCGAACATCGTAGGGTCAGTTTGCACGACTTTACCGATGCCAAACAGACACGCGCCTTACAGAAAAGTACAGAGGTAGATGTAGAGAAGTAGAGTGTTGTCGAGCTCCTTCAGCCACACCGAAGTTTTGACTTTGGCGCTAGCGGGAGCGCCCGAGACACGTCCCTGCCGCGCTTTTGCAGGAGCACTTCTTGTCGTGAACAGAACATACCACCGCATCGATCATCCCACCACCCCCTCCTTCGCCGCACGGCTCACCACGCGACAGTGGTCGCATCACCGGCAACATGTCGGACCCCTATGTTCTTGTCGACCCTCCCCTTGTACGCCCATTCCCCGCCAAATCCCCCCCCTTCTCGCTAACATACTCGTCTGCAGCAAGATCATGTTCATCTCATCTCCGCCCACGGATTCACTCACACGGCTCACTTCTCTCTGGAGAACGCCTTCCAACAGCTCAGCCATGCTCCCACAATAGTCAAAGAGAGGGCCCCTATGGCCTGGACGTACGTGCAGGCTCCACGCGACGGCACCGTATGGCTCGAATGGATATCGCCGCGCCGCGAGAATCGCTTCGCCTCCGACGGCTACGCCTGGGGCGATCCTGAGCAGACGGGCCGGCAGGAGCGCAATGGATACACGATCGAGTGGATGACGCACACCGTGGGCTACCGGCCGGGTGTTGAGAACAACAGCATGGCCTCCCATGCGCGCACTCGATTTCACTTCATCAACAAGAACCCCAACGTCAATGCGCCGCATCCCGATCCCACCCTTTGGATCGTGCATTACCATCAGACCGACCGCAATCGCATGCTTCCCGCCAACCAGATGCCCGTGTCCCAACACGCACGACAACAACTCAACGAGCGCCGCTACCTCGAATCGCAAGGTCAACTGGACAAGCGCGAGTTCATGTTGCACGATCGCGAGCATTGGCCGGCCATCAGCCTGCCAGGCAGCGCGGGCCAGCATATGCAGCATCCGCACGCGATGCAGCAACACGGCATGTATGGCAATCCAGCGATGATGCATGCGCAACAGATGGGTGCTGCGGCGGGTGTGCCACGCTTTCCCCAGCAGCCTTACGCACAAGGTCAGCCTCCAGCGAAAAGGCCCCGACATTCTTCTGGCTCTGCAGCTCGCCCTGGCGAACATGCATTGGACATGAGCATTGAGGACGAGGAGAATCAAGTCTTGGATTACTTCGACCATCTCACACCCCGTGACATCAGCTTGGCACGCTACAAGCAACACCACTACTGGATGGAAGAAGTCTTCAACTCCCCGTACGCCTCCTCCGCCATCGTTCCTCCGGATCTCGGGCTGGGCCTGATGGGCGAGCTGAAAGGTCTTACGAAAGGCATTCTCAACCCGCCTTCTACCGAGGACTACAAGCCTGCACCGCCCGAAGACCCCAGGAATGGTAGCACTCGCACCATTAAAGAAGCGCAGGCCTTCACCAATCTCAAGCGCGAGCAGGTGGAGGAGTTCAACAAACGTGTCGAGAAGCACTTGGAGGATGGGCGTGCAGAGATTGAGAGGATGAAGAAGGAGCATGCGGAGAAGATCGCGGGATGGAAGCAGAGTAAAGCGCTGTTGCAGGCGGAGAAGAAGCTGAGATATGCGACGTGGGAAGGGCATGAGAATGCCGTGCCTGTCGTATTTCGGTTGGACGTTCCAACGGCGAATGGTCATGCGGAGGAGAATGGCGCGAAGTCAGAGACGGTGGAAGACATTGTCAGAGAGTCGAAGGCACTTCTGGGTGGGGAGATTCAATCGCACAAGGAGGCGGCGTTGATCAGGAGGGGAGGCTTGGAGGAAGAGGAGGAGAAAAAGCCCGAGCCCACGCCGCAGCCGGAGATGGACGTTCAGGAGGACCCCATGGGAGCTTCCACTGTCGCTGCCTTTCCCGGGCAAGACGATCTAAAACCCCAAGCACCACTGTCGGATGTACAAGCCCAGGTTCCGCAGCAGCAGCAGCCTGATGAACCCAACCCCAATGCAAATGCGGACTCTTTTGCCATGGACGATATACAAGGCGACTCTGGTCTGGTTGACATGGACGGCATGGATATGATGGACGACTCGCTCATCGACATGGATGGCGACAACGGCGACATCACTTTCATCGACCGCGATGACGACGAGACCTTTGGAGAGGAGCCAACTGCAGTCGACGCCCCTGCTCTTCCCGACCCGCAGCCAGCCGAGCAAGTCGAGGCTCCAGCGCCGGCTGAGCCCTCAGAGATCACTGCCGCCCCGGAGTCAGAGATTCCTGCAGCGGTTGTCGACGCCCCTGCACCCGAACCGGCAGAACTTGTCACGAGAGCAGAGGAGAGCGCAATCCCCGCAGCAACAGCCGACGCAAGTCTAGGCAACGAACCCGACGTCTCCGCAGTCACGGAGCAGACTACCGCGCCGCCTGTCGCGGAAGAGGACACTACGGAGCCGCCGCTTGGAAACGATGCCGACATTTTCGGCGATGGTACTTTCGACGATCTCCCTGATATGGGCGGCGACGTGGACGATGATGGGGACGGGTTGATTGACTTTGGGGAAGGGATGGATGAGACGGGTTTTGGAGACGCGATGCACGGGATGGATGATGCTGGTGTCGGTGGCGATTTGCAGGCCGATGTCCCTGAGGCGCAGGCACAGACGGGTGGGGAAGGTGCTGCTGAGCCTGAGGCCGAAGCCGCGCAGCAGGTCCAAGAGGGGTCCTAGGACGACGACTTCATTCGCGGGACCCCGAGTGACACCGCACAGGATGCGGAGGGCGTGCAACTTCTCAGAAGCAACGACACCGCCGACTCCACTGAAACCGCCTCAACCAACACAGCCTCCACCCCCGACCCCTTCGCCACCGGCCCATGGTCACACACCCGCACGCGCCTCCCCTTCGCCGTCGAGCTCGACGCCGCCCTCCCACCCTCCGCCCCGATCCACCCCGGTCTCGACCTTCTGCGGCCCAGCTCGGGCTTTGATGGCACGCACACGCTGCCGGAGATTCGGGCGGAGCTGAGCGATTGCGGGGATGGGGAGTTGCTTGAGGCGATTGATGGGTTGGTTGCGGGGTCGAGGTGGTTTCGGGACTCGCTTAGTCCTTGATTGGGGATGCGATTGCGCATGGTCGTGGTTTGGGGTGTGGCTCTTTTTTGGCATGCGCTGAGGGGGGCGGTGGTATCCGTCTGAGTTGGTCGTAGAGAGACCAATTATCGATTTCTATCGTGAACTCCTGTTCGTTGTTGCTCAATGCTCCACGTGTTTTTGTTCGAAGCCTTGCAGTAATCCCGTAGCCTTCGACACCCGACGCTGCGTTGGTTGTGTCTTAGGGTAAGGGTTGGGGTTCGTAGGCGTCTTCGACGACGATGGCAACAAGGTCGCTCTTGGAATTTTGCCAGATTGCATCCATCGCATGTACTGCTGTGAGCCATCTTGTAATGATACATTGTTTTTGGAGCATTAAATCGTAGTGTTGTTGGGATATTCGGGATTGTTGGATTTTCGACTTGTTCGTAACTTCCCAACTCAGACTTCACATGCTTGAACTCCTGCAGATGGGACTACGCTTCCTGCTCTTGGACACACAACGCAAGTCGAAAGTATAGATTCGCATATACTTCCCACCGTACACGCACTCTACAGCCCTTGGACGAGACACATGCCGAATACTATCAATCATGAAGCGCGAAATGCGCACAAGGCGACTCCCATGCGAGGCTGTGGACTACCTATGAGTGCAGTGGAACAAAGGACGCACAAGCGCCGTTACCGCATCGCGAAGAATTGCCGCGACTACTACCCGAGGCCGAAAGCCAGATGTATTTACATAGATAAGGCAGGAAGGACATGCATCCCAGACGTCAACATGACTCGCGAGCATGCAGCCTTGCAGACACCACTGACTGGAGACATGACGTGCAGTGACGGAGACAACGTCAGTTGTCCTCAGAGATCATGCGAGACCTTGATACATGTAGGCGCCTTCGCGTATTGCAGGACGACATGGGCTAGACCACGTGGGCGAGGTGGCGAGGGATAGGGGGGGAGCAATCCGCCCAGAAGCAGGATCTCACCACAACCAAGGCAGCTGAATTTGCTCACAGGTTGCGCCGTAGCATGCACAAGCGGTCGTCGCGGGCTTGGCCGCCACACCGATACCCGCCAAGACACGGTGAAGGTGGGCAACGTGCGTACCCGGCCCTCCACCAGGACTGGGTAAACGAGGAAGACTGCATCCATCGGTTAGAGGGCGGTGGCAAGCCGAAGGGACCTTGTTGGCGAGTGCAGGATATCGGGAGCGGTGAAGCGTAGCTGCTTGATCGGACGGCGATAGGAAACATGGATGGAATGTCAGCTGGCCAGAGAGGGAGGTGGCGGCGACGGAAACGATGACATCTAGCGGCGCGGACCGAGCCCCCCAGCATCGGCAGGCCGTCAGCAGGTTCGGGGAGGGCAGGCAGGCGAAGGGATGGGCGATGATTCGCGGCGGGCTCGCGTGCCTGCGATCGAGCCTGCACGCATCTGCGAGGGCCAGGTAGCTTTGCAGCGCGCGCGCTCGGCACCGTCTCCCCGGCCGTGTAGGAATTGCAGCCCGTGGCGTGCATGCAGCCAGATCCAGGCCGATGCTGGCGATGGAGCTGGGGAGAGGGCAAGCCACGGCATCATGCGGACATGGGGTGGCGATGCAGGCAGGTGGTATGCCGAAGGGTAGTACAGTGGGGCTATTCACCACCTCGCGAGGCGATGGAGAGAGAAGTCGGAGATAAAAGAAATGTTCAACCACCTTTTCCCATTGGCCCTGCTGCGTGGGCTGAAAATTCCCCGAATCAACCCCATCTGCCCATCCCACAACTGCCCCCGTATTATTCTCACCATTCCACTCATCATCTTCTCGTACTCCTCGCGTCCCGGAGAAGCTTATCACCAGCCATCCAGCGTCTCCCCCTCCCCGTTGCCCTCGTCGAGCTACTGTCGGCGTACCATTGTTCGAAGCAGCGTCTCCGCAACCTAAACACGCCACGGCCAACACCCCTCCCGTCCACCACACGGCCCCCCCATCCACCATCGACGACACACCCTCTGCACGTCTGGCCACCTGCCAAGTCCGGCCGTCTGCAACCTCCTTCTCGCAGTGGTGGTGGTGAAGTGCAGCCCATAACTCCCCTCCACTCGTCTCTCTCTCTCTCGGGCTTCGCCGAGCATATCAATGACTTCCGCACCATCGCCTGTCGATCTCGCCCACTACTCCACACTGCGGGTCCGTTTGGGAGGGAAGCAGATCTAACTAGGCTTAACCTTACCTCGTCCCTCCCCGCCCACCCACCTCATTCCCTCGACGCCCTCAACGTCTGTCCTTCGAACGGGAAGTCGGGCAGCAACATCCATTGGCCAACTCGACTCCTCCTCTCTTCTACTACTCGGCCTTCTCTGTCTGCTGGCTGGTCCATCTCGACTATTCCACCCCCACGTCGTGTGTCACCTTCATCCCCCGCCCTCGGATTTCTCACCGGCGAAAAATATTGTGTGCCCCGTTTCCGGCTTGTGACAAGTGCGGCTGGATAGGCAACATCTCAGCCTCCACGATTGCAGCTACAACTCGCGAGAATTTGTACATCGACGCATGGTGCTGGAATCCCTCTACCTCTGTGTGAGAGCACACTCGTTGATTTCAACCACGCTCTCCCTCCAACTCACAGCCCGACTTCTACCTGGCTGTGTGCCAGCCCTCAGCCAAGATGTCTCACGGTAAAATGACCCTCTACAAGCTGGTGGTGCTAGGAGACGGAGGCGTGGGCAAGACTGCCTTGACAATCCAGGTGCGTAGCCTTCGTCACACCTATTCCCCCAACACCCCAATTCTAACACTCCTCCCCCACCACAGCTCTGCCTCAACCACTTTGTCGAAACCTACGACCCGACCATCGAAGACTCCTACCGCAAACAAGTCCAAATCGACAACCAAGCCTGCATGCTCGAAGTCCTCGACACGGCGGGGCAAGAAGAATACACCGCGCTCCGCGACCAATGGATCCGCGACGGCGAGGGCTTCGTCCTCGTCTACAGCATCTCGAGCCGCGCCTCCTTCACCCGCATCAAGCAATTCCACCACCAAATCCAGCGCGTCAAGGAGTCCGCCGCCCTCGGCTCCCCCACCTACCCCGGCTCGCCCATCTCCGCCGCCTCCATCCCCGTCCCCTCCGGCCCCGCCCCCGTCATGCTCGTCGGCAACAAGTGCGACCGCGTGACGGAGCGCGAGGTCTCGGTGCAAGAAGGCAGCGCGCTGGCCAAAGAGCTACGGTGTGATTTTGTCGAGGCGTCGGCCAAGAACTGCACGAATGTGGAAAAGGCGTTTTACGATGTCGTGCGGCAGCTGCGGCGGCAGAGGGCCAATGGGCCTGCGTCGCGCGGTGGTGTGGGTGGAAATAATCATAATCATCACCATCAGCTTGCGGGCGGCTTACCGGAAGCGTCGATTTATACGTCGCGCACGCTAAGGCCGGCGAGAGGGGGATATGGGATGAATGAGAAGGAGGGCGATCGGAAGCGGTATAGGCGGGAGAAGAAGTCGAGTAAATGCGTCATTTTGTGAAGGAGGTGCGTGCAATGTGGGTGAATATTCGACCGATATAGGCGGCGGCTTTGAGGGGCAGAGGAAGGCTGCGAGACTATTCGTGTCGTGCCCTTTGGCCGGCTCACGAGCTTCACGAGAAGGAGAAGCTGGAAGAGACGGGTGAAGGCTGGTGTGTACGCACCACACGCAGTGACCGCCACCAAGACAGAAGGACGAGGGTCACAAGCGGACGCGGCGGCCATCTCTGGCGTGTGGAGCTGACACCTCCAACAGAGGCGTCGAGGCTGATGTACGGAGACAACGGCATGGCTGGCCCTCGCGGTGACTGCACTGACGGCCACCAGGGGATTATTCCCGGTCGCAGGTAGGAAGGAAGAAGCAGGCGTGGAGCAGGGCAGCGGAGGGCGATTGGCGCCATTTAATGACAGACCACGATGACAAGATGAATGGGCGGGCTATAATTCCCCACCCCCAAAAAGCAAGCTATGCATTGATGATAAACGAGGAATCCTCATTCCTTCCCAGCAGCACCCTTCTCCTCCCTCTCCCGCCTCCTCCTCTCCTTCTTCTCCTTCTTCGCTCGCCTCCATTTAACCCCATACTTCATCGTCACCAACGGCCCCGTCGCCGACGCCATAAACAACACCGCCAAAATGGTATACGACCACCCATTCCCAATCGCATTCGTCATGGGCCCAATAGCAGCCGTAGCGGCCGCGCCAAGCAGGCACCGCACAACATTATTCGCCGCCGTGGCGGTCGCGGGTTTGCCCGGGTAGATGTCGACCATGAGGGTGATGAGGGCCTGCGAGCCGGCGATGAGGCAGTACCCGAGGATGAAGAGCATGATGATGGGGCCCGCGACGGAGACTTTTGCGTCGAGCAGCCAGCCGTAGCCGACGACTGCGACGGCGCCTAGGAGCATGATGGGCAGGCCGATTTCCATTCTTGCGCGCTCGATGGGGAAGTCGGTGAGGTCTGTTTGTCTGTTCTTTTGGATGGGGAAGTTGAGCGCGCGCGCGTGGCGTTTGTAGTTCCAGTCTATTAGCCGGCCCGTCGTGAAGGCGGAGATGATGCTCCCCACGCCGATGGGCAGGAAGACGAGGGAAATGTACAGCTCGTCGAAGTGGTAGACGTCGTGGAAGGCTTTGGCGGCGCCGGTGGAGATGGCGTAGAAGCAGGCGAAGGCGATGCCGACGCCGCCTAGCAGGAGCGCGGTTTCGCGGTCGGCGAGGACGCGCAGCGTGCCGATGGGGTTGGGGAAGGTGATGCGGTAGTTTTGGCGCAGGGCGGCGAGTTTGACTTCATCGATGGGGATGCCTTTGCGTTCGCGGTTGCGGAAGCGGATGCGGTCGGTGAGGTTGGCGCTCGTCCTGGGTGGGGAAGGGGGTTAGCGGGGGATTTTTGACGGAGAGGGAAGGAAAGGGTGTACCAAGGAGGCGGGACTGAGCCGTCGCCGACGAGAGCGCGCGAGGTCTCGGGGAGGAACAAGACGAGCGGGACAAAGCTCACGGAGGAGAGGATAAGCAAGAACCAGAAAATCGAATGCCAGCCCAGGTACTGGCTCAGCAAACCACCAATAACAGGGCTGATGGACGGGCCGAGCAGACTGCCGATGGACGCGTAGGCAACGTACTTGCCGCGCTCGGAGCTGACGATGCAATCGCCCACGAGGCCCTGGGCGAGGGCGACGGTGCCGCTGCTGCCGGCTGATTGGAGCATGCGGAGGACGAGAAGGGCGACGTAGTTGTTTTGCAGGGCGAGGGCGAGGTTGGCGATGATGTAGATTGTGAAGCAGATGAAGTAGGCCGGGCGGCGGCCGGCCTTGTCCGAGAAGCCGGCAATCATCATAGGCGCGAGACCTTGGAGGATCAAGTAGGTGGTGATTGTGAGGTTGATTTTGGAGTCGCTGACGTGCAGATCTCGGGCGATCTGGGAGGCGTCAGTGGGAGAAGTGAAAGGAGTGGGCATGGAAGAGACGGCACCTCATTCAGAGCAGGATAATAAATCGAGCCGGTCATCGGACTGAACCAAGAGATGAAGCTGCCCGCCACGATGATGGCTCTCTTCTGCGGCACGGTGAAGATGGAAAAGTCCTCGGTGGCGAGCGCCGCGTGCGCGGCGGGAGAGACCTGCGCCTCGACATCCTTCTTTTCATTGTCGGATGGCTGTGCATGCTCGCTCTGCTCGTGGAGGGACGTGGTTGGATCGTCGTGGCTTTTGGAGGACTGCTCATCCTTGCGGTCTAGGCCTTCCGGAGAGCCTGGCTGGGCTGCGTTGACAGACTGCTTGGATGGCTTGTCGTCGAGCGACATGTTCGGTTCCGCGCCACTTCAGACGGGCTGGAAGGTAGGACAGAGACGGCAGAAGTGCAGTCGAAAGCAAACTCGTGACGGAAGTGTCCTGGTATCCGCGCGCGATGCATATCAAGGAGCGAAGAGGACAGAGGTCATGGTTGATTCTGATGCACGCAACCGTCCAAGGAGCCCGATGTCGCAAAAACAGAAGGATTGTGAGGGGAGGAGAATGGAGATACGAAAGGAAGGCATCACGACCAGTAGCGTACTCTACCTTTTTCGCCGGCGAATGTAGTCGGTGTTGTGGGTTGTGGCATGTCACGGCAGAGTCGGCACGCGGCGTTTACGAGTGTTAAAATCGAGGACGTCCTGACTTCGGAGCCGACATCGCTTCACCCGCGCCACCTCTCATACGCGACATGGACTTAACAAATGCACAACTCGCACAGCACAAATGCTCATCATCGCTCTTCAAGACGGTGTAGTATCAACAAAGGTAAGGCAATCACTTCTCCCCCCTCAACACCTGCGCAACCCTCACAAACCCCTCCTCCTCCTCCTTCACCCACACATCCGGAATGCCCTCCTCCCTCATCTCCAAATGCCTCTCCTCCCTCGCCCTCTCCACATAAACCGCCCCAAACCCACACTTCTTCGCCGCCTTCAGATCATCCAAGTGCGCCGCAACGAGCGCACACTCCTCCGGCTTCACCCCCATCTTCTCCGCTGCCCCCAGATACACCTTCGGATCCGGCTTGTACGACTGGAACATCTCGGCCGAGTAGACGTGGGTAAAGGGCATGCTGCCGTTCGCCACCATGTCTTTGAGCAGGGAGACGTTGCCGTTGCTGAGGGTGCAGGTGGCGTAGTTGCGGTTGAGCTCGTGCAGGCCGGCGCACGTGTCGGGCCAGGGGGCCAGGCGGTGCCAGATGAGGTTGAGCTCTTGGAGTTGCTGTTCTGTCCAGAGGGAGGCGGTGTCGTCTGCGGTTTTGCCGTCGTGTTGGAGGGCGATGAGGCCGTGGGCGGCGAGGATTTCGTGCAGCGATTCCAGGTGGTGCTCGTCGACTGTTTTCCAGCCTTTGATTGTGCCTGTTGCAAGGGCGCGGGTGAATTTGAGGTACCCGTTTCGCCATTCTTGTGCTGGTGGCTCTTTAGTATGTGTCCTCGCCATTGTGGTAGTAAAGGTTCATCGTACCTAATTCACCCCACTGCTCATATGTCTGGAGATTGATTCATCAGCTCAAGATCGTTGAGGAGGTGATTGATCCGGTCATCGCACCTTAGCCTTTGCCGCCTCCCGAACTGGACTACTGATGGAAGAAGCCCTCGAGGAGTTCAATGCCTCCTCCGCACTCCTTGCCAGCTCATCAGTGACCGACTTCCTCCAGTCCACACAAGTCCCAAAGACGTCGAAGAAAAGCGCGCGGGTATTGGGGTTGAGGCCCATGTTGAAGGTCGGTCAATTGAAATGATGAAATATCAGGATGGAAACATAAGTCCACTTCAATCACGTATCAAGTAATGAAATGTATTCGCTGCTTCACGCCTTACATTGTCTGTGGAAAGAAGGCGTGGTGGAGATCTCGGCTGTGCCGTCATCGGCGCTACGACTTCCCTGTCTGGATGGATGGATGGATATCACGCAAAAGGAGAATGTGCCGCCTCTATGCAGTCACGGGCTGGCCGATTGGGGAGAGAGTTGCCTGGAGTATGACTCCAAGACGGTGCAGATGAGTCAGTCGCAGTCAGGCAGCGATGCTCATCTCCTGCCGATGCCGTCGTTCCTGCTGCGGCGACTAGCGTATGCCTTGACTCCATCTGGCCAGGCATGAGATGAATCCAGATCCTGAGGCAAGTCGCGTCAGACCATAAACAACACGGTGGTACTTGCTCGAGATGGCGCAGGGTAAACAACAACAGCAAGACGCGACCAGAGAGCGAGCAGACTGAAGGGCTTGGAAAGGAGGAAGAAAAGACAGTGGACGGTCGATGTAGTATTGTCATTTGCAGACGCTCAATTATCTCCATGATGAAACTCCGCTTGAGCCGTTATACTACAAAGAGCAGGCAAAAAAAGCAAGCCAGAGGCCGAGAGCAGCCCGGCAGGTACCCATCCCATCCCCCCCGTCGCGCCATCCGTCCCCATCTCAGCAGCAGCTGCACCATGCTGGTGGTAGTGTCTTGTTGTGATTCGTGAACATGCAGAAGTGGAAGAAGTGGTTGTTGGTGTTGGTGTGGAGCAGAGAGGCGACCCGCTTAACCACCGAAACCGTAGAGGGTGCGGCCTTGTCGCTTGAGCGCGTAGACGACATCGAGGGATGTGACGGTCTTGCGCTTGGCGTGCTCGGTGTATGTGACTGCGTCGCGGATGACACCCTCGAGGAAGGTCTTGAGGACACCACGGGTCTCTTCGTAGATCACTGAGGGGAAGTGTTAGTGGATGGTGATGATGAGGAGAGATGTGGTTGATGGAAGACATACTGGCGGAGATACGCTTGACACCGCCACGACGAGCCAGACGGCGGATGGCGGGCTTGGTGATACCCTGGATGTTGTCGCGCAAAATCTTCCTGTGACGCTTCGCACCGCCCTTTCCGAGGCCCTTGCCACCTTTGCCGCCTGCAGAAGATGTGTTAGTGGATGTTGGTGATGAAGAGTGGATGAAGTGTTGATGCAAGGCACTTACGTCCAGTCATGTTGATGGAGAGTGGGTTGGTTGAGTGTGGGGAGAGGAGTATTGATGGAGATGTGGGATGTCTTTGACGCGTTGAGTGTTTGGTGATGGATGAAAAGGGAAGAGGGTTGAAGCGGCGTGGGGAACTTAAGAGACTGCGACGGCGGCCTGCCCGGCGTTTCGCAATCACGCGCAAGCAAGCGAAAGTTTACTGCAATCACTCCATGCCCAGCGCGCGCTAAGCCGCTTCCGGCGGATCACGACGGGAAATCAACAACAGAATTGGAGTAAAGGGCGCGCGGTGCCCCGTGCTTTCCCTTGCTTGTGAGTGCAGCTTTCCGAGCGATGATTGTGAGTGATTAGAATCCGCTGCACAGCCGCCCGCCTTTTCTCTTATTCCCCTCCCTTCCGCTTCCACCTTGCACCTTACTTCATCCACCAACCACCGACTTCTATTCATCAACCCAAGTCATCTTCCATCACCAAAGTCATTAGCAATGGCCCGTACCAAGCAGACTGCCCGTAAGTCATCATCACTCTTGTCGTCGTCGCCGCTTGTCTTCATCGACATCGTCGTCGCCGCCTCACTTCTTCATCATCATCATCACTCCTCACTAACACATCACCTCAGGCAAGTCCACCGGTGGCAAAGCGCCCCGCAAGGCCCTCGCCTCCAAAGCCGCCCGCAAGAGCGCCCCGTCCACCGGCGGTGTCAAGAAGCCCCATCGCTACAAGCCGGGTACCGTCGCTCTCCGTGAGATCCGTCGTTACCAGAAGTCGACCGAGCTCCTCATCCGCAAGCTCCCCTTCCAGCGTCTCGTGCGTGAGATTGCCCAAGACTTCAAGAGCGACCTGCGCTTCCAGAGCTCCGCCATCGGCGCCCTGCAAGAGTCCGTCGAGGCCTACCTCGTCTCCCTCTTCGAGGACACCAACCTGTGCGCCATCCACGCCAAGCGTGTCACCATCCAGAGCAAGGACATCCAGCTCGCCCGCCGCCTCCGTGGTGAGCGCTCTTAAGCGATGAGCCTCCTCCTACTCTCACACACCAACACTACAACACCGACCTCATGACGTGAACGCCACCTCGACCTCCTTCCGGCCACCGAACTGCGCGCTGGGGGTGATGGGCGGTGGAGGAGATTCATCTCATGGCTCTGCGGCAACTCTTTTGATCAATGGCGTTGTGGTTTCTACTACTACTACTTACTCACGGATGATGGGTCGAGATATCTCCATGGGGTGCACCACTGGCGGGGGTTGGGTGGGATGCACATGCATGTATCATAATGACAATGGTACCAGGCCAAGGCCTTTCGATCACTTCTTCTTCCCTGCCAACGTGTTCTCCTTCGTCTTGTATTGTTGTTGTTAATGTTGCTGTTACCTTCCGGGCGCAATCTGCCTGGCGCCCTTCTCGCCCGCCCACTTCCTGCTGCCTGCCCTTGCGTTTCTCCTGGGCTTGTGTTGCTTGCGGTCATTGTACTCTGACAAACACTTCCATGTCCACCCATCTGTTGTAGCTTCATTACATTCTTTGATGTTCTAGATGGAAGCAGAGAATCATCTATTGTCTGGCAGCGTGTACCTGCAGCAGCTCCGCGCCACTCGGGAAGCAGCAAGGCGGAAGCCGAGCGTCAACCCGACCCGACCATCCCACCTTTCGTCATCCCGTGAATTCCACTTCGCCCACAGCCATGAACATTCCCCCGTAACATCCACTCGCCTCACCGCCTCCAGCACCAATGCGGCGCGCAAGCAAAAAGCTCACCCCGGCGAGATGACCATCTTCGCAGGACGGTCAACCATCCACCGTCTCCACCAGAAAGTGCACCGCAACCTGCTCAAAACGCACCAAGCGCGCTATGAATCGACCAAACCCAACACCACCACGATTCCTCCTCCTCCCCCTCCGCCTCCACCCCAACAACGAACCATCCCCGGCCCAACATGGGCCTGGATCGACCCGCTCATGCGCCCCTTCCGCGCCTACGCCGGCATGCAGCGCCGCAGTCCCCTCATGACCCAGTGGGAATCCGCCCTCGTGATCTACTACCTAGGCGACCTTAGCTCGCAACTGGTCATGACGAACGCCTTTCTCGACGCGCAGTACGAACCCATCCGCGGCCTGCGCGCCATGATCATCGGCAGCATCACCGCCATCCCCTCCTACAAGTGGTTTCTCTTCCTCGGCAACAACTTCAACTACTCCTCGCACATCCTGTCGCTGACGGTGAAGGTGTGCGTCAACCAGACGTTCTTCACGCCCTTGTTCAACACGTATTTCTTCGGGATGCAGACGCTGCTGTCGGGCGGGAGCTGGGCGGATGCGAAGGAGCGGGTCATCAATACTGTGCCCGTGAGCTGGAAGAATTCTTGGAAGCTGTGGCCGGCGGTGACGGCTTTTAGCTTTACCTTTGTGCCGTGGCAGTATCGGAGTGTGTTTGCGGGCGTGATTGCGATTGGGTGGCAGACTTATTTGAGCTGGTTGAATCGGACGGATGAGAATCGGCAGGTGCTGGAGCATATCATGGAGAAGGATGTGGAGCAGCAGGTGGTGAGGAGGGGAAAGGAGGAGAAGAGGAAAAAGAAGGCGGAGAAGAAGGCTGACGAAGAGAAGACGACGAGCAAGAAGAAGCGACGGAAAGACGTGGATGCGAAGGAAGAAGGAATTGATAGATGAGGGCGGTGCTGTCTTTTGATACCCTGGATCATGTTTGGAGGCGATCTTGTCATAGATCTAGACGACTGCAAAGTGTTGTACATATTTCAATTAGCTTGAACGATTAATTGGACATACTTCTAGATTATTGCTTCAACATCTGCCGTTGCACGTGTCGAGGCTGTCAAAGCACATGACATGGCGCCAGCTTCGCGAATCCTCAATTCCCCACTCCAACCATCCATGATCGCCACACCTCGTCGCCTCCGCGCAACAACCACTCACCTCCACAGTAGCAACACAAAAGCCATGGCATCATGGCCATCGCCACCTCATACCCTCACGCCATCGATCCGATAGCCGAAACGGCAAGCGACTATGGCTCCGACATCGACGACGCCACCGCGCACCACCTCCTCTCTCAAGCCGAGTCACAGCCCTTGACAGACGACATTGCCCTCGAAGCTCTCCCCCATCCTCCAGTCCTGCAAGATGACGGCGTCGAGCAAACCGCTCACTTGCGTCTTTCGCACGCGCAGTACTCCTCTTCGCCTCGGAGTTTGGGGCACAAGAGCAAGGCTGGTGAGGGAGAGGGACGGCGCGTGCGCGAGGCTTCAATCGAGGTGGAATACGACGAGGGCAATAGGGCGTCCTTCTTCAATTGTACGTTTCTCGCGGGTGTGGAGGACTCTGCAGCACTAGTAGCAGCTGACAATGGCTGACTGCTCAGCGCCTGGTAGCCGCATCTATCCCCAACGATGAAGCAACTCCCGCCGCAGCACCTCAACCCGAACCCTCGCAAACGATCGACCCTCGTCTCCCACCTATCGACCGCTTCCGCAGGCGCCGCCCTATCTCCGTCACAGACCTCGTGTCTCCCGCCTGGTGCGAGCAGCAATACGAATACAGCCTCACGAAGTACGGACGCGTGCGCAAAACCCCGGCAATGAAGCAAGGCTCTACCGTGCACCGTGAACTGGAAGAGCAAGTGCATGTGCGCGTGCCGGTGGAGGTGGTGTCAAAGGAGGACAAGTTCGCGCTGCGCGTGTGGAATTCGATCCACGGGCTGCGCATGCTGAGGGAGACGGGGCTGACGAGGGAGTTGGAGGTCTGGGGCGTGCTGGAGGGGGAGGTGGTGATTGGGATTATCGATGAGATTCGCACGACGTGTCCGGATGACGCGATGGAGGCGAGGATGTTGGAAGATGCGGAGAGGGGGAGGGGGAAGAAGGAGGTGCTGCCTGCTGATCAGCGTACTCTGACCGAGTTTCTCACTCATTCTCAGAGTGCTTCCATTCTGGAGAGGACTCCTCCGGCATTGGGTCGACGCACACGTCACGATTCTCCATCGAGGACCTACTACCTCGTCGACGTCAAAACCCGACAATCAAGGACACTTCCTACCTCCGGCTCGCAGTCCCGCCCAACACACATGCAACTCATGATCTACCACCAACTCCTCTCTTCCCTAGCAGCCAACACCGTCCCCGCAGACCAAGTGTTCGCACGCTACAACCTCGACGCCAACACCCCCTTCAGCGACACCTTCCTCGCCCAAGTCGCCAATCTCGACATCAGTCCTTCTCCCGCGCCATCGCAAGCAGACAATAGCTCGACTCCCGCCAGCCAAGAGGATCCCTTGACCGAATTACTGGCGTACAACACCCTCTCCCTCCTCTGGCCGCTTCTCATCAACGAAGCATCCCTCACCTTCCCTCTTTCTCCACCGCAATCATCAACACCCTCCATTTCCCCCCTCCTAACCGCCGAATTCCGCACCAGCCGCCCCGACGAAGTATCAGAAGCAGGCACCCTCATAGGCCAGCGCAGCTTCCCCTTCGATGCCAAAGCCGTGTCCGCTTACCTGGCCGACGAAATCGGGTGGTGGAGGGGCGAGCGCGAGACAAAGGGCGTGGAGGTCGAGGAGGCGTTCAAGTGTCGGCTTTGCGAGTTTGCCGAGGGGTGTGCGTGGCGGGCTACGAAGGTTGAGGAGGGCCTGCGGAGGGTGAGGGAGAGGGAGGGGTTGAGGGGGAGGGGGAGAAGTGTAGTCTAATTTGCGTGTGAGATTATCATGAGAGACGACGACGACGATGATGTGTGAGATTAATGATGTTCAGCGGTGAAATGATATTCATTCTTCGCGAATCACGCTACATGCCCGTTCTGCTGCACCGCTTCCGCCGTCAACGGCAGTCGGCGATGCGTATACCGCTTTCCACCGCCAGAGCCGTACATCGCCACCCCCTGCCCATTACCCGCCAGCCGGTACTCATGAATCATCAGCCCCTCCAACCCCACGGGCCCGCGCGCATGCACCTTGTTGGTGGAAATGCCCACCTCCGTCCCAAAGCCGAAGCGCATCCCATCGCAGAAGCGCGTGCTGCAGTTCCAGAATTTGCACGCGGAGTCGATGCCGTTGCTAAAGTGGTCGGCGACGGCCTTCGATGCCGTCAGGATGGCGTCGGTGTGGTGGGAGCCGTGGGTGTTGATGTGCTCTATTGCGGCGTCGATGCAGGCGGGGGGGTCGGAGGGGGTGGCGGCGATGGTTTTGATGGCGAGGATGAGGTCGAGGAATTCGGTGGAGAAGTCGGCGTCTGTGGCTGGTTGGACGAGGAGGGAGAGGTCTTTGGGGAGGTGGCGGGTGAGGGCTGCGAGGGACGGGGGGTCGCAGCGGAGGGTGACGCCTTGGACTATCAGGGCGGTGGCGACGGCGGGGAGCAGTGTTTCTAGCTGGTCTTCGTGCACGAGGAGCGCTTCTAGGGCGTTGCATGCGGCGGGGTAGTCGCATTTGGAGTCGACGACGACGCTCACGGCCATTTGCGCGTCGGCGTCGGAGTGGATGTACATGTTGCAAAGGCCGTCGGCGTGCCCGAGGACGGGCATGTGCGCTTTCTCCTGGCAGTAGCGCACGAGCTGGTTGGAGCCGCGGGGGATGACGAGGTCGACGTACTGGCTCATGGCCAGCAGCGGCTCGACGGCGTCGCGGGTTGTGACGAGCTGGATGGAGTCATTCGGGACGTCCGTTGGGGCGAGAGCAGAGGAGATGACGGAGGAGATGGCTTTGAAGGATTCCAGCGACTCCTTGCCGCCCTTGAGGATGGCGGCGTTGGCGGACTTGATGGCGAGGGAGGCGATGTTGGCAATGACTTCCGGGCGGGCCTCGAAGATGATGAGCAGCACGCCGATCGGACAGGTTTGGCGGTGCAGAATGAGGCCGGAGTCCAGCTCTGTGCGAAGGTCGATTCGGCCTACGGGATCTTCGAGGCTTCTGACGTCGCGGATGCCCTGCAGCATGTCCTCGAATTTGCCCTTTCGTCCTAGATCCAGTCGTTTGAGGATGGCTGGACTTAGATCGCCGTTGGCGGCGGATTGCTTTGCGAGGGCCAGATCTTTGGCGTTGGCGGCCAGGATAGCGTCTTTCGCGGAGAGTAACGCATCGTGAATGGCGTCGAGGGCGTGATTTCTTGCGTTGGTGGAGAGAGTGGCTAATCTTCTGGACGAGGTTTTGGCAGCGCGAGCGGCATCCTCGGGAGAGGCATTGGTCAGTGACATCGTTCGTAGTAATAGATGTGGTCGATGCTAAGGTATTTCGATACCAACACCATCAACTCGACTCATATCTCAGAATCTTGTCAAAGAAACGGAAACAGCCGCCATGGCCGAGCGGGAGGTTCCGCCTCCACCCCCGCCATTCAGCCACAGGAACGATGGAAATAGAAACGACAAGCGGACTCTGCACGCGCGGCCGGCCAAGTCAGCCGTCTTCCATCCAGCAGATTAAAGGGATAGACTTCAAGAATGGAGATCAGCAGGACAGCGAGGCATTTTTCTTCGCCCTCTCGCACAACATGTGATCAATGCCAGCGGAGGGCGGCGGGATGCAGGGCTCGCAACGCCCTTCTCCACTTGGCAAGGGTTAGTCAGGCACGCGGTGTGGCGCGACAGGCTGTGCCGACTGCAACCGACTGCGGCATCGTGGGATTACGTGAAAATCACTCCACTGCCCGCAGATTCTGCCCCGCCGGTGCAAAGGCTGCGTGAGGCATATATAAAACAAAAAGCTGCTCGCGTCTCACATCCGTCTTTTGAATATTTGATAATAAAGCAACAGCGAAAGCGGCACATGAGTTGCCGTCTTACAACCCCATCGTTCCTTCCCCCACCAAACCGGAAAGCTTGACGGCTGCAGGAGCCTCACTTTTGCATGATTCCACCCCCCCACATCACGTGCACCTGAACGCCGTGGCTGCGTCCAGAACAACTCCCAGCTTTCAGAACACTCCTCTGCCCTCCACCCTTCTTCCTCGCCCACTCCAACACATCCTCCCCGCACAACAGAGCAGCGAGGCGAGAATGGCGTCCTCCCTACAACCCAATGGCACCGCAGCCGACCACGCCGCCGACCCCAACCCAGCGCAACAAAAGCTCCTCGACCCGCAGACCGTCCGGACTCCCGGCCGCCAACCCTCTCCTCAGCCCACACATCTTGGTGTCTCCGGTGACTCGCACGTCTCCCACGTCCTCTCCGAGTCCGGGCCCGGCTATGTCGCGCCCACCTTCGAGGGCAAGGAGCAGCAGATGGAGCGGGTGATGGACGCGGTGGAAGAGAAGGGCTTCATCCCCGCCGACCTGGTCGAGACGGAGGTCAAGTGGTTCTACAACGAGCTCGGCATCGACGACATGTACTTCTCCACCGAGTCCGCCGACGCCATCGTCAGCCACATCCACTCCCTCTACGCCGCCAAGGTTGCCGCCTACGCCCGCGACGACAAGAAGCTGGAGATCCGGTTGGAGAAGGAGGCGGCTGATCATGCCGTCTACATTGATACCAGCAGACCCGGCATCTCCAACCTCCAGGGCTCCGGCTTCGAGTCACGCATGGAGTCGAAGTACTTTGATGGCAGCAGAGGCTTGCACAGTTACCGCATGGAGTCCTTCCGCTCCAAGAGCAAGCTGCCGGATGCAACGGACGAGGAGGCTTCACTCCGCTGCTACTTCATCTACCAGTCGGTCTTCAAGAACCAGAACCCCGCGCCCGGCGAGACACGCATCGAGGAGCTGGGTGACGAGCGCTTCCTGCAAAAAGCCACCAAGAACACCCTCGACATCTACCAGCGCATCTTGGACGTCGTCGCCGTCCGTACCGGTCCCGTGATCGACATGTACGAGATTGAAGGCACGCGCGAGAAGAGATTGATTGTCGGCTTCAAACAAGGCTCTGCTCTGGGCCTCTTCGCTGCCCTGAGCGACCTGTACCACTACTACGGCTTGACGTCGTCGAGGAAATACATTGAGCAGTTTAGCAATGGCATTTCCATCATGTCAATCTACTTGGTCCCGGCGCCCGGCTCGGAGACGAACCACGCCCCAATTGAAGCCAGCATCCACCAGGTCACCAAGGAGATTTCCCTGCTGTACTGCGTTCCGCAAAACCGCTTCCAACACCACTTCATCAGCGGGCGCCTGTCTCTGCAAGAGTCCATCTACGCACATTGCGTGTGGGTCTTTGTCCAGCACTTCTTGAACCGTCTGGGCACCGAGTACAACACCCTCAAATCCGTCTTGGACATGAGCAACAATGTCCAGGCCGAGCTGCTTTCCAAGCTCAAGAAGCGCCTGCGTAACGAGACGTTCACAGCCGACTACATTCTGGAAATCATCAACCAGTATCCCGACCTCATCCGCTCCCTCTACCTCAGCTTTGCCAGCACTCACTACGTTCACACTCGTGGCGAGCAGGATGACTTCCTTCCCACGCTGTCATACCTCCGCATGAAGGTCGACCGTGTGCTCACCGATGACGAGCACAAGGACCTCATCTCCAAGAGTGCCGTCAACGAGCACCACGAGATGGTCATGACTGCTTTCCGCGTCTTCAACTCCGCCGTCCTCAAGACCAACTTCTACACCCCGACCAAGGTCGCCCTCTCCTTCCGCCTCAATCCTTCCTTCCTGCCGGCCGAGGAGTACCCCCAGCCCCTCTACGGCATGTTCTTGGTCATTAGCTCGGAGTTCCGCGGCTTCCATCTCCGCTTCCGAGACATTGCGCGTGGTGGTATCCGTATCGTCAAGTCTAGGAGCCGTGAATCTTACTCCATCAACGCCCGTCTGCTCTTCGATGAGAACTACAACCTCGCCAACACGCAGCAGCGCAAGAACAAGGACATCCCAGAAGGTGGCAGCAAGGGTGTCATTCTTCTGGACCTGCAGCATCAGGACAAGATGCAAGTGGCGTTTGAAAAGTACATTGACAGCATCATCGACCTGCTGCTGCCCCCACACAGCCCGGGCATCAAGGACCCCATTGTCGATTTGTACGGCAAGGAGGAGATTCTGTTCATGGGCCCGGATGAGAACACGGCGGATCTGGTCAACTGGGCGACGGAGCATGCCCGCGAGCGCGGCGCTCCGTGGTGGAAGTCTTTCTTCACCGGCAAGTCACCTAAGCTCGGTGGCATTCCACACGATCACTACGGCATGACTACGCTCTCCGTGCGCGAGTACGTACTGGGTATCTACCGGAAATTGGGACTGGAGCAGAGCGAAGTTCGCAAGCTGCAGACTGGTGGACCAGACGGCGATCTTGGCTCCAACGAGATCCTGCTCTCGTCCGAAAAGTACACGGCCATTGTGGACGGTTCGGGCGTGCTCATCGACCCCAACGGAATCGACCGGCCGGAACTAATGCGCCTCGCCAAGAACCGCAAGATGATCATCGAGTTCGACGTTTCCAAGCTGTCCAAGGACGGCTACCGCGTGCTCGTCGACGACAACAACGTCACCCTGCCCTCGGGCGAGGTCATCAACAACGGCACCACCTTCCGCAACACCTTCCACCTGCGCAATCAAGAGCACTACGACGTCTTCGTCCCCTGCGGCGGCCGCCCGGAATCCATCGACTTCTCCTCCGCCAGCCGCCTCATCTCCGAAGGCAAATCCACCATCCCCTACATCGTCGAAGGCGCCAACCTCTTCATCACGCAGGAGGCCAAGCTCCGCCTGGAAAAGGCCGGGTGCATCGTCTTCAAAGACGCCTCGGCCAACAAGGGCGGCGTCACGAGCTCCTCCCTCGAAGTCCTCGCCGCACTCTCCTTCTCCGACGCCGAGTTCCTCTCGCACATGTGCGTCCAGCCCGACGGCACCGTCCCGCAGTTCTACCAGGAATACGTCAAGGGCGTCCAGGCCATCATCCAGCAGAACGCGCGGTTCGAATTCGAGGCCATCTGGCGCGAGCACGAGGCGTCCGGCACGCCCCGCAGCTTGCTCTCCGATCGCCTGTCCGAGGCGATTACCAAGATGGACGAGGAGTTGCAGCAGACGGAGCTGTGGGAGAATGTGGATCTGCGACGCAGCGTGTTGGAAGATGCGCTGCCGCCTTTGCTGCTGCGGGATATCGGCCTCGACAAGATTTTGGAGCGGGTGAGTTTTTACCTCTTCCTTCACTCCTGAAATGACGTGTTTACTGACGCGACTGGTGACTCTCTAGGTCCCGGAAAACTACCTCCGCGCCATTTTCGGCAGCTTCCTCGCCAGCCGCTTCATCTATTCCATGGGCATCTCCGCCTCGCCCGTCAGCTTCTTCGCGTTCATGAACCACCGCATGGCGAGCGTCAGGCGGGGCTCGGGGACGAGCGTCAGACGGGGCTCAGCGGTGCGGACGTAAGACGTCGAGGAATGGAAGGGCCGACTGCATTGTTGTTTGTTGTCGTGTTTTTGCTCGAGGTGGCGGCGTCATGCAAGGAATGTGGAGCTTTCTTTGCATTCTTGCGGGAAAAGCGAGCACAGGGGCACGAAGAGGGGGGGTCCAGGTAATCAAAAGAGAGTAATGAGAGTTCATCGAAAAGGTTCCTTTTTTGTCCAATCTGAGAGACGGTGTTGTGATTGTGTTGTTTGGTGTGGCACGCGACGCCCTCGTTCTCGTTATCTCCTTTGCTGCTCGCACCCCCTTTGTCCTCGTCCTGTTGTCCAAACACTGCGGGTTTCGTTCTTCTTTCGACGCGCGTCTACTGGATTCGCTTCCATCTTCACTCGTGAGTATTCACCACGTTGGTCCTGTTCTATCATACTGGCGATAGTACAGTAACAGCAGGCTGATCCACCACCGCTCGAAGGCCAGCCATCCACCACCAGACAAGGAAACATCAAGATGCCCGCCGCCGACCGTCCCCGCCGCTCAGCGGCAGTGCGCGCGCGCAAAGACCCATACCCAAGCGGCGACGTCGCCAAAACCAAAGCGGCCGCCTCGCGCGTGACCAAAGCAAAGGCGACGAACAAGGCCAACACGGGCAAGAAGCGCGCCGGAGCCGCCGCGGGAGGCAAAGCGAAGGCGGCACCAAAGGCCAAAGCGTCTGCTGCTAAGCCTGCTGCGAAACCCGCTGCTGCGAAGAAGACTGCCGCCGCCAAACCAGCTGCTGCGAAGAAGCCAGCAGCTAAGCCCAAGGCTAAAGCTAAAGCAAAGTCCCCTGCGAAGAAGAAAGCGGCTGCGGTCGCGACGAAGAAGAAGGGGAATGCCAATACCGGCGCCGGGGTGCGCAAGGCGCAGTCGCCTAGGCAGAAGACGGTGGTGAAGAAGACGATGCAGACGGCGCGGCGCGGCGGGTCTGTTGCGCCTTCGTCTGGCGGTGGCAAGTCGCCTGTGTCGAAGGCGGGGGTGAGGGCGATTTCGGCGGCGTATGCGGGGATGATGAGTGCCAAGGCGCGCATGGAGGCTGATAGGAAGGGGGCGACGGTGAGTCCCTTTTTCTGGATTGGTGATGGTGGTTGAGGGGTTTGCTGATGGCGTGTGTGCTTAGCCTACTTCGCCCGCTGGAGGTGCTGCTCGTGCGAGGGTGAGTTCCATCGATGTTGCTCGGAGTAATGAGGAATGATCTTTGCTGATACAAGGAATTATAGTCCAAGTCGCCGGCCAAGCCATTCAGTCCGCCCAAGAAGGGCACCAGCCCGCCCAAGGCCAGGTCTTTCAGCCCGCCCAAGGCCAGGTCTGCCAGCGCGGGCAAGCCGAAAGGTCTGCAACAGCATTCTGCACCTGCGCTGCAGATGAAGTGAGGGAATGCGAAGAATGATGGAGAGGGAGTGCGGTGGATTTCTTAATCGGTCAGGCTTTGATTCCTGTGCATGTTCTTGAAAGCATCTCGCCTGGATTGGAAAGGGGATGTGGAGATGAGGATGTGAGAAGATGTACGAGAGACTGGTAATTCTCCTAAGTTAATTGGTCCTTTTTTTGCTTGCCACCATCGATTCGCTGTCATTTGAAAGGAGAATACGTGTGAAGTAGTACACGTTCAGCCCAAGGGGAGGGTTATCGAATGAGTTTCGCGAACGTCTCCAAAAGCTGATCACGAGAGGCTGAGGGCGTCGTCAGCGCGGATGAAAGACTGAATTTCGCTGCCATAGGCCACGCTCGGTTCAGTTGATTCGGAAGTGATGTATTGATCCTCTTTTAGCGATGTGATGTTTGGTGAGTGGAAACATGAATAGAACGAGTCTCGAAGACTCCAGATGCCCGGCACGAGCCGCTAGCCGCGCATCGCCAAACCTTATCCTTATTTGGCGCGGGCGTGGCATTATTCCGCTTCGGGCAGCGGCTGCATCAAACCATCATCAGCAGACGCATCTTTTTTTCGCGCGCTGCCCTCAAACACAACAAACATCCACCTTCCCTCGCCTTTCTCCCTCTCTCATCGCATGCTGTCGTGAATTATCACACTGCGCACCCTCTCTTCCTCCTCGCACACAACGTCACTCGTTTCCTCCCGCCAACTGCGCTGCGGAGAAATTTGCTGATCACGTTGCGCTGCAACTTCATGTTGCCAACTTCACCGTGCAAACGCAGCACACTTCACTGTGCAAACGCCGCACTCCTCGGACACGTCATCGCCTGACCGGCCTGCGCAGACGGCGCTAGCGAGTCCACCTCGAATCCCACCTCAAACCTCGCCTCAGCTCACCGCACCTACCTCCCACCTCCCTCCGATGTCTTTACCAGCCGCACACTCAAGCTTAAGATGAGCTCAATACCCCCCTCTCCCTCGAAAGCTTCGGCTCTCACCTCCGACACCGACCAACCCGAAGCGAGCGCGCCCCTCGCACCCCTCACCACCATGGACCCTCCCAACCTGGGCTTGGTCTACCGCACACGCCAATGGGTCGCTCAACAAGTGGTCGCATCGTTTCTGGCAGGAGGCGTGGCCGGAGCCATCTCGAGAACAGTGGTAAGTCCGTTGGAGCGCTTGAAAATCCTTTTGCAAGTCCAGTCGGGTGGCAGCGGGGAGTATCAGGGGACATGGAATGCGTTGAAGAAGATCTGGCGCGAGGAGGGTTTCAAGGGCATGATGGCGGGCAATGGTACCAACTGCGCTCGAATTATCCCTTATTCCGCCGTGCAATTCGGGAGCTACAACTTCTACAAACCCCTGGTGAGTCTTTTGGCGGCGACGTGGTTACACTCACCACGGCAGGCGCAGAATGCATGGTGAGAGACTGCAATTCTAACACGACAGGAAAGCTGTTCGAGACCAGCCCCGGCGCTCAACTCACCCCCTCTCGTCGCCTTCTCTGCGGCGCACTCGCCGGCATCACCTCCGTCTTCGCAACGTACCCCCTCGACATCGTGCGCACGCGCCTCTCCATCCAATCCGCATCCTTCGAAAAGCTGGGCCACAAGGACGTCCACCGCAAGCTGCCCGGCATGTGGCAGACAATGAAGATGATGTACACCAAGGAAGGCGGTGCGGCTGCACTCTACCGCGGTATCCTCCCCACCGTCGCCGGCGTCGCGCCCTACGTGGGTCTCAACTTCATGATCTACGAAAGTCTGCGCCAATACCTCACCCCCGAAGGACAAGCCAACCCTTCCCCCATCGGCAAGCTCATCGCCGGTGCCGGGGCGGGCGCCATGGCGCAATCCCTCACCTACCCCCTCGACGTGCTACGCCGCCGCTTCCAGATCAACACGATGCAAGGCATGGGCTACCAGTACAAGAGCATCCGCCACGCCATCCAGACCATCGCCGCGCAGGAGGGCATCAAGGGGCTCTACAAGGGTCTCACGCCCAATCTCCTCAAGGTCGCGCCTAGCATGGCGAGCTCGTGGCTCAGCTTCGAGATGTGCCGTGATGCGTTCATCAACCTCAAGCCGACGGATGAGCAGCTGAGGGAGGCAAAGAGCGATGACTGAACGGCGTTCAGCGTCAGCAACACGCGCCCGAGAGGCAAACATTTTGACATCATCAGCGAGAGGAAAACAGCGCTCGCCAACTCTTCATCATCGGCGGCACAGCACGTGTCTGCCCAATTCATCATCAGCGAGAGAGCAAAAGCGCTCGCCAACTCTTCATCATCGGCAACACACCATGTGCTCTGCCAACCTCTTCATCACCGGCAGCACATCAGATGCTTGCCTTTCCTCCTCCTCATCGGCGGCACATCAGATGCTTGCCAAACATCACGACATCATCGGCGACACGCAGCATGTGTTTGCCGCTACTCTTTCTTTTTTCTACTTTAGAAGGCGTCCCAGGCGAATGCGGGCATGGGACCAACAGGCTCTTAGATGGGTGAGCCAGAGCATCAGCATGGATACGATTTGGGAAGGACTCAGCGAAGCAACGGGCGCAGGGGGAGTTTGATTCTTCTCGCATTCTCCTCGACGAAACGCGCACGCTTTCTTCGCCCACAGTCCTGCGTTCTTGCGCCCACGGCGGCGGCACCTACTGCATTTCGGGTCACGGAAGATGAGCGAGGGGCCTGGATAGATGCAGTGTACTGTATGCTGCGGTGCTACCTTTCGAAATCCAAACGAGTGTGAAAAGTGTGTCCTTCCGCCATGTCTTCTGTAAGTGATAGGTTCTCTTTGACGGACGTTTGTGTTGCACCGACGCCGATATTGTTTTGCGGGTTGCTGCGTGTCGTGCATCCGAGGCAGCTTTTATGAAAGCTCGTTCGCCGCTCGTATAACCCGATACGAAGCTAGACGGCCTCCGATTGGTCGGTTCGCGTGGGTAGGTACATGGCTACCACTACATCAAGACATCATGCCCAGCTCCATCGAAGCCGGGCCAGCATCTGCGCCACGGAGAGGAGCTCGCGACGACCATATAAAGGACGGAGCGGCCAATATGTAAACCCAGACGACCCCGGCTTTCCACTTGTCTCCATATTCACATTGCCCCATCCACCTCTCACACACACATCACACCCCGGCCAACCCGCAACCATGGTGCTCTCCCAGCTCTTCCACCGCACCGCCTCCCTCCTCGTCCTCTACACCGCCACAGCATTCACAATCAACCACTTCCTCTCCCCCCTCAACCCAACCCTCTCCCTCTCCCTCCTCCTCATCACAACCCTCTACACGCTCAAACTCCTCCTCGCCGCCACCCTCAACGAATACAAACTCGACAAGCTGGGCTCGCGCGCCCCGCGCATCGCAGACTACTCGCCCTTCGGCCTGTGGACGCTGTTCCGCGCCCTGCGCGACTTCGCCGCCTACCGCAACCACGAGTTCTGGTGGCAGAATTTTCAACGCAACGGCAATCCGCGCAACCCGTACACCACCGAGTCTCTGATTTTTGGGGGCAGGCTGTGTTTTACTGCCGACGAGGAGAATGTCAAGGCGATTTTGGCGACGCAGTTTGCCGAGTTTGGCAAGGGGCCGCAGTTTCGGAAGGAGTGGAAGGATTTTCTTGGGTTGAGTGCGTTTCTTTTCATCTTTTGGCCGTTGACTTGGACTGATCACGTTACAGGCATCTTCACCACCGATGGCGAAATGTGGCATAACTCGCGCTCGCTGCTCCGCCCGCAATTCATCAAAGATCGTGTGAGCGATTTACAGAAGTTCGAGGCGCGTGTGCAAGTCTTGCTCCCCATGCTGTCGCCTGGTAAGGAGAGTGCAGACGGGCAGACGGTGCGGGTCGACGAGCTCTTCTACCGCTTCGCCCTCGACGCCGCGACGGACTTTCTGCTTGGCAAAAGCGTCGACAGCCTGTTGAACAGCGGGACCCAATTCGCCGATGCGTTTGGCGAGGTGCAGCGAGTGCAGGCGGTCGTTGCGCGCGCGGGCCCGCTGCAGCACTTTGTGCCGAAGAAGTCGTTCCACGCTGGCTTGAAGGTGCTGAACGAGTTTGTGAACCAGTACATCGACCAGGCGCTGCAGCTCTCGCCCGAGGAGCTGGAGAAGGTGACCAAGTCGGACGAGGGGTATACGTTCCTGCACGCCTTGGCAAGCCACACGCGCGATCGCCAGGTGTTGCGCGACCAGATTGTTGCGGTGTTGCTGGCCGGGCGGGACACGACGTCCGTCACGCTGAGCTGGCTGTTCTACGAGCTCTCCCGCCGGCCCGGCGTGGTGCAGAAGTTGCGCGAGGAGATTGTTGGCCGTGTGGGGGTGGATCGACGGCCTTCGTACGACGACCTCAAGGCCATGCGCTATCTACAACATACCTTGAATGAGACCTTGCGACTGTACCCGGTGTGAGTTGTGGCCGAGAATGAAACGATAAAGGCGTTGGAGGAGCGGAAATGCTGATGAAACGCAGTGTCCCGTACAACGTCCGCGAGGCGCTGGAAGATACGACATTGCCGCACGGCGGAGGAGCAGACGGCAATGAGCCGATAGGAGTGCTCAAAGGTAGGTGGTCTCTCCGAGTGCGAATCGACAGGACATTGACACAGCATCAGGCACGGCCGTGGGATACTCGACCTTTATCCTGCACCGCCGCCCCGAAATCTACCCCGATCCTTCTACCGGCTTCCAAGACTACCTGGACTTTGTGCCCGAGCGATGGGAAACCTGGACCCCCAAATCATGGACATACATTCCGTTCAATGGCGGGCCGCGGATCTGCATCGGACAGCAGTTTGCACTGACGGAGATGAGCTATGTGATTTGCAGGTAATGTCTCACCCTTTATTGTTGTTGTCGTTCGAGAGCGGACTTTGCTGATGCCATCTCGCTGCCTCAGGATCTTCCAAACCTTCTCCCGAGTAGAGAGCAAGCAGGACGAACACCCGGGCTTCAGAAGCGACATTGTGCTGCAGCCGGCCAAGGGCGTCAAGGTGGCGTTCTACCGGTGAAGTCTGAGCATGCGTCTCGAGGTGGCGTGAGGCCACGGAAGCTTGGACGCAAAGCTTGGGCGGCAGGTAGCCAGGGGCCCAAAGCCAAACACGTGAGAAAGGAACGCGCCCCCTCGACGAAAAGTATTTGAGATGAGTTTCGATGAGGAAATCCAACCCCGTGGAGTTAAGGTTGCCGACGGGAGGTGGCGTTTGTGGTTGCTTCTGTATACGGACGGCACGGGGGATTCAGGGTGATGGGATCTAGGCCTGCTTTCTCCTCTCCGAGGAGCATGATGGAGCCTAGGGCTGATACGTAGGAGGATTGCAATATGTGTATCACACTGAGCACTGCCGTTCGTTCCTCCTCGGTGTGTGACGAGCGCCTCAGAACCACCACCGGTGACTAGCGGAACGTCGTGATGTCAAGACTGCTCGAGCGCGAACGCTGAATAGTAATCGTTTGTGCAAAGAAGGCCGTTTGATGGAATTACCCGCCCCGTCGTCCGGTCTACGTGCGGAAAGGCATGGCGCTCGCTCTCCACTCCAAGGGGCTAGTGCGAACGAGCAAACAGCCGCCGCGGGTTCGATGGGAGGATCGTTGGCTTGGCTGAGGCGATCGGCGGGCAGCAATCCATGTGCAGCAACCAAGGCCGTGGGCATGGACGCGCTGGTGGGCAGCGCTGGGGCATGAACAGCCGACTCGGAGGGATGCGCGAGCGAGCGAGACACGGTTCGGGCGGGATGAAAGGCTAATTGTCGCCGACGCGCCACCCCCATTCGGCTTATCCTCCGATGTCACGGGCATGTCATCACAAACTGACACAAGGGCACGCGCGGCTCGCGTCAGCTTGCCGTCCTGTGGGGCGCCTCTTGGGTGCGATAGTGTGATGTTGAGACCGGGTGTTTTTGGCGTTGGTCGAGGGGGGTGATGTTACCTTGCTGTCGTATCTCTACGCCTCTCGTCTCTGTGCTTTGTTTGTGGGGATGGAGTGGCGGCGTCGAGAAAAAGGACCGTCATTTACATACGTGGTACGGCGAAAGGGAGGAAAAGGGATTGAGGGAAACCAGCCAATGGTGCTCGGGGATTTTTGCTTCCAACCAGGCGGCTGCAGTGCCGCGCATGCCGCGTCGGGAGTCTCGAGGTACATACGTACGGCAAGTGCAGAAGATGCAGCAGCTGCAGGAGGGCTGCAGCCGTTTTGCGCACTTCTCGTTCCCTGAACGCCGGCACGGTGACAGCAGCGTGCATTTGCATGCTCATCCCCGATCGCGATCCCAGCAGGCGCGCCGCGTTCCCATTGGGCGCGTTGGGGCGATCGTTGCCGCAAGCGGGAGGTGGCCCCGGCTGCCGCCCGGCGGGCTGGGAGGCGGAAGGGAGCAGCCTACATAAGCGCGTCGGGCTACACCCGCGCTACCGCGACGCTACTGCCGCGCGAACCTCGACACCTCCCGCGGCCTCGCGCTTCCTGCCTTTCCCCTTTCGGCCTCGACGGGCGGCCCTTTTTCATGCCTCCATTTTTCCCATTGGTCCACCCGGGGTTGAGATCGTGTGCCCAACTCTATTTCTCTCCTCGCTGCTGCTGGCTCTTCAATCCAAACCCGCCGCATTTCATCAACGCCCTGCTGCACGCACATGCTTCATCCTCGCCCCTCGCTCCACCTCCTCTCCTTCGTCCTCTTCTTTGCCATCTCTCCCTCCCTCCCCCTCCTCCCCATCTCGTCTGCAGAGCCCACCATCGCGTCAGGACTTGCATGAACTGCCATCCATCTTTTCGTTTGCACTACGGCCCCCCGCTTGTCCACGCGCGTTTGACACCTGTCGCGTCGGAAACGGGAAACATTCGTTTGTCCCCGGCCAGCATCAATCGACCATCCCAGGAGGCCTGATCGGCGGAGGATTGCCCGCGACTGATTCTTCCATCATCCCACTCTCCCCCGGATGACGCCAACTTCCACTTCCTCTGCTCTACCATCCCGCAATCATGTCGATCTCCAACATACATTCTCGCTCCGAATCCACGGCATCCAGTTCCTCCGGCGGCTCAGGGTATCAATTGATCCTCGATCACATCCTGTCTTACCCCGGCAGCTATGAGATCCCCCTCCGGACCATGTACACGCTCAACAGCACCCCCCGCGCACAACCCTCGCATTCGGGCAACACATCGCCTGGCAGCTCATCCGGCTCCCCGACCAACTCCCAGTCTCCCTTCTCCGATCCTGCCACAGCCAAGACCTTCAATGAGAACTTGATGGCCCAGTTGTCCGCACTACCCACCCAACCCACCTCGCTGCCTCCCAGCTTCATCACTTCTTTCGTGAGAAAGTGTTTCCCCGCCATCCTTCCCCATGTCGACTTCCCCCAAGCACTCACTGGCCTGGACTATCTCAAAGATCTGGAGACGAGACGAAGGCGAGAAGTCGCCGCTGCCATGGCCCGCCTCGACATCAACCGAAATACCCTCGCTTCATCATACGACGCCCTCTCCGCGCAATATCCCGGCGTGGCTCAATGGATTCAATCCATTGAGGACAAGGAGCGCAAGATCGATGCTCTCTACACCCAGCTCTACATCGGCCTCCGCCGCTGGATCCTCATCAATGAGCTGTCATTGCTCCCCTTCAACCGACATAACTGCTACGCTATGCTGAACACCCTCTACCCACCTGTCGTCACGACTCCTCCAACCTCCACCCTCACTTCCTCCATCCTCAAGAACCAACGAGACGGCTTCATCAAGTACATCCAGAGCGTGGAGAAGCATGGTCCTCGCATCTTGAAGACACTCATGGAACAAGGGCGCGCTCCTGGCGAGGAATGGGGCTGGCCGGCAGTCACCCGCACTCTCGGCATCTATCTGCAGCTCGCCAACAGCATCATCAGCGACTGTATGGAAATCACCGACGTCCAGTGCATCTCTCCTCGGAGGAACTCTTCCACCAGCGAACGACAGCCACGGAAAGTCGACTCAGGCGTTAGCTTCAATGTCACGGAAGCCCTCGACTCCCCCACCGCTCCTGTCGCTGCTCCTGTATCCCCTACCAAGGACATCCGGCCGGAAGCGCCGGCCAAGCCCGAGGTTAGCAGGCTTGACACCATGCGGCCCAAGACTCCTTCTGGCAGCGTCATGACCGGTAGATCACGAGCCACCTCCAACCCCAGACACCCCACCGCACTGGAGCGTCTCGCCCGCGGTCTCCGCACCATTGGACGCAGCCGAACAGACGTCACCGAGATGATTGCAGACGACGACGCCGCTCCCCCCGTGCCCGATAAGGCGCGAGCACTCCGCAAAATGCGGAGTATGGGAAACATGAACGGCAGCTTCGGCAACAGCGGTAGCAGCAGCGGAGGAGGCTTTTTGACTTCGTTGAAACCCCCGACGCCGCCGCTCTCGCGATTACATCCGCAGTATATGTCGCCGGCTATTGTGGCGGCGCAGCGATTTGGGGTTAAGGGGAGCCGTGAGGTGTGAATGAAAACGTCACATGCCATCTTACCTTTTTGGCACACTACGAACCTTCCTGCTTCCACCTGGCACACTTGCCCTCCGCCGCGACCCCGACTACTTGTACTTTTGTTATTTGGCGACCAAAAGAAAGAATCAGAAGAAGACTCCGCCCTCACGGGCAACGCAGCATCACTCCGCCACCGACATTTGGAGGAAAGGATGATGATGCTTGTATGTATGTACACTACCAACCTTAAAAAGAATTGGGCCAAGGACGGCAAGGAGGATGGAAAAGGGATGGGTGACTGTTTGCATTGCGGATCGCCATCATCTGGCTATTCACGTTGTCATGATGGGACGGAAGGGAAAAAGGGGATACTAGGGACAATGGCCATTGCAGCCATCACAGCACCGAGCAGCCTGCGAAAAAAGGAAATGTAGAGTGGCTGTATGTACCTGTATCGACGACCAAATCAAATCAAAATGTTAACCCGAGACCATCCGTGGAAGCAAGCGTTCGTCGATCTTTGTCTCGGTAGCCTCGTTGCTGGGTCTGCCGATCCCCTTGATGATGACCTGATGATCACGATTGCTGATCTCCTGGACGCCCATACCTTAGTCCTCTCGCCAAGCCATGCTCTACATGTTCATGAATCATTTCATTCACTCATTGCTTGTTCCCACCCTATCCCCGCCGCGCACTCGAGCAGAGAGTCTCCACCCTCGCATGTCGCCGCCTTGGCCCGTCCATCCCCAGTAAAACGGATTTGACACCTGTCTCCCAAACACAGCTCGCATGCGAACACGTTCGGAACCAGCAAACCTCACCCAAACACCGACCTGACGGGCCACCCACGCACCGAATGGGATATGCAGGGAAAGCGGAAGTGCAAGCTTCGGACCCCGTTCCCATGTGCTCGAACTGCACTGCACCTCAAACCCCTGAGACCAAAATCGGGTAGCTTTTCGCGTTTACGGAGGAGATTGCGGCTAGTGGAGCGCTTGATTTTGGTTTAGTGCCCGCCCGGGGGTTATTATGGGATGGGCCGCTGGTGACTAGGCTTTGTTAGGCAGGCTCTGCAGGGGATCTCCGACGCCTTTTTGGCAAGGGTTAAGGTGGTGCAAGGGTTGGGGTTAATTTGGTTCTTGAGGTGACCCTTTTTTGTCTTTTTACGATGATGGTTTGTGGGCAATGGGATCTTCCCCGTGGGGTGAGGGTGAGTGAGGTTTTTGGTTTTGTGGGTGTGCTGTGAAATCGCCCTCTTCTGCACGTGCTAATCGTTGCGGGAGTGTGACAGTGGTGGACGACAGTAAACGTGGATCAATGGCTGTCAGCCGTGTATTCTTGCCTTGTAGATGAGGTCGAGATGGATCGAGGCGAAGCAGTCGCGATCGAAAGGCTTGAAGGCGTCAAGCTTCCGCAGTCCGTCAAACACTCGCCTCGACCTACACGACCCCGAGTGATGTCTGTTCCGCGGAACACGTAGGTTTTCGATAGATAAGCCATGGCGGGTTCTAGAGCACGCGGGAGAGGCGTCAAGGGTATCGGCGTGTGGAGATTGTGAAGACCCCTCGAGTGCCATCATGGTCAAAGGAAAAGCGTGGCGAGCCCACGTGTTTGATCCGGCCGTATCAACGTTCTCCCCGCCCCGTGCGGGTTGGACATGCGCCGCAATAACCATCTAGACCATGTTCTGTGATGCTTCATTGTGCATCCAGAAAGGCCCAGAAGGCCCGCCACCACTGCTCTCGACCACGCCGTCGGCACTCTTGACAACATACACCACCACATCACCCCTCCATCTCCACATCGCCATCCTGCTCCGCCTCCTTCTCCGCCAGCGGCATAAAGACATCAAACCCGCCCGTGCCCATCTTCCCCAACGCCCCCACCACAATCCGCGAACTAGGGTTCTTCAAACAATCCCAATCGCCATCCACGACCGCGTCCTTCAAAAACGCCAGCGTCGTCTCGAAGCTCATCTTCATAAACGGACTCGTGTTCCCGCGGTAGCCCATCCGGCTGAACGCCTGATACTCCCCGTTGCGAGTCATGTAGTCCGCGATGAGCGTGAGATGGCGCACGTCGACGGAGATGCCGTGCCCGCCGAAAACGGCGTGCAGCTCTTGCACAATGGTGTTGCGCGCCGCTTCCACGCCGTAGTTGCGCAGGATGTCGTGCACGGAGTTGGTGTAGAGGTGGTGCGGATGGATGATGTGCTGGTAGTCCCACATGGCGCGCACGTTGACTCCGCTCGCCGCGAGGATGGGGATGTTCTTGTTGAGGGCTGTGGCTTGCTCATCGAGCATGCACGTCGAAAGGTTATCGACGGATTGCACCAGCGCCCTGTGCGCGGCCTGCTCGACGAGGTGCAGCATGAGGATTTTGGTGGTGGTCGAGTCGTACTCCATCGTAAAGGTGCAGGCGTCGCCTTTGACGTCGTCGAAGCTGAATTGCACCACGTCCTTGGTCTTTTTGTTGCCTTTGATGCGGTTCTCGCGATCTTGGGCAGACGATTTGATCGCCTGGCTTGCGGCGTCGGGTTCTGGGGTGGATCGTTGACTGCCACCGTATGCCTCGTCTTCCGGCTCGGAGTCTGAGTCGGCCTGTTGATTCTTGTTGGCCATGTCTCTCTCGTCGTCGTCCTCCATCGCCTCGTAGCCCGCTTGTTGCTTGTTGCCCTTCGCCTTGTCTTTGGTGGCATCATCGTCGCCTTCGTCGTCGGAATCATCGTTACCGCCTTCTCTCTCGCCTTCAGGCCGACTCCTCTCCTGCTCAACAGTCCCCACACTCTGCCCAACCTGTGCCTTCAAACTCTTCTCATCCCCACGCTTTCGAATCTCCTTCCTCGTTGCAGTCTGCAGGATGGGAAGGAAGCGGTGCTCAATCGTCGCCACCACATCCTCCACACTGATGGCGTACTCCTTCTCATACTCCGCGCGCGGGAACAGGTCAATTCGGACCTCGTACATCTTCGCCTCGTCGTAAGCAATGCCCTTGCCCTGCCTCTCCGTTACCGTCACCTTGTCGATGACCTCCGCAAGGCTCAACTTGGAAATGCCCTTGGCGAACTTCTTCGCATCCTCAACGCCAATCTCCTCATTGAGAGTCAGCGTCATGGTGGGAGTCGCCATGCTCTCCGCCCGCGCGGCCGTCATGAGAATCTCCCGCAAGCGCGGAATACCCAGGGTGACGTTCTTGGCCGAGTGACCCGCCAAATGGAAAGTGTTGAGCGTCATCTGCGTCGATGGCTCCCCGACACTCTGCCCCGCCACCACGCCCACAGCGTCACCGGGCTCCACGACGGATTTAAGATATCGCACGTCCAGAATGGCTTGGAAGTTCTTCTTCGTCACGCCGACGCCTTCGATGCCTTTCTTCTTGTCCCGAAGAAGGTTGTCGGAGTTCTCATCTGCGTAGTCCTTCACAGCCCTGTACACCTTCTCCGATGTGCTACCTGCGAATCTCGCCGGGGGATAGACGGCCAAAGCGGGATCTGCAGCAGCCAAATCGCCAGTCTTGCGGTACTTCTTTTCCGCCTTCTTGTTATACTCAGCCGCCTCCTCGCTCATAATTTTTTCGAAGTGATCGCGCATGCCAAACGAGTGGAAGAGACTGAGATGGTTCTCCGCGGCGAACTTGAAGTTGGTGAGGTATTGGGACTTCGCAACGTCCAGTCCATCCTCGCCGTATAGGAATTGCACCACAGTCCCATCCACGGTATCGCGAACGGACGTATCGTGCTCCACCCGTAGCCCTTCCATTCCTTTGATCAGACAGCGCTGCAGATATCCGGACCGCGAAGTCTTGACCGCCGTGTCGATCAAACCTTCACGGCCGGCCATGGCGTGGAAGAAGTATTCCTGCGGCCGCACGCCGGTCAAGAAACGATCAACGACGTACCCGCCCGCTCGCACGCTGGGATCGAACGGCTTGAAGCACGGCAGAGTCTTGCCGCTGACCATGACCGGCACTCTCCTGCCTTCCAGCACTTGCTGCCCGAGGTTACACGAGATCTGATTCGCGTTGACGCTGCTTCCCTTTGCCCCGGATGCAGTCATGGCTTGCATTTGGTTTTTGGGGAATGGCTTCACCAGTGCACTTGGAAGACACGCCTGAGTGACGGCAGAAGACAGGTCCTTGGTCGCGCTGTTTGTAAGCTGATCGAGCCCTTTCTGTTTAGTGTCGTCGCGGAGTACGTCCTCCAGGCGTCGTCGCAGTTCTCGATCGTGCGCTCCTGGGTTTTCTTTACCCAGACTGACGTACTTCGCTGCGACTTCGAGGCCGACTGTCTCTGCGCCAGCCAGGGCCTTCCTCCGGCTTTCTTCCCCTTCTGCGGTGAAGATAATGTCCTCCACGCCACAGCTGAACGCTCTCGTCTGTAACATCCTCGTCAAAAGTCGTCCGAGAACACTCAGAAGTCGTCCTGCAACAGTGTGACCGTAAGCCTCGTACACGCCGTTGACGAATCCGCCGGCCGAAGGACCGATCTGCTTCTTGTCCAGGATTCCTTGCAGCAGGTACCCGTCTTGGAACATCACAGTACTCTCTTCCTTGCCCTCCGCTCCCCACATGCGCACATCAGTCGTGCTCTTCCCGGACATGGTAAGTCCCTGATGGGTGTTAGGGGTGACATTCTTCAGCACCGAGGTGATGACCTGTTTGCCCGTCCACAATTTCTTCGGCTTCCAGATCGCAGGCGGCACCGTTTCGATCCTGCCGTTTGCACAATGTCCACTCTCCGGTCGTAGAGCGGCATACAACAATTGCATGTACTCTGCTCGGTCGAATAAGGTGTCGCGATTCGTTAACCAGACTCCCATGCTAATGTGATCCTGAATCAGACCACGCAGTGGGTTTCCAGCCGTGCCGGAAAGATATTGGTGATCCGTATCAGCAATGCTCAATGCCTCTGCTCGCGCCACTTCATTCTGGGGAAAGTGCAGGTTCATCTCGTCACCATCGAAATCGGCATTGTACGTGTTGCAGTTGGTGTAGTGCATGCGGAGCGTCTTTTCGCCGGGCAGTACTCGTGCTCGATGACACATCATCGATGGCTTGTGGAGGGTCGGCTGACGGTTCATGATGACAATGTCGCCGTTGTTCAAATGTCTGTGGACCTTCTTCGGCCTCGTGCCGCGAGCGCCAAGACCAGAAGTGAATGTGGATGGGGCCAGCAATTGATTTGCCAACGCCGTACGCTCGTCGGCACTCTTCCTCGCCAGGTTGACGACCGATCCATTCTCGTTTTCGATGGCGACGGCGCCGGGCCAGACAGATGCCCCATTCCGCACTGCTTCTTGCAGGTCCTCGACGTTCCAAGGCGTGACGGGCTCCGGATACGTCAGCTTTACCGCAAACACTGGCGGGACGCCGATTTCGTTCGTCTCGATGTTCGGGTCGGGAGAAATGACCGTTCGCGCGGCAAAATTGACACGCTTGCCCATCATGTACTTGCGGAACATGCCCTCCTTCTTCTCGAGCTTCTGCTTGACACCGTCTGGATTTCTGCGGCCGGCTACACCAGTGACAGGGTTGCGATCTCGGTCGACCATGGAGTTGACGGCATCTTGCAGCTGCACCCATGCGTTTTCCAAGTCGACTTCGGTTCGCTTTCGGTAGCGGGGGGCCACCTCTCCCTTCATCTCTCGGCGGATCAGGTGCATGGTGTCGATGATGTTCAAAATGTTCTTGTAGAGCGTGTTCTCCTGGGCTTCGGCGATCTCGTTGTTGCCTGTCTTCGCTTCTGGTCGGAACCGATTCGGTGGGACCAGGATGTCGTTGACGAAGAACATGTCTGCCGAGACTGCAGGTGCAGGGGATTTGCTCTTCTCCTCTGATTCTATTCGTTGGCTGCCTCCGTAGACAAGACGTAGAAGCTCCTGCTCATTCTCAAACATCACCTCCAGCTGATCTCGCACCCGCTGCGGATTGAGGTATTCATCGGCTTGTTTCGTCTTTGCGCTTGCAACCTTCCCATCGCCAGCAGCATCGTCAACCATGCCACCTGCAATTTCAGGCTCGTCCTCGCTCGAATCCATGTTCACATCATCGCCCTCATCGTCTTCTTCTGAAACACCGTCCATGTCCGCCACGCCCTCGTCGATGTCATCTCTCTTTCTCTTCTGGCCAGCCTTCGCCTCAGCCAGTGCCCGCTTTCTTCGCTCGAGCACAGGGTCTTTGGCAACATGCCCGCCTTGGATGTTCTTCAGCCTCTCCTTCTCCGACAATGGTTTCCGGAAAATCTTCACGAATCGATCTTTTCGATATGTCGGGTTGATGGCGTAACATTTGTTGCATTTTTTCGATTTGGTCATATCTCGGATCAACTCCGAGATGATCCTCTGTCGAGCAATAGCGGTGGCCTCCGTCTTCTCCGAGTTGAGCGTGCCATCTCTTCGCGCGTCCGCGACGGCACGATTGACGAATGACTCGTAGATGCTGATCCAGTGCCGCGCATCTTCATCTTTCTCATCCCCAGAATCATCGTCGGTATCGGCATCGGCTCCAGCGCCCGCAGCGCCGCCTTTGCTCCCAGCACTTTGTCCCGAGGTGGTGGCCAACTCTTTCTCTTCCTTCAGTAGACCAAACCGCACCAATCTCAGGCGACACATGTATTTGTTTGCCTGTGCTCTGCCCAGCTTCAATCGATTGCAAAAGGTACAAGTCGCTCGCAACAATCGCAAAGTCTGATCGAGGAAGGTGGGGTGATAGCAGGGCGCAGGCAGCTCGATGTGACCACAGTGACCGGGACATTGGGGGGTCTTGAGACCACACGTCGTGCAAGCATTATCGCCAAACTGTCCGAGCTCTGATGTGTAGAGACCGCCGGGAATGGGGTTCAGTAGGCTGTCAAAGGTGACGGAGGAGGTAATTCTCTTTGCGGAGAGGGCGCGAATGTCGGCGGAAGTCAAGAAGCCGAAATGAACGCCTTCGAGGGACGAAGACACCGGCTGTGAGGTGTTCATCGTGGGGTATGTGTTGGCTCGCGGCCTTGCGTCCTGTCGATACTCGACGCCGTGAAGTTCCATATCGCCCTCGAACTTTTGACAACTTTTTTTGGTTGCGGGCCGACCCGTCCTCCGCTCCGCTTGCACGTCCGCCGCAGTCAAGCTTGTGCCTTCACTCCAAACCTCTCCTACTTCCTTCACTTATTCCACATCGACAGGACGTCAGGATGAGTGGCAAGCGAGCCCTGGACGCCGATAGCCCTTCGGGTGATTCGAAGCGCATTCGTTCCAACAATGGCTCGCCCGCTCCTACTGCGCCACCGACGATGGGAAACGGGGAAACAGACGCGGAGAGGAAGAAGAGGGAGCTTGCGGAGCGAATGGCGGCCATCAGAGCGAGACAGGCTGCGATGAAATCATCCGGCCCTGGAGAAGCACCTACGCCAACCTCCGTGGTAAGTCCCAGCCCAGCCCCAGCACCAAGCACAAATGGCACGTCGGAGTTGGAAAGGAAGAAGATGGAGGCGCAGAGGAAGATTGCGGAGATGAAGGCGCGCATGGCTGCACAGAGAGGGCAAGTGGGAAGCACGGCATCACCGATCAATGGAGCGGCGAGTGCACCTCCGCCACCACCTCAGCAACCGAGTGAGCGAGAGGCTCGCATAGCTGAAGCACGTGCTCGAGCCGCCGAATTGTCGAAGCAAAAGATTGCCGCGACCACATCTGCTGCGCCTCCCCCACCCCCTCCTCGACAAGACGGTAGAGGTGCTCGCGGTGGACTGGGAATCGGGCTGCACCCAAGTCTCATCGGTGATCTTACCGGAACTACGTCAACGAAAGGCAAAGGCCCAACTGGCCCGAAATTCAGCACCACAAAGGGCAACCAGCAACCAGAGGCACCCCCTTTCAATCCATACCTTCCTGCAGAAGACGAGGCCGCCGCCGGAGGAGAGCGAGCACATGATGGCAGCTATGATTCAACATTGGTGGCGAAGAAAGGTGGCGATCGCAAGAGCAAGCAGCTGGTCTTCAACCAGAAGGGCAAGTTCATGGCTCAAGCGAATGCTCTTCGCCAACAAGCCAGACTGGAGGACATGAAGCGTCGAATCGCGGCCGAGACACGAAAAGTGGAGATCGAGGAAGCGGGCGACAAAGCTTTCCTCGTGCCCGCTCCTCCAAATGTGGAATGGTGGGATGAAGGCCTCCTCCCAGAGGGGCAAGGGAGTTACGAGAACTGTCTCGAGGCTGGCAGGAACAAGATTGCGACTCCCGACTCCATCATTACGGCTCTGATCCAGCGTCCGGTGCTGCTACAGGCGCCGCAAGACAAGTTCATCCCGGAGGCCAAGCCACTCATGCTCACCACTCAGGAGCAAAAGAAGATCCGTCGTATTCGACGAATGGCAGATAGGAAAGAAGTGCAAGCCAAGATCCGCCTCGGCCTGATCGACCCGCCCGCGCCCAAGGTCAAGAAGAGCAACATGATGACCGTGTTGGGAGAACAAGCAGTCAAAGATCCCACCGCCGTGGAAGCACGGGTGAACAGGGAGATTGAGCAACGCGCCAACGAGCACGCCCAAGCCAACGAAGACCGCAAACTCACGCAAGAGCAGCGCGAGGAGAAGCTGAAGAGCAAACAAGCCGGCGACGACGCCAAGGGCATCAAGATTGCCATTTTCCGCGTCGACAATCTCAGTTCCGGCAGACACCGCTACCAAGTCGACCAAAACGCCAAACAAAACAACCTCACCGGCATCGTCGTCCTGAACCCCGAGATGAACCTCGTGATTGTGGAGGGCGGCGCGCACTCCATCACCAGCTACAAAAAGCTCATGCTCAATCGAATCAAGTGGACGGAAAACTCGATGCCGCTCCCCGACTCCAAACCGACCACTTTTACCTCGCACACCGAACGCGCCCCTGGCGCTACGGAGTCCACGACAACGAAAGCGGCGGTGTGGTGTAACCCGCTGAACGAACTGGGCGAGCTGAAGGATTTGAGCGGGAATAAGTGCACGCTTGTATGGGAGGGGGAGGAGCAGGCGCGAATCTTCCGCAAGTGGAATTCGAGGGCGTGTGAGACGGATGGGGAGGCGAGGGATTTGCTGAGTCGGCAGAAGATGGAGAATATGTGGACGCTGGCGAGGAGCAAATGAGGCTTGTCTCGCAGCCTCGCGACATCACTTCAACGGCAGAATGGGCTTGTTGGTCATGTGTGAATGGGAGAACTGAGTGATGTGTGGAGGGCACAAGCCGTCAGCTCTTGCAACAGATTAGTTGAGCTGTTGATTAGGAGTACGCTGTCACGTGTCAATTGATGATGCCTCAGCCTGCTGTCACGTGTCAGCCCTTCTCGAGATGCATCACTTCAACTCCTCACCCGTTTGTTCTCTCTTTAATCCACCTTCATACAAACGCCGCCTCACTACATACACGTCCGGGATCGCCGTCCCGCATGAGCCAATGATGAACAGGTCATTTGATTTACAAGACCTAATGCACGGGCTTCGCACAGGCCACTTGCACCGCCGTTACCTTCCACCTCACCTTCCCCTCCCTTTAACTGCTACCACAACCTGCCACGTCTATGAGTGCCTCCGTACCTTGTCTGTCATTGTTACCGCCTGCAATTTCTATGGCGCGATGATCACATTTGTACCCCGGCACCATGAAGCGGAAGCCGTTCTACAAATATGGCAATGCTGAGCTGCGAGTCGAGCGTAGGCTGGTGAGATTAGATATATCCAGGCCTGAGAGCACAACCAGGCCCGAAAGCGACTCCAGGACCGAGATCAAGTCCAGGACCGACAATGACTTCAGCCCCGAGGGCAGGTCCAGGATTGCGAGCAACTTCAAGCCTTCAAGCAACTTCAGGCCCGCGAGCAACTCCAGGAACGATCCCGATCCAAGGCTGGAAGAGGAATCCGAAGCAGATGAGGACTCCGACTCTGACTCCGAGCCGCCACCGAAGCGGATCCGACGAGCTTTCAGCCATGTGAGAGTCTGTGGTCCGCAATTCCCCAGGTCCCAGTATGAGAATTGGGATTACCCTTTACCGATCACGTCTGAAGCAGATGCGATCGATGAGCTGTCAACTTTGTCTACAGAGCCTCTGGAATACGAGTACCTCACGCTTGACGACTTCTCCATCTATTTGCTAGACAAGGGAAATCATGCTTTGACCCTCACAACGCTTGATCGACTGCAGAACAGCAAGGGTCACGATGAATTGCTCTTCAACGGTGTTCTGACGACTAGGAATCAGCGGCTCTACGCTGAGGGCGTCAGATTCTCTGTCGTGACGATCGATGGGTACGGAGACTCCGCAGACGTGCAGGGCCATGTCTGCATTCAAAGCCTGATGACCAAAAAGACGAACATCTGGTACCGACTCGGGAGGCCAGCTGCTGAATACAAACGTTTCTATGACCCGTTCCTGTACGTGGCTCAATTCACCAAGTATTTCGTGGAGTACCTCCTGCAGAGCGAGCGCCTGGTGACTATAGACGATTTCAGACGCAATTTCTTTGCGTGGCTGTTTGTTGGCAATTCTTCACAGCCATGCTTCCAGGCGTGGCTTGCAAAGGCGAACCTGCGAGATTTCCGCACTACTGTGGTGGCTCATGTCGGTTTCCTGCTCAAAGAGTGTAGCAGCATTGACACAGAGCTGCTGAAGCACACAATTTGGTCGGAGATCAATCCATGGGAGCTTACCGCGATCGCGCGACAACCGAACCGGGAGAAGAAGACTGTAGTCACGCCATTCGTGTACGACTGCTTCCAGTCGATGTACTTCGCTACGGAAATGGAATCTCGCGGCATCACGAACGCCGAGGTGTTGAAATGCATGAAGGCAAGAAAGCGAGCTTTGGGATTAACACCTGTGCCGCGGATTCGGCATCCTGATCATGCTGCTACTCCACCAACCCCGGCAAGAATCGACTCCGGCCTCCTCACGCCGCGAAGCTTGTCTGGTAGTCCTACGAGGAACAAGATGGCCGTGGCGAAAGGCGATGTGGTCGGCCTAGCCCCTGATCTGAGCAGCCGATGGAAATCGGAATCAGCAACCTGGTACGCCTATGTACAGAACATACACAATGACAAGCTGGACGTTCTGTGGCTTTACGAAGCGCAGGATACAACACTCGGCAATGCGAATTATCCGTTCAGCAACGAGCTCTTCTTGTCGGACAATTGCTCTTGCGGTAAAGACGCAGTCGACGCAAGCTTAGTGCTCTCCAAAGTCAACGTCTCATGGTCGGTTAGGGATCCGAGCTCTACATCTGGTCTCTTCATTCGCCAGAAGTTCCGCACTGTCCACGACGAAGATACGTACGATTTCGTCTCTATAGGCGACTCCGATTTTCGTTGCCGCTGCAATGAAGAACACTCCTCCTTCCTCGATGTAAGACGGCAGTATGAGATCGGCGACACTGTCCTCTGCCTAGAACATGATGATCTGGACAGGAGAAAAAAGTGCTTCAAACCAGCGCAGATCATTGACTTCTTACTGGATCTGAGACAGGTTGTTCTACGCAGGCTACAACCGAGCAGCGACCCAGCTTCAAGGCCAAACCAGCTCTGTCTTACCGATGAAGTCTTCCGATGCCAGCCAAGCAAGATTGCAAGGAAATGCCACGTCCGGGTGTTTCATCCGGATGCCTTAGAGGAAGGCTTGCCTACTCCATACAATTACGACGGAGCAGGAGATTTCTTTTATATCCTGGACGAACCGTCGTCGTTCGACACCTTAGGAGCTGGCGCTTTCGAAGCGAGTGCGAAGATGCCTACACTCAAGCTAGGCTGGGATCCGTTAAGTCGGCCTCTTACGTCTAAGCTCAAGGGCATGGGGATCTTCTGCGGTGGCGGCAACTTTGACCGTGGGCTTGAAGATGGCGGAGCGGTCGACTTCCAGTTTGCTGTTGATTTTGATGAGCATGCGCTGCACACCTATCGCGCCAACGTTCGGAATGACGACGAGGAGATCGAATTCTTCCTAGGCTCTGTGGACGACTATTTGGCCCAGGCGATGGCAGGGTCGCAGAAGACCGCAATTGCTCGTATAGGCGCATTCGATGTTCTGGCAGCCGGCAGTCCATGCCCTGGCTTCTCTCGAGCCAACCAGCAACGAGACAAGCCTAAGGCCCTGAAGCAATGCTCTCTGGTAGCCTCCGTGCTGTCCTACGTCGACCTCTACTCACCGAAGTACTGCGTGTTCGAGAACGTGGTGTCCATGGCAGAGTCTACCGGCCCTAACAAAGATCAAAACGTCTTCTCCCAGGTCCTAGCCGCATTGGTAGCAATGGGCTACCAAGTGCAACAGTTTCTCATGGACTCCGAATCCTACGGCAGCAGCCAAGGCCGAGCCCGAGTCTTCATCGTAGCCTCAGCTCCTGGCCTCCCGCCGTTCGACGCGCCGCCATACACCCACGGCCGTCTGAGTAACTGGATGGCGAAGCGTCTAGGCCGCTCAAGCAACGGCCTCCCATTCGGCATCCGACGAGACGACTACACCGTCTTCGAGCACACGTCACCCCTACAAGCAACACAAGATCTTCCAGACATCGGCGACGGGCTACCAGGAATCTGCCCTGCCTTCCCCGACCACCGTGTGCTTTCAATGGACAATCTCAGCAGAGCATGCACTGCCGTCGTCCCCAAGCATCCGCGCGCCATGGGTCTCGTGCAAGCCATTCAGCAAGGCCAGCCAGAGCCAGGCAGCTGGTGCTCGACCGTGACGGGCCAGCCTCTGGCTTACTATCACGGGACGACCGTCCGGAACAAGATCCGCAGTCACGAGACGAGCACCATGTACGCGCGCGTGCGGCCTTACGCCCTCTTCCCTACAGTCCTCACGAAGATGAACATCCAGGATGGCAGGATGGGGCGGAACCTGCACTGGGAGCAGCTGCGGAGTTTGACGATTATGGAAGCACGAAGAGCACAGGGGCTACCGGATCACGAGGTAGTGATAGGCAGCACAAATCAGCAGATGCGCATTATCGGGAACAGCGTGGATCGCAAAGTGGCGCTTGCACTGGGACTGTCGCTGCGACAAGCATGGCTCACGGCTGCGGGTGTGACGAGCTAGGTAGACAGTTCATCATCATCATCATCATCAAATCACTTCCATTGGTAAAGATGTAGGCTTTCTACTGGATCCATCTGAAGTATCTAACCGCCCAGTCCTCGCTTCACTTTCGATGCATAGCATGAAAACACCAACTCCATCCAGTTTCCCTTTCGTTGATCGTCGTAATGTCGTCACCAGGCTGTGAGTGAAATCCGTGACAGATCTCCCATCAATTCCAACCCCAGATGCGAAGGAAGAGCGCAGATCGATGAGAAGCCGAGAAAGACGTCTCAAAACACATCATCCCCACCCCTCCCTTGAGCATCCTCAACATCAGCATCCAACATAGCCACCAAATCCCCTCCCGCCAACTCGCGAATCCTCTGCGCAAAAGGCTGCGGATTGCCCATGGTAGGCAAGTAGCTTCGCGGGAAAGTATTGAACTGCCGCTGTCCCGTAGCGCCAGCGCCGGACGACATCTCCATGAAGGGCGAGCCGAGGCGCGGAATGGGCTCTGCGAGGCGGCGAGGAGCGGAGCGGGTGCCGATGGGGCCGAGGAGGGAGGGAGATGATAGAGAGGAGGAGGATGCGTCGGGGGTGAAGTGCTGCTCGACGTTACTGCTGCTGCTAGAGCTGGCTTCGGTCATTTCTTGGTCCGCTGCTTGTTGGGGCACGGCGGGAGAGGCGTTGAGGGTGACTTGAGGTAACGGTGGAGGAGGGTCGAAGAGTCTGGTGAGGTTGTCGGTCGCGCGGACGGCGCCGACGGTGAAGCCTCGGTTTCGCACGATGCCGCCTTCGTCGGACGGTGCGGTGAAGACGCTGGCGAGCACTGGACGCCGTGGTTTCTCCTCGTCAGACTTGAAGCGACGTTTGAGAGAGCGGGGCATGGTAGGGGCACCCTGCATTTCGAACGGCGAGTCGAGAGATGGACGCTTTCCGTTCTTGTTGCTAAAGTCGCTTCGGCCAAGGGACTGCGTGGCGTTCATGCTTTGTAGGAGGTGATTGCGAGTGGCAGACTCGTCAAAAGGTGATGCCAGGGGAGCGCCGGTTTGACAGATGCTCGTGTTGAGGCTCAGGCCAGACTGCAAAGAGAGGCTCTTCTGGTGTGCTTGTGACCGACCGATGCGGGCGAACCAATCCACTGGACGCGACACGCTTTGAGAGTGCCTGTGAGCTGGCCTCTGCGGCTGCGGTGTGGTGTCCTCGGTGGCGAGCTGTGCGAGTGGTCCTTCGGGTTGCATAGAGGGGGCAGTCGAAGTGATGAGGGAGAGTTTGAGGTCCCGACTCGAGAACGCCGATGCGGATGCGGATGCTGATGCTGATGCCGGGGCCGACGGAGGCTCGACAGATGAACGATTGGTAGAGCTGGTGGACGTGAAGGGCGAGGGACTACGCGTGCGAAGCAAGCGTTGATAGTGAGCAGAGAGTTGTGGCTTGCCCTTCACTATTTTACGTAGGCGCTTGCGTGTGGCACCATCCGAGCGTGGCCATTGCGGCTGCTTAGAGAATGCGCTGCTGCTGGCACTGCTGGTATCTGGACGAATGGTGTCAGGGGAGCCTTCACGCTGGCTCTTCTCCGCCTCCATGATCGTGTCCAGGGAGCTCGGTGTCGCCGCTCGGTGCTGAGACCATGTATGCCTGGCCTTGACTGCGACACGGTTGCAGACACCAAGTGGTGGAGGGACGCCCGGGAGGGTCTTAAAAGGCGTCACTCGCGGGTCGGAAAGGTAGCGGATGTAGGTGTTTTCAAGGTGCTGATCCATTTCGGGTGTCCATCGAACGTGGCGGTGCCTCTTGACGCGCTTGGCACTTGGAGAGCTGGACCGCATGGCAGGAGAGAGGAGGAGCTTGTCGGCTTTAGACATGTCGTCTTCCACGAAGGGATCGGTGGCCACGCTCTCCGGGCTGGTGCAACCATTGGGTGCCGAGAAGCCCGAGCTGCCTCCCGACGAAACGGACGAGTCAGAGAAGGAGGAGCAGACCGAGTTTGCACGGTGAAGTGGCTGCTTGGAATCACGACTGTCGTTGATGAGGTCCCATTCGTGGCTTGGACTGTCGAGTTGATTTGCAGAGTGTGTTTGTGGCATTGGGGTCTTAGGAGTAGCCAGACGCTGGAAGATGGGCAGAGGAGACAGCAGCTCGCTGTTGGGGAGTTGTGATTGAAGTAGAGGGCTGGAGGATTCGGACAGCGACTCGGACATCTCAATGGTGGGGATGACGGCGTCGGGCGCAGTGTCTGAGAGCAAGATGGGCTCAAAGGCAACCATCTCCGGGCGACGTCTCTTGATTGTGTATTTCTGTCGCGGCGGAGGGGGAGGCTCTGCTGCCAATTGCAACTCTTGCGGCTGATCGGGCGTCATGGGGAGAGAGGGGCGCGGAGAGGAGAAGTCGAAGCCAGGCGGCAGGTGGATGGAGAGATTCGGGCGGCGAGCCATTTTGGCGGGCGATAAAAATACCCGGGACCTTGCGTTGAAGCGAGTGGACGAGAAGGCAGAAGTTTCGGGGCGGAGAGGGTGGCGCGGGGGGTGCCAATGTCGATGCGCGCAAGGCGTGTCGGACTGGGGGTCGTGAGGCGGGTGGACGTGCGGGCGCTTGTTCAGAGCGCGACGGGGATCAAGAGGGACCGAGCATGACGGCGAGGTGGACAAGCAATGCCTCGGATGCAAGCAGTAGGGTGGATGCGCGCGAGGCAAAGGAAGCGGGTGCGTGGTGAAATGAGTGAATGAGGGAGTGGTGTGGGTGGAAAGGAAGTGGAGGTGGTGGGTGGGTGGATGGGAAGCAAAGGGCAGGTGCGTGCGGGGAGCGGCGCGGATTCTCAGTTTCGGAAGAACGCGAAGACCCGCCGGCGGCGCGGCGCCTTCCCTGGCCGGGATTTATGCGGCGCACGGGCCCGCACAGCATCGAGAGCGGGTGGCCATGGGCTCTCTCGATCCCTTACATTTCCCGATTCACCCACACGCCTCTCCTCGATCATTTGCGACTAGCTATACACTTCGCGTCATGGTCGTGAAACATCCTTTGCAACGTGCGAGCGGCAGCGCGTCAGTGGCTGGAGGCATGAGGGCCATCACCGATGTTGTGAACACGCACGTCAGGTGCGGCACGTAGCGTGAACGAGCGCGCAGCTTTTGCAGCACTCAATCTCTGGTAGCGGGATTCACGTCGGGGCACAACAGCGGTGAGGTGCAGGCCGCGCTCGGGCAAAAATACTGCTCCACTCCCAACCACGTCGAGTCCATCCGGGTTGATTTCAGGTCTCACTCAATGATCACTCGTCGGGATGTACAGTGGCAAGTCCACATTTCACCGTTTGCTCTGAGCGGGTGCAGCGTTTGCACCGCCCGCCATCCGACCAGTAACAACTCGACAGTCCCGTGCATGATGCGTCGACGATTACGTGGAGTCGTGTTGTTTGCATGGCGGGGGAGCAAGTCCAAGTGTCAGACGCGCGTGTCGCGTCAGTTTCGCGTCGGCGTTGCAGTAGCGCGGCCGACCCTCACCGCACACGCCGGCCATCACACACGCCCACACGCACGAACGCCCGACCCTGCAGAAACGCGCCCTGCCTCTACATGGTGCATTGAGATCAAAGCCCTCCACCAACGGATTCGCAGGCATTCGCACACGTTGTCGAGTCACCTGTGTGTGTCGCCTACCCATTCAGAAGGTTTCTTATCCTCCGTAGCCTCATCCTCCTCCGCACCGTTTGCTATCGATAAAAGTAATCTCCCCGCAGCACACTTCACAAACGGCACCTAAGTCTCTTCCTTCCGAGCCACTAGAGAAAACGGAAACACCTTTTCCCCGTCTGGTAGATACCGGGGGCCACATTTTTCCCGTGTGGTAGAAACCCGTTACACCGCCTGCCCTGCCCTGCCCTGCCCACTTTTTCGCTCCCTCGTGTTACAAAACGGCCGTCGCCGGCCGGCCCTTCGCCTCGACCACCCCCGTCACATCCTCAATGCCGACGCTAGATCTGCACAACGCGAGCACTCTACATTGCCTGCACCCTACCTGTACTCGAGCTCGACAAGCTCGGTCAGGCAGGGTAGCGGAGAGACATGGACCAGTGCAGGAGCTGCTCCGTAGATCTCATTGACACCTCCAATCTTCTCGAGCTTCCGTTGGTCACATGCATGCCCTTCTAGCTCAACTTGAGGTCTGGAACCAGTTCGCCATTCGTCAACTTCACTCCCATTCAAACACCTGCCTAACTAGGTGACAAGTTACTTTTCCTAATATCCAATGACATGCTCGTCGTGCTGGGACCAAGTCAAGGACGTGTCTGGATGCAACCACCCAAAGAACCGCTATGCTCGAGTCATCAGTCCAATCATCCATCTCTTATGCTACATTTTCCCGTTATTACAACATCTCCTGTACATAGTCTCTGCTCCTGTCCAACTCGCCGTCCTGTACAGACAAAATCCCAATCCCCGCCTACAAATACTTCTTCGGCATCCGCGCCCTGCGTCTCTTATAGATGATATACGTCGCCGCAAGCCCCACCTGCGCTCCGATCACGACAATGAGGAAGAAGCCCATGCGCGGCGTCGACGCCGTCACCGTCTCAATCGCCTCGTTCAAGCGGTGGTAGTGCTCATGGTAACTGCGCTCCTCCAGCTGCTTGCGCGTATACTCGACAATGCGCTCAATATTCTCGTACCCCTTGCGACTGTACTCGACAATCCGCTCGACGTTCTCGTACCCGTTGCGGGTGTACTCGCTAATGCGCTCCACGTTTTCGAGGCGACGATGCAGGCCGTCGATCTTGGCGTTGAGGCCGATGTTTGTCCCCGTGCCTTCGCTGCCCATGATATCGCCGTGTTGGTCGTCGAGCTTGAGGCCGATTTGCTCGAGCTCGAGGAAGACTTCGGCGATTTGGTGCGAGAGGGCTTGCAGGCGGTTGTGCAGATCGGCGAATTGGTCGCCTGTCGATTTGAACTCGTCCGGGTTGGCGTCGGGCACGCTTTCAGGGGCGCGCGGGAGGCGGTCGAGTTTCTGGAGTTGCTGGACTGGTTGCTGGTGATGCTCTGGCGACGCGGCAAGGGGAGGCTCGGGCTTGCGGATGTGGGCGCCTTCGGGGATGTGGTTGGAGACGAGGAATTTGTTGATCTCGAAGCTGTCCGGGTGCTCGGCCGTGGACGCGGTAACGCCAAAGTAGTAGCCGGAGGGAAGGGTGATGCTGCCGGTGCTGAAGCATTCCCTGCCATCCACCTCCACTCGCAAACCATCCTGGTTGATGATTTTAAGCCTGCTGGGTCGGCCAAGATTACGATAGGCATAATCGCAGTGGCCAAAGGCGAGACTCTCCAGGTGCCCATGGTCTTTGAAGTTTTGGGTACCATCGTTCAGGAAGCCGCGGATCTTACCTCCCGTATTGCCGTATTGATCAACGGTAATCACCAATCCATCAAATCTGCCGACAGTATAGACAGTCTCCGTGAGGATTGGGGCTTTGTCTTTGGCGTAGAAGATGTTGAAGTTGCCACTGCCGGTCTCTTGCCCCGAGGCGCGGAATTCGACCTCGGCGTGCCATGTTGGACTGTCGACGGACCTCTCGGCCCATAACGAGCCTTTGGCATTGCCAGGGGAGGGAGGAGTAAGGATGGCGCGGTCGCTGAGTATTTGTAGGTTGTGCTTGCTGCTGCTAGCCTGCCAATGCGGTATCGTGCCTCCGCTGTGCGGTGACAGTTGCTCTCGGTGGCCAAAGGACAAATCGTCCACGACGTGCTGGGCGGAGCCGAGGGCTGCAAAGAGCAGGGCGAAGAGGGTGCGTATGGACATTGCGTCGTTTCGATAAGGATGGAATTGTTATAAGAGTGCAGGTGAAGTGAGGTCGTGTGACGATTGCAAGGGAAGCGAATGTGGCTTTCGAGGATGTCAGCAAATCCGTCCATTGATATCTTTATGTGATGGAGCGATCGCAGTGGCGCACTCACCAGGTCTGTCCGTCAACCTCCTCTGTCTCTCGGCGTACTGTGTAAGGCGGGAAGGGTTCTGATTCCAGTGACCGCAATCCACCCAATGACCGCGATGGTGACGACTAAGCGGACCTCCTTGAAGACAGACAGCACGGTGTCGTCGAAGTGAAACGAGTGTGCGTGGTTGATGGCTCCCGTATGCTGCGCGTTGAAAGGCCAACTTTCCATTCCGTCCTGGAAAACGATGAGGTGTATGTGTTTCGATGACGGAGGCTGGTTAGAGAGTTTGGGGGAAGGGTGTAGGAGTGATCCAAGCTCCTATATTTGGTTAGGCCGGGCTTGGCGCGGCTTGTTCGAGGTCCGACGACGACGACTTGAAAGTTAAAACGTCTTGCATGTCGACATCTCGCACTGTGCAGTACCAGCCAGCCATCTTCCATCGCCCATCCCATCTCATCCCCCATCGGCTCCCATCGTAGCCAAGAGAAAGAGAAGCAAAGCCGTCAAGATGGGGGATCCTCGACAAATGTGGGAGAATCTGCAGAAGAATATCCAACGCGCTCAGCAGTCGGGAGCGAGGTATGTCGACAGGCCGCAATCACAGCAGCAGTGGCCAGACTTACTCATACATCAATAGATTTGGAGGAGCAGGTGGAGGCGCTCCAGGCCCAAGAGGCGCAATAGGAGCTGTGGGCGGTCTGGTCTTGCTTGTCGGCGGTGCCTGGGTGTTTAATAATGCCCTCTTCAACGGTATGGCCACCAGCATGGTCGAAACGGACTATCAGGATGCAAATGACCCTGCTAAACTCTACTATAGTCGACGGAGGTCACCGCGCAATCAAATACACCCGCGTAGGCGGTGTTGGGACCGAGATCTTCGCCGAAGGCACGCACATTCGAATCCCGTGGTTCGAAACGCCCATCACCTACGACGTGCGCGCCAAACCCCGCAACGTCGCCTCCCTGACCGGCACCAAGGACTTGCAGATGGTGAACATCACCTGCCGTGTGCTCTCACGGCCGCGGATAGATGCGCTGCCGCAAATCTACCGCACGCTCGGCACCGACTACGATGAGAGGGTGCTGCCGAGTATTGTGAACGAGGTGCTGAAGAGTGTGGTGGCGCAGTTCAATGCGAGCCAGTTGATCACACAGCGAGAGAACGTCAGTAGGCTGGTGCGGGAGAATTTGATCCGGAGAGCGGCGAGGTTCAATATCATGCTTGACGATGTTTCCATCACGGTATGCCATCTCTACACACGTCTGTCGTGTTACTCTGCTAACCTGGAATCAACAGCATCTCGCTTTCTCCCCCGAATTCACGGCCGCCGTCGAGGCCAAGCAAGTCGCGCAGCAGGAGGCTCAGCGAGCCGCGTTCGTCGTCGACAAAGCCCGCCAGGAGAAGCAAGCGACAGTGGTGCGAGCACAGGGTGAGGCACGATCGGCAGAACTGATTGGTGACGCGATCAAGAAGAGCCGGAGTTACGTGGACCTGCGAGAGTTTGAGAATGCGAAGAACGTGGCGCAGATTCTGCAGACGGGCAGCAACAAGGTGTACCTGGATACGGAGGGGCTGGGGTTGAACATCAGCCAGATTGGGCAGGACCGCAATAAGAAACATTGAGGGCTTCGTGCTGGAGGGAATGGTGACGCATGGTGGACACCGGCGTTGAGGAAAAGCGCAGGTGCAAATGATCGGGAGCAAGTCTTCCCTTTTCTTTTGAGCAAGGATGTACAAGGTATTCAAGCACTCTACTTCGGCCGTGTGACATTGTCAACATGTCGTTTTCATCATCCTCATGTCCTCTGCTTTGCGTTTCAAGCGCTTGTGCGCATAAGTATACTTCAGCCGTCAATCAACCCGGCACAATCCTCCCCGCCCACTGCCCACACATCCTGCCCGCAACGCGCACCACGTCCCTGAAATCCAACCCCGCCTGCTCCTCCTCCACATCCGTCTTCCGCGCCAACGTCTCATCCAGAAACCGCTGAATCTTCTCCCCCATACCAAGGACCGGAAGCTGCTGCCGACCATTATGCAACCAAGCCTCGACCACTCGCATCGGCCCATCCTTCTGCGCCATGGTCACCACAACCCAGCGGAAAGCATAGTCGATTTCCACCTTGACGTTGCGCATATGCAGCGGGGCTGGGAGCGTGCGGATCCAAGGCGGTATGGGGACGCGATGCACGCGGAGAGTGTCTGGAGCTTCACGGTTGGGGACTCGGGGGGAGAGGCAGACGGTGAGGACGAAGGTGTTGTGGGCGAAATAGATTGGGGCTGCTTCGATCCGGATTTGGTGTGAGGTGGAGAGGAGGGGAGGTGGGTGGAGGTCGCGGAGTTGAATGCGGGTGGTTGAGGAGGGGTCGATGAGGACGTAAGTGTAGATGAGGTTTCGGAGCTCGGGCGGCAGATGGAGGAGTGGGAAGGACTTGGGGGTGGGTTGAGCGCTTCGCGTAGTGACGGGCATTGCGCTGGTTGCGCCTACGGGTTCGGTGATCGAAGCGCTGAGGCCGCGAGGAGGCGGCGTCGGGCCGATTCGCAATCACGTTTGGCAGGCCCGGTGTGGTGGTGAATGTACAGGTACTATCTTATCGTGCGTGTTACAGCACTTACTCGTGGAGGGCTGAGGAAGACGTTGAGGTCTTGCGCGCAGCCGGGGGGCATGCCGCTTCTTTGGGCTGGTTGGGGCTGATCCCTGCTGATATGGTCCTCCCGGTACAGATGGAGGCTGAAATACCCGCCAAGTCGTTCCGTTCGTAATAAAGTGAGGATGCAGTCGGAGGGTGCTGCAGTGACATGCTGAGTCAGGTGTGTGTAATAAGGGAGGGATGCAGTTTCGCTTGACATCATTCGCTCGCTTGCGGCGGGAGGCTAACCGGGCGGATAAGGGTGTCGCGCGATAAGGCTCATGCAGGCGCAGGGCAGGCCTCCCCTCCACGCGGGCGGGCGTGGGCTAATTGGGAGCATTCCACCGCAGGATGAACGGATGACCCGTATCGTCACGCTCGCGCAATCTACGAACGCCAGAGTGACACGTCGTCCTTCATCCCTTCCTTCTCTCCTTTCCACTCCCTCCTCACCCTTTCGCCATCCTCCCATCGACTTCCCTTCACCTTCGCACCAATCGCCATCCAATCGTCAATGACGCGACGACCGCGTGATCGATCCCCCCGGTACATTTGAGTTCGCGCCTATCGCGCCTGGCCCTCCACCTCCACCCTCACCTACACTCGAGTAATCGACCTTCGCCCGCCGCAACAACGCCTCCCGTCCGGCTCCATCAAGTCAGAGACATATCCGTCGTCTCTCCATCACACTCCGTCGCAATATTGGCGTCCGGCCAGCTTCCACTGACCCTATATTCCTTGCGACTGCAGCAACCCTTATAACCGGCCGCTGATCATCCCCCACCTACCTCACGCCGATCCATCTCCAGCTCCTCCACCACCTGACCCCTCGCACGCTCGCCGCCATTCGTCTGCGGTCTTTCAGACCACACGACTGATTGCGAGGCGTGCTCATCAACGGTCATTACCACACCCATTGCCTGTGCCATGGCATTCCAACAGCCGCAGCAGCGGCCGCAGCTTCCGCGCCACCCCTCCCCCTACAATCAGACTACCGAAACACCCGCCACTGCTTCCCCCATCCACAAGCGCACCGTCGAGGAGTCGCAGGAATGGATCCTCTTCTCTCCTGCGCAGCATGAGCAACAATCGTCACATACCTCTCAAACCCCGCGAACAGCCACCCATCTCTCCGACTTCGGATCGCTCGAGACTCACATTCGATCCCAGCCACCAGAAGACCGACACGATGGCGAGCACCTTGACCCCGACGCGGAAGGTGCCGATGATGGCGCCGAGCTGGATAGTCTCGACGACGGCTTACACGCCTTCCACCATCATCCCTTCTCCGCCCCGTCCAACAACCTCGACGTCAGCGGAGGCACCGTCCTGCCGACCCACGATGGGTTTGGAGGCTTCCCCTCATCCGCAGGCTTGCAGCAGCATCTCTGGCAGTTCGAGCGGTACAACCCACAACGCTCAAAGCATGCAGGACTAAGGAGTGAGGTGCAGAAGCAATTGGATGCGATGGAAGAGGAGCGAGAATACGATGTCGAAGACGACCGAACAGCACGCATTGAGAGGTGGAGACTAGAGCAGAGCCGAGTCGTTCTGGATGAAATCGAGAAAGAGACGAGGCGGCGGCGAACGCGAAGAAATCGGTTGAGCGCGACAGCGTCTCCCTCGGTGGATCTGAGATCTAGTATAAGGGAGAGTGTAGCGGGGGAGACCGCACACAGACACCAATGTGTGATCCAAGAAGAGCAAGGTCCTGAGTCGGCGAAAGGCGCAGACCAACATCCAGAGTCTTTCTGGCAGCGCATCACTAGGCGCGTCATTCGCGATCTCATCGGACTGGATGAAACCACACTATCCGTCATTTTCGGCGAATCACTCCCGGAAGATCCATCTCCTACCCCGAAACAACCGTCTCCAATCGCAGCAGCGGTTGCAGCAGAGGCCCGGCGGTCAAGAGTCAGTTTCAACGATTCAGGCTACAGTTGGGAGGTCAAGCTTCTGGAACACATCGCACGAGAACTCGGTATGCTGGTAAATCAGTTCACCGAGTACGACGGCCGCGCATTCACAACCTATCTCCGCGGGCAGTCCGATTCTCAACTCGCCAGCACCCCCACTCGAGACGGTCCACAGCCACGCCAGCCATCCCTGCGCCAACGTCGGAAGGCCTCAACGCCCGCCGAACGACAACAGGCCTCTCCCATCGACCACATGTTCTCCCCGACACTGCCCAACGAAGGTGTCGACACCTCCCTCTGGGGCATCGAAGAGGAACCCGATGACTTCCTCACCCAAGAGACGTCCGCACAACAGCAGCAAGATCGCGATTACTGGGAACGCGACGTCGACGTGGCGATGATCTTCTCCTACCTCAAACGCCGCTTCGCCTCCCACGTGTCCCCCTCACCCGAACCCGCCGAAGCAGCTGCTCCCCCAGCATCATCATCCCAACAAGGCCCCCTCCCCTCCTCCTGGGCCACCTTCTCCTCCGCCGCCGCCGCCCAACGCCCAACCCCCGAATCCCTCCGCCGCGCCGAAGCCATCCGCCGCCAACACCCGCTCATCTCCCGCGCGACCGAGCGAGCCGCGGCGCAGACTCGAAGGCGCGAGTCGCTGCTCCGCAGACTGCAGAGTCCCGGCGCGATCGCCACGGCGCAGAAGCGGCCGGGCAGCAGCAGTTGTGCGAGCCAGAGTACCAAGCGCAGTCGCCATAGTCGCAGTGGGAGTTCGCGGCATTTTTGGGATTTGGGAGGGAGTTTGGAGAGTGTGGGGAGTGGAGGCGCGCCTGGGGGGTGGGGAGAGGTGTGAGATTGAGAGACAGCAAGAGTGTAAGATTTTGGATCCAGTCCTCAGGGCTTTCCCTTTGTTGAGGCATATCATTGAGCCACTTGGGATGAACGACACGACTCGACTACATAGGTATATTTCCCCTCTTATCTCCCTCCATTCCGCCACATTGAATCTAGCAAGCGGCATGAGCAAAGCAGACAAAGACGCTAGAAGCAACTTTACACAATACAAATCGCAATCCTCCCAAGCTGCCTCCCCTCACTTCTTCCCCAAAAACCTCTCGACATACTCCTCCGCCCCCACCCCCCTCAGCCTCTCATCCTTCTCCCGCACCTCCTTCTCCGCCTGCGCCATATACCCCTCCACCCTCTTCCGCACCCCCTCGTCGCCCGCCCCCAAAATCCTCGCCGCGAGCAACGCAGCATTAACGCTGTTGTTCACACTCACAGCCGCCACCGGCACGCCGCGAGGCATATTGACAATACTAAGCAGACTATCCATCCCATCGCCAATCGAAGGCTTCACCGGCACGCCGATGACAGGCAAAGGCGTGTGCGCGGCCGTCATGCCGGGTAAATGCGCGGCGCCGCCTGCAGCAGCGATGATGACCTTGTGTCCGTTGGCTGCGGCGCTGCTCGCGAAAGTCGCCATGTCGTTTGGCGTGCGGTGGGCGGAGACGATGCGCGTCGTGTACGCGATTTGGAGGGTGCGGAGGAGGGCGAGGCCGGGGAGGAGGACGGGGAGGTCGGAGTCGGAGCCCATGATGACTGCCACGGGGGCCGGGTCGGCGGAGGGGCCGGGGGAGGGGTCAGCGGCCAGACGGTACTTGCCTGGCGTCGAGTAGGCGATCATAGGCGCGATGATGGCCTCTGCTTCGCGCATCGTCGGCGCCGTCACGGTGATGTGCCCCATTTTGCGGCCCTTGCGCGCCTCCCCTTTGCCGTACAGGTGGATTTTCGTGCGCCGCTGTTTCAGCGCTTCGCGCGCGAATTGCAGGTGTGAGTCGGGCTTGTCGCCGCCGAGGATGTTGAGCATGATGGCCGGCTCGCGGAGCTGCAGGTCCTCTTCATGAAGGGGAAGGTCGAGGATGGCGCGGAGATGTGCCTCGTATTGTGAGACGGGACAGGCTTCGATGGTGTAGTGGCCGGAGTTGTGTGGGCGGGGGGCGATCTCGTTGATGAGGAGCTCGCCGTCTTGCAGAAGGAACATTTCCACGCCGAACACGCCGCGGCCCCAGAAGCACGAAACGGCCTTTTTCGCGAGGTCTTGCGCTTTTTGGTTGATCTCCGCGGAGACGCCGCGTGCGGGAGCGTAGACGAGCTTGCAGATGCTGTTTTCGTGGATCGTCTCGACGGTCGGGAAGGAGTAGGTCTGGTATTTCGTCTTGACGACCATGACCGCCAGCTCCATCTTGAACTGCGCCCACTGCTCCCCGTACAACTCTCCATTCTTCCCCAAAGCATCAATAGCCGGCTGGAAGTCCGCCTTGGATTTGACGGGAAAGTTGCCGCGGCCATCATACGCCTCCCTCCTCGACTTCAACATCAGCGGCAAGCCGAGCGTAGCGCTCACCTTCTCCAACTCCCCCACCGTCGGCTTCTCCAACGCAATCGACTTGGCCACCGGAACATGGTGCTTAATCAAATGCTCCTTCTGCGCAAACTTGTCCTGGATCATGCGAATCGTCTTGTAATCCGGCTGCACGGGCGTGGTGGCCGAAATCTCCTCGAGCATGTACGTGTCAACATGCTCAATCTCCACCGTGACGACATCCGAGTTGGCCGCGAGCTGGCGGATTGCGGCGGCGTCTTTGAAGGAGCCCTCGATGTGGCCGGCGTGGTTGCTGACCTGTTTGGCGGAGGAGTTGGCGGCGTCGAGGAAGTTGACGCGGATTTCGAGCAGGTTGGCTGCTTCTACCAGCATGCGGCCGAGCTGGCCGCCGCCGAGGACGCCCACTCGCTTGTCCATTGTCGTTATAATGTAAGGCACAAAGGCCAAGAGAGCATTTTATGCGGGAATCAGAAGTATCGAGATTTTTCGTTTGTCCGGGGTTTGGAGACGAATATATCTTTGAACGCAGCCCGGCCAAGTTGGGCAATTAGCGACGTGTGTTGAGGATTGTGTGACTGTTCCTTTAGATTGTTGCCTGGTTGCAACACATCAACGTTACAAACAGTACTGCTAGTACCCTTTCACGCCTTGTCAAGTGAGGTATGAGGTGCAGACCAAATTTTGTGGTGCCTCAGGCAGGGACTTGGGATTGGCACTCAAAATTTTTAACGATTCATGATTGGACCAGCTACGAAATCACACCGTAGAGCCTGCCTCTCCACGCCATTGACTGATGAGACTACTCTATTTGACAAGCTCGACTCAGCCAGGCAATAGACTCCATGACGATGTCCACTGCACCAGTACCATCCCCGTAGTGCAGCGTTTACACCTTGAAACCACGCGATCGTCTGCGTCCACGAGCCTTCTCAAACTTCCGGCCCTTGCTCTCGATGTAGGGTTTCTATCAAGCATGTTAGTGGATTCGATCGCCCAGGCATAAGACGCCGTATGACATCCGCAACGCACCTTGTTCTTGTGGGGGCCAAAGCCAAAGTGCTTGACAGCCTCACGGGAGTTCTTGGGACCACGGAGGAGGACAACACCCGAGCCAGTGGGGGCACGCATGGCGAGCTGATCGAAGGTCAAGCACTCTCCGCCAGCCTTCTCGATGCGGGCACGAGCGGTGGCGGTGAAGCGCAGGGCGCAGATGGTCATCTTGGGCACCTCGTAGAGGCGGGTGTCATCGGTGACGGTGGCGACGATAGCTCGGATCTTACCCTCGAGGGCTTTGGCCGAGTGCTCATTTGCGGTCACGGAGACGATCTTGCTCAAGCTGATCGGCGGGCGGTTGATTTTGCCTGTGTGCATCCCCGATTAGAAACTGGCCTGTGTATTTCCTCACATCCTGCATTCCAACTCACTCATGCGTAGACGGCGGAGGACGGTCTGGTTGAACTTCGAGTCGGTACGGCGGCTGAGGAATTGGTAGAGCTTGTGGAGGATGCGGAGGTAGGGGTTCTCGCTGACGGGCGCACGACGGTGGCCGCTTCGCACTGTTCATCTCGTCAGTATCTGCTGCTGCGGTTGTTTGGCGTGTCGCGGGTTCGCGGCTTCGTGTTTCGAGCGTGGCGTACCATGGTGCTTGTCTAGATCGATCTGTACACATCTGTATCAGCAGTTGCTCGGCATGAAGAATCGTGTTTTGGTGGAGGGCCAGGTAGACATCGAGACCGCCCTGCCAGCGTGATGCCCCTTGGGTAGGAACATCTAGCATCATAGGGGGACAATGCCAGTGCTTTGGAAGGGGTATAGACTGTACTTACACCCATCTTTGCTGTTTTGTCGCGGTGGAATGGGGTCTGACAGCGGAGTGATGTACTTGGTGGTGGATTTTGCACAGCGAGGTGCGCAACTCTTGGCGTCGCGGGAATCCACCATCCCCAAACCGGACTAGCGCATCATGGCCGGCTTTTCACGGGCGAAGGCGCAACCCACACTGGGCACATGCCATGGGACGCGTGGGGGATATCATCAATCCTACGCAAAGGCATACCACTAATCCCCTAAAGTTGATTGCATCCGATCTCGTCTCGTAATGAAGGACCACCTTGCGCTAACCGCTGGGTCAGGAGGCTTTTTCTTCCTCGACGTTCATTAAGAGGCTCATCCCTCGACATTCCTTCATCTCATTCCTCTCATCCCACGGTCTACTTCCCACACCGCCCAAACGAGACCCCAGCCTTGACACTGCCACCATGGACGCTCCTACCATTCGACCCAAATTCCTCAAGAACGGCCACGAGCTGGGCCTCGTGGCCGTGGGCTTCTCTGGCGGCCAGTGCAAGCCTGGAGTCGATGCCGCCCCCATGGCCCTCATCGAGTCCGGGCTCGTTTCGCAGTTGAAGGCAGACCTCGAGTACGACATCCACTTCGATGACCAAGTGCACGTCTACACCGAGCAAATGCCCAAGGACGACCCGGACTACCGCGGCATGAAGAAGCCGCGTGCCGTCTGCGCCGTGACGAAACAACTCAGCAACCAAGTCTACGAGCACGCGAAACAAGGCCGCTTCGTCCTCACCCTCGGCGGCGACCACTCCATCGCCATCGGCACCATCTCCGGCACCGCGAAAGCAGTGCGCGAGCGCACCGGCCGCGACATGGCCGTCATCTGGGTCGACGCGCATGCCGACATCAACACGCCCGAGGTCAGCGGCAGCGGCAACATCCACGGCATGCCTGTTGCCTTCCTCACCGGCCTCGCCAGCGAACCCGAGCCCACCAAGCCGTTTGGCTGGATCTCGGACGAGCACAAGATTAGCGTGAAGAAGCTGGTGTACATTGGTCTGCGCGACGTGGACCGCGCGGAGAAGAAGATTCTGCGCGAGCAGGGGATCAAGGCGTTCAGCATGCATGACATCGACCGCCACGGCATCGGACGCGTAATGGATATGGCGCTGGGGTGGATCGGCAGCGACACGCCCATCCACTTGAGCTTCGACATTGACGCGCTGGATCCCATGTGGGCGCCGAGTACGGGCACTGCTGTTAGAGGCGGCTTGACCTTGCGTGAGGGCGATTTCATCGCCGAGTGCGTGCATGAGACGGGCAGTCTGGTCGCGCTGGACTTGGTGGAGGTGAATCCGAGTTTGGAGGAGCAGGGCGCGGCAGAGACGGTGAGGGCAGGGGTATCGATTGTGAGGTGCGCATTGGGAGATACATTGCTGTGAAGGTCCAGTCTTGAGCGAATGCATACGGTTGTTCACCTTACATAGAGATAGAAGGGGAGATATCCAATCGGCCATCACGCGATGAATCACCTTTGACTGACACATTTGCATTCCATCCGAGCAGGATGACTCTGCTGCCTGGTTCTGGCATCTCGCCATTCGGTTCCAGACCATGGGCCTGTTCCTCGAATCTCTCAAAATACTTCAGACCTCGCAACGGCTTGAGTGGAAATTCACTAATCAACAGGTCGGGCGTCTATTTCTGGTCGATGCACCACGCATCCGGCCTTGCTCATCTTCCATGAGGGTGAGACTCAATAGAAGAGGCCCGCAACACCATCGCGAGAATGTGTTGCCGTTTCAGCACATGCCGTCGCACAGATCACTGAGGTAGAGAATGTGAGCTGCTCACAGACTCCAAAACAACCAGGCGTGCTCGATTGGAGTGGAGGCCAAATTAATGAAACGGGCGGAGGCTCCGACTGACACACCGCACAGATGCGCGCGCGGATGGGGCGCAAAAGGCCAATGCTCTGCAGGGGACAGCAGTTAGTTCGATATATGGTGCATCATCCGTTCATCTCGCGATCCGCTCTTTGTTCTTGTCGCTCGGGTGTCGTTTGCAAACTTGAACGTCGCGTCGGCGAAAGTGATTGACGGCAGGTGCGGAGTTGAGTGAGCGCGCAATTTCTAAGCGGGAAGGCACATCCGACCAACAGCAACCACGCCGCCTTCCCCCTTTGATGCGAAAGCGCGAGCGCATCCCTCCATCCACACTCCAATCTCCAACCCGACCACCCATCTCCCAATCTGGTCGCCATCCGCGCGCATCCTCCGACCGATCCCGCCTCACACACCTCCCTTGCGTCCGCGTCGTGCTGCCTTTGCGCCCCGGCTCTTTGTTGCGCATCCGTCATTGCCCTGCCTCAACCAGACACTGGAATGCAAGGTCCCACCCAACGTCGCTGCTGCCCGACGCTGTAACCCATCCCCTCGGGACGGCCATCCTCAACGGAGGGAGGTCCGGAAGGGTTTCATCCCGACCTCTGCCCGGGTCGCGCGTGCGCTGCGCTGAAACCCATTGCTCACGAAAACACACTGCGGCGCGGGGCACGGTGACAGCTGCTGTGCCACCATCGCCCTCTTCGCCCTTCACTTCCAGCGCCTCAGGGGCCGGCGATCATAGAGACAAGAAGAGACGGAATACCTACACCGGCCCCCTTATCGTCCGCCTACTTTGATTTGTGTCACCTGCCCACCCGCGACAGCGAGATTGCGCCGTGGCGCCAACACATCCACCCCTCTCCCGACTCTCCCCCAAGTATATCTAGGCCTCTTGTGCATTGGAATCGGCAATGGCGGCCACCATGCTCCAGACGCCGCCGTCGCGAGCCTCGACTTCCTCTGGCTCTTCCTTCGTGCCGGTCACGAGACAAAACACCATGGGCTCGCAGGAGGGCACGCGCTCGATGCGCGCATCGAAGCGACACTCGGTGACGGCGTTGTACTTGTCGATGAATGCGAATCAGAAAGATCTGGAGATTGATGATGATCTGGCAAGAGGTTCGATTGGGCAGGCATTTCCCCCGGTCTACACTATTGACTGACGATTGGACAGCGCAAAAAATACTGCGAGACTTGAAGGCGAAGATCTCGTCGCAGTCGAAGAAGAACTTTGTCCTGGAGAGAGACGTGCGATACCTCGATTCGCGGATAGCGTTGCTCGTACAGAACCGCATGGCTTTGGAAGAGGTATGCCTTGTCGGAGTGTGTCTAGCCCTGCAGTCGCTAATGATTGCTCGCAGCGAGACGAAGTCGCCAGCCACCTGGACGATAGCGGAGACCTCACCGAAGGCTCGCTCATCAACGACGAACGAACGCAAAAGTACGGCAACCTGCTTTTCCTGCTCCAGAGCGAACCCCGATACATCGCCCACCTCTGCCGGCTCGTCACCATGGCGGAGATCGACCAATTGCTGCAGACGGTCATGTTTACAATCTACGGCAATCAGTACGAGAGCCGAGAAGAGCACCTGCTGCTGACCATGTTTCAAGTAGGTGCGCTCCTTCTCCATGTTGATGTCAGATCTAACAACACGCGCAGTCCGTCTTGACCTACCAATTCGACAACACTCCCGACTACTCCTCCCTCCTGCGAGCCAATACTCCTGTCTCGCGCATGATGACCACCTACACCCGAAGAGGGCCGGGCCAGAGTTACCTCAAGACCGTCCTGGCGGATCGAATCAACTCCCTCATCGAGATTAAGGATCTCGACTTGGAAATCAACCCTCTCAAAGTGTACGAATCGATGGTGCAGGCGATCCAAGACAAGGGAGAAGTGCTTCCTGAAGGACTCTCCAAAGCCGTCACAGCAGAGCAGGCGGCCGCGAACGAAGCGGTGCAGAAGATTATCACGCCGCGCATCGAAATGCTCATTGGCATCGCCAATTCCTTCGTCGACACCATCATCGACGGCCTGGAAGAAACACCGTACGGCATTCGATGGATCTGCAAACAGATCCGAAGCCTCACCCGCCGGAAGTACCCCGATGCCCAAGAACAAACCATCTGCACCCTCATCGGCGGCTTCTTCTTCCTGCGCTTCATCAACCCGGCCATCGTCACGCCGAGATCATACATGCTCATTGAGCAAACCCCCGAAGACCACCCTAAACGTACCCTCACATACGTGGCAAAGATGCTGCAGAACCTGGCCAACAAGCCCAGCTACGCCAAGGAGCCCTACATGGTCCGCCTGGCGCCCTTCATCGAGCAGAACAAGGAGCGCATCAATAAATTCATGATGGATCTGTGCGAAGTGCAGGACTTTTACGAGAGTCTGGAGATGGACAATTACGTGGCGCTGTCGAAGCGCGACCTCGAGCTGTCCATTACCATCAACGAAGTCTACGCCATGCACGCGCTGCTGGAGAAGCATCGCACGAGCGTGGTGCGCGACGATGGCTCGCACTTGTTCCAACTGCTGAACGAGCTAGGCCCGGCCCCGCCACAAGTGGCGCGAAAAGACAACCGCGCACTCAATTTGCCGCTCTACAGCAAATGGGAAACACCCATCGACGACCTCACCGCCGCCCTCGACATCACACAAGAAGAAGTCTTCTTCATGGAAGCCAAATCAACCTTTGTCATGCTCCTGCGCTCGCTCCCCGCCACCTCCAGCGCCGCCCGCCGCCCGATCCGCCTCGAGCGCGTGGCCGAAGCAGCAGCAACGACCAAGAACGACTCCGTAATGGTGCGCAAGGGCATCCGCGCCATGGAGCTCCTCAACCAACTGCAAGAACTCGGCATCATCGACCGCGAAGACCACTTCGCCCTCCTGCGCGACGAAATCGAGCAAGAGCTGCTCCACCTCGGCTCGCTGAAGGAAAAAGTGCTGGAGGAAACGGACAAGCTGGAAGAAGTCTTCCGCACGATCCACGAGCACAACTCCTACCTCGTCGGCCAGCTGGAAACGTACAAATCCTACCTGCACAACGTGCGCGGGCAGTCGGAGGGCACCACCACAAAGCGCGGCCAGGGCGCATCAGGCAAAGTCCTCGGGCCGTACAAGTTCACGCACGCGGAGCTGGAGAAGCAGGGCGTGATCCAGCACAGCAAGGTCCCCGAAAACCGCCGGGCGAACATCTACTTCAACATCACCTCGCCCAGCCCCGGGACGTTTGTCATTAGCTTGCACTACAAGGGGCGCAATCGCGGCTTGCTGGAGCTGGATTTGAAACTCGACGACTTGCTCGAGATGCAGAAGGAGCATCAGGAGGACTTGGATTTGGAGTATGTGCAGTTTAATGTGACGAAAGTGTTGCAGCTGCTGAACAAGCGGTTTGCGCGGAAGAGGGGGTGGTAGAAGAGGGGGGGGAGTGCTTTGCAAGGGGTTTGGATGAGCGTTGGCGTTTTGTCTTGGAAAGGAAACGGGCAATGTTGGACCGGGATTGGGAATGGAGAGGGATTGCGATCCTTCTTCGTTCTCCTTTTGGATTTTCTTTGTGATACCCTGGGATGGTATGTACGATACGAGTAGATGGATGGGGTGAAGGGGAGGTTGCTTGGGTGGCTGCACATCCTTTGTTCGAGCATGTACGATTAGATTAGAGCGAGACAGTGTAAGAGGTAACGTTGCGACTTGCAGTCCGTGGAGTGTTTCTGGAAATGATGTTTGGTGATCGAGTACAAAGGCAGAAAGGAAGAACAGCTAATGGCGTGGGTGAATGGGCGTCTCAGGCGGTGTACGATTGGAAGAGATCTGGCCCATGAAATGTTCGTCTGGTTTCATTGCAATACACTCCTTTCGTTGCTTGAATAGAATCGCCCGAAGGCGATCACTGATTGATGATGGAGGTGGGGCAGAGGCTCTCGGGAGTTGTCGTTATCGCGCGAGCCGCATCCATCCACCCCTCCAGCCTTGACTCATCATCATCCAAACACAGCGCACGCCGCCCACCCGTTCCCGTCTTCTGTGCTACAACGCGTCTCCTTCAACAATCTCAACGCCTCTTTCTCATATAGCAAACGCCCACCACCCGCGCAAACCCGCATCTATCCACCAGCATCGCGTCTCGCCGCGCCTTGCCGTGCACAGCTCTACACGCTCGAGTCACTAACTCGCCCTCGAGGCCAGCATTCAACAGCACCTCCCAATCCCATCCCAACAACCAACTTACCCCTTCCACGCATATCCCACCACCAACCATGTCCTCCTCCGCCGTCCCCATCCCGCAACGCAAGCGCAACGCCGTCGCAGCCGCATCCTACAGCTCGTCCGCCTCGAGCTCGTGGTCTGTTGGCCTCGGCACGCCGCACTCCTCTTCTTCGAAAGGGAAAGAGCCAATGTCCACATCTCCGCCTTCGTCGTCCTCGCCGTCGTGGTCGTCGATGGTGGAGCCGATATCGCCGCGTCGGCCGTCTTTGTTGGGTATGTGTGATCCATAGTCGGGAGAAGAGGGCAGTGCTAACTTGGGTGGTGTAGGGAGCTCGTTGGCCAAGTCGGAGCATACGGTCATCAATCTTGCACATTCTGATGGGCCGCCGCGACTGGTGAGACTGTGCTCCTTGAAGACTACGTTGCGAAGATGGGGCGAAGCTGATGATGTGCTAGGTGACGTGCGTCAAGTCGTCGCAAGGCTTCGATTGGAATCCAGGTACTTTCCCCTATCAACGCTGCATGCACTACTGGAGTGGAAGACATGCTACAGACAGGACGAATGCTGACTACCGCAGAACTCTTCCTGCCCTCCTACGCCTACCAAACCACGCTGGACCTCGCAACGAAGCAGGATCCCGTGGAGGACATTGTGCTTACCGATGAGGAGGCTGCTGCTATACTTCCGCAATAGCCGACATGACAGCACGATGAGGGGATTTGATAGCGTTTGGCCCGCATGGTGCTGGGGAGCTTCATGTAGATTGGCGCAACTACGACTGAACGACAACGATAAGGGTAGGGGTTTGGGAATCGCCGGGTTTGGCGTTCGCGGGAATTTCTGGGGATGGGAATAGATGGGAACTGGCGTGCCTGGACTGCTTTCTGTCACCATCTAATTCCATGAGACTCCGAGTCTTGCATTACGTCTTCCGTCGCGGCTCGTCATATCATCCCTCACCGTATGTCATCTGAGCCTCATATGACCATCGCTGATCTCAGAAGCTTGGGCCACCATCCCCGCATGACGCCCGCCCGCGACCTCGCGCGCGGCGCGTTCCGTCCAGCCTTATGTAATCCCACCCTAACAACGCCTGTTTGCTGTGTTTATCACGAACGCGTTTCCACCGCATCATACCTCATCCAAATCCCACAATGGCAGCAACAGCAAACATCTTCGAATCCAACGACGCCCTCCGCGCGCGCAGCGGCGCATCAGGAGGCGGCGAAGAAGAAAGCGGCACCGAGCGCGCACACCGCAAAGTCGAACTGCAATCGCCCGCCGACCTGGCGTATCTCCTTGCAAACGTGCAGCGTGCGGCGCGCCAGAAGATCGACACGCATTTCCCGCCTGAGGCCGCGCCGGAGGGAGGGGAGGATGCGATGAGGAGGCGGGTGGAGGAGTTGGTTGATGAGGTGCGCTTCTTTTTGCTTCTTCTTTGATGGTGTGGGCGTGGCTGATTGGGTGGGGTAGTATATTCGGAATACTTTCGACTCGGCGAAGCATAGCATGTCCATCAATGGGATGGATTCGAGAGAGTTGGATGCTGAGCTGGCCAAGGCGCAGGATGGGGAGGGTATGTGTTTCCCGTTGCAATGGATAAGGGAGCGATTGTTGATGGAGAGGAATACAGAAATCGAACCCTTCGACAGCAAACTCGCGCAACGAATGCAAGCCCTGTCATCCCAGATCGAACGACATACTCTCGACCTCGCCAATCTGAGACGCACAGCGCCGGCCGAGTCTTCGAGGAGGTTTCAAGAGTCTTTTACACAACATTCGCAGCTGGACGATGCGCGACTACAACGGGATGAGACGAATCGACTGGCGGCTGCAAAGGATACAGAGATGAAGATTGGCGAGACAGAGAGGATGGAAGAGGTCCAAAGCACGTGGCAGAGTGGTGCGCAAAGTCTGTTGGCTCTCAAGACGGGCCTTGGCGGCACGGTGGAGAAGATGGAGCGCGCGCAGAGAGTTGTCGATGTCCTTGAGGGGCGGTGAGATGTAAGTGCTGATTAAAGACCTGTTGATTCTTGCATTGCTGCTTTTCTATGTTTTAAGGTATCGAACTGATTATACCGACAGTAACGCCCACCCGATCGCTAATAACACATCGATTCACAACAATGGCCTTCACTCATACTGCCAAGCCTGAGGAGATGTGACCTGTTACTGAGGGTTAGCAAATGCTTTGTCTCCCAACGAGTGCTCCCTGGAAATTCTTACATTTGAGGTCACCGCCGCAAAGGGACCAACGCATCCGGGGCTGAATTGAACACTCTTCAAGTTGGCAAAGATCTGGTACTGGCCCTCAACCTGCGTGGTGGAGCATGCAACCAGACCGCGCCTCCACTTGAGCAAGCCGGCACCATTGCCAATGTCGGGGTTGAAGGTCCAGCCGTTGGTGATGGCGCCGTTGGGGACGTTGGGGTCGCCGCCGGGCGTGTACGCGAGCGCGCCGGTGGACTGGTCGATGTAGACCTGCTGGCCGTTGGGCACGGAGACACCCATGTACAGCGTGCCGGGGGATGGGTTCACGGAGAGGAAGGCGGTGCCGCTGCCGCCGGGGCATTTACCCGCCTTTTTGGCGCTGTCCGGGCAGAACTTCTCCGTCTTCTTGCCGATCCAGATCTTGCCGTCGGCGGCGTGCAGGTTTTGCAGGTGGATGGGCGTGCCGGAGTCGGAAGCGACGGCGCGGAAGTAGGTCTGCCCGCCGACGGAGGGCTTGGAGGCGGCTTCCTGAGGTTCTGCGACGGGGGCGGCGGAGGCCAGGCCGATTACGGCGGCGGCGATGATTGCGGTAACCTTCATGGTGGTGGTTGTTGTTGGTGGATGGAGTTTGTTTGTTTAGATGAAGCAAGTGTTGATTGAGGAAAGAACAAGAGACTTGTAGCTCGGTGATTGATTGAATGCAGTGGATGGATGCAAGAGCAAAAGAGTCGAGTCGGTCGTTCCTGCCTGCTCTTATATATGTCGATTACAACGCCACCTCGCGCCTGGCCAGCTTCACCTGCCTCTCCGCCGAGCCCCAAAATCGCTACACCACCCTTCCTAAGCGTGTCACGCCTGCAGAAACTTCAATAGTCTCGCCGTGTAGCGTACCGCTCACGCCAGCTCCGTGCTACAGTACATGCTCGGAGTGGAAGGCCCCAAAAAAGGCATCATTCCACCTCACACCACCGTCTACTTACCTACAAGCGGCATCCCGAGCCTTGCAGCGGACGAAAGTAGCTGCAGGGCACAAGCCCGAAAGGCTAAACACGGACAACTCTAAAGCGGCGCAGGTTACAGTAAACGGTTAGGTCTTAGGCACCTGACTGAGCAACGCCGCGGGACCCAAGAATAGCGAGCGATCGGGCCGACGCTGGTAGCGTATCACACGCCCGCCAGCCTCCCTCGCCCGCGGACATCGTCACGCCGCGAGCCATGGGCTGTCCGCTTCCACCACCTCTTGGCTGCCCGCTACCGCCGAACACGCCAATAGAACTGCGGGGCGGTCGTCTACGACTGCCTAACGTTCCCTTGTATTACCTACCTGGCGAGCATGTGGCCTGATCTTCCTGTTGCATTGCGTGCGACAGGCAGACCACATGGCCGCCCGCTTTGAGTGCTTTGGCACGTTGCCAGCTCTATTGCCCAGAGATGCGGCGTTGCCTCGCTACCAATGCGTGGCCTACTTGCTGTTGGATATCGATATTTCAGACTTGCCTACCTCGACTGGCCATTGTTGCGGGTAGCAACTCGGATACGGGCTCGGCCAACCTTGGCGCCGGCCACCTCCCATATAGGTGTTGTACGAGAGGCCGCGGGGACGAAGAACAAGGCCGCGGCGACGAACACGAGGTCCTGCATTGGCGTGCGAATTGCTTAGTGCACCGCCCTAAATCAGAATATGCCTTGCGGCCGTTACAAATTCGGCGATCTCGACCTGCGGCCGTATTATCGGAAGGTCAAATCCAGCGTGCTCACAACTCATCGCGCACGTGCTGCTGCTGCTGCCTCTCACGGCGCTCCCTCTCCGCATCCTCCCGCTGTAACCGTTCCTGAATGCTCTCCTGCTCATCCTCCCCAGCCACCCGCCCTTCCGGCCCATCGCCCTTAGCAATCCGCCGGCCCTCCGCACTCCTCTCCTTCCACTTCCGGGCCACCCCCGCAATCTCATCATCATACACCGTCCACTCTGGCACCTGTCTCCGCGCGCGCTCCAGCTTCGGCTCCTTGGTCAGCGGGTTATTGCACAGATCAATCGTCTTGGCATCGCGAAGCGATTCGTCGGAGCACCACGTTTCGCACCACAGCCACTCCTGCGGCAACGAGTGGATGGGCAGCACCATCTGCATGTGATTCGGCAGGTCCTGGTCGAGGTTGCTCAGGCTGCCCGGGTCCGCGGAAAGCATCTGGTACTGCTGGCGCAGCCGATCGCCCGCCGCGATTGCCCGGAAGCGCTGCAGATCCACCACGTACAGCGCGGAGATGTGGTAGGGTAGGCCGCGCAGGTAGTTCTTCCAATACCCCTGCTTCCAGAAGCGGAAGCCCTCCATTTCCACGCGCGAGTCGCACATGGGCGTGAAGCCGTACGGCGCGCCCTCCAGGTCGTGCTGCACCAGCTCGTACATGTCCGTGCGCACAATCTGGTCGGCGTCGACGAAGATGACCTTGTCGAGGTCGAGGGGGAAGAGGACGTCGAGGAAGAGGATCTTGTAGCCCCAGATCTCGCGTTGCTTTTCCTTTTGCCCCCGCAGCCAGTGCGGCCATTTGTACGTGACCATTTCGTATTGGAAGCCGTATTCTTCCGCCATGACGGGGAGGAAGTCTTTGAACGACGGCGAGAGGAATTGCTCGATGAACCAGAACTTGACGCTGTGCTCCGTGTGCTTCATCACGGACACCATCATGATGTTCAGCATGCGCTCGTAGAGATGCCCCGACGCGACAGAGAAGATGTTGATGTCTGCCTGGGCAGGACTGGCGACAGCCTTGCCCGAATCGCCGAGCAGACTCGAGCCATACTTGACGGCTTTCGAAAGGAGCTTATTGCCAGGCGCGCCAGAAAGTCCAGCCTGAGCGAGCAACCTATCGCCCTTCTCCGCCAGACTCTCCAACGACGACTTGGACGCTTCAAGCACGTCTTCATCCTCCATGCCTGCCTTTCGAGACAGTCGTGGGAACACGGTCGCCCCGCGGAAGCTCATGAGCGCAATTTCCGTGCCATCGTCGCCCAGCTGGGAGCTGTAGCCTTTCGTCCCAGCACTGTCAATGTGGAAGATTTCTTCGCTGCGACCCTTTTGAAGCGCGAGGTTGTATACACCGGGATTCGCTTTGAATTGGAAGTAGCCCAGATTCGCCATGATGATGGTATCGGCGAAGTGTCGGTCGGCCTCCGTTTCCAGCACCAGCTGGGCTCCTCGAGGCGGTGGGCCGGCGGTGACGTCTCGCGAATGGCCTTCGATGAGGATATGTTCGAGCTCGTAGACAGTGTCGACATCACTCGACGACTTCAGCGCACTGAGCTTGATGTTGTCCGGGTCGTGCACGCTCTCCTCTGGAGCAACAAGCCAAGAAGCCGGCAGGTCCATACCTGTTGTAAGCAAGGCGTCCGCAGGAAGACCCGCAAAAGTCGCTCCTTGCTCACGCAGCGATCCGTCCTCATTGAAAGAAGGCGAAGATTGTATGACATGGCGATAGAAGCGCTTGATCGGCAGCTCCTCAAGCCGATCCCTCGGATTCAAAAACAAACAAGTGTAAACGCCATCGAGCTGCGACAAAGCCTTGATAATCGGAATCCACCTCTGCGCAAGCTCCGACGCCGGATCAACCGAAGCGTAGATCTGAATGGTCGCAGTGTCAACATCGCCGACTTTAATGGCGGTGTGCTCCGACTGCCACTTCTTGAAAATGCTCATGCGGATGCTGGGCGCGGCCTCGAAGAAGCCCTCGGGCACGTCCGACACCTGCGACAACGCGATGAGGCTGGAGATTTTGGCGAATGCGAAGGGGGTCGTCGCTTTGTCCTCCAATCCCACTCCTTGAATGGCCAGCGAGGCGGGCAGCAAGCGCTTCTTCCGTTCGTACGTGTACAGGCCCACTAGTGCATCTTGGCCCAGGGTCGTGCCGCGCGCGATTGGACCAACCATGCGGCCGTTGAGCGTGATGGCTGTCTGATCGGCCTGTAGGCCAACGGCAGCAGTGATACGCCGGAAGGGTTTCTCCACGTTGCCAGAAGCCAACTTCTTCTCGCCGACCAAGTCTGCGACAACGGACTCGAACATCTGGGCGTAAACTTCGCTACGCTGCTCGAGAGTGGAATGTTCTTTGTCCACGCTGAGCAGATCAAAGCGATGCAGCGTGTTCTCCAAGAACAACTGTCCGGCCTGCTTATCGGTGAGAGCAGTGAAACGAGCATTTGACTCCGCATTGTCGGAGTTCTGAATGAAGGCCAGCTCAACATTATCGTGTTGTCGCTGGAAGAGCAGAGCCTCCATCAGCTGATTCAAGCCATTCGTCGTCCCAACATCGGCAATGACGGTCATATGAACAAGCTCCCGCTCAATCGTGTCCGGCTGAGCAGGGATACTAGGCACGTCGACAAACTCGGGCAGTTCGCCGAGACTGAGATGTCTCAGATCCTTGTCGTCCTCTGGGATGATCAGTGGCATGCGCCTCGACTGTGCTTCGTACAAGAACAGGTCGGGTATGTAGCTGTCGTCGGTGACCTGTCCCTCAAACACGGCTTGCTGAACGATGCCGACATCAGTGTTCAGCTTCTCGCTCATCCCTTGAAGCCAATCGTCCGTCTTCGGAATGATGACTCCATTAACGAGAATTGGTGCCGCACTGCCATCACTGGATGCGAATCTCTCGAGATACGCTTGGGTGGATTGCACTCTGCTCTCCATTCTATCGCTCGAAAGCACCTGCTTCAGGGACAGCTGCTCCGTATGGTTCCCTCGCAGATTGCGTCCTTGGATGGCACTGATATAATGCGGCTCGCTAGGTCCACGAAGCTTGCTCTTAGCCTCCATAGCATACACTTGTAAGTAATGGAGACTGGCAGCTAGCCCATACGCTTCGACCAAGTGATAGACGATCTTGGCCTGTTGCAGCGCAGCAGTTGTGCTCACAACAGGCACCACGCCAAATCGAATGGGCAAGCCTCGCTTCACAAAGCCTTGCAAGCTTTCAGCCACCAGGCGCACGTCGGCCACCGTGGAAAAGTCGACGGGAATGACGACGTTGTGGATGTCTTTTCGCACCGATGGCATTTGTCCTCGGAAGGAGCGCTGGAGCAGATCCTGCACGCTGTCGGAGAAGTCGGCGTATCGTGTATCTTTCTCGATGTTGTTGAGCCAGATAACCACGCCGCCGCCCTCGTGGTCATCTCTCCAGTCGTATCGCGTTGCTTCCTGCTCCACTTGCGCGGTTGTGATGGCTTCGTGAGATAGAAGATCGATGGCGCTCGCGCCCGTCAAACCCAGCTCGCGAACACTGTTGATCATCTTCCTCTCCTTGCGCAGGTGCTCGAGCAGGGCAAAAGCATCCACATCTCGACCAACGATCTGAACTCCATTGATCCAAAGGGCGTTGAATCCCGGTGGAAGAACGACTTCGCGATTCTCCCTATGCTCTTTGTCAAAGTCGGCAGAAACGTTCATGGCCGCTATGGTGCTCGAGTGCTTGGGGAAGTCCTGCAACAGCTTTTCCAGCGTATCCAAAGGAGTCTCGCTTGCCATTACGAAACTGGCTGCTTTTGTGTCCAATCTCAAGAGCTCCAGGTAGGATAGAGGTCGCAAATCGGCGATTTCTTCTTCTACAAGTTTGCCCTCTGCGGGTGCATCGCCTCCTACGGCCGGGGTCTGCTCTGTTTCCCGATCGTCGATGACGATGTAATCGGTTCGTTTGAGAGCTAGCTCGACTCCGTAGCCGCTGACAGTAAGAGGCTTCACCACCTGGTTTGTCGACGGCTTGTAGCGAATCCGGTAGGAAGTCTTACCCTCTTTGGCGGTCTTGCTGATGGTCTTGTGAAATTGCCGGAATGACGCAGAGTTGATGTCGCCGTAGAGTACAGAAGCCTGCTCGCTTTCGGGATTACCCAGCACTCGATCGAAAGGCAAAGTGTTCAGCCTGCTCCCAGGCTTGCTCCAGGAAGTCGATGCGTCAAACTCAGGTGAGCAGTGTCGTTCGCCAGTAAATGGCGTATACACCCAACTCTCGCAGCCATCTTCTTCCACTCCTCCCAGCGACGGGTGCACAGAGGTGTTGTAATACTGGTGATGCGCCTCTATCCTCGGCGCGACCGAATGGATAGACAGTGCGAAGTCGAAAGACGACACGTCTTCCGCTTTACTGAGGTGGCCATCCTCTTGCAACAAGCCTCGAAACTTGGTGTACAGCTCTTGATCCGTCGATGTACCGTCGAAGTACCCATCGGCAATGCGGTCGAGGAGGGGGAAGTATGAGGTTGCGTTCTCTTCTGCTGCCGTTTCTCTGATTGGATTTAGCAGAGGAACGCATGGTTGACGGCGGTGATGTACTCACAATAGCTCAAGCAGGAACGGCGGAGCCCCGAACGAGGTTCGTAGTGCTACGTTCACCGACGGTATGGCTCTCGCGCCAAGGACGAGGCCGAGAACGAGACCAGCTCGGAGGATGGCCCCCGTGTTTGGTGGTCTTATCATCTTTGAGAATATGCCACGATTTCCGAACAGAGCATCTTCAACAAGTCGCTATCAGGCCGGAAAATCGCTATAGTTGTCGTGTCGATCGAAGGAGGGAGAGGAAAGCCCAAGTCCCAAGAAAAGATACGTGTCGAAGACAGGCTGTTTCCTCGGCGTCTGTTTTAGTGTGGGTTTGGCGTCGGCGAGGGAATTGAGGCCAATGTATATCAGATCCAATAATGGCACAGACGTCCGAGTGGAAGTGGAATGGAATCTGCAACATCCACCTATGCCATCACATGTTGTCTCGTGGACCAGGGGCATCGGGAGTGTCGCCGCAACGATCTAACCCAATGAGGAAGGTTCATGATCACGTGATCATACTGGAGTTCAGCGAGTATCTCTGCTATCAAGACTCTCTACTCTCGAAGAAAACCTTCACATCCATCACAATTCCGTCCGAACTCGACGCTGCTGTCGCAGGTACACTCGCCTTGATCCACGCAGGCAGTTTCCCCTTGATCCTCTCTTGAGAATACCGACTGTCCATCAGCACAATACTCGCCCAGTCGTCTTTGTGTCGGATGACTCTCCCGATAGCCTGGTTGACGCTCCTCATGCACACATTCTCCGCGTGCTCGCGACTCGCTTTGCCCTTTGCTTGTCCTCGCACTGCAGCGCGCTCGTCAATATATCGCAGCTTTGCCTTCCACTCTGGCGTTTCGAGGTTGGGAAAGGGCAGGCCGACCACGACGACGCAGCGGCCTAGGTCGTCGGAGAAGTTGATGCCTTCGGACAGCTTGCCACCGAGTACAGAGAGTAGAGTGGCTCCATGAAGCCCCGTTTGAATGGCTTCGCTGTACGATTTGAAGATGTCTTCGGCTGCACCGTTGCGGCCGTCGCAGTAAACTGGTTTGATGGCGTGGAGCTTTTCAAATACGCCTGTCGTTTTCCAACGAGTAGTGGTCTCGTCCAGAAAGCCGTAGCTGGGGAAGAAGACGACCAAACCTCCTCTCACCACGCGAGCAAGGTCTTCAAGAACCCGCCCGACCCTTTGAGCACTTGCAGCAACGTCTCGATTTTTGAAGCTGAATTCCAGCGGACCCTGGCTATCAGCTGTAATGGATCGCACGAGTAGTTGACTTGTCGGAATCAGATGACCACAAGACAGCGTATCGATGGAATGGACGTAAGGGAAGAGTTGTTGTCTGTACTCGTCCATCGGCGACATGGTGCCGCCTGCAAGGATGACTGCGCGCGCTTCCTCGACAATGTCTCGAAAGTGCTCGGATGGGTCCAACAACAGGTATCGTAGCACCACGTCGTCATTCTGTTTGGCCCAAAAGTGCTGGCCTTCTTTGGACGGGTTCATCAGGGTGTGGAGAAAAGTTTGGATTTGTGTAAGCGTCGGTATGTCCGGAAGAGCAGTCTCCTTTGGAGCCTGCCCGGTCATCTGAGCAGAGTTCTTCATGTATGCTGCGTAGCCTTCCACTTTCCTTGCCAATTTGCTGTCGTTGATATAGCGAACAAGCTTCGCCAAGTTGATTTGATCAACGCCTTTGCCGGATAGCAAGTCATTTGGCTGGACACCACCACCAACCTCGTTCTTTGTCCGAGCTTGTGTTGTGAATAATAGCAATGAGTCGATCACTCTGACGACTTGAGTGACATACACCCGATTGCTACCTTTCAGCCGGTTCCGGAACTTCTGAAGATACACCATCAAGCCTTCGCGAGCACGATGCAATTGTTGGTCGGAGATCTGAGCAGAGTAAGTGCTCTCCACCGCGTTGATGAGGTTGTGGGCCTCGTCAATGATCACCACGTGGCCCTTCAACGAGATCCCAAGCGCTTCTCGAGCGGATTTTTGTAAGAGTAGGGGATAGGGAAGGGTGACAATCTCTGCCGGATTGATGGCCGGTCTCGAAGCGTAGTATGGGCATATCTGAAGCTTTTTGCCGATCGATGCCAGGTCTTCTATATCGCCAATTTTCGCGAGTGCGTGATCGCGAAAATCGAAGACTTGGTTTTGGTTCTCTTTGTTGGGTAGGAATGCACATTTTTGGTCAGGGCGGGTAGAAGACTGCTGTAGCTCCACGCATCGCTCGTTGATCGCCGTTTGGCTCCCTAGCGCCGACACTCTCGAGTTGATGCACAAATTCTTGCGCGATCCGAGCGTGAGATGTTTGAGAGCCTCTCGTTCCTCCTTGGAGTCATCTTTGGGAGGCAGACCAGGCGGCAAGCTGATTCGTTTTAGCTCGCCAACGATTTGGGAGAGTTGCGAATGTGTTCTTGAGCAGAAGTAGATCTTGAGCTCGTCAAAATCTTCATCGAGAGCGCCGCTTTGAGCATTGGCTTGGAGCATTCCCAACTTCTCCATCAACTTGGTGGTTTCCGTCGAGTATTCGCTTTTCCCTCCTGCATTCGAGTGCAGTTCATCCCCGCTATCGTAGTCGTCCAGAACAAAGTCATTCTCATCAGATTGTGTTCCATGCGGGGAGTCGGTGTCCGGTTTACGCCGCTTGAATGGAGGTTCGCCATTACTCTGTCGCTCTCGAAGTCTCCGTTCTCGACTACGCACCGCGTCCAAACGAGCCTCGAAGTCAGCCTTCATCTGCCGCGCCTCCTGCCGTCTGGCTTCCCGCGCATGCTCAACTACCCATTCTGGCTCGTCTTCGTCAGGCTGGATGGCAGCGACGGCTTCATCGAAAGCCTTCCGCTTATGCTCTCGAAGCCAGGTCAGAGATCCGCATATCAGGCTCAACGACTTCCCGGTCCCGGTTGGCGATTCAAAGATGCCGACTTTGCCTGATTCGATGCTGTTGTAGACCGCCTCCATGAATTGTTGTTGGATGTCATACGGAGTGAAAGGGTGGTGGAAGTTCTTCTTCGCCATCTTTGCGTCGGTAACATGCTATATGTTGCTGTCCAGTTGGCCATGTTGAACGGTTGTAAGATGTTTGCGGTTGTGAAGAGACGAAGAGTAGACGTCGCGAGCTGCTGAAAGCTTCACGAACTCTAAGCGCGAAACCCCCGCGCTAACCACGTGACTGGGTATCGCAGTGTACAAGAAGCTATGGCTCCTTTCCAACGAGTATCATCGATGCTTGCCCTTTCTATACCTGATATTCTCCTTCGTAGGAGCCTGAGCACCACTCGCAGCAGATCCATCAAACACCCAAGTCTCCACCACCTCCTTCGTCTCCACCACCTTCCGCTCCGCCACTTTTGCCTCCTTGATTCGTCGAATATAACCCATATATATCGCAACTTCAGCAAGAGCCACAAGCCCACTTCCACCCATAGACAGCCCAAGGCGCTGCGGCGCGTCCCATCTACGCGCGACGACCCAAATCGCCACGCTGCAGGCAACGATGGAAACGAGGATGTTGATGATGAGCGTCACTTGCCGCTTCACGTCTGCGTACGTTACGTCGTCTGCTTCGTGTTCGCCCACGCCTTGGCCGATAGATGTTGCCGGGTTGAAGGCGTAGGCTGTTGCTGAAGATCTTTGATTGAAGAAGTCTTTTGCCGGGGTTGGATTGGTCATGCGCTCGTATTGGCGCTCTTCTTCTGCTGCTCGTAGACGGCGCATGAGTGCTTTGTATTCTGGTGTCTGTTTTGATTTAGTTATGTCTCTAGGAGGAGTCTGATGGCTGAACGTACGGGTTCTGGTTTAGGAGGGAGTGGTGCTTGGTATACTCTCGCACCTTTCAGCAGCGAGTCCAGTCGCCAGGACTTGAGTATTGACTCTTCGCCGTCCCGTCGACATTTCTGAGTGAGACGGGTGGATACTTCGAGCAAGTCCTCATGCTCGATAGGAGTTCCTAGATCGGCATGGCGCAATGCTTCGAGCCTTGCTGCAGCTCCATCGTCCTGAGCTGCCGTGCCATCCTTTGGCAGCGCGCAGTACTCGTCGATTGCCGCCTTTGCGGCAGCAGTCAGAGTAAGCAACACCATCAACAGGCAGTCGGATTGACGAATCGCATGGACGGATCAAATAAGTTGTGCTGGGTGGATGAAGTGCTGCGGCCTGCGAACGACCGGTAGGAACACGGAAGCCGCTTAGCAACGGGCCGGGCCGCTCCCTGCACGGCTGGCATCATTGACTTCATTGACTTCAACGATTTTCTTCGCCTCACCTTGACACTGTACAACACACTCGTTCAGCAATCTGCAGCTCGCCCATGGTGCGCGGCGCCTCACTTCAACACCGAAAACGACCACCGACACCATCTCCTAATCCACTAATCTCCTAATCACTTTTCTGACCTTTCCCGCAACTTTTGCTGGCCGTAAAGGCCATCGGCACGCGACATATATGCCTCCCACGGCAGCGCAAGGCCCTGCGCTGCTGAACCGAGCGACGCCCTTCCTCCGTCCTCGATTTCGCTGTCCCGAGTGTTTGCGACCTCTTCCCATCAGACCTCTCCACACCTCCTCGCCGAATCTTCACAATGCCTCGCCGAGGAGACAGCAATCCGCCGCAGTCGCCGCAGCAGTGTGGAAAGCGAAGCAAATCTTCTCCAATGGACCGCCTCCACCTGGGCCCATGGGCATCGACCCGCTCCGAAGCGTGGCGAAGGAGATGAAGTTCATGACGGGAAACATACGGCAGTTGCTGGGCTCAGGGCATCCAATGCTCGACACCGTCGCCAAATATTACACCCAGTCCGAAGGCAAATACATACGGCCCATGCTGGTGCTGTTAATGTCGCAGGCTACAGCATTGCTTCCCAAGATGCCGCGAAGGTGGTCTCAGGAGAATGTGAGCGCCGACGAATCAATCACGCCTTCTTCTATTCTCGCCGATGAGAACCCCTCCTCTCCCTTGACTTCCGACTCCGCCAACTACGCCGACTACAGCGATCCTTTGATCTTGCCTTCACAACGGAGGTTGGCAGAGATTACGGAGTTGATTCACACTGCTTCCCTATTACATGACGATGTGATCGATACATCGTTCAGTCGAAGAGGCAACGCATCAGCCAACATCGCATTTGGAAACAAAATGGCCGTGCTAGCAGGTGACTTCCTGCTCGGAAGGGCGTCAGCAGCACTGGCGAGACTGCGCGATCCCGAGGTCACGGAGCTCCTGGCGACCGTCATCGCCAACCTGGTGGAGGGGGAGTTCATGCAGCTCAAAAACACGTCCCGCGACGAACGACATCCCGTCTGGCACGAAGACACCGTCACCTACTACCTCCAAAAGACGTACTTGAAGTCGGCCAGCTTGATCAGCAAGTCGTGTCGTGCGGCTGCCTTGCTCGGCGACCACCCGCGGGAAGTGGTAGAGGCCGCTTATCAGTATGGAAAGAATCTTGGCATCGCCTTTCAATTGGTGGACGACATGCTAGATTACACAATATCAGGTTCAGAGCTGGGTAAACCTGCAGGAGCCGACTTGGAGCTGGGCCTCGCTACTGCGCCTCTGCTATTTGCGTGGAGGAGCAATCCCGAGCTAGGGGCTCTGGTGGGCCGGAAATTCTCGCAAGAGGGCGATGTGCAACTAGTGAGTGTGGATTGACTGCGCTTTCTTGCTCGAATGAGTACGAGCTAACCATTGCTCTTCTCAGGCACGAACTCTCGTCATTCAAAGCGATGGCATCGAACAGACGCGGGCACTGGCTCAGGACTATGTCGACAAAGCCATTAGAGCGATTGCGGGCTTTCCGGAGAGCGATGCCAAAGTGGGCTTGATTGATATGTGCTCGAAGGTGATGAAGAGGAGGAATTAAGGATCCCACCTGACGCTGAGCCCCCCGTGTAAGCTGCGAAAGCGATGGGAGCAGCTTGATTCGTGCCGTCGAGGTCAACGAGTGACTTGCCATGCATAGCATGGAATAGTTGCTACCTGGAAGAGCAAACTGGGCCGTGTAACTCCATACCATATCAATAGATCGCTCAGCAACGTTGAAGCAACTCGCTGCTGGACTCTGTAGTAGTATCACGGGTTGAACGAATGCCTCCTCCAATTTGAACCACGTGCAATCGCGTAATGGATGAAGCTTGGACCAACTCCACTTCACGTCCAAGGCTGAGGGGCCGGCCATTGACACAAACTGTACCCACCTCTCGCAACCCTCAAGCAACACCTCTTCCCCACCAACCCCTCAACATCCGCCCTCGCTCCTCTCTCAACCTCACCCCAGCAATGTAAACAATGTACGCAACCCCCTCCCTCAGCCCCCCAACCCATCTAACCCACCCCACCAGGATCGACCCCTCCACGCGCCTCCGCCGCGCAATCCACCTCAACGACCCCCTCCTCGTGCACCGCCTAATCCGCACGCACCCCAACCTCCTCCGCAACCCAGACTTCACCGACAAAAGCAACACAAGCCTGCACCTCGCCGCTGCGCACGGGTACACCGAAATCGCAGTCCACCTGATTGCCGCGGGCCACGATGCGGTCGAAACCTCGCGGAACACGGACCACGATACGCCGCTTATGCTTGCTGCGAGGGGCGGGCATGTGGAGGTTGGGAAGTTGCTGGTGAGGCATTTCCCGCGGTGTGTGGGGATGCGGAATCGAGGGGGACTGGATGCGTTGGCGATCGCGGCGCAGCAGCCTGAAGCTACGAATCTGCTGCCGGTGCTGCTTGATGAAGGTGGGGGTGCGGAGTGGGCGGCGGAAGTGGACGGTCGAGATTTAGATGGGAATACAGCTTTGCACCACGCGAGCGCGTCGGGGAGTTTGAAAGCGCTGCGCATCCTGCTCACCGCGGGCGCGGATCCGTTGGCGAGGAATAGCACCGACTGGACGCCGCTGGCGTACAGCCAGACCGTAGCGGCGGAGGTGTACTTCAAGAACCTCGTGGCGGAGTTTGAGAAGCGGAAAGTCGAGGGGTTGAGAGTGGAGGAGGAGAGGGAACGGCAGAGAGCGGCGGGCATGAGGGTTGTGACGACTGCGGACGAGGGAGGGAGTACGGGGAGTACGCCTGTGAAGAGGCAACAGGGGGTGCTGAGGGGGGAGAGCGGATCGCAGACTCCCGTGGATGAGGAGGAGTCGATTTCGGACGCGTTGAAGATTCATTGGGGGCCGGTGATGGGTGCACCGAGGCCTGGGACGCCGAGTGGGGGACGAAGGGAATGGGATGGCCGGCCTATGGCTATGCGGACGCAGTCCGGGGGCGGAGAGTGAAGGACCAAGCTGAAGCAACAAACGAAGCTCACGAAAAACCAATGAATGATACACGACATGCGATTACATCTTACTACCCGGTGCAGCAGCAGCAGCATCCTTCATCGCGCCCTTGGGCATCTTCCTATCCATCCCCAGAGCCTCGACGTCCTTCTTCTTGTAGTAGTGCGGCGCCACCTCCGTCAACCACTCCGGCTGCAGCGGCATCACGCTGCGCATAAACTCCTTGCTCGTGAGCACGAGTTCGTAGAAGAGGACCCATTTCGGCTTGACCTCCATCAGCACCGAGCTGGGATGGATGTGCACGGTGAGATTGTTCTTGACCGTGCGATACGAGTCTCCGCTCCGCTGTAAGCGCGCGGCGTTGGGGAAGAAGCCGGCAGCAATCGATTTTTGGATCGGAGGCAGATTGTTCGCGCCGGCGGAGGAGACGGTGACTTCCACGCGGTCGCACAGCTTCACCAGTTGATCTCGCACGTCTCGCGCGCGCGTCAGCGATCGCTGCTGCAGGAAGTTCTCCTTGGCCCAGACGAAGCTGAAGTCCGCGTCGACCCACTGATTCCAGATGTTGAGGTACGTGAGGTGGTCGCCGCCCTCTTTGACAGTGAAGCGGGCACGCGCGGCATCGGCTTGAACCTTTTTATCTTTGGGACGGTAGAAGAGGGCCGATGCTTCGCCTAGCATGGCGATGATGGAGAGCACTTCATCCACGCAGCCTTCTTTGTGCGCGGCCAGCACAGCCTTCGCAAGCATCGGATCTGTAGGGAACTCGGCCATCTGGCGCCCGATCTTGGTCAACTCGCCTTTGTCGTTCAGAGCGCCGAGGGCGTAGAGTTGCTCGAGCGAGCGCATGAGCATGTCAGGACTCGGAGGGTCCATGAAGTCGAAATTGATGAGGTCGTTGATGCCGAGACTGAGCAGCAAGAGGACGACGCTGTTCAGGTTTGTGCGTTGGATTTCGGGCGTGGTGGACTCGGGGAGATCGTTGTAGTAGGCCCATTTGGTGTACAGACGGAAACACTTGCCCGGCTGAGTTCGCCCAGCTCTCCCAGCACGCTGGTTGGCGGAAGCTCGCGAGATGGGCACCGCGACTAGACTCTCCATGTTTGTTGCCGGGGTGTACCGGTTCTCCTTGACGTATCCAGGGTCGATGACATACACGATGTTATCGATGGTCAGACTCGTCTCGGCGATGTTGGTGGCCAGCACGACCTTTCTGCATTTCGGAGGCGTAGGGTCGAAGATGCGTTGCTGTAGATCTGTGGGTAAGTTGGCGTAGATGGGGCATATCATGAGTTCCGGCGCCGCAGAGCCCAGCTTTTTCGCCGTCTCCTGCAAAGACTGTTCGGCCTGCTCAATCTCATCTTGTCCGGTAAGAAAGACGAGGATGTCTCCAGGCATAGGCTGGGACAGGTGGATTTGGAAGACCGTCGTGATCGCCGCGGAGAGATAGTTGGCTTCCGGCTGAAGAGAGTAGTTCATCTCGACATCGAACGTCCTGCCGGGGATGTTCAGAATCGGCGCCTCGTCGAAGAAATGGCTGAATTTCTGTGCATCCAGCGTGGCAGATGAAATCAGGAGTTTCAGATCTGGTCGGCCTCGTGCAATATCCTTCACCAGCCCGAACAAGATGTCCGTGTGTAGTGTGCGCTCGTGTGCTTCGTCAATCATGAGGCAACTGTAGCCTCCCAGGTCCGGCTCGGTCAGAAACTCCCGCAGCAACATTCCATCAGTCATGTACTTCAGCGCCGTTTTGTCCGATGTTGCGTCTTCGAATCGAATAGCATAGCCAACCTCATTGCCCACTTTCACGCCAATCTCCTCCGCCACGCGAGTAGCGACACTCATGGCAGCGACACGGCGGGGTTGAGTGCAGCCGACCTTCATTCCGTTCTTGCAATAGCCTGCCTCGTAGAGGTATTGCGGAAGTTGAGTCGTTTTACCACTGCCAGTCTCGCCGACGATGATCAAAATCTGATATTCGGCAACCGCGTTCAAGAAGACGTCTCGGTACTGATAGACCGGAAGCGTCTTTCGCTTCTCCTCGATCGTCTTCGCTTTGCGCTCGGCAGCCAGAAGTTGCTGCGCCATCAACCGTTCCTCTTGCGACTCCATTTTGTTCAGTCCGCCCTTCATGGTGGCGTCGGTGACCCATTTGATCTGCTGTTCTTCGTCGAACACGTACTCATACTCGCCCTCGTCCCTCCGATCCGCGACAACAATCTGTGCTTTCGTTTTGGCCAGTTGCTCTTTCTCCCACTCCTCGTGCTCCGTAACGTAGCGCTCGCGACCGTGCTCATCACGGTCCACGTAGCGGCTGAACAAGGCGTCCTGCTTCCTCCTCATATCCATCTTGCCCTTCTCGGTGATGTAGTCTTCGGGCATCGCGTAGCCGTCCACATGATCATCAATTCCCTCTCGTTCTTCCGCGAGCCGAAGGGCCTCTCGGTTTCGTGCAAACTCGTCTTTCTCCGCCTGAGAGAGGGTGGGGTTGTTACGCTCCTCTTCCGCTTCTTCAGCAACCTGTTTGCGTAGGAGGGCCAACTCTTGCGCGGATCGTTTCTTGAGATAGTCCTGTCGAGATCGCAGTCGAAGAGCCGCCATTTCCTGCTCCGACACTTTCCCTGCCTTTGCCCGCCGCGCTGCATCTGCCTGTTCACGATTGGAGGAATGATCTTCGACGAGTTTCTTCGTGGCATCGTTGTCTTTGCTTCGCAGCCTCTTCTCAAACTCCAATCGCTCCCTCCGGTCTTTCTCCTCCTCGTCTTCTTCGTCTTCAGGCGTAGGCTCGGCGGGTGGAGGTGAAGCAGCACCGTCATCGAGCCGTGCTCGTTTGGGCGGTGGAGAGGCGAAGTCTTCCTCCGCCTCTTCTTGCACTTCGTCGCCCCATCGATCCTCAAAGTCCTCGTCTTCACGCCGTCTCAACTTGCGACTGTGTCGATCTCTACTCCGCGATCGCCGTCTCTCAGTCTCCCTTCGAGACTTCTTGGTGGTCTCTCGCGCGGGCGGAGGCGCCTCCTCTTCGACCTCCATATCGACAAGCGCATACTTCTTCTTCGCCTCCTTCACCTTCTCCTTCCTCGGCAGCGCTCCATTGCTCTCCCTCCTGCTCGATTTGGCCAAGCGAGCGAAGAGATCATCGCTGAAGCGGCGCAGGTCAGTATCCTCGGAGGCGTCCAACATGGCCGACAGTTTGTCGAACAAGGCGGAGGGACTCTTCACCGTTTTGGCGGTTTGGATGACAAAGTCGACCATCATCTGCTCGGAGCCACCGACCAGTTTGATCAGGTTGTCGGAAACGTAGGTTGGGAGGTCCATGTTGGGCAACGTTTCTGCGTGGTTCGGGGTGGATGAAGGGGAGGGTTGGGAGGATGAGGGATGTCCTTGTCTGTCCCCTTCAGCATCCACTTCAGCTTCACTCTGCGCGTGTTACTGCGCCTAGCCGATCCCGTCGAAAGCATTCGACGTGGGAAAGTTTTGGAGATGCGAGGCGGGCTGAAGCTTTAGACTTTCGGCGCCATCCGCCTGCGTCTCGCGGCTGCACGTGATGGCAATTAATCACATGTCAGTGACTCTCACGTGTATGCAAACGTACACGACCAGATGTTGGACTTATGAATATTCTGAGAGTATCATCGCGTCACGCTTGTCGATACCACTCAGCATCGCTCTTCTTACGAATGGAAATGCACGAATAGAGAGGACCAGCCGATGCGAACGAGACGCACCGCGTGAACCCTGAGGTTGTCGCTCCGCCAATCTGCGGAATCCCAAGCCAATCGGCACTTTAACCCCCTCGCAGCTCTGTCTAATCCTCCTACCAAACCTCATCACGTCGATCCTCCCACTCCACTCCACAACAACCCCTTGGCACTCAAATAACAAACAAACTCGCCATCTTGGATCCGGTCAGCATCTCTTCGCAACAGCTTCGCAATCATCCTACACTCTTCGCTATTCAGCAGCCTCTCCCTCCCTCCCTCCCACTTCCTACTCATCCCTGCCGCCGCACTGCCACGCTACTTTTAGCCATTCGAAGGCCGCGTCGCATACACTCTCAGGTGTCAGCACTGCGTAGTGCATATCTTCAGATGGTTTCAACAATCCCTTTCCGTCGATAACAGTCGTCTCTACCATGTCGAGTTCCAAGCCGACGCCAACATCATCTGATCGACGAACCCCTGCCGCCACAACGAATCCCCCTGCAAATCGCAGTCCTTCCAGAATGGCCCCTTCAAGCACGCCGAGTAGTGTCAGTCGTGGCAGATCGGTGCGAAACGGCACCGCGACTCCCGTCTCTGCGCGGGCCGCCGCGCGCAAACCCGCGCCATCGGCAGGCAGCAGTGAGACCGATGACGACGCGAAGGCGGAACTCCAAGCCAGACTGGACGAGTTGCAAGACAAGCTACTGCGAACGGAAGCCGCTGTGGAGGAGTCGCGCAAGCATGGAGAAGTGTTGCAGATCAAGTTGGATGAAGCATTGAAGGAGCAAGGGATGTTGGAGGAGAGTGTTCACGAGCATACCCAGCGCGTCGAGCAATTGGAGGCGGAGAAGAAGGAATCCGCGCGCACGAGGAGGGAACTGGAGCAGACGTACGAAGTAGAGCGATCGCAAGCTACACGAGAACGCGAACAGTCCACGGCGGAGAGAGAGGCTCTGACTCAGAACATGCAGCGCTTGAGGGAGACGTTGGCGCAAAGAGAACTGCGGGAGCGTGCTGGGGTCGACCACGAAGGAAGGCCAAGCGTCTCGCGCACGTCGAGTTGGAGAAGCGACGACGCCTCTCCGAGCCAGGAACGTCGAGATCGACACTTCGCCCCGCCTGCGTCACTCAGTCGTAGCGACTCCCGCGAGAGTTCCAAGCTGGTCTTGCAGAAGGATAAGATCATCGAGAGCCTTCGCCTCGAGCTCGCCGAGGCGCAGATCAAGCTCGTAGAGCTGGAGAATCGCGGCGGTGGCACACTGCACCAGCTGGAGAAGGACATGTACGATGTCAAGATGCAAAACGCGCGCTTGATGGAGGAGAATGAGTCGTTTCAACTCCTGCTGTCGGAGAAGACGCTCAATGGCGATCTCGTGCAGTCGGATCTGTTACGCGTGCCTTCCAACACCGACTCTCACTCTCGCGCGACCTCTTCATCACCACAAAAGGCTCGAACAAGTCTGGCAGAGGAGTTGGAGGACTTCGAAGGCGAGGGCGATATCAACGACGCCGACAGCTCGGCAGCCGACCATCGCGTCAGAATCCTTCGGGCGGAGGTTAACACCCTCAAAGACCAGAACAAGGCCCTCACGACGTATATTAACAGTATCATCTCCCGCCTGTTGCAGCATGAGCAGTTCGAAGCAATCTTGGATAAGACGCCCGATCTCATGGCCGGACCAGGAGCAGCAAGCCGAAAGTTCGCAAACCATGTCGCGAGTACCACGGAGAAGGAGCTTCCCCCACCTCCTCCACCACCACATCAAGCACCATCAGACGACGGACACCAACCCTCTGGCTTCCTCCAACGAGCAGGCAGTGTCTTGCGCCGCAAGCCTGCGCGGCCCACATCACAAATCATCCAGCCGGGCGACCAGCAAGCAGAGGAAGCCACCGTCCACCAAAATCCCACCACTGCACCCAGCATTCCCCTCGGTCGCACCGCTTCCACCCGCCAAGGACACCGACGCTCGCGCTCCGAGTGGCCCGCCGCCACCGTCGTAACCAACATGTACAAAGGCCCCTCGCCAGGACCTCAAGGCCCTCTGAGCCCCGGCCTCAGCGCGCCCTCCAGCCGAGGAGCATCCTACTTCAGCAGCCCGCGCATGCCGTCGTCAGGAAGCATGGCGCCCAGCATAGCAGGCGAAGCAGACCGCGACAAAGAAAACATGGCACAAGCACACGTCGACTCCAAGCTTTCCTCCTCCTACTCTTCGCGAGGCGGGAGAAGTCCCGAGCGGCCCGTGCGCAACTCCAACCGCAACTCCTTCAACTCCATCCCTCCCCCGCCCGACTCCCACTTCCTCGACCCCGCTGGCCTCGGCCTGTCAACGGGAGAAGGCTCCAGCGGCCCCTCGTCTCCACCCCTCAGCACAGCCAGCTCGGGAGACAGAGAAGCCAAACCTACCGGCGCCATTATGATGGGTTCCAAGCCGCGGCCTCTGCGCCTTGTGCAGGAGGCGGACGAGGAGAAGGCGCGCAAGCAGGCGAATCGCAGTACTTGGTTTGGAGGGTGGGCGGCGCAGGCGGGCGGATTGGCGGGCTTTTTGCCGGCTGGTAGTGGGAGGAGTAGTGAGGGCGGAGGCAGTGGACAGCATGCTCGTCAGCAGCAGTAGGATTGCTGTGGTGGAGCTGAAGGGGGTGGGAGGTTGGCGAGGAGGAAGAGTTATCGGTGGGAGGGGAGTTTGAGGCGGTGAGGATTGCCCGTTTTTATATCTCTCTTCGTTGGAGGGAATGATACCCATAGATTGTCACCTTGATCGTCCATCAGACTGGCTCTGCAAGCCAATAATGAAGCACTAATCTTTCTCTCTACCTACGATGACCTTCAAGCGCTGGACAGAAACGCGGCGACGTCCGCAATATACTTCTCCGTTTCCTCGAAGAGCGGCGTATGGCTGCTCTTCGTATACTTAATCCACATAACCCTCGCCGCAATATTCGTAAAGTAAGGCCGGACCACCTCATCCTGACTGGTATCATTCTCGCCGTTAGTGACCAACACGCCGCCAGGTGCCGTCTTTGCCGTGATCTCATGCAGCCGGGCGTCAACGTTGTATGACCCCAAGGGGCCGGGAGCCATGAGGCCGCCTAGCATGGTCGCCGGCACGGTGTTGTCCTCCCCCATCCCGTCCACCCAGTCAAAGGGAAGGGGGTCAAGCGTGCAAATATGGCGGCTCGAGAAGACCTTTCTGGCCGCGCGATACTCGTCACTGTCCGTCGTGCCGGCCGCCTCGCACCGCGTCATCACCTCGTCGATCTCCGGCATGCGTTTCCGCAGGCGCCGCGTAGACGCCACGCGCCGGGCGATATTCGGCGGGGCGCTCATGAGCATCAACTTGCGGAGCCCAGGCGGCTGCGTCAGCGCGAAACTCGTCGCGAGTATGCCGCCCCAGCTGTGGCCTAGGAGATCGAAGCGCTGGATTCCGAGGACGGAGAGCAGGTTGCGCAGCTCGGCGATGAACAGGTCGATGGTCCAGAAAGCGGTGTCGCCGCGTTTGTAGGGGAGGCGTGTGCTTTTGCCGCAGCCGAGTTGGTCGTAGAGGACTACTGGGACGCCGTGGTTGGTGTGCAGGAGGCTGTGGGGGCGCATGTATTGCGAGGGGTGGCCAGGCCCGCCGTGCAGACAGATTAGCGGGATGCCGTCGGCGAGGTTGCCCCAGATGGAGTAGGCGGTTTTGCAGGGCTGGTCGAGGCCTGGGGCGGAAAATGGAGCCTCACCGACTGTAGTCGGCGGTGGGTATGCTGAGGCCATGGAGTTGAGTGTGGTGAGTCGTGGATGCTCAGGTCGATTGAAAGACGATGCAGGTTCAATGCAAGAGCAAAAGGGAGACGAGAGACAAGAGACGAGGAAAGGACTTAGCTGTCAATTTACGTGGGACTTGTGGGCATTTTAATGCGAAATGTGTTAGCAAAGCCTGTTATTGATCATCTGTCAGACGTATGTAGGTGACTAGCTCTTAGGCATCCGTGAGGAGAAGAGGTAAGGCGACTGAAGTCCTGCCTCAGGCAAGCACGACGCGATTCGTGATGGGCGTAAGGTTCTCGAGCACTTCACTCCCTCCTCCATCCCCCACATCTTACGCATTCTACGCCTCACCCGGTCTATTATTCCCCTCTATATTTGCCATACGAGCCATGCGCCGCTTTACGATGTCCTCATTGTGATGAACTCCCTTGGAAAGTGGTAACGCATCAACAGGCCCGACAGCCTCGCATACACGATGCTGGCTAGTCGCATCTGTCTGCGGACGGCACACCGCCCATGCGCTGCGCCCATCGTGCCAATCGCCCTGTCTACCGCAACCCGTATCCACTCCCTAAGATACGCTCGACGAGTATTTGCGACCACTCCCCTGCACAGAAAATCCGATGCCCGGATACCAGTCGGCCAACAAGATGCCGCCGAGGCCAAACACTCCCCCGGAGAGCTCGTCAAGCCGGAGAGCGCGAAGAAGGAGCAGCCTGCACAGCCTGCGACGCCCTCGCATGCCACGATACTTGCCGAACAAGCCATCTCCAAGAAAGAGCAGCGGGCGATAGACTGGGGCATCATCAAGAACATGGTGCAATACATCTGGCCCAAAGACCACTTTGGAACGCGCTTCCGAGTCGGCTTGAGCGTTGGGCTCTTGATAGGCGCAAAGGTTGGTCCCGATCCTCATTATACGCACTGTAGAGCGCGCGCAATTGATAGCGTGTATAGATCCTCAATGTTCAAGTCCCCTTCTACTTCAAGAACATCGTGGACTCGATGAACATCGACTGGGCCACCACCTCCTCCACCGTCGTCACCGTGGCCGGCGTTTCCATCTTTGCCTACGGGGCCACTCGCATTGGAGCTACGCTGTTCCATGAGTTCCGCAATGCCATCTTTGCCAGCGTGGCGCAAAACGCCATCCGCCGGGTTGCCAGCAGCGTCTTTGATCATCTCCTCAAGTTGGACCTGAACTTCCACCTGACCCGACAGACTGGTGGCCTGACTCGAGCAATCGATCGAGGCACCAAGGGGATTAGTTTTCTCCTCACCAGCATGGTCTTCCACATCATCCCCACCGCTTTCGAGATCAGTCTGGTGTGCGGCATCCTCACTTGGCAATACGGCTGGGAGTTCGCGGCCATCACCGCCGCCACCATGGCTGCGTATTCTTGGTTCACCATCTCCACCACCGCCTGGCGGACAAAGTTCCGAAGGCAAGCGAACGCCGCAGACAACAAAGGCGCCACTGTTGCCGTCGACTCGCTGATCAACTACGAGGCTGTCAAGTACTTCAACAACGAAGCCTTTGAAAGCAAGCGCTATGACGCGGCCCTCCAGAGCTACCAAAAGGCTTCGATCAAAGTCGCCACGTCGCTGGCATACCTCAACACCGGCCAGAACCTCATCTTCAGCACCGCCTTGACCGGCATGATGTACCTCGCCGCGCAAGGCGTAGCCAAAGGCAACCTCACCGTCGGAGACCTCGTCATGGTCAACCAGCTCGTCTTCCAACTCTCCGTGCCCCTCAACTTCCTCGGCTCCGTCTACCGCGAGCTCCGCCAAAGCCTCCTCGACATGGAAGCGCTGTTCAACCTGCAAACAGTCAACGTGGCCATCAAAGAGAAGCCCGACGCGCAGCCCCTCCTCCTCAACAAAGGCGGCGAAATCCGCTTCGAAAACGTCTCCTTCGGCTACCGCCCGGACCGCCCCATCCTCCAGAACCTCACCCTCACCATTCCCGCCGGCAAAAAAGTGGCGATTGTCGGGCCCTCGGGCTGCGGGAAATCCACCATCCTACGCCTCCTCTTCCGCTTCTACGATGTGCAGGAAGGCCGCATCACCATCGACGGGCAGGATATCCGCGATGTGCAGCTCGACTCGCTGCGCAGAACCATCGGCGTCGTGCCGCAGGATACGCCGCTGTTCAACGACACCATCGCCCACAACATCCAATACGGCGACATGGATGCGCCTTTCGAAGCCGTCACCGCCGCTGCCAAACGGGCTAGGATCCACGACATCATCGAGCGCCTGCCCGACGGGTATCAGACGATGGTCGGCGAGCGCGGCATGATGATTTCCGGGGGCGAGAAGCAGCGCCTCGCCGTTTCGCGGCTGGTGCTCAAAGACCCGCCCCTCCTCTTCTTCGACGAGGCCACTTCGGCCCTCGATACGCATACCGAGCAGGCGCTGCTCGGCAATATCAACGGCATTATCCGCGAGAAGGCGCGCACGAGCGTGTTTGTCGCGCATCGGCTGCGCACCATCTTCGACTCGGATGTGATTATTGTGCTGAAGGATGGGCGGGTGGCGGAGCAGGGGACGCATGAGAAGTTGGTGGACAGCGATGGGATTTACGCGGAGCTGTGGAGTGCGCAGGAAATGCTGTTTGTGGAGGAGGGGGCGGAGGCGAAGGCTTTGAAGTGAGGATTGGAACTGCTATGAACTCTTTGGTCGTTGCTATCCACTGGTTTGACGCGACGCTTTCCAACTCCACCGAGTGCAGCCGCCTGGTTCCTTCCGATGCTTTCCTACTCGTGTCTGGTCTCGAGCTTATTCATCATGTCTATCGCATGTTCCTCTCCATGCTCGTCAAGTCATTACTGGCGTTGGACTCTTTCATCATGGCTGTCCTGTCCCTGTCGATGCTTCCCAATTCCTGCCTGGCTCGGTACTCTCTTATCACGCTGATCTGCTTGAAACCTCCGTGTGCCTCATCGATGTTCTCCATCACTCCTCCTCCGGGAACGATCTGATTCTCATATGATGCACGCGATGGAATTCGCAAGATGCACAAGTATGCTCAGAACCATACTTCTCTTGGTGAGCAGCCTTTCTCTTCAAGATGCCCGTCTTCGCAAACTCGGTGTACAGGCTCGCAGCACGGTCGGCACACTCCATGAGCTTCTTCTCGTCTTCGATGTTGTCGTAGAGCGCGCCGCCGAGGCGGAGCAGCTCCGGTTCGATAGCGCGAACTTTTTGTTCCAGATCGTTGCTGCAGAGTCCGAATCCGATTCCGCGAGGAACGTTGCGCTCACCCAGCTCGCTGATATGGTAGAGTTCGAGGCCGACGAGGGCCAGCTTGCGGAGGAAGGTGGTCTGGTAGAAGTCGTGGTGTGCGTTTGCGTTGTTGATCAACGCCCGGGCAACCTCGCGGCACGCTTGAAAGCCCTTGAAGACGAAGTCGCACTGCGCCTTTTTCGCGTAGAGGCGACTGATGGGGTAGAGCATCGACACGAGCTCTGTTGTCGTTGTGTGATTGCCTTTCAGGACCGCGTCGAAATCACCCTTCACCGTCACGCGTTTGAGGCGCTCGCTCTCTTCCAGGAATGAGCCGAGTGTGGCCACGGCGCCGTTCATTTGATTACGGCGTAGAATGCGCTTGACACCGAGCGAACCGTAGCCCAAGCGGATGTCGACTTGTACGTGCTCGAACTTCAACAGCGCTCGAGGCCACCGGATCGGGCCGGTGATCAAGAACTCCAGGTGCTCCGTGTTTGCGCGAGCAAGCGGGCCGCCCATCGAGACCTTGTGGTCGACATGTCCTGCGTAGGTTGGCATGATGCCGAAGTCGATGCGAACGACGGCCACGTTCTTGGTGCACATGATGTTCTTGGCTTCATTGTTGGCTGCGCGGCACGAGGCGAGGATCTGCGGGTGGGCGAAGCCGGTGTCGGGATCGAAGACCAGGAGCTCATCGTAGATGCGGTTCCTCATCTCCGGCGCGAGTTCGAAGAAGTAGGGGAACGACGGGTTGTCGTCGGCGCGTTGCAGGGTGACGATGAGCTCACGCGCCGCGTAACGCGTGGATCTTGCCTGGTGTTTTAGGCCGCGGGCAGCGACGAAGGCTTGCAGCTCCTCGAAGGTGCATCGGTTGTAATCGACTTGCCCCTTCTTGGGCACCTTGATCGGAAGATCAATCGCTCTGACAGCCGTCTTCGCCATGGCTTCGGCGTATGGAATGTTTGAGAGAGGAATGTGGGCGCGACATGGTGGAAATTGGGCGTGGTGTGTGGAGTTTAGGACAACACACACACCGCCGAATGAGGAAGGAACGCGACTGCCTCGCTCTTGCCGTTTGGAGAGGGAGTGATGTCGGCGCGTGACAACGGAAACTCAATTTGATCTTCACCCCGATCTGCCTGCCTGCATCTCAGTCGTCCTTCATGTTGTTACTCGACGTATACGCGTCCGAGTCGCTTTCTGTGCCTGTGATGGCATCTTGTCCCTGGCGTCTTTGCACGCAGTCTGATCAAGCTCCCTGCCTCGTCTCTACCAGCATGTTTCTCATGCTAGCAGATCGGTGATCGACGTGTGATGGACGGTGCAACTTTACACAGCTCGGGAGGCATCAATCCACACGCGCATCTGCTCTCGACACACTCACCCACCGCTCCGCGCATGTAATGGAGATGTCGTCTAGCAATACGAGGTGAGCTCTGAGTCTACGCTCCACTACAAATGTCACGCCACGTAGTCTGTCTTTCGGGAAGTCTATTCGAGGGCAGGAACCGGCTCCGGAGGCACGCTAGCTGCCGCCACACCGTTTCAGACCGATGAACGCACGGAAAAGACGTCATCCGAATCCTGCCACAAGGTGCTGGTTTAAGCGAGCATTTTATCCTCCGATGGATGCAGAACAACCAGGATCACGAGTCGTCGCAAATGCCGATTCCATCCGAGAAAGGCAGATACAGCAGCACCGACGGCAGCACTGGCAGATGAAGCCAGACCTGCAGGTCCCTTGCAGCTGCGAGACGGACAGAGCAGTCTAGTGCATGCACGTCAGGCTGAGCTGTCGCACGATTGGTTGTTCCGGCGGCGAGCTACTCGTGGCTATTAACAGCCCACAAGAGCTTTTGCCTCTACGGGCGGCCAGCCTTTGCATGAGACGCGAGCCAGAAGCTCTACCCTTGCTCGCGAGCGTTGCTTGTCTCAACCAATCGCGCATGTGATCATTCTGGCAGCTAGTGTCCACCGCCATCTCCACCCAGCCCAGCGGCAAGCCCCAGGATCACTGTACGTCAAGCTATGCACTTCCGCAATGATCATTGCTGTCCCGAGAGAGCCAACGCACAAGCAGATGACCTGGGGATGCAAGGAGAACAATGATGCCGGGGCTGTGAGAAGCGCGACGGCCTCCGTTACTAATCAGCCGGATGACTCGAGAACCTGGAGTGCAGGCCCGTTCCTGGATTGTGCCTGGCGGCGATTTACGTGCCCCACTACGCTAGGCACATGCTGCAAGCATGTACAGTACATTGTACGGGACGTGGGTCAAAGGCGGCTCTCACATGTCACCATGCACCCTCAACACTCCGCGGATAGCGGCAGGATGGGACCAGGTCAGGTCCCAGATGCGGGACAATGCGACTCTGGTGTTGGCAATACGCGACCTCCGAGACCGTGGCAGCACCGTCAGGCCAACCACGGAAGTTGTGCTAAGGTTAAAGTATGACCGGGAGATCCAAGAGTCTTGGTGAGATGTACGCCCGACCCACCGTGCGCCCCCCGCCAATCCTGCCCTCTCCTCACCCCTCCCTCCCTCACGCGGCAGGGCGCTTCGTTTCTGTTGCGCAACCTTTTGCTTGGTGTGTTGTCACGTCCGTTTCCCCCCCACGGCACGGCTGGTGGCGGCCAGCTTATCATTGCATCGCGTGGCTGGAGTCCGCTTCCCTCCCTCCTCCATCCTTCCCCACCCGCTCTGTCCACTCTTCTTCTCTATCCTATTCGTCATCATACGGCCCTCTTCCCTACGCCGTCGATTATTTGGTATACTGCGCGAGTGGCACCCTCCACTCCGGCTGCATTCTTCGAGTCTTTCCTTAATTGCCACTTGGATGTGTTTGGGCGGCTAGGTAATGTTCGCTGCGCCATCACCGCTATCATCCGGCGCCCCATCGTCATCCGCCTCCCCACCAGTTGCGACGAGGGCTGCTTTCGACCAGCACCACCAAAGCAACAGTACCACACGGAAATGAGTTCATGATCCGGAACTCGATCGACTCCACTCTGCGAATATCAGGCGCAGACGGCGCCTGAGCAGCGAGCGCCAGATGGCGACCGCCTCAACCGTTGAGACCATGCTCGACAGATCGATGGCCAGTGGCGACCAAACCCCTACCACCCCGACCCTCGCCACCCTACCCTCCGACCGACCATCAAGCCACTCCAAGAGCGAAGAACACACACCAAATACCCCAACACGGCAAAGTTTCGCGGCACCGACATTCCTCGATCAACCCACCACTCCCGCTCGACGGGAAGCCCCCCTCCCCACCACGCCGCAATCGTCCTTGAAGCGCGATGAAATGCACCGCTCCCCCGAGCCGCAGTCAATCGTCGGCGAGGATACCGAGATGGCAGAAGGCGATGACGACAACATGGGGGAAGATGGCGGATCCGACGTTGACAGTGTAACAAGCGACTCGCAACGCCCTTCCAAGAAGAAGAAGGGGCAGCGCTTCTTTTGCACCGAGTTTCCACCCTGCCAACTTAGCTTCACCCGGAGTGAACATCTGGCAAGACACATTCGGTACGTCGTGTATAGCATCGAGTGCATCCGAGTCCCTGGCTAACATTTACTTCAGGAAACACACCGGGGAACGACCCTTTCAATGCCATTGCTCTCGCCGTTTCTCAAGACTCGACAACCTTCGTCAGCATGCGCAGACGGTTCACATGAACGAGGAGATACCGGGAGACTCACTTGCCGCCACCAGCACTCGCTTTCAGCGTCAAATCCGGACTGACCGGGTCCGACCTCCGACGAATCGCTCACGAGCGTCGACGACCGGCAGCAACGGACCACCTAGTCGAGGACACAGTCGGAATCTGTCGACTTCAAGCATTGGCTCGACCACATCCAGCCTGGGTGGGTCGGAGGAGACAAGAAAACGACCACCACCACTCGCTATGGCCTCGGACGCCTCCGCGCGAGCGCGACTGTCTCTGGAATCTTACAACAACGCCATGGCCAGTCCTGGCCATCAGCAATATCCCTACTACAACCAGTCGCCATCCCAGCTCAGCACACCAACCTCCACTACCTTCTCCATCGGGCAAGGCAGTCCGCGTTTCCAATCTGGCATGCCATCTCCGGTATCCACAATATCGCGCTCGTCTTACTACAACGGCCCACGCCACAGTCGACGTTCGTCAGTGCCAATCGCTCCCGTTCCTTTCCAGCATCCGAGCGCCAGCAACTACCCGCCTCCGATGTATTACAGCCCGATGCCGCCCGCAAGTCCGGGTGGATATTCCCAAGCCAGTAGTATTCTAGCAAGTCCTACCAGCTCCGTCTTCTCTCACAGTCGAAGAGATTCAGAGACTGAGCTGGAGATGCGACGAAGAACATGGCATCCCGGCACCTACTCCGGTTACGCAATTTACGCGCAGCGACCGCCAACCAGCGGGTTATCGTACCAGCAGACCCCGGATGACCACCGACCTGCTCCGTCACATCAACGTGCCGCCAGCCAAGTCACCAGACTGCCGGGCATCGAGAGTTTCGATCACGCCCCTCCCGGAGCCAGTCAACACCCACCCGATCCCATGGCGATCGAGTCTGGCCCTCCAAGCTCCGGACGGCCGTCTGATGCCGGACTCCACCAAAATCTGACGCGTCTCGACATTGCAGCCGCCAACGATACTCTGCAAGAAGGGCATGTGCACTGGCAAGCCAGGCAGCCGCCACAGCTCGGTCCCCCGGCGTACATCGGTGCTCAACAACCAGTCGTGATTCACCAGGACCCGCACGCCCAGCCAGCACCACGGACTTCTACTGCCGAATCGCCAGTAACGCCACGCAGGAACAAACGCCAGGCATGGTATGGCGGCCCTGTGGGTGGTCCCGTCACGCCCCATGCAGTACCACGCCGCTCGCCGGAAGACTCGGGAAGCAGTGACGGTGTACCCACGCCTGGCACCTCGCAAGGCACCGAGTACCATCCGGTGATCATCAACCCGCACGGCGGCAGCATAGCCGCAGATTCCTATGCCAGCAGCGCACATGATGAGCAGCAGAAGGTACGACATCAGTTCTCAGCAGCAGCAGCACCAATGATGACCTTGAAAACTGACTTTGACCTCCAGTCCTACCTTCATACCAGCCCCAACCATCACCATGCTCATCCTCACCATCATCATCCGCCTGCCGCACCACCTCCACCGCACCAGACATACGACTTGCAAGCCGCGCAGCACAATGATCCACGTTACGCCGCCGCTGGCGCTCCTGCGAACAACTCCTACTCACCACCACGGCCTAACAACAACGACATGGGTCGCTTAAATGCACTCGTGGCCGTGGCAACTAGCGAGAACCGCGCAGTCGAGCGGTCATAGCCTGCCTGTCGGCCTCAACACCGGATCACTCGCCTCTTGTCGCAAACTTTCAATCTCTTCAGCATACGACTTTTGAACGAAAGCCACGATGTTTCTGTTTCGCTTTCTGGCTTTGGGCTTCGTGGGATCGCACGCACACTTATCTATCTGCGGACGGGAGTAATAGGTCTGAATGTTTGGTTTGCTTGCTCACGTGGATGGACGACATTGAGATACCCCCCCAATGGATGACTCTCCCTTCTCACGCTCGTTTGTACAGCGTTGTCGTTTGCTTTGCTTTGCAGGCGTGAGGGCGCTTATTAGCATTTGCTCTTCTGATCTTTTAAGGATGCGGTAGGGAAGTTTGCGTGGGTTCGTGCAGCGTGCTTTCAGCTTACAATTCCGTCTATTTATGGTATCTTCTCTTCTACTTGCTTTCCAATGCTTTCGCTAATGCTCAATCGATGCTTCAATGTCTCGACCAACGCACTGGGTATGGGCTCGGTGGCTTGATCCAACACGCCCCATGCCTGGGGTGGCTCGAGAGACTTCCCTCGATCAGATCTGCCTCTACGCGTCGATGTCGAGTTCGGCGCGGGCCCTCGGAGTCGTCAACCACACGACTCTCCTCAGCACCTCAATCCAGGCGAGTCGCAATCCCAGCAACCCCTTTGTCACATCTCATCTTCCAATGCCAAACCAACCAACCCTAAAACATCGCCGACTGCCTCTTCAAAATCTGCTTCACCCGCGCAGTCGAATCGCGCTTCTCCATCCACCCTCCCCCCGCCGCCGAGTCGTAGCCCGCCGGGCCCGCCTTGAGCGTAATCGGCGCCGTGCCCCGCGGCAGCGAGGTGGCGGAGTAGACGTACTCGCCGTCGACGTATTGCGCGCCGGAGACGTAGCCGCTGCGCTTCGTCCGCTTGGTGTATTTCTGCTCGAGTTTGTAGAGTTCGAGTTTGTCGCGGAGGTGGGCGAGGAGGCCCATTTTTGAGGGTGGGAGTTGAGGATTTTGGGATGGGCTCGGGGTGTAGTGGATGACCGCTCGCTCGCAAGGCTATGCGTATGAATACTGCGCTGAATTGGTTTCCTCAAGGTAAATCACGGCGAAGGCATGTCGAATGGACTCATTTTGTGCAAAAGACGTGGACCGCGTCCGCTATAAGAGCTCACCGGCCCTCGGCCGCTCTCATCAATCATGTGAGATCCAACTACCCGTTAACTAACGCGCTTCCGTATGTAACGTGGGCGCGGCGTCCGTGCGCCGCGACGGTGTGCTGCCCTTGCGGCGGGTCCATTCTGCCGGGGGGAGCATGTTTCAATCAAATCTTAAAAAAGATCAATGCTCCTCCAACCTCGTGGATCTTTCTTTGAACGGAGGTAGGCGTGGAAGTCAAGCAGACGTCTTGATGGGGATGCAATTCAAGGCCACGATCAGTCCGTTTGACATTCCTTTTTGTGAGAGGTGGAAGAAGCTGTTCAGGCCTGCTGGACATGCAGCAGCTTGGCGCGGGCATGCAAGGCGTGTAGTCTTATTTCCCGAAATGAGAATGCGCCTGGTCGCCCTTAGCTGAAGACTAGGCCCTTTGACGTGCGCCTGCCCCAGACCCTCTAGAGCTCTTTTATCCCGAGGGGAGATGCGGGCTGTACATGATCCCACCTTGCGGGGCTGCGACAAAGCCATACAAAGTAAGAGCGCTCGTAAACTGCACGGCGGGTGAATTGCTTGCAATCGCACATCGGCATTGATCACTGTAAATGCACCGCATCTATCCCACCCACTCGCTCCTCCCCACTCCCCTCCTCCCAAAAACATCATACTCCATCCATTGCACCTTCTTCCTCCTGCCCGCCCCTGCACCCACCAGCCGTCCAGGGTTGATCACATGGCATCCCTCGAATGTGACCGCGAAAGGCGGCGCGTCCGCATCCGCCAGGACGAGCGCGTGCGGTAGCGGGTACAGCGAGAGCGCGCTGCTGTAGTCCCAGTGCGTGGGACGCGTGGTGAGCGGGAAGGGGGAGAGGGTGCCTTGCGGGAGGAGGGAGAGGATGATTCGCTTGCCTTCTTGTGTGCCGAAGTCGTCTTCACCCTCTGTTGTTGCTGCTGCCGGAGGGTCGAAAGTCATTGCTTCTGCGACTTCTGTGTCCATTTGCGACTCGGCCGGGAGAGGCAAAGCGCCGGACATGGTAATGTCGTCGTCGCCGGAGGGCTGTGACACGGCGCTGTTACCGTTCGTTCGCTCAGCTGGGTCATCCGGTTTCACTGCCTGTCCCATTCTGACCGCATTCCGTCTTAAGCGTCCAGAAAGATCGTCCCGGAACACGGCCACTTCGTGCACCGGACCGAAGAAGCTCAAGCGCGTGGGATTGCTCGTCCATACGGCCTCCCCATCAATTCCCTCCTTCTTCACGCCAGCGCCGGCCTCAGTTTTGGCAGTCGCGAATGCGCGCTTGATTCGACTGGTGAAAACATCTGGCACTGAGTTTCTAGGTACGGGCGCGCCGGCTCCCGCGCTGAAGGCTGAAGACCAGGGATCGTTATCCCCGGGCACGAAAACCCATGTACTGCTGCGAAGCAAGGTGGGATACTCTGCCAGCACCGCGGCGAGCTCGTTGAACATCTCCTTATACTCGATGGAGCCAGTGCTCGCGCCTGCCATGGCAGCCGTGGAGGTGAAGTTTCCCATCAGCAGGAATGTCATCGGCGGTTCGTCAGGAAACCGGATGTAGTGATCTAGGACTTTGCGGAGGGCGGCGAAGGTCTCGGGTCGGTCGAGCGTGACTTCGGCGAGGACGACCATCTTCCCTCTCTCCTGCCTACCCGCCTCTCCAGCTTGTGGGCCAAGAAGTCGCTGCTCGAGTCGTCGCATTCGACTCCCCACTGCTCTTTCTGAGCCAAAGCCTAGGAAATCCACCCAGCCGAAACCGCCGCCGACCTCGCTACTCTTCAGGTCAATTCCAAGTGAGATGTTGCGCTTTTCTACCGGGGGCCCGCTGATGTTGAAGGCTACGAATCTACCACCAATCGTGCCACCCACACCACCAGTGTTGCCGAGTCCGCTGGCACCGGCACCTGCCCAATCTTCTTCGTACACTCCGTCGACTAGAACTATCATTCCCGGGCAGAAGAAGGCGGTGTCTTCGCCTTGTATGGGTTTTGCATGCTGTAAGTCCAGGGAAATGCTTCCCGATAGGTCGTTTAAGGCAAGAGTGCCAGCTGGGGCAACCGCCAGCATTCCCAGAAGTAGATGGGAGCTTCCACCTCGGCCAAGTAGATTCGCGATGGGCGTGAGTTTGTAAGATCTTTGCTCGTTCAAAGGGCCGTTGCGGGCGAGCGAGGTGGTGGTGCCTGAGCCGAAAGACGGCGTCTGAAATGCTTCGTTGCGGAGGAGACGTTGCTGGATGACATGGTATCTTTCCCGAAAGAGGGTGGTCTTGTGCGAGGCGGAGGGAAAGAGGGAAGGTTTGCTCGTGAGCGTGGTGAAATGCTTCTTATCCACATCGTATGAGAGACGAGGCTGCTGGAAGGCGGAGATGACATTGAGCCAGGCCCGCGCATCATTCCCGCTTTCCTCGCCCTCCTCTTCCTCCTCCACCTGCAATTTGCTCATGCCGAAACTGCTATTCCGATGGCCGTCCAAACTGGGTCTGTGTGATTCAGCAGCCAAATCAACGACGTTGTCGTGACTAAAGGCGAAGCTGCTCTGGCGACTGAGATTGCTGGTCGTCTTGGCCAGACCTATCCGCCCTCCGCTCATACCCCCTTCCAGTGTTTTGAGGATCATTTTGAGCTTCTCGCCGTCTTCAACTATGACAGCACCGGCTTCGGCTTTCCATAGCTTCGCCACTTCCTCCAGAACCTTCTCTCCCGAGCCTTCTTCTCGCCATGCTGAACCGCAGTGTCGACCGATGAAGGTGGCGAGTGCTTGCAAGGCGGAGGAGGTGAGGGTGAGATTGTGCTTCTTGGTGAAAGTGCGGAAGGCGAGGGGCCGTAGAGTCGGTGGAGGTAATAAGATGGGGAGGACGGTGGGAATGGATGGTTTGAAGGCCGGTGGAGGTGGTGGTCGCGCTGCTTGCGCGTTCGGGATGGGATGCAAAGGGGTGGCGAATGCGGGTGAAGAGGAGAATGCCAGATGAGGCGGTGGTCTTTGCGACGTCTCCATGGTTTGCAGAATGTTCTTTAGACAATGCTGTTTCCAGCAAGTTATCTTTTCATAAGTGTAGAGGTGAGGTTTGAAGCGGTCCGAATTTGGCCGGGAGACGCGACGCGTCGTTTGACGCGGGGTCACGAGTTTATTAATGGGAGACCCTTCCACCTCCTACTTCGCTTCCTCTTCATTTCCACCACCCCTTGGTCAACACCACAAACAAGTAAAGCACACACAGTCAAATCCATCTCGCCATCATGTCAGTCGAAGAACAGTCCGCCGCGGCGGAAGAAACCACCACCGCAAACCCCGCGACTACAGAAGAACTCATGCGCAAACTCGACCAACTGAAGGCCGCAGCTACGCAGCAATACTCACTCAAGAACTACAGCGCCGCTGCGGAGTCATTCAGTGAAGCAGCCGAGATTCAGGATGAGATCAACGGAGAAATGTCACTGGAAAACGCGGACCTGCTCTACCAATACGGTCGATGTTTGTACCACGTGGCTGTGGCCAACTCGGACGTGCTTGGCGGCAAGGTCGCTGGCAGCGAGGAGCCGAAGAGAAAGAAGAGAAAGGTGTCGCAGGCGGGCGCCAGTGCGAGCGCTGCAAACGGAGCGGGCAGCAGTGCTGGTGTCATCAGCGATGCGCTGAAAGATGGTGAAGAGAAGCTGGCGGAAGACGTGGTGGAGGCGGTTGTGGAAGAGAACAGCGCGCCCGTCAAGAAGGAAGACGCAGCATCCAAGCCATACTTCCAGATCACCGGCGACGAAAACTTCACCGACTCGGAGGAGGAAGAAGATGATGGCGACGCCGCAGCAGACGCCGAAGCAGAAGAGGAAGAAGACGACTTCGCGACCGCCTTCGAAGTCCTCGACGTAGCGCGCATCCTGCTCAGCCGCAAACTCGAAGCCTCCCAAGCAGCTGGCGGCAAAGGCACAAGCGAGAAACCCGAGCAGCGACAGCTAAAGGAGCGACTAGCCGACACGCACGACCTCCAAGCCGAAATCTCACTGGAGAACGAGCGCTTTCAAGACGCCATCATGGACACGCGCGAATCGCTTGCTCTCAAAATCGAACTCTACCCGCAAGAAAGTAGCCTCGTGGCCGAAGCGCACTTCAAGCTCTCCCTGGCGCTCGAGTTCGCCTCCGTCACCTCCACCTCCGACGGCGACGAGGGCAACACGGAGGACAGTAACAGCAAACCCGCCCAAGTCGACGAAAAGATGCGCGCCGAAGCCGCCAACGAGATGGAAAAGGCGCTCGCATCCTGCGCCCTTCGCGTCGCGAAAGAAGAAGGGTCGCTCGCGGGCATCACCGACGCAGCGAAGAAAGCAGAGCAGCAGCGCTCCATCACCGATGTGAAGGAAATGATGGCCGAGATGGAGCTGCGGCTCGTGGACTTGCGCAATCCGGCTGTTTCTTTGAGTGGCGTGACGGGACCTGCTGGTGCCCCGGACGCTGGCGATCCTGTGAGGGGTTTGCTGGGGGATCTGCTTGGGGAGAGCAAGGCGGAGCAGCAGAAGAGGATCCAGGAGGCGACGGCGAAGGCGAATGATTTGTCGGGGCTGGTGAAGCACCGGAAGAAGCCCAAGGTGGAAGATGCGGGGGCGAATGGAGGGGAGGGCAAGGGAAAGAGGAAGGCGGAGGAGGTGGATGGCGAAGCAGGCGGTGCGAAGAAGGTGAAGTTTGAGAATGGAGTTTGAGCATGTCCCTCTAACCAAGGACTATACTTTGCTGTAACGTTAATAAGATCGAATACCCTGTGAGCGCTCTAGACCAAAACCCGCCCACGTATCATAAGTGCTAGCCATCTATCCCAAATCCACCCTCCCCAATCCCCTCTCCAACGCCCCCTCCCTCACACCCTCTTTGACACTCTCCAAAGCCGCAGCCCACATCTCCCCCACCTCCTCACTCCCCTCATGCTCTCCAACAACCCACCCCATCCACCCAACAACCGCAACCGCCTTCCCAACATCCCTCTCCTCCACAACCACATCCCTCAAATACTTCCTCAGCGCACCCACATCCTCCTCGTACGGGCCCTCGTCCGCAAACTCCGCATACCACGCCTTAACCGCCTGTCGCAAATCCGGCAGCTCAGACAGTTTCTGCGTTGTGAACGTGGGTTTGGGGGTGGGGGGAGGCAGTCGTAGAAGGCGTTCGATGGGACCCGTGTCGTCTTTCTTTTTGTTCCGTCGCGAGCGGTGCAGTGATAGGTCGATGCCGCCTGTGCGCTGAAGCCGCTCCTGGCGTTGCTGGGCTAGGACTTCAGTGCGGAGATCGGGTGGTAGGGCGGCGAGGAAGTTGGGGTCGAGGGTCTGGTGATTTGGTGCGGCGTCAGTTTCGGTGTCTGTGCCGCTTGCTGCGTCGTTGCCTGCCTGGCGACGTGAGAGAGACACGAAGTTGGCTTGCGTGAGGGTTGGGTCGTTGTTAGTGGTGCGGCTCTTTAGTTTGCTTGTTAGCGAGCTGGCGCCTCGTTTCTTGCGAGTGAGTGGTTGGCGTGTGGGTGGGATTGTGCGTGTTTTTCGAGGGGATTGAGGCAGTACGGCCTGGCCTCCTCCGCCGGGCTTGCGGGGCGACGTGCGGTAGAACGCGAGGACTTCAGCGCGCACATCTTCTGGTAGAGCTTCTAGGATGCTTGGATCGAGTTGAGACTGGGTGGGAAGGGTGATGGCGGGCGATTGATCTCGTGAAGCTGACTTCGAGCGTGTCGCGGGTGCTTTAGATTCGGTGATAGGCTCTTTGCTGGGTTGGACGTGCTTTGCGAGCCTCGCTCGAATGTCCTCCGGGAGCTCAGCAAGCACGCTTGGATCGACTTGGGTGGGCAGGACAAATTGTGTGCCGAGTGTATTGAGCTGCTTCTTCGTTGGTGTGCTGGCATTGAGCGGATGAATTGCAACAGATGGCTGATTGACATCTGCCATGCGAGGCTTCTCCGGCGTCTTCAAATCATCTTGTATCGAATCCTGCTCTTTCGAATGCTCGATCTCGACAGGTTTCGCAGCTTGTCCGACCTTGAATGGTAGCCGACGTTGACTGCCGTCGACTACGCCTGCGGGTCCGGACTTGATGGCATCAAGTTTTTGCATCTGAATCCCAATACCGCGGAGCTCACCTGGCGAGATTGCAAAAGACTTCAGCATCGCAATCGCCTCTTTAGCAATGACAGCCGTATCATTCGTAGCCACACCCAGCTGTACGCTTTTGTTAAAAGTATCGCACTTGCCATGGCCTAGATGCTTGGGCGGATCGAGAGGCGCATCGGCGGCTCGACGCATGACCTTCATCGTGAGTTGCTTGCCCTTGACTTGCTCTTTGGCCAATCGCTTGTGAAGTTCACCACTCAGGCTATGCATGAACTCGTCCACTTGGCCCTGATCCACAAATCGAACGCCCCAGTTCACTTCCGCGGAGACCGACTTCCGGACGACTTGATCGCCCACCTCCGTCTTGTCGATGCCACGCGAGTATTCCCAGAGCTTCTCGCCGGTCTTTGGCCCGAGTGTGTTGATGAGCTTCTCGCGCGTGACCTCGCGAATGTCCTTGACAAACTTAATGCCTATCTCCTCAAGCTTGCCTCCAAGACTCCAAGCGACGCCAGGAAGTTGCTGCACTTCGAGCTCGCCAATAAAGTCTTGCACTTCTTCCGGTTTGAGCTGATATTGACCGGCGGGCTTGGCTTTGCGAAGAGCGACCTTGGCTTGGAGGATGTTGCCCCCGATTCCTACAGAGACTTCGCATCCAGTCCTCTCCAGCACAGTAGCGCGGAGCTTCTGGGCGATTTCATCTGCCCTCGCCTGTTCTCGGTCGACGGAGCCTTCTCTTCGACTCACGCCGTCGGAGTTGGAAGCGGCGAAGCACATGGCGCTGATGTCGACGAGAGCTTCATCGATGCTCACACTCTGCACAATACCATCTGCAGCAAGAATAGCGTCGTAGAACTTGCGGCTTGCATCTTCGTAGCCAGGAAAGTCGTATTGCAGAATCTTAAGCTCGGGACACAGACCTTGCGCTCGCTTCATCCACATTCCATTCTTGATCCCAAACTTCCGCGCAGCGTAGTTACACGAAGCGATTTCTGAGCCCGAGCCGTTTCCGTGGGCAACCACCGCCGGCTTGTCCTTGTACTGAGGGTATTTCTTGATGGAGACGGTGGCGAAGAAGCTGTCGAAGTCGACGTGCATGATGTAGCGTCTCTGGCCTGGCAAGCGCTTCATCTTGGCCTTCTGCGTGGAGGACTGCTGTGCGGCAAGCGCTTGTAGTTGTGACTTCAAGTCCGCTTTCCAGGTCGATAGGTGATGTAGCCGTGACTCGCGGTAGTACTGTTCCAAGAAGTCGGGATGAACCACGGTGGATCTGCGGATTTTGGGATCCGATAACAGGAGCGCGTTGTGCTCTTCAGCAGTCATCTTGGCAAATTCGGCGGCAGGAATGTCTTTAAGCTTTCTCGAATCGCGAATAACGGCCATCGAGTAGTCTGGCTCTTGCGAGCCTTCTCGAGAGCGGAGAGCTGAGTTCTGATCATCCTCAGCTTCTTGGGCTGCCGGTGGATCTTCTGGAGCTTCGTTAGATTCTCCCGCTGTCAGGGCCGCGGGACTCGAGGGTGGTGGTGTTGCCAACTCCGTTTGAGGTTCCACCAGTTGCCTCTGGGGAGAGTCTTGGATTTCACGTTCAGCCTCGTACAAAGCTTCCTCCATGGAGCTGGTAATTTCCGGCAGAGAAGTCTCATCATCCTCAATCTCATCTGGAGATATTGTTTGCGCAAGTCGAGTCGGCGGCTTTGCGCTCCCCTGCGTTTGAGCTTTCAGTTGGCTCGTATACCAACTCGTGTCGCTTTGTTCTTTGTAGCCCTGTGGCCTCCGGCTCGCTTGGCTGACCACGCTGCCGTTTTGGAATCCAAGAACTTTCTGCCCGACCCCTTCGTCTAGAACTCGATATTCGTCCCAAGGGAGAAGTTTGCCAGCTTTGATACTATCCACAATCCACGCTGGCTTGACGATTCGATACCGCTTGAACTCTTCTTTCTTCTTTGGGGTCAAGTTGCTGGCGATGATCTAAAGAGTGATTGTCAGCAATGGCAGGCTACGATATCGAATGCGAAGGTGCTTACGTGAGTGACCATTGTCTTGCCGTCAAGGTATTGGAGGAAGCCACCGCCATGCTGCACGATCATGACGTGTAGATCATTCAAAGAAGGTTGGGTGTAGCCTGTCGCCATATTAGTATCTGATCTGTATTGGACATAACATGCTATTGGCACAGCGACAAGTGAGGCCACCACCTACCATTAACATGACACACAATCCCCTTGAAGATCTTCGGCTTGTCGCCGGAGTCGGCACGGAGCTGGGCATCCAGGTTCTGCAACTTGATCTTCTTGCGGCGGAAGTAGTCGGAGAAGCCCCCAAATGCGGAGCCGCCATACTCTTCGCCCTCCTCATTATTGAAGTCATGGTTCTCGATCCTCTTCCTCACGAGATTCGACTTTTGTTCGAGGCGAGAGCCCATCTTGCGCCGGACTCATCGTCGACTCGGGTCGTTATTTATGGCAGTCGCATACCGTCATACTCATGTGCACTATGCAAGACTTGACTGGAGCAGCGCGCGTAGCTAAGGTAGGTGTAGAAGGCAGTATTGCCATTACACTTTCACTTAACGCGCCGACGTCACGTACGAGGCACCAGACACCTGCTTACCTAAGCATGTTCAGGGTCCGGTTTCCGCCAATACAGTAGCCTGGACTTATACATCCCACTCGTATTGAGTCCGCTAATGCCTGTTTCTCTGGAATTAAGGAAAAGACGTGATCGGCTCGACTTGTCCCGAGTGCCAGCTGACCAGGTCCGAGAGCGTGCACCGTATCGAATGACTATATCTTTTCATTCTACCTGTCCACTCCAAACTTGACTAGCAATTCTATCTTGTCTGCCTTTGAGATACCTACACGACTTCGGTAATAAGCAGCAATGGCGTTCTCATCGGCTCCAGAACCCCCGAGTGAACTGGGGAGATACCGTATCCTGTCCTCTACGGCAGCTGTACGCGTCTCACCTCTCCAACTTGGGGCCATGTCAATTGGCGAGGCATGGAAGGAGGCTATGGGTTCCATGGACAAGGGAAACAGCTTCAAGCTTCTTGGTAAGGGTCATTTGACTCTTTCGTTGATGCTGTACATACTCATATCTCTAGAGATGCTTTCTATGAGTTGGGCGGCAATTTCATCGACACGGCCAACGGCTACCAGAACGAAGACTCGGAGCGTTGGGTCGGCGAATGGATGAAGGCCAGGTCCACCGAGGGCAATGACCGACGGGACGACATGTAAGTCGTCGATTACAACATGGGGAATTCGGACTGGGCCATTGCTCACATGGCGACATAGTGTTCTGGCCACGAAATACACCACACCGTACACCTCGTACAGGGCCGGCCAGTTGCACGCCGTCAACCACTCGGGAAACCATAAGAAGTCTCTCCACATCTCGCTCCGTGACTCTCTGAAGAAGCTGCAGACCGACTACATTGACATCCTCTATGTCCATTGGTAAGCAACCGCCAACGTCTACTGGTCGCCAGATATCTAACAGCATGCAGGTGGGACTGGACCACTTCAATCGAAGAGCTCATGGATTCGCTTGATGCCGTCGTTAAATCAGGCAAAGTCTTGTACTTGGGCGTCAGCGACACTCCAGCATACGTAAGTTGTCAGCGGGAGCAGCAACAACAACTGGCCATCATGTACTGATTGCGTCTAGATTGTTGCAGCAGCCAACACGTACGCCAAAGACCACGGAAAGACGCAGTTTTCCATCTACCAAGGCCGTTATAACATCATCATCCGTGACATGGAACGTGAAATCATCCCCATGTGCCGACACTTTGGCATGGCCATTGCACCCTGGGACGCAATGGGCGGAGGCATGTTCCAAAGCAAGAAGCAGCTCGAAGAACGTCGCAAGAACAACGAAAGCTTGCGCTCATTAATGGGAAATGGCGAACAAGGCGAAAGCGAGGCCAGGATCTCTGCCGCTCTCGAAGAAGTAGGCGAGGAGCACGGCGGCGTTGGTCCTCAAGCCATTGCTCTGGCATACGTTATGGCAAAGACGCCCAACGTCTTCCCAATCGTGGGAGGCCGGAAGGTAGAGCACCTGAAGAGTAATGTGCAGAGCTTGAGCATCAAGCTCAGTGAGGAGCAGATCAAGAAGCTGGAGAGCATCGTGCCGTTCGAGCCGGGATTCCCAAACAGCCTTATACACGAAGACCCGCATATCAGCGGCAAGGCAAGCTGGATCCTTAAGCGCACCGCTCAGGTCGCTTTTGTGAAGGCTTCGAAGCCCATTGGTTACGAATGATCTTTGGTAGTGGCGGAAAGGTGAAGGGGGCTTGACAGATAGATCGTGCTTTGCCGAGTGCCCTTGCAGAAGATTCAAATTGTTGTGACGAGAGATTTCGTGTGCTGCATGCTCTGAAGTCACTACAGTCATATCCGTGCCTTGCCGTCGATGCTTTCATTTAATCACGCACAAAATCCCTGAAAGGTATCTCTCATGTTTGGACCACGGTGTTTTCGTCCCTTGACCTGCAGGCATTCACTTAACGCGCCGACGTCACGTCTGGTACCAGGCGCACGCTTACCTAAGCGTTCCGCGTTCACGTTCCCGTGCCACGTTCAGGGTCCACTTCCCGCGCCTCCGCCAAAAAAAATTGTGTCAAAAGGCCCAAGCTCTAGAAACATTAAATCTGCTACTACAACTCCTACACTTCCTCTTCTCCCGCACACCCACGCCGTAACCCACAAGTTCAGGTTCGAGCGGATACGCCCCTTTTTACAGACCTCGTCGTTCATACCCACACTACTTTCTACACCCATACTCTTCAACGTGATGGCTCTTCTTCCAATGGCCATGTATGGCCTCGAGGTGCCGCCGGGCGATGTTGCGATCATGGCACACGCTGACATTCCTGCTTCTTTCCGTGTGACCATGGCCGCCATTGACCCCAGCGCTGAGCCCGAGGGTGACGATGGCGAGGTAGCGCGCCCGCGCGCTACACTCAAAGTCTTGCGTCTTCCTCTTGGCGAAGACGATGACGACTCGGATGATGATCTCGACATCGACGAGCTGGACGCCCAGTTCGGAGAGAGTGACAGCGAGGAGGACTCGGAGGATGACGATGACGAGGACCTGAACGGCGGGCCCAGCGATCCTGCCAAGAGCAAGAAGGCGAGACAGGAAGCTGCCGCCGCGCAGATCAAGCAGCTCCTCATGGATGAGGGCATGGACGTCGATGATGACGAGGACGACGAGGATATCCCGAACGGTATCAACGGCACTACGAAGTCTAGCAAGGCGCTCGGCAAGCTGCCCAAGGGCGATAACGACGAAGATGAGGATGAGGACGATTCGGACCTCGATGAGGATGACATGGGCGCGGAGATCGAAGAGTTCGTCATCTGCACTCTTGATCCGGAGAAAGTTAGTTCCCTGCCCTGTACTATATACCCCCGTAGATCAACACTGACATCCTTCAAAGAGCTACCAGCAAACCCTCGACCTCACCTTCGGCGAAGACGAGCGTGTCTGGTTCAAGGTCACCGGCACCCACACCATATACCTCACTGGCAACTACGTCGAGCCCGTCCAAGATCCTTCCGGCTTGTTCGACCCGGACAGCGATGAAGAGGACGAGTACGATCTGTCTCCGGGCGAGGAGGAGTTTGATGACTCGGACGACGAGGAGATTGACGAGCTGGACGATATGGACGATCCTCGTGTCATGGAGTTGGACGACGATGAGGCTGACGCGCCTAAGCTGGTGAAGGCCAAGATCGTGGAGAAGGGCAGCAAGAACAAGCGTCCCGCTCCCGACTCTGCAGACGAGGAGGACGGTGCTGAAACCATCGATGAGCTGATTGCCAAAGAGGCCAAGCTTGCGCAGCCCACCGAGAAGCTCAGCAAGAAGCAACTCAAGAAGCTCAAGAAGAACGACGGTGCCGCAGCAGCCGCACCCGGTGCCGAGATTGAGCAGCCTGCGTCGAACAAGTCCGACAAGAAGGTGTCCTTTGCCGCCCAGCTCGAGCAAGGCCCGACCCCCACCAAGGACGCCAAGACCGCCGACAAGAAAGACGACAAGTCGAAGGCGACTCTCGGCGTCAAGACGGTGCAGGGCGTCACCATCGACGACAGGAAACTCGGATCCGGTCAAGCGGCCAAGAACGGCGACCGTGTCAGCATGCGCTACATTGGCAAGCTGCAGAAGGACAACAAAGTTTTCGACAACAACAAGAAAGGCAAGCCCTTCACCTTCAAGCTCGGTGCCGGCGAGGTGATTAAGGGATGGGAGATTGGTGTGCAAGGCATGCAAGCCGGCGGCGAGAGGCGCATCACCGTCCCCGCGCACCACGGCTACGGTTCGAAGAGAGCTGGCGAGATCCCACCCAACTCCACCTTGATCTTCGACATTAAGTGCCTCGATATCAACAAGGGCAAGTAGGAGTCCTCAGCATCATCACCATCAAGACTTGGACGCCAATGGCTTGCTACGCAATGGGGTTTGCATCCCTTACCGACGCACGTCCACATCACCGGGCGTTGGAACTGTTTACATCTGTACTATTCCGCCACTCTATACTCTGAGCAGGCTGTGCCGAGAAACCCTACTTTCCAGTTCCAAGTGCTGGGAGGAAGGACGGGTTCCTACTAAGGCAGAAAATGGGAAGGAGAAATGGGGGAGTTTGCTTTCTGTTGAGTCTGCGTTCTCAAATCGTATTGTCATTACATTCTACAGCTGTGTGAATGCTATCTCGAAAAACCAGGTCGTCTCCCTGTCCCATATCCGTCGACGATGCTCCGTTGCACCTTCACTGCCCTGCCCGATTACAACCGATGCTTCGATCAGTAGGTATGTCAAACAACAGACAGAGCATTGGGTAGTAGTAAAGACAAATGCACGCTCGCTAATGCTCATCCAAAACACAAATGCCAGAACCACCAAAACATCTCAAAAGTCCAGCCCATCATCCGAGCTCTGGTCCCACGGTGACACAGGCCGGGAGTCACGAAGCGGCGACGGCGGCGGCGGCGGCGACGTCTCGGCCGGTTGGAGCACGATTTTGAGCGACAGCTTGTTGCGCGGTTTGGCGGCGGAGGCTTTGAAGGCGTTGTGCAGGTCGGCGTTGGAGAAGGATTTGTGCAGGTCGTCGGTGGAGAAGGAGTCGACGCGGGTGAGGGTGAGGTTGGTGGTGGTGGGGTGGGGCATGGTGGAGGTCATTTTTGCGGTGTTGTTGGGTTGGTTGTTGAGTTGGTTGTTGGGTTGGTTTGTGTCGAGGGTGGAGGTGGTTGTTTGTTGTAGATGGTGGTTTTTTGGTAGAGGCAAATGGCGGTGTGATGAGATTTGGAGGCGCGGGGCTGTAAGGCTGAGTGATGAGGGAGAGGAAGCAAGATGCGAAAGGACTTTGCAGCGATACTTGTAGTGAATCGCGCAAGGCAGAAGGCGGGAAGCGAAATCAGAGTGAATCAAAGGAAGAGCCAAGAGAGACGAAAAAGAAGGAGGAGGAGAAACAGTCTTATACCGCTTGCCGTGAGACTTTTTCTGCTCCCCCCCATTGCGCCAAATCCGACGTGTCTCTCGCCATGGGGGCCTCTCGCTAAACGTGCCATCGCAAACCGCCACACACCGCCAACCGCTGCTTCCCCGGGCGATTTTGGTTGCCCTCCACACGCGCCCCCCGGCTCGGGGCCCCGCATCACACGTTGCACGTACACATTCTCCGCAAACGACAGTCGCGAACTGACTCGTCACATGCATACAGCGAATCGGGACGCTCGCGCCCTCCCCTTGGCTTCGACCCCATAGGCCTGGTGCGACGCGTTAGCATCAATACAAACTGTCGCGAGCCGTTCCCGCGGGGCGCTTTGTTCAGTCTGCGTTTGTGCTGAAGAGAGTGCGACCGGCGGTGACCAAGGTCCCGGTCGCGCTGCGATGTGCAGTGTTGTCAGTCTCACGCAGATCCTTTGGAGGATTCCATTCGTCTGCACATCACGCGAAGCCTCTTAATTTGCGCCGCCACGGATACGCACAAAAGACGAGTCACGACGATCGGCCGATTAAATGAGACAGTAAAAATACGAGACGTCATCAACGTTCGCCATTGTGCCATTCTCAACCAGTATGCAGATGAGTAAAAAGGAAAGGAGGCAAAGAAATTGTGTGAGTCGTGTCTCTCGCCTCGCCCCATAACCCAGCCTTTCCCCGGCCCCGGCCAACCCCTCGGGACGGGACGGCGGGGCCCCACTCGGAATCTCTCCGGCAGCCGCGTCCCGCAGACGGCGTCGTTCGGGGGAGTCTTTCCAGCAACATCGCGCCGGCAGCCATCAAACGGCGGCACCTCCGCTCGGATACTTGACTTTTATCGCATTGTAACGTCGACCGGCCTGTTTGCCTGTTTGCGGAAGCTGGAAGCCGGGTGGATCGATATACGCGTTGCAACAGATTGATGGAACGGGATGGTCGGATCAACGAACTCGTTGATTCATAGGCTCCGTTATCGACTCCCAACTTCTTCGTACGCCAGGAGCATTGACGGAACCCGGTGGAGACATCTGTTCACTAATGTGCGGAAGTATTGGAAAGTGTCCGACGTCAAGCTGACCCATCGCTGGCCTCAGCCAGCTGCCCTCTTAGCCTTAGTACTTTCTCCCTTCCTTGACGAATCGCCTCATTGTCCCACACCCGGCTTGTATGATCAGTGTCAGGAGAAGACTCTGCCAGATCACTCAGACCGTAGCTGCCCACGGTCTCGAAGTCCTCCAAAACTAGGTCAAGTCTCCTTTGCGGAGGCACAAACCCAGCAGCCAGAGCCTTGTCCACGAGCTCTAGATACGCGCGGTCGCTGTTCTCAGCTTGCTCGAGCAGGTAATTAATCGACTTCCAGTTCTCGTATCGAAGCTGTCCAAAGGGGATGTTCGTAAGGCTGATGGCAGCTCTCGGCGCTGCTGGAATTGCTTGCAGAGTGTCCTCGCTCGCGTCTGCGCCAGCTTCGGTGGTAGGTGAGCTGCTCGGCTGCTGAGTGTCGTATCCGGCCTCGAGGGTGAGCTCATCGTACAGCTTGCGCATCTCCGTTTCCGGAAGCGTCTGGTGCGTCGGCTGCAAGGTCATGGGCAAATTGTCCTGGCTCAGATCTTGGACGCCTTGCTCGGCACGCGTGCTGCGGTCTACGATAACAAGATCTGCTCTGATTTTCGCGATTTCTTGCAAGATGGCTTCCGCGTCGGCAGCTTCGGCGGTATCCTGATGAGATCCAGCCTCGAGCGCATTTAACATGCGCTCATGCTGGTGTGGTGGCAGGTTCCCCTTCACTTGCTCGTACTCATCCCTCGCAAGGTCGATACGATCGGCGGCGCAGGCGTTCGTGATAAGGACGTAGGCATCGTTCACGTCCAGCGGCTGCCCAGTCTCTGCCTTCAGCTGCACTAGGCCCCGCCAACCCTCCTCCACCAGTTCACCATCGCGTAAAGCACCGGCTGCCCAGATGATGGACCTCCAGGTGACTTCGTCGAACTTGTGGTTGAGGGATTGCATGTCCGACAGGGAAACGCCAATGAGACGCTTATCGTTTCCATGGCCGCCTAGATTGGTGATCATGGAATGAAACACTCCAATGTCCGGCTTTGCTCCGTGGCGTGCGAAGATGCCGATAGCAGATCGAATGACACCCATCACTTCATCAACTATTTGCTGTTTGATGGTGGGATCAATGCCGGCAACACCCCTCAGTCGAAGAAATTGTGTCATGCCAATCAGCAATCGAGAGAGCACTTTGCTGTCGATTAAGCCTCCCGCCCCAACCCTCATGCGAACAAGTGACAGCATTGTTCGCACGGCCATCCCGTGTCTGGCTGGAGAGATGCCGTCCGATTTGAATTGCAAAGCAGCGAGCATGTTCCTGAGCTGCGTTGGAGTCATGGTCGTTCCACCTCGGCAAGCCATGGCAAATACCGTGTACGCTTCCAGAAACGGCCGCTCTTCCAGAAAGAGCTCGAAGAAGCGAGGTGTAACCTGGTCCGGGTATAGGCGCAGTGCAGTATCAAACGTCATGTATGCGTTTCGTGCGTCGCCACGCAGCAGTCGTGCTGTCATTATTCCCTGCAGTAATGGCATGGGAACGCCTTTTAACGTTGTCGCTTCTTCGCGGTCCGGTAAGGCGGCATTCGGAGATAGATGGTATGCCAAGAATGCTCCAGGGAATCGCTCCAACGCTTGCTCATACAGATCTTCCAGCTCCTCGAGTGGCGATCCATTGACAGCCAACAGCTCAATAGCAGCCCCGTACACGTCCAGATTGACAAAGCCTTCCTCTTGCGCCTCGAGCCACTGCCAGAACCGCACTCCAGCATCGCGGACACCAGACTCTTTGAAAAAGCCTAGAAGATGGACGTGGGCGGAGAACTGAGGCACGACATCGCCTTTCATGATGTCTTGAACGATAGACTCGGCGAAGACCAGCAGTCCTTCGGTCTGCGCGCGTCGCTGCTTCTCATCTCGAAAGCGCTTGGCTTTCCGGAGACTGTGATGCAGGAGCTGGGTGATGATACGAACATCATTGGGCCGCAGGTGGATTTTCTTTTCCATCGAGTTGTACACCTCTATCACTCGCCCGATATTTCCACCTTCTTCTACCGCCTTGCGGATGGCTCTCAGCGCGAGTTCATCTTCCTCCACTCTCCTATTGGGATCGAATCGGAGGCGTCTTGGGACTTTGGAGGCTTTCTGAGCGTATGCCCGTCCCTGGCTCTGCTCAATGCGAAAGCGCTTAGCTTGTTGGTAGCCATATCGCTGGGAAGGGTCGAGGGCGAGAGTGCGAGGTAATGCTTGGTGATATGAGTGTCTCTGCAGGCAGAATGCACGGAGCCAAGTCGAGTGCGATTGTAGCTCAAGCTGCGCCCTGAGCAGGGTCGAACCGAGCATGGGAGACTGTGAAATCGAGAGGATGTTTCGTCGAGGTCCTCCGTTCCTATGCCTGCAAGGCTCGCTGTGGTTGAAGGGCATAGAAATTTAGAGTTGAGGCTCTGCGGGAACAGCCGCCGCCGCCTGTGGAATTCAGGGCACACCTATGGCAATTGACCTCCAATCGGCCACTTTGACATCTCGTCAGGAAATCAACACTATCAACGAATTGCACCATCGGAGAGCGCCCGATCCCACGCCCGAAATGCCTCCCAATATGTCCCTGTTCTCCGTGAACGCCATCCTCCTCCTCTCCACCGACGACGGCTCCCGAATCCTCACCCGCTACTACAGCCCCCCTCACATCCCGCAAGGCGCCCAGGGCAACAACCACCCGGGCGCGAACCCCTACGTCTCCGTCAAAGACCAGAAAGCGTTCGAGAAGGGGCTGATAGAGAAGACCGCGAAGCAGACGAGCGATGTCATCCTCTACGACAACCGGATTGTCGTGTTCAAGATGGAGAGCGATGTCATGCTGTATGTCGTTGGCGGCGCGGAGGAGAATGAAATCATGCTTTATAATGTCATTCTGGCGCTGAGGGACAGTTTGAATATTCTGCTCAAGTGAGTTCTGCCTGAAAGTCTCGAAGCGGTGGAGTCTTGTTGGCTAACTTGTGACCCAAGGAACTCGGTTGACAAGCGCACGCTCATCGAAAACTACGACCTCGCGTCCCTATGCATTGACGAGATCATCGACGACGGCATCATCCTCGAGACGGACCCAATCAGCATTTCGAGCAGAGTCAGCAGACCGCCGGCCCAGGACGTGCCCAACATGCAAGGCATCGATCTCAGTGAAGAAGGGTTGCTCAAGATCTACCAGTTTGGCAAAGCGAAGTTGGGCGAGCGGTTACGACAGGGACTATGACGAGTGAATAGAGGGTGGAGCATGTCGGTGTTGCATGGTATGCAGCGGTGGCGTTACGGTGTTACAGTGTGAACGAGAAAAGGCTTGGTGACGTGGCATGTAGCAAACATTGGCTGCTGGCCTAGAAAAGGTGGCAAGTTACGGACTGCATTGTATGGAGACTGTCATCTAGCTCATCAGTGAATGCAGCAAAGATTCATTGCATGTTTGCTCTGGTCCCCTTCGGTCTATATACAAAACCATGGCTTGCCCCTCAAGGATGTTCGTCTTCTCAACCTCTCCTGGTCTTCTACCGACAGCCTGCCAAGAAAATGAAGACAAGAAAACGAGATTACACCGCCATGGCATCTCCATCGTCATCCGACACCTACGAGGGGACTGACAGGTGGCTTCCACGGTAAATTGCATGCTGAAAAACACGGTCGTGCACGGCATCTGACGGCTTCACTTAGACTCCTCGAAACTGGGGAATGGTCCGACTGCAAGATCATCACCGCGACGAAGACGTTCAATGTGCACCGATGCATTGTGGGGTCGAAGTCTACAGTCTTCAAAGCTGCTTTTGACGGAGGGTTCAGGGTGCGTCTGGATGCTGGACACGAGTCTTCGATTTGATCACTGATACGCGAGCAGGAAGCCGAGACGGGCGAGATGCGGGTTGAAGAGAGCGAGCGCGTCATTCAGGAGCTCCTTGAACTTATGTATTGCGTGGATCCTTCAGTCGGACCTCCAATTGTACTTGATGGCACGGATGCCAGCTTTGCAAGCGAAGCAGAGCACAGAATCGATATCATCGTCGCTGCAGACAAGGTGCGTATATCAAAGCGGGGGAGTGGCGGACACCAACTGACATCTGACCCTCAGTACAATGTTGCTCTGCGTGTCGACCAGTTCAACCCCTGTTCCACGATATCCAATATCAAGGAGCCGGAGATTTACATGCCGCTCTGGTCGCGAGTGTATTCGAATGATGCATCGAATTTCCGGCGCTTGCGAGCCTCGGTCGTTGACTGGATATCTGGTAAAACGTCCGAAATCATGCAATCGGAGGTGGCGTGGCGGACGCTCCATGAAGACCGGGAGCTTTGGCAAGCTGTTACGCAATTGCTTGAAGAGAGGAATAGGCCGGTGCAGGGAGCCGAGGAGCCGTTGGAGTCGAATTCCCCGCAGGACGGGCCTGAAGACTTCGTGGAGACACCAAGGGGCTGGAGCGAGTCCGCAAATGCGTCGGCGGGTTGAGCTTGCCATCCATAGTTTCCTGCACTGCGGCTCTCGTTTGTTGGCGGATAAGCTCATTCATACTCTTCGTAGACGATCTCCTCCTCCTTCACAAAAGCATCGACATCAATCAGCGGGAGCTCCGCAATGTCGTTCTTCTCCGCCCAAGCCTTGACCTTGCTCTTGTTGATGACAATGTTTCCCGCGGCGGTCTTCCTCTTCTCCACGACATCCATCTCCTTCAACGCGGCCACCACGTCCTCGGGCAGTATCCACGTGCCATCACTGATATCCTTGACAGTGAGGACTTTCTTGAGCGGAGCCTGCAGAACATTCCTGACAACTTCCCCACACCAGTACGAAAGATAGCCCCGCCTACCCAGCGTAGAGAGTGGCCTCTCCGGCCCTCCAAACCGGCCTTCTTGTCTGCCGAGCTCATAAGAAGCGGCAATGAGTATTTGTCCGAGTCCCCTTCTCTGCCATGGTGGGAACACGAGAATGCAGGCGACGTTATTGTTATCCCAGCTCATTTTCTCCTTACTGAAGAAGCCGATGACTTGGCCGTGCGGGTTGCCGCTCGAATCTTGTAACACGAGGGTGTAGTAGAGGAAGGTGCTGGCGTCGAAAAAGACAGACTTGGTTTCGAGGAAGAGCTTGGCGAAGAGCGAGAGATTTTGCGCGTAGAGCTTGAAGTAGAAGTGTTAGACGGGTAGGGTATTCTCACAGCAGCCCGGTGTGCGCCTACCTTGTGTTCTTCGCCGTCAATTTGGTGGATCGCATAGCCATCTTTCTCGTAGACTACATCGCCGGGCGGAGGTTCATCCTGCAACGGACACACTTTCTTACTCGCCAAAGAATCAGCCCAAGGCTCCGCCTTCCAACGGCATCAAGATGTTTCCACTCACACAATGCGCGCTGAACTTCATAATCTCCGGCGTGTACTTGAAGCACCACTGACAGACATAGAGCCAGTCGGCACGCCGTCCGCCAATCATGTCTTCCGGGTAGAAAGACGGGTACCACGGCTTGACGTGCAAACTGCCCAGCACGACGTTTGACACATTCGGAAGCATGGCGGGTCTGTTTGGCGTGTGGTTGGGCGAAGCCAGGCCCGCGATCGGGGTGGACACAGACTCGGTGATTGCCATGCTGCGTGCCGTCAGGGCTCGAAGTCCCGCGTTTACATGTTTACTTGCACACAAACACAACACCGCCACGGTCGGAGACGTGAAGTTGACGCCAGCGCGGAAAGTTGAGCTTAGTCAGCGAGAATCCGGCTCGCCCGCCGGCCCAAGCCGAGTTCTGCAACCCCGCCCCCCCACTTCTGCTGCACCGTACCTGCATGCTTCCACCCTTCACGTATCACAAGCGATGTGTTTCATTCGTCCCTCCCAACGCGACGTGTACCGCGTCCGCGACCGCGAGAATCATAACGACATGGACAACGCAATTGTAGGGCATTCCGCGGAGGTGGAAAGCTCAAAGAGCGGCAAAGGTGAATAAAAGTGGCGAGGCGAAGCCAAGGAGGGGCTGGAGTCGTATCCCCTGAACCCTCGACGCCACGGCCTCGTATTCAGCCTCTCGTTGCTCGCCTTCTCGCCTGTCGTCGCAGGCAAACCATGCAGATCGCGTCAATCAGAAACCACGGGTAGGATAGGCTGTGGTGGGGTTCCGACTCGGCGTGGCTGTTTGGTACGGCCTCGCTCCGACGTCTTCTCATTGTCTTCCCTTCTCTCCGACTCCCGTCCTCTCTCTCTCTCTCTCTCTCTCTCTCTCTCTCACCTCCACCGACCTTGCGCGCGCATCGCTTCTTTGTATAATGTGTCGAGAGATCTAATTCTTGTCTCCTGGTGGCCTCCATGCTCTACTCCATGGCGAGACCAGTGCTCTTCCTGCACTTGGTCTCATTTCTCGTGGCCGTCTCGGCTCAATCCTCGCTGTCCTTCATTGCGCCAAACCTGGTCACGACTGGCGCACTTCCTACTTATCACGTCGGCGACAATGTCACCGTCATATGGACTACTCCATTCTACAACACATCACTGGCAGTCTTCCAAACATTGAGCAATGGAACTACTCTCTTCGAGATTATTGCTTGTAAGCTGCTCGCAGTAGTGTCGCCCACGGGGGGCCATTGGCCGTGGTGATGATTGATACTGATCAATGCGATAGATAATTACCCACCGTCGCAGACGCAAGCGGTGTGGTCTCTGGGACCTGTCCACAATCGTCAACTGACCGGGAGCACGTTCCATTATACCCTCGCGAATACCCTGAACGCTACCTGCGAAGGCTGCTCCTTCTCCAGCAACAATTTCGTTATGCAGGCGAAGATCAAGCCAACCACCACCCAGTCTCGAGCAACGTCTTCAGCAACTCCATCCTCGTCCACCTCCTCCTCACCACGAACAACCCTTCGGACCACCTCACACCCCGCCTCTCGAACCACCTCCGCAACCAGTTCGGCCACATCGTCGCAATCGACTGCCGGGATCGTCGGCGACTCGGTGAATCCGGGCAGCGCAGGTCGCCGCAGTCTTCAGCTTGGAGCTGGTCTGGGAGCGGGTATCCCTGCTGCCCTTGCCATCGCCGGCATTTTCTTCTTGTTCCTACGGCATCGCCGCAAACAACGCCAGGCACGCATGGCAGGCGAAGACGGCTCGCGCGGGGACGATTCGGCACCCCTGGCAGACGACAGGAGTCCACAAATGCGGGAGCGCGACAGCCGCCTCAGCCGGGAAAGTGGCGCCCTCGGTCCGTATGCGGCAAATCCGAGTCCCTGGGAGCAGCAAGAGGAGCGCTCGCGCGCAGAAGAACGAAGACAAGCGCACCAGTCGCGAGGCAGGCGGCGGGCCTCGTCACAGCGACACATGCCCTTCCGGCCCTCCTTGGGCGCGCACTCGGAAGTCAGCGATGAGAGTAGCCGACACTCCTGGATCGACGATTTCGATTTTGAGCAGCCGTATTACCGGCAGGCGGATGAGATCAGCCAGATCAAGAGAAGCATTCGCGAGGCTCCGAGGAGCATTCGTGACCGGTTGAGCATGCGGTCGAGTCCGCGGCAGAGCAATCATACTCGCTCTTCGCGGTCGCACGGGTCGAATTTCGATGTGCATAATGCTCCTGAAGTGCCACAGCCGGTGCATATCAGGTATCCCGACCAGCAGTGGCACGCACGGTAGCGCCATATTCCCGTTGTCAGTTCTTAAAATATAATACCCTTTTGTCCATGACTTCCACGAGTCACATGTAGAGCATGGTGAGACCTTCATGCCCGAATTCGTCATCTTCTCATGAATTCCCTGACGTCCCAAACGAGCACTCGCTCATCCCACGCGCACGTGGCGCACCATCCTTCCGCTCCGAACAGACACCAGTCCACACCCATGGCAAATTCGGTGTGCTGGTCCATTCTTCCCATCTCGGCCCCCATGCCCGCTCCATTCCCGCCCTTGTCAACATTGCTGCCGTCCGTCCACACTCGACATGTCATGTCGTAGCTCGCACTCAGCAAGACGTCGCTCAGATGCGGACTCCAGCTGATTCTCCGTACAGCGTAGTCATGGCCCGCAAGCAGATTCACCGGGCCAGACGGCACTCGAAGATCGAACGTCCGGATGATCGTATCCACTCCAGCCGTTGCGATGACCGAGTCCCTGTACTTGTTCCAGTCGTGCGTAAGACACTCCGTTGGACCACTGTTCGGATTCAGCATGCCGGGCATGCGCACCTTGGGAGGCGCATGAATCGGCACAGCGAGCGTCATATGATTCTGCGCACTGGGCTTTGTCCGCAAGTCAAACACCCTCAGGTGCGAATCCCTCGACACAGCCGTGACGATATCCGGATGGTGTGGGCTAAACTGCGCCGAGTACACGCACGAGTGGATCGGCAATGTAGTTATGCTCTCTTTCCTCTCCGGCGACCAGATCTTCACAGTCCCATCCCAGCTGCTCGAAAGGAAGGTGCTCTTATTGACCAGGTTCCAATGCACGCTAAACACCTCCCTTCCATGCTCTTGCCAGCCCGCAACGGGGAATTGTCCAACGCCGATGTCGAATAGCTTAATGCTCCCGTCGCCGCCCGCCGTTAAGAGCTGGTTCTCGTGCTGCTCCGACCATGCAATGTCGAAGAGGCAGTCTTGCGTTTCGAAGAACTTCTCGCATGCGATGCCGTTGGCGGTCAGGTTGAGCACGTACAGCCGGCCATTGCCTACGAGGCCGAAGTTTGCGCCGCCTCCGACGGCTATTCGGTGGTCGAAGAAGGGCGAGTATTTCACGTTGTAGGGGTTGAAGCCCGCGGTTCGGAACTCGAGCATGGTGGTGAGAGGCGTGTGCGGTGGACGCCGCGAATGGGAGTGCTGTCTGTCAATGGAATGTCATTCTTCGCCCTGCATTGTGCATCAATTCAGACAGCGAGAGCCCTCGTAGTGTGTGGACAGAGGAGTTGAGAGCGCCTGGACGATTGCATGTGATGACGATGTTCCCATGCCAAGGCCCGAGGCTCTTGCGTTGCTCGACTTCACCCCATCCCTCTAGTCCTACACCTCCTTGCATTCCCACCCAATAACGCGTCTTTCCTCCACATCTGGACATCGATTAGCCACCAAAGAGAATCTGGGATGCTATCAAAATGCCAGACAACGCCGTTTCCGCCTCCGCCAAAGGCGCAACGTCCCTCATTGCCCTCCAAATCATCTCGCGCGCAATAACCTTCGCCCTCAACCAATTCCTCCTCCGCTACCTGTCTCCGGAACTTCTAGGCATCTCCGTCCAGCTCGAGCTCTACAAGATGGGCACTATGTACTTTGCGCGAGAAAGCCTTCGAGTCGCGGCCGAGAGACGCTCAGACGGCGGCATCCAAGCTGCGATCAATCTCTCTTACCTCGCCATCCTCGCCGGCTTTCCTATTAGCGCGCTACTGGCGGAGTGGTATCTTAGCGTGGGCTCGCTGGACGTGGCGTACTTTTCACAGGCGCTGAGAGTCAATCAACTTGCCGCGTTGGTGGAGCTGCTGATGGAGCCGGCTTTTACTGCTGCCCAGCAGAATCTCATGTACGGAGCTCGCGCCACTGCAGAGGGCGCTTCGGTCATCCTGAAGACCGTCACTGTCTTCTCGCTCTTCTTCTGGAGTCATTCCCGAGGAATCGATCTCGGAGTTCTGCCATACGCCGTCGGCGAACTCGTGAATTCTGTCGTTTTGACTACCGTGTACTGGAGTCTTACAGCACCCGTGGCACGAGACAAGAAGTTCTCGCTGTTCCCGCGGAAGATGAAGTCGAGGTGTGTCCACGCCTCCACCATGTAAGCTACCCAAGTTTCGTTTCTGATCTTCTTTCATTAGCCCGTCTCAACGTTACCTCCTCTCTTACTTTTACAAACCCCTCCTCTGGCTCATCGGCTCTCTCTTCTTCCAAACCGGGATCAAGTGGCTTCTCACGGAAGGCGACAAACTCCTCATCACGGCCCTCGCTTCTCTCGAAGATCAAGGTCTGTACGCTCTATCTGCAAATTACGGCGGGCTCGTAGCGCGCATGCTCTTCCAACCAATCGAGATCAGCTCACGCAACCTATTCGCCACCCTCTGTGGCGCTTCATCTAAACCCAGCAAAACCCCAAACGAAACGAGCAAAAAGGGTGAATCAACAACCGACTCCTCCGCCACAAACGACAATCTCCAATCAGCAGCGCTCGTCCTGCGCGACATCATCCGCGTCTACAGCATCTTCTCCCTCATCATCTTCGCCATAGGCCCCACAGCCGCACCCCTCCTCCTGCGTCTCGTCGCCGGCTCGCGCTGGTCAAGCTCCGGCGCCGCCCAAGTGCTCGGCACATATTGCTACTACATCCCGTTCCTAGCCATCAACGGCGTGTCTGAAGCCTTCGTAGCAGCCACGGCTTCGACCAAAGACCTGCGAGATCAGACGTTCTGGATGGTGGGCTTCTCGGGGCTGTTTGGGTTGAGTGCGTACGCTTTTGTGAGCGTGCTAGGGCTGGGGGCGGAGGGCTTGGTGTGGTCTAATTGCGTCAATATGGCGTTGAGGGTCGTCTTCAACTTTGCGTTTGTGAGGCGGTATTTTGCGGAGAGGGGAAGGGTGCGTGCTTCTTTCATATGCTCTCTTGGGTTGACACTAACGACGAGTGGATACAGGCTTTCAGCATTGCCGGTGTTCTGCCGAATATGTACGCCGTGGGCTTTGCAGTCGCTGCACCTAGCGTGTTGACGCAGTCTGGCAAAATCGGGACATTCAAGGCGTACGGATTGTTCGGAGAGCTTGTGCGCGTTGGTGGCGTTGCAGGCCTTCTCGCCGTGGCGATGTAAGCCGTTTCTCACTACCGTCTTCACTACCAATTCATGTCAAGCTAACAACCTCCCCCTCCAGTGCTGTGACGGAGCGAGCCTTTTTACTCGATTGCTATAGACGTTTTAGATCGTGATCGTCTCGACCTTCGGGTCCGAGAAGCACAAGCCAATGATCCATCATCTCACTCCATCCAAATATAACACACCGCCATCAGTGCCTCGCTAATACCCGCCCTGCTCCCTCCTATGATCCTTCTCACCCGCACTGCTGGCCCCAACAGCAGCCTCGCGAATAGCCTGCTCATCACCCCTCAGCTTCGCAAAATAGGCCTTGATATGCTCCGCGCCAACCGGCTTCCCGCTCTCAGCAAAAGGCTTAAGAAAGTCCTTCACCTTATCACGGACGTGATTGTACGCCATAACGCCCTCTATGGCGCGCACGCGATCCATGGAAGACAAAGCGGCTTCGCCTCGCTCGAGCAGTGAGCCGGAGTTGATGCTGTTTGCGCGGTGGCCGGGCATGTCGGAGCCGGCATCGCTTTCGGAGAGTGGGGGCTCGTACGCTTCCTCTTCTTCGAGGAGTTGTTTGTGTTTGGCTAGGAGGGGGAAGCATGCGGGGCAGCGGCAGAGGTGGTCTCGGAAGTCTTCTTTGAGGTAGAGGGTGAGGTTGTTGTCTGTTGGTGCTGGTGGGAGGAGGGCGTGTTTGGCGGGATGCGGAGCATGGCCATTGGTTTGCGGAGTTGTTGTCGCTTCGTCATGGGATTCATCAGGCTTGAGTTTCTTAAGCTCTTGCGAGTCCTCTGGTACATCTTCGGCCTTTCGTTTCCTGCTGTCTGGTTCTTGGGAAGGCGAGTCGGTTCTCGTGACCTCAGGCGTGTCCTTGGCCTGTGCATGATTGCCTGCTGTCAAGAAGCCTTGACTTGCAGCATACTGCTTGATCCAAGGGAAAGCATTGACACATTTGTAGCAGATGAGATGGTCAAAGTCGTCTTCATCCGGAAAGCCAGGGGGGCCGTGTCCATCATCATGAGTCGGAGGTTCCGTCGTAGCAGCCTCCCCAGCTGGGGTCGTATCATCAGTCTCCTCTTTGACCGTCTCCAAGACACCGTTTGAGTGTGACGGCTCTGTCGGCGCATCCTTTATCCGAGGTAGGCCCATCAAGCATTCCGGATGCCACCAGTCCTCGCCACAACCACCCTCAGCCAGCGTTCCCAGTCCAAGACACTGGAACATGGTTCCCTTCTCCATCTCCGGATCGTATTCGTCGCCACAAGCACAGAACTTGCCCTGGAAGTTCTGGTTATACTGATTCCCTTCCCTGGCCTTCTCTTTCACGACGCCTCCCTTTCGCCCAGTCTCCACATTGTGTCGCAGACTACAAGGCGTGCCGCTGTTTTCTATCCGCGTAGTACCGCAGTCGCATACAAAGTCGCGTTTGGAGAAGAGCTCGACGAGAGTATGCTCGCCGTGGCAGCTGATGCTGCAGCTGTAGCATACTCCGGCGGGTGTGAACTGCTGGTGTGGCGATGCAGGCGGGGGAGTACAGGTTAGACAAGCATACACCGACTGGCGCAGCGGTCCAAGTGGTTTCGTGCATGTGTCGAATTGGTATGGGAGCGCCTCACGTGCATCTGCTTCCAGGCTGAGCTGCGACGCGATGAAGTCTTGCGCGGTCTGAGAATTCTGTGAATCGCCGTTCGTTTGCGGGACGTCATCGGGGGCCGGCGCTGACGCAGGATCCATATTGAGAGATGCTGACGTGGAAGACGATGGGTGTGGTGACAATCGTTTTCAGTACGTGCAGGCGAAAGATGAGATGAGAGATCGAACTTCACGTGCATGTTTGGAGGACGTGTTCCTCTTAGCGTTAGACAAATCGCGCTACTGCACGCTCTGACGGATACTCCCGTTTCGCGTAAAGTGAAGCGCGTGTCGCGTCAGCTCTTCATCCCACCCTTGAAGCTTCAGATCCGAGAGAGAACTTGCCAACTACAACATTTCCGAATCGCCCACATGAGGTGCGTACGGCCACAAATTTCGCACTTCCAGACTACTGACCTTTACTCAAGTTCTCCATTGCGACCCAACATGTCTGCTGCCAATCGTGGCCGTCCGGTAGCGGGCGCCCGAAAGCGTGGACGAGATGCAGAAGACGATGTCCCTTCCTCCTCTGCCGCACCACCCTCAAGCCGTATGCTCCCTCGAGGCGGACAAACACTCTCACTGCCTTGCTGACACTGCGTAGCACCCGCCTCGTCTCCCCCCGTATTCCCTCACAACGACGACATTGACGAAGATGATGTTCTGGACCCTGAAGACGACCTGATCCTTGATCTCGAAGATGCGGACGAGATGGCGGAAGATGAAGCCGGCATCGATTTGTTTGGCGACAACTTCGACCGCGACTATAACAGGAGAGAAGACAAAGGCTATCGCGGTCGCATGATTGACGATGAAGATGAATTCGATGCCATGGATCCCGCGGCTCGCAGACAACTGGAAGCGCGACTCAACCGCCGGGACAGGGAACTTGCTCGTCAACGCCAAATGCCTGCTGCTTTCCTACCTGATGAGGAAGAAGATATTATGGACCTCACCCGCCAGCCCCGCAGGCGCCGCCACCGGTATGACGAGGAGCAGGACGACATCGACATGCACGAGGACATTATGAATGAAGAACTCTCGCTTGAAGGCCTGGCAGATGTCAAGGCTGCCTCTCTTACTGACTGGGTTGCCAACCCGGCCGTCCATCGTACCATTGCTCGCGAGTTCAAAGCCTTCCTCACAGAATACACGGACTCGACCGGCATATCGGTGTACGGTGTGCGCATCAGAACGCTCGGCGAGGTGAACGCAGAGTCACTGGAAGTCTGCTGGGACCATCTGTCCGAGTCCAAGCCCACATTGGCCTACTTTTTGGTCAATGTGCCCTCCTCCGTCCTCCCTATCTTCGACGCTGTCGCCATGGATGTGACACTTTATCACTACCCAGACTACGAACGGATCCACTCCGAGCTGCACGTGCGCATCACAGACTTGCCTGTTTCCTACACGCTCCGACAACTCCGCCAAAGCCATCTCAACTGTCTGCTGCGTGTCAGCGGTGTTGTGACGCGACGCACAGGAGTCTTCCCGCAATTGAAGTACGTCAAGTTTGATTGCACAAAATGTGGTGTGACTTTGGGACCGTTTCCGCAGGACAGCAATTCCGAGGTCAAACTGTCTTTCTGTCAGAACTGTCAATCTCGTGGGCCATTCACCCTGAATAGCGAGAAGACGGTCTACCGGAATTACCAGAAGCTCACTCTGCAAGAATCTCCCGGAACTGTGCCAGCTGGCCGTCTGCCTCGTCACCGGGAAGTCATCCTACTCTGGGACTTGATTGATTCTGCGAAACCCGGCGAGGAAGTTGAAATCACGGGAATCTACCGCAACAACTACGATGCTCAGCTGAACAACAAGAACGGCTTCCCCGTCTTTGCCACAATCATGGAAGCGAACCACGTAGTCAAATCCCACGATCAACTCGCAGGCTTCCGGCTGACGGAAGAAGACGAACGAGATATTCGAGCTCTTTCGCGCGACCCGAGGATCATCGAGAAGCTCATCCAATCGATGGCTCCTTCCATCTACGGGCATGATGATATCAAGACCGCTGTCGCTCTCTCGCTGTTCGGGGGTGTTTCGAAGCTGGCACAAGGGAAGCACGCTATTCGAGGCGACATCAACATTCTCCTGCTCGGCGATCCCGGTACAGCCAAGTCGCAGGTTCTGAAATACATTGAGAACACAGCGCATCGGGCAGTCTTCGCTACCGGACAGGGTGCTTCAGCAGTTGGTCTTACAGCCAGTGTCAGGCGGGACCCGCTCACACAAGAATGGACGCTGGAAGGAGGCGCTCTCGTGCTGGCCGACAAAGGCACCTGCTTGATCGACGAGTTTGACAAGATGAACGACCAAGACCGTACGTCCATTCACGAAGCCATGGAACAACAGACAATCTCGATCTCCAAAGCCGGCATCGTGACCACACTGCAAGCTCGATGTGCAGTCATTGCCGCCGCCAATCCGATCGGCGGACGCTACAACGGCACCGTGCCTTTCAGCCAGAACGTCGAGCTGACGGAGCCCATCCTCTCCCGTTTCGACATTCTGTGCGTCGTCAGAGACACCGTCGATCCCGCCGAAGACGAGCGCCTTGCCTCCTTCGTCGTCAACTCCCATGGCCGCGCCCATCCCGTCATGAGCAGTGCCCTCGGCGCCCAAACGCAGACAACCGCCGCAGCGAACGAAGACAGCATGGACACCGACACGCAAGGCCAATTCCGCAAACCCACCGGCGAGATCCCGCAAGACCTGCTGCGCAAATACATTCTCTACGCCCGCGAGCACTGCCGGCCCAAACTCTACCAAATCGACCAGGACAAGATCGCGCGCCTCTTCGCCGACATGCGCCGCGAATCCCTCGCCACAGGCGCATACCCCATCACTGTAAGTTTCCTTCCTTTCCTCCCTTCTTAGCGTGCACATTGCTCATGCCCACCAGGTGCGCCACCTCGAATCCATCCTGCGCATCAGCGAGTCCTTTGCCAAAATGCGCCTCAGCGAGTACTGCAGCTCGGCGGACATTGATCGCGCGATTGCCGTCGCCGTCGACAGCTTCGTCGGCAGCCAGAAGGTGTCGTGCAAGAAGGCGCTGGCGCGCGCGTTTGCCAAGTACACGCTGAATCGCCCGGGGGCGGTGAGGAGTCGGAATAGTGTGAATGTGAATGTGAGTGGGAGGGGGGAGGGGGTGAGGGTTGGGGCGTGAGGGGGATGGATTTTATGTAGCTCTTGCGTTTGCTTTGGTGTTGGGTTGTGGTGGTATTGGGTTGGAAGGGAGGGTACGTTTTACGTAGTTGTATGTGTATCTCCGTGCATCGCAGCGACCTGATTGAACGATTGAAGAACATTGTAGGAGAGAAAGAGTTTCATCATTTCATGCAATCCAAGCCTTCTCTCCAATAATGGAAGAAGCTGTAAGGGGTCTCTTGCTAAGCTGCCGCAGTTCCAATTCTGGTCTCATACCTAACCTCACCAAAACGCCGTGTGGGTATGCGTACAACCGAGCCGGGGGAAAGACAGACAGTCGCTACACCAAGCCGTCGTAGAGCGATAGCGCCGAGACGATGGTTTCGTCGCGCTTGCTGCCCTCCTGAATCATTCCAGACAAGTCAGCGGAAATGTCCATACCATCCGTCAACAAGTGATATCTTTCTCACCTTGAACTCCGCCATGTCCAAACTCCCATTCTCATCCTTGTCCATCATGCGGAAAATCTTCTTCACCCGCTTCTCCGGCGTGTCCTCGTCCTCGGGCAACTTGACCATGCTGCCGACCATTTTGTAAATCGCCTCGACAATCGCCAGCATCTCGTCGTAGGAAATCTTGCCGTCGCCATCAATGTCGTAGAGCTGGAAGGCCCAGTCCAGCTTGTCCTCCATCTTGCCGCGCGAGGTGACGGACAGGGCGCAGATGAATTCCTTGAAGTCGATGCTGCCCGACTTGTCGGCGTCGAAGACGTTGAAGACGTAGTCGGCGAAGCTGGAGGGGTCGCCGAAGGGGAAGAATTGCTTGTAGATTTTTTGGAATTCGGCTTTGGTGAGCATGCCGCTGGGGCAGTCTTTGAGGAAGCCTGTGAGGCGATGTTGTTCAGCGTTGTTCTCGCACAAGACGCATACGTCGGGGGGATATACCCTTATACCATTGCTGTAGCTCCTTCTTGTCAAAGTGTGTGGCACGCTGCAGATCGATGAGTTCTTGCTGCGACAGCTTGCTCTGACTGCGGGGGTGGGGATGGATGATTAGCGAGTGGGACTGAATTTCGACGTGCGAGATGCCGGCACCCTGCTGCATCTTGACGTCGAAGAGTTCGTGGATGCCGATCTTGAGGGCGCATTCTTGCTTGTCGCGGAAGGCGGGAAAGGAGAGGGAGAGGGTGCGGGGGATGCGGAAGGGGCGGGGGCGGGCGTAGTTGATTGCGCCGTTGATGGAGGGGGTGCGCTGTGGGAGGGGGTGGGGTTTAGGGGAGGAAGGGTCGGTGTGTTGATCGTGGTCGGGGTCGGGGTAGATGTCGTGGACCTTCTTGATCTCCTCGGAGGAGTCCATGGTTGTGGATGAGGAGGATGGAGGGCGGAGGAGCGGTGTTGCGTGTTTCCAGGCGACGATGAAGATGCAGCAGCGACATGGTGCAGCTCGAGTGAATGGCCGGAGATGCCTTGGGTGGTGACCTTGTCGCACGACCATCTTCACTCCCCCGAAAAGGAAAGACGAGAGCTTACCTCTTGCCCATCTTGGGCGTACCACCGCTTCCCGGCTTGTCTTATCCGCGTGAATGCGGGGGTTGAAGGGTCGTGGATGGTTGGAGGGTCGAACGTAGGGTCAGGATGAAGGATGAGGAGTAGGAGAGAGTGCGCAGGATGGTTGGAGTGAAAGAGGAAGATGTTCAGGACAAGACGTGCATAATCTTGCTGGGGGCTTCATCACTGACGATCTGTTGAAAAGGCAGGCCCCGCTATTGCCAAGGGCGCGTGGCTGTGCAAGCCGCGGCGCGCTCACGGGCAGGCCATTCACGAGGCCGCGCGACGACCCAGCGAGACAAGGCTCGGGGGAGCAGCCTGCGACGCGTGTTACGGTGTTGGCTTTCTTCTCTACGGTCTTGACCTCTTCCAACAGTGGTTCACGTCCGGGCAGGGCAAATTCGCAGGGTCGGTGGGTCGCGTGAGAAGAGATTGGGTAAGGTTCACGCCATCGCAGCTCCGTCCGTCCCTGCAGCGCGTCGCGGCCCGCCCAACCTCACCCTTCGGACACCTTAATTCCATCCTGAGGCATGTTTGCACCTCACTCCATCCAATGCCGCACACCATGGCTTCCTACTTCCCCGAAACCCTCGCTTCTCCCACCCTCGACAACGAAGATGTCTTCTCCCCAATCACCCCTTCCACCCCCGGCCCAGTAAAGTCATCCGCGCTGCAAACCCGCATCACCACCGTCTTGTCCGCCTCCTATGCCGACCTCGAAATCCGAGACGCCCTCGCCATCCTCGACACCCGCGGCCTGCAAAACACCGCCGAGACCCGGCGCAAGCTCCGCCTTGATGCCCAGCAAGACCTCGTACAGTGCAACGCCGAGATCGTCCGCGACTTTGGCCAAGTGGCGCAGCAGCTCAATCGCATCGGTGCCGCCATTGCCAATCTGAACCGCACGTGTGCCGACCTGCGGAAATGCGTTGGTGTTGCCCAGCGCCACACTGCTCCCATGCTGCAGGAGGGCGCTTCCATTTTGGCCGATAAGCAGCAGGTGGAGACGAAGCAGCAGCTCCTCGATGCCTTTCACGCTCACTTTGTCGTCTCGGACACTGACCTTGCCGTGCTCACGTCCACCGCTGAGCCAGTCAACGACGACTTTTTCCGAGTCCTCGATCGCGTCAAGAAGATCCACCAAGACAGTCACGTCTTACTCGGCGCCGAAAATCAACGCCTCGGGCTGGAAATTCTCGAGCAGAGCTCGAAACAGTTGAACGCCGCCTTTCAAAAATTGTATCGTTGGATTCAGCGGGAATTCAAGTCGCTCGACCTCGAGAACCCGCAGATCAGTGCACGCATTCGGCGAGCCTTGCGTGTCCTGGCGGAACGACCATCCATGTTCGAGGGCTGTCTGGACTACTTTGCCGAAGCCAGGGAGCGCGTGCTCTCCAACCACTTCTACGCCGCCCTGACCGGCGCACCCGTGGACCAACATCACCCAGTCATGGGCCAAGCAATCGAACTCTCCGCCCACGATCCCTTGCGATATGTCAGTGACATGCTGGCCTGGGCACACTCGGCCACGGTCTCGGAACGCGAAGCGCTGGAGGCGCTGTTCATCTCCGAAGGCAACGAAATCGGCCGGAGCATGCGATCGGGTATGGAGAGCGAGCCTTGGACTCGCAGGGATGGCGAAGAGGACACGCCGCCCATATTTGACGGCCGCAAATCCCTCAATCACCTCGTTGAACGAGACTTGGCCGATGTATTTCGCCAACTCAAGCAGAGAACCGAGCAAGTCATCCAAAGCCACGAAGACGCCACACTGTCCTACAAGATCGCCAATCTCGTCCTCTTCTACTGCAACATCTTCTCCAACCTCCTCGGCTCTGACAGCGAACTACTTGCCACCCTCCGGCCCCTCTCCGACACCGCGATGCGCAGCTTCCGCGCCACCATGCGCGACCAAATCGCCAGTCTTCAAGTCGAAGCCACCCTCGCCACCGCCGACCTCGCGCCCCCGGACTTCCTCCTCGAAGCGCTGGAAACGCTGCAAGTGCTGATGAAAAGCTACGACACCTCCGTTGTGAGCAGCGACCGCGCGGCACGCAGCGAAGGCTTCCAACCCATCCTCGAGGCAGCACTAGACCCCTTCCTCGCCGGCTGCGAAAACATGACGCAGCGCCTGCGCGCACCTAACGACCACATCTTCGCCCTAAACTGCTTGCTAGTCACCCGCGACACTTTACAGCAATACCCCTTCGCCGACCGAAGCGAAGACCTCCGCCCTCGAATCGAGCAGCACGAAGCGGACCTCATGCGCGCCACGCACGCCTGGTTCAGCGAACAGTCGGGCCTCAAAAGCCTCACGGACGTCGTCGCCGTGCCCGACGATCTCGCCTCTTTCTACACCGACTCGAAACTGCTTGTCTCCGTTGCGCAGCGTCTGGACGCCTTCCTGCCCACTGCCACGGAGGACGCGAGGGCTTTCCTGGCGCAGCTGGAGGAGAAGGGGTTGATGAGGCGCGTTGTGGAGGTTGCGGCGGAGAGGTTTTGTGAGGATTTCGAGGAGGTTGAGGGCTGGGTTCTGGCTGCTGATCGGGCTAGGGGGAAGTTGAGGGAGGAGGATGGCGGTCGAGAGGAGGAAGATGGGGAGGAGGTGTGGTTGAGGGATTTGTTCCCGCGGACGGGGGATGAGATTCGGGTTTTGTTGAGCTAGAGTTGCATTAAGCTGTTGTTGGCGGCTGGACAATCTAGCTCGTCGATATCGTACACTGTACACTGTCCATGCATCTATTCCCGCGTCCAGCTCGCAAGGGTATCTTGACACTTCCTGGCACCACTGCATGCAATCCGTTCCTCAGATCTCAGATCTCTTCACCTCTCCCCATAATCCCAACTTTCCAATATTGTAGACTATTTTCCTCACCCCCCGCCCTTCTTCCTCTCCCACTCCTCCGGCGTGAAACACTTTGGCGTCCACGCGTGAATCGCCGCAATCTCCTCCTTCAACACCCCATTCACCAACCTATGCCGCGCAAGCGTCGTCTTGGACGCAAACTGGGGGGACACGATGATTGCTTCGAACATTTGGCCGCAGCCGCCTGCAGACACGACAATCACAATCAGTACATTAGACCTTTTGGGAAGGAAGCAAGAGGCAAGGAGGTAGATGGGATGGATGGCTTACCGGACAAGTCGGAAATGTCGACGTGCGATGCGGAGAGTTTTTGTTCGAGGGTGCGGGAGAGGGTGGCTGGGGTTATGCCTGTTGAGGCTTGGGTTTGTTCTGCTGCGGCGTCTGTGTTTGCGGCCATGGTTGGTTGGTGATGTCGTTCGTAGATGGGAGGTGGAGAGAGAGAGGTGGTTCGGTGAATTTGGATGTGACATCAGTCGCACTTGCCTTTCTTGGACGCGGGACACGAACCTCCCGACCGCGCTCCTTCCCTTCACTTCACTTCACTTCCCACCTTGGCATCTTCGTACTCCTGCGCGAGGAATCCGTTGATGTTGCCAATCGTGTCTCGTGCCACGATGTCGTCCGCGCCATACACTCGCGCGGTAGTGAGCGCGATGCGCAAGCTGTACCCCGAAGCATTGGCGGACAAGAGTTTCGACAACACCGGCCGTATGCTTTCTCCTGGCAACCGTTAGACATGCGCACGCCGCTGACCTTCGCACAGTCCTGCTGGAAGCTCCCTTTGATCCGAGACGCAGACAGAGGAACTCTGTTCTGCTGACTATCGACCTGACCAAGGCTGTGGCGAATGAGGCTATTGCGCGCCAGGACTCGATTGTTGTTGCGTATCGTATGTGCCGTCACTTTTCCAACAAGGCTGGCTTGAAGCAATGGCCGACTGACGGAGATGAATCGTAGATCCCATCATCTTCCGCGGACTCAAGAGCTTGACGCTCCAGGACTCGCAGCAACAGAGTCTCCTCCGACTAGCTGCCGCGGGTATCAGTGTTAGTCTACCTCCTAATTCTTCAGGAACGGTGCAACCATCTAATCTCCTCCTTAGGTCTACAGCCCTCACACAGCCGTCGACTGCGCCCGCGGCGGCCTCGGCGACTGGCTCGCAGACATCGTAACCGGAACGCCCACCCACCTCCCCTCAGACCCAAAACAGCAACAGCAACAACCCCACCCCTCCGACCACACCTCCCAACAACCGCAAACCATCCCAAAGAGACCCCTCTACATGCTCCAACACCACCCCTCACAGCAAACTTTGCAACAAAAAGCCCTCTCCCTCGGCACCAAACCGCACGACCGGCGGCCCATCGTGCCCACCAGCATGCCCAACTACTCCCCCGAAGAAACGGGCATGGGCCGCATCGTGCGCCTGCACGACGCCGTGCCTCTAACGGCAATTATAGACAACATTGCTCTCGGGCTCGGGAATCCAAAGGGCTTTCCCATCGCCGTGCCGCAGGGCAAGCAGATTAGTGACATGATGATTCGCACTATCGGGATCTGCGCGGGTAGTGGAGGCCACTTGTTCGGGGAGTTGAGGGAACCTGTTGACTTGCTTTTTACGGGGGAGATGTCGCATCATGAGGCGCTGGCGGCGATTGAGAAGGGGCAGTGTGTGATTGCTTTGTTCCATAGTAATACCGAGCGTGGGTTTTTGAGTGGCGTGTTGAAAGGGCAGTTGGAGGGGGAGATTGCGGAGGAGGTAATTGCTTCCCTTCCTTTCATTGTGATATGGAGGCGCTAACTTGCTGGTACAGTGGAAACGGCTTCGAGACGAACAGCGCTCGACCAACGGCGTCGAGCACGACAAGGACTACCTCGCCGCGCTGGAAGACGAGAGCATCGAAGTGCACGTCAGCGAAGTCGACCGCGATCCCTACGGCATCATGATCGCCAAGTCCTAAGCAAACATGCATCCTCTCCATCTACCCAACAGCTCCCACCGGCCTAGCACCACTCAAATTGACTACCATCCCGGGACCAGGCCGCAAACCGCCCAACATCCCCGCCGCACCTCCAAACCCATTCGACACGGAAGTTTGCTTCTTCCACCCCGGCACAACCACCTCTCCACCGCTGTCCTTCTCCCTCTCCGCCTTGGCCCTCATCACCTCCCAAGGCCGCGGAAAGCCGGCAGCAAGGATATCGCCGCCCTTCTTCGCGCTGCCCGTAATGGCGAACTTCATCTGTCGATGACTGATGAAGCCGCCGAGAAAGCCCTGATCAATGAGCGAGGAGAGGATGGACTCGATGGCCGTGGTGTCCACCAACACTTCTTCCCCACCATGCGCAAAATGCTGCTCCACCCCAGCGAAATCGGGATCGACGTAGTCATCCGCCTGCAACCCCTTGGACTGCAACTGCCTCCTCTCCAGCCACTCCCACGCCCCGACCAAATCGTAAACACTCACAGTAGGCGTCACCTTACTCCGTAGATCGGCCGGGCGCGTCCCATTCAGAATCCACGTTTTGCGCACGAGTGATCTCCACACCAACACTTCGCCGCGATTCCGCAGCTGCAGCAGCATGCGGAAATGCAGGAACCACGCTGCGTGCTCGCCCTGCATGATGTCCGTGTGGTGCCGGAAAGCGGCTAAATCGCCTTTGCGGATCGCGTGGCAGAGGGGGAGGAAGCGCTCTGCTAGGCCGATGGCTTCGGGGCGATTGAGGAGTGCTTGCGAGGGGAAGCGGCCTAGAATGAGGTTCGAGGCGATGAGGTAGATGAGGAGCAGCCGGCGCTGGCGCACGCACTCTTCTCGCGCAGGACACTCATCATACGCAGCCTGCAGCGCCAACTGCGCGCGATAGAAATGCCCATTCTGAAACCAAAAGCGCCCCAAGTAATAGAGGTAGGCGACGCGCTCGCGCTTCGGGTAGGACGCCAGGGGCGGCGAGAGGTTGTAGATGTTCTCGAAAATCTGCGTCGCGTTGCGCGTCTTGCGGCACTGGAAGAGGATTTTCAGGCACAGGTTGGCAATCGTGTAGATGCCGCGCTTCTTGCCGGCGGGCGCGGAGTGCGCGGCGGCAGGCGTGCGGTCGTTGAGGCAGATGACGAAGGCTTGGCGGAGGGTGTTGGCTGCGCGCTCGGGGAGGGTCTCTCGCGGTCCGCCGTCTTCGTTTGCTGCTGCTGCTGCGCCGCCGCTTGAAGAGGCGTTCAGGTGCGCGGTGAGGGTGGAGCGTTTGTCTAGTCCTATTGCCAGGCGGCAAACCAGGCGAGCGATGGTGATGACAGTAGGGAGGAGTAAATGCCCCAGCGTCGCGTGGTTGAGCGCATTATTCGCCCGACTCTGCAACTCGCTCAGCAGCTCATAGGCCAGCAGATACCTCTCCGGATCGGCATCGATGTCGCGCAGGTAAGCAAGATACTGCACCATGAACTTGACAAACGCCGTCCACGCCGCGCCGTCTTCTGCATCCCTTGTCGTGGCTGCAGACAGCGCACGCTCGCACTTCTGCTCCAGCTGCTCTTCGTTTCCTTTGGGGTAGGCCTTCTTCAGCTCCGCGATGAGGTTCTGGTATTGCGGGTTGAAAGGCGGTTCGAGCACGAGGTACGCGTTCAGCTGCGCTTCGTTGCGCACTTTGATGAAGCCATTCACGGCCACGAGGAATTGGCCGAGGAGAGGCGTGTCCATCTGCGAAGAGGCTCGTGTTTTTCCTTCTTCTGCGCAAGAAGAAGTGCTTTTCGGACCGCCGGTTTCGCCGCTTCGAAAACGTCTGTGACGGGCCGACCGATTAGGCTCCCGACTTGGCCCAGGACATTATGCGCTGCGGTGGAAAGTTCGTCGTCGCTGAGTTCGTCGCGGCTGCGTTGGCGCAAGTGCTGCGTGATCCAGGCGAGGTTGAAGATGGGTTGGCGGGCGGAAGGTTCACGCGTGAGGTTTGGCGCCGGCGCGAAGTTGGGCCCGCGTTTCTGAGCCTGGCCGCGGACATTCATCCTTTCAATGGCCTCATTGAATGCGTGCGAGAAGGTGCATGAGTATAATGGTTCAAAGACGAGACATAACGAACACATCGACACCCATAGCAAGCAATACTGCATCACATTCCATTCCAGTCGGGACATAATTGGGCTCTACTACAACGCACTCCTTACGTACGAACCCAGAGGCTCTATGCAGGCATTCAGAGACACTCCGAAGACCAGGAAATTCCCTTTGAAGAAAAGAGCACACCCGATAGAAAGGGACTATAAGAAGCTACCGCGGTCTGCAAAACAACAACACTACCAAAAAGCAGCAAAACTGCCAGCGCCTGCTGCGCAACTCCCCTTCTCTCCACCTCGCATCCTCGCAGCACCATTGTCTTGTAGAAGAGAGAAACATTATGCACACTTCGCCCCTTCTCCCGGCTGCCTGAATGAATTCTGTACACGCGCCCCGTAATCCGTCTGACCCCGTACGATAGAAGAAGAGTGAGAAAGGAGATCACCCGCCACGCAGATACACGGCCTTGGAGGAGTAGTAGCTTGACCCCAGTGGATGCAAACCGTTCACGCTCCTGACCGTGTTCCCGTAATGCTCATGTTGTTGGTTATTTGTAGTCGAAAGGAATAGATCCGACGAGCGTAGTCGGCGATGATGCAATCGCCCTTTGAGCAGCTACCCGGCGTCGGTTCAACTAGAGACTGTGCGTAAAAGTCGTGAGTTGGGAAACAAGGCAAAGAAAAGACTCGCGGGTTGTGACCACTAAGAATCTTTTACATTGCTTGGCCCGGCACGGGCTTGCGGGCTGGCACACCAGTCTCGATGGGAGAGACGGGGCGCTCAGCAGAGGACACGCTCTGCGAGCGGCTGCGGTTGACGTCTTCCGTGGTCTCCGGCGACGGGGTGCGGCTACCAGCGGTGTTGGCACGCTCGCGGCCGGTGGGTGTGAGGGGACGGGGCATCATCTTGTTGCCGCTCGGGGGAGGCGGGCCACGCATGCCTGGTGGAGGAGGACCCATGGGACGGCCTTGGGCACCGTTTTGTGGGGGCGGGCGAGGCTTGACGGCGAGCTTGGAGAGGCAGGTACGAGGGCAGACACCTTGTTGAGTGCGGTCCATACGGATGCAGAGCGCCTGCGAAGAATGTTAGTGGGTGCGAGAAGGGTGACAGATCTTCGGTTTCCACTTACCCAGCCGTCATCGTACTCATGAAGCATGCGCACGAGCTGGCCGGACTTGAGCTCAAGCTCGTCATCCATGGTAGGCTTGAAATCGAGTTGGACGCGGTGGACGTTGTTGGGGCCACGGGGACCGGCGCCGACGGGGACAGCTGCAGCAGTGGCGAGCTGAGGAGTGCCAGCGCCGCTACCTTCCCAGGATGCAGTGGCGCTGTGACCACGCGTACGAGCGCCATCTTCGAAGGGGTTGCTAGCGGCGGCGGCACCAACGACGGCGGCGTCCGAGAAGGGGTTCTGGCCAGCCTTCTCCGACATGGCAGCGCCATTGGCGAAGAGCGAGGGAACAGCGCGAAGGCTGAGGCGAGGAGCAGTGGCACCGGTGCGCGAGGTGCCGGAGCCGACACTCTTCATGCTGGCACGCCTGTCTCCGGCCGGAGCGCCCACGGCAGCGGCAGTACCGCTGAAGAAGCTGTTCTGGCTGGCATGCTTCTCATCGAGCTTCTCGCCCCTCTCCGCAGTCTGCTGCTTGCGTCGGCGAATGCAGAACAGGGCCAGGCCGGCGACAATGCCGATGATAGCGAGAATACCGAGGGCAAGCCCGGCCTTTGCGCCGCTGGACATGCCGGAGTGTTGGTGGTTGAGGACACCAGCGTTGGAGGTGCTCACGGAAAGAGGGGTTCCTCCGGCAGTGTTCGTAGGAGCAGAAGCTCGGAGCGGCGAGCCCACCGCGCGAGTGGTAGAGGGAGCGGCGGGGCTGGACGAGGCAGAAGACGTACGCGTCTTGGCCTGGTGAGCACGAGACTTGGCAGACTCGTAGGAGTTGCCAGAAGATGCGGCAGTGGCAGCCGAATCAGGGGAGTTGCGGGTGTTGGTGTTGGCGGCAGCAGCGATGGTCGGAGTAGCATCGTTCCCGGATTGAGTCACGTACACGGCGGGGCCGGTGAACGTCTTTGCCTCGGTGACATAGACCGCGCTGACGACGGTGACGACATCCTCGGTGTCGACCTGTTTGCCGGCGTTGTGGATGAAGCGGTTCTTGTTGTCGAGGTTGACATGGCTCTGGCTGCCGGCGGGCTTCTTGGAGAGATCGATATGGCTCAGGCTGTTGCCCTTGGCAGACAGATCGATGTGGCTGAGGCTGCCGGGCTTTTTGGAGATGTCGATATGGCTGGCACTGCCGCGCTTCTGCAAGTCGAGCAGGTGCCTCGCCTCGTGGGCGTTCTGTTTGTGGAAGAAGGCCATGACGGTGCTTGCTCACTCCAGGTGAGAATTGTCAAGGGACAAGGGTGGTGGTGGTGGTGGTGGGCTGATTGAATTGCAAGTGGCGTGGTGAGACGTGTTGTGGAATGTGGCCGTCGAGGACACACGTGCAAGGAAGCTGGTTGACACGCTGGAATGTGCGAAGGGGCACAGCAAAGCAGGGGGCAGATGGATGAATGAATGACAGCAACGCGCTGTCCGTCGGTAAAAGAAGGGCGACGGGACCAGCGCTGTCGCGGAGAGGGAGTGGGTGAAGGGTGGAGGAGGTGGTGAAGGAGTGTGGTTGTTGGCGGTGCAGAAGGAGAGGGAGGAAGGAAACAGGAGATGGGCGTGGGAAGGTGTCAAGGAGTCAAGCGATGGGTTTGGGAAATTGCACGCCAAACAGCTCCACTCGGACGCGCTTTCCCGCCAGGTACCCGTGCGGTCGTGCGCTATGATTGGCCCGTGGGATGATCATCGCCATCTAGTCTGTCCATTTGGGGCTTAGACTGGAGCGGTTGTAATTGTCTCTGGCAACACGACCGTTGGATGCACTGACTGGGTTGTGATGATTCTCATCGATTGATGAGCCCACTGCTTTTTCGTCCTCTTCAACCCACGCGTCTGACATCACGGGAGGCAGCGTCATTCGCGTGCAGTATCGCATGGCCACGTTGCTTCCGTGGGTCGTACTGCCCTGTGTGCAGTGCACCTTCCTTGCGGAAGCGAAGCGTCTGCACGCGTTTCAGGAAGGCGTGCCGCCTGGTGAAACGCGACTACCCAGCGGCCGGAGTCAATCCAAGCTTGAGACACGCCAAATTCACGTGCAGAATACCCAGACATCTGTTCACGGAGGACATCTGCTGCGACACCATTGTCACCATCCGCGGCTATGGCTGGGGCACATCAAGCTCTGCGATGATCTTCTACACAAAGTCAAGGGCGGGGTACTGCACTTAGAAGCTCTTGCGTGCTTACCTAGTGAACGGGCAATCGCCGGCCTCGCAGTGAGCAGGCTATTGCCTCCTCCAAAGGCATGGTAATGGTATTCCATTGAGATACATTCACTTTCTCAATATTAAGTCATCTCTCTCCTTCCAGTCGGCGTAATCTTTCAATCCACAATTACATCCCACCTCACACTCTCCCTCTCCTAGCAAAATGGCCGACGCCCGGGACTTCGAGACAAAAGTGAGCGAGCGCTTCGGCCTCTCCGGCCGCTCCTTCATCATCACCGGCGGCGGTCGAGGAATGGGCTTCGGCCTCACACGCGCCATAGCACAGCAAGGCGGCAACGTCGCCGTGCTCGACCTGCTCGACCAACCCGAGGCGGAATTCCACGACCTGGCGAAGAAGTACAACGTCAAAGCCGTGTACAAACGCGCCGACGTCACGGACCAGGAATCGCTGGAGACGGCCTTTAAAGAAGTCGTTGCGGAGCTTCCGAACGTGAATGGCTTGGTGACGGCCGCGGGCATCGTGATCGACAAGCCCGTCTGGGAGCACGGGTGGGCGGAGTCGAAGAAATTGTCCGATGTGAATATCTTGGGCACGCTTTGGCCCGTCCGTCTGCTCGCCGATCATATCGTCCACCACAACAAGGGCGCCGGCGGCAGCATCGTCATGATTGCCTCTGTCGCCGCGCACGGCGTCAAAGTGCCCTTCCAGAACATCGCCATGTACGCCATGTCGAAAGCGGCAGTGAAAGGCCTGGCAGGGCCGATGGCCGGCGAGCTGGGCCCGTATAATATTCGCATCAACACTGTTAGCCCGGGTCCGACGGTGACGCCCATGACGGACATGCTAAGGGCCCGCGACCCCAAGTACTACGAGGTCTTTAAGACGGTGCCGTTCATTTACGGAATGGCGACGCCGGAGGCGGACATTGCCCCGGCGGTCGTGTATTTGCTCAGTGATGCTAGGTGAGTTCTTTGTGGATGTGAAAGAATAGGGAATTGTGTTGACTTCTCGCAGCAAATGGGTGACGGGGGTAGATATTCCGATCACGGGGGGCTCGCATGCGGGCATTTCGACCGAGTTATTGCAGAAGGGAACAGACAGCTTGTAAGAGAAGAGACGGGATGGCGGAACGTGGCCAGGCCCCGATTTCCCACCGCCTTAAGGTAGTACTACATCGACATTAGAATCTCTCGTCCATGCTCTAACCCCCCTGATCCTGTTGCCGTCGTTGCAATGCCTGCAATGCCTCCGTATGTGGCGCATTCACCGGCGCCTCCGGATCAACCGGCATGGGCCGTCTCCAACTCTCCGGTAGAGAGCTAGCAGACGTGGGGTCGTGGCTGTGTGCAGTCGGGAACAGGCGTGGATCATCCCGCGAGATCTTGGGGAAGATGTCGCGCGGCGGGTGGAGACGCAGCCGCCGTTGGGCAGCGTCGATCTCGAGCACATCTTGTTGCGTGTCTGCGGGCGGCAGACTCGATTCCGAGGGCGTGTGGGCGAGAGAGGCGGCGGGCGTTTCGCAGCGACTGCTCCATGAGGTCCATAAGACGTCGTCGGATCCGATTGGAGGCCAGGCGCGCCTTGCTGCGCTTGCTGCTTCACTCGGCACCTCGCTCGGAGCAGCGTCAACTCTGTTGCATGCGTTAGCGTCTGGCGTGATTCTCCATGCCGTAAACGATGTTGAACATCCATACCGCCCCACGATGTGTTTCAAGCGCAGAGACATACTGCACTGAGGAAGAAGAAGCTGGCAATAACCGCGACGACGACGACGACGTCGACGATGACGACGCTTCAACCCGTCCAACCAGGCTGTCGAGGCTCTCTCCCCGCCGCAGCCTCGCCAGCAATCCCGTCGCCTGCTCCTCCGAACCCGATTGTAAAGCGCCGAAAAGTCGCACCAGACGTCCGTAATCTTCATTCCGCTTGTTCAACTGGTGCTGCAAATGCTGCATCTTCGTGATGCCCTCCTCTGCAATATCGTACACGCATTCGGATTGACCGCGGCGACAGCGGCCGCAAATGGGCCGTTTGCCGTCGCACTGTGAAGCAGGAGAAATTGTTAGCGCTGAAGGGCAGAGGGGGATTTGCGGGGTTGGGAGGCGAATCGTCGCACCTTTGTCTTCTTGATTCGACATCGCGAGCACGCATTCTGTGTGAGGGAGGATCTCTTCGCGCGCTTGGGCGGCGAGGGCGCGTCGCCGTCGGTGAGAGTGATAGATGTCGCTGCATCCTCTGTCGCATTCGAGGCCGTGGTCGCGGCAGTATCACCCATGGTCAAGATAGGTCGACAAGCCGGCAACTCGAACTGATGATAAGAGCCGCGGTTGCGACGAGTGGAGTGGAAGAGGTGCTTGTTCTCCGCGCATTGTCTACCACAGGTTTTTCAATGATAACGTTCCAAAATGGCAGAAGTAGGAGGTGTGCAAGAAGATCTCGAAGTGGCGAGAAGGCGGCGAGACGGGATGTTTGGCAGCCGCGGCGGGCAAGCAAGCAACGTCGCGAAATGACCTGCCGCCATGTCATCGCCTCGGGGTGAGCTCCGTGAAATTCGACGTCTCGCCCCCGTTACATGGTGACAGGCTGCGGGGTCGTCTGCGGGATGATGGTGTTTGGGGGAGTGCCCATGTCTGAGCCCCGCATCTTATTTTCTGTGAGTGGTGTTTGTGCTGATCGTTGAGTTTGCGGCAGGTGCCGTGGGTGGCGATCGCAGCCTTGCGCTATGCAGTATCATCAGATACCGACACGGCTCAAGCAGGGCAATGAGCCCGACTCACGCAACGTCTCAAGCAACGATCTCTGATAGGTCGACCTGGGTAAACAATCCATTGTTAATTCGGTACACGCAGTACCAAGTCCTTCCTTGAGCGAGTCACTTAAAAGTGGGTTAGTGACACGAACAGATTGAGAAGTCGCCACTCAAATGCCCAGCAGCTTCTGCATCACCTCCTTTGCCTTCTGCGGCTCTACCGTCCCCTCCTCTCCCAGCCTCATCATCTGCCCCACAAGCCACATCACCTTGCCCTTCTGCCCTTTCTCTTTCACCGCAGCCACGACCTGTGGAGATTCCGATAATACCGACTCTGCCAATGCCACGTACCCTTCCTCCGATAGTGGCCGTAGGCGTAGTCCGCCCTCGTCGATGAGCTGCTCCACGGACGGTCTCTCGACAGTCGGTGGTAGCTCATGAATCGTCCGCAATAGCTGTTTCGCAGTGCGCGAGGTGATTTGCTTCGTGTGGAGGTGGGAGAGTAAATCGGCGAGTTCGGCCGCGGTGATCGCCACGTTTTGCCACTCCATGTCCGTTGTTGTGAGTAGACCTCCAAGTTCGTGGATTACCCAGTTCCCAGCCAGCCGGCCGAGCTGAGACGCCTCGTCGCCTTGAGCTCCGACTCGTGCGCGTAGCAAGTCGACAACCTCCTCCAGAAATTCCAGCCTTTCACCATCATCCAAGCTGACAATGGTCATTGCGTCCTTTTTGCTCAGTCCATACTGAGCCTGCACCCGCTCGGTAGTCTTGTCGGGAAGCTCAGGTAAAGTCTCCTCCAAATGCCTTACCAGATCGGACCCGATGATCAATGGCGGAAGGTCAGCATCGGGCATATACCGGTAGTCCACCTCGCCCTCCTTCCCTCTGAGCAGCGTCGTCTCCGTCGCACCAAGCGTCCATCCCCTCGTCTCCCCCTCAATGACGCCGCCGGCTTCCAGCACGGCTATCTGCCGGTCTCGCTCCGCAACAATCGCATTCTCCACCGCAGCGAAAGAAGACAAATTCTTGATCTCTGTCCTCTGTCCCAGCCCCGTGACGCCGCTGTATGAAGAAGTACCATGTGTCCCTCGCTGTCGCACAGAGACATTTACATCCGCGCGCAGTCCTCCGAGCTCCATGCCCGTCACACAAGCATCCACGCTCTTCAGCACGCCCTGGATTTTGCGTACAACTGCCGCAGCAGTCTGCGGGGAATGGATGTGCGGCAATGTAATGATCTCAATCAACGGGTGTCCCGCGCGATTCAAATCAATGTGATACGTCGACGGCGGAACCTGCGTTGTCTTCGCCGTATCCTGCTCCATCTGAACCTGCTTGATGCCAATATTCAGGCTGTCCGCTCCGTTCAGATCACCAGCCGGCACCCCATCGTCCGCGCCCACTCTCAAGACTCCATCCTTTGCAAACGGTTCGTAGAATTGCGTAATCTGGTATCCATTGGGCTGATCCCAGTGGAAGTAGTGCTTTCTATCCCACCGACTCGTCCGTTGAATCGTACATCCCAGCGCCAACGCCGCTCGCAGCGCAGGTATCAGCGTCGCCGGCTGAAACTGCGGTTGCGATCCAGGCATGGCGGCATCGAAGAGTGCGACGCGCGAATTAGGCAAGACATTGCTTTCCTCTGCCGTCGCAGCAGCGGATGAGAAGAGCTTTCGCGAAGTGTTCAGCTCGGCGTGTACTTCAATGCCGACGGTGAGCTCCCACTTCTCTAGCCGTGTATCTACCACCGAGGACTTCTTTTTACCGCTCTTCTCTTCTGCTTTGCGCCGCTTTGCTTCGTCTTTGAGGTGCTTTCGAAGAGGGATGGGCTCGGCTGGCGGCGCGCTCGTGAAGCCTCGCGATCGAAGCCATTTGGCTGCAATGCAGGGTCGTGGAGTGCGGGAGAGTAAGGCCGTGGCGGTGGAGAGGATGGCCGGCGTGGAGTACGCGGTTCGGGACAACATGCTCGAACAAGGAGGTTTGGAAACTATTGGAGAGTTGTGAGGTTCGAGGACATCGAATGGTGACTAAGCATTGGTTGTGTGCCTGAGGCTGGAATTGTGGTATCAAGGACACTCCAGCAGTCAACAAGAGCAATGAAAATGAATCACAGGACTTCACGGAAATGAACAAGCTCTGAACCCTCTCCAAACACCTTGCTAATCCCACAATGCGAAAAGCGAATCATCACACCACAATGCCCGTCCGCATGCTCTCCACCGTCTTCACCCCCACCCCCTTCAACTTCCCCAATTGCCCAAGCGAGCTCACAACAGCGGCATTCTCGTCCAGCTCGCAAAGGCAATTGACGATAGCCTCCGCTCGCTTCGTCCCCACGCCCTTCAACAGCTTGATCTGACTGACGTCCTTGCTGTTGACAATATCGAGAAGCTGACGAGTGCGAGGCGTCGTTGCCAATGCGAGCTCATCTTCGGATTCGTGTGCGTCGATCATGTGCTGGGTTGTGGTGTGTTCTTTAGGTATGGAGGCGATAGGGGGCCGACGGATCTTTGTCCGAGGCCTGTAGATGAACTCGTCGTCATCGTCGCATTGGAAGCCGTCCTGCGCTTCGTGATAGCTCTCGTCGTCGTCGACGGGCAGCTTCCGCTTCGAAGTCACGCGCTCGACGTGCGTTGGCGGCGCTTGAGGAGCCACCATGGTCTCAGACACAACACCACGCTTCTTCTCTGCAGCCCTCTCCTGCAATTTCGAAACCTTCCGCGCCAGCTTCTCATTCCCAGGGAAATGCGGCAAGGCAAGCTGGTACATCCTCAAAGCGCTGGCCTCTTCGCCGCGGACCTGATGCTGCTTCGCCATAAGCAGGTACTGCAGACCCTCTGCACGCTCGGACTCCTGGCCCTCCACCCGCTTCTCCAGCGCCTCCAGACGTTTCTGCATCTCCTCGGAAATGGGCTCGCCGCTGGACACCGTGCTACGGTCTGCGTGCTCGGCCAATGCTTCGGAGACTTTGCGGTCGATGAGGGCTTCGATGGCGTCTTTGCTCAGGCCCTGGGGGAGAGCCTGTGATGTCTTGGCCAAGTCGTTGAGGCGGGGAAACTTGGAAGGTCGATTGAAAGATGGGAGAGCCTCGCTGCTGGTCCGCTTTGTAGGCTGGAAATTGAAACCAGAAGAGCGAGCTTCGCTGGTATTGGCAGCACTCGACGTCTTGCCCGCGGGCTTGCTCTTGTCGGTGTACACCGAGAACTGCCTCGCCGGCTTGACAACGTTGGCAGCGACATCCCGCAAATGACCGTGCTGCGATAGTATTTTGGGCCGTAGAGGCTGCCGGAACATTGAGATGGATTCCACCGAGGGCGCATGGGAAACGCCGAGCTTCGCTTTCGTCGACTGCTCCTCGCGAAAGAAAGGCTGGTTTTCGATTTCATTGACCTCGATCTTCTTCGCCCGATTCGCAAAGTTCAGACTGCTGAGCGTGTCGAGGTGATAGCTTCGCACTGGGGCGAGGTTTAGGATCATGATTGCGATGCCGTTGTTTTGACCTAGTGAAAGGATGCGAGTCATCTTGCTCTCCCGATAGGGTATGCGAGCCTGCTTCTTGCTGATGGCCTCGACGCATTGCGCCAGCACGAACAACGACTTGTTGATGCTTGCACTCTCGACCAGCCGTTCCTTATTGTTGTCTGTTCTTCGGTTGTCTTCGGAGCCCGCGAGATCGATAGCAGAGGCGGTGCTCACACGTGTCTCGCCTCCAGTCGTCTGAATGATCTTGACGCAAAGGATGGCGTGCGAGCGGGAAGAGTGAGCGTTCAGCTTTGTGGCGGATGTGGAACGATTGACGTTCGCCTCGTCGTACAAATGTTCAAACTCCTTCAACGTCGTGCATGGCCGCTCTGTCAATCCGACGACGACGGTTTTGCCATTGTTGTCTCGAATGGATAGACCAGCCGGCGTGCGCTTTTCGGGCGGCTCGAAGAGATCGAAGACTTTGTCGTTGTAGATTTCGTAGTAGCTCATCACCACCTCCACGCCTGTCTCGCCCTCTGTGTCTTTCTCGATCTTTCTCGCTCGGCGGTATATGCTGGACAGTAGACGTGGAATGACTCCTCGATCATTGAGACTCTTGCCTCCGCGCATGGTGTGTGTTTTACCCGAGCCCGTAACGCCGTATGCGAAAAGGGTGACATCGTAGCCTTTGAACAGGCTCTTTACATTCGGCGCGACTGGTTAAAAATATTAATGGATTTGCTCCTGTTTGTGTATCCTTTGCGAATGCACTCACTCTCTTCTTCAAAGATCTTCGCCTGAGTCGTCTCTCTATCGTAGACACTGTTGAATTGGAACGAGAATGTCTCGGATTGACACCTGGGGTTCGGTATTTTGACCACGGCCGAGTCGCCCGTGGGCTCGATGATGGCATCTTTCTCGATTTCCGCATGCAGGAGTGGCCGGATGCGAGCAACCACCCGAACCGACATCGTCAACAAGTAGGATGCTGGGAAAGAGAATGTCGATTTTCTCACGTCTTCAATGGGCGGTGGTTTGGTCGCAAATCGTCAATTGAGGCCGGTGGAATTGGCTTTCGGGTTGTCAGGGGCAACGTCCGGACGGGTTCTCCTCCACATTCATCACTCCTCTCTCTCTGCACTCCACCAAGAGTAGGCCGGCATACACCGCCTAATCATGCATTCATGCAGCTCACATCCACTCGCTTGGGTGATGTGACCGAATCTGTATTCGCGGAAAGATGGGAAAATCGCCACATAGGCTTTTCCTCACGTTTGAAGCTCCTAGCCAATCAGCGCCTGCAGCCTTGACGCGCCAAACGCCATCTGAGGAACAGCCGCCGACAACGAGAAAAGATGAGACGTCAGCAGCGCCCGGGATAGCGACTCGACGCGCCGGCGCCATCGAGACTTCGTACACGACCGCGACTGGAGGTGAGTGCCTGGATTGCAGGATGAAGGGAATAGGCCACCACTCCACCGGCCTGACCATGAGGAGAGCCGTGTGACGACTCCAAATGCCACCTCCATCCACTCCACCCACGTAGGACTCATCCTATTCTCTGCACTTCTCCCCTTCTCCTCCGCGTTCTTTGCCACTCGCTTTTCAGCACTCACCACTGTCGTTTGCCTTCACCTTCTTGCTGTTCGAGTCTTCCTCATTCACTGCAATTTCCTACTCATCTACCGAAGCTGGTCTTCAATCACGTACACTAATTCTGCCAGACCTATCCCCTCGCAAGCAACACATTCGGGAGCACGGTGTCGCGATGCTGTCGATACTGGACATCCTGCTTCTCGTGTTGTGCGCAGGATACGCATCCGCCGGGCCACTGCGAAGACTCGAGAACACCACATCGGTCGACGGCTCCTCCACATCATTACAACAACGAAGTGCGAACGCGGCTCTCACCACGCAAAGCAACTTCAATCAGCCGAACACAACATTCATCACCAGTCGAACACGGCTTGATAGCTTCATTTCGAGTCGTTCGGCCTTTTCCAGCGGCTCGACTGTGAGTACCTTTTTGGCTACTCAGCTTAGCCCGAATGCTTCTACGAGTCATCCCGGCACCACAATATTAGGCTCGGGGGCAGCTTCATTCACGGGAACTACACAAAGCCTCAACTCGAACATCACCGCCACTCCAAATGCTGGCAATAGCCCCAGTCCTACTGCCGCAAATTCGAACTCGCCCTCAGCTGCTCCATTCGCACCCCCTTCCAACCCGAGGAACGGCACATCCGCCCAACCGAACAGTACGACGCTCGAAGGCACTACAACAACTACACTCGTGGTGACCAGGACGATACCGCGAGCCTTCCACGCCAACACCTCCGTCGCTCTCCCAAGGTTTTCGCAGCGTCCCGGTTCATCAAACGGTACACGAGGCTTTGGAGGCTTTCGCGGCAACGGAAGTGCCCCAAGCTCGACGCTGACCTCCCGCCCTCTTGACATCACCCCTTCGCACCTGATTCAACCCCCACCATCAACAGCTTCCTTCGTTCTAGGAAGTTCAACGCTAGAAGTCACCGTCTCTCAAATTCATGCCGGCGCAGCAGCAGCATCGAGCCGCGTTCCCGTCGCCTCAGAATCTGGAACAACGACCACCACCATCACTTTCATGAGCACAGTACATCAAACTATCACTGCGATCCGGCACTCGCAGACGTCCGTCGCAAACAGCAGTAACAACAGCCCATCAGTGAATGGGATTAATAGCAGCGCACGCGCAAGTACCCTGACAGGCAGCTCCTCTCCCCTCCCAACAACCTTCCCTCATTTTTCATACGATCCGACTTCAGCCAGCACTCAGCTCCCAGCTACGACATCCACGCCAAACACAGCCTTGCCACCCATCGTCTCAGCAACTTCGAGTCCAACGTCTACCACTTCAACACCACAGCAACTCTCTACCCCAAGTTCCAGTCCGACCACAACGCTTACGAGTCCTACAACCGCGCCACCTCCACCTCCTCCAGCTCCAAGTGCCTCTTCGCCTTCCACGCCTCCCACTTCTGCACTGCAAGGCATCACTATTGTGCCCATCAATCCAGAGGCGACAACGGTGACGGTCACTTTCACCGACGCTGCGGCTACTACAACGGTTGCCGAGGGCACTGTTACGGTCACAGTAACTGCGCAGGGTTCTGGGCGGCCCTGGTGGCATGGTGATTGAGGTGTACACTGAACCTGGATTTTGGGGGTCATATGCAATTCGGGTTAAACGATGCTTATGTCGGTGCATGCGTGGGTAGCGGTGATGAGATGGGTATGATTCTACTGTCATTTCGATAGCGAGCATTGCATATGGCGATACAAGTTCAGATCACCAATTCTAGCCCAAGAACAGGCAGTATCTCTATTTTCGTCAAGATTCATCAACATCCATCCCATCCTCAGCCATTCCTTTATCCTTTTCCTCACGCTCCTTACCCCTCGGCTCAAACATCTCCCACCCACCACCAGGCCCCCATCCATCCCTCGAAGCCGGTGGCGTGGTGAGTCCCTCTCCAACACCACCGTGGTCTTCAGGCATTCCAGGCCCCCGCACCCGCCTCCTCAACCGCCTCGTACTCGCCGGCGAATTCTGCTCGTGAAGTGCGTCCGCATCTTCATCGGTATCCATGTCGACGCTCTGACTGAACGTACGCTTAAAGAGGCGCGAATTCGTCCGTCTGTGCGCGTGCTTTGATCTTCGATTCCGCTCAAACGCCCTCTCCTGCTGCCTAGAGTCATCGCAGTCCAGCCGGGAGAGGTGAGCGGATAACCCATTCGTACTCCGGTCGGAGTCCGCCTCCGTCTCGGAGTTGGTGGTATCAGTGAGTTGCTGGGCGTCGAGGTCGCTTTCGGGCTCTTCCAGCGACTGCGGGTATATGGGGTGGATTTCGGAGGTATAGTCGGGGTCGCCTTCCTGCAGTTCGGAGACTTTCGGGCCTTCTTGGGTGGGGGTGTCTTGTGTGGATGATTTGGCTGGGCTGATGGTTTCTAAGGGGTGGATGGAGGCTACTGAGGCTGGGGAGGTGGAGCGTTTGGCTCGCTGTCTGCGGGCGAGGGGCGTGTAGGGTGGGGTTTGCGGGAAGGAGGGGCTGTCTTCCGTGTTGGAGCGGGTAGAGGATTGCATGTTGATCTTGGTGCTCGATGATATATCCAGAAATTTAACAGGATGCAAACTTGTTGGGTAAATGTAGCCTGAGTATAAGGTGTAAAGGGATAAGTTCGATCCGGTGGTGAAGATGCGTCAAGAACATCTTCGCAGGATCGGTTGTAATAAGGAGAACCGGCGGGCCCGGCTGCTATTGTACCTCCCGGGTTGATTGTGCTCTGGAACACAGAAACGGGAGTTCGCAGGCAGCACCAAGGGCGGGGGGATGCTCTCCTTGCTTCAAGTCCAGCCGTGGAATATGCACGACGGGACACAGCTGCTAGGCGCTCGGTTTGTGGAGGTTTAGATTACCTCAGGAGCGTCGGACAAATTTGATTGTAGCCTTGGTTTTTGAACCGTTCGTCACCTCAGAAGACCAGGCAATTGCTCAGCTCATGCATCGTCGGGGAGGTCGACTCGAGGTTGCATCGCGGCACTCAGATCCCGCAAGTCATTCGGTTAGTATTCGTGTTCATATCGCACGGAACAGATATAGCAAACAAAACACCCAGCCCTACGATGGGAACTCGAAATGCCGCAGCTCGTTGATGATCGCGGAGTCAGTATACGTGAGAAGTCTTTGGGAAGCTGCACGTGACGTCAAGGCTCCAGGCATTGAGGGGGGCAGCGGGAACATCCGCGCCGCTTGAGTAGGGGCCACGTTAAATGTTTCGACGGTGTGCACGCATTTCCAGCCAACAGCCATTCGCTCTCCCACCGCCTCTCCGTCGACTGCATTGCTTGGAATTGTGAAGAGGCTTGAATGAGGCCCAAGACAGATCTATAGCCCCGCCCCAGGTCCACGCGTTGGAGCTGAGGCTCACCCATCGTCGCCCGCCATGGCCGCTTCCTCTTCCTCCTCCTCCAACTCCAACTCCATGCTCACCAAATTCGAGTCCAAGTCCTCTCGCGCAAAGGGCATCGCCTTCCACCCCAAACGACCATGGATTCTCGTCTCTCTCCACTCCTCCACCATCCAGCTATGGGACTATCGCATGGGCACCCTCATCGACCGCTTTGAAGAGCACGATGGCCCCGTGCGAGGCATCGACTTCCACAAAACCCAGCCGCTGTTCGTGTCAGGAGGCGACGACTACAAGATCAAAGTCTGGTCATATCAGACGAGAAGATGTCTGTTCACACTGAACGGCCATCTGGACTACGTGCGCACCGTCTTCTTCCATCACGAGCTCCCATGGATCTTGTCAAGTTCCGACGATCAGACTGTGCGGATATGGAATTGGCAGAACAGGCAGCTCATCTGCACCATGACCGGCCACAACCACTACGCCATGTGCGCACAGTTCCATCCCAAGGAGGACCTCATCGTCTCCGCCTCTCTTGATCAATCCGTCCGAGTGTGGGACATCTCAGGGTTGAGGAAGAAGCACTCCGCCCCCACCTCCTCCATGTCTTTTGAAGACCAGATGTCGCGTCAAGCGCAACAACAGGCGGATATGTTTGGCAATACAGACGCGGTGGTGAAATTCGTCCTGGAGGGCCACGATCGCGGGGTGAATTGGGTGGCCTTCCACCCCACTCTCCCCCTCATCGTTTCTGCCGGCGACGACAGACTCGTCAAGCTCTGGCGCATGAGCGAGACAAGAGCGTGGGAAGTCGACACGTGTCGCGGCCATTTCCAAAATGCCTCCGCTGCCCTCTTCCATCCACACCAGGATCTCATTCTCTCTGTGGGGGAGGACAAGACTATCCGCGTGTGGGACTTGAACAAGCGAACATCAGTCCAATCGTTCAAGCGAGAGAATGACCGCTTCTGGGTCATTGCAGCACACCCAGAGATCAACCTCTTTGCCGCCGGTCACGACAACGGAGTGATGGTGTTCAAACTGGAGCGCGAAAGACCAGCATCTGCCGTCCATCAAAATCAACTTTTCTTCGTCACCAAAGAAAAGCACGTGCGGTCTTACGACTTCACCAAAAACATCGAAAGCCCGTCCATGCTTTCGTTGAAGAAGCTCGGCAGCGCCTGGACCCCTCCTCGGACATTGTCCTACAACCCTGCCGAACGATCCATTCTCCTGACTTCGCCAGCCGACAATGGCGTCTACGAGTTGATCAGCCTGCCGAAAGATGCTTCTGGCGCTGTTGAACCGTCGAATACCATGCGTGGCACGGGCAACTCCGCCGTCTTCGTTGCTCGAAACCGATTTGCCGTGTTCAATCAGTCCACCCAACAGATCGACATCAAAGATCTCTCGAACTCGACGACAAAGACTATTAAGCCTCCTCACGGGACCACGGACATGGTTTTCGGAGGTACTGGCTGCTTGCTTCTCATCTCCCCTACTACAATCTACCTCTACGACATCCAGCAAAAGAAGCAGTTGGCCGAGCTCGCGGTTGCTGGAGTGAAATATGTGGTCTGGTCCTCTGATGGCTTGTATGCTGCGCTGCTGAGCAAGCACAACGTCACGATTGTGGACAAGTCGCTCAAGCAGATTAGTACCCTGCATGAGACGATCAGGATCAAGAGTGCCTGCTGGGACGATGCGGGAGTGCTTCTCTACTCGACACTCAATCACGTCAAGTACACTCTGATGAACGGCGATAACGGGATTGTGCGGACGCTTGAACACACAGTCTACCTGGTCCGGGTCAAGGGCCGCACAGTCTATTGTTTGGATCGCGCTGCCAAACCCAAGATCCTCACCATCGACCCTACAGAATACCGCTTCAAGTTGGCGCTGGTTAAACGGCATTACGATGAGATGCTGAACATCATCAAGAACTCCAGTCTGGTCGGCCAGAGTATCATCTCCTACCTGCAGAAGAAGGGCTATCCCGAAATCGCGCTGCAGTTTGTCCAGGATCCGCAGACACGCTTCGAGCTTGCCTTGGAGTGCGGCAATCTCGAAGTGGCCGTGGATATGGCCAAGCAGCTCGACCGGCCCGTTTTGTGGCAACGGCTCAGCAGCGAAGGACTCGCGCACGGCAACCACCAGGTGGTGGAGATGACCTATCAGAAGCTACGAAACTTTGACAAGCTCTCGTTCCTGTACCTGGCCACTGGTGATGAAGAGAAGCTGCACCGCATGGCCAAGATTGCAGAGCATCGAGGCGACATTGTCAGCCGCTTCCAGAACTCCCTATATTTGGGTGATGTGCAGAGCCGGATTGAGATGTTCAAAGAAATCGATCAGTATCCTCTTGCCTATTTGACTGCCAAAGCACACGGCCTCGACGACCAGTGTGAGGAGATTCTCGAAGCCTGCGGCCTGACCGCGGATACCGTGAGTTTGCCTTCGTTTGGGCAGCCGGTCGAGCCACCCAAGGCCGTCGCACCCACGTTCAAGTCCAACTGGCCGAAGAGGGCGACGGGCGCCAGCTCTTTCGAGAAAGCTCTTATGGCGGATGGCGATGACACTGCAGCAGCAGAGACCAATGGCTTTGTCGAAGAAGACCTGCTGGCCGAGGACATTGTGGCTGAAGCCGGCGGCGATCTGGAAGAGGCAGATGATGAAGACGCCGCTGCCGGATGGGACATGGGAGACGATGCCGTTCCGGAGGTGGAAGAAGACTTTGTCAATGTCGAGGCAGCGGAGGCCGGCGCCGGCAGCAGCGAAGCGGATTTGTGGACGCGCAACTCTCCACTCGCCGCCGACCACGCCGCTGGTGGAAGCTTCGACAGCGCGATGAACCTCCTCAACCGACAGATCGGCGCCGTGAACTTCCAACCTCTGGAGCCGCGCTTCCTCGAGATTTACCAGAGCACGCGCACGTACCTCCCCGCCAACTCCGGGCTTCCACCACTCGTGAACTACGTCCGTCGCACACTGTCCGAAACCGACTCGCGCCGTATCCTCCCCCTCATCCCCCGCGATCTCGAGTCCATTCAAGCGGGCGAGATCACCGCCGGCAAGAACGCGATGAAAGTCAACAAGCTAGAAGACGGCGTGCCCGCCTTCCAGAAAGCCCTGCACCTCCTCATGGTCAACGCCTTCTCCTCGGCCGCGCAAGCGCAAGAAGCGCAAGCGGCCATCCACTCCGCCGCGCAGTACGTCCTCGCCATGTCCATTGAATTGGAGCGGCGCAAACTCGTCGGCAAGGAGACGGATCTATCGTCTTTCTCCGACGAGGACAAGAAGCGCGCGCTCGAACTTTCGGCTTACTTCACCGTGCCGGGCATGGACAGCCAGCATCAAACCCTCGCGCTGTTCTCCGCCATGAACTTTGCGAATAAGAATAAGCAGCTGGGCAGTGCGCTGGGTTTCGCCAATGCGTTGATTGAACGCGGCACGAACGCAAAGTTCAAAGAGACTGTATGTCCCCTTTTCCATTCCTCTACGAGTCTCCTTATGCTGACCACCTTGTCTTATAATCAGGCCCGCAAGCTCAAATCCGTGGCCGAACGCTCGCCCACCGACCCGCTCGACGTGGAATTCGACACATTCGGCGAATTCGACATCTGTGCCGCCAGCTTCACCCCCATCTACGCTGGGGAGGCGAGTTTTGCTTGCCCCTTTTGCGGCGTCAAGTATCATACCAAGTACAAGGGGACGGTGTGCAAGGTTTGCCAGGTTTCTGCTGTTGGCGCGCCGAGTAGTGGGTTGCGGTTGGTGGTTTGAGTGGTGTGTTTGTACTTGGTTTGGGGGATGGGATTGGGGAGGACGATGATGATGCATGATGGGGGAGGTCAAAAGATTGCGATAGACTATTATATCTTACATAGTCTGACAATGGCATGAAAGCAAAGGCATCAGTCTATTTTACACAGTCAAGACGAGTGCATTGTTGGAGAGGATGGTTGTAGTCGTGGACAGATGATCTCCCTGCACTCAAGTCGCTTGTGATTGGCCAATGAATTTGGAGGCCCACCTGCGCTTTCTCGAAAAGCATTGAAGCTCGTGAGAACCTCCAACCTTGAAGAAGCCCCCTTCACAACTTCTTCTCAACCTCTCCGGGCCTTTGTTCAGCTGCATCGCATCCCCCCATGCCCCCATTAGCGTCGCCCTGGCGCGCATCATGCAGCACCTTCAACGCGTACAACCCCGCCCTCGCCCTCACATCCGCCTTCGCGTCGACAGCTTTGCACAGGACGAAACCCCTCCGTTCGACGCCTCGCCTTCACCTTTCAACATCCAGTCGCCGCTCCCTCTCCATCAGCACAGCAAGACGCCTGCCCCCTCCCGGCAACGATGCGGTCGACGCGGCGCTCGCCCAGGACGTACAGAGCCTTCATCCCGACGGCAAAGGCACATATGCCAGCTTCGACAAGTTGAAGGGGATGCTGGCTCAGCGCAAACCTGGTAGTAGACCTACCAGAAGTGCGCAGGCTGCTGCTCCTACCCCGGCAAGGAAGGCGCGGGGACAACCTGCCAAGGCTAAAGTGGATGCTACTCCGGCTTCCTCTACAAGCGTTAAGGGGGAGGCTGTTGTTGAGAATGTTGAAGCTGCTGCGAGGCCGTTGGAAGGAGGTGAAGATGATGCGGCTCCGGCTGGCGGGTGGTCATTGACGCGTCAACCTCCGAGAAAGGCAGACAAAACTTCGACCAGGGGACAGCGCAAGACGGCAGCGAAGCAGGCTTCTCCGAATGATATATCCGCAACACAGACATCTACGAACCAGCCTTCTACGGGACGCCCCGTCGCTGCAGACGACGCGCTTGCAGTTGGAGACACTGCTGCATGGCAGATGTCTATGAAGCAGATTGCACAGGACGCGCATGCCCTTTACGACTCTGAAGCATCGCTGGACAACATGTCCGATGCAGATATTGAGGCCATCCGAACAAAGCTCGAATACCGAGGTGCTTACATTCCCTACCCCGACAGCCCACTGTCTCATCCCACACCTCTGCCGTGGGTCCTCTCACCTACGGACTCCTCCAGCATGACCGCTCGAGAGGCATTGGAGACGGAGATCCACCGGTTCGTGGAATACGCGCAGTGTTCAGACGTGGAACGTGTGGCGCGCAACGCAGTCGTCCAAGAAGTGCAGGCGACAATCGCCAAATACACCTCCCACGACGGCTGCGGCAGCGAAGTGTTCGGATCCGAGGTCACCGGCCTAGCCCAAGCAGCATCCGACATCGACATGCGCTTCACATCCCTCGACGACCCCTCCGCACCCCCGGCTCGGCTTGGCCCCCCGTTGAAACACCTCTACAACGTCATGAAGGACCACCCAAGCTACATGTGCGTCACCTTCCGGTACGCCGCCTTCCCCATCATCAACGCCCAGCACCGCGCCTCCGCCCTCGACCTCCAAATCGTCTCCGCCCCGCCCACCACCCCCCAGCAACAAATCACCCAGCAATACCTGCGCGACCTCCCCCACCTGCGTACCCTCTACACCCTCCTGCGCGCCGCCCTCGGCACCCGCGGCCTGCACGACGTCTTCAACGGCGGCACAGGCGCCTATGGCCTGTTCATCATGCTCGCCGCAGCCCTCCAACGCCGCTTGCACGCCGCCCCCTCCAGCCTCCCCACCCTCACCGACCAACTCCAGCACGTCCTTTCTTTCTACAAAACCCTCGACACCGAAAAGCACGGCCTCACTTCTACGCCGCACCCGAAACTCTTCGCAAAGCACGACGCCCTCACCCAAGTCGACACCAAGACGACAAAACAGCTCGTCAGCGCCGCTTTCGCGCGCAAAGACGCCGTTCGCGCCGGGCAATGGGCCATCGGACAGCGCAGAGCATTCCAACCTTACCTCCTCTGCTTGCAGGATCCAGCAAACCCAACGAACGATCTAGGCAAGCGCGGCAACGCCATTAAGCATGTGATCGAGACGCTGGAAGTTTTGGGCCGGGAGCTGGCGCGCGGTATTGAGAAGTGGGATGCTGGAGATAGGAGTGCGGAGTCGCTTTTGTTGCCGCTTGTGGGGAGGTGTCATGAGGTTGATTTGGAGCGGAGGCGGAAGTTGGAGGAGTTTGGGTTGCGGGTTTTGGCGGAGGGGAAGAAGCGTAAGGCTGGGGTGGAGGCGGTGGAGGAGAGTGGACAGGTTGCTGTTGCTAGTGCGTGAGGGAATGGAGAATCAGGCAAGCGTACGCGTCTTCGGATGAGAGAGAGTGTGTGTGTAGAACGAATGCAAAAGACAAAATACTCAGCTCTTTTCGGGGTATCTCGATGCTTGTTCGTCGTGTTATCATTCTCATTCTTTTGAGCATCACCGAAAGCAACCCCATTTTCGAACTCGTGAAAGCATTGTTATTCCCCCCTCTGAACTCCATCATTCCTCACGCAGAGTTGAAAGCCCTTGAAAGCCCTGATATCACCTGGCGCACGCGTCATCTAGACATCCGACGAACGCTCCTCATCAACTTGATACACCCCATCCTCCTCCTTGTACTCGCCCAACTTCGCCAGCGCGTCAATGACGTCCTCCGGCTCGGGCAAACACCAGCTGGCAAGCGTAGGCTTGGTGCTGGGCCCGACGGCGACGGTGAAGATGTGCTCGGCGGGCAGGTCGGAGGAGCGGAATTTCTGGAACATGTCTGCGTCACACACATAGGTCAGCACTGCCACGGAGATAATCGAGGGAGGGGGGAAGGAATCTGACCTTCATCCGTCGAATCGTCGCCCAGGCAGAGGATGAAGTCCGGCGCCTTGTCTTTCCCATCTCCATACGCCAACACCACCCTCTTCACAATCTCCCCCTTGTTCACGCACTGCGGACGCACCTCCAGATTCGCCTTGCCGGCCATGACTTCGATTTCGTACTGCCGGGCCAGCGTATCCTCGAGCTGCTTCCTGCACGCCTTGGCCAGCTTCTTCGCCTCCTCGGGCTCCTCGGCGCGCCGATAGTGCCACGTGACGGCGATCTTCTTGCGCTCAATGTACGAGCCGCGCGACGTGGCGGAGACGGCGGCGAAGACGTCCGTCACTTTCTGCTGCCACGTCATGTCGAGCTGCTCCGTCATGTCTTCCCAGGCGGCGGCGTGCGGGGCGCGTAGGAAGGCGCCGTGCTCGGCCGACAGGCCTAGGGCGGGGAGGTGGCCGAATTGGGCGGCGAGGAAGGTCTGATCGCGGCCGGAGATGATCCAGACTGCGTTGCGCGGGTTGGAGGCGAGGGTTTGGATGGTGTGGATTGTGCGGGGGCTGGGGAGGGCGGCGGCGGGGTCGCGGACAATGGGGGTCAGGGTGCCGTCGTAGTCGAAGAGGAAGAGGCGGCGCTGCGCGATGGAGTACTGGTGGAGGAGTTTGTTGGGGTCCAGGCCGGGGGTGTCTTGGGAGCGCTCGTTGGAGATGAGGTTGGCCATGAGGCGGGTGATGCACTTTGTCGTCCAGGCCTGGACACTGTTGGAGGTGGCAAAGTCGAAGTGTTCTTTGTGGTGCGCCGCCTTGGTGTCTTCATCCATGGTGACTGCCTGGTAGATCTTGTCGGCCATGTCGTTGATGTTCCAGGGGTTGACCTTGAACGCCTTGTCGAGGCTGTCGGCCGTGCCTGAGAACTCCGAGATGATGACGGGGTTCTTGCGGTCGCGCTGGCAGAGGATGTACTCCAGGGCGGTGGTGTTCATTCCGTCTCGCAGACTGGTGGCCATTGCCAGGTCAGCAAGCCTCAGCAAAGCGAGGTATTGATCCTTCCTAAGGGGTTTGGCATGGTGAGTGACGGGTAAGTAGCCAAGATGCCCGTAGTCGGCATTGACCTTCGCTGTTATCCCGTCAATACTGTCGCGCTGCAAATCTGACAGGCCCGGGCCGAGTGGGCTGGTGATTTGAACCATGACGACCTTTCCCACCATCTCAGGATGGCGGTCCAGAAAGCGTCCAAAGGCCTCAATCTTTTGCATGATTCCACGTGCCGAATCCAGTCGATCGCGGCCCATGATGACCTTTCTGCCGGTGTGTACCTTGTCGTATTCCAGGCCAGCGATGATAGTACTCACACTGACGCTGAAAGCATGCGACAGGATTCCGCGGGCGTCGAGTCCGATGGGAAAGACCTCAAAGGCGGTGTACGCTCCCCGATATTCCACGCCTTGGTCAGATGCTTGGAGAGACAAGATGCGCTCGCAGCTGTACTTGAAGTGGGCCGCGTAGCTCTTTGTCTGGAAGCCGACGGTGTCAGCGCCGAGCATGCCATGCAGCAGCAGCTCGCGCGTGGGCAAGGTGCGGAAGTACTCGCTGCTAGGGAAGGGGATGTGCAGGAAGAAGCCGATGTACATGTTGGGCATCAGACGCCGGAGGATGGCAGGCAGGAGGAGAAGCTGATAGTCGTGGATCATCACCACGTCGCCGGGGCGGTAGACTTCCATGATGGTCTGGGCGAAGAGCTCGTTCATGCGGTGATAGTTGCGCCACGCCTGCTTTCTGACTTCCGGATGGGAGGTGTCGTTCCGCTTGTAGTGAAAGAGGCCGAAGAGTTCGTGCTCGCCGTAGCGTCTCCACTTCTCCTGCTCGCGAAAGAGATGGGTGTCATCGGCGGTGATCTCATCATGGAGCCAGACAGGCTGAATGTGGCCGCCATACTTGCGCTTCACTTGCTGAGTGAAGTCGTTGCGAGCTTGTGCGGAGAGCTTGAGCGAGTGGACCTCCTTGGGACGATAGGGTGCATAGAAAGGAGAGACCTCTTTGGGGGCGTCGTGGATCTTGGGGTCCCAAACTTCCTCAATCTCTCCAGTCCACGCAATGAGCTTGTGGGACCACTCTGACTCTGTGGAGGAGAGGTAGGAGAAGGAGTCGAACAGAGCGGATGTTCCCTTCTGCGGTAACAAGTTCTGCATCTTAGTTAGCACTGCTCGAATTGTAGTAGATGACGAAGAACGTACGAAGTCTTCAACGTCGATATCGTACTCCACCTTGTAGGGGATGCAGAAGTTGACACTGATCACGTTACCGCTGAAGCCCGGCAATTCAGGGGTCGGGATGGAAGGGAGAGGGGCGTCGACAGCAGCCTCAGCAGAAAGGCTCAGGCGACGGACGAGTTGCTGGGGAGATTGGGCGCCACTGGCCATGTCCGACACGGAACTGGCGCGCGGACGGGAAGCACCTGGAGATGGGGTGGGGGTGGACAGCTTGGGACTCGTGGCCAGGGTCAGCGTGGAGCCATTCTGAGCAGCGGTAACGCCGTCTGAGGGAGTGGATGTGGCGTCAACGTTGTCCAATGACGGGAAAGAGGTGTCGTCGGAGTCTTGCGACGCTGCAGTCGAAGAGCGGCGCGGTGCCTGCGTCAAGTCACCTTCGGCGGGCGGCATCATAGCGGGCCTTGCGAGATGCAGCAGGGGTTCTTGTTGTCTAGACGCTGCACGATTAGCGGCCGAACGATGAAGGTGGTTAGGATTGACGTGGATTGGTAAGGTAGGGAGAAGATCCAACACCGAGAAATCGGGAAGAAGGACTTCCGTTGGTGGGAGTGGGTGAGGAGGAGTCTCCACTTGCATACCTGCAGAAGCCAGTCCGGCAAGTTGCAGATGTTGACGAGGCAAGTGCGAGTCAATTTGCAGCGGCTGCTGTTATTGGTATGGCTAAGAGAGTGTTAGCCCTCACGATCCACGGTTCTTGAAAGCAAGATGGACACGATGGGTGGGTGCAGGGCAGGGGGGGAGGTTGTGGTTGTGGAAGAGGAAGGGAGGTGTTGGAGGGAAGAAAAGGCTTGCAGGTTGTTTGCGGACGGGAAGAGAAATGACCTTGATGCGGAAGAAGCCTTAATCGATGCGCCGTTTGCACAGTGAGTCGAGCGGCGTTTGCACGCTGAGGCGATGTCGCTCTTGCCATATCGCGAGCAGCTCCAACCTTTTGTATGGCGAGTCGGCCAGCTTACTTATGTCCGCCTGATGGGACGCACGACATGTCACTGAGAGACAGCCAAGCATTACGGTGGTGAATGGACAGTCGGTGCATAGATGTGATGGAGCTTGTGATGATATATCGTCTACCGACAGCTCGGTGGTGTGACATGCCACTGGTGCGGTGGATGAGGGCATCCCTCGTGGATACCAGGCCTCGTGCAGCCATTGCCAGGCCAATGAACCCCACGATTTCGAACACGTCGCATCAGGTGCATGCGTCTTTCCACCGCGTTCCATCTCGGGCGTGTCTTTACCGAGTTGCATTGAACATGGGAGATGTCAAGAATGTGATACGTCTGGAATTGCGGGTCTCACGACTTCCTTCCTCATCCGACGCGCGCAGTGACAGCATTGGGCCCCACTATCCTCCCGCTAACCACGCGCACCAGCAATTTCGGAATGGGGTTTGGCAGCTGGGCAGGTGTTCGCGACCTCGCAAGACAACCTTCAATTAAACCCATTCCTCACATCCATCACACACCATGGCGGAAGAGGCCCCGGTTGGTACGTGATGACCTGGTGCATGCACCACCACCCTCCCCCCTCCACTCTGCTGCGCTCCAGCTAACCCACTTCCCCCCGCAGACTACTCGCTGTCCAACCCAGACACCCTGACCAAGTACAAGACCGCCGCGCAGATTTCCCAAAAAGTCCTCGAAACCGTCGGCGGTAAATGCAGCTCCCTCGCACTTCCCCCCGTCGCGGCACCTCGCTAATCCCCTTCCCTCCCCAGGCTGGTGCAAAGAAGGCTCCAAGATCCTCGATATCTGCCAACGCGGCGACAAGCTCCTCGAAGATGAGATCGCAAAGGTCTACAAGGGCAAGAAGATCAGCAAGGGCATCTCCCACCCTTGCACCATCTCCCCCAGCTCCTATGTCACCCCCTACACCCCGCTCGTCTCCGACGCCGAAGAGGCTGCCACCGAATTAAAGGCGGCCGAGCCGGTCAAGATCCAGCTGGGCGCGCAGATCGATGGCTTCGGCGCCATTGTCTGTGATACGATCCTCGTTCAACCCAAGGATGACTCCGAGTCCGCTGTCACCGGCCGTGCAGCGGATCTCTTGCTGGCGACGTACTGGGCGAACGAGTTGCTACTACGCCTGATGCTGCCACCGGGCTTGCTTGCATCTGGCACGGAGGAAGAGAAGAAGAAGGCGTCAGCACAGAAGCCTTACAGCCAGTCCAAAATCACGCAGCTCCTCGAGAAGGTCGTCAAGACGTACGAGTGCAACCTGGTGGAGAACACAACGTGCTGGCTATTCGATCGCAATGAAATCGAAAGCAAGAAGAAGATCATCCTCGGCCCCGGCGAGGGCGTCAAGGGCGAAGGACTGCCGGAGATCGGCGAGGTCTGGGGTGTCGAGGTGGGAGTCAGCATCGGCAACGGCAAGGTCAAGACACTTCCCAACCGCGCCACCCTCCACCGACGCACCGCCACCACCTACGGCTTGAAGCGTCCCAGCTCGAGAGCGACGTTGTCGGAGATTGTGAAGAAGTTTGGCACATTCCCTTTCAGCTTACGCCAGCTCGAGGACGAGCGGGCCGGAAAGGTGGGCATTGTCGAGTGTGTGCGTGGAGGTGTGATTCGACAGTACGAGGTTGCTGGCTCTGCCGATGCCGAGCCTGTGAGCCGGCTATTCACCACCATCGGTGCGTCTTCCTGATGAGCGTCTGTAAGGGTGTGCGTGGAAGACTTGCTAATTATTCCCAGCCATCACAAAGAACGGCGTGCAGCGAATCGCCGCCCCTCCCACCCCTAACCTGGAGAAGTGGAAGAGCGACAAGAAGATCACCGACGAAGAGCTGCTCAAGATCCTCGAGCTGCCCCTTTCCAAGCCTAGCACCTCCAAGCCGAAGAACAAGAAGAAGAAGAAGAAGCCGGCGAAGAAGGCCGCCGCCAAGGACGAGGATGATGACGACGACGAGGACGAGGATACTGACGAATAGTCCCTCTATGATTCTGCCGGGATGGTTGCAATACGACCGCAATCATAGTCCAGAAGTATGGGAGGATGATCATGCGTGTCCACTTCAGCAGGAAGTGGGCAGGAGCTCGGCATCTTGGACAGTCCTCTTCATCTCGAGAGCGACTGGACCGGGGGTCTCCGAAAGCACGACTTGCGTTGCACGACGAGATATCATTAGTGAATGCCGGCATACTATAAATCAAAAGCAAAAAGTCCTCCATTCCCCGGCATGTCTGAAATGTCCCTATCCGCGTGCAATAATACCTGTTACGCGCCATGTCATGTGCCGACGGGGGACTGCTGCCTGTGGACGCACTTTACTCAACAGAAAAGTAAAGAATTGTTCCAAAAACAGTACGTTTCTTAACCTGTCTATCTACCTTTTCGATACATCAAAAGACGTGTCCGATAATTGCTTTGTTGTTAACGGAAGGGAATGAGTGGACGTGGCGGAGTGGAGTCGAGAGTGACGAGAGTGCCTCGAGCCAAGCTTGCCCGAAACAGAAACTCTCCCTCCCGTCACATATCACCGCTGCCTCACACACGCGCGAACGTCGCGTCTTTCCCCTCCCACATTAAATCCCCTGCCCTCTCGGCCCGCCTAAGGTATTGCATCGCCCTTTGGTAAGTGGAGCAGACGTGTGGCAATCCCGCTGGCGTGTATGTGCGGTGCAAAAGCTGACGCGAATCCTCCTCCACAGTGGCGTATGCTCCCCTGAGAAAGGCGAACGAAAATCATGCTCGGGACACGCACGCTGCGCGACCGCAGCACGTCCCACGATCCCGACGTCGCGCAGACGACCGCCGCCGCCAAGACCGACGCGAAGACGAAGACGCAGAGCAAGACTACGCCGGGACAGTGGGTGGAGCCGTCGCTGGCGCAGCAGCCGAGCTACAAGGACCACAAGGGCGTGTCATACTACCCGGGCGTGTCGGAGCACATGCAGGCGCTGGGCGAAGCGCCGCTGGCGAGGGTCAAGGCACGCGTGAAGCCGGATGGGGCGCGCAAGTCTTTGCTGCTAGGCAAGGGGGGTGGTGCTGCGGGAGGAGTGGAGGCTCAGGAGACGCCGGAAGGTACGCCTGTGCCTTTACAGACGGCTGCACAGGCTGCGAAGGAGACGGCGGAGAATTCACGGATGGTGCTCGTGGTGGATGACGAGAATGACGCCGACTACGCGCCTACGGGGGCTGGGAGCAAGAAGAAGGAGCGCGCTGCGCGTCCGCGTTCGGCGAAGCTGCCACCCGCCGCCGCCGCTGCTGCCACCACTGGATCTGTCAAACCAAAGATCACGCTCACGCACGCGGCTCTCAACAAGAATCGAGTGTACGATGCGCGGAAGATGTTGGCTGTGGTGGATCAGGCCAAGATGCGTGCAAATGCCGCAGGCAAGCCGGACCTCGCCGCCGCAGTGGAAGAGATCTACCAGGACAGCCTGAAGAACGCACGGCTGACGGAGCTGTTGGAGAGTATCCTCCTCCAGACCGCCAACAAGACTCAACTAGCCGAGTTCCACGCCTATGTGCGCGCGGCGAAAAGGAGAATCCGAGACGCCAAGGAATCCAAAGGCAGCCAACGGAAGCAGCCGGACGCTGCAGCAAACGGTGTTGCACAATCGTCACCACTGCTGCCCGTGCGAACACCCTCGACTAAAGTCACTCCCGTGGAGTCCGAAAATAGTGCACTGCCGTCCACTGAGCGCCTGGCAGCCCAGCCAGCAAAAGCCAAAATCTCACTCAAGGCGGGAAAATCACCTTCTCAACGACTCCACCCACGGCAGAGCGGCAGCATGTCATTGTCGCCGTCTAACAATAGGAAGCGGGCGGGCAGTGTCGATAGTGATTCTTCACTCACTGACCTGACTTCCAACCCTGACGATGATGATGAGGAAGAAGACTTGACCGCTGCAGGCACAGCTACCATGGCACACAACTCGACTACGAACGGCGTGACAGCCAAAGACCACGCTGCTGAGCGCGGCTCTCTCGCAGCACCGAAAGGCAATCTGAAGCGTTCTTCCGCTGAAGCTGATTTGCAAGAGGAAGAGCGTGAACGCACTCTCGCCACCAAGAAGCAGAAAATGAGAGAGAGCATGGTGCCTGTGGATGAGATGTACGAAGAGAGCAATGTGCGAGGCGCCGCCACCACCGCTTCTACTTCACGACTCCGCTCTCTGCGAGGCAAGACTGGATCTGCTTCCGCGGCCACCGGGCTCTCCATCACCCCCAACGGCCTCAGGCGCTCCGCCCGCGTTGGCTCTCCCGATCCCGACTCCCCTCTGTCGGACTTGTCACCCATGACGTCCCGCGAGACGACACCTCATGTTTACAGGGGGCCGAGCAAAGCTTTTGGGAAGAAGGCGAAAACGAAGCAGTCGTAAGTTTGACATCTCCTCTATTCATTCATCATTGAGTCTGCACTGCAACACGGAGGCATGGAAGATGCAGAGGTCTTTGGCCGTTCCAGCATCGTCAGCGATGTCTGCATCTGCATTGGAAGGACTATCTGATGGAACGTGTTGTGCTCGGTCTGAGCCGTGATTTTACGAAGCCACGCAAGTGCGGGGTTGAGCATCCAACACACCGATCTTTCCGTACGTCTGTTGTATGCGCAAACGATGGCTGACTTGAGCTGCACCACCACAGGCCCGAAAAACTCCGCGCAACGGCAGGCGGTGGCATGTCAGGAGCGAGTGGCGCAGGCAGAGACAGCCCGATCGGCGCAGATGACAATAACGAAGAGGTAAGACAAGACGCGCCGCGCGCTAAATTCCCCCCCGGCTTTCCGCTTCCATCACCATCCAACAATCCTTCTCACATCACACCCCCCATCATTTGTTTCCCTCCATCTTCCCATGCATCTTGCCAAACCCCGTCCCCCATCCTCCGCATTCCTTCCTATGCTTTCGGTGAAGACACGACGAGATCTGACATCGGATGACCAGCTTTCGGAGAACAACGACTTCTGCTCCGCGTGTGGCGGCAGCGGCTTTTTGCTCTGCTGCGACGGCTGCGACCGCTCCTTCCACTTCAGCTGTCTCGATCCGCCGCTGAGCGAGGATGCCAGCGAGCTGAACGAGCCCTGGTACTGCTACATCTGCGTCGCCAAGCGGCCCGTATTCGACTCGCCCGAGAAGCCGCCACCCGGCCTCTTTTCCGCCCTCTTCAGCACGCTCAAGAAGCGCAATCCATCCAACTTCGCCCTTCCGCAGGACATCCGGGAGTACTTCGAGGGCGTCGCCACCGACAAAAATGGCCAGTTCGTCGAAGCGGTCAACACGCGCACGAGGTAAGCTGATGAAATTCACAAAGCCGATATATCCAGCCGCTAATTCTTCGCGACCTTGCAGGAACAAAGTGGGCTACGAGGAACCCCCGGACCTGACCAGGACAAAGGACAGCAAAGGCAACACTATCCTCTGCTACTCCTGCGGCACCGCCTCCCATGGCAACCGCCAGATCATCCAGTGCGACTACTGTGGCGAAAACTGGCACCTCGACTGCCTCGACCCGCCCCTCGCCAATCCGCCCGCGCGCAACCTGGAGGGCAGAAAGGTACACGACTGGATGTGTCCGCTGCACGCCGACCACGAACTCCGCCGTCTCGATGCCAGTCTGCTGAACCATCGTGACGCCGGCCGCCGGCGCAAGGTGCATATTCGCAAGCCGCGCAACGCCAAGGTTGTGGAGACGGCGCTGCGCCGCGGCGTGCGCAACAACGGCATTGTCGAAGTCGTGGATGATGAGAGTGAGGACAGCGGTTCCGAGTTTTACGAAGAGGAGTCGCAGGACAATAAGTCGGTGGTTCTGCGCCTGCCCGTGTCAGGCATCAAGCTCGACTTTATCGACAAAGTGAAGCAGTACGTCAATTCAGAGCTTGCATTGGATACATCGGACCTTGCTAACAGTATCGCACAGAACACGCGTCCAGCACCTGCGAACCGAGCACGCCTACCGCCGCGCCCAAGTCGCAGCCGCAGCGCCCAAACAACTCGAACAAGCCAACTTCGCCCGCCGCACTTTCATGGAGAAGCAAATGGCGCTCAACCTAGCGCAATTCGCCAACGCCAACAAAGACCTCAATCTAGGCAGCGACCAAGTGGAGAACCTAGTGGGCACGTTGATCGTGAGTCCCACTGCCTACCCTCCCTTTGCACATCCCCCGCATATGCTGATCTTCTTTGAAATCGCAGGCCGAAGCACCCCAACAAGTCGTCGACGAAATGATGGCGGCCGAAGAGCAGGAGCGCGCCCGCTCCGCCTCCTCCGCCATCCCGCCTTCGCCGCCCGCGTCCGAGCAGCCCGATCAGTTGTCCGCGGCGCAGCGCAAGGATTTGCAGATGTTGCAGGAGTTGATCCGGAGGCGGTTGGAGGGGGCCAAGACTTGATCTCGCCTTTCCTGCTTGACGGAATTCGACTCTGGACTCTTCTTTTTTCCCTTCGATGGGAAGGGAAGTGGCGAGGAGCTAGGTAACGTGATGGGCTGGATTCTTCACGGTATTTGACTACGGTGCACACGACTAGCGAGCGGGCAGCGATATCGCCGCAGGAAGAGAAAGGCGGGAACATCGCAGGTCATATCGGGTTGAAAAAGAACCAGGAAGGAAAAGGAAGCGGAGTGGAGTTCGAATTCATCGAATCGGCGATCGAACCTTCGGAGACAGGATAAGCCTACCTCTTGTATCCTCACTCCTCGCATGGATCACACTAGACGGTACGGAGGGGGGAAGGATGAGGCGAGAAGACATGGGTGACGACAACGACAGTTGAGAGCGAGGGCGAGTGAGCGAGTTGGAAAAAGGCAGCAGGCATCCATCATTCGTCATTTGCCGTAGTTTACGCTCGCATTCGACAAGAGAATAGAACAATGCAAGCGAGCATCTCATCGACACATTACCACCTTTAAACTGCCGTTTCGATTCGCAGCTTCATAAGAACTCTCAACGAAAGCAGAATAGAGATCCCCATAGAAGAGAGGAGTACTCGCACGCAACGAGAAAACAATACTTCAAATTCCCCCAACTCAGCATCTATTCAATCAAAAACTATACAAAGCACCCAGAACTCCCCTCCATCCCAATCTCTACCTCCCCTTCCCCCTCTCCCTCTCAGCAACCTTCTCCTTATGCCCGCGATTCCGCAAATGCAGCGAAAACTGCTGCTCGACCAGCCCGGGCGCGGCAGTGTACAGCTTCCCAGGACAATCATTGCACCGGATGCGCGGCAGGAATTGCAGCTTCAAGTTCGCGGACGTCGGCGCCGGCTGGTCGGGGGAGAGTTTCTCCGTGCTGCCTGTGGCGGTGTTGAGGGCGTAGGGGCGCATGAGGGCTTCGAAGGAGGATTCGGGGTAGGATTGGCGGAGGGCGGCGATGGAGGTTTGGAGCCAGGGGGGTGGGGCCTTTTGTTGGGAGATGTTAGTGAAGGTTGGGATTGGGAGGGTTGGGAAGTGGACTTACGGGTGCATCGTCTGGTGGGGGCCAATGGTTGATATCCACTCTGCCTTCGTCGTCGTATGTTACTTGCGCTTGTTGCTGTCGCTGTTTCGACGACGAAGAGGCCGCGCGCTGGTGACCATTGGATTGAGCCGGTATGCGAGGCGTGCTGGTGGGCGTCACGTGGCTGGGCCGGACGGGGGTTGATGCCGTAGCTGCTGGTGGGGGTTGCGACGCGTAGCCAGATAGAGGGTACAGACTGGCGCGCTTCTTCGCCTCGTACTCTGTCCAGAAGGCCTTGAGCTTTCCCCTGCCGATCTTGAGCTTCACGATCAACGTGTCCTCGTCCGCTGCTGCCGCCGCCGCCGCCGAAGAGGAAGTGGGTGCCGTGTCTTCTTCTCGCAAGTGGCTTCGGCGCGAGGCGGTGCGGGTGTCGTGAGGGGTGGTCTGCACGCTCTCCGGTGTGAGCGAGCGACCGTATCCCGCGCGCATGGCAGCCTGAGCGGCAGAGGCGGCCCCGCGCATTCCTCGCGTCCTCGCTGTGCCGCCGGTCAGGGCGGCGTTCATCACGGATGGAGCCGGCGACTCGGCGCCCGAATCTTCGCTCTCGAGGTCGTCCGAGTCCACCTCGCCATCGGTGCGAGCACCACCGCGACGACCAGCGCGACCGCTTCGTCGGGTCTTCGGGATACCAGTCGTTTCGAAAGTCTCTACGGCACCGGGGATGACCGAGTGCACAATCAGAGAGCGCACGGTACGCTGTCGGTCTTTCAGATCCGGCAGGGCAGGGCCACCTCGTCGGTTCAATTGCCGTTTCTGCGCGCGGTGCTCTCGCATCATCGACGTCTCGGTTCTATCGAGTTCGGCCTCGCTCATTTCGTAAAGGTATGGAGTCCAATCCTTTTGCGCTTGATGAGGTCGGAAGGCGCTGTGAATTGGATTGGGGAGGAATCCATCTCGCAGATCGGGATCTTCTACTGGACGTCCATCGAAGCCGTGGTTTGTTAGCCACAGACTGCGAGTGTACAGCTGGCTCTGCTCTCGGATGGAGTGGGCGATGGCCGTGGTGAATTCTCCAGACAGCGCATTTTCCCACGCCATTTTCCGCGCGAACTCTTCGGGGGAGTTGAGAGCGTTATTGATGTCCCACTCGAATTGATCCACCAAAGTGATGCGACCAATAGTGATGTTGAGCTTGATCATGATTCGCAGCTCGTCATCCTTGTGGTCGCTGTACGGCCTCCCAGGTTCTAGAGGTCCATCCTCGACGATGATGTGAGGGTAGTAGTTCTGGATTTGATCCTGCATCTCCAAATTCACCTGGCGAGCGACTTCATTGAAGTTTTCCGGAGGGATTTTGAGATCTTCCAGGAGGTATTGAGTAAAGTGTTGTTGCGCAATCGTCTTTTCATGCAAGTTCCACGTAAAGGTGTCGCGCAGGCGCAGTTTGTCGAGCTCAATATCGAGCCGCACGGGCACCAGTTCTTCGCGTTGCTCGGCCTGTTGCGCGTTGTCCTTCCGCGGGATAGATATGGGCAACGTTCTTCTTCCCTTCGGCGGGCCACGCTTGTCAACAGCGCTGTACACAACCTGGCTCTTGCCTTCTGTCGTCCGATTGCCGTAGCCTCGGTAGCCAGTGCCAAAGATCGCGCCCGGATTGGTCTGTCTGTATCTCCAAACAGTATCTTTATAGAATGCGGCCTCATCTCTCTTTTCTTTCGTGAGTTTATCGTTGCGCTCCTGGTCGTCTAGATTGGCAGCAGCGAAGGCTTGGTCGCGCTGAATGGCGCGATCCAGCAGCACATCGTGATGGCTGGGGTAGTCCACGTTCGCGGGCGCGCCAGAAGTAGAGGAGCGGGAGAGGGGGATTTGCGAGCCGTCTCGCGATCGCTTTCTGCTCAGCTGCGGCGTACCATTCGCCTGCGTGGAGTCACCATTGGCCGCTCCCTGACTGTCCGAGGATACTCCAGCAGCAGCCATGGTCTCTCTTGCTCGCTGCTTTCCTTCTCGAATGGCGTCTTGGGCGGAGGTGTTGTTTGGCTTCGCGCTCATCGCGTCGGCGGCATCGTCCCCGGATGGCGTACTGATGTCTCCTGATTCCCCGTTCCACTGCGACGTGCTATGCTGTGCGTCGGAGAAGTGCGAGCCGTTTGGTTGGAAGGCGTTGTTGGGCGTGGACATGGTCTGGGGGGAGGTGGAAGGATGGAAGGGGGTGGGAAGGGGGTGGTGGCGCGTCACCGCGAGGGCGGCGGAGGGTCATCAACTGGCCTTGTCTATCATCAGCGTCCGTTAGCCAGCAGTCAAGAGACAACGACGCGGCGCGAGCCATAGTAGAGGGCGCGCGGACGAGGTGGGAGGAGGAGGCTCGCGAGTCAGTGGGATTGCGACGGGGAGGCAGAGCGAAAGGCAGGCGTCGGGGACAGAGAGAGAGAGGGAGGGAGGGCAGAGGGGGCATGGGAGAGACATACCAAGGGCCATGCGCGTCGTGTCGTCGAGCGGATTGCTGATTAGCCTGCACTGCACGCGCCTCGAGCCTCACGCAAGCACGGGATCTGGATCTGGATCTCTCAGCGGCGACCGAGCAAAGAAGCAAGGCCCAGGGCAAGGCTGATTTCCCCCCGGGAGGCCGGGAATCACGGAAACAACCGCCACGAAAGTCACATGTTGCCTCTAACCCGATTGGGCCAATCCCTTCGTCTGCCTCTCTTGCCGAGCATATCACGCTCCGAAGTCTCCATCACCATGTCCGTTGCACTGTTGTTCATGCCAAGAGCAAGTCCGCAGTATTGAATAGGTAGCTGTAAAGTAGAGTACATACGCGAATAGAGTTGCTATCGGCATATGCCCTCCCACGTCCTTCCCCTCGACTCCTCAAACGCCACGCAATGCCACGCTCCTCGCAAAGCATACAACCGCAAGTCCTGAGTAGGTACAGATCGCTTGCTCAGAGCACACAACCAATCATATTGTAACGTCGCCGTGCGCCCTCGCCCCCACCAAGCCAGCCGGCCACGTGCATGCCACCGAGAGGCTCGCGTTGCCTCCTTACCAAACCGATCCAAGCTGCAGGTTACTCGGAGGCGGCGCGTGGGCATGCAAGTGGTGGTAGTAGCTACCTGACAGTCTCCTCTGTTAGCCCGCAAGAAATTTCAGAGCAGAGAGTCGAGGCGAGTGAAGACACTCAAACAAGCAGCGACCACCTGATCCTCCATCGTTAGCATGCATTGACTTCAATCACAAGGCCATTCTCGGCGTTGAACAACTCACCTCAAGCTGCAGCTCTTTCTCCTTCGCCCCATTCACCTCTTCTCGGATCACCTGATCGACATTGGCACCAATAGCAGCATTGCCGCCGGCCCGTCGGCCGAAAGGCCATTGAGAATACTCGGCAAGCAACTCGTCCACCTGGGCAAAGGCCCGTTCCCGAGCTTCATGGCTGAGCGTCACCAATGCGTTCTCCAGCACGTTCGCCGCATACGATGCGCAGAGCATGCACACCGTTCGTAGATATCGGAACTCCATTTCCTCGGGCAGGAAGGTGGAGGCGGGCAACACGACAGTGCGTTGCGTCAGAACTGCCCGCACACGGCGTCGGATTTCGTCTTTTGCTCCGCCGTCTGCGACTGGATGAGTGGCCATGTCGAAGAGGAGGAAGTTGCGCTTTTCCGTGCGGAGGATGCCCTTGTCCACGAGGCCCTTGGCTAGTCGTTCGCGTACTTGTTTGAGTTGGTACCCGATTTTCATGAGATTCCATGTCTCGCCTGTCATTCGTTAGCTGGTCCGTTCCACAAATGTACAGATCAGGGTTGTCCTACCAGACATCAAATCTATCCACGAGCTCACGCTCATCTTCTCGGAGCTCTTCATCATCTTCAAGGCCTCATCCAGCAGCACCTCGCCCGTCAGCGTATCATCCACCACCTCAATCACCCGATCAGGCAGCGGAAAGCGTCTCCGCGAAGTATCTCTTTGCATACTAATGCGCCCTCGAAACGCCAACTCAATGACAATGCACCCCCGCAGCGCATACGAAATATTGTCATTCCAAAAGCTGAGATAGCCCTGCTTGTCCTTCAGCCCCATGAGCAGCACCTCCTCCATCAGCGTGAGCTTGGGCTGCTTCGACCGCTCCACGTTCTCGGAGATGTCGCGCGGGTCGAAGGCAATCTTATGGCCGTTGGCGCCGCTCTCGTACCCCGTCTCCGGAGAGCGAAAGTCTTCGTTGCGCTTGTTGGTGGTGGTGGGGGCCGGGGAGGCGACTCGGGGGGTGCCGTCTTCATTGTCGTTGCCTCCTGTACCGGCGCCTCTTCGCCGCGTCAAGCCTGAGCCTGACGACGAGGCCATTGTGGGGAGGGGGTGTGAGAGCAGTCGTGGTGTGTTGTGGTGCACAGGGGATAATCATGCGAGGTTGTCTTGGGAGAGCGCGGATGTAGAAGGGGTGTCGTGTCGGTGGGTGGACGCTGAGGCTGCAGGCCCGCACGACTAGTTGGAATTCGGAGGAGCGAAGAGCGAGAGAAGACGGAACAGAGGCTACGTCGGGGAGACAGCCAATCGTTATGAAGTCGTAGGTGGACAGAGGACAACGGCTCGCGTGGAAGAGGTGGCACGAGGGGTGCCCGCGTAGGTACAAATGTCGATGTCCGCTCAGGGTTCGCGGGACGTGTGTGGGCCAGCTCGGTTGCAACACCTGACTCTACGGCGGCCTGTATCTGCCAAGCACTCAAAACCGCGGGCTCCTAGATATTGGCGGAGAAGGTGCATCTAACCAATATCTCCCCACAAATGCCACTGGATCAATCGTCTCTGCACGCTACTTCAACATGGCGCTCATCCACAAGACAGCACAACCACCAGCATAGAACAGCTGATTCATCCACACCATTCCCCATTGATACTGCGCCCAGAGCATTTCCAACCGGTACCACAGCGGAGGGTGAGCAGGCCGCTCGTGATTATCCCAGGCAGGCCTTCCCAACCGCTGTCGCCATCTCTTGCCCATCCCCGCAACGACCAGCGCTTGCGCGCCAAGGGAGTTGCGACTCAGTGCTCCAAGAGTTCCATCCGAGTGTCGCATTTCAAGCAGCTGCGACGTGAATTGGACAACGATGATGACGGGCGCCGTGTATTGGGTGACGATCGAGGCGAAGCCGATGACAATATCGCTGCCCATGTCATGATTGTAAGTTGGCCGTCGTCGTAGAGTCAAGTATGCCACGGGCAGGAGCAAGACGGCGGCGTAGGCGATTGCCACGGCGTTGAGGATGTAGATCGTCCACCCACGCTCGGGGTAGAACATCGAGAATCGCACGAGCCTTGTACACCATCAGTCACACATGCGTAGCGGGGGGCATTTGTTCGAGGGATCAAGCTCACAGCACAACGGCATAGCCCCACTGCATGCCAATATGCAGCAAACCCCAGAGGCCGCCTAACGCCCGCCAGCCTTTCAAGGTTCCGTGTGCAATCTGCTGCAGCACGGGCTGGTGGGGTCTATCGCCTGGATAAGCGTATGCGGCCAGCAAAAGGGCCTGCGACAGCTGCGCATGGCCCAGGAGCACGGTGCCGAGAACGAAGTAGGGAGAGATTCCGGCGACGGAGGCCTGGATGGTAATGCGCTCGTCTTGGGTAGCGTAGGCTGTTACGAGGAGCGATGCGAGAAGGCTGATCGACGACTTAGCCTTCCTCCGGGATGAGCACAATGATGAAGCATACTTATCTAATGATAGGTCGACGTTGGTGTTGCTAAGGTTTCCTTGCCATTGAGGGGACATGCTGATTGATAGAAGCGGTAAGCCAGGTGTGTGCAAGCGTTGTTGACGATGAGCTGGCGAGTCGTTCAATCATGGCGAACCCTCATTTGCTTCCTCGCATGAAATTACACAAAAGAGGCGAGCGGGCAGAACAGAACCACTACCTACATACTGTGGAGAGTGAAAGGTTGAGGTATTCAGCTTGCAGGCTGCAGTCCTAAAAAGTTCAGTGCAGCAGGCTGCAGACCAAAGGTCATCCCGATCGGCTTCTTCATAGAGAGGCCAACGTGATTGTGAGTCGGTCGTAGGAATGTTTTCTACCTTATTCAACCGCTCTTCGTCCTCTTCTCACCCTGCCCCGAAGACCCCCCAAACCCAAAGACAAAACTAGATCTAAGCAGCACAAGAAGCGGGTAAATAGCAAGATTAGCCCAATCATCGCCCCTCCAAGCACTCATGTCAACCCGTCCAGTAAGCCGCATCTCCGTCACAAACCCCGCCATCATAAACAAGTCCTGAACCAGAATACCAGCCTGAACACAGCGCCAGACAGTCACATCGTGCGGGCGCAGGCGTAAAAGAACGACCTGAAGAACTACCAGCATCGCGAAAAAGCCGGCCATTCCGTGCAGCAGGACGGTCGTTTCTGGCGACGGGGGAAGGCGAGGGCTTGCGGTGAAGCGGCCTAGCATCATCGAGGGGTTGAAGATGTTGGCGTAGACGCCGAAGGCGGCTAGCATGGGGTCGAGGACGGTGAAGCATATGCGGTAGAAGGTTGGGATTTGGGTTGCCATTGTGCGTGTTCGGGATGTCTGATAGGGTTGCACGTGAAGGGGCTGCTGTTGAAGAGGGTAGGTGTAATATGTAGTTTACCTTCGAAGCGTTTTTAGGTGCGATGAAACGGTGGTGAGAGCGAGTAGGCAGAGTGGAATCAGTATGCTTTAGAGGACAAAAGGTTAAGTGTTCAGCTTGTGGGTACAGGCTGCCGTTCCGGAAAGTAGACACATCTGTGCAGTAATTCGGATATCACTCAAAGGATGGAAAAGATGGACATGTTGTGAGTCGAATAGTACACGTTTATTTCGCACCGGCTAAGCTTGGGTACAATGTACATGGCCAGCCCACAGCATCCATCTCTCAGTTGGCCACGCGGGTTTCATATGCCTTTTGTGCCGCTGAACACCGCCTCCACAATTATCGATCACGCATCAGTGAGCTGGAGAATAGTTAGCGGCTTGCCATTGACGGAGCTCTGGCGTCAGGCGCACCATCGGGCTGTGACATGATGTAGTCCACGGCTTGGTTCACTGCATCATCGTTAGCCGAGACCGCAGGATCAGAAGACGCCGCTGTGTACGCACCACTGTGGATCGCATCCGCCTCCTTGTCTGGTATCTCGATGCTAAACTCCTGTTTCAAAGAGTCATTACCGCCTCCACAGATCATGTTGGCGCAAGAGACAAACCTCTTCAATCGCCATCACCACCTCCACGGTATCCAAGCTGTCCAGTCCGAGATCATTTGTGAAGTGCGCCGACGCGGACAACTTCATCGAGTCTCGTTAGCCACACACTCCCGCGCAGTGAAGAAGATGGAGATAAGCAATTACCTTCGAAGCATCGGTAACCTGCCGCAATCACGTCAGTACATACATCGTCGCACCTTCCGCTTCCCCGTGCAGGCAACATACCTTGTCGAAGTTCTTGAGCAGGTCCATGATCCGCCCAGTCACCTCCTCCTGAGCCAAGCCGGAGCCGGATGCATAACATCGCACGGCGGTTATGGAGAGTGCTGGGGTCGATATTCTGGTGGAGAGGAAGGAGCTGGCGGCGGCGGCACGTCGCAGGACGGGTTGCTGCGCTCTGGTGCTGGCCTGCGCGAGGCAGCGGGAGGATCGGAGGAGAGCGGTGCGGAACATGATGGCGGTGGGTGTGTTGGAGGCGATGGGTGGGTGGAGGGACGGAGGTGCGGTGATTGGAATGGAGTGTACTTTGTGAGCTCGAAGAAACGCTGCTTCGAAGGGCGGAAAGAGCCGAGCGCATTGGCCACCTCGACCACCTTATGCCCGGGATTCTTGCGCTGCTTTGGCTGCTCGACTCACCGTCTATAAGGTAGGTGTTCACTCTATATGCTACTTTTTATAAGCCGGAAATGTACCGTTGGAACGTTTGACAGTCTTCTAAACCCTTCTACATGCTGCACACCTACCAACATGAGGGCAGCGTAGGCTCAATCCCCGATGTTTAAGCCTTCTTCAGCGAATACCCAATCCGCGGGAAGTGCAACCTCAACCCATTGTCCAGCTGAATGACTTGCTCCTTGCGATTCAGCCCCACGAGCGTGCCATACTGCGCCATATTGCCGGGAGTAGTATCATCCGTCGTAGCAATTTGCACCTTATCGCCCTTCTTGAACCCGGTCGAATCCCCAGTCTCATCAACCCCAATATCCTTCGCCGCATACGGTGCCTTCAGAATGCGCTCCGACGCCTCCTCGCCCGAGACCTTCGTCGCTTCATTCTCCGGCACGTGGTTGGGGAAGAGCTTGAGCCATTTGAACACGCGCGGGTAATGCTCTGGCGTGATGCCCTCGCCCTCCTTGCCCGCTGATGCGCCGTTGGCGTAGTCGATTGTCTCGAGCGTGAACTTGGGGATCCACGCTGCCTGCAGATCAGCAACACCGGGCTTCGCACCCGCAATCCAGGGCCCGTTGCTATCCACGTCGGCGAGAAAGTCGTGCTCGATGATGTCGAGGAATTGCTTGAAAGCCTGGATGGCAGCAGGGCGGACTTCGCGGTAGTCGTGCTTGCTCAGCATGCTATACAAATCCGCACGATCCTTGACCATCGTCTCGTTGTACACAGTATCCGGCAGGATCTCCAGCAAGTTCCAGAACATGCGGTACCCAAACGCCTCGTAGCCTTCGTCGTGCTTGCTGCGCACCAGCTCCTTGACGCCCTTCTCGTCCGCGAAGATGGTCAGGATGGCGTCGAGGAAGGTGCGGTTGTCGGGGTAGACATCCTTGCCGATGGCGTTGACGGGCACGCGGCGGTAGGTGATGCCGAGGTTTTGGACGATGGGGCGCGGCTGCACGAAGGGCTGCTCGCAGATGCTGTATTTCAGGCCGGTGAGGTTGAGGAGGTTGCGGGCCCGCTGCGCGTTCGGGGCGTATTGGTAGTCGAAGGTGATGATTTCGGGCTTAGGAGAGCTTGCCATGTTGGCGGGGGGCGTGGGGTATGAGCTGCGATTGAGAGAGGGCGACGCGAAGGGAATAGAGTAGTTACGAAAGGGAAGATTTGTAGTGAACGCAAGAGAATATAAGAAAACTCAACTCGGACGTGACCCGCAGGGCCACAATGGAAAAGAAAGGTCGAGCCCCTCCCCACCTCTGCCACAGCGCCGCGAAACAGAGTGGAGGTTGGAGCAATGCAAGATGAGGTCTGCGGGGTGGACGGCTTCGCGCGGGGTCTAGATTCTCGGCGTCTCCATCATCTCAAATGTCGTATAGCCGATCAACGGGCATAATTCCGAGTGTCGTAGTTGTATGTACCGCTATCATGATGTCCTGGATATATCTGGAATACTCGTAGAGACAGCTGTCGTTGATTTCTCTTCACACCCTCTCCCAAGCCCTCCACCAAAGAGCCAGATTCGACGCAACTAGCAGATCAAGCATACACAGGCCCTCGGGCTCGATGATCAACTTGCCCAGCTTTGCCTGCTTCCCTCCAAGTCCACCACCCGCCCTCTCCTGTCCCAGACTCAGATCAATCCTGCCATTCTCATCCAAAACAATGCTAGGACTCTGCGATCCATCTGCAGGAAGTGCATCGAGTAGATGTTGTCGATCGGAAAAGTACGACGCCCGTGGTGATATGGGCGAAGTTGTGCTCTTAGCCGCAGAAGTCGGGAGGTTGAAACGCAGCTCGCTGACGTCTATTACCGCTGGCTGTTGTCCGGTGTTCATGTGAGGAAGGTGATGTCGGCATTTTAGTGTGCGTCCTGTTGCGCCTGTCGTGAATTCGCACTGGCCGTCCCAGGGTGAGGTGAAGGTGTAGCCTTTGCTCCTCCAGTCTGCGCTGGGTCTGTTGGTCATTGTGCTGAAGTCAACACTATGTCTATCCGTGCGGAGGGATGTGGGTATGCTCGAGGCGTCACCAGTAGAGCCGGTGGAGCTGATCGATGATCCCTTGCGATGATGAGAGATTCTGCCGTACCCATGCTCTGCGTACTTGGAGCCGGGCATGTATAGTCGTCGACGAAATACTTCCTCTGGTAGTATTTCGTCACTCTCAGAAGACGACACTGTGGACGAGCTTATTCGAGACTCAGTCCGCAACCCATCAGGCGGGATGAAGCGACGATAGCCGGGAGTGGCAATTTCTAGATACATCGGCGCGCCTCCTTTCTTCGTGCGGCGCTTAGCTGTTGGCATGAGGATAGAAGTCGAGCTCAATTCCTGGACAGGCGGGTCATGAATCGTCGCCACGTTCCATTGCTCGTTCGATCCGGCGTTACGGCGGATGAGAGTGAGCGTGCCAGATACAAGCGTAGAACTCGATTCTTGCGGGTAGAGAATTGCAGGCTCGCTGGCAACGCTCGGAGATTTGTCTTCGACTGGCGTCGGAGGCAGTGGTCGAGGTGGGAGGGTTGGCAAGTCGATTCCATTTGTCATGAGCCGAGTCCTGACAGGTAAGACGGGCTTGCGCGGAATCGTGTTTTGCCGTAAGATGCCCGGTCTGGACGGTAGTGGAGGCAGTTCGTCCTCACCAAGTTCGGGTGGTGAGGGAGGCGGCACAGGTCGGCGTGGCAAGGGTGGTGCACTTTCCCGTCGAGACGTCTGCTTCGGCAAGTATGTCGAATGTGCGCCACCTCGGCCTTCTGTTGTAGCTGGTTTCGCTGGCAAATCGGGTTCCGCACAGTTGATGTGAACGTAGTAAAGCGAACTCTGCACATCTGACGCCGTGACGACCTTCTCGCGCGGCCTCACAGGTGTGAGGAAGACATCTCGACTTCCAGGCACCCGGGCAATGTACAGGATCAACGGCGCCGCTCCCGGGTATTGAAGTATGGGAAGTGACGGCGGATTGGCTGCAAGTTCGTGAACAGTCGCAAGCGAGCTCGCCTCTACGATCGGACTCGAAGGGATCGCGATAGCCATGTTGAGCGGAAATCCGTTCTCGCTAGCCTGGTCAAACAGATGCTGTCGGTGTAGTCGTCGAGATTATTGTCTGATGTTAGGCAGGATGTCAGCCTGGGTCGTGTGTTTCGGGCTAGGCAGGCGCATTGTAGAAGAGTGAGGAGCCACTCAACTTGCCGCCCGCTCAATCCTCGTGAAGTGTGCTGACGTGACTGTTGATTTTCATGAGAGCTGTGGGAATGCTGGCATATGTAGCACCAGGATCTGAGGTGGACGTTGTTGACGCACGACGAGGCTCCGGATTACGTTGTGGCAGACGCGGCTTGATCTTGTCGCCATGCTCCGCCACAACACCAAACAAGCGTATTCTTGACCAAGTATTTCTGATCGACCATGTGAGAAAAGACTCTGAGCACGATCACCACAGCATGCAGGCTGGATAGCCTGTCAACAAATCACCGTCATGCACGTCCTGTCTGTTGTCGCACGACGAAGATCTCGTTGTCGAGGAGAATATTTAGAGTTTCGGGGCATTGGTCCCGCCGAACGGACCGCCAAGATTTCGCGGGCAATGATCCGCTTTTTGCAACTTTTCCACCGCCATCAGGTGAACATCTCACGAGTGCGCCACGAGATCACACGACAAGATGTCCGACATGGATGTCGCCGAAGAGAGAGATCCTCTTGAAGGGCTGGAGGTGTGTACATTGCTTTTCAATACAACACATCCATGCAATCCCCACTAACGTTACGTCTGTAGGACCGCCTTAAATCTCATGCACAGGCATTTGAGTCTCTGCTCGCCCTCACTCCTGCTCGTGAATATTACGGCAGTCAAATTGTCGATGGCCGCGACCCTAGTGAACAGTGGAATCGGAAGAAACAGACCAAGGAAGAGAAACGAGCAGCGCGAAAGGCGAAGCTGGATCCCGCCAATCAGAAGAGCGCTCTGGATGTGATTCGCGAACGGGAATCGGAGGTCAAGGCGAAGAGGAAGCGGGAGGAAGACCGGGATGCTGCTGAAGAGGTTGCGGAGCAGACGGGCAGTCAAGACACCAAGAGACGGCGAAAGTCGGACGACACCGATGCTGCTGATGCGAAGGGCCGAGAAAAGGCTGAGAAGAGGAAGGAGAAGCGACTGCGAAAGAAGGAGAAGGCTGAGAAGAAGAAGGCAAAGGCCGAATCTAGGAAAGAGAAGAAGGACGAGCAACAACTCGCAAGCGTGCAATCTCGGCGGAATGGCGAGCCGGACGGAGTTGATGCAGACGGTGACGAGGGACTACCCACTGACAACCCCGATGATCTCGAAGGCTTTGATGCTTCTGGCCTCGCTGATCTTGATGCTGGCAAAGAGGAGGACGACGCTGACTCGGTACATTCTTCCGCACCCACCACACCCGTTCTCGAGAGTCCCGCCTTTGACGTCGCCACGAACCACTCAACCGCTTCCTCCTCCTCATCGATTGACGCACCGTCAACGGCAGATGGCGCAAACAACGAAAAGAAAACAGTAGCTGCTGCTCCACCACAGCCCAAGATCGATACCAGCGTAGCCAACTCGGCGAGAACAAAAGACCTACCTTCCGGCACATCCTCACCCAAAATTCAGCTCCCTCAAATCAACGACGAAGAGCTCCAGGCTCGACTCCGCGCACGCATCGAGGCTCTCCGCGCCGCCCGCAAAGCCGATGGCCCAGACGGCAAACCCGCCAAAAGCCGACAAGAGCTGCTAGACCAAAGGCGCAAGAAGGAAGAACAGCGCAAAGCAAACAAAAAAGCACAGCGCCAGAAAGCCAAAGAAGACGAGCAGCGAAGACGCGAGGAGCAGCTCCGAGGCAGCGGGAGTCCGCTAAGTCGCGTAGGCGACATTTTCAGCCCGCAACCGCGCGAGAACAATTTCTCCTTCTCGCGACTCGCGTTCGAGGATGGCTCGGCCGCGAATGCGGACATGACGGAGCTCCGCGACGCGAGGAAGAAAAAGGGTCCGCAAGATCCGCGGACGGCGCTGCAGGCGGCCCAGAACCGCGAGGCCAAAATCGCGGGCTTCGATGAGGAGAAGCGGGCGAATATTGCGGAGAAGGACATGTGGTTCAATGCTAGTAAGAGGGCGCATGGCGAGCGTGTCAGGGATGATACGAGCTTGTTGAAGAAGGCGTTGAAGCGGAAGGAGAAGCAGAAGTCCAAGTCGGAGCGGGAGTGGAAGGAGAGGGAGCAGGCTGTCGTCAAGGGCAAGGAGGTGCGGCAGAAGAAGAGAGAGGCGAATCTGGCGAAGAGGAGGGATGAGAAGGGGAAGAGTAAGAAGGGGGGTGCGAAGAAGAAGCCCGGGAAGGGCAGACGGCCGGGGTTTGAGGGCAGATTAAAAGTATGAAATGATCGTGTATTGCAGGCAGTTGGGCTAGTCACGGACGTACTTGATCGTAGGGAGAGTACTGCTCAGCCGCGCTTCCACTTCAAATGCTCCTATATACACGTCACCCCCTGGCTCATGACACAACGACAATGAAACACGCCTCCGCCTTTAGCCTCCCGGCCCTCGCCACACTCCATTTATCTATACGGCGCATCCGCCCTCGCAACAGCCGCCAACTCCGGCTCCCACTTATCCCCATTCGCCAACAACTTCTCCTTATTATACAGCAGCTCCTCGCGCGTCTCGGTCGCATACTCGGCATTCGGGCCCTCGACAATGGCGTCGACGGGGCAGCTCTCCTGGCAGAAGCCGCAGTAGATGCACTTGGTCATGTCGATGTCGTAGCGCGTGGTGCGCCGCGAGCCGTCCGCGCGCTCCTCGGCCTCGATCGTGATGGCTTGCGCGGGGCAGATGGCTTCGCAGAGTTTGCACGCGATGCACCGCTCTTCGCCCGTGGGGTAGCGGCGGAGGGCGTGCTCGCCGCGGAAGCGCGGGGAGATGGGGCCCTTTTCGAAGGGGTAGTAGATTGTGTAGCTGGTGTTGGGAGGGGGTGTTAGTTGGGGTGGATTGGGGGGTGTTTGGGGGTCATGTGTGGTGGGGTTTGAGGTGGGATTGTGGGACGTACGGAGGTCGGAAGAACTGCTCAAGCAGCACCCACATGCCTCTCGCCATCTCGGTGAGGAGGAAGTAGTTGGCCGCCTGATCCCACACGCTCTCCTTCTTCTGGTTCCATTTGGGCTGCGGCGGTAATCTGTAGCCTGCTGGTGGCGGGCCGGATGATGTTGCTGGCCGTCGAGTGGAGGTGGAGAAAGTGGCGGCGAAGGGTGTGCGGGCGGCGAAGGTCGGGGTCGTAAGGAGGCGACTCGTGGCCCGCGAGCGCGCGAGCGCTGACAATGTCCTTGAGGATGACATTGGCGCTGTGATGAGGGTTGGAGGAGAGTGGTGAGAGGAGGGAGTGGCGTGAAGGAGGGAGCGAGGGCAATAGTGACGGATGGAGTGCGGTTCAGCCAATGGAGATCCGTGCGAAAGTCAGTCTGCGCTAGCCTCTTTTAGATCAACATCCATGAGCCCGGCCTGCTTCTCATCTTTCGACAACTCCTTTTTACATTCTTCTGTCGCCTTCACACGAAGCCTGAATGGTGTAAATACCGCTGAACAAGATGCTATATGCAAAAATCGGCACGCGGAATGTCCGCTCTCAAACGTGCTAGTCTCACAGACCTCTACTCCAACGTCTGCCCCTTCAACTCTCCCTCCAACTTCACCATCGCAGCAGCATGTCGACTATCCCAAAACCCCTTCCCATAGCTCACCAGAATCTCCTCCCCCTGCCCAATGCCCGCCTTCCTCTTCCCAGCCTTGCCCGCCGACAGCACGAAAATCCCCACTCTCCGCTCCCACTTGACTCCTCCCGCCCGCCTCTCCGACGCAACTTGCACCAAGCAATCCCGAAACTCCGCATTCGGCCTCGCCGCAATGCCCCTGTAGTCGTTGGCGAAACGCGATTCGTTGCCGCTTTTGGCGGAGTCGATGCTGAGGGCTAGATCGCGGTCGTAGGAGAGGTCGTAGTTGGAGGCGGGGTCGGAGTCGGAGGCGTCGTTGGTGTGGACGAGGCCGAGGTAGAGGCAGATGAAGGAGTCGGGGGGTAGATGTTGGGCGGCAAAGAGGCCGCATTCGCCGTGTGCTGGGTGAGTTTGTGGTGCGATGGTCTGGATCGCGATGATGGGATGCGATGGTCTTAATATGGCTGCGGGGATTTTGGAGAGGGAGTTATTGAGGTTCGCAATCCTGCTCAAGGCGTCCCTGAGATCCGGTGTCACGGCGGCAGAGTAGGTCTGGTCATTGATAAACTGCACGTCTGTGGGCCAGTTCTTGGGCAGAGGCGTGGGTTCTCTTTCGATCTTGACGACAACATTGGCAGGATGTCTGATCTTCGAGGGCATCGTCACTCGCAGAAGCGTCGCCATCTTCTTCTGGATGCGTCTCCTCGATGTGGCCCCATTTCCTGGTCACTGCGAGCTTCAAGGAGGCTCACGAGAGATCGATATTCATGTTCGATGCTGAGGTGGACCGGTGAGAGTTGGTGGAATTGCTCGCGTGTCTACAAGACCCCAAACCTCCATAATGCGGGGTGTCAGCCACAGATCTGCTCGATGAGATGACCTCCAGACCAGCTACGATCGAATATAAAATGCGCCCCAGACATTATGGCGGTGTTATGGTAGTCTCGTATACATCATTCGTATCGCAAACCCATTCCATCCCTATAAATCATATCACGCAGTACCCCGCGACCTCAACCCAGAACTTCCTGAGGCCCCCTTCCCCCCGTCCCGGGCGAACCCTCCTTACACTCGCACTCATGAATAGTCAAACAAGTACACAACAAGCACTCATCGCATCTCGTCTTCGGCCGCCAGATGTAATGGCTCCCTCCGGATTCCTTTTTGCATTCTTGCTGTTTGCGTTCGTCAGGCTTTGTGCTCTACAGTGATGCGCTGGAGGGCGAACGTCAGAGCGACTTACCACGTTGTTGAGGTGACATCGCTCTTCGCCTTCTTGCGCTTTCCTGCAGCGGTCTGCTCCGAAGGAGGTTGCGAGGACTGCGATTGATGATGGCCAGGTTAGTTCGATGGCTAGGACGGCTGCTGAGGTGATGAGGAGCAAGGCGCTGAGGATGAGGAGCGAGTGGAGGAGCATGTTTGCGCGTCGATTTCCAAGCGTTTGGTTCAGAGGGCTTCCATCTACGGTCGCGTTGATGTCGAGTCAATGTCTCGTGGAGATGAGGACTGCGGAATGATCTTTAATTGACGATTGAAAGTTGAAGCCTGGCCGTATTGCTGCCTGAAGGACGATAAGGTTCCGATCGTCGGATGACTCGGAGGATCTACGTGTGGCGTACGCGCAACCGCGGCCGCTTTCGTCTATGACTTCTACCGCAGACTCAACGACTAGGATCAGACGTCTCGCAAATCGAGATCAAGTCCCAGCCAACCGCAGACCATATTCCGGCCTGAACCACTCCCGCAACAAATCCCCCAACACCTCCGCCGCCAACGCCTTCGCTGCAACAGAACTCGCAAGGCTCGCTTCGATATATATCTTAATCTTCGGCTCCGTGCCCGAGCCCCTGACGGTGAAAACGACATTCTCGAGCTCGCACGTGATCATCTGCGCGCTGGCGTCGATGGGCAAGTTGGGCTGGTTGTCCGGCGTACTACTGTCGTAGCCAATAGTGAGGTCGCGCCAACGCAAGATCTTGTGCTCGCCGATGCGCTCAGGTCGGGCGCCGCGATGGAGCATGCGAATGTCGTTGAATGCCTTGTTTGTCACGGTCGGAGAGGGCGAGATGAGATAGGTGTTGGCGTCTTCAAAGTATCCGTACTTTTCGTACAGTGCTTGCAGTCGCTGCCAGGGCGTGCGGCCTTGCTGTTTCCAGTGCGCGCAGGCTTTTAGGAACATGGCTGCGGCTGCGATGCCGTCTTTGTCCCAGACGACTGTTGGGAACATGTAGCCGATTGCTTCTTCGTACGCGAACACCGGAGAGAGGCCTTGCTCACGGAGATTCTGAGCCACATTGCCTAGCCATTTGAAGCCCGTCAATGTTTCGACAAAATGGAAGCCTTCTTTCTTTGCGATGGTGGCCAGCATTCGAGAGGAGACGGTCGATGCCAGCATCGCCAGCTGTGTCCGGTCTCCCGTATGACTTTCCAATACGTATGAAGCGAGAAGGACACCCATCTGGTTCCCCGTGAATTGGTGCCACTCTCCGCTCGTCAATCGCTCCGCAGCTGCGAAGCGATCCGCATCTGGATCGTTGGCAAGAATAAGTGAGCAGCCGGCCTGATCAGCCTTTGCCTTCGCCATGTCCAGCGCGCCTTTCTCCTCGGGGTTAGGGAATGGCACAGTGCGGAACTCCGGATCTGAGTCGGCTTGTGCATCAACAATCTGCAGGCCGTCCTCTTGTGACACGATGTGTGCTGCCTGTTTCATAAAGGGCAGACCTACGCCATGCATCGGTGTGTAGGTGTATACCAGACTTCCATCAACCGCTGGCAACTCTGATACAAGACGCCGTATGCATGAAAAGTAAGCCTGACTCGCCTCGCGTACAATCCGATGTACACGAGGATCCGAGTCCACCAACGTCGCATCCCATGTAATGATCGACTGTTCGGCATCAATCTCCTTCGCAATCCCAATATCATGAGGCGGGATAATCTGGCACCCGTTCGACCAGTAGACTTTGTATCCATTGTCGTTCTTCGGGTTGTGACTGGCCGTCACCATAACACCAGCAGCCGCTCTGTAATGACTGACACTAAACGGGACCATAGGCGTGTGAACCAGTTCTCCAAACCATAGCACCTCGAAGCCCTTCGCAAGGAACGCCGCTGCAGCAAGGCGCGCAAACCTCTCCGAGTTGTACCGAGCATCGTACCCTATCACCACTTTTGGAGCCTCTGATGATCGATTCGCGAGCGCGGCGTGCTGGTTAAGTATGTACTGCGCAAGTCCTTGGGAAGCCAGAAGGACAGTAACATCGTTCATATGAGCGAAACCGGCTTTCATCGACGAGCGGAGGCCCGCTGTTCCAAAGGCAATACGATGGCGGAGTCGGCCTTCGAGAGCGGCGACATCTTTTGCAGCGATGAGATCCGCGATTTCTTTTCTTGTGGTTTCGTTCTTGTCTAGTTCGAGCCAGCGTTTGCTCAGGCTGTCTATTGATTCCATGGCTGCTCAGAAGGGCAGTTGGCGGTAACTCTCGGCGGCCTTGGATGATCCTAGTTGTATCGTCGTGGATCGCACAAATGAAAAGACCCAGAGGAACCAATCACGCCCTTCCCATGGCTTGCTCCAAGACCGCTCACGGAGCGGATCGGTAGGGTGTGGTGTGTCCAAAAAGTGACGTGGAGTGTCGAAAGAGACGGATCGACTTCCGAGCGCGGAAAAAGCTGTCGCATCCGTGTGGGCTTCGCGATGCAACCTCGCCGTACGGAAGTCGCGTCGAGAAATGCCCCGTGAACTCTTCATGCAAGACATTGGTAGATTATAGCCCCTAGTAAGGATGCTTTAGTCAGGCGAGGAAAACATTGAAGAAACGAGCCTGGCCTTTCGACTTCTGGGGCAGCGCGAGATTATGCCTGAATTGCCTTCTCATCCATCCACCCAAACTCTGATGAACGCTTTTCCTCGACCAGCGCCGATAATTAATTCCCCTGCCTGCTCCCATGAGTACAGTGTCCCTCCCTCCCTTCGATCTGCGAACTGCACCTTACGTCAAAACCGTGACATGCGTATCAAAAACCTCATTCCTCCACCCACCCGCATCAAACTCCTCCACCCTCTCCCCAGCCCGCGCTCCTTCTTCATTCCACACCTTGACAATACTGCCCGGCGCATACACGCCCTTGAACACACCTTTCCCAGGCTGCGCAATTCCCACCCGCGTGTACACATCCGGGTCCTCGGGTGGCGTCAATCTCGCCGCCACAGCCTTGAAGAACGTAAGCATATCCTGCGGCTCGGAGATGCGCGTGGCGCGCAGGCGCTCGCGCGCGTACAAGATCTCGCGATTCGCGGCGTGGAAGAAGTCGGCAATGGCGGTGGCGAGCTGCGACTCCAGCGTTTTGCGCAGAATCGGGCGCAGCAGGGGTTTGAGCAGGAAGCCGAGCCAGGAGAACTTGCTCTGGCGCAGGGTGAAGTTGAGCTTGTGGATGTGCACGCGCACCGCTTTGAGCGTGAGGATTTGCTCGAGTCGCTCCTGCGCGATTTCCACGTCGACGTGGATGTCGATGCCGCGCTCGTCGAGGGCGAAGCTGGCGATGCCTTCGTCTCCGAAGCGTGCGATGCCGCTGTGCAGGCGCAGCCAGAAGCCTACTTCCTCCGCTCGCAGGCTCAGACCGTCGAGCTTGATGGTCACGAGATGCTTGCTTGTTGTTGCGGTGCGGAGGGTGTGGGTGCGGTAGATGTCGACGTCGTTGTACGTCTCGACCTTCAGTCGGTATGGTAAGAAGGAGGTGTGGCGGACGGTGGTGCCCGGCTCGATTATGAGGTTCTCGAGAAGCAAGTCGATTGCCGGCGTCGAGACTTCCAGGCGTGGGATGGGCAGGTATTGAATCGCGTTGATGAGCAGCGGCACAAACGTGTGAACGGCATCTTGAATCAATTCCGGGTTCGTCGTCTGCTTCACGGGCGAGAGGATTTGGAACAATTTCATGGTGGACTGCAGGAGCTTGTGAATGTCTTCATCTTGCACCACGCCCCGGAAAGTAAGGTCCACTTGTCGAAGCAGAGCCTCCACATCGGCATGCAGACTGGTGCCGGTGCCCATTTCTTTACTCTTCTGTCGCAGTTCGTCAATCTTGGCCGGCGCATTGTCGAGGAAGTCCGGATCGGTGAGCATCTTCTGCACGGAGTTGCCCACATCGACCATGATCTGCTCAAACTCGGGGTCGCTGTCTTTGTGTTCCATCACCTTGGCCCACAACTCCTCACACTTCTTCCAGTCCTCTTCGTCGCCAAAGCTGGTCAGGAAGAGCCATGCATTATGCATCGCTCGGTCTAGAGCGGCATTCTGGTGCGTGTTTTCTGCAGCAGCGTCGATCGTCTCTTCCGCCACCCGAGAGTAGACCTTTGCGTACCGTTGAATCAACAAGGATAATGTGGAGACGGATTTCGAGTAGTCAGGGCGCTGTCTCAGACTCAAGATGGTCTGCTTCAGGCGATTCAATAGCGTCTGGCCTTCGTCGCCGGACAGCTTGTCCTCGGCACTCTCTTTCGCGGCTATGGCGACCTGTGCGGATCCATCTGCAACGACCTTGGCGACGTCTTGCACCTCCTCTCCAAGCTCCTGGCCGGAGGGGACGCCAATGGCCTTGTCTTGGCCAGGCTGCGCAACGAGCTGCTTGTCCTTCTCGGATGGGTCTAGCTGTTTGCCCGTCTCATTTGCAACTTCTGACAACTTGAACGCCGAGTCTCTGAACACCTCTCTGCCCACGACATTTAGATCGGCGAGGAAAGTTCGGAAGTCTTCGTTCATCACCATCAAGCTCCCCACAGTCTTGATGCTTTGGTATGCAGCCCAAACGTCGGCCTTGCCCTTGCTCGCCTTTGCGCGTGCGGCGACATTGGAAGTGTCCACGCTGATGCGGCTCTTGCTGAGGAACCAGATGAGATCTTGGATCTGATCGCGATCGTTCTTGTTGCGCAGCAAGTCGGTGAAGTTCTGTATCCATTGTCTAGTGTAGCGAACCAGCAGCCTTCCGCTCTCGGAGAGCTCGGGGTTGTCTTGATCGAGGACGTCGCTGGATAACAAGGTGCGCAGGTTGATGATGACTTGCTCGGTACTGGGCATGAAGCCTTTCCCCATTGCTCTTATTTGTTGGTACGTGTGCAGCTTCTGATGGAGCTTCCGTTGTAGCTCCGTGTCATCGGCATACTGGGGGAGGAGGGGCTCGCGATCATCGTCGAGCTTGCGGCGGCGGGAGAAGCAGGATGAGAGGAAGGACATGATTTTGATAAGGGCGGTGGGTAATTGGGTGTCTGTTTATTGCGGGGGAGAGGTGATGGCGACTTTCAATATCGTGGAGCATGGGAGGGGGAAGGAGTTGGAGGCGTGTCTGTCAGTGTTTCAGCGATCTGGTGGGTCTCAAATTGGAAATCGAGAGGGACGCAGTGTAAGTAGGGAGGCGCCTGGCCTCTAGGTCTCAAAGAGAAGAAGAGAAACGAACGAACAGGGATGTGGTCGTAGGACATGAGTGTGAATGAGTGCTTGCAGCCTAGAATCAAGCTTGAGGAGGGTGGAGTTACGTCGATGTACGCAGCAGTGACGCGCTCAAAGCCAAAGCCCCAGCCCGTGCGGCTGTCAGCCTGAGGCAGCAAGCTGGCTACTTTCAAGGCCGAGGCATGACAATCTCTCTCAAATCCCAGAAAGCTGCATTAGAGGTCAATGGCTGAAAATAGATGCCAGAATTGGATCAGGCAATTCATTCCGGTAGATTCCCTTCCCTTGCTCCCGGTAGAGGTTGAAGACAACGACTTCTTCCGTTGACTCCCACCCGACGCTCCCAGCACGCCTGTTCCTTCCCGTCCTAGCCTCAATGCAGCGCTAGCGCTGCAGCTGGCGCTGGGGAAGAACCGGAGCGCCTCTCGACTCCCGGGAAAATAGTTGTTGATTCTCGTGTCACACCGCGACGCATCCATTGCCCCGCTACGTGCACGATAAGTTGCTTCAACGCCCGCACGACCGCGCGGCTGGCACCTGTTTGCTCGCGAGTGAGATGCAGGGTCCAGAGCGTCGAGCGTGTGTTTGCTCCTTCCTGGTTTTGCTGGCTCGCCCGCTCCTTCCTCATGATTCGGTGGGTTACGGAAGCTCGTAATAAGGCAAGCGCACGACACGATCATCGTGATGATGACTCCCATCTTGTCTCCTTCCGCTCTCCGATACTTCCACCCGTCCACGGTACTTGACGTCTTTATGCTTTCCTTCCCTCTCCTTCGCTCCTTCTTCCTCACAATCTCCCCTCACTCCTTCCTTCCCGCTCAATGCCATTGAAACCGCGGGCGAGTCTACTGTACAGCATCTTTAACCCCCCCACCAACACCACCTTACGAACCAGACTCGCGGCCAGATCGGCAGGTCCTCGACTCACCACCCGTCCAATCACAAACATGGCGAGAAGCACTCTGACGACTGCATTCGTGGCTGGCGATCACACCGCGCCCGCCGCCAATATCAAGAACACGCCTGCCCACCGTCACTCGCAGTAGGTCGCACCCGCTTCCGCCCCTCCAACCTCATGATTTCACATGAACTGCGATTGGATCGATCGCTGACCACTCACAATACGCAGCTCCGACTATGACACCGCCAACACCATCGAAGAGCGAAAATATCTGAAGACATACGGCTTGATGCCTCCCGGCATCGACACGTTTGAGAAGCAGGAGGAGCGCTGTAAGGGCATACAACCTCATACAATGTAACGGCTGTCCGCTGACTTTAAATCAGGTCTTGCTCAACTCAACGCTCGCAAGACCCCGATCGACCAATACCAATACCTCTCTGTTCTGAGAAACACGAACGTCAATCTCTTCTACCGCTTGTTGGCGCACAATGTGAAGGTGCGCGAAAGCTGCAACCCAAACTGCCCTGCGGAGTACAGCATGCTAACTCGATATGTTCATGTTCATCAGGAGCTCACCCCTCTCATCTACACTCCGACCGTCGGTGAAGCCTGCCAGAGATGGTCCGAGCTCTATATTCAGCCGGAAGGTGAGATCGGGATGTGCTATTTGGCTGCCTTCCTCTGCTGACCGAGTACCAGGTCTCTACCTCTCCTTCGAAGATCGCGGTCACTTACATCAAATCATCCAAAACTGGCCGCATGATGTTGAGATCACGGTCGTCACAGACGGCAGCCGAATTCTCGGCCTGGGTGATTTGGGCATCAATGGGATGGGCATTCCCGTCGGAAAGCTCTCGCTGTACACCGCTTGCGCTGGCATCCACCCGTTGAAGACCCTTCCCTTATGTCTGGACCTGGGCACCAGCAATGAGGAGTTCAGAAATGACCCTCTGTATTTGGGCAGCAGGCGAGACAAAGTTACTCCCAAGGAGGAGGAAGAGTTTCTGGACGAGATGATGGCCGCACTCACTGAGCGATGGCCTGGGTGAGTTCACAACGGGAAAATCAACTAGTGTCGCGGAAGAGGAAGCTGACGAAACCGCAGTATCGTCATCCAATACGAGGACTTCAAGAATCCTTTCCCTGCCCTCGATCGCTACCAAAGCACTTACACCATGTTCAACGACGACATCCAAGGCACAGGAGCAGTGATCTTGGGCGGCTTCATCAGTGCTGTGAAACAATCAGGCATTGCAGCAAAAGAGCAGCGCGCCGTCTTTCTAGGTGCTGGCTCCGCTGGAGTCGGAGTGGCAAAGCAATTGACCGAATTCTTCATGAAAGAAGGACTGACGGAAGAGGAGGCTCGGAAGCGCTTCTGGCTTGTGGACTCCCAAGGTCTGGTCACGCTCGATCGCCCGGGGAAACTCGCCGATCACAAGGTCTATTTCGCACGGGACGACAACAATGGCAAGCAGATCAAGAGCCTGGAAGACGTTGTCGACTATGTCAAGCCCACGATCCTGATGGGGTTGAGCACCATCGGAGGAGCATTCACACCATCCATCCTGCAGAAGATGGCGGCGATGCACGAGCGACCTGTCATCTTCCCGTTGTCCAACCCCAGCTCCAAGAGCGAATGCACATTCGAGGATGCCGTCAAACACACCAAAGGCAGGTGTCTGTTTGCTTCCGGCTCGCCCTTCCCGACACTCCAATGGAACGGCGAAGACCTCGTTCCGGGCCAAGGCAACAACATGTATGTCTTCCCCGGCATCGGACTCGGCGCAATTCTCTCCAAAGCAGTCAACGTCACACAAAACATGATCTACGCAAGCGGCGAGGCTCTTGCCGACAGCTTGACGAGCGAGGAACGCGAGAAGAACTGGATGTATCCCGATGTGCGCCGCATCCGCGACGTCAGCGTCGTTGTCACGCGGGGAGTCATCCGCCAGGCACAGAAGGACGGCGTGGACCGTGAGCTCGCTCTGCGCAATATTGGCGATGCGGAGCTGGAGGAGTACATTCGCGAGAGAATGTACGACCCGTTCACCGAGCATGAGAAGGTGTTGAGGGAGATTCGCGACATCACAGGTTCCAATGGTCACGCACACACCACTTCGGGCGCGAACGGTGTTGCACATCATTCGAAGCGATTGAGGACGAACACAGACGGATCCTCGGTGCCCGCTGAGGTGGAGGGCAAGGAGAGGTAACTGGTTCGTGTCCGCCCACCCGGCGAGGAATGAGTATGTAATATTGACGGACGATCGGGGGATGTTATGAGTGAATGCCTGTCGACAAGTTCGACTTTCTTCTTTGACGATACGGAGCAACCGCGTCCTATGGACCGCGTGACACCTACTTTGGCTCTTCCAGGTTTCTATCATCGTGGTCTCCATGCGATGCCTGGTTGGCGGTCTCGGCCCTCAAGCCTGGTTGAAACCTTGGCCTTCCCCACTTTTCCCCGGTGCCTAATTGACGACGGCCCAATGCAGGGCATCCTCCACCCCGCCCAGATCGCCACGCCGATATGAGACCTTGGTATCTCGTGCTATCGCATACATTAGTGTCAGTCTGGCCGATAAGGGCAGGCCCTGCCGGCCGACGTACTGCAGTTGGTCCAATGCCTTTCTCCTCCTGCTTCTAGCGCTGTCGCCTTTCTATCTTCCATATCCATCTCCCCTCCCTCCTCTCCTAGACGCGCCGTTCCCCTTCCATTGCCCCTCACCGTTCCAGCCCCAGCTTCACAATGGGTGTCCCAGACAAGCACGAGTCCGATCAATATGTCAAAGACATCTCCGACATCCGGCGCGGCGACGACAGCCCCATCCAGCTGCAGCAGGAAATCGACGCGGATGCCTTTGACGACCAATGGGGCGACTCGTCGCACGACCGCCGCGACATGCAGCGCCTGGGCAAGGCGCAGGAGTTCAAGCGCAACTTCCACCTCATCTCCGCCCTCGGCTTCGTCTCGCTGTACATGGCCACGTGGGAGTATGTGCTTGTCTCGCTGTCCATTGGCTTCTCTAACGGTGGGTATGCTGGGCTGTTCTGGTGCTTTATTGTGACGGTTATCTGCTATGGGACTATTGTGGCCAGTCTGGCGGAGATGGAGTCAATGGCGCCAACCAGTGGCGGTCAATACCATTGGGTGAGCGGTGAGTTATCATGTACGCTGCCTGCATTGCTCGAAGTGGTGTACTCACCAGATCCCAGAGTTCGCCCCGCCCAAGTACCAGCGAATCCTCAGCTACGCCTCCGGCTGGATGTCGACCCTCGGCTGGCTAGCAAGCGTAGCCAGCAGCGTCTACGTCGTCGGCACGCAAGTCGAGGCCACGATCAACGTGTACATGCCGGGCTTCGCCTTCACCCGGTGGCAGTTGACGCTCATCATGCTGGCCTTCAACGTCATCACCATCCTCTTCAACACTTGGGGCGCCCACGTCCTCCCGCAGATTGAGACGGTCAGCCTCGTCATGCACGTCGCTGTGTTCTTCGTCGTCATCATCCCGCTTTGGATCTTGTGTCCGAAGAACTCGGCGCACGAGGTGTTCTTGACCTTTACTGATAACAGCGGGTATAACAATATGGGGGTGGCGTTTCTGACTTGCCAGGTGTTTGTCATCTACGTACGTCTGCTTCACTCAAACGCTTTTTGTGCCTCCCTCTTATGCCGTGCGATCTAGTGTAATCTCGGCTCGGATTCTGTGGTGCACATCTCAGAGGAGGTCGGCAATGCCGGGCTAATCGTCCCTAGGACCATGTGAGTCTGATCACCATCGACCTCGCGATTTGACATGCTAATCTCGCATCCTCAGGTGGTGGAGCTACGTGGGTAACGTCTTCCTCGGCATCATCATGCTCATCACGATGTTGTAAGTATTCTGCTTGAGAATTGATTCCGCAGGCACATTACTAATTTATTGCCCTGCCAGGTTCTGCATCGGTCCCTTGGATCCAGTCGTGAGTTCGCGCCTCTTCATATGCATGACCAGATTCAGTGCTGACAGAATCCGACAGATCAAATCTGGCGTTCCGTATCTCATCCTCTTTGACAACTCCGGCTCCAAGCCCCTATCTCTCGTCCTGAACATCCTGCTCATGCTCCTGATCTTCATTGGCAACGTCACAGCCCTCGCAACTTGTGCACGAGAGGCTTGGGCGTTTGCTCGAGACAAGGGGCTTCCCTTTTCCGGGACGATCGGCAAGATGTGTGATATCACCCCCCTTGGTATGCCACTACGTTCATGCTAACGATATGGCTTAGGAACCGCAAGTGGAACATCCCCTTCAACTCCGTCTACGCCGTAACGCTCTTCGTCGGCATTTTGTGCCTCGTCCAGCTCGGCTCCACCCTCGCATTCAACATCATCGTCTCCCTATCATTACTCGGTCTCCTCAGCACGTAAGTCCCTACTCCACTCTACTCCTCTCAACACATCCAGCTAAAAACCCCCACCCAGCTACATGCTCTCCATCGGCTGCGTCTTCCTCAAACGCTTCAACGGCGAGCCCCTCCCGCCCGCGCGCTGGAGCCTCGGGCGCGCCGGCATCTGGATCAACGGCTTCGCCTTCCTCTACTCCGGCTTCCTCATCGTCTTCTGCTGCTTCCCCTCCTACCTGCCCGTCAACCTCGGCTCGGCGAACTGGGCGCCGCTGGTGTGGGTGCTCGTCATGATCCTCTCAGTCGTCTACTACTGGGTGTACGGGCGCAAACGCTACACAGCGCCAGTTGAGTTTGTGGAGGGGAGGAAGGCGGAGGGGGTGGGGTTGCAGGAGTCTACTTAGACTTCTGTCTTTTGTGACTGAACGTATGTGACGATATGAGTGTGATGAACTTGATATCTTTGAACGAGCAAGGAAGGAAAACCCTCCCGAATGAACATTACAAATTACTTATACGTCTATATTTATTTCCTACTTGAACTGCAACGCATGCCCAGTCCGCTCCCGCGGATTCTCCGGCCGAGCATACATCCCCGCAAACGCACTCCTCTTCCGCAGCGCCGGGCCATACTTGTAGAAAATAAACGGCAGCGGCGCCTGGAGCGTAGCGAGAATCGCCAGCCATGTAGCGGAATAATGCACGCCGATCCCCTTGTACATCGGCCCACTGTACAGATTTGACGCGCCAGAAGCAAGGTAGCGCCAGCAAGTGACGATAGCCAGCGCCGACCCGGCGTAGATGCCGTACGTGTCGAGGAGATACTGATACACCGTGACGTAAATGCCCGCCCAGGAGAAGCCGAGCAGCACGAGCGCGCAAATGTCAGACCACGGCGAGATGGAGCTGTAATTCGTCCAACCGAGCCACCAGAGACTGATGGGTAGCGCGGGGCCGGCGAGAATAGCTTGCCACAGCCGGTACTCCGGTTGCGGCAGATCGGTGCCGGGGATGTTAGCTGCTTTGATCACGTCGTCGGCACTGCTCGCGCCGGTGACTTGCGTGTGCAGGCGCTGCACTTTGCGCTTGTACAAGTGGTAGTAGTAGGGGATGGCGAGGGTCCAGAGCGTGGTGCCCGTGCCGATGGCGACGAAGATGGTGCCCGTCAGGCCTTTGGAGATGCCGTAGGTTTGGGTGAAGATGTACTTGAAGCCTTGCAGGAAGCCGAAGACGATGATGTATTCCAGCACGAGCCAGCCGCCTAGCAGGACGACGATGGGCTCGCGCGTGATCATGTGCAGGGCGCGCAGGAGGGCGACTTTGAGCCTTGCGCTGAAGGTCTTTTGCAAGTCGAGCTCGCTTTGAAAACGCGGACAGCCGGTCAGATCTCGAAGGTGCTTCGCCCTCCAAGACAATAGGATTGGGGAGAAGGTCTCCGGGAGGAACAAGAGAGTCAGAATGAGGGTAGATCCAGACAATAGCACGGCAATCCACTCGGTCCATCGCCACCAGGTCCCCGTAGCGGCGATCCAGGCTCCGACCACGGGCGACAGAGCTGTTCCCCAAAAGCTGGCAAGTGCGATGACGGGCCAGGCATAGGTCCGGTACACGGGACCGAAGAGGTCTGCAGTAGATGCAGCGTGGATGGCGAGGAGGATGCTTCCGGACAGCCCAGCGAGACTCCTAAAGATGGCTTGGGCGGTAAAGTTGGGAGACAGTGCGACGCCGATGAGCCAGCAGACGTGCAAACATCTTGACACCACGTAGACGGGAAGACGGCCGGTGGTTTCGGATGTAGGGCCTGCAAAGAGACTTCCGACTGCCAGACCTGCAGCACCGCGAAGAGTCAGTTGACGGTACATGCAAGACGTTGCGCACATGCCGAGACTCACCAAATGTGTAGAGACTCGGGGATAACGTCTCGAGCGTGTCGCTGACATGAAACGCCTTCTCAATCTCCGTGGACACCTGTGAGTCGCAAGAAGAAGCCCAGTCGACAGCAAATACATTGATCCACAGGATGGCAAAGATGGCGCATCTGTAAGTCAACGACCAATGCCGGGGGTTGAGAGGGTCAATGGGACCCTCCCAGCCGACGAGGATAGGATCCTCCTTCTCATCATCGCCGTCGCGTTTGAGATTCCCAGTGCTGACGCTGCTAGTCAGGGAAGGATCGGATTGGTCGAAAACGCTGACCTTCTCGGTGGAGTGGTTAATGACTTTGCCCGTGGCAACATGCGCAGCAACCTGACTGCGCAAGGCTCGGTACTGCCGGATGGATTGCAGGCCCAGCAACTCCAACATGGTGGCCTGTAGGAGGGAAGAGGCGGGCGGACGACACTTCCCGACATTGTAGGAGAGAAGGAGGGCACTCAACGGCCGTCATTACGTGCTGGTTGGGCATGCTGGTTGCTGCTGATGCCGAACCCCATCAGCCATGAGATCAGCATGAGCAGCATACGTAGTTGGGAAGCGAAAGCAGCTAAGGCCCTAGCACGCCATCCCGTCCGTCGGCACGTGCGGTTGATGATGATTTTGCCGCTCCATCAAATCATCACATTACAGTGGAGTGTATGGAGTGGAAAGATGCCGACTTCTCCGGGACTCGCCACCGCACGGCTGGAAACTCCATGGCCTCGGGACGGTGGAAATAACCTTGCGGTTGCGGTCGCTCTCGACGGTCTTGCCTGCGGGATCTTCCAGCATGGGTGAGAGGTGAGGTCGATGTTCATTCGCCGAGAGCCGCGTCAACGGCTGACTGCATAAACGCGTCCAAACGCAGTCTCATGTGGCGAGCGCTGCTCTTTGCATAAGTATGCAAATCGCAATGTCCACTGCATCTCGTCACATCTTATTACATCGCATTGAAGGTTGCTCAACAGTCCACACTTGGTTCGATCAGCATATAGGTCTACATCACCATTCCCTGGGACAGCCTCTGCCATCCTCACTATCCAGTGATTGATGTCCTACACCGATTCATGAATGTGCGCGGCCCGAGACTGGGGGTAACATTGCCCAGACTCTCAGTGTCCTCCCAGTCGTTGATCGAACCGCCAGCCTTAATATCTCCAGCACCGCCACTGTCAGCGGGAGTCTCCTGAATCTCCAAGGCGTCAACATCGTGACTCGTGGCCGGCTCTTCAATGGGATGCTGATCCGCGTTCATTATTTCCCCGCTGTCTTGCTCTCCAGCCTCTGGAAGAGGTACGGTCGCAGTCCTGGCACTTTGACTTCTTGACGCTCGACTTCCCCTCTTGCCTCGCTTCGCCGGGGTTTTTGTGCGCGGAGAGTCGCTCGTGGCTTGTGATCCCTGCCGGCCCTCTTCTTCATCCTGTTGAGTGCTCTGTTCGAAGCTGACGCGCGTCCATTCAAGCCTTCCCTGCTCGTTGAGCTGCCACAATCGGTCTCTCAAAATAATCGCCTGACTACCCATGGCAGTGGCTGCTTGAAGCTCTGCATCCGCTCGAAACATGGCGAACATCTCCTGAAAACACCTCCTCCTCAGCCGGCGAGGCATCGTGCTATCGGGGTTCGCGCTGCTCACAATAGACCAGAAGGTAGAGTCGTACTCGTACGTTCTCTCCGGCTCCCCGGCCGTAGCGTCACAGATCTCCACAAGAGCATCGTACACATTGCCCCAGCCGATTTTCCGATATGTCCTATCCAGCCGTTTTCGAACCTCTAAGGGATCCGGCCGTTCGACTTTCACCGGTGACTTGTTGACAGTGTCGGCGCGTCGCTTGAGCTTTTTCCACTTTTCGTAACAACGTTTCGCACTTCTGGTCTCATTCAACTTCTTCGCAACTGTGCGCCAATCGATCATCGTCTCCAGTCGCTCGGGATCGTTTCGGATTTGCACATCCTCGCACTCCTCCCAGATCAGGTCAAGTAATTCGTCCACAACCTCGAGCAGGGTCGCTTCCTCTTCCAAACTCCATGGTCCTGATTCCATGGTTGCCTCGTATTGCACGATATTCTTCCATCGGTCCCGACAAGCTTCGGGCGGACGGTTCACAAGGAAACTAATCCGACTCCAAACCAGGCCAAGCTCGGAGATCGTTGACTTTAACGATTCGTCTTCCTCTGGCGTCCAGGCCCCTGTGGAGAAGGGATGGTACCTCCGTTGGCAGAGTTTGCGAATCGAACCCGCAAGTCGAAAAGGAAAGGCCTCATGCATCCTGTCCCTAAACAGCCCGACTTCATTCCACTCCGTGATTTTCCACGCGAGCTCCATGGAGGTCAGGTTCAACTCCGCGCAACACGACTCGAAGACGGCGTCGGCGAGGTCTTTCTCCTGGAACGACCAAGCACCTTTGATCACATCATCCTTGTGGATTTTACGTGCTGGCGGTCGTGTTCGCTCTGCATCCGACTTCCGAGGTTTGCCAGATTTCGCTTTCGATTTCTTCTTCTTAGTCTCCCCGTCCGCTTGTTGAGCGCTCTGGTGCTCTTTCTCTGGTGCACCCTCTGCTTCTCCCTCTGGCTCTTCCTCCGATAAAGGCACAGCATACTCGTCGTCTTTGTCGTCTTGGTCACCTTCATCCATGGCCTCACCAAGTTCATGCGGTTCGTTCACAGTAGTCCACTTCTGTGCGGACCGTGACTTTTTCCTAGACGCTGATCTAAGTGCTGCTCGAGCGGACGACTTCGCAGATGCCTGTTTAGGAGTTGAACGCTCGCTTGGAGCAGGCGAAGATGTCGGTGTAGACGCTTTTGACCCGGTCGGTGACTCGGCAAGTGGTGACTCCATCGCGGAGATTAGTGTGTCCGTAGGCTCAGATCTCTGTGTCGGCGTAGTCTCGTCATCTCTGGATCTGGAAACCCCGTTTGGTCGTGAAGACGGTGGGGTTGGTATGCGACCAGCTGGAGCCGGTTCCGGAGAGTCCGCGGCTGGTGGCTGGTATGCATTCTTTGAAGTTGGCGTGACGCATCTGGACGCCGACGACGAGGTTGAAGTCGACCGTCGCTCACTCATCGCCGGGGGATGCACTGTTCCGTTCAATACGATGTCTCGTTGGTCATCGGACGCCGATAGGACGCTCGGACTTTGCGACATTGGCCTGTCCGACCCAGTCTGTTGTCTCGATCCTGCGAAGGTTTCTGGGATAGCTTGCGTATCGACTCCCTTTCCGCCATCAGAGTGTTGCCTCTGCCACATACGTCGAGCTTCTTCCACCCCAGACATGCCCAGTATCACACCATCTTCATCCTCTGCGAAGTAGTGGTCGACCATAAGCTCGCGAAGTTGAGGATTCGTCTCGTGCTCCACAGCCTGAGCGAACTCTTGGTACTCTCCCTCGTAGTTCTCTGATATGAGTGGCTCGTCCGTGGACTGATCGTCTGGAAGCGCAGAGGGCTCCACGCTGGACTCCTCTCGCTCCGGCGTCTGACTCTTAATCTTCGACATCCTGTACTTCAGCCCTCCTGAGTCGTTAATGCTGCCCATGCGCACATCATCTTCATGTACATCGCTGTCCACTCCATTCTCCTTATGATGGTCCCGCTCTGTATCTTGCACCGGCGTCGTTGCGACCGAATCCTGGCTGGGCATGATCGCTGTACCTCTGCGATGCTGAGGAATGGAAGCGCGTCCTTTTCTTTTCCTCTTCATGCCAGGCTCCTGGCTGTGGCCGATCTTCCTTGCCTTGCGCTGCACTCTATCCTCATTGTCGTGCTCGCCGGAGGGGCGAGCGCGCTTCTTGGTTGGCATGCTCGGTCGTGAGGGCTTTGGAGAGAAGTTTTCCTATATCCAGGGTCAGTCTCCAGAGCTTGACTCACAGCCAAATGCAACGCACTTCATAGGAACTGTCTTGCGACTCGAATGTGGCTGGGAGTTGAGAGCCGACCAGCTGGGAAGAAGTCTGGCCCATGCCGTACGAAGGACTTGGTGCAAGACATCAATCGGTGACAGATACGTGACGCCGTCTGCGAGGCGGATGTGGCACAGGGAGTATAATTCGAGAGCTCGAGATGCAAGTATTCCATACTTCATGTGCTGTAAACGGAAGTCCGTCTTTTCCAGGTTCGGTGACTTATTAAATTTAAACTTTTGCGCTAAAACCTGGGGACCTTTCGCCTTCCGGCTTCTCGCGGACATCCTCAGCCCACCTCACATCTATCAACACCCCATATACACCCGCGCGGCGCCGCAAAGATGGCTGTCCAGACTTCCACCACAACCACCACGACGACCTCTACATCTTATTCGACCTCAAATACCAGACGCGCCGGCCAAACTACGATGCAACCCGCTGCCACGACCTCCCAGTCTGAGGCCAGCCAGGGCCAGTCACGCCACCACGCGCACCACACGGACGGCACCATTCAGACCTTACACGATGCTCCGAAGCAGCACGATCTGCAACACGGCTACGGTGAAGACGAGGAGCAGCATGCTCGTCACGCCGCCTTCGACCATGTCGAGCATTGGGGCCTCGACGAGAAGAGCGAGAAGATCCTCTTCTACTCGTGGGCCACTGCGTCCTGGTGTCTCAACATCGTCTCCGGAATCCTCGGATCTTACTTCAACACGAGACATGTCAGCTTTATCGTGACCGCCGCACTGTTTCAATTCTGTAGCTGGGCTGCGTGGTGGCAGACTGCCACGCAGATGGCCCAACGCGCCAGCTGGGTACGCGACGAGGCAAATCTTCCGGACCGAAGGCGATTTCTCTATCTGGCTGTCAGGCTGAACAGCCTGATGTGGGTGAGTAAAACTGTCCCGGCCTTTGGAACTGACTAAATTGTTCAATTACGCTAATGCGGTACTTCCACTGTAGCCTACCGCCGTTATATCGTTCTGTATCTTCATCGTGGGCTATGTCCGGCGCCACTCAATTCACGACGTCCCGCTCTGGCTGCTGTTCTTGCTGATTGTAAGTACCGGCTCTGGTTCAATTGGTGCGATATAACACCCTCCGTACTGATTTTGAGCACAGTTCATCTTCAACACCGTCGGCTGCGTTATGAACGCCTACAACAATATCACCTGGGAATCGGACCGACTCGAATACGAAGAGGGCAGCACTGACTACAGCAATACGCTACTCGCCATCTTGGGCTTCCCGTCAAAGCCACATAAATGTAGGTCATCTACTTCGCACGTCTTACTAAACCCCAAGCTAACGCTTACGATAGCTGCTGAATACGATGAGTAATACAATTGTCGCATTGTGTCTGCTTTTCGCTTTGGGTATGCTGGGTCAAGGAACAAGTTCTCGGGGTTTGCTTGGTGGGAGTTGAATGTTCACCTCTGTATAGCCCGACCATCGGGACAGTATCGATTGTAATCTTCCACTGCCATGTCTTGAATAGTGCCCAAGCTGCACGTGACTTTCGTGTTTAGGCGTGTTCCATTAAGGTTCAGGCGGGCTTGCTCGGCGCTAGGCGCGCGTACGCCACTTCACCTAAGTTCTTCTGCGACCATTCCAACAACAACTCTGCTTCAACATCCGCGCAGCCATGGCGGTCGTCACCGAGAAAGAAAATGTCACGCCTAACACCATGTTTCAAAAACACCGCGGGCGAGTCCACGGTGGTGCACCTCAAACGGCAGACCGGCTGTTCAGGCCGTTCAAATGTCCTGGGGCGAACGTGCCATCAAGAATATCAGACAAGCCCGCACGAAAGAGACGCAAGGTCGACTACACTGGCGGCGACAACAGCGCAGAAGATGGAGATAAGCCGTACAGCAACGATGACCGACTCGCACTCGCCACTCGCGATGTCAACAGATTTCCAGTCTTCAAGCCGAAAGACTCGGACTCCGCTTTCCGGATGCGCTTCGCGGTGCCACTGATCAACAAGGACACTACCGCGTACAATGCATGCCGTCCGCCGCCACTCCTGGGCATGAGAGAAGGCGTGGCTTTCGTCGCGAAACCACTGCACGATCCGAGTGGCGAATTTGCCATTGTCTTGTATGATCCTACGGTGGACGGCAAAGAGGAGGCGAAAGCATCGCAGGACGGAAAGAAGGATGAGCCGGAGAAGCTGGATGCACCCCTCATGCACAAGAGTCTGGCGGAGATACTTGGGATCAAGAAGAAGGTCAACGTTGAGCAGCCCAAGGTTCCGGTCGTGATTGATCCTCGACTTGCAAAAGTGTTGCGACCCCATCAGGTTGAAGGCGTCAAGTTCCTCTACAAATGCACGACCGGAATGATCGACGAAAACGCTCAAGGGTGTATCATGGCGGACGAGATGGGTCTGGGGAAGACACTGCAATGCATTACGCTCATGTGGACGCTTCTAAAGCAATCTCCGGATGCTGGCAAAGGCACGATTCAGAAGTGTGTCATTGCCTGCCCCTCCAGTCTGGTGCGCAACTGGGCCAATGAGCTGGTCAAGTGGCTCGGAAAAGACGCCGTCGTACCGTTTGCCATTGACGGCAAGGCTTCGAAAGAAGAGCTCATTCAACAATTGCGTCAATGGTCGATCGCCAGTGGACGCGCGGTCATGCGGCCGGTTTTAATCGTCTCATACGAGACCTTGCGCCTCTACGTGGACGAACTGAGTAGAACTCCGATCGGACTCATGTTGTGCGACGAGGGTCATCGTCTGAAGAACGGCGAAAGCCAGACATTCGAAGCGCTGAACAGCCTCAACGTGCGCAAGCGTGTCATTCTCTCGGGCACACCGATCCAAAACGATCTCTCCGAGTACTTTGCATTGCTCAATTTCGCCAATCCAAACTATCTTGGCAGTCGCCAGGAATTTCGCAAAAAGTACGAGATTCCCATCCTGCGTGGACGTGATGCGGCTGGTTCGGACGCAGACCGGCAGAAGGGAGATGAGAGGTTGGGCGAGCTGCTCACGCTCGTGAACAAGTTCATTATCCGCCGGACCAACGACATCCTCTCGAAGTACCTGCCCGTGAAGTACGAGCACGTGGTCTTCTGCAACCTCGCACCGTTTCAACTCGACTTGTACAACTACTTCATCAAGTCGCCGGAAATTCAGAGTCTCTTGCGTGGCAAAGGGAGTCAGCCGTTGAAAGCCATCGGACTGCTCAAGAAGCTGTGCAATCATCCGGACTTGCTCAATCTACCAGACGATCTCCCGGGCTGCGAAGCGCATTTCCCAGCCGATTACGTTCCGAAAGACGCTCGTGGACGTGACCGAGACGTCAAGCCTTGGTACTCGGGCAAGATGCAAGTTCTGGACCGCATGCTCGCTCGCATCCGTCAAGATACCAACGACAAAATCGTCCTGATTTCCAACTACACCCAAACCCTCGACGTCTTCGAGAAGCTGTGTCGCAATCGCAACTACGGCGTGCTTCGCCTAGACGGTAGCATGAATGTCAACAAGCGCCAGAAACTCGTGGACAAATTCAACGATCCTGAAGGCCCCGAGTTCGTCTTCCTGCTCTCGTCCAAAGCCGGTGGTTGCGGTCTCAATCTCATCGGAGCGAATCGTCTCGTCCTCTTCGACCCCGACTGGAACCCAGCAGCCGATCAGCAGGCCCTGGCTCGTGTGTGGCGTGACGGGCAAAAGAAAGACTGCTTCGTCTACCGCTTCATCGCAACAGGGACAATCGAAGAGAAGATCTTCCAACGCCAATCTCACAAGCAGTCCCTCTCCTCCTGCGTCGTCGACTCTGCCGAGGACGTGGAGCGCCACTTCAGTCTCGACTCGTTGCGCGAGCTCTTCCAGTACCGTCCCGGCACCACGAGCGACACACACGACACGTTCAAGTGCAAGCGTTGTAAGGATGGGAAGCAGGTTGTCAAAGCGCCGGCCATGCTGTATGGTGACACCAGCACGTGGAACCACTTCACGAACGACGAGGGTGATCGCGGGCCTATGGGCAGGATTCAAGATTTGTTGCTGCGGCAGGAGGCGAATGATACGGCTGTCAGTGCGGTGTTCCAGTACATCAGTCACTGAGTGGGAGTGGCGATGTCTGTGGTGGCTTTTGCTGGGACGGATCAATGTGTGCCTGTTGAGGCATCCACCATGAAGCGCATGCCACTATACGGATCCATGAGTGGTTGTAGCTGTGGAAGAACATCTATACATACAACAGATAAAGCTCGCTCGCTAAGTAGCCTCGAAGTGAAGGGGTATACCGAAAAACACATCACTGCACATCCATGTTCCTACTTTTCCCAAGCCATGGTAATCGCTCGTCCATCTACCTCGCCGGAATCTCGTATCCCGCAGAAAAATCAAACGACCGGAACGGATCGTCAAACACATGCCCCCCACGCCTCCTCTCCATCGACATCTGACTCACATGACTGCTCCCCCGCCGTCGCTGCGACCCGTCCGGCGCACCACCTACGCCCGGCGGCGGCGCAGGAACGTATAGTATGCCATCGCGAACATTGGGATCGACAAACGCCTGCATGCGCACCGTGCCCACGGCCTCAAAGAAGTTCGGCTGGGGGTGTTGATGGTGGTGGTGGTGATCCGCGGGCCCGCCACCTGCCATTGAATCGTGCCTGCTGCCGCTTTTGGAAGACGGGTGGCTGGGTAGGTTGGCACGGAAAAAGGTGGAGGAGTTGTTGTTGAAGGTAGGATGCAAGCCGCCGCTGGCGGAAGATGTGTACGAGGCGATGGCGGTGGACGAGGAGCTGCGAAAGCCGTTGAATGTCGTGGGCAGGCGGGGGACGGCGGAGTTGCTCCTTTTGCGCTGGTGGCGCGTCGTGCCGACGTACAGGCGCGGCACGGCGGGGAAGTCGGCGCTCTCGTCCTGCTGTTGTTGTTGTTGTTGCGTTTGCTCTGCCGCTACGATGGACGGGATCCCGCTTTTCGGAATGTCGGGTCGCTTGCCTTTTGCGAGCCGGATCGAGTCGCGCACTGTTAGTCGTCCGAACGAGGGCGAGCGATGCCGTTTCACTACCAGTCCGTCCATGTCTGGGATCGGAGGAGGCGCTCGTGAGTGCTGATGAGGCTGGGCCTGCGGGATTTCGGAGGGCAAAGGCGGGATTTGAGATGGTAGGCGGCCGGATTGCGCGAGGAAGGAGAGGGCCGTCATCCATAGGGCGTGTCTTTCCGCCGAGACGGCGGTGAATTTGAGGGCACGGGTTGGCGCCAGGACGATGATGGAGCGACTATATGTGGATCTGAGCTCGGGGTTTCTGGGCAGCGCTGTCTGGTCGAGGACATCTAGCACCGACTGGATTGGCACTGGTGGTGTTGTTAGCATTTCATCTTGGAGTCAATTGTTGGGGACTACTCACGTTTTCGTCCCTTCTTCCCCAACAGAGCAGTGTTGTTAATCGGCTGCTTGCTATCCCACATAATCGTCCGCTCGTACGGCGATAGCCAGACCCAGCGTTTATGCCGCGTGCTACTGGCACTAATATCAATCGATCCATCTTCCGCAATGGAGAAGTCTTCTTGCACGCCGAAAGACTTCTTCCGGCGAATATACTTCCACATCCACTCTCCGACCATGGTAGCTGCAATTGCGTCCACAAGATTCGTCTCTTCCGACTCGCGCCGTGTTGCCGGGGGGGCGCCTTCATCCAGACTCGCGGCACCCTTGAAGTGGTTGAAGGATGGACCGGTCTGCAGTGGGGTTGGAAGCTCGGGGATAGGAAACTGCGTTCGTGCTGGGCTCTCGATCAACATTGACTGCACGGGAGTGAGATCCGGGGAGCGTCGGCGTCTACGTCCTTTCACTGGAGATGTTCTGCGCGCCGCTGGCCTGATGGCTGCAGCGGATTGCACTTTGCGCAGACTGGCTTGCTTGCTGTTGCGTGCATTGCTATACCGTTGGCTGCGGGTGCCAAACACATCCGAGTACGAGTAGTTAGGCGTCGGGCTTGGAGCACCCTCACTGTGAGAATTCCCATTGACTCGAGAGCTTGACCTGTTGGGGATCGGGAATGGCGGTGCCACGGATTGCAAACTGTGGCTGCTGGATGCCCGGCTGCCGAAGCTGTTGCTCCGCGACCTCAGATGTTTGTAGGAGCTGAGTCGTCCAGGGTTGGGACGGGAGTTGGTGGAGTTTGCTCTGCTGCTAGAAACAGATGGGCCCGGAGCGGCGCCAGGTGAGCCTGACGTGCTCGGCCTGCGCTCAGGGGAGATTTCCTTGTCTTCCGGCACGGCTTTGGGAGGCTCGGAGAGGCCGAAACGCCCTTGAGGCGGGCGGATGATACCTGGTAGTATGCCACCCAGATCCTGTGGATCGAACCCGGCGATTGTCGGTGTATCGGCGTCGCTCAGCTCAGGATCTCTATCCATGGCCAAGGACGAGCTGATGAGTTCCGCTGGCCTCGTGACGCCGTATTGGGACGATCTGTTCAACGGCCCCTCGCCAAAGGCATCTCCGTGGGATAAGACGGGGGAAAGAACGGGGCGCGGAAGCGGGATAGCCCTCAGGGGCATCGCGCGCGGATCCTTGGAACTGCTATCGCGCGGCACCTTCTCCGGACTACTCTCCTGAGGCGACACCACGGCTGAAGGCGGCACAGAACGTGTAGGCTTGGTCGAGACCTTCGGCATGCCGACTGCGCTAGAACGTTTCAAGAGTCGCGAGGTAGCGCGCTCGGGGAGCTCGGGGCTCGGGAGCAGATATCCAGGGAGAAGATGAGCCGGAAGCTTCACTGGTCTGGTGTCCACGCGAATCTCCTCTGTTTGAACGGCGGCGTTACGAGAAGGGACAGGGAGGCTGGCTTGCGTTGAAGCGTTCTTCGTGCGAGGAGGCAAGACGTAGAGACGCGGGGATGATGGACGAGATGATGGGTGAATCGCAATGGATGGGACGTAGTCTGGAGGACTGAGGCTGTCTCGCGACTGGTGCTTGTGGTGCTTTTGACGATCCTCTTGTGTTTGCTGCTCGGTCTGTGTCGATGCAGAGCTGTATATCGCGGCAGCGATGGGAACAGCCTCACCACCAACCAAAGACGTGTCTTTAACTGGAGTCTCGGGTGGGCTCAAGGGGGCCATTACAGATTGGTCCGCGACTTCCAGCGCTTGCTGGTGGCCGGTAGGACGGACCGGAGCGACGTCTTTGTCGACTGAAGGCTCGTGAATCAAAGGAATAGGCATGGACATGGCCGCTCCATGTGCCTGTTCTCGCGCAGGCGACGGTGGCGGCGAGGGCTGAAACCCGGAGTCCACATATCGCACGTTCCGGGCCACCGGCGCATTCGAGGCGGCACTTTGGCGCTTCGTGTGTTGCTCAAGTTCTTTGACAGCCTCGAGGCCATAAATGACACTAGCCCGATTCTGTAAAGTCTCTGGCGGCGCTGGTGAAGACGGTCGCGAGTCGATCATGTCCGAGGTCAACCCAAGCACCCGCTTCGCCTTGGAGTCCGGATCGGCGTGCAATGACTGGCGGGATTCAATTGCTCTTCTACGCTCCTCGGAAAATTCCAGGTCGAGCTCCTCGCCGTGATGCTCAAAGAAGTCTAAATCATACTCGTCCTCTTCCTCGATATCGAGCTCGTCGGCGAGACTGTGGCCGGGTCTAAAGTGAGCATCCGGAGTGGCTGTCGCACGGCCAGCTGCCGAATCACGCAGGCTCTTGTGCCGGAGACTGATGCTGCTCGTGTTTCGGCGGTGTTTGGTAGGCGATGCCGTAGAACGGATGCTACCAGCATCGCTCTCGTTCCCGAGACCACTGTCCTTGAACTGGTTCTCATCGTAGTCGTTCATGACCCCAGTTTCGCCATCAACAAGGTTTTGCTGAGTGGTCATCTCCTGCACGACTGCACGTAGCCGCGATTCCGTGACGTGGACCCTGCGCTCCAGCTCTCGTCGCTCGCCATCCCAGCTTTCCTTTTCCGCCTCCCAGATCCGCTGCGTGCGCTCCGCATCTTCATCCTGCCGGCGTGTAGTTTTCTGTGCCGTGTCCAGCTTGCTTTTGAGGTCCTCTGCGTTACTGACTGCAAGATCCCGCTCTTTTGCTAGCGCATCCACGGCGTCATACGTCCCCTTCTCCATTTGCTGCACTTGCTGCTTTGCCTTACGGACATCGGTGGATGTCTTGGCGAGCTGTACATTGAGAGCTTCATTCTCATTCTTCACATCTGCCAGGCTCGTCTCCAAGTTCTCCACGAGGTTGTTCTTGGAGTCTATCTCTCGCCGCAAGGAGAGGATCTCGGAGACGAGCGAGGCGTGGAGAGTTGGGGTGAATCGCCGGGGATCCAAAGCGCCGTATTTGCCATCTCTCGACCGTGATTGAATCACATCGTCCGCATCTGGTGGCAGTGGTGGCGGCGAGGAGGACTGCTCGCGCGAAGATGCGGCCGTGGCTCTCGAGGATCGCTTGGAGCGAATGTAGTCGGGAGTCTCGTATGGAGTGCCGGCTGGGGAAGGGAGGCTTTTGGATCCAATGAAACTGGAGTATTCGCTGAAGTAATCCGCCATTGTCGGTTTGTGAAAATCGCTGTGCTTCACCGCTATGCTTGAGCGCTGAAGTGAAGGGATGGAAATGCCGAAGACATGTACGTCGTGAGAAGATGTTCAAAGGATGGTCTGCAAGATGAGCCGCCACGTTCGTGTGTGCAGTCACCGAGCTTCCATGGTAGGAGGGTGGTGGTGTTGCACGCGGCTACGCTCTCGTGCTGTCGCTGCGGTTTGCGAAAGCCAGCTATGAGATGGCCACGGGAGGTGTAGCACGCGGTCAAAGAGGGACGCGACCCAGGAGTAATAGCTAGCCAAAAAGGCCAATGCCGGATTTCGAGATATGCTTCCGGGGAACGACCAGGGTGTGGGGGGCGATGGCGCGGTGGCTAAGACACTTACTAAACGGCCCTGAGATATCCCGACTTGTCGCACTGTTGAGACGGCGAGAAAGTCGACGGTGAAGCGACAACCCTCTGGACGTGCACAGAAGGAGTGAAAGCTCGAGCAAGCAAGGAGAATGACGAACAGGACGAAGAGATGAGAGCAAGAGGCACTCACCACTGTGGGTGACGCGGTTGTAGATCGCGCGACCGTTAGCATGGAGCTTTCTCCTTTTAATCACACACTACACCTGCCGTGGCTTTGCGTAGGTTTGCCGCAAAGACACGGCGATGTCTCTGCGCCAGTCGCACGCTTAGCAGTGGCATGGGCTGCAGTAGCCCGTATAGCGCACACCTTCGGCATGTTCCCGGCGGACGGGGCGCCCTGGAGTGCAGGACAGCGTGCGCTCCACTCGACGGACGTGCGTGCCGGGACGGAGGAGGAAGCTACTGACAGGGTGCGCGATGCGTGGACGTTGACGAGCGAAACAGTAGCGCGGAAACGGAGATTTTGCCGGGCTCGGACGCGTGCCTCGGATTGGACAGACCCCTGATCGGCGGCAGTCCCGGGTGCTGGTTCGGAAGGGGAGGGGCCTTCCGTTGCCGCGATCATGCGCTGCGGAAGTACCTGATGCCTGTACCTGGTGTGATCGAGCAGAAGATGCCGCATGCAGGATGTAGGATAGTGGAGAAGAGCTGCACGAGCGGCAGCGGCCGCGGGGGACTTTGCGGGAAGAAGTCTTCCCAGATCAATCGCAGCTCAGCAGATGTAAGGATCACGATCGCGGAAAGTCCACGTGGTCGGGAAGAACGCGAAGAGTCAGGACGTGTCAAATCATCGGTCCGCAGATGGTGGCGCTGCAATACCTGCCATCTGGTGGGGATTCAACCCAGTCCCCGACGAGAACACCAACACTTTGTATCTCTTACCACGCCGGTGTTTCAGGCGGGCATCCTCATCACACTTGCGCATGAGGTAACATGTCATGGCCGGAAGCAGCATTAGCATGCAGGAAAGGTGCATGCATCGATGGATACGAGGCGACAGGGCCGCCACTGTGCACGGCGAGTCCGATACGGGAGCCCATTACGTGCGTCGAATCGTATCGCATGGCACTGCTTGGAATGAGTGTCTTGAGTCTGTGGCTGCGCACGACCATAACAGAGCTACGTCTACAACATCTCTGGCTTGCGCAAGTCATCGCTTCCGCAAAGCTTCAATCACCTCTGCCGTCGACGCCGTGCCGCCAAAGCGTCGCAGGGCGTGCAGCGCAGCTAAATGATCTGGCTCATTGGTTGACCCGGTCGCATCACTTATAGTAGTAACGTCAAAGTCCATCTGAAAGGCGTCTCTTGCCGTCGTCTCCACACATACATCGGTCCCCACCCCCGTTAGAATTAGATGATTGATTCCCCGCTCCTTGAGCGTCTTTTCCAGCGGCGTCCCAAAGAAAGCAGAGTTCCTCGTCTTGTCAAAGATCGGCTCGTCGGGCTCGGGCGTGAGTTCGTCGAGAATGTCGGCATCCCAAGACCCTCGGATGAAACCTCGCATTTTCTGAAGCGGGTTCTTGTCATCGCCGCCGCCGCGAAAGTCGGAGTAGTCCGCGTTGAATCCTGCCCGTAGGAAGAAGATTGGGATACTGGCGGCACGGGCGGCGGAGCGGAGCTCGTTGATGTGCGGCACAATCACTGTTGGCTCGCACTGCATCCCCATCTTTGCGAAGGTGCCTTGTTTGTGGCAGAAGCCGTTCTGCATGTCGACCACGACAAGGGCTGGAGCGGACGCGAGTTGGACCATCTTGGGGAGTTCGGGGTTGAGGGGGCCAGGCTCTTGTTACGAGAGGACGTTGAGACTCGTGGCAACTTATCTTTCTCTTTTGGACGGTGAGATTTTCGTCAGGGAAGGCAGTATGGTTCCGTCAGCTCACTCCCCGCTGTCCAACGGCTTCAGCCCTCGGGTACAGCAGGTGATCAGCGTTATTGAGGGTTCCGGAACATCGGCTTACTGTGCACGACCCTGATGGGGTGTGACGAAGGACGTGAAGCGTGCTTGTCAAAAGTCGGCGTATCGGAAAAAAAGTGGATGGTGACTTCAGCAGTGGAATCGTCAATCACAGGACTAAACCATGGCGATCGACAAGAGCCTCGATGCTCTTCTGGAGGAGAGGATGACCCTGCAGAATGGACAGCCTCAAACCGATGCAGCTCCATCTGCCGACATTCCGCCAGGCATGCAGAGGATGAAAGAATACACCGTCGACGAGCTGCTAAAAGAAATGAACCGCGTGCCTCTCTTCATGACTTCCCTCGACCAAACCGACGGCGAAGGCGGCGAAAACGTCGAGCTCGAGGCCCTCCGAGCCCTCGCGCACGAAGGCACCCGCGCCGAAATTGCGCAAAACTTTCGCGAGCAAGGCACCGAGCTCGTGCGCCTGGAGAAGCGATATCCCGAGGCTCGCGACTACTACACCAAAGCCCTGCAGGCTCTAGATGCGCCTCCCCGGGAACCAGACCCCGAACAAGGCCCCCAGATCGTGGAGATCGACGAAGAGGCCGAGGCGGAGAAGGAGCGCTCTATCAGAGAAGCATGCCTGGTAAATAGAGCGCTCTGTAACCTTGAGATGAGTATCGCTGCCCTACCGAACAGATACCCTGCGCCCAATCCACTGACGATGCGCAGAGAACTACGGCTCGTGCAACAGGGACTGCGCCGCGGCACTGAAGATGAACCCGAAGAATGTCAAGGCGTGGTACCGAGCGGCGTCTGCGTGTCTCGCTCTCGACAAAGTCGACGAGTCCATCGATGCGTGCGAGAGTGGCATGCGCTTCGAACCGCAGAACTCCGCTCTCCGCACGCTTTTGACCAAAGGCCAACAGCGGAAGGTCCACCTGGCCGAGCTTGAGAGGGTAAGGGTTGAGCGTGAGACCAAAAAGCGAGCAGAACTTGCAGCGGTGCAGCGTGCATTGAAAACACGTAGCATTCCGACTCGGACCACGGACAGGCCGCCCGAGATGCCCGAGGCAAGCATCACTCTCGAAGACTCGTTGGATCCAGCGTCTCTACTTAGCTTCCCGGTGATGCTGCTGTACCCTGCCCACGCACAGACAGACTTCATCAAGCAGTTCTGGGAGAATGAGTCTATCAGCGAACATTTGTCTTATATTCTACCGGTGCCGTGGGATACGGAGCACGAATACACGCTGAACAGTGTCGATTGCTACATGGAGACGATCGAAGGCGGCTTGATCAAAGCTGGGAAGAAGCTTGCTCTGTTGAAGCTGCTGAGCAGTGGTAAATTGGAGATCCAGGACGGTCTGGTGAGGATCAACGTCGTGCCACAAGCGAAAGCTACCGAATGGATCGGCGAATTCAAAGCTCGCCGGGCAAAACCATGATGTTGACGGGAGAAAAGGAAGAAACCAATGTCAAGCACCCATTGTCATTGTACTGGAGGCGATGGCGGCCCATCCGATTCAGCATTCGCTTTGGGTACGAGGCCCAGTCCCTCCAAAGTCTTTCCAGGCCGCGCTATGCGGAAAATCAACAACTCGCACGGCCCGCGGACTTGGTTGTCAGCGTCTATGTGTGTTTCGCAGAACACGAACCCGGTCTTCTCGAGGATTCGGCGGCTCGCGCCATTCTTGCTATCCACCCACCCTTCTATATGGTCGAAGCCAATGCCGCCCTCGTTAGCTGAAGGGAAACGCTCGAAGATCTCTGGAATCAGGGCTTGCAGGGCTTCGGTTGCGTAGCCTTTGCCTGCGTGATCTGTCGTTTGTTAAAGAGAGACTCAAGATGCGTGTTGGAGATCCTCACCTGGATGAATCATGTAACCTATCTCTGGGGGATGAAAGCAGCCCGCCAGACCTACAATAGGCGGCGGCGACTTCTTGTCCTTCTCTGTAGCATCGTTCCTTTCCTCGATAGCAAAGTTGAAACAATCTCGCCCTGGCGTCCTCGCCGACATCCATTGCCTGCCTTGCTCCACATTCTGCACAGGCCCTTGTGACTGTGTTGTTGTATCAGAATCGGCGACAATTAGTCGTGTGTCACTAGATTTTCTGCTTACTGTCCAGTACATTACTTCTGGTCTCGTGATCAGTGGCATGATCAGTTCGGTGTCTGCCACGCGAACGGTGCGCAGGCGGAGGCGTTTCGTAAGGATTTCGTGGAACTCGGGCTCCTCTAGTTCGACGATGGAGGCGTCGGTCATTTTTGCAATCTGTAATGTTCCTGTGACTCGAGTATTCAGTTTTGATCGAGAAATATCATATGTCCCGTCTTTTGCAAAGCTGAATACCAGGTCTGGACCTCTTACGATTATTAGTCATAGTGGAAGTCGCGCTTTCCTGCTGAAGTGCTCGCTCCATCGCGTATTGTTCCCTGCGCCTATGACACAAACGATGACCTGAACATCAACAATGACAGACGGCAGCTCATCGACCGTCGCAGGCCATGACGGAGCCCCCGCAGAAACGGCGCAAGACATCGCCACCTCCCGCTCCAGCGCAGCAAACAGATGACGAAGAGGTGCAGTCGACGGATTTCAAGCTCGCCGTCCTGGCCTCGCTCCACCCCGATCGGAGTCAGGATGTCTTGTTAGACTATCTACTCGCCTACGATGGAGTTGTGGGAGATGTGACCAATGCTCTCTCGTCCACATCAACTCAAGCCAACACCGGCCAGAAGCGAGCGATTGGATATCAGTCTTCGCTCTCTGCGTTCGCCATCGGGAACAAGGCTGCTAGCGATGTGGCGACTGCTCCCAAGAGCTTGACGAAGAAAGGGCGAACATTGCACCTGTATTCTCCCGACGACGTAGAAGCTCACACCCCCTGCTCGATCATCCACAACTTCCTTTCGCCGGAAGACGCCGATGTCCTGCTGCAAGAGCTGCTGGCAGAAGCGGGCACGTTTCGAAGAGACGAATTCCAGATGTTCGATCGGACGGTGCAGTCGCCGCATACCAGCAAGTTCTACGTGGACACGTGGGAAGAGCAGCAAGACCAAAAGACCGAGTACATGTATAATGGAGGGGCTGTGCAAGACGTCGGTAAGACGCCTCCAGAATTGCTGCGGGTGTCGCACATCGTACGCAAGACCGTGAATGCAGAGATTCAACGGAGGATGGAAAGGCATGTGGACAGCAAGAAGCTCAAATTCCAATCGCCAGACGAGTGGAAGCCGAACGTGACGTTTGTCAATTGCTACGCCGGCGGCAACGAAAGCGTCGGCTGGCACTCCGACCACCTCACCTATCTCGGCCCACGAGCAGTGATCGGAAGTCTCTCGCTCGGCGTAGCACGGGAGTTCCGCGTGCGCAAAATCGTGCCGCAAGTCGACGACTCGTCTGCCGACGAACAGGGCCAAATCGCCATCCACTTACCACATAACTCCCTCCTCGTCATGCACGCGGAAATGCAGGAGGAGTGGAAACACAGCATCGCGCCGGCAAAGTCCATCGATCCACATCCTGTCGCTGGAAATCGACGACTCAACGTCACGTACCGCTGCTATCGCGATTACTTGCATCCGCACCGCACGCCGCGGTGTAAGTGCGGCGTGCCGGCGGTATTGCGATGCGTGCAGAAGCGAGCGGTGACGAGGGGCCGGTATATGTGGATGTGCCATGCTGGCTTCTCCGTCGGACAGAAGTCTTGCGCCTACTATGCTTGGGCGGACTTTGATGAGGATGGACGACCGCCTTGGGCGGAGGGGTACAAGGGGAATGCGAATCTGCCTGCAGTTGAGACGGCGCCGTAGTGAATTGATGGGATATATTCAATTTCATTCCCTTGGCTTCCACGTTCGGGGACAGATGGCAGAGAACAGGTGATCCCGTCCGATCTCACGTACTCAAGCTGCCAATCGGATGAATAGTACTCAGGTGGGAGACCACTGGGGAAGTCCATCTACTGAACGTACATTTTTTCGGATTTTCCCCGGCACTTCTTTTTGCTTTTCCCTGGCCTTCCTTTTTGCTCTATCATGGCTATTTGTATGTACCTTGACGTACACGTAGCGTACAGCGAGTGTACCCTCGTTTGAAAGGATGAAACCCGAGTTTCCCCAGCCTTGCCACGGTGAAGCGGACCAGCGGCGACATAGCCGAGCTTCTGCATCGCACCTCAAGCAGATATGAGCTCGACATCCTTCGCGCAACACATACCGGATTGAGAAATCTTCACTCCTACATAATAAACGCGAAATCCTCTCATAACGGCCGATGTGACACAAGAAATGGGGGAATATCTGAAAGACGTGGCAATCATCGGCGCCGGCCTCGGAGTACGTACTCACCACCCAGCACTGGTCCTCCATCTAACTCACACGATATCAAGGGCTGCGCACTAGCCCTCGCCCTCTCCCAACAGAACATCCCCATAACCGTCTACGAGTCCCGACCGCGCGGGCACGACGTGCTCAAATCCGGTGTAGTCCTCACGCCCAATGGCCTCTGGATCCTCGATCAGCTCGGCGTCTTCGCGCGCATTAAAGACCGCTGCTTCAAAGCGACGCACCGCGTATTCAAAAACGACAAAGACGAGACGGTGCGCAAGACGCTCGTGGCGGACGAGTCGCTCTACGGCTACCGGAATCATCGCATTTGGCGGAAGTTGTTGCTGGATGAGATGAAGGTGATGCTGGAGGAGCGGGGCGTGGGGATTCATTACGACTCGGTGTTTAATGGCGTTGAAACTGAAGACGAGGAAGGCGTGACGTTCCTAATCAACGGCCAACCGCGCACCGCATCCCTCCTCATCGGCCTCGACGGCATCTACAGCCACGTCCGCCAATACCTCGACCCGAGCATCGTGCCCGAGTACACCGGCACAACCGGCGTGCTGGCGCACATCAAGCGCGCCTCCGTCGCCTGGCCCTACGCAGACTACGAACCCAACGCCACGATCCAAGGCAAGCCCGGCGCCATCTTCTTCCTCCCCGAAGACCCGCAACACGAGGACATCATGATTGGCATGCAGGTGCAGTACCCGGAGCAGTCGCGCGAGGACCTCGAGAAGCTGCAGACGGATTATGATCGGCTGTTGCAGTTTTATCGCAAGGGGTACGAGGAGCATGGAGCGACGGCGCGCTGTATTATTGATCGCATTGCGGAGAATCGCGAGACGTTGTATATTTGGCCGTATTTGAAGATGCCGAAGTTGGGGCGTTGGTTTAGTCGGGCGGGGAGGGTGGTGTTGGCTGGTGATGGCGCTCATGCGCTGCCTCCGAGTAGTGGTCGGTTCAGCCATTTCTGATGGTGCATGCGGAAGCTAACACTCCTCAGGTCAGGGCGTCAATCAGGCGCTCGAAGACGTCTACTCCCTAACGCTTCTCCTAAAGTCGAGTGAACCCGACAAGAAGGCTGCGAATGGAGCGGCGCAGACCACGAACGGAGCTACAACACCGAATCACACTCTTCTAGATACTCTAGCGTTTTGGCAGCAGATGCGGCAAAAGCGAATCGACTCCATCATCGATTGGGTGAGCAACTACCAGAACGTCGAACGCTTGCCCGAGGCCGAACGGAAGAAGTTGGCGAGTCAAGGGAAGGATGGAGCAAAGGGCGACGATATGCGGTGGTTGTATGAGCAGTCGATCGAAAGAGATGTGAAGGCGTGGGTGGATGGGAAGGCGTAAGGTAGGACGATGGTTGAAAGCATTGTTTCTCTCGATATCTCAAAAGGACAGAACTGTAGTACTGACAGTCTTCACCTCGCCCGATCAACGATTGAATAAAAGCCCCGGGGCTCGACCAGCTCCAAACTCCCATGACTGAGGTGACCAATACTCACAGTCCGCTTAAACGCACAGCAAAGTCTCTAACTCATCGATCCTCCCATGCAGTCATAATCCCGTTCAGAGATCCTCATAAGCCCTCGTCTGCCGATGCCACGCATTCGCCAGCAGCCCGCGGAAATTCCAAATCGAGTCGAAGGTCTGCGGCTGCGTATTGTACGACTCGTCGCACGCCTTGACAACAAACTCGACCTCTTTCCCCGGCTGCAACTCATCCTTGGGCCACTGAATCTTCCACAGCGTCCACGCCCAGCGGCGCGCGCCCTTGGCCTTGTCCGCTTGCAACTCAGCCTGCTTCCACGTCTTGCCGCCGTCGGCAGAGACGTCGACGCGCACGATCCGGCGCCCACCACCGCTGAAGGCGAAGCCTGTGACTGTCGTCTTGTTGTCGCCGTTGGCGCGGAGGATGTTGGTGATTGCGCTCTGGACGGGGGTCTCTTGAATTGCCTGCGCGGCCGCCCAGTCGTCGCCTGTGCAGTCCGCTTGCTTCATGTTCGGGCCGAAGCACTTGTAGTCGCGCTGCTGGTATTGGCTGGCCGATTCGTCGGTGCTGATGCTGATGCGGCCGAGCCATTTGACGCTACGGGCGGCAGTGGTGCCGGGCACGATGACGCGGAGCGGACCGCCGTGGTCGCGGTTGAGGGGCGCGCCGTTCATGTCCCATGCGATGAGCACGTCGGCTTGCGGGTTGAGCGCTGTGTGCAGAGGGATGGAGACGGCGTAGGTGTCGCTGGGCGACATGAAGTGGACGTGCTTGTCGACTTCGTCGGAGCAGCATTGGGTTGGAGATGGGCAGTCGTCGTCGACGTCACAGCCGGCGTGGCGGAGGACGTCGCGGAGGCGCACGCCGGAGAACTCGGCGGTGCCGATGGCGCCAATGTCCCAGGGCAGGCCGGAGGTTTTGCCCCCGGCGCCTTGGCTCATGTGCGCGCGTCGGTTGCCGGAGCATTGCAGAGTGGCAGTGATGGTGTATTCCTTGAACTTGGCTTTCAGGTCCTCGACGCTGAGCGTCATCTCCTCACCGTCGGAGAGCTCGACGGTCAAGGACTGAGGCGACTCGTGCGTCTGCGGAACCCACAGGTGGTTGCGGACGAAGAAAAGGCGCAACGGCGTGAGGAAGTCGACCAATAGGTTGCCAGGCGTCTCGGCGTTACACGGCTTCGCCGTGCGAACGATGAGGTTCTCATCGCGTTCCGGATCATGTTTGAACGGATCGTCAATGATGTAGTTCTCCGCCTGATCACCGAGAACGTTCCAATTCAGCTTCCCAGCATCGTCAAGATCCCTCTCGTCAATCTCGCCAATGTGGTACTGCTGCAGGATGTCGTAGACCTCTTGTTTCTGGTGAATGGAAAAGATCTTCCAGTAGGGATCGACGCTGCCGCCGCAGGCGCGGAGGATGATTTCGCCGCCCGGGTGGGTGCCGATGAAGTCGGTGATGTCGTAGACGCTGGTGCCGCGGATGATCCACTGGCTGTCTGCATCTCGGTCGTGCTTGGTTACGTCGACGAGTCGGATTTTGCTAGTTTCTACGACGGGCGTGTGAGTGGACTATCAGGTTGAGTGGAGTCGGGAGATAAAGTATACCTTCTGCGTTGGCCAACTCGAGTTTGCCGTCAGATTTGATCGGGTTCTCTTCTTCCTCATCTTCCTTTTGGAGTTGCAGTTTCGCACCGAGATAGGCAAAGACGGTAGCACCGAAGACAGCACCCAGGAGAGGAGCAGTATTGCTTCGCTTGGGCGACGACGCGGCGCTGTGAGGTCGGGCGTGGGTACTTTGGATCCTCACGCACCCTGCAACGCGGCTGGTGGTCACGGGCGACGCATGACTCTGCACACGCCATCCCGACGCCGTCTGTTGTCTCGCCGCACCCCAGCTCTCTACAGTCGCTCGTACATTCGGTCGTGATCGGGTGGCGGTCTGGATGTGACGGGCGGCGGCAGGCTGCGAATCCGCCAGCCAGCCAATCGGAGCGCGGACAGCGAGTGGAGACGCGCTCGAGGCTACGAGGCGGCGCGAGAGATGGTGGAGAGGAGGCATGTTGATGCAGGTGTTGGCATGCCGTGGATGTTGTGGCAATGATAATTGATGAAATACAGTCGAAGAGGGAGCAAGATAACGGTCACATGGGGACTTGGAAGCGGTGACCTTGCGTGCTTGCTTGAGTGGCTCGCTCGGGGAGTTGGGCAACGCGACTTCGCCGTCGCAACTTCGGCGAAGTCGTTCGCGGACCCTATCTCTGCGGCGGGAATCGCTTGCGACATGGTGCAATCCCCGACATTCCAGCTGGCGCCATCGCGGCTGGCGGAGGGATGGCTGTCCACCGCGGCGATGTTGAGTGCCATCGACTGCATGGTATACAATACTCGCATCGATGTTGCGATGCAATGACCATCAGAACACTTCCCCGCCAAGATATCCTCGACTTTGAAGTGAAGGCCGATCAGCAGTGGAAGACGGCGAGGCTACCACGTCGGCTCGTCGGCAACGCGTCATGCGGGGACCTGTCACGTCGTATCTTCCAATTTCGAGTACGTACTATGCCGCTTCTACCCAAAGTGCTGCGTAGACGAAAACATCGGGACCCACGCGTCCAGTGGCTGCTCCGAATACGTCGGCTCCCACGGCGGCACTCCGTTCGACTGCTGCGACGCTATTGCCGTCTCCAATGGCTGCCACGTGCCTCCTGCTGGATCGCTGGTGAACAAGGACAGCAGATCGTCAAAGCCGGGTTGTTGTTGTCCACCTGGTAGTCCGTTAGTGTTGCTTCTCGCATGGAAGTAACAAAGGCTCGTCTTACCATAAGAACCTCCGCCCGCGGACCCCGATTGCACCTGATCGCCGTCATATGTCGGAACGTGCTGAAGCGTCGAGCGTCTCTGCAGGTTTAATCGCCCAGGCGCGGTGCCGGGGATGGGATTTCGCTGTCGTTCGGGAGCATGCTTCTCCGGTATCCCCTTCCGTGCCATGCGATAGATCGAGAGTGGTGCGAGCACATAATCCGGAGCACTCTGAACCGGAGTTCCCTCCACCGAATGCTCTTCGTCATCCGACTCGCCGAGCTCATACGGCTCGTCTGCGCCGTTGCTCTGGCCGGACTGTGAGGCATCAGTGCCGAAGCCCACCTTCCCCAGCAGCTTTTCGGACGCAGTCGTGAGTAGATCGGCCACGGCGTACATCGACTTCATCATCTTCAAAGCTTTGACGTTGGTTCTGATCAGTGGAATCGTTTCCGCCAGAAGCACTTGACTGTTCTCCGCCGCCGGGTCGATGAGCTGAGTCAGATAGAACAGCATGACACGACAGCACTCGTACACGACTGTGGGCGCCCAGGAGTCCGCAAGAGCATGTGGGCCGTTCCGGAACGCTTCGGCGGCGATGATGCCCACCTTTCGAGCGTGTCCGAAGAGTTCGTCCTGCAGGTGATGCTGGAAATCCGCCTGCTCTGGAGGATAGACGAATGCATTCCTAAGTTTGTACAGTGTAGGGGCTCCAATGCGATACAAATCGCACATGTTGAGATGGTACATCCAGTGGAGGGCACATAGCGCTCCCAACTGCGTGGTCTCGCGGCGAATGTACACCGAGCTCGGAGTGAATTGGAGACTCTCTGGCAGCGATTCGTACCACGCTCGGCTTTCCGCATCGAGCTGGGCGAATTCGGAGTGTGCAAGCCACGGCATTTGAGCAACATCGAGGTGTTTGATGTATCTGAGAGATATGTCAGTTGAGGCTGCGTTATTTCACAAGGTCTCGAATATACACACTTGAGAACCCTCCGACGAATTGCAATGTAGCGGAGATAGTACGCTCGGATACCCATGTTGTCTCGGGGATACGAGGGAAGAGACTCGGGTGTGATGAATTTCAAGAACTGCCCCGGCTCCAACACTTCTGTAATGCAGGGCGCCTGTAGGACAAAGTTCCGTTCGGTGCATGGCAGCTGGATCTTGATGTCGGCCTCTTTGATCAGGGTGAGCTGATCAATGCCGTTGCCGATGAGCGAGTCAGACACGTAGCAGCACCACATCAGCCGTCTTCGTGACTCTTTTGTGCTCGCTCCGGGGCCGGATTGTGCGTCTTGACAGAGAATGTCGGTGGAGTGCTCGAGATTGATCTGAAGTGCTTGAGCCATGCGTGCCGTCAATCCGGAGAGCATGAATGCATTTCCAAAGTTCGCCATTCGCAGCTCATATTCATGCAAGAGGATGGCAGCCATCAGGTTCTCCACGCTGATGCTGTTGAGCTGTGCCAGAATCAATTGCTGTGATCGCTTAGCCCACTGACTACCAGCCGCGAGTATCTTCTTCGGCGGATCGGTAGGCTGGTGTTCAATTGCGTAGAAGAGAGCCCCAAGTGAGCATACGATGAGGAGAAGGGCGTCATCTTCACATCCTCTAGTATCGACCGTGTCCAGTCGTTGGATGAAAGACGGCTTATGCAGGAAGCCGAAGCACCTCAATGGGTGGATGTTGGTGAAGTATCGCTCTACCAGCATTCGCACACGGTAGTTGGGGGGCAAGTGCCATGACTCCAGCCATGATCCAGGAGGCGTTTCTCTCTGCTCCTGAGCTTCCGGCCGTGCACTACCACGAGCGCTTTCGTTGGGCCCGTTGCCTTCATTGTTGCTTCCCGGAGATGGCTGACCGAGGGAGAAGCGCAATTGCTGCCTCCACGCTGGCTCGGAATTGTCTTCGTAGACGCACTGGAGCCCCTTCTCCTTGCAACGCGCACAGGCAGGCTGATCCCCCGAGCACCGGGTCTTGGTGCTCCTGCAATTAACACAGCTTCGGAATGTGCGTTTCCTCTTGCGACTGGTGGCCGCCGCGGACGCAGGACTCCGCGACGCGTCTCGCTCAGGCGGCGAGCCTTGCGCAGCAGGAGAGCCCGCCGCGCCCGTACACGGCAGACCGAGTCTGTCGCAATTCAAGCATACCCCAGGCCGCTCGTCGCATCGAATCTTTCTACACGTGACTGTTAGACCGGGCTCACCGCGCTTCCCATAGTGCGGACTTTACCTCGCTCTGCACGTAACACAGCCTGATTTGGACCGCGAGCTCTTCGTCGGCTTGGCTTCCGACGACATTTGGTGTACTGCTGCCGCGCGCTCGATGGATTAGTGTGCGAGGTTCCCGATGAGCCGGTGGAAGTGGGACTGCAGATCCAAAATGTCGAGTACCTGGCGGGACGACAAATGACTAAGCGGAGGGCGATGTCGCCAGCTTCCTCCCGACGAACCGAGTGTGGCGCAAGTCAAACAGACTTCCAGACGCGATTCGACGAGCCAAGGGAGGCGCTGGCCTAGAGCGCTGATGACTGATGATGGGCCATCGGGACGTCGTGGAGCGGATTTTCCTTGTATGCACCGCATGCTGTATATATAACCAGTCTGCCTGCGCCATAACCTCGCTGCGACCATATTCAAAGCATCACAATGGCTCCAGCAGCAACATTCTCATCTACCCATCAACAGGATCTAAAACACATCTTCCCCGATGGACTGAAGACATCCGGCCAACATCCTCCTCTCTTTGATCAGCTTCAGCCATATCCCGAATTCCCTCAAGAAATCACATCGACGTCAACGGTCTGGAAAGCCGAGGATTACAGCAATCATGCGGAGCGCTGGACGCACGTCTTCAGCAACGAGGAGATTGCCGAGCTTAGCCATGCCGCCGACAACTTTATCGCCTCCGACACGCCATTGACCGGAATCACGAGGGACCTGTTTCCCCTCCCTATCCTTGGCTCGTTCTTTGGGGCTGTGCGGAACGAGCTGCTCAATGGGAAGGGTTTCATCCTTTTCAAGGGCCTTCCGGTGGATGACTGGAGCCTGCAAAAGAGCGCAGTGAGTCCTCTACTCTTGCAGTCTGCGTGTGCTCATCTCACCAAAGCCCTTTTAGGTGGCATACATGGGACTAGGATCATACTTTGGCTACTTTACCAGTCAGAATGGACGGGGTCATGTACTCGGTCATGTCAAAGACCTCGGCGCCGATGCATCCCAACCTGATAAAGTCCGGATATACAGGACTAACGCTAAGTGAGTTTTTCGCCCGAATGCAACACCGACATGAGCTAATGAGTCTCAATCAGACAATTCTTCCACACGGACGAGACGGACTTCGTCGGTCTGCTATGCATCGCCAAAGCCCTCGAGGGCGGCGAGTCGGACATTGTCTCCACCCACCACGTCTTCAATACTCTTCAGCGCGAGCACCCGGATGTCGCGGAGCTAATGTGCACACCTTGCTGGTACTTTGACCGCAAAGGGGAAGTCAGCGAGGGCGAGGAGCCCTATTACCGATCAAGCATCTTCTACCTCGAGCCCAACAGCGAGTCCCCGCGAGTTTGGGCCAAATTCGATCCTATGAACGTCGTATCTCTCGCACGTTTCAGCGAGGGCCCGAGTGCAAAGATCCCGCCGTTATCAGATGCGCAGAAGCGAGCCCTGACAATTTTTGACGACACTTGCCAGAGACTGGCACTGCACATGATCCTGGACCCGGGGGATATCCAACTGCTGAGCAACATGCAAGTCTTCCATGCTCGCACGGCGTACAAGGACTACCCGCCGGGCTCGGTAGACGAGCGGGGCCGCGAGAGAGTGAGGCGACACCTGATGAGGCTTTGGCTGTCGGTCCCCGAAAGCGAAGGTGGCTGGTATGTATCGCAACCCTTCTATGGCCGGATAGTTGCTAACAATGCTAATTCAGGAGAACACCATTCCACGACACTGACGACAAGAAACGCGGCGGCGTGCAAGTGGACTTGACACCGCCCGTATGCCCTTACGATGCAGAGTGATTGCATTTTACTCTACAGCGACATTTAATCGCCAATCATAGACGCCTTACAACTTCGCCTTCCCCTCAATAACATCCCGCAACAAAGTCAACGCCTCAACAGTAAACCGCAGCATATTCCCCACCCGATCGCCCCCGAGCCCCGTATCCAGCTCCCTCGCAAAACTCCCCCGATCACAATCCACAGCCAACGCAACATATCCCGGCTGCCGATTTGGCGCCTTCCCACTTCCGGAAGGACCAGCCGTGCCCGATTCTGCAATCGTATACGTGCTACCCAGATCCTTCCTCACGTGCGCCGCCAACCCCTTGACCACATCCTGCGTGGGGCCATCATAATTGTCAATGTGCTGCTGCGTCCAGCCGGCGTAGGCGATGCGCGAAGGCAGCGTGTAGAGCGTGAGGCCACCTTTGTAGAGTTTGCTTGCGCCGGGCGTGCTGAGGATGGAGCTGCTGATGAGGCCTCCTGTGGCCGTCTCGGCTATGCTGACGGTTTCTTTGCGCTCTTTGAGCAGCGTGACGACTTGATGGAGGATGTCTTGGACCTCGGATGGGGGGAATGATGATGATGATGCCATGGTTCGTTGTTGGGATTTGTGGTTGGCCAATGCGGTTGTTGTGGTTCGGATTGTTCGGAGAGGCTTGAGTCTGTGAGCAGAGCCGGTGAGACGTTTGATGATCATTGATAATCAAGAGATAGGTGTGACGAGATGATGTCGGCATGCCTCGTCCACTCTATCGGTGGGGTAGCTGTTCAGTGGGGCTGGTGAGGGCAGGGGTTTGTCATCACGATCTCTTCGGTCTCCATTCAACTTCACCTTGACTAACACCGGCGTAAATCAGCAATTGATGTCGTAATGACCGATGAGGCTGCCCTCTAAATCACGTACGGCAGGCTTCCAACATTCTTCCCCATGAAGTTGAGTCCATCCAGCTCGGCAAGATGGCTCTCAACGTATCGATCAATGGGTAGGACGATGACAACAAAAAGCTTCCCAGCCTCCTTCGTGCGCGGCGGAACATCCAATGGCCTCATAATCAACCGCTCCAATCTCCCACGAGACGAGGCGGCATGGCAACCCATCCTCTCAAGCGCCATGGGCTCTCCAGATGCGTTTGGGAGGCAACTGAATGGTCTTGGCCAGGGCATATCTTCCACGTCGAAGATCTGCGTCATTTCTAAATCTGATCGCCAGGATGCCGATGTCGATTACACTTTTGTCCAAGTGGGCATCAAAGGCGGTGATCTGGATATGGCTGGGAATTGTGGGAATATGTCGAGCGCTGTCGGGCCCACGGCATGGGATGAAGGCTTCGTGGACGACGCAGAACGAATCCAAGGAGGCGAAGTGACGGTGCGCATGTACAATCGCAACACCGACAAGATCATACACTCCACCTTTAGTGTCAACGAGAATGGCCGGTACGAACCTATTGGAGATTACTCGATCGATGGCGTCTCTGGCACGAACTCGAAAATCACCTTGTCTTTCCTTGATCCCGCCGGGGCCAAGACGGGCGTCACTTTCCCATCCGAGGGGAGCAACAAGATTGACATTTTGACACTTAGCGATGGGTCCCGAATCCCAGCGAGTCTGATCGATGTCGCGAATCCTGGCATTTTCGTTCTTGCGTTGGATGCCGGTGTCCCTGGCGACATCACTTCTGATGCACTGGGAAGCGACGAAAAGATGATGGCACGACTGGATGAGATTAGACGAGAAGGCACTCGATTGATGGGGCTTGATCCGGACATTCAAAGTGTGCCGAAGATCGTCTTTCTGTCCAAGCCGACAGAGCAGGCTGCAGCGCAAGGGACAAACATTGTTGCTCGTGCGCTATCAATGCAGCAAGCTCATAAAAGCATTCCGTTGACACTGGCGTTGAACCTTGGAGCGGCGTGCAAGATCCCAGGTACCATTCCGGCACAAATGGCGGTGAATGTTGCAGAGCACGACTCTGTGGTCATCGCTCACGCGAGTGGCAAGATCGAAGTAGGGAGTGTGATGAGAGAGGGGAAGATTGTCAGCGCGTTGCTACACCGAACGGCTCGAGTACTCATGAAAGGCGATATCTTCTACACCATCGAAGATACCGGATGAACACTGGGTCCACCAACGCCGCGCTGAACCATTACAACAAGAATCTCGCCACCCGTACCGCCATACCTGTGCCACCCCTTGCTACATCGAAGCTCTTGCATACTCATCGCGTTTCAACTTGGGTCAAGCACCATGGTCGCCGTCCTCTTTCACGGCCAAAGCCTCCGCGCTCTTTCCAGTGTACAGGAAACACTTCGCTAGCTGGCGGATGTGCACTGCAGTGAAACCGATGAAGCCAACCGGCTTGCTGATGCGCTCTACCAGAGCCTCCGCGCGATCAAGTACCAACTGGATGTTTGCTTTGTCGCTGGCCCGCAAGTGATTCATGAGCATATTGGTCACCAGCTTCGTTTTACCTCCACTGACGTGCAAGGCGAGATACGCCAAGAAATGGCCACGATCGCAGCAGCCGCATCCGATCAGCAGCTCCACATTTTGAAAGATGGCGGCCTCCTTGACGCCTTGCATGGGAGCGTTGCGAGCGGTGCGCTTGTAGAATACAGGGGCCATGTTGAGCTTTCCGGCCATGTTGTAGAAGGTGTTGCCACGTTTGTGCCAGTGGCCGCGCCGGAAACACCAGTTGGTTCTGATGGTGGCGAAGAAGGTATTGGCGGCGAAGAAGATGGGCAGAGCTTCGGCACGGAATTGACGACAGACCGACAGTATTGGGTGCATGTCGAAATCTGCAAAAGCGTGGTTGTCCTCGTCGACAGTGGCAAGGGTGTAAATCTGATTTCTGATCTCAGCGGGCAGGTCGTGGATCCGGAAGTACGAGGCTTGCTTCGTCTGGAAGCGCGTCCTCATGCGATGGGTAGATGGAGCTTCGGGTTTCAGTTGCTTGGACTTCTTGCGCTTCTTGACTTTGGCGAGAGACTTGGAGCGAGAGCGGTGGCTGGCGTTTTCGTCCGAGGTGCATGGAGAGCCGCCGCGAAAGCTGGCCATCGGAACGCGAGTAGGCTGTTTGCCTGCTGACTGCCGTTGTTGCTTGCTCGGACTGGACTTGAGAGTCTTCATGACTCGTGCCATGGTTTTGGTGAGATGGGCTGTGTCGTTGCGAGCTTCGAGTGAATGAGGAGTATTGTCTTGAATGCGACGCTTCGGATGAATGAGGTGTCTTCGATGCGACTGGGCAGCACCCGTGGTGCGGCTGCGCTGGATGAACGAGCCGCGTTGCTGAAACGAACGGTGAAGTAGGAACGAGGTGGTTGATGATGATACAAGTCTCAGCCCAACTGCGATGGACGAAGGTTACAACATGTCGTTGTCTTGCATGCGGAAGTTGGGAGGTGACACAAGGATCAGGCAGATGTATGGAAGTAGTACCTGAGGCAACATGATTCACGGCTTGGTGGCACCTTCCACCGCAGATCCAAACGCGAGTTCGTCACGCTCCAAACCTTAAACTCGACTCACATGATGGTGGATGACTGGTATGACGAACAGAAGACTGAACGTGCTACGGATATCTAGAAAGAGAAACGAAGGCAAGGCACACGACATGAAGACAGCCCTCAGCCTCGTCTCCGGCTGCGCCTGGCCTGGCCTGGCCATAATTCCGAGGAACTTGCCGAGGAGCTTTCGGCTGCCCATCCGAGCCGAGCTTCCAATTTACTTTTCACGTGTCAAGCTGCGTCACTGCGCTGCCAATGCACTCTTGGGACGACAGCTTCGACGAACAACCTCACGGCCTTGGCTTGTTACGCACTCTTGGATATCCACCCGCACCAATTCCACCCGCTCTCTCATGCTCTGAAGTCGAAGCCTTATCCCACCCCTTACTCGCCGCCCGCGGAGCTCGATCGCCTACTCCGCGCCTAGCACGTGGCATCACCCACCATGGACAACCTCGATTCCGCCGTCGAGAAAGTAGCCGGCAAGCCCACGGCGGAACTCAAGGAAGACGCCGTCGAAGCGGCCAAAACGTCCGTCTCGTCAATACGCGACTTCGTGGCGGGCGGGGTGGGCGGCGTGTGCTCCGTGCTGGTCGGGCACCCCTTTGACCTGGTCAAGGTGCGCCTGCAGACGGCGGAGAAGGGCGTGTACAATGGGGCGATGGATGTGGTGAGGAAGACGATTGCGCGCGAGGGCCCGGTGCGCGGGTTGTATGCGGGTGTTTCGGCGCCGTTGGTGGGCGTCACGCCTATGTGTGAGTCTTCCTCCTTTCTTTTTTCATACCGCAAGCTAGGCTAATTCAGAGTGTAGTCGCGGTCAGCTTCTGGGGCTACGGCGTAGGCAAACAACTCGTCGAGTCCTTCGGCAACGTCAAAGACGGCCAATTCACGCCCGCACAAGTCGCAACCGCAGGCTTCTTCTCCGCCATCCCCCAAACCCTCATCACCGCCCCCTTCGAGCGCGTAAAAATCATCCTCCAAATCCAAGGGCAGAAACAGCTGGCGCCAGGCGAGAAGCCGAAATACAGCGGCGGCCCAGACGTCGTTCGCCAACTCTACAAAGAAGGCGGCATCCGCAGCGTCTACCGCGGCTCCGCAATGACTCTCATGCGCGACGGCCCCGGCTCCGCTGTGTACTTTGCCACCTACGAGCTCATCAAGCGCAACCTCACGCCGAAAGACGAAAGCGGCAAGCCGGGCAAGCTCTCGCTGACGGCCGTGTGCGTGGCGGGCGGTGCGGCTGGCGTGGCTATGTGGATCCCCGTCTTCCCCGTCGACACCATCAAATCCCGCCTGCAGTCTGGAGATAGCAATTTGAGCATCAGCGGCACGATCAAGGAGATTTATCGCAGGGGTGGTGTCAAGGCTTTCTTCCCTGGTATGGGACCTGCCATGGCCAGAGCCGTTCCGGCGAATGCAGCCACGTTCTTGGGCGTGGAGTTGGCGCATCAGGCTATGAATAAGGTGTTTTGAGGGATTCCGCGGCTTTGGGGAACAGCTTAACGAGGGGTTATGGCTGTTTGCATGTATCATCTATCCCATTGAGCGACGTTCCTCCTCCGCGCCCTTCGCAATATAGCGCCACACAACAAGTCGGCCGTTCAACATGATGATCAGCTTGGATGGAAAGGCTTCATCTTGACCGCAGCAAGTAGATGCTACGGTGATGGCGTTCGAACGTATCTCTCATCTCGACTGTTGACCTGAATCGCGCTCGAAACACTATCCTTTACTCCCCTGCCTCGCATGCCCTTTACTCCCCATGCTCAGCCTCTTCATCGCCTCCTCCGGACTCTTCCCCACGCTGACCTCCTGCGCACCCGGGCCCTCAACATGTCCATCCGGCTTGGCCTCGACAGCGCCAGTAGCTCCGTTTGACGGGCCCGCTTCCGTTCCCTCACCACCTTTGTGCCCGGGGAATCTCGTCCCTAGATTCTTCGGCTTCTTGGGCTTCTTCTTGTCCTCTGTAGGCGGAGGCGGGTAGGCTTTCTTCTCCACCTCCTGCCACTCGGCACTCGCCTCGTAGGCCTTCCTAATCGGCGCCAAGAGCTCTAGCAACGCTTCTGAGAACGCGTCCTTCAAAATTTTCGGGTGCAGGATATCGGCCTCGTAGTCTTTCCGCATCTCTGCGCTGGAGCTGTATTCCAGGGGCTCGGCGTCTGGTCGGGGCACGACGAATTTCGGGGTGCCGTTGTTCTTGAGTGCGGACGCTGGGAGCAGCACATATTCCACGAATGCCAGGATGCCGTTCCCCTCGACTTGTCTCAGGGGGCAAAAGGCCTTCTTCACCTTCTTCCTCACTACCTCTGGGGGATCTATGAGGTCGATTTTGGAGTCGGGGTCTGATGAGCTCATCTTGCCGCCTTCCTGCAGGCCCGGGACGAGGGGGTTCATGAGATGCGCTCGCTTCTTGAATCCAATGCGCGGGAGGACTTCGGCGGCCAGGGTGAAGATCTTCCTTTGGTCCAAGCCGCCGAATTGCGCGTCGACGCCCAGGTACTCCTCGTCGAGCGCTTGCATCAAGGGGTAGATCTGGGAGCTGAGGGGTGGCGACTCGACTTGCTTGACGACTTCACTCCCGGCTTTGCTCGCATCGTGTGCACTGACGCTGGTGCTGAGGCGCAGGAGATCCATAAAGTACTTTGCGCCCGTCTCGCCTTTCGTCTGGTAATCGGAGCCCGTGACGAATTTCAACCTGGTCAAATCCACGCCTACGGCTCTGAGTTGCTCGGTAATGGCGAATCGGTAGTACTTGACCCGCTCCTCAACGAGCTCGATGGGGGCTTTGAGGTTGTCGAGGAAGCCGTGGACATCGGCGAGCAGGATGGTGACTTCGCAGCCGGCGGCGAGGAACTCGGAGATTTTGAGCATGCCGACGAAGTAGCCGCAGTGCGGTTTGCCGGTCGTCGCGGTGCCCAGGTAGATGCGCAGGGGCCGTTCATTTTTGCGCACGATCTCTTCGATGATTTCGGGGTTGAGGACTTCTTGCAGGTTGTTGTGGATGAGGTGCAGTTTTTCGTCGGCGGAGAGGCCGGCGCCGTTGGTGGAGGCCATGGTTGGTGGCGATGGAGTCTGTCTTTGTAAGGGGATGCAAGAGGGTTTTGCTGGTCGTTGGCTATTTCAATGGCCAGTATGGCTGCGTGAGTCAGGAGGGGGAGGAATTGAATAAAGAGTCAAGTGTGTGGCGCGGCGGATGGCGCGCTTCGGGGGTGCCACACGTGAACGCCGCAGGGTGTGGCTTGCCTTTCGCTTACGTTACTCGACTCCTACCCTTTTCCATGCTGTGTCTTGGGAAACGTTGTCCACTTCTCAAAGACCGTCGAGACTCTTCCTCTGCATTGGATGGTTCCAAAATCAAGTAAGAGATTGCGAAGAGAACATGTTGTTAAGCAGATGAAGGAAAAACCCGCGACTAGGAGATGGACGACACGAAGCAGCGAGGCGCCAGCCTTGAGGAGATGGAAGTCAGGGATGACGGAAGTATCCATGGCGATGACTTCTCCGACGCGCAAACAGAGCCACTGAGGAAGAGCGAGGGTGGTCCGAGACAATCCCAGCACATATCCGGCACGCTGCAAGGCCTTACCGACAAGGCACTGCACTTCCTGTCACATGCCAGCAACGAGACCCTAGGCGCATGTCTCGTCGGCTTGGGCGCGTCGACCTACTTCGTGTTTGGAAGGGTTGGCCTCCTGATAATTGGCGTGGCTGGTGGAGTGGTTCTACAGGCGACGTGGGAAGGTGCCCGGGGCGATCATCGGGATGAGCAGACCAAGACCGCAGAGCGGGAACGAAGAAGAGAAGCCGGAGTGGAAGTGGCCAGGAGACTACTCGAATGGCGATCGAATCGACCGGCAGAGGACAATATGGACGATATCAAGGTCTATCCCACACATCAACTCGACTACTCCGCCTTCGAGCCCAAGACTGCGCGGGCTCTCACCACCTTCACCGACCATGTCATCAAGGACTACGTGCATTATTGGTACGACTGGTCCCTCCCAGGCGAACCGACATTCCCAGCAAGCTGCAGACGCACTTTCACCGCCTTCGTCCTCTCACTTTCCACCCATCTCCAGCGCAAACGACCTGCAGACGCCTTTCTCGACTTTGTTACAAACGCGAGTAGCATCATCATCGTCTTTCTCAACGAGCTCGCGGCCGCTCTGCATGCTTCACCGAACTCCACCCCGTCGGAAGCTATTACTGCTTATCTGGATTTGAAACCTGACAGCAACCTGTCCTATCTTTTGAACCCCGAGGCGCAGGACGCGAAACTCAAAGATGCGGCAGAAGACATTCTGCAGAACTACGTCGATCCCAAGGCGTACAACTTTCCGCCGGCGCGTTTGTTTCTGAAGGAGGTGATGGCGCAGCTGATCCTGGGCTACACGGTTACAATGTGTTCCAAGCCGGAATGGATCAACGAGTGGATCGTCTATCTTCTCGAGGAGAGCAAGACGACCGAAAAGGTGATGAATATTGTGGACGCGAGTGTGAAAGGCCGGGAAGATGTGCCAGCACAGCGTGATGCACACCAGGATGGCCCCCAAATGACAGGAGAGGACAGCAGGAAATTCAGCCGGGCCGGAGAAGCCATGGACGACGCTTTGCAGGAGGCGAAACGCTTGACGCAGATGATGATCGAAGAGGACGAGCGAAGAACCCGTGAATCGCAAGACGTACACGTCAACAGCTCGGAGGACGTGTCGGATGTCAGTCACACCCAAGGAGCCCCGACACCTACGTCTAGCCAGAGCGATCGAGAGGAGATTGTCGCATCACCAGCGGAGCAGACGCTGTCCACCCCGGCGTCGACTGTAGATGTCGCCGCGGACGATTTGGAACGCCCATCGACACCCCATGCCGTTCAACCAAAGCCACAATTTACCTCATTCGACCAGCTCATCCCTTCGCCGCAGCCTACCGCCCTTTCTGGCTGGAGCAGCTCGAATCCTCTGCCAACACCACCAATCCAGTCTGCATTGACCCTGCTGAACGCCTCGATGTCGATCTTCGACGACTCCGTTCCGGGGGAAAAGGCGTTGATCAAAGCCAAGCCTCAAATTGACTACCTGATCCAAATCGAGCCTGCATCTTCCGCCTTCCCAGGCTGGATGATCGCCAGGAAGTACACGGACTTTGAAACTTTGCACGAAGTGCTCCGGCGCATTTCTGTCATCACCGGCGTGACGGGATTTGTTGAGAAGCATACAGAGTTGCCAAAGTGGAAGGGCTGTACGAAAGCGCAATTGAGGCAGGATCTCGAGGCCTACCTGACCCATGCCGTCAAGTATCAGCCGCTTGCAGAGAGCGAAGGTATGAAGAGATTCTTGGAGAAGGATCTTGGACTCAGCAAGGTTCCTGCGGGTAAGAGCGCGGGAGGTGGGAAGGGCTGGAAACTTGGGGATGACATGATCAGTGCCCTGAGCAAAGCTCCGAAACAGGTTGCCGGTGGGGGCAAGGCAGTCCTGGGAGGTGTTGCTGGAGGCGGCATGGCTGTGCTAGGAGGCGTAGCAGGACTTGTCAATGCTGCGGGAACTGCGACTGCCGGGGTCAAGAAGCAAAGCGTTGTCAGTCGTCCTAGTATGGGCTCCCTCAGCGACTCACCGCACAAGTCACAGCCGAGTGCCATGTCGGTGAATGGCTACGCGGATGGCGATCAATCGGCGCGTCAAAGTCAGGAGTCCTTCCGAACACAGTCTTCGAGGCCTGGCCTGGATCGACACGTCAGCACGAGCTCCATCACGAGTGTTGATACCAACACCCGACCACTGCCTCCAATCCCCGATGCTGCCAACGAGGACGCAGAGACAGACACTGCATCACCATCCGCAAGCCTCGCCTCACCAAGTCGCGAGTCACTAGGTGCAGTCCTGAATCTCCCCCCGCCTCCATCAGAGATGCCAGCGGATTACAACACTGCGATGAAAGCCGACTCGACCCTTCACGCCGACAGCCCCAAACGCAGCCTCGAAGGAACAGACCTCCAGCCCCCCACAATGCCCCCCCGCCCTCAGCCCACCCAACCCGAGCACAAGCCCAAAGAACCCCTCTCCGACGCCGAAACATCCGTAGCCGTCGAACTCATGTTCGCCGTCATCACCGAGCTCTACACCCTCAGCTCCGCCTGGAACTTTCGCCGCACCCTCCTCACCGCCGCAAAGACCTTCCTCCTGCGCCCAGGGAACCCGCAGCGCGCGGCCATCCGCGACTTACTGCAAGCCTCAGCGCTCGACTCCAACCTCTCCGACGCAGGGCTAGCGGCGCACATCTACAAATTGCGCGAGAATGCGCTGCCGACTGCCGACGAGCTGGAGAAGTGGAAGGTCGAGTACCCAGAGAAGAGCGAGGAGGAGAAGGAGGCGTTGCGGGTGAAGGCGCGGAAGTTGCTGGTGCAGAAGGGGATGCCGGCGGCGCTGCAGAGTGTCATGGGGGCTGCGGCGAGCGGGGAGGCGATGGGGAATGTGTTTGATTGTTTGCAGGTGGAGAGCGTGAGTCGGGGGTTGATTTTTGGGCTGCTGTTGCAGGGGTTGAGGGTTGTTACGCATTGAGCGAGGTTGCGGATGCTATTGACGCTGTCGAGAGTGGCCTGAGATGTGCTGGCTGGAAGAACAAAGGAGGGCCATGGATTTCGACAAAGAATGATGGCCCGACACGTGCCTTGGATTGCAATGGCAAGGATATGAGGACAAAGGAACATCCACCGCAATTTCAACAACCTTCGCTTTGAGTGTATAAGATGCTTCATCTGTACGCTTGTGTCGAGTAGTCGCAACATCGCCCGAGTCCAGGACACTTCCATTACTCGGTCTGCTCTACCACGGCGTGGATCTCCTCAGACCCAGTGATCAACACTTTCGAACAAAGGAACCATGCCCCCAAGAGCATCAACCCACCACCTCTCCATCACCCCCAAACCCTACAAACCCTCCAACCTCTCCATTCCCGTCTCGCCCTTCTCGCCCCGCCTCCCCATCACCCCGCCCGTCCCGCCTCCAAAGCCCACGACAGCACCACTCGCGACCACCAGCACCATCCTCCCCTCACATACACGCCATCACAACCAACCCCTCACCCCTCCCACCCAACCCCTCCACTGGCTCTGGCAATGCCACATCTGCCACCGCTGCTACCGCCTCGGCGTCACGCGACGCTGCCTAGACGACGGCCACGCCTTCTGCTCCGGCAGCACGGTGGTGAAGCGCAGCAAAACCCAACGCGGCAAAAAAGTCCTCAGACACAAAGCGTGTCAGAGCGAGTTTGATTACCAGGGGTGGAAAGTTTGGGGCACGTGGAGGCGTGGGGGACGGCAGAGGGCGGCGCTTGGGGAGACGGATGGAGCCAAGAAGAAAGATTGTTGGGATTCGTGCGATTACCCTAGTGAGTGTCGGTGGGGGAGGCAGTTTGGGGTTGCGACGCCTTCGCCTGCGAGGGCGCAGTTGGTGCTGCCTTCCTCTTCGCCTGCTGTGCTTGGGGATGATGAGGATGTCGCTATGCGGGATTTTGAGGCGGGGTTTGCGTTGCCTGTGCTTGAGGAGGAAGAAGAAGAAGAGCCTGCCGCGGGGTCGTGGGAGGAAACGAAGTTGCCTTCTGTGGAGGAGGTGGTTGAGAGTGTGCAGAGGAGGAAGCGCAGGAGTGCGGGTTTGACGGCGCCGAGTCCGTTGGCTTCGCATCCGCTTTCGAATACTGAGGAGGGTGGTGTTGTTGTTGTCGTTGACGATGAGGAGGACTGTGCGGCGGCGCAGGCGCTACGTAGAGCGTTGGATGCGTTTGAGCTGGACTTGGGGAAGAAGTTTTAGGTCGTACCTAGTCAACTCATATCTGGCGACGTTGCCGTTTGTCGGTCAAAGAGGCCACGCTCTTTTCATTGTTCCCAGTAGTCGTAAATCGTACATCATGTCCAATACGCCCAACGACCATCGCTAATGTCAAAAAAGTTCCCTTGATTCCCAAAATTTTCACGTCTCTTCGCTTTCTCCCGTGTCCTCTCTCGCCCAAGTGTTTGTCGGCGACGCTCGTCTGCTCTCCTCATCTGCCTGACTCGAAGCAGGACTGCTCTCGGGTGATACAATGAATAAGTCTTGGTAATTGCCGAGGAGTAATCGACTCCAGTACGCCAGCGCGGGGACTTTCACAGAGGCGAGATTGGAGTTGTAGTTGGGGTAGGAGGCGTAGAGGTTCTTTTCCGTGGGCAAGTAGAGGTCGTGGCGCTGGATGTCGACGTACGAAGTCCAGCGAGGGATGTGTTTGCGCGTCGCACGGAGGGATTCATCTGTTGGGCAGTAGGTGTCAGTAGGAAGACTGGGGCTGTAGGGGCGCAAGTTGCGGCACGTACTCTTGTCGAGGTAGGCGCACAGCTCTTTCTGCGTGGAGGTGTCGAGGCCGCCGCGGTATTTGTAGAGGAGGATGGGGGTGGTGTCGGCTTCGTTGAGGGCGTAGCGCTCGGCGCTGCTACTGCTGCTGCTGTGCGCGGAGTCCGACATGCCCGTGTCGGGGTGCGGGCGCGTGATGATGTCTGTTTGACTCATGGCGGCGACGGCGGCCTTGCGCTCTGTTCGCGCCGTGTCCGGTGCGGCGAGTCTTCCTCTGAGGGGTATTGTGGTGGTGAGAGGGTACAGGAGAGGAGGTGTATGGGCTATGGGGGCCTGAGGAGAGAATGGAAGAGTTGTAGAAGGGCAGGTCGGTGGTTTGGGTTGGTCAAGTAAATGTATTGGTTGGCAAGAGCGCTTTCGTCATTGGTGAGACGGAACGGCGACTTCAAGCACGAACCACTCCACCCAAGTGTGGCGCGGTGCATTCCCCGTCGTGCTTGTTTGTCGATGCAGCATCGAATTCCAGATGAATGAAAATGGTCGCCAACCGACGGCCAAACTCTCTTTGATCGCCTCAGGCTGCCGTGCTTGTGGTCTGCTCTTTGTCCCAACGCATTCGCACCATTCGCGGGGCGAGTGAGTGACCTGCTGCACGAAACGACCACAGCCACTGCAAGACAAAGCCAATTCCGCGAGCAAATCATCCAACCAGCCAGCCAGATTGCTGGTGATACATGTGTACAACCTGCCGGCATTGTCAAGCAATGCGCCTGATCGGAGCACCGCCATCAACCCCTTTGTGCGGCATGGCAGGGCTCGCAGATGACTACACCCATGTCGGCCCCCAAACGCGAGACGGTGGCCGGTGCATGTGAGGCGCGTCACCCGCGCCGCTAGGTTCAGGTTGTCTTGCATGATCGGCCTGCATGATCGGCCTGCCTGACTACCGGCATTAGGCGCGTACATTGCTTGCGTATAAGTTCTGAAAGATCGCCCTCTTCTCCTTCTACTGCTTTCCTGCATCCTCTCTGCACGCTCCGGTTGACTTACATCGCGCGTTTGGCGGTTGTTTGCGTTTCTAGTCGTCGTTCTACGCTCCTCCTGTGTTCAAGAAATACGCCAACTGTGCAAAGGCGAGCGACTCATCTGCCTCAGTGTGACTACACCGTTGCTATGGTCAGGAAGGGACGAGTCACTACTAGCTGGGCATCAACCCACTAGACCCCGGTCCTCCACATCGATTCACAGCTCCACGATGGCCACCCTCGAACCTCCCAACCCTCCTCCAGCAGGACCGAGCCTTCGCAGTGACAGTGCTGCCCCCAGCTCCCGTCGCCAGGAGACCGACGACTCCGACAAAGCCGGACGAGTATGGGCAAGGCAAGCGGAGGCAGACGCCTGGTCGCCCTGTATCTTGACGCTCGATGGTGGTGGCATACGCGGCTATTCCAGCCTGTTAATCTTGAAAGAGCTCATGCATCAGATATGGCTGTGGGAGAATGTGCTGGAGGATGAAGAGCGAGCTGCACATGTGGAGAGTGGACAGGCTGGCATATCGGAGGAACCGAAAGAAATGGACCAGGCTGTGGGTGGTCATGATCTTGCCCCGGTCTTCTCACTTTCGAATCACGACTCATCCGTCAGCCCCGTCCATAATCAAGACGATCACGACTCCGACGTCAGTCACAGGAACCGGGAATCATCACCCACAAACCTCTCATCCAGGAAGAGTATCAAAGAGGAAGATTTGCTGCCATGTCACTACTTTGACTTCATGTACGGGACATCAACAGGAGGACTGATTGCCACCATTCTAGGCCGGCTTCGAATGACGGTCGATGAAGGACTCGAGCTCTACCGGAAAGTCGGCGATGATCTATTTGGCAGACGGCGGAGCAGCATCCCCTTGCGCACCAAATACTATCACCAACCGCTGGAGCGTGCAGTGCGCGAAATCGTAAGCAAGCGATGCCTGGACCATCCGAACTGCGACGGAAACGATCTCCACCCCTGGGACGCCGACAAACTCGACGACATCCTCAAACAAGACATCCCCTTTGACGTCGACAAGCCCCGCGTCTGCCAGTCCTGCTGCCTGACCGCCACCCACGATAAAAGCATTTCCGAAGCCTACCTCCTCCGCTCCTACCCGCACTACTACTCCCCCGACGGACCCAACTGGACGACTCCCTACAACCAAGGCGCCCTCAAACTGCCCATCTGGCAATGTACGCGCGCCACCACCGCCGCCCCCTTCTACTTCGCCATGGTGAAAGCGCACGTCGACGGCGAATTCAAAGCCTTCAAAGACGGCGGCATCCGCGAGAACAACCCGAGCGGCGCTGCGCTCAGCGAATTCCACTCCCTCTACTACCGTCGCAACGATACCCCAGCCCTCATGCTCAGCATCGGCACTGGACGCCCAGATCAAAGCAAGGACGGCTTCGCAGGCGCCTGGGGTCCTGCTGGCCATCTGCCGTTCGTCAGCAAATTTCTCGAAAAGCGCGCCGTCATCCGCAATTTGCTCATCAAATACACCGAGGGCGAGAAGCAGCACTACCAGATGCGCGAGTACGCGCACGGAGAACATCACTGGTATAAGAGGCTTAATGTGTCGGACGGGCTGCAAAACATGCCCTTGGACTCCTGGGAGCGCGGCGAGTGGCAGGGCCAGGCGAACGTGCCAGGCGGAGCCACACTGACGAAAATGGAGGATGCGACGGCCGCATATTTGGAGCGGGAGTACGATCCGATGGTTGATACGTATGCGCCGCCGAGTACCATGTTGCGACAGACGGCGGAGAAGCTGGCGAGGCAGCGGCGAGCACGGGAGAAGGAGGGAGGGATTAGATGGGAGGCGTTTCTGGGCAAGCATTTATCGAGGCGGGTGGACGTGTTGGCGAATGATGAAGATGTTGGGTGAAGGTGTACTGTCTTGCAACGGAACGCTCTAATGACTCCCGGTTTGGATATATTACGGCCCCATCACTATCGGGCATGTGGCCAATTCGACGGAACCAGGACCCTGGAGAATCAACAAGGCTCCGCAGCTCCACACCTCCACACCTCCACAGCGGGATCTACTCGCGGCAGCCACCCTGACTTTATTACCCCGCGAAACACGTCGCGTCTCCACACGGCCGAATTCCACATCCTTGCTTACGCCTCAGGTGCTGGGGTAACATCAACCAGTACCAGCATTGCCCACTCACAGCCCGCGCACCACAGCTGGCATCCCTGCTCCTGTGCCGTCGTAACGATGAGGACAAGCGAGCTCTCGAGGAGCAAAGCTCGCGAGCAATGGGGGAAGGGATCTCGGATGGTAGGCTCCGATGTCTTATGCTCGCTTTTTCATCTGCGGGGTCGATTGATTGTCACAGGGCATATAAAAGGTACGGGCATGTAGGGTGTTGAAAGTATTGGAAGTCAAGCTCTCGCTGCCCCTCCCTCCCTCCCTTTCCTCTCCGTCTCAATCTCACGTTCCTGTCCAAACGAAACCTCCTCCTGTGAAGCTCGCAGCCATGGGCAGTATTCCCCAAGAAGCCCCTGCGTCCGTGAAGCAGGGCGAAGGACATGATGCTCGCGCTCCCGTGAAGAATGTCAAGGTGGTGCAAGCGGCCGACTTGCCTCCCGGGCACATCCTCGCGAAGATCAATTGGACCGGTGAGGACGTTGTCCTTGACCTCTCGCTAACAAGCGTTCGCTGATGGTGTGAACAGGCCTTTGCGCTAGTGACAAGAGCTTACTTCATGATGATGTACGTTCGCAACATGCTTTCTTCCTGCCACAGTCACTGATCATTGCTCTAGTGGGTCGGGTTCGGCTTCAAAATGATGGATGCGTAAGTCATTCGGGACAAACCCCTCAATCAAACAATGCTTGTCTGCAATCCTAAGACACATATTAGGACGAATGGCATTGCAGGCCACGAAGGCGCCGGCACCGTTGCCGCAGTGCACCCCGACGTAGCCGACATTTGGAAGGTAGGAGACCGCGTGGGCGTCAAGTGGGTGGTATCCGTCTGCCGCAACTGCGAATTCTGCACCAACGGGCACGACGAGCTGCACTGCGCGCAGCAGAAGAACTCGGGCTTCAGCGTGCCGGGCACGTTCCAGCAGTACTGCGTGACGGACGGGAGGTACGCGACGCGCATCCCCGAGGGCGTGACGGATGAGGAGGCCGGGCCGATTATGTGTGGCGGTGTGACTGCTTATACTGCTTGCAAGCGGTCGGCTGTCAAGCCTGGGCAGTGGATGGTGGTTATCGGTGCTGGAGGCGGATTGGGACATTGTAAGCAAATACACATGCTGCCTGAGTTTGGAGCTGCCGCTGATACCTGGTCTAGTCGGCGTCCAGTACGCCGTCGCCATGGGCATGCGCGTCATCGCCGTCGACGGCGGAGACGAAAAGCGCAAGCTCTGCCTCGACCAGCTCAAGGCGGAGAAATATGTCGACTTCACCCAGGTCAAGGACATTCCGGCGCACATCAAGGAGATCACGACATACGGGGCTCATGGGTCGATTGTCTTTGCGGCGAGCAAGGAAGGCTATGCTCTTGGTCCGCAGGTGGTGAGTCTTGTTCTTGTCCGACGAGTATGGGATGAATTCTTTGCTGACGTTGTCGATCTTTGACAGCTTCGTCCGGGCGGGACTATGGTTGCCGTCGGATTGCCGCAAGATACCAGCGTGATGGCTGGCGTGCCTCCTCTCCAGCTCGCTTTGAACAAGTTGAATATTGTTGGCAGCGTGACCGGGACTCTAAAGGTGGGTTCACTCCAAATCGTTCATGAGAGATGTCGCTGACGCGTGACTGATTGTAGGATGTGGAAGAGGCCCTGGAGTTCACGGCGCGAGGACTTGTGCACCCCATTCTTACCAAGGGAACTCTGCACGACGTGGACAAGTTCTGCGAGCTCATGATTGCCGGCAAATTACCCGGTCGAGCTGTCATGAAGATTGAGTAAGAGCTGGGAGATGTGCTGGAGGAAGTGGAAGGTGTGAACAAGATACTCGAGAGACTGTTACCTTTGCTCTGAAAACGCATCTTCGTTGCGCCGTCTGTCCCCGCGTTCGCATTTCTTTTCGAGTGTCGCAATGGACATGAAGTGCAGTTAAGCATTCAATGTCTGCCATCAAGGTTGCGATTTTGCATTCCACGGTGTAAGGTATGTGTTGGGATCTCGACCCCGTCACCATATGCTGCAACCCAGCCAAGGCCAGCCTAACCTCGGATCAATGGATGCGCGGCCCGTGCCCGAAGCGTGTTCTCCACCTCCACATGGTCCAGACCTCGACCTCATGCCAGCGGTCATAAAGCGATAGCCCGGACTGACCAGCGCAAGGCAGAGGAACGTTCGATACCGACTCGAAATTACAACCAGACAGTCCGGCCAAGCGTGTCGTCTTACCACCATGGCGCACTTCTACGACTCCGAACTGAAGCGACCCAGCGCCTTCAACTTCGCAACAGACGTCGTCGACTACTGGGCCGCTCATTCTCCCCCAGCGAAACTGGCAATGCATTGGGTCTCCGGCGATCTGCAGAGCGAGCGCCAACTCACTTATGCGCACTTCAGCCGTCAATCGAACCGCCTGGCCGTTTTCTTTCGCGACAAGCTCGGCATCAAAGCTGGCGAAAGGCTGCTGATCATCATGCCTCGCGTTCCGGACTGGTGGGAGATTGCCACGGCGTGTATTCGATCGGGCATTGTCGTGTGTCCCGCTACGACGCTGTTGGTCGACAAGGATATCGACTATCGCGCGAATCGATCGGGCGCGACGGTTTTTGTGGGCGATCATGCCAGCGTAGAGAAGTTCTTAAGGGTGAAGAAGACTTGTCCGAAGGTTAAGACCATTGTGCAGATTGGAGATGCGAAGGTGCCTGATGGTGTGTTGTCGTTGCAGAAGGAGATGCAGTCCGTGCCTGAAGATGCCAAGTATGATGGGCCGAAACCTCGTATCAAAGACCCAGTCATGCTTTACTTGTAAGTTGCATTGCAAACCATCTTGGCCATCATCTAACCAATGCCGAAGCACCTCGGGCACAACTGGACAGCCAAAAATGGTCCAACACAACCAAATCTCCTACCCGCTCGCGTCAACAATCACAGGCAAACACTTCCACCGCCTGCAGCCTGGTGCGGTCAACTGGGTCCTCACAGAGCAAGGCTGGGCCAAAGCCGCATGGGCCTATTTCGGCACATGGAACTGCGGCGCCGCGCTCTTCATCCACGATGACCGAGGCGCCTTCAGCGGTAAGAAGACACTCGACGTCCTTCACCGCTACCCCATCACCACTCTCTGCGCGCCTCCGACGGCCTATCGTCAGCTCGTGTTGGACGAGATGCGCCAGCACTTCAAGAAGAATCCGCCAAGCGCGCTGCGGCACTGTGCGGGCGCTGGAGAGCCGTTGAACCCCGAGGTCATTCGCATCTGGAAGGAGATGAGCGGGCTGGAAATCGCGGATGGATTTGGGCAGTCGTGAGTTCATCCAAACCCCATGAAGTGAGGTAAAAGCCCTTGCTAATCCTAGAGTTTTAGAGAGACGGTGCTGGTATGTGGGAACTTCGAAGGTTCTGCTATCCGACCAGGCTCGATGGGCAAGCCCTCACCCGGCGTGCCATTGGCCGTAATCGATCCAGACGGCAAAGAGTGCGAGCGGGATGTGGAAGGGGACATCGCCCTGCTAGTCGATCTCTCCGAATCGTCGAATTTCTTCGGCGTCTTTGACGGGCAAGTGTCCTCAACCGTCACGTGATTCCGTCACACCCAACTGACAAGCCTCCTCCAGCTACCTCGACGAACACGGCACCCTAACCCGCAACCTGCGCACCAACCCCTCCTCGCAAAAGCAACCCTGGTACCCCACCGGCGACCGCGCAGTCCGCGACAAAGACGGCTACTTCTGGTTCGTCGGCCGCGACGACGACGTGATCAACACCGCCGGGTACCGCGTGGGTCCATTCGAAGTGGAGAGCACGCTCAAACAGCACCCGGCGGTGGTGGAGAGCGCGGTGGTGTCGTCGCCCGATGCTTCCAGGGGCGAGGTGGTGAAAGCGTTTATCGTGCTGACGGAGCAGGCGGCCAAGGGCGGCAAGGAGAACGCAGGGCTGGTGAAGGAGTTGCAGGATTTTTGCAAGGAGAATGCCGCGCCGTACAAGTACCCGCGCAAGATTCAATTTGTGGACGCGCAGTTCCTGCCCAAGACGATTTCGGGCAAGATTCAGCGGAAGAAGTTGAAGCAGATGGAGTGGGAGGGGGAGAAGGGTGGGAAGGCGAAGTTGTAGCTGGATTGCTTTGGATGGAATGGATTCTATGGAGCACTTCTTCTGCCAAAGACGCGGAGTCGCTTTACTCCGCCGTCGGGGATGATGACCATCTTCACGTAGCTGTACGGCTTGTCGGTCGCTTTGAGCACATCACTCCCGTACTCATGCTCTTTATCCGGCCCCGTCTTTTGCGCTGGCAAGATCTCCGTCCAAGCCGTCTGATCGTCATGCTTTGGTACATTTGGCGCATCGGGGGCTGCGAAGACCTGAACTTTCTGAGGAAAGTTGCCGCGGAAGTGAGCAGTGTCGACGACCACATGGCCAATGATGCCAGGTGTGCCAAGCTTGACAATCACCCAGTCGATGTGGTCGCCCCTCGAACGCTTCGTCTCCCACCCATCGCCCATATCGTGCCCTCGGCCGGGTAGCAACAAATTGGCTTTGGTGCCGAAATGTTGATCCGAACAGGCAACAGCCACGCCGCCATTGACCGTGGCAGCGAGATCGAACACGGCGGCCGAGTCCTTTGGCAGCACCGGAATAACCGTGCCGTACAAGCGGAAGCGCGCAATGCCACCGTCAGGGAACATCTGCAGCCGGACGTGTGTGTATGCCTTCTCCGTCTCTTTGGCAAACAACCAGGCATGCCGCTGGCTCGGACCACACTCCTGCCTCGACAAGATGGTCTCCCAGCCCGAGAATGCCTCGCTTTTCACCTCATCCTCCCTCGCGTCCTCGGCAAAGCATGCTTGCACCGCAACCTCGGGAGCTTGATTGCCGTTGAAGAAGGCCGTGTCGACCTCCACTCCCTTCACTCGGCCGGATGCCACGCCCAGCCTGATCACCACCCAATCGAAAGGCTGCGGGTTATGCCGCCGCGTTTCCCAGCCGTCGAACCACGCTCCTGCATAGGTGAACACGCCGGGTTTGTGGACGGGTGGGGTCGGGGTGGTGAGGTTCGTAGCTTCGGCGAACCACTCGTCGGAGAAGGAGAGGATGCGTGAGCCCAGAGGCTTTGAGATGAGGTCTGTCAAACGCTCTTTGTGAGCGAGAGGAGGTCACGCGATGAGGAGGCTCGGCGATGTGCTTACCTATACTGTCCGACTTGAATGTGGCATCGATATCCTTGGCAGCGATAGCGGTGACAGGCTGGCTGTTCACAGCTTCGACTTGCTTGGAAGAAACAACAGGGGTCTCCATTGTCAACTCCAATGCGTGTTGCTCGCGAGCATGAAGTGGAAGAGGAGGGCCAGAAATATCGGGCAGGTCCCTTATCGATAAGGGCTGTTGCGTTGTCGGAGCTGGCCGATGAGAGGCGTCCGCTTCACGAGCTGTCGCTAAATTGCGTGCCTTCGTACAGACTACTCCGACTCTGCGTCCCCGACGGATCGAGCTTGGCCAGGAATTCCGGCGGAACGGATGGGGTATATCGACGCTCGCGTTCCTTGTTCATTCCGCCGAATCCCGCGCCGAACGTGACCAGCATGTCCGTCGAGGTCGGGAGATGGAAGGGCAAGAGCAACGCGGGATTGAGCAAATTGCCCTCTGGTACATCGTCGTAGTCGTCCGGTTGAGGAGTAGACGGAAGCTGAGGCGTGCCTCTGCCATTCGCGTCCGATGCATCCTTTGCCTGTTGGGTTGATGCGGCACTGGCATTCGCGGCCGCTTCAGACGTCGGCCATTTCGGCCGGCTTCTCACTTCCTGAATGTACTTCAAGGAAGCTTTGTTCAATGTCTTCTCCCCGACTTCAGCTCGATAATGCTTCACGGCATGTAGTAGTTGCTTCGTCGTCAGACTCGGGAGCTGTTGGAGCGTCGTTTCCATGGCCTCTTTATCTTCTCCAAGCGAGGAGAAGCATTGCAGCCACTGCATCAACTGCACGAGCGGCGCAAGATGTCGCCGCGCTGCATCCGCAGTCGACTCGCCCGTCGCTGTCTTGCTCCCGTTCTCCACGTTTTCCGGCTGTCGATTGTTCGTCCTTGCCCAATCCTCCAGCGTTGATATATTCATGCGGATCTGCATAGCCTTGGTGCGCGCCAGATACCTCTTGTTCGACATGATCTTGTTGAACAGCTCTGCACCCAGCCAATAGTATAGCTGTGACAAGATTTGCGCGGTGATGACGGTGTGCACGTCGTAGAGATCCAGCACAAACAACGTCGAGGAAAGCAGAGATGTCACATTGCGTGGCGACACTTGTGCCTTTCTTTTCGGCGATGGCGGGCGAAAGCGTTTGTCTGCCGGCTCCGGCTTGACTTTGGACTTCGATTTGAGAAACTTCCACTCGTTTTGGAAGGTGATGTCCTCGAACCCCGGGATGGTCTCGTGGTCGAGCATGGCCGCGTCCAGACATTTGTTCATCCTCCTCTCCGCATCGCGAATCACATAGACGTAAATTTCGTGAATCAGCTCGGCCATCTGCGCTTGGAAATGCGCGGTTTCCTGAACCAGGCCGGCGTCCTTTTTCAGATAATACAACAGCAGCGTCGCGTTGGAGATCCAGAAGGCCAGAATGGTCATATCTCCTTGATGCTTGTCGACTACGGCGTAAATCTTCTCCTGTGCAGACACTAGCCATTCGGCAAGCAGCTCTTTGCTGGCGTGGTAATGTGCATACCTCGCACCGAGAAAGACAATGTTCGCAGGCACCGGCTTCTGCGAGGGCGAGCGCTGAGGAGTCATGTTGGTGACAACAATGTCTAGGATCCTCGCAATGTCGTTCTCCATAAACACGAACATCTGGTCATTCAAGCATCGGTCCCAGACAAATTCTTGGCTGTCTTCGAATTCCTCGAGAGGCTCGGGTTGCTCGTCCAGCCCCAGATTTCCCAGATCGACTTCCAGGTTGATCGCGCTCTCCATCATCATCCTCCTCCGCATTTCATTCTCGGCCAGTTCCTCTTCAAACTTGTCTTGAGAGAAGCCAGCGTTGTAGAAGTCGTCAGTGACCCCCGCATTACCGATGCTGTATCCACTGTGTTGGAGAAAGTCCGACATTTCGCTATTGGGGGGAACAAAGTCCAGGGCAGTCCGGCCGCTGGAAGACTTTACGTCGGTGGATGCGCCGTGGTCGAGGAGGATCTTGGCAATGTCTTTGTGTTTGTTCGTCATGGCCCACATCAGAGCCGTCCATTGATTGCGGTCTTGGTTGTCGACGGTGGCGCCCGCATTGATCAGCGAGAGCACCACGTCTTTGTGGCCAAAGCAGCTCGCGTAGACGAGCGGCGGCGTGCCCTCGCCATCCACGGCGTCGAGGTCTACCAAGTCTGACGCCGAGCCTCTTACTAAACGTTGTACCCTCTTCGAGTCGCCATTACTGGCGGCGATGAACAGGAAGTCCTGTAGCAGCTTGGACTTTTGGTCGCGCGACAGCTTCTCATCCTGCACAATGTCATCTTCTTCCGCCTCGCCCGAATCGATTTCGCTCTTGCGGGCCTGGGCGGCAAGCATTTGGGCCACGCGCGCATCGTCGTTGCCGAAATCACGAGCAAAGGCGTCGCCATCGTCGGGTTCATGGAGGGAGAGGTTGAAGTTCAAGGGCTTGGAGATGGGAGGTGGGGACAAGAACTGTGATTGGCCTGGGATGGGTGTTAGCCTATCGATTTAATCACGGGCGGGGGAAACATCTACCTTGCCAGGCATCGTAGTACTCAGTCTCCTGGTTGTAGCTGGAGAAGTTCTGGCGATCGTCCAGCGTGCGTGGCAAGTCGGCGGGGAGGCCGCGGGGAGGGGAGAAATGGTCGTATGCCTCCTCGAACTCGTCTTGCTCGTGCTCCTCTTCCTGCTCATACTCCTGTTCTTGGTCATGCCCGTCGGGCTCCCTTTCTTCTGCTTCCATGATGGAGATCAGAGAATGCGAGGCACGAGGGTCGGCGGCGTACGCATCCTCGACTAGCCAGCTCGGTCAAGCTTCATCCGAAACGGAACATGGACGAAATAAGGCAGGTAGGTTTGAGATCTGCGGGTCCTCCCACGCCCTGTACTGCGCAAACGCCCACGTTGATGCCTTGCTGAACAGGGGGTCGTCTGATTGATCCCAGCAGACGCTCAACTGCACCTCTCCGCAAGGTAGAATACTAGAATCTATCTACACGTGCTACGTGACCGACTCGCCCTTGCCGTGGTCGAGATGCTCGCCAATCAACCAATCCCCGCCCAGCTGAGTCCAGATAGACTTTCTTACTAATCGAGGATAGCTGGAAGGTGCAGCCGTGAGATCGTGGCAACGTTAGATCTGGGATGAACTAGCCTGGCCTCCGATCCGCATACTTCCATCCCCTTGTGTCTCGTCCTCCTCCCCCCTCTTGCTGCATCGCAATCACTTCGTCCGCCGGCAGAAGTGCACTGCGCTGTGCGTTGCTGACCCGCCGACAGCCAAGCTCGCTGTTACTAAGCGAATCCCGGCACCTCACGCCCCAGGGCTGCTCGTGCGCGTAGAGCTGGGCGAGTCATCAGCAGCCACCGACGAGGCGGCATCGCTGTCCACGCCATCCCATCGCCAACCGACCCAGCGAGAGCGGAATCCATCTACATGTCTCCGCGCCGCGACCAGCTCGTGAGTCGCAGCCATTTCTGATCACCCTCCGACACCCCTCCAGCGTAAAGCCGGTGTGCTGGCGGGGGCGGAAGCCAATATGCAGTCCCCCCCGGAACCCGAGCGGCGGTTCTCCTACACCTCCTCCACCGAGGCCGAGCTGCAGTATCTGTTCAAGCGCTTCCGAACCCGCTTGCGAGAAGAGCTGCCGGAGTACGAGTTCGCCGATCACTTCTCCCCCTTACATTCCAGCTACGATGCATGGCACTTCCTCGGCAAGCGCCGCCCCAAGAGCTCGTCCGCGTACTCCCGCAAAACCAGCACTTCCTCCGATTCACGCCCCTCGAGCACTCGCAGCAAGTCCGACTTCGACGCCGGCTCCGATGAGACCGAGAAGGAAAAGGAGCAGTTAGTCGTCGCCAGAGTCTCGTTCCACGCGCTGCAAAACGAGCAGGGATACAAGCTGCTGCAGAGAGTCGGCGAGGAAGCAGACCCCGATTACAAACACTTCGTCAAGCCGCTGGTGTACACCCGTCTTCCCGCTCGATTGCCCGGGGAGAGCGCGGTGGGGGTGACGATAGTTGAGGCGCCTGGGAAGAACTACCTGCGCGAACTCACGAATTTCGACCCCAACTTCTACACCGGGTCTCCCGACCACCCAGTCACGACGTCATTTCCTCAGGTGCCGCTGCTACTCTTCCTAGACTTCGCCATCGGTGCAAGTGAGTGCTGCGAAATTCTCCACCACGGTCTCGAGATGGTGCACGGGGAGATCCGGGGCGATGCTTTCCACTACAATCATGACACAAATGTCGTGCGCATGATCAGCTTTGGATCTGGTGCGAGAAGTTTCGAGAGCGGCCTGACCTCGGCCGGCTGGTCGAGCCTCGTTGCGCAGCGGGGTGTCCAGCACAAACTGCAATTCATCGCGCCCGAGCAGACCGGACGACTGCCTGCCGAGCCAGACTCGCGCACCGACATCTATTCCCTCGGCATCCTGTTTTGGACCATGCTGACCGGACAGCCTGCGTACGAAGGGAAGTCGCCGTTGGACATTATGCAGAATGTCCTGTCCCGAAGAGTTCCCCTCGTAAGCACGATCCGTGACGATGTGCCCGAAGCTCTCACCGCCGTCCTGGCCAAAATGACAAACAAGAACATGGACGACCGCTACAACTCCGTGTCGGGCGTGAAGCATGATTTGCAAGAACTGAAGAAGATCCTCATTAACGCCGACAAGGTTGCTCTCGATGAATTCAAGATAGGCACGACCGACGTCTCCTGCTTCTTCAACCTCCCCACCACGCTTATCGGGAGGCAGCAACAGCAACAAACCGTGCTCACGGTGATTGAAAAGGCCGCACACCGCTCCGCGCGAGCCGCCCCAATCACCCGCAAGGGCCTCTATAGCCTCGGAGCGGCATCTACAGACATTACTGGCCAGAGACCGGATCTCTCGTTATTGGAGGACATCATCAGCGACTCGACGTCTTCCAACAACGATAAATACAGTGAGCGAGACCGAGAGAGCACGCGACTGAATTCCATCTCAGAGGTCGCTGCCTTTGATTTACCCAAGTTTAGGCAGGGCATCCCACCCCAGGAGAGTATTCAGGAAAGCACAAGCTCCGCCACAAACTCGGTCATTGACGAGCAGGAGTTCAGACCGCTGGCCGAGTCGAGGTCCTTGGTGGAAAGTCACAGTCGAGGGTCCACGAACGAGACAGGTCCGATCCGCTCATCACCTAGCCTCCAACTGAGTACCACCGAGACCAACTCTTTGCTTCGCACAGCGCAACGACTCAAGAAAAAGGGCCGCACGGAGGTGATTGGGGTTTGCGGAGCTGCAGGGTACGGCAAATCATCTTTACTCCAGACCATTGCGCCTGCGGCGAGACGACATGGCTACTACACCTCGTCGAAGTTCGATCAGGTGCGGAACACACCCTTTGAGCCCGTCATCAAGTTGATGTCGTCGCTCTTTCGACAAATTTTCTCGGAACAAGACGTCAACACACCCTTCCACGAAAACATCCGTACCTTTGTCAAACCATTCTGGAGCGTACTGTACACGTATCTCGATCTGCCCCAATGGCTTTTGGCGTCCTCGGCAAACGGAGCCGGCCAGACAAAGACCAGCTCAGCCACGTCACTCCTCACGGTCAATCCCCCACTGGCAACCTCACCGGTTGCTCCGGGGCCAGACAGGAAGATGTGCAGTCAGCAATCCTCCACTGATTGGGTGCGGGCCGGTGGGTCCAGCAAGACCTCGCGCTTCATGCACATATTCCTGGACGTTCTGCGATTACTAGCTGTGCAAAAGTTCATCTGCTTTGCACTCGACGATCTTCAATTTGCAGATCAGGAGAGTCTGGATCTGATTCAGATGATCGTCAAGGCACACATCCCTGTGGTGCTGGTGCTTACGTACCGCTCGGAGGAAATGCTGACGCCAAGCTTCAAGCATATTCTCGGAAGGGGCACAAAGGTGACTTTGAAGGCGTTTACGGAGGAGGAGATTGCAGAATATGCTGCCGCCACACTTCACCGGGACCAGAAGTATTGCACGCCCCTTGTGGCGATTGTGCAGGAGAAGACCGGCGGAAATCCGTTTTTCGTTCGGGAAATGATGGACACGGCGTACCGCAAAAAGTGCATCTACTACTGCTGGAAGTGTTCCCACTGGGAATTCGATCTGGACCGCCTCTTCACACAATTCTCGAGCCCAGATTCCAAGGGATTCTCGACCAACGAGTACATCACTCGACGTCTGCAAGAGCTGCCTGTGGATGCACAAACTCTGCTTGCATGGGCAGCAATTGTCGGCAACAGCTTCTCCTTCTCCCTGATGAAGCGAGTCATGAGCTGCGAGTGCTCAAGAATGTCGCCTCCGGAGTTTCTACCAACCCGGGCGAACGACCCGGTCGCCGGTCTTGCAGCTCTACTACAAGCATTCATCGTCATGCCGACTGATGATGAAGACCGGTTCAGGTTCGCACACGACAGATACGTCGCCGCATCCAGCGCATTGCTCCATGCGTGTAATCAAGAAGAGATGCATTTCATTGTGGCCACCGCCATGCTCAAGCATGAGCCATACGATCCGGTGAACAACGCCAGTGCCGTCCTTTTCGACCAGGCGCGACATGCCTGCGCAGCCCTCGATGTCATCAAGAATCGTGTCTCGGTTAGGCTGCCGTACAGGACTATGCTGTATCAAGCAGCCGAGGCGGCAAGTGACAGTGGCGCAAGGCAGTCGGCGATTCACTATTACAAATGCTGTATTGATCTGCTTCAAGAGGATGCGTGGACCTCCAACGAAGGCGACGCGAGCTACGCCGAGACACTGGCCTTGTATACCCGAGCTGCGGGCGCCTACTTGTATCTCGGGGACCATGTCGGATGCACAAACTGCATCAAGCCCATCTTCATCCATGCTCGCGACGCCGTGGACAAGACGCCTGCAGCGATGCTCTGCAGTCGTATGTCGTCCGCTGAAGGGCGGTCTGCCGATTCGTTTCGCCGGTTGAAGAATCTCCTGGCCGAACTGGGGAGACCGGTTGCAGACTCGACATGGGAACAATGTGACACTGAGTATCACAAGATAGTCGAGCAGCTGGACAATTTCGATGCGAACATGGATGACGTGGGCGAAGGCGACCGTCTGCTAAACGTGCTCGGCGCCGTCTTCACCGAGCTGGTGAGCTCGAGCTTCTACATGGACACGCTGCAGTTCTATCAAGCTGTCTTGGGTAGTGTGCAGCTCTATCTCGATCGCGGCGCATTCGCCCATGCAGGTATGGCCTTAGTCCATCTCGGCAACATCGCAGTGTGTCGGTTCAATTCCGTCGAGCGCGGGATTGAGCTTGGGGAGATGGCGCTCAAGCTACTAGAGGCGTTTCCCAACCAGACCTTTGCCGTCGGACGAGGCTGGTCAATGCATGCCCTCTTCCTCGGACACCTGCATCTTCCGATGCAAGCCAATTTCTACAGCCTGAACCGAGGCGCGGAGGCGGCGACTGCGGCTGGCGACAAACACGTGCACCTCATTAACGTGGGCATCTCTGCCATGTATCGTCTGTGGGCCTCTGAGCCTTTGCCAGAGGTCGAGGCTTTCATCTCGTCCGTGGCCGAGGAAATTCCGGACTGGCACAGCAATGTCAGGGGCGGGACGATGCTGGTCGGGATCAGGGCGCTGACGAGAGCGTTGCAAGGCAAGACTCGGTATCGATCGGCTGAAGGGGTGCTGAATGATGAGTACCATTCGACAGACGCGTACATCGCATATGTGAACAAGGAGACGCCGCACGGCCTGATACCGCTGACTACGTATCGTGCGTGCAGATGCATAGCGCTTTATCGCTTTGGCCATTACAAGGAAGCCATGGAAGCCGGCGAAGAGCTGATGAAGGATCTCGACACCATGTGGAGCATGTGCTTTACCTACGCCACTCTCTTCTTCTTCGGTCTGAGTCTTTTGGCAGTCCTCCGAGAACAGCCTGACCTGATGGACCGCGAGACGACTATTCAAAGGGTGATCGAGCTCAAGCAACGAATCCAAGATGCTTCACGCGTCAACCCCGTGAATTACGTGGTACAAATCGAGCTCCTTGAAGCCGAGATCGCCGATGCGCAACTTCGGTATGGGGAGGTCCTGCAACACTATGAAGCTGCCGTCAATCATGCTGTGGTCCACGCTGCGACCATGGACGAAGGCCTCGCCACGGAGCTGTATGGAGACTGGATGGCGCGGAGAGGAGCGTCGCGTCCGGCACGGAGCCAAATCATGGACTGTCTCTCGGCCTACCGACGTCTTGGGGCCATTGGCAAAGCGGACCATGTCGCCGAACGACACGCCTATCTCCTTTACGGTACCCGATCGCTTTCGATGATGGATGCGGGCACCCAGACCACTGCAGATGATTATGCGTATCCCTTGGAGAAGCTGGGGGATGAGCATACGGACGGGTCAACCGCCAGAACACAAGCTTGGTTGCATCCCAACGTTTCAAATGGCGCGATTGAGGGAAAAGACGGCGCGACAGAGGCAAGCGGCGGTCTCGCGGGCCTCGCCGCTGCTGGCTTGGATATGATCGATCTCGCGGGCATTCTGGAGTCTTCCCAAGTCCTGTCGTCGGAGTTGAACGTTGACAAGCTCCTGAGCAAACTCACCGATATCATCATCCATTCAACAGGAGCCACCCTAGCTGGTATTTGCGTCGAAGATGACAACGGAGGCTGGGTTGTGGCGGCTGCTGCATCTACCGATGGAACGATAGTGGCGATGTCTGGGACTCCGGTCGACGAAATTGACGACCCGGTCGGTCGGCAGGTGACGTCGTACGCGCTTCGTTCTCGCGAGGCCCTCTTTCTCCGCAACGTTCTGGATGACGAGCGCTTTGCGAACGTGTCTCAATCGTGGTTGGACAAGAACCCTGACGGCAGATCCGCCGTTGCGCTCCCAATCCTGCACGGCGACAACGTATTGATGGGGTGCTTGTATTGCCACGCTCCGCCCAATATCTTCACCGAGCGCACGACCACCTTGCTGAAATTGTTGGTCAATCAAATCTCCATCTCCATCGCCAACGCGTTGCTGTTCAAGCGTGTGGAGAAGGTCTCTGCCAGCAATGCCTCCATGCTCGAGGTGCAAAAGCAGGCTCTGGCGCAGGCACGGGAATCCGAGAAGAAGGCCAAAGCTGCGGAGGCGAAAGCTATTGAGATGGTGCGCCTGAAGGACGAAGCAGCAAAGGCGAAATCGATGTTCCTGGCCAATGTATCACATGAGCTGCGAACCCCACTGAACGGCGTCATCGGCATGTCAGAGATGCTAAAGTCCACCCCGCTCAACAAGGAGCAAGAGGAGCACGCGGATTCCATCCGCATGTGCGCGGACACCTTGCTGAGTGTCATCAATGACATTTTGGACTTTAGTAAGCTCGAGGCGGGCAAGATGCAAGTCTTTTCGGTGCCATTGTCCCTCGCCGAAACGATCAATGAGGTGGTGAGAGCCTTATCTTACACGAATCTCGAAAAGCATCTCAAGACGATTCAGCAGGTGGAGCTGGACCCCAAACTGATCGTCATGGGCGACCCCGTCCGCTTACACCAGATTCTGATGAACCTCATGTCGAACGCGTACAAATTCACGTCGCAAGGTAGCGTCACGGTACGGGCCAGAGTGGACCACGAAGATGCGGACTCGATCTCGGTGACGGTGTCGGTGGAGGACACTGGAATCGGCATTACGGAAGAGCAGCAGAAGAAGCTCTTCCTCCCCTTTTCTCAAGCCGACTCGAGCACAGCTCGCAGCTACGGCGGCACCGGCCTCGGGCTGTCTATCTGCAAAGCCATCATCGAAAACGTCATGCGAGGCAAGATCTGGCTGGAGAGCGAGCCGGGCGTGGGAACGACGGTTTTTTTCAGCATGCCCTTCAAAAAGGCCAACCAGTCTCTCAACGGCGACACGAACGGCACCACCTCACCGAACGGTCGAAAGGCAGACCCAATGGCCATATTCACTCCGCCGGCCACCGAAGCCGCGGGCAGTTCTCGCCAATACACAAGCCTCGCCGGCATTCCGCGGGATCAACTCAAAGTCTGCATCGCTGAAGACAACCCAATCAACCAGAAGATCGCCATCAATTTCGTGAAGAAGCTTGGCTTCAACTGCGAGGCTTTCGCCGATGGCAAACAAGCCGTCGACGCTCTAGAACGCGCGAGCAAAGACGGCAAACCATTCCATCTCGTCCTTATGGACGTGCAGGTAAGTTATTTCCATACCCTCCAACGAGTGAGCGCGACAGCTAGCTAATGCAAATACCCCAGATGCCCGTGCTAGACGGTTACAACGCCACGCGCGCGATCCGCAAACACACCGACCCGGACATCAAAGACATCCTCGTCATCGCCATGACGGCCAGCGCGATCCGCGGCGACCGCGAAAAGTGCCTGGAAGCCGGGATGAACAACTATCTCGCCAAGCCCGTGCGCGCCGACACGCTGGAGCAAATGCTCGAATCGTACCTCAACCAGCCGGAGCGCGCGATCCCCAACTTACAAGAGGAGACCAACTCGCTCGTCAGTCGCACGCTGTCGCACGAACGTAGTGCAGCTGGCGAGAGCAGGGTGGACGGAGACACCGACGCTGCCGAAGCCAAGCGCAACCGACTCGTTGTCACGAGAAGCGAAGATCTGCGCCCCAAGTCGCCGGCCAAGGCCGAGACGACGATCCGCCTTGCGCCGGCGGAGATGGTGCAGAAGGCGGCGCAGGAGGAGTTGCCGACGGCGAATCGGCTGAAGGAGAGTGCGCGGCCGCCGCAGATTAAGCGCATCAGCAGTATGGGAAAGGGTGGGCAGAGTAATGGGGCGAGTTGAGTGGAGTTGTGGAAGCGTTGATTGCTTGTTGATACATATACACTGATGATGAATGTTTGGGGAAGGCTGGCGATGTGGGTTTTTGCGTGGAGTTCCGACGGTCTGTATGGATGGATGGGCGAGCTCAGCGCGTATACTGCTGGCTGCTTTGTTAATGTATATAGTATCTTGATGAGACTTTGCATAGATGGCGTACTGCTTGTGTCCTCGTTTTCTTGCTGCTTGCATACGATGACCACTCCGTTAGAGGGGGTTCAAAGGGGATGGGGATGATTTCGAGGGGATGAGCTCCAAGCGGACGAAATACGCGCGGATATTCCCAGACTATATTCTCACCAACAACGACGCGTTCATATCGCTGTGATCCTAGCACCAGACCCACCTCCAAAAAGGACATTACTGTACAACGCACGCTAACCCAAGCAACCAGACGCCCCTACTCGTCAAACTCAATCGTGGTATCCGTCGTCTTATGAATAATCATGCGTCCCGAATCATCACTCCCCCGAGACCGATGCGCAGAACTCCCCAGCTTCTCTCCCGCACCGCCAGTCCCACGCTTCTGGATACGGAACGAGTATCCCGTGTCCGCAGGCCCAGACTGAACAGAGGCGTTGGCCGTCGTGCGAGAGCCGGATTTGCGCGACGCGGAGCCGGCGCTGCGCGTGGATTCCAGCGCGTACGCGCCTGCCTCTTCGGGGCCCATGGTGCCCATGCGGGTGTTGAGGTTCTTCATGAAGGGGCCGATGCAGGGGAAGGTGCTGGACATGGTGGCGTAGTGCGTTTCGACTTGCAGGATGATGAAGGGGATGATGTAGGCGACTGTGGGGCGGGGGGAGTTGAGGAAGTGGTCGACGTGCCAGAGGTGGGCGGCGGCGGCGGCGATGACGCTGGGTCGGGGGATTAGTACGGGTGGGTAGGGGGTTCTGGAGGATTTGATGGCTTACGGCAGGCGAAGAGCAAAGGTCGCGCAGATGAGGAGCTTGGTGCTTAGGATCATCTGCAGGTCCCAGACGATCCAGATGGGCATGGCGAAGAGGAGGATCTCGGTGGCGATGTCCATGGCTGCGACGGCGGCCCAGATTGGCTTCTGGTACGAGTCAGTCGCATTCAGGTGGTGTTGATACGGGGGTGCGTTAGGATGATACATACGTAGTCTAGACATTGCCGCGTGAAGATGTTCCATGGCATCGTAGCGTCGCAGCGAGCAGCCTCGAGGATGAAGGAGGCGATACCGACGGCGGAAACCAGGCCCAGAAGGCCCCAAACGACCTTTTGGTGGTCCTTGCGAGGAGTGATGCGGAGGTGGAAGAAGAGCATGGAGGCTTTGGTGAGGTAGATGACCAGGATGCACAGCAAGACAACGGCATATGCGTACTAAGGCATGGTCAGGGGGGAGAAACTTTTGGCGGAGGGTTGCTATTTTAGAGCAGACTCACCTTCTCGACTGTGTCTAATTGACCCGCTGACAGAAGGCTTTGTGCCTTCCCAAGGCCTGCATCAACTCCTACGCAGGTCACGATTGTCTGGAGGACTGCAATCACCTGCGCGAGTTTAGTCGGCACTACACATCGCTGACAAGTCTCGCTCACTTACGGTTGCCGCAAGACACAACCAATCGTCGACGCTCAAGTTGCTGGCACCCTGGCGCGTGTAGATGCGGATCAAGAAACACAAAACGCTCCATGTCATGAGCAGCGTCGACACAATCACGGCAACGCCCCCATGGTCCGTTGCATCGACCACAAAAGCGGGCGGAGTCTTCGACATGGTGGTGTGAGAGCGTCGCGCCGGCAGTGCGAGGAGGTGTGGACGGGGCCGGGCGGAGAGGGAGGTATGAGTGATATAAGATCCCGAGCACGCGGCTCGGGGGCCAGGGCGTTGGGTGGTGCAGGAGGGCAGTTGGGCAAGCTCCCACCCTCACTACTGCGGTGCGTGCTGCTGCGTCCTGCGCTGCGGCTGCAAGAAGATTACGGACGACGCCCAGCCGTGTGCATCCATGCCAGTTCTGCGTAGCGGCCGGAGCACGGTTGTGCCTGATCAACATTTGATTGCTCCCCGATCGCACGTTGTCGAGCGCCTCGGCCATGGGGAGACGCCAAGCCGCCCTGCATTTGCTCGCCGGCAGCTGGGAACGAGAGACATCGAGGGTGCCGTGGTGCAGTTTAGCCTATGTGACGTGCCCCCGATCGCAGATATCGTCAAGGGCGACGTCTGTGGTTGGTTGAAGGTTAGCTTGGCCCGGGGCGGGCCCCGCGCGGGCCATTGGGTGGCGGGGGTGGGGAAATGGATGCCGGGCGCGCTAAGCACGCCACCGCGACACCTGGTTGGATTTGCGCCGACCACACTTTCAAGCTTTGCTTGTTTGGGCGGTGAGAGGCACGGCACGGCGAGGAAAAAGCTTGAAAGCGAAGCTGCCGATCACTTTGTCTTTTTGCGGAAAGCGCAGGTGAGGTGAGATAACGTTCCCTAGGACCCTTGGGCCCTCGATCGCAAGGACCTTGCACCGCGTTAGTCCATCCCCCCGTGCCTACGTGCATGATGGAGGGCGTGGAATATGGAATTGCCGCCCAGCTTGCTCTGCTGCCGTGTCAGACCCTGCTTTCCCATGCAACCTAGCACGGAAGTCGGGAAAACGTAGATGTGCACTCGGACTCGGCACCCACGAGCCCGCCTGCACGTGGGCGTGAGTTGGCCATCGCGCTCAAAGTAAGCCTCTTCCTCTTTATATACCCTCGGAGCGCCCTCTCATCTCCTCACTTCGGCCCTACATCACCCTCCCTCCCCCTGCTGTCCTCTTCCTTTCTCCTCATCTTTCGAACCTACGTCACCACGCGAGTTCCGTCCACCTCACGCTCCCATCTCCTCGTCGAGCGCGCGATCTCGCGCCCAAACCGCCAACATGTCGAAAGAATTCGGCGCGGTGCAGGTGGAATTGACGGAAGTCAATGGAGGGTCTGACAAGGTGGGCACGGTCACCGACCAGTTGGACATGGATCGTGTGGGCAAGACACCCGTCCTGCGTCGCAACTTCCGCCTCGTCTCCATCTTGGGCTTCACCGCTGTGCTGATGTGCACATGGGAAGCCATCCTATTGTACGTCCATGCAACGGTGCCGACCGACGAAGATCTGCTGCTGACACTTCCCATAGCACCGCCAGCTATATTCTGCCCAATGGCGGGTTGGCCGGCATGGTCTGGATGTACGTCGTCACTCTAACGGGTTTCGGGCTCGCCATCTTGAGTATGGCGGAGATGGCCTCGATGGCGCCTACGTCGGGCGGCCAATACCATTGGGTACAGCATCGAATCACACTCTCGTCGCTGCGCACGTCGCTAATTCGGCCCTTGTAGGTTTCTGAATTCAGCCCGAGGAGCTACCAAAAGTTCCTCAGCTACATCACCGGTAAGCCCGTCATCATCTATCGCAAAACTAATCACCCCTTCTAACCACCCTGCTCAGGATGGCTCTGCGTGCTTGGGTGGCAGGTGAACATCTGCAGTGGCTCCTACCTGGTAGGCACTCAACTCCAAGGTATCATCCTGCTCAACAACCCGAATTACGTGGCAGAGGCATGGCACGTCACGTTGATGATCATCGCCGTCGCCAGCGTGTGCATCATCTTCAACACCTTCTTCGCCCGGAAGCTCCCTCTGATCGAAGGCCTGATCCTCATCATTCACGTCTTCGGCTTCTTCGCCATCCTCATCCCCCTCTGGGCCCTCGCACCCCTTCAGCCGGCCAAGGCAGTCTTTACCGAGTTTGTCAACGAGTACGACTGGCCAACCCAGGGAGTCGGATTGCTGGTCGGCATCGTCGGTCCTATGTATTCCCTCCTTGGCCCGGACTCCGCCGTCCACATGGCAGAAGAGATCCGTGACGCATCCCGTGTCCTCCCTCTCGGCATGATGTGGACGCTGGTCGTCAACGGACTGACGGGCCTCATCATGGTCATCACGTTCGCCTTTGTCATCCCCAATCTCACCATTGCCGCTTCCCCGAAATACGTCTACTCCTACATTGACACCTTCTACGCCGGTTAGTCTAGATTCCCTTGTGCCAAGGCCCCGTTCGCTAACATGCCTATCAGCCACCGGATCCCGAGTCGGCGCAAGCATCATGACAGCTCTCATCACCCTGCTCTGCCTCTGCAGCACCATGAGCGCCGTCGCCACCGCCTCGCGCCAAATGTTTGCCTTTGCACGCGACAAGGGCCTGCCCTTCAGCGACTTCCTCTGCCAAATTCGACCCGGCTGGGACATTCCGCTCAACGCGTTGCTCGTGTCGTTCGTCATCACCTCCCTGCTTTCCCTCATCAACCTCGGCTCCCTCGTGGCCCTCAACGCCATCTTGTCCCTCACCGTCGGCGCCATCCTCAGCTCTTACCTCATCTCCATCTCTTGCGTGGCGCTGCGGAAGATCCGGAGGGACCGGCCGTTGCCGCCGACCCGATGGTCTTTGGGCAGAGCAGGCTTGCCCATTAACATCGGCGCTGTGCTGTTCTTGATAGTCGTCTACGTTGTGAGTTTCGTCCTGCACATCCTGCTTTACAGCTTTACACACGGGGATTCTAATGGGGGCGCAGTTCACATTCTTCCCGCTCGGCAACAATCCTACCGTTGCCACTATGAACTGGTGAGTCCACCCGCCAAAGAGCGACAAACGCGGTAGTGAAAATTGCCAGACTAATCTTCACTTACTCAGGTCGTCGGCCATGTACGGTGGCACTGTGATTGTCGCGATCGTCTACTACCACATGTACGGCAAGCACGTGTACGATGGTCCTGTTGTGTTGTGTAAGCAGGATTTCTAGAGAAGAGGACGATGGACGTTGTGTATGCATGGATCTGTAGCGAGATTGAACAGTTTGTACATGGTGTTCCCTGTTCCCACTCGTCTCATTCCTTGATTTACGTGCGAGCACACTGCATTTCCATCCTCCGATCCTTGTTGGCTCATTTCGGATATCGTTGGCAAGATTCATGTCGTCTTGGCCGACACGCCGGCGTCCCAAGCCTTTTGTTCGACTCGGTCGAACATGATAGCGATGGAGGAGGCAACAACGACAAGAAGCTCTTCGGCAATGTCGCGAGAGTTCCAATGTAGCGACACAATGCCACCGTTCGCCATACTGGCGACTGCTCTAGCGTAGAACAGGTCGGTGGTACTTCTGTCGGTATCGTTTGTATCCTTCCAGCCCGATCGGAGCAAGAAGAAGGATGCCGCGTTGTAAGGAACTGCATCACCCTCCCATCATCCAGCAAGACCAGAGCCCTTGCGCTTCCTCAGGATGAAAGCATGGTAATCAAACGCACTCTCCCCCTCCCGCAGAACCTCCATCTCCAACTCCCACCTCCCGTCACCATTGATAAGCGGCTTGATGAAATGCGGTTGCCGAAAGGTGACGTAGAGGAAAACACCATCGTCCTTGAGCACCCGGTGCACCTCAGCAACATACCTCGACGTATTCTCCCTCACTTCCTCTGGCGGATCCCAAGGACTGCCCCAAATCATGGCATCCATCGTGCCCTTGTCAAACGCCACATCAACACTTCCGTCAAGGACGTCGTGCATATCCCGCACATCGCCTTGCCGCCACTCCACTCCGCGTGGCGCCTGCGCGGCCATGAGTTTGACCACAACAGGCGAGAAGTCGAGGCACAGTTGATTGCGATATCCCCGTTGCGCCAGGCATTGCGGGACGGTGCTATCGCCGGAGCCGAGGTGGAGGATTCGCGAGTCCTCGCTCCTATTGTGGAAGAGGTGTCGTTCGAAGAAAGGTTGCAGGGAGTCGAAAGATTTGAACCATTCGTGAGTGGGCTGCTTGCCGTCCGCGTCTGCGTATCGCGCGTCCCAGAAGGTGGCGCTGCTGAGTGCTTGGCCTTCTTCTTCTGCTCGGGAGGCTGGCATGTTTTTCTTGGAGGGTTTTGTTGATTTTGTGTCGCCAGAATGGGCTTTCTTTGCTCGAAACAAGGTGGCGACCGGGTAGGAAGAGTTTTTTGCGCCTAGGAGGGCAGAACACTGCTACCCAGGAACACTACCTTGTTAGAGTGAAGGAAACATTAAGAGTCAAGTGGTTTACAAGTATAGACATCGTGAAACCGAGGTTTACGATAGCTAGAACTAGTAAAACGACGATAGAAGATCTTAAATGATCACTTCGTTAGTTAATTCTAACTAATGTACGTTTTAGGAAAGATATAATCAAATAGATAAGAAATAGGAGTAGTTCGTTATAAAGAAAGAAGAGTAAACATATTAAAGTAAATACGACAATTAGATGTATAAGAGCTACGAGTATAATAGATCGAGAGTATAGAATCATCGCGAGTCTTTAGAACTCGTAAGCCTTAAATACTAGAATATAGGATTCTTATAAGTCGCGAAGAATAAGACGTAGTATCTTTACGTATTCGCGTACTTCGGAAACGAAAACACTATATACTCGTAATTATAAAAGACTAGGATATAACTCCTTTACGAGTCTATAGATCCTAGCGATTAAAAGACGATATCTCTACGATACTTATAGATTAAAATGTATTATTTTTAGAAGCCTTAGAACCTTAGATATAAAGCTACTAAGAGGCTTTAAAATTAGGTTATAAGATTTTTAAAAGTCTTAGAAATTAGGATATAGTATTTTTAGAAGTCTTAGAAATTGTGATACAATATCTTTACGAGGCTTAAATAATTAAAATATAGTATTTTTATAGACTTAGAAGAATAAGAACCATAGTACTTTGTTATATAGATTTAATTACATTTACTTATTCGCCGTTCTAATCACTTCGTTTCGTTAAATAAACGAGTATTAAGTATTCGATCTATTAGATCTAAAGTTCTCGATTTATACGTAGTAATATCGGTACCTTTTAATCTAACTACTACCTAATTTTAATTCGAATAGCCCTAACTCTATACTAATTTTAACTAGGTAGCTCGAGCTTACGCGAATGTTTTATTTATACCTCGCCGTCGCGTCGCTCTTATACCTTACTATCGCTCTTATTATCGCTCTTATACTTTAATACTACTCTTACTACTACTCTTAGGCCTATATACCTCGTTATCGCTCTTACTACTACTCTCGCTACTATTACTATATTACTCTTAAACGGATTCTCGTAACTTATTACCTTTAATAACGCTTTACTTACTATAGCTATTAATAGTTAGGCTCTAGACGGATATACGTCTACGGAGCCTATAGAGTATATATACTCGTTATTACTACTACTACTACTACTACTTATTACTCTCGAGCTTATATACGAGCCTAAGCTTATAAACGAGCTTTTACCGAGTCTTACGAGAAAGTAGACGCGTTAACGCCTTAAGATTAAAGTAAAGAGCGTATTAGTAATGCTTAAAGATATATAGTTATAATAGTAAACCTTCTTCGCGCCTTTAAGTAAAGGCTTATTAATTAATATTATAGTATATAAAGTAGTATAGCCTTACTATAATAACTTTTAATTAAAGAGTAAAACTACTTAGTCGCCTAAGATAAGTATAAGAGTATAGTAGTACTATTACTAGCTCTAGCGTAAATAGGCTACTACTAAAGGTTAAAGGCTTTATAATAAGAAGATTACTATTACTATTAAGTACTTAACTACTTTAAGAATCGCGTTTAATAGCCTATAAGCTCGTTTTATAAGCTCGTTAATCTATTAACATAACTATAATCTAGCTTACGTTAACTAGTAGAAGCGAAACACTACTCTTAAATAGTTAGTAAGTGGTAAAAGGACGAAAAACTATATTATAACTACTATGTATTATAATATTACTACCTTTAGTAATAAGGCGCTTTATTAAAAGCTAGTTAACGTTAGTAATAGTAATCTCTAACTCTTAGACGTCTATAACTCCTTAAGAGCGTAATAGTAAGCTTATCTAGATTAACGTCGTAGTAGTAAGCGACTTACTTATAAGTAGTAAGTAGATATAGCGCTCGAGTAACTACGAGTAAAAAGCTATTAAAGCGACTATTTATATACTACTCGTAAAGTAAATAGTAATACGATAGAGGCTATTATATAAGCTCGTTTAAAGGCCTTACGAACGCTTTAACGACGTAGTTACCTCGCTCTTATAAATAGTACATATAATACTAACGCTCTATACTAATACCTATTTACTATAATAGTAAAAGACGAGTATAAAAGCTAGTAGCTATATAGTTAGTTTCTTACTAAAATAGAAGACGGCGATATTATTACTATTACTCTTAAAGCTTTAAGATTAAAGGCTAACTAGTAACCTCGTTACTTCTTTACGGACAATTTAGTATTCAAATAACGAGTAGTTTAACTTACCTTTAATAGTATTAAGACTAGTAAACTAGAAGTAAAGTACTTACTCTATTATAAATATTTTAATACTACGCTTTATAAACGATTTAGTAGCCTCTTAAACAAATTAACGCTTATTTATTTACTCTTAATAGTAAAATATCGAAATACCGATACTAGAGCGCGTTAATTAATTAAAAACGCGCTTATAGCCCTTTTTTAATAAAGTAATTCACCTTTAAAGAAGGACGTCGAATACATTTAAAAGGAGCTTATTAATAAGCTTTAGCTCGCTGTTTACTACTATTATAATCATAGCTAGATCCTTTTTTAAATCCAGATAACTAACGTAATTAAAAGCTACTACTTATAACTAAAGGCTAATAGTATAAAGAGCTTTATAGTAGCTAACTTCTTACTTAAAGAAGTGATTTAATACACGGATTTAATTAATAAGTAGTACTTATAATAAGTAAAGCGATAGTAGTATAACTTCTATATAAAAGTATACTTAAAGGTAGTTAAATAGTTATAGTTCGCGAAGATACCTTATCTAGTATAATTACTCGTAGTATAGTAACTTAAACTAGTTAAAAACGACGACGTAGTTAACTTAGAGCTACTTAAGCTCGAGAGCGATACCGTATATAGTTATAAGTAGTATAAGAAGTATTATTTACTTTATTACTATATTTAGCTTAATTATCTTAACTATTATACGCTTATAAGCGACTATTTTAATCGTTATATTACTATATTCGAAGATAGTAACTTTAAAATCTATGAGGTACGCGTTAATAACTAATTAGATAGTAAAGATAAAGATAAATTTAGCGTGACTAACTAGCTTAAAGTTAAAGACGTATTAAATTAACTATAGACGCGTTTCTATAACCTTAAAGACGAAGTAGTAAAGCTAGATATACCTCTTAGCTATTAATAACGCGTTTTAAAGCGCTAGATTAAGCTACTTACGAAGGCGAGTAGTAAAATCAGATACTAGACGATTACTAAGCTCGTTAAAGGTATACTACTACTACTACTACTATTACTACTACTACTAGGCTACTAATAGAAGTAAAAGCAGAAGTAGTAGTAAGTAAAGCTAGTAGTAGAGTAAAGCGTATATATTAGTAACGTAGTAAGCGATAGCGATAGTAAGCTTAATTAGTAGTAGTTACTATAGTTATAATACGTGTATACTACCTTAAGTACTACTTTAAGTAGTAATAATACTTATAAACGCTATATACTACTTAAATCCATTAACATAGTCGCGATAGTAAAGTACATTACCTTAAAAAACCCTTAAAGGCCTTTATAAGCGGCTATTATCTAGTTATACCACGTTAAATTAGTAGCGTTAATAGGCGAGCCGAGCGCTAACTAGTTAGGGATTAGGTAGTAGTTAGATTAGAAGGCACTAGTAACATCGAGGCGGAAATAGCTGTCGTAAATTCGTCGCGAATTTTATTGTTTTTTAACGGCTACTACCGCGTCTTTACTTGTCTATCACTTGATTTAAAGGCTATAAACATAATCAAATGAGGTTTCTAGTCATTAATAATGTGACAAGCACATCCTAGGGGGTCAGAACGTCGTATATGTTACAAAAACGCGGTGTTTAGATTTGAGGTCATCGAAAATGCAACAATTTCGCGACGAATTCGCGACAGCTATTTCCGCCCCGATGTTATCTGTTTTTGACACCGGTGCCGAGCATATGAACCGATATTCTCATCTCGGGTGATTGTACTCTTCCCTTTACTGCCATCCTTCATACGACAGTCTTCTCGTTACGATACCTGTCTCATGCTATGTCCCTCGGTCTTTCGAACCGGTGACTGCCGCGAGTCTCAGGTATTACACCTGTCTAAAAGAGGTGCAGAAGCGTGTCTAGACTTGGGGAAACTACAACTTGGAACGATTCGTTGTCTTCATCCTTACGATACTACCTACTTCCGAGTCCAACAGGTCGGGAGTTGCATTTGTCACAGCATTCTTTCAAACAGTGTGAAAGTACCTAGGGACACTGTCACACTTCTGGACGGCACGAGAACATGGCCTTACAATATGTACGACACGACCCGCACCACCTACGGGCAATCGTGGATATGGGAAGCAATGGCATTCGATTCTCCGTTTCCACTCTGCAGCCACCCACGACTCGCATTATGCCCACACTGTACCAGCATCGCGTCGGCATTTCACTATACGATGCTCAGTATTCCGCTTCGAATGAACGGCAGCCAATTGACGATATCACCATCAACGCTGTCGTGACGGCTTTCAAGCAGTTCCGACGGACGTGCAGGGACTTCGCCGTGCCAAAAGAAAACATTACTGTCCTGGCTACAGAAGCAACTCGCACGGCCATCAACTCCGAGGACTTCAGGAAGCAGATCAAAGATGCTGTGGGCTGGGAGGTGAAAATGCTGGCCAAGGAAGACGAGGGTCGCATAGGCGCTCTGGGGATTGCGAGTTCCCTGCCCGACGTTGCTGGACTCGTCATGGACCTGGGGGGCGGCAGTACGCAGCTGAGTTGGCTAATCTGCGACGGCGCGGGCGGCGGCGTACAAATGCCCGATTCCGGCTCCGTGAGCATGCCATATGGCGCTGCTGCCATGTCGAGACGACTGGCAGAGGCGGAGAGGGATGGGACGACATCTACCTTGAAGAAGGAAGTTGAAAGTGCCGTGAAGAGCGCGTACGACAGCCTCAAAATCCCAGAGCAGCTGAAGAAGCTCGCCGCTGCTCAGGGAGGCTTCACCCTCTACCTTTCCGGAGGGGGCTTTCGCGGCTGGGGGTACCTTTTGATGAGCCGGCATCGAGTTCAACCATATCCTGTCCCCGTCATCAACGGCTTCATGGCATCCCGGCATGAGTTCATGGGCATAGACGAGGTCAAGGCTGCCGCGGCCGCAACGCTCGCCAACGAAGACGATGCGATATTTCGAGTGTCCGACCGACGAGCAAGCCAGGTTCCGGCTGTGGCGTTTCTTGTCAATGTGCTTGCCGATGTTCTACCTGAAATCAAACAAGTGCGCTTCTGCCAGGGCGGCGTCCGCGAAGGATTCTTGTTCAGCCTGATGGAGTCAAGCATGCAGGCCGACCACCCGTTGACAGTAGCGACTCGACCATTCAGTCCAGAAGCACATCAGGCGGCGAGCGCACTCCTTGCTAACGCCTTGCCATCTGCATCGAACACAAGTACTCAAGACCCCTACGAACAAACCTTCACACCACCGATTCTGGAAGCACTCGCCAACATGATGTACTACCACTCCAGCCACTCGAAAGACCTCCAAGGCAGTGCAGCCCTGAGGTGTACCACCTCCGGCGTGCTCGCTGGCGTACATGGTCTCCTGCACGAACATCGCACTCTCCTTGCTCTTCTGCTATGCGCACGGTGGGGCGGCGATGTGCCCCCAACAGACGAAGTGTTCAAGCGGGGTCTGGAATTCACAATCTCCTCTCCCTGGCAGCTGTGGTGGATCAATTATCTTGGAGCCGTGGCGGCGCTGATAGGCGCTGTCTACCCGGCGGGAGTCCCGAATGAAGGAGGCAGACCCAGGATGACTCTGAAAGCTCGGTGGACCGGTGCGCCAGAACACGGCACCCAGCTCTCACTGAATGTGACTTTCACAGACGACGTCGAGCTGGACATGTTCGCCAAAGAAGTCAAGAATATTGAGAAGGTCGGCAAGAAGAAGCACTGGATCGGGGGTAAAGGTGGGATCGGGTACAGAGTGGAAGTAGAGACGTCTAGGCCGCCTCCTTGAGGATCAACCAGGAGGAAACACACTACAAACCGTCGAAAGTCGGTCGGACCCAGCTCCCAGCAGTGAGACATCAACACACGAGTTACATTTCGCCCGGCCGAGTGGAAGTGGAAGCTAACGACGCGACAAGCGACCTTTCGCATGCCAGGCATGCTTCCTTGAGGCGAGTGCAGATCTGTCAATCGAACATGATTATCCAGACCTCTACTCCCTCAAAGCAAGCTGCAAGAAAACGGTATCGATCCACCTTTCCTTCTTCCGCCCAACCTCCTTCAAATGCGCCGTCTGCTGGAAGCCATGTCGAACATACCAGTCGCGCAACTTCCAGCCTGCACCCGGCATGTCGATATCAATCGCCATGCACGCCATTAGCTGCCTCGGTCTGTACTCAATCAGCCTCGAGCCTTGGTAATACCCCTCCCACTGCTCCGGGTGCTTCAGCACATCCACCAGTCGACTCAGCAGCTGCGCGCCGACGCCTTTGCGGACTTGGGTGTGGTCGCAGAACAAGCTGAGCTCGAGCGTGTGGCGGTAGCCAGCTTTCGCTCGGAAGGAAGAGACGTAGGTGTAACCGAGGACTTTGTTGGTGGTGTTGTCGACGGCTACGAGATACGGGAGGCCTTCGTTTTTGATTTTGTGGTAGGCTGCAAGTGTTTCCTCGTCTGTGTTGGGTTCGAGGATGAAGGTTATGACGGTGTTGCGAACGTAGTGTTTGTGGATCTGGTTGATGGCTGGTATGTCCTCAGGCACGGCGGGCCGTATGGTACAAGCGATTGCGGCCATTGTGTTGGTGTTCGTCTCAAGAACGGGTTGGTCTTTGGTTCATCTAATGCCGCCCGTTGAATGGAAAGAAGATCAAGGCTGATGAAGTGGTGTCAATGGCGTCGACGATTGGCTCCCGTCATCTTGTCCATTCCCAGAAGGACTTCATTGTCGTAATGGATCAATCCCAAGTGATGCCCAGACTCACGATCTGCTTGTGATAGCACATCATGGCCGAGATAGCCATTGGCAAATCATATGGCTAATAGTCACCGTCGATCGACCCTGGCTCATTGATTGATTATCTAAGCTTGCTTGCAGCTGCGCGCGCCAGGGTCCAAATATTTGGCCGGCAACTTGAATTATTCATGATGATTAACTTGCACGGCTTCATTGTTAAACGACACCTCGTCCAGAAGACATCAACGCCCTAGATTGCCCAAAATCAGATCACATCCCGTGACATTGATGATGGCAACCGTAATGACGATGCGCAACATCCTGCGCGTCCCGCCAACGATCCGACCACTCCTGCTTCACGCCTCCCGGGCTCCCTACCACTCCTACGAACACGTACAACCCTCACCCTACCGCGAGGCAGAAAGAGAGATACTATCAGCCGGCCTAACCCACGTCCCGACTCATGGGTTCACGCATGAGGCGCTCACGACAGGAGCAAAGGATGTCGGGTATCTTGAAGTCTCCACAAACCTCTTCCCCAAAGGGCCATTCGAGCTGGTCAACTATTATCTGGTGACGCAACGGCTCGGCCTCAAAGACAGGATACAGTTCCCCAGCGAGAAAATGGGCGTGGGCGCGCGAGTCCGAAGTCTCGTGCTCGAACGGCTTCGCGCAAACGTCGATAGCGGCGTGCAGCCTCGCTGGCAGGAAGCGCTGGCCCTCATGTCGCTCGCGGAGAACATCCCTGCTTCCCTGCGAGAGCTGCGCGATCTCTCTGACGAGATCTGGTTTTTGGCTGGAGATACTGCGGTGGACAGTTCGTGGTACACGAAGAGGGCGTCATTGGCGGGCATCTACGCTGCTACGGAGGTGTATCAGACGACGGATCAGTCGGCGGATTTCAGGGACACTGAGGAGTTCCTGGACAGAAGGTTGGAGGGCTTGAGGACGGTTGGCAGTGCGATGGGGAACACGATGGAGTGGGTGGGTTTCCAAGGTGGTGCGCTTGTGAACTTGTTGAGGAGCAAGGGCGTCAGAATATAAGATTGCGAGGACGATATCTGCGAAGAAGAAGCGATCGGACGCACGCCGAAAAATACAACGACAGTCGTTCGACCCATATCACGTTTGCGATCAAGCTGCCCGCCTTGACTTGATTGTCAACGAGACCTGTGGGCTGCTTTTGTTTCGAAGCAGGACCTCGCGCGACACGCTGAAATCTGTGAGGCAATCACTACTGCACTTCTGGAGTTTTCATTCTTGCGATATCCATCGCTCTTTTGGAAACTGATGTTGCGCTCCACTCCACTTCAAGCCCAGAATTGCCGAGATCGGACCCCTCACGACGAAGCTAAGTCGACTGCACCTTCCACATCAAGAGCCGGCTCTGAGAAACACAACAATTGCAGCCAAATACTTCATTCCAAGGCTGTCCCAGAGTCAGAGCCATCGAAAAACGTGTTCGCAGCCATCTGAAGTCTTCATCGCGACAGCAAGAGCCGTCTTTCCCGCTCGGTCATCAACGAATCAAGGTCCTCCATTGGTTCAATATCGCAATCATGCCTTTCCAAATCACTGCAAACTCGAAGACACCGGCAATCGTCCTAGCATGCGGAGCATGGCATGTGCCCGAGCACTACGAGCCGATGGTGAAGCCGCTTCGAGAAGCAGGAATCGACGTTGCCGTTCCCAAGAACCAATCTCTGATTGTTCAGAAGGATCCCGGGAAAGCGATGGCGATGGATGCTGCTGCAATTGCACGCTTGACTCAACAGTTCACCGGCAGAGGCAAAGATGTCGTTCTTGTAATGCATTCGTACGGAGGAATATATGGGTCCGAGGCGGTGGGTATGATCAACGAGAGCAAAGTCACCCGAATCGGCGCGGGCCGTATTCGTCGACTCGTCTATCTGGCTGCGCACGCCGTTCCCAAAGGCACAGCATTCCTCAGCTCAGGACGAACGGTGCCGGGGATTGAGACGTCTGAGGTAGTGGCCTGACTATCACTATCGGCTGGTCAACGCTAACGAATGGCAGAACGGAATGATGACCCATTCAGACCCGTACGGTCGCTACTATACCGACGTAACTCGCGAGCAAGCCGAGCCTGCCCTACAACTACTCCAACCGATGGCGGCATCCACATTCACGCAGGAGACGTCGTATGCTGGTTGGAAAGACTACGGCATCCCCGTGACCTTTATCATATGCAAGCAGGACACAGCGGTGACGCCGGAAATGTGCGAAGGCTACATAGCTCGGATGCAGGAGGCTGGTGTGAAGGTCGATGTGCACAGGGTCGAGGGGGGACATTGCTCGCATTTCACCAAACCGGAGCCTTTGATCGAGATTCTGGGGAAGCTGGTGAATGATGAGGCGGGGGAGTGAGTTGCAGATTGCGGCTGCCGCCTGCTGCGATGGGCTTCGAAAGTAGCTGATACAGGTAAACGCTATGAACCACTTCATTGCCAGCTCCATAGCATACGACAACGATTAACATGCCTTCCATCTTCTCGTCGATTGTGCAAATGCTCATGTCAGGCCCAGAACGTTCTGGCAACCGGCTATGCCGGAAGTGGCTAGTCACAAACCCAAGCACGTGGGCTTCACTTCCTGACAATCTCTACCCACCACCACTCACCTCGTTCCCTCCCCTCACGATCATCAACCCAGCAGCCACAAGACCTACGAACCAGCCTCCTACGCCCACCGCACCGCCTCTCAGCCCCCCCCCGTCCCAACCCCACGCCTCCGAGCACCCTTCCACCGTGGCAGTTCTACGAAATGGCGACCTTACTCAGTAACAATCACAGTAGTAGTAGTAGTCAACACTACAAGAAGACGTCGCACGAGTCGAAGCGGCACTCCAACACGCAGGCCTCGGCCTACATCGTCGACGCCAGCACGATGGCGTTGACGGGCTTCCACTACACCACTTCTGCGGGAGGCGGACTGGGTAAGTTGCGGCACCCCGCCCCTCGACAGTCCACGCGCTGACCAGGTGTGCAAATTGTAGAGTGGTGGGTTTGAGGTCAGCTCGGGCACACCACCATCACCGCCTCCGTCGCCTACAAGCCGCTCCGCCGCGCGGAGGGGTAGCGGCGACGCCGCAATTCACATCACGGAAGAGTGTGAGAGACTCTTTTGCGAGACGCTGCATACTGTATTCTCGGTTGAGGGGAATACCGGTCGGCAGAACTCGCTGGTGATGGACTTGCGAAACACAAACACGCCGAAGAAGCATAGTGCTGTGGCTATCCCCGCGAAGCCGGCGCTGCGCTCTGCTTTGAAGCATACCTTTCCCACCCCTTCTCCTTCGCCGGAAACCCACGCGTACTCCGCTACGTGTGCTGCGGTGAGGGAGTATGTGGAGATGTGGGACTATGCTGGCGGAGCGCGCTTCCGCGGGTTCGTGGTTGAAAAGGGAGACGAGCGAAGCCTGTTCATCTTCTTTGATCGGGAGGTTCTTGGGCAAGACTTGAAACCTGGGTGAGTCGAAGATGCACAAGCTTGGTGCTGGGGCTTATACTAATACGTGCGTAGTCTGATGGCGCAGCTGGAGTTTGCGAGCAGTGAAGCGTTCGAGTGCGAGCAACTTGTTGTCTGTGTCGATCGCTCGGCAGACGACGAGCTCATCGCCGACGTGGCTCGCGATCTCAACTGGGTGGGGTTTGAGCTGATGACGCTCGATGCGTGGGCGGCAACGACGAATTGCTTGAGTGATCGCTGGTTATTCTTGGGAATGGAAACGTAACAGCCGGGGGAGTATTGCTATGGAATGGTCAAGCCGGCGCAGGCGGTTGGATAATTCGGTACGGATTCACGGGGGAATTTGCAGTCTTTACGACATTGGCGCATCTCGATATCCCAATCAAAATGCTTGCGTGAGAAATGTCATGGTGTCATTGGAGTCAAGAGGGTACTGTATAGAACGGAGAACGACAGTTTGACAGGTGCTTGGCCGCAATATATATGCAGCCCAGCGTTGCCGAAGTCACGTTCCCTGTACCTGCGCACACACGCAGGTGTTTATGCGGGTGTTATGCGATGCAAGCGTGCGTGCCGTAGGGCGACTTACTGTAGGCGTGTTGTGCTGCACCCACCCAGCGCGGCAGGCCAAGTGAACGAGCGAACGCATCGCTGCATTAGTTAGACAGGCCGATCGACCGAGCAGAAGCGGCGGCGGCGGCGGGAAAACAACCACATGGACGGGGTCACGTCTGCGCTGCAGGTGACTGACAGGCACAGCTTCTTGGAGCCGCACTTGTTCCTGCAAGGCTGCTGTGGTGAGCTCACTAAGGTAAGCCAAGTTGCATGGCTCTCCCGGGCGGCGGGCGGGAAGACAGACACGACGTCGTCTGGGATTCCATTCCCCGGGCCAAGGCATCTCGATCCTCTCTGCTCGGCGGTGGCACACGGGATGGGAATGCGCGGCGACGAATGAGCGCGCGTTTGCGTGTGCTGCTCGTCGTCATGCTTCGCCAGGTGGCTTGTGGCAGGAAGGAGGGGGCCGTGCTGGGAAAGTCGGTGAGGGCGAGAAAGCTGGGATTTCCGTGCCGTCCAATCGCCCGACGTTGCGGGCACGCGATGGCTATCCGAGCAAGTCGCAGCTTCAGCACGGTCCTGCGCCGGCCGGGAAAGCCAGGCACTTCGGCCAGCCACTGTGCAACCTTTTCCTCTCACGACAATGGGGGGCGTGGGTTATTTTTTTTTGGCGAAGGGGTGGCTTGTCTCGTTTCAAAGGGGTTTGTGCACTTGCTCCATTGAATTCGATAGGGTGCAGGAGATCTCCGTCACACCATCAAGCGAGGAATGCTTCGCTCGTGCAAGGTGCGACAGGAGCACAAGGCCCCTCCCGGGGGGTGGATGAGGGGAGCTGGTGGTGGCGTGGGACATTTGGTCAAGGTTGCCGCTAGCCAGTCCCACCTTGTCGACGTGTCCGACTGCGATTCGAGACGGCCGCTTTTTGCATTCCGCCCACGCGGATGCGTGTGTGTTGTGTGTTGCGGTTTGCCTCCGAGATCTTCGAGTTGGGCAATCCTTTCCCCGGCCGCAGGGGTTTGATTGGGCGGTCGGGAGAAGATGCTACTTTGTTCCCGCGCTGGGTGGCACTCAAATCATCCTCCCGGCGGGAAAGACCACGACACACAGATGATGCTGAGACTCTATCCTCCACATCCCTGCCGCTTGGGCTGGGGCCGTCGGTGGGTTTCCGAGGCGCTGACTACGGTAGTGAGCTGGCCCGGGCGTGGAATAAGCTTGCCCCCGTATGTATCACATGCATATCATCGCAGCGGGACGCAAGAGCCCGTTGGCAACAGCAGACGGGAACTAGAGAGTCGGCGTGCTGTCGTGCATATGGAAACGTCTCGAAACGGATGTCTCAAGATGGGATTGTTTACCACAGTGCTTTCCGAATAGGCGATGTTTTGCATCGCACACCCCCTCCCGCAAAGACATTTAAGCCTTCCGGTGGAGGCGCGGGCATGGCCTATCGGACAATCTTTAGCTTGGGGCCGGTGCGACAACAAGGTTGTGTTGGGTGGGCGAAAACTTGATGAACGTGCGCGCGGGCTTCCGCTGACACCTGCCCACGTTGCGCATTGGCTCACCCCCTCAACTAAGCCCCCAACCCTCGGCTTGATTTTGGCCGTCTGTGAGAGCGGGGTGAGGGATTGTCGACTCGGGGCTATCGTTTTGGACGGTATGACGACGAGGACAGGATCGCACGAACCATGATTTGTCGGGACGGAATGGGATGTAGCGTCGTCCTGCCACACAGGCCATGCCACTCGAGCGTGCCGTGCTGGCCGGTTCCAAGAGTCGAAGATGGCAAGAGCCGTCTCCTTCGCTAAGCATGGTGCAGTAGATGGAACGGCGGGCTTCCATGGAGAAGAAGATACCTAGGTGGCCATGGCGTTGTACCTACCTTTTTTCTCGCCTCTCGGCCCCAGCCTGTGCAAATAGGAACGAGGCCTGATCGTGCAATGCCGCCAAGCGGGTATGGTGGTGGAGTAGGCGAGCACATTTGGTTAGGGTTGGCACCGTTTTGGGGATTTTGTCAAGATTCCCGCCGGCGGATGTTGCTTTTGTGGGTGGCGTATAGCTAAGGGCCTGGCATCATCAGTCAGCGCAATTTCGTGGGGCCGTGACTCGATGGCCGTGCCTGTCCCTCGTATCTGCTGTTGGGAAGCAGGCAAGCAGGCAAGCACGCCGAGGAAAGCGACCTGGTCGAGGGTGGTCTGATCGAGAGATTATGAAATCACAATAATCCAGACTCGTGCATGTCTTCCCAAAGCAGGCGTTGATGGTGCCCGCCGCGATCGACGTTGCATTCTTGGAGGGCGGATTGCCGGGGCGTGAATGGAGTGTTTCGCCAACCCCCCTCCCCCCCAGTGCCCCCACTGCCCAACCCATCCCGGCTTCTGGAGGGCATCCCTGCTCTCGACCGCGGCCTCCGCCAGCGAATAGCCTGTGCTTCTTAAAGAATTCAACTGCCTGCCTGCCGCTGCCTGGCCGGATTGTCCGTCCGCGTCGTCCCTTCCCACCCTGCTTTTGTTGTTGCAGTAGACGCGCATACCGCACTGCACCCCAACCTCCTAGCCTCCCTCCGATCTCTGCTCCGATCGTCGAGCCTTTTGCGCGCCGGCCCGTCCTGCATCGATCTGGCAGTGTGCTTGCAGCAACGCAGCAGCACGCCGCCTCGGTTCTGCCGGAGTGCGTCGTTAGCTACTCTAGCCAGCTGCACGCCGCGCCTGCCACCGTCGCAAACGAGCAGCGCCCTGCTCCTTCCCTGCAACAAACACGCGAGCCGCCCACCTCCTCGCCCCAGCACCACCCGCTCAACCGCGGAAAGCAATCCCAGAGGCAAGTCCACCACCAGACCTCCTTCGCATCGAGCGCGGGAGTGCGTGCGTTGCGAGGAGTGTTGGCCCCATCTCGCCTTGCCTTGCCCTGCCCTGCCCGCCCTGCCCTGCCCTGCCCGCCGCCCAACCCGAATTCTGGCTTGCTGCTATCCGGCCAATCGCCGCGCAGCGCTAGCCAGCCTCCCGCCGCCCACAAAGGTATTCCCTCTCCAGCTCCCCCGCTGCATCTGCGACCCGCTCTCTTTCTCATCATGCATTTGCATTGCAGAATCTGCCACACCACGACCGACAGGGTGCGTTCTATAGTCGCCGGCGTGCAGCACTCCCACCTTGCCGCTGCTGCACCACCGCCGCCTGTCACTCACGACACCCCGACGACATCTCACTGACATTCTTCCGTGCTCGCAGATTGCCGTCCGTCTTCGGCGCTCTCCCCGCCATTGATCCCACGGTGCTACGACCTGTTACGATTCTTCACGACCCCTTACGACTCCTTGCATTCACGAGAACGACCGTCCGTCCAGAGAATTAGCAGCAGCAGCAGCCTGTTTGGATTGCCCCGTCCGTGTTGGAAGCGAGCATCTCAGTGATCATTGACGATACCGCCTGTCCCGCTTGACCCCTCCACCACTCCTTCTTCACGCCCGCACCACTCCCTCACGACCACCACTACGAACTTCACGAATCCCACGCCGAGCAACGCATTTCCGCTTCGTGCCATCCCCTCCACCCCACCCCCCTCCACCCTTCCGCTCTACCGGGTAGTCTTGCGACTACCTCCGACTTCCCGTCGCCCCCTCCGAGAAGCTGGCGCACTCATCGCTGGAGTACAGCGCCCGAGACAGCATCAGTCAGTGGCAGCAAGCTGTGCTCGAGCACAACACCACTCCCCACCGCTCCCACCACCCCGCCGACCTGCTCTCCAGCCCCTCGTCGCCCCGCGCAGAGTCTCTGTCGAGCTCCGTCGCAAATCGTTCCTACGAATCCCACACCTCCTACGCCTCCCACGGCTACGAGCAAGAGGTCATCGCAGGGCCCAAACGTGACTTCCATCACGCCCCTCCCTATCATTACCCCCCTCATAGCTACGGGAGCATGAATCAAGGTCAGCCCTACATGGAGGTCAATCAGCCGCATCCGCAGGGCTCTGGGCCGCCGCCTGGCATGCCGCAGTACCCCAACTACGGTCATCCCATCCAGCCTGCTGCCCACGGCTATGCTCCTGCCTACCCCCCGCAGTATTCTTACACCATGGCTCCCATGCAGAACGGGCACCCCGTGACTTCGTCCATGGCCGGCCCGATGGTGCCCCAAGCCTTGCCTCTGCCCACCATGGCGTCCAATGGCCCTCCTCCGCCTCCTCCACCCCCGCCCGGCTCCCAATATGGCGGAAACTTTGATCAAACGGGTCAGATCGCGCCGCACGGCATGAAGCCGCGAGTCACCGCTACTCTCTGGGAAGATGAAGGCAGCTTGTGCTTCCAGGTCGAGGCGAATGGCGTGTGTGTGGCTCGGCGTGAAGACAACCACATGATTAACGGCACCAAGCTCTTGAACGTCGCTGGAATGACGCGCGGTCGTCGCGATGGTATTCTCAAGAGCGAGAAGACGAGGCACGTGGTCAAGATTGGGCCGATGCATCTCAAGGGTGTTTGGTAGGTTTTTCCTTTCCTCCCACCAATCTGACATCGTACCGGAGGGCATTGCTAACTCGTCCTCAGGATCCCGTACGAGCGCGCGCTGGACTTTGCGAACAAGGAGAAGATCACCGAGCTACTCTACCCGCTTTTCGTGCACAACATCGGCGCTCTGCTCTACCACCCCACGAATCAAGCGCGCCAGAGCGTTGGCAATGGTCCGATGGCCGGCCGTCGTCCCGATTCGGGGCCAGAGTACCTGCGGACTCCTCAAGGTACACATCCGCCTCCTCTCACCCAACACCACTCCATGTCTACCCCGGTCGGCGCACAGCCGCCGCACTCCATCGCTCCGCATCCAGCTGCGGGCCGGCCAGGAATCGATCGTGCGCATACCTTCCCGACCCCTCCCACTAGCGCAACCAGTCTGACCATGGGCATGGGCAATACAGGCAGCTCGTACGAGTATGGCGGTGCGCACGCAGGTGGCATGCATTCAGGTCAGCCCCTCTCCATTGACACGGGCATGCCTGCGAGATCTGTACCAACAACTCCAGCCTCCACTCCACCTGGCAACGGCCAGGGTATGCAATACCAGACCAGCCAGCCCTACGACTCGTCGCGCCAGATGTACTCTGCGCCGGCGGCGTACGCTGGCTACCCGAGCCAAACCCACATGCCTCGCTACCCCGGCATGCAGTCCAGCCCTGGCAGCATCAAGACTGAGATGGGCCCGCCCGCACGTGGTGGCGAGCACGAAAGCAAGCATCACGAGGGTTACGGCCCTCATGATGCCGATGGAGAACACGAGGGTGAATACACTCACAGCAGTGGGTCCTACGACGCCCGACGACCACCCTACGCTTACAAGCCTAACGCTGCGCCAGGAGCGATGCACCCCGACTCTACCCACGTCTCCCCCGAGATGAACCACTCCCCGCATGGGAACGGGTCGGGCAGAGCGACTCCACGCACCGCCGTCCCCTACGCCGGCTACACCACCACGCCGCAGCGACAGGGCCAGTTGCCAGCCAGCAATCTGGCATACGTGATGGGCAATGACGCCCGTGCCGGCGCTCCCAACGGCCAAGAGTCCTACCCTCCTTCGAGCGCTTACGCGCCTGCTCCTCACTACCCCACGATGAACGGCCCGAGCCCTTCCAACAAGCGCATGCGTGAGGTTGACGACGAGCAAGACGTGTATGGACGTCCTTTGAGCGCCGGCGGCGACAACGGCGCCAAGAGACAGCGCACCGACGCGGGCATGGCCAATTCTCGCCCCATCGCGCAGCCGCACTCTGTCAAAGCAGGCGGGCCGAGACGATAGTGCAGTCTCACGGCATCGACTGATTCGGGACTGTGCACTTTCCTTTGGCCTGGTTGTTTCTTTCCTTTTTCGACCTTTACGACTCACGACACCACCGACGACGACGCGGAGCGACACTTTTCTTGACGATAACAATGAGGCACACACACGCAACGCAACTACAAACAAAGCTTTCCTTTCTTCCCTTCTTCATTCACGGACGACGGCAACACACACACGAAGCAATCTGGATTTCCTGGAGCGCTGAGCAAAGCAAAGCGAGCAAGCAAGCAGACGGCATACAAGCGAACCTGCACTGGACTGTTTTGAGCGGCTTGTTAGCGATTCGAGTCTGTTCCTTCTTTTTTTTCGATGCGATTTTGCCTGTTTGCGCGATTTCCTTGCTCTTCGATTCTGGGGGAAGATGAAAACGCCGCCTTTAATCGGGCTTGGGGATGAGGAGGGACAACAATGGGCGTGCGGGATCTTGGGGAGGGTGGAGGGAGGGGGGCCAAGAGATGGCAGTCAACGGACTGGATCTCGGAGCGATGGTGATGAAGCGCGGCAAGGGTGTTTCCAAACGGGGCACGGAACACCCGCCATGATGCTCTCTCTTCTTCTTGTCTCGTGCGAGGCGTCGGCTTCGCATGGGTTGGATGGGAGATGCAATGATCGATGGATGACGAACGCGAGACGGCTTTTACGGTATTCACGGTTTTGATGATGGATGCGTGATAGAGAGAGAGTGTGTGTGAAGGCTCAGATTAGTCGTTTTTCCTTGTCCTATCGCGCTGCAATAAAAGTCTTTTCTCTTTACACCTTTCGAAGTCGCCTCTCAAACCTTTGGATCTGCTGTCTATGCCTCGAGAAGTGCGCGTGCCCGCTGTACCTCTCCAGATGTCTGTGGTCTTCTCAATATTGCCGGCCGCGTATTGGACAATACCGCTGGCCGGCTTCTAAAGCGAAGGAAGACGCATTGCTCTTCCCCATCCGAGTGAGTCCATGCATGCAAAGTGAATGTATACCATGCCAGACGCAAAGAAGATGGGGTGCTCGTCGCGTTTCGTATCAGTCCATTCCACCCTTCACCTCCCCGTCCCCCTGACAAACTTCGTATGTGTCCCACTCGCCACCAACCTGCCCCGTCGCCCATCTCCCTCCTCAACACCATAAATCCCCACCCGCGTAAACGCCAAGTTCCCCCCCACCCGCTCCACCACCCCCTCAATCTCCACCGTCTCCCCCAGCTTCGCGCCGGACTGGTACGAGACGTGAATATCCACGCTGACGCCCGTGCTGGAGCGCAGATCGTGCGTGGCGATCGCCATACCGCCCGCCCAGTCTACGATTGTGGCGGAGACGGAGCCGTGCAGGCTTCCGGCGCTGTTGAGGTGGGCGGGGCTGAGGGGGAGGCGGGCGGTGAAGTGGTTGCGCGTGGCGCTGGTTATGTGCAGCGGGGTGAGGAGGAAGGCGTAGATTGGGCTTTGCGGGAGTTTGGTGGTGAGGAGGAGTTCGAGGTGGTGGTGTTCGGGGGTTTTGTTTGGGGTTTGGGGCTGGGGTGCTGGTTGGGTGGACATTGTGAAGGGCTGTCTTTTGGAAGGAAAGAAAATTCTTTAGGTAGTGATGTTGACGGTGGAAGGGAAAAGGATGGTTAGGATGTCAGAGAGGGTGCAGGAGGAGGCTGCGAGATACGTTCGAGTCGATGGGAAGCAGAGGAAAAGTTGACAGCACACGTTGAACCCACCTGATGATTGAAGAAAGTAAATGTGGACGAGAGAGGATTCGGAAAATGATGTTCAGGCACGAGCTTTAGGAAACGCGAGACGACACGAGTCAGTCGCCAGCTCCCTCGCGCTTTCCCAACTTGCAACGTCATTCTTGTCAATTGGCGAAGCGGCAGGTGCATTCATAAGCAACTCCTTCGTCGAACGCGCTTGCCAGCAATCTACTGACCCCGCCAAGTCCTTCGTCTCTTGCTTTCGTCAGCATCCTCTCACTCGACGTGCTGGAACCGTGAAGTTGGCTCGTCTCGCCCATCAAAGCCACCTTTCCCTCTTGCGCATTCCCTGCTCCATCACCAAACCGCAAATCGCCAAACAACAAACCCGCTGGCTGCTCAACCTCCGCAACGGCCGATGGCCGAACTGGCTCCGAATGGCAGCCCAGGATAGTTCGGCCGCCTCGTACCTGAGCCGACTCTCTCCCTGGCCTCGAATTCCGGTCGTGCAGCCCGGCCAGGCACCCGATGTCGAGCCGTCGCAGCAGCCTCTGCCGAAGCCGCAGAAGCCTGTTGTCGTCGACCATGTTGTCAATCACAGGCACCGCAGTAGTGTGAGGAAGTACCCGCGTGACTGCCCTCCTCTGCGGCCCATGTGGTTTCATGCTGTCGATTCGCCCAAGCGAAGACCCAATCCTGCTGGGAAGATGAAGAAGGAGCCGAAGCCTCTGCCTGCGCCGAAGAAGTACACGCCTTTCTCCGTCCGAGATTCGAAAGCGATTGAAGCTGCGTATAGGAAGCTTGCAGAGGAACGAGGGAGTGAAGAGATACAAGAGAAAGAGGGTTCGGTTGGGGATGGAGGGCCGCATAAGACGGGCGCGGATCGGAGACCGGATGAAGAGGCGAATCTGAGTCTCAAGGATAACCCCAAGCACGGCGACGTTCGAGTGCCGGTGAACGAGGACTATCTGTTCGATGTGGACGTGGAACAAAGAGAGCTGGGACCTGCCTACTGGCTTGGCCCGGTGTACGATGTGCGACGAGGGACGTGGTTCATTCAAGACGGCAGCATACAGAAGCCCTGCGATGAGAATCTGGCCGAGCAGCTGGAAGACGGATATCTCAAGGTCAAGGCATGGCGCCTGCCAACTATTCAAACCCCGTCGAAAGCCCGGTCTAGCTCTCAACCGCGTTCACGCCCTACTTCATGGACATCTGGTTTGCTTCCTCCGGGCACCCAGCCTCCCACCTCAGATCCAATAGCACCGAAGGGCTCAAGTCCGGATCTGAGGAAGCAGGCGGTTGAGCATGCTCAGCAGCCTATCCATCTCGGCGAAGGCCTTTCTACGGAGGAAGACACGCCACTAAACACCTATCGCTTATTTGGCGCACACATGAACTCGATAGTAACATATCAAGACGCCACGACCGCTTGGCTTCTCTCCGATGACTTCATGTCCAGGATGAACTTTACCATGTACGAACGCTTCGCCGGTGGTGGGCATTTCGGGGGCGTCAGGTTGACGCGTGGCTACGCTGATGCATCGAAGAAGCCTGAAGCCAAAGATGGCAAGCTTGCAGAAGCAAATCCAAACCCAATGTTGGACTCGCAACGAGCTTCCACAGAAGACGAACTCATGGCGAGCAAAGACTCGCAGGAGCAGCCGACTGCAGGGGAAACACGGCGGCAGCGTTTAGAGCGCCATATGTCTTCCTTGCTAGAGGACACTTCAAGTGAAGATCGTGAAAAGCAAGAAGAAGAAGTGCGTAAGCGAGATGAGCGCGAGATGGAGGAGGACTACCGCGAGCAGGCAGGAGAGGAGCAAGGCCGAGAGATTGAACATCTTATCCTCGTCACGCATGGTATTGGCCAGCGACTTGGCCTGCGCCTCGAGAGCGTCAATTTCGTGCACGATGTCAACACCTTTCGCAAGACCATCAAGGCTGTGTACGCCGACTCGCCCGACCTTCGAGCACTGAATGCCGAGCTGGACAAGGCGGATGTGGTCAACTCTCGGATCCAAGTTCTTCCTATCTGTTGGCGTCACCTACTTGATTTTCCCAAGCAAAGCCTAAAACACAACCGTGGAGAGCACGATCTGGCGGACACGGAATTTGATGACGATCAATATCCGAGTCTGGAGGACATCACGGTGGAAGGGGTGCCAGCTGTGCGCAACCTAATCACCGACCTTGCCCTCGACATCCTACTTTATCAGTCTCCGGCCTACAAGGACTACATCTCGCGCATCGTCTTGCGCGAGTGCAATCGCATCTATCATTTATTCATGGATCGCAACCCGGACTTCAAGGGCAAGATCAGTCTTGTTGGACACTCTCTAGGATCCGCCATCATGTTCGACTTGCTTTGCCAGCAACAGAAGCAGCCCCATCAGTCTAGGAGACAGAAGAAAGAGCATGGCCAGGAAGGCTTTCATTTTGAGGTCGAGGACTTTTACGCACTCGGCTCACCCATTGGACTCTTTCAAATGCTCAAAGGCGGTACAATAGCGGCCAGAGAGTCCGCAGACCGACGAAGCCGAGCATACACCACGAGCATGGACGATCCGATGCTGGGCGCCGCAGCGCTTCCTAATAAGAAAATGCATACTCCGCCCGACATCCCAACCAGCCACCTTGCCCTCTCGAGCCCGAAGTGCGGCCAGATCTTCAACATCTTCCATCCTACCGATCCCATCTCGTACCGCATCGAGCCGCTCATCTCCCCATCCATGTCATCACTCAAACCTCAGCCGCTGCCCTACACCAAGCGTGGTATTTTTGGCGCTCCAATGGGCCAGGGTCTCACGGGCATCGGGGCTCGCGTGACGCAGAGCGTGTCAAGTATGTGGACTAATGTGGCTTCCAACCTGTTGACCCGTGGCCTTGGATATCCGGGCGGCGAACAGGCGGCGGCGAATGCTCCACAGAGTGCGAAAAGTAGCGGTCCACTGGCCATGTCAACTGATGCGAATGCGAAGTCGACCAATACTCCAAAAGCATCTTTGCCGGCCGAAGGCGCGCATATCGAGATGGATCGCAGGCAAGCCGACGACCCATCCGCTACCGGCGAAAGTGGACAGCATCCACCCACTCTTATCGACGCAGAGCTGGAGACACTGTACGCCGGCTTCCAAACGCGCCGCAAATCCGGGCAGAGCGACGCATCCAGCCGGGACTTTGGCGCGGGCCTTGAATGGCAGGGAGCGGAAGAACGCGCCCGGCGACTGCGGAGAGAAGAGGAGAAGGTGCGCAGGCTGAATAGTAATGGTCGCGTGGACTATGCGATCCAAGAGGGGGTGTTCGACATCAATTTGATTGCGGCGATTGCCAGTCATCTGACTTATTGGAGCGATGAGGACGTCAACCATTTCATCATCTCGCAGCTGTTAAGTCGATCGAGGGTCGTGAGGCCATCTTCCTCCGGCGGAACTCAAGTCTGAACAGTGATGGACGGCCTCTCAGCGAATTGCAAGCCGTCCGTTCCCGATCCATCCATTCCACACCACTCCGTACTCTTTCGCAATGTCCTCGGCTGACTGTCCAAAAGAGTCCTTGAGACTGCGAATGTCGACTTTGCCCTCTTGTTGCTCACGCATGATACCCAGTGCAGCGGCTTCCTGATACACAAGAGCGGGAAATTCGGATTCCGGAAGTTGACTGGCGAGCAAGAGCAGCAACCATGCGACTTCTCGATGCCCGTTTGCCGCCGCGGCGTGGAGCCCTGACTGCATGTCGCCAATGGGATCTTGGTACCTGAGAATCTCATCGGGGGTCTTGTTGGGCAAGTCGGCATCGGCATCCTTCATCTCATCGATGTCCAGATCGTCGTCGTCCTCACCTGCTGGCTCCGAGCAGCTGTGCAGCAAGTCTACGATCGCTTGGTGATCACCCTCTCGGCAGAACTCGAGAAAGGCTCGACATTTGCGCTCCTCGGGGTATGCGCGCAAGTACGATTCCTCTTGCAGAAGTGGGAAAATGTCGATATGCTCCTGGTAGCCGCCTTCGTTGGTAAGGTTGACGATGATCTGCTGTTGCGATGTCGACGGCGGAGACGAGACGATTTCCGTTGAGCAGTGGGGACACTTGGACAACTCGTAGGAGTCCAGGAGACACTGCCAATGGAAATGACAGCCACAGGGTAAATGCACATCATCCGGGATGGTTTGCGTGTTGTTCCCGGAGGAGGAAGCCTCCATTTCGACATCTTCGTCCTCGTCCGGCCCAATCTCGACTTCCAGAGCCTCGTGGCATTTGGCGCACGTCGTTGCCATTGTGATGTGATAGAATTAGACAAATCCCTCAGTAGATCAATCACCTTTCGTGGGTGAAGCATCACCATCACAAGCAAAAAAATGTCCGGACGCTTTTAGGGTTTGCTTTCAACTGACGTAGCCTCAACTTTAAATTGGCGCTTGGACACGTTGCTGCCGCCTGCTTGGCCTGCTTGACTCGCTCTGTTTACCGTTTTGTGACTTTCGTCTTCTGCTTCACCTTTGTGCACCACCCACCGTCACCACCCGTCTGCCGCTCAGACACCCTTCACTCTGAGGGTGCCGTCCCCGACAGATTAAATTAAGGCGGCCGCGCAAATATCCTCTCGCGAACACGCTTTCATTTCCCCACCTACAACTCTCTTGCGAAGAGCCGCGCCGCACCGATGGACGACCAAGAGTATCTCGAGCCCGGCTTCGACCCTTCCACCCTCACCGTCCCGCGCCTGCGCTCCATCCTTGTCGCGCACAATGTCAACTACCCCTCATCGGCGAAGAAGAGCCAGCTCATCGACCTCTTCAACGACAATGTGCTGCCTTTAGCCCGCAAACTCCGCACAGCGAACGCGCGCGTGAAGCGAACAAGCAGAGGGATCGTGGATGTGCCGGCAAGCCAAGGCACTGCCGACGATGACGATGAGGACGACGAAGAGGAAGAAGTTGCTCCATCTACCGCCACGCGAAGTGGAAGGAGAACAACGAGGGCGAAGACTGAGGAGGCGCCGCAGGAGATTGCCCCCACACCGAAGTCGACTAGACACAGCACAGCACCGCCCGAAAGCGTGTCACGCAGAGCATCGAGTAAACGCGCACAAGCCGTCGCCGTTGACGAGGCGCCGGAGCCTAAGAGATCCGCGTCACGCAAGTCGAGATTGAGCGCGCAGACGCCTGTTGCTAAGTCGGGCTTTGCGGATGATGATAGTCCGTTCTCGAATGACAACGTCTTTCAGTCTGGAAGCTCACCGCCACCCCCTTCGACGGATCGCCGTAGAACGATTTCCGGAGTGGTGAGGGATGCTGATCGCCGGCGCAGCCGTGAAGCGAGGAGACGGACGGAGGAGATCAAACCGTCGAGAGCACAGCTGGATGGTGCGAGCGCGTCTTCTCGTCAGGCCCCCGTTTCGGTGCTGAAGAAGCGGAGCAAAGATGCAGTCGAGGCTGGTGAAGAGTTCACTCCGGAAGAGCAATGGGACCTGGTGCGAGCTGAGCAATCTGGAGAGCTGGTTCCTGTACGGCCGAAAGCGAAGAAAGCTGGATCGAAAGTGGCGCAGACTGGCTTTGGTGCCGTCTTGACTACGATACTACTGGGAGTGGGCGCGCTCTGGGGTCAAGAGAAAGCTCGCGTGGGCTACTGCGGCGAGGGCCATCACAGCAGGGAGATTGCGGGCGTCGAAATACCACCATGGGCCGATGTGCTTCGACCTCAATGCGAGCCTTGCCCCCCTCACGCCATCTGTGGGCCCAACTTGGAGACCGTCTGCGAGCCTGACTTTGTGCTTACACATCACCCGCTCTCGGCGAACGGTTTCCTGCCAATCCCCCCGACGTGTGAGCCGGACAGCATGAAAGCGAAGAGAGTGGAGAAGGTGAAAGAGCGGGCAATCCATGAGCTGCGCGAGCACAATGCCAAGTACGAATGCGGCGAGCCGGTTCAACCTGTGCTTCGCGAATCAGAATTGAAGGCGCGAGTAAGCAGCAAACGCTTGAGCCGAATGCAAGACCGGGAGTTCGAGGAGCTCTGGGCGAGCGCGATCGGGGAAGTTCGAGACTCAGACGAGGTCACGCAGGGCATTGACGGGTAAGTCCACTTCTCCTCACTATACTTCTACACGCGCCATCCCAGCGTTGTACGACCGGAAGAGGAAACTGTGCGCTTACACGAATCTGTCTCGACTAACAGACTCGCCCTCACCTCCACAGATCCGGGCACTTCACCCTCCGCTCCACCAGCCTCGCCCGACTCCCCCTCAGCTGCGCCGTCCGCCGATCCGTTCGTGAAACGGCTCGAGAGTATTTTTGGCAACTTGTGATTTTCTGCACTCTCCTCTCCTCTGGCGGCTACGCCCGCTACGCCTACACTTCCTCCCGCGACGCCGAGTCCCGCGCGAAACGCCTGGCGGGTCTGGCCCTCGACAAACTCAGCCAGCAAGCTGCGCTGCACGCCGCCGAACCCGATACGTATCGCGAAGGATGGGTGAGCATGGCGCAGCTGCGCGACGACGTGCTGCGCAACGAATGGAGCACGTGGAACCGCAAGAAGATCTGGGAGAAGGTGCAGGCGAAGGTGGAGAAGAATGCGAATGTGCGGCCGATGGTGCGCGAAGGGAGGAGTGGGGATGTTGGCCGCGTGTGGGAGTGGGTTGGCGCCGTGGGCATGCTCGAGAGTCCTAGGGATGCTTCTGCTGTTGCGTCTCCGTATGGCGAGTCTGGTGGGCATCAGAGGCGGAAGAGTGGACGTGTGAGTTTTGGGGGCGAGAGGTGGATTGAGCCTAGTAGTTTTGCGGATACAACGGAGATGAGTGAGGTGAAGAGGAGCCGGTGGGAAGAGGGCGGGCAGTACTACTGATGGCGATGCATGATGGGGACTAAGACTGCGTAAGACGAAGACAGACGCATTGCGAACGGTAGAACATACCCACAGTATCCCATCACGGCTCTGATAGCTCGTATTCCAGTACTTCATCAACTCCAACACCGTGCAGAGTAAATAGATCCACGAAGTCATTGCCTGCAATAACTTGAGCCTCAGGCACCCCGGCCCCTCCCGCCCGAATCCCACGCTCCAACCCTCACAATATGCGACTCCCTTCTCTCCTCCTTTTTCTTCCCCCTCACACAACTAAATCCAAGCTGATGAGCCGGCTCAAATTCACAGCAGACTACATTCACCCCGCGTCCCTCTCTTTCCCTCGTCAAAGCTTCACCGCCTGGCGGGGAGATTGCGGGGGTGCGCGGCGCGTCTGGATGTTGCTGATATGCTCGGGGGCCCCTGCTCACCACCTTTTAACTGGGCATTTTGAGACCTTCTGATTGGATTTATTGTGTGGCGGTAGCGTTTGATGCTGCGTTGGGTGGGTGTCTTCTATGTGGAAGTGGAAGTGTGGGAAGGGGTTGGGCTCTGTTCATAGGTAGAGTATTACCTGTGTACGTGCAATGGCGAGAAACACTTATTGAGGGCAATTACATTTCATCTCTCGCATATTGCACTATTGTTGTACATTTCATATCATCGTCAAACTCGTCTCCCAGACATTACGTTCCTTCATACACTCTTGAGTCAGCGAGATGCGCCGGCTCCGCTCGCCGAGGCGTAACACTGCTGTCCGGCCCAGGACTCCGTCGGTCTAGTTTGAAAGGATCGCCATTCGAGGAGAAAGTCATGGTGGAATTTCTCGAAGTCCGCCCATCGTCATCCTCAGCGGTGCTGACGGCTGTTCGAGGCCGGAACGGGTTCAGGGCCTGCCCGAGATGTGCGAGGCTTTTACTCGCCGAGCCTGCTGCGCTGTGTAGGAACGCACGGTTGGGTGTTTGCGCTTTGCCACCTGGTGAGTGTTGATTGGTCTCTGACCTCTCCATTGGTGGGGTGAGAAAGGGGTCTTCAACTCGTTGTTGCTGTATTGTGCGCGCAGACTTGATAGATCGGTAGGAGCGGAAAGATCGCGTGCGGTCGCCGTCGATGGAAATGGTGGGGAGGTGCATGCTGCGTCGCCCGCCGGGAGGAGTGCTAGAATTCGCTCGGGAACGAGTGGTTCCACCCAGTAGAGCGGCGGCGATGGCGGTGCGTTGCCGCTTGAAGTATGTGTTGCTGCTCTCCAGCGAACCGCGGGGAACTGGCGTCGCGGTACCTGAGGGAACGTCTGGGTTCGTGATTTGTAGTTTGCCGAGCCCCATTGACTCTCGGAAACTTTGGTGGTGCGCAAAGGGGCGTGCCCATGCGCTTTCATTCACGCGGATGAGACTTCCGTTGAACTCGGCGAAGCTGCTTTGCCTGGATGCTGGGCGATGGGGCACGGCGACGACTGTTCGGGGACCGACGAATTGGCCCCATGTTCGAGAGACGGATCTTGTCATGCCCTTTTCGGCTCTTGTCGTGCTTTCGACGTCGGGTGCGCGACGCCTGCGGAGGAAGAGAGCGAGCAGGAAGCCAATGAGTACCAGGCCGACGAGAGTGCCGGCTAGGCCTCCAATTATTGCTCGTCTTTGCGTTGCGCTTAGATCGCTGTGTTTGCCAATCACAGACGAAACCGCCGTGGTAGCAGCTTTGGTCGTTCTTGGAGACAGAGTCGGAGTGGAGAAGTGGTGGAGTGTGGTGGAATGCGGTCGAGTCTGTCTGGGCGTATCGTTGGAGGTCCGACTCCCGAGCTGAGACTGCGAGTGAGACTGATTCGGGTTGCATTGGGAGGTCTCAGATTCGAGACAGGACATTGCCGTGGTAGGGACGGGGTTTTCGGTAATGGTAACGAATTTGGTGCGCAGTAGCGTGGTGTCGAGAGTCACTGTGGAAGAGGGTGTCGGTAGAAGCAGAGCAATGGCTGTAGTAAGGGCTCCAGATCCATCGCTGCTTATATCAAGATGTGCGCGCTCCGCAAGTAGCGCTCTCGAGTCAAAAGCAGAGGTGTGCTGTCCAGGGCCCTCGTTGTGCATCGTTATTTCAGCGATCGGCGCTCAAACGGTAGGAAAGAAAGCATCTCCCCAGGATGATCCAAGTCCACGAGAGATGGAAGGAGAGCACCGTCGAGGACAGAAACAAAATCAACAAAAGACAACCCGCGAACAAAGGCGGCACACATGGCACGTAGAGCGATAGTCGGCAGCGCAAAAGGGTATAGCAGACGGACAACACACGCCCAACGCGAACGCCCGCCGGGTCCTCAAGCAGACACGAGAAAAGAAAGGCAACGAACGATACGAGAGGGGGGAAAACGCCGGAACGGGGGGGATATATGTGACGAGATGCGCCGGATGTGCATGGGGGCGCCGGGGCAGATTAGGCATGTAAACCGTTGGCGTAGCACGTACATGAAACGCCACTGCGAAGCTCTATGGCCCCTTGTCTAGACGCCGCGGTCCCTTTTGCGTGCGTATTGGGCGTGCAGATGGCTAGAAGATCAGCGACGGCGATCATTTCATTGACGATAGGGCGAGATGGGGTTTGGAGGTGATGAGCGAAGGCTGGAGAAGTGTCGTGGTTGTCGTGTGGGTTGGATTTGGAGCTACGCGGTTGACACGTCGGTCTCGGCAGGTACGGCTTCTGTCAGCCAATCATTCCAGCCTTGTTGCAGGGAACAGGGTCTTGAGTGCCTTGATGAAGTCTCCTATTGCACGCGGCAATCTTAAGTCGGGGGTTTGCAATGAAGACGTGCATATTGGTACTATTGCCTGTAAATTCGATGAACTGCACACCGTTTTGGGTAGGGACAGGTGTAGTCCCCTGCTCATGATCGTGCTGGCTGGACAACGATACGCATGGTTTGTTTTCCATCACGTCCCACGTGGACATCAACGACGAGAGCTGTTGCTCCTCGTGGAGACGTAGTCTCTAAGTCCCTCCTCGGTACCCAAGATACCAGTTCCATCTCCAAACTCATAGATCATCCGGGTTGAACACGTCCGACACCGCCGGCTGCCCCTTCGCCGCCGCAGTATCAAACATGCGCATCCGCCTTCTCTCCGCCTCCTCCTGCGCCAGCGCCTCCCTCTCCTCCACCTCTTTCCGCCGCTGATCCGCCTCCGCCTGCTCCTCGGCAGTAAGCACAGCACCCGGATCCAGTCCGCCATCAATCATGCGCTGGATATCCCCCAGCGCACCGCGCTGAATAATAGCGTGCGAAGGCCACGGCTCAAAAGGCAGATCCCGTCTTGGGTCGACGAAGGGATCGCTCTTCTCGTCTAGTCCCGCCGCAGCCATCACATTCTCCATCTCCGTCTTTGCAGCAAGCTCTTGCGCCCCCGGCGACGGCGTAGCTAAGCCATTCGTCATGTGAGCATCCTGTCCGCCGCCCTCCCTCTTGATAGCAGGTGCAGACGGCTGTCCAGCTTTCTTCCTAAACGTCGGCGGCACCGTCGTCGGCGAGATGAATTTCGCGTACGCTAGTAGCTCGTCCACTTTGATCTCCCGCCTGTCGTCGCCTGCTTCGTCGTGCGCGGGAATGGCGAGGAGGCCGTTGCGCGCATCCGCGAGGATGGTGAGGGTTTGTCTGAGCGTTTCATCGAGCGACTCGGTCGTCTGGCGCAGCTGCTGGATGCGCGCGTAATTTCGCTGATGTGTCACGACTGTGGAATATGTGTTAGCAAGGGCGTGGATCAACGCGGCCGGGAGGGTGTACGTACGCTGTTCGAGATTCGCGTTGACTTCTTCGTCGGCCGCTACCAATTCTTCGGCTGCGCTCACGGAAGGGTTGTAGGCTGCGATGGAGTCGGTGAGGCGCTGGAGACTCTGCTCCACGCGCTGGTAGCTCTGTTGGAATTGTGATAGCATGGTTCATGTGGGGGTGAGTTGCCGAAGCACGCTCGCTTTTATTGCGGATGGGCATTGAACGGCAAGGATGGAGGGAGATGGAGAACGCCACATGCAGGGCCCGCGTTTATTATGTAATCACGTCCAGCTGAAAGCACGCAGTCACGTGGCATAGGGCTGTTTTATGGGCGCAAGTCAATCGCTCAATTGAAGCTGCTAGTCTGGGATACAATGACGTTTTTATATAATAAGTACCCAGGATCAGAAAAATGTCGACTGAATGCAATTGTGAAACGCGTTCTTCTACGTAACCGACATGAGGTACAGCGCTCGAAAGCTGCCATTCACTGAACGCCGCTCCCGGACTACGACAGGCCCATTGTATGTGGCCTTTTATTGTGAAGCAGGCACGTCCCTGGAATGCTGTACAAAGTTGTACGTCGGCCGATGAGTACGGTGGGCTCTGCAATGCGCCTCTCCGTTATGATGTGAGGGTGATGTAAGCGTGGTGTAAAGGTCGATAGCCTCTCGAGAGATGGGCGAAAGAGGCCAGAGTGCCGTCGTGAATGGATGGTTCATAAATGGTTGTTCTGCCGTGAGACCGGCGCGAGACATCGTCAAGTGGCCGTGTACCTGCGGGGGAGCGGGGTGTGACTCCGAGGCCGTTCGAGATCAACGTCGCCCAATCTTCTCCAGGCAGTTGGAGGTTCCATGCCAGGGGTCGGCGGGTGTGGACCGGGCAGAATTTCTCGCATGAGCGAGTTGACGTCTCGGCCAGCATCTTTGGCCTCCTTCCATTGTCGCGGGTAGCCGAGGCTCACTTCCTCAAAGCGCACGCCATCGATCCAGTCGGTTCTGCGAACATGTAGATGCCCGGTCACGACGACTTTGGCGTGGTACTTCTTGTGCCAGTTCTCGGTCTTCTTGGTGCCACACCACAGGGTGAAGCGGGGGACTTTGGGGATGAAGATGGTGTCTTCGCGCAGCGGCCAGTGATTGATGATGATCAACGGTAGGCCAGTATCCGCGGCACGCTGCAGTTTGGACTCGCTCTGGGACACCAGGCGATGGCACCACTCGTCTCGTGAGGCGTACGGGGTGGGATACAGCAAGCTCTCATCGCTCGCCTTGATGCCCTCCTCCATCGCCCAGTCCAAAGCAGCCTCGCGACTCACGTGATCGGGGCGGAAGCTGTAATCGTAGAGGGTGAAGACGGGACAGATGACCGCGCCAGCCTGCATGCCATCCTCGTTCTCATAGATCCAGGTCATGAAGTCGTCCTCGGGGGTCAGGATGCCGTGGCGCTTGGCCGCGGAGACGCACGCCATATACTTGGCCTCGCCGCGGAGGTGCATCTCCTCTTCGGGCGCGGTGGCGGAGGTGTATAGTTCATGGTTACCAGGCACCCAGAAGACATGTTTGAAATGGCGCTTGGCGATTTCGAATGCTTCATTGAGCGTTTTGATCGATTCGCCGACTATGCGCGTGATGGTCAGCTCCGGCACACAGAGGTTGAGAAGTGAGGGAGGGGGAGGGTGCGCACCATCGCCGGCCAGGATCAGGCCGTCATCGGCACCTTTGGCTTGCAGTTTCTCCCATTCCTCCTTGTTGCTCTTGAAGGATAAATGGATGTCGGCAATTGCCCACAGCTTATTGGACATGGATGCTGCGGTGGCGGCGGCGGATGGCTGGTCCAGCGGTCGTTACCATCAGGGAAGGTAGACGCTGACACGCACACGTCAAGTCTCCATCAAGTGGGCCCTGCACACGGGCGGAGGGGAGCTTGAATGTTTCAGATGGCGGAGATGGGGCATGGGAGTATGGATGATCGGGGGAGAAGACAGTTGCGGGCAGTGGCCAGTGAGGAGGAGTCTGCGCGTTTCAGAATTCGCAAGGCAGGCAGGCAGGGACAGAGCCGCATGACGAGCAGTCCAGATGACACCGCGCTTCTCCCCCCATTTGCGGGTCATATACTGCAGGACACATGAGTTCAGATGGATATGCCTACGTAGATCTACTCTGCCTTTCACGTGAATGGCACATGCAGCATCATGCCGTCGCTCGTCGGGTCACACATTTAGAAGGCGCGCACAGAGCATGCCGAAGCGCATCATGCCACGCCGTTGCAGCACAGCCACCCCTCGAGCCACCCCAACGCTTCCTCCTCACCACGCAGGACGAGGTTGTGACTTTTGCATTGCTCGCCGTCAACCATCCTCGTATGACAGGCAAGCTCCAGTGTACGCAGTCAGATGCATCTGTCTCATGCCATTGGAAGATCGACAAGCTCTTTTCCTCCTATACACGCTGGGTGGAGCGAAGGACATGGTTTAGATGGAACAAGAGGGGCTTAGACGGATGCCTGCCAGGAGCGCGCCCCGCCAGACCACCCCAAAAATAAGTCTCTCCACGCGGGCCGCAGCCAATCAACACCCCTGATTTGCTGGGACGGCTCAGCTTGCGTGGCGCGCTCAACCCGTCTCGTATCGACGTGCAGGGTGGGCATCCTTCTTTATACTTGCATGTGCATCCTCTGCTTTTTCTCCCCCCATTCCTCTCCACCTGGTACTCGTCCACTCTCCTTGCCCTCTCACAATCGCTTTGCTTGTCCTGGTTGCCATCACCACGCTCACTTGATCGAGAGGAAACGGTTGCTGGTCGTCAGGGTTGGAACGTTGAAACGCAACTGAAACAGCTTGGTCCCAAATTTTCTTGGTGGGAAGAGCAGTTCGACACGCCCTTTCTGGAAGGATCTACGACTCTCACGAGGGTCAGCATCAGTACTTCACGACCTCCTTCCTTTCTGCAACACCCTACAGCACACCTCGCGCATCGTCCCTTCCTCCCGTAGCCATGTGGCCCTCCGCCGCCACCCCCCTCCTACCCCTCCTCTTCCTCGCCGCTCTCCCCGCCGGCGTCCTCGCTGGAGACGTCCTCGAGACGACTGGGTTCTCGCAATGTGTTAGCGATCCCCAGGTTCAGGTCACGGCCTTTAATGTCCAATACAACAAAAACACCCGCAACCTGGTCTTCGACCTGGCCGGCACGAGCAAGGTTGCCCAAAAGGTGACGGCGGAACTGGTTGTCTCTGCATACGGCAAGCAGATCTACACAAGATCCTTCGACCCTTGCTCTCTCGGCCTGTCCGAGATCTGTCCAGGTAAGCACAGGCAACGCATATTATTACATTCACGGATGATTTCAATGCTGACACCTCGCACAGTCCCCGCCGGCACTTTCTCCACTAACGGCGAACTCCCCATTCCCTCCCAATACGCCTCCGAGATCCCCGCCATCGCCTTCTCCGTCCCAGATCTCGCTGGCAATGTCAAGATGGAGCTCAAAAACAGTGATGGACAGGCTGTGGGGTGTATCGAGTCGACCGTGGGCAATGGCAGCACCTTGCAAATGCCCGTCATCTCCTACGTCGCTGGCGGCATTGCTCTTGCCGCCTTGGTCTTTTCCGGAATCGCATCCATCGCGGCTGGCGGCCATCCTGGCGCCTCTACTGCTTCTCCCACATTTGGCGAGGTGGTGGGCCACTTCCAGGGTGTGGCGATGACCGGCATGTTGAGCGTCAACTATCCCCAGGTCTACCGAAGCTTCACCACCAACTTTGCCTTCTCCACCGGCCTCATCTCGTGGGGCGGTCTGCAGAACAGCATCGACAGCTTCCGCAAGCATACCGGTGGCAATCTGACCGATGACAACTACCCATATCTCAAGAACCAGGCGACGCTCGTCTACAACGACGGTACCACCAACACCTCGTCTTCGAGCTCATCTAGCTTTCTGCGACGTGGTCTCGACTCGGCTCTACACCTTGCCGCCCGTCAAAGCGTCCATGTCAATGACAATGGCACCTCAACGTCCATAGGCTCAGGTTCCAGCAGCTCGTCCTCTAGCAGTGGCACCACTAAGCAGTCGCATCTCGTTTCTGGCATCGAAGGGTACGCGGAAGCACTGTCTATTCCTCAGGCGAATACTTTCATGACCATCCTCTTGGTGTGGGCCATCATTGTCGCCGCCATCATCGTTGGAATCTTGCTTTTCAAGGTCATCCTGGAAGCCTGGGGTTTGTGCGGCAAACTTCCCAAGTCTCTCGAATCCTGGCGCAAACGGTACTGGTGGCGCATGGCCAAGGCCATTGTCAACCTCATTCTCATCCTCTACGGTGCCTGGACGCTCTGGAGTATCTATCAGTTCACGGCGGGCGATTCGTGGGCCGCTCAAGTACTTGCCGGAGTCACTTGGGGTGTCTTCACCCTCACCCTCGCATTCTTCACCTGGAGAATCTGGCGCAAGGCCCAGTATTTCAAGAAGCTGGAAGGCGACACGAGCGGCTTGTACGAGGACAAGGAGACTTGGGTCAAGTACAGCCTGTTCTACGACAACTTCCAGAAGAAGTACTGGCTGTTCTTCGTCCCGGTCATCGTCTACATGTTCGCGCGAGGCTGCGTCATTGCCGGCGCGAACGGCCACGGCACGGTGCAAGTGGGCGGCCAGCTGATCGTCGAAGCGGTGTTCCTGATTCTCCTGCTCTGGACCCGACCATATCAACGCAAGAGCGGCAAATGGATCAACATTGTCATCCATGTGGTCCGTGTGGTCTCCGTCGCCTGCATCTTGGTGTTTGTGGAGGAGCTCGGCATTGCCCAGACCACCCAGACCATCGTCGGTGTCATCTTGATTGTCGTGCAGGCTGTGCTGACGGTCGTGCTTGCCATCTTGATCGCGGTCAATGCACTGATCACCTGCATCAAGGAGAACCCGCACAGGAGAGCACGCAAGGAGGCGGAGAAGGCGAACATGAACCGCGATTTCGACAACCTCACCCCTCTGGACCCACGCAATTCCATGCTCATGGAGCCGATGGCGCAGCACGACACATCGTACAAGCCCGGCTTTGAGACTTCATACAAGCCCTCCTTCGTCCCCAGCCCGGTGTTCGGTGACGGAAAAGGACGCTACGACCCCGTGCCAGCGCGCGAGGGCACGCCGGCTTCTTCGGTCCGCAAGTCGCGCTTTGATGAGCACGCCAACCTAGTCTCCGGCGCCGCAAGCATGGGCATGCGAGACCGCAGCACGAGTCAGCGGGGGATGAGCCCGCCCCGCCAGCAACCTCGTCTACCAGACGTTGATTTTGGCTATGTCGATCGGAGATAATGATCACGTGTTTGGAATGTTTTGGTGTACAGTGATTTGACAGCATCAGCGAGGGAACGGTGGGTGGGGATTAAAAATCTGTTACGATATCAACACAATGTGTGGCTCACGCCTATGCGCATGGTGCTGCAACGAGTTTAGAATTATGTACGACGGCATAACGATTTGATAGAAGACTGTCCTTTTCCAATGTCCCAATGTAAACGAGATGAGAAGCACGTGGGCGAAGTTAATGCCGCGACAAGCCAGCAACCCTTACGATCCTAACCCTAAGGCCACTCAAGGTTTGGGGATGACACCATTGCCGAAAGCGTCGAGGGTGGGAAAGAAATCTTACGTCGGGTCCCGCAGCCCACCTCTCCAAACTCTCGTTGAATCAACACCTCTCCTCGTCTCCGACTACATCTCCCGCATTGACTTTGCTATAGATCTCGAGTCGACGGTCTCATAAAACGGTCACTTTCTACACTCCTCCCTCTACCAACCCCACAATCACAATGGTTGCAACAAACGGTGTTGCCGGCCCGAAGGGCACTTTCCTGTACGCTGATGACGGCAGCTGAGCTCGCACGCACAGCATGACAGGACCACCATGCTAACTCCCGTCGTACAGTTTCACCTCCGAATCCGTCGGCGAGGGCCATCCCGACAAGATTGCCGACCAGGTGTCGGACGCCATCCTCGATGCCTGCCTCAAGGACGACCCGCTGTCGAAGGTCGCCTGCGAGACGGCCACCAAGACCGGCATGATCATGGTGTTTGGCGAGATCACGACCAAGTCGCGCATCGACTACCAAAAGGTCATCCGCAACGCCATCAAAGACATCGGGTACGACGACTCGAGCAAGGGCTTCGACTACAAGACTTGCAACGTGCTCGTCGCCATTGAAGAGCAGAGTGCCGATATCGCTCAGGGCTTGCATTACGAGGAGGCGCTCGAGAAGCTGGGCGCCGGTGATCAGGGTATCATGTTTGGCTATGCCACTGATGAGACCCCTGAATACCTGCCCTTGACCATCCTCCTCGCCCACAAGCTCAACTCGGCAATGAAGGCCGCTCGCAATGACGGCTCTCTCCCGTGGCTTCGACCTGACACCAAGACGCAAGTCACGGTCGAGTACGAGCATGACGGCGGTGCTGTCGTTCCCAGGAGAGTCGACACTGTGGTTGTGAGCGCACAGCACAGCCCCGACATCACCACCGAGCAGCTCCGTAAGGAGATCAAGGAGAAGATCATCAAGAAGGTCATCCCCGCCAAGTACCTCGATGACAAGACTGTCTACCACGTATGTCTCCAAGCAAACTTTCCCCTTAGGGCGTGCTCTCGTTGCTAATATATTCACAGATCCAACCGTCTGGGCTGTTCATCATCGGTGGACCTCAAGGTGACGCCGGTCTCACTGGCCGCAAGATCATCGTCGACACCTACGGCGGCTGGGGCGCCCACGGTGGAGGTGCCTTCTCCGGCAAGGACTACAGCAAAGTCGACCGCTCCGCCGCCTACCTCGCCCGCTGGATCGCGAAATCCCTCGTCCACGCCGGCCTCGCTCGCCGCGCTCTCGTCCAGCTGTCCTACGCCATCGGTGTCGCGGAGCCGCTCTCCCTCTTCGTCGAAACGTACGGCACGTCGTCCAAGACCTCCGACGAGCTCGTCGCAATCATCCGCAAGAACTTCGACATGCGGCCGGGTGTCATCGTCAAGGAGCTCGACCTCATCAGGCCCATCTACAACCAGACGGCGAAGAACGGGCATTTCACCAACCAGGACTTCAACTGGGAGAAGCCGAAGAAGCTCACCGTCTAATCGGTTGCTCTGCATTCCTCCGGGCCCGCTCTGTTCACCCAAAGCTTAACGCGGCCTCTGTGAGGCCTGCATAGGTCGGCGCTTCATCGCTGCCGACCCCCGGAGTTTTCTCTTCGCCTTTGTGCTTTTGCGTTGTGTTTTGATGTTGGAAAAGAATCGGCTTCATGCCGAAAAGAAATACCCTGATACCTGACAAAAAGTTTCTCGCATGGAGCCTTGCGGGGCCAGTGGAAGGAGGGAGAAGATCCAAGGGTGTGAATTAAAAAAGATGGAAAACATTATTCAACATACGCCTTTGGGTACACAAAGGCTAGGGTGGCCACGAGACGAGCGACAACAACAAATGACTATATACTCCAACATTAGCGGTGGCGTTCCGGAGAGGCTTCAACATTCTCTCTGCTGAGCGCGGCGGGATAGTGCAGATAATTCTGAGCTCCTCGCGCCTTCTTTGCTCGAGGCGGTGAATGGCAGGCACTTGAGGGTTTTCTTTTTTTTTTCTTCCTTGATCATGTGCCGTCTCTCTTTCAAGGAACTTTGTGTGTATCGGTGCCCCTCGATAGAGACGCTGATGCTATGCTGTCTACAGATCTCGATGACTGGCCGACATGGAAGGGTGATCGGTAGGCTCTCGGGGATATCTAATCACGTGCTGGCCGCTGACGAGGCTTCTCTGTGTACACCTCATCTTCTGGTACAATCGGATACCCCCTGCCGAAGACTACGCCGCCCTCCCCATCTTCAGATCTCGATGACAGATGCCCGACATGGAATGCGATCATCGCGGGAGCCCTTGACAAAAAACCAACAGCCAGGTCAAAATTCCGAAGAGCCCACGCCCAATTTACCCGGCCTCGCTGGCTAAATGGAAGCAGCGGGTGTGGGCATATGAGCGCGATCGGCGTTGCGAATCGCCGGATTCGGCATCAGCCGGTGCCAGCCTTCCCCACGCACTGCACGCAGCACACGCAGTCCGCGTGCCGGGTGATTGTCGTTCGTGTGCAGTACGTCATGGTTGGAGACGGTGATGATCGATATGCGTGCCGTGAACCATTGTGTGGATTGCGGTATTTGAGGACGCTGGAGAACGGGGTCGCGGGTGGGTTTGATTTCCTCTTTTTCGTTCTTTTGCTTCTGGTCTTTTGTGTGATTGCTCCTGCTGTCGTGTGGGTTGATGAGAATTGGTGGTCCTGCCCGACGAGGACCAACAGACAGCAATCATGGCGCGGCTACCGACTTTTCCTAAGATTTACAACACCTACTTTTTGGCTTGTATTTCTACTATTGGGTATGGTTCTCCCCTCGACAGAGAGATCGCGGAGGATGATGTGCTGACGTTGGAATTGCACAGTGGCATGCTGTTTGGTTTCGACATCTCCTCAATCTCTGCTATCATCGTTACCAAACAGTACATCGACTACTTCGATAATCCGTCGGGTATTTGGCAAGGGGTTTGTCGACCGCATGTCCTGTTTTGTTTGTGTACATACTGACAAGACGTGTCCAGGGTATTGGAGCTGCTTTGGCGGGAGGATCGATTGTTGGTGCTTTATGCGCTGGATGGATCTCTGATCGAATCGGACGACGAGATTCGATTGCTTTTGGTATGCATGTCCCAAACTGAGCACAAAACTTATTGCTTACTCCCATCCAGCCTGTTTATGGTGGCTAGCCGGCACAGCAGTCCAAGTCTCAACGCACAGCCGCGTCCAACTGATCGTCGGCCGCTGCCTCAACGGCGTCTGCGTCGGCATCACCTCCTCCCAAGTCCCCGTCTACCTCGCCGAGATTGCAAAAAAGGACAAGAGAGGGAGCATCATCGTCATCCAACAGCTGGCCATCGAGTTCGGCATTCTGATCATGTACTTCATCGGCTACGGCTGCAAGTTCATCCCGGGCCCGACGGCCTCCTTCCGTACTGCCTGGGGAATCCAGTTCGTGCCTTGCGTTATTCTGCTTTGCGGTCTTCCGTTTCTTCCTCGATCCCCGCGTTGGCTGGCGAAGGTTGGCCGGACTGAGGAGGCGGTTACCATTTTGGCTAGGATTCAGGCCAAGGGCGACGTGGAGGACCCCCTGGTTGTTGCGGAGTGGGAGGAAATCACTACTGTCCTTGCTGCGGAGCGCCAGGGTGTCCAGGGCTGGAGGCGCTACGTTGTCGATGGCATGTGGAGGAGGACTTTTGCTGGCTTCTCTGTCCAAGCGTGGCAGCAGCTGTCTGGGTATGTCCACACCGATACGTCCTACGATGCTACAAGTACTGACAGCACTGCAGAGCCAATGTTATGACGTACTATTTGACTTGTGAGTGTCGCAGACAGGGCTTTATTATAATGGAGTGAGCTGATATACAACGCAACAGATGTCTTCGAAATGGCCGGCCTTTCTGGAAACATCGACCTGATCTCTTCTGGCATCCAATACGCGCTCTTCATCGTCTTCACATCTGCGACGTACTTGTTCATTGACAGTGAGGACCCAGAGCCCCATGTGGGATGCACATTGTTGCTAATCAAGCGACAGAAACCGGAAGACGTCCACTCCTGATCTACGGTGCTCTCGGAATGGGAGTCTGCCATTACGTTATCGGAGCATTGTAAGTCGGGCTTAAACACCTAAGAAGTATTGACCTCCGTACTGACACAACTGGCACATAGACTGGGAGGCTACGGCACCCCACAGCCCAACGGCTTCGACGGCAACGCCAACGTCACCATTCGCGTGACCGGCTCTCCCTCTTACGCAGTCATCGCCTTCTGCTACCTGCTCATCATCGTCTACTCCCTCACCCTCGCCCCAGTCTGCTGGGTCTACGCGGCGGAAATCTGGTCGCTCGAGACGCGAGGCACGGGCATGGGCATCGCCGCCACTGGCAACTGGATGTTCAACTTCGCCATCGGCCTGTTCATCCCGCCGGCTTTCAAGAGCATCAGCTGGAAGACTTTTATTGTTTTTGGGAGTCTGTGCATGGGCGCTGTCGTGCAGTTCTATTTTACTTATCCGGAGACTGGAGGCAAGTCGCTGGAGGAGGTCGAGGTGTTGTTTAGGAAGGGTGGGCCGAAGCCGTGGAAGACGAGGGTTGGGCAGTCGACGTTGGAGGAGAGGACTGCGAGCGTGGTTGCTGAGCGGAGGCAGGCGTCGATCCCGCAGGAGGAGAAGGGGGATGTGGTGCGGGCGGAGGGGTCTATCAGCTCTGAGGAGAAGAAGGAAAGCGAGTGACATATCAACAGGATATCAGGGGTATATTGTATTAACAAAGTGTTAATGTCATCATAGGAGGTCTAGTATCTGTAGCATAGAGGAGCGTACTTGATGGGCGATTACGTATCACGTGACGCTACCCCAACGTCATTACCTGTTTGGTCGGAGCCGGATTGCCTGCCACCTGCATGCACCGCAGTTGATGGTACACCAGCTCTTCCTCTGGCTGCACATACCAATACATCAAGGGTCATACGGCATGAGCAGCAAACCCATTGTGGCACCAATCGGAAAGGCCCAAAGGCACGACTGCATCACACGAGTTCATGCGCTCGTGCCTATTTAGCTCCCCGCCTCCACCTCGCTGCTTCCTTGATTCTCTCCAGCTCTCGCCAGCTTCACTGAAATATATCGAGCAGTACGCGGTGGTATTAGCAACTGCGGTCGCGTTCGCGATACCGTCGGCAATGCAGAAGTCGAAGTGAATGTTGAAAGAGGCTGCCACTGCTGCCGCCATACCCATACCTCACTGACAGTTCCGAACGGCCCCCTCGGCGTTCACTTCCATCAAACAACCTCTTCAAGATGCCGAACTACGGCTACGATGAAAACGGCTTCATCACGCCAATTTTCGGTCCCGGCGTCACCACGACCAGACAAGGCAGATTTGGCGGGGCGCATTTCACAATCACTTCGACCAGTTTCGGAACGACTGCCGGGGCTTTCAACGCATTCACTTCCACCGCTCACACAAGCTCGCGCAATGTCTTTGCTGCCTCGCCCCCTCCGCGTCGGAGGCAGGGTCCCGGCTTGCTAGGCGCTGCGTTCGGTGTCATGGGTGACCTTTTGGCTGCACGGCAACAAGCTCGAGAGAATCTCCGTGAACCTTCAACGAGAGACGAGAGGCCGGATTCTCGTCGCACTGGATCTCATGATTCGACCTGGTCAAGTCCGCCACCGTCTCGTGGAGGACCTGCCCGTCGCTCCAGCCGATATAATCGAGGGGAGTCGGATGAATACTTTCCTGATTCCGATGAAAGCTATGACCGTCGGTCCAGGCGAGGATCTACTCGTGAGAATGATACAGTGTACGAGGATCTAGCTGATTTAGCGGATCATCACCGTCAGGCAATCAAAAGGTGCAACAGACGTCTGGACAGAGCCACGAGGCAGCCAGACGTCGATGCTGCAAAAGTCGAGCGCCTTCTCGATGAGCTCGAAACTCACGAGGAGTCGTATGCTCAAGTGAAGAAGGACATGGAGAAGGCATCGCGAGGCCAGGGGAGCTCTTCACGACAGACGCCCCCGCGATCGACACGACCCTCGCAGAGACAAGAGCAGACTTTCGATGAAATGTTCGCTGGTGACCCCTTTCACGGCATCTTTGGCACTTGGAGTCGCATGGGAGGCCCAGCTCGTCCGCCACCCTCCGCGAACACCCGCCAGCCCAACGCCTCGTCCGGCTCCCACCCGTCCTTTGCATTCAACTGGGGAATAGATTCAGATTTCGACGACTTATACAACGCCATGCAAGACGAGCACTTCGATCCTCGCTCGCACTTTACCTTCTCCCCGATGCCAGACGAAACTCCTAAATCCGCCCCTCGGTTCCAGCCTGCACATCCTCCCCAGGCGTTCAACCCACAGCCTCCCAAGAACATGCTAAAAGCCGAAGAAGCGCGCAAATTGTTCGCAGAGTATGACAGACGCTGGAACGTTTTGGCCCCAGCAGACCCGAACATCCCTTTTCCGTGCCGCGGACTCCACCGTCATGGCCTGGCCGCTAGAGACACAATCTGGGCTCCCACGGTCACCTCGCCTGTCTCCGCCTGGTCTGAATCTCAAGTCCATCAAGCCAACGCGCAAGCCTTCTTCATCGGTGCCGTAGGCTTACAGCCGACTTACAGGGAAGCTCCAGGATCTGGCAAGCTAGTGACGGGATTCGACAGAACGCGAGCGACACTCGAGCAAGTCAGAGCGCTCGTTGAGATCCTCAAGAAAGAAAAGGGGAGATGGCATTCGGATCGATTGGGGAGGAGGAATGGTGGTGGGGTGGGCGCGGCGGTGAATGAGGGGCTGCAGCGCGATGAGAGGGCTCGCGCGGTGTTTCATGCTGTTTGTGAGTTGGCGGAGACTGCGCAGGCGCGATAGATGGGTGGCTTTATGAGATGATGAGACCTATGAAGCATGACGCATGTCGCATGTGTGACGGTATGACAGTTGTTGTAAGCTTTGTGCTCCCCTCTGTCAAGGTCTCTTTCAGACTCACGTGCTTTCACAGTGAATGTTCCCCACCACACGTGATTCTGACGCATTGAGATTAGCTTTTGATCGTGGTGAAGACGCGTTTGTCTCGTGAGGTGGAAGCGTGGTCGCACTGCATGACATGACTTGAAGCATTTGCTTTTTTGCAAACTTCCACCGCGCACATCGTTTTCGAGCCCTACTCACCCCATCGCAACGCAACGCATCACGAAGGATCTGCCAAAGGGCCATGGAGAACAAGCGAACGCGAGACGCAGCAACTTCTTCCCCTGGACAGCATCACATCGGACATTGCGACTCGCACCGCGACAGACGCATCAAAATGAACGAATTCGGGGAAGGAAACCTTCTCACCCCGCAGGGTTCTATCCAAGACCTATTCTCAGGACACAAGAGTCCTAGTCTTTCCACTACGGAAGATGCGACTCTGGCTGACGAAGACACGAATCATGCAACAGCACAAGAAGCCGCTGCCACCGCGACAGCTGCAGCCGCGCAAGATTCTAGTAGCTGTCTCGCACAGCTCAAAGACATCCTCCTAGCCATGCCCCAGGCCATCGGAGGAACGCAGCACTTCGCCAGCAAATTCATCCGGGATCTCGTGCACCGCGTCATTGCGCAGTTTCAATTCTGGAACCAACAGCGAGACGGACTGGACGAGGAAATCGACACGTTGCGCGCGCAAACCGCTCTTGCGCAATTGCATTCTCTCCCACGAGCCATCGAGCTGTTGAGCGAGAGGCTCGTGCATGCTTTGCGAAGGTCTTTAGCGAGACCTTTAAAATTGAATAGCAAGAGGGAGATGGGGGACGAGTGGCTGCTGCAAGGGTCCGAAAGCTTCCATAGTTCCTTCACGGAGATGGTAGCAGGTTTTGCGGCGATACAGAGGCTCTGTGACCGAGTCTATCAGGGCGGCAATAGACGCCTTCCATCTTTATATTCATTTCAATTCAATGAGGTATGTACATACATCGGTGCAGCGTAGCTCGTACTGACTAGTCCGTAGCATCCAAACGTGGCGGGGGCGTATAGATCTTCCGAGTCGCCAGCATATACCACGCTGCGACAATCAAAAAGATGCCGACGATGACTACAGAGACGTAGTTCATAGTGTTGGGCTCCACCGGCAGATACGGAGGGAAGGAGTAGAAGATGGTGGTGAAGATGGTCCAGCCGATCGTCACGAAATTCGCAATCGGTCCGAACCTCTTGAACCAGAAGGGCCCGTGTCGGAACGTGCTGCGCCCCTTCAACAGCAGCAGGATGATGCAGGTGGAGTAGGTCATGTATTGCATCATGATTGCTCCGCCGACGAAGGAGTTGAATGCCACTGTCGATCCGAGGTAGAGGCAGCCTAGCACGCCCACCCAGAAACAGGACCAAGCGTGCGCGGCGAGAGGGACGCCGAAGGGTGGTCCGGCGATGTGGCCGATGTACTTTGAGAAGGGGAGGCCGTGATCGCGTGCAAAGGACCATGCGAGGCGAGACTGCCAGGCGTGACAGCCCCAGAGGGATCCGCAGGTCGAAACAAGCACCAAACACTGGAGACCAATTGCGCCGGAGTTGCTACCCATCGCTTGGCGGAAGAACTCCAGCGACGCCACTAACGTCGGAGTGCTGATGATGGCGTCAATGTCCTGGATGCAGAAGAGGATGGCGAGCGTGATGGGGAAAGCGGTGCTCATGCCCACGATGACTGTGCCAAGAAGTGCCTTCGGAACGTTCTTTCGTGGATTCGGAATCTCCTCTGCCAAGTGGGTGACTGCGTCGAGGCACGAAAAGCCCCAGTTGACACCAACAGCCCCGGTGAAGACGGTGATGGCCGGGCTGCTCCAGCCAGACTTGTTGACGAACGTGGCAAAGACAAATTCGGCTCCTCGATAGTCGGGGCTGGATGCGAGGACGGAGACGAAGATGATGATGATCGCACAGAGCGACATGGTTAGGACGCACTGGCTGGCCACGGGCAGGATGCGGCTGAAGCAGTTGAAGCCGAAGACGAAGAGGTTGGTGACCTGGAAGCCGATCCACACCATCCATGGCTTGACGACGAGGTTTGGATTTGTCAGGACCATCATTCCTGCGGCCATTTGGGGGATCACCAAGGTGACGGACGCGCAGATGAACACCGATGCCACCCAACTGACCATGCCGACGACGTAGGACACGGTGGCATGAATCTTCTTGGGCGCCAGTTGGCTAGCCCAGTAATATTGACCGCCGGCATTGGGCATTGCCGATGCCAGCTCGCCGAGACTGACTGCAACACAGAACGACATGGCATAGATGAAGATCTGGGCCCAGATGTATGTGATGGGCCCTCCGTTGCCGATGCCCGTCGCCAGAGATGCAATCACGGCGATGGCGGAGTTGCAAATGGTGAAGCCGATGGCGAAGATGTTGAGGATGTTGAAGGGTCGGTCTTGGAGCTCTACGGTGTAGCCCATGCCTTGGATGTCGAGATCATCGCCGCCCAAGTGTGGCTTGGCCAGGTCCTCGTCCATGATGCTGGGAGTCTTGTTGATGCTTTCGGTCTGCGACAGAGACAAGTGTTCGACGTTGCCCTTTGACATATTGGAGGACATGAGGGGGTTTTAAGTGGGGAAAGTTCGAGCCCACGTGGCCGTGAAGAAGACAGATGATATGTGGTGAGGAGTGAAGGTCGGCACGAGGCTTGCATTTGTACCCCAGACGGGGTAAGTCGGGGCATGCTCCTTCGTGGTCCAGAACTGGAGTCAAGAGATAACCAACTCGCCACAGGACGAAGCCGCACATCCGACCCTTGGCAATGGCACTGGAGATTCACGCAGACCGTGCCGTGACGTCGGCCTGGCTGTCCGGAATAGGTAATAGAAGGCGCGCGCTAGTCTCAACATGGAAGGTACGCTAGCCTAGAGTCGAGATGGAAGCCGAGAGCCACGAGGCTGCTCGGACGGCTTCCGCACTCTTGAGATACGCTCGCGTGGCGATCAGCATGATCGCAACTACATCGGGAAACTGGGAATGTCAATCAAGTTAGACAGGATGAGACGAAAGCAGTAGTTGGAGTCGACTGCTGTCGTGTCTATCACTCCTGACAGTGAGCATTCTTCTACCCTTGACCTTCTCTCAAATTGACTTGGTTCGAATGACCGGTCTCCTCTGATGAGATGCCAGGAAACAAGAGAGCAGCTGATCCTGGCCTGCCAGGCGCGACACCCACAGAGGCATACTGGCAATGCCCCCCTCACTCAATCGCGTCTCACCGATCGTGCACACTCCCTTCCGAAGCCTCAGTAGCCATCATTGGCTCTGGGATGACGGCCGCCAGCATCGCACATCACCTGCTACAGATATCCCCAAATCTCGACGTCGTCATGCTGGAAGCAAGAACAGTCACATCCGGGGCGACTGGCCGCAACGGAGGGCACTGCAAAGACGTATCCTACAAGACGTACAGCAAGTTAAAAGCGCAGCTTGGCAAAGAGGCGGCGAAGCGGTTGGTGAATTTTAGGCGCAGCCATATTGATGCCACGCGGCAGCTGGCGCGTCAGCTGCACGAGGAGGGCTTTGGTGATGGACACTTCCGGACCGTGGACAGTATAACGGGGGTGTTTGATCGCGAGATCTTTCGAGATCTTTCGTACAACTTGCACGCATTTTTGGAGGATTTCCAGGAGGAGCGCGACCGGTATTTGATTCTAGATGGAGAGGAGGCGCAGAGAGTTCGTCTCGATCTCTCATACCACTGCATTCACACTGACAGAGATGCAGAAGTACGGGCTTGTCGGAGCGTGCGGCGCCATAAGCTCGCCCGCAGCAGCACTATGGCCGTATCGTCTTGTCACGAGTGTGCTCCAGCGCCTGCTCTCCAGACATCAGTCTTTCTCGCTGGAAGCTCTGACTCCCGTGCTATCCCTCAGTGCGAGTAAGGACTCGCGACATCCCTACGTGGTCCATACGCCACGAGGAACGATCCGCGCCCAGCATGTCGTCCATTGTACCAACGGCTACGCATCACACCTGCTGCCGAGCCTGCGGGATAAGATTGTGCCTGTCAGAGGGCAGATGACGGCTTTCGTTCCTTCCGATGAATTCCCACGGCGCGGCGATATCCACAGTTGGTCGTTGTGTTGGCCGAACGGAGGGTTTGACTACATGACTCAAGCCAATGATGCGGAAGGACTGGTATTTCTGGGTGGTGGGGTGGAACAGGGATCGAGTGCAGGGTCAGTAGACTACGACTTGGTCGACGATGGCAGCCTGAACACTCCCGCTTTGCAACATCTATGCTCTGTGTTGCCAAAACACTTTGAGGCGGGAGATGGGGCGAAGCTCAAGAAAGCCTGGACGGGAATTATGGGGTTTACCCCGGACGGGTTTCCTCTTGTTGGAAGAATTCCTCAAGAGCTAAGTCCTAGGAAGGTGGTCCACGGCGCCGCCGGGCAGGAATGGATCGCTGCAGGTTTCAATGGTTATGGCATGGTCCACTGCTGGCAGTCTGGAAGAGCAATTGCAGACATGGTCACCGGAAAGCCAAAGGAAACGATCGATGCCTACTTTCCGTCCGAGCATTTCGCCTGTTCAAAAGAAAGGTTGGAACGAATGGACTCGGAGGCGTTAAGAGCAGAGTTCTACAAGAACGCACCGACAACTTTGAAGAGTCGTATCTGAGGATCATACACCATATAGATTCACCATCAATTCTTAACACCGTTAGCCCCGTTGACACCAGACCACGCAGAATGGTCATCAAACGCCTCGGCCTCAATCTCAACATGCATGCCCTCGCCCAGCTTCGCAACACCTACAGCCACCCAAACTGGTCTGTGATTCGGCATGAACTCTTTGAACATCTCCACCATGCACTCGAAGGAAGCGTCTAGATCGATATGATATGACCGCACGGAGACCACTTGGCTCCACCCCTGGCCGCCGGCATCTTTCAATGCCTTCTCGACGTTCTTGCACGCCTGCACCAGCTGCTCTCGCATGGGCTCCACGAGCTCGCCCTTGTCTGTGAAGCCTCCTTGTCCTGCTGTCCTGATGGTCGAGCCCATGCGTACGGATTGCGAATAGTTGAAGACGTTGGAGTTCGTCTCGCCGAGGCCCGGGTAGACGTGGAATGATAATGCCATGGTGAGTTGTGGGGATTGTAATGTCGTTCGACTATGAATATGTGGATCTGGACGGGGATGGGCTGGGTTGAGAGGTTGATAGGGAGGGAAGTGTTCTGAGTCTGACGGCGACGATTCCGCTGGGGATGGAAAATACTCATTGCCATTCCGCACTGAACAACGGGACCTATATACACATAGTTGTAGTATGTAGCTCGCCAATGGATGCTTTGCGCGCAGCCGTGGAGTGAATGTTCACCGCGGCTTCTCTTGCCAAATCCAGACTAGCTCGCAGCCAGTCCGCCGGACGGCTGCAGCTTGGGCCCCACCCTCGTCATTCTTGCTCCTGCGGGGATGATCTGGGGATAACGATGACCATATCTTCACACACCAGCACCTTCTCCGCAACACCGGCTCCCGCTCCCCTTTCAGATGCACAATGCCGCAATACCGCCTATCGAGCGTATCGGATGGTTTCAAAATCCTGGTGCTAGCTCGGGTGCATGCTCCACACGTGGAAAGTAAGAACTAAGTTCCAGACCCATCATTCCCCCTCTAGCAGCATCAATGCCGATCCAAAGAATTCGGATGGCCATGTGTAGGAGCTAGAGCGGTTCTCTTGCATGTGATGACGATTAAAAGTATATAATCATTGTTTACATATTGACCCCTCGTGTCGCCCCTCGTTGGAAATACCACACTCTTTCTTCCTCTACACCATTCCTCCGCTTGCCAACAACATGTCTCCTGCCACCACCAAGATCACGCTCCCGAATGGCACGTCGTACGAGCAGCCGACCGGCCTGTTCATCAACAATGAGTTCGTTTCTGGCTCCTCGAAGAACAAGATCGAGGTCACAGACCCGAAGTAAGTTGCGCAAACTCGCCTTCCCTCAGCTCGACCTATGTATGAACATGTTATTAGCACGGGCAAGAGCATCATCGAAGTCGAGGCAGCTTCGGTGGAAGATGTCGACCGAGCTGTCGCAGCAGCCAGGGCCGCCTTTGAGGGAGACTGGAGCTCGGTGCCTGCGATCCAACGAGGAGCGCTGTTGTACAAACTCGCGGATCTCGTGGCTCGCGACCGAGAGCTGTTGGCCGCCATCGACGCATTCGACAACGGAAAGGTAAGTCGCTCCTTCTCACTGCTCATCGACCGTGCGCGCTGACGGTACATCGCTCTACAGCCGTACGGCGATGCGCTGGCCGTCGATCTCGATGAAGCGATCAATGTCTTCCGATACTACGCCGGTTGGGCGGACAAAATCTTTGGCAAGACAATCGAGACTTCGCCCGAAAAGCTGGCATATATTCTGCAAGAGCCTCTCGGAGTGTGCGCTCAAATCATCCCATGGTATATACATGCCCCCCAATTCCCCATGTTCTCGAAAAGCTAAAAGGCGCAAAGGAACTTCCCCATGATGATTCTGGCCTGGAAAGTCGCCCCAGCGATCGCGTGTGGCAACTCAGTCATCGTCAAACCAGCCGAGCAAACCCCATTATCCGCCCTCTACTTCGGCAAGCTTGTGCAAGAGGCTGAGGCCCCCGCCGGTCTTATTAACATCCTTCCCGGCCATGGCGGAGAAGCTGGTGCTGCCTTGGCCGGCCATCTCGACGTCGACAAAGTCTCGTTTACGGGAAGCACCGCTACCGGACGGAATATCATGCGAGCTGCGTCGAGCAATCTGAAGAATGTCACCTTGGAGTGTGGAGGCAAGAGCCCGCTGATAGTGTTTGCTGATGCGAATCTGGAGCAGGCGGTGAAGTGGTCGCATGTGGGCGGCCTGTTCAACCAGGGCGAGGTGAGTCTCAAGCTTCCGATGAGCTGGGGCTTCCCAGTGGCTAAGAATAACACCGCAGGTATGCACATCGACTTCCCGCATCTACGTCGAGGACTCCATCTACGACAAGTTCGTGGAGTTGTTTGTCAAGGAAGTCAAGGCGGCATCGAAAGTCGGGGCGCCGTTCGATGATGGAACCTTCCAAGGCCCTCAGGTATCTCGCGCGCAGTTCGACAAGGTCATGAAGTACATCGACATCGGGAAACAGGAGGGAGCCAAGGTAGAGATGGGCGGATCCAAAGTCGAGGGCGATGGATACTTCATTCAGCCCACAATCTTCACCAACGTGAGTTCTCTTATGGTACTTGATACCGAGTCATGGTCAGGAGACCGACTGACCCCTCGCGCAGGTCGAAGAAGGCATGAAAATCATGACCGAGGAAATCTTCGGCCCCGTTGTGGCCATCGGCCGCTTCACCGATGAGAAAGATGCTATCCGCAAAGCCAACAACTCCTCCTACGGCCTCGCGGCAGCCGTATTCACCGAGAACATGCGGAAGGGACACAAGGTCGCGGCGAAACTCGCGGCGGGTATGGTGTGGATCAACTCCTCCGGGGACTCGCATTTCGGGATCCCATTCGGCGGATACAAATCCTCGGGCATCGGCAAGGACTTGGGTCCGTACGCACTGGATTCCTACACCCAGGCCAAAGCAGTGCATGTCAATCTCGGCGTAGATCTTTGAGGGAGGCAAGGCAGGGATTCGTTCATAAAGATATGTTAGTAAAACAGGCGTGTCCATGATTCATATTTAGCCAAACAGAGTCTCGCAGTGCAGTTCGGCCATGACGTCCATCCAGAAGAAGTCTTGGGTCCCAGCATCAGCACGCTTCCATACTTCCTTTACGACGGTGAGGATGTTGTCGATGGCACGGAAACGCATGAGAGCTTGCATGATCTCCAGTCGGGCGATCATGAACTGACGGGCCTGACGAACGCGGAAAGCAGCTTCGTTGCTCGTCAAATGTCGCCCCGACTGCGCGTCTTCTGACGACGTCGTTCGAGGAGTCGGCCTGTCTTTCGCAACGCTAGCCTTCTCCGAGGGTAGGGTGAGAGCCGAGGCCACGGACAGCAATAGTGGCGGGTGCACAACTCTCGTGCCCGATTGCACCCCAATCATCTCGAGACACTCAACGATCCGGATTCCGATATCTCGCACCCATGCATCGAGAGGGTCACCCGCTGCTCTTTCGCCCCATAGCCAAGACTTGGATACCGTATGCGCCGAGTCGGTGGTTTCTGGCGTGGCATCAGATGTCGGTTCTGCCAGCCCGGAATCTAAGCATGATCGGACTTGGTTCTCAAGGACATCTGGGAATGCCATGTATATATGAAGCAGTGCAGCCAGCAGATATGCTTTGCTGGTGAGCACGTGATGAACTGGTGGTGTGTTGAGGTCTCCCGTATCTTCTACGTCGGTCACCGGGGGGATCGAGATGGACCAGCACTCCACCTCGAGGCTTTCGGCAGTCGTGATTGCCTTGGATAGATTGTTGATCGCAGCCCTCGAGACTGTGGAAGTTGTCGATTTGTTGAACCCGCCGCGCGCTCTCCGGACGAGCCGCAGAACACGGCCGAAGAGTTCCTGCGATTTGGGCTGTATACCAGCCCATGGATGCGGCATGATTTTCTTCTTCTGAACGACGATTGGTAGAGGTCCGAAAGCGGAGAAGTTCTCTTCAATCTCGCCATGAGGTGTCTCGACAGACTCGCTGACCAAGCTCACAATCATGTTCCAGTACATGAGTGCATTTTGAAAAAATTCCTGATTCATGTTCGTCACAACACCCGGCGATTCCGCTCTGGCACTGACAACTCGATTGGCCAAAGCCAAATACTCCAATCCCAGATCATCTCGCACATGCCAGCTGGTGGTCATTCCAAGGAGAAGGATGGTGTAGAGCGCCTCGTCGGATACATTGTGCAGCGCGGTGACTTGCAGACACTCGTTCTGCACATTCTCCAGGGCTTGCCATTGAGCCTCGATGCCTATAAGCTTCATGCTAGGCATATCGTCGACCAGTTTGGAAGCCGATAGACTTCGGATAACAGAGTCGATGGGAGCGGACGTCCCTCGCATCTTCGAGATCACTGTGCGAAAGGGGTTGAAGTCCGAATCGAATGTCGAACACTCTCGACACACTTTCTGGAAGTAGTATTCTACTAGAAGAGTCGGAACATGTAGAAGAGAGGAGTTTAGAGGTGTCGTCGGAGTCAACACGGACTCGGCACCGGGGGATCCAATAGATGATATTGTTGAGACGTCTGTAAAGGTTGGAAAATTTGCCGGACCCAGACCAGGATTCCAAGATGGCGCAGTCGTGAGTATGCAGTCAGCCTGACGCCCATCTTCAGCAGTAGATGATGGCTCCCAGAATCTTTCTCCTCCGCCTTCATCGTGAAGGGATGACATAGGGCCTTCGCCAATAGGCAGATCCGGTATTGCCGTACCAAGGTTCAACTCGCCCGAGGTAGGCTCAAATGGAGCATCAGTGTCTAGCGTGAAGGAATTCCCGGCGAAATCTTGCGAGTATATGGAACTTGGCCAGACGGAATTGGACGAACTATCCAAGCGCTCCTCATCACCAGCGACTGGTGCGGCATGCGCGGAATAGGCGTCAGCGTTTGGGACCTTGAGAACCTCATGCTTCGAAGACCACTTCAATTCTTTGACGGGATAGCCAGGGCATTTCAGGCCCCGGACTTCGCATCGCGCGCAGCCAGGCTTGTTCTCATCACACTTGAGCTAATCAAACCCGTCAGTCCCTGGTCTTTCGTGCTAGTAATTTGCCGCACCACATACCTTTCTTTTCTTGCAGTTGCCGCAGCCCGTGGTTGATCGCACCCGTTTTCTCGAAGACACTGGCGGCGAATGAGTCTGAGTGCTCATCGTTCCAGAATTCCTGTCCGCTGAAACGAAGTCTCGGCGGATGGTCGGTGTTGGCGCACTATCGTGGCATCGCAGCTGCTACTCTCGGCCCTATCGCCAGGGATTCGTTGGGGTGTCGGTATATGCTCCGAGGGAGATAAGGAGACACGGAGAAAGTGAGGTGGACGTCGAGATAGACATACCGATGGCACCCCCGGAGCCGGCGCCGTGGCTATGCGTGGCTGTGGAGCGTGTGGTCAGTAATAAGTCTGACCTGACCCAGTGACCCCGCCTCGGAAAAAGGAAAACGCCACTGAGCCGCGTTTCTTCAATGTTCACAAATTCTATACCATCGACTCGCCCAGCACGTCTCGGTCGCGAGAGACTAAGGCGCACGTGGATAGAAACAATCGCGCTCCGCTTGTCCGTGGACGATTTTGGGAAGGTGCATTGCAAACTGCAACGACAGCAGCATATCATTCAAGTCTAGATAGGTACAGTACTTACCAGGCTCCAAGCCTCACAACAAAGACCCGTTCGCCGTGCCCCACAGAATGTTGTTCAGGACGGAATACGGCGAATTCTCCTCCAGCGTCCCATCCGAATTCGCAGGCGTAATGATGGAAGAGGCATGCGGATCGGCTGCAACACCGTCCACCACGCTCTCCTTGCCCCGGGCGTCTTTGGAACTAAGTTCGTACAGTGCGGCGACGCCTCGTTGAATCGGCGCGGAGATTTCCTGCGGGTCGATGTTGTTCAGGATGCCGGTCATGATGCTTGCGAAGCGGTCCACGAGGCGTCGGGCGCGTTCATTCCGGGTGTGCTCGCCGATGATGCCGAGGAGGAGGGCGGAGCTGAGGGCGCGTTGTAGCGCTGCCCAGGATTGGCGGGCGGCGGGTGTCTGGATAGCAAGGATTAGCACAGGCATTCACTACGCGGATTTGGGTCCGTGGTGACAACTCACGATGTTGTTCAGTCCTAGGAAAGCTTCGACTGTGTTGGCGAGATTGTCAATGCACGTCTGCTTGAAAGCTTTGGCCAATTCGGTGTCCGCGTTAACGCTGATCGCCGGCCGACAGAGTTCGGACATGTGGTACGAGCTGTGCAAGTACAGGGCCCAGTGCTCCAGCGTCTCTCTTGACGTCGTGCACTGCCGTGAGTCGCGGAGATAGGCAGCAGCGTCGTGCATAATGTTCGCAAGCGCCTCGCGGTGCTCCGTGATCCTCGCGATCTGCTCGCGGGTGTTCAGGGGTCGTGCACGATCTCGTACGATCTCTAGGCCAACGCGGGAGACCTGGTACATTGCGGCGTGATAAGGATCCACTGGTCCGAAGTGCTGTGGAGGCGGCATGGTGCTTCCTTCTAGAGCGCCTGCAGCTGAGTTACGGTCGTAGGTAATCGACAAGAGGCTGTCTTGCCAGATGATAGCCCACCACACTTTCGACCGGGCAAAGATAAATTCCGTCGAGGTGTTCGGCGGACTCGGACGATGAATTCCCAAGCCTTGAGCGAGTCTGATGGTGAGTCCCAGCATGGACCACGAGGTTGCGGCATTCAAATTGTTCATCAAGACGTTGCCGATGACCAGCAACGTTTGTATGCTTTCGAGATTCGAGTTGGAAAGGAAATTTGTGAAGCGTAGACACTCGAATCCGCAGCAAACTGTTGATCGTCAGTTGGATGCTCGTCCATGGGGAAGACGGCATACTCACTGTACACCTGGGACGTCAGCTCCCGTTCTTTCCGCGGCAGACTGCCATTCTGAGCACCACTAGCAAGCACCGCGAACAACAAGGCCAGCCAAGTATAGCTTTTACCATAGATCTGCCGCTCAGTGACCCCTTCGTGGATGGACTGGGTGGCCCTACTCATCAGGAACATGCCAATATCAGACTCTAGCTGCTCCAGAGAAGCGATTCCGGGGAAGGTGACATAGCCCATTTCCTTGTAAGATCGGAAGAGATTGAGAATCTGGCTGTCGGTCGGCAAGGCCTTTGCAAGTTCCTGAGCGCGCGGAATAGAGCCGTGTGGTAGTCCCCACAAGTCCACGAAAGGGTATGTGGCGGATTCGTTGTCCAGCCCGAACAACGGCAAAACATTCTTGCCCAGCATCTCGAGGATCTGGTGTTGCTCCGCCCGGCCCTCGTTCATCTGCAAATTGTACAGCATGCCAGGTATAGATCCGCCTCCGAAATGCACATATTCGCCCTAGTAGAGCTCTTCAGTACATCAGACATTTGAAATATCCCCGTCGAACACTTACAGCAACATTCTTCATATGAACGCCATGAACATCAGTGTGACTGAGTTCATGCGGCGCATCTTGAACAGCAGGATCAATATTGGAGGCAGCATTCGTGTCGCCCTCGTGGAAGAATGACTCGTCTCCGTTTTCGTTCCGACGCATTTCCCGCCGCAAGCTAGCAATGGAGTCTTCCAGCGCATTCAGCTTACGACAGAGAAAATCAAACTCGCCACGTCCGAGCGTGACGAAGCCCGGACTGGAAGGCTTCTCATCAGGTCTCGGGAGCGCTGTGGAGGAACCGGGATCGACGCTCTGTCGCTTGTTGGGCGGATGATAACTGCAGAGCTCTGGGTGATCCCGATCGCGGCAAGTCTGACACGGACGCGAGAGGTCGCATCTGGTCGTTGTTCAGTACGATATAGTACGCAGAATGCATTCGAACAGGGACTTGACATACTTTACTTTTCGCTGCCGACAAGGGTAGCAAGCCTTGTGTTCTCTCGCCTTGCGCTTCTTGCGCAGGAAATCATCAACATCCTGCTGCGGGGGAAGGTCCGGGTAAGGTGTCGAGAGGCCTGTGATCTGAGGGTCCATGACTGCATCCGACGGGTGGTTCATTCCGTCCATTGCTGCTAACAATACGATCGTGGGACCTGTGTGCAATGTTGTAGACGACGGAGGCCTGGATTGCCGAGTGTAATACTGCCGAGGAGATCACGTTGTCACGGCCGGGCGTGTTTGCGGCGGATTCTGATCCAGCAACGGGCGTTCGATTTTGTTGATCAAGCAGCAGACTCCTCCTACGCAGTTTTGTGCATCATCTCGACGTTTGTTCGACAGGGCTATAGGCGCGGTATAGCGAAGGAGGTTCCTCGGACGAAGGTCGGGCGCGGGCAAGAAGGGAAGGAGCCGAGTTGGGATTTTCATCAGGCAAACTCTAAATCTTCGCGCACGTGACGTCGACTCCGAGCACGGAAGAATTTACAGTGAATGTGGTAAGAGGTGTGCCTTTGTAGGAAATGCATGTAGGAAATGAACCTGGGTATGAACCATAATCAAAGAGGATCGCTCGAAAAAACACAACACGCGATTCAGCGACAATAACGAGTGCAATCGCTTCCACAACATCAACCCGTCATCATGCAGTGTATGCGGGCAATTCCTCAATCCCCTCGAATTCCTGATAGCTCATGTCGTACCCCAAATGCCTCTTCAACAGCTCGTGCGTCACAAAGCGCTCAGGTGTGTTGCCCTGTGCATCGACAAACGACACATGGTGGTTCACATCCGAGATACGCTGCAGTTCGTTGGCATGTCGATGATGATGCGGGCAGCCCTCCACGCCGATGAGGAAGATGGTGATATGCGCCCACGACAGCGAGAGGATGTCGAGCTCGAACTCATCCATGTCTGTCGCCTCACCGTCGAGCAGCAGCAACATCCGGAGGATGGGCGTTTGCGGGCCGGCTTGCCAGCCGTAAATGGGATGGTAGGTGGCGGATTCGGAGTGTTTTTGGAAGTGCAGCTCCTTGACTTTCTGCCAGCCCGTCATGACGCGCGTGCCGCCGCCGATGTGCACTTTCTGCCACATGCGGTCGAGGTTCTCGTGATTGACGGTGCCGATGTACTCTGAACGGTTCGAGAAGGTGACGAGATCGTAGCCGGTGTTTGAATGGTCATGGTTAGTCATGGCATCGGTAAAGCGGCGGATGATCGCTTTCGCAACGTCTATTTCACGAATTAGTCTGGCGCTGGCTGTTGTTTCACTGCGCAACACGGCTTACCTTTGTTCTTGGGCTGAGTGCCTCTTTCGTATCGAGTGATGAGATATCGATCGTACACAGGTCTGACCGGCTGGAAATCCATCGAGCCAGACACATCCAGGAGGATCATCGTGTCGTCGGAAGCCTGCTCCGGTCGGTCGTAGGCTCTGAAAGGGGCGGGCGGGACCTGGGCCGAATAACCCTCCGAGGTATGCTGAGTGTGGCATGTATCCGCCGCATCAAAATAGGTCGGTGGCGGAGGGACAGCCTTTGCCATTCGCGCTCGCGCCATCTCCAACTCGGAGATGAAATCGGGTTTCAGACGAGTGAGTGTGGCACCTTCTGGGTTCTCACGGTGATTCAGCACCCAGTAGAGTCGCTCCTCGGCCGTATCTTCGTAGCCACGCCAGGCTGGGGTAATGCCTCTCCAGCCAGCTGCAGACTCGATGCTGAACTTGAGCGGATTCGAAGCCTGATTTGCCCAGGCGACAGGGATCGGCTCAAAGTAGCCAGCGCGGAGGAGATGGAGGTATTGGATGGGGCTCCGGGCTCGGAGTTCGGCAATCTTCTTCGTCATGCCGACCTTGTCTTGGTAGGTGAGAACAATCTGCTGCCATTCCGCATCTGGCCATCTTCCGTTCTCCTCGGCAACAATCTGGTCGCGAAGGGCGTTGCCATGACCAACCTGCTTCTCGACTTTGCTGACGGCTCTCTCATCAGAGGACTTGATTCCCATGGATTTCCTGAAGCTGGCTAACTTCGAGGTCTTCGGTCGATCGTTAGATGCTCCGTTTGATGGAGGTGCTAGACTTTCCCTGTTCTCGAGCCTGGCCTTTTCATCGCGGGCATCGCGATTGTCCACTGGGGGAGGGGCGGCTAGCGGCTTCTTTTTCTCGCCTAGAGCGATGTTCGACATGGCTCGATCCAGGGCATGGTCATCCCAAATGCTGTGTCTGGGCTCTTTGGAGTCCACGCTTGCTTGGGCCTCCTTGTTGAGAGCGTTGTTGAGGGAAATGGTCTGATGGATGGATTTTTCGTGCCAGCCGGCTTTGGGCGTCAATGGGCCACCCCAATTAGTCTGGCCCCAGCCATAGGGAGAAATGACTCGCATGCGGTATGGGTTGCTGCTGAAGACACCGCCGTAGCTGTACTTGTTGTCATTATAGGCTTTCTCGCCTGTTGCGTACAGTTAGCGGGGCGGCTTTTTCAACGGGGAGCGAGCGGCTTGCCTGGATACATGACCGCCTTGGACCACAGCTCTTGCACCCCATATCGCCGGTACTTTGCCGCCTGGTACTGATGGATTGGGCACGAGCAGGGGTAATCGGTCTCGTGTTCGGGTTCGATTTCGGGGTTGTAGATGTTGTACTGGTACTGCAGGTTCTGCAGCTGTTGCTGCATTTCTTGCTACACGCGGGACACGATTAGCTCTGGCCATTACTCTGTAGTCCTTGCCAGCTTACCTCATCACGTGCGCGCACCTTGCCCGCTTCAATGACTTGATTAGTGTGGTGGCGCGCGCGGGCTCTGCTCGTCGCACTGGCGGGCGGGGCGCTGCTTGGTGGAGCAAAAGCCGGTGGGTTGCCGCCTGCTGGAGGATTTCCAGGTGGCGGCGCATATGCCGGTGGACCATCGAGACCTCGCTTTTCATCGTGGTGGTCGTGGACGGGCGGCGCTTTGACGTCGGCGGGGTAGGAAGTCTGGGTAGAGGCGGGGTTGTGCTGGGCGGCAGGCATGCTGGCTGCGTCGCGGGCGGCGAGCGCGGCTTTTTCCCCGTTGGCAGAGGCGGAGCGCGACTCGCTGAAGGAGGAAATGAAGCGCAGAGCCTCTGGAGAATCGCCGACGAGCGAGCTGAGGTATTCACTGGCCTCGCCGCTGGGCAGGGAGCGGGCTTGGGTTAGCACCTGCGACACCTCGTCGTCGCCCAAGGGCAGCACGGCGGACAGCTGTTGGTGCAGTTCCTGCTCGGAGGGCGCCATGGTGATGATGTGAGAGATTGATGGGGTGGAGAGAGTGAAGGGAAACCGCACAGAAGGCTGGCAGCTTTATTGCACCTCTCGATGTGTGTGTGGCGTGGTGGCTGCGCCTGGCACGCGCAACGATTTACGTCACCTCCGAAAGTCGCGCACGGCGGGCATGCAACGGAAACGTGGGATGGAAGCAGGCCTTGCCGGGCGTGGGCGCGTGATGACAGTTGGTTAGTCAGGGCTCCGCGCCGTCGCTGCCGGCCCTGAAACCCCAAGGTATTTTAAGCTACGGGCATGGGAGGTCAACGAATGAGGTGTTGGTCAGGCTACTTGCCCCTCGTTGCTGCCTGGAATCGCGCGCCTTCCCGTTCAAGCCCGTTGCTTGATTGTTTCCTAATCTTGGCGTGACTCGCGTGCAGAAGCTTGGTACTCACCGCACGACTCAGGTGCACAATCAACTTCTTTCTACACCATCACCACCCGCCTCTTACAAACACAACACGCACACAACACCCGCTCCCTTCGCCCATTATGTCCGGCCGGAAGGACTTTCTGTCGCAGCAAGCGCCGGAAAACTACGTCGCCGGTCTGGGGCGTGGTGCAACGGGCTTCACCACCAGATCAGATCTCGGGCCTGCAAGAGAAGGACCTAGCGAAGAACAAATCAAAGAAGCGCTTGCCAAGCGTGCTGCCGCCCTTGGGAATGCCCCTCCCACTGCCTACGGTGTGGGCAAGAAAAAGGCCGACGACGAGCCTGAAGAGGATCAGTTTGTCGATGCCGAGAACGAGGAGGGCTTGTTTGCGACTGGCAACTACGACCGCGATGATGATGAGGCCGACAGGATATACCAAGCTGTCGACGAGCGTATGGACCGGAGAAGAAAAGCTCGAAGGTATGTCTCCATCTTTCTTCGTTCCCCCTGCCCTCCCTGCCCTTGCCATCTTTGCAACTTGGTCAACCATGTTCATCGTTTCTCGCAGCGAACACATGCCGACGTTACCCGTGTGAACAGGGAAGCACGAGAACGCGAAGAGCGCGAAGACTACGAACGCAAGAACCCCAAGATCCAGCAACAATTCGCCGATCTCAAACGTGCCCTCGGAACCGTGACCGATGAAGACTGGGCCAACATACCCGAAGTCGGAGATTTGACGGGCAAGAATCGCCGCACGAAACAAGCCGCGCAGGCCCAACGCAGATTCTATGCGGTGCCCGACAGTGTGCTTGCGGGTGCAAGAGACAGTACGCAGCTGAATACGGAGATACAAGAGGATGGCATGGCCACCGATGCGCCGAATGGTAGCGCGAACGAGCAAGCGAACGGCACCATTACCAACTTTGCCGACATCGGTGCGGCGAGAGACAAGGTGTTGAAAGTGCGGCTCGATCAAGCAGCGCAATCGCAGGCCGCTTCTGCCTCGGACTCCGTAGCAGGGACATCTACCAGCATCGATCCCAAAGGATACCTCACTTCTCTCACAAAGACCGAAATCAAAGCCGGCGAATACAACGTCGGTGACATCAAACGAGCAAGAATCTTGCTGGAGTCGGTCATCAAGACAAATCCCAGACACGGGCCGGGCTGGATCGCTGCCGCCCGTTTGGAGGAGCTGGCGGGCAAGATTGTGGCAGCACGGAATGTCATGAGACGGGGCACAGAGATGTGTCCGAAGAATGAAGATGTGTGGCTGGAGAGCATACGCCTGAATGACAACCAAAACGCCCGCATCATTGCCGCCCAGGCAATTGAGAACAACGATCGCTCCGTGCGTCTATGGATCGAAGCCATGAAACTTGAGACCATCCCGGCCTCGAGGAAGAGAGTTCTGCGAAAAGCCTTGGACCACATTCCGCAGTCCGTCGCGATATGGAAGGAAGCCGTTAACCTCGAAGAGAACCCCGACGATGCACGTCTGCTCCTCGCAAAAGCAACCGAGATTATCCCCCTCTCCGTGGAACTCTGGCTCGCATTGGCTCGTTTGGAGACCCCGGAACAAGCTCAAGTCGTCCTCAATAAAGCACGCAAGGCTGTGCCTGCTAGCTTCGAAATCTGGATAGCTGCAGCTCGGTTACAAGAACAGATCGGCCAAACGAGCATGGCCACCAAAGTCATGGAACGCGCTGTCAAAGCGCTGGCACGAGAATCCGCTATGCTGAAGCGGGAAGACTGGATCACTCAAGCCGAAATTTGTGAGGAGGAAGGCGCCCCGCTAACGTGTCAGGCCATCATTCAGAATACTCTCGGCTGGGGGTTGGACGAAGATGATGATCGGAAGCAGATTTGGCTCGATGATGCAAAAGGCTGCATTGGCCGTGGGCGTTACGAAACCGCTCGCGCCATCTACGCGTATGCGCTCAAAGTGTTCTATAACCGGAGTAGTGTCTGGCTTGCAGCAGCAGATCTGGAGCGGCAGCACGGGACCAAGACGGCACTGTGGGCACTCCTGGAAGAGTCCGTCAAGAGCTGCCCGAACAGCGATGTCCTGTGGATGCAGCTGGCGCGCGAGAAGTGGGAAGGCGGAGACCTCGACGAAGCGCGCAAGGTGCTAGGCCGCGCCTTTGAGCAGAACCAAGGTAACGAGGACATCTGGCTCGCCGCAGTGAAACTCGAAGCCGACAATGGCGAGATCGACCAAGCCAGACATCTCCTCTCCGCAGCGCGCGACTCCGCCGGCACCGATCGTGTCTGGATGAAATCCGTCGCCTACGAGCGCCGCATCAACGACAACGAGCGCGCCCTCGAGCTCGTCAACCACGCCCTACAAGTCTACCCCAAAACAGCGAAGCTGTGGATGCAAAAGGGCCAGATCTACGAATCCAAGAACATGCTCCCGCAAGCCAAAGAAGCCTACAACACCGGCACGCGCGCCTGCCCGCAAAGCGTCCCCCTCTGGCTGCTCGCCGCGCGCCTAGAAGAGAAAATGGGCGTGCTCGTCAAAGCGCGCTCCATCCTCGACCGCGCCCGCCTCGCCATCCCCAAAACCCCCGAGCTCTGGACCGAAAGCGTGCGCCTCGAGCACCGCGCGAAAAACATCCCCGCCGCAAACCAGAAGATGGCGCAAGCGCTGCAAGAATGCCCCACCTCCGGCCTGGTCTGGAGCGAGCGCATCTGGCGCCTGGAAGCGCGCACCCAGCGCAAACCGCGCATCCTCGAAGCCATCCAGAAAGTGGAGAACGACCCGATCCTCTTCGTCTCCGCCGCGCGCATCTTCTGGGCGGAGCGCAAGTTGGAGAAAGCCGACACGTGGTTCCAGAAGGCCGCCGTGCTCGATCCCGACTGGGGCGATACGTGGGCTTGGTGGTACAAGTTTCTGCTACAGCATGGCACGGCGGAGAAGCGAGGGGAGGTGGTGAGTAAGTGTGTGCTCAACGAGCCGAAGCATGGCGAGGTGTGGCAGGCGGTGCGCAAGGCGCCGGAGAACGAGGGGTTGGGGGTTGAGGAGGTGTTGAAGAAGGTTGCGGCGCTGTTGAACGCTTGATGGTGATGAGTCGCTCGACATTCGATGTCAGTCGTGGATTCCATACGAATGTGTACATCCTATTAACGAGAGCACTAAAATTGCCAATACGCTTTTCCCCGTAACACCTCGCTCAAACCGCAGTGCCAATACAATCCGTCCCAATCCATGCGATGTATCAGGTCCCTCACTTGTCCTTCCTCTCCTTCTTCCTCCCCGCCGCCGCCAACCGCCCCAAGTGACTAAATCCACTCTTCGCCTTCCCACCACTTGCCTGCCCACCGCCCGCCTCCTTGCCCTTCGCATCCCGACCAGCCTGCGAAGCAGCCACGCCGAGCTGCAACGAAGATTGCCCATGATAGCTCTGCGCCGACACGGTTCGCGGCGCGCCACTGCTACCAGTACCACTGTTCAACCCAGCACTGCCCACCGCACTTGCAAGCACATACTCCCCTCCTCTCTTCCCCTCTGCCCTCGCAGCCTCAATCCGCTCCTCTTCCTCTTCATCCTCATCGCCGACCAGCAAGCGCCGCTGCGCGCGCCGCAACTTCTCCTGCGTCGCCTTGAACTTCTCCAGCAACTCCGTCCACCGGATCGTGCCCTCTTCCCTGCCCTTCAACCGATTCTGCCGTTCGAAAGTCGACACCGCGCTGCTTGTTGAACCTGTTGAGCCAGACACGCCACCTCCGGCTCCACCGCGAGGGGCAATATGCAGGTAGCCAATAGCGCTCACACTATTGAGGCGGTTCTTCAGTGCGGCGAACGCGGAACTCTGCGGAAGCAGCATCAACACCCCGTACAGACACTTGTACAAGTGCGGGTAGCGCTCGGGTTCGAGGAGCTGCATGCGCAGGTAGGTGAATACGGGCGACTCGAGCAGCTGCACGAGCTTGTCGATTTGAATGAGCATGGTGACGGTCATTTCCAGCTCGGCGAAGATCTGCAGGAGGTGGTAAGCCTGCTCGTAAGCCTGAGCGAGCAGGCAGATGGAGAAGGTGGCGACGGCGTTGACGCACCAGGCGCGGAAGAGGACGGTGAAGAAGGTCTGGCCTTCTCTTGTGTCGAGGTTGCGGAGGCGTTTGCGGAGGTCTTGCAATTCTGGTGCGGTGATGAGATTATTGTTTAGCATCTGAACCATGATTGACGCGAACTCGATGTCCTCGCTGTACTCTTCGCGCTCGAGGCAGTCGGCGAGCGTGCGGTAAATTTTCTCCGCCGACAAGCTGAGGCATAGTTGGCGGATGATGAGGTTTCCCCGCGTTTCCAGGAGCCGGCGATCGTTACTGAAGAGCTTAAGGAGGTTGACCATGAACGACGAGAAATAGCTGTCATCGCTGCTCTTGCTGATTTGAGAGAGGAGCAGCAAGTCGCGGGTGACCACGGCCTCTGCGGGATCGCTGAGGGTTTTGAGGAGAGCGGGGAAGGTGGCATCTTGGATTGCGAGGATCCGACGGGGCGATTTACGATGGAGCATGATCAGCCAGGCCAGCGCGGCTACTCGCGTGGCTTCGTGTGAATGCAAGAACTGCTTGGTCAGAGCGTTGACAGCCGCTTCGTAGTCGAGATCTGTCCGAGCGGAATGATCTCCATTTGGTGCGGCCTCAGCTGAATCTGCCGTTGTTGGTGTTTCAGGGGCCGGCACATCCTGGGCTGGCGAGAGAGACTGAATCCGCTCGGGACTTGTTTGGCTTCTCAACGTCGCTGGCTTTGGAGGAAGGGGAATGTTTGACGAAGGCTTGTCGATCCCGTTGACGCCTTTCGTACCGCCCGGAGCTGTCACTGCGCCTGCCGGCATCCCTCCGAATGACTGAGGACTCCCCGCGCTCCCCGCTGTTTGATCAACCGGCCCTCCATCTATGCTGGTATGATTTGGCTCAGCAGGCAAGTCCATTACCAGAGACGTCAACTTTTCATTGACCCGACTCGCCGCTGCTTGCACCTTCTCCACATCAGAGCTCAATGCTGGTAAGACTTGCGCCAGTAGCCTCGGGGTGAAGACTAGGATGTCTTCTGGACAAATGTTGAGGAAGCTTTCGATCCATCGGAGAGTGGTGGTTTGAATCTCGCGCTCGCTCGATCCGGAGGAGTGGGACTGAGGCGAGGAGTTGGCGTTGGAAGATGAGTGGGCGAGAAAGTTGAGGAGGATGTCGAGGATCTTTTGATAGTCGATGGTGACGTCCTGACCGGGGATCCACTCTCCTTCAAAGTCGTGCTCGTCCACGCCAGCATCGTTGAGTTCGTCCTCGTCGTCGTCCTCATCTTCGTCTGCATCGTCTTGCTGGCCTTCTGCGGCGGTTACAGACGATTCTCCATCCGTGGCGCCTTTCTCTTCCACATCGGTAGGCAGGGATTCAAATTGTGCCGGAGAACTGGGTTTCTGATCCTCATCATGGTCCTCCCTCTCGGCCTTCTCACTCATCGTTGGACTCTCCACCGCCACAGATTCGGCACTGGCATTCCTCAAGAGCTCTCTGCTCCGCCGATTTTCCGCAATGCCCTTCTTGACCGCAGCAATCTTCTTGATCTCGGCAAGAAATCTATCCAGCGCGACCTTTGTAGTGGTGTGGACATCTTGATTGGGATCGCTAAGGAACTTCAGCAGTCCGCCAAGGAAGCTGGGAAGATAGACGACGAGCTCAAGATCGGGGATGGAGTCGAGAAGAGTGATCCAAGAGACCAGAAATGTCCTGGTGAAGGGATTCATCACGTTGATACGCTCCGTCAGCAGCGGAATGAATCTCGGCAGGCTGAATGCCGTCTGTTGCCCCGCTGATGATGTTCCCGTCTCTTCTTCATCATCGGCCAGCGTCTCATCCTGGAGTGCGGCGGGATCGACGACGATACTCGCGTAGGTTGCCGCACTCTCGCTGACAATGTCCTTCACCAGTCGATCCAGCAGTTCCGCACCATTCTTCACGCTCAGCTCCGTATCGGCAGCCAGCTTGCACAAGGCATCGAAGACGTCGTTGAAGTAGATGAGGATTTCGCCCTTGGCCACCTTCGCAATATTATACATCGACTCGCACGCATAGTATCGAACTCGAGCATCTTGGTCGGAAAAGCAGGCCAACACGGGAGGGACGATGAGAGAGAGGTAGGGGGAGACGGAGGAGCCGAGCGCAATGGCTGCGGCGGCGAGGCCGATGAGACCTCCATTGCGGGCGTGAGGCTGGTGGACTGCGTAGGCGTAGTCGTGGACGAGCTGGCGGAGGATCTTGGGGATGCGCTCCGTGTGCTGCTCTGCTACTGCATTGCGAATGGAGGCTTCAAGTCTGGCGGGTGATTTCAATTAGATAACATGCCCCTCTGATCAGATTGACGGAGGAAGAGAGCAGGGGGAATTCCGTCTAGATCAAGCACATACTCTAAAGCACCAGTCTTGCGTTTGTCGTAGAGTTTATCACTGAGCAGACGCTGGATACTGGGTTCCATCGTGTCGATGCCGGAGTGGATGTAGCGGGCATTGCCTGTGATGCAGCACCAGGCGTGAAGCTGGAATTACGAGCGGATACACGTTCAATTGAAACACGCCACAAGGAGCATGAGAAACAGATGTCGTGTGAGAGACGGAGGCCGGGAAGTTGCTTGAGAGGTCAGCGTGCCCAGTCGTCGTAACAACCCACATCCCACCTTTTTCTGCCGCCAAGGCGGTGAAGCTTCCTTGAGGCAGCGGCGCATGTGAATGGAAACTTTCCCTCCATCTGCACGGCTTCGAAGACCTTTTGTCTTGCACCCGTCCGCCACCTCGCAACCGACGCATTGCCCCCCTCTTCGTACGCTGAAAGGCGCAGCACGTTGCGGACATGGCGGCCAACGAGAATGACCGCGAAGTGTAAGATTTCCGCCTTCACGACTTGCACAATCCGCACCTGCTGATCTCCTCTGCGCGCAGTTCGAGGCTCTGGCGCATAGTCCGCACCACGAAACAGATGTGTGCTGATCGCGTACGTCTCGACACCCCTCTTCTATATGCCGCCTTTCCATCTCCCGCGCCATTCTAACCATTCACGATGATCTAGGGCTACGAACTCACCGAAGAAGAATGCAACATCTCCCTCGACAGCTTCCGCCAACAATACACCGACGAGACCGGCGCACCCCAGCGAACCAAAATGGCCTTCACCGCGCGACCGGCGGAAGCGATGCTCAAACGCTACACACCCCTCCCCCGAGCCGGCCAGTCCGACGGCCCCGAGCCCCAAATCGGCACTGTGCACGTCGAATTCTCCGGCAGCGCCAACATCGGCATCAAAGACATCAAGGCCTTCGCGCAGCTGCTCAGCGAAAAGAACTACTACACCGGCATCTTTGTAACGGCGTCGGCGCCGACGTCGAGCGCGCTGAAAATTATCCCTTCGCTCCTGCCTACCATTATGGAGATTTTCCGCGAGGAGGACCTGCTGGTGAATATCTCCCGGCATGAGCTGGTGCCGAAGCATCTCCTGCTTAGTCCGGAGGAGAAGAGGAGTCTGCTGGAGAGGTATCGGCTGAAGGAGACGCAGTTGCCGCGCATCCGCGTGGACGATCCGATGGCGAAGTATTTGGGGTTGAGGAGAGGGCAGGTGGTCAAGATCATTCGCAAGAGTGAGACGGCGGGGAGATATGCTAGTTATCGGTGGGCGATATGATGCGTGTAACGGGCAGTTCACGTACGTTTTATCAGGCATGCATAGCGAGGCGTTGGGGGGTGTGGTAAAAGATGAGGTTGTGAGTGACCACGATGTCAACTTCGTGTTCCAGTCGCGCCTCAAAGGGCTTACAGGTCATTACACCTTGTCACAAAACACTTGCACGCTCTGAACCCGATATTAAGACTGCAGGTGCTCTACAGTGATGTGAACACAAGGGTCAAGATTGCGTGAAGATATGAGACGTGCACGAGGCTCTGGTTTGTCAGGAAAGCTGATGTTTCTGAGTAGTTACATAGCTATCTCAACAACTGTTCCCACCATCAAGCCTTTTACTTCGGGTCGTCGAAGACGTAGGTCAGGTGGCAGCGACCGCAGTATTGACGGTTGTGCATGGCCGCCATGAAGATACCGGCACCGCACTGGAGATCTTGTTAGCATCTACTTCACACTTCAACCTCAAATGAAGCGCACTCGCGCACTCACCATCTCAGCGGGACACTCCCTCCTCAAACGCTCAATCTTGCCATCGCCGTCGACCTTGTAGTACTTGAGCACAGCCAACTTGGTCTTCTTGCGCTTATGCTTGATCTTCTTGGGCGTGGTGTACACCTTCTTCTTGCGCTTCTTGCCACCGCCACGCAGACGGAGCACGAGGTGAAGAGTCGACTCCTTCTGGATGTTGTAGTCGGAGAGGGTGCGGCCGTCTTCGAGTTGCTTGCCGGCGAAGATCAGGCGCTGCTGGTCGGGTGGGATGCCCTCCTTGTCTGCGAGAATGTCAGGGGACGAGTTGCTAGGCCGCCAAACATGGACGAGACTGACCCTGGATCTTGGACTTGACATTGTCGATGGTATCGGACGACTCCACCTCAAGGGTGATGGTCTTGCCCGTCACTGTTCCTTCATCAGTACCGACTCATCAACATCTCGCGCATACGGACAACATACGGGTCTTGACGAAGATCTGCATCTTTGTCTAGGCAGCGTGCGATGCCGATGCCTTCCTCAACAAATGGAGCGGATGAAGGTCGAAGACAAGATGCGGTGAAAGCGGGATTTGTAAAAGTGGTGTGCGGGAGTGGCCAGCGCCAAGAACATCGGCGAAGCCAGAACTTTTCGCCGATGCCCGCGGATGCAGGCGCGGGACGAGCCGCTGCAGCGCTTGCGACAGAGGGAAGGAGCGTTGGTGGGGTGACGAAAGAGGAAACAACAAAAAAACAGATCGCAAGTGAACGTCTTCCGACCTACACCTCGCACTCCACCTCCTCCACCACACTTCCAACTACTACCCAAACCCATCGCATCGCACCTGTACATACCAAACCAATCCAGACCACTTCGCCCGCGTCGAAACCTTTTTGAACCCATTGCACAGCGGGCCAAAAGGCCGACCGAGGGAACGTGACTTCATCCAACAAACGCAACCCTCGACTGAGTAAAAGCTCATAAACCACCGCGCCCGGCGGTCGCGGCTTGCACTGCGTGAGGTACGATCGATTCTCATGCACTTGAAATGATCGAGAGTGGCTGTGCTGATAGACCTCCTGCAAAAAGTACCGGACCATAGAGGCATTGACTTGCTCTCGACCAATCGCAACCCATCCCGGACTCGACTTGCATATTGTCTTCACTCGACAAACGACGAAAATGCTGTCCCTCAATTCCACCTCGAGCGCCCAGAAGCGACGCCAACTCCATCGCCGACAACAATCGCTCGAAGTGCCCCCTCCCCTGACCAACCCTCTTCCTGCCCTCACCCGAAAGACTACCCGACCAGCCAACGAGCAACATCGACGAGGCCTCAGTCTCGACCAGAGTCTGGGTAGACTTGACTCGGCCACCGGATTTCGCCCACTTCCCCCGCAGGACCAAACTCAGGACCAGGAACCATTCCAAGGAACTTCGCCCATACGGATTCAACTGGACACCACTAACCTAGGACACCAACACCCACAGCATTACGTGCAAGAAACGCAGCAGCACAGACCAGCCCAGCCGGGCTACCAGGCGCAGGACTTTCAGTCGCACCTCCAGCAGCAACTGAAAGGAAACATCAACTCCCCCTCCACCCCCACCATCATCGCCCCCATTCCCACTCATCCCAACCAAGAACAAGCCCTCCAAGACCTCCAACAGCATCTGGAGTGGTATCAGAGCAACTTCGGTCAATCACCGTCACCCGTTCCCGTCATGCAGGCCGCTCCAGCTTTCACAGTCACTCCTCAGATGACGACCAACATGCAGATGAACGCTGTCGAGGCCCAAGGCACACCGCACCAATTCGTGGTCACCCTGCCGCAGACACCCGTCTCTCACAACCAGCCACGCACGGTCCCGAACACGCCTCAGCAGTACGTTCAGAACTGGCCCAGCCCTCCGGCGACAGCTCCAAAGCACCTTCGCAGCCAAAGCTTCCAACTGGACGTCGCCCCAATGCCCAACTCACCGTACGGCCACGACTCGTTCACTGCCAGCACTGATCACATCTATGGCTCTTCCGTCTACTCCTCTTCCAACGTCGACCCAGCGTCACCAGGCCGTAGCTACAATGGAGCCTCAATGCCCACGCTCTTTGAAGAGCCAGCGCATCCAATGCATGGAGCACTGCTCCTCCAAGCCACCGGTGGAGCGTCCGACGACTTCAACAGCCCCAACTTCATCGTCGGCATGGGCTTGTCTCCTCACTCAGCGATGATGCAAAACATGGGCGAAGACGTCAACGCCACCATCGTCGACACTGGCGTTCCAGCGGAAGAAGTCGACATGAACATCTCTGCTCAGGACGAGAAGACCAAGAACTGGTACTGCCTCTACGAGCTTGACAATGGCAAGACATGCGGCAAATCGTTCAAGCGCAAGGAGAACGCGCGCTCTCACGTCCAGAACCACATGGGTGATCGCCAATTCCAATGCAATGACTGCGGCAAGACCTTCGTCCGTCAGCACGACATGAAGCGCCACGCAGCCATTCACAAAGACGACCGTCCCCACATATGTCCCTGCGGTAGCAAATTCGCTCGGCACGACGCCCTCACCCGTCACCGTCAGCGCGGCATGTGCAAAGGCGCGCTCCCCGGCTACGAGAAGTCGGAAGAAGAGAAGCCCAAGCGCGGCCGTCCCAAGAAGAACCGGCCAGACGAGAAGACCCGCACAACCAAATCCAACAAAGCGCGTCAAATGGACTACGACAACAGCATGGCCCTGACCGCCGCCATCTCCAACGCAGACTACTCCTCGCCCAACAGCTCGGGCATGAGCGAGCACAGCCTCCCCATGACGCCCCCGGACACCTCCGACTTCGACGCCGACGCCTTCATCAACATGGCCAACCACACGGAAGTCGACTACGACCAAATGGCCGTCGACCAATACAGCCACTGGCGCGACACCCCGCCCACCTCCCCCGCCACCTCGCACCACAATCCCATCAAGACCATCTCGCCCGCGCTCCTCAACAACCAAGGCTTCACAGGCGCCTCCAGCCCCCTCAGCCAGCCAGAGCACTACGGCGCTGTCGACTCGCAGCCCCATGCGCCCTTCCAGCGCCTCGCGTCACCCGAGTACGACTCCACGAACGGCAGCAGCCCGTACAACGGCGACGAGCCGGTGGACATGCACGATGTGAGCTGGAGCTCGCTCCTTCAGCACGACAAGGAGGATTCGGTGTTCTTCAGCAAGGATACTGAGGTGGCGACTGCTGCTTCGCTCGGTCCGATGCTGGATCAGTGGCTTGCGACTCATTAGCGTTGCCGCGTCGGCGGAGGTGTACGATAATGGACAAGTCTCAACGCGCACAATGAAGAAAGTGATGGACGGACGGACTCGGCAATGGAATGTGACGATTACGAATGACTGGGAGAAGGAATGGGATGAGTGGGTGGGATTTGCTTTTTAGCGGGCGTTCAAGGCGTTGGCGTTGTTTGATTTACTCGGAGGAGGAAGGTGGAAGAGAGGAGGATGTAGTAGGAGAGAAGAGAGAATGGGGATTGTTATTATTTCTTGACAGCGTTCTTCGGGGTTTCGCGGTCCATACCTTCCCACTGTCATTACTGCAGCCCGGATCATGGCACTGTCCGCAGTCCTGATCGCACGTAAGGTAGCTTATGTACCATAGCAATATGCTCTGCTCCCTGCACCGTCCTCCTCCAAGGCCCCGTAATCTTCTCGCAGCCCTTCTCATCCGACGTCCCATTTGCCGCTCTACGTGACCTCTCCACTCACCATCCCATCAAACCACCCCCAACCACGCCGCCACCATAGCAAACATCGCCCCCAAAAACGCAAAGTCATTCGCAGGCAATCCCATGCGCAACCTCGGGCCAGCAAAGGGAGCCATAAAAGGCCACGCAACCACGATTCCCGCAAACACAAGAACGGGACCGCCCGACTTCTCTCGAGCGGTGTAGAGTAGCACCAGCAGAGCGAAGATGGTGATGGGAGAATTGGACCGCACAAGTGTGAGGAGCGCGCGGGTGTTTGAGCAGGGCACGATGAGGTCGGTTGGGTCGCTCAGCAGGCGCTCTTCGTTCGAGGGCGAGTGCGTTTTGATCCATTGCTTGTATGAATCGATCTGTTCTGGCGTTGCTGGACTCGTGTGTCCAGAGATCGATGCGGATGTTGATAGATGGCGGTGGTAGCGTTCCATCTTGGCTTCTATTTGGGCGAGAAGCTGCGCGCGGCAGAGGAGCAGGTCTCTATCGTTTTGGCGGTGCTGCCATTCGGGTTGGTGAGCGGTTCTACTCCCGGGTTGAGCCGGTGTTGCTCGTTGTAGAGTTCCGATTGCTTCGTCGTAGCGTTGAAGGTGGGCTTCGAGGTCCAGGAGTTCGTCTTGGAGGGAAAGGAGGATGCGATGGGTGAGATGGGCGAATCTGCGGTAGAGAGCGGGAGGTTCGAAGTCGGGTTTGCTAGGTGCGGTGTTATTGTCTGGAGGCCCGGTGCCAGTAGCATGGTTGCTTCTGCTCGCCGGCGGAGTTGTGTGGTTATTGACTGCGTGTGTGGGTACAGTGGTGCCCGATGGACTTGGCCATGGGTAGTGCTGCGGTGGTGTTTGGTGGAAGTAAAGCGAATGAGGTGGAGGGGACCACGGGGTCGGAAGTACACGCGGTTGATCGTATACGGTTGGTCGATAATGCGGGTAACCTCGTTGGGCGTATGGCATGTGGGAAGATGGGAAGTTGTAGTCATGGCTAACACCGTCTGCGTGTTGTGGAGAGCTGTGCTGAAAGCCCGGCCTGGGATGTTGTGCTTGCTCTTCTAAAGGGGAAGGCAGGGAAGGTGGTACATCTGGTTTGTCTTCTGATTCATCTTCGACCGAAGGTTGTAGTTCCAGGCTCGCGTCGAGTCTCTCATTGCCTGACATGTTGTTTTCTGTTGGCCGGGTCGATTCACCGGATTGAAGCGACCTCTTCTCCATGTAGTCTTCTTCTCCTGCCTCCGTGCTTGTAGGAGACGGGGGAGTAGATTCCGACGATGGTGTCGAGGCAACCTCGCTCACATCCGCATCCGAATGATCCTCACGAGAAGGCGAGGAGGAGGAGAGAAGCTCAGATTGTCCAGTAGATTCTTGCTCCGTAGAGCGATCCAAGTAGTCAAGAGCATTTGGAAGTTTAATCGGTTGACGGTGAGACCTCCTCTGTTTCGCCTGGTCGAGGATAGGTCTCGATTTCTTCCCCATCGTCTCCGGAGAAAGCGGCCGGCTGTTGTATCCCTGCTGTGTAATGGTACAATCGCTGCTGCTTGAGCGGGATGGAGTCTTTGGTGTTGAAGGCGAAGGCAACAGACGGGACAATGTTGCTCTCAGCGTCCGCTCGTTGGTTTGATGAGGTCGGGTGAAGGCTCGCTTCCGCGGATGTATGCCTGCCCTGCCTTTACCACTCGTGATGGACGACTTGTCGTCGATGTTGAGCGAGCGTGAATGGTTGGAGCGCTGGGCGGTTGACAGCCTTGCGGAGGGTTCTGTTCGCCTTCTGCCGGCCCTGGTCTCCGTTCGTCTCCGGGCGATAGAGCGCGCCCCTGTAGCTTTGTCTGCAGCTTCCCGTTCCAGAATTGGACCTGTCACTTTAGGTGGTACAAGGGAAAGTCCGGTCTCTGCATGTAGCTTCACAGATGACAGATCAGTCTACCTGACGTTAGACGCCATCGGTGTTGGCAACATACCATGGTGCCCAATGTACAGTTGAAGGCAATGTCCAGCAGCGAGGCTCGAAAGAACACGAAAGAAGCATGGAGCAAAGAAACAAGAAGGAAAGGAATGAAGAAACGGAGGAGGAAACGGCAGAAATACGGTCGTCGTCCAACAAGGCACAAGGCCGAAGACAGGGGGTACAATTGGATCGCATCTTCAGACGGGGAGAGAGGGAAAAGATACCTTGGGAGATTGCTGTTCGCCGTCTTTGGTGTGACCCAACGTATGCGTGCGGCTTGCAGCAGAAGCGGGAGATGTGCTGAACAATGATTCGCGCCAGCACATCGCGCCGGTGAGAAGCAAGGAGGGAAGTGGGATATGCGAGTCCGAGGTACTTCTGACAGATGGGTGTACTGCATCTGTCAGCCGCATTTCACCACCCAAATTAATCGACCGTCAGCATCATTGTCTTATCTATTGCACCAACGAAATCAAACAATGGGCTCTCTGTACAACCAAAGCATTCCCATCCTCATCAAGCAGATGCGGAATCTGTCCCACCACCTGACGAAGGCCGTGCAGTATGCCGAACAACAGAATGTGAAGCAAGAGAAGATGCTCGAATGGCGTATGCTCCACGACCTGCAAGGACCGTGAGTTGGTAGTCACCAGCACTCTACTACCCAGTCTCCTGCTGACCGGCGTCATCTATCAACAGCCTCCTCTACCAAATCCAAAGCGTCTTGAACGCCGCCAAGTTCCTCCCCTTCCGTATAGGCGCGCTAAAGGAAGACACGTACTTCCCGGACGACGAAAGGACGTTTGAAGAACTGCTGGCCCGCACTGCTACTACTCTTCAACTGCTCGAGAGCGTCGACGAGCAATTCATGGACTCGCTCGACGGCAGCGAGCCGGTCATCATGAGGACGAAGGGGCAAAACTTCAAGTTCGCCAATCGTCAGGCGTATATAGCGAACTTCGGCATGCCGAATTTCTACTTCCATCTCACGACCGCTTACTTCACTCTGCGCTCTTTGGGGGTCAGGTTGACTCCAATGGAGTTCCATGGCTGGGGCACGCTTGAGAAGACGGATGAGCCGTAGGCAAGGGGGTTGCCCGTCGAGTTAGTGCCGAACAATGGCCAATGCAAGACCGATCTCGTGTCACCCACATCCCGTCTTCCGGAATGTACACTTGTGCCTTTTGAGACGTATCACATTGCAATCACATAGAGCAGAACACGGTCGGTGATGTTCGGCGGTGGAGCGGTGCAAGCAATTCCTCCAATCACGTGCCACTAGCCAGAATCCGAACTTCACCTCTGCAACTTAATTTCCATCGCCGTAATTGTAGCTATCAATATTCACGACCAGCAGCGACATCATGGCGCGAAAAGCGCTGCAGACCGACCAGATCGTCAAGCTCATCGTCGGCGCCGGCCAGGCCTCGCCTTCACCCCCCGTCGGGCCAGCATTGGGCAGCAAAGGCGTCAAGTCCATGGACTTTTGCAAGGTAAGACGAAAACACACCCCTCTCCATCCTCAAATCGCACAGTTCCACCCCAAAACAATCCCATTGTAGCGCCAATCTAACCTCGTCCCTCTCACGCAGGAATTCAACGCCCGCACCGCAAACTACATCACCGGCACCCCGATTCCCGCCCGCGTCACCGTCCGCCCCGACCGCTCCTTCACCTTCGAAATCCGCACCCCGCCCACAGCCTCCCTCCTCCTCTCCGCCGCAGGCGTGGCACCGATCAAGAACAAGCTCAAAGGCGCGGGCAACACATCCGGACCGAATTCCAAGGCGGGCACTGAGGCAAAGGGCAAGGCGTCGTTCAATGCGGGCGCGGCCCCGGGGAATGCGGGTTTGGGCAGCGTGGGCACCGTCAGTTTGAAGCATGTGTATGAGATTGCGAGGATTAAGCAGAGCGAGTCGCGGCTCTCGGGCATTTCGTTGGAGGGCATGGTGAAGACGGTGATTGCGCAGGCGGGGAGTATGGGGGTGGTTGTGGTGCCGTGAGGAAAGGAATGAGGGACGGCCGAACGAATTGCATAGCGACCGGCGTCTTTCATCTTGGTGTATCCTGCCGGCAGGGACCAAGATACCCTCGCGAACTGTACGAATACAACTGTCCACCTCGAACCTGCGAACCATCGCCCTCCACTCCACACACTCCACCTCCGCCACCAATCTCACCCACCGCCACACTCCCAATGACATCAATCCCGCCCACCACATGCAGTCGCACAAAACACCGCCACCACCAATCAACCACCAGCCACGCCGCCTCACCAGTGCGGCAACAGGCTAAACCCCGGCCCAACTTCCACGCCTATATCAACGAAATCCCGCGCGCCAACAATCAATGCCACCCGGGCCGAGTCGTCGGTATATGTGTGGGTTGTCTATCCGAGTGCGTCGCCATCAAGCTAGCCGCGGGTGCAGGACATACTCCGAGTAGCTCCTACGTTTGAACAAACAATGGGGCGAAAAAAGCCGGGCTCGCGTCGCGAAACCCGGGTGGACGGCGCTCTTTTTTGGTCCTTGCTCGGATCTTTGAGGAGAGAGGGGCTGCTGGCGAGAGCAAGGCCGCGAGTTCGAGTCTGGGAGGGAAGTGGTGTTCGAGAGCATTCTCCTTTTGCTATGCGGATGTATGAATGAGGTGGATGGCAGTGGGCGAGGTGGTTTATTTAGGTTCTTGGCACATCTACGCCCCTTTTACATCTCCTCCTTGACTGTCTAGAGGGAAGCTGGGTGAGTGACTGAGTGCACGGCCGCAGAGTAGGCTCCATGGACGAGCACACTTCTCACCACAGTGTTGTTCAATTTCCACCCCTCGCCGTCGCGTGAATTCACAATAACTTTAGCCAACAGTATATTAGGGAAAGGGAAGATATAGGAACGGTAAATCCGCGTGCAGAATAAAAATCCCGTGTAGACATCAAGTCCACACGGCTTCAATTACTAGCGGTATTAAACACCGAATCTAACCCTCTTCACCCCATCTCCTGACCAGCCGTCGATGCGTGTCATCATGTCAAAAAAAGAAGCAAAGGCCTCAGGAAGGATTCAAGCGAAGCACCAGCGCTAGTCTCAGAAGAAAGACCTTCCCATTGTCTATTCCCGCGTCCACCCACCCCGATTCTATTTTTGCGCCCCGCCTTCCCAATCCCAGTGGTGTTGTATATGCCAGAGCAAAAGAGCCTTCCAGGCCCGGCTCCCCAAGCGAATGTAAAAGCTGTACAGCGTGTTGATGTTTTCCCGATTGTGGTAATACAGGAAAGTAAGCGAATGTAGGGTATCTCTCGAAACCAGGTAAAAAGAGAACAAAGCCGACCGTCCCAGGGAGTCCCAAAAAGTATTAGTGAGCTGCGCCGAGCTCGGGGAAAATAGGTGTTGCCGCCGGCCTGTGCATGCCTGACGCGGGAGCAAAGTCGATGAGCTCTACCGGCGTTCGTGCGGCAGGCCGGCGGGAGAAGAGGAAGGGGGAAAGAAAGCGCGCCGCCACGCCACGCTAAAGCGAATCCCGTAGTGAACAAAAGAGGCCGTCAAGTCGTCATTCTGCGCCCCGGGCTGCAGCCGGTGTTTGGGGCGAGAAGCAGGGTGTCTATTCCAGCGTACGCGTGCACCGCAGCATGTCGTCGCTCCTATGCTTTTGGCGGATGCTCTGTGTCGGAGGTGTATGACGCTAGCGTCTCGCCTTCCCATGAGCCCTCGGAGATGGGCGAGCGGACGCCGGTGGAGGGGTCGCGGCTGCTGCTGGAGAAGCTGGAGCTGGAGCCGATGGTCCACTCGTCGCTATCGGCGTGGAAGCGGGCGGGGTGGAAGTCGTCGAGGTCGGCGAAGTCGTCGTAGGAGGGGTAGGCGGTGGGGTCATCGTCATCGGGCTCGCCGTATTCGACGTAGTCGTAGTCCCAGCGGAACATTTTGCCCTCCTGCAGGCGTGGGAGGAAGCGGCGGAAGAGGTAGTAGATGAAGATGGAGATGGTGCTGCCGGCTACGAGGTCGATGGCGTAGTGGTGCGAAAGGTACATGGTGGACCACCACAGCCAGCCGACGTAAAAGATGAAGAGCGGTTGTAGGCGCGGGAAGGTGTGGGCCATGAAGAGCGCTTCGATAGTGGCGCAGCCGGAGTGTAGGGAGGGGAAGGCGCCGAAGACGACGGGCGAGGCGGTGAAGGTGGAGGTGTAGAGTTTGATGCCAAAGAGCTCGTCGATGGCTGCGAGGCCAGCGGGAGAGCCGGGAATGGAGTAGTTCGCGGGTGCGAGGCCGTAGATGTTCTCATACCACGGCGGAGAGCATGGGAAGAGCAGCTGCGTCATGACGCCAAAGATGTTCATGTAGCCAAACGCTCTTGCAAATATGGGCGCAGTTCCGGGCGGTCCAAAGATGAACATGAGGCCGGTGCAGACAAAGGGCGCGCCGAAGTGGGTGATGCCGTACGGCAGCCAGGCGAGAACGTTGAGCACGTTGTTCTTGTGCGCGGAGAGGATGTTGCTGAGGTTTGCGCCGTAGAGGATGTTCTCGAGGGCGGGTAAGATGCGCACCCAGATGGGCGGGCGGTATTCGCCGGAGATGAACTGGCAGGCGTAGAAGCCGACGAGCCAGCCGGCGATGGGGAGGAAGGGGAGGAAGAATTGGCGGGTGAGCGGTATTATCAGGCTGGTCATGAGCAATGCGGCGAGCAGCGTCTTGAATAGCGGGCCGTGGGTGGGTATGATGCACAGGCTGAAGATGCCGATGAGGGCCAAGAAGAGGTATTGGGCGTCGTAGTAGCTCCATTGGTGTGTTCGGAGGGCGCGGAGGGTATCGGAGGGGCTGATGGAGGTGTTGAGCGACGCGATGGAGGAGGTGGGCGTCTGCATGGAGCGTATGCGCGAGCGGGTGGAGCGGAACTTGCGTCGTATTCGATGCGGGAGGAGGATGTGGACGGAGGGCCATGAGAAGGGCAGTTTGGAGACGGAGAAGAAGCGCTGGGTGGAGTCGTCGCCCCCGAGGGAGAAATATTGGGTGAGCATGGCGGCGCGGGCGTGGATGAAGGTGTATGGTGTGTCGTGTGCGCGCGTGAGGATGAGAGCAGTGGCGGATGTCTGGAGGCCGTGGGCAGCCCGGCCAGCCCAGGTGAGGAAGTCGCGGGTGACACAAGCCGGTTGGCAGGGCAGGAGCGAAGGGCGGCGGAGGCGTGTGGAGGGCGGAGAGTCGCAAAGGAGGTGGCAGAGGAGAGAGGTAAGACGGAGGTGGAGAGAAAGTGGTGATGTGGTTATCAGATGTTGGCCCGGCGCTGGCAGCGAGTTGCTGGGGATCGCGGGAGATTAATCGGGTTTCTTGGGCTGGGGCTAGCGATGGTTGGCGGCCGCAATCTCTTTCCGCGCCGCACGCGACAAGCGTCGATCCCGCGCCCGATGATGCACACTCCAACGCGCACGAGACCAGCTGGATTGCTCTGCACTGCCCGCACGCGCACAGAAAAAGTGCGAAATGCGAAGTAGAAGTGTTTGGAATGGTCTTCCTCTACCCTCGACGGCGCTGATGGCTGCAACACAGGTGTATTGGCGATGGATGAGGCCGGACGGTGCTGATGCTGGAATTGCCAACTCTTACATCAGCGCGCCAACCGGCTGCTCACGGAGAGAGTGAGCAGCCGAGTCCGTCCGGGCTGACTTGCTTCTACGTCCCAAACCTATTCGCCTTGCTGCACGTCCGACATAAAATTCATATTTTCACTCGGCAACACGCGGTGATTGGTGGACGGGGGTGGATGTGGGCGGATGCTGTGCATAAAACGGCGTCTAACCTTGCCAATCCACACCGGTGGCTTGGTGAAATGACTTCAGCCCGCAGTGCTAGCCTCTCTGCTCTTTTTTTCACTCGCTTGGCGTCTTTTCTTCATGTGCCCGCGCTGACATAGCATGTGATGGTGGGCAAGTCAGTGAAACGGGCAATTTCGCGGTTGAACCAAACCACCCTGCCCCTACCCATATCACCTATCCTTTCCCATTCAACGTCCTCACAACACTCCTATCTATATTGCATACCGTATGCGCCATGCAAAAGCCAAGGCGCAGTCAGCTGAATCTGATTCCAGCTTGCTGCTGATGCCGCGCCGAAGCAATAGTGGAGCCCTGACCGCAGCCACAGCTCGATGATGTAATCCCACCCAAGCTTCATGTTGAGCGCGATCGCAAGCAATCGACGCCCAGCCACCGAGTAATTGATCGAGCACATCGACATTTACTCTTGTTCGACTTCACGTGACACGACTGACTGCACTTCACCACTTCTCCTACTCCTTCATGCCCGTGAACGAAGTGGAAGGCCTGAGAATATCGAATGCATCAAGTACCAAGTACTAGGTAAGAAACGCCAAGGCAAGCCGAGACAGCCGGCCACAGCTGGAACAGACGGCTGTCGGAGCTCGCGCCTCGCACTCGCAGGCATGGCATCCTCCGTCCCGAGAGCGACGCTACGTGCAAGGCATAGACCGCAACCGCGCAAAGTGCAAAATGCAGAACGCAAAACGCCGCAAAAGATCCACAAGCTCCGCCGCAGCATCATCTATGCCCCATTGACTACCCCAGTTTGCGGCTTCTTCGCCTTCAGCATCCCGGTGTGCAGCGGGAAAGGCTGGCCCATCCAAATGGCCCGCTGCGTGTGATCTCGATATTCGTCGTTGGTGTTGGGATGCACCAGAGCACTCAATGGACCGCGATGAATTGTCAACCACGGAATAAAACTGCCAAATTGCTGAGGCGTGAACAAGTTGACCTCGAACATCGCCACGGGGTGCGGGCCAATCGGTCTATCCCACACTTTGTAGACTCGCAGCTCGGGAACTGTACAGACACAGTCAGCCTGATGGTACCCTCGTAACTGATCACCGTGTAAGACGCACACTCTCGTCGAATCCTCTCATGCAGCTCCTTGGCAAACTTGGTCTCAAACTCGTTGCCTTGCAGGTAGTAGATGTGCACATCGAAGCCGCCGCGTTCGTCTTTCAACAGCGGGTCCACGAATTCGGTGTAGGAGGTGCTGGGAGACTTGGCCGGCGGGTTCACAAACGACTTTCCGTCCTTTTGCTTCTCCCTGCGAGCGAGTCAGTCGAAGCCTTGCTTCTGCGAGATGTTGCGCGCCGCTGCACCCACTCAGACAAAGGCTCCAGGCCTTGGTAGCCCTTCAGCGGAGACTCGTATTCGTAATCATATGGGTCGGCCATGGTGGAGGGCGTGTCGTGTAGCGTATTCCAACGGTCGATGCGTGTGAGTTAGGTCGAGTAGTCCTGTGGTTGCGCACCAGCGACGTCTTCTTATACCAATATCGAATCCGTGGTTTATTCAGCAGAGGCCAGCCTTCACACGCTTGACTTGCTCCCTGCTTATTTCAGCAGCGGCTCAGGTCCGCGCTTGATTTCCAACCCGGGTACAGCATTGGGGAGATATCCGTCTCGTGCACGCTCGCCGGACAAATGGCAGCGCGTCCAACTAGTAATGTAGGTTGATGAAAATCGCACAGCTTGCCAGCAATTGCGCCATCTTGTTCTTCGCTATCCCGTGCCATCTCCCATCCATGCCGCCCCACCATCACGTGCCCGCGGGGGCAGCTCGCGTCGCTGGCGCGAAATTTAGAGTTTCAATTTGTCGCGACTCTCAACTCCATCAATCTGCAGGTCTGCGCCGACTTTCGTCCCAGTCACCCTCTCGCATTTCAGCACCCACATATTGATATCTGTATTGCTACGGCATGTCGAGCGATACGCATGCGACTTCACAAGCCATTCAGACCGTCAAAAATGCGCTGAAGAAGTGGGAATGGGAGTTTCGCGCGGCGAATGGAGGGAGGAAGCCAGGGCGCGAGGACATCAAGAACGATGCGGCAATTTGTGCGTCTACTATGCAGGCGGCTTGAGGATCGATCGTGCTAACGGATCGCGCGATATCCAGCTGCACAGTATGAGGAGTACGACAGGCTCACCGGTCGAGGATCGAAAACTCGCTCATCCCCACGAACACGGCAGCCGAAGGGCGATAATGGAAAACCCGATGAACGCGTTCTACAAGGCCGATCGGCGAACAGTGTAGCTGCTACTCCGAAAAAGGCTTCAAAGTTTACAGAGGCGATCGAGGACAATCCGGCACAAGAGGATGAGCCAACACCAGCATGCGTTCGCTTTGCCCTCGGGCCAACACCGCAGAAAGACGGCGCGGTGCTGAGCCTGTTCGACTCCTTTCCTACCCCTACACCGTCGAAAAGCGTCGACACTCTCACCGCGTCAATGGCGGCCACTGTAAACGCCACCCCAAGCAAGTCAAGCGCCCAGCAATCCTCAGAACAAAAGTTGGCCAAAACACCGCAATCGTCCGCGAAAAGATACTACCTCGAAGCTTTCGGCGGCACGCCGCTGAAGCGGAAGAGAGATGACGAGGACGTCTTCACGCCTAGTACCGTCAAGAAGCAGTTCGCTACCCCCGCTTTCCTACGCCGGAATCGTTCGTTGGCCCCGATCGACGAGGAAGACGGGGAAGGTGCTGCTCTGCCGTTCAAGAAACGAGGACTGGTGCGGAGTCTGAGCGCCATTATTCAGGGGCTGAAGAAGCAAGAGGAAGAGCGACTGGAGGATGAGTGGGACGTTCTGAACGAGATTGAAGCAGAAGAAGCAGATGGAGGGGAGACGCGGTCGAAGGGAGACAAAGTGCTTGTGGAGGATAGCCAGGCTGTCGAGATGCCGCTTGGCCCGGATCAAGGCGTTGAATCCGATGAGGAGCGCGGAGATCAAAACGCATTAGACGCCAATGGGCAACCGAGGAAGGTGTGGAAGAAGAAGGGGCTGAAGCGGCAGACGCGGCGTTCGATCATGCGGCCTGTGCTGCACAAAGCGCAGAAAGCTGTGGACGATGGTAAGGGCGAGGACGACGAATCAGACGATGCTGCGTCCCGTGGAGAAGCATCCGGAGATGAATCAAAGACGACTACCAAGCCTGGCGCAGAAGACGGCAACACGGAGAAGAAGAAGCGAAAGGTCAGCGCGCAAGCTCACGCCAATTTCCGCAAGCTCAAGATCAAGAACAAGAACTCCAAAGCCAATGGGCGGGGCGGGAGGTTTGGCAGGAGGTGATCTTTGTGTTGGCATTCTGATGCTTGTGTGTGTTAACATGCTTGCTGTTCTGTAGACCTGTCGAAGCCGTGCGCTCGTACTCATGTCCGCGCCCTTTTGCCTCTCAACCCATTCTGGAGCCGTCCATGCCTGCGCTGTGTCCATGAATATACTCAGCGCTTTCTCCCACATGTCCGCTCAAACCGTAATACTCTCATATGCCCCCCCACTCAGCCGCAGTTCCAGCGAATTGTCATCCATCTCCGTTGCAACGTCTCATAAACCATCAGCTCATCCGCTCATACGTCTCCTCCCAAGCCATAAATCAGCCAAGCAGCGAGGCAAAAAAGCCACCAACCGCTAGAATCAACCCAGCATCAAATCCAAAGATCGAGCCAGGCGATCCAGCCATCAGCAAGCCCTCCCACCACACCACCCAGCCCACCCAGCCAGCCTAACGCACCATCCCCATGACACAAAAACCTCCAGCAAACCCACCCCAGCAATCCACACCTGGCTTCAAATCCCACCATCGAGCCAGAAAGCACGCCACTTCACCCAACTCACGATCCGCTCTTGCGAGCCCGCTTTTTCGCGGGCGTCTGCTTTTGAGCTGCGTTCTCGGGTTCCTTAGCTGGGCGTCCGCTGCGCTTCTCCTGCGCCGTGGCGTTGTTTCCTTCGCTGTTGGGGGCGATGGGAGTGGACTGGTTGGCTGCGTGGGGAGCTTTTGCGGCGGTTGCTTTTGGACGGGGTTGCGTGCCTGGCGTGGCGTCCTCGGTGGGATTGGTGGATTGCGAGCCAGGGAGAGTGATATGCTGCTCAGTAGTGCTAGGAGCAACGGGGGAAGCGAGAGCTGGCTGCTCTGTCCCCTGGCGAAGGACAGGTTCTTCCCCCTTTCCGTTCGCGAGCCCGGCCCCCTTGCCCTGTTCCAGCGCCGATATGCTCTTTGCCTGCGCCTGCTGCGCGGAGGTGAGGCTGGCTTCACCGCCATTGGGAGTGGCGGGAGCTGGCACGATACCTCCGGCGGCAGCGAGGCTGGTGAACAGGCGGGACTTCACGGGGTTGACTTTCCTGCGCTTGATCTCGGGTTTGTAGAGAGGCGCAGAGGTGGTGTCGTTGTTGTCGTCGTCGTGCTTGCGCTTGTTTGAGGCGGCGGGGATGGGAGCGGCGGGCACCACGGCGGGGACAGAAGGCACAGGCTCCGGCTTCTCCTGAGCTTCGGTCACCGGGGTAGTGACGGGAGCGGCGACGCCTTTCTCGTAGTCCTCGGTCTCAGCATCCGGAAGACCAGCGTACGGATCGAGCTTCTTCATATCCGCCTCCTTCTTCTTCTGAAACGCTGCTGCCCGTCTGGCGTCCTTCTCCTCCTTTCTCAGCTTCAATTCCGCCGCCTTGCTCTCGAAACTCTCAATCTGCCTTCTGTGGCGCTCGTGCTCGGTGGGGGGAGCGAACTGGTCGTCGAAAGCGTACTTCTCCGGGTCGACGATCTCGAGCTTCTTCGGCTGCGGCGGGTTCCGAGCGGCCTCTTGCCTGGCCAGAGTCCCGTTGAGAGGCGCCGGGAGGATTTCGATGCCAGGCTCTTCCGTGCCCCAGCTGGTGGCCCCAGGCGGCAGCGCTAGTCCGGCGAGGATCTGAACCCTCTTGGCGGGCTGGAAGATCTCCCCGACGTGCTTGCGCTTCGTGGGGTTGTTGAGCTCCTGGCTCTTGTTGGTGATTGGCTCATGCAGAGGGGAAGTGGCTTGTGGCGCCGCGGTGTCGTGCCCGTTCGGCTGGTGTTGATCCTCAGCCAGAGCGTCAGTAAGCTTCTGGGCCAGGATGTCGTTTTCTTCTTCGTCGAAGGCCTCGTTGAGTTTCTTGACCATGAGGCGGTTGTGGAGAGCGGATTGCTTGCTGCCTCTGGTCTGGGGACGGACGGATTTGGAGGAACCGGAGATGCTGGCGCCGCTCTTGTATTTGGAGACGCTCGCCTTGGAGAGGCCCTTGGGGCTCGGGGTGGGAGTGGGAGATCTGGCCTTGCGGGAGCGAGGGGCTTTGGAGGTAGTAGAGGGAACCATTTGAGCGGTGATGTGGTGATGTGTCGTAGGTTTGGGTGGCGTGGAAGGTGTGTGGAAGGTGTGTGGAAGGTTGGTTGAGGAGGAGAGTCGTTGGTTTCGAGATCTGCAGGTCCGAGAAACCGTTTGAAGATCGAAGCGACGAGTTACCGTGCCCAGGTGGTGCAGAACGGTATACACGGCGAGTGTTTGAGCTATAAAGAGTTCGGATGATGTCGTGGCTGAGTAGTGGTAGTAGAGGGAGATGAAGGGAGGCGGTGGTCGATGAATCTGTAGGTGCTAGAACGAACGATGTCTCGTTTGGCGAAGGCGGCAGCGATGTGCAGACGCTCAAGCAGTGCAGAAGCAGCGAGATGTGAAGAGTGTTGCAGAGTTGTGCGATGTGCAAGGGATGCAAAGAGTGCTGGGTCAAGAAGGGTGTTGAACGATGGTGAGAAGTGGGAGAAGAATGTCTTTGCAAGCGGGAAGGGACAACACTCGGGGGAATGAAATTTGCAGAACGTCACGGAACGTCACGCGTGCTCTCGAAGGGGAAGGAGCGGGAAACTTTGAATGTTCGGTGGCGGGGTGGGACTGTGGAACCTGGGTGGTGAATGCACAGACGGCGGCGTCTGAAGTGTGAATTTGCAGTTTGACTTGTCTCCTGATAGACGGAGGAGCATGATAGAATGCATTGGAGCGGAGGATATGTGCTTGGTTTGTGAGCACACGCCGTCTGGCCGTTCTGGCGAGGGGTTGCCGTAGGATGGTGCATGTTCTGCAGCATGCACATACCAAGGGGTCACATGCTTCGCATAAATGGCCCATTGATCTCTCTTTGGTCAAGAGGATCGGGTTTTGACGTTTTTCCAGCCACTCAGTCGCCCGTCTGATTCCATCCTGCTCATACTCCACCCGATCAGGCAGAGTCGGATAATCATGGCATCCAGCGGCCACGACAGGGAGCGTAAGGCCATCCAGCTCGTCGCTCTGCAGGACAATGCCTCTCAATGCAGCAACGTAGCTCAATGAACCATCCCTCACGCCGCCGCCGGCGCAGCAACCGCACCCTTTTTCTTCTTCTTACTCTTCTCCTTCTTCCGCTTACTCCGATCCCTCTTCTTCAAACTCTGCATCCCCGCCCTACACACCTCCGCATACCGCGCAAAGAAAGCCGCCATCTCCTCCGGCTGCACGACAGTACTCAGCTTGACCTTATCGGGGTTCTTGGTCTTCATGTCGGCCTTGGTGCTCTCGCCATCTGTTGCTCGGACGATGAGGGGGAGGGGATGAGGCGGGTGCAAGTCCCAGAGGGGATCGTCGGCTACTTTGACGGGTTTTTGGGGGGCTGATGAGGTGTCGAATGTCACTGCGCGGAGTGAGTGTTAGCGCGTAGCTTCCGCACGAGTGAAGCAAGGAACGTACTTCTTTTCTGGGTGAGGTGCACGGAGCCATGGCCCTTTTTCTGTGTCTTTTCGACGAGGGCGGCGAGTTGGGAGAAGAAGTCCTCATTGCTGAGGTGTTCACGCGACATTTTGTCGTTAATGCGCACAAGATTGGGGCCAAATAAGGGGAATGGAGAGGTGGTGGTGGGCGTTTTGGATGAAGTGCGGTCGGAATTTCTGCCCCACACCCACGACCGCCTGCCGCCTTGCTGTTTGCTGGATCCACATCGATTGGATCGCCGCAACTGACGTAACTCCAATGGCATTTATTATTTGATTCAAAGCACACTTTTGATCTTGTCTTCTACCTTTTCCACTGACTCTCAATACTACCTGTCAAGACTATTGTGAAATTCCCCCATCGGACCCAACATGGCAGCGACAACACCCCGCACATTAGAAGGCAAAGTGTGAGTTTACCACTCCATGTCCTTTCCATACGCATTCAACTAACTCTTCTTGCCATCAGGGCCATAGTCACTGGCGGCTCACGAGGCATCGGCTCTGCCATTGCCTTCACTCTCGCCAGCCACGGCGCCAAAGTGGCCATCACATATACCAGCGACCGCTCCAGCGAACCCACCAAGGCCCTGGTAGAGCGCATCTCATCCGAAGCGAAAAGCAGGGCCATCAGCATCCAATGCGACCTCAAAGACCCCAAATCCCCGCAGAAAATCGTCGACGAGACGGTCAAGGAGTTCGGGCACATCGATATCCTGGTGAACAACGCCGCCGTCTTCTCCACCACCTTCCTCCCGGACATCACCCTACAGCTCTTCGAGGACCTCTTCCACACCAATGTCCGTGCGCCTATGCTGCTCAGCCAGGCGGTGCTGCCCCACCTCCGCCGCCCGGGACGCATCATCAACATCAGCAGCATTGGCGCCAGGGAGGGCCATCCCGGCTCAGGTACCTATGCCGCGACTAAGGGCGCATTGGAGGCTTACACTCGCACCTGGGCTGCAGAACTAGGCAAGGACGAGACGACGGTGAATTGCGTCAACCCCGGGCCGGTGGAGAGTGAGATGTTGGATTCAGTCAGTGAGGAGGTCAAGGGGCCGCAATTCCTTGCCACGCCGGTAGGGAAGCGCGCGGGCAAGCCGGAGGAGATTGCGAATGTCGTTGCCTTTTTGGCGGAGGAGAGGAGCAGCTGGATTAGTGGGCAGTGCATCAGTGCCAGCGGTGGCTATGCGCAGTATTGATTTGGTGTCAGCCTTGCCGAACTCGAGTCACGTGCGCGAGGATATCTTGACCCGGCCCGGGAACTTTCTGGAACAAGATAGAACATATCTGTATTGATAGATTAGAGCACATCTCTAAGAATAGAATAGATATTGTGAAGCAAAGGTATACATCTATCATACTCTGCCAACTGCAAGGCACATGACGCCACAATTCTGCATCGACGGAATTATTCAGAATCCCAACACCAAAAACTTCCCCAACTCCACCTCCTCACCCAACCAATGCAACAATGAGCCGCGACGCCTACAGAGGCCCCAAGCTGCCCAAAACACTGCTCGCACAGGTTCAAGGCTCGCAGGGCCCTCAGAACGGCCGGCGCAATGTGTCGCGCAAAGATCGCCGCCGCGCCGAGCGGGTCGAGAAGAAAAGCCAGACGTCCATCCGACGGCCGATGACCAAGTTGGATAATGCGCGCGCACGCCATGCGCGTAATACTGAGAATGCGGATGCGAGTGATGGGTTTAGCGAAGAGGAGGATGATGAGGAGGAGGAGGTCGTGCGGCCTGTCAAAGTTGCGAAGAGAGAGGGGGAGGATGCGAAGCCGCTTAAATCTATTTTGAAGAGGAGGGAGGAGAGGGCGGAAGTACAGTCTGCTTCTTCGGACGAAGAGGAGGAGGGGTCAGAGGAGTCGGGAAGCGACGCCGGCTTTGTGGCGTCTGCTCGTGGGGCGAAGAGGAAGCTGGAAGACGATGATGCGGAGATTGCGGCTTTGGAGAAGAGACTGGGGATGAAGAGCAAGAAGAGCAAGGCGTCGAAAGATGAAGGGTTGGACTGGCTCGTGGATGGCTTGGGAGATGAGAGTGGCAGTGACCTGGAAGATGGGGGTCGGGTACGGAAGAGCGCGGAGGATGAGGAATGGTTGAAGAGCAAGAGGATGAAGACTGCGGGCGCCAAGCGTCTGAATACCAAGAAGGTGGACAGAGAGGATGATGGCAGTGACGATGACAGCGACGATCTCTCGAAGAACGAGCTAGATGAAGAAGAAGAGAGTGGTGACGAGGACGGCGCCGACGCTTTCGAAGATGACGAGGGTGACGAGGACGATGATTCTGAGCAAGAAGATACGCGCTCCAAATTGCAGACCACCCGCCAACGAGAGAATCCATATCTCCCTCCAGTCTCTGCGACACCGGCCAACAAATACATCCCACCGTCACTGCGAAAGGAGACCTCCACGGAAGAGGGAGAACTTCTCAGGCAAATCCGACGACAGATCCAAGGTCTCCTGAATCGTCTGTCTGACGCCAACATCCTCTCTATCGTCAAATCCCTCGAAGAAGTCTACTCTCGACATCCCCGCCAACACGTCACCTCCACCCTCGTTGATCTCCTCGCCGGCCTAATCACAGATGCCGCTCCCTTGAATGACACCTTCCTCATCCTCCACGCCGCCTTCGCAGCGGCATTGTACCGCCAGCTCGGCCCCGATTTCGGCGCGCACCTGCTCGAGAAAATGGTGGAGTCCTTCGCCCACCACCACAACACTAAGACCTTCTCGTCGGGCAAGCAGAGTCTCAACGTCCTCGCCTTCTTGTCGTACCTCTACACCTTTCAGCTCGTTGGAAGTGGGCTTCTTTTCGACTACATTCGCCTGCTTCTGAATGACTTTTCCGAAAATAATACCGAGCTGCTGCTGCGTGTGATTCGCACATCCGGCCAGCAACTTCGTCAGGACGATCCATCTGCACTCAAAGACATCGTGCTGCTCCTGCAAAAGTCCGGCGCCATTGCCTCAGGAGAAGCCAACCTCTCCGTCCGCACGAAGTTCATGATCGAGACCATCAACGACCTCAAGAACAACCGGATGAAACAAGGCGCAGCCGCATCTGCGCTGGCAAGCGAGCACACGACGAAAATGAAGAAATTCCTCTCGTCCCTCAACACCAATGCGTCCTTCAAATCGACCGAGCCTCTCCGCCTCACCCTCGCCGACATCCACAACGCCGACAGGAAAGGCAAATGGTGGCTTGTGGGCGCCAGCTACCTCGATCCGCACAAATCGCAAACACCCACCGCCTCTACTGCAGCCACGACGCAGAACAACCTCGTCGACGACGCCGGCTACGAATCCGAGAACCCCGATGCCACTAACCTCGCCCGCCTTGCGCGAGCCCAGGGCATGAACACCGCCGTGCGCCGCGCCATCTTCATCACCCTGCTCTCTTCCGCCTCCTATGCCGAAGCACACGAGCGCATAACCAAATTGCATCTCAAGTCTAAGCAGCAGCTGGAGATTCCGCGGGTGCTGGTGCATTGCGTCGGCGCAGAGGAGAGGTATAACCCCTTCTACGCCCTTGTCGCGCGAAGGTTCTGCGCGGAGCGGGGACTAAGGAAGGGCATGGTCTTTGCCGTTTGGGATGTAGTGGGAGGCATGGTGGAGGAGGAAGATGCTGAAGAGGGCATGGCGATGCGCAAAGTCATGAATGTGGGCAAGTTCTGCGCGTACCTGACTGCCAGCGGGGGCATGGATATGAAAGTGCTGCGCAAGGTGGATTTTGCTTCGCTGACTTACGGGTCGCGGCAGAGCGTGTTTGTCGAAGTGTACCTCACGACTCTGCTCGTGCAGCTGCGGAAAGACCTACGTGGGAAGAGCGAGGTGGAGGCCGAGGATGCGATCAAGGCGCTTTTTGCCAGGACGGGCGAGGTGTCTGGATTGGCGGCGGGATTGTCAATGTTTGTAAGGGATGTGTTGGTCGACGGACATCTGGCGATGGGGAAGAAGGAGAAAAAGGCGCTGCGATGGGGATGTGAGATTGCTGCTGATGTTTTGAGGGATGCTGTGGCGAAGGGACGGGAAGTCGTAGAGGATGATGAGGAGTCTGACTGATGCACACGAATGAGGCTGCGGCGATCGGACGAATATGCGTCCATCCTCTGCTACCGCGCGGGTAAGCAAGTGCCTAGGAATTTTCTGGCCAAGCTTTCGACCCAATACATTAATGGACATCAGTCCCTCCCATCTCCACTGCACCGACTTCACTTACCCCATCAACACACATGGAACACTATCAAACTCCCCATCCCTTATCACGACACCACTGCCGCATGTGCCGTCCATCCCCGCCTACCCGCCACTCCGGCGTCGGAGCAGACGGTCAAAAAGCCCGCCACCTTCCCCATTGAGGCAACCCAGGCGAACATCATGATGCGCGCACACGCACCCGGCACGCGATCTGCTGCACGCTGCCAGCTCGTGCGGCCTGCGCAGGCCGCCGGCGGCGCACGGCGTCTGCTCCCCATGCGTGCCCTCCTCCGCTAGTTATCTCTTCGGAAGGCCAGGGTTCTCCGCATTCACGTATCAACGGTGGGGCGTGTCGGCCGACAGTTGAGCAACGATGCGATACCACGTTGTCGTGCTTTCTTCTTCTTCCTCTTCCTTCCTATTTCCTTCTCACTCCCCCTCTCTACATAGGTTTATACCGTACTCTTTGCTCACTCAAGCTAGCCATCCATCATGGCCGACATCGAGAAGGCGCACGATTACCACATCGACCCGGAGCTGGAGAAGAAGGTTCCCCCGGCCTACGCTGACGCCATTCGCCGCGGCAGCGTGCCCGAGGAGATTCTCAAGCACTCGCACGATGCGGACGAGGCGTTGAAGGCGGTGCAGTTGCACGAGGGCCAGGTGCTGGTGCTCGACGAGGCGACGAACAAGCGGATTCTCAGACGCATTGATTATAACCTTTTGCCGGTGTGTGTTGATTCTCTCGCTCCCAAATCTGCCTCCGTACTGATCGTTGGGCCTAGGTTATGTGTGTTGTGTATGGTGAGTTGGTTTCGTCAGCGACATGGTAGATGATGGTGGCGGCGGCGACTGATGATCCAACGTGCAGGGCTCAACTTCCTCGACAAGGTCTCAATCTCGTATGCTGCAATCATGGGGCTTGAGAAGGACATTGGACTCAAAGGGAACGAGTACGAATGGCTTGGAAGGTGCGTAGCTCGACAATTTGAAAGTCAATACAACTTCTAGCTAACCCTCCATCGCAGCATGTTCTATTTCGGCTACATCGGTACGCACCAACCCTCTTACCGCCTCGCCAAACACATAGCATACTGACTCGTCGAGCAGCTTGGGAATATCCCACGAACCGACTGCTGCAGAGACTGCCCATCGGCAAATACAGTGCAGGCTGCGTGATCGCCTGGGGCGCTGTGCTCACCTGTTTCGCGGGTGTGACGGATTTCGGCGGCGCGGTCGCCGTTCGTTTCTTCCTCGGTGTCTGCGAGAGTGCCGTCACGCCTGGCTTCGCGCTGATTACCTCGCAATGGTACACCAAGAAGGAACAGGGCACCCGCACTGGTATATGGTTCAGTTTCAACGGTTTCGCACAGATCTTCGGAGGCCTGGTAGCCTATGGAATCGCCAAGGGCGTCAACAAGGATGGCGCGTCGCTTGCGGGCTGGCAGATCATCTTCCTGACTATTGGCCTGCTGACGATGTCGTACGTATAGCAAACACTGCGGAGATGACGTCTCACTGACACGGTACTAGGATTGGCATCATCTTCTTATTCGTTGTCCCCGACAACCAGTTGAACGCGAGATGGCTGTCGGAAGAGGACCGCTACCTCGCTATTGAGCGCATCCGAGTCAACCAGCAGGGGGTCGGAAACAAGGTCAGTTTGCACTGGTGATGACCCGGAATGACATTCGTTAACAGTTGATGTCGTGCAGCACTTCAAGTGGTACCAGTTCCGAGAAGCCTTGACCGATCCCCTGACTTGTGAGTAGAACAGCCTATACCGAGACATCCAACAAACACCATCTAATCCATCTCTAGGGGCCATTGTCTTTTACGCGCTCGTAGCCGACATCCCCAACGGCGGCATCACCAACTTCTTCGCCCAGCTCATCGAAGGCTTCGGCTACACCGAAGAACAGTCCCTGCTTTACGCCGCTCCCGCCGGCGCCGTCGAAGTCGTCACCCTGGTCGCCGGCGGCTTCCTGGGCGACCGTTACGGGAACCGACTGCTGGTTTCCACCTTTGGCCTCGTGACCGGCATCACCGGCGTGGCGCTCATCGTCGGGCTGCCGTTGGGCAACGACAAGGGTCGGCTGGCGGGCTACTACCTTTATAACGCCGTGGCAATGCCTTTCGTAGCGCTGCTCGCTCACATTTCTTCGAATATTGTAAGTCCGACGCCGCGTTCGTTGGGTGTGACATCGTCAGATGCTAATCCCATCTCCTTCTTAGGCTGGCTACACGAAGAAAACCACCGTCGCGGCCTTGTACCTGATCGGGTACTGTGTTGGCAACATCATCGGACCGCAGGTCTTCCGGCCACAAGACGCACCGCGCTACATCCCCGCCGTCATTACCATCCTCTGCTGCCTGGTATGTCTCCCGACTCTCTTGCAATACTCTCTTTTATCAAGCGTGTTACTGATCAAACTCCACAACAGAGCGTGTGTCTGTTGGACATTCTGTTCATCTACTGCTACTGCCGCATGCAGAATAAGAAGAAAGCGGCCATGCGCGCAGAGCCTGGGTACGTGAAGCTGGAGAATCAGGAGTTCTTGGACCTGACGGATCGGGAGAATCCCGAGTTTACGTACACGTTGTAGATGATCAGGTAGAAGTACGTAAGAAGACGAAGTAGCTCCGAGCACACAGTCCCTTGCACATCTATCTGCATTCATGCCGCGCATATAGGAGGATAAATCACGACAACACAGCACCACAAGCCCCACACACCGTCCCAAACACCACCAGGCCGACGCGCACCATGTGCAGCGCCACCCACTTGGCCACCAGCGCCTGCGCCTCCTCGAGCCCAAAGGCATCGTTTTGAGCGGCTTTCAGCATCAAGCGGTCGTTCGTCGGCACCATTTGCGTCACTGTCCATGGCACAATGGCGGGGATCGATACGGCTGCTGCGGTGTACAGGGCGAAGGGAGTGGTTGGGTCGAAGGGTCCGGCATCGGGTAGAAGTCCCTTCAGGTTTCGCGCTGTGTCGGTTAGCATGGCTGACTGCATGCATTGCTACGAAGAGACTCACATTTGTAAGCTAAGAAGCCGAAGCAGATGGCACAGGTGATGGCGTAGGGCGGTGCCTGGGATTTGACAATGCTCGATTAGCTCTTGCTCCAGCAAAGTGTTTTGGAGAATGAAAGGACTCACCACCGAAGCACCAATCTTGTAGAAAGCAAGCCATTGTTTTGCGAGCAGGTTGTCCGGGGCGGTCTGGAGAAGGACGGGCATGGTGATGTGGCTAAAGGAGATTTGCAGGCCTTTTGTTGCTACATGAGCTGGCTGCCGTCTAGCATTGCTATGACATGATCTGATGCGCACCTGAGAGGATGCCTGCGGCCGTGACGCCGAAGACCTTTGCGATTGGGATGAGGGCCATGTTTGTGAGGAGGCTAGAATGGGTTGGAATGGCTCCAATGGGTATGGAAGAATGTCGGGCCTGGTATGTCTGACTGCTGAGATTGATATTGAGGATTCAGAAGAGAGAATTGATGTTCTGTCAAGACTCAATGCCTTATATGTCGTCTTTGGCGCGGACCAGTCGCTCGCGTGGATGCGTAGCTTATGGCGGGATTTCAGTTCCCCCGAACACGTGCATTGAATGTCGGCCAACGGAGAAAGCCGGAGCGGCACAATCCCGGCCCCTTATGGCAGCCTTGCTGCTTGCCTGAGGCATCATCGTCCGGAGCATTCGAATGAAGGGGCGTTCCGGTTCTTTCAACCATGTGTTACACCCTTGCTAGCGACTGGCCATTCACAAGACCAAGCGGCAACGCATGCCAAAGATGCAGAATTGTATCTTCTCAATATAGCGTGAGTTTCGAAGTTACCTGTAATTCCAAACGACACGAGGAAGGGATCGTCTGAATTGACCGGCTGCGTCCAATGCGGTGTCGCTGATCGTACAGCTTTCAGCCAGTCTGCTTACCTCGATGGGCTTCGCGGAGATAAGATGGCGATACCTCAAGTCCGCAATGAATAAATCAAAGGGGGCCGTCACATTCATGGCTCCCACACAACCGTGTCCGGGATTCGGAAAGGAAATGCTAGACATATTCAGAGACTCTTTCGTTGGCCAGGCCACGCGCATCCTCACCCGTCACCGCTTCTGCCGATATCCAGAGGACGATCCGACCTTCGTCTTGCGTGAGGAAGTCTCCAAGTTGTCTGTACCGCGGCCGACTGAAGACTCGGAGAAACGTGAGGACCCAGTCGTGACATGGTACGATGCAACAGATCCCGAGAACCCTCAAAACTGGGGCGCCGTGAAGAAGAGCTGGGTGTCGCTCCTCCTCCTTCTCTACACCTTCTCCGTCTACATCGGCTCCTCCCTGTACACCGCCAGCGAGGCAGACATCAGTGACATCTACCACGTCTCGCCCGTGGCATCCGCCGTGGGCCTATCGATATACGTGATCGGATACGGTATCGGACCCCTGCTTTGGTCGCCTCTGTCCGAGATCCCGGCCATTGGGCGTAACCATCCTTACTGCTTCACGTACATCATCTTTGTCCTGCTTTGCATCCCGCTGGCTTTTGTGGAAAACTTTGCCGGGGTCCTGGTGCTCCGCTTCCTGCTGGGCTTCTTCGGGTCGCCGTGCTTGGCTACCGCTGGGGCAAGCTATGGCGATTTCTGGTCCGGAGGAAAGATGCCTTATGTGATCGCGTTATGGGGCGGTGGGGCAACTCTAGGTCCTGTCAGTTGATCGCCTCTCTTTCTTTCATGTCGTTTGTACGAACGGGATCGCTGACCATGTACTTGTAGGCACTGGGTCCGGTGGTGGGCAATTTCGCCGTCGCAGCAAAAGGGTGGCGCTGGAGTACCTGGGAGCTGCTATGGCTTAGCGGGCCAACGCTCATCCTCATGCTTCTGTCCCTGCCCGAGACGTCCAGCTCCACGATTCTCTACCGCCGCGCTCGTCGACTTCAAACCATCACCGGCCGCAGTGACATCAGATCTGAGTCGATGGTTACACAAGCAAACATGAAACCTCGCGAGATTGCCGTTTTCGCTCTGGTCAAGCCGTGGGAGATCAACGCCCTCGATCCCGCCGTCTTGTTCTCCACATTCTACACGGCATTGATCTATGGCATCTACTACTCCTTCTTCGAGTCGTTTCCCCTGGTGTACCGCGACGTCTACCATTTCGACCAGGGAGCGCTCGGCCTCGCTTTTCTCTCCGTCCTCACCGGCCTGCTCATCGCCGTCTCGGTCTACGTTGCGTATTTCTACTTCATCGCCGACCCTTGGATGGCGAAACAGGATGAGATCCCTCCAGAAGCGAGACTGTGGCCGGGCCTCATCGCTACATTTTTGATCCCGATTGGGCTGTTCATATTCGGTACGTTCCGTAAAGCAACGCCATCTGAGTGGCCCCAACTAACGCATGTTGACAGCCTGGACAAGCCGTACATCAGTGCCTTGGATCGCCAGCATGATCGGCGTGGCCACGAGCATGTGCGGGGTGTTCATCATCACGCAGTGCATGTTCATCTACCTACCGTTCACGTACCCAACATACTCCGGATCGCTCTTTGCGGCGAATGGCTTCGCGCGCGCCATGTTCGCCGCCGGTGCCGTGCTGTTCGCCTACCCAATGTTCGAGAGTCTCGGCGTTCCAGACGGCGTGAGTCTCCTGGCGGCACTGACTTGCGCATGTTGTGTGGGCATCTATATTCTGTATTATCGAGGCGCGGCCATGAGGAAACGGAGCAAGTTTGCGGTTTCTTGATGCGCTAGTATAACCAAAACGCGGATTGTGTCACTGTGTTCCCTTCTCAGTGCCATTTCAGAGCTCTTGGCCGAGATCTTAGGTCTGTGGATGGGATGAAGAGTGTGGCGGTGCTGAATCAAGCAAATTTAAAGTTTCGACTGTCTGCGGGTTGTCCCTCCCGCGGCTGGCGAGAAGAGTTCTGCCCCCCGAAAGCATTCACTAGACACAACCTCGCACTCCGCAGTGTCGAACGTGACCATGGGCTCCAAATATGGCGTGATAGTGATGGGTCCGGCAGGTGAGAGATGTCTCGATCCACGCCCGCTCGCGAAAGAAAAGCTAACGTGGGTGAGCAGGGGCGGGGAAAACGACCTTCTGCTCGGCACTCATCGAGCATCTGCGAAACAACAGGCGATCATGCTTCTACATCAACCTCGACCCGGCAGCAGAGGACTTCGTCTACGAGCCCGACGTCGACATCAAAGACCTGATCTCGCTCGAAGACGTCATGGAAGAACTGCATCTCGGCCCCAACGGAGGTCTCATCTACTGCTTCGAATTCCTGCTCGACAACCTCGACTTCATCACCGATCCTCTCGAGACCGTGACGGATGAGTACCTCATCATCATCGACATGCCCGGCCAGATTGAACTCTATAGTCACGTGCCTGTCCTTCCGAATCTGGTTCGCCATCTCGCGCACGGCAGCCTTAACATCAGCATGTGCGCCGCGTATCTGCTCGAAAGTACATTCATCGTCGACCGAGCGAAGTTCTTCTCTGGCACTCTGAGCGCCATGAGCGCCATGTTACTACTGGAGCTTCCACACGTCAACATCCTCAGCAAGATGGACCTCGTCAAGGGGCAGGTGGCACGAAAGGACCTCAAACGCTTCATCGACCCTGACATCAGCCTCTTACAAGACGTCCCCGATAGCGGGCTGGTCTACGACGCGAATGAGAACTTGGAGACCCCGGATCCAACAGAATCGCAGAGCGTGATGACAGGAGAGTCATTTGCAAGACTCAATCGCGCCGTTGGTCAACTCATTGACGAATTTAGTCTGGTGTCTTTCTTGAAACTCGATGTACAAAATGAGGACAGTGTGGGATCTGTGCTTAGCTATATCGACGACGCCATACAATTCCACGAATCACAGGAGCCCCGTGAACCGATGGACGATGTTCAGGACGACGGCGACATGGGTTGAGCAATCTTCTGTTCGACTGGACTGGCAGGTGCCACCCGTCGTCGAACCCGGAGAGTGCATTTTGGCGTACTATGACCGCAAAATGCTGCAGTACTGGCCACGATAGACCGAGCACTCGCCTCGAGAGCAGGCTCACATACAACTAAGGACCGGTCTGGCTCGGCTAAGCTTGGTCAAATCGAGTCTGAGGCGCGGGTAATACGAAGAAGTCACCACTAGGAGGGTTCAACTATGTCGCCGCTTCTCGATCCGTACGGAAGCTATCAAGACTCTCCTTGCGCTCCTCCGGCCGATTCTTGTTATCGACAACGCTCGCTCGTCGCCGATCCTTCAACCGCATCAGAGATTCCGGCGTCTCCTCCAACGCCGCACCATCCTCGCCATCGATCTCGCTAAGTCCGTCCGCGGTGATGGATGCCCCCTCGCGGAACCGATAGGTGCGGAGCTCTGCCTCTTTCCTGCTTGCAATTTAGATCTATCCTGGCAAAGCTCTCGTCGCCGTTAAAGGCAAGCAGGGAATCAGATAGATGCCAGAAGACTCGAACTTACCACCATGGCGTTGTCTGGTTGCCTTCCGCATCCACATCTCCCGTCAGAAAATGGTTGAAGAAGCCATGCGAGACCAAGACGACCTCTTTCTCCGGTCGTGCCTTGATCCAACGGCGCAGCTTCGCCGCTCTGGATATCAATGCCTTTGGTTCAAATGCATATTCACCTTCGTGAACCCACCTGAAGAAATCAGCAATCATCTGACCCCATTCCCAATGTAATCCCTTACCAACCGTGCTTAACATGATCTCCAAGCCCACCATAAGTCAGCCACGTCCTCACTCTCACCAATAGTCTCTAAGGGAGTGGTATAGCCAGCACTCACCAAAGTCCACATGCTCGGGAAACTCGGCCTTCAACAGCTCAATCTCACTGCCCGTATCGCACGGCGCATTCGAAGCCTCTTCAGCAGTAGGCAAAGCAATAATCGTAAGCCCTCGCTCCACGCTCGGCGCAAAGGCGATCGCACAAGTTTGCAGAGCACGACGGAGCGGCGAGGCAAGTAGTAGCTCGACCTACGCGTCGGAGTCAGCCTATGTGGGTACGAAGGAAGTCCGAGCTGGGCGGGAATTTCACCTTGTCGTGTCTTTCAAAGGCCTCCCGTCTTTCGCGACACTGCTCGCGGCCCTTGTCCGTCAGCTCTGGGTCTCGAATGTCGTGCCCGTTGTCCGAGATGTTGTGGAAGCCTTGTCCGTGCCTCATTACATGCAGGAGCGGCGGCACTGTCGATCGTTAGTCCCTGTTCCCTGTCACGTCAGATGCCAATGGCGGGTGTACGTACTCGTGACTGCTTGGGGGTGTTCTTGCACTTGTCGCTGGTTCACGAGATCGTGTCAATGGCTCTATTTACCTTTTGACAACATTTATGCTGGTTCTTCGAGGCCTCGCTGGCTCTTTGGTTGAAGTGCGTCACCACGCATCGTTGGGCGCCGTGCGAAAGTCAATCGTCCAGCCTCTCAGGCTCACACCTGCTGTCCTTGCCTGAGAAGTACAAAGGCATCAATAATTCGTGTAACCTCGAACAACACGACTGTCAACATGAATCATCAGCAGACGGCTCCTCCGCCGCTACCGAAGTGGATAGACTGCTCTGAGTTCGTTACAACGGCACGACGCCACGTCGAATCGGAACGCCAGATAATTGATAAGATTGTTCGCACTGTGCCGCCCACCGGCGCCACTTTTGACAATGTGGTATTACCATTTGCAGAGATTGAGGATGCCTGTGCGGGAGAGCAGAGTTTCATTGCCGCCCTTCGGTATGCAGCAGTCGACGCGAGAACGCAACGCGCCGTCGAAGACGCCGAACAGCTGTACCGAGACTTTGAGGCCGAATTGGTGCAACGGAGCGACTACTTTGTTCTTCTTGAGCAGGTCGAAGGAAAAGGCAATGGCCATCTGCTTGACGAGGAGTGCAGACGATATCTGGATAAGATAATGCACCTGTACACCTCGAATGGCTACGGCTTACTTGATCCCGCACAATTGAAGCAATTTCAGGAGGCCAAGCAAGAGGGTGAAGCTCTCGGGGTCGCTTTCGAGCGCAACATACGGGAGCACGCAGACGATAACCTGCGCTTCTCCCTCGAGGAGCTGGTCGGTGTTCCGAGGGACAAGCTTCATCGCTGGCCCATTTCTGCCGACGGGCAGGTAGATGTGCCACTGCAATGGGCCAATGTGTGCGCGATCACAGAGCACGCGTGTGAGAGCCGGACGCGCCAGATCGTTCACGAGGCCTGGAGAAACCGCCTCACGAGCATCAACATTCCGATCTTCAGACGCATCGTTCTTCTTCGGCATGAAAATGCACGACGCCTTGGCTACGATACGTATGCCGAGTTCAAACTCTCTGAGCGCGTCGTGCGCTCTATTCCATCGGTCGAGGAACTGATGCAACAGTTGGCGCAGCGAATGACGCCGGCAGCTCATGCTTTGATTCGCGACTGCGAAACGAAGGCTTCTACAGCAAGACTGGAGGCTTGGGACATTCCTTATTATCTGAAGCAAATCCAAGCGGGGAACGGCGCTGATTGTGAGCAGATCAAAGAATGGTTTCCGGCGGAAAGAACATTCCGCTACATGCTGGACCTGTTGGGATCATACTTTCAGTTGCACTTTGATGAACTGCCGCGCGAGCAAATCCAGCAGCACGTTTGGGCGGAAGACGTCGGGGTCTTTGCAGTTTGGGATGTCGGTCGCGAAAACACGTTTGTGGGATATCTTTACAAAGATCTCTGGGCACGGCCGCTCAAGTTTCAAGGCAATCAGGCTGTCAATCTTCAACCGGTACGACGAACGGGTGCGCAAAGCAGCACCCCCTTTTTCTGACTTGCCAGGGTGACAGGGTTTCGTGCGACCAGATGACACTCGGGTCTATCCCGTCAGCACCATCATGTGCTATTTGACCAGGTCGGAAACGAGTACGTGTGCGCTGTTGGAGCATTCGCAACTATGGGCAATTTGGCATGGTGAGGAACCCGCCATGTTCACTTGGCCTGATGTCTGGACTGATTTGTTTGATATGGAGAACTCGGACACTGCATGCACGACTTGCTCTCCCGGACGAGATTCTCGAGGCTGCATGGATACTCGTCGCCGCCCGAGTTTGTCGAGGCCATAAGCACCATGCTGGAGAACTGGTGTTGGAAAGCAGACGAGCTGCGAGCGATGAGTTGCCACTTCACGCGCGAGAATGCGCAGTGCGAACGAGAGTGGAGGGACGCGCATCCAGGGGAGCCTCTGCCCCCCAAACAGCTCCCAATCGAGTTGGTGGCTCGCTTGTTCGAAAACAAAACGTCTTCTCGCCGTCGATTGCTTCTCGACCAGCTGTGAGTTGCCCAACGCCAGTGGCTTGGAGCGTGCTAACCTCGAGACACATCAGGACGGACAGCACCTTCGATCTAATGTGCCATCATCCAAAAAGCACAAGCGATCTCGACAACCTGCTCAACACCGATCTGACAGAGGTCTACTCTGACCTTCGCCGCCGATTCCACGGGAGTGATCTACCGAGACGTGGATATCTGCACAGCAACGCAGCACATCTCATCAATAATCAGGCTGCGGGCTACTATACCTACCTGGTGTAAGTTTCCGCCTTGCTCGCCAACCATCGTTCGGGACTGATTGTGGTCTTTTCAGCGCCAATGTCATTGCAGAGGACTTTTATGAGACGTGCTTTGCGGGCAGACATGCCGATTTGCACGGTTGGAAACGTCTCCGCCAAATCGTGCTCGAGCCGGGAAGCACTCGGGATGAGAACACAGTGATAGAAGAGTTTTTGGGCAGGCCGCCGGACTTGAAGCCACTTTTGCGAGCGCTGTATTTGCCAACCGAGTCAGGCTCCATGCCTCTTGCATAAGATGGCAACGATGGAGGCTGGTGTGACAACAAATCAAAGACTTGATTGGCTTATTTAAACAGATCTGAGATCCGCTGAATGCGATGTGTCGTGATTCAGACACCCTGCTGTACAATGCAAGCAAAAGCCACAATGCAACGCCGTGCTCGGATGCAAAAGTATCCCAATTCGACCGCCTCAGAAGCCACGACCATGTGAAACAGACGTCTTACACCCGCCGTCCAGCATAGCCACCAAGACCCGCATGTCCCCTCCTCCGCTCCCACCATTTCCTCCCCTCGTCAACCCAAAGCACCATGCTCGCCATGCAAATCAAGCGGAGCAGATCGAAGAAGCCCAGCGCCTCCGTCTGAAACACGCGCTGCAAAGGCGGGAAGTAGATGACCAGCAGCTGGCCCACCAGACTGCCCGCAACAGCGAAATTGAACATTTTGTTGCTGTTCTTGCCCGTCAGGCCGACTTCGCCGCGGAGCACGCTTTTGCTGGCCGAGCGGCAGGTGAGGGCATTGAACATGTCGAAAAGCACGAATTGCGTGAAGGTGAGCGTGGTGTCGCGCGAGGAGACGGAGTGGGCGAGCATGTCTTCGGCGGAGAGGTTGGAGACGTAGGTGAATAGTGTCCCTACGAGGATGATGGAGGCGGATTGTAGGACGCGACGGATGAGGCGGGGCGTGAGGACTCTTGCTGTTCGGGATCGGGGTGGTTCCGTGAGGAGGGCGGGATCGACGGGCTCGACGCCGAGGGATTGCGCTGGTGGGCCGTCCATCAAGATGTCTGTGTGATATGTCAGCGTGCGTATTTGGATGTGGTTGTTGGAGGTAAGACGTACTGATCCACAAGATCTGCATCGCATTCAACGGATTCCTCCACCCGCCCAGCGAACTGAACATGACCAGGCCCAATGCCGCCGCACTCGTGCTCAACTGGAAAGTCAGGAAGTTCTGAATGTTGTAGAAAATGCCCTTGCCCTCTTCAATAGCGCTGAGGATGGTGCTGAAGTCGTCATCGGTCAGAATCATGTCTGCCGCCTCCTTCGCGACATCCGTTCCCAGCTTGCCCATGGAGATGCCTATGTCCGCCTTCTTGAGGGCGGGGGCGTCGTTGACTCCGTCACCGGTCATGGCTACTACGTCTCCACGCGACTGCAGAGCTGCGATGATCTTCAGCTTGTGCTCCGGGCTCGCGCGTGCAAAAATGGACACCCGGCTCATGGCATCTGCTAGCTCGGCCTCGCTCATATGCTCCAGCTGGTCTCCTCGTATCACTGGGGATCCAATGGCAGAAGAGAGATTCACAGGCATGCCTAGTTTCTTCGCGATCGCGACGGCCGTCATTTCGGCATCTCCTGTGATCATGATAACTTTGACACCTCCTGCCATGAGCCGCCGGATGCTCCTCTCAACGCCGGGCCTGGGTGGGTCAGACATGCCCACCAGGCCGACGAGGCAGAGGCCATTATAGCTTTCCTCGTGCGCCGCGTGTGCCGAGGCCGGAGCGCGGTTTGAGACTTTCGCAGGCGACGCTGTACGATTGTGGCTTCCAAGTGCCCGTGATCGATCAGACCGCGGGGCGCCAGAAGCGAATGCGAGCACCCTCAGACCCGTCGATGCCATGGTACGTGCGGCAGAATCGACTTCCTGCCTCCTCTTGTCGTCCAAGACTACTTCGCCGCCCGAGCTGGTGAGGTATGTGTCGCATCGTTCAATCACTCTTTCAATCGCACCCTTCACGTAAGCAGTGTTTGGCGCTCCGTTCTGACCTTCGATGGTAACGCCCATCCACTTTCTTTCGCTGGAGAATGGCATCTCATGTTTTCTCGCTCCAACATGTTCGCGCGCATCCTCTTCCCCAAACACGTCTAATAGATCCAAAAGCGCCACGTCAGTTGGCTGCCCCGACCATCGGCTTTTCGCAGTCGCCAAGCTGTCCGTCTGATGCCCGGCGCGGGTGGAGTCAAGGACGGCAGCGCTGGCGGCAGTGATACCACCATGACTGTGAGTATTCAACATGGCATTGTTGGCAATGTTCGCCGCTCGCAAGATGGCCTGAGTAACGGCTCCGTTGGGTGAGTCTGTGCGGACTTTGCTGACGTCCTGCGGTCCTCCCTCGTTGCCGAAACCCCACATGCTTATCGCTGTAAGGTGGTTCTTTGTCAGTGTGCCTGTTTTGTCTGAGCAGACGACATTCACACTTCCAAGTGTCTCGACCGAGGGTAGTCGACGAACAATGGCATTCCGCTTGCTCATTCGCAGCACGCCGAGCGCCAGAGTGACCGTAACGATGATGGGGAGACCTTCGGGGATGGCTGCCACAGCGAGGGAGACGCCAATCTGGAAAAGCTCGAGGAATTGCATGCCTCGATAGAGGCCCACAAGCATGATCAAACCGATCACGCCGAACGACATGTAGCTCAACTCCTTCCCAAGCCGATCCATGCTCAATTGCAAGGGGGTGCGAGGGCTTTCGATCTCTTGTAAGCTTGCACTGATGGCGCCGAATTCGGTGTTCCCGCCGGTTCCAATGACAATACCCTGCCCATAGCCTGATCGGACAAGTGTGCCCATGAAAGCGATGTTGGCCTGCTCGTTGATCCGGAGCTGTGTGACGGGAGTCGGGCTACCGTAGAGGTGGCCATTCATGCCTGCAGAATCGGAGATAGATAGCGTGTCTGCCGTCTTTTCCACTGCCTCATTCTCCCCCGTCAGATTGCTCTCGTCGATCCCCAAATCCACAGCACGTGTAATACGAATGTCTGCAGGGACTCGGTCGCCGGTATGGATGAGCACCAGATCTCCCGTCACCAGCTGCGTGGCCGAGATGGTGGTGCTCGCCTTTTCCGCCACCGCCAGCTCGCTCTTTCCAGGCCCCTTCGCTGAGCCATTTCCTTGTCCACCCTTCCCGCCGCGAATGACGTGGGCGCTGTGTGGCACCAGTTGATTCAGTGCCTCCAAGCTCTTTTCGCTCCTATACTCTTGTACGAAGGCCACCGTGACAACGATCAGGACCGCAATGGTAATACTCATCGCATCGGACAGATTGCCCATGACGGCGGATATCAAGGCGCTGGCGAGCAGCAGGATGATGAGGGTCTCCTTGAATTGCTTGACGAAGCGAAGCCAAAGAGGCTCGGGCTCTTCGTGCGGGAGTTCATTGGTTCCCTGCACGTGCAGTCGCGCATTTGCATCGCTCGGGTCGAGGCCATCGGACAGCGATGTGGCGTGTCGCTCGGCGACCTGGTCAAGAGTGAGGGTCGCATGAGCGGCGGTTATTGATTGCTGGCCGGGTATTCGGACTCGCGAGCTGCCGCGCTTGTGGTTCTTGGGCGTTGCATCTTCCTTCCCTGGGGTTTGCAGGTAGGAGGATGGAGATTGAGCGGAGGGGGTATGGTAGAGGGGGAGGGAGGGAGTAGTTGACATGCTTCGACCGCCCCCATCAAGCAGCGACCTCGGGGGTCGAGTGAATGGACGTTATGGTTGAGGGCGCATTGGGGACTGATCGAGTGCGCAGAGGAGAATGGTGTTGGCAGAGGGCGATCTAGCGCCGGGTAGATGCTGATTTGATGCGTCGTTGATTGAATTCCGCGCAACACACCTTTGCGACAGCGGCATGGATATTTGCCATTCAAAAAGTACTTGCTTTCCGTATAAGGTCACCTATCCCTAACTTTCTCAATCCAGTTAGCGCGTGTTACAGTCTTTCGGCTGCCGCCACGCTACTAGCGAAACTCTAATTGTCCCTAGTCTTCTCCGGGATGCCAGGCACTCACCTCCAGCCACACCCATCCACCGCGTGTCGCATCTCCAAAGCGCACGCTTCATTCCTCCCACCACAGCACCCACAACGCAGTAACGACTTCTCTGATCTCTTGCAATTCTAACTCTGCGCGCACGCGACCCTGGCTCCGATGCAAAACGTCGCGTAAACGCGTCTGGAACCGCCGAGAGCCAGCGACGCGCGCATATCACAACAAACGCGCCGACCCTAAGAACTTCCGCGCCCTCCTCTACCCATCCTCTTCCACCACCACCACGTCGCATCGCACACCATGTTCTACTCCGAAACCCTTCTCGCGAAGACGGGCCCGTTGGCGCGGGTTTGGCTCGCCGCGAACCTCGAGCGCAAGCTCACCAAACAGAACGTGCTGCAGTCCAACCTGGAGGACAATGTCAAATCCATCATCGCCCCGGGCCAAGCGCCCCTGGCACTGCGCCTATCAGGCCAACTGCTGCTCGGTGTCGTCAAGATCTACAGTCGCAAGGCGGGATATCTGGTAGAAGACTGCCACGATGTCCTGAACAAGATCAAGTCTGCCTTCCGACCTGGCAACGTTGATCTCGCACCCTCTCACGCCACTGGAAACCCAACCACCCTCACACTACCCGACGCTGTCACCGAACTGGACCTGTTCGCTCCTCTACCCGACCCAGAGGAGCTGTTAAGAGGGAATGATGAGCGACGAGAGCCGGGCCGGGATCCCACATTGCTCGACTTCGGCTCAAGCACACTCCTCACCGAATCCTCCCAGACCCCGTCGAGGAAAGAGAAGCGCCCGATGCAATTGGAGGACATCGACATTGACGGCTTGGAGTTTGGACTGGGACCGAATGAACAAGGAGAGCGATTGACACCCATGTCCGACGACCGAAGCATCGAAATCGGCCGACGAGCCGATATGGCAATGAGAGACGATCCCACGCTCCTCGACGACGACATTAATCTTGGACTGAACTTTGGAGACGAAGGCAATACCACACTAGGCCTTGGCGGCCCGGTGCAACTCCCATTGGATGGCGATGATGTGCTGATGGCCGATGATGGCTACCAAGTGAATGATGACGATGAAATCGCAGCCAACAACGCAGCTGCCTTCGCCCGTGCCGAAGCTCGAGCGGAGGAGCGCAAACGCGACAGCGCGTCTCCCCTCTCGGAGTCAGACGAAACGCTATTCCAGCTTGATCCCAACGCGCCGGAAGACTCTACCCTGCAAGAAGTGCAGGCGGCGCAGCGCGTCAAGCGACGCAAGGTCATGCAACAGGATACCGAGACTCAAATCCACAACTCGCAGATCAAGAAGCAGCAAGAAGATCGCTCCGGCATCACGAAACAGCCGCAATTCCTTCCGCGCGACCCTGTGCTCCTGCAGTTGATGGAGATGCAAAGGCACGGGCAGTTCGTGAGCCAAATTATGGGCAATGGTAGGATGGAAGGCTGGGCGCCGGAACTGCGCGGCATCTTGTCATTGGAGGTCGTCCGAATGGCAGGAGAGAAGAAGAGGAAGCGAGACTCCGGCATCGCAGACGTAGATGATGCAGATGCGCGAGAGAAGTCACCACGCCTCGAGCTGCCCGAAGAAGAAGACGAAGGGATCGTGGCAGGAGCTGGCGCAGACTTCTTCCATTCCGACGGCGTGGCACCCATCATGTCTGATGGCGTACAACCCGATTTCCCTCACGACGATGTGCAAGACGAATCGGGGTACCATCCCGCGTTCGACACGACTGAAGCACCACTGCTCCATCCCTCCCAATCCGGCCCCGTGTCTCTCGGAACCAAGACGGCGGTGCACGTGCTTCGCGAGTTCTTCGCGCCCGACCATCCAAAAGAATCCCGCGAGCCACCTACGCCTTCAAAGCGCGTGAAAGCGGAGGCTCTCTTCCAAAAGGATCTGTGTCCACCAGAGCGCACGACGCGCGCAGACGCAACGAAGATGTTTTTCGAAATGCTGGTGTTGGGCACGAAAGACGCCGTCAAAGTCGAGCAGGAGAAGAGCGGCAGCAATGGCAGTCTAGGAGGCATGATTCGCGTCCGTGGTAAGCGTGGTTTGTGGGGAGATTGGGCGGAGATGGGATCGACGCAAGGTATTGGCGAGGAGGAGGCTGCTGTGGTTCACGCTTGAGACTGGGTTGACAAGGCGTTTGGGAGTCATTACCGACTTGGGTCATATACCTTGACGCCGGTGATCAACATGTTGAGCGATGGGGGTGTTGTTTCTTGCTTTACTTTGGCCGGAGAGCCGGCCGGCTTCTTCTGAGCGTACGTTATGCGAGTCGCAGTAGTTCCATAGCACCGCGACACAATCTTGAGATTCGGTTTTCAGTGTCTATCTCTCCTTTTGACTTCCCGATACAATGTCTAGTTGTCCGGGATCACGCAAATGAGCTTGCCCATGGTCTTATTGGCTGCGATCTGTCGGTGGGCATCCTGGATATCCTTCCAATCGTAGACCTTCTCAATGTGCGCCTCGAACGTGCCATCCTTGAATTTGGGCAGAGCAGTCTCAACTAGAGTATCCCTCAAGCGACCTTGATAATGCTCGTCTCGCGAGCGCAAGCTGCTGCCTTTGCACGTGTGTCAGCTTGAAGAGTACACCCGTGAGGTTTGGAGAAAGAAGCTACTCACCTTCGTAACGTAATCTCTTGCGAACAAAAGCGCCGAAATCCGGGTTCGCGCCCGCAGGCAGTTTGGTGCCGGATAGCGTGGCCAGGTTTACAATGTGGCCATCGCGGGCGGCGGCGTTGAGATTGCCCTCGAAAGCTTCGGGGCCGATGTAGTCGATGATGATGTCGACTCCCTTTCCGTCCGTTGCTTTCAAGACAGCATCGTCCCACTTCTCCTTGGTGGTGTTGTAGGCTGCGGTAGCTCCGAGCTTCTTGACGCAAAAGTCGCATTTGTCATCCGAGCGGGCGGTGGCGTAGACGGCGGAAGCTCCGTTACCGACAGACAGTTGCTGGCCTGCGATCGATACCGAAGACGCACCGGCGTGCCACAAGATGGACTTGCCGGGCTCAAAGCCTCCGATGAGATACATGGCCTGGATGGCGGTGATCCAGACCTCCGGGATGGCCGCACACTCCTCCCAGCTCAGCTCATCGGGTTTGTGGATCAGCATATGCGTGCTGACGGCGATATACTCGGCGTAGCCACCGCCATAAGCAAGGCCGAAGACCTTGTCGCCCTTCTTGAAGCCGGACTCGCTCTCGCTGGCCAAGTCTTCGATGACGCCGCTGAACTCGACGCCCATGATTTTGGTCGCGTGCGGGGGTACTGGGTACAGCCCCTCGCGCTGCAGGAGGTCCATACGGTTCAACCCGAACGCCTTCACTTTGATCAACGCCTGGGCGTGAGTGGGTTTGGGGCGCGGGGTCTTGTCGTTGATGAACAGGTTTTCAATGGGACCCTTGCCATCTTTGATATCTGATGCACAGCGTCAGAGAAATGATAACGGTGTACTTAAGACTGGACGCTACTCACCTATCGCCTTCATTGTCGCCATGGTTGATTTGTTTGATTTTTGATTGATTGTGTGAAAAGTACAAGGTCTGATGTCAACATGCCGCATGTTCCGAGAGAGGAAGTCGAGAAATTGGCTTTTCGACTCCACATCGAAATGAAACTCAAAATCGAAGACAGTCTGGGGTCGGAGATGACAGTCAACGTTACCTCATGTCGCCCCCACGCACCAGCTACGGCCGGCCGTGCAGCACCTCCGCCCAAGACCTGCAGGGTGCAGTCTCACAGCAGCAAATGCGAAAGAAGAAGCTTCCGGCACGGGAGATGTCTAGACGTCGAGTCTACTGCAGCTTGCCGCACGCCATGCACGCTCTATTGCCTGCTGGTGGCACGCCTGACGATAAATGCTCCAGCCACTGTGCGCAAAACAACGACAGCTGAATGGCCATGCGGCCTCACCGGTAGCGCCACCCCTGCGCGTGTGCCCAATGCACGACCAGCTGAGAGCAAACTAATGTCGTTTCCTTTCTGGTTGTTCGTCGAGCTTCCAGCTTCAGCTTCCTTCTTTCACATGAGTTCGGCGCTTTCTTAAACACGCTCGTCCTTGATTGCGTCCTGTAAGACGACAGCCCACCTTCTCTTCTTCAGTCGCGAAGTCGTTGCCCCGTATGCCTGCGGTTTCGAGCTCGAAGCTTCGAGCAAAGAACCAGCACTGCCTAGAAATGCCCACGCGCTCGAGAAAGCCAATCCCCCGCGCACCAGAGCCTGGTAAGTGACCGTTCAAGAGCTGGCCCAAGCCATGCTACTACGTGCTCAAACAATCCCAGAGCCGAAGAAAGACGATGCAAATGATTCCGATTCTGGACCAGAAGAAGCCCCCAAAGTCAATGCACCCACAAACACATCTCCGCCCTCCGACTACACCTACGCCGCCTGGGATAAGTTCCTGTGCAAAGTCCCTAGTCGCATATCTGCAGCCACGAAGAAAATCGTGGAAGCGAAGGAGTCCATCGAGCAGACGCCGGGCGAGGGACTGCAGTCGGAAGGCAAAAACGCCTTTCACAGCTGGGCACAGGCGGCTGAAGAATGCCGGGCCAAAGTTGCGGATATTGTTGTTGAATGCCAACGACTCAATCAGAAGTATCGGGATCCCAACTTTGACTTGGAATTGAATCCGTTCTGCGTGCGGAGCCTTGACGACAAGTATCCGAAGGTATGCGTGATGTTGTTATTGCTTCGGCCAGCCGATTGACATATATCCAGGGCTTGCCACCGGATTCGGCAGACACGCCTGTATTGTACGTTGAAGGAGGCCAGCCGCCGCCGTCTATCTAAGAGACTCGTGGGACCCTTCGCTGACCATATCAACTCGTCTTATAGTGTGAAGCGCATCGAGGATGTCTTCGACAACCCACAGTTCTTCGTCGGTGAGTCTAAGTCCTTCAACAAGGGGATAAACAGGTTGGCCATCTTGCTTCAAACAGTCACTGACTCCATGCTCAAAGACGGGGCTAGTGCGAGCGATGTCCATCAAGGAGCAAGTGGCGACTGCTGGTTCCTCGCAGCGCTGATGGCCGTCTCCGCGAAGCGGGAATTGATCGAAGACAGACTTTGTGTGGCCAGAGACACCAAAGTCGACGTGTATGGCTTCGTCTTCTACAGAGGTATGCTCGAGCACCCAGCAACTTGTACCTTGCAGTACACCTTACTGACGGTACTTTCGCAGACGGAGAATGGGTATACGAAATCGTCGATGGCCTCGTCTTCGTCAACGTGGGAGACGTGGAGCCGCTCACGCTCATCAAGAATTTCGACCCGGAGAAGAAGACGGGATCGTACGTGGGGTTTAATCGGGACAAGTACGAGGAGTTGAGGGTGCAGTTGCAGCGGGGCGGTGAGGCTTTGTACTTCTCTCATTGCAAGTCGAACGAGACTTGGCTGCCGTTGATTGAGAAGGCGTATGCGAAGGCGCATGGGGATTACTACTCGGTAGGTCTGCAGGGTCTGAAGGCTCCTCTGAGAATCCGATTGCTAATAACTGCTGTTCCCCATCAGATTGAAGGTGGATTCACATCCGAGGGCGTCGAAGGTAATGTATACGAAGATCAAGGCGAGGGTGAGAGATTCTAACAGGCAATCTGGAACAGACTTGACGGGCGGCGTTGGAGTCATTCTCAATTCCAACGATATCATGGTCAGTATCAAGGAATCCAGTCCTGTTCTGTACATATCAGAGACTGACCCGCAAACTTACTCCCCAGGACAAGGATCGATTCTGGAAAGAGCAGCTCTCGCAAGTCAACCAGAAATACTTATTTGGCGGAAGCACCAGTGCAAGTAAGTAGACACCACAGACCACTCTCACCTGGCGACGGCGACTCTTATGACGTTTCACTAACCAACTGTCCCCATCTAGCAACAATGGGACTAGTCGGATCGCACGCCTACGCAGTCCTCCAAGCCTGGGAAGGCGACAATCTCCGCCTGCTCAAAATCCGCAACCCGTGGGGCGACTGCGAATGGGAAGGCGACTGGGCGGACGGCAGCAAACTCTGGACACCCACGATGATGGAAAAGCTGCAGCACACGTTCGGCGACGACGGCATCTTCTGGATCTCCTACGCCGACTTCCTCAAGCACTTCGACACCATCAACCGCGTGCGCCTGCTGTCCACGGAGGAGTGGCGCGTCTCGCAGTGCTGGACGTGCGTCAATGTGCCGTGGGCTGTCGACTTTCTCGATACCAAGTTCGTCTTTACTGTGGAGGAGAAGTGTAGTGTGGTTGTGGTGCTGTGCCAGCCGGACGATCGGTACTTCTGGGCGCTGCGCGGGCGTTACTTTTACGCTTTGCATTTCCGGATTTACAAGGAGGGCGACGAGAGCGGGAGATGGATCGTGCGCAGCATGCACAGCTCTGGCGCAGAGCCGGAGTTCACGCGCTCCGTGTCGGCGGAGGTTGAAGATCTGGAACCCGGCACATATCATGTGATTTTCAAGGTGATTGCGCAGCGACAGAAGGAGGCGAAGACGGCATCGCAAGCAATCATGGAGTATGCGCGGGCGCGGAAAGAGAAGCTGCTCGCCATCGGGCGAAAGTTTGATTACGCTCAGAGCAAGGGCAATCTGCGGGCTATGGAGGAGGCGAACAAGAAAGAGAAGAAGCAGGATAGCAGGGATTTCGTGAAGGCGCAGGCGAAGCGGGAGCGAAAGCTGTCCAAATTGCAGCTGGACCGGAGCCGGGCGAGGAAGAAGCGTGTGCAAGACGCGTTGCTGCAGAAGCGGCTGGCTGCGGAGGAGGAGCGGAAGGCGAACGAGGAGAAACCTGCGGATGCTACTGCAGGTGAAGCACCGGTTGCGAGCGAGGCATCAGATGAGAAGACGGAGTCCAAGACGACTCTGACTCCACCGGAGACGGAGGCATCGTCGCAGGAAGGCGGGGAAACTAAGGCTACAGAAGGTGCTTCCAATGCAGAAGGAGCGGGAAGCGGAGAGACTACGGCTGGTGCAAAAGACGATGGTGCAGTGAAGGCTGAGGATACGGCACAATCTTATGAAAATCAGACAATGACACAACCTGCCGAGCCGAAGGCCGCCGGCGGCAAGGGTGCCAGTGACGGACAGGAGACTCTTGTGGCAGGATTCAAGGGGCTAGCTGTCGAGGATTCTGCTAATGACCAGCGACCACGAAGTCGGGCTCCATCTCCCGGCGCACGATCTGACGTCTCAGACGCCTCCCCAGCTGCGGAGCAGATGTATGACGAGGACTTTGACTGGAATTCCGACATGTAAGTTCATCGCCCAAGCATCTTTGTCCAAAGAGGCAGACTTACTGACATGGACGCAGCGACGGATCGGCCTACCTCAGCTCGGACGAGGACGACGACGCCTTTGTGCGCCGATACGAGCTTTCCGCCAACAACGAGATCTTCGACGGGGATCCGTGGAACGCAATGTGCGTGCTGGGGCTGCGGGTGTATGCGCAGAATGCAACGGCGAAGGTGACGGTTGTCAAGGGGGAGAATAGCTCTTGAGAAGCGTGACGGTGCGCGAGTGGTATCATTGCTGGGAATGTGGAGAGCGGGCCGGCGTATGATATTTGCATTCCTTCAGCCGTCTTCATATTGTATGGATTCGTGGTCCGGATTCCCAAGGTGTGGCTCATCTAAAGCATCTTCTTGCGCTTCCTCATTCGGCTCAGGAACAGCAGACATGCTTTCCAGTCGCCGCTTCTTGTAAGGGCCTCGTTTCCTGGCTCTCGGAGCGCCCGTCCAAACTGGTTGTGATAGTCTGGCGTCGGCAGCTAAAGATCGCCTCTTGACTGCATGTTTGTCGACCTTGGATGCTCGGTACTGGTAGTGCGCGCCATCAGAGGACAGGGCTTGATTGCGTTCGCCTTTCTGCGCTTTGATCGTGGCCAGTCGTTCGAAGAAGGATGCCTTGGCCTGCACGCCTGGATCTGTAGTGGCTTGCACAGGTGTCGCAGATCGCTCTTGCAAGGTCTGCAAGCTTTCCCGGGGAGCATCATTTGGCGTGTTCAAATCGGCATCTTTCTCTCCATTCAAGTCGTCTACATACTTGCTGATGGATATGGCGTCTTCCGCAGATGCACCAGTGGGTTGCTGACCTCGCTCAATCAGAGCGGCCGGCTGGCCCACAAGCTGGATGCGAGACGACGCGACGAAGTCTAGCACATGCCCCGGTCTAATATTCTTCTCAGCCGTGCCGGCACGTGCGACGTAGAGTTGAGTTCCCCGGGTTTCGGCCCATGAGCAGCTATACAGCTCCTTGCCAAATAGGACTAGGGGATTGTCGGTGTGCAGATCCAGGACGTGGAGCTTGCCAGCACTTGCAGAAGTAGAGAGGCCTGCCTGTCCGCCGCCAGCTTTGCCGTAGCTTTGCGCTGGTTTGGGCTTCGAGGTTGGTGAGGCGGTGGTCAGGTCGAGGGTGACATAGTAGTCCTCGGTCGCATTTTCCTCGTACTCATACTCCCACTCGGGGTCATGGGGGAGAGTTTGCGGACGCATGGATGAGTTGACGCGGGTTGCTGTGAAGCAGGCGGTCGCGGTCTAGACCCAGGTCATAAGATGCACGAAGAACGTGCTGGGCGTGTTGCAACCATTGGCCGCCTAGATTGGCGGGGCTGCAGAGTCGCACCTTCTCAAAGCGTCTGTTTGATGGACGCCCTAGAGAGATGCTCTTTGTTTCTCGCTATAGAGATCTGACTTGTGGCGTGAAGGGTCGCTGTCATTGGACGCTGGAATCGCCCTCCCCTGCTCTTTCAAACCCGCCCAGGGTCCGTGGGGCGGGACAAGCATTCGCTAACACCGCGGCCCGGGCATGGCGCGCTTCTACTTCTGCAGGTGCTCGGCCGAGAGGCATGTGACGTCGATATCTTGCAGTCATGTGCAGTATGTTTCGCCCGCCGCGTAGGCACCAGCTTTCCCGCCCCCGCCAGGCAAAGACTACACTCGCACAGGGCCGTCGGGGGAGAGGGCGAGAGGGGTTGTTTCGGCCGATACCACACTTTACGAGACATTCGTTCCATTGGATTGTCCATCTCCACCTCCCTGAGGTGCTTCTCATAAAGCTGACGTGCTCCCGCTCGCGGCTGAATAATGACCACGCCATTCCGCTACATACTTCAACTGTCCTACACGCCTTCGGTGTGGTCGAGTGCGACACCACTACAACCCTTCCTCCGCGCTTACGGTCTGCGACTGCTCATTGCTGACGGAACTCCGGTCGCCGCGCGCTCCACCGATTACCTCATCTCACCCATCCGCTCCGGCAGCGACATCTTTCGATCGGCGCCGTAGCCTTCCGGATCCACAGTACCAAGCACAGTAAGTACCGCTTGCTTCACGCCTTCTTTCCCGGTCACGAGAGCGTAATTACCGTTCAATCATGATGCTGGCTTACGACGACTGCGCGCATTCTTTTCCCCCGTACTAATCGCCTTTCTCCACGTCTAGCACTCATCTCACTCTATTCACAAGGCGGTCCGGCACCGCGATATCATCATTGCGTTTCGATACCACCTCCCTCGACTTTCGCCTGATTCATACTCCCCTCCAATCGCTTCAGCATCTCCAGCGTCGCTGGCTTCGCAGCAATCCATGACACCCATTCCGTCCTGCTTATCATCCATCTCACCACCCTACTTCTCGACAGACCCCTCGTTGTAACATATCGAATCGACGTCAACATTGTCGCCTTAATCCAATCCGCCCTCCAACCTCTTCCCGCATCTCTCTGATGCGGACACTTAGCCGAAAATGGTTCGCCATCTTTCTCGTCCTTGCTCTGGTCTGGTTGACCTTGACCGGGGTGGTCGTACACCTGAGCAAGGACTCCGACTCTGCCATGGACAAGGAGAACCTGGAATGGATCGCTACCAGCAAAAGTTGGCTCAACAGACAAGCATGCCTGTGGCTCGGCCTTTGCGGTGTCGCCCATCTCAACAGTGATGCATGGGCATGGGATGGTGTACAAGATGAGATCCCCTCTCCGGTCCGTCCGGATACAAGTAGCTGGTGGCGGGCCGGCGAAGAAGATCCAACATCATGGACGCCTGACGAGCGCGCAAAGAGAGAGATACCCCAGTACGTCTTCGACCACGCTCCCTACGTCCATCTATTCTCTCGCGAGCAATTTTGGCCGGGCGACATCGCCGAGCATCTCAATCACACTCCCCCTTACCTCAACTACTCCAAAATCTCGGACTTGGAGTATGAACGAAACCTAACGAACCTAAACGACCTCAATCGCTACGACAGCGGCGGCTACGGCCGATTCGTATATTTGCAGAGCGCAGATAATGTTGAAGAACGGCCGCGACCTGAATGGCTCTCCGGGGTCCATAATATCCCTCAAACCCTCCAGGCGCGGCGCAAGGACCAGGACGATGAAGAAGAAGCAGAATGGCCCGAGTTTAGTGATGCGGATCAACTTCCTTCCCAACCCACGTTCGAGACTCAGACGACGGAAGATATCGAATCGGTACTTCCTTCTCTGGCCCCGAGTCCCGATGGAAGATGCGGGGGAAGTACCGGGTTCACTTGTCAAGGCAGTGGGTTTGGAAAGTGTTGCTCCATCTACGGCTGGTGCGGCAAAGGCGACAGCTATTGCGGCGACTCCTGTGATGCTCTCGGAGGGGAATGCAAGGATCCCTTCCAGCCAGTGCCAATGCCGAAGCCCGATCTTCGAAAGCGATCAGCCAAACTGCGAGGCACAAAGCACACCCCAAACCAGCTCGGTAGATCGTCAGCCCCCGCGATACTTGTGGTCGTGCCCAAGGAAGATGGCATAGTGGACGCTTTTTGGTTCTTTTTCTACTCCTTCAACCTCGGCCAGAAGGTGCTCGGTATTCGCTTTGGCAATCACGTCGGCGATTGGGAGCACACCATGATCCGCTTCCGACACGGCAAACCCGACCAGGTCTTCCTGTCGGAACACAACTTTGGCGACGCCTTCGCATGGCATGCCCTCGAAAAGTATCGCCCCGACCCGAACGAGAAGGGAAGGATGCTGGGCACGTGGAGCAACGGCACTGCAGCCGCGGGGGCCGAACGACCCGTCGTATATTCGGCGGTTGGCACACACGCCATGTACGCCACCCCGGGCATGCACCCCTACATCCTGCCGTGGGGCATTCTTCACGATCAGACCGATCGCGGTCCTCTCTGGGATCCAGCGCTCAACGCACAGTCGTACACCTGGGATCCCGTCAAAAAGACCATCCGCGCGTCGACTCGCAACCCCACGGCGCCCACGGGCTGGTTCCACTTCGCCGGCCACTGGGGAGACAAATTCTACCCGCTGTCGGACCCGCGTCAATACCGCTTCGCCGGTCAATACCACTACGTCAACGGGCCTACGGGCCCACGATTCAAAAGTCTCGATCGAGCGAGGGTGTGTCCGCGGCAAGCGAAGAAATGTCACATCCGGCAGTGGGCCAACGATGGCGGCTCGAGGAGGATGCCGGCCCCCGGTGAAGACGCAGAAGAGGGTGGGATACCTGGTGGCAATTCTACTGATACTTTCAAGCCGTGAGGTGGTGGTGTTGTTGCTATTGGCATTGCATACGTCTGGTGTGAGGGAATTGGATTTTCTGTCTTGCTTGAAAGTGATACCCTTCATCAAGTGGAGTTTTGGGATTCCTGTTGATTAACGTGATAGAGTGATAGAATCAGAATACTTTCAAACACTTTGCTGTTCTCAGAAATGATGTAGTCATGGTGCACCGTCTAAAACGCTCATATGTCGTCGCTTATTAGTCATGCGGAAAGCCATGGTGAATTGAAGCTTGGATGTTTTGGCTTCCTGACTTCACAACCTCGTAGTGCTCAGAGACGACTTAACCTGCATGCAACGACCTCCCCTCCTTGCCATTGCAGCATGGCGCACAATCAACCAACCTACGACTTCCTCACCGGCGGCGAGAGCGTGTCCACTCGCCAGCCCCTACGCGAAACATTCAGACAATCGACAGCCCCCAAAGCCGACGTAAACAATGAGAACCTCCGCACCCAACTCCACACCCTGCAATACGAGCTCGACGCGCTGAAGCAGGAACGCGAACTCGTCGTCCTCCAACACGCAGGCGAGCTCCGCGACGTGCAAACGCGCGCAGAAAGGGATTTCAAGCGCGCGCAAGCGGCCGAAGCGGCGCGCGATGCTGCGGTCAAGAAGGCGGATGGCTTGTCGAGGGATTGGCAGGAGAGGGAAGATCGGGCTTCGAATGAGAAGGCGGCGTTGGAGAAGAGGGTGCGCGGACTGCAGGATGAGCACCGGAATGCGAGGGAGGAGTTGGAGGAGGCGCAGGTGGAGTTGTCGTCGCAGGAGCGCCGGAGTCGGCATGCGTTTGAGGAGCTCGAGCAGAAGTATGCTACTTTGCGGGCTTCGGTGGAGGGTATTCAGCTTGATCTTGAGGGGAAGGTGAATGCTTTGCAGAGTGCGCAGCAGCGGCATGCGCAGAAGGAGGCGGAGGCTAGTGAGCTTGAGAATGAGGTCTTGCGGTTGAAGGCGCAGGCTGGCGATGTGGATACTCTGGTGGTTATCAAGAAGGAGCTGTCGGAGCAAGTGGCGCATATCAAGAAGCTGGAAGTCACCAATCGCGAGCAATCGAGTGAGCTGAAGACGCTCAAGAAAGCGCAGAAGAGGGTTGAGGTGGTGGAGGAGGAGAAGCATACGTTGGAGGCGAAACTACGGATCATGGATGATCTACGGAAAGAGCTCTCCGAAACACAGCTACAGAAGAGGATTCTGGAAGACGAGAAGAGGAGCTGGACGAGCTATCTAGAGAACCAGGCGGGTGGAAAGGAGGATCTGAAGTACGACACGCCCGAAGACATGGCGAAGGCTTTCTTGCGCGAGCGTCTGGAGAGGATCAACCTGGTGGACAAGCTTGGTGCCATCCAGCCGGAGCTTGCAGCCAAGGAAGACGAGCTGCAACGTCTGCAGGCCGAGTTGGCTCAACAGCGCACTGCTGCAGCGGCAGTCCCAGCCCAAATCACAGCACCAACAGATAGCAAAGCTCGTGCCCGTCTGGAACGACAGAAGAACCTGGCCATCAAGGAGGTGGAGTACCTGCGGGCGCAGATGAAGACATTCGAAGCCGAGGAGGCCGAATTCAACCCTGAGCTCGCGGACGAGGAGCGTATGAAGCGAGTACACGATCTCGAAGCGATCGTCGAGCAATACCGAGCGGAAGTGGAGCAGTTGCAGGGTGAACTAGCCCAAGTGGAAGTGCAGCCTGCTAGTGTACCCTCTGTCAAGAAGCGTGGGCGAGAAGATGACGAAGAAGAGGAAGCGGGCGAGCGACTAGGTGATATGCGGCGGAAGATGCGCAGCCTGCAGACCGATCTCGACAGCATGCAGACTCGCAACCAGCTGCTAGAGGCGGAGCTGAAGGCGAGCGTCTCCCAAATCACCTCACTGACCGAGTCTTCACGCACTCGTGTCCTTGAGTTCCGGAACAACCCGACAGCAGAAGCGGAAGCAATCAAGATGGCCACCCTCAAAGCCTTACGCGAGGAAAACCAAGTCTTGACCGAGCAACTGGAAGGCCGGCAACCTCGAACGAAAGTCGTCCCCATCAGCACACTCGAGAACGTGCGCCTTCAGCTGGAAGAAAGCAAGCAACAATTCACGCAAAACGAAAAGAAAACACTGCGCCTCAAGCAGATCTGGAACAGCAAATCGCTCGAGTTCCGCGAAGCAGTCTGCTCCATCCTCGGCTGGAAGCTGGACTTTATGCCGAACGGCCGCGTTAAGGCGTCGTCTATCCTCTACCCTTCATCCATCCATGATGGCGAGGAGCAGGAGAACAGCATTGTGTTTGATGGCGAGAATGGAACGATGAAGGTCAGTGGGGGCCCGCAGAGTGCTTTTGCGGGTGAGATCAAGGAGTTGATTGAGTTCTGGGTGGAGGGGAGGAAGGAGATTCCGTGCTTCCTTGCGGCGTGTACGCTTGAGTTTTATGATAGGAGCACGAGGGCGGCGAGGATGTAAGGTTGCGGGCTGTGTCCATACAGTAGTGCGTCGGCCTAGATGTCATTGGATGAGAGGCACTGTTGCCTTCAGAAGAGGGGAAGGCGGCGTCTCCGCTGCTCGCATTCAGTACAGTGGCGAATAGAAAAGACGTGAATCACCCTCGCACATGATTTCCTGCTTTTGTTCTTCAATAACTTTCTCATGCCGGCACGTGTATGTCACGTCCGTGAAATTGATAGGATGACTAAGGCTTCAGACGCGTCGGAGCGCGTCCAGGCAGTCGCGCCCCGCTTTTTGTCATCAGTTGGAGATGCTGAATTCGCCTCATCCGGCCAAACATCTTCCACAACATCACTCGAACGCCACCCTACGCCCGACAGTGAAGAGGCCTCAGCGATCGTCATGGATCTCTCCGACGTGCTCACCAAAGGCGCGCTGCGCCAAATCAGCGATAACGACCTCCAAACGCCGGAGCCCATCGTTCAGTGCGTGCAGATCAAGCCCATGGCCAACCAGAACGGAGTCGAGCGCTTCCGCGTGGTGATGAATGATGGGGTGAACTTCATGCAGGGCATGCTGGGACAGCGTGAGTTCTTTGCCTACGTTGTCGAGATCGCGCACATCGCATACTAAACCTCTGTTGGCAGAAATCAACTACGTGATCCACAACGACCTGCTGAAGAGGGGCAGCATCTGTCGCCTCAAGCAGTTTCAGCCAAACTTCGTAAAGGACAAGCATATCATCATCATCCTCGACTGCGATATCCTTGAAGAGTATGGGCAGCCGGAGAAGATCGGACAGCCGGTGGCCATCGAGGCGAAGGCAGAAGGAGGAGAGACCAAGCCGCAGCCAGACAACATCCAAGGCAACGGATTCTACGGGAACAAGCCACAACAGCAGCAGCAGCAGCCCCAACAGCAGCAGTCGCTGCCTTCTCGTTCGGCTGCTAATGGCCTCGCCAACTTCTATCCCATCGCAGCTCTCTCCCCTTATGCGCACAAGTGGACCATCAGAGCGAGATGCACACACAAGGGCGACATCAAAACATGGCACAACAAGAACGGCGAGGGCAAACTGTTCAGCGTCAACTTCCTGGATGACTCTGGCGAGATTCGAGCGACTGGCTTCAACGACGCTGTTGACCAGTGGTACGAGGTTTTGCAGGAGAACAGCGTGTACCTCGTCTCCTCGCCATGCAAAGTGCAGCTTGCCAAGAAACAGTTCTCCAACGTGAACAACGACTACGAGCTCACTTTCGAAAAGGACACCCTCATTGAGAAGGTGGAGGACACCGAAGGGGTTCCAAAGGTCTCGTTCACCTTCGTCCCCCTTGCCGACCTCTCGACTGTGGAGAAAGACAACACGATCGATTGTATTGGCGTGCTTCAAGAGATTGCAGAGGTGTCGGAAATCGTGTCAAAGACGACGGGCAAGCCGTACAGCAAACGCGAACTCACTCTGGTCGACAACACGGGCTACAACGTCCGCCTCACCGTCTGGGGAAAGACGGCGTCGACTTTCGAAGCACAGCTAGGGTCTGTGGTGGCATTCAAAGGGGTCAAGGTCTCTGATTTTGGTGGCCGCAGCTTGTCGCTTCTCTCCTCCGGTAGCATGACCGTCGATCCGGACAACGAGGAAGCGTATACCCTCAAGGGCTGGTATGAAGGCAGCGGGCGCAACGAGCAGTTCCAGTCGCATGCCAATACCATGTCGACGGTCAACGCCATGTCGGGAGGCGACAGGAACGCGACCAAGACGATTGCACAGATCAAGGACGAAGAGCTGGGCATGCGCGAGGACACGGACTGGTTCAGCCTGAAGGCCACGATCATCTACATCAAGCAAGACAGCGTCTCCTATCCCGCCTGCCGCTCGGAAAACTGCAACAAGAAAGTGGTCGAGGTGGAGACTGGACAATGGCGCTGCGAGAAGTGTGATATGACCTTTGACGCTCCCGAACACCGATACATCATGTCCATCAACGTCTCGGACCACACGGGGCAGATTTGGCTGTCGGCTTTCAACGAGACGGGCGAGCAAGTGATGGGCATGAAGGCGAACGACTTGGTGACGTTGCGAGAGGAGGGAGAGGAGAAGAAGGTGGCGGACACGTTCAACGATGCCCTGTGCAAGACGTACATCTTCCGGTGCAAGGCCAAGATGGATACGTTCGGGGACCAACAGCGTGTGAGGTACCAAGTGCAGTATGCGAAGCCGCTGGACTTTACATTCGAGTCGAAGAAACTGGCGGATTTGATCAAGGAGTACCACATCGATGACAACTCGCTCTTTGTGAGTTGAGGAAAGGAGCGGCGTTGGGTTGCTTGTGTGAAAGGATGACTGGGTCAGGGTTCCGGTCGATTGCTACCAATAGCGAAGTCGGGCGTACCTTAATACGAGTGTCTGCAGAACAATCTGCCTGTACTGTCTATGCTCCTCTCCCTATGCTCCAAAGACGTGCTTTCCCATGCTGGTATATGTTGCCCCCGTGAAGCGCTAACTGCTTTGAGCAGCTGCCAGCAGCATTGGAGGGGAAATTGAAAGCAAGAAAGAAATACCACCTCAGCTTGTCCAACTCCACCACTCTCCTCTGCTGCACTCCATCTTCCTCCGTCGCCTGCCCAACATGTCCTCCTTCAAGGCCTCCTCGCGAGTCCTTACCTCCTTCACATGTCAAGCCTGCAGGCGGCCGAGCGTCGCCGCCGCCGCCATCACGCAGCTTCCCCCCGCCGCCTACCGCGCCCTCTCCAACGAAGCACAGCAAAAGCTGCTCTCCTCCCACCTCAAGCAAGCCGACCCGGCCGTCTTCGACATCATCCGCAAAGAGACGCGCAGGCAGAAGCACTTCATCAACCTCATCCCCTCCGAGAACTTCACCAGCCAGGCGGTGCTCGATGCGCTGGGCAGCGTGATGCAGAACAAGTACTCCGAAGGCTACCCGGGCCAGCGCTACTACGGGGGCAACGAGTTCATCGACGAGGCGGAGCGGCTGTGTCAGGCGCGCGCTCTGGAGACGTTCGGGCTGAAGGAGGAGGAGTGGGGCGTTAATGTGCAGCCTTTGAGTGGTAGCCCGGCGAACTTGTATGCGTATTCTGCGCTGCTGAATGCGCACGACAGGATTATGGGCTTGGATTTGCCGCATGGTGGGCATTTGAGTCATGGGTATCAGACGCCAACGAAGAAGATTAGTGCGATTTCGAAGTACTTTGAGACGCTGCCGTATCGGTTGGACGAGAAGACGGGGTTGATTGATTACGACAAGCTTGAGGAGATGGCTATGCTTTATCGACCACGGATCATCATTGCAGGCACAAGTGCCTACAGCCGACTCATTGACTACGCCCGGTTCAGAAAGATTGCAGACAAGGTGGGCAACTGCTACTTGCTCAGCGACATGGCGCACATCTCCGGTCTGGTAGCCGGCGGCGTCATTCCCTCTCCATTTGAGTACTCCGACGTGGTGACCACCACTACGCACAAGAGTTTGCGCGGGCCGCGAGGCGCCATGATCTTCTTCCGACGTGGTGTGCGGCGAGAGGACGCAAAGGGCAATAAGGAAATGTACGATTTGGAGAACCCGATCAACTCATCCGTCTTCCCCGGACATCAAGGCGGACCGCACAACCACACCATCACCGCGCTGGCCGTTGCTCTGCACCAGGCGCAGCAGAAGGAGTTCAAAGAGTACCAGCGACAAGTGCTGGAGAACGCAAAGGCTCTCGCCGCCCGGCTCGGAGGGGACAAGGCGAGCGACGGGCTGGGATACAACGTCGTCAGTGGCGGCACAGACAACCACTTGGTTCTCGTAGATCTCAAAGACAAGGGCATCGACGGGGCGCGTGTGGAGCGCATCCTCGAGCTCGTCGGCGTCGCGGCCAACAAGAACACCGTCCCGGGCGACAAGTCGGCGCTGAAACCCGGTGGCCTGCGCATGGGCACGCCGGCCATGACGACGCGCGGCTTCGCGGCCACGGATTTCAAGCGCGTGGCGGATATTGTGCATCGCGCTGTCAACATCACCAAAATGCTGGAGCCGAAGGCCAAAGAGGCGGCGGAGAAGAGCGGACGCAAGGCCCCTGGCGGCGTGCCGGCTTTCCGGGAGTACGTACGGGAGGGTGAGGAGGTGGTGGAGATTATTGAGCTGAGGCGGGAGGTGGAGGACTGGGTGGGCACGTTTTCGCTGCCGTGGGACGAGACTTCGTGAAAAGGGGGCCAAAGATGAGGTGTGAGGGCATCAGCGTGGGTGTTTCGGGGCCGGAGTCGGATTTAGATCTGGGTTGGTGTCGAGAGTTCATTCAACACGTGGGCAAAAAAGGAACAATACCCTGCTGATATGATTGTGTTGAGGCTCGCGCTTCATTCACTGTTGCTTGGCCGATGAAACTTTCTTGACGAAAGATGAAGGCACGGTGAGTGGTGGTCTCTCTTTCCGCCGCTTCATTCACCACACCGCCTTTTGTCGAACTGTTCACCAATTCTTCGTCGTCACCGAAACGTCTCGCGCACTGCACAAACATCAGTCCATGGTGCCGGACAGCAGCTCCAACAAAACGGTCAATCAACCAACCACCAGCCAACCTCATTCGTCCGTACTCCACCAGACCCCGCGTCCGCAAGGCGACAAACACATCCGCAATGTCATGGTGGGAAACTCCGCTCTGCATCTGCGTCACCTGGGTCCTGATCCTCTGGTCTGCCGTGTCACTCGTCACCTTCATCTGCCTCCTTCTCAAAGGTCACGTGGACTGGAGACTTAACGTGAGACCTTACCCGCCTCCCTTACTCCACCTTTCCAAGGTGGAAATTTGAAGACTGAATGCTGACATGTGCAGATTGCTTTGGATGATCAAGACGGAGACGTGTTGCGGGGTGAGCATGGCATTGAAATGCTTCCTCGGCATCCGCTTGAGGATGTTTTGCGTGCGTACGACTATGAGAGGGATCGAGCGGTTGCTGCTGCGATTGCGCGCCAGTTGAGGATGGAGGAGGTATTGCGGAGGGAGTTTTTGCTTTGAAAATGACATGGGCGCGAAGGGTGGTAGAACTTCTTTGTTTCCCTTCAGAAGCAGACATGGTTGTCTCCTGAAATCATCAGCATTCACGCTCTAGGAACCCAGTCTTTCCAGGCGGAAGATCGGGCTCCCAGGTAATCCCCACTATCGATTGCCTTCTTGATGCCATAGAGACCAGAGAGCGGCCATACGTCCAAGACACGCTGCTTGAACCCTCTACTATGCCGCGCTTGATCCTCCGCTTCGACATCCACCCTGACCTTCTCGTACACGGTCGGCAGGCTCGTGGCGCGATACTTGGCGCGCAAATCGTCGTACCACGCTCGGTCAAAGTCCGCCCAGAACTGTGGCTCGCTGGAGTACGTCTGGGCATACAGCCATTTCATGCCACGCAGTTCGCGGAGCGTCTGTTCTACAGCTCGATTCGCCTGGATGAAAGCCGCGTGCGTAGGCGGAGCGCGACCCCACAGACCTATGTTGAGCATAGGCTTCAACGTCTTGCCGTCAGCTTCGTACTCATTGAAGTGAGGATGCATAGTTTTGTGCGGGCTTTGCTTCAGCGGACACAGCCAAAGCGGCCAGATGCCGAGCAGGGCATCCATGCGCTGCACGAACTCCGCCGCGGTGTCGTAGGGGAGCGCGAGGTCTTGGATGATCATGCGCTCCGATTGCCCGCTGGCTTGCAGCGCGTTGTACAGCATGCGGGTGTGCAGGAAGTCGTCGAGCCACCAGCGGGTGAGGGGGTTGAAGGGCATGCCGGTGAAGTAGTTGAAGGGCTCGCTGCCGACCCAGAAGCCGCCGCGGTCGTAGCGGAAGAGGTAGTCGGGGAGAGGGACGGCGTCGGAGACTGGGGCTGTGCGGCCGGCGATGCGGTCTTTGACGTGGAGGTAGAACCAGGGGTCTTTTGCTGCGCTGAACCGTTGGACAGTCAGCCCGCTTTGAGGATGGTCGGTCATGCGCCCGGTCACGATTGCGCCGCTCGTAGGCGAAAACATGATGCCGTCAATGTAATCGAATTCGTCCTGTCTCGCAGTGAAATCACGCAGCTTCTCCACCGCTTGCTCCATGCTGAAGACTGGGTGATATGTCGTTTCCACAAACTTGGTCGCGGGTCGAAGCTGGATCTCCACCATCGTCGTCACGCCCAACGTGCCCACCGCCCCAGCGGCACCGCGGAACAAATCGCCATGTTCTTCCGCAGACGCGGCGATGACTTCACCGTCGGCGAGAACCATCTCCACCTGCTTCAAAGTCTGGTCGAAAAAGCCATGCTTGAACGAGCTGCTCTCGCCCGACGTGCCGGAGTAGCCGCCGCCAACGGTGATGCCAGGGAACTCCATGACCACGGGGGGGACCAAGCCGTACTTTAACGTCTCCTCCACCAGTCGGTCCATGGGCACATTGGGCTCCACCATGACGGTGCGAGTTTCCTGGTTGACGTGCACGACATGCTTGAGTTTGCTCGTGTCCACCACCGTGCGCGGGTCCTTGGTCATGGCCGACTTGCGCGTGCTGTTCGTCGAGCCGTGGTAGATGCGGAACTTCTCCTTGCGGTTGTAGAAGCTGCGTACGCGCGCTGCGATCCGTTCGACTTCCTGGCGATGCTCGTCCATGGTGATGTGCTCCACGCCTCCTCCGCTACTGCTGAAGTGGCGTGGGAAGTGTTGCGATGGGCGGACCGCCGTCGATCTAGTCATGCCATCCTTCAGCCGCCGCGGAGAGGTTCCAAGATGAACACATCGGCGACAAGATGGACTGCGCGGTCGGGATGGAACCTCTCGAAATCTGCCGGCAGTAGATGCTCGCCTCGGGCCTCCCACCGCGCGAGCAATGCCGGAGATTACGCGCGAGGGAGTTGACGCATTCATCAGGGAAGAGGTACAGTCGCCGACTTGTGCATCACCCAGGCACCGCTTGTGATTGGAGTAGGGCCAGAAGCGACATGAAATTAGTGGTTTGCGTGGCTATTACCCCTACAAATTCTGAGGTTGCAAATTCCCGCCATTGAGAATCTGCGGCGATCGACTCTTTCACCAGCAATCAAATCCGCGCAAACACAAGTTACTGCGATTGGCGAACGACGAAACAAAGTTAAATGTCGTATACCAGCTATGTACATAAACGCATTCGTTACCACGGGTAGTACACCAAGCAGGATCATTGGGTATCATCATTGCATTCCCATCCATGCACGCCATGCCGTTGCGCCGAAACCCCCTTCATACACGCTTCATACCTTCGTATCGCGGACGAGATGCGATGCATGCACGCATTCAAGCCAGCACCTGCTGCGAGCCGCTCTGGTACGCATTCACCGCCACCGGCCCCTCGTTGATCGCAAGGTAGCCATTATCGCAATTCTTAAACGTAACCTTGGGCTGCGCCGCGAAGAAGGTATCGTACGACGCCGTCATCGCCGCTCCAAGATCGGTGACCTGGTCATCAGGGAAGAGAATGCTCCACGGGTCGCGGCAGGAGTCCTGCTTGCAGGTTTTCATGACCATGAGTAGCGCGTCCATTCGGGAGACCATTTCGGCTTGCGGCCGGCCGTAATATGTCACCGAGGGGTTGACGTTGGCGTTGATGCCGAGCAGGTTGTTCATCTGCTGCGAGTCGACGGACATGTCGTAGAATTCGCGCTCGCCGGTGCACCACGTGCTGTAGTAGAGATTGTATTGGTTGTTCATGACGCGGATGGCTTTGTAGGTGTTGTTGTAGTAGTAGTTGCCTGCCACGCCGATTGGAGCGTTGTCGGCGTTCCAGAACTCGACGTTGACAATCTCGTGCTTGGTGGATGTGGACAGTTCATCGTTGGTGTACGCGATTGGGGCACCATCGAAGTCGTCGCGCAAGGGAACACCGAGCATCTTCAGGATCGTCGGAGCCATGTCGGTGTGGCTGTTGGCGATGTTCGATGTGACATTCTGCGCGACCCCCGGGCCGCGGATGAGAAGGGGGATGTTGATATCCTCCTCGTACGGGCAGCGCTTGCCAGGAAGAAGGCGGTGGTTGCCAATGTGGAAGCCGTTGTCGGTGGTGTAGACGATATACGTGTTGTTGAGAATGCCGTAATGATCCAGCCGCTCGATCAACTGCTGAACCATGACATCGATGGCGGCAATGTTGCCCAGGCGATGGTAGTAGGTCGAGTCGCAGACCTCAATTTGTTTGCTGTCCAATCGCGGGAAATCGTAGACCCAAGAAGCGCCGCTTCGATTGACAGGGTTGAAATTCTCCGTCCTGGGCGCGGTTCTGTTGTTGAAGACTCCCTTCCATTGTTCGGGAATGGGTGGGGGGTATGTACCACTGGTGAGCTCCTGGTGCGGCGCCACCGGCGCGACCATCATAAAGAACTGATTTCCGGTGTCCACGGCCTGGTCGAGCATGGCAAGAGCCTTGGTCTGCGTGACGTTGGTCGTATGGATGCCGGGGTAATCAGTGATCTTCTTCGTATACCCGTTGGTCCAGTGCGAGTGATAGTAGTTGTAGGTGTACGGATCGACGAGGAAAGAGCTGTCCGTCCAAGCATCGGGAAAGGCAGGGGTCGCGAAATCAGTGGTGCTATAGCCATTGAGGAACTTTCCAACGTAGTAAGTGCCGATACCGGTCTGATTGATCCAGACGGGCAGATAGTTGGAGTTCAAGCCGACTTGGGAGAACTTCTGCCAACCTCCGAAGGGTGGGAGGGTTGCAGTCACATTCGTGTTGTGCGCAGCTCTGATACGGATTAGCAAGGACTTCCGAGGACGGTGCATAGTATGGAAGCATTGAGACTGACCTTCCCGTGAGGAAATTGACTCTCGATGGGCAACACCATGCCACCGTGCAGTAATGCTTGTCATAGGTGACGCCCTGAGCGGCGACGAGCTGCTTGACGTGGGGCATGACGGACATCGAATCGAGAAGTAGGTCTATTGACAATCATTAGCCTGTGCCGTCCGACAAGGGAGACGTCCAAGGTCACCTTGATCATCAGTCATGATAACGACGACATTCGGCTTCGTCGTCTGCGGCGGGTACACATGGTGCTTCTTCTTCAAACCAAGCCCCAGTCCGAGGCCTAAAGACAAGCCCAGGACGACGATACATCTGGAAGCAAACTGTAAGTTTCCTGATCTGAATGGCTACAAACACTGCCTGTTTGCCAGGAAATGCAATAGAAGCCGACTTACCCAAGCACAATGGCAAGAATGATTTTTCGACTCGGCCATCTGCTGCGTCTGGCTGGGGCGGCAGCGGCGCCCTTTGATTTGGTTTCGGTGATGCCTCGATCCGAATCGGAATCTCTGGAGCCGTCCAAGGAGTTCCCGCGCACTCCTGTGGCCTCCATGTTGGTGTGATTCTTTGTGCAGGTCGTGGAATGTGGGAAACACGGGTAATTGAAGTAAGGGAACAGGGATTGGCAGTCTCGCAATGTCGTGCGAGAGGGGATGATTGCGTTGCGGGGCGGTCAAAACACGTGCGACTCAATGACGGCGGCGTAGGAAGGGTCGGTGTAGGGAACGGAAGCACGTCTAGCGCCGCAGGGGAGGGAGGGAGCGAACACAGCACGGAAAAGTAACTGAGGCATTCACTTCTTATAGATATAAGAGGGATAAAAAGGGTCGAGCTTCATGTTTAGTCGTCCTTAGTAAAAGGTGAAACCCGCCCGCACCAGGCAGCCGCGTGGACACTCCCTGCTGTCTGACTCGGGCAGCAAAAGCAGTAAAAGGACGGCTAGCGCAGCGTGCAGATGTATTTACCGCACTATAAGCTAGCAAGATGGTGGAGGCAGGGTGGCAGGGGATTGGCTGCGCCGTTGCAGAACCCTGTAAACAGCGCTGCGCCCGGCAGTGGGAACCTTGGGTCGAAGGGGAATGCCGGGATCATGGAATTGCGCTGCCTAAAATCCATCGCAGCAAAAGGAACCGCACGGAATGCGACGTGCAGGCCGCGATATCCGTTCCGACTTAACGAATGATGGCCTCGGTACAGGACCCGTACCAATGAATGACAGCTACGGCACTTCCAAGGGACAGAGCACGACACGCCACGACAGGGAGAGATTTGCATCAATGCCGTTTGATCACCAGGGTCGGATCTCGGCCGAAGTGTGTGATTGGCGAAGAGAAAGCTTACCTTCCGCCAAGCTTTTCCTTTTGTTCCGCGCGATCTTGGCGGTGTTCGAAGGGTGGACACTTCTTCTCTATGAGGTTTGGAGGGGCGACAGTGGACGAGGCTGTTTCTGTCCTGTTCGGCCAGCGACGTGCGTGATCGACGCGATTACGAAGGGCACGGAGTTATGTGGACATATCGATGAGTGAATTTAAATGGATTTACTCGGACCTAAGCAGTATCTCCACCGGGATCAAGACGTGGGCAAGAATATAGAATAGGGAAGCCGAGGCCGTGGAGACAATGCAATATCGACCACTCGGATCGATTGGCAAACATGCCGTACACCACCAGTCGCTCGGACGGTGCCTCACTGTATTACCGTGACTATCGGCCCTCGCACACCGCTCCGTTCAAGCCTCACGCGTCTCGCGAGACCGCCAGCAAGCCAACGCTAGTCTTTACTGCCGCATGGCCCTTCTCGTCGCAAATGTACGACCACGTCGCCCTTCCGCTCTGCGAGTCCTACGGCTTTCGCTGCATTCTGATAGATCGGCGTGGGTTCGGGAAGAGCGAATGGAGCGGGTCCAAGCCTCATGAGATCAGCTACGAGACGTTTGCCGACGACCTCGCACAAGTGCTGGAAACGTGCGGTGTGGGCGACTTCTTCGTCGGGATCGGTGCCAGCCTGGGCTGTGGGGAGTTCTTGATGATGCTCGACCGCCATCCATCCCTCAAAAGTAACTGTCAAGGTCTGGTCTTCTTGGGCCCGTCGCTGCCCATTCCAATGCAGACTGCACGCAAGCCCACCGGCCCCCCTCGTGCTTTCTGGGACGCTCTGCTGGAAAGCCTACGCGACGACCGTACGGCCCGACTCGATACGTCATTGGAGTATGTCTGGGGCGAGAAGGGCGGCGAATACTTGAGTGCAGCCGAGAAAGCCCGCTACGCACGCATCGCACACGAAGCCGATCCGTGGGCGCTCGAACGCACGATTCGCATATTTCTGGAGAACGACTTCACCGACCACATACGAGAGAAAGGCAAGACGCTGGACTTTCCGTTGCTGATCCTTCATGGCAACGCAGACGCGGCGAATCCGGTTGAATCCGGCCCGGGCCTCATTCGTGACAATGTGCCACGCTGTGAAATCAAGACGTACGAAGATGCGGCTCACGGTTTGTATTGCGCCCACCTCTGACGTTTGCCATCGATGCTGATTTGGTAGGGATCGCTGCGACACACAAGGCTCGTTGCGTCGATGATATTGTGCAGTTCCTGCAACAAGTTTGACAGTACCGATGAATGAGTGCACGTTTAAAAGCCAATGTTCCGCGCGGCCGATTGTAAGAGTTGATTGCTTATTGGGCAGTCAACAGTATCGAGTGGTGTATTCCAACAGTAGACAATGAGTCCCGTCCCGGCCTTCGCCGAAATTCCACCGACGCGCCTATAAGCAAAGTACCTTTATCTTTTTTCGGCCCCTTCACTCCCAAGCAACGGGACCCCACCGGACACTAAATTCAAATGATTAGAAGACCTCCCCACCGCCAACCACGGTTGCGACTCTGCAACACACGTACGCATCAAGGCAGCAAGATTCTCGACGGCAGATAGATGGATCATCAAATTTTTGCTTGCTTTTGCACATCTCTATCTAGTTCTCCTAAGCCCAGCGCGACTTGGCAGCGCTGCAACCATGCAGCCTTACAGCGATCGGATGATGCCATACCGATGATCTCCCCCACTACACCAGCGTACGCCATCCGGGCTGCACGTCCATCGCAATCTACTGCTACGTCTAGCTCAACACCTTCTCTCTCAGCATGCCCAGGAACTGTGCACCGCTGACACCTTGATCCGCGCGATCCTCCACCAACAACGTCTGCGCCCATAGACGTAGGCTTGGCTCGCCGTCCTCGCGGATGAGGTACAAGGGGGGTACGACGATGCTGCCGCACCCTTTGCCGCGGTGGTCGCGGCTCTTTTCCACCACCGCGCGCACGCGCTCGTTCATCTCGGTCTCCAGCACGGGCACGCTCGTCTTGCCCTGCTTGAGCTGATTCTTGTCCTCGGTGCCGAACACGTCGTTGATCAGCGCGGGCACGGCGTCGCGGCCTAGCCAGAGGAACTGCGTTTGCCCGTCGTCGATGAGGTACAAGCCGAAGGGAACAAGGTTGGCAGAGGTGAGGTTCAGCGCCGGAGGCATCACGATGGCGCCCGTCTCGGGATTCGGCAGACCAGCATCGTCGGGCATGTCATGCAGGCTGTAGAGGCGCGGGTAAATGTATTGGATCAGTAGCGGCAGGGGCAACGTCGAGAGCAGGCAGAGTGCCGCCGATCGAAGGTCTGTGGGGATTTGGGACGACTTGCGCAAGCCCAGCTAGTTTGGGGTCAGCATTTGACGGAGTCACGCCACATTCATCAAGACTTACATTCTTCATCAGTCCCAAAAACAGCATAGGCAAGGCTCGGAGGTTGGCGGGAAACTGTAGCCCACCGCCGCCCATATTCCCACCGCCCAGCTCCTTCTTGTACGTTTGCAAGAGCTCAACCATCTTCGCTTGCACCATGTCCCTCGCCGCATCCAACCCACTGCTGAGCGCCCTCTCCACCGCCTTGTGGGAGTAGTAGGCTGCGATGGCCTGCTGATCCGCGGAAGCGTACACCTCCGCCAAGATCTGCGTGACCGGGATGCTGACCGTGATCACTCGGATGCGGCGCTCTCCGTTGCATGTCGTGTGCAATACACCGGCCTGCAAGCAAGCAAAGGCTTTGGTGATATTCTCGTCGATGGCAATCTCCACCACGTATGCCTGGTCTCGGGGCATGGCAGGGAAGGCGCACAGATCGGAACTCCGGTTGAAGAAGTTGCCGTAGAAGGCACTTGGGCGCAGACCGGTAGTGGTTCGCACGCGCAGGACGGCTTCCAATGCAATCTCCGAGGACAAGTAGTCGCTGAACTCGGTGGCGAACTTGATCGCATCTTCCGTCCGAGCGGCGTTCCAGGCGGGATAGAAGTAGGTCTGACCACCGGTGTATCTCGGCAGATTGCTCAGAGATGCCAGGTCCTGGTACTGCGAGCTGAACAAGAACATGTCGATGCTGACCTGCGTCTTGCTGCACTCCACAGCAAAGCTTTTGTAGAAGGCATTCTGCGTCTGGAGCAATTTGCTCTCTCCGCTCGTGCCCAGCACCTTCTTGTCTTCACGCATTTCGAGCTTGCCGTGTCCGATGTTCGGCAGAGATGCGGAGAGAACACAAATCTTACCACCGACATGGCTGATGAGCTTGTGTCCCGCTCGCAACGCGGAGCCCATGGCTGAACTTCCATTCTGCGTGTTCGCGAACATGCCCTGGAGTTTTCCGAGGAAAGTCTCAATATTGGCTCGGCAGTCGGTCAAGCTGACCAGCAGATCTTCAGGTGTAGGTAGAAACGGCTCGTCGAGGTCGCTGACGACCAGCATCTTGGCATCGTTGCTCTCTCCACCGTCTCGAGGAATGCTGAAGTAGTGCAGTGATCCATCCACAGCCATGAAGCCAAGTCGCGTGCGTCGGTCGGTGTTGGGGATGCGGTCGAGGCTCTCCAGGATGCATCGTGCGGCCGTTGCCAAGAGACCGCTCGTGACACCAGCGTAGCTCACGTCAAGCAAGAACAGGTAGATGAGAGGTTGCGGCGCTCGCACCATGTACTCCTGAGGAGCGACAAACTCACTGACAGCATAGTTGAGCTCGGGGCGTTGCCACCTGTCGACTGCTTGCTGCTTCACGCTGTCCCAATCAAAAGACTGCGGGACGTCGTTGGTGAGGTTGCACATGTTACATCTCCATCTGTGGCTGTGGTCCAAGAAGCTCGCAAACGGGTTCATGTAAGTTCGGCATCGGCGACACCGAGCAATGACTTGGTCGTATTGGACCGGTACGTCGTCTTCGGAATCGTGAAGGGTGGCGTATGGCTGGATGATTAGAGCAAAAGGGAGCTTGCTCTTTTTGAGGAGGGATGATGTGGCGGGCATGGCATTGAGCGTTGAGCGAATGTACTTCGGCGGGCAGTTGGAGTGCGGGGATGGTGTGACTGCAGACTGTACATCGTGTCAGTAATGCAACATGCATGTGTATGAGTCCAGGAGATGCATACGTTTGCGGGCAGAATCAATGCCGGGGGAGGTTGATCGAGATCGCTGACATGGAAGGGTTGGCCCTGGGCGCTGATATCCACTGGTCGGAGAGGATTCAAACGCAATTGCGGCACCGCGGCCCCAGCTTGTTGTGATTGAGGCCCTCCGCCCACGGTCATTTGGGAGAATTGTTGCTGCACACCTTGCACTCCCGCTTGCTGTACTTGCTGCGGAGCGGTCGGGTAGCCAGCAGCTGGGGCTTCATACCCGGCTTGGGGCGCGCCATACTGCGGTTGCCCATATGCAGGTTGAGGGGCTTGGTTTTGTGCGTTGGGATCTCCATACTGCGGTTGCTGCGGCGTGCCATATTGCGGTTGACCTTGAGCAGGTTGCTGGCCCGGATATCCATATCCTCCTGCTGCCGGAGCGGCTTGAGCAGGAAACTGGCCGCCTCCAGGTTGTTGGCCTCCCAAAGCAGCGTTGCCACCGGCTCCAAACTCGTAAGCCTGACCCGCGTACGCTCTCTTCTTCTTGGCCGCCGCCGGAGCTGAGCCTGCTAGTTGGTCATTATACGTGCCGTCTTGCCCCTCTCCTGCCCCAGGCTGGCCGTCGGTGTATGGCTGCTGCGGACTAGCCATCTCGCCTCAACTCTTCCCCTGGTTTCGCGCGGGCTCAAGGCGAATGCGGAGATGTGTTCGGCTCTGTCGTGTATCGTGGACGAAGCTGCCGAGAGGTCACGTAGCCGAAGAGGAGGCCTGCGCTGATATGCTCACGACTGCGGGAAGGACAGATCGCAAGATGGGTTCAAGGGAGACGTAATCCCAGGGTAGGGAGTGGATGGGGAAGCCAGGGGCGAAGAACGTTCAGAGCGTCTCGAGGGACAGGGCGCGTCCAAGGCGGGGAGATGCAATGAGAAACGGCAACAAAGCGTGGCCAAGGATTGAAGTGATGTCGCAAGTGATCAAAGAGGCCCTCTGCGATGCAGCAATGTTGCGTTGTCCTCAATGGAGATGCCAAGTCTGGATTTTGGGGCCTGCAGCTTCGCCCCAGCCAATCAACGTCCATTCTTTTGGTGCCTGAGGCGCTCGACTGCATCGCACTTTCTCTACACAGTACGGAGTATTCATCTACTTCATCGGAAAACATGATCTGGACTACAGTATGGAGTTTATTTTGAATTTGAATGCTTTCTCATGATTGAGCTACGGTGGCGTCTATGATCCATCTCGGCGTGATCATTAGAGTGACGTGCGTTAAGGTATATACATATCATCGTCTGATGTGAAGAGAACGGAAACAGTGCGTGCGGTTCGTTCGTTAGACCAAAGCAAAGGCAAACAGTCCGCCTGCGAGCCCAAGCATAGCACGTCCAAGACCAGCAGCATGAGCCGCAGCGCCTGGTGAGGCTGTGGGCGAGGAAGCTGCAGAGGCCGACGTGGGGGCGACGGCATTAGTCTCGCTGCTGAGCTGGATCGACCGGGAGGCCCTTGTGGTTGTTGTTCTAGGGAGTGTCATGCTTGCCGTCCTGTTGGAAGAAGAAGTCGTCATGGTGGCATTGCTGAGGGATGATGCGGCCGATGATGTGCCCGTAGAAGTAATGGTCGCGCTTCCAGCTGACGCCGTGACAGGGAGCGGATAGCCATCGCCAACAGGGTAGGTGACGATGTAGCTCTCGACGCACTGGCCGCCGATGGAGTCGAGGTAGAGGTTGAAGAAGGTGCCGCTCAAACAGCTGTACCAGGTGACATCGCTGCCCAAGGCCAAGGAGCCGTTTTCGCAGACGGAAAAGCCGGCGGTGTAGATGGCACCGGCTTGAGGAGGCCCGTCGAACTGGAATTGCGAGTTGGAAGCGATGTAGCCGGTGCGACCGTAAGGATCGGTCAGGACGCCATCTACCAGAGTGATCCCCAGCATGGTGTTCCGCTGGAGAGGCTGTTAGCATACCTCTGTACAGGATGGGGCATGTACAACGCTTACCTCGGAAAGATCACGCTTGGATGAAGAGGAGACGTTGACCGGGCCGATCTGGAAGGTGCCTGAGTAGTTTGGCGAACAGCCGGGCGGTGCGGTCTGATTCGGGGGAGCGATCTTGCTGGTGACTGCGCCCGGCTTGATGGTGGTGGTGGATGATGTTCCCTGGGCGAATGCCGGAGTGGCGGCATGGAAGGCGGCGCACAGAGCGACGGCGAGTGTTGAGAGATGCATGATGTGCTTGTATGGTGAGAGGATGGTTGTCAAGGGTGACGTATGGTGAAGAACGCTGGTCAGGAAGAGGTAGCGAGAGTTGGAGGCGAAGAGCCAGGAAGAAAAACGATTTCAACGAATGTTGGAGGGTAGGAAGTGGCAGGAGGAGAATGTGTGCGTGAAGGACATGAAGACGTGGGCGTTTGCTTCAACTTGAATATCTACTCGTCGGCCAAGTGGCGGGGGGCCACATGCATGTGCGCAACCGCAGGGGCCAGGTTGGCGTCGCGCGGCCTTGCATGCGGAATGGACGGGAGGCTTTCTGTTTCCAGCCTTGTTGGCTCGCTTAGCTCGCCGCGGATTGGTGCGAAGGGCGTGGGGAGGGCCCTGAGAACTTCTCCTTTGGGACGGCGAGGAGGAAATAGATTCATTCAGCAATCTGCCTCCACAAATATCTCGACCCGTCCACTGCATGTCTTCTGCCATGGCCGGCAGGATGCGGTAGTCGACTTGGCAAGGTCTCTGCCAAACGGCTGGGCGCATATTCCTACAGCACTGATGGAAAATCCCCGTTCGCGCCCGGCCCCCCACGGCAAACGAAACGTCGGCTCTAGTCGTTTCAGCGTGCCGTGACTCAGCATCGCCCTACATGCAAGCGAGGGAGTGTCAAACGCTGGCGGTGTCGGCGCCCAGAAGTCGTTCCCGCATCGCAGCCTTTGCCATATTGACACCCTCACGAACTCCGAATTACTGTGGGTTTCGGCTTGAATGAGAGGGAGTACGGCGGCATGTCGACGGCGCTAGGTGTAGATGGCGAGACATTTATAATTTGGCCCGGCTCGAAAGGGAGATCGATATTGTCGCTTCTTCGAGCCTCTGGGCAACGAATAGTAAATCGCTCAGCATTGCTGGGCGAAATCTTGGGAGCGACGTTGCTGTGCCTCAACCGATGTGTTCTGCAGAAGTCTTCATCCTAGGATAGAGTCGCTTGCAAACTGCGTAGTCCTCGCACTTCCGAGGCTTGACCGTCGCATCCATGCCGCTCAAAGTGCCGTCGGGGTTGCAGTCATGAGAGGAATTCGACGGTCATACAAGGCCTCAATTCGCATCATGTGTGAACCTGGTAGGAAGTCTCTTAAGGGGGCGATCTCCTCGATTGAACACTGATCAGCCCGCTCTTGTGCCCTTTGCGAGAATCCGCAGCCGCTGGGTCATCACGTGCACCAGAAACGAACTTCAGAGAGGCAGTGATTCCACTGCACAGCGAGTGTCCAGCGCCACGAGCAATGTCAGGCCGACGGGGACGGGGGAAAAGGCCTCGAACCTCCGTGGCGCCACAAATTCTCGCCCGCGCCACGACTTTTGTCGGTGGCTGGGGAGGGATGACCTGTCAGGCGGCGATAAAGATCGTCATCGGAGGGGCACGGGCCTCGCGTTGCGTTGTCCATCCGACAGTTGGCAGGCAGGCGCCTTCCATTCGTTTCCTTCACCCTCATCAACCCTCCATCGCTCAAACCCCCATCATTACCATCAACCCCGTCCGCCATCATGAGAGGAGGATCGCTGATTGCCACCGCCCTTGTGGCTGGTTCCGCCAGTGCCGCCCAGCACCGAGTACGTGTGATCCAAGCTGTTGCCTACCATGAAACCACTCTCTGACCCTGCGCAGATGCCGCTGAAGAAGGTGCCGCTGTCTGAGCAGCTTGCCTCCGCCAACATCGCCCAGCATGTCGAGCATCTGGAGCGCAAGTACAGCCAGCAGTCGCCGATGCAGAACCTCTACAAGAGCGACGAGAGCGAGTTCGCCATCCTGCCTGAGAAGAAGCACCCCCACGTCGTGCCCGTCGACAACTTCTTGAATGCGCAGTACTTCTCCGACATTGCCATTGGCACGCCGAAGCAAGAGTTCAAGGTCGTGTTGGACACCGGCTCCTCCAACCTGTGGGTGCCCAGCCAAGACTGCGGCTCCATCGCTTGCTACCTGCACACCAAGTATGACCACAGCGACTCGAGCAGCTACAAGAAGAATGGCTCGTCTTTCGCCATTCAGTACGGCTCTGGATCGCTCGAGGGCTACGTCAGCCAGGATACTGTGTACATTGGCGACCTCAAGATCAAGCACCAGGACTTCGCTGAGGCCACTTCCGAGCCCGGTCTGGCTTTCGCATTTGGCCGCTTCGACGGCATTATGGGTCTCGGCTACGACACCATCTCCGTCAACGGCATCGTGCCTCCCTTCTACAACATGCTCGACCAAGGCCTCCTTGACGAGCCCGTCTTCTCCTTCTACCTCGGCGACACCAACAAGGAAGGCGACGACTCTGTTGCCATCTTCGGCGGTGTCGACAAGGACCTCTACAAGGGCGAGATGGTGAAGATCCCCCTGCGCAGGAAGGCATACTGGGAGGTCGATCTCGATGCCATTACCTTTGGAGACGAGTCCGCTGAGCTCGACGGCACCGGCGTCATCCTCGACACCGGCACCTCTCTCATCGCCCTGCCCAGCACTTTCGCCGAGCTCCTCAACAAGGAAATCGGTGCCAAGAAGGGCTTCAACGGACAGTACACCGTCGAGTGCGACAAGCGCGACTCCCTGCCCGACCTCACCTTCACCCTGACCGGCCACAACTTCTCCATCAGCTCCTACGACTACATCCTCGAGGTCCAGGGCAGCTGCATTAGCGCCATCATGGGCTTCGACATCCCCGAGCCTGCCGGTCCCTTGGCCATCTTGGGTGATGCTTTCCTGAGGAAGTGGTACTCCGTCTACGACCTCGGCAACAACGCCGTTGGCCTCGCCAAGGCGAAGTAAATGGTCAATTCATTGATCAAACGAGTGTGAAGGAAGGGAACGACAGGAAGTGGGTAGTGCGGCGGCCTCACGAGGGAGATCTGAGATATGATATCGCTGGGTTGAGTGGCGTCGGAGAGGGAGTAGTGTGTAGACTGTAATGGACTCGTGCTCGTGTATTTCGTTGTATATCGGCAATAGCTGCAACGTAATCCTACCCTACTCGTACTTAATCGTGCTTCTTCGCCTGCTCCTCGTGCCCAACCTCGCTCTCTCCTCATTCATACCCGCCTTCGCCTTCTCCTCGTGGCCTCTCCTGCTCCTCACTCCCAACCTCACCTTCTCCTCCCGCCAGGCTGCTCCTTCTCCGCCTGCCCGACCTTGCCAATTAAGAGACAGGCAGGACCACTAGCGTTACTGAGTTGTAACCGTCGTCCACGGAACTGGCGACATACAACCCGCCCTCTGGGTCGGTTTGGAAAGCGGTCTCACCGTAACAATTGCAGAAGAGCACCGTGCCAGTGATCTCGCAGTCGCACTCCTCATATGGATTGCCGCTGATGTTATCACTGGTGAGGAAGTAGATTGAATTCGCCCCTGGGCCGTCGAGTGCGATCACGGCAATCTCTTGTGTGGAGATGTCGTACAATTGACCGGTGGAGGAGTCGAGGGTGAAAACGGTGTTGGCGTTATCGAAGACAGCATACCCCGCTCCTGATCCACCAATCTGTGAGTTATCCAGCGTGGTACCGTCTGCTACCGTGGTGTCGCTGCTCGCGGCAATGTTAAAGTTCGAGAACGTGGTTGTTGAGGTTGTCGTGGTGGTCGTGGTGGTCGTGCTGATACTCGTGCTAGTGACTACCGAGGTAGTCGCGGAGGTGGACGTAACCTATGGCAAAGTGCTCGTTAGTGGTAGCTAATGGTGGGCTAGTGAGCACGACGTACAGTATGCTTTGCCTTGACGGTTGGTGTAGTCGTGATTATCTTTTGCGATGTCACGGTTACTGTCAAGCTACCTTTGCCGCCGCGAGCCACAGTCGTTGTCGTGGTAGTCACGGAGGGGGTGCAATGGTATTCCAACACTGTACAATGGACCTGCGGCTGAGACGTGGTAGTATGGCGCTGCACGTCTCGCTTGTTTGGTGATGGTCCCCCAACGAACGAGTAACTGGTAGTTGTGGCAGTTGCGGTCACACCAGTGGTAGAGGTTGTCCTACGCCAGCATAGGATCAGCCCTGGAGCAGGCAGTGGATGCAAAAGTGATCAAACTTACACCGAGGTGGTGGTTAATGCGGATGTGGTGTCCACAGTCGACGTTACGGTAACAGTCGTCGGTAACGCAGCAACTGTCACGGTTTGAAGAACAGTTGAAGTCTTCACCGCCTGGCTTCCGGATTTCGTCTTCGTGACGGTAGACACCGGGCAGGTTGTCGATGTCGATGAGGTAGAGTAGTATGTAGTTCTGAGGGCCCCGTACGAAGTGTGACACACTGTACGAGATTCGACGACAGTCCCCGAAGCCGAAGCGAGCGATGCCAGCGAGGCAAGGCCGAGGAGGGTTGGGAGTACGTGTGAAAGCCGCATCGTTGAGAACTGAAGGAGAAGAAGAACAAGACGGACAAGTTGAAAATCGTGAGTTGAGGCAGCAAAGGCTTGTCTCCGAGGACTGAATGGAGGGGGACTTATGGCCCCGGCCTCTCCGATGGCCGTGCTTCGTTCGCTACAACCCTGCTGAAGGTGACTTGCGGACTGGCCTAGAGCGACATCACGCCACAGCGTGCAATATTGATATCGTGCAGGGTGCATGGAGGCTCGACGACGCGAGCCGCATAAGGACAGTGGCAACTACCGCGCGGTCTACGACGACAACAAGATCGGGATGCCACATTGTCCAGTTCACCATTTGAGCGGTGCTATGATCGCCGACCCGAGACTGGACTTGTTCCAGAGACGGTGTACATCTTCCCGAGGCGGTGAGGGCAATGGTTGATCGCCGAGATGGTGAGCGGCCGGACAAGCAACGGCCTAGAAGGACTGTGGCTTACGTCGTGCAGGAAGCTTGGGGAGTTGGGGAGGTGAAGCCGAAATTAAGCTCACATGCCTGCCAAAAGACGTGTCGCAATCCGGGGCATGTCATCCCCGAAATCTTGCTTGCTCGGACTTTTGTCAATTCCCCTAGTGAAATGCCTGCATGCCTATTTCCACTTGCAGCCAGCCCCCAGGGGCTTCCCGATCGGGGAGGCCGAAGAGATGTGTGCAGGTGCATCGATGGCTCCGCGAGACGTCCAAACGTCGGTCCACATGTCTTTTTAGTTGTGTACGGACTGCAACTTGGGATGTTGTGGTACACTTTCGGAAGAAATCGGCAAGATACATAGCAGCGCACGCCTGTACAAGCTCGTCCTATGTACATGCTCAAGCTGCCCATCTCCTCGTGACCTCGCTCGCTTTTTACGCCCGACCTCTCCTACTCCGCGTGGACGCTCGACCTTGCGAAAGCTCCAACCAGATCAGTCCAAGATAGGCTGGATCACTGGCGTGATCGCATAGTTGCCACTGTCCACTTGAGTATCGAGATGCACCTCGCCATTCGAGTCGGTTTGGAAGACGGAGTTGCCATTACAATTGCAACTGAGTACCAGGGTGAAGGAGTCGATTTGGCACAGGCATTGGCTGGTCTCGCGGGCTTTCACCTCCCCCAGAAAGACCAGATCTGTCGGCTCAGCGAAATCGTATGATGCCAACGCATCATGCTCCGTGTCATACAGTGTACCCCCGTAGAGAGCGAGTACGGTGCCGCCGCCGTTGAAGACACTTGTGCCTTCGGCGGTGGACGAGGAATACTGGTCTTCTAGCGTAGTGCCGTCTGAGACAACGGCGCTGTCGCTCGCAGTGATGTAAAACGATGAATAGGTAACGGTTGCGGTTGACGTGGTCGTTGAAGCGGTCGCAGTGCTGGTAATCGTGCTGGTCATTTCCACTGTAGTAACGGAGCTTGATGTGATCTAAGGCAAGGGGAAGTGGTTAGAGCAGTGGTCATTCAACGTAGAAGAGAGAATGCACGACGTACAGTAGCTGTGGCCGTGACGGTTGGGGTGGTCGTAATGGTTTTCTTAGATATCACGGTAACAGTTGAGGTAGCTTTGGCGCTAGTAAAGGTCGTTGTAAAGGTAGACACAGAGGTGGTGCAAGCCTTCACCGCCGGACATTTGGTCGCACGACGATGCACGTCTCTCTTCTCCGGTGGGGGTGTGGACGCGGCGTTGGAGTAGCTAGTGACCGTAGTAGTAGGGGTCACGGTCAGAGTAAAGGTCGTCCTACGCCACGACGCAATTAGTGCTGAGTTGGAGTTGGAAGACACAAAGCGAGCAGCATGTGCAAAGACGAGCCAACTTACGTTACATAAGCGGCTGCGGAATAATCCAAGTCTGTAGTGGCCGTTATTGTCGTAGTTGTCGGGGACGCAGAAGCCGTAACAGTTTGGTGAACAGTTATCGTCTTTGTCACCGCATTCTTCCCGGATGTCGTTTTTGTGACAATAGTGGTAGACACAGGACAAGTCGTAGGCTTGGGGCACGTCGTAGAACTTGATTTGACGGCAGCTGCCGAGACGAGCGATGCCAGAGAGGCAAGGCTGAGGAGCGTGGGCAGGACGTGCAAGAGCCGCATCGTGAAGAACTGGAGAATAAGTAGGAGAATATGACCGTCAATGGAGAGTTCGTGAGTGAAAGAAAAAGAGGAATGGTCTCAGGGGACTGAGGAGGGCTTATTTGTAGCCCACCTGCTCTCGCCTGGCTGAGGTCTTGTCACATTTAGCTTCGGTCAGGCCATGCCAGGGCCGAATTTTGGACGAGCCTAGAGCGGCACCACGCCGTGGAATATAGCCTGACCATCTGCGTGGCGTATCGAGCCTCAATGCCGCTCAGCGGAACAACCAGGTGGTGGGTATGCTGAGATGTACAGCAAGAAGATTGTGATGCCACGCTGTTCACTGGACAATCGGAGAAGGAGTCAATTGCTGCCCCAACTTGGCCATCTACCTGACATGGCAAGGGAACTGTCGACGCCGAGATTGTGAGCTGCCGCAGATGGGCAGAGCAGAGCAGGATGGGCAACTCTTGACGCCCCTGGAGACTGTGGCTTGCGTCGACGGCGACGTGAAGCTGGAATAAGCTTCCGCTTGCATGCACCGCAGGGGCAAAACGGGCTTAGAGCCGGAGGGCCCGAGGGGTGAGGGTGCGGCGAGACCCTTCTTCCATCGATATATTCAAGCCATCGTGCCATCTCGGCCAAATGTCTTCTTTCGTGGGCATCTTGTGCGGGTAGCGTCGACTCAATTCGGACTTCAACTTGTATACCTGTAGGGGGTTGTGGGTGACGTTCGGAAGGATCGGCAAAAGTGTCAGCGCACGTGGCGACAATCTTTGGTCCTCACGTCTTTTCCCCGGAAAGCGCCCAGCGTTCCTTAAGCCTAGCAAAACTCCGTTCGAAATGGCCAAACACTTTCCACTATGACGTGCCGAGACTGAGAGGTAAGAGGAAAAGTTAGCAGCTTGTCCGCTCTCCTTCAATCAACAACTCATCCAATGTCGGTCAAATATCTTCTTGCCCAGGCTTCCTGCCTGGCCGTCGTCCTATCCCAATTGACCTCCCCACTCAACATCACGGTCTACCAGCCTGGCGTGCCTTTCGCACCGTCTCCGTTGCCTCCATCTCACGCAAACAGCGATGGAGAAGAGATCGTGGCTCTGTTCCAAACCCTAGGCCGGACAACAATCTGGAAATCTATAGCTAACATCTCCCTGGAGGGGGATTCCTACGAGCCCGAGGGGATGGTTCGACTAGGCGCAGATCGCTACATTGTCAGCGCTGGCGAGTACATACTTCCCACCATTCCCTACGGCAAAACGATCAACGGTACCGATCGGACAGCTGGCGCTGGCTTCGCGCATTTAATCGTGTTCAACGGAAACGGCTCGCGCATTGCCGATGCTACCCTGACGCCTCTCGGAGCTCTTGAGTACCACAATGGTGGAATTGACTTTGATGGCGAATTCATCTGGGGCGATATCGCACAGTACCGGCCCAATAGTACGGCTTACATCTACAAGACCGACCCGGATACTTTGGCCCCTCAGCAGGTTCTGCACTACAACGATCATCTCGGCGGTGTGGTGCATGACGTCGCCACGAACAGCGTCACAGCGTTGAATTGGGGCAGTCGGAACGCGAGCACGTGGAATCTGAACAATGTGTCAAGTGACGCGGGCTCCTTCTCCCAGGCAGGATTCACCGCGCCCGAGTCGACCGTCAGAAACCCGTCTTACTACGTCGACTACCAAGATTGCAAATTCCTCGGGCACTCTGCGCTCTACGACAATCGAGCGGTGATGCTGTGCGGCGGTGTGGCAACGCTTGGGTCAGGCCTTACAGCGTACAATCTTGGTGGCATAGCGATTGTAGATGTCGAGACGATGACGCCGCTGGACGAGGTGCCCATTGTGCTGCGAAGCGCGCTGGGCGTGCCTTTGACGCAGAATCCGATTGAGGCGAGCGTGGAGGATGGCAAGTTGAGGCTGTACTTCATCCCGGATCAGCATGTCTCGACGCTGTACATAATTGAAGCCCAACCGGATAGTCCTTATGAGTTCTAGTGTAGATCAATAGAAAGACGTGCTCAAAGCAAACAGTGGCACACATAACCGTGGTACGTACCTCCGGCTCTTGCATTCTGTGGTGAAGAGGCTGGGCGCATATAGCGTGAGACGAGACGATTGGATAAGTGAATCAATCATGTGATCGCGCTGCTGAGTCACGCGCAGTTTCCCCGGTGAACCAAATTTCGGTCTCAGGCAACAAGGCAGCCGGCGGTGACATAATTTGTTTGGACACCTCTACCTTGCTGGCCTTCACGCCAGCTTTCTTGCAACCTTCAAAACTCCCCAATTTCCCCGCCAGCTGTCCTCTTCTACACCTTATCATGGGCTTCCCGGCTCGCGGCATCTCCTAAGCGCAACATGTTTGCGCTCAAGAGTCTCTCGAAATATCTTTTTGGAGACGCAAGCAAGGAAACCCTGGTCGAGCTGCCCGACGGTCAACTCTTTATCGTTCGCCCCCTCTCCCCCAAGGGCTACAGCGAACTCATCTTCAAGGACGCCGCCGCTTCTATCCGACGCACCGGCCAAGAGTTTCACTACCAGCTCGTTATCCAGCGCGTGTACGAAGAGGGCGAAGCGGAACTGCTCGAAGAGGAGGAAGGCGAAGGCGTTGCGCTAGGCGATAAGGACGAAAAGACCTTCCTGCTCGACGAGGAGCTTCACTTGCGCGTGGAAGTGAGGGATACCGGCGAGGCAGTTGTTGCTTGGAGAGATCACAGCGGCGATCCCGGTGATTTGTTCGAATTCGTTTGCGACTCCAAGACCAGACCAGACGCCGCCGCTGCCTTTCAGTTGCTCGCTGCGCAGTGTCAATACGAGCGCAAGTATCGCAAGAGTCACGAAGAGGCCACCGACGAGGAACTCAAGCAGTTCGACTTTGACGACGATACCTTCATCCCTCGCGCCAGCCCTTTGTCCACCCCCATTGGCCGATCACCTTCCTTTGCCCCCTCACTCAACAACCTCCCCGAAGAGCCCACGATGGTGCGCGAATCGTCATCGAAGAAGCTTGCTTCTCCCGAGACCTCCCGCGCAGTCGTCCAGACCCCCACCAAAGCACCCGTTGCGCGAGCGAACCCCAAGAGCAGCGAGATTTTGGCCACCGAGCAGGCCGAGTTGCACTTGTTCGACTTCCAATCCGGCACCTTCATCTTGCAAGACGCCGAAGTCGAAGCGACGGTAGCAGAAGTCGGGAAATGGAAATACTGGTTGCAAATCACCGGCAAACAGCCATGGCTGGGTCAAGAGGTGACGCCCGACATTAACCCGGTCTTCAACTTTGAGTATCTGAGCTTCATCTTCAACCACTACACCGATGATGGCTCTGCATACTCCTGGCTGCTGAAGTTTGACACTCGCGAAAAGCTGGAACGCTTCCAGGAGGGCCTCATGCAGGCACTGTGGGAGCATTTGCACGAGACGAAATGGCAGAAGGCGATCAAGGATGCTGAGAGAGACTACGTGCTTGATGCATTCAATGAGCTTGTACTGGAGGACGCCACAAAAGACGATCTCCGCGAGGCGGAAGCCAAGGAGGAGGATGAAGAGGAGGAGGACTACGAAGACTCGGAAGGCGACAGGCTGAGTGAGCATTACGACGAGGACGAGGATGAGGATGAGGTCGAATCAGATCTCAAGGATGGAAACGTCAACAGCCAGCTTGCTGTCGGTGCCAAGGTTGATCGATCATTCGTCGTCAGAGGTGACAAGATTGGTGTGTTCAAGCACACTGCGGACAATCACCTCCAACACAGCACCACCATCAACAACGTCGCCACGCCAAAGGGTCGAGTGTTCTCTCCCAGCAAGGTGATGCTGCACCAAGAAGACCGAAACATGGTCTTGCAGAACAAGAACGACCCGCACAGCCTGTACCGCATGGATCTTGAAGTGGGCAAGGTGGTTGACGAATGGAAAGTCCACGATGACATACCAGTCAACATCTATGCTCCGGAGAACAAATTCGCGCAGACGACGGGCGAGCAGACTTTCCTCGGGTTGTCCAACAACGCGTTGTACCGCATCGATCCCCGACAGCAGGGCAACAAGCTTGTGGACAGTCAGTTGAAGCAGTACGCCGGCAAGAACGACTTCTCAGCTGCTGCGACCACCGAGCAGGGTTATATCGCCGTTGCCTCCAACAAAGGCGACATCCGACTGTTCGACCGGCTTGGGATTATCGCAAAGACCGCGCTGCCTGCGCTCGGTGATCCGATCATCGGCGTAGACACTAGCGCTGACGGCCGCTGGATCCTCGCAACCACTCGCACATATCTGCTCCTCATCGATGCTCTCCAAAAGGAAGGCAAAAATGCAGGCAAGCTGGGCTTCGAAAAGTCGTTCGGAAAAGACTCCAAGCCGCAACCGCGTCGCCTCGGCCTCACTCCATCGCACGTCGCGCAGTTCCAACACGAGACCGGTGCGGCTTTGTCCTTCACCCCCGCTCGCTTCAATACCGGCGAGGGCAAGGAAGAAACCAGCATCATCACCGCCACAGGCCCGTTCGTCGTCACGTGGTCGCTCAAGAAGATCTTGCAAGGCCGCAAAGACCCGTACAGCATCAAGCGGTACAGCGAGGAGATCAAAGCGGACAACTTCCGCTTCGGCAGCGACAAGAATATTGTCGTCGCGCTGCCGAACGAAGTGGACATGGTGACGAAACGCGCGCTGCAGCGCCCGACGCGCGAGAGCATCATGGCGACGCCGAGGCGCAGTCAGACGGGGCGCGGAAGCTATCTCTCTAGGAACGAGATTGTCAACTCGCCGTACTGAGTACGGTATGCGGAGTGTGGAGAGCACGACACGTGGGAGGAGCCGCAGGCGCACGCAACGCCTCACCCGTATCCGGGTCGACATCCGAAGAGAGAATGTACCGGGTACGATTAGGCGAGCGAGGGTGAAAGGATCGCGGGTCGTCGGCATGCTGTACCACTATGCAGGACTTGGATGCCCCGTTGCGGCGACGTAATGCTCCGGTTGTCAACGCGACGGCATGGCGACGAGCGGGAGGAGCTGCAGGATGCTGGTGGAAGGATTTCGGGTTGGAGGGGAAGGATTGACCTCACTTTATTCTCTGCCGTGCGTTCCAGGCAGCCTGGCAGGGTATGTATCTACATAGTAGCGAACATAGATGTCACAGCCGTGCAGCTATGGTCAAGCAGGACTTGTGTTGGAGTACTCTTGCGTCAGTCCATACCACTATCCCAAAGCCGAGCGTGCAGCGACGTTTTCGTGAGGGAAGGATGTAAAAGCCAAAACGGGCCGGAAGGATTTCATCGCGCAACATGAACTTCAACTTTTGACGAACTACCTCCATTTCATGGCATCAATTGCCTCAATCCAAACCCTCACGCTAGACCTTCCTCCCAGCTGTATTGCCTTCTGTTCAGCACATCCGGATTTGTTCGTAGTTGGCACCTACTTCTTGCACCCGCAAGCCCAAACCAGCCCGAACTCTGGCGCTGTCGATGGAGTAGTCGATGCAGAGGGGGGGAATGTAGACGAGACTCGGCCGGTAGAGGCCAAGAGGACAGGCAGTCTGATTCTCTTCCGCCTTGACGGCGACACGATGTAGGATTCTCTAATCCCTCTCTCTCCTTCTCACGATCTAGATGGCTTACAAGCAAGCAACAGCACGCAAATCGAAACTCAAGAGACCGACGCCGCCATCTTAGATCTCCAATGGTCGCCGCACACGCCCACGCTCCTGGCCGTCGCCACCTCGGACGGCTTGGTGAAGTTCTACAACCTTCGCCCTGAAGACGGGACGGCTTCGCCATCGCTGGTCGAATCCGACAACTGGATCCTCGTTGCAGAAGACGCTCTCGCTTTATCACTGGCATGGCATCCCACTCGAGCATCCTGTCTAGGCGTCACAATGTCCGATGGCGCCGTCTACCTCTGCGAGAGCGAGAGCTCCTCAGACAGCGAAATCTGGGAACCAGGCTCAACGACAGATGTCCAAGAAGTGCACCGCCACGACCTGGAAGCATGGACAATGGCATGGCTAGGAGAGGAAGTGGGCTTGCTGTCAGGAGGCGACGACGCCGTTCTCCGCTACTTTAATCACGACGCCGCTGGACAGGCTGTCAAGTGGTTTGATCGCAGGTTTCACGGCGCGGGCGTCACTGCCATCCTACCTCTGACGCCTGAGCTGGCGCTTACGGGGAGCTACGATGATCATATCCGCCTCATCTCCTGTCCGGCGATGGGAAGGCGAGAAGTCAAGGCCGAGCTCCGGCTTGGAGGCGGCGTATGGCGGCTGAAAGTGCTCGAAAGGGAAGGAAGTAGTGCTGAGGCTGAAGACGGGATACAGAGGTACGTTTCGCCATGCCGGGAATAATACGTGGCCCCCCTCTTCCCCGGCCCCGATCTTCGAGACTCGGAACAACAGAGAAAGCATGACGCCATCTGACACGATTCCCGTTGCAGGGCGGGAAGCTACAGCCTTATCATCCTGGCGAGCTGCATGCACGCCGGCACCCGCATTGTTCGGCTGAGGAGGAGGGGGAGAAGTGGGGAGTGGGAGTTCGACGTCATGGCCAAGTTCGAGGAGCACGAGAGCATGAATTACGGGAGTGATGTGCAGCCTGGCAGTAGGGGCCGAGAGAAGACGATAGTCAGCACCAGCTTCTACGACAAGCGGATGTGTCTGTGGCGGTACGACATATCCCGCGGGATGGAGTAAGACATGAAGCAGGCCAAGGAAATGCCATTGTACAAGCCGGGAAAATGAGGTCTTGGTCATTTTCTCGCGCGTGCTAAATCTGTCGGTCTGCCTGCCCTCTCAGCCTGCCCCTCGCTTGCCTCGTGTACTCTCCGTTGCACGCCCTCCTGTGTGATGAAGAGCCAGCCGGCAGCCTGTGCGATTTGGTGGTATATCTCGAAACATAAGGTAGATGAAATCTCCTCGCCCGTTGCGCCGTGGTCCCACTGCCCCCGTTTTCGCTGAGAATGCTTGGGCCATGCTCAAAAGACATGTAATAAAAAGAATGGCGGGACTGGGCGTGGTGTGTTTCGCCGCGAGTTTCATCTATATTTGGTCGTGAAAGGTGGGCGGAAATCGGGTTTCAGTGACCACAATTGCCGCTCCGTGACGAGAAGGGATTGAGCGTCTGTCATGATTCTTCCGGGCCGCTGATTTTGATTTGCGGCGTGGGAGGAGGCGGGTCGGCGCTCAGGTTGCAGCGCGCGCGCCTCCATCGAAGCTCGGGTTTTCGCTTGTCGCCCTGCAAGATTCACATGTTAGCCAAGGTGAGCCAAGGACGAGTCGGGGTATGCAGCACAGCCACGCGTCTGAGGCTGCCGAGGCGAAGGCCAAGGAAACGAGCGAGGTATCGGAGCGTAACGTACCTTGATCTCTGCTAATTCCTCACTCCCCAGTACGAGCACCTCGCCATTCTCCTCGAAGCGATGTGTCCGGATTTGGATATCGCCTACCCAGCCGGGCAGGTTGCATATCTGAAAGGTATGGCGGAGAGTCTCTTCTCGCCCCGGCCCTTCGTCGGTGATGTAAAACGGGCCGGAGTAGGCAAAGAAGCGCTTGGCCGCCTCGGTCCACTGCGCATCGTCGCCCTCGCCGCGCTTGAAGGTTTGTTGGCCGGGAATCAGCATCTGTGCTGACATGTAGCCATCGGGGGTGTACATGATGAAGCCGGTGACGTTTTTCGTCATGGGGTAGGTGGGCCGCTGGGGGACGGAGGTGGGAGTCGGGTAGGCAATGTAGGATTCGAGCTTCCATGTCCCTATTAACTTCTGCCGGAGGGGGATCTCGGGGGGTGGTGTGACGCATTGCTCGAGGGTGTACATTCCGCCGTTGAGGTCGGTGGAGAGATCATCGTAATTGGTGCCGGTCGAGTCGTCGGCCATGGTGACGTCGTTCATTTTGACGTCCGGGGTCGGGGTATAGTAGGTGGGCGGGGTGGGAGTGATGTCTTTGGTCATGGGGTGGGCGGTGTGGGAGGAGAAGCCATTCAGACTGGGCTTGTGGTGGGAGTCTGCCGCAGGCATCGGGGGGGACTGCGGACGGGCGGCGATGGGGGAGATGACGGCCTCGGGCCTGTCGCTGCGAGGGCGTGATCGGGAGCGGGCGCGGGCCTGCTGCGGTTGTGGTTTGGGGCGGCGAAGGGGGATCTTGGGGACCTGCAGGAATTGCGAGCTCGAGCCGGCCATGTTTACCATGGGCGAGTAACAGGACAGCATTGGAAGGCGGGCGACAGGGGGCGTGGGGATGGGAGCATGATGGAAGGGAGGGAAGGAGGGAGGGAGGATGTTGTGTGGGTGGGTGTGTATGGGTGGGTGGGAGAGGGAGTGGGGAGGCGTGAGCGGTCCGGAAGAGCAGAGGCCCGGCGCAGGCAACGGACGGGTAGCAGCCAGCAGTGGAGGCAGAGGGCACCGATGCGTACGGGGACGGTAGGGTTGCTCGCTGGCTGTCACTCACTCGCTGCAGTGATGAACGGGTAATAAACAGCGCCCAGCGGCGGCCGGGGCGGTGGGGTGGGGCAGGGCCGAGGGCTAGCGCGCGCTCGGTTTGCAGAATCAATATTTCGGGAACTTTGCTCGCTCAGCTTCCGCGGCGCCAGGCTCATCATCACTGGAATCCCAATGCCTTGCTTTGCTGGTACGTCCGTTCATTCTGCCCTTCATTCTGTCATTCATCCGTCCATTCCCCCTCCCTTGCCCCTCGCCAAACAAACAAACATCTCTCCGCATCCCTCTCCCTCCTCAGGCCAGCCAGACGCCGTCATTTCCCCCCCTCATCTCAACCCTCCTCGGGCAGTTGGTGCTACTAAATTGGGATTGCCTGGAAATGTACCTGCTCACTGCTTCCGGCTAGCCCGGGCCCGGCGTGCTCTGCAACTGCAGCGTGGTGGGGTGGCCCAAGCCCGGCCGCCGAGCCCGCAACGTTGTGCCTGCTCCCCTCCTGCAATCAATCACACAATGCGCGCCAGAGTCATGATCATCATCGTCCGCCCGCCGGCGCAGATTGACTTTTTTTGCTTGCTGCTGACCGAGCCTCGCAATCTGCCCCGGTCGCGGCGATGATGGAAAAGGCAAGTCCAAGGTGGGCTTTGCGTATCTTTTTGTCAGCCTCACCACTTCACTTTGCGCACACTGGCAATGCTGCCTTTGTGCACTGGTCATCGCCTCTTCCTTTGTTCCTCGGCCCCCTTTTCCGACATTCCACGTCAATGTCTTAGCTTCCATGCTACAAATTCGACGACTTGTTTCGTGTCGTTGCGTGATGGCCTGGCGGCTGCTCTAACAGCCACCCATTGGTCCATCGCCACCTCCCGCCCGATCCGTGAAGCACCGTTTGATTGGCTTTGCAACGGTCAGGTACAGCGACACTGTGCACTCCATGTCCCGATGATATCAGAGGAAAGCAAGGCGCCAAAAGCCGACGGATTGATTGCTTGCTTGCTTTTCGCCACGTGAAAACAACGCTCTGTTTACTCACCAAGACGTAATATAAATCCCGCCGAGTCTTCCGCACGTGTGCTGGTGGAGCCGCAGCCGCGCTTCGATTGCTCGGCGCCCCGGAAACGCCAGATTATCCGTCAATCCCAATCTCGTCGTGCGGCGAAAGGATGCGACGGCATGCGAGTGGTTACTATGTGCACCACCGTGACGTTCATATACATCCAGTGAGAGTTTGAAGAGCTCATGGCCAGCAATAGCGTCTGCACGAACAAGCGACTGTGTTATAGGGTAGGGAGTGGTGTTCGAGGCCATCATCACGTGCCTTTTCATTTACTTGATTGCCTTCCTCAATAACCACACGCCCTTTCCACCACCGGCAGCTCCCTGCACCTACCCTATACCGTATCCTAGACCCTTTCCATTCACACTCATGTTTGATTTGTCGTTCGCCATTCTTTGACTGTTCTCATGGTCGGTAACGGGTTGGAAATATTTGCGGGGTCCGGATGGCAACCTCGAATTAATAATCCATTCGCCTCTCGCGTCATACTACAAAACCCCCAAGGCACAGTTCCATCGTAGTCGAGTCCGCAGTCTTCTCGTATCGATTCATATCCAAAGTATCTACAACCACACTATCTCCCACCCTGGCTCTCCGTCCGACCCTGCAAAAAATGACAAAATACTCCATCGACATCGTCTCGGACACCGTCTGTCCGTGGTAAGCTCCTCATCACAAACAACTGAATGTACCATTGTCAGCCTCGGGCATGACTAACCGATGACCAACAGGTGCTATGTAGGCAAGAACCGCCTGGAAAAGGCGATCGAGGCGCACAAAGCCTCCAACCCAGAAGACACCTTCGAAACCAACTGGCTGCCCTTCTACCTCAACCCCGACGCCCCCAAATCCATCGACAAGCAGCAGTACTACCACCAGAAGTTTGGCCCGGGCCGCACGCAGGCGATGCAAGTCAACCTCGCTCGCCTGGGCAAGCAGGTCGGCATCGACTTTGCTTTTGGCGGCAAAACGGGCAACACGCGCGACTCGCACCGCCTGATTCAACTCGCTAAAACGAAGGGCCCCGCGATGCAAACTAAAGTCGTCGAGGAGCTGTTCAACTCCTACTTTGAGGAGAACGAGGACATCACCGATCGCGGCGTGCTGGTTGCGCGCGGTGTCCGGGCGGGCTTGGACGAGGCGGAGGCGAAGGCTTGGTTGGAGTCTGATTCTGGCGGGCCCGAGGTGGATAAGGAGGTGCTGCAGGCACTGAGGAAGTTTATCGGCGGGGTGCCGAATTTCACGATTAATGGGAAATATGTTGTTGAAGGGGCGGAGGAGCCCGAGGGATTTTTGCAGGTGTTTGTAAGTGGATTTGCTGAGGATGCTCTTGATCGCGAGGTATGCTAACCTGGATGGCAGGACGAGGCGAAAGCTGACGATCGTCTCTCTGGGGCCTCTGTCACCAGTGGTGGGGAGACGTGCTGAGAGCAGCATTGCGAATGAGCGAGCATTGTATGGCTTGTATTGTGCTGAATCCTGATCCCAACCTGGAACGTTTCGTTCTGTCAGTTGTCAGTGACGTGTCGCTCCTTCCCTTTGTGTTTGGCTCGCTCCTTCCCTACACGTCTTGCTTGGCGCAAGTCATTCGCACACTCCAATTTGCCTCTTCACAATTCTCCCCTCTTCCTCTTCTTCTTCCTCTCCTCAGCGAGTGCTACCGCTTCGCGGTCTGAAGGCTCTGCACGCCTCCGGCAGCCCAAAGGCTCGCCATATCGGCACTCGCTCGCTTCTTTGGAGGTTCTTCCGAGGTTTCAGACGGTCACGATGACCTTGTCCTGACCAGGCCTGTCGCTCGAAGACTCCTCACCACCCAACCCGCTTTCTGCTTTCGAGTAGATCGCCTAAACACTTGACAACGTCTTGCGAAGTGCTGTACGGCCACGGTGACCTGACATCAGCTCAGCCCATCGCTCGAAGACTCTTCTCGTCAGCCACCGCTCCTGCGGTGCATCGTGATACCGGCTTAGGCCAGATCACCTGAACAGATCATTCAACCTTCTTCTTGAGGTTTCCTACCTGTCCTGAGCTCGTTGGCCGTACACTGATCGACGGCCGCCGCTACGGTACGATTTGCTTGTAGCTCCGACTTGATTCACACAGCTCAAAGCGAGGCACTGGAAGGGTTCGAACGGCTACGGCGACCTTACTCCAACCAAGCCCGTCACCCAACCGCCCGACAACAGCTTTACGGCCACTACGTTCCAAACAACCCCCTTGGAGGCACTCGGTAGCCGACGCTGACCTTACATCAGGCTGAGCTCGCCACTCAAAGACTCCTCACCTCAGCCACTGCAGTATCATCCGACGCTTCGCCCATTGCGAATGTATGAAGCCTTGCTGGCGGCTTGCATGTATACTCCGTCGCATCTGTTCGCACTTCGAGCGATCCTCATCAATTCGAACGTGGTCAGTGCATACCGGTAGCGCACAGCTGGACCATCGTGATATGTTTCACACAGTCGCTGCTGTCTCGGCAGTGAATATATGTGGACGGATCAGGCTGTCCGTACAGTGCACATGTGGGCCGAGCGTACTATTAGTCAGCCATTCTGACGTCTGTGTGGTGCACGCAGACTTCAATTCACTACATCATCGGCATCCAGGCAGTTTCGTACTTTCAGCATACTTTGAAGTGTCGAAGGCTGATCGATTCCTGCGACATTTCCACACGCGCAATGCCGTCCAAACAGCGATTCTCCTCCCTCGACATCAAAGTCATCGCCCACGAACTCTCCAACTCCCTCCTCTCGCTGCGATGCTCGAACATCTTCGACCTCTCTTCTCGAGTCTTCCTAATCAAGTTCGCCAAACCTGAGCGGAGGGAACAGTTGATCATTGACAGTGGCTTCCGCTGCCATCTCACCGCCTTTGCACGATCGACTGCTGCCGCGCCCAGTCCTTTTGTGAGCAGGTTACGAAAATTCCTGCGAACGCGGCGAGTCACCGCCGTCCAACAAATCGGCACCGATCGCGTGATTGAGATCCAGTTCAGCGATGGACAATACCGCCTCTTTCTGGAATTCTACGCCGGCGGCAACATCATCCTCACGGACTCCGAGCTTGCAATCATAGCGCTGCTGCGGAACGTGAGCGAAGGAGCGGAACATGAGCAATACCGAGTCGGCTTGAAGTACGACCTATCGCAGCGGCAGAACTACGATGGCGTGCCAGATCTCACAAGAGAAAGAGTCAAGGGTGGCTTACAACGAGCGATCGAGAAGCAAAAGGAAGAGGCCCAGAAGCCGGGGAAGAAGGTCAAGAAGAAAGGCGGAGATGCTCTGAGGAAAGCGTTGGCCGTGACCACAACCGAATACCCTCCAGTTCTCCTCGACCATGCATTGTTTGTGTCAGATTTTGACAAGACTCTTCAGCCGGAGCTGGTTGTTGCGAGCGACGAGCTACTTGATAAGTTACTCAATGCTCTGCAGGAGGCCCAAAGGGTAGTACAAGAGATTACGAGCAAGGAAACTGCAAAGGGCTACATAATAGCACGACCAACTCGACGCGCGGAAGACAAAGCAGCCACGGCGGACAGCGATGACCGCGAAGGACTGGCGTACGATGACTTCCACCCATTCAAGCCTGCGCAGTTCGCAGCCGACACCTCCATCACCTTCCTCGAGTACGAAGGCTTCAACAAAACTGCAGACGAATTCTTCTCTTCTCTTGAAGGGCAGAAACTGGAGTCGAAATTGCAGGAGCGCGAAGACAACGCCAAGCGCAAGATTGAGCACGCGCGAGAGGAACAAGCGAAGCGGCTCGACGGCCTGCAGCAAGTCCAGGAGCTCAATATTCGCAAAGCGCAAGCTATCGAGGCGAACGTGGAGAGAGTGGAGGAAGCGGTGGCGGCTGTGAACGGGCTGATTGCTCAAGGCATGGATTGGGTTGATATTGGAGGCCTGATTGCAAACGAGCAAGCGCGAGGCAATCCTGTTGCGCAGACCATCAGCCTTCCGTTGAAGCTCCACGAAAACACCGTCGCCCTCCTGCTGTCAGAAGTCGATGCTGTAGAGGAGGATGAAATGGCCGATGAAACGGACAGCGAAGCATCCGACACCGAAGACGAGCAGCCTGCGCAGTCCAAGCAGAAAAGCCCTGACAAGCGCTTGACTATTGACGTTGACCTTGCTCTTTCGGCATGGGCAAATGCAAGACAGTACTACGATCAGAAGCGATCTGCAGCTGTCAAGCAGGAGAAGACCGCTCAAGCGTCGCAGAAAGCCCTGAAGAGCACCGAGCAGAAAGTCATGGCGGACTTGAAGAAGGGGCTCAAGCAGGAGAAAGACGTCTTGCGCCCTGTGAGGAAGCAGATGTGGTTTGAGAAGTTCATCTACTTCATCTCCTCCGACGGGTATCTCGTGCTCGCGGGGAAAGATGCCCAGCAGAACGAGATACTATACCGCAGACATCTCAAAAAGGGCGACGTCTACATCCACGCCGAATTGAACGGCGCGGCATCCGTTATTATCAAGAACCGGATCGGCACACCGGATGCCCCCATTCCTCCTTCAACTTTAAGCCAAGGGGGCCATCTTGCCGTGTGCACTTCAAGCGCCTGGGATACCAAGGCCGTGTATTCCGCGTGGTGGGTGAATGCCGACCAGGTCTCTAAGACGGCGCCATCTGGAGAATTCCTCACCCCGGGCTCTTTTGTCGTTCGGGGAAAGAAAAACTTCCTACCTCCCGCCCAGCTTCTACTTGGATTTGCCGTCCTTTTCCAGATCAGTGAGGAGAGCAAGGCGCGGCATGTGAAGCATAGACTGCTCAACGTGTTTCCAGAGACGCCTGATCTGACGGACTCCGAAACGATTGCGGAAAGCTCGAACCAAGGAGACGGAAGTGATACTGCAGGCTCGGATGACGATTTTCTCGATGCTACGCCGCGCCCTCCTGCAGTACACGACAGCTCTGACGAGTTCCCGGATGCTACACGAACTCCTGAAAGCTTTGAGGAGGGCGATTTCGGGCGAGCTGCGGCTGAGAGAGGGGAAGCAGAGGACGACGATCTCCCCGATGCCACAGGGGGCCATGAAGACGATGGCGACGAGGGCGAGGACGATGATGCTCCTCGCGCAAACCCGCTGCAAGTGAATGGTGCAGTCAAACCACCCAAACCCAACCCTTCAACCGACAGCGCCCCCATCGAAGAGGACAATGAGTCGAATACGGATGAAGACAGTTCGGACGAAGAGTCTCACTCCAAGCATACTTCTTCGAACGACACCTCTGCTACGGCAGCACATCATGAAGCGGATCGCTCGTCCCTATCCACAGCATCAACGGTCAAGCCAACGCCACAGAAGCACGTCCGTGGAAAGCGCGGCAAGACGAAGAAAGCGGCTGCAAAGTACGCCGAGCAAGACGAAGAAGACCGAGAAGCGGCCATGAGACTGCTCGGGTCTCGAGCCGGCGATGACAAGCGACGGGCAGAAGCTGCGGAGAAGGCTGAAAAGAAAGAGTCCGTGGAAGAGGCGCGTGTACGCCGGCGAGCCCAGCACGAGAAAGCTCAAAAGGAAGGCCTTGAGGCTGAGGAAATCAGACGCATGAACCTCGAAGAAGGCGTGGATGAACTGGACGAGCATGAAGCTGCGTCTCTCACGGTGCTCGATGCGCTTGTCGGCACACCCTTACCCGGCGACGAAATCCTCGAAGCCATCCCCATCTGCGCGCCGTGGTCTGCTTTGACGAAGTACAAGTACAAAGCCAAGATGCAGCCTGGCCAGCAAAAGAAGGGCAAGGCGGTGCGTGAGATTCTCGGGAAGTGGGTCAAGGATGCGGCCGATCCCAAAAGGATCGACCAGCACAGCCGGGATACGGAGAAGATTTGGCCGAGGGAGGGAGAGCTGATCAAGGCGTGGAAGGAAGCGGAGGTGGTGGGCATTATTCCTGTGAAGAGCGTGAGAGTCATGATGTCGGGCGGTGGCACTGGTGGAGAGAAGGGCAAGGCTGGGAAGGGTGGTGGCGGTAAGGGCGGGCGGGGCGGGAAAGGGAGCAAGAGGAGGTAGTTGCGTGTTGTCGTAAAGCTTTAGAAGACGATTGATATGCACCAAGCCCATGTCTCATCAACAGCGCCTCTGCAGGGCACGGACGGTTGATCTCCGCCGGACGGCCACGTCCATCTCCGGCTTCGTAAGCACACACGCATCCCGCTCACCTTCTCACGTCCGGCCACCGACTGCGACAATTGATCTGCTCGAATACACACTTGTTTTCCCGACCACCAACAAAATTTCACCATCATGGCGGCAAACTACAACTATCTGGGCGATGTGGCGGGGTTGGTGGTGGTAGTCACCGGAGGTGGCACAGGCCTTGGACTCATGATATCAAAGGCGCTCGCCCTTAACGGAGCAAAGGTCTACATCACCGGCCGACGTCGGGAGAAGCTCGAGGAGGCTGCAAAACTCGTGGGCAACGGGAACATCATCCCCATCCAGGGAAGTGTAACATCTCGCGAAGACCTCCAGGCAGCCGTCGACTTTATCACCAAGGATAGCGGCTACATTGACGTGCTTGTAGCAAATGCGGGCATGACGACTTATGACAGCCGGCCAGATGCGAGGCCCAAACCGACGGCGCAGAATACACTTTCCGAGATTCGTGACTATTACTTCAACTATCGATCTGCGGACGTGTGGAAGGATTGTCTGGAGACCAACACGGCCTCCGTCTTTACGACATCCATGGCCTTTCTCGAGTTGCTGGATGCCGGAAGTAAGTGTTTGACGGTCAATTTCAACATCGTTGGGAGATGCCAATGCTAACGGCCCGTCTGTACAGACAAGCAAAGGGCTAAAGACAAGCCGCACAGCCAGATTATCACGATCGGCAGCGTTGGCGGGTTGACCCGATTTACAGACACGTTCATTTACAGCGCATCAAAGGTGGAGCCAATTCAACTGGGTCTTGATGCTGTTCGAAGCTGACTGGGTTGATACAGGCCGGCGTACACCATCTGACGAAGAACCTGGGTGCCTTTCTGGTTCCCTTTGACATACGTGCTAACATCATTGCTCCTGCTTGTAAGCACGACCTCGATCACGGCGTGGATAAGAGACTAACTTCGTTCCAGGGTTCCCATCAGACATGGTAAGTGTCGACTTACAAGAAGCCACGCACCTCCACCATCCTGGCAAAAGACTGACGAAGATTTCGACAGACTGTGCCGGTGGCGAAGATGTTTGAGTCGACGAATGGCGTGATGCCGAGGGAGCTGGTTCCCCAACAGAGAATGGGGAATGAAGACGAGCTTGCGGGGACTTTGTTATACATGGTGTCCAGAGTAGGTCTTCACCTGTACCCTTGCGCACCTCGAATGTTCACTAACTGGTGCAGGCTGGAGGGTACCTCAATGGCGCAATAATCCAGTTGGACGGCGGATTTCTCTCGAATCATTCGGGTCCATGATCTTGCCGCTGCGTGCATATGTCAGAGTGTGGTGTGGCGCTGCAGAGAGGCAGGAGCGAAGAGCTATAATTGGTGCGGACTAGCTAGCCGAGCCGAAAGCCTAAACCAACCCCCCAGCCCACTCGTGCAGCTCTCGCTCCAGTCACTCTTTAAACCTAGGTATTCATCCTTGTTCTAACCACACTTCCTCCTAACACGCCCGAACTTCCACCGACTCGAGAAGCCTCATTCTCTCCTGAATCACATCTCTTGCTCACTTTGGCTTCGCTGACACGCTGGACACGGCATCGCGATGCCCTTCGAGTCGCATCTCGCCTTGGACCTCGTCTGAAGCCTTTGCATAATCGCTTGATCCCGCCTTTCTTTCGTTCAGCGTGTGTCGGTCCTCTTCGTCGTAGATATTGCGTCTACTTTCGACGACTTCGCAGGTATAGGATCCATCGCCAGGACGGTTCTGCTTCACCGCTTTCGTTCAGCACTTCACGGTGAATGAGGATCTGAGGCTCGAGCAGATGGCGCAATACTCGCCGCACCCTGCAGCGGAGCAGAACTACGACACCCTGTATTCCACCGCCAGCGGTGCTCAGCAACTCGTGGATGCGCAAGGCCAATTTCAATTCAATGCCATGAACCAGTCCGCCTATCCCAAGGTCGAGTCAGCAGCCAACGGTCAACCACCCTCGTCAACTACGACGCATACCTTCATACATCACCTACCGCCGCAAAACACATTCGACGCGCAGCAGTCAGCTCAACATGCCTCACAGCTGGCCATTCAGCCGCAGCTAGATGATGCCTCGATGACGACAGCCGATCCGCAGGCCGCTCTCGACCAGAGTCAGAAAATCGTTCGCCTCCGCAAAGCATGTGATGGGTGCAGTATCCGGAAGGTCAAGGTATGTTCATCCAGTGATGACGCATGGCATCGTTCGAGAAGTGACTTTTATAGTGTGACGAAACCGGCCCACCGTGCCGCCCATGTGCGGCCCTCAATATACCCTGCACGTGGTCAAGACCGGTACGACGCAGAGGACCTCCGAACCGACACGCCGAAGCCATCAAGCGCGCCCGAGTCGAAAGTTTCGCCGATCCGTCCTTCTTTGACCGGGAATCATCACCGGCTTCCCCAACTCATGCAGCACAAGCACTCGCAGCGCTATCATCACATGCACACAAACCATCTGCTGAGTCGATTTGTTCCATCTCCAAATTAAACCCCTTGATCGACGACTTCTTCACCTACATCCACCCTCTCTACCCATTCCCGCACGAACCCAGCTTTCGTGAAGCATGGAAGCGAAGAGAAGACCTCTCGAATGCCGCATTCCTCTCTCTTCTCGCTTCCATGGTCGCCGCATTGGTGTCTTCCTTCCCGAGAAAACCTCGTCTCCACCTCACGGCTCGCAGGAGAGATGCCAACTTCCCAAAAGATCTCGACCTCATCACGCGATGTCAGAAAGTCTGCTTGGTTGCGAGAGGTCCGGGCTTCCTGGACAGCGATACCCTGAGCGTTTACGATGCTGCTACGAGCTACTTCCTTGGACTTACCGGTCTCCATACACATAGATGGCGCCAGTCGCGGTTGTATTTTGGCGAATGTCTCACCATCCTCCGCGCTCTCGGTCTCCACAAGGAGCAAGATCAGTCATACACCATCCTGGGCTCGTTGCCGTCTGCACTTGGCTCATACGGCATCAAAGCCCAAGGCACAAGAGGGCAGCAGATCGATAACATCACCCTAGAAATGAGTCGACGCTTGTTTTGGACGATCTTCAGCACAGTGAGGAGCATGCAACAGCTTGGAGCGGACTTTGATGAGCTCATCATACCACCACCCACCCCCAGCCAACCTTACCCACCTCTTCCTGCCGAGGTGGACGACTTTTGCGTCTTCCCAACCCACAATGAGCCGCAGCCCGCGGGCTACCTCCCCTTCACAGCTGCATTCAACGCGAATGTGAAATGTTTTCGCGCCTACGATGCCCTTGCGAGTATAGACATGGCCTGGGGCAAGAACTCCGTGGCTGAGCGAGAGCGGCAAGCTGGACTACTCCTCGAGGCTTTGAAAAAGTGCAACGAGCCGGTTCAGAGTCTATCGCAGCGTGATAGCGAGGAATTTCAAGATGGTCTTTCGAGTAGCAACGGCGCGGCCAACAGTAGGCAGAGCATGGGCTCTCAGCCTCACTTTCCGCGAGATCCGGCCTCGTCTCTGCAAGGCGAATCGTTGCCCAGCGATGATCAGGAGGCGGCGAAGCAACGAAGACGCTTGCAGCATGCAATACAAAGGAACAACGTCTATGCCTCTGCGCTGTCGACGCGCATATACATCGTGAAACGACTCCAGGCGCTGTCCGAAGCCGGTGAACTGGAAGGTGCAGATCCAGGCAGTGGGAGGAGCCGTGCTATCGAGGAAATTGCGCGGATCGAAGAGACGAAAAGCTTGATCGGTGAGCTCCTGGCAACGCTGAGCAATGTTGAGGCGGTCAATGTGGAGCCGAACGCCGACAACTTTGTAAGTCGAGTCCATGCGTTCAGGTGGAAGGAGACCTAATGTAATGCAGGTGGCCAAACTCCGCACCCTCGCCGCCATGCTTGTGGATCTCCTGGAAGAGCCCGAAAGCGACCTGGCAAAGCGCCTTCGAGACAGCGTCACTGGCTTTCTCCGAGGCTTGCTTCGCCTGGAGAGCGAGACTTCGGGAGGCGGTGAGGAGGAAAGCGGAATCTGGGACGAACTGCTGATGCACAAAAGCAAGTTGGCCGAGATCGCCGCGTCGATTTGAGTGTGCTACGAGGCAAGCAGGAAGTGAAACGACATCCTCGATGAAGTATTGGAAGCTAAAGGTTCAAGTTGGCACGCGTCATGCGCTCAGCGCAGCGGATTTCGATAACAGTGTCTGCACAATATTCCCCCGGGGTATATATCCTCTGGTCTCCTCGCCGTCTCTATGTCAGCACACCGCGAACCCGGCTGCGCCGACATTCCCGTCCGCCTTCCCCTTCAAAGAGCCCGTAGCGCCATCGCTTATGTCCGGTATACTGTACAATTCTAAACACGTGTACTAAAAGGAGGTTGCAAGGTTGATTGGAAAGCTCATCTAAAACCGGTACGTTAGTACATGCAGGAATCGTCGAGTCGATCGGACAGCACTTACCAATACCTTGAACCTCTGCGGCCGCTCTTCCGTCTCGGTGAGGTGGGCGCCGGGGCAGAGGTAGTAGAAGAATGCTCTTCAATCACCTCGACCACATCATCGCCATCCACCCTCCGATCCTGCTGGCGACTGCTCTGCTCAATCACCACGCTCTCGCGAAATGTGCTGGACTCCCTCTGCGGCCGCCGCGGCGGCGGAATATCGCGCACAATCCTCTCCTGCCGTATTACTCGATCTCGCCGCGGACTCGTGCGTCTCATCTCCTGCTCGCGGTAAGAGGAGCGTTGACTCCGTCTCTCCCCTCCGCCTCCGCGACTTCCCCCGCCGCCTCGACTTCGAGACCGTCTTCTGGTTGTTACTACGACGTCTTCTTCTAAGGCTGTTGCGGTGATGACTTGTTGCCCAGTGCTCATGACCCACAATAGCCATAGGATGAGGATGAAGCCGGCAATGCTGCCTAGCACGATGCCGACGATGGCGCCAGGGGAGGGGCCGGAGTTGAGGCCGGCGTAGCAGCCTTCGATGAAGTGTTCTTTGCATGCGTAGTAATTCTGGTCGCGGCGGAGGAGCGAGAGGTGTGGGAGTCGTTGTAGGAGTGATCGGGCGTTGGTAGCGAGCGTTTGCGCGGTGCGGTGGATTGCGTGGGCGAGAGGTTGCCGCGCTTCGAGAAGGCGGGTGTCGACTGCTGCTGTTGATGCTGCTGCGACTGTTGTTGTCGCGATTCGTCTGGATAGACGCGGGAGGACGGGCATTGCGCCTGCTCAGGAGGCGTGGGAGGTGTTGCGCGGCTCAAATGGCATGTAGTGCTGTTGCTTTCGCGGCGAGGTGGTTGGCGGGGCGTGGCTGTCGATCAACAGATTGACAGGTCCGTCGGGCTGTGAAACGCGGGCGAGCAGCTGGAATGTCGACTTGCTTGTCTGACGCCGGAGAATAATGCGAGTCGTCGGAGAATTAATGGATGTAAGGAATGACAGCGAAAGGAGTGCGGGAGGGCGAGGATGCGGAATAATTGGGGGGGCTTGTCAAACATCTCGGAAGTCTTGGATGGGTGGATGAGGTGGCGGGTGGCTTGAATGCGTGTGGCGGGGGACGCGGGGCGCGCGCCTGCCCCAAGTCGTAATCGCGCCCGGTCGCTCTTGCCGCCAGGCTGTGCGAGGAAGAACCGACTACCTATCCAGGCCGCTCGTCGTGACATTCTTCTCGTGCCTCTTCTGATTCATTATATTCTAGCGTCTCGTCTTTCTTCTGTCAGTGAGTGAGCTAGAAATCACCTGTACGTTGATAATCATCAGTAACACCACTTCATCACCGGCGAGGGTCACGTGTGACTGTCGCGCCTCTCCACTCAGGAGCGCAGTGAAGTCGGCAGGCTGACGATGTCTTTGTCGCAGCACCGTTCTCTATGACATGCTGTTGTTCCATTAATCAGATGCAGCGACCATCGTCTTCCGTCCGGCTCGATTTGTCAAATCTCTACTCAGAGGCAGATGGGATGATGGTGGTCCGGCAACGGCGGTCCTGACCCCTCCATCCTCGGTAATAAGGCACTGGGCGTAATCGTCACGCTTTCACCGTGTCCCGCATCACGACCAAACATTGACTTCTCTATTGTCTCAACTTCCCCTTTTCTTTCTTATCCTTCATATCCCCTACTACTCCTTCTCCCATCTTGGATTTGCATCAATATGCCGGCCTTTCGTCGCGAACTATTCGAAGGCCAATCGAAAGCCAACGCTCAAGAGAATGGAGCCGCCACCCAGAATGGCGTCCATCCAACAGAGACGCTCGATGCTGTAGTAGTCGGCGCTGGGTAGATGGTACCCTATGAACCCAACGACCGTCCAAACTAACATATCAGTAGCTTTGCCGGTGTCTACATCCATTACAAGCTGCAAAAGGCCGGCTTCAAATCAAAGATCATCGAGGCCGGCGATGCACTCGGAGGTGAGTACTCGACATCTTTCTCGACTTTCAATCATTACTGTTGACTGATGCATTGCTCTCTAGGAATTTGGGCATGGAACAGGTTGCCGCCACACATCTTCCCGCGCTGAAGTTCAAACTAACTCCGCAGATACCCCGATGCCCGAGTTGACTCGCAATACCCGATCTATGCATATTCGGTAATGGAACCCCTTAACTGGAAGTCGACTAGAGACTGACCTCATCCAAGATACCCGAAGTATACGAGGATTGGTACTGGAACTCCGATTACCCCGACCACAACGACATGCGAGCCTACTTTGAGCACGTCGACAAGAAACTCGGGATCAAGAAGGATACCTATTTCGACACCGCCGTAGAGACAGCCACATGGGATGACGAAGAGTGCATGTGGACGCTCAAATGCAACACTGGACTCGTGGTCAAAGCTCGCCACTTCGCCGCGTGTATCGGGTTCGCAGCTAAACGCTACTTTCCGGTGGAATGGGAAGGGTACGAGAACTTTGAGGGTTTTATGTGTCATTCCTCCTTCTGGCCTAAGGACGATGTTGACGTGCGAGGCAAGAAGGTCGCCGTGATCGGAACTGGAGCGACGGGTGTCCAAATTGCCCAGAATTGGGGCAGGCATGTTGGTGAGAACGGATCGCTAAAGATCTTCCAGAGGACGCCGAATTACGCATGCCCCATGAACATCAAATACCTCACCAAGGAGCAGCAAGACGTTGACAAGGAGCGCTACCCGGAGCTCTTTGATCAACGCTGGGTCAATTACAACGGGTTTCTCTACCAGTTCCGGGACGAGTCGATGTTTGACTATACCCCGGAGCAAAGGAAGGAGCTTTTCGACATGCTGTGGAACATGGGCGGCTTCAGATATCTTATGAACAACACGAAAGACCTGACTCGAGACTTTAAGGCGAACCGCATTGGGTATGATTACTGGCGAGACCGAATTCACGAGCGCGTTGAAGACCCCGAGACCGCTGAAATCCTGGCACCCAAAGAGCCGCCTCATCTCTTCGGCGGAAAGAGACTGTCCCTCGAGCAGGACTACTACGACAACTTCAACAAACCCAACGTTCACATCGTCGACATGAAACGCAGCCCTATCGTCAAGTTCGAGAAAAACGGCATCCGACAAGAAGATGGCACCTTTCACGAGCTCGACATTGTGGCGCTAGCTACCGGTTTCGACAGCATCACAGGCGGCATGAACGCAATCGAGATCAGAGGCAAGAATGGCGAGCTCTTGAATGGAAAGTGGAAGGACGGAGTGTACACCTACCTCGGCATGACCTCCACGGGCTTCCCCAACTTCTACTTCACCTATGGTCCGCAGGGCCCCACGGCCTTCTCCAACGGACCCTCTTGCAACGAATTGCAGGGTGACTGGATCGTGGATGTGATGCAGTATATGAAAGACCATGGTCTGAAAAGTATCGACCCGAAGAAGAAGGAGGAGCTTCGCTGGAAGCAGACTGTCACGGAGCTGAGCTTGGTCGGCGTCAGAGGCCATACGCATTCGTGGTATGACGGAAGTAACATTCCAGGTCAGTATGCGGTCTGCTATGTGTGAGGATCTGTTCTAACATCGTCTCAGGCAAGAAAGTTGAGTAAGTCTAACCTTGAGGAGTCCATTGATCGATGCCATACCTTCCCACCCAAAGCCCACAATCTTGACGATGGCTCGCGCCCAATTTGATGAATACGAGCCGTCTACAAAGTGAGTCGTTCACATGCTGACTCAAGCTCACAGGCCGCTAAATTACGCCGGCGGGATTCCGGTGTACATCAAGGAGATCTCCCACGAGACGAAGAATGAGTATCCAGGTTTCGATCTTCGGTAAAGTCTCGACATTATATACGAGTATTTACGCTGAATGTGAGCAAGTCTTGTTACCGCGGCCTGTCCTATTTCTCGGGTCGTGTGTCCACTAAGGTTGTTGATCCATCAAGGTCGGCATCCAAGAAGACACCCATCATTACCTTAGTTGTGATGCCCACTACTCCGTGCATTGTAAGAACACACTGAATTAACAGCTCCTGATCATGTCGTCGTCACCTTCAACGAATGCAGACACCGCAGAAATCTTCGACGTGATCATCGTCGGAGCCGGACCGTGCGGCCTCGCTATAGCCGCAAGGCTGCGCGAACGACGCCCATCCGCCCTCTTCACCGACGAAGAACACGCGCGATACTCGTGGATGTCGCGCCACGCCAACAAAGCGGCAATCAAAATCAAACGAACGGGACAAGTGAAGACCGGATCAGACTGCCAGCCGTGCCAGTATGGGCCGTCGATTCTCGTCTTAGACGAGCACGGCAACGACTTCCTTGCCAAGTGGAAGTCGTTCTTCCGCAAGTTGGAGATTAAGAATCTGAGGAGCCCGATGTTCTTTCATCCTGATCCGTCGGATCGGGATGCGTTGCTTGCTTTTTGTCATGAGGCCGGACGGTCGCATGAGATGGAGGAGATTGTTGGATGTGTGGGGAAGGAAGTCAGTAAGCATAAGAAGAAAAGGCGGATGAATCAACGCGGCGGCTCGTATGGATATAATTTCGCAAGTTCTGCTGCGGGATGCTAATCGATCTCAGGACGAAGTCAGCCGTTGAGGTTGACGAGAGAGATCGCAAGGACTACTTCACGCCATCCTCTTCATGCTTCGAGGACTTCTGCGAGGCCTGCATCAGTAAATACAGGCTTGGAGATGGCCTCATCCAACAAGGGACGGTGCGAGAAATCGAATACACAATGGCCCCGGGTGATGAGCGCCCGCTCTTCCACATCCGCACAAATACCGCCCAGTATCTGGCCCGGACTGTGGTTCTGGCCTTGGGGCCGGGCGAGCCCATCATTCCAAGCCCCTTCGTACCAGGACAGCTTCCCGCATCGGCCACGCATGTCACGGATGCCACGCTTCCGAAGCTGTTGAGCAAAGACTTGCTTTCCAAGATCCGATGTGGCAAGCCGACAAACGTGCTCATCATTGGTGGAGGCTTGACGAGCGCCCAGGCTGCGGATCTTTGCATACGAAGAGGTGTTGGCAAAGTGTACTTGCTGATGCGTGGGCATTTGAAAGGTAAGGCACACTCATGCCGACAATGCTGCCATGCTGACCCCGCGTGCAGTGAAGCCTTTCGACGTGGATCTTTGCTGGATGAGTAAGTTTCGAAATCAACAGCAATCCGTCTTCTATACTTCCGATGACTTTGCCGAAAGATTCGAAATGATCAAGGAAGCTCGCGGCGGTGGTAGCATGACGAGCAGAGCCTCCAAGCTGCTGAAACAGTATGTTCAAGACAGCAAGGTGATTATGCACACCCATACGACCGTGAAGACGCAGTGCTTTGAAGAATCGTCACAGTGCTGGACGATAGCGACCGAGCCGCCAGTCGCAGACTTACCTCAATTCGACCACATCTTCTTCGCCACTGGAACAAAGACAGATGTCGAAAGCATGCCAATGTTGCAGCCTTTGCTTGCGAATCACCCAATCAAATCAATTGCTGGACTGCCAACTCTTAACGAAGACTTGGCCTGGGCGGAAGATGTGCCTCTGTTCTTCACCGGTAAATTAGCCATGCTCCAACTCGGACCTGGCGCTGGTAACTTGGAGGGCGCAAGGATTGCTGCGGAGCGAGTCTCTTGGGCCATTGAAGACGTCTTGAAAAACAGTACCGACGTCAAGGTAGATGGTGAAGGCCAGAGGCTCTGGGACTCCGACGAAGGGTACGTGAGCGGCATTGGTAGCAAGTTCGCAGGGTTGAGTGTCGACAGCGAGTGAGAATGAGGGAGATTGATCGCCAAGGAATAGATACAGACATGCCAATGCTTGGCGACTCTTGTCGTCCCAGGAAGCGACATGAAGCAATACTGCGCCCGCCCGGACTTCTGACATGACTCGATCGATGGCCAGCCGGAAAGCAGACTGCGACACGTATGGTACGGCGACTTGGAATCCGTGGCTAGCTACCGGCTCCCCGCGGCGGTGGAGTAATAAGCTTGCGAGGCTCGTAAAGCGGCCGTCGCTCTTTGCCTCCTTTGGCGATCACGCGAGTGTCTTGCATGCAAGTTTTGCCGAAGCTTGTTCCTCACTTGCTGAGCTTTAAAAGCAACCTTACATTTCCGACCTTAACCTAAATCCCACCGTCTTTGCGGCCCACTTTTGGATACGACGCGTGCGTGGTCGGTGTTCCGCGAGCGCCCGCCGCTTCGGCGATGGTTTGTAAGGAAGTCATGATTCCAACGTCGCGCTCAGTTGCAAGAGATCCGAGGCTCGTGGTCGTATTGCCGTGGCTTCGTGGATCAAAGAGAAGTGCCAGGGGCTTCGCCTTGGCGCCACGTTGCGAGCTGGAGAGAAGAGGCGTCCAGCTTGAAAGAGGCCCAGGTCGGGCTGTTCCCGTTAGGGCAACCACCTCGCTCTCCCAAGCACGTCCAAGCCCTCGGATGACGAATATCGGATGGCGGAGAAGTTCCCAAGGGCTGCCGAGCCGATCCTAAGAGCGAGTGTGTCCTTGAGGCGTCCAAGTCGTGATGTAGGCTAGGCACAGTCGCCGGGAGATGGTGATGCGGCACTGATGAGCGGTTTGCTTCGCGAACGCGCAAATCCTGCCGGCCAGAAGCTGTGATTAGGTTCGGCGAGTGCCCCACCCGTTGTAAGCTTAAGAATTAGCGTCCTTGGGCGTCCTTGGCGCTCCAATTACAGATACGGGACCGCCGCCGTCACAACCGCTCCGTGCCCACTTCCTTCCACCATCGCCGGCGACTCGTCATCTTCAGCGCTGGTCTGCTTCCTCCGTTCTACGTCCTCCACATTGACCGCCTGCTCCATCTCCAAAACTGCACGTGAACACTGGATGCTGACTGATCCCGGAACGCACCTGCCGCAATCGATTTGAGAGAAGGAGCCCCACACACCTGGCAGGCGCGACCCGGACAAGCGAGTCTTGACGGCGCATGCCACAACCCTTCTTCCCTTTTCCGCACAACACCGACACCAATGGAGACCTATAGTGGACACGTGAGAACGCCGACGGATGCCATCATCCTGTTCGAGGCATGTCGCATTGGCCTGCTACCGCGCGTGCAGCGCAGACTATCAGAGAAGGAACGACAGTCAATCACCTCCGGCTCGGTCTTTGTGTGGGACGAGCGAGAGGCTGGCATGCGAAGATGGACAGATGGTAAGTCCTGGAGCGCAAGCCGAGTGGCAGGCAGCTTCCTCACCTACCGTGAAATGGAGGGCAAGCGGGGCGGTGGAGGGATGGAGAAGAGCGCGAACCGCGATGGCGTGGCCGGCAACGAGGCAGACTCCGATGGCGGACCGGATGGATATCGATACAAAGCAGACGGCTTGATGAAGCAGTCCTTCTCCATCACCACCAACAACGGCCAACACCTCCATCTCATCAGCTACCTCTCGCGCTCCAACGCCAACAGCCTCATGGCGCCTTCGGCCGACCCGCAACTCCGGCATATCAGGCCAGAGAAGGGCATGTACCCCGAGTCGACCGTTCACGAACAGAGCAGCATCCCCGCCGTCACTCGAGGGCCCATGAGCTCCCCTGGTTATACACATGCCCCGCACCAAGCTCCACCCTATGGCCGCACACCGCCGTATTCTTATGGCCCGGGCCCAGGTGGCTACCCTCCGAGTCCCATGCACACTCCACCGCCGCATACACAGTACTCTCCGTACTACCAACATCCACCGTATGCCGGACAAGGACCTCCACCAAATATGCACTACCCAGCGCCGGGCTACGGACAACCACCGTCGATGACGGCCTTCGACAGGGCGCCTCCTCCACTAAGCAATAACGGTCTTCCTCCGCCCCCTCCCCAATACGGAGCACCCATGCCGCCGCAATCAGGCTATCACAACGGCTATCCCTACCCAACCGGCTACCCTCCCTACCACGCTCCACCTCCCCCAAATGCGACATACCCTCCACCACCTCCTGCACCCACGTACGAGACGAAAGCGCCGGCCCCAGGCGCTCCGGAGGAATCGAATTCCGCACGAACAGAGAATCGCAACGAGAGGCCGCCATCGCAAGCCAAACCCGAAGACGGGCCATCGACGAGCAGTCCGCAAGCCCAGGCGGGCGCATCGGGGCCTGCGACATCCGGCCAGACCATTCCCAGCATATCGGCGATGCTCAACAGCGGGGAGAACGGGCAGCCACCGCCTCGCACGAGCAGCAAGAGCCCTCAAAACACCTCGACCCCACAAGACATTCCCATTTACAAGCTCGGATTCGAGGCCAACAGGGACGTGCAAGCGCTGCGAAATCTGGACAAGTCGACGTTCAAGTACAACTAGTAGTTATCGACACTGTGGACGATTGGACTTTTCCTGCTTTATCGAACACTTTTACGGCCTGTTTGCTGCTTCTATGATACCAAGGCGTTTGCTACTTTACAATGCTTCTTCCGGGGTAGGGTTTCCAAGAGACTAGTACGGCGCTGTGGGCTGCTGTAGAGAAAGAGAGAGACAAATACATGATTAACGACTCGCGGGGTTATATCGGGGTGGGGGTGTCGAGAGATTGAGTATTTGTACAGAGTCACATGTTGCTGCCTTACTCCATACGCAAGACTAAAGCTAGCTTGGATCGTATCCCGTCATGATTGCATTCCCGCTCGTCCTGCGTTTCGTGTAGGTAGCCATGTCATCTCGCTCTCCATCATCCATATCTCACGACCACCCTCCGGGCACTGCATCATCCCGAGCCGCGGGCTGCGCTACTGATCGAGCGGACGGGGTGTGAGAGGGGCTCGGTCTCGCTCCGCTCACGGATTGCGTCGAGGGGGTATGCGCTGCGCCTGGCCGCGCGGTAGACTGCGACGAGTTCGTGCGCGAAGCGGAGTGCCTTGATTCCGACGATGTAGTCCACACATTCACAAGCACACTGTAAGGTAGTCAGCGATCAGGCTTTCTAGTATACTCCCGTCTCCCGAACTCTGGCACTCACTTCTGCGTCTTGTCCTCGTACGTCTCGCCCTTCATCTCCTTCACTCCCACTTTCAGTCCGCCGTCTTTGGTGAAAGTGATGTCCTTCTTCTCCAGCGACTTCTTCCCTCTTTCCGACAACTGGGTGGACCAGAGGTAGATTTGGTAGCCGATGTAGGCGGCGCCGCCGAGGACGAGGAGGAGCGCGAGCAGGGGGACGAGATTGGTGAGGCGCGACATGGTGCGTGTGGGTGTTGGGGGGAGAGAGGGCGGACTGCGGTCGTGTGGTGGTTTTGTTTCGTTGTTGGGGGCGCAGCAAGTGGGCAGTGAATGCGTGTGTGTCGCATGCGCGAGCTTCAGCTGCGGCGGCCAATGAGACGTGCAGCGTGTTTGGCCGCCAAGGGACTATATTTCAAGGAACGAGGAATGACATCGCGGTTTCTGCAGTGGCGGATAGAAACATCGCTCAATGCTTGATATAATGCTACATAGCCTCACTTTCTTGCACCCTTCTGTCCTGCCCTGCTGGTGGGAGGATCGGTCAGAGGGCCCTGAGTTGGCAGACTCGATCCAGTCACAATCCCCTTCTTGTTCAACCGTTCGCCTTTCTCTTTCGCCTCAAGAATATTGGCCTCCGCCTGCTGCTTCAACTTCATTTCCCGTCCTTTATTCCGCTGAGCACGCTCGTTGACCGGACTTTTGGCCTGTGCCTTTGTCTGATCCTCAGGCTGCCTCTCTGCACCACTGCCTTTCACCGGCTTGACGACTTCGCCCGGATCCAAGCCCAGATCTTGGAGCTTGCGCATGGCTTTTTCACTGCCGGCAGCAGCGCTAGCGCGCAACTTGCGTCGATGCAGCCGGTTGAAACGCTTCTCTTTGTACGCAATGAGTCGCTCATCGGGGGTGGGGATGGGCGGACGGTCCTCCACAGGTATGCCAAAAGGGGTAATGATGGAGGCCACGACATGGCGAACGCGTTCTGCAACCCGAAGGCGGTGCAATGATACCACGTCTCCCTCCACCAGCGAACTGTTCGGGTCATGGACAAGGAGTCGTACGTAGCTGCGGAAGTGCTGGACGGGTGTTAGAGCTTTAGCCTTGGGCGTCGTCTTGGAGAGCGTCATACCTTTTTAATGCGCTTATTCCATTCCATTCGCGGCACGCGCACCTTCACCGTCCTCTGCATCTTGCCCGCGCTCACCACCACACCGACTATCGGCTTGTGTGCCTCTGCCTCATCTCTCTGTTCTTGCTCCTTAGGCGGCAGGTGCTCTGTGGTGCTGTGCTGGAGGTATTGGACGGGGATCTTGTGCGGGAGCGGTCTTCGGAGATAGGCGATGTCGGTGTTGGTATTGTTATGCGGTGATGGCGTGGGTGAGGGCCGTGATTCCTTCAATGGTGCAGGTTGAAAACGGATAGATGCAGATTCATCGGCTTCGGTCGCGAGGCATCGCCGGCAAATCCACTGGTTTCCCTTTTGGGGAGCACGAGGGACTGTGCGTATGGGGAGCCGTAGAAGACTCCGACTCATTGTGGATGAATCCTGGGATGGGGTGTGAGAGCACGTGTGGATGATGTTTCGAATTGAAGCTCGTAATGAAGAAGCGAAATCCACCTCGATTTGCTATTCGCGGAACGAGCCAATCACCAGGCACGGACTGCTTAGTAAGGTGCCCTGCAGCTGCCGTGCCTTTCTTCAATTTCACGTTCAGACAAGCAGACACATCTTCTCAATACACCAAGACAAGTGAAAACATCATTGACCGCCCGCACTGAAGAGAACATTGCGCTTGATCGGGACCTCTCTTTCCAGCCTCGTACCACGCCCTCAAAGTCCCCAGTCGCCTGTCCCCGCCCACTATATCTCCCCGACATTACACCATCAGATCCAGCAAACATCGCTACGCGCGGTCGACAGCAGGATGGCGCAAGCACGCGAGAAGGGGGGAAGAGTGGTCTTCATCGGAAACATCCCATATGGTATGACAATAACTGCACGCACTCCCACCTTCGCCAGCTAATTCATCGTCTTCAGGCGTTAGCGAAGAACAGATCTGCGAAATCTTTGGCCGCGCCGGCACCGTAATCAACTTCCGCCTGGTATACGACAAGGAGACTGGCAAGCCGAAGGGCTTTGGCTTTCTGGAATATCCGGATGTGGATCAGGCGGCGGCGGCGGTGCGCAACTTGAACAACTTCGAGATCATGGGCCGGAATTTGAAGGTGGACTACAGCAATGATAACAGCGGGGGCAAGGGAGGGCAGAACGATCAACATGGCAGCAACCGTGCACCACCGCCGGCACACTTCGACATGGGACAGCCGCTACCGATGATGCCCAACGGAGGAGCGCAGGATCTCCCTCCGTTACCGCAAGGTGTCGACCCTCCGCTCGGCTTGACCGCGCCAGATGCGATCAGCAAGACGCTGTCAGCCATCCCACCCCCGCAACTACTGGACATTATATCTCAAATGAAGACCCTCGTTGCCACCGAACCGCAAAAGGCCACGGCCATTCTGCAGCAGGCGCCACAGCTGGGCTTCGCCATCTTCCAGGCTTTGATGCTGCTGGGATTGGTAGACGCGAACATTGTGGGCTCCCTCCTCCAGCAACAACCACAGCAGCCCCCACAACCACAACACGCGCCGCAATATGCACAAGCACCCGCCTACGGCCAAGCCCCTCCTCCAAATCCATACGGCGCTCCAGTCCCACCGTACCAAGCAATGCAGCACCCAGGATACGCGCCTACGCCTCCCCAGCAACCCGTCTATCAACCTCCTCCACAACAGCAGCAGGCGTACCAAGCCCCACCACAGCAGGATCAGTCGCAACAGCAGCAGCTGATCCAGCAGGTTCTCAGCATGACTCGCGACCAGATCTATTCACTCGATGAGCAATCGCGGAACCAGCTTATTGCTTTGAGAGCGCAGCTTGGTGCGCCAGTGTCATGATTAGCTGATTACTGCGGGTGGTACTTGGGTGTATTGAATGCTTTGTTGTTTTTAGCGCGGCGTCCGGAGCAAGAATCAGTGTCAAGAGTGAAGGGGTGTGTTACAACTGTGTATCTAAGTATCTGATCAAACACCCGGTTCCGATGAATATCTACTGTCCACCTCAATGTTTCTGTATACCTCGCATACCGTTAGATCTATGCCAGGCAGTAGGTGCAGTTGTATGGAAGGCGCAACGCGCAGCAACACCCGAGCTGAAAGCGTTGTGCTAGGCCGGGGATAAAGTTGTTAGCTGCATCGACCCCAGCCACATTAATTGATTCGACCGCCTCGTGCAGCGCTGCACTGCACCGCACTGCATCTGCTCCACTCCACTTGCGCTGCAGATGCCAGCTCATACCGACCATCCTCTCCTCCTCCGACAACTTCCATCTCGAAACCCCCATCACATGACGACCTCTCATCACGGCGACACAACGCGACTCCAACCCGCGACCCCCCCAGCCCCCGGCTTTGACTTTCCCCACGAGTGCCTGGAGTTTGGATCGGAGACGCCTCGGAGAATTAATTCCTGGGGTCGCTGGCGCTACGCGACTGGACCTCGAAAGCTTGAGACAGCATGTGGAAGGCGGCATTCACTGGGCGCAGTGAGCCTGCCTCTTCTTCGCAGCGCAAGAAAAGCCGCGGCGGCGAGGAGTCCACCGTGACCACCGCCAGCTCGGGCAATGTAGATGACAACAAACGAAGGTCGGAGAGATCACGGCGCAGCACATATGACGATGCGCCGTCGTCCTCCCCCGCTGTCCCGAGCTCTCGCAAGGATGTTTCCGCCAGTGCAGTGAAGCTATATGACGATGACGATGGAGAGGGCGATTGGGAGGACAACTCCAGCAAGAACGATGACAGGAAGAGACGCTCAAAAGGTGGAAAGGACAGAAGTAACGGGAAGAAGGCGGGGCGGAAGGATTCAGAAACATCAGGAAGCAAGTCGCGCGGCCTCGATCAGGCACGCGACAGAGCGATGCCGGACATGGGCAGCTTTGCACAATTTCCCGGCCAGTATGCTGGAGGCGTGATGGGCAGCGCGGGACAACGGACCGAGTTCATGAAGTCCGGTGCTGTGCCGAGTGCAGACAATCAATTTGGACTCACGAGAGCCGATTCATATGGTGCCGCTGCAGACTACTACGAAGATGAAGGGCAATCTGTTGCACGGCAGCCCGGTGTGCGCTCAAAGTCGCCAAACATGCTGGTCAATCCCTATCAACACTTGATCACTCCGACCGTGGAAGAGCATCCGGCTCAGGACACGGGACACGGGTCGGCAGCGGATTTCTACGAGGGCAGAGTCAGCCCCGTGCCCTTTGAACCAAGCACCCAGTCGTCTTCCAAGAAGTCATCTTCATACGGAACGATTGCTGGGATTGGCGCCGCCATTGGCGCTGCTGGGTTGGGTCTGGCTGCTGGAAAGCATGACAAGACGTCAGCGCAATCACCGTCACAGGATCAAAACTCGACATCATATCAGCAGCGGGCACCCAGCAGCTCCATGTCATCGTCTCGACCATCGCGCAAGGCGGACCGCCAGTACTCCGAGCCCGTGTTGTCTAGCTCGAACGGCGTTTCACGTGGCCTTCCACCTTCGCAGCAGCCAGGACCCGCAACTCCAGGTAAGCGATCCTCCCCTACTAACACAGGTCTTTACACTGCGGGTGCTGCTGCGGCAGCTGGTGCTGCGGGGTTGGAAGCATACGAAATGCACGAGCGCGGAGAGCAGCGCAATGGCTATGCGACTCCAAGGGGATCTCAGCCCTATCACGAACACAAAGGCCCCATGACACGTTTGAAAGACGGCTTCTTCAACCTGGTCTCCAACGACGAAGACGTCATCAAAATGGAAATGTACACCGAGTACATCGGAGTCTGCAAATACTGCTTCGACCCTCGCACTTCCCCGTATGATGCTCCGAGAGTCCACCATTACCACCCACTCAATCAAAGGGATTCATTCGAGAGCCTGCGGAAACGCAGATCTATCGAGCGTATGCGGAGGAGCAGCAGAGAGAACCTCGGCCGAACAAACAGCAATCGCATCGACAAGGACAGTCGATACTTCTCGTCGGAAGGCTCTAAACGACGTTCGAGTAGGGACAGAGCCGAGCTCTTGGCGGGTGGTGCTGCTGCCGCTGTTGGCACTGCGATGGCCGCAAACGCTCTCTCGTACGGTGGCAAGGATTTTGATGATACCTATAGTATCAAATCTGGTCATCGAGAGAGCTCAGCCGTTGGACGGCGAAACCGCAGTTCTTCCAATGAAGACCGACGGAAGATGGCTCGCGGTGTCATTGGCAAAGACTCCAAGGAGGAGTATGTGATGGCTCGCACCAGCGACGGCCGAACCGAAAAGCGAAAGGTCCGGCGATCGCGCTCGACATCGAAAGATAGGACGGGCGCCATTGCAGCTGGAGCAGTCCTCACAGGAGCAGCGCTCGCAGCGGAGGCCTCGCGACATCGGCACGAAGAAGGTTCGAATCGAGCCCGACGCTCTCGGAGCTCTTCGCGAAGCAACAGTCCTGGTGGATTCTTCGGCCTCTTCTCACCCTCGCGATCGAAGAAACGCAGAGAATCTCCCACTACGCAACGCAAGAAGCGTCGTGGTCTCTTCAATTTTGGCAACAATTCTTTCTCTTCATCGGACTCGGACCTCGCGTTTGGTGCAGTACGATCCGGCCTTTCTGCACGGCGCCAATCTTCTGTGCGGTCTCCGAGAAGGAAGAACTCTGACGAGCACATTGCTGCCACTGTCGGCGCCATTGGCGCGACCGCGGCTGCTTTGGCTGCGGCCCAGGGCGGGCGCCGGGTCGATCCGAGGCTTGCCAGACCAGAGTTAGGCGCGAAGAAAGAAGCTCGTACCATGCATGATCGTGTGGATGCTCGTGGCTCGTCAGATGATGAATGGGAAGACGAGTTGCCTTCTGACGTTGACGATGCTTCGAGCATCGGGTCTGCGCTTGCGTTCGGTGACTATGAGGCGACACACCCCAACCTTGGCGGGTGGGCTGGCAGGAACGAACCACCGGCGCCTGCATATCAGTCACGGCCAGACAGCGGACGGCTTGAACGTACCGAGAGCGTCGACACGCCTACTTCAAGCGTGCTGAAGCGGCCGCTGCAAGAAGTTGATCCTCGTCCTCTCTCAGAGCCTGTGAGTCTGGCTGGTTCCAGGCAAGCTTCGATTGCTAGGCCCTATGAGGCTTCCGCTGCCGCTGCTCGAGACCAAATCCAACAGCCGAGACCCATTGCGCCCATCCAGCCTGCGTTCACCCAGAGTCCACCACCCATGGATGATAGCGACAGGCGTCGACCATCGCAGCCGAGACGCACCCAATCAAGCCCGACGAACGCTCATCACTTCTTAGAAGACGCTGCCGTTCTTGGCGCAGCAGCCATCGGCACCGCTGGCATCATTGCGGCTGTACAAGGACGGAAGGCGAAGGAGCCGTCGAATGTGCGCTGGGGCCTTACCGAGGAGCAAGAACGCAAGCATGCGCGAGATCTCCAGCAAGAGAATGGTTCACGGCCACGTGATGATCGTGAGAGGGCAGCTAAAGACGAGGCCGCTCGTTACACACGGGAGCAGGATGTGATCCGCACTAGACAGGCGGAGAATCGCAGAGCGGCCGAGGCCGAACTTCAGAGGCAACAGGCGGAGCAGCGGGAAGCAGAGGCACAGGCTGAGGTATATCGTCAGAGGGAGCGTGAACATCAAGAGCGTGAGGACGCATATTGCCGAGACCACCCCCGGAGCGGAGACGTTAGTCGTCAAGTGGGCCCGGAGCGCCGACGATCCTCGCAGTCCCAACAAGACAGACCCCAACAGCAAAATCGTGATCAGAGACCCAGGCACCAGGATGGATACGATCGCTCAGGATGGGAAACTTCCACACAGTCTGGCACGCCCTGGGGTGCTATTGGAGCTGGTGCTGCCGCCGCAACTGCCGGCGCGATCGCTCTTGACCGCTACGAGCAGCGCAAAGAAGATGCTCCTCATGAGAAGATCCTCGCGTCGCCTGAGCACCGGGCTTTCGTCCAGAAATTGCACGAGATGGGAGGAGCAGCTGATTCTGATCACTTCGCAAAGACTACCCATTTCAGCTCTACTTTACCGGACACACGCCCCGCGGACCGACAAGCCGGCAGTGCTGATCGCACGGCTGGCGTGGAATACGATGACAGTCGTGACGCCTACGTCGCAGAGATTCGGCCTTCCGCTAGATCCACAAGCCAACCACCAGATAACACAGACATCTACGATCCGGAATCTTACCGGCGTGGAGCTCGCTCGCCCGGAGACCGTGCAAGATATGTGGAACTCGCGCGACAAGCGGCGAGTAAAGTCACAGACGTGGATGAAATGTTCGAGGACAACGAAGCGCAGTACTCGCAACGCGAGCAAGTGTCGCAAGCCGAGTTTTTTGCTCCGGAGGAGCTGCAGAACAGAGAAGCTGGCCACAAAGAAAAGGTTGTTGATCCTACTGATAATGACGAAGATCAGGTTCACCGTAGCGCAGAGGAAGAAGCGCAAGCGGTGTTTGAGCGAGAATGGGCCGTCAAGCAATCTGGACCCATCAAATTCGCGCCCTTTGGAGTGCCTAGACTTGGTCTGGTGTCTCCCACGCCGCCCCCCGGTGCGACAAGAAAGCGCAGAGCGACTTCTCCGTTCCCGGTCGCTCGACCAGACGTTGCGGACCTTCAAGATGACTCGGAAGAGTCGAAGCCCTCTGGCCGAAGGAGGAGCGTGACCTGGGGTGCCGATCGGACGCACGTCTACGATGTGCCTAGCCCCGAAGCAGAGCACGACAAGGGATCTTACGTGGATCCTCATCGTGAAACAACCTCTCATGCAGCAGTTGATACCGCAGCTGTGGCCATTGCGGGGGTCGCAGCCGGCGTTGCTGCGCACGAGATCGATGAGCGCCGAGAAGTTAGTGACGAAGGGCGCAACTCAGATCGTGCCGGGGCCGTTGAAGCTTTTGAACCCCAGCTTGAGCGTACGTCCTCGTATCAACCGCCATCTATGGAGTCCGTGCCCGACTCCGATCTCCAGAGTCCACCTGTCGAGGAAGGCAATATCCAGGATACGCAACCTGCCAAAGACTCCCCGAAGCGCGAGACCGAAGCATCGGCGTTCGCGGACGAAAGCCAACCTCGCGCACCAGCGAAGAGCGACAGCGACCAAAAGGCTTCGGACGGTGTCCCTGCCGAAAGCGAAGCAGAGTTCAATCGAGAGGCCTTGCAAGATGGCGAAGATGATCCGACTGCAGAGGACAATGATGTTGCAGAGGATTCGAGACCGGCACCACGCTCTGATACCCCAAAGCGGAAGCTTTCCAAGAAAGAGAAGCGTAAAATGGAGAAGGCTGCAAAACGATCTGGAGCACAGCCGGACGACACAATCGTTGATGATCGCGATGATGCGCCTACGGAACCAACAAACACTTCTGTTGACGAGCAAGATGATAGCCAACGCTCCACAAAATCCCGCAGTCGTGGATTCGCGGATGTTGCGGGCGCGTTGATGACTGCTGCTGGAGGTGTCGCTGCTGTAGCTGCTGACGTGGACGAAAGTCGCAACGAGTCGTCCAAGAGCAAGAAGGGGAAAGGAAAGAAGGACAGGAAGTCGCGCGAAATGGACCGCGATATCCGAGACGTTGAACCGCTGGAAGAGAGTGCAGCTGTCACGCCAATACCGACGCCTACGGGTATGCCTGGAGGCTGGACCAGTGATGAGCCGCAGGCCGTGGAGGCTGAATCACCGCAGGAAGTCGTGGATCCTTTCCAGTATCAGGTTCATGATGACCCGTCTCCGTCGCCTCAGGCTCTCAAATCAGAGGCTACGCGGGATACTGCTATGGTCAATGTATCCAGCAACGCGGATGGCTCGACTCAAAGCACTGAAGAAAGACCCGAGCCTATCAGACATGGCGAGGAAACATCCCCTGTCAGAGAGGCGGACGAATCCGACCGCATGTCTGATGCGCGGTCGATCAAGTCCGAACCGAACAGGACTTCGAAGAGCCGTCGATCGTCTCAAGGAAAGCAGTCCACTTACGACGGGGAGCCCGAAGCATACGAGGATGCTGATTCAGTTGCTGCTTCTGAGCCCGTTGATCTCTACGAATCGACCAAAAACTCCAAACGCCGGTCGCGTAGCGGTGAAGACGATGAGGCGTCGGCCTCGTCTTCTCGCTCCCGGCGCGAGAAAGCAGAGAAGAGATCGTCCAAAGATAAGAAGAGCGGTATCTTCGGCGGCATATTCAGTCGCAAGTCCAACGAGTCCTCTTCGTCACGCAAGACGGAGGCATCGACTAGGCGAAAGTCCACGCGAGATAGCAACAACAACGACTCTGAAGACGAAGAGCGCCTGCGTCGACGTAGATTACAGACGGAGGATGAGTCTCCCGATGTGGCAGCGCGCGAGGAAGAAGGTCTCGATGATCCCCGTCGCAGCGCTTCATTTGACGATGAGCAAGACCAGTCTTTTTTAGACGGGAGGGTAGGGGAGATGCCGCCTCTACCCGTTAGCGGTGCGGTGTCTGCAGATTGGGAAGGGCAGGATCTCGGCATGCCTGCCACTGCTGTTCATGACGCTGCTGCGACGACTCGCGAGCACGCTGATGCATTTGACCTCATTACTCACGACCAACACCACGACCCTACTACGCCTCATCAGCAGGACGACACTGCGCGTGAACTTACGCAGTACAGATTCCCCGACATTCAGGCTCCACAGTTGCAATCACCGAGTGTGCTTACTGAGAGCGAAAAATCTCAAAGGCGCATGTCCGTGAACCGGCCTGTCTCCAATACTGCAGTCCCGTTGCGCCTCCCTGGACATCATCCTCTTACTCCCAGCCCGCGAGTGGATCGCATCGCCAGCTTCGGCAACCCACTTACCAGCTCGCCATCCACGCCGACCTCCGGCCAGAGGACTCGTCAAAGTCGCCCTCCATCGACTGAAATCCGACCTTTGTACCTCCTTGAACGCAATCGGAAGCCACAAGACGTCGAGGACTCTCTCCCCAGTCTCCCATCCAGTAAACCTTCCAGCCGAGCATCGAGCCGCGTTGGAAGCGATGAGTATGAATCGGCGGCCGAAGAGTTTGGCTCGCCGGCGAGGAAACTCGGCTTAATGATTGATATCAATCAGGCCAACGCTTACCACCCTGATCCCGACTACCTAGACTCTCAGCAGACGACGCCAAGGGCCAGTGAGGCTCCGAAACCGGTCTTTGTCAAACCGCCGCGCCAGGAACCTGAGTTCTACACCTGGGAAGACTTTGCACAGGACGAGCGTATGCGGAGTGCAGACGCTGAAGAGGACAGTCAGAAAAGCGACCACGTACCCGGACAGTCATCTCGGACAGAAGAGCCCTCTGCTGAGACCTTGGACTCTGATGCTCTGGAGAAGGGACTGGTAGGCGCAGCTGTGCTTGGTGGGACTGCTATTGCGGCAGGCCATGTTTTCTCCCCCGAAGACGGAAGACCAGCAAGCGCTGCCCCATCTGCCCTTCCTTCGTTGTCTCGTTCATCCTCCCGTGAAGTTCACGAATTTGTCGATAACGAGAAGTCGATGGAGGAAGGTGCAGCGGCTGGCAGCTCGACACGTGCTGAGGTTGATTCGCATGCCCAACGGCCTGAGTCGAACGACCTCGATCGATTTTTGGACGATGAAGATAGAATGGAAGGTGGCGAGGCTGTTATAGGTGCTGCGCCGAGCTCCTCAAGAGCAGTCGGTGAACACGGCAGGTTCGATCCGACGGATCTTGTCGAAGAGGCATACGCAAAAGCCGACGAGGACAGGATCAGCCCCCGCGCTGGCACGGAGCAGGAGGTGCCTGTTGCCTCCGCGGTGGCCGGAGAGGCCGAGCCAAACCACGACAACGAACAGCCGCACAACACTCATTCTGAGCCTGAAATCGAAGAAGTCAGCAAACTGACTCGGAAGCAGTCGAAGAAGTCAAAGAAACAACCGAAAAAGGCTGCGGGTCGAGGATTCTCGACTTCAGGGCCTTCGACTTGGACTGATGAGGCGATGGAGTCCAAAGAAGAGCCAGCGGAAGAGGATGCTCCGACCAATATGCCTGGAGAGTCAGAAAGACAAGTTCCGGCTGATACTGGTGTAGACGTCGAGGAATCGGCTGCGGTCACGGCCGGCGGCTTGGCTGCATTGGTAGCTGAGGAGTCAATCCAGGAGGAAGATAGGCGCAAGGAAGATGATACTAAATTGTCTGACGAGTCGGGCCAAGTTGAGCCCGAGTGGCAGCCTTCTGTTTCGCGCAAGGAAAGCAAAAAGGACAAGAAAAAGCGCCGCCAACGAATGGTTGATGATATCTACAGCGAAAACACGGGAGTTGACAATGAGCCTCAAGCCACGGAAGAGCGAGTTGTCCAGGATACGGCCGCCACCACCCAAGAGTCCTCCGAAGATGCCTTGTCGCATGAACCGCACGACAAAGCGGATGCACAGCCAGATGAAGGACAAGCGCGCGCGCTGGATGAGTTTACTGAACCGCCAAAGCCGGATTCGGACAGGCATGAGCAAGCCCCCACAGCTCGTCCCTCTGTATCGGAGCCTCAGGAACTGAATCTCGACCAAGAACGACAAGCCAGAGACATCTCCAACGACACCGCAGTCCCTGCAGAAGCTTTACTTCCTCACGGTGTGGCTCAAGAAGCAGAGTGGGATGAAAAGCCTGCCACAGAAGCGGTTGACGAGCCGGCGGAGGAATTCACTTGGACTCCCTCGCAGAAGAAGGGGAAGAAGGGGAAGAAAGGCAAACGGCAATCGACATTCACTGAGGATGCTTCGGATTTGCCTGTGGTCGAAACGCAAGCAGCTTCGACCGCCGATGACAAGAAAGATGCTTCTGTGGCGCCAGCATACGTTGAGGCTGAAGCTGGTGCTGAAGCTGGAGCAGAATTTGAGGCAGAAGCAATGGACAACAACAAAGTCGACCCACAAGCAGAAGGGCCAGCAGAGGAGTTCACTTGGACTTCGACCCCCCAGAAGAAAGGCAAGAAGGGAAAGAAGAGCAAACGGCAATCGACCTTCGCTGAGGAAGCCTCAGACCTACCTGAGATCGAGACGCAGCCAGCCACAATCGTCGATGATCCCAAGGACGATATTGTAGCCCCGGCAGCCGCTGAAGCTGATGCTGGGACTGAAGCTGAGGGTAGAGCTATGGACAGCCAGCCCGAACAGCAAGCAGAAGAGCCTGTCGATCTTTGGTCTTTCCCGTCAAGCAAGAAGAAGAAGGGTAAGAAAGGCAAGAAGGCGGCATTCATGTCATTCGCGGACTTTGAGGACTCAAACGCCACCGCCAGCGATTCAGCGCCAGATCTGGCTGCCACATCGCAAACTGTCAAGCGAGACGATGCCGAGGCGATCAATTCAACCGCTGCCAAAGAATCAATTCCTGAGGACAGCGCTACGTCTCACGAATTGAAGAATGCGAATGCGAATGCGACCCATAAGACGACTTCGGCTGAAGATAGATCTGTTGCAGATGCGGCGCTAGAGTTGGAAGTACCTGCGCGAACCGGCCACGGTGCTATGGACCACGAGGCCGAGGAGGCTGCCCCGCCTGTGAGACCGGATAAAGACGTCGAACCCGAATCCGAGACGCGAGAAATCCAGGGTGACATGGATCCGGACGAACCAAAGGACATGACTGGCGATGAGAAACTCACAGACCGAGCTGATGAAGTCGCACCTGCCCCGGAAGCCATCGTTGAGGATGAAGACACCACTGCATTCTGGGTGGGGAAGCCCAAGAAGAAAAGGGGCAAAAAGGGCAACAAATACGAAGCCTGGGTCGATCCGGAGCCGGAACCAACCTCCAGCCTCTTTGAAGCTGAAGAGCGAATTCCTGAAGAAGTGCCACAGCCCTTGGTTACGGACGCAACAACGGATGTGCAAGGAAGAGCGAGCGATGAAGAGCTGTGGGCGTTGCCAAAGAAAGGCAAGAAAGGCAAGAGGTCAAGCAAGGCCGCTACTATTCCTGCTGCAAAAGAGACTTCTCAGGAGGTCGAGGTTGCACCGGCCGAAGACACAGGCGACCGCGAAATCCTTCCCACCGTCGAGGCTCCCGCTACCCCGGACCATCCAACCGAACAGAGCAGTCAGACCATCGAAGCTGCAGACGTGTGGGACGAGGTGCCAAGTCGATCGTGGTCGAAGAAAAAGAAGAAGAAGGAGGCCAAGAAGTCCAGAGCTTCGTCTCTGTTCGAGTCGATGACTGCATTAGATGAAGTCGGCCAGGATGATGATGCAGTACAAGTGCCATCGGTGGACAAGCCGGTTGCGGAGCAAGATATGTTGCAGGGCGAGAAGTTGCCCGCTGACGAGATCGCACCTCTGTCCGAGGAGAGGTCTCCCGAAGAGACAGTGCAATCGCCAGCGCTTGATGACAATACCTCGATCCCTCTCGAGGCTTCCTCGCAGCATGCCTTGCTCGATGATCGTACCACGAGTGAAGACCAGCAACCATGCGATCAGCCGAAGGAGTCATTGGAACCCCAAGCCCAGGTCGACTCAGCAAGGGATCTCGACAATACTGAACCGCCAAGCATCCCAAATGAGCCAGAAGAAGATGAGTGGGCGGGCTTCGCGACTAAGCGATCTAAAAAGGAGAAGCGGAAGTCCAAGAAGAAAGGCGGAGCTATCTTTGATGCTGAGCCGAGTCAGGTGGAGACGACATCGGATGCTGAAGTCAAGCGTTTTACCGAGACCGAGCAGGAGACCGCCCCTCCGGTGACTGACACCGAGGCAAGTGTCAATCCCTCTGAAAGAGAGGCCGGAGACGCGGAGCCTTCTGTTACAACACATCCCAAACGATCAGATGAGATCAGTCACTTCGCAGACGATGACGAGATTGCCGAAACAGGTCATGCTTCTACTGAGCAGACCGCCGCGGAGGCTCCTTCTACCACATCTTCCTCTAAGGATATCCGGGACATGGGCTTTGCTGCTACTATAGCTGCAGGTTTGGCTGCCTCGAATTTCGATCCGGAGACTGTGATGCGCGAAGCTTCAAGGCGGGCATCCCCTACTGGCGTAGCAGAAGCGGATCCAGACGATGTTTGGGAAGCACCGACTCGGAAGAAGAAGGGCAAGAAGGCGAAGAGAGAGCCCGCAGTTGTCGACACCTGGGCTGACGAGCCAAAAGAAGCAAGTTCGACCCAGAGGGGTGCGAGTCCTGCTGCCGACGATCTGAATGAGACTCTCAAGAAGACGCTGGAAGAGTCGGGCTTCGATTCTGCAATCCTTCAGCAGGCTGCACCCTCCGTCGACACGGAAACAAGAGAGTTGCCTGAAAATAACGAATTCTCTTTCACCACTTCTAAGCGGAAGAAGTCCAAGAAGGCAAAGCGCGGGGAGACGTTTGCTGCAGATGAGAGCCCTGCTACGCCAATTGATCGTGAGCCAGCTGGCTTTGAGGAAATGGCATCCAAAGACAAGTCAAGCACGGCAGACCAAGCGCAATACCCAGAGGAGCCAGACCCAGCTGTTGATCTGGTAATGGCTGGCGATCGGGACTTGGACGTCGATGAGATGGACAAAGCATATCGAGTAGCCAGGAGCAAGAAGCGCAGCAAGAAGAAGGAGAGGGCGATTGCTGCGGAGACACTGGACACTTCGGAGGCCGAGCGATCATCTGAGCACAAGGACATGAGCGTGTCCGACAAGTTCAAGGACCAAGACACTTCGATGACTCGCCTTCGAAAAGACAATGACGACCATGTCGAAGAAGATCAAGTTGAACATGAGCATCGAGGCTCGCACGCTGGAGTGGACGCCAAGTCTCTTGTGGAGGATGCAGGCATCGTGGCCGCAGCTGGAGCTTTGGCTGCGGGTGTAGGCAGTGAACTGTCCCACTCCAACACTCGATCCCACCGACGATCTGATAGATCGCTGCGAGAGACGAGCAGTCGTCATCTAGGATTGCTTCCTGGTGATCGACCACACGCCGAAGGGCCAGCTCCATGGTCCGAGTCACATCTGCTAGAAGGCTTCCGAGACAGTGGATATCAGGAAGCAGACAGTCCGGTTATTCAACGACACTCCATCAACAGCGTGACATCGGACAAGTTTGGATTGCACAACAGTCGATCTCGAGACAGACTACGAGAGCATGAGCCGGGCGAGCGAACGCGCGCCATGTTCGAGGACGGAGATCATACGATGCACGCCCGATCAGCTAGTCGGGAGACTGAGGATACAACGCTGGAGTCGACTACGAAAACTCGAGGGTCTCATCTGTTCCAATCAACACCCGAGACCTTGTCGAGTAGAAGGTACACGGACTCCAGCAGCCCAACGCCCCGCGAAGAGACGCAAGCCGGCCAATCCGAGCGTGACAGCTTCGAAGCAGATAGGCATAGCCCGTCGACATCGAGGCCACACAACATACCACTGTATCTTGACACGATCTCTGAAGAACACCATGGCGCGAAGCGAAGTCTTGCAGGAGCAGAATTGCGGGACCTTGAAACTTCAAAGGCTTCCAAGAGGTCGGAAACGCCGCATTCCATTCGATCTCGAGAGCAGCAGATGGTCTCGCCATCGAACGAGGACAGAGAGCGGAGAAGGACAACGAGGCAGACATCCGTCGATCTCAGATCACCCAGTGCGATGAGCAATCGATCGAGTGTGAGTGCAGGACAGTTCCGCGGTGCAGAAGAACTGCGGTCCTACTCTCGCGCAAGCAATCGCAGCTCCACGCCCGGCTTGCGGCGAGCCAGCCTGTCAGGTGACTTGCGGGCCGCTAGTAGGCGGGGCGACGCGGGATCAGCCGTTGGCGTCCGGGGTTCACCCAAAACAATTCCCTTCGAGCCGCCGCCAACTCCGCCTTCCAACGACGATGAACATGGCCCGGGCGCATCGCGCGCAATAGACATGTCGGATGTTTATGTAAGTGTTCACCCTTCCAATGGTGGTAGTATCGACTCGCTAACCCCGTCCGCAGCAGGGATATGGCGATGTGGATGCATCGCAGAGCTCGCCAACGCGACCGCCTAACATTCGGAAGCGGCAAAGCATGCACGTGATGGAACTGGAGTCGAGGGTGCAACAACTCATTGCAGAAAACCAAGCTCTTCAGAGCACTAGACATGCCCGCGCCATGTCTTCCGAAGACGGCGGCCTGGAAGGCGAGCTCAATGCACGTGAGCTCAAGCTCCGCGAAAAGGATCTCGAAATCAGCCAAATCAAGACCATGCTTGCATCGCTTCAAGATGAAGTCGGCCGACTCAACGAGATCAACAGCGGGTTGACCAATGCCAATCGAGGCCTGGCCGACGATAGCAATGGGCTGGATGGAGGGCTTCGAGAGCAGCATGCCTTTGCCCACGAGCAGTGGCAGAACACTAGTCGTGAGCTCCAAGACGTCCGCCAGCAACATGAAAACACGACGGCAGGCTTGAGTGCAACGCTAGTCGAGAAGAATGCCGAGATCCGACATTTGCGAGAAGAACTCGACGTGGCCACGGAGAAGATCCGCGCCTTGCAAGTGCAAATCCAAGGCTCGAAATCTCGGGAAATGTTCGTCATGCGCGACGAGGACTACTTCGAGAGTGCCTGTCAGCGATTGTGTCAGCATGTTCAACAATGGGTCAAGCGCTTCTCGAAAGTGTCGGACGATCGCAAGTGCCGCCTCTCGACCGACTTGAAGGACGACAAAGCCGAGGCCCGACTGGACAATACCATCCTCGATGGATCCGACGTTGACAAGCTTCTCAGCGATCGCATCCGACGCCGCGATGTCTTCATGTCCGTTGTCATGACGATCCTGTGGGAATACGTCTTCACGCGCTATCTCTTCGGCATGGACCGCGAGCAGCGCAAATACCTGAAAGACCTCGAGCAGTCTCTGCACGAGGTGGGCCCACGCCGAGCGGTGGAGCAATGGCGGATGATCACGCTGCGACTGCTCTCGCAGCGCCCTGACCACATTGAGCAGCGTGATCGCGACACCGAAGCCGTTACCAGCGCCGTCTTCGATCTGTTGTGCAAGCTGCTCCCTCCTCCTTCCAACGCGGTGCAGCAGCTACAATCATCCTTGCAAAGAGTCGTGGCCGTTGCCGCGGATCTCTCGGTGGAGATGCGCTGTCAGCGACCCCGATTCATCATGCTACCGCCTCTGCAGCCCGAGTACGACACGCACGGCGACCTGGTGCGGCAAGTGTTCTTCAACGCTAGCCTCATGAACGAGCGATCTGGCACGTTCAGCTCCAATAAAGAACTGGAGACCTCACGAGCGGTGGTGAAAATCGTGCTCTTCCCCCTGGTGGTGAAGCAGGGCGATGACTTTGGGGACGGCGACGGAGAAGTGGTGGTCTGCCCGGCACAGGTATTGGTGCATAGCGACAATGGCAAGGGCAAGAGGATTGTGCGGGTGCAGAGTGGCGCGATGGAGATTGATGACCCGCGACAGAGTCTGATCAGCCTGACGAGTCCCGGGGGGTCCACGGCTTTTTAACGAACACAATTGGCATAGCGATATGTAGTTACTTCAACTGATGACATCTTTACTTTACGACGTCGCATTAAGATCGCTATAGTCTATTTACAAGGCCCCGACCAACTTCTTCCATTCCCGCCAATCCTCATGGGCCGGCACACTCATGATCCTGCAGAGATTTTCTCTTCGACTTCTAAACTCTTCGTACAAGCCTAGCCACACATCGCGATTCGGGCAGGTTTCCACGTTTCGAGGGCAGTCAGGTTGCAGCTCCTCGAGTCCCTCACTCGGCCACATGATCCACGGCTTGGGCAGAGGCCAGTCATTGAAGTGCACAATCTTCGCCTTCTCCAACTCGGCGTGCGCATCCCATTTCGCGAGGTCGACGGGCCCGTGGAAGGAGCCGAGATACGCTTCGTGGCTGCGCTTGCGGAACTCGAAGGTCTGCAGGAAGTAGGGCCGGTGCGGGAGCACGAGGGCCGAGGAGCGGAAGCGGTCGTCGAGCAGGTCGTCGTCGTACGTTTTGTCGTCGGCGCGCTCGGGTACTAGGCGCCAGTCTTGCAGGCGCTCCCAGAGGCCGTCGAGTTCGGCTGAGTTGGGCTCGATGAGCATCATCGCGCCGGACAAAGGCCATTCGGTGTGGTGCACGTCGGACCAGTAGCGGCGGAGCATTGCGATGGGCGCGCTGGGGAGGAGGAAGAGTTCATCTACATGCTGGCGCAGCAGGATGTCGCTGTCGAAGTAGAGCACGCGATCGAAGTCGTCGAGTTCAAAGGCGCGGAACTTGGTCACGCCCGTCTCCCAACTCGACGGTTCCTCTAGTGTTCCGGGCGGCACCACGCCGTCGAGCCCGAGGACTTCCATGGGGTAGAGACGCACGTTGTAGAGACGGTTTGCGCGCGCGAGCAGCTGGCTGCTGCGGTCGGCTTCGTCTTCCGTTTCCGCGTTCCATTCCTTGGGGAATAGGAGGACGCGCTCCGCTTTGCTGCCGAGTCTGTGCAGTGATTCGAAGACCATGTAGGCGTTGCACAGGCTGTGGACGTCGGTGGCGTATTGCACGTATGCGAAGCGCGACCAGTCGTTCGTAACGGGCGGCGCGGGTGGTGGCGGTGGGAGTTCGGCATGTACATCGCCGCTGCTTCGCCGGTAGAAGAAGAAGAGGAGGATGATGGTTACGGTGAGGATAGCAGCGCGGTATTTCCGGAGATAGAAGCCGATGGTATTGGATGGTGATAATGATGAGTCCGGAGGATGGGAGTACGGGAGAGGATACATGCCCCAGTCGTCGGTGTCGGGGTGGTGGTCGTCATGTTTCCTGGATCTGGCCGCCATCTAAGGGAGTCTTGTGCACATGTTCTGCCGCTATAGGGATACCGATACGCATGACAAGGTCACCTCCTATTCTGTTCGCGAAATAATAAACACGGTGGCAGTGAATGGCGGCAGTGGCTGATTAAAAATGACAACAACGCTTCGACCATCCATTAGGAATCTTCATTGGGTTGGCGGTTGAGGTACGAAGATACTTTCATCAATTTCCGGCCAGAAGTCGTGACCAAATGCCGCGGAGCAGTCGCTACCGACACGCATGCCGTATCATACTTGCATCCTAGCTACAGCGTGCATGCCCCTGCTTCTGAGATGCTCGCTTGGAGGGCATGGACGCAACTGTCAGTCGTTGGAAAAGGTAAACCACTGCTCTTGGCCCGAAAAGTCACCCGCGGCTCCAAAGTCGCCCAGCAGCAGATCCCAGGTCATATCATCCATCACTCCCAACGCCTGCTCGTTCAGTGGCGGAACATCGGCTTGTGCGCTTCCACTTCCTTCGTTCAACGGCAGCTGCTCAGGGTGAGATTGTAAGGGCTCTGCTTGTCGGCTGACATTCAACCGGCCCAGCGTGGGAATCCACAGCGACAGCGTATGCGACTCCACGCTCTCGGGCTGGTTCAGCAACGTGTCCAGCGAGCGGATGGCTTTGGCCGCTTTGCGTGCCACGTCGGTGCCGAGCTGATGCTGCTCCGCCGCTCGGCGCGACACGCTTTCCATCATGCGCACAATCTTGTATGCCGCCTGTCGTGCCGCTTCGCCTCCGACGTCTTCTTGCTCACCGCTCTCTCGGAGGCCCTTGCTGGATCTGTAGGCGCTGTAGATCAACACAAACGCGGCAGTCATTGCCTCCAGGTCGACGATGCGGGCTATGAAGAACGCCGGGGGCCGGTTGGAGCGCAGCATTTCATAGCGATCCGCCAGTTCCATGCCGGCGTGGATGCAGATCGTAAAGCTCCGCCTGCACTCCGCGTCGGTGCTGTTGCGCAACGCCAGCTGTAGATGCGTGCGAATGCGCAGGTAGTTGTGGAAGATCTGCAACATCGCGTCCGGCATGTCGGGCACCTCCCTAGCCGTCCACATGCTCTCGGGAATCATGGCTCGAAGCGCTTGGAGGTCGGCGTCGGTCCGCTCCACCTTCTCCCGCAGCTCCTGCTCCGACTTGCGAATCATGTACGCGTCGTCAATGTCCCGGATCGCCGATGCAACCCGCGTTAGGTTGATCATGTATGCCCTCATCTATATTGACAGGGGTCTGTTAGAGTAGATGCCATCTCTCCAAATTTGAGCATCGAGGAACAGACTTACCACGACTCGTCCGTCGGATGACATTACGTTCTGCGGCGGTGGTACACCATATCCCGCAGTGCCCAGCGGGAGGTTGAAAACGGTGCCCACGAAACGATCCATAGAACACACAGTATCCCACAAAGCCGCTTCGGCGCCGTCTTGGGCGTGTGGTAGGCCTGCAAGCTCGGCCAGGGCGATGCATCGACGCAGAACGAGCCATAGCTTCTTGCTATTCGCTCGCGGCAGCTGCCTGTCTCGTTACGGTCGTCAGATGTTTGCGTCGAGCGCTCACGACATCTCGTAGTGTACACTCACGGTCGAATCCAGAAGAGCGACATCTCGATCCCCAGAAATGTGCCGGCGATCAGATCGTTGTCGATAATTACTTCCTCCACCGTATCGCAAACCTGTGTCGTGAACGTTGTGGGGTCTTTCACGAGCGCAGAATCGCGAGGCAGGCCGATCAGAGGCCCGTTTTGCAGGCCGATGACAATCGACAGCAGCAGACCGGCGATGGACAATGCGTCGGCGTCCGGCTGGATAGCCACGTCGTAGATGTGCTCCAGCTCCGCCGCCGTTCGGAAAAGCCCGAGCGGCCCAAAGGCCTGGCGGTAAGCGTCTAGCCAGAAGGCAATGGCGGGCACGAGCGGGAGGAAGTCGTGCTTGGGTGGGATGAGGGGGCGCAATCTCGTGCTGGCGCGCAGCATGGCGCCGGCCAAGGCCTTGTCACCAGCGTGCGAAGGAGAGTGGGAGTGACTGCTCGCGAAGTCCCCCGCTTCGCTGTGGAAGAGCTGCTGGAGCGGCGCGGGCCATGGAAGGGTGAGGGCATCGGAGAGACTCGAGTCGCTGCGCTGCGCATCGTCATCCTCGTCGTCGAGTTTCACGTCGGAGTCCTCCTGCTGCGCAGCATCGGCAGCATCGTGCCCGCCCAGTCGAGCCTGAAGGCTTTTGACCGTCCGCGACAGCTTTCCCACACTGTCCTCCAGGCGCCGAATGCGGTCGCGAGAGGAGCCGACCTCCGCCCCGCGCCCGGCATGGACTTGGAGAACGCAGTGGCGGCCCTTGTCTGCGCAATTCCGGCATGGCTGACCCTCAGCGCTCGATGGGATGCAGCGCAGCTTCCGCTGCCGACCTGACGGGGCGCATTGTAAGCGGTGTGTTTGGCGAGACGTCACGGCGATGCATACACTCTATACAGCTTTTGGTGCCTTTGCGGAAGTGCTTCGGAGCAGATGTGCTGGGTGTGCCGTTCATCTTGTGGAGTGGAAGTTAATTGTTGAGGCAGATAACATCACATCTTCTTAGACAATCGACGGAGGCGTATTGAGGATTGAGAGGGGTAATCGGTCTGGTTCAAGACTGTGAAGCGGCAGGTGCGAAGCTCGCGTGGAAGAGAAGCTAAACCTAAACCCGGTACATCGCTGTGCATGTTCAGATCGGATTGACAGATGAAAACGTGCTTGTGGTCGTGATACATATCTGATTCATTCGAGTGCAACTAGAAACTTCACATGTCACTTCTCCTGATCATGTGAGATATTCTCCTCATCTTGCGAGTACGTACGCCCATCACTCTCACTCTTTCCGGGCTCGATGTAGGTGCGCCTCTTACTACTCCCATTCGGCACCCAAAAGCGACGATGCACCCGGAAGCCGGTGTACAGCGTGAGCACCAAGATCTCGAGCGAAAAGACGAAGACGTAAAAGGCTGCCTTGGAGTCATACCACGCCGGGTCATCTGCAGGGCGAGGCGGCGACCAGAGCGCGCCGACTTTGAAGCCGTCGATGGTGACGCAGATGAGCGTGCCGGCGGTGAGAAGGAGGGCTTTGCTCTTGAGACTGCCCGTGCCAAAGTTTTCCTCGAGGGGCGACCGTGGCATGGCGAAAGCTAGTGCGAGGAGCGGAAGGGGTAGGAGGGTGACGATCAAGAGGTAGAGAACGGCGCTCCGGAGGACCCACTCGGAAACATGCAGGGTAGCCAGGTTGAGGGTGTAGTAGGAGATGACGATGAGGGTGATGAGCAGCGCCAGCGCCACGCCGATGAGAGCGTAGACGGCGACGAAGAAGGTCTTGACCAGCGGGTGCCAGCCCAGTTTCGGCTGCTTGGCTCGCAGGATTCGTTGGGCGAAGAGGATGTTGATGATGTAGACAATTAGGATGCCCGCGTTGACAAAGATGCCCGCGGCGATGGCGAGGGATACGTTGTGGTGGTGTGTCGCCCAGCCGATGCGGAGACAGAGCGTCAGGATTCTGGCCATGGAGAAGCCGCCGAGCAGGGCACTTGGCAGGAAGAAGTGGCCCTTGCTGCGATTGTAGTTGAAGAGGGTGAAGTTGGTCGCGGCGAAGCACACATAAAGGAAGATGAAGACGGCATCGATGGGGATATCGGGGATGACAGTTGGAACGCCGCCTAGACCGGCGGTCTGTGGTGGGTAGGGTGGCTGTCGGGTTGTCAGTGACCGCATGTGTGAGGACAGTAGCGATGTACGTACACCTTCTGGAGGTCTGGGAATCGTTCCGCTAGACATGATGAGGGGCGTTGAGAGGGTTTCCACTCGAGGTCGGTTATCCAAGGACGATGTTGCTAGATCGGAGTGGATGATGTTATCATGACGGCCGTGCCTTCCGCGGAGCCAGTGATGAAGGGAGCCAAAGAGACAGTCGCGGTTGTACCAAGGCAGCGGGCAATGAAGTCGCCTTATAAGTGAAGCTTAATACCTTGGCGGTCGCTTTCCAACGGCATCACGGGGTCCGGATGTGCGTAGTCGGAGTGAAAAGCAGCCTCGACGGCCGACACCATCATCGAAGTACATGCCATTCGTCCGTTTTCCGGACGAAAGCTCGGACGAAGTGAGGGACCGAAACCCGTGCGCCTTCATGCAATCACATCCCATAGGGACAGTTGATCTCGCATGGTGTGCTTCCGAGGGGCATGAGTAGAGCAAATAGGCGCAACCGCTGAACGAGCGAGACAAAGGGACTGACCGTAATGAAACTATCTGCCATTGGTGAGAAGCATGAAGCCAGCAGACATTGGGCTTCGTCTCAAGACAGGCGGTGAGCATGATGGCGGCCGCTAATGCCCAAAGGCACTGACCACACAATAAATGCTGCAGGTACATAAAGCAGACCGAATGCCCTGCAGCTGTGCGTTCCTTGACAATCTTTATTATGGAGTTGTGTTGACTGTCAAGAGATGGAGAATGCTGGAGGCCTAGACTCGAGGTTTCAGGGCTGCGTCATCAAGCGCCAGGGTCCGGCAGGGGGATGACGCCCATCATCCTCCATTCACACGCAAGGCAGCACTCCCGTCCCGCGCGCCGTGTCGCAAGCATGCAGTGTTACCTGGTCGTCGCGTAGGAGAGGTGAGATGGCTGTGTCACATCCTTTCCTGTTTCTTTCTTCCTCATCGCATCCCTTCCCTCTCTGCCGCAGCTGTCTCCATAACCACCCAACCAACAGTACCAAATCTACATCGCAAACATGTGTCTTGTGTAAGTGGACCACAGGCACAGTCTATCCGCAGGCACCCCATCACTAACAGCGCCGCAGCACCTCACCCATCGAGAGGCAACTCAGGGATGACGAGCCGCCTCGTTCCGTCAGCTACTATCGCCGCCCACGCAGTTCCGGCCGCGCGAGCTATCGCAGCAGGAGTCACACCAGCAGCTCCGGAACGGCAAGCAATCCATCAACCAGCAAGGATTACTTTGTTCGATCCCATCGCTCCTACACCCGGTGAAGAGGCCGCTTTGCTTGATGACGATGATGATGATAATAATGATGGCGGAAATGTCACGAGCGCTATGCATGCTACGATAAGAAGTTCACGAGTGTACGATACGGAGGGATGGCTGGGATTTGATCGGGTTGAGATGGGAGGAGAGCATGATGATGCGATATGCTCTCTTGGACTGTCGGGAGGTTGATTTCACGTGCCATCCCTGGGTTGGGCATTTACCCTTCTCTAGCTACCTTAATCATGAATGACACACTTCTACCGTATCTTTTGATGATCAAAATTAATCGCGCCCGTGCCTGGACCGCAGATTTGATGGAACGCCACAGGTCGCGCCAATCCTTGTAGCTTGGGTTTGCTGCTGTGGCTGTCACGCCATACGTCATCCATACCATCGCGTCCCTCTCACATCCGGCCGATTCCCTTTAAAATCTCCCCTTGCTGACTTCTTCGGCCTATACTGCACTTTACCACTCTCGACTCCATAAGCTCGATTACCTGCTGCAGATCCCTCTCAATCATCCACTCCCGAGCGAAGACATCGAACCACAATGTAAGTGCCCGACTTCGTCCCACCCCGACATGCACCTCGCTGACGTGCACACGCGCCAGGAACAGGGCCTCCTCCATCCGCTCCAAGCTGGGCGGCGGAAGCCACCACCATGACAAGGGCGGCTCGTCGCACAAGTTCAACATGAGCAGCCTGCGCGGCCTGCGCCAGCCCGAGCTGTCCAAGCGCCTCTACACCCTCATCAAGACGCAGAACCACGCCATCGGCGCCTACGAGCAGGCCGGCAAGGAGTCGCAGACCATCGCCACCCAGCTCAGCGAGTGGGGCGAGAGCACAGACGACGATGCCGTCAGCGAGATCAGCGACAAGCTCGGCGTGCTGCTGGCCGAGGTGGCGGAGCAGGAAGATCTGTTCGCGCAGAACTTGGAGGATTCGCGGGGTGTCTTGAAGCAGATCCGGAACACCGAGCACAGCGTTGCGCCGACACGGAACCACAAGGCCAAGGTATGCTTACTCCCTCATCGCATTTGACATAGAAATCCCCACTGACAGTCTCGCACAGATCCAAGATGAGATTCAAAAGCTCAAGTACAAGGAGCCCGAGTCAACGAAGCTCGTCACCTTGGAGCAGGAGCTTGTCCGCGCAGAGGCACAATCGCTCGTGGCCGAGGCGCAACTCACCAACATCACGCGACAGAAGTTCAAGGAAGCCTACGACGTCCACACCGCCGCCATCATCGAGCGCGCGGAGAAGCAAATCATCCTCGCCAAGCAGGCTCGCCGCTTGATCGAGCTGCTCGACGACACCCCCATTGTCCCCGGCGAGGAGCGCGTGCCCTTCGCAGACGGCGACGAGGCACGTGAGGTGCTCAATGATGCCGAGAGCGGGCTGAAGCACTGGACCCCCACCGTGGAGCCCATCAAATTCTACTCCGAGGGCAAGCTGGGAGCGAACGCCATGCCGGGCAACACCGACAGCGTGGAGCAGCCGAGCCACGACACTTTGACCACGGCGCAGCGCCGCGTGGAAGAGAGGGAAAGGGCGGAAGCGGAGGAGGATGCAGGCGTGACCACTGCTTCTCCGGTCGCCGAGAAGACTGTAGTCGCGGAGACTGCTTAGACATTGTAAGGCGGATGGGCACACGTTGCTCTGAAGTTTTCCATTGTCTTCGGGCGTTCGAAGTACGTTGGGTTTGATGTTGGTAGGATTTGGAGGAATTTCGATAATTTCTGCCTTCGTAGAGGACTTGCAGGCACTGATTCCCATTCAAGATAACCACTTCCTCCCATTTGCCCCTTTTCTTTCACACTCGACCTCGATTCTAGGCTCGCAAGGCCGGGGCGATGTGCGAGTAGTCGGGAAATATTACTTACCGACGCCGATGCGGCAACTGCCTATTCCGCACGTTCAGCCGCACACGACGCGGCTGACGGACTCGGATTCGCACTTTCCCAACCACTTTGCGAATCCGACTCTCGTCTCTCCCCATTCATCTCCCACAAGCTCGGCGCCGAACAGAGCCCAGAATGCCACGACTGAATCACCGGAAGACGCGCACGGGATGTCTGTTATGTAAGCAGCGGAAAGTCAAGGTGCGTGGGTTGCGAGTGTTAGTGTCAAGTCGGAGAATGTCAGGCAGCAGCCGTGCTGCTTGCAAGTCGCCCGTAGCCTCGCTGACCAGCATTTCGTATGGATAACAGTGCGATGAAGGCAAGCCGCGATGCAAGGACTGTGTGCGGCACAACAGGACGTGTGAATACCCCCAGCTCCCCCTGCGATCCTCCACCCCGAGGCCTGCGGCAGCACGAACTACCCATGGATCCATCAACGGCGATGCCCAACTCGATCCTGATGCCACCCCTCCAACCCCTCTTGTAGACGATCCCCTGTTGGAGCTCCGCCTCATGCACGAGTGGACGGCGTACACTTGCAAAACGTTCTCGACCGCCTGGGATTTCTGGTGTTATCGAGCGCCTCTTATTGCTCTCGACGCCCGCTACGCCCTCGATGCCATGCTGGCCATGACTGCCCTGTACGCCTCACGGACTCCGCCATCCCAACGGTATTCCTCTTCAGGCCGCAGTAAGTCGCTATAATGCCCCCTCCCGAACTATAGCGCCGTGATTGACCGACGTGCAGTGGGTGTCTTCAGCGATCCCGCGCCAGAACAGCCGGCAGAGCAAGACCTGGGCGATCGCTGGGCGGTAAAGCGACGAGCGTCCGTAGCGGATCGCATAGCCAACGTTGCCAGCGACGTCGGCGACGCCAGCGACAACGAACTCGAAGCCTCGCAGCGCAGCGCCAAATTGCTAACGGCCCACCGCATGTACTTCGACCGCGCAATCGAGGGCTACCGGAAAGCGCTCAGCGACCTCAACATCGAGAACGTCGAAGCCGTCTTCACCGCTTCCATCCTCGTCTCCTTCAATGCCCTCTTCACGCTCAGCGAGAACCAAGAGGACAACCCTTTGCAATCGCTCGATCCCAGCTTTTGGCTCCGCTTGGCGGGCGGCAGTCGGTGGATTAGCAGACGATGGCACGATATGGCTGGCAACGCCTGGCTCGCGAAAGCCGGCATGCTGCACGGCAAACCAGACCTATCGGACCAGGACGCCCTCTTTGCACCGGAGAATGGCCGGCCTTTCGAAAAGTTGCTGCACTTCGCCGCCGATTTCGAGGCCATGACGCCGGAGGACGTGGAGGCGTACAAACTCACGCTCTACTACATCGGCGCCATCTACAAAGGCATCGTGGAAGGGACGGACTCGCCGTTCGCCACTTGTCGTCGCCTGTCGGCCATGTCGTCCTGCTGTCCCGAGCGGTTTGTGGATTTGGTGGAGGCCAGGTTGCCCCGGGCGATGGTCATGCTCGCGCACGTGTTTGCCTCTATGAAGCTCGTCGATCAGAATGCAGTGTGGTTTCGAGGGATTGCTGAACGCCAGGTGCCCATTATTTACGAGCAGTTGCCTAATGCGTGGAAGGAGATGATGGTGTGGCCCATGGCTGTTGCGCGGGGCGAGGTGGATCGCGAGCCGCTTGAGACGCAACGCGATGAAAGCGTAACTCACTGAGATACCGCCACATCCATATTGCCAACGAATGTAACGAGTCCGATGATCCGACGTTGGGTGGCGGGTTGGTTCCGCTTGCCCGAAACAGAAGGAACGTTTCATGTCCATTCGCCACAGCCTCGACATACCTTGATGTACTACACCACCCATAACCAAAGTCATGGCTACCAATAACGAGACTCAATCGGGCATCAAGACCGTCCTCATAATAGGCGTAAGTGACCATCAATAACTCAACCCAATTCCTCCTCACTAACGGTAAGAAACACAGGCCGTCTTCCCCGCAACCCCCATCATCCGCACCCTCGACAACGCCAACCTCGCCATCCACGTCGCGCACCCCCGCGCCCTCTCCGACCCCTACAAACAAGTCACCTACCACGAATGCGAAACGTCCGGCGCCGCGCTCAAAACTCTACTCTCGGAAATCAAGCCAGACCTCATCGTCAGCACCGTCTCCGGCGGCGCATACGACACCCAAAAGGCCCTGATCGATGCGGCGCTCGAGGCGGGCGTCCCGCGCTTCATCCCCTACGAGTTCGGGCAGGATAGTTTGAATGCGGGCGTTCAGGAGCGATTGCAGCCCAGTCGGGGCCGGGGGAAGGTGATAGAGTACTTGAAGTCTTTATCCGGCGATGGCGGCGGCAGCAGCAGCAAGCTAAGCTGGGTCGGCATCGCGACCGGCGTGGATTTGGATCGCGGGCTGCTGAACGGGAATCTGGGCTTCGACATCAAGTGGCAGAGCGCGACGCTACATGGGCAGGGAAGTGAGCGCTTCGCCGCCAGCTCGTCGTCGTGGATTGGACGTGTGGTGCTGGCTGTGATTCAGCATTGGGACGCGGTGGCGAATCGGTATCTGTACGCTGCGGGGCTGACGACGAGTGGGGACGAGGTGGTGGCTGCGTTGGAGAAGGCCACGGGGCAGGAGTTTGTGGCTTCCAAGGGGGATGTGAAGGATTGCGTGAGGGAGGCGGAGGCGCGGATTGAGAGGGGCTTTCCCGACGCGGGCATGTTTCTTATGCGCCGGTCGGTGATGTACGACGAGGAGATTGGGGCGGTGCGGGCCTTCGAGCAGGAAGATGCGAAGAAGACGCTTGGGCTCGAGGCGGAGAAGTTGGAGGACATTATCGACTTTGTGAATCACGAGTTTGCGCATCATCAACAGGGAGGTTGTGGGTGCGATTGAAGGACTTTGCATTAATACATACTCTTGACGAACGACATTCAATCATTCCAATAATCATGAACCTCATAGACACGCCCCAAAACACAAGCAGCGCCGCGCTAAAATCGATCGTATCGAATCCGTCAACGCCGGCCGGAAAGCAACCTGTAGCTCAAACCAGTAGCCAGTCTACCATATCCCTGCTCCGAGCTGCGGACTCGACGTGACTCCGTGACATCCACATCGCTCTGGTTGTCAACGAATGTCCAGCTTTCCTCCGCATCCTCCTCTTCTCCCTCGCCCTCCAAGACCGCAGGGTTGTCGTCCTGGGCCGAAGGCTTCTTGATCAAACTCCGGGCATACTCAAGATCACGATAGATGGCATTAATCGCAGTCCCAACGCCATCTTCCCGCCGAATCTTCTCGCCCAGCCGACGCGCTTTGCCGCGCATGCGCTCATCATGCGACGCCAACCAGATAGCTTTCCCCAGCGTGAGCGGCGTGATTTTCTTAACGTGCAAGCCGACACCGAGATCCTCGACGCGTGACGCAAAGAAGAATTGGTCGCCGAAAAACGGCTTGATGACGGTCGGCACGCCGGCTCGTAGACTCGCGCCAGTCGTTCCTGCGCCGCCGTGATGCACGGCACAGTCGATTTGCTTGAAGAGCCAGTCGTGCGGGGCGGCGCGGATATGGTAGATTTCAGGCGGGAGAACCGGAGCAGCAGCAGCCGGAGCAGCAGAGGAGTCGGAATCAGCACCGTCGAAGATGTCGGACCAGCCCTTGGAAAAGATGCATCGCACGTCGGCTTTGCGCACTGCCTCGATAATCTGCTTCGTCATGCCCGCGGAGTCGGCCATGGGGATCGAGCCGAAGCCAATGTACACCAATTTGACCTTGTCCTCCTTCGCCTTACGGATGAACTCGATCAGTTCAGGCTCCGGCGTGTATGTATCTCCTTCATCCAGGAACCAATAGCCAGTGACGCGGATCCAATCGCTGAAATCCAGCGGCGGCACGACCACGCTGGGCGAGAAGTTGTACAAGAAAGGCACCTTGTTAAGCTGCATCTTGCCGAGATCGGTCGGGCCCAGGCCCAGCTCCTTCCTCCGCCAGCGATTGATCTGGCCCGCCGTCATCTGCCAGAAGATCTTCTCAAACAGCACGTACGTCATGTAATTGTACCGGCCGCCCATCTTCTGATTCGGCGTGGCAAACGCATGCGGGTACGCGCGCGTCCTCGTCCACGGCATGGTAAACGCGCGGAAGTAGGGGATGCCGAGCGCCTCGGCGATGTGGATACCACACATGGCTGATGGACTCTCGATCAGGAGATCGGAGTTTTGACATGCCAGCCACGCCGTTCCGAGCAGCCTCTGCAGCCAGGTTCGCGCGAAGGAGCCGGTCTCGTAGATGAAGGCGGGCGTGAACATGCCCAGCTCCACGCACAGGCGCATCAGCTCGCCCGGATCGCCATCGACGGGAGCAAACTCAATGCCGTACTCTTCAATCCAGGGTTGGAATGTCACATGCGTTGCGATCTTCACGTGATGCCCTTGTGCCGCAAGGCCTTTGCAAAGAGCAATATACGGCTGCACATCGCCCCTTGACCCGATGGTCAGGCAGGTGATTCGCATCGGCTGTTTGGGGCGAAAGTCGAGTATGGAAGCGTTTGGATCATCGAAAAGTATCGAAGCATCCCCTTCCGTCCGATTGGTGATTGCTTCAGACCTGGCCAAGCCATCTCCTTTGGTTTTCTCAGAGCGAGCGTCTTGCAGAAGCTCGTGTTCCGCCGCAGCCTCCTCCGCGTCCAGTTTCTCTTCCTCAGTCAAGATGTGGGGAGATTCTAGAGTCGCTCTCGCCACATCTAGACCTCTTAAGAGTGTCACGGTACAATCGTCGCGCACGCCTCGCGAGCCAAAGTCGAAGAACAGCTCCTCGCGCCCTTTGACGACAAGCACCATACCCGGGTAGCCCCATCTGAATCCCCTCTCCTTGGTGACGTTGTCAACATCGCTGAACGGCACAACGAGCTTCGTTCGAGTACCGTAAAGAAGACTTCGAAAGCACAGTCTGCGATCGCTAACATATATCTTCCCGTACAATGGCAAAACTCTGTGTAACCAGCAGTAGAAGATGGCGCGGAGGCGCTCCGTACTCGGCAGGGCAAAATGCTCTTGGAATCGGCGCTCGTGCTCAGCGGTGTCCAGGTCTTGCTCTGGGTCAGCCGTGCGGTCATCGGTTGCTAGCCCGTCGGCCTCGGAATAGTGACGTTTGCCGCCAGCAATGGCCCCCGAGAACTTGTCGTAGTACGTCTTCGGACTGCTGCTGAGGTATGATCCCATCCGCTTTCCTTGATCTCGCACAGCGCCGGCTATATAGTAGGCGTGTTGCAACGGAGCAGCAACGACTTGGGATGTGGCGTCGAATAAGGCGGGCAGAGATTGTGGCTGCTTGCTGGCAGAGGTGGATTGCCGGGGGAGCATAGCAGAATCATGGAGGGGAAGAGTCGGCGCCCTCTCATCTCTGCCGTGCGATGGCCGTTCGTCCCGAGAGAGATCAGCCGCCGACTTGGGGCTACTTGTGCTTTGAGCCTCGCGGCGAAGCCGATCGATTGCAGACCGCTGCACCGAATGCTTGGAGTGACTCGTACGAAGCGTGGGGGCTGTCAAAATCTGACTCGCCGTCATGTCCATTCCGGCGTCATGCTCGTCACCTGCAAGCTCGGAAATATCCTCACTCGCAAGCGATTCCGAAGATTCTTTTGCCGACGGTGATTGAGATCTTTGGCTTGATTGACTAGCGGTACTGTCTGCACGCTTGCGAGGACTGAAGCCCGCTGATTTACGATTGGACTTCGTTGACTCACGCTCTTGGTGTGGAGGTCTGGTTGCCAAAGGGTTGCTCAACGTGTTTTGGGCAACTGATGTGCTCTTGGACGAAGATACGGGGGCCTCATCTGAAAGGTGCTTTTGGTGATTGCCTTGCGTCATGATTGTCAAGACACTCAATGCGTCTTTTCCGTGATTGAAGAAGGTGAAGAAGTACTCGTCGACCGCATAAGTCTCGTCGCCATCGACCACGCGTAACTTCACGGTACCTGCCTGTTCGATGGTGGAAGTCGGCTCAACATCCACAATGTTCTCGAGCGGTATGGCAATCTTGACACTGTCGCCATCATTGTGTGAGCGAAAGATTACTCTTTGTAGCTGCCTGACCCATTCTTTTGCAGCGGTGGCGGTGTCCGCTCGGAAGTGGTGGGAACGCTTTTCGGTGGTGATGGTGAATGGCGTTGCGGCATCGTCTTCCAGGCCTGACTCGGCGACTGAGAGTTCCGCCGCGATGGCGTATCGCAGATCAATAGATCCTCTGGGGAAATAAAGGTCTGATGCATTGCTGAAATACGAGAGGATGTCGCCCTTCAAAGTGAACCAATATCGGCGGAAGTGCGGGTTGCGTCTGCCTTGCTTGCCGAGATGTCCAGATTTGATGACATTGCCTTTCTTCTGGAGATAGGCGTAGAAACATACGTGCTTCTGGGTAATGTACATGTAGCCCTGGAGCAGGGCACTCTGAAGATACCAGCATGCGTACTCGGCTACAACATCTTCGGGCTCGTCGAAGTGAAAGATCTCGGCGAGAGCATTGGGTAAAGCCACGGGAGCCCGGGATGCATTCTTCACCGCTTCCTGATCGTCTTTGAGGGTACTTGGAGCGGCCGAAGACTCCATTTCTGCTTTTGCCCGGGCTTGGATCTTACGATCTAGGATGGGTGTGTTTTGTGGAGATGCAGACGCAAGAGAGGAAGCTGGGCGAGGCCGAGAAGGGAGGATTTGTGATTCGGACATGGTGTCGCCTGAATTCGTAGCCGCAGCGGAACGCGATGTTGTGCCTCCTGCGGTGTGGCTCTTGCGATGCCGGGAGGGCAGTGCTTGACGGTGTCTTTCCCGCCTCTCGTCCAGACTTGATCTTGCACTCGAGCCCGGGCGTGCTACGTGTGCCAAGTCTCTGCTGTTCCTCCTGGCGCCCTCTGCATCGGTGTCTGTATCGCTGCCACTGTCCTCTGGGTGGAAGCCCGGGCGGACGGTGCCCTTGCTGTGAGCGGCAGCGATGACACCGTACATTGACTGTTGCACAAACGTCTCCGGGTGCGCCTGATCTGGTCTTGCAGCATCGTCGACCATCACTTCCTCCTCTTCTTCATCAACCATGAAGCGCTGAGGAATCTCCAGGCTGTATGCACGACGCTTCTTTGGCGGGGGCATCGTTTGCCTATCTGGAGGAGGTATGACGAGACTTTGTGCGGCGGAATCCATGGTGGGCTTGGCTACCACGCGCGTGGGACGGATATGGAGCGTGTCGAAAGGTAAGCGGCTGGCGAACGGTGGGTGAGGCCTGTTAATGCTCCTCCAAATGTCACCTACACCACGCGCGGGCTAGCTATCTTGCACCTGGATGTCTAATCAATTGCCGGCGAGATGGTGCTACATGTTGGGTGGCAGTGTGATCCACGAGCGGACAGATGTGCGCTCTGATGGATGACACATTGCTGGATGGTGAGAGGGTGGTGAGTGGGGAAGAAGAGGCACAGCGATAGATTGGAAGAGTGAGGCCCAGCACGCATGTGATCGACGTCAAATGACACGCGCAGGCGTTATGCCCGGCCGCGCCTGCCGAAGCGAGCTGTGCTGGAAAGCCTCAGGCATCAATGCACAGACCATGCAGCTGGTCGGCCAATGAACGGCGGCTTCGATGTAAAGGTCATCGTCCAAACGCCCCCGAGCAACACCAACTCCCCCATCTCCTCCACCCCTTCAACCACACACAATGGCGTCCAAGGTGGCGCCGTGGGCGTTCAGATCAGTGGCGAGGGCAGTCCGCACCACTCCCAGACCTCAGTACCGCTCCTTTCACGTGTCGGCCGCCGCACGAAGCGACACCCTCAATGTTGTATGTGTTCCCCGCAGCTCCCCCCTCGTCCATGGGACAGCGCACTCACGATCATAGCACCGCAACTCCGAGAAGAACAACCCCTCCGTGCCCTTCGAGTTCAACGCCATCAACAAGCAGCTCATCAAGGAGGTGCTCAGCCGCTACCCGAGCCAGTACAAGAAGGCCGCGGTCATGCCGCTGCTTGACCTGGGCCAGCGGCAGCATGGCTTCACCAGCATCAGCGTGATGAACGAGGTGGCGAGGATACTGGAGATGCCGCCCATGCGGGTGTATGAGGTGGCCACCTTCTACACCATGTACAACCGTGATCCCGTGGGCCGGTTTCATGTGCAATGCTGCACAACCGTACGTACTAGTCGGTCCCTGGGGAGGACAGGACAATGCTGACTCCAATGCAGACGCCATGCGCTCTCCGTGGTGCCAACGAGATCATGAGGACCATCGAACAGCATCTCGGCGTTCACAACGGCGAGACGACGGCGGACGGCATCTTCACCCTCACCGAGGTTGAGTGCCTCGGCGCGTGCGTGAATGCGCCGATGGTCCAGATCAACGATGACTACTTTGAAGATCTCACCCCCGAGACTACCAAGCAGCTTCTAGATGCATTGAAGGATGCGGCGGAGAAGACGGGCGCGGGTGGCAATGCACCTGGCCTGGTGGGCGACTTTGGCAAGGATGAGGTGAGCGGCAAGCCGACGGGGCGACAGGTCAAACTGGGCGGACCCGGATACAGTGGACAGGGGGCGTTTGTGCCGGCGCCAGGGCCATTGAGCTCGCGGACCTCGTGTGAGAATTCAAAGGGCCGGACAACGTTGCTGGAAGAGCCGTGGACCGGCGAGAAGGTGTTCCGTACCGACGGTGAGATCTAGACATATATTCATGTACAGTGTACCTCCAGACCGACCACTCTTGCGTGACATGACACGTCTAGAGGGTTCGCAATTGGTGCAGCCAAGAATCCGCTGCCTAGTGTTGGATGGTGTGGATGATCCAGCCTCGTCAATTTCCCCTCAGGCCAAGCTAGTTCGCAGGTGGCTGGAGGTGGATTACGCATCGCTCAAAGACACTGTCCATGCAGGCAACTCGTGGAGAGTATTCGATCCTTTTACCAAACTCCCTCTCAGAACAAACGAAGCGACAGCATCTCGGAGATTTCTTTGACTCTTGGGTCGGCGGCGTGACGTGCCGTACCTTCTTTCCCTTGCACGCCCCCCACCTTCCTGCCAAGCCAGACCAGCTGTACGCCGTGCATCGAGCGTGCGTGCGTGCGTGCGCTCATCTTGCCCCCGGGCGGCGGCTGTGCCCAACCCAACCCTCCCCTCCTGCTCCCTCCCCTTCTCCCCAATCACCGGCACACGCCTGGGTGCGAGGCATCGTGACGTGCAGCGCAGTGCCGTGCCGAACACCGTCCCTATCCCAACCCCACCCCACCACCCATCCTCACCGGAGCGGGGCGCACGAAGCAGCTACCCAGGCGGACGCACGTTTCTTCTGCGCCCGCCCATCGAGGCGCAGCCCAAAGGCTACCTTTGCCTGCGACCACCCGCCTTTTCGACTCCGCTTCATCCAACATCGTCCGCAAGGCTGACCACCCCGTCCACTCACCGGAAACATGTCTCGCGTGTCTCGCGTGGTATATAGAGAGAGCGACTCGCGCGAGTATGAGGAGAAGCCTCGCAAGACTTACACCACCGTGCGACGCTACCAAGTTCCCGACACTCAGTCGTCCAGCAGCAGTGAAGAGGAGGAAACGAAGACGAAAGAGAAGATCACCATCCGACGCGAGCGCTCCTCACAGCCCCGCGAGCGCGAGAGAGACAGCGAGGACATCAACATCCGCATTTCCGAACGAGAGCGTGACGGCCCACGAGGAGAGGACTTGCGCTTTAGTGAGCGCATCAACATCTCCGAGCGCGATCGCAACCGAGGCCGTGGTAGCAACTACCGCGTCGTGGAGAAGGAGAGCGACTTTGAGGAAAGTCGATCTCGCGCCAACTATCGCTCCAGCGATTATCGCAGCTCCACGAACGACGGCCCGTCGCAGAAACGAACAACGGAATACCGCGTCGAACGGGATCGTTCATTCTCGCCTCCCAGTCGACACGGCCATCGCAGAGACGATTCCTACGAGGTGGAACGATACGTCAAGGAGACTGATTACTACGCCCCCGAAAGACCGGCCGCGCCACCCATCATCATTCGCGAGAGGAGCAGAGACCCTCCGCCTCCCATCATCATCCGCGAGTCGGCCCCGCAGCCAATCATCATCCGGGAAGAACGTCGAGAGCCTCGTTATGAATTTGTCGAACGCGAACGAGACGAAAGCAAGTCGGTGGTGAAGAGTGAGAAGAGCGAGTCCCCAAAGCAGCCTCCTGCGTCGGTGGCAGCGTCCCGTCGCTCGACGCACGCTCCACCTCCGCAACAAGAGCAACAGGAAGGTGATTATTTCTACGAACGTCGTATCATTGAACGCGATCGTCCACCACACAGAAGACAGGATCACCACAGTCACGAAATCCATCCAAAAGACAGCGCGTCGAATTACAGCAGTGACGACAGTTACGAGCACGTCCGCAAGTCCACCACATACATTGAAGACCGCGACCACAGCCCACACCATAAACGCCATCTGGCCGAAGGCGCGCTCGTTGGCGCTGCTGCGGGCGAGATTTACCGGCACCATCGAATGTCGCAAGGAAGGCCTGGCAGCGGGCGCATCGTGTCTGGTCTGGGCGGTGCTGCTGTTGGCGCTTTGGGCGCTGAAGCCATCACCCGCTGGAGGAGCAGGAGTCGGCGCCGTCGCTCGGAAAGCAGATCCAGTGGAGGCTCTGATCGATCACGGCACACCCGCCGCGATCATCGTGGCAGGCGCGACAGCTACTCTCGTTCGCGCTCTCGTTCCAGGTCTCGGTCGAAATCGCTGTCGGGCAGACGACTGGCTGGATATGCCGGAGTGGCGGCGCTGGGAGCGCTCGGGGCGTATGCGTTGACCAGGAACAAAAACAAAGACACAATCATTGTCAACGACGGCGGGAGGCCTGGACGTCGCCGTTCTGCGCGCCGATCTCTGAGTGAAGATGGCTTCGTCAGAGATGTGCGGGAAGACGATAAGCATCGGGATCCTCAACATCGCAATCGTCGAATCGCACAAGCTGGTCTGGCAACCGCGGCAGCTGCTGCTGTAGTCGAGCGAGTGCGATCGAAGAGTCGCGGTGGTCGCCACAAAGACCAGTCCCGGTTCCACCAGGGCGTCCCGATCGTGGCCGCTGGACTCGGTGGCGCGGCGCTGGCGGGCTTGTACGAGAAGAACAAGGCGAACAAGGAGGCCAAACGAGACGCCATCATCCAAGATGAAATGAACAGAGGCAGGCGCGGAAGCAGGTCGAGAAGCAGATCCCTCGGTCCTAATGCGAGATTTGACGACCAAGGCTACGGATATGGAAATGATCCTGTCTATCGCGACGCCCCTCGCGATGTCTACAGCGACGAAGACCAGCCTGGACAGTATAGAAGACGGGGAGGCAGCGCCGGCAGCAGTCCAGACAATCGCTATCGCAGACGAAGTCGGTCCAGGAACGATAGGGGTATGGCAGAAGCCGGGGCAGCAGCTGGTGCAGCCGGAGTTGCAGCCCACGATATGGGGGGCCAGCAGCAGCCCGGTGCTCAACGTGAGTCGACCACAATGTGAGTAAAAGAAGCCAAGCTGACTTCTTCAAACCAGATCGAGAGTACCAAGAATACGGCGACCCCTTCCACGGGCATGGGTATACGCCCAACGCTTATAACGATCCGCCGTCGGGATACATACCGGACGGCCAGGCAACATACCCGCCACAACCGCAAACCTACCCAGCAGCACCCTACTTTCCCCCGCCGCCCAATGGCGACAATGCCTACTCCTACTCCCCTCGAGCAGGGAATGCATATCCTGCGTACAACCCAGCGGAGTGGGCGCAAGGCGCCGCGCCGCCTCAAGCTCCACCAAATGCAGCCGGTGGTGCGGCACGCGACCTCAACACCCCCAACAACGCTCCCGGCCCGCATGATCCGTATGGCGGTATGCCAGGGGATCAACAGCCACCGCCCCCAGGCGATGATGGAGGGAGACGAGGCCGAGGAGGAGCAGACACCCATGATGTGAGTGCCTTTAATACTGTTCCCGGCACTTCTGCCGCCGCCGCCGCCAGCACCTTTCATGCCGTTAGCGAACACGATGCTCAAGATGCGGGTATGTCGGGGAACTCCTTTCTGACGCGCCCTGCAAACTGACCTGACACACCTTCTGATGAGCCCTTGCAATCCGGGCATGAACGTTTTCGCTAACCAAGGTGTGTTCGACACAGATGCGCTAGACAACGCCCAACGCGCCCGCTCCACCAGCCGCGTGCGCTTCAACCTCGACGCAAACGAAGCGCACTCGCCCGAAAAGCAACGCAAAAAAGAAGAACGCTACAGCGACTCGGAAACAAGCGGCGACCGCAAGCGAAGAAGCCGCCGAAGACGCCAGCGCCACGATGACGACGACAACTACTCCTCCAGCCGCAGCGGCGGTCTGATGCACGACCCCTACGACCGGCCGCCTTCTTCGGGCTCGCATCGGAGACGACATAGTCATGGTGGTCGCGGACGGGAGGAAGACGATAGCGAGGAGTCGGATGGGACGATTGAGCTTCCCGATCGCTTTGATGAGCATGGCAATCGGAAGATGGAGGGGGGCGATGCGTTGCAGCATTTACTGGGGAATCTGGCCGGGGGGTTTTTCGGCGGGGGTGAGGATGATGCGGGTGGTCGGCGGCGCTATAGGCGCTGATTTCCGGTGTCTGAGGTTGTTGCTGATGGTGTGACGATATCTCTTGACGCTGGGTGGGGAAGGGCAAAGGGGATTTTCTTCGCTTTGCTCCGGACGTTTTTGGCGCGAGGTTACGAAGCTGATGATGTGGCCACGATATCCACGTAGCGTAGCATTTTAGTTTCCCTTTAGAATGAATGATACGGCTGTGCAGTTTGGAGTTTCTTCGTTGACTTCCCCTCTATAGAGTCGGATGTAACTACGACGAGGTCCCGTGCGAGGCCAAAAAAATTCGTATAGTCGTACACGAGCAAAACGTGCTGCTCTGATAACACATACTGCCATTCGTCCCAGGAGTAGAGAGAAAAGGACCACGCCACGCCGCTGATCATACCCCATTTTACCCTCCCAACGCCCTCTCATCTCATCGTTACACGCTCAAATCACCTCATCCCTCTCCCAACCCCCGGGCCGCTGATGCTGAATACCCTTGTTGGGATGCGGCCTATCGTCGCTCTTATACGTGCTGCTGTACGGATTGGGATCCTCCTTGTAATCGATATTCGCCAGCGTGTGATTGACCTCGCGATGCTTCGACTCGTCGGCGCGAACGTAGAGCAGCAGGTCGCGCATCGTGCGCTTCCCCTCGGGCATCTTCCAGTACTCGATGGCAATCGGCGGCGCCTCCATCTTCTCCCACAGCGGCAGCTTGCCGGCGTCGATGTCGTTGATTTCGCGCGTGTACGTCAGCACCGCTTCCTCTTCCAGGTAGCCGACGAAGCGGTGGCACGTGCTGGGCGAGACGAGGTATGCGAGGAAGAAGGCGTTGAAGAAGACGCCTTGCGCGCCTAGCACGGCGAGCCGCATGAACCAGCCCGGCTCCGCCATTTGCAGGAAGGTGAGGAGGTGCATGCGCTCGTTGTAGCTCTCCTCCAACAGCGTCTCCATCCAGCCGTTGTCGCGCTTCATGCGCCGCATCGAGCGCAGATGGCGCAGCATGCCGGCCACCATGCCCGGCACGCCCGCCACCGACTCAAGAAAGATGTTGCGGATCATGTACTTGCGCTCGGTCATGGCGAACTTCTGCTGCGCCGCCGCGGGGCTCTTGTCGTGGAGTGCAACGGCTTTGTCGTGCCTGTAGCCGCTGACGAGGTCGAAGCACCAGCGCGTGGTGCGCAGAGCGCCGAGGGCGATGTAGTCCGACCATGTCTTTGCATTGCGGTGCGCAACTACGACCGAGTTGACTTCGGCTTCGGTGTAGATGGGATGTGACCAGGCGGCGGGGGTGCGGCGGATTTGTTCGGTGTGGGTTACGGGGAAGAACTCGCGGATGGGAGCGGGGTTGGTGAATTTGAAGGGGTGGCGGTTGGTGGTGCTGAATTGGCGGCGGGAGGGTGAGGGGTGTCGTAGGATCACGAGGGTGCCGTAGGAGAGGGATGATGATGGCGAGGAGGCGGCGAGGCTGGAGTTGAAGGCTTTGAGGAGGTGGGAGGCGGGTTGTTTGGAGAGGAGCGCGTTGGCGCCGAGGGTCCGTGTGCAGCTCATCGATGCTGTTGGGTGGTATGAGTGTGTCTGGATATCAGTGGGGTGTAGTAGGGAGTGGTGTAGGAGATTGAGTGGTATAGAGACGATGATGAGTGAAGAAGTGGAGGGACACAAAGGAAGGAACGACCTGAGCTCAGGCCGTATTTGAACTCAGCCTTGCCTCGCAGCCTCCACTCAATCGGTGGAGACGCTCATCGTCCGCTCGGGTCAGCATGACCCACGCATTGTCGTTGCGATCATATTCCGGGACGCAGCCAAGGCTTTCAGCTCGCCGGAGACGTGAGGACGCGAACCCGGCGACCAATCAGAGGCGTCGCGATTTCATCCGACAGCCGCACGAGAATTTGTAGGAAGACTCGCCTCCACCTCCGGCGATGTCTGCGTGGCAGATGATCAGTCCTCACCTATTGCCGGGTCATTCCCATGCGAATGGCTGTTCAATGCGTGCGCATCTCGCCGCAAGTCGCGTGTTGATGAGAAATTAATTGATCGTCATGCGGAAGGAGTCAATGGCCGGTGCAATCCATCCCGTGCATACTCATCACTTCATTCACATCGCCTCAAGACTGAAATAGGTATATCATCACTAAACACATCCAGCCCGAGCTTTTGATCATCTCGTCAACGATAACAAAATCAAGGCCGCCACTTCGCCCTTTCCCCCTGCGCATTCCCCAGCACCTCATTCAACGCCGCCGCCTTCGCCCGCATAGGAAGCATACTACTCCGCCTGTCGTTCACGCTCGGCGGCCTCGCTTTATGGTGCAGCGGACTCTCCGTGTCGGCATCGTTGCCATCTGTGAATCTAGGAGGTAGAGGTGGTACGATGCTCGTGCGGCGCGCTGCGGCACTCGATACTTGAGCAGTCGAGCGTAGGCCTGCGTACGATTTCCGCGACGCCAGCGAGCGCTGGCCGGCGGCCATAGGGGTAGTGGATTGCTGGGGCATAGGGAGGCCTGATTTTCGACTGCTGACACTGTGTGAAGGCGGGGGTATCCCCGTTGTACTCGGCGGTCTCACGGAATGGTGACCCAGATTAGGGGTCGACGCTTTGCGGCTCATCAATGCGCGTGTGGACGGGGAATCCGAGGGATTCGACGATGATCGCAGGAAATTGCTCTGCTTGGCCACCGGCGTTTTGGCGTATGGCGAGGGCTCCAGGGCGGAGAGTGGCAGAAAGTCGCGATTCCGGCTCTCCGGCTTTGTGGCAATTTGCCAGCGCGGTCGGGTAGCCGTGGGTGGTGACGGGATTTGGCTTGCTGTACGTCTTGCTAGAGGTGAGGAAAGCGAACGCGGAGTGGAGTTCCCAGAGTAGGTGAGTGGAATCCGGCGAGGGATGGAACTGGGTATGCGGGCGCTGCTCGTTCGCGGCTTCGCGAGCATCAGTGGTGTCGGCGTCCTACTGCCATTTCCGCTCAGCCCACCGACCACGCTGCTCGCCGGCGAGCTACCCGGTGTATCGACAAGACTGCTGGCAAGGGATCGTTCGCTTGATACAACGGTCGAGACGGAATCTCGGTACTGCGTGTCGGGAGTTTCAACGGGCAGCTCTTCGAGGACCAGATCCATATCTCGCATGTCCCCTTGCAGCGCACTCCAACGATGCTTCATGTCGCCCTGCAGCCGTAGGATCTCTCCATTCACCGTCAATCTCTCCTTCACTCCTCGGTCGATGATGGCGAGAACGCGCTCAACTGCAGGCCCGTAATGCGACTTCTTCGCATCGTAGCTCTCGACCTTCCGAGCGAACGACGGGGCATTGCTGGTGTATTCGCCCGCGTCAACGGCGTCTCGAAGCTTGTTGTAGCTCCGCGTAATTGACTCCTCCATCTTCAGGGCTTGTCGTCCCGCGTTGCGGAACACCAAGACCCATCGATCTTCCCCAAGCTCTCTCCGAAGCGATTCCGCGTCCGCCTCAAGCTTCTTCCATGAGTCTTCCAATTGCTCTCTTCGCGTGTCCAGATCGGTGCAAGCAGATGGAAAGATCACACTTCCTCGGAGCTTGAATGCGGATAGACGCATGGGAAGAAAATCGAGCGATGCCCGCAGTGGCTGCATTTGGGCGAACAGGGCTAGTAAGCTCGTGTCTTCTTTGGTGTCGCTTGATGGTGGACCGTCGACTGGTGTAATGGGTGAAAATGCTCCAGGCAGGCTCAGACGATGGCTGTGCAACGGCGCCCCTTGACCCGGTCGCTCTTCCACGATCGTCTCGAGCTCGTGCAAATCGATGCTGTCCTTCGAGCTAAGTAGACTCCCGGCGCCTTGATGCCGCCTTTCCTCCATTTCGAAGACCAGTCGGTTCAAGGCGTCCATCTCCTGGCGAATCTCACCTAGCACGCTGATCCACAACAGCTCCCACTCCATTGCGACCTCCACCTGGTCCTTCACGCCTCGCAGCGTAGCTTTGACTTTCTGCCAGCTGGCGAGAATATTCTCCATCTGCTTAACGGTCGACTGGAGCTCGACGGCGGGCAGGGCAGCAATATCTTCCCGAGTCTGAAGTCGCTCGATAGACAGGACGTAGACTTCAATGAGTTCCTGAAAGCGGCTGATGGCTTGATCAACATCCTCCACGCCTTCCTTGCCGCCGGCCGCCGCCCATTCCACATCATTCTCTGCATCCAGGCCGCCGAGCACTTCCGAAGCTTTGCCAATCCAAATCTGAATCTGCTCGGCCGCGTCCGATAATGCTCTCGCCGCCTCAGCAGAGGTGGGGATGGATGAGATCCGCTTAGCCAGCGAATCAGGGTCTGGGAGCTTCAACGACGTCAGGTGTGACAGCTGGCCTTGAAGGCTTGCTCTACCAAGTGTGTATAGCGAATTAGTTCGAGAGAGACTCCGACTTGCAAGGCCTCCATCGCCCAAGCTTTCGCTACTGCCGTTCCGCGTGGGGAAAGCAGGCCAAATGGGAGATTGGAAGTATTCGCTGGCTCTCGATGCTTGCGGAGTGCCCGGTGTAGGCGTGCGCGGTGGGTACAAGACTGGAGTCCGCGTGATCGTTGTCGTCGGCGCTGCTGTTGCCCTGGGGTCAGGACTCAAAGGTTCCTTTGTGCGGCGATGTAATCTTGTTTTTCCCACGTCGGGCAAGACATATTTCTTCTTGTCGTTGAGGCCGTCGTCGTCCTCCGTATCCGAGGGCGCGAAGTGGTCGCTGATGTTCAGGACGGAGGAGACATCGCTCTCCAGGAGCGAGGCCTCGCCTTCGGATATCACTGGTCCGCCGCCGTCCAGCCGAACACCGCCTGAGGGCATGCTGATGGCCACTTTGCTTCCAGCTCTGCACTGAATCCTACTCTTTGGGTTCTCCACGTGCTACAACGACCCGTTCTGCCTCCTCTTCGCACCAAGGCTTCCCCTTCTTGTTAACTATCCATTCGCAAGCTCGAGTGGGGTGACGTAGTTCGAGGACAGCCTTGCTTGGTGCTGATGCGTGTGCGGCACTCTACGAGAGGAGACAACTGTAAAGTCAGCCACAGGCCGTATCGCGACGTAGAGCGCATAGAACCTCATCCCATTGCCGCCTGATTGACGTGCAACAGGCCGAGAAGCTCAGGGCACGGAGGGTACTCACCGGAGCTCGGGCTCGCCGACAGCAAGATGCGTCCTACTTCCGCGGGCACTCACTTCTGTTCCAGGACCCGACAACTCAAAGTCAAGGACAGAATGTCAAGCACTACATGTCATTCCGAGCAGAGGTCGGGCCAAGTTGGGCAACACGTGAGGTTGGAGGATTCATTTCCAGCCCGTTTGGCGTGGCACGAGCGTCTGCAGGGGTCGGTCGGCTGTCACAATCCGCAGTCGCGCCTCGCGTCGAGCTTCTTCGGCGACGTACGTCATATCAACAGACAGAAATATGCGGACAGGCAATGCGCTTCGTGGTTTCATCGCATTCCATTCTGTACCTTGGCCATCCAGACATTAAGGCACCCGTCCACCACTGATCGTCTGTGGTAGAGTAAGCAATCTCCTAGTTCTGCTTCGCGTAATACATCAACGACGACGCGGGGGGTGAGTATCATCAAGCACCACTCTGTAAACAATCGCCCGACTCTCCAAGTCCTTCGTTCCTCTCATTAGGTCCTCTCACGTTCACTTGCGGAGCCTTGCGCTTCTCGCTCTCTTCCTCCAGCCTCCACTCCTCCGTCAATTCGGTTCGAACTCCTCGAGACCAATTGAAGATGGCTTCGTCAACGGCCCGCCACGCCATCTCCCCTTTGCCATTGACCACGTCGAGCACAGGCACGGACAGCTTGATTTCCCACCGCAGCTCGCTGGCCTTGATCCAGAAGCGGAGATTCTCCGCCATGCGATACGGCTTGCCGACGTCTTCGTGCCACGTTTTGATCTCACCAAAGTTCCGCTTTGATCGGCTCACCAGGGCATTATGCAGCTTGACCAGCCGTTGCCCATCTTGCAGGGCTTTGAGGAAGTCACTCGGGAAAGACGCGTTGCTGGATAGCTCCGGCCATTGCGGTAGAGGCGGTTGCTGCTGGTCGAACGATCTCAAAAAGAGCCATTCCCGCTGTCGTTCCCGTCCGCTCCAGTCACCGTCCCGCCAGATCCACTGCGCTCGCTCCGCCGTTTCTTCCTCTTCGCGCTGCTCCTCCTTCTTCAGCAGCTTATCGATGCTCTCAATCCACAGGATAATGTCCGTCAACTCCGAAGTGCGGATGCCGCCTCGAAAATTCCGGCTTGCCATGCGTTTCAGCACGTCAAGTGCTTTGTACAAATCCGAGCGAATCATTTTCTCCGATCGGATGTCGTAAAGCTTTTGCGGATTTGTGTGTGCGGTGTAGTAGTTCTTTGCAGCACGGATGGCCAATGTGATGATATCCAAGAGATGCAGGCCTTGCAGTTCGTAGAAGCCGTCGCCCACTTCCTCGTGCTGATCCTCGCTGCTGCTCTTCTGCGTCTCCTCCAACACCTTACAGGCATCTTGCAGGGCTTCCTTCAACTCTCGCCTCAACACCGACATCTCGGGCAAGGGTTCAGTGTAAGATGGCCTTTGTTTGTAGGTGCTGACCGTCGGCGGGAGCATAGGAGCTTCGCCTGAACTCCAGGGGTCGCCAGCGTCGGAAACGTCGCATGGCGATTCCGGAGAACCGTCCACAGGCCCTAGCTCAGAACCAGCATAGGCAGCATTGGTATCGTTGAGGCAGAGCGAAGACACTCCCCAATCGTCCAGGTCGGCCCCCGAAGGTTCCAGGTTCTCCTTGCCGTTATTGGACGGCTTCCGTTTCGTCTCCCTCTCCTTCGCCAACTGAGCGCCCTTACCGTCCAACAGTCCAGTGCGAGCAAAGTAGTATTGCATATGAGCGATGCTTCCCAGACTCATCACGCTGTCGCGATTGCGCGCGGAGTCGGCAAACGCGGTTCCCTGGGGACGCATGTAGCCCCTACGCTTGACCATCGTGGCAGCTCCATCACTCATCCGCTTGTGACGGGAGCGAGCGGATGCAGTGGAGACGCTGGAGCTTGTCGGAGTAGATGCAGCACGGTCAAGTCGGGGGACGGCATCAAGGGCGATAGATGGAGAGACGCTGAGAGTGGGCGAGCTCGGGCGTTGCTCCGGCGAAGTGACATTGCTCTCTGGAGGAGGAGTGGAGGCGTCCATGGTGATGGCACGAGATCCTCGATCGCTCTACTTTTCTGGCGCGAGGTTCTCGATTCTTCTACCTTTCAGGCGTGAGGAGCATGAGCGAGCCGGGAGGGCCACCTGTTCGCCAGCACCACGAGACCGGCTCCCGGCCCCGTGAATGCTAACAAGATCACGAAGGGTGTCAGCTAGAGCAACATAGAGTGATCGAGGTAGGTGCGAGGCGTTGTGGGATAATCCGCAGTGCAAGGGGGAAGGTGCGGTGATTGCAGTGGAGTCATCTACAAGACATAAGGTGTCGCCGTCGGCCGAAACAGGGGTCTAACAGACGCGCATTGGTCTGCGCGCCGTTGCGGCGAACAGACCATCCGCACGGACGAGATGGAATGATTGGAGACGGCAACTTCCATTCCGAGCACAGCATGGGGCATCGTCAGTAGCGATGAAGCCGTTGCGTTGCATTCGTTAAGGCCTGTAGCAGAAACGAGGTGGAAGTGAAAGATGCAGAAGCGACGCGTTCCATCACGTCCCCAATTCCGAAATTCTGCCTTCGCTCCCAATTTGGGCCTGATGACGTAACGAACGCGATTCCCCGGTCCCGACGTGTCAATTTCGTGACATCTCGACCTACCTCGACTTCTGCCTGCCACCACCGAACGTGCATGAAGTGCATCGACTGACACAACTCCGAGGACGGTGCACTGACGCTGAAGAGAAGGGAGGGGAGTCTTCAAGATGGGGATCAAAAATTTATATCAGGTACCCTTGCCTGGCTCTGTACCCTCCGTGGACATCTCATCACTAACCCGCCGCTCATAGCTGATCAAGGACAATTGTGAGTACCGCTCCTCGTCCGCCGACAACTTGGTTGCGACTGTCCAACACTCACTTACCTACTATGTAGGTCCCGATGCCGTCAAAGAAGGCGAGATCAAGAACCACTTCGGCCGCAAAGTCGCCATCGATGCCTCCATGTCCCTCTACTCCTTCCTCATCGCCGTCCGCAGCGATGGCCAGCAGCTCATGTCCGACACCGGCGAGACCACTTCACATCTCATGGGCCTCTTCTACCGCACCCTGCGCATCGTCGACAACGGCATCAAACCCCTCTACGTCTTCGATGGTGCCCCACCCAAGCTGAAGTCGGGCGAGCTTGCCAAGCGTTTCCAGCGCAAGTCCGAAGCTCAAGAGTCCCACGAAGAGATGAAGGAGATTGGCACCGCAGAAGATGTCGAGAAGTTCAGCAGGCGCACAGTCAGAGTCACCCGGGAGCACAACGCAGAAGCACAGCGCCTGCTCAAACTCATGGGTGTACCCTACCTCATCGCCCCGACTGAAGCCGAAGCACAATGCGCCGTACTTGCACGCGCAGGCAAAGTCTACGCCGCCGCCTCCGAAGACATGGACACCCTCACCTTCAACTCGCCCGTCCTACTACGCAAACTGACCTTTTCCGAACAACGCAAAGAGCCCATCCAGGAACTTAGCCTCGACAAAGTCCTCGAAGGCCTGGAGATGGAGTACGAGCAATTCATTGACCTCTGCATTCTCCTCGGCTGTGACTACGTCGACCCTATCAAAGGCATCGGCCCCAAAGTCGCTCTCAATCTGATACGTGAACACAAGACTCTTGAGGGTGTCGTCGCGCACATCGAGAAGACGGAGAAATTCACCATACCTGAAGACTGGCCCTACAAAGAAGCCCGTCTACTCTTCCTCGAACCGGACGTCCGCGGCGCCGAAGATCCCGAATGCGACTTCAAGTGGGACAACCCCGATGTGGAAGGTCTCGTGAAGTTCTTGGTGGAAGAGAAAGGCTTCTCCGAAGACCGCGTGCGTTCTGCTGCGCAGCGTCTGCAGAAGAATCTCAAGTCCAGCCAGCAGAGTCGTCTCGAGGGTTTCTTCAAGGTGAAGGAGAAAACGGACGAAGAGAAGCAGGCGTTGAAGCGGAAGAACGAAGAGAAGCTGGAGGAGCGGAAGAAGAAGCAGAAGATCGAGGCCAAGGCGAAGAAGGAGGCCAAGGCCAAGCCGAAGATGAACTCCTGATATCTTTGTTGCCCCGTGTGATGCAGCGTATGGCGTTATGAAGCGGCACGACTATGGGAATGGGGATGGCACGGCGGTCGGAGTTACAGCCGAGGACACGGTGTCTTGCCAGGAGCTCACGATGAGCTTTCTATACAGTGAAGGCTTCAGCAAGTCTGCAAAAGAAAAGTCTTCAAAAAGAAAAGCATTGAAACGAAAATGGGAACATGGTTTCTCAAAGGAGTGTTTGTATTGTTCGTCATGTGAATAAGCTAATATACATGATTAGGGAAATGGACTCATAGATTCGTCAAACCCAACTCCACCGCTGCGCTATGCTGTTCCTGTGATGGATGGCGTGAGTCAATAACTCTACTGGATCGTAATCCTCCTGTTCTCCGGCGCCGGGGCCTTGGGAACAACGATAGAAAGAATACCATCCTTCAAGGAAGCAGACACCAATTCCTGGTCGATGCGCTTGGGGAAGGTGAACGTCCTCGAGAAGCGGCCCGTCGAGCGCTCCGATACCCAGTATCTCGAGCTCTCGGTTTTGCTAGGCTGAGGAGCGGCGGCGACACTCTGCTCCGGGGCGGTTTCCGTTGCGGGCGTCTCTGCTGGCGTCGCGGCGGCGTCCGGGTTGGCGTCCGACTCGCTCACGGTCTCGAAGCCTTCTTCCTCTTCGACGGAGGCTTTGTGGTAGCTACCCGTCTCGCTTTCCGCAGCGGGCGTGCCGGTTCCATGCTGGGATTCCGTCTGGTTCTCAACCGCAGTGGCGGCAGCGGATGGCGGAGTGCCTTGTTCCCGCCGGCTTTCCGTATGGCCAGTAATCTTCAGCGTCTTCTCGTCCGTGAACGCAACTTCGATATTCCGCTGCTCGATCCCGGGCAGCTCGCCCTTGAGCTCGTACGCATCCTTGCTCTCCTTCACATCAAAGCGAGGCTGGAAGGAAGGCTGCTGCTGCTGGGCCTGCGCGAAGGCGCCGCATCGAGCCTGTGGCGATGAGATGGCTTGCAGGTCGTCGAGGAAGCGGAAGACGGGGGCGAATTCGTTGGCGACGAAGCGCGGGTAGAAGAGGGAGGCCATGTTGCGTGTGGATGGGGTGTGGGTTGCTTTGACGGCTCGGTAGGCTTGTGGGAGTCGGGTGTTGGATTGTCGGACGGCTTGCATGTGGTGTGTTTGAAAGTCTGAAGATGAGGGATGCTTTCGGTGTTGAAGAGCGTACTTATACCTTTGCGCCAGGCAGGCAGCGACGGACGCGCCATCGATTACACGGCGGCGAGGAAGATGCCAGCAACTACTAGACGCTTAGAAATAGATGTCACGTGATGCTTCTCGCACCTTCCAGAACGAGCTCGAAGTTGCCAGAAATGGTAAGCGGGACGGACCGTCCCTCTGACTCCGGAGCTTAACACGTGACTTTGACCACTTCCTCTCTGCAGCCTCGTGGTTGACAGAATACATTGCTTGAACCAGCCACACCTTGATTCCCAGCACTTAGACGAGGCTAAATGTGCAGGCTCGTGCATTAGCGTACGTGACATGGCGCGGTATCATTGCTTTCTAATCGAGACGGCGTGCAGGATGTGTCGAATACGAGGCTGTGCAGCGATGCCGACTATAGTCCAAAGAGGTTGATCTGCGCCAGTCTCACAATAGTAGCCTAAAATGCGGCCAATAGTCGAGGAGGATGAAAAGTGAGTAGCGGCTCAGATTACGAACCTGTTTGAAACCGCTGCGTGCAATCAAAGCTGATTCGAGACACATATCAAATACGAACCCCCGGCAGGACTGGAAGACCATGACTGGCTCCCTGTCCATCAGGCTCAAGGAAAATATAGAAAGGGCGCAACGCCAGCCTGTTTCCGACGATGACAGCTTCATACCTGCCGCAGCATCCCGGTCCTCGTGGCCTTGCCCGCCCGCCAGCGCATGCGGCGTAGATCGCATCGGCAGTCGCCCGTGTCAGACCAGACTACTGCAGCCGTTCATGCAAGAGGCAGCAGCAGCAGCGCCAATGCAAGGTACGAAAAGCATAGGCCAGGGTAGTGGAAGCAGCTTGTTTGAACGTCGTCTCGTCGGTGGCAAAGGTAGAAACACATACAATCTTTTGAGGAAGGAAAGCTCCGATAAAGCAGCACCGAGAAGCGGAATGGAAACGTATACACATTCGTTGGGTCGGAAATCGTCATGGTCATGGTCGTCGTCGTCGTAACAGCTAGGGCTATGTGGCATCTCGTTTCAAGTGCTCAAAAGTCGGACGGGTATCTCTCTCGTGCGACTCTGTACTGGTCAGGATACTTCTGAGCAGCGCGTGCATTCAAAGCGCTATTTGTTGGTCAGCTTTTCGGCCCACGCAGGTTCGATTCACTCGTTGCAACGTACTGAACTTTCTTCTGCGTCCACTCCAGATCGCGCTGCACTTCCCTCGCCGCTTTCATGCCCTCGGAAAAGTTGGTCCGCGATTTTGCAAGGCGTGCCCTGGCCTGGGCTTTGAGAGCCTGGAGCTCGCGATTCTTGGCATTCAGCTCTCCAGACCTGTAGTGGAGTCAGCGTTTCGTTCTCGGCGCACACGGTGCGCATCGCTCACATCTGGGCTTGTTTCGCCAAATTCCGATCCATGGACATTGGGCTGTAAGTGTCCGCGAGTCGTTCGCTCATGTATTCGAGCAGATCAACGCTCGTCGCTCCGCTGCTGGCCGATTCGTAGTCGGCGTCTGCATACTGGCTGGATGCGCTCGAGTAGACGCGGCTGCCAGAGGTGGCGACGCTCTCTGGCGCTTCTGGTGGCGAGGCGGAGTACTGGCTGTAGTTGGAGGAGCTGCGATTGTGCCGAGTATATTGCTGTGTGGCAGTTTTGCCTGGGACGCTGACGGGAAGCGACCCGGTCGGGTGGTACTGATAGTAATGAGTTGAGATAGGCATGATTGGATGCGGGCGATGTACTTGGAAGAGGGACAGAGAAGAGCGAAATGTAGTGCAGTGTCTTAGGTTGGGGGAAAAGGGAAAGAGGACAGAGTGTGGGAAGAGGAAGAGGAAGCATTCTGCTTCTGATTCACCTTTTATACCCATGAGCAAACGCTGAGGAGGCAAGCTGTGCTCGACAGTGGCGACGACGAGCACACCCTCTTTGCTGCACAGCGTGATGGAATGGCAATGTGATCAAGCAAGCTGCATACGGATGTGCAGCGGCGAGCTCTTCATGCAGACGTAGGACCATCCAACGACAGTCGAGCGGACATGACGAGAGGGGGAAGTATCGCCGAAGGGCTCCGGTGAGAGCGAGTCTAGGCAGGCCGTAATTGGTCTCCGGGCAAAGCTAATGCTTAGCTGCATGGGGATTCTCAGCAGGCGAGCTGCCGTTTGTGCGGCACTGGCGGGTTGGGGTGGAGGGGACCCCCCTCGCCGTGCGCGGCGGGTGAGGAGGTTGATACTGCACGCACACCGGCTAGTCCATGCATCCTGCACACCTCTATCCCACCCTTGTCTGCATTGAGCAAGGCGGGAGCAGGGTGTGTGAAGGCTGCAGAGGGGGAGCAGACGAGCCATTATCCCAAGCCGGCAAACAAAAGTGGAGGGGATGTTGTGATATGAGCGGAAGAGGAGGGAGGAAGTGCAGAGGACGGGCTATTGGCCTGAGACGAACGCGCCAAGACACGAAGCACAGGCACACGGGAGCACGACAGGTGTTGAAGGGTGGCACAGAGCTGTCAAACTGCTTCATCAAGCCATGCATTCCCACGTTCCTCGTGTCGGTGTCACCAAGCATGGTGGCATGCTTTTGGTAGCGGGTTGGTTGCGCTTGCCTTACCTCATGCGTCTTAGAGTCGGGGGCACAAGTCGAGGCACGAAGCGACACAACGTGGCGTGGAGCTCGAGAGCATTGTGAAGAGGTGGATTTCATGTGATCGAGCAGCTCCTACATCATCTCCACTCACTAACGCCACCTTTCTGAGAGCGTTGGACTTGCTTGAAATGGTAATTGCCCAACAAAGCCTGCTGGATCGCCGCCTCTACTTTTGACAGCCAGTCTAATGGGCATGGTCGCATGGCCACGTGACTGTCCAGTCTATGATGGAGAATATGCGACAGACTCCGAAATCAGCTCCGCAAATCGTCCCACCCGGTCAGGATCCTGTTTAGCGGTCTTGATCGCACGCAATACCCGCGCAACCCCGACTCCAATCTCCTGCCTCTGCGTCGTCTCATGAATCTCACCCAGCGCCCGTTGTATGTCCTCCGGTCCAAACTCCCCGCTCTCCTGCATGATGTTGCCCAGCTCCTGTTGGGTCTGCACATTCGGTACAGGGATCTCGTAGTCGAAACGCAGTTGCATCTGTGCGAGAGCGGAGCGTTCGGTGGTCGTGGCGAAGATCAGGAGAGGCCGGCCTTTAGGCCCCTTGTTCCGCAACAGCCCCTTGATGGCGCCGAGCACGGCCGAACTGAATCTCGGTCCTAGAGGCACCCAGTCGACGAAGAGTTCGATGTTGTCTAGCACGATGATGCTCAAGGGGGACTTGTAAGCGTCGGTGAAGATCTTGGTCAGGTGTCGGATCTTTTCGATCTCGTTCATTCCGTTCAGGTCGACCGGCTTGATCATGCGGATGAAGGGGTACTCCGAGTCAGTAGCAATCTTCGCCACAAGCGCCGTCTTTCCGGACTCCTCGGGTCCGTGGAGAAGCACGGTCAGGAGCGGTGTCTCGCCGCTGCGGACTTGGTTGACACACTCCCGTCCGTTCTTCAGGATCTTGTCAATGTACGGGCTGAACTTGATGATGCCATCCTCGAAACTGCGCTCCAGGTCCTCATCATTGGCTCCGAACAATGGGTGTACCTCGTCCAGAGCGCGCATAAAGTCTTCCATCCTGATCTTCATGTTCACCACATCGTCAGACAACGCAGCCATGGTGCCAGCCTTGATGTGCCGTTGCAGAGCCCAGCTGCTGGCATCCTTCACCAAACCCTGGATCTCAGCACCTGAAAAGTTTCGAGTGAGACGCGCGAGTTCTGGTAGGTCAACATCCGGGGCCATCGTTCCATTTGTCCGCATTTTGTTGGTGTGAATCTTGAGGATCTGCTGACGGCCGTGTTCATCTGGAAGACTAATCTCCATATGGACTTCCAATCGGCCAGGACGAAGGAGTGCTTCATCAATCATGTCCTTTCGGTTGGTCATTCCGATGAGAAGGATGTTGTTAAGCTGTTCCACACCGTCCAGCTTAGAGAGCAGCTGGTTGACAACACTGTCGCCGACGCCGGTACCACCTCCAGTGCTTCCTCGCTGTTTACAGACTGCGTCTAGTTCATCGAAGATGATGATGTGCAGGTCGGATTCGTCACCTCTTTCCTTCTGCTCCTTCTCTGCATCCGCAAACATCTTGCGAATGTTCTCCTCGGACTGTCCGACGTACTTGTTCAGCACTTCCGGACCGTTGATAACTTTGGGCTCCCGAGCGTTTAACATCTTGCCGATTTGTCGAGCAATAAGTGTCTTTCCCGTTCCAGGAGGTCCAAAGAGTAATATTCCTCGAACATGCTGAATCCCAATCTTCTCGGCCAAACCCGGGGGCACGATACGAGAGGCAAAGGCACGTCTGAAGATATCGCTAAACTCCTTGTCCAGCCCACCAATCCCCATGTCTTCGAACTTGAAGTCAGGTCGGATCACAGAGTTGGCAGCAGGACGGCGCATCGAGCCTAGCAAAGCGATGGGCGATTTGGCGTCTTTGTAGTAGTTGATTGCAGTCTCCGGCGTGAGGATGCCTCGTGACTGCGGGCTCGTCATTTGATGTGCGCCCCCGGTGGACGTCAGAGACGAGATGTCGACCAGCTCGACAGTGCGCACGGTCATACGAAGGGGTATGCCTTTGAAGTCCATGAGCAGCTGCTGCCCCGGCGCAAAGATCTGATGTCTGAAGACCCGAATGAATGCCTGCGCCAGCTCATCTTGATCGTATGGAACATCTGTGCTCTTTCTTCCAGCAAAGCCGACTTCGATGTCCATGCTGCCCAAGTAGCTCTGCGGGCCCGCGCTGAAGGGATCGTACTGTTGCACTTCGACCACATCGGTCATCGCCACTTGCAGCCATGTCCTCTGCGCGTCGTTGAGACTGATCTGTCCGCGAGGAAAGGAGGGTATGGGCCGAGCAGAAAGCACAAAGCTACCGTTGATCAGAAGATGTATGTCGTGGCCTTCCTGGGCGGGCGGGATATCGGCAGAATTGACGGCGCAAAGGTTGCCGAATGTGAAACTCTCGTGCGGGCTTTTGGCTGGTCTCAGCTGGAGCGTCCGAGGATTTTGGGCGGGACTGCCGTTGCTGTAGCCTTTCATATCGTGATCGTACGGCGACTGGCCGCGCTGTCGCGGATCTGGTTGCCGGGAAGGGTGTTGTGGCATTTGTTGGCGTTGAGGTGGAGGCTGAGGCTGCGCAGGCTGCCTGCCGCCGAACAAGTTCTCGCGGTTGAACATTTTGGATCAGGGTGGGATGGAGGAGGAAAGGGAGGGCGAGGATGCTTGTGCTGGCAGAGTCAGGCCAGTGTGCATGGAACGAGGGGAGTTTGTCGGTCGATTGCAATAGCCTCCTATGCAGTATGTTCCCGGCCAAGTGTCGTTAGGGAAAAGTCGTTGCCTTGAAGATGTGACGAAGTGTCCTTTGATGCAGTTCGTCTCGAGATGACGGTGAGGCGCGGCTTCAGCCACAACCGTGGCTGACTAAGACTCTGACGACCTCACTTTCACGTGCACGCGTGTGACAGACGTCCATTCCTCGCGAAGATCACATCTAAACGGTGTTGCCGAGGAGTCCACCCGCTACAAACATGATTCATGACAGCCCAGGTAAGGTCTATCCAGGGTATAACGCCAATCTCATGCTCCAGCCTCCACCAACTTACACCCCTCGCCCACCAGCTTCTGAATCTCTTCATTCTTGTGCGGCAGCAAGCCAAGCGCGAATGCCACATCATTCCACTGCCGCTCGCTCTCCGCCCGTGCCAGCCGGGGAGCCAACTTACTCGCCAATTGCTTCGCGTGCTTGTCCTTCTCGATGAAGCTGGCAAGGAACTTGATGATGCGGCGGAACTTGTCCTCCTCCAGCCCCTCTTCCGCCGACAGCAAGCTGAACATGTCGACAAAGTGGTTGTAGACGGCGTTGTCCTTGCCCGCCAGCTCGGCGAAGAACATCCGGCTCATCTCGCGGATGCGCTCGTCGTTGTCTTCCATGCATTTCGCCATCTCTCCCAACTGGCCCTTCACCTTCACCTGGCCGGCGAGGATGAGGAACGTCAGCGTCATGAGACATGTCCGCTTCACCTGCAAGCTCGAATCGGAGAGGCGCCGGTACAGGAAGTCGGTGTTCTCGTCGATCAGGTGGTTGAAGCAGACGGCCATGTCACCTAATGCCACAACCAAGTTGCTCCTCGTGATGGCGCTCGGGCTGCGCTCGAGAATGGTGACGAAGAGGTTGAGGTTCGCTTCGCAGTACTCCGAGCTGACGCACATGAACTTCGCCATGCAAAGCGCCGCTTGCGCCTGAAGCTCCGCGTTCGGATAGGAGGTGTTGTTGCTGCACACTTCCTTCACCAATGGCCCGAAGTTCATGAGCAGGGAGTTCTGGCCGTACAGCAGCTCTCGCTCGCGAATGTGCGCGATGGCGTCGGTGAAGTCGTCCTCGCTCGTGCCGCCGATCAGGTCGAGCTCTTCCTCCGCAGTTGGCTCTTCCTTCTGTCCGTCACCCTTCTTCGCACTTGACGTCTTTGTATTTGCCTTAGTCGCTGATGGCGGGGGGTTGGCCTTTTCTTTTGCTGCTTTTCGCCGCTTGAAGTCCTGTTCGCAAAGCTCGAGATGGACAATTTGCTTGAGTGCAACGTGACCGACGGTGAAAAGCAGCTGCGAAAGCGCTACTGCCGATCCCGCCGACTCGTCTGCAGCAGTAGCCTGCGGTGCTGGTGCTTCGGGTTCGATTGGTCCATCGCTCATCTCAATGTCTCCGTCTATGTCCGGCTGGCTCGTCTCTGGCTCGGGTTCCTGCGTTGGCGCTCTGGTGACAGCAAAAACAGCCTTTGTCTTCCGCCTGATGATCTCAGAGCACAATACGTCTGGGTGTTTCGAAAGATTGTAGATGGCACCGATCGCCTGCTCTGCGAGACCATACCAGTCGGGGCTGTCGCTTTGCACCTCCATCAGACCCGCAAGTCTGACCAACACGGCGTGGTCGTTCGGCAGCCTCGTGCTCGCATTTCCCTCCACTCCTTTCGATGGCTTGGTGTTCGTCATGCGCATCAAGGCAATGCAAGTGTAGCGAGCGAGGATCAGGTCCCTCCGACCGATGGCTCCGAGACCAATGCGTAGGCACGTTTCCATCTCTCTGACAATGGTGTCGGGCTCCGCCAGAGCAAGCATGCCCAAGACGATGATCGCGCCCCGTCGCTGCGACTTGCTGATCTCCTTCTTCTGCACTCCATAAACTTGCCAGAGCTTTTGTATGACGAGGTCGTTGACCGCTTTCTCCTTCATCATGGTCGCCAGCAGCTGCTCCAAGCTGGTCAGCTCGGCAGGTGTCGCTCCAAAGGTTAGACTGATCATGTTGCGTGCGATGTAATTCGCCGCATCATTTGCCGAGAAATCACCAGGCGCGTCGAAGAAGAGCCCGCGGTAGCATTCGATGAGATGAGTCTGGACACCCTTGCCTTCATCACTGTTGCCTTTGGTCCAGATGAGCTTCAGCATCCGGCGAATACCAGCTTTCGCGGGCTCGAGAGAGTATGCATCCGCGACGACGAAGAAGTCCATGGCTTCGATCACTTCACTCTTGTTCTTCGAAGCCAGCAGCTGCGTGACTTGCGGCGCAGCCTCATGCAGGCTCTCAATGAACCGAATCGCTTCGATGTAGTACCGCCGAGTCAGTTGAAGCTTGTTCATTGCTTCCGCAGTCGCAGCCTCTTCTTGTGCTTTCTGGAAAGCGGCCATCCTTTGCTCCTCTGTCATCGCGGGCTTGCCATCGGGCTGAGCATCGGCTTGCGTAGCGTCGTCAAGAAGGCTCTCGTCAACTGTAGCGTCTGCCACCGTCCGCTCGGCCAGTCCTGGCGTGCCTGCTGGTGGTTTGAGCGCGTTGAGTTCCGTCTCGCAGGCTTCCAGTCTGTCGCTCCAGTCTCGGTAGCTGAGCAGGCCGCCGTGAAGGACAGAGAATGGGTGCGTTGCGATCAGTCTTGCGAGTAGCTTGATTGCATTCCGTCTGACGTTGCTGCTCTTATCCTCCAGACTTCTCGTCGCCAGTTCGGCAGCCGCCTGTCTTCTCTTTGGGTATTTGGTTTCGAGATCGCATAGCTTGACGTAGACTTGAAGGGCCCTGCACCTGCAGTACGGATTGACATCCAAGAATCGCTCCTCCAGCACGTCGAAGAATGCATTGATCTGGCCCTTGTGATTTTCGCCCCGGTCTCCCTCTTCGACACGACTGAGCATGGCAATCAAGTTCCCGCACACCTCGATGATGGCGCATCTCAGCGTGTAATTCTCACTCTCCAGAAGCTTGGCGAGATACGTCACTTGTCTTTGCACCACTCGTGGAGCGAGTTCGGAGAATCGGGCCACGAACGTGGACACGGATTTGGGACCTCTGGTGTCGTTGGCGGAGAACTCCTTGCTCGAAAGCTCCTTCATAACCTCTTCTGCGAGCTGGGGATAGTCGTATTGCTCGGCGAGGATGTTCAAGAACTCCGCCATGGGCTCTGCCAGGTGTTCAAAGTAGGTCAAGTTCTGAATGATGCTCGTCTGCGCTCCGTAGGCGTGGCCGTGATGCTTGATGGCAACGCAGAGAACTTTGAACACGTGCATGCGGATGGCGGTGTTCTTCACTCTTGCCTCGCTCTCCAGAATTAGGTAGGCGGATCTCGTGAACAGTCCAATGAAGGTGTCTCTCTCGCTCGTGGTGACGAAGACTCGGGATAATTTCAGCTTCATCACCTTCGTCATGGTGTCGAGCGCCGATTGCAGCTGAGTTGTCGGGTCCCAATTTCCGTCCTTCTGCGCGATCGCCTTGCTCTTTGCGCCCTTTGTACCCTTGCCTCTGGCAGCTGGAGCCGCAGACGACTTTTCTGCGCTCTTGGCCTCTACAGCAGCAATACACCACTGTAGGAGAAAGGCGAAGGTCTCCAAGATGACTTTGTGCTGCTCCGTTTCCGTCTCGCCTTCCTGCTCTTCATGATGCACAATCTCTGCCTCTGCGCCCAAGCCGCTGATTACGATATCGACTACCCTCCCCAACGAGGTCGCGGGAATGTATGAAGCTTGTCTGCAAACGCATCAGTATGTCTCCACGGGTGGACATAGGAGAGGATCGGCGCACTTTAGAAGAAACTGTATGCTGTCCTGCGCGGATGTTTGGCTGATGGCTTCTGGACTCTCGCCGATCGCGTTGGCAATGTCGTTCAGCACACTGTTGATGAGGCCGGGAGTGTAGGCATCTGGATCGCCTTCGCAGTCGACCAGCGCCGGATCCGCCTCAGCGGTCAGGATGGTCTGCGGGTCGTCCAGGTACGCTTTCAGCGCGACGTTGAGGTCAAACTCCGCCATGACTGTGTGCGCGCAGTAATGCGCCGGAGGAGTGGAGGTGCGTGGATGAAGGATGAGCAGTGTTGTCGGCGCTGGATGACATTGCGATGAGGCCAGTGCCCGTGAGTGTTTATATTAATCCCAAAGCGGTTAGCGTCAAACAACGCGGGGTGCGAATCGCGGTTCCCGTCAGGCGTGCCTGCTCGTCCCACCTCACCTGCAAGGTACCCGCTGTTTACCCCCAAGCTTACTCGTGTTCCACAGCTATCCTGGTTGTGTGAGCAGGGAAGCTGTGTGGGACTACTGGAGCTCGCGTTGTCAAGATGGCAGCTGTCTTGGCCCGAGCCAGGGAGGCGGCGGAGCAGCGCGCCAATCCGTACGCGAACAGCACCGAAGACGAGGAGACTGAAGACATGGATGACAGCCATGACACGCTGGAGGAGAGTGGCGATACCATTTCCGACGACGAAGAGCCCGACGATGGCGTACTCGAAGATATGGAGGCTTTCGGACACTCTTTCAAGAACATCACGCAACGATACCGCCTCATCAACCGCATTGGAGAGGGCACCTTCTCGACAGTCTACAAAGCCGAGGACTTACTGTACAACCACTACGAGAATAACTGGGATCCCGAGGCTGAGAAGGAGAATCACGACAGCGCTCTGTCAAGGCTGAAGCAGCCGCCCTCACAATCCACCAAGGCCAAATTCGTCGCCATCAAGAAGATCTACGTCACCTCTTCCCCTCTACGCATCTTGAACGAACTCGAGCTTCTCCATGATCTTCGAGACTCGCCCAACGTCTGTCCTCTCATCACAGCCTTCCGCCATCAAGACCAAGTCATCGCCATCCTTCCATACTTCCAGCACAAGGACTTCCGAGAATACTACCGCGAGCTCCCGGTTTCCGAAATGCGCATCTACTTCAAGAGCCTTTTCCTGGCGGTACAATCCGTCCACGACCACGACATCATCCACCGAGATATCAAGCCCACCAACTTCCTCTACTGCCCGACGAAGAAACGCGGCGTGCTTGTCGACTTTGGCCTGGCGGAGCGGGAGGGCACTGACTACCACCACTGTCCATGCATCCTGGAGAACCCCGATCGTCAACGCAAAATTCAGCAATCGGTCTACGCAACAACTCTCAACGCTGCACAAGCAGCTGGCCAACAAGCGCCGAAGCTCGCCTACCCCACCGACGACAAGCGACCCTCACGTCGAGCCAATCGCGCAGGAACCCGTGGCTTCCGAGCCCCCGAGGTGCTACTCAAGTGCACCGCGCAAACAGTCCTCATCGACATCTGGTCATGTGGAATCATCCTTCTCACCTTCTTGAGCCGACGCTTCCCTTTCTTCCACTCCGCGGATGACATAGACGCCTTCATCGAGCTATGCTGCATCTTCGGGAAGAAGCGGATGAAGGACATTGCTTTGCAGCACGGTCAGGTCATGCATAGCAATTTGCCCACTGTTAGCGACAATGGTCATAGCTGGGAGAAGATCCTTTTGTGGTGCACGAACCGGACGAAGAAGGAGGGGGAGAGTGGGTTGAGTCAGGAGGAGCACGAGGCGGTTGACTTTATGAAGTGCTGCTTGGCGTTAGATCCTGCGAAGAGGATCAGTGCTGCGGAGGCATTGGCGCATCCTTTTTTGAGGGGCGTGGATGAGACCATGGTCGATTGAGAGGAACGTGTTGATGTAATTACATGGAGGGATTGAGCCTGCTCGGCTTTCGAAGCATTGTGGGAGTTGGGGAGCCTTGCACGGCGCTTTTACGATAGCATTTTGATGTCCCTGGGAGATACCCTGGTACGCATGGCCTCGTTTGCTTGTAATCTGAGCGGCAAATTGAGCATCTGTCGCCTGCTCTAAATCCCTTCTCGCACTCTTCACCTTTCAACTCGCTCGTACCTTTCGTAACGTCATTGGTAGCAGGCAACAATCACCTTCCACCTCTCTGCTCGACCCGCGAGAGATCGCGAGACCCAGTGTACTCCTTCCACAAGTGCCTCCCTTCGATCCACACCGTTTGAGCCCGGTGCGTCAGCCATATCCAGACGTCGTCCATGTCAAGTCCTTCAGTGTACTGCAGCTGCTTGATCGTCCAGTCAGCATCGGTAGAGTCGTCGACTGCAGAGTCCCGTTCCATCGTCATGCAGTTCACCGGCGGTTGAGTAATGTACATCTTTTTCCAGGAAGCCTCTTCGTGCTGAGCAGCGGCTGGCAAATCTTCCAACGTCTCGCTCCAGTACAGCCCGTCCGCCGCCAGCACGGGGTAGAGCTTGGCTAGCAGCGGGTTGACGAAGACGTTGTACTTGCCGGCGTCATCGCTTGTCTTGCCCCAGTGCGTCGGATAGATCTTGGGTTTGTCATTACGATCTGGACCGCGGAGGTGCTCTCCGAGGTTAAGTTTCTTGTGGCGGTAGCAATCTTTGTCGTCTAGGCGCCAATCGAGCTGCGTGCGCCTTCGCATTAGTCTGCTCCACGATCAAGCATGCGCCTTGATGCTGAAGGGCAATCCACTTACATAGCTCACAGGACTACACGCCACCGGGTCCACAAAGAGGGCCCTGCGAAGGTTGATGGAGGATTGGATGGAGTGTTGCCAGCGTTTGCTGACACGTTGAGCAAGGAGGAGGTCTTTCATCGGCAGTTGCAACAGGATCATCTCCAGAAGCTCAGGTATGCGAAGCGCTCTCTCGCTGGCTGGAGAGTTGTTGACGTTCTGGATGGATGAATCAGCGATGAGGCCGACACGCACTGTGCTGCCGCTGCCGCCCTTACCTCATTGTCGTTTGCGGGGGTGGTGACATCTTCTTGCTCGCTTCGGCGCCTTTTGGGAGTCGCCATGTTGGACCTGGGTGGAAGTCCGCACGAGTTTGCTAACAAAGCGAAGGAAGTTGGGCGGCAGGTAGCGGGGAGGAAGCCAGGCAGACAAGGCTGTGAAGCGCGGTCGTGTCACACCGACGCCCGTCTTGGCACCCACGTGCCGTTGCCTGGTTTCAGTCACCGCCTGGAAATAACAAACAGCCACTGCAACATAAACAGACTTTGATACTCTGCAAAATACTCAGAGTCGTATCAGCTAGTGAAGCAAACCGAGTTGTGCGTATCTCAACCTCGATGTACTGGCGCCAAGTCTTACAGCCTTGCCGGCTTCATTTCAATTCCCACTCTCAACTCATTTGAAGCGGCTGTCGTCCGCCTTTACGAGGTCAGCACCCTTCTCCGCCACAGTATATGTCGTGGCCATGATGTTGCCGGAGACCTGTATCCAGAAATTAGCATGTGAGTGGCGTGTAGTCCAGCACAGGCGGAACAGCTTACATGGCTGGGGAACACCGAAGCATCTAGATGACAGTGGTCAGCATGTATATCGAAAGATCCAACGCATATCATTGGGTCTGCGCTCTCACCAATGATTCGGAGGTGATTCACGCCCCTGACTTTCAGCTTCGCATCCGTCGCCTCTCCCATGGCACCTATGGCTCGTCAGCTCCTGCAACAAGAACACCACAACGGATGCAGAAGGTCGTAAGACTCACAAGAGCCGCAAATATGGTATTGAGTTGCGATGTGGTTTTCCACCACGTTGATTCTGGCTTCCTCGGAGGTAATATCAACATCCTTGGGCGGCAGCACACGATCGCCTAGCATCGAGTCAGCAAGGATAGCGGAATTCCCATGGTGCAGACTCACCCAGAGACTTGGCCATGTGTTGATTGGCCGCCACTTTGTCCATCCTGCCCATATATTAGCATTACGACTTGATCTGGGAAGCAGAGATGTGCTACCATTTGATGGCCTCGGCGAGGATCTTCGCATCGACTTTGTTTCGGAAGTAGCCTGGATCGATGCGAGGATGGGCCGTGGGATCCGAACTTGTAATGTGGACTGCAAAGCAACGTTAGTCAACAAACAGGGTTCAGCTCGAAAACGAATGGCGGATATACCTGTGCCCCTGGACAACGGGTGCTCCAAGCACACCAGCAAGGCGACGCGGGTCTTTCCCTCCGGCGGAGGACTGAAGAACTTAACCTGACTCTCTCCAGCACTCAAATCAAGCTGGGCAGGAATACCTAGTGTGCATGTGTCAGCTTTGAATGTTCTCATATCCCGCAATGAGACGCTACTCACAGAAAGTCTGGATGTTGGCAAACGTGTCATCAGACAGCTGTCGGACAATCAGATCCTCCTGACGCTTCTCAAAATCCGTCTTTGCGTGAGAGTTGGCTCGAATCTCCTTGATCGTCTTCTCCAACTGCTCCTTACCAACGAGCGAAGCATACGACACGAAGCCCATCAGCATACCAGGGCTGCCGAGCGGCCCATTCTGAGTTTTCTCGTATTGCTCGGTAGCCGCTTTGGCGAATTCGGCGTTGTTCATACTATCCAGCGATTCAATGCCAGGCTTCAAGTCGTAGAGCATCCCGCCAAGCACATGATCCTGGAAATTGGCTCCCACCGCCTTGTTCTCAACCAGGCATTCGACTCCGGCCGCTTTGAGGACTTCTGGATCGCCAATCCCGCTGAGCTCGAGGAGTTGAGGGGTGCCGATGACGCCTCCGGAGAGGATGACTTCTTTCGAGGCCTTTACTACATGCTTCTTGCCTTGGGGGTCGATGAACTCGACGCCGGTGGCGGTGTTGCCATTGAGAACTATCTTGCTAGCGTGCGCTTCGCACAGGACTTTCAGATTGGGGCGGTTCTTGTTCGGCCGGAAGTATCTACGTCGCGGCATCGAAAGAATCAGTAGGTTATCTCGACGCTACAAGACGATGGCAACGTACCCAGTAGCGGCATAGGATCGGCGTCCTTTGTCTCCAACACGGTCAATCGCGGCAAGACTGGAATAGAATCCCATCTGTCGGACGGATTAGACGATGTCTTGAAAAGCATAATTGTCCATTGACTTACATGGTCACCCGAGTAGGCATCGTGCAGGGTGCGTGGTTTGCCGCCCACTTCGTACGCAGCCTCGCAGAAGCTTTCACAGTTGTTATTAGGGGTTAGTATCAACAAGTTGTCACGACGGAACTCACTCCTGCTCGAAAGGCTAAAGCAGAGTCAGTGGATGAGCTGTATAGGAATTCGATCCGTGGACATACCTGATAGTACTCGTTAAAGCTGGTGTGGATCTGGTGTAGTTGGAAGACATCGTCAGTGAGGCTTCTTGCTCTGAATCAGACATCGTATCCTTACCGGCCCCTCTGTCCCATGATATTTCTGTATCCCAAAGATGTCAGCCTCAATGCAGTCGTGCCCGTATGTCCCGAATAACGCACCTCAGGATCCCCAACAGGCATAAAGCCCTTCTCCTTCGGGTTCGGCGTATCCAAACTCTGATGCTTGCGGAAGTACGGTCCCAAGCTTTCGAAATTCCAATCGTCCGACCCGACGAGCTCGGCGAAGCCATCGTAGTCGTTCTTCGAGCCTCGCACGTACATGAGGTAGTTGATGCCGCTGCTGCCGCCGAGCAGCTTGCCTCGCGGCATCGAGTAGGTCTTGTTGCCGGCTGTGCTGCGATTAGCGGGCGCCGAGCACAAGGCTGTGCACGTGATGCCACTGGCGTCGGTGGACTTACCGTTGGGCTGGGGGACGGACTGGTAACACCAATCGTATTTCTCTCGTCCGATGAGGGTTGGGTACATGGACGGGGTGTACACTTGTGGATCTGCGTTCGAAAAATCAGTACACTGTATTCCCTGTGCACGTCGACCGACGGACCATCCATCCGGTTGGCTCCCGCCTCGAGCACGCCGACGGTAACATCTTTGTTCTCCGTCAACCTCGCGGCGACACACAACCCAGCTGTTCCTCCTCCTACAACAAGATAATCATATTCATGCTTGATAAACTCTTCCAACGGGCAAGTCTCCTGGGCCGCATGGCCGTTGACGCCGTTCGTCGCCATCGTCACAAGAGGGGCAGGTGAAAGTAGACAATTGGAAAAGGTCCAAGTGGAAAAAGTGAGGAAATCTAGTTTTCTGATTTTGTATTTGCAAAGAACGACCATACCGGGTCCCCCAAGGTGCTTTATACCTGCATTCGGGGAGATTCTTGGTGATCTACCCCTCAACAGGTACCTCTGTACATCACAGCCCCGCATCCGCCAATTGTGGAGGTGGGAAGCTGGGGCGAGCCAGAGGCTGAGCTTGTTTATCATCCGCATGCTATGAATATACGGATGGGCCGGGAATATGGCATCAATTGCCGGGCCTGCGTTCGAAGCGGCATCTACAACTTCGACGACTTCTCCGTGTTCGTCAGAATGGGGTCCAATTCACTCGTGCTAGTCAAAAGTCAGCGGCGTAACACTCTCCCCATTGCATAGCTCTGAACTCACCATAGAATGCACGTATCCGCGAGCGCCGGCAACCGCCATTTAGTATTGATCTCCTGATAGTCCTCGCTCGCCAACATCTCCGTGAAATGCTGAATAGTCGGGTAATGCGCCAGCGCGACCTCCGTCCACGGCGACCCCTCATCAATTACCTTGCCCACAACCTTCGCCGTCCCGCCCCGCTTACCGCCAGACGACTCCGCAAACGCCTTCCCATACTTGAGATAGCTGTCGTGCGCCGCCTGCGTCTTCTTAAACGCCAGCAAATTGTACATACTCACTGCGCCGCCGATTTCGTACGACTTGGCGAAGCGCAGCAGGTCGTCGTCCAGCGCTAGGCTTTGGGCGGACTTGGCCATTCGGGGCTTTGAATTGGAGAGAGGCGGGACGTCGCCTTGCCGCGGATTCAGCAGGCGGTCGTTCTTCTCATCAAAGCCTTTGACTAGACTGCTCGGCACGCCGGCTGTGACGGAGTAGCGCTTTGCCACCCACTTGTTGGAGAGCAGGTCTTCGCTGAGGGGTGCGGATTTGAGCTGAATGAGCATTAGATCCCATTTGGTGTCGAGCAGTTCGCGCGCATCGATTTCCGTCGGCCGCACGATCCAGCGGATGACTTTGGAGATGACCAGAGGCGGGGTGGAAGAGGAGGATTTGACGGCATCTAGGAAGGCGGGGATTGATTTTTGCAGAGCCAAGAGGTGCACAGTGACTGGAGGCATGATGTAGATGAGATGCGGGAAATGGGATTGCTGGGCAGAGAGCCGCGTGTGAAGAGCGAGATGTCTTTTGAAGCCAGCGAGCCTCGGCAAAGACGGATTGAATATTTGTAACACGATGGAGAACATGCAAGTGACCGTGCATTTGGAATCATGACTACGATCTGTGACAGTGAGAAACCCAAACTCAATGGCTATGGGTAATTGCACTTGACGTATTGGTATAATACATGCCTGTTGCAATGCTAGTCTACAGTACCAGCCTGCATCGACCGCGAAAGCATTGTCAGCCGAAGGTCTTGCTTCACTCATCACCACTCGTACACACAGACCCAAATATCGGCGGGCCTCCATCCGATAATGTAGGCGGCTCATCACCAGACCAGCTGGATCGCTCACTCCTTCCGTCGATCATCACTGAGAAGACTGCCTGAGCAAGCCGGCGGCACAGCTACTGTTGGACCACTGCAGACCCAGGTTGTCCATGTAGAACATTGTCTGAACGCTGTTGGCAAACGCCGAGACTTGCACTCCGGTCAGGTTCTGAAATGTAGGCGCAAACTCCACCCTCTGCAGCTGGCAGTTCAGGTCTTGCATAGTCGTGCAGGGCGGGATGCTTGCCGTCTGGGTGTATGATACGACCTCGACATTCTTCGTTGGATCCCAGGTGTACGCCTTGAACACCAGCGTACACACCCCCGGGCCGGGATTGTTGCAGCCAAAGTAGGCGCTGTTGGCATCGAACCAGAAGGCGGAGATGGCGTCGCGCGGACCATCTCCAAACTCGCCAGGCTGAATATACTGGCTTGACATCTTCCCCGTATCGTTGGCAAGGAACACGGCCAGATGTGGAGGCGAGACGGGGAGGTAAGGCTCGGATGGAGCCGGGGCGTAGACATAGCCGTCACTGAATTCCAGGTGATGGTACGGGCTGAAGATCGGTGGCGCCTGGGCGATGCTCATGTTGTTTGGATTCGACGGCAGGAAGTTGGGGAGGTCATCAAAGGTCAGAGTAAATACTCCCTGCTCTCCGCAGCCTTGGGTTGGTGTAGCTGTCGCAGAAGAAACGACGATCGAGCTCGATGCGTGGGTGACCGTGGAAGAAGCTGTCGTCGTCGCCGTAGCGGAGGCCGAAGTAGTCGACACTGTTGCGCTGATTGAGATCGAGGCGGCGGAGATTGGCGTGGAGGTCGATGTGGCCGCACTTGCGGTGACGGTGATGGCAACGGAGGATGTGGAGGTCGAGGAACCAGTGCCTGTCCGCGATGATGTCGACACCAGGGACACAAATGAGCTGGCCGGCAAAGATCGAACGGGAGTTCCTTTGGCACGCGTGGTATTTGACGTGAAGCTGTTCACGGCCGACGCCGAGGTGTTGAGCGCAGATGATGGAGACGAGGAAGTGGCGTAGGGAGACTGCGTCAGCGATATAGCCGAGCTATTCGAAGCAGAGCTGATGGCCGCAGGACCGATGGAAAGACTGCTGTTGTACGAATGGCTGATGCCTGTCGGGCTGATGGTGCGGGTTATGGCGAGCGCGGAAGTCGCAGAAGATGGAGCGGCTGTGGCAGTTGCGGATGAGAGTGATGATTCGGTAGCTGTAATAGCCCCGACAGAGTACGCGCTGCTCGTGGACGTTGTGGCTTGCACAGAACTTGTAATGTTGAGGCTCGCAGGAATGCTCTCGATGGTTGGGTTCGCTGTGGCCAGACTGAGCGTTGAGCTCGAGACATTCGTGGCCGGCATGGCGCTGGTTGAAGCGTTGCCATACGGCTGGGAGATGGACATTGGATACGCTGTCAAGCTTGGAGTTCCAGTTCCAGTCATCGGCGCGGATGCAGACGTAGAATTCGCTTGCACTGAGACAGGTGTGGCGGAAGAAGTGGAAGTTGCTCCAGCGACTGCGATGCTGGTTTGCGATGGTGAACCCTCACCACCGGCGGTGATTGTAACCGGGAGTGCTGTGATGGTGGTCACATACGGCGCTCCCGAATCGGGATCGACCGTTGTGGTGATCTGTAGAGGCACAGTCGTCGTCAAGAACATGGTCGTGGTGGATGTGATGTCATCTCCGGCCCCGAGATACACGATGTCGGTAAGTGTGGTAGGGACAGATGCGGCGTTGCCGGCAGTACTGGTGGTAAGTTGAGGATCCATCGACGTTGAGGCATTCCAACCCGAGCTGCTAACTCCAGGGAACGAGCTCTTCGAGGATATGATGCTCGCCGCTGCGCTGACTTGCGAGACCGTCAAGGTCGTGTAATGCGTGCTGGTTGACGTGAGGGTACTGTCGGGGGTCTCAAACGTATACACCGTGGACGTGTAAGCAGGCGGTGTGATTGTGTCGACATCGCTGGCGGTAGCTTGCATCGTGACGGCGGGGTCGTTCGAAGGCACCGGACGAATTACAACAGTGGTGGTGACGGTTGTCAAGGAGGCACCAGAGCTGGGTGATATTCCATTGAGCCACACCGTACTGCCTGCGGAATTCGTGACATAGAAGTATGAAGGACTGCCGGAAGAAGAAGGCGAGGTGGCCGCGGTCGAGGGGGTGAGGAAGGATGTGAGAGTCTCCATCACCGTAGAAGTCATTGTCGTCGTCGAAGTGTGCGCGATGATGGGTGAGGTTCCGTTGTCTTGTGCCGCGACGGACGCAGTAGACAGTCCAGCTGTCACTGTGTACGTGACCGGAATATAGACAGTGGTCACACTGCAAGCCGAAGCCCTGGTTACGCTAAGTAAGTATTCGAGCAAAGTGTAGAGCGCACCGAAGACAAGAACGAAGAAGATAGCAGTGCAGATGGTTGATCGAAAGTTCCAAGGCCGCCTTCCCTGGGTGAGGTCGTGGGTGGATGTGTCCCCCGCAGCGAGTTCAACGTCCCAGCCATGTCTCTCAAAGCTTCGCGACCATCGAGGATCGGCAGCGAACTTTGCCCGGAATGCTTCCCAGTTGTGCTTGACATCGTAGTCCGGCTTTTCATCCACCTGACCGTCCAACAGACCAACGGCTGAGTCCATGCGTCGCGCTCGGCGCTGGACACGCTCGGCTTTGGTGATGACTTTGCCGGGACTGACTGTAGCACCGCGGAAGCGGTCGATTGATGGTGGTTTGCGGGGCGATGGCGCAGGGTCTGACGAGGTAGAAGTGCTTTCGAAAGGGTTGCAGAAGTGGGGCATGCCGGCGTATGTATTGTTGGGCAATGTAGGATCGAAGCGTGCTCGTTGTGCTGCTGGGCTGAAAAGTGCATGCGGTGTTGAGGAAGTGTGCGTCCATCTGGCCAGCGTACAAGCAGGCCTCTTGGTCGCGCGGGAGACGTGAGACATCCAGAGCGGCGGGAAGGCGGCCCCGACATGTTCCAAACAGGGGCAGAACGCACGAAAAGAAAAACACACGTGGACTTACCCATAGCCCTCGATCTCAGCAGTCGCGACGCCCGCGAACGCTGTAGCCGCGATTGCGACGCCCTTCTTCATCTTCATGTTTGGGTAGCGAGGTTCGTGGAGCGAATGGAAGTAATGAGTGACTGAAGGTGAGCGGGCGGTGAAAGACAGCGAAGGCGCAAGTCTGCCAGAAGGAACGAAGGATGGCGGATGATTGGGGGTGAGAGAAGGTGGTGGAAGAAGGAGAGATGCAGAGAAGGACGAGGTCGCGTTTGGCAAAAGAAAGGAAGTTTGGAGAAGTGCGAGAGCATGTGCAACCTTTGTGAAACGCTCTTGGCACTCGTAATTTCCAAACAAGGAAGGCACGAGAGAGCAACGCACCTGCCGTCTTCGACGACTCTCCCGCAGCGGAAAGCACCGCGACGGCTGCAGCGCAGAGAAGCGTCTCTCGCACAACAGCCATCAACAGTCTTGGGAGAACGTGGACATTCCATTCGCCGGGTTGAAGGACGGGCAAGTGCATCGCGTGCTACATCCAGGTCGTGCAAAGCCGGCTACGCAAACGGTGCACACAATTTGCGCGGCGAGCCGTATCAGCGGCTTGGGAAAGATGGACTGGCAGGTGGACTGGCTGCAGCGTCCCGTGTAATGATTCTCCCTGGCTGGTGGGGAGAGCACGCAGTGGGGTGTTTCCTTTGATTCACCGCTCCCATGTTGAAGACACCACATACCGAGGCAGCGGTGGGATGTTCACACAAGCCCATATTTGGCGCGCACAAGCGATCAAACGCGCGATTCGGATGCCATCATCTGAAGAAGAGTACAAGTTCCAGACTCGTCACGTGTCTGAGTGGCATGGTCGGCCAGGTTGTATAGCGCATGCTGCATGCCATCCGACCTGAGGCCCGATGAATGTCTGGTCAACATTCGCTAGCCAGAAGGTCCAGGATCTGGCGAGAATGTGGCAGTTGAACGGACTGATTGGAGTCCTCCCTTGTGTATCTGTCGTGCGCTATCTTCTTCACGTCCGAGGGTCGTCTGAGATGGAACACACAATGCAGAGAAGGGAAGAAGTCTGGGGTGGCCCATCTGGTCAAGGCCGGGGAAAGGCGGAGGTGGTGGGGCCCGAACGAATCCTCCGCCCGCGCCCAGCATTTGGTTGCCACTCCATCCACCACCCGCGCCCGGCCCAGGATCGACGTGTACTCACGCGACCTCGATGTATACTCCTTACCCTCCAGCCTAGAGACGAGTCTTCAAGAAGTCGTCGTTCATTCCTCCCCTCCGAATCCTCCCCACGGCTCGCCTCGCGCGACACGCCTTCCCCTCCACTCCACCCTCCGTCATATTGTGCCCCACCTAACCGATGTCGATCACGCGATGAACGGTTCCGCCCCCCTCGCGCCCAGGAACGCGCATCACCGCTACTCCGCCGACTTCATGCCCAATCCCGAACATCCTCCACGCCTCCCAGCGGACGAATATGCTGCCGCTCCCATGCCAGTAGCAGGAGCACCGAGACCTTTCGTCGGCATGTCGCGAGACGCACCCGGCTTTGGACAGACGGGACTCCCCAGGAGTCCGCCCAAGAACAAGAGTGAGCAGATGTGATTGTCAGGAAGAAGGCAAATGGAATACTGAACACCATATTCTACTAGATACCCAGCATGTCCCCTGCAAGTTCTTCCTGCAAGGCCAGTGTCAGGCTGGGAGGATGTGCCCCTTCTCCCACGATGCCGAGTCCTCCACGCGACCAGCTCCGTGCAAATACTTCGCCAAAGGGGGCTGCAAATTCGGCCGGAAATGTGCACTCCTCCACATCACCCAGGATGGCACGGTGGTCAACCAGGGGCCACGATATGGTGCAGGCCCGGCTTTCGCACAACCTCCACCCCCTCCCCCGACATTCGGACAACCGCATCACCCGGGTCTGCTCTCCATGCAAGCACAAGGTTTGGATTCGCGGAGAACCCTCGACTCAGCACCGGAGCACGACGGCTACCAACACCCCCCACAAATTCCAACCGACTATCCCCAGATCGACTTTGCTTACACTTCCGCATCACCCCCGTACGGATCACCGTTGCACGAAAACTACTTCGCACACTCGCCTCCTGCCAAAGGATTATCAGTGCTAGATGCTCCCCTCCCAAGCTCCTTCGACAGCAACGGCATCTCCCACGCCGCTCGCAATGGCCCGTTCGCAGCCTCTGTCCCTTCTCGATTCGGGTTGGAATCGCCGCCGGCATCGTTGCCTCGCAAGTCACAGCTTGGAAACACTGCGCTCCGAGATCTGCACAGTTCGGCTTTTGGCGACCGCGGGATGGATGGGGTGCTCGCTGGCTCCTCGCCTCCGAGTGGATCCGATGAGCCACTCACATTCTCTAAGCGGCCCCTGCACTCAGAGAGACTCTACGCACCAAGGCATCAGATCATATCCGCAAGCCTCGGGACCAGGCTTCCGGCACAGTCGTTTGAGTACTCCGACGACGAAGACGGCGATGTTGACAGGGAGGAAGGTCTGCTGCCTGCGAGTTTGCGCGAGCTTATCCCGGAAAGCAGAACGCGAGCACCTAGGCCTCGCGTGGAAGATGGTAGCTCACCCGCCGCTTTCTTGGCCGCACAACGGCGCACACTTTCCGGACACGGCACACCACAAGATAGCAAAGTCGGCAGCCCACACTCCTCCAGCCCGTCCAGATTCTCGAGCATATTCAATCGAAGCCAGGGATCCAGAACCGACGAAGGCCACGTGGGCTCCCCGCTGCGCAACACCGGCCTGACCCTCAGCGGCGACCTCAGCCCCACATTCGGCGGCAGTCCACCGCAACAATCCAGCATGAGTGCGCTCACTCAAGAGCTGCGCCGCACCAGGCTGGACGCCGTGCGATCACAAACCAGCGCCGCTGCAGGTGGCGTCGGCAGAGCATTATCAAATGGCTCCACGCCCCGCGCCAGTCTCGACCGCGCCGTCAGCGGAAACAGCGTGGGGCGCGAACGCATCGAAGAGGAGCAGGAGCTGTTCGATATGGACGAGCTGGGCGGTCCGTCTCGTTCCGCGCCTAGGAATATCCCCAAGAACAGTGGCGGTGGGGCATGGAACGCTGATCGGCCTTCTGGGCTGTCGTCTGGAAACGGCGGATCTTCCTTCGGCGCCATTGGCGCGCACAGGACGGCGAAGTGAAGGTGATGGTTTCTGTGCACTTTCTGAAGTATTGGCAGTGCTGAATGGGGCCAGCGTGATTGTGGGAGGGAAACCACGGCACACAAAAGGACGATGTTACGACTTTGCATGAGCATGGCGCTACGGTTTTGGGGCTCGTTCGGGGTGTTACGGTCAGCCATGAAAGGCAGAGGAAAAACAAAAACGGGGGAGTATAGACTCGCTAATGCTGCTGTATCGCAAATGGGATCGGGGAACTTCGTGCGAAAGTACGCAGATGCATTCAACAGATAAGAAGCTTGCGCCGAGCCGAGCAGTATTTAGATTTCGGTTGTGATGAACGAATCTAGTGCATACCGCATTGTCAGCCTGTCAATGTTGCTTGCTGCATGCACCTATCACCCCTTGAACTTTCCACGGCCACGAAGTTCAAGTCCTGTTATTCGTTAGCACTCGCTCAGACGCCTTCGAGGATCGCAAGTCCATACGTACCTCCTCCACGTCCCCTGGAGCCACGTTGTGCGCGATCATGCGCAGCCGCTAGGTGACGCTCACAGGCGAGTGTGTCTGAGTCTGGATAGCATCCATCGCTCAGCTCAGAAAGCGACGCCCATCGCGTCGGAGTTGCTTCGACCGGCGCCTTGTCGACATATTTGACAGACCATTGCGTGACGAGCCAACGCGGAGGTGGCACATCGGAAAACGGGTAGTCCTCGCTGTGTATATCGACGTCAGGGACAGCGAGACGATAGTACCAGTTCGAGCCGAGATTTGCAGTCAGGTAGAACAATGGCTTGACAAAGTCAAAGTAGGGACGGGCGAATGGTTCAGCCCCTTTGCCTAGCTCAGTGTAAATTGACAATGCCGAGGCCGTGGAAAGATGCACGACGAACTGCATGCCGGCGGACAGGCGCTCTCCCATTCTCAGAGATTCCCGTGCTGACCGAATCTCTTCAGGCGTAATGTTCGTCCAAGCCGGTGAGCCGTGAGCACCTCCCGCAGAGGAGTCGTGAGAGTATTCCAGAGTGAGATGGGTTAGCCATAAGTTGCGAGCTTCCGAAAGTGCTTGCACAGGGCTATGATTGACTCCAGCTAGTGACTGAGCGACTGCTTTGTCGTTGGCCATGGCGAAGGCGATGCCAACGTCATCGGGCGAGCGCTTTAGACTGTCCGCGAAGCATTGCCAGTATACCTTGCGTAGGGGAACGCCCGACTTCTTTCGCTCCAGAATGATCTTGAGGGAAATCCAGGGTCGCTGGGTGTTTTCGATGACTTTGAACTGCGCAGTGTTGTGATACCCATCCGGGAACGCTTGCTTGCGCGACGAGCGCGATGGATATCCGATCGTACCTGTCACATTTCCCTCCTGGTCGCGAATGCAGACTGTGGCAGACCGCCACTGCCTGGCTGGCTGTGAGTTCTCCCCACCACCAAATCGGAACGACGGAGAATCACTCCCGCGATACATGTTTGTGCCCGAGTGAATAGGGCCAAGCGGATATCTCTTCTTCTCGTCGAACATGGCGAAGTCAGGGTAGCACGCCGTCGCTTCTTGCTCCTTGCCTGCAAGCTCCGCCGGCAGCTCAGAGACCTTGCGATGCGTGACCTCAGGCTCCCGTGGAGCGGATGGATCTGCCATGGTGCTTTGACTGGAAAGCGGTGGAGGTAGACGGAGGAGTGCAGAAAAGGATACGAAAATGTTCGGTGTGTGCGAACGCTAAGGTTGCGTAAACAAACGGAAGGCACAAGTCGAACATGAACGGAAGGAGCGAACGACATTCACGCATAGCGTGACTTCATCGGTCTGAACTTCGCCGTTCCACATCAGGGAGCGCCGCGAATCCAACGTAAGAGCCGAAGGGCTGTCGCTTTGTGTATATCGATTGATGGGTACCTCCATGCATGGGGGCTCCTCACTGGCAGCCTACATGCGCCGAGAGATGCCTCCTTGCACATGCAGTCTACTTCAGCACCTTTTCCGCAGCAGAGACTGTGAGGGGCATCAGCAGCGTCTTATCAACGACAGTACAGAGAGGACTAACCGTCCACGCCAGTGTTATCTGGTTCTTCATGAAGATGAGCAGTCAGCCTCAATCAAAGACGAGGTCCGAGACACGCCACGCTTACCGACATGAACTCCATCGATCTTGCCGTCCTTGACCGTCAGGGCATACCGCTTCGAACGTGGTTGGCCAAAGATGGCCGTGGCGTCAAAGGCCAGATCGAGAGCGTTGGTGAAGGCCGCGTGGGGGTCGGCGAGGAAACGAATCTCAACGGTATCAGCACGCATGAAACTGCTTCTTCACTCTTGGATGTCTACTTACTCCGCTTGCCGCTCCTGGATCCAAGTTCTCGGCCCACGCCTTCATCCTATACCGTCAAACTCAATGGAAGGGTTCTAAGAGAACAAGACCGCTCGCACCTACACGAATGGGTCGTTGACCGAAACGACAAAGACTTGTCCAGCATCTTTGAGATGCGGCGACTTGATGTAGCCAGGGATATGCTTTGCTGAGCAGGAGGGGCCTACGAGGCATTAGATCACTACGCTTGGAATCCGGGAGCTGGTCCACTGCTCACTGAACGCTGCAGGCACGCCCACAATCACGCCCTTCCCTTTGAGCTCCGTGGCGAGTGAGACCTTGTTCCCTGGCGAATTCTCCACGAGGTCGATGTCTGGGATCTTGTCACCTGTGCCGACTCGCAGTTGAGCAGCGGCGTGGAAGGCCCGGCCCAGGCGCCACCCTCCTCTCGTCACAGTAAGTGGTCGCGCGAGCATCATGCTAGGGCGGCGGACGGTTTCCCGTGTGGAAAGCTTGCTTTTACTGCGTACAGTCAAAGTACAACATCTCACCGGGGAGATTTGAAGACGTTGATTCAGCTGCATGACATGCCGGTGGCGCTGTGCTGTGGCTTGAATGATCTACACCCAGCCTCCACATTCGGCATCGCGGCCTGCCGAGAGCTAATCCGATCTACACATGGCAATCTCCTGGAAAGATCTGAATGGAAGCGCAAGAATCTTCTTCTTTGCCAGCAGAGACAGGGGTTTTCAGCGACTATAGAACCGTTGTGAGATCAATCTCCTGTCCTGTGGGGGGTCACGGATGTGGCGCGAGTCAAGACGTGCGTAGCGAGGTACATGGCATGGCATCGGCAGTCGGCGGCGGGAAGTTTATTTTGCCGAGTAAGAAAGCAGAAGGAAGGAACGGATGGGCATTGCTCGCGCGAAGGTGCGTCGCTGTTGCCTCGAGCCCTCCGGAAAAGGAGGAGAGACGGTGGAAAGGAGTGTACCTTGATCTACATGGTTACGATCATCCCCATCGTGCAAAAGCTTCCCCCCGGTTTACGATCCAGCGGGGACAGTTCCAAGCTGCTCGCTAATCTTTGCCCTCTTTGTTTGGCGTCTTCGTGGGCGCCCGCTCGCCGCACCGTTACTTACCCGAAGCCCTCCACGGCAGCATTGGCTACGGCGATTGTTTCGTCCCGCCACACACGGCATCGTTCCTGCGCTCCGCTCCACTCCACCTTGTTGTCATCTACATCCAGATTCCCAGCGATCTACAGGCTTGCCGAAACACGTGGAGGAGCAAGTGCCGGCGCGCATACCTCTGTGACTCGGCTTGAAAGGCCTCTGCCCTCAGCCCGTTGCCGCGTGCTCTCGAGGCCCAGCGCATGAAGAACACTGATTGCGCAATCGCATCTGTCGCTCACCATGAACGACAATGCTGGCCAAGGGGCCAACAACTCGAGCGACTTTGTAAGTTGATACTTCCATCCCTGTGCGGAGGCATGAGGACCTCAGCTGACCCGTGACAGGTGCGCAAACTCTACAAGTGAGCCGCACGAGCATGACCACGATGCTGACCACCTACTGACTGCTAATACCTCCCTCAGGATGCTCGAGAGTCCCCAAGATGAAAGCGTGGTGAGATGGGGCAACGAGGGCGACAGTTTTGTCGTGTTGGAGGCATGTTTCCCGCCAGCGCACCACCATCACCTCTCTCCTAACTCGCCTACAGAACGAGAAATTCACCAAGCACATCCTGCCCAAGCATTTCAAGCACAGCAATTTCGCCTCCTTTGTGCGCCAGCTAAATAAATACGACTTTCACAAAGTCCGGCATAATAACGAGGATGGCGGCGCCTCGCCATACGGGCCCGGGGTAGGTGCCATGTGCGCGACACGGCAGGCTGCGTGCTAACCACCACGTGCAGGCATGGGAGTTCCGGCATCCGGACTTCAAGATCAACAACAAAGATGCCCTCGACAACATTCGACGAAAAGCGCCGGCCCCGCGAAAGCCGAATCAAGTCGTCGAAGAGCTGATTCCCACGCAACAAATCGACATGGTCAACACACAATTGGTGGCCACGCAACAGCAATTACAATCGCTGCAAGAGAGGTACAATGAGCTGAGCATGCACCACTCAATGCTGCTGCAAGAGGTGATTGGCGTGCAAAAGACGGTGGTGAACCATGAACACGTCATACAATATGTCATGAACTTTCTCAACACCGTGGATGCGCAGAGACGGAGGGAGAGTCGGGTGGTGAATCCTTTTGCTCCGCCAACGAGCAGTGGTCCGAATGGTGTTGCGACTACCGCGGCGGACACGGCGCCCCCGGCAGAGGAGGATGCGCCAGCTTCCCCTCTTCAGGCCGCTTCCAAGCTTCTGAGCGAGGTCAATGCGGACCACATCCTCAACGTCCGAAATCTCGAGCAGATGAATGAGCAGCAGATGCGCTTCAATGCCACACTTACCACTCCGCCCCCGGACGCTTCTGCTCGCGCTCACAACAGGACGGTGAGCCGGAATGCGCAGCCCCACTCCGCCGGTTCCTCCACCGTGTCCTACAGCGAACTCGACAATATGGTGTATCCCGTCGGACACACCCAAGGCATCGATCCCATGTACAGCGAGCACATCAACAACATTCCCTATCCGCTCCCCACCAAGACCACCGATGGAACGACTGCCGCGGCGAATGATGGCCGGAAGAAAGGCGCGCCAGTGGATCCCGGTTGGGTGCGGCAGCCTCAGGTTTTGCTTGTGGAGGACGATCCTACTTGCAGACGAATCGGTGGAAAGTTTTTGTATGCGTTCAACTGTGCGGTCGACAGTGCGGTAAGTTGGAATGCATTTGATTTTACGCATAAGCCAGTACTGACGTTGAATAGCTGGACGGACTGGAAGCGGTGAACAAGATGAACGCCGGGTCGAAGTACGATCTTGTCTTGATGGACATAATCATGCCGAATCTGGACGGCGTATCTGCCACCCATTTGATCCGACAGTTCGACAACACGCCCATTGTCGCCATGACTTCAAATATCCGAAGTGATGACATTTCAATGTATTTCCAGCATGGTGAGTTTTGATTTCACCCCAAGTCATGACAATATCTGACGAGGTTACTGCAGGCATGAACGATGTTCTTCCAAAGCCTTTCACAAAGGAAGGCCTCATCACCATGCTCGATAAACACCTCTCGCATCTCAAGAAGCACACGGCTGGTCTGAGCCCTATGGATCCACCCGCCGTCCCTCTGCCACCCGTCACCAAGCGCTCCATGAAGAGCGAGGACTCACCCGCCACGTCACCCACCACAAACAGCAACTGGCATTCGCCGAGCACTTTCTCGGGCATCTCTCCCGCAGGAAACCAAGCAGACGACTCGGTGTATTACGGGCAACAGGGAGGATACGCGGCACAAGCAATCCAACATACCCCTCCTTTGTATCATTCGCCTTCAGGAGCACCACTAGGGACGCCACAGCGGCAACAACAAGGCGCGCGCAGAGGCATAGCCGATGTTTCGGGAGGCCCGGGGGAGATGGGGGACGCAAAGCGACAGCAGATGTACGCGCCGCCGCACATGCAACCCATGGGGAGGCCGCGATGACGACCCGCGACGACTTCTGAGTTTTCTTAATGTGTGTTTCGTTTCCGACGACCGACTGTAGATGCCGAGATGTGCATTTGAGCTGGAGCGTGGGCGGAATACTTTGCCGCTGCTGTGATCTCGCCCCGTTGGCCGTCTAGGCGACGGGGGGAAGAACTGGTGTGTTGCATGTATCAGGTAGTCTCTTCCTTGACGAGGCCGAAATGGTCTTTGAACGACTTGCCGTCGCAGATAGAAGGAGGGCCCAATAATAATAATTCATTCATCGCCGCATCTCAAGCCTTGTGTAACAGGGCCAAAGTTAAAATTTCTCCACAACCCCAAATTGACTCTTGCACATACCCACGCATCGCCGTTAATCCCACCCGTGCATCTGCCACGACTTCTCAGTCTTCGCCATGGCACCCAAAGCGAAGAAAGGAGCACAAAAGGGCAAAGCAGGCGAAGAAGAGAGGGAGGAGCCTCTGCAGGCCGTCGTGTTTGCGGATGCTTTTGAGACCAAATTCTCCCCCTTCACGCTTGAGCGGCCACGAGTGAGTACTTGAGCCCACAAAAGATGATCATATGCCATATTGACGGAATGATAGTGCTTACTGCCGCTTGCGAATACCCCTTTGATTGAGTATACGCTTGAGTTCTTGGCCAGCGCGGGGGTGGAGGAGGTCATACTGTACTGCGGAAACCACACCGATCAAGTCGAGGAGTACCTCAAGTATGTATAGACGTGGCACCTTTCCCACGGTCCCGAACCTAATCTTTCTCAGACGCTCGAAATGGACGAGAGAGACTGCGCCACTGGCGCTCGACATCATCCGCTCCGATGCCCGTTCCGTGGGCGATGCGATGCGCGATCTCGACCAAAAGCAGCTCATCACCGGCGACTTCATCTGCGTCTATGGAGATGTCATCGCAAACATATCCATGCAAGCTGCGCTGTGGGCGCATCGCACACGACGGGAGAAGGACAAGAAGGCCATCATGACCATGATTCTTCGCGAGGCGGGCGATGCTCATCGAACTAAATCCCGGAATTTGCGCCCGGTATTTGTTGTGGATCCGGAAGCCCAGCGCTGCGTGCATTATGAACAGCTAAGGCCGAGAGATACACCTCGCTTGGATATCGCGGAGGAGGTGCTTGTGGACCACACCGAGGTGGAAGTCCGAGAAGACCTCATCGACTGCGGGATCGACATTTGCACGCCGGAAGTTCTGGCGCAATACACCGACAACTTCGACTGGCAAGCTCCGCGGAGAGGTTTCCTGTACGGCGTGCTCAAAGACTACGAGACCAACTTGCTCACGATTCACACGCACATCACGAACGAAGGCTACGCCGCACGGGTTAAGAACCTGCAGGCTTACGATGCTGTGACGAGGGACATCTTGTCTAGATGGACTTACCCGCTATGTCCTGACGTCAATCTGCTCCCGGACCAGTCCTATCAACTGCACAAAGGCAATGTCTACATGGAGCATGGCGTCGTCTTGGCACGTTCGAGCACTGTCAAGCACAGATCAGTACTTGGAAGGGCGACATCCGTTGGTGCTGGCAGTGTCATCTCCGACAGCGTGATTGGAAGGCGTTGCGTGATTGGCAACAGGGTGAAGATTCAGGGTGCGTACATCTGGGATGATGCTCGGATAGGCGACGACACGGTGATTGAGAAGGCGGTGGTGGCACGGGAGGCGGTCATTGGACAACGATGCCATGTGCAGGCGGGTGCTTTGATTTCTTACAGAGTCAAGTTGGCAGATGGGACAGCTGTAGTTGGTGGGAGGAAGCTGACCAGAATGCCAACAAGTAAGACTGCAGATCCAGAGGTCGTTGGAGAAGGCGGCGACGGGCACGAGATGGAGGAGGACGACGAGGATGAACTTCTTGCGGAATCCTTGGTCTCCGGAGACATCTACAACCTCGATGCCGCCAGGATATCCTCAGACTCCATCTCCACCCTGGACTCGGATGAAGAAGAGGAGAGCTTACCCGAGCACCACCGAAGGAAGTCGGGGAGGAGTGAAAGCTTTGCCTCGATCAACTCGGACGAGAGCGGTGACGCGCGACGGAAAGCAGCCGACTTCCATCACGAGGCCACCACCAGCATCATCGACGCTTTGCAAAAGGGGGATGATGCGGACACTATCCAGCTGGAGCTCCAAGGCCTCAAACTCAGCAGCAACGCTGAAGACAAGCAAGTGCGGCGTGCGGTGGCAACGTCTTTGATGAAGCGACTCGCCGCGCTCGTGGACTCTGGCGTGTCGCCGAAAGACGCCGTGGCCAAGACATTGCTCCCCAACAAGCTCATCATTGAACGATGCGTCGGCACGGGACGGGAGCAGTACGAGGACCAGGTGGAATTCCTGCTCTACATGCAGAATGATGCGATGCGCAGGCAGCAGGGGGCTAAGATCTTGTTGCACGTTTGCACGTCGCTCGCGCACAACGATCTGGTGGAGCCGGAGGGCTTTGAAGCGTGGTGGGAGGATGCGAGGAGTTCATCGTCGGAGGAGCTGCTGGCTGTTCGGGCGGATACGAAGCCGCTGATTGATGTCCTCGTCGACGATGATGATGAGGACGAGGACGAGGATGATAGTGAGTGATTGTTTAGCCAACATCGTGCTCGCCATCTGCATCGAGGAATGCGGCACGTGAATGAAACCGTGCGCGCAGCCAGTTTGACTTTCTTTATCCGGCAGCCGCGCGGGAAGCGGCGGTGCTAACGATATCCGGCCTTGGCTCACCGGTGGCTTGCACATCATCGCCTACGCCATCGTGCTTCCTCCAGGCCACACCTGACACCACGCATCTCCCCCTTCGCTCGTGCCTGTTCACTCGACCACCCTACATCACCAGAACTCAGCGCCTCCCACCTCTCACCACCCATCCCACCCTCAAAGCAAGCGGCAGCTTCGTCCCCGACGAAGCAGCTGTAGCCCCAGTCACCAAAACGCCTCCGATCACCCGCAAGCGGAAGCTTGACGTCGACACGCCCACCGCCGCCTCCGCCTCCTCGCAGGACTCGTCCTCCGCCGCACCGCCGGCACGCAAGGCCGCCAAGACCAAGCATAAGGAGTTGGAGCTGGTGGAGGCCGCCCTGCCGGCGACGCCCCAGACCCTCGGCTCCGACAAGCCCATGGACTCCGAGGATGAGGTCAATAGTGTAGTCTCCAGCGTGGACGTGGGGATGGACGACGATGATAGTAGTGTGGATTTTGGGGCGGGTATGTTTTGCAGTCTGTCTGCGTTGAAGGCAGGATGTGATTACTAATTTGGACTCAGACTCCGACGTTGAGATCGATGATCACTATCAAGATGATGCTGCTTTTGAGACTCAAGAGAAGGATTTGATGCCAAAGAAGAAGGCGTTTGAAGTGGATTACCGAGTGTACAGCCCGGAGGATATCCAGAAACAGCAAGATAAGCAAGTTGCAGAGGTCTCAACTCTACTCGAACAGCCACACGAAATCACGGCGATCCTACTACGATTCGGTCGATGGAACAAAGAGCGTCTCATCGAGAAATACATGGACAATCAGGAAGAGGTGCTCGATAAGGCTGGCTTGGGCCAAGATGTCTACAAAAGCCCTCCGCGAATCGATCCTCCCCGCATCTTCACTTGTGACATATGCTGCGAAGACGGACCTCACGAAAGCTTTGCTCTGAAATGCGGACATCGATTTTGCGTGACGTGCTACCGACAATACCTCTTTCAGAAGATTCGCGGAGAAGGAGAAGCCGCCAGGATCAAGTGCCCCGGCGATGGCTGTAACAGAGTCATCGACACAAAGTCTCTCGATCTACTGGTGACTTCAGACCTTACCGACCGCTATCATGAGCTCCTGATGCGCACTTACGTGGACGACAAGGAGAATCTCAAGTGGTGTCCTGCGCCGAATTGCGTGTATGCCGTGGAATGCGGAGTGAAGAAGCGGGATCTCAACAAAGTCGTACCAACCGTGCAGTGCGACTGTCATCACAGCTTCTGCTTCGGCTGCACTCTCGCCGACCATCAGCCCTGCCCATGCTCGCTGGTCAGGCGGTGGCTGAAGAAATGCGAAGACGATTCGGAAACGGCAAACTGGATCTCGGCAAACACGAAGGAGTGTCCTCGCTGTCATTCGACGATTGAGAAGAACGGCGGTTGCAATCATATGACATGTAGAAAGTGTCGCCACGAGTTCTGCTGGATGTGCATGGGCGTGTGGTCCGAGCATGGAACGAGCTGGTACAATTGCAACCGGTATGAAGAGAAGAGTGGTTTGGATGCGAGAGATGCGCAGGCTAGAAGCCGTCAATCTCTCGAACGCTACCTTCACTACTACAACCGTTACGCCAATCACGAACAGTCCGCCCGCCTGGACAAGGACATCTACCACAAGACGGAGAAGAAGATGACCCTTCTTCAAGGAGCGTCAGGAATGTCGTGGATCGAAGTGCAGTACCTCGAAGAAGCCTCCCGATCACTACAGCAATGCCGACAGACCTTGAAATGGACCTACGCCTTTGCATACTATCTCGCGCGCAACAACATGACGGAAATCTTCGAAGACAACCAGAAGGATCTGGAGATGGCGGTGGAGAACTTGTCGGAGATGTTTGAGAAGCCCACCGACCAGCTTGCCGCTTTGAAAGTCGAGATGATGGACAAGACGACGTATTGCAATCGCCGCAGGGTGATTTTGCTGGACGACACTGCCAAGAGGCTGAAAGATGGTGAGTCTGTGTCCTATTTTTGTCAATATGGCGCGATGCTAATGACCAACCAGAACAATGGGAATTCAACGTGGAGTTGAGTTAGCGGGACATGGATGATTCGATGTGAGACTTGAGCTTGACAGTGTCCTGCCCTCGAGTGCCACGCTCGCCTTGATGCGCGCATCCGCCAAAGCGAAGCAGAGTTGCCATTATCAAAGGGCAGCCATTGAGCATTCGTTGAAGGGTTGTCGTGCGGCGCAGACCTACGAGCAGAGCGTCCCCCAAACAGTAGCACATTCCCTTCGAAGCATTACCTCCAATATCGAATGCTCGAGATGCATCATATGAGGGGAGTGCATGCATAGCCGGAGCACGACACGAGACACTGTATTCATGATGATACTTCTCTGCAAATAGAACCCTTTTCTCTCAACTTTCGCACTCGATGATTCCAAGGTTCATGTCGCGACCGCTCAAGCCACGCCTTGGTATAGACATTGTTCTCGTATCTCTACCCCTCCAATGTATGAATAAGTGGAGTTCCCAACAACACCAGCGCTATGCATCAAACACGCCCAGTGATTTAATCCTCAATCGCAACTCCCATCCTTCCACCCCGTCCGCCACCGCTCTTCCCACCGATTACAATCAAAGCTGCTCTTCCCCAGCTTGACATTCACCGCATTATGCGCCTCGCACATCCACCGCCCAAACTCCTCCCGATTGCTCACGCGCGGCTCGTTCCCCTCCTTTACCCACGCCCGGAAGTCATCCGCGCATACCCAGCAGGGATACATTTTGCCGAACAGCGAGAGGAATTGTCGCGTTTCGCTTTGCTGTGTTGGTGAAGGGCGCTCGGGGTAGTTGGCTGTCATTGTGTGGAGGAGGGTCCAGGTTGAGCGGCCTAGTTGGTCGACGTCTGGGGGGCAGTCGGGACGGGGTGCTGTGGGTGTGGTGGATGCGATTTGTTTGGAGAAGGTGGTGGTTGGGCGTTGGTCTTGTTGCTTGGTCATTGAAGCCCAGGCGGCAAAGGAGGTGCATGAGCGACAGCTTTGAGAAGGTTAGCAGGCGTTCGATATTCTGGCATCTTTAACGAATGCTTACGGCTTCCCATCCGGCCCAAGCACCACACCTTTGGGCAACTGCTTGGGCGTCCTGTCGTCCTCTTGCCGCTCCTTCTTCTGCGCTTCCATCAGTTGCGCCGGCCTCGCGTCCAAGGGTTGGGGTGGCAGTCCCGTCCGGCTCTCCACGACGCAGAAGAACTGTTGTAGGATGGGGAAGTCGATCTGCGTTGTAGGCATCTCATCTTTGACGGGAGCATTAATCATCCATCGGACAGCAACGATCCGTGCTTTCACGAACTGAAGTCGGATCGAGCCGAGCTATCAAACTCTAAATTGGGGGGAGCTGCCTCGGACTCTGCGACTTTCGACTTTGGTTCCTACAACCACGCCGCGACAGCTATGAGCAGGTCATCATGGAGGACGTCACCAGTGCCCTGAAGGATCTCAAATTAGACCAGGTCCCAGTGTACCTCCTAAAGACCAAATCCTTCCCCAATGACGCCTACGAGGAGTACTTCGACCAACTCGACAATGGGAAATACAAGCCCGTCTTCGTGCCTGTTCTAGAGCACATCCTCCGGGACGACACGCTAAGGACCATCCGACGTGCAACAGAACGATACGCCTTCGCCGGGGGAAGCGAAGCGACAGCGCGACAGAAAGCCTGCAACAACCCCGCCAAGAAATATGGCGGGCTCGTCTTCACCTCCCAGAGAGCTGTCGATGCTTTTGCAACCATGGTCGCCAAGCTCGATCCGAGCAAGACGCATTGGCTTTTCGACAGCCAGATGCCTATTTATGTGGTTGGTCCAGCGACTGCCAATGGCGTGAGGGCTCTCGGCTTGTCGTGTCCGGTTGTCGGAGAGCAGGCGGGGAATGGCGAGGCTCTGGCGAAGTTCATTCTCGAATGGCATGCTACGCTGTCAAAGGAGGTGACGCACCTTGACGGTCAGAAATTGCCTTTGCTCTTTCTTGTGGGCGAGCAGCGACGGGATATCATCCCTGCGACTCTGCAGTCGGAAGAGCTTGCGCCTCAGGACCGCATTCCTATTGTGGAGGTCGTGGTTTACGAAACGGGCGAGATGGCCACCTTTGAAGAAGACTTTACTACTCTCCTCAGACAGGCTAAGGCGGCGAAAGTCAAGGAACAGTGGGTCGTGGTCTTTTCCCCGCAAGGCTGCGAGGCCATGTTGAATGGCTTGGGCTGGTTGGATGAGAAGACGGGGAAATTCAGTTCGGAGAGACGGAGTGTTACGAGTGGACCGCTCAGAACGAACATTGCCACGATTGGGCCGACTACGAGAGATTCTCTCTTGACGGAATTTGCTTTTCAGCCGGATGTCTCCGCCGCCACACCTACTCCAGAGGGGCTTGGAGCGGCAATGCAGGGGCTTGCACAGACCTGATTGCTCATCGCGTGGCAGGAAATATCACGATTGCATTTGATCTGCCTAGTCTGCTGTGATCCGCACGTTCCAGAGCGAGATGCTATATATGTTTGTAGGCATTAGATACCCATCATTGGCAGACCTCGAGACATGGTAGTTCTTGGTCCAGTTCAACCGCATGCTCAATTCGCGTCGCCTCCAACACCCAGGTTGAAGTTCGTTTGAGCGGCCTTGTCCAGTGCTTTATTCAGTCGCTGTTGAGGTATAGACTTGAATCAAGTCCTGCAGTCCGGCGGGAATAGATGTTGCATCGATTGGGACCAAACGCAAAATCATGGTCCTGCTCATTGGAAGTGAACTCGTTGTGGGTGCGCTCATGTCGGCTTCAAACGTCTCCACGGATCCTCGAGAAAGCTCGGCAAGAAATACACCATGTCGCCATTCGCATTACGCACACCCTGCCGGAGCGCTTGCAAGCTCTTTTCGTCGTCACCATCCACGCCCGAGGCGATGGCGGTATTATCCACCGGAACAGTGTTTCGGCCATCGGATTGCACTGCAGCCTTCTCGCCGTGACTGGGAGTGGCTGTCACCGCTGAAACCGGTTTCGAATGGTCGGGTATTGCACTTCCAGTGGCTTTCTTTGGTGTAAAGTTCGCATTCGATGGCGAGTCGACGACTGCGTCATCTCGATATTTCCTCTTCTGTCCGCCGAACTTTGTGAAGCCCATTGCCTCCGCCATGGCTGGGTCTATCTCGAAGTCGTCGGAGTCGTCCATGATGAGATTTGTTCGCTTTAGACGGAGCGAGTGGGTGATGTGTATATTTCCAAGTGTCGAGTGAGATGCATGAAGAGCTGTAGGCTTGGAGGAAGCACGCACGGACCAGATTCATTTTCCGCATTGGGAAGTTCTGGTTCTTGGAGGTTCTGGCCATTGGGATAATAAACATCAATGCTTGCCAAATCTAACACACAAACGCCTCTATACTCAAACAACGCTTGTCCAAGTCTAATCGCATGAACGCTTCTATACTAATACTTCGGACGAGAGGGGACCGTCTTCATCTGATCCGCGGGGTTGCCTTCAAGCCCCAAGACCTTGTAGACCCATGGAAGAATGATGAAGAAGCTGTGCGGCTCCCCCATATGCTTCGTCTTGTCCATGAACCTGACTTCCTTAGGCTGCCCGCGTAGCAGACACTCATAGTAGTCGTCGATGGGGAAGACTCTGATTTGGGGTCAGCATTCGAGCTTCTAACTCGGTCAGGCTGCGTTTGGGGACTCACTCATCGTCTACTCCGTTCACAAGCAAGAGGCGGGTACATGGGAGGTCCAAAGTGCCGTCGTTGATGAGCGAGAACTTCATGCCCTCTTTCTTGAATTTCTCCAGGTCATTCCCGTAGCCCCACTTGTAAGCCAGGGTTTCCGCAAGGTCAAAGGGGTACTCGAGTTTCGAGATTCGCGACAGCCACTCGGGCGAGAACATGTGGTGGCACCCGCCTCCGAGAGCAACAACGCCCGCCAATTTGTCGCGATGGGTGTGCGCCAGTCGGAGGGCGTAGTATCCGCCAGTGCTGAACCCCCACAGCAGGCGCTTGCTGTGGTCTATCTCTGGCTGCTGATCAACCCAGTCGAACAGGGTGGACCACTCACGATCTGGCGATTTCGGGTCGTTCGGAGCGGCAGGCGAGTCGCCGGTACCGGGAATCTCCAGAACAATGACGCCGACACCTTTCTGCGACCAGCCTTCAATCCACACTGAAAGCTCAGTGCGGTAACCGTCGAGCCCGGTCAGAATGATGACCAGTGGAACGGGCTTGGCTGCTGTTGTCCCGGGGGGGAGATGATAATAGAACGTCACCTCCTTGCCCTCCCCTGCGATGCCGTGCTTGTGGGGGATCGTAACCTCCTTAGTCGGCCGCTCGCGCAACGCAAGGCCTTTCGCTGCGGCTTTCTTGCCTTCTTGCCATGCATAGCGCTGCTTTTCCGATCGAGGGGCGGGAAATCGGGAGATTCGATAGACAGCGGATGCGCGCCTGGTGATCCATCAGTACGGATACAAAATGGCTCGGTGGTGGACTCCTTACATATAGAACTCGGACGCCTTTTCTTGATTGCCTTCTTTCTCTGCGGCTTCGGCCTTCGCGACCAGCTCTTCGGCCTTCGGAAAGAAGGTCTGGGCGTACTCATCCCAATTGTATGGTTCGCCGAGATTTTTCTGCAGAACATGTTAGCCCCCAGTCCTTCCACACAAGCCAGAATCGAAGGATTACCTCGATCAGCTCCTCAACAATACCTTGGAAATCGGCTGGCGAGGACCACATGAACGGATACACGCCCTGATCACACTGGGGGACAGAGTCAGAACAGCGTCAAGTCGACAGACGAAGAGGTCGTACTGCTTCTTTGTATTTCATTTCCCACAACTAAATGTATGTCAGCTAGCCGTTGCCCATTAGGCTTCACCAAAGGACTCTTCTCTCACCTTCTTGAAGCTCTCATGATGTTCCGCAGGTTTGTCCCACACATCTTGGACGAAGAAGCGTCCACCCGGGGCTGCCATTGGATTACTTGTGCAAAGGTATTCGGTTGTTAGAAGTTCAGAGTACTGTAGACGACACGATAAACAGGATGATGTTCAAAAATGGGCTCCTGCGAATGTCCGGGGCCTTTAAATACTTTTGTCGTCTCGAGTCTGACGTTCACCGACCAGCTTGCCAGCTTGCACAATTGAAGCCCGAAAGTATACGAAATTAGCGAATGCTGAGGTAATCCGCGGTGAAGGCTCGATCAGCGTGAGTTCGGACGAAAAGCCGGACCAGCTGCTCGCCTCGCTCGTGAACGCACCGGACTTCGCGGCAATAATACCACCTTAAGGTCGTGCACCAGCTCGCGTCTATTGGCATGTCCCGCGTTCGTCCGTGGAATTCCTACCTAGTGCATGGCTTCGTCCGCAATAGGTAGTCCTCAGATCAACTCTACGTCACCCAACATGAGCGTCAACACCCCCGTGAGGCTGATATTCGAGAGTCTCAAAGGATCATGGCGGCTGAAGCGCTCGCTCAACAGCGTCCTGGCCGGCTTTCCGTCTGGCATCTTCGAGGGCAGCGCAACTTTCAAACCCCGAGCGAATGCGCATTCCGAGCTCCTCTACTCTGAGCAGGGCGAGCTGAAAATGGATAACGGCGTCACGCTCACCGCGAACCGGAAATATGTCTACCGATACAGCACCGACGAGGATAAAATCAGCGCCTGGTTTGTGACGGAGGAGTCGAAGCAAAATGATGGGCGAGAGGAACTCGATTACCTCTTCCACGACCTTGAACTAGAGCAGGTCGACGGCGGGTGGGTCGGACGCGGGGAGCACTTGTGTGAGATGGACGCATACTGGGCATTTTACGACTTCAGGCCTTCGAAGTTGACGACGGAGCTGGCCAATAAGGCGGTGGATGTCTTTGGAGTCAGATATAAGGTGAAGGGCCCGCAGAAGGATTACACGAGCGACACAGCGTATCAAAGGGTGCTTGAGTGATGGGCAATGCTTGCATGTTCGAGCTTGTGGATTGTCATTAGCTTTCGAGCGTTCACGTTAGCATGTATGCAGAGGGCCGGGCTGTCGATTCTATGGCGCCGAATGTCTACTGCTGCATACGGTGTTCTCTTAATCCAGATCAGGTGTCTTCATGTTAAGTACGACGAGGCCGTCTTTGTCAAGCGTTGGCCCCGTGACTCAATCTGAATAGTTCAAGACCGCGGATGATTTGAGATGGCACAGGAGGCAATAGCACGCAACGTCCTTGAACAAGTAATAGGTAGTATGTATCTTGTCTTCAGCTGGCGAAAGCACAGGACCCAAGTTCGCGCTTCTCAACCTTCGCCTCCGGCCTTATGTCGAAGTCAAATATATCGATCGGGAGACCCATTGTAGTGCACGCGTTGGGAATATCGACAATGCCCGCTAGATGCCCCTGGACAGGCGCGCAACTCAATAATAGATAGATCTGGTAGTCGTCGTAGCCTGTAAGGTGAAGTGTGGTCAGTGCACAGTCGAAATCACGTGATATCAGCCCAACGTCACTACTCACCAAACCGCTTCAGATACTCGATACAACGGAGGGTGGTCTGCCGGTACGCCACAGTCGCGTCAAGGTAGTGTTGACGACCATGCTCATCGACTGAAAACCCTTCAAAGTAGATGTAACGGCCAGGACCGAACTGCGGCTCGACCGGTCCAGGGATATAAATCGGCGATGAGGCGGCCAGTGAAGCAATGCCATTCTTGATGACCTTGAAATTTATCGTAATCTCGCCGGCCATCTCAATGGCGCCGCAGAAACTGATCTCGCCGTCGCCCTGGCTGAAGTGGAGGTCTCCCACGCTACTGGAAGGGCGTCAGCGGGCTCCCGGACGAGCGGCATGCATTCCACTTACAACTTGGCCCCTTTTACATGGACTGGGAGGTAAACCTTCGATCCGCGACTCAGGTTCTTGATATCGCAGTTCCATTTGGCAGCTGTTAGCTCTAAGAAGAGGAACAAAGGGTGGACGGGGCTTTACCTCCATGCTCGGGACGTCCGGGGACAGTCCGCGCCCCTTCACGGCCAACTTTCTCCCTGAGAGCAGCATCTCCGCTACCGACGTGGCAGGATTGAGGCTCGGGTGGAAGAGCAACGACGCGGTCCATGTGGCTGCACTCTTGAATGAGCTGCGCTTCGCGATCGTTCCATTTCTTCAACACCTCGTGCGATGGGGCACACCCCAGGATGCCAGGATGAATAAGACCGGCGAACTTGACGCCAGGGATGTGGCGAGAGCTGCAATTTATTCCTTCAAAGTCCCAGATTGCTTTGGCCCTGCGGATCGTTCGTCAGCCTCTCTTCCGCCCGGGGCTGTCTCGGGGAACCGCATACGGCTTGGGGTAAATTTCATCCAAGAACCCACCACCATTCTCTTTCGAAAACACACCAGTAAATCCCCACGGCTGGTCTGGTAGGGGCTGGACGTCTTGGATTTCGACGAGAAGGATATCGCCAGGCTCAGCCGTCTCGACCTCGAAGGGTCCGCTCAGATAGTGTACTCGAGTGAGGTCAACGTCTCGGACGTCGTTGGCGCTGTCGTTGTTCCCGATCTGGCCACCCGTCTGTCAAGCCGTTAGGTGTAGGTCTAGATGTTGTCAAGGAGAAGGGGGTCGTTCAAAAACGCACCCAGTCTACACAGCCGATGACGACCGTCTTGGAAACCCGATCAGCCGACGTCTTGACAACACAAGTTCAGAGCTAGCTGGCCTACCTCGCCATTCTTGATCGTCCCAGCGAAAGGAATGTCGGGATGCCAGCGATTCTGCACTTGCGTCAGCACCACCTTAAATACTCCACCACTCTCAAACAAGGAGAACAAACTCACATGCAGATATTCGCAAGTCCAAGCATCCTTCTTGGTGTCCACCTTCACCAGCGACCTCAAAGCCTGTTTTCCCATGATTTCTGCTGATCAAGCTTGTACTTCGCCTTCTTCGCGTCCTCGGGGTCTACCACGAAGCCAGCGAAATAGAAAATGGCCCCAGCAATGAGAAGGATGAAGAAAGGAAGAAGGTGCCAGGGATCCGTCCACTCCATTGTAACCAAATGCGCGGGGCGGAGCTATTTATGTAATATTTATCGTTTACTGCTTGGCCGCACGTCCTCGAGAGGGGTAAAGTCGCGTAGGTTTCAAGATAGAGCTCTCCGGGAGCTGGAAGGTGGAGCGGGTGCGGATTGCTGGGCCTTGGTTGGATTCATTGACTTGATTGAGCGATGGGACCGGGGCGATAAGGCAGGGGTAGACGGGTTCCTGACGCGTAGATACGAGGCCGGCAGATAGGATAGCTCTCGCGGCATGCGAGCTTCGTCGTTGGCCTTATCACTCGAGGGTATTGGCTGCGGGGTGAAGTGGAGTTGGAGTTGCGGGCTGCCCTCAGCCGTGTGTCCGCATATGCTACAGTCTGCGTGCTGAGATGTGCTGAGCTCCATTTTCCGCGGTGCTGGCGGTAGAAATGCGCCTTGGGAACATTCGCAAAAGACAGTAGAGTAGGGTAGGAGAAGGAAAGGAATGAGCGTATGAATAGGAGAAGAGGAGGAAGTCCAGCTATGTGGTAGCTTCGACATAAGGACTATGTGCCATCACGGTGACGAGAATCCACCTGCAAGTCAACCCGACTCAGGAAAACTGCCTTCCCTTCAACTCCGCCCCGCCAGTGCTGTCTGGCCTTGACTTCTCTCCAACCATCGTGGATATGTTGAACTTGTCTAGCTTGTCGAGAGGAAGATCCAAGAACTGCTTCTTGTTCTTCCAGTGCACATCCTGTTCGATGAACTTCTCCGCCTCCTGTGGAGGTGGTGGGGGCTCAGTGATCTTCGTAATCAAGTACGCTGTTGAGGCCTCCGCGATGCCGTAAACGAGAACGCCGACTAGAGGCACTCTGGCTAATAAAAAGAAAGTGAGTGCAAAGCCGTAGAGCACGCCGGTTCGATCGTGAAACCACTGTGCCTTTTTGTCTTTGGGATAGCGAATGCGGGAAAAGTATGGGTCGAGCTGAATTCACTGTTAGCAAGCGTTCGTCGTAATGTGTGCTGTACACCTACCAGTTCCCTCATCATGGTTCGGCTGGAGAAGTAGCTCTGCAGAAACTGTATCAAAAACCGCTTCGGAATAAGGACGCCCGAGCCAAAGATGACCACAGCAGCCGGAGTGCCCACAGCGCGGTTGAATGTGAAGAAGCTCGCTGCAGGGAGCACGAATCGTCCGATGTACGGGAGGAAAGAAGCAAGATACACAGCCAGCGACAGTGCCGCCCTCCTCCCGAACCGCATGAGAAAAGCGGACATGGCCGCATACGCATTGTCCTTCTTCTCTCGTTTGGCCTTGTAATTTTCATAGAGCTTCAAGTTCGGGTAGTACATCGCACGCAGCTCGTTCGGATTCTCGCCTTCGTGTTTGGCAATGTACGTCTTGTCCACCCAGGCGAGAGAGTCCATAAACATTGAATCCATGGCCGGGGATAAATGTCTCATAAAAGACATGAGGAAGAAGGGGACTTGCAGGACATGATGCTCGACGTAGTGGATTCCCTCAATCACACCTTCGTCCCATGTGGAGCGGTCGAGGTCTTTGAAGAGGCCGACAAATCGGATGCCCAGTTGGATGAGAAATGTCTGCGGTAGAGATCAGTCGGGGCAAAGAGAACATATACGCTCATCAGATGACTTACAGGTATGGATACAAGGAGACTTATGGCCACACCAGCCACCACAGCCAACGCAGCTTGTCGGTAATGCTCGCTGGTGAAGAGTGCTGGATTCTGAAGAGCACGATAGGCGCCGACGAGGGTGAGTTGTGCGCCACGCAGGATGGCATTGGGCTCAAAGCTGGTGGTCTGTACGAACAGACCCTTCTTTGCGGCGCTCATCTTGTGTGTGTTGTAAATGTTGTAGCAGATTGAACATGACGTTACCAATCTCACGTGTTTGTGACGAGTCGTGGTTGGACGTGCACGGACACAAGGTTCCCCACATCTCGGGAATGCCCGCAGCCACTCGTGCGCCACATCAGCGTGACACCTGCCACCGCATTCCAGCTCGTTGTCCAGGGAATCGCACGCGACTCTTTCAGCAGAGCATGGTTCGAGGCTGCATTGTTCCTCCTGCTTGGGAGTAGATATTCCAACCACCGCGTTGCCGGCAACAAAGGCCGACAGACGTCATGGCCTCCTCTTCAGGCGCGCCTACGCCAGATGTCGCGCCTCGAAGAGCAGTCAATGCTATTCGATCCTTTACCGTGCCTGCGAAGTTGAGCAGCACTCCTCCGCCGGCCAGAGCTCAGCCGGAAATTGGCTCGGCCGAGGGCATCGAGACCCTCTACGTCCATCCCAACGCCAGCATCTTCAAATTCACCGCGTCGGGATTCGGCGTCGGCAGCAGCAGTCCCAGCCGACCGCAATCCTCTTCCGGCACCTTACAATGGGCCACTTCTACCGAGCGCACAATCGCAGTTGGTCAGCTAGAGATCTATCGCGTGCCCGGCTCGGTCAGCTTCCTCAAGTCCGGCACTCTACTCCACGCCGTTCTACCCAAATCGCAATGCTGGTGTGTAGATGGAGTGAGCAAGTTTGTCGTCCGGGCGTCGCCAGAAACGTATTACCGGATTGAAGTACCCGGGGAGACGGCAGAAGATTTACGACTAGTCGAGGGGCTGAAAGAGACGCTGAAGAAGGTGCTCTCCTATGAGAAAGCTCCGTGTCCCTTTGCACGAACCTTTACCGTTGACCTTCCCCAAGAAACCCCAGAGCCAAAGAAGAAGAGGCGGAGACATACGGAGGGAAAGGTGAAGAAATGGAGACTCGATCATGCATATGGATGGAAACCAGAAGGATGGGAGCCGGGGATGGATGAACCTGAAGAGCGGGAAGAAGCATCGGCATCGGCGTCTGGATCGGACGGTGAATCGTCGAGTCAAGATGAGACGGCGGAGGAGACCGCCGAGCTCAACGAGGGTATGCAGAATGTGGCAGTCAGCCCTTCGGCGAGGGCAAGAGCACTTCAAGCGCTGAGGTCAGCGAGCATGTCGCAACAACCTGCCATGCCGTCAACGCCTCCGCCGAAACTCAGACCGAGAGCCCAGGAGACTGAATCGATGGTCGCAGAAGATACAACTGCCGGGGCCACCCAGCAAGGTGATGTGTTAGGAGCGACGACCGATCCCCCACGGCACAACGACAATATCGTACCGACCCGCACTTTCCAGGCCATACCCACAGATATGCCTCCGTCGCCACCGGATTCCAGTGCTGGGTTGGACTTTTCGGAGCATCGGCATGCGCTTGACGGCGGTTTGGATATTGAACGCATAGTTGAAGGAGATGACGAGGACGATGCAGTCGTCGAACACGCCACCACTGGAGACTCTGTCCCTCATGATGAGGCGGTACCGAACGACGACGAAGAAGAACGCGAAGAGAATCAAACGCAACCGTCACCGCAAATCATTGAAGTGGTGCCCCACAATGTCAAGCCAATACCGGCAGGACCCCACGCAGACGACGCAGAAGTGAACGCTGGTTCTGAAGATGAAACGACGTCGACCGTACATCTATCTCCATCTCCGTCTGAAGATCGACGATCGGTCACACCCCCAAAGCGACGGCCCAGCTCCGAGGACCCCTACGCCGCGATTCAGGCTCGCATCCTAGCTCGAAGGTCACTAAGTGGCACGACCGCCTTCTACCCGCTCCACAAGTCGCCAACGCGTGAATCCACATCCTCCAACTCCTCCGCGGCCACCATCGTGTCCAACTCGGCCTCTCGCTCCCGCCGTTCACAGGAGGACATCGCGACTGTGATGGCGCGCAAAGCGTACTCCGTAATCCTCGGCCCTCCAGCGCACCTGGTTGCCATCATGCTCAAAATCGCTGCGAGGTTTGCCAACGGGGCTTTCGGCATGAGTGGCATGTTCTACGTGGAGAGTCCGCTCGACTCGCCACGCAAGGTACCCGGGAGCTATCATTTACAGCTTGACGGCGAGACCATGGAGGCGGTGGAGGTACACAGTGAAGATGAGAGGGAGGGGTGGGAGGATGAGGAGGATGACTTTGGAATTCCGCTCCCTTCTAACGTAAGAGGGCTGAGAGCGAGGAAGGGCTTTGATGCAGACTGAGTGGAGGGAGGCGGTGACGGACTGTATGTACGATGTTATGTCGACAACGAATCAATGTGCAGACTTGGAAACTCTCGCCGCTCTTGACTTCACAGCTACATTAGGTGTCACGTGATCAAATTTGGCAAGAAGCGGAGCCGCACTTTATCTCCGCACTCCATCTCCGCACCTTCCTTTCCTCCACCCTTCCGCCTGCGGACTACACTCTCACCCCTTCTGTCACGCCCGCCATGCCTCACTCCGCCCGAAACAAGCGCCAGCCAATATCCTGTGAGCCATGTCGAACGCGAAAGATCCGCTGTCATCGAGACGGATTCCCATGCTCAACGTGCGTCCGACGAGGCGTCACTTGTGTCTACGCCTCCAACCCCGCCGGTAACAATATGGCCCGTCGATCGACGTCCGACCGCCCGCAGTCATCGGCCTCATCACCTGTAGATCAAACGCCGGTCCGTCCGTCACAGGATAACTTGGCTCGGCGCGTGCGTAGGTTGGAGGAATTACTCCTCCGTTCGCATGGCGTCTCTTCTCCGCCGTCGCCCTCGCCCAACGAGGATAACACTCCACCGTCGTCCTCGGTTGAGAACAATGACCCTGCGCGCGAACGTACGCCACAGGATCTGAATGGAACACTTCGCGTGGACGACAAGGGTTTCATTCGCTTTGTTCCAGCGTCCCTTCAATGGCAGTCCTCCCGACTGGCACTGGCCGACGACTCCTCCGGCATCGCAAGTATAACGCGGTATCCGCTGAACCCTGCAACAACCGCATCCATGGACGACATTCTCGGTGCACTACCATCTCAGAGCTACTGCTCCGAACTTGTCCGTGTCTACTTTACCTCCTACGCCTCACTTTTCCACGTGCTCCACGCCCCTACATTCGAACGGCAGTACGAACGCTTTGTGCAAGGCGCTCATGATATGCCACTAGCTTGGCTTGCTCTTCTCTATGCCATCATCGGCACCGCTGTACACGCTCTACCCAGTGATAGTCAACTGCTCGACCTCAGTCATCAATCGCGACCGCTCGAGAAGATTGAAGACCTGTCATCGCGATATCGCTCGCTTGCCATGAGATGTCTGGAGCACGACCATTACCTATGGACTCATAACGTCACGACCCTCCAGGCCCTGATTCTTCTCATCTACAGCATCAACCACAGCAATGGCCAGACGTGGACGTTTCTCGGCCTAGCTCACCACCTTGCGCTTTCCATTGGGTGCCACATCGATCCCAGCCGGTTTGGGCTGGACGTCATCCAATGCGAGGAACGACGGCGGTGCTGGGCGGCGGTAAAGATGCTGTATACTCAACAAAACACCGCCATGGGGCATGTTGGCATCACTCACGCGCAATTTCCATCCAATTGCCGGCCTCCCGCTGATACCGACGATGATTGTCTTCTGGCAGGCGTGATGGAAGATGCAGTCGAGACGCCATCGATTACACTGCGACCTACTGAAATGACATATCTCCTGCTCAAATTCCGCCTCTACGACATCTGTTCCGACATCTGCGAGTCTGTGCTGAGCAAGAGGTACGTTGACCTGGACAATATACGCAGACTTGACGCCGTCCTCCAGAATGAGCAGCAATCCTGGGACTCGAGATTTTTCAGTGGCGAACAGTCAGAGGAGTGGCCAACACCACCCCAGCTTGCTCATATTAACGTCTTACGTAGCTACGCGCATCACCTGACACTGCTACTACACCAACAAATCCTCCTCCGAATGGCCACCACCGAGCACGACTCCACCCTTCGATGGTCCCGTCTGCGGTGCCTCGACGCCGCTAAAAGTGTCCTCGACATCCACGCGTACGTGCATGATGCTCCTAAGCTGGCGCCTTTCCGATGGTTCAATCGCGGCGTTGGCAGCTTCCATGCCTTCCATGCAGCTGTGGTGTTAGTCATGCTACGTCGAAGAGGCATGGAAGAGGACTGCCGCGAGAGCGTCGAGCCCGCGTTGCAAGACTGCTTCATGCGCTTCATGAGCATGAGCGAGCTGAGCCCATTCTGCGCGAAAGCCGCACCATTATTGCAAGCTTTCATCGAGCAAATTCAAATCACTGATCAGCGAAACGATGGTAGCTACGGCGGTAGCGGCAGCAATTATTCTATCCTGAGGCATTCGCTCCACGAGCCCGGAATCGCCCTTGGGGCCCACAACGTCCACAGCCCGGACGAGGCAAGGCCGTTATCGAGACCAACGTGGAGCACGAGCAACCGCACAGCGAGCACCAGCGGTCATCACGAAACCAGCAGCTCGGAAGGCTACGATGCCAGCAACCCCAATTGGGACTTTTTGCTGGCCGACATGCAGCCACAGCAATGGCTAAGTCCGGCAGTGTTCCCGCTGGATCAATGGAACATGATACTCACAGATCCCATATGACCAAGAAGTGATGAATGATAAGGAAGAATTCTATCGAGACCACTTGTATCTTAGATACATCTCTGCAAGACGCATGCCCATCCCTCCAGGCCTTCAACACAATGCCTTCAGGCTGTTCGCAACGCCCTGCACATCTTCAAACACGTGCCAATGGCCCACGTCTTGCAGCACCGTGACGCTCTTGCACTTCTTCAACTTCTTGCCGTATTCCTCGCATAGCGCCGGCGGGCTCACCTTGTCCTCGGAACCCGTCACGATAATCGTATCGGTCTGAATGGCGCCGAGATCCAAAATGTCAGTCGCACCAGCCAACGCACTACAGGCCTTTGCGTAGCCCTCGGGGTCCTGCGCGAGCAGAGACATGCGCACGGCAGCGACGGCAACAGGGTTGCTCGCTTGCGTCTTGGCGGACGTTCCGGCACTGACGACGGCATCGACGACCGCGGCCATGGTTTCTTTGCGCACGAGTGCGGCGCGCGCGTGGTTGTTCTTGCTGGCGGCTTCGGGGAGGGGAATCGGCGGCGGCCCGACGAGGACGAGTCTACTGACGAGCTGCGGATGGTCCAAGAGGAAGCGGATGGCGACCAGGCAGCCCATGGAATGAGCGAAGAGCGTCGCACCGCCAGTAATGCCCGCATGATCGAAAACGCCCTTGACGTCCGCAGCCAGCGAGGCGATGCTGATTTCCGATAGCGCGGACGTGGGTGATAGCCCGTGGCCCTCGAAGTCGAATAGGTGCAACGCATGGCTCTTTTCCAGGCCTGCCGCCTGGATCAGCGGGCTCCAGTAATCAGAGGTGCCGCCGAGTCCGTGAATGAAGACGGCCGGAGAGCCGTGGTCGATGCCGCGGCGGAAGACTTTCAGAGGCTTCCCGCCGATCGTAGTCAGGCCTACGTTCGCGTTCAAAGTCTTGGTTGCGTTGGCTATCGGTAGCATGCTGTCATGGTATTGTTGTACGCGACGCAGAGTTGGATTGGATGCAGACTGTGCTGCAATCTTGTTGGTGAGGGTGCCGATGCCTTCGATCGACACGGCGACTTCGTCTCCAGGCTGGAGATACACTGGTGGTGTACGCCCAATGCCCACGCCTGCAGGCTAAGGCAGGATTAGTCTCACCAGCTTGCATGAGCGCGAAGAAAGATGCTGTGGGTGCTCACCGTTCCGGTCGCCAGCACATCGCCCGGCATGAGCGTCTGGCCTTCGGACAAAGTCTTCACCAGATAAGGAATACTGAAGATGAGGCTGTCAGTGGTGGCATTTTGGCGCAAGTCGCCATTCACTCTTGTTTGTACGCGGAGAGCATCGGAGAAACGATCGGCAGGAATGGCCACTGGACCCTACAAGACCAGGAAATCAGCACGACACGCTCGTCAGGCGAGTTTGATGGCGTGAGACCTACCATAGGACAAAACGTATCGGGCGATTTGCCAATATAAAACTGCTTGTGGTCGCGCTGCCTCTCCCGTGCCGTCATATCGTTGATGATCGTGTAGCCCCAGACGTGCTTCATCGCGTCAGCCTGGGCGATGCGAAACCCCAGCTTCCCAATGATGACGCCGAGCTCGCCCTCAAAGTCAACGCTGTCCGTAAAACCAGAATGCGCCAGCATCTCCTCGCTATCCGCAATGATGGAGGTGAAGCGCTTGGTGAAGATGACCGGGTGCGTGGGCTGGTCGGTCTTGTCCGAGCTGTCGAAGCCCGACTTGTTGAACTCGACGGCGTGCTCGGCGTAGTTTTTGCCGACGCACAGGATGTCGCGGCCGTTGATGGGAGCGAGCAGTTTCGTCGAGGCGCGCGGCAAGGGGTCAGAGTATGGGCGGATGGTTGCTTCATCGATGGCAATAACTTCGTATAGGCTGGAGAGCGGCGCACCGGAGGAGAAGGCGAGCGGCTGGATTTGCTCGCCGTCCAAACTCCCGATCCTTTCGAGGCCTGTGGAGGGATCCAGGAAGGCGCAATACCGGTACTTGGCAGAAGACATGGCGACGTCGAGGGCGTTTGGTGTATTGATCAGAATATTGGCCGTGTCGAAGCTCCGGAGGAATTGCAAGACGCTTGGAGCAACAATGCTGGGAAATGGGTCAGTATGCCAGCGAGTCGCGGAATTGTACGGGAACGTGGACTCTGTCGTGCGTAGACCTTCTTTTGCCTAACACACTGGAAGCTATGTCTCGCGGTGAGCAGGGCACGTTCTACTCCATGGTTGCCATTCGCCCCACTCGTCGTAACCGCGCCATCGCCGCTCCGTCTCCGTCAACTCCGCTGTTCCATCCATCCATCTCCGTCTTCCCCGCGTCACTTGGCCATCATCTCCGCACGTCTCAGCCATGCCTTCCCCGACCATGGAATAGCATAGCGATTCAGATGCCAACGTGAGCGGAGCTTTGGGCCGTGAGGGAACAAACATGGCGCATAGATATCCCCATTGCCCCCACTACGTGTCCCTCGTGGCCCCCTTCCTTCCTTCTCCTTCGAGTAATTGTCCATATCAGTCCAACCATCGCTGCCCGTGGTGCACCGCAGCTTTGCAAACCCAGCGCCTCTGGGCCTGTTGTCCTTCGCCACCGGCATCTTCCTCATCTCCATCCTGGGCGTGCACGCGCGTGGCATCCACACGCCCAATATCCTAGTTGGTGTTCTCATGTTCTTCGGCGGCGTTTGCCAGTTCATTGCCGGCATCATGGTAAGCTGCATCCTTCATACCCGCGGCGCAAGCTTCCCACTAACCCACATCCGCAGGAGTTTGTCACGGGCAACTCGTTTGGCGCCACAGTCTTCCCCTCCTACGCTGCTTTCAACTTCAGCTACGCGATGATCTTCATCCCCGGCACCGGCATCATCGCCTCCTATACCGACCAGGCCACTGGCGAGCTGTCCCCAGAGTTCTACGGGGCACTGGGAATGTACGTGTGGGCTTGCTTCATCCTGACCGTCATCTTCACCATTGCCGTCGTGCGTAGCTCGTGGATCTTGTCTCTGACCCTTTTCGTTCTCGCCGTTGAGTTGCTCCTGCTCGCCGTTGGCTACATGCTAGCCAATAGCTCGGTGTTGATTGCAGCCAACTCGATCGGGTTCATCGTCGCCTTCCTTAGCTGTGGGTATCCCCCAACCACAAAATCCTTTCGCCCTGACGATTCATCGACTGACTGCTCGTCCAGACTGGGCTGGATGTGCCGGGTTGTGGGCCGGCGGACTGACACCGATTGAGCTGCCAACCTTTCCAATGTACAAGCAAGGTAGCCAAAGCGTGAAGAAGGAATAGCTAGTCATATAACAAGCTGTGGCGGGAGGAGGCGGACTATGATGCGGTATGTAGCAGCTCGCCGGGAGGGAGGAGCAAATCGTAGGCATCGAATCGCGCGTTTTGTCCAATCATGTCCCTTGTACACTTACCATTCATCGGCGAGTCCAGGTCTTCTAAGGCCCACAAACTTGACAGGCTCCGGAAAGCGATTGCATACGCCCGAGGTTCGGCCAACGCGCAAAGGCTGGCCGAACTCCCGCAGATGCTTCTGATTGTGGAAGCGCCAGAATTGCCACGTGCAGTCCTGGCCTCGAAAACTCTCAATCACAGTGTTGCCGCCAGGGTGCTCGTGCAAGAACTCCGTGCAGTCGTACACAATCTCGTCCACCACTATCCACACTAGGTCCCCTTTTCGTTGCGTGCTGGCGACCACTTCCGCGCGGATGATAGGCAGTGATTCGGTGGCCACATCCTCGGGCTGTCGGGGGTAGTCTAACGGTGAAGTGGCGCCGTAGATCTCAGTGTCGTTGTCGGCTGAATCGACTGCTTTCGGAGTGGGAGCGGCGGATTTGGCCGGACTGGGCAAGATATTGAGTCTGAGCCAGCCCATGTTGGATATTCTAGTCGAGCTGCAGCCTGTGCGCGGGTATCGGTCCAGGACGCGGGCGGAGTGGAATGTGACGCAGCAAGTGAGGACGTAAAAAGCTCGGCATGGCCAAGGGTCGAGACCACAGAAGTCGGCGGAGTGCGGACATGCGTTGCGCATGTCGTTTCTTCTCCGCCTTCTCCGCGAGACGGGAGTGTGGGGAAGTGTGGCCAGCCCCGCATTTGGCGGAAGCATGATCATGCCAGGGAGCCCATGTTTATTACCCACTACTCGTCTGCCGTTGTGAACAGCACCCAGCCGCTGGTGTTGTTGTACTACCTTGCCTCCCAACTTCCACCACCTTTACACCCATTCAAGCATGGCACCTGCACGAATCGAAGAGCCGCCGGTCTCCTGGCCCGTCAAGGCTGAGAATGGCACCAGCCAGCACAAAGGACGCCCACGCAACATCGATTCGATTGATGCGGTCAAGTTCGACGATTCGCTGCAGCCCAAGCATTACGACATGTTTGGCACACACCCAGACAGTAGGATCCTCTTCACCGATGTGTAGGCATTCAAACGGGAGACACGAAAGCATCGACGTTGGACGCTGATGAGCCATCTTCTGCAGTAACATTCTCGATTCTTCGGATCGTCATCCTTTCAAAGGAGACGTTCTTATCGAAGGTATGAATGATCCAGCTAGCATGGGAGGTGCATTGCTTAATGTTGACGGAGTGCGATAATCCCAGGCGAACGCATCACCCAAGTCGGCGAGGTTCCCAATATCGACGAGCTCAAGAAGGACCGCAAGGTTCGCGTCTTCCATGGCAAAGGACGTACTCTCATGTCTGGTCTCGGCGATGCTCATACCCATTTCACATGGAACGGTGGCGACCTCGATCGCCTCGGCGAGCTCGGTGTTGAAGAGCACACCCTATTGACCATGCGGAGTGCTCAGTGTTACATCGACTCGGGCTACACCATGTGTTTTGGCGCCGCTTCCGCCAAAGACCGCCTCGACGTCGTCATTCGCGATGCCATTAATGCCGGGGATATCTCTGGTCCGCGATACCTTGCCAACGCGAAAGAGATTGCAAGGAGGGACGGCGAGCTAGTCGGGGGTATTACCGCGTTCGCCGACGGACCCGACGAGATGCGCGAGGTTATTCGACGTCATGTCAACGAGATTGGCGTCGATAACATCAAACTCAGCATGTCGGGGGAAGAGGCGAGTAGCGCTACACGGCATCAAACTGAGCTCTGTTGCTAACACTCGTCAGATTACGGAAATCCGCTCTGCCCAAGACTGCTACTTTACCGACGAGGAGACGGCTGCGTGCGTCGACGAGGGTCATGAGCTCGGCAAGAGACTATGTGCTCATGCGCGAGCTCGTGATTCGGTGAAGATGTGTGTCAAGCATGGTGTCGACGTGGTAAGCTGCGAGTACCGGTGGTGTCAACATCGTGATACCGATTGCTAACCGCACTTTGAATGCGCGAACTAGATTTTTCACGCGTCGTACATCGATGATGAGGGCATGGACATGCTCGAGAAGAAGAAGACGAAACACGTGGTCGCCCCGGGGCTCAACTGGTTACTTGCGACGCTCTACGAGGCAGAGGCGTTTGGCTACCCGCAATCAAAGGCCGAGCAGGTTGGGTACAAGAAGGAACTCGACGCTGCTGTCGCTGGTCTGCGTGAAATGCACCGGAGGGGTATCGTAGTCCTACCGGGCGGGGATTACGGGTTTGGTAAGCGTTGAATATCTCCCATTCTGTCTTGGTGACTGCGTAGCGCGCAACTGGTTGACTGACGTATACAGCCTGGACCCCTCATGGCACATACGCCCGAGATCTCGAGCATTTTGTGAAGCTGCTCGACTTCACGCCTCACGAAGCCATCATTGCGGCTACGCGGGGCGTTGCGGCGCTTCTCATGCGCGGCCACGAGCTGGGACAGATCAAGGCAGGCTATTATGCGGATTGCATCCTGGTCGATGGTAATCCGCTCGAAGACATCCGTGTCTTACAAAATCACGACAAGATCAACGTGATCTGCATCAACGGGCGTGTGCACAAGGCCGGGCGCAAGGAATACATTGCGCCGCCAGTCTCCGGTCAGGATGATAATAAACATCCCATTGTGCCCGATCTCGATCTTCCCGAAATGAAAAAAGACATGTAAGTCGTGACGAATGTCAAGCTCCCGTACGGGCCAGAGGACCGATCAGCTCACACGTATGCGACAGGCAAAAGAATTACTGATGGAAGATGGGGGCACATGCGGGGCGTTTGAGGCAGATGGAGTGGAGGAACAAGTGATGAAAGGAGTGTATGTTTATGCTGAAGATGCGCATATATTTGGGCGCCCGCTGCCGTGTCACGTGACTAGCGGGGTATCTCAATGCAGCAAGCGCATGCCGAGCGCTGATCGCTGATTTGCTTGTCTGCAACAAGCTTTGCTGGCGCTAACTCAAACGTGAGATGAGCATTGCGTACACTTCTGCTCTTTGAGCACCTCACACCCTTCCTCTACGATGCACACGCGCTTGACGATAACCACCGAGGACGGCTCAAGGAGGGAGTTGATGCTACAAAGGGAACGAATGGTGGATATGTCATCCTAGCTGTCACCGCAATCTGCGCCGCCCCTCCAGTCACAACCCCGCTACTGCCTGAGCTCTTCACCAACAGCACCACACCATCCCTTCAGGCCTCGCCACTTCCCTGGATAAACCCCCGACTAGCCCCATCATGATGCGTGCGCATTACAGTGTCTCAGCCCCACGGACTGGGTGCTTCTGACATTCTCAACCCCGCAGCGAGCGAGGCGCACCACCATGCTGACCTTTGGCGGGAGAGCGGGGCTGGGCATGTCAATTTGGCGGCTGGGGATCGTATCTTTGGTCGTGCTTGTACTGTATTCGGGGTACCTCTTTGCACTCCCTGGTGGCCACAAGGTCTCAGCCCCGGTTGGCCCTGCTGCCTTTACCCCGCCGCAAGTCAGCCTGTCCGCATTTGCCAGTCTACACTCCGGCTCGGGACCAGAAGGACAGGAAAGCAACGCTCCATCGCCACCCAGCTCATCGAGGGAATCGAAAACTAAGCCTGCTCCCAAGCATTCATCACCGTCGCCACCCGCTTCGTCCGACCATTCGCCACCCTCTTTCAAATCGCACTCATGGCGGCCAATTCCCGATCAGTGCATGCAAGCGCCCGGCGGAGACAGAGTCATGCTCCTGCTCAAGACTGGAGCAACGGAGCTCTACCAAAAACTGCCATTCCACTTCTCCACGACGCTAAAGTGCGTGCCAAACTTCCTCATCGTCTCTGACATGGAACACACCATCGCGGAACACGTCATCTTCGATGCCATTGCGCCGGTCAGCGCCTATCGCAAGCAGCACCAAGAATTTGAACTCTACCGGCAACTCCAGCAGGCTCGGAAAGACGGCCGAGATCCGAGCGAAATCCAGCGCGAGGGTGCGTGGATGCTAGACAAGTGGAAGTTTCTCCCCATGCTGCACAAAGCTTTCGAGATCGCCAGCGAGACAATCGACTGGTTTGTCATCATAGAGGCAGATACAAGCTTGTCCTGGACGAACTTGCTGCAAGTTCTACAGCGCCTGGACCACACGGAACCGGTGTACCTCGGCGCAGAGGATGCGATGGGAGCATCGAGTTACGCGCAGGGAGGAGCGGGTATTGTCCTCTCTCGAGAAGCGTTACGAATGCTCGAGGACGTGAGAAACAGCGAAGGGGCGGCAGAGTACGACGCCAGATGGGAAAAAGACACCTCGGAGCACTGCTGCGGCGACGAAATCCTCTCCCGCGCTCTACTGGAAGCAGGCGTCTGGCTCGACGCCACCTGGCCCCTCTTCCAAAGCGAGACGCTCTCCTCCATCGACTGGACCAACAAGCACTGGTGCTCTCCGGCCATCACATGGCACCACGTCACCCCCTTCGGCCTCTCCGAAATGTGGCAGTTCGAGCGCGCATGGATCGACGGGCATGGCTGGCGCGAGCCCTACCTCTACCGCGACGTCTTCGCGCACTTCATCGCGCCGCAAATTTCCACTAACCGCAGCAACTGGAACAATTTATCCGCCGACAAGAAATTCACCAACCCGCAGCTCGACCAGTTTTCGCCGTGGGAAACGCTGAAGGATTTCGAGCGCGCGGCGACGGAGAGCCAAGATGCGTGTGCGCAGGCGTGCTTGCATCCTTTGTATTCGGATTGCACGCAGTGGATGTACCTTTACGGCCGCTGTCATTTGGGGAATTCGCTAAAGTACGGCATGGGGCACGACGAGGAATGGGTGTCTGGTTGGATTCCGGAGCGAATTGAGAGCATGAAGTATGAACACAGCGGGTGTGTGGTGCAGTGGACGGGTGGAGAAGACCAGGAGGTGGAAGAGACGGGAGGAAAGGGTGCAATGGGTGGGCCTTGAGCTGGTTCGCCGGCCGATTTTCAATGTAGGTAGGGCTTCGGTGCTTTTTCGCATAGATCCACAGTGTTGTCCCAAGTGCTGGACACGACATGTAATGGAAAGGAAACGAGGTATCCAGACAAACGTCCATCTCTACTTCGCCGCAAACCGCTCGCTTCCCCTCTTCACAAACCTCATAGGCACATTGCCCTTTCGCATCTGAATAGTAATGATAGTCATCATCCCATTGCGCAGCAAGTCCCTCGCCCTCGCATCCGCCTTGCCCCATACCTCCGCCTTGCGCTCGGGAGTGGCCCGCTCCAACTCCTCGTCGGAAATCCAGTCGCTCACATCAAGCTCCACGGACCAAGTTTTGAATACGACAGCCAGAACGGCAAGGATCTCGACTTGCGCAAATCGCCGACCGAGACAGGAGCGATAGCTTTCACTAAAAGGGATGTAGGCGCCCTTGGCGGGATGGAAGAGCGAAGCAGCGGTGTCGGGCCGCTTGTCCGGGCCGTCGAAGTCGAGGCCTTCTTCCGTGGCGTACGAGTCTGCCTGGGTGGTGCTGGTGGATGACTGTTTGGAGGAGGGATCGGGGAACCAGCGCTCCGGGCGGAATTCTTCAAGGTCTTGCAGGGAGGTGTGCGGCCAGTATTTAGGGTTGCGGTGGACTGCTGCTGTGCTGGGAGGGGATCAGTGCTCTTTCCGCGCAGTTGGGGTTTGAAGAATCAGTTACCATAGATTGATGGAGATGCCGGGGGGAAGAACGGCGGGTTGTCCGCGGATTTGGAGGGTTTGACTTCGGTCTTTGGGCGTTGATTTGGGAATGTTGACCTAGGGGCGGATGAGTTAGCGCGAGCGTCGGGACGTGACCGGGTCATGGCCGAAGACGTACTGCCGGTGGGATCAGCCGAAGCTCCTCATTCATCACAGCGCCACACATGCTGCCGAACAGCTGAGGAACATCATGGTCATAGTCCTGTACACGCGGTCAGATTAGCATGTGTCATGCACACGTCGAGGAGTGGACCCATCAAACTCACCCACTCGGACACTGGTTTGTCCCCTAGAATCCTATCAAGATCCTCCTGCAAACGCTTTTGCGAATCCGGATGCATCGCCAGAAGCAAAATGGCGAAATGCAGGGTATTCGCTGCCGTTTCGTGTCCGGCGAGAATGAAGACAAAAGCATTTCCGAGAATATCGGCGTTGGCATGAAGATCGGGATTGGAATTGTCGTCCATGTTGATGCCGGCGCCCTCGACCAGCGCGCCCATTAAATCCAGGCCCTCCGTCTTCTCGCCGTCCTTCATGGCTTGCAGCTTCTCGGCGTACATTTCGCGCATGTACAGACCCCATTCGGCGTAGGATTGATAAGCCGCCTGATGACTTTCCAGGGGGGAATTACGCAGGATCCATTTGGGGACGAGGATGACGGTGAGGATGCTGTGGAGCAGGGTTTGCAATGCTTGCTTGTAAGAGAGGGTATGCCCGGAGGGGATGGGTTCTGTTTTCTCCTCGTGAGGCCATTTGAGTTTCACGCCGAATCCCGCGCGACTGATGACATACAAAGCCAGACGCATGGATTCGCTCGCAACATTTGCAATGGGACCACTCGAGGTTTCCGTCGGCGAGATCCAACCGGCCATCATGGACTGGGCTTGGTGGAGAGATTCCTGCCAGACCATGTGATTGTTCTTCTCGGTGAAAGGAGGACTGGTGATCTTGCGGTGGTGGCGCCAGACCTGGCCCTCGGTGGAGACGACATTTTTGCCGTACAAATCCAGACTGCGGTAGATTTCAATGGGCTTGGGAAAGTCGTTACGGCGGGTGGTGATTTGACTAATGGCATCGGGATCCGCGGTCACATAGACAATCTTGGCCGACGAGACGAGGAGGACGTTCTCGCTGTCGACATCGCGAAAGGTGTCATACAGCTTTTTCCACGTAAACTCCGGCGAGACATAGCTGTTGGTGATGTGTTAGCGAGAGGTGGGCTTCACGGGCGGAGAGCGCAGCGGGACACACTCTATCCAAGGATATTGCCATGAACGCGGAAGCACTCGGACGGCAATCCAGAGCCAGATGGGATGGGTAATGAGCCAGAAGGTGTTGAAGGTATGGACGGGCAAGACAATGTAGGGGATGCCCGAGCGCTTGGCGGCGGCGATGTTGCTGGCGAAGCCGCGATAGGTTTGCACGGCGTATGCGACGAGGAGGGCGGCGAAGCCAAACGCCACGGCATTGAAGACTTGCATCTTACCGACGAGCTGATGCTGCTAGAGAGCGTAGGGGAACATGTCCAGCTCTGGACGGACAGAAACTTACGGCGATGCAGCGGACTGGGGTTGCACCTCACGTGGCGGCCGGAAGCAGCGCACTCCGTGATGTGGAGAACGCACGGCGCAGATGTGCCCTCTCTGCAAAACTTGATTGGGCATTACTCACGCGATCGATGACGTTGCGTCATGTTGGTGAGGGACGACTCTCTACAGGGCCACGTTGCTTTGGTGGGAGACGGCAGACGAAGGGCCGCGAGGTCTGTTGATGGGAGGCAGAGTGGAATGAAGTGAGGTCGGCGTGAACGCCAATTGCTTAATCCGTCGTGCTGACTTTCTGACTAATCCGCGCCGTGGTAGAGACCTGAGGCAGCAATGCCATCCTGCCCTAAGTCGTCGGCTGCCCAGGCGAGGGGCGGGCGGTCGATGACACCTTACCGCGATACGGCAGGCCGGCGAGCCGGTTACGAATGCGTCAATCAGGCGGTGAGGATCGTTGACGAGCGGTGAAGATGCTATTCATGATTGTTTACGACGCCCGCTACGAGGCAATATCGTCACCACCCCATACGCGAGGCTTGGCCGCATGCACAACTTGGTCAGGTGCTTGCGTGCATGAGGCCCGTCGGCTCGTACAGAGCAGGTAGGTCAGGCAAGGTAGGCAGGGCAGCGCCCTAAATAGTTTATGCGAAGAGCTTGCATGCACGCGCACTAAGAATAATGAAGCAGCACATGATCGCTTGCCTTGCCGGGGTGCAAGCGAGCGGCAGCGTAGATTTTTCCCGCTCCGACCACCCACCACCACCTCATCAACATCCCGCACGCCAGGAATTCAACGGTAGGATACGGGGCAGGCCAGATGCGAATGCACATGCAGCGACGGTGATGATGATGATGATGACTACGGCATTCACCGCCATCAGAATCACCGAGGCCCGCAAGCCTACGCCATGACATACCCTCCCGCGCGGTTATATACTCCCTCGTCCAACCATGGTTTTCTCTCGGAGGCTGCCCACGTGAAAACGTGCGCTTTGGGCCCGCTCTGCTGGTTGTTTGGCGCAAAAACACCAAGCCCCGCCAGGCCTGCGAGAGCCCGATGTGGCAAGTCAACGCTGCAGCGAACCGGAGAAAACCGTGAGAGGGTGAAATTCACCGACACTCCATGCCGTCGGGCATCCAAGTCTGGTACGGCGTCGGACGGCGTGGCTGCGGCGACGTTTTACGTTTGCCGCCGGCACCTTTCAATTGGAAACGGGCAGGATCCGACCAATGTCGTGCCCCCATTCCTTCCCAGCAACTCAAATCCTCGCCAAATCCCTGTCGGTGAATTTTTGGACGTGGCGCCCTTAAGCGAACACACTGCCGACCCCGGCCGCGTCCGTCGCTTCGCTTAACGCCCCTAGCACGCAAGGCAAGGTGCGAACAAGCGGCCCTCCGCAGCCAGGGTCGAGGATGGTCGCCTGCAGCGCGGCTACGTCTTTTCCAACCATGCCCGGTGTACCGTCCGCTGCGCCCAGCTCGCTACCCGCCCAGGCGCCGTCACCGCTTCGCCGCCCTACAGCACACGCGCATGCACGCTGCGTGGCATGCGAGGCGTCGCTATGCTATGCGACGCTGCACCTGTCTGCGCGTCGCGGCGGGTATGAGGTCAAGCGCACGCAAATCCCGCCTGCCGGTGTCCACCTGGCCTCGCCCGTGCGCATGTCGTCGAGTGGTACGCCACGGCCTATAGGCATCGCTCTACCAAGCTTGCCTCCGCCTGCCGTCCTGCACTCCCTCCCCCACCCGTGCACCCCGTCCCATGCCCATGCCATGGGATGCCCATGCCATGCCATGCCCGCTGCGCCGTTTACTCATCACCCTACGCCCCACGCTCCCGAGAAAGTCAGTTAGACGACTGTTACAACGCTGGCGATCCTTGCTGTTCGCGTGCCCGCTCCCGAGTGCACTGAATCGAAGCCCTGGGAAGGACGCGAAGCTATAGTTGTGCATCCTCTTGCCGCGCAAAAATTGTTCGCGCTACTGTCGCACATCTCGCCTGTTGGCTCACCTCGAATCTCTTCATAACCCGTCCACTTCCCCAGCTCGCCTGCCGCCCTCTTCTCTTGCAATCAATCATCCATCATCGCACCTTCTCCCTTCCACACATCCCACCTTCTCCCACTTCACTCGTGACTTCTACGACATGGCCCAACCAACCCACCAACTGCCCACACCTGTCCTTCGCAGCAAGATGAGTCGCAAAAAGGAAGCGGCGGCCGCAAAGGCCTCCAAACGTCACAGTCTCACGCCGATTCTCACAAAAACCAAACCCCTCTCTACCAAAGCCACCTCGGAAGACGACTACGACGCATTCCTACAACACCTCTCCGACGAAATCGTTGGCTATCTGCGACATCAACAGCATGCCGGCCGCAAGGACTCTGTTTGCTCTTCTACCTGCTTTTCTCGCCCTGTCAGCAGCGACGGTGCCCGATGATCTGGCCCAGCTGAACGCCTCCTGCCAAGCAGTGGCCGGCATTCTGAACGCCTCCCTGAACAACTCCACGGCAGTGGTAAGTCGATCCCCAAAGAAATGCCCTTCCATCATCATCCGTACCATACACTCGGGAATGCAGCCTCGGCTAACCAGCGTGCAAATAACAGAACACGTCGAGCCTGATCCAGGGCATTGGATGGGAGATCGGCGCGTGTCTTGCCAACCTCAACTCTCCCGCCGACAACATGACGGCGGTAAGCTGGCTTTGCCCCCCCCCCAAGTGCCGCGCTTCGGTTCCACTAAAAGCTAACGTCGATCTCCGTTCCACAGCCGTCGACTCAGCCTTCTGCAGCGCCAAGCCCGACCACGAGCACCTATGATGCGCCTTACTTTGTCGTACGTCTTAACATTACTCGTAATAAGGGAAAAAAATACTGACGTCGTTTGACAACAGTATGCCGATTCGATGCTCGACCTCTCCGAAGCACTCATCCGTCGCGGCCAAGTCCCTCACGCCGAGCCCAACTTGCCCGTGTACACTGCCTTGCAAGGCCTGTACAACGTCATCCAGGTTCGTCGCGTCTCCCATCTCGCCTAACACTCTTCGCGTCGCTGACTTTCAATCCAGTCCTACGGCTTCCAGCTCGACAACACCGGCAGAATCTCCCGCAGCGCCCTCATTCGCACACTGACAGTCGGTGAGTTTCGAGACCCGGCGGTCGGCGCATCGCGACCGTTGATGGAAAAAGGCAGAACGTTGTCGGCTAACGAAAGTATGCTGGGCAGGCAATTCCATCGTCGACGCCGAAAGCGTGTGGGCGCGCAACCTGTCCGCCGCCGTCATCTCCGCCGACAGCGACAATCAGCGGAAGAGAGCCAGACGCACGGCGGGGTACGTTGCGTGATCTCGCTTCACGGCCGACTCGCTGCGTCGCGTATAGCACATGATTCAGATTGCGGATTTGTGTGTCTCGAATACGCCTCGGAGGAAGCGGATGCGGATGCTCGGCATGGAAAACTTCCGGTAGCTGTTATTTTAGCATGGCCCTGTGGCTTGGTTCGAGACCAACCTCGTCTAGATGAATTATGTACCTGTGTCAACGTGTGGACATGAGGATAGAGGCACGAGATCAATGAGACAATGAAATCAAGAGCATTCTTACACAACCCACTCGTTCATATACAAGTTTGCAACCTCTTCTCTACGACGGGAATATCATCGTCGTCCAAAAGCACCAGGCGGAACAGGCCCACGGGCAGGCAGGCAAGCAAGCAAAACAAACCTCCGTCGCAATCGCGATGTACACAAGCAAATTCCGAAACCCCGCAAGGAAAAGGACGAAACGGAGCAAATACCGAGCCGCACAACTCCAGAATCCCATCAAGTCACACGCTCGTCCGCTTACGCCTGCACCCACTCGGTACCTAGTATCCAGCAAAAATCGAATTAGCTATATTCGTAACATGCCAGGCGAGGTTGGAAAGGCTGCTGGCTGGCTGGCTGGCTGGCTGGGTGTCTTTCCCCACACGACACCATCGAAAGGTAAATTGGGCCCAACAAAGACGTACCTCGTTTAATGAACTTGTCGAGCAACACGCCCACATCCGCGAGCACGAAGCGACAAACGTAAAAGGCGAAAAACTCCGCGGCGTGGCGCACGCTGAGCTCCATGCTGACGTGCGTCGTCGACTGCGCGCGCAGGCCTGGATCTTCGACCTGGCGAGCAATTTGATCTGTGGAGAGGCAAGAATTAAGCGAATTAGCCAAGCGTCCTCTGGTTGCGCAATAGCAAGGCAAGCCTTGTGGGATTTAGAGCAGCATGCGGTGCATAAGTGGGCCAAATTCTCCGAGGGGTGGGCTAAGCGGAGCTGGCGCCGGCGTGCAAGCGAAGCCGGCTGCCCTCGCTCGCTTTCTCCCCAATCTCCCACAGTTCTGAGGTGTACTGTGGGGTGGAAGGAGGGCAACAGTGGAAGGGGAAGGATGGGAAGGACGTACCGAGAATGCGCACGCCGTCAAACAGGCGCACAAGCGAGTTCACGTACTCGCGCTGCGGGCCCTCGTTCGAGACGAAGCTGCTGCTGTTGTTGTTGTTGTTGTCTCGCGCCTGCTCTCTCTTCTGCGCGCCGCGCCGATGTTCCACCGCGTACCAGCTCGTCATTGGCACCGAAGGTAGGTCAAAGGCCTCCTTCTCGGAAGCGGTCGGGAAGCCTCCTTTGGCGTTGTTGTGCATGTTGCTGCTACCCATGCCTGCCACAGGCGCACCGGAGCTCTTGCTTCGGAGTTTGCGCCACGATGCAAGGTAGCCTTTGCCTCCAGCTCCGCCGCCTTCTCGACCCTTTGCGACCGAGATGGCGTCAGAGATCAACGAAGTCTTGGCCGATGAGCTCGCGGATAGATTGCCGTACGAGGCTTCTCTGAAGAGCCCAGGCAGGCCGCCGACGCCCACGTCGCCGCCCAGACGCTTGCTGAGGGCGGCTTGCACACGCTCCATGACATCTTCGAAGCTTTGCAGCTCCACCATCACCGCCTCGGCGTCCAAGGTGTCCACCTCGCCCAGCTTCCCGAGCGCCGCGGTAAGCAGGTCGAGTTGCGCGATCTTGTCCTCAATTGACTTGAGCTTCACCCCGCGCGTCTGCCACACCTCGCGCGGCACAAAGAGTTTGGACGTCAGAAAGGCGCCCTTGGGGTGGGTCAGACTGGCATGAATGTTTCGCATAAGCCAGAATGGCCGCAGCAGGAACGATTCAGGGCATGGCTCGACGCCAGCCGGGATACTCGTCGACCTGTTGGACAGCGGCCGTCCCGCCTGGGCGTCTGAGAGCGTCGTATCGAAGAGCAGAATGTCTGCGTACTTGCCCTCCGCCGCCGTGCCCGCGGCCGAGGGCAAAGTGGCGCGTTGAGAGGTGAGAGGCGTGTCAATGTTGCGCTTCGGACCAAAGTTCATGAATGTAGAGCTCAGCGGCGTGACCAGAGACGGCCCGGTGTCAAAGGTCGGCGAAGATAGGAGAACACGATGCTCCCGTAGGCTCATTTCAGATTTGTTCTTCTTGACCAGAGGGGGGTAGTGGAGGCGTAGATCGTCGGATTCCAGGCTCTGCCAATAATCCGGCGTGGTGGCCGTTCCCGGCCTCTCACCCTCTGAGATGGGTGAGCCCAGATCTGCTGGAGCCGCCAACCTGGGCGCATCTCCTCGCTGCCTATCCTCGAATGCCACGGGCCCGAGTAAGCCGCCGAACTTGAAGTTCTGATCGAGCTCAGGCGGAGAAACGTCATGCGGCTTGAAAGAAGTCGATTCCTGATGAATGGTCGAAGCCCGTTTCCTCACGTCTGGCAGACTCGGTGTCTCGATTTTGAGCTGCTTCGGATTCTGCCCAGATAGCCTTCTATTACGAACACCGGAGGCTCTCTTCGGGTTCCCTGTAGGCGGCGTTGGGAGTGACATCTGTGGTGGAGGTGCGGTGAGCGGCGGGGGAGGCGCAGCCAGCATCGAGTTGATCGAAGCGGATGTGGTGAATGCGTTGTGCAAGGGAGGGACGCTTGATACGTCTTCAGTGACGGTGGACAGAGATGTGCCAGCAGTAGTTCGATCGGAGACCTGCGAACTCTGCCATGTGCTTCTCGAGTATCCACTGGAATCCGACTGGCGTGGGAGTGCAGACTTTGTCGAGCGATCAAAGATGAACGCTGCACCGTAGTCTCGCGCGATGTCGTCCAGTATGCGCTCTTCCTCCTCGTCTGCGCCCAGTATTGGGTCACCGAGGCGAGGGGCATACGTGATGGGAGAAGTAATCTCAACAATCTCAGAGCTCCGCACCTGGCTGGATCCGTGGTACGCATGTTGTACCTTGTTGTCAGTGTCTCTCGGCCTGACGCTTTCTAGGTCGGGCTCGAGACCCTCGTCATAAGCCGCTTCCACCGCAGCATCAAAAGCCGCATCAAAGTCTGGGTTGGAAATGCCGCTTGCCGTGCGGAGATGCTTTCGATGCAACCCCTGCTGGGAGGACACCGAATGCACTGACGATCCTCGAGACGATCTGTCTTCTCTAATCGTGTCCAACCATGCTGACTGGTCACTACTCGCGTCGAGGTTGGGGGGCAAGGTGGCCTCATCGTCGAACACATTTCCTCGTGTAGGTGATTGTCCGCGTTTTGGCGATAATGGAACCGGGGTGTAGTCGCTTTGGGGAGGTGGAAGATGCAAATTAGTCGTCTTTAGCGGTAGAGGCACCGCAGCGGGAGCGTCGGCAGAGACTGCCCTGTCCATTGTCAGATCTCTTTGCCCGATCGAGGGCTGATCTAGCGACTCTCCCGTGTAATGTGTGGGGTTCAAAGCCGGCTCAACTGCCAGCCCATTTGTGTATGCGTGTCCAGTGTGAGTATCGAGATCCGCATGGTGTTCTTTGTAAGCTTGTTGCACAGGATCCGCAGCCACCACCGCATCGAGTCCAGTGCCCACTTGCATCGTGGATTCGAGCGGAGGGCCTGCGGGCGCTGCTATACCAAAAACATCATCCTCGCTCTCCGGTCGAGGCGGTAGTTCTTTCTCTTCAGCGCCATCGCCCATGTCCATTTGCATTTGGTGCAGCTCCTCGATTCGCGCGATGTAGGTTGACCGAATTGCGTCGAGCTTACGTTTGTCATCGGCGCCCGTGCTGCGGTTCATGACCAGACGAAGAAGGGTACACGCATCGCTATAAGCCTCCAGAGCGCCCTCAAAATTCTGGGCATTGTCGAGCACGACGGCGGTGTTCGCCTTATGCAGGGCCTTGGAGAGCATGTCCTTCTTCTCTCGCTCGCCCCTACCTCGCGGTCGTGAGGTTTTGGGTCGACTTTCGTCTTTGACGATGCCGTTGCCATGCGGTTCGCTCCATGATTCTGGGTTATCACGCGAGGCGTCATAAGGTCGCAGGGGGGTATCCGTTCTTGTGGTGTCCGAATCGGCCGCGCCATCCATTGTTGATACAGGCGCACCGGCCGCCTGAAGCGGCGGAAGGCTGTTCAAGGGGCTGGTAAGCTCCGGCCGTGATGTTCGTATTCGTTGTTTCTGAGGACTGCCTGCGGGCGATTCCCGGACGCGTGAGGACGGGCTGGATAGCTGTTTGGTCTGCACACTCGTGCGCGGAGAGTAATTAACCATGCCTGAGCTTCTTCTTTTTGAAGGGTAATCGGGATTTGATGAGCCCGCCAAAAGTGCACCGCTGCTTGCTCGACTTCTCGTCGCGCCTGCAGAGACGACACTGGATGACCTGGATGTTGAGTGCACGCCAAATGCGTTGCTACCAGGCCGCTCCGAAGCATCGATTGCGACACTCGATCGCCGTTTGGTGTCCGGTGGCAATTGATCCCGCCCAACGCGGAGGGTTATGAGAGAGGTTTCTCCCGGGCTCTGCACAGGCATTGGCAGAGAGGAATTCCGGGAGCCGGTGCCAGAGGAGCCAAACGAGGCGGTGCGCTTCATCGTCACCACGGATGCAGATGAGATGGAGTTGGAGCGCGAGGAATATCGATATGGTATGGGGATGGAGGATGGCGGGTCGGAGACTGGCACAGCTGCGCCATTCCCTTGCACCGCCTGCATTGTGATGATCAACGGTCAAATCCGCGGCGCCAGTCGCGCTGCAGCACGTTAAGTGGCAGGCATGCGCCGAAGGTGTGCGGATGAGGGCCGAATGGAGTCGTGATAGCTGCTAAATCCAAACACCAATGTGATGCGCCCCGGCACGAGCCAATGGATCAATCGTTTGGCGTGGTTCAAGGATAGGCTTCGCAATGTCGCTGCTGTGTAACTTCGGGCGCGGGGTTGCAGATTGTGGCGGATGGCTGTATGTTCGGGACCAAAGCTACATCTCTTCACCGGGAGAAATGTGCGCGCAAGCCCAAAGTCGTCATGGCCGTGATCTCTCCGACGTTACGCTCGTATCAGCAACGGGTTCCGGAATAGCACCCCTTCCAATCTCCACTCGCTCTTCCTTTCGTTCGGAGGTTTGAGAGGTGTTGAGGTTGTTGCGCCAATCGAGCGACAGTAAAGTCCTCAATCTATCCGTCGCGCGCGGGTTCCAACTCTTGCGACAAGGGGTCTATATGCGGCTATCCGTCTGCGCTGAGCAATGGATCCAGTGGGCGCCGACAGCGTCACAATGATCCACGTTCCAAGAGGGCGGTCTTCCAAAAAGCACCTGCTGCGATCCTTCCGTACTCAACAATGAGCCATGCGATAGCGCGCAGCGATGAGCGGGCGACGCAGATGGTCGCGGAGGGTGGTGAGTGGGTGTAGCGGGGATTTCCTAGAGACACAACCACGTCGCAAACACGGACATAGCACATACGTAGCAGAAGAGGTTGCAGGCAGGGAGCCAAGGAATCCCATATCTCTCCCTCGCCCGCGCCCGGCGGTCAGGGGCGCCCACCTAGCGCCAAACTCTACATCCGTCTCCCGAAGACCGCACATCACATCCACCGTCACGCCAGCCATCACGTCTCCACGTACTGTCATCCACTACGCCACTGCGCCACTGCTTCATCTACTCTCCCGACAAGCAAATCAAGACTTCCTCGATTGCATCGCGTGTGCGAGCAAAAACCAAACCCATCGCGTATACCACTCTGACGCACCTGCAGCATCTATCCGTGTCTCGTGCCCCGTCTGTAGCAATGATCTCAGCACCCCCACCACACCTCGTCAGCACACATCCAAGCATCCAGCTCGGGAGTGCTCGTGCATGAAACCAAGACGTCCATCTCTTGGCCCCGGGGCTGGTGCGTTAGACTTCCGAGCTGCAGCTGTCACCGCGTCAATGCATCGGCACTCAGCGCTGCAGCACGAGCAGAGCAACCGCCTGGTAGCGGAGTGCGGCATGACGCACACATCTCACGTGTGCGTTGATCAGTCCTGCGGGTTGCGATGCTCGCTACAAGTATACATGCTCCTCCGCACGGTCCCGTTCTGCGACTCTGCTGCAGCCTGCCACAAGCGACACGCGCTACACTACCGAGCTGCATGGCTGCATATCTCTACATCATACGTTATGCACGATATATATAGACACCTTCCACCCCATGCCCAACCGAATACATCAGACGTCTGCTACTGCATCTGATCACCGATCATGTCCATCATGCAATCCTTATCGAAGCGATCAAAATCATGAATCATCGTTATGTCCCCATCTACTCCCGAACGCTAGGTACACGCCATGAATATGCAAGACCCCATCCCTCACAACGTCTCCCAACCCCCCGGGTTAACATCCCCCTCCAGTTTCCTCGAAATGACTGTAGGAATCAACTGCTGCAACCACACTTCGCGAATCAACTTGTCATAGCGCCTCTGATTCAAAAACAGCTGATGATGCCTCCGCATCGTCGGGTCCGGCTCGCCATGCTTATCAAGGAAGGGCGCATTGACGAAACTACCGTTGCCCGCGCCGTGCCGCAGCAGCACCATGCACTTACGCACGTTGATGAACAGGCCTGTCTTGCCCCCGCACTTGCTCATATGCTGGTAGCAGCCGCCTTTGTTCTTGTCGCGCATGCAGCACACCGCCTGCGAGCAGAAGATGGCCCCGCAGAGCAGGCAGATGGCTGCGTCGGTGATTTCCCGCCCGGTCGTGGGGCATTTGCGTCGGATTGCTTCTTCGCTCAGCGTGTCGTAGGCCTTGGGGAGACCGACCAGCTCGAAGATCGCGGGGTGCGGCAGCATGGGGAGACGATCGAAACTGTATTGAATCGAAGGCTCGGCGATCCAGCGGGCGGTGAGTTGGCGTATTCTGTTCCCTGGCCCCGATTGTGACGTGTAGGTAGTGCAGAGCTCGTCGATGGTGGGAAGGTGAAGCAACTGTGTAAGCCTGGCGCCCTCGGACGCCTCGGGCTCGACCTCGTATGGACAATCGAAGTCCAGACCATAGCGTACATACATGATGAGCATGCACTTCCGCAAGAACGTCAGCGTATACCTCTCGACGATATGACGAAGCATGGCGCATTCCTCGTCCGATAGCACAAGGCCTGTCGAATCGTTCGAGATCTGCAGAATAGCATGCATCGCTGCTGTGAAAGCCTCGCCAGCCGGAGCAAGAGGAACCGTAGAAGCCGGCGCGCCTCCATCCCGCAGCACTTTCGTATACACGCAAGCAACCTTGGCCACCTCCGCCCACAAACACAACTGCATCACGTTCGACGCCTCGGCAACGTTGGGCGCAAGGTGTGTGAGCCAGTCAACGAAGAAGGAGAACGTGTCCTCGGCGAACAGAATGCACGGCTCGGTCAGACTGTCGTACCTGTCGTCATCAGCCGCGCTTGACCCGAGGTTTTGCGTGCCGAGGAGCGCAGCTATCAGCCTGTCCCGCACAACGGACGTCTGGCGTCCGACGAAGTTGACCGGAGACGGTCGCAGGACACTGACGGCCAGGTACGACTCGATCGTTTCGGACAGGACGCGGAAGTGCGTAAGAGCCAGCTCCGGTACGTCGGACAAGAGAGAGCGGGCGAGGATATCATTGCCCACGCCACGATGAGCGATTTCGAATGCTGAGATCGACAACGCCAGCGAGCGCGAGAGGGCAGGAATGGGGTTCACCAAGCCGTCGACATAGTGTCCATCGATCCACAACTTGTTCTTCAAAATCGTCTCGTCGACGCGATAGTACGACCTGGCCAACTCGCTCATGCGCGGCACTTGCTCTGTGCTCGGAGAGAGGTTGGTAGTGTCGATGGAACTCTGACTCTCGCTCCGGCCCCAAGGTAGGAATCTCGAGAATCCCGAAGATCTGCGCACGGGATAGCGATGGGGCGAGGATTGCGACGGCGGCGGCGAGTCCAGCGAAAGCTCGCCCAGGGTCGCGGCCAGCGACGGTGCAAACATGTTGCTCACATAATGCGACGAGCGGCTCGTAAACACATGGCCTGCGTCCGCCCGACTCAAAACATCCTGCCGATACGCCAGGTCTTCCAAGTAGGAGGAGTCGAGGCCGCCCAACCAGTCATCGAATGACTTCGCGGCGTGCAGTTCGTGGTCGTGTGCGCATTCTTTGGCCTTCCAGATGATGGGTAAGAACGTATTTCCCAGCGCTTTACACAGCGGGCAGATGAACTCGTTCAACAGCGGGTTGTCCGGCTGATTGCGGGCGATCTGTTGCTGATGCCGTCGGAGGCTGTTCTGCAAGTACAGATCGAAGCAGCTGTAGTGCATGATATGGCCACACGACGTCGCAACGGGGCCGGAGAAGCATGGCCCATCGCATGGGAAGCCTTTCGAAAGACCTTGCTTCTCGGATTGCACGACCTTGCCACCCGGTGCAACCTTGTTGACGATTTGCTTGTTCCTGCCGGCCACGCCAAACGGCCGCAACTCGTCCGCCGGTCGATCCAGGCTTTCGGGAGTGTCAATCACTTCGCGCACAAAGTCCTGGTCCTCGACCGGAGTGGCCCGTAAGATTCGAGTCTCTCCAAGATATGCAAATGTGCCATAGAGCCTTTGATCGTTCGTCTCCTCTTGACACCAGATGCACGTGCCAGTCGGGAAGCTCCACGTCTTCTTCTGTTCCATGTCCTCCGGCTCGCCGGTGACAGACATGTCATCGAGGTCGTCGAAGTCGTCGTCGAATCCAACCAAGCCCTGATTTTGGAGGAAGCTGTTCTGTTGCTGCTTCATCTGCGCCATGACTCGAGCCTGTCGCGCAAGCGCTTCTTGTTTCTTGCGCTCTTTGTCCTCCGAAGAGACCGAAGCAGGTGAGCTGGTTTCTGTCCGATCGAAGAGCGCACCCAGAGGACCCAGCGCGTTGCCCACAACCTCCGACTGCCGCAAGTGCATCTTCCGCAGGATGTGGCGAATAGTAGGATGGCAGGAAGCATAGTCTTCAATGCCAGAAAGAGTGACGAGGAGTGAGACCACGGACTGCTGTTGGTTGCCGGCTCCATTTCGAGGCAGCGCAGCTAACCTCACAAACCCTTCTCCGTGCTCGGTGTCTTCGATTGTAGCAATCACGACAAGGTGCAGGACCATGTGTAAGAAGGTTTCGATTCGCGTGCTCTGAAGCTTCGTACTCGAGCTCCGTGCGGAACCGGCAAAGTTCAAAGCGCTTGCAATGACCTGCACAAACAGCGGCGTGGATGTAAACGCCGCCAGGTGCTCGAACAGACCGGACGTGATGGGCTGCAGACTCGGCTCGTAGACGATGTCTTCCGCCTTCTTCCCGGACTTGCTGGCAACATGCTTTTTGTAGATGCTCTCCGCTTCTTCGCGGTGATTCCGGGTAAAGTGGGCGTAGTACGGGTCGACCAGTTCGATGAATTCGGGCTTCAGCTCAAACGTGCCGGTATCACTCATCCCTTCAGGGGCACGATACGTCGTCATTGTCTCGAGCACCCGATTGAAATTGTCGGATTCGCTGACCTTCTCCGTCACACGCGCTGCAATGTCGGAGAAGGGGAGGGGCTTGAAACAGAGTGCGTGGGCGATATCGTGCTCCAGCAGTTTGTCATTCTGGTCCAGTCCTTTTGCATTAGGAACCAGATTGCCTCTCTCGGAAAGTGTCACCACCAAGAGATGGTAGAAGTCCTCCAAGACGTCAATCTGCTGAAGTTCATCGAAACCAGGCACCACCGAGTAATCTTCTTGCATCCACTTCTCCAGTTGAAAGCGATCGATGACCTGAGCCAAGAACCTCTCGCCGGGGCGCTCCGAGTCGGATCCAGAAAGCACAAATCCGGCCTGGACCATGTGGAGATCTCGTTGATACCCAACGTCACGATGCGAAACGTTGCGGTACGTGTGCGCCTGGTGACGGAGAGTGATGCCATTGCGCACCCACATTCCCGCCTTCATTTGCCCCAACCATACGCATACACGCAGGGAATGGTCGAAGATTGCACTCAGCAGCTCGTCGGACGAGACGTGATAAGGCAGAGTCTGCGGACGATTGATGTTCCATGGATCTTTGAGATCGTCGGGTGTGAATTGCAGAAGAGATCGGAGCTCCTGTCGGCTCATACCCTTCGCATGCTCGATCAGCCACGAGAGGAGGTAGTGCAGCGGATGGTGGAAGCTCAAAGGCGTCGTCTGTACAACGCTTCTAGGAACCTTGAAGATTTTATCGGTGTGGTCGAATGGTCCGACGGCGTGCCAAGTGAGCTCTTCCTTCACTTCAGCGGCATGAAACCGTTTCCTCTCGCATCCGTAAGAATTGATCAGCACAACCTGGGCCACGGTTCGAATGGCTCGCTGCAAATGCATGTTTCCATCCAAAGCACCAGACTGCGGCTCAAACGCCAGTCCAACCTGCTTGCAAAGCTTGTTGATCTCCTTCACAATCATGCTGGCCGTTATCCAGGCATCGGACTCATATTCAACGTGCTCGCTGGTGGCACGCACGTTTGGACAGACACCTTGGTGCAGTTTGACGAGATCCAAGAATTGTAGGAGATATCGCTGCTCGTTTCGTATGCGGGACAGGATGAAGTCGGACTGGAAGAGCCAGCGTAGGTCGAGGAAGAAGTGGAACATGCGTCTATTAGTCACAGCACCCGCATCGAAAGCGAGAGTTGCGCGAGGAGACACATCTTCGGGGAACCCGACTTGTCGCGTGGTGAGAAAAGTGTAGAGAATGGCCATGAGGTTTGAGAGGAAGTTGCCGCGCTCCACAACCTCCTGCGTGATGCTTGGCGTGGTCAGCATCTGCACGCTCAAGTTGATGATACTATGATCTGGCTCCCGGTCGGCGATGAGGTAGAGCTGCGCGAGGGCAGTGTACAAACCAGCAAAGCGCAACCCCAAGATCCGCTTGAAACGAGGGATGGTGACCACAGTGGTGATGTAGAGGTGTCGGAGGTGGATGCGCAAGGTCTTCCAAAGCCGTAGATCGTACAAGATCAGATAGTCCAGCTTTACGCGCTGCCATAGATCTTCGCATGGTTCGATAGGTTTGGTGTCTCTGAACCCTTCGGGCTTCTCCAGCCAATGTTTGCTTGGCTTTGGGGGTTTTCGGACCTGGCTTCTGAATTTGCTGGGGGTCCGCGGGATGGTGCCATACGGCGCATCAGTCACATTGTGAAGTACCGCCGATGGTGCATCACCCCCTTCCTCACTTTCTGTGGGAGTGAAGATTTGTCTCGTCGAACGTGTTCTCCGTGTCGTGCCAGTCGGTGGCGGAGGTGGGGTGGGGTAGCCCGCGAGCGTCGCTTCAAAGGCCTCGGTCACATCCTCCGTCTCATCGAGAATATCAATCTCCATGTCTGCATCGTTGACAGCCGCCACCGTCGCCGCCATCGCCGTGTTTGCCGCGCCTCGGAGATCTTCGACCTCGACATCCATTTCATCGTCTTCCATGATCATCATCTCGTCGTCATCATCGTTTGCGGCGAGTTCCACAGCGATATCGTCCTCATCGAGAGGGGCAGTTGCTTGGAAGACGATGGCATCGACCGTATCAGGGCCAACGCGGAAAGGTTGGATGAATCTGCGCCATCGCTCTCGCGACTTTGCATTATCCTCCATCTCGTGGTCGTCTATGCCAGCTTTTCCAATGTCCGCGTTTGACGCCTGACTGCCCTTCCTCCAAGGCTTCAGCATCTCCTCGCACACCACGTTTCGCAGGATGTGGGCGTCAGTGCCCACCGAGCAGCCGGCGATATCTCCAATCCAGTCGACGATGGTCTCACACATGTACTCACGGAATGTATCTCGCGAGGAACGGATCGTCACGGTGACTTTCAGTTGCTCGATGACTTCTGCCATGCGCAGCAACAGCCTCAAATCCGTGGAGTACTCGATCACAGATCGACCGACACTGTCCACCTCCATCGCTTTCTCGAGGCCGAATTTCTTGGTCCTCGAGCAGGCTCGGGCGACCTGGTTCTGGACATCGTAGACGGTATGCTTCTCGTCATTCCAGAGGAGGAGTGCATATTCGATCTGGTCTGGTACAACTTCGTCCCCGTAAATCGTGGATAGACGTGACTCTTCCTCATCTTTTCGTATGCTCGCCTCCGTCTTGGTCAATCTCATCTGCTCGGGGGAGCAGGAGAAGACATCACACAAGTAGTCGATCGTCCTGGCAACGGTCATACGGATGGCCTCGACCAAGTCCACAGGTAGATCTGATCCCACACCACCGGCTGAAGCTTTCTCTTTCCCGTTATGCTGTTGCTGCTGCGGCTGAGGTGCTGCATCGGCCGTGTGAATCGTGCATGGCACCTCCCTCCTCCACGCCTCGTGGTCCCCACAATCGCAGCACCCGCTGTTTCCCGGACTCACGCTAACAAACACCTGATGGCCCTCGTGATCGCTCGCGTTGAAGCATCGCGCGCAAAGGACGCAAGTATCGTCTGCGGCGCACGTCTTGCAGTGATATGTGCTTTCGCCCGTCTTGAAGATGTGCCCGCAGGCTGTGCCTTTCGCTGCAGCAGTGTATTCCGCGCCATCTATTGCTCCCTGGGCGGATTTGAGACACCACTCTTCTGAGCGGTCGGTAGGTGGACCGTTGGGAAAGAGAAGGCGAAGGTAGTCATCACGATGGCGGGCGATGGAGCGGAAGAGGATCTGGCGCAGTTCGCACTTGGCGGCGTGAGTATAGCGGTTACCGTGGAGTTCAGGGAGGTCTCGAAGGGCGATGTTGAGGGCGCGTTCCTCTGAAGAGAGGGTTTGCATGTCGTGTGTGATGAAAAGGAGACCACAGCCTGGCGAGGATGTTCAGTCTCAAGCTTGACTTTGCCTGTGTCGCATGCGCGCAATTAGGTTCGCGATGGATTATCGACGGTCTGGAGGTTGATCATGGCGAGGTAGATGTCGAACGTGTGATGAGAACGTCTTTGAATGAAGTTGCTGGCAGTGGCAACTCGAAGAAGGTGGGATGACAAAGTCGAAGGTGTCGTGCTGCGTGGGCAAGCGCATGCGTCACAGCTCCCAAGACGGCCAATATTCACAGGGTATGCGAGGAAACGACGGCCATCATTTACTAGAGATGGCGAGTCTTTCGTATCACGAACAATCAGCAGAGACGGCCAAGCACATTCACTTCCACAATACTGAAGTGCCGCGCAGATGGACATTGTTGAGCTTCACGTGATTTGTAGCCAGTCGAAGCGTAGCGCTAGCAGGTGTATATGTACAATGTTGCCGGCTTCAACCACTCAATCTGTGGAACTAGCAGCACTCTCTTCTCGATGTATTGATCGAAGAAGACCAGTGCTCCGCTCCGTCACTTTCTCCTCGCTCCTCCACCTCTTCAGCAGATGCAGATATCATTCATCATCATCATCGTCTCCCTCATCGTCCCCGCCGCCTCCGTTCGACATGTACTTGTGCTTGATGTCTTTCCATTGTCGCTGTACCCATCGTTAGCACCCTTTGCCGTGTAGAGAGGGATCGTAGTTCACATACGCCGCGATTAATCGAATCCCAGATCAAATTTGAACCAGAGTCAAACACCCTGCGAACGCTGTGTCAGCTCTGCGCACTTGCACTACTCTTTCCATCGCGCGACGTACATTTCGGTGGCAAAGGCGCCTACGAAGATGGTGGTGAGGAAGACGGCATTTCTCCGGACGAAGGCACTGCAAAGGTGGTGTCAGTTTGCACCTCCTCAATGGCCGCGGCCGCGGGTCAGCCCCGAACGCACGTGTAGATGGTGTTAAGTAGGCCCGACATGGTCGGCAGAGGAGGATGTGAAGACTCGAATAGGGCGACGGTGGGCGCTTGGTCCTGAGAGGCAGTCGTGCTGGCAATTGGTGCTGGTGTTTGCAGAGGTATGGAGGTGGTAGAGCTTGCCTTTCGAGATTCGGGATGGCCCGGCACCATCCCCGGCAGCAAAGCGGTTGCGTGGCCCGTGCGCTGAACATTTGACCGCACCTCAAACGTCGGGCACGTATGAATTTCAGAGAGCTTTATGGAACCGAACCACGTCGCCCACAAACCCCTGGATATGACTGTTGCACGCATGGAGGATGGAGATCTGTAACAAGAATACGTTTCGGTGATATCGACTCGATTGTCTTAACAGAAACCCGCCAACGTACCCAGTTGCCTGTTACGCAACAACCATGGCGCCCAAGGCAGCTTCTACTCCCACCTCAAACTCCGGCATTCGCCAACTCAGCAGCGGTGAATCGATAATTCCGGCATCTACTCGCGCGGACGGGACCGTACGGAAAGAGATTCGAGTCAAGCCAGGCTACAAACCCCCGGAGGACGTAGAGGTCTACAAGAACCGCACCGCCGAAGCTTGGAAGACTCGAGGGAAAGGTGGTGTCCCTGGAGCCGAAAAGGCCGAGGCTGAGCAGAATGATGGGCCTCAAAGTGCAGCTGCGATTAAGAATGCCAAAAGGAGAGAGGCGAGGAAAAAGGCCGCTGCGTCGGGCAAGGAAGAGGAGGAGGAGGCAACGGGAGCGGAGGCAAACGGACACGTGGTGAAGACGAACGGTGCTGCAGAGATTGTTGAGGCAGAGCCAGTCGACCCAGAAGCCGAAAAGGCAAAGGAGGCCAAGAAGCTGGCGAAGAAGTTACGGCAAGCACAGGATCTGCAGGCGAAGAAGGAAAGCGGCGATAGCTTGCTGCCTGAGCAATTTGCCAAGGTCATCAAGATCCACGAACTGATCCGGCAACTGGACAATCTGGGATTCGACTCGGAGGGAGTCAAAAAGGAACAAACTTCGAAGCATGAGAACAGGCCTTGACTTTCCCGCTGATCGAACACTACATCAATGGCTGCTGCTGCACATCCAGTCTTCACACGGCGGTGACGACCATGACCACACAGTCCAAGTATCCTTGCTCGATGACCTCGCCGCCGTAGTCGACTCGGAGATTGAGCCTATCCAGCTTCACATCCACATTCACCAGGGGCTCGTGGACGGGATCTTGCGAGGTGTCGTGCCGCGGATTCATCCAAAACGTGTGAGCCCAGCTAGCCATGAAAACCCTCATCACAAAGTGCGTCTGTTCCTGCCTCCACATCTCTGCAGAGCCGTGGCGCGGAGCAAGTCGCATGATGTGTCGTCCATCGAACCCCAAAGGCAGGTCAATTTCGGCTCTTGCGCGAAAGCATCTTAGAGTATGTTTGGATGCGAGAAGCATGATCAGTGGAAACGCACCTTGAGGCAGCAGCAGAAAGAATACGGTGACTGTGCAGCGATGCTCCATGCGATTTCTCAGCGGCAGGGCGAAGTCCACGCACGCCTGCCAGACCTGCTAATGTCAGCTTTCCCGCCGAGATCGGGGAGTGGTTTAAAGTCGCTGCACGCATACCGGCTCGCAGCGGTCGCCATATTGCTCCAGAAAGATGGGATCGAATCGATCCATATGTGGTCCGAGGGATGCCATTGAGGTTCCATTGGTGGCCATGACTCTTAGCTGCGTCTTTCGTGGTGTTGGGTTTGGATCTGGCTTCGACGTCTCCTTGGGGTTACGGTTGATACAATGGATCAAGGCATGAGAGTGAAAGGCGAACGCCATTTATATATGGACTCAACGCCACGCCATCAGACAGCAACGATGAATTCAGCGTGCGTCCAACTGTCATGATTCAATCTAGTCCTGTTAATATACAACCTCGCCTGGAGAAGTTTGCTCGGTTGCCGAGCTGTGGTACAGATGGACGGGGAACTGCAGGGAGTCGATTGGTAAGATAGCCGTGGTTGGTGGTGAGTGATCTACGGCTTGTTACACAGGAGGTGACTTGAGCTGGAGGAGCCATGGATTGTTGGCGGATTCCTGCATTTACTTGAGACTAGAGTCGAGGCGTATATCGTTTACCATGCTCGTCGGAAAGGGAGCGGACCAACGGAGAGATGCAGCGTGTGGTCACTGGGGTGAAGCTGCGGTGAATGCGGCCTGCACCAATCCACTCGGCTTCAAGCGGCAAGCTCCACGACGTCGTCTTATTAGTCATCCGAGCATTGGACGCGGCATCTGATGAATCGGACCATCGCCCTTCGCTCTTCACCGCGCACGAATGGTCTGAGCATCTTTTCCCCCCAACCATCCGCGCGCCTCGTTTCCTTTGTCTTGGTTGCATTCTGCGATTCAGCCCCTTGCATTGCGCGACCATGGCCGCCCCCGACGTATCCGACTATCCGGCGATCGTGGTAGGGTAGCGCGTCCAAACACCCCGGAGTACACGGGAGCTCACATATATCACAGGCGCAAGTCCAGCCCCCTCATGCCGTCGCCATCCTCAACGACCGCGTCTACCAGATTGGCCGGTTGAACAGCGTCGTCGTAGAATGGCTGAAGGTGCGCGAGATGGAAGACAAAGATGCAGTGCGAGGAGTTGACGACTGATCCCCGCGTTAGGAACGCCGACGATTGGAAGAGCAGTACTCGGAGGGCTTGAAGAGACTGGCGCGTCGGAATCTGGAGGGCTTGGATCTCGGGTAGGTTGCGCCGAATCGAACGCGACTTTACGACTCCAGAAGCTCATTCTTTAGCATCTTTTCCGTTCCCTGGGCCACCCTCACTGGCTCCCTCGATACCGTTGCAGATGCCCACTCTTCCCTCGCAACCAAGATCGAGGTGGATGTCGAGCGACCGTTGCGCGAGTTCGCTTCGACGAGTCGAGACATGAGCAATGTGACGAGCGCGCAAGGTAACCTAGCAGCACTGGCGAAGGATGTAGACAAGGCTCAGCAAAAGACCGACAAGCTGCATGGGAGGGGCGATAGGGCGGAAGCGGGAAGAGTGGCCAACGCGACGACCGATCTCGACTCGGCTCAATCGTCCTGGGATTCGCAGGCGCCTTACATCTTCGAAAGCCTGCAGACATTGGACGAGACGAGGGTGGGCCTGCTTCGAGATGCATTTACTCAATACCAGACACACGAGATGGATCAACTGGAAAAGAGTCGCGTCGCCGGCGAGCAGTGTCTCAACGTGCTCCTCAACGTGGAGACCGCGGACGAAATCAAGACGTTTGCCCTTAAAGCAGTCCAGTCACAACCTCCCCAAGCGAGAGCCGCTCCCCGGAGTAGCGCCCCCTACGCCACCCCAACTCGAACTAGCAGCGCAGCCAACGCTCTGGCGCCAACGACTTCTCGCTCAGAGGAAGACCTACCACGAGAGCGGCAAGACTCGACGGACGTGAAGCAAAAGAAAGGTTTCTCCAAGGGTTTGAGGAGATTGGGCACGGTAGTTTCCCGCAGAAGGGAGAGTAAAATGCCCTCGAATCTTTCCTCTACCCCCGAGACGTCCGAAAGTCGACCTTCTGCATGGGCCGGGCTGGGAGGCAGCAGGCTCGGCAGGTCAAGCGGAAACACGCCGACATTGTCATCGCTGCAGGAAGGGTCGCCGCAGCAGCGCCCTGGCATGCCCGCACAGCTGGGCAGTGAGATCTTCAACTCTCCCTCCGAAGTCAGAGCAGACCGGGCCACTCCTCCTACTAGCGCGCGAGACATTGGATCCTTGCCGCAAATCAATGGCGATCCATTCCGAGTTTCAACCATCATGGGCGCATCGAGCAATTTCCCGAACGGAAGCCATCAGAACGACTTGACCGATCTGGATCCGCCGAAGCCGGTTCACGCGCAGAGGAACGAGTCGCTGAGGGCTCTGGAGGGGCAGACGGATAGCGAAGGCTACTCCGTCCCGCCGTCGAATCTTGATCCAATCTCCCAAGCGCAGCAAGAAGCTGCCTTTGCTGATGAGGGCGCTCCTCCTGCGTTGAATTTGAATATCCGCGACGCGCCGCTTCCTGAGAGCTCTGCTGGTGGTGCAGACTTTACGAGCGCGGCTCAAAGACTGGTACGTGTGCCACATATGACAGTGACTTGACGTGAAGCTGACAATGACCAGCAAGCGCCGCCTCCCTCGACGAAGCGGACCAGCACCATCCGAGGCCGCCGGACAGACCGTAGCAGCACCATCCCTAACAGTGCCGTTGTTCCAGAGGAGCAGTTCACTCCCGAAGCCATCCCCCAGTTTTCGCAGTCTGCGAGCCGCGAGATCTCAAACTCGCCGATCACGTCGCCTACGGCTCAAACCACTCTGCCGACAAATGTCGCCGATTCTGGTCTCTCCTTGTCTCCAGCCACAACCCTGACCGGCGGTGTAGCAGCCGCGTCTGCTGCTGCATTCTCATCGTTCACTCCAACCGCCGAATCGAGTAATCCCTTGTCCCCCGTCTCGCGGTCTGGGACTGGCCTTGATCAGCTTCGCGGGGACAATCGATCCATTCGATCTGCCGCTACGTCGGGCAGCTTGGCCCTCCTGAAACACCCCGAGTTGACGGAACCAGGACTCAACTCATCCATCGTCGAGACCGTTGGCGCCCGCTTCGAAAACGGCCAGCTCATCAGCTCCTCGCTCATCGGCGAAATCGCACTCGCATACAACGCCACCGACTCGTCAGCCCCTCCCAGCACCGAAACCATCCGCCTCGACAACTTCTCCAGCCTGGAAAAAGTGGCGCCAAACCCCGCCTTCGTGGCCGCAACACCCGACCGCAGCGGCGAATACACCGTCGACCTCTCCAGTCTCCCGAGGACGCAAGTAGCCTTCAAATACCAAATCCGCGTCGACGCCGACACCGCGCCCGCGCCGCTGCTCATCAAACCCGCCCTCCGCGTCGAAGCAACGCAATGCTCCGTCATCGTCAGCTACGCCCTCAACCCATCCTTCAACCTGCAAGGCCAAGAGAGCATCACGCTCTCGAACGTCATGCTGGCGCTTACGATCGAAGGCTCCAAAGCGACAGGCTGCCAATCGAAGCCGGTGGGCAGTTTCATCCGCGACAAGAGTCTCATCTACTGGCAGCTGGGCGACGTCACGTTGTCCCACGGAGCAGGCTCGGAGAAACTCCTCGCCCGCTTTGCTACGGAGGCCGAGGCGACGGGCGCGAGCGTCGAGGCTAGATGGGAAGTCACTGGCTCCTCTGGCAGCTCGCTGGCGGCTTGGGGTAGCGCGTTGGGCGTTAGCATGCTGAGTTCGTCTGCGGATCCGTTTGCGGATGCGGACGAACATGCGCACGCGGGTGGGTGGAAGGGGGTGCAGGGGGTGCGGAAGCTGGTGAGCGGGAGCTACGTTGCGAAGTAAGTAGGAAGAGGGTAGACAGTTGGAGAAAAGTTTGGATAGTGGTGCGTGCTGGGCTAGATGGCCGTGATGGGAGGTGATTGCTGGATACCCGATCTACGTTTGCTGTATAGCCTCTCACATCTCGCAGTAATTACATTGTTTGTGGGTGTTTGTTGGATTGATTCACTCGTTTCATCACAGCGGGCCTGTGACCTCCTTCTGACTCTGCTTGATATGCCAAACGCTAGAACTTTGTGATAGTATACAGTCTGTATCGATCAATCGACCTTGAGCGAGCCATAGATGCGATGCACAAACACCCACGACGCCACGAATCCAATCGTGCCTGCATCATGAAAGTCAGCATCGTCACTCGCAGTAGAAGAGAAAGAAAAGGGCAGAACTCACCAGTCATGACAAACCACAAGAAGCTAATGAGCGCCGAGTAACCCAAATACAGCAACCCACCCGTCAGCGAGCTGAAACTCAGCATCTTCGCCCAGTAGACCAAGCTGTACGCAAACACGTACACAGCACTCGCGCCGCTGCTGATAAACGCGCGCCACTGCCAGTGGTAGTTTTCGGCGCAAAGGAGGAAGTAGATCATCATGATGGTCACGGCGGCGCTGGTGACGATCAGCAGCCCGAAAGAGAGGAAGAGGAAGCCGAACATGTAGTAGATCCTGTTGCTCCATAGGCTGCGGAGGATGAAGAAGAGCTCGATGAAGATGGCGCCGAAGGGGAGGATGCCGACGGCGAAGACGCTGGGGATGAGGCGGAGGTAGCCGGTGGCGGGCGGGATCTGGCGGGGGATTTGGTTGGTGCGGACGGGTGGGGGTTTGATGGACTGCTTGAAGCCGATCCAGGAGCCGGCGATGCTGAGCGGGGCGGAGATGAGGAACCAGATGCCGACGATGACGAGCATGGTGGTGAAGGGGACGGCGCCGGAGGAGCCGCGGATCCAGACGAAGAAGTTGAGGAGGAAGAAGGTGCCGAAGACGGCGATGGGGACGGCGGCGGGCGTGAAGATGAAGAGCTGCTTCCACTTTGTGCCGCCGAAGTACTGGTACACGCGCGCGCTCATGTAGCCGCCGATGAAGCCGAAGAGCGTGTAGAGGAGGATCATGACGGTTGCGAGGCTGCCGCGGTTGCTGGGGGAGAGGAAGCCGACCGCGGCGAAAGCGATGGTGAAGCCTGTCATCATGAATAGCTGAGCACCATTGCCCACCAAGATGGAGAGGGCGAGGGAGTTGCGAGGCGGACGAAATACGTCGCCGTGCACAAGCTTCCACCCGCTGTCCTCGACCACGCCGTCTTCCTCGAGGCTAGTGCCGTTGAAATCCTCGAGGCCGAGCTGATCGAGCCGGTTGTACCGGGCGATATCCTTACGGAGAGTGCGACCGAGAATGGTGGTCACGGCACCGACGAGGAATGTGAACATGACAGCGCTGCTCACGAGCGCCAGCCAATGAATCTTTGCGTCGTAGACGTGCAGATACTTGTCCCATCTCGTCGCAAACACCGTGGACGATGGGCGCCACTGCACCGAGTAGGTCCACGTCACGTACGTATCCTCCGTCTCACTCAATGTCTGAGGTACATCGGGATCTCCGCAGTCTGCGGTAAAGTCGCTGCCGGTGCCGGTGCGCCTCGAGCGGCCCAGAGACTCAGGATGCGCATTGACGCCCACCACGCGATATTGATTTGGCCCGACTTCGTGATACTCAATCAGCAGATTGACATGGTTGTGTAGACGCGGATTGTCATTGTTCATGGCGCCCAGCGCGAAACCAGGGATGTCGTAGAGCGTCTGCGTATCGACGTCCCGATATACCTGCGCCACGGGCAGCCCGTCAATCAGCCAGTTGATGGTGTAGTCCTGCCGAATGCGTTCATTCGTATACTCGGCATCGTCTGTGTCTTTTGGGAACTTGACCCCATCGCATACCGCCGAGCAGGTTTCATTCTTGAGCATGCGCAGGTGGAAGGCGGAGTTCATGATGCGGTCGCCGAACAGGATGCTGCCCAGCGACTCGGAGACATATCGAGGGCCGCCTTCGGGTTGGCAGAAGTGGAACTCGGGGGAGTAGTAGGGCCAGGAGAAGGCGGAGGAAAGCTGAGTGTGTTTTTCGGAGAGGCCGGGGGTGAGGCGGTCGACGTCGAGGTGCACGAGGTCATTTTGTTTGTAGGTTGTGGGCGAGATGCCGGGGAGGTAGAAGGCGGATGCGCAGGGGACGGAGAGGACGAGGGCGGAGAGGATTGGAGGGAGGTCGAGGAGGCGCATGGTCGCTGGACTCGGTTGGCTGCTTCAAGGCATCAAGCACAATTGCAAGGAGTCGCGTTGATGCCTGGCCATCAACTGAAGGTGTAAGGGTGGTCGCTTATACAAAGGAGATCCGCATCTAAAAAGTGGATGCCTGAGCTTGGAACAAAGCGATGTTTATGTAATCAGGCGCTACGTAAGCGATGCGACGCCACGCATCAGGCTGCGAACATGCCGAGCCTGTCACGAATATGCCGCGGATGGTTATGAAGAGCGCATATGGTCATCAGCCCATCGGCAATGAATGAATTCATAACATCATCTTATACCAGCTCTCCCTCTCCGTCGTCAAACTCGTCGTCCTCATCATCCCACCTCTCCATCTCTCGCTCCGCCTGCTCAGCCTTCCGCTGCACCTCCGCCAAGCCCGAGACGTCTTCCACGAACCCTTTCTCCCCAAGTGCGCGCTTCACAAACTCCCATCCGTCCCGCTCATACGCTAGCAGAATGGGCGGCGAACAAGCCGAGCAGCAGTCGTACGCTTTACCATGTACCTGGATCGTTTGCCAAGTGCTCATGTAGCCTCGGAGCTGGTGCGGCACAGTTCCGAGAGGATGGCTGTCCGGAAGTGATGGATCGGTCGGCGGAGCAGGTTGAATCTGATGCGTTGTTGCTGGAGCGGGAGCAGGCGCTCGGCCTCGCAAGCGGTGCTGCGTTATTGACACGAGCAGCTCGACGGCCAATGCTGAAGCGATCGGAGCTGCTCCTGGGCGAGTGACGGTGCACTGCTGGTCGAGTGTCGCTGACTTTAAGCTGTCGGCCGGCGCGACGACATCCGAGCAGAAATAGCAGCCCACTTCTTCCTTATCCTCATTCTCCTGCTCCGTGAGTACGCTCACCAACGACGCTCCCTGCGCACCACCATTCATATCAACTGCACCGGACTCGGGCGACCGGATCGGGCTCATCTCATTGGACACTTGCTCGACGGAGACTTCACTCGCCTGTCTGTCTTCTGGATGAATTGTCGGCCGCCGTAATCGCAGACCATGCCTCATCACCATGTACGTGTCGAAGCCCAAGGCAGCGTTGATTACGATCTTTCCAGCCGCCTTGGCCATCACAGTTGGCAGCCAGCGACTCTCTCTTGTATCCATGAGCAGGAAGATGGCATCGTGACTTTCGATCAAAGCTTTGAGATCCTCAAACTCCTTTCGCACTTTCGCCTCGTCCGTGATGGGATGTCCGGCCATGGGGACATTCATCACACGGCCCTCCACCTCAACACCAGGATAGATTTGGCGTAGTGCTTCTGCCGCCCGTTCCGCTTTTCGCGCCCCGCCCTCCAGACAATCTTGAAATGTGTATAAGGGTTGTCTGACCGGGTTGGAGTAGCTCACCCGCCCGTTATCCACAAATGTGATTTTGCGCACGCCCCAACCCATGAGGTTACGAGCGACGTATGAGCCCAGCGTGCCAGCGCCGAGCAGGAGACAAGAAGTTTTCTTGATGGTTTCGAGGTCTATCGAAGGCGAGATCCGCCATTTGATGAGCTTCAGGTTCAGGTCAACTGCCTGGTCTGCCAATTTGGTCGGATCGAGGTAGGCTGCGAGATCGACGGTCCGCGAGAAGATCCGGGCGTGTTCATTTCGCTCCCAGCCGGTGACTTTTGGCACTTCTTTGGTCGATGTCCGCTCCTCTGTGATATCATTGACAGGCTCGGCGGACTGTACAGTCATGATTAGACTGTTCTGCAAGTCCCGCCGGAGATGTGTATCTCTGTAACACAGAATCTGGACTTTGTCGAGCTTCCAGCGTTGCCGAACCAGAACGAGCAGATTTCTGAGCATCCACCCAGGGCCAGACGTATATGTGGACGGGTCGGCAAAGCACACAAACCGATCATCTTCATTCGCATTGTCGAAAAAGCCGTTCTCATAACTCGAAAGCGGCGCAATGGACCAGATGTAACCCAACTCGCTCAGGCTGGACTTTCGGCTTGATAGGGGTGATATAGGACTCGCCGATGCACTCGACTCTTGCTGCTGCAACTCGCCAACATCTAGCCGCCCGAGTTGTCGCTCAAGATCCAGGATTTCTTTCCGTACTCGTTTTGCAAGGAAAAAGCCGGCTTGTCTTGCGTCAACACTATATCTCCAAGTTTGTGCCGCATCCACCAGAGCTTCTGTATCTTTTGCTGGCAGCCGGCGTATGCCGCCTTGCGCGTTATCCTCCGGCGCAACGAGCCTCCACGGCGGATCGGAGTGCAGGGCAGGATATGCGAGGTGATAGGAGAACTTGTATTTCTTGAGGTCGGCGAAGCATATGGCGGAGAAGGAGGAGAGCAGGGAGGGACAAGAGTAGATGCTACCATCTCTTATGGCATCCCAGATCGTCCGCCCGGCGAGCTGGATGTGTGCGAGTTTGTCAACTGCGTGGAACTCTTCGGGGGTATTGAAGTTGCGGATCGAGCCTTCTGCACGGTAGTAGTTCTGCGGAGTCCTGGGTAGCTGTTAGTGCTGAGGTCGTGGTAACGTGGCCCACATAGACTCACTCACTCGTCGGTGGTCAGGGCGGTGCCGTGGAGTTGCATGCGCATCGATCTCTCCGGCGCATCGCGGTGATTGATCTCGTAGAGCCCGCGCACTTTACGCGCGGAGGTGTTGAGCATGTCATGGTTGATCTTGAGCGAGGCGAGGGAGGAGTAGAAGGCCAGCTCGATGTCGGAGGTCCAGGGGGCGAACTGGAGGGGTTGGAGGGTTGTGGAAGCCATGATGGTCTGGAGAGGAAGAATGCGGCATTCGATAGTTCAGCACGCACCGCGCGGGGACGATCGGTGGGTAGGGTGAGGTTTGCAAGCGTAAAGTGCACATCATGAATGATGGCATGCGGCGCAGGCTGCGAGGCTGTCCGTCGGCACGCCTGCGCCACACCAAACCTTCTTGTGACGCGAATTGCGCGCCTCGAAATCTATCAGACCTTCCACCATGAGTGTAGCCGGAAATATCCTACATTCAGACAATCATACGAAGAAGCTATGGCTCAATGATTATGGTAGAGCTCTTTGAGTTTTGGAGATCATTCTAATCGACTAAAAGTCACGCAAAATGCTCATTGGAGTCTGCGGCGGTAATATTCCCCCGAATCCAGCAAGCATGGCAGACATAACTGACACTGTTGCAGGTATCTGTGCCGGCAAACATGCCATCCAGGACTATCTCATTGACAGACACGGCTTTCAACCCCTGACATTGACTCGGGCAGCCGCAACGCCGAGTGTAGAGAAGTCAGCATCAGATGTACATGTTCCGGAAATGAAGGACTCAACCCTCTCAATATCAACCTTCACCCACGTCAGCGAGCTGGTCGACTTCGTAACGAAGAACTGGCAGACCGATTTCGTCACCACCTGCATCCACGACGAGGCAATCGTCGACGCCCTATCCCACCGCCCCTTCTTCATCCTCGTCCACGTCGACGCCCCGATTTCCATCCGATGGCAGCGCTTCAAAGACCGCTGTGCCCGCGCCTCCCTAACGCCGCCCACGCTCGAACAATTCGTGCTGAGAAATGACCAACACCTCTATGACCCCGCCGCAGGCCTCGCAGCCCTGGCATCGCGAGCCCGCATCAAACTCCTCAACAACACCACCTCGCTAACCACCCTCCACACCTCCCTCGACACCCTCAACCTCACAGATCAAAGCCGCCTTCGCCCCACCTGGGACCACTACTTCATGACCCTCGCTTCACTCGCCGCGCGCCGCAGCAACTGCATGCGCCGCCAAGTCGGCTGTGTTCTGGTGCGCGAGAAGCGCGTCATGTCGACGGGGTACAACGGCACTCCCCGCCACATCACCAATTGCAACGAAGGCGGGTGTTCGCGGTGCAACGGGGGAGGCGGAGGCGGCACCGGCCTGGCGACATGTCTCTGTATCCACGCGGAGGAGAACGCGCTGCTGGAAGCCGGGCGGGAGCGCGTGGGAGGCGGAGCGGTGCTGTACTGCAATACGTGTCCCTGCTTGACGTGCAGCATCAAGATTGTGCAGGTGGGCATCACGGAGGTGGTGTTTAGCCAGAGCTACTACATGGACGCCGAGGCGGCGAAGCTGTTTGAGAAGGCGGGCGTGAAGCTGCGGCAGTTCTCGCCGCCCAAGGAGGGCTTGGTGAGTCTTTGCGATGACCATGCCGCCGCCCTCACGTTCGACACGAAAGCATTTACAAATGGACACGCGGGCATTGGGAACTCGCAGGCATGATGATCATTCGAATTCTTTGTACCCGTCAATGCGACTAGATCGCAGCGGACATTGCCTAGACAGACCACCTTCCAAAAGTCTTACGATCCACGCTACAAATTGACGGCTCCGGTGAAGACATTGCTACCCTGCCGCACATGTGCCTTGCTCCCCTTGAACAGACTTTGCCAGATGAACGCCTCGCTCAGCAGCAACTCCACGTCCTTCTCGGTCCAATTCCGCGTCGGCAGCGACTGCAGAAACATCATGATTTCTTGAAAGTCCATTCGCTGCAGCCGGTCGGACCACTTGACCAGGAACGCGGCGCAGACGTAGAGGTGGAAGGCTGTGAAACCTTGGTCCTCGGCCTGTAGAGCAGGGAGTCAGTGGGTTATGTGTGAGTAATGGCAAACAGGAGGGTACTCACGAGGTAGGTGTCCCACATTCGGATGGTGTTCTTTACGCTAACCTCACGCATCAAGAGGCAATTCATCCAACGGAACGAGAATTGGATGAATTCTACGCTCTCGCTCTCCAGATGCTTTGCCAGTGCCCCATCTATTCGCGCCGTCAAGTCTCTCAGAGCGGATACCTGCCGTTGTATCCCTGGCTGTGCATGGATGTAATTATCTTGTATTCCGTCCAACAATTTTGTAAGACACCAGAAGGAATCGGCCTCCACCGCATCGATTACTGCCGGCGGCAGCTGGCTCGGATCCATCCCGAACTCAACATCCGGATCTGTGATGTACTGGCCAAGGAAGACTTGCCAGAAGGGAGTCACGAGGTCGTTGATGCCCTGTACGTATCCCGAAGCGGGATGACGAATTGCCCAGACGTATAGTATCTTTTCCAGTGATCTTTGCGTGCGTTCATATGAATACAGCTCCAGATGTGGATTGGTCCGCGGGACGTCAATGCTGATTTGGTGCCATATGGCTTGGTCGAGGCCGCGGCCGGTGCCGCCCTTGGTGGACGGCGCAGACCCTTTACCAGCCATGCCGGCTCCCACCGCGCCCGTACTACCCATCGATCCTTTGTCAAAGGCTTGCCGTACAGCATCTTGATACTCCTTGCGCTTTCGCTCGAGAGTGGCCACGCGTCGGTCGCTGCTGGTCGGCAGGTAGCCCAGCAGAATTTGCCATGACATGGCCCGAACTTCAGACGGCAAGCCAGACCAAGCCGAATCACGAAGGTCGGGGAGGGAGATTGTGCTGGCTTGTAAGATCTTTTTGAACTTGTTGATGCGCGTTATCCGTGCCGAATGCGCCTCGAGCTCCTTCGCGGACGCGCCGGCCGGGACGGGCGGGTGGCTGATGAGATGCAGCGAGTTTGCCGGATCGCGTAAGATGTCCTTGTATTGCGGCCGCAATGTCTTTCCTTCCATTTTCTTCGGTAGCGGGTAAGACGGTATCGCACGTGAATCGGCCACGTCCCCATGGTCCATCATCCAGGCCGCCGGCAAGTTCGGTGCAGAGAGGCCGTTCCGTGTGCTTTGTTGTTGTGCACCACCGGGATCGTGGCCTTTCCTGGCAGATGCACGCTTTCCTTTCCGTCGCATACTGGCTATACTTGGCAAGCCGAACTCGTCCTCATCTTCATCGTATCCGAGGTCGCCCTCTTCGGATTCCTCCTCGTCCGGTGCATTCCATGCATTGCTGCTGTCGGAAATGTAGCTATTCGGGGTACGGCGAGTTGGCGGAGGAGTATGTGTGGTAACGGAAGGAGAGCTTCTGTGTCGTGAGAAATTCGGAGGAGTGTGCGGTCGGGAGTTTGATATGCTCCTTTGGGTGGTGATTAGCTTCAAGGGATTTGTGCTCGCCGGGACCGGACAACGTACAGATTGTCGAATTTGAGGGCATCAGCATGGCTGTAAGAAGCACCAACGACCTTGCGTTCGGGCGGTGCAGCTTTGGTGCTATTCTCTCGCTGGCTATTGGCCGAAGAGGTCCGCCAGAATGGTGATGCTGTCCTGCGACTTCGTCAACAAGCGATCCTGTGCGGCTCGTCCTTTCGTAGGAATATCAGTACGCACTCTGATCGGTCTGCGAACGCCCAGGCATCCACGTTAGTTCAACCAGTTCGCGTATGCAATCCGCCTGTCAATGGAGAGTATACGAACCGACCTGCACCATCTCCTACAGTCACCGGCAATGCTTGGTTAGCGAGGTGTGCCCTGGCTCGACCGTTTCCCGAAACGCACCTGAGGAGAGGGCTTTGTGAAGTTCATTGCTCCATGCAAAACCGGAGCGCACAAAAATTGCAATTGGAAAAATGACCGTGGTCTTAGGAGGGTTGGCGTGTTGTCAATGTCACATGAAGTCGTGCCGTTGATGCATCGCCGAGCTAGTGACGCCGTCCCCGGAGAAGCGCTTGGGCCAGCGGGGCGGGCCGCTTCCGCTTTGTGCGTCAAGACCTTCGCCTGCGCTCACCTTCACCCTCTCCTTCACCTTGAATCCAACCCTCGCAAACACACCCCCCTCACTGCCTCCTTCTCAACCCCCCTTTTCCCCTCTTCAGATTGTGGCCAACTCACCTTGACTGTCGCGATCCGTGTCTAACGGCTTACTGCCCTGCGAAGGCGAGCCTCTCAGCTCTCGATCTGCGACGCCGGCCACGAGGCCGCGCCTCCTGATCCTCACTTCCCATCTCCCCCCGACGATAGTTCACTCTTCACGCGACGCTGAATATGGCTGACCCTGACATGGATGAGGATCTCTTCGCCGATCTGTGAGTGGGATCAAAACCCTCGACTCTCTCAGTCCTTGCTGATCTTGCTTCTAGTTACGACGGCGAAGCAGATGAGCCAGCACCACCACCCAAGGAAGAGCACACCCCAGCAGAACCCGAGCCAGCCACAGAGCAGAACACAGCGCCAGAAGACCCGTGGCAGCCGGACACGTATACCAACGAGCCAGATGTGAAGACCGAGAACAAACAAGACGAGGCTGCAGATGCACAACCCAAACACGATGATGACTATGATAGGCCCTTGCAAATCAAGGAAGACGGGTATGTGTAACTAACGTTTTCTTCTTGCTTACTTCCTTGCACATTGCTGCTTCCGTCCTCCTCCGCCTAGGATAGTTGCGGAAGGGAACGAGTATGGTCTATTGGAATGGTTAAGGACTCGGATACCTTGGATTCTATCTACTTCGGACGCACTTGGACTGCGCATGCTGTCTCTGCATGGTCCGCCTGGATGAGCCTTCTGCCAGGATCGAAGTCTACGTTCTGCATAATTATCACATGAAGACCGGGACTGTTATATTTGGCATCGATCGGGCTGTGCATTAGGTCATCGCATTGGCCGTGGCGCGCAGGCGTGCTGTCTGTGGTCACCATGGCATAGGTGCCGTGCTACAACCTGAGCCAGCTGCTTCGGGCGGGTGATTATTGAAGACCAGTCAAGCTTTCGGAAAAGGGGTATGCGACCTGACTCACGAATCTCTCGCCGAAGCGGTGGAGAAAGCCTGCTTAGAATCATACACGATGACCACGTCTTAGCGACCATAGCAGACAGAGCAGACAGAGCAAGACAGACTCCTCAGAACAGAACAGACGCAGACAGGAGATAGAGAGAATGCAGTGTGAACATCTACTTGGCTTCGAGAAGTTCAGGTGGTGACACGATACATGCACCTCCGTCCGCCGACAGGGACAGCCTCCTCCGCCTGTATTACATCCTTGGACACACTGCAGTGTCCTGGACTGCATCGCGGGCATACTTGGATGTCACACCGCGCGTATGCTTAACGGCTGTCAGTGTGGGGTCAACAGCGGTTGCCTGCCTGGTGTCGGTCACGCTACGTGAGGGTGTGTAACACCAAAGATGCGATGATCTGCGATTGGAACTCCCCACCCGCCCTGCGCCTGGCCAATGTACCCGCTCACGACCCTCCATGGACGACGCTGCAAAAGAGGAGGATTTACATGACCACACTCGTTCCCTTCCTCTACTTCGTGTTTCCTTGCTCGTTCTCTGCTTTTCTGCGCTACGTTGACCAGTGCTAACGAGATGTTTGTAGCAAAATGTTTATCGGTGGCTTGAACTGGGAAACCACAGATCGTATGCTCTTCACTTGCTCTGCAACATAGCCTGCAGTTCACTAACGCGTTACGACAGAATCACTGAAAGAGTATTTCTCACAATTCGGCGAGGTGGTCGACTGTCAGGTTATGCGCGACGGCGCTACTGGTCGTTCGCGTGGCTTTGGCTTCCTCACCTTCAAGGATCCCAAGACTGTCAACATTGTCATGGTCAAGGAGCACTTTCTCGATGGCAAGCTCGTGAGTCTTCGTCTCCCATTCGTTTGTGGTAGCACATCTAACATATGACGTAGATCGATCCCAAGCGTGCCATCCCTCGCGAGGAGCAGGAGCGTACGGCCAAAATCTTCGTAGGCGGTGTGTCCCAGGAGTGCACCGACCCCCAGTTCCTCGAATTCTTCCAGAAGTTCGGCCGCGTGCTGGATGCCACACTTATGATGGACAAGGACACTGGGCGCCCGCGTGGATTCGGATTCGTCACCTTCGACAGCGATGCTGCCGTCGATCGGACTCTGGAGCAGCCACTGGCGATTCACGGAAAGATGATTGAGGTCAAGCGAGCGCAGCCGCGTGGCAACATTCGCGATGACAACGACAACAAGTTCGGAAGACAGAATCGAGGCGGCGGCGGCAACTGGAACAACAACAACAACAACAACAACGACAACCAACAGAACCAACAAAACCAGCAGGGCCAGGGCGGGACGAACAACATGAGCCCGGCGATGATGGCGCAATACTGGCAACGCATGCAACAGTACTTCCAGATGATGCAGCAGCAGATGGCCATGAACAGCGGCGGCATGAACCCCATGGCAGCCATGCAGAACAACCCGATCATGCAACAGTACATGAACCAGCAAGGCATGAACCCAGCCATGATGCAACAAATGATGAGGCAACAGCAGCAGCAGCAGCAGCAAGGCTACGGAGGCGGAGCAGGGAGCCCCATGCAAAACAATTCCGGCAATGAGGGTGCAAATCAGCCTCCCTTCAACGCGCAGGAACAGCTCATGTTCGAGCAGCAAAAGTACGAACGACAGCAATCGGCGCGCGTGCAGCAGGGCAACTACCAAGGCGGCAACACGTGGGAGGGCATGTACGACGATGTGCCTGCTCCGTCCGGGGTGCAGGGTGGTGGGGGTCGTGGTGCCTTCGGAGGTGGTCGAGGGGGACGCGGAGGCATGGGATCGCAGAGCCCCGCGCCCGCGGGCCAGGCGCCGGCGAACGCACCGACGGGGCCGAAGAACGCGGGCTTGCCGGGCGCCAACTACCGCGGAGGCGGGCGTGGCGGTCGTCGTGGATACCACCCGTATGCTCGTGGCGGCGGATAGAAACCGAACGCGGTATGTTCTGCGGAGATCTCCGACCCTTGTGAGCACGTTCTGACATCCTAGCTCTTAGTCCATGTGGCGACTTTACTAGGGAAGCTACGGTGGCATTTGACGAGGACCAGCGACGCTAGCTGCAGGGGTTAGTCGGCGGCACAGGCGGGGATTGCATTCAATGGCGAGGTCTACATATGGCGTTACCTCAGGCATGGGTGCAATGGGCTGGAATGGCCAAGGTTCGTCAATCGGCTGTCTGTTGCCATGGTTAAGGGGCTGGTTGCATTCGATAGTGCTTTTGTGACAATAGGAAGATACTGTGAACAACACCCTCTAATCGCTTTGTTCCACTCCATTCAGTTTGTTGCTGCCTGCAAGACCCGAAGGATAAATTGTTAGGCAGATGCTTTTGATGACTGCATGTCGTCGAGTGCTGGCTTGGGCAGACGGGCGTGATAGTAGTTTCCGCAGTGTGACCAATAATACTCACACAAACGTCACGTCCACCCCCGTCCGAGACCGACCTCGCGTAAAGCGTCGCGCCAGGCACCTACATCATGTCTTTACAATAGCCTGCTCGCCCACCACGGCACTCCTACGCATCAATCGTCGGCAAAGTACATCATCATGGCCGACTCCCCCGAACTCGCCACCAAGGCGCTCGAGAGCGACGCCCAAGACGACAACACAGCAGCACAAACCAGCGGCATCCCAGGCGACAGCAAGCCCGACCAAGGCGCGGGCAGCATGGGCGAGCACTGCGTGACCGACCGTCCCGCCCCCGCCGGCCAAACTCCCACCGGTGAAGTCGCCAAATACGGCGAGGTGGAAGTGTACATCACCAAACCTGCCGACTACCCCCACCAACCCTCCAAACTCCTTCTGCTCTTGACCGGCGGCACGGGGATCCACAGTGTCAATAACCAGCTTCAAGCAGACCGGTATGCGGCTGAGGGGTTTCTTGTGGCCATGCCGGATCAGTTCGCCGGTGACCCTGCGCCTACATCTACCACGACCCTCGCCGCGGACGAGAACATGAGTGTGCTGGAGCAGGTGAAGCTAGGGATGGTCAACGTGGCCAAGAGCTTTACGATCGACATGTGGCTTGCGCGACATACGCCGGAGAAGGTGCTGCCCGTGTTGGAGAGGGTGATTGTGGCCGTGAAGGAGGAGTTTGCGGATGCGGTCGAGAGCGGGGGCGGGGTGTACGCGGTGGGGTACTGCTTTGGTGCAAAGTATGTCCTGTTACTGGGCGGGGAAGGGAGTCAGGATGCGAACGCCGCGAAGACAGCGGCGGCAGAAGAAGAAGGGATGGTCGCACATGGACCGCAGATCAAAGTCGGTGCCATTGCGCACGGGACGCAAGTCACGAGGGATGATATTGCAGGCAATCGCGTCCCTCTGACCATCGTCGCGGTCGAGAACGACTCGTTGTTCCCAGAGGATGTGCTGGAATCTGGCAGGCAGGCCCTCAAGGAGCAGAATGTGGAGCTGGAAGTTCAGACGTACCCGAAAGTGCCTCACGGATTCGCGGTGTTGGGGGACTACGACGACACGAGTATTGTTGAGGCGCAGAAGGAGGCCTTCCAGCAGATGCTTGCATGGCTGAAGAGCCATTGATGGGCATGGGAGGCCTTCCAGCAGATGCTTGCATGGCTGAAGAGCCATTGATGGGCATGGGAGGCCTTTCTAACGATTAACGTCGAGTCAGAGGGTGGTCACGAAGACGGGGCGTCAGGAGTATAAGATACCAATGTATGGTTCGGGTCGTATTCTACACACGCTTCATGGATATCATAAATCTACAACGACTGTCCAGCAAGACAGTCGGGTCAAAGCAGCTCCACATCCCCCCTTACCACCGCATCTTTTACAGCTCTCCACCGAAGAACCCACACATCTCCTCTTGTCAGTTCCACCTCACCTGCACCACCCTCGCTTTGGATGACCACGCCTCCAGCATCCCGCAACACCCTGCAAAACACCGCAGAATCCTCTTCCGGCCGATCGATCATACTCAAGCCTGTAGTATCATCCAGCTTTTGTAGCCCTTGCGGGAAGATGGACAAGAAGGAAGCGTGATAGTGCGATGCGAGAAGCGCTTGATGTGACTGGAGGTATTGTTGTTCGAGATGGGAGAGAATGTTGGGGTCGGAGAGGGCGAGGTCGCGGTAGTGGTAGGGGAATTTGTCGATCTGGAGATGCACCATCTTGTCAGTGACATGCGAACCCCGTGCAATGCTTCATTCGACAAACCTTGGCTAGTCTCGCTCTTAGAAACGAGCGGACGAGGAATTTAAATCGCTCCAATTCGGTCTGTAAGACGACGAGGATAAAGTTGCTTTTGGGATCCATGTCGGATGTCATCTCCTCGATTGTTTCTATCTACACTGACAGCGGTCAGCACGCTCTTTGTCTCTGCTGCTCATCTGCGCTCCAGACCGGCCTACCTGCTTTTTTATCCGATCCGTCACGCGGTCTATGAGTTGAGAGGGGTAGGGTAAGAGGGTGGGCGAGGTGCGTTCGTTGACCCATGCTCGCGTCAAGGCTTGCAAGTCGAGCTTCCGCTGGGAGGGTAAAGGGGCGGAGACCGAGGCGAGGATGTCTGAGATGTCGTCGTCCATGCTTACGGGTAGAGGAGGTTTGCTGCGATGGTGAGGGTGGTTTTTGAATGAATGGTGAAAGTCAGTGCGGGGAGACGCGAAGCGGCGCGTTTGCCTAAATTGGAAGTCATGGTGTTGGTCTTTCCCTGTCTGTATTTGCTATGCACTATCTAATGAGCGCCCTGGCATGCTGGAAGGGCAAAGGTATCTGCGCGTGGCCATACCTACATCCATCGCAAAAAGGTACAGGGTAGACGAGCAGTTAAATGGGAGTTGGACAATGGACGATGCTGCTGCGCCACTCTTTGTCATCGACGCCACAGTCGGCCCCACTTTACGTCGCCGTGGTTTCCGCATCCCACCACCGACACGAGCGGAGCGACGTCAGCCAGCGGCGACAGCAGCATCACCTTACGCGCAACCCGCCAAGCCCTCCGACCACGCGATCCGCTAGGCTGCCGAATGCAGCATAAGCCATCCAACCATTTCTGCCAATCGTCAATTCCCTCTCCAGCCCTCCTTCGTCCCACGCCGACAGGATGAATGTGCTCAAGCTTCAAAAGTGAGTCCCGTGTCTGGCGGCTGGCCGCGGCATGCACACACCTCCCGCTCCATACTGACCCCCTGCAGGAAGTACCCCCAACTCCAACAAGCCGACATCTACGGCCTCAGCGATGCCTTTCGCAAGCTCGATGTCGACGACAAGGGCTACGTCGACGAGGCCACTGCCATCAAGTCCGTGCAAAGCTCCGAGCGACAGTCGTATGATGTCGTGAGGCAGGCGTTGCGCGAGGTGGAACTCGACAGCTCGCGCCGCGTAGAGCTCGACGACTATGTCAACCTCATCTCCAGGCTGCGCCAGGCCACGCCCGGCCAGCAGCCCATGGGCGATGTCGTCAGCAGAGCGAGGGGCTACAGCAATGCGAAAGATGGCTCCGCCCCTGCCGCCCCCGCCCGCCCCCAACATGCACGAGGTGCTAGTGGAGTGGGTACAGGAGGAGGAGTCGGAGGCAGGATTACCGTCGCCGGTGCGACTGGAACACACACCATCAACGAAGACGAGCGAACCGCCTTCACCTCCCACATCAACGCCGTCCTCGCCGGCGATCCCGACATCGGCCATCTCCTTCCCTTCCCTCTCGATACCTTCGAAATGTTCGACTCGTGCAAGGACGGCCTGGTGCTCGCCAAGCTTATCAACGACAGTGTGCCGGATACCATTGACGAGCGAGTGCTGAACCGAGCCGGCAAGAAGATCAAAACGTTGAACGCTTTCCACATGACCGAGAACAACAACATTGTCATTGAGTCGTCAAAAGGCATTGGGTGTTCGGTGGTCAACATTGGATCGGGAGATATCATGGAAGGCAGAGAGCATTTGATCTTGGGTCTCATCTGGCAGATCATCCGACGCGGTCTGCTCGGCAAGATTGACATCAAGCTGCATCCCGAGCTGTACCGTCTATTGGAAGATGGCGAGACGTTGGAGCAGTTCCTTCGACTGCCGCCCGAGCAGATTCTCTTGAGATGGTTCAACTACCACTTGAAGAATGCCAAATGGCACCGAAAGTAGGTTCTCCTGAACCCGACATATCCTTGAGCTTGAGCATCATTGCTAACCTGGGCCCGCAGAGTCCAAAACTTCTCCAACGATGTCAAAGATGGCGAAAACTACACCGTCCTCCTCAACCAGCTGGCCCCCAACATCTGCTCGCGCAGCCCGTTGCAGACCTCCGACCTCCACCAACGCGCGGAGCAAGTGCTACAAAACGCCGACCGTCTCGATCCGCCTTGCCGCAAGTTCCTCACCCCAACATCTCTCGTCGCCGGCAACCCCAAACTCAATCTTGCCTTTGTCGCCAACCTCTTCAACAACCACCCCGGTCTCGACCCAATTACGGAAGAGGAAAAGGCAGAGATCGAAGACTTCGACGCCGAGGGCGAACGCGAAGCCCGCGTCTTCACCCTCTGGCTCAACTCCCTCGACGTCCAGCCCGCAGTGGTCAGCTTCTTCGACGACCTCAAAGACGGCAGCATCCTGCTACAAGCCTACGACAAAGTCATCCCCGGCTCCGTCAACTGGCGCCACGTCAACAAGCCGCCCGCCAACGCCGTCACGCCCGCCAGCCAGGACCCGGACGAAGCCTACCTGAGCATCAAATCGGGCATGTCGCGCTTCAAAGCAATGGAAAACACCAACTACGCGGTGGAAATTGGCAAGGCGAACCGCTTCTCCCTCGTCGGCATCCAGGGCGCCGACATCACCGACGGCCAGCGCACCCTCACCCTCGGCATGGTGTGGCAGCTGATGCGCCGCGACATCACAAACACCCTCTCCTCGCTCGCGCAGCGCATGGGCAAGCGCGAAGTCACCGACGCCGACATGGTCGCGTGGGCCAACGGGCAGGCGGCCAAAGGCGGGCAGAAGACGCAGGTGCGCAGCTTCAAGGACGCGAACATCGCTTCCGGCGTCTTTCTCCTCGACGTCCTGAATGGCATGAAGAGCAGCTACGTCGATTATGATCTTGTCGCTGCCGGCCGCACGCCTGAGGAAGCGTATCTGAATGCCAAGCTCGCCATTTCGATTGCGCGGAAGCTCGGGGCGACGATTTGGTTGGTTCCCGAGGATATCACGGGCTTGCGGACGAGGTTGATTTTGACGTTTATTGGGAGCTTGATGGCGACGGCCGAGAAGATGGGGGCGTGAGGGGGAGTTGATAGATGAGTGGTGAATGGCCGGGACAAAAGTCGAGAGGTAGAAGAGTAGTGGTGTGAGAGAAGTGGAGAGTATTGAAATTGCCTATCAGTCAGACCGACGCGATGTGTCTTCACTCTTCAATGATCTATAGGTCTACATGGGACAAGCTCACAAGTCCTTTGACTGCGTTCGTTGGCGATTGTCGTTCATCACTCGCTCTATACTTCAGCTACAACTGATCGCTACTCGCTATGCAGTCAAGGTCATGACGCTCCTTTCTATCTTCATGCGGGACGTGGATTGCATCGCTGATCGCTGAAACAAACATGCCAGCTATGATCAATCAATCGAACGCTTCTGCTTCGACTCTCCTAACACAGTTTTCCTCACGAGCCCATGATATCTTCATCACCATCCCCGTCCTCTTCTCCCAGGCCCAGAATGGGAGCATCCCACGTCAAATCCATCTGCTCCGCCAATTCGCCATCTGGCCCCGCGGCGCCGCGCTTGGTCCTCTTGGTGTACTCGGCATACTCCTTGCTCAATTGGAGACGACGGTCGGCGTCGCGGATGTAGGCGATTAGGGATTCGATGCGTTTGGTTTGGCCTTCAAGATCAGCTGGCGGGGCTGTGGTGGATGTGGTAGGGGCGGCGGGGTCGAAATGCAGGACTGCGTGGGCTGGGTCGGATGATGTGGATGGTGTTATGGTTGCGTGGAGGTGGTGTCGTTGAATCATGTCTTGGAGGAGTTGTAATGTGTCGTCGGCCGAAAGGTCGAGATAGGAGGCGATTCGGCTGATGGGGAGGGCGGCGTAGGTCTTTTGGAGATCGATGATGCGGTAGCGTAGCAGGGCATCGCCGACTTCTTTGACGAATCGCAAGTTACCATCGTCGTTCCAGATTTGCATCCCGACATCCACCTCTGCTTCGAACTTCCGCCAGTCCCGCTTGTCGAAGTTGTCGGCAAGAGCCTGGTATGCTTTTGCGCTTGCGCGGATTACCCGCATCGCTTGAACATCGTGTGTGCGCGGCAGTCCGTAGCTCTTGCCATTTGCGAGCAGTCCCAGAAGGACGTATTTCTTGTATGCTTCCACCTGAAAGGTGCTGCAGGCGTGCGTAGGCGAAGGATGGAGGAGGACGGTTTCGAGGAATAGGTGGGCGCGGGCGTAGGAGTGCAGGCCGAGGTAGACGTGAGCGCCGAGGAGGTAGTATTCGAGGATGTATTCGGGCTTGAGAGGAGTGATGGTGAAGCCGGAGTGGGCTGTGATGAAGCTGTTGCTCAAATCATCTTCTGCCGGTGCCTCGCAGAGGAGGTCTTCCGGGAGATTCTTTGGAGTTGTTTGAGGGAAGGCGTAGATGTTGCGGTCGAGAATTGGTAGGGCCTGGCTAGGAACACCGCAGTCGAGACATAGGCGGAGCAGGAGGAGGTGTGAGGAGGTAAAGGTGCCGGCGGTAGGGTCTAAGCGAAGGAGGGCGGTGATGAGCGGGGTGAAGTCTTGCACGCCGGCTCTTGGGTAGGCATCGATGGCCCACTCGAGCAGTGCACGCCAATGATGCCCGCAATATCGCGCTTGGATGGGATCGAAGGAGGTGAAGAAGATGACGGAGCGATCAATGCATTGCTCCGTGCGCGCTCGATCTTTGCCGGATAGGCTGACTTGGGCGTGGAGGGCGAAGATGTAGGAGATGGTGTTGACGGCGGGATTGAGGAGGTCGAGGAGGTCTGATTTGCCACTTGCTTTGGCAAACTCTTGGGCAGACACGTTGTCGAGTAGCTGCGCCAGGGCATGGGCCTGTCTGTCGTATTCCTTTGCACTGACCTTCTTCTCGGGCGGGAAGGCCAGCAGACGAGCCGTCAAGTCCGCCATGTTTGCCTTCGAGGAGATGTTACCGGAGGTCGGTGATCATGTCATGCTCTCTCCGGGTCTTGCTAGATGCGGGAGTGTTGGGCCGGACAATGGGGTCGATGAAGTCGAACGGAGCTCGGAAGTGGTGAAGTGCAGCAAGTGACGATGAGATGAGGCTCAGGCAGCCCCGGTGGTCCGTGTGTCGAGCGTGTGGGGCTCGCGTTCCAAGGGTCCAACTCCTTCCCTTAATGTCAGCGAAAGAGTTTCCTGACAACTCGCCTCCGCCTCTCCTTTCCTACGCAGCTATTGAACACGGCGCCGACGTTTTTCATGGCCACAACAGCACCAAACCGAACCCGCCAGCGGGAGGCGGTCATCACCCGCGGACAGATAGCCAGGCTCATCGCAGAGGGGAGAAAGGTGGTAATCGTCGAGGGAAGAGTGCTCAAGGTCGACGCCTGGCTGCCTTTCCACCCCGGTGGCGACAAGGCAATCCTGCACATGGTCGGACGCGACGCCACCAACGAAGTCAGGGCATTCCACTCTGCCGAAACTCAGCACTTCATGCATCGATACCAGATTGGGCGAGTGGAAGGACAATGGAAGGACTTTGTGCCTCCTATCCAGGGCGGCACTGTCTCCCAGCTTGATGAAGGATCCGAGACAGCAGAAGAGAATGGAGATATTACACATGTCGACCATGACTCGTCTGAAGAAGAGCACTCACAAGAACCTTCGCCACTCTTCGACCCGGCAGAGCGCCCAACAACCTCGCTGAAAAGGCGCAACCCCAGACCGAGAACTGCAAGCGAGTCGTCTGCAACCTCCCTGGATACTCTTGAGCTTGATCCATCTGCATTGCCGAACGAAAAGGATTCACAATTAGCAACGGATCCAACGCAACGCGACATTGAAATCTTCCCTAGCCTCGATCCTCTCACCCAACAATCAATCATTGAGAAATACCGCCAGTTGGACGACCGGATACGAGCAGCCGGCCTCTACAACTGCAACTACACCGCATACCTCTATGAATTCATGCGATACGCCACCCTCGCCCTCTTATCATACTACTTCCTACGCCAACAATCCTTCTCCCTCTCCGCAATTTGCTTGGGCCTTCTATGGCATCAACTCGTCTTCACCGTCCATGATGCGGGACATATGGGCATCACCCACAACTTCCACATCGACACCTGCATCGGCATCCTCATTTCCGACTTCATCGGCGGCCTGAGCGTGTGCTGGTGGAAGCGCAACCACAACGTCCACCACATCGTCACCAACTCCGCCGAACACGACCCCGACATTCAACACATGCCCTTCTTCGCCATCTCGCCCCGCTTTTTCGAAAGCCTCCGCAGCACCTACTACGACCGTATCATGACCTACGACGCCTTTGCTAGATTCACCCTCCGCTACCAACACTTCCTCTACTACCCCATCCTCCTCTTCGGTCGCTTCAACCTCTACGTCCTCAGCTGGCAATACATCTTCCTCGGCCAAGGGCCACGCAAGGGCCCCGCATGGTGGCACCGCTACCTCGAAGTCGCCGGCCAGCTCTTCTTCTGGTACTGGTTTGGATATCTAGTATGCTACAAATCCATTCCCACCGCCGGGCAGCGCGTCGGCTTCATCCTGCTCAGCCACATGATCACCATGCCCGTGCACGTGCAAATCACCCTCTCCCACTTCGCCATGTCCACCTCCGACCTCGGCGTCGCGGAGTCCTTCCCCCAGCGCATGCTGCGCACCACCATGGACGTCGACTGCCCGCCCTGGCTGGACTTTGTGCACGGCGGCCTGCAGTTCCAGGCTGTGCATCACCTCTTCCCTCGCGTGCCTCGCCACAACCTGCGCAAGGGTCAAGGCATGGTGCGGGAGTTTTGCGAGGAAGTCGGGATTCCCTACGCGATTTATGGCTTTACGAAGGGGAATGCAATGGTCATTGGTCGATTGGGGGAGATTGCGAAGCAAGCGCGCATATTTGCCGATTGTCAGCGGAGCATGACTGTCAAGGATGCATTGGAGGGGCATTAGATGAAGCATACGCACGCCATGAAATGAAATGAATGAACTCGTTTGCTATTGTCGGACTTTGAATTTCTCCGGATTGCTTGAAACTACTGCCAACACTTGCACGATGGCTTTTTACACCTTCCTTGGTTACAGGGCAAGGGTAGGTCTCTATCTCCATCTTCACCAGCATTCTTCTGAACAAGTCGACCCCGCCCCCTTTCGCCTCCTTCTTCTCCTCCTCATCGAGCTGCTTCACCACCTCCGCAATCCGACCCGCCACGAATTGCCGTGTGACAGGCTCACCAACCGTAACTGCAACTCTCCACGTCTTCAACAGCGCCGCTCCTTCCTCCCCCTCCTCCCCGAGCGCAGCAGCCAACACCCTCAACTTCCGCAGCACAACATCCACATGCCCATCAGCCCCCACATGCAAAGCAATCTCCAGCGTGCGAATGCTGCGTAGCAATGTGTTCGTGCGGTCCAGGGGTCCAGCGTAAAAGGCTACCCCGCGTTGGCGGTCAGCCCGGCCGTGAATGGCAATGTGGAAGCGATGGGGCGCGTAGACGAAGGGGAGGACTTCGCGGTAGAGAGCGCGGCAGGTCACCAGCAGGGCGAGGGCTTCGGGGTCGCTACAGCACGCCGGACCTTTCCAGATCTGAGTTCCTTTCTGGACTGTGAAGGTGAGTTCCATGCTCCCGTTGTAGATGTAGGAGTAGATTAGTTGTCGGACCTCGAGCGGGAGGGTGAAGAGGGGCGATGTTTGGCTGGAGGCGGGCATTGTTGGTGAGAGCGTGCAACGTATACGTTGGTGAGTGTTGCAAGTATGCGACGGGCGAGTCTATCTTATAACTCACGCACGGAGGAGGGCGGGGTAGGTGAACAGGTCACGTATCCGAATGATACGCAGGACTGAGTAGTGAAGAGGCTGCGACTGTTTAGCGGCGCACTGCACAGCCTTGTTGATTGACGTTGCATCACTTCCCCTTCATCACGCCACAGGATCTGATGACCGTCAAGGGTGCATTGGAGGGACATGAGGGGAAGCATACGTGTATGCACGTCACGAATTGAGTAGATGCAGACGGACTCATCTCCGATTGTCTGAAAACTGCTCTCGCTCGATCACTTATGAGTGAACTCCAAGCCTGGGCCAGCGCTCACTGACGACAGCCAATGCCTTCCCCTGGATAAACCGAAATGAACCTCCCCAAACTCCCTCTATTGTCCCAATGCCAATTCGTCCATTCATACCATCATACCAGAAATGCATGCGTGTGCCAGCCTTCCAGCTCAGATATTGATCCCCGTCCCCTTCTCCGTCTGCGCCTTGGAAAACTGATACAACATGCCCAAAACGCCCGCATTCCTATCCGTGATATTGCCCTCATCAGCGCCCTCGTCGGGATCACTGTCGAATCGATCTGGCCCAGCGTCCTTGGCGAAGTCGTCGAGCTCACTGTCCTGCGCCATCAGTCTGCTCTCCGTCATGCCCTTGCCAGCACTGCCGCCGGCGCCTCGCTGCCGCGTGGGAGATCGCATCGTGGACGGTGCCGTGCGCTCTGCGGCTCGAGCGCCATGTTTTCGGTCAGAGCCAGTGTGCTGAATCGTCGATCGTTCGCCCACTTTCCCTCCCTGCGGATCCTCACCGGCATCCTCAGCAGCCAGCATCGGCGGCCAGGCAGGCGGCGGATGCCAACCCTGCGGTCTACGCACGCCCTGCCGGTGTGAGAAGTGGCTGTAGTACTGCATGAAATTCTGCACCGACGCCGCCATCTTGTCGTCTTTCAGCCCGTAGTAATCGTCCCGCAGTCCATCCGGCTCATTCAGCACCGCCGTCGGATCCTCGGCATTCAAATCCTTTTTGAAGCCAAAGACCGCGAAGTTGCACTGGTAGCCGATGCCGTTGACGTGCACCGTCTGCTCGCGGAAGAAGTCGATGATGCGCTCGCAGCGCGTGGTCGCGTTGCGCAGGAGGATCCACGGCGCGACGATTAGGCTGAGAATCTCCTCGACGAAAATGAGGACTTTCATCTGGTACATGGCGGAGAATTCGGCGCGGACTTCGTTGCTGTGCAGCCGGTTCTTCCAGTGTGCGGGCATGTAGTGCGTGAACATGAGCACCTCTTTAAGGTGCAGGACGGGGTCATGGACTTCGTTCTCATCCGGCAGGGCGCCGTTTGCCGCGGTGAAGACGCCGATCATGATGGTGAGCCAGAAGAAGGCTGTACGGCCGGGCGTGACCTCGAAACCGAGAAAGAGTTCGGGATCCCAGAGGGAGAGAAGAGTCAGTACGGCAGCGATGGCGCCGCTGACCAAAGCAACGAATCGACAAGCTTGATCGGTCTTGTCTTTGGGGAACTGTTTGAGATAGTCGTTCGCGAATGGATAAGCTTGCCGGAGACGGCGCTGAAAGAGGTGCTCCAATTCATTGAATTCGCGAATCTTCCACTCGGCGAAAGGGGTAAAGCTGCGAGCGCTGATGCGAGAGTAGTTTTTGGTAAACTCGGTGTAGTAGCGGAAGAAGTACAGGATGCAGAAGCGAAGGATGTTGAAGGGTGCGATGAGGACGCTGGTCAGCGCGGCGAAATGCAGTCGCCTACGCAAAGCATCGATGAGCACTCGGCGGTTCTTGACGTCCAGACAGAAGGGGCGAATGCTGCCCTGCTCATCGAAGATGAAGTTGGTCAGGCAGAAATCGATGCACCATTCCAGGCTTTTGGAATAGAATTGCCGGCTGCCCACGAATGGTAGAGGAAGGGTGAAGTCGAAGATGTCCTTGTTGTACATGGCAACGTAGTAGTTGTCTTTGCGCATCAGCCTGTTCGCAACACTCTCTGCATTGATGCGTTGCTGGGGTTGATTGTATTTCAAGAACTCTCTGACTTTCGGGGGAGGATCGGCGGTGGCGATGTTGGCATGTTGCACCTTCACGAGGCCTTCCACCACACGCACCCAGGATACCGTCTGCATGTCTTGATCGCTGATGCCGAGAACGTGTAGAAAGAAGTTGTGCATGTGGAATAGCCTGCGTGTGGATGAGGCGAACTGGACCAGGCGGCTCAGCCAGTACATGACGAAGAAGAACAAGGCCGCGTTCTTCAGCCAGGAGGCCTGAGACATGCATTTCGGTATCGTCACTTCTGCGGTAGACTTGCTGCTGGGGATTTTCGAATAGTCGATGCAGGTGGTCAAGAACATGGCGAAAGTGAAGACAAACAACTCCGTCAGGAGACTGATTGTGCGGGAGAGCAAGATCGACCAGACGCCATGCTCGACGTAGTACTGATACACTTCCAGTAAGAAAGCGTCCAGGTTGTTGGCGTTGGTGTACATCCACATGGCCTGTGCTTGAGGGTCGACTTGCAGTGGAGGAGCATAGTCGGGCGTAGAACGAGGAGCCATCGATATCATTTGCCGTGCTGTGGGGGTGGAATGCAAGCCGTGCTGGTCTTGCGCAGCCTTCCACTGAGCCTCAACTCTTGCTTGTGCGAGATTTTTTGTAGGGCGAGAGGAAGCTCGACTGCTCGGCGGATGGGTGTTTGGGTCGAGCAACAAAGAATCCGGGACATCCTCATCCTCTTCTATCCGTCTGTTCCTCGTATCTTCTAGCCACTTCGGTCGGATGCGGTCTAAGGTGGGGGAGGATTGCATGGAAGCTCGTGCGTCGGGGCTGAGGTGGACATCATCGTTTGCACCCTCGAAGAACATGTGTTCTGGGTCATCATCGTAGTCGCGAAAGGCGCCGTCGGATGTAGGTGCTCTTTGGGATTCTACGTCTAGGTGTCGATGTGGCTCGTTCCGCAGTGTTTCGAAGACGGAGACATCGCCCTCGGCCACGGGAAGGAAGCGCGAGAGCACGCGCGAAGTCATCATGTTGGTCATCTTGGGCCGTCAGGCTGGTGCAGTGCCACCATGCCACGTCCCGCTAGTGCTAGTGCTGGTGGAGCGGAGAGTGTGTTGCACTTCTGGATACTTGACGCGGGTGCAGCCCGGTGAGAGAGGACGACATGGGGGAGGCCGCGCGAGATTTTGTATCTATATGACACGTAGTTAGCTTGGAAAGTACACGTGTGATGTGTGCTCAAGACATGATGCAAAGTGGAGGGATGAAAGAGGGCAGCACCGGGTCAGGCGCGTGGCGATAGTCCTCAAATGCGGTCGAGCTTGACTCATGAATTACGTAAGCTTTCCGGGGTCAGCCATGCGGGGAATCAGGCTGAGGCTGCACATGTGAGATACAACCATCAATCACTTCTTACTTTTCCTCCTTGATTCTTTGGAACAGATGACTTTGGTAAGACTTACAACCCGTTAGTGAGGTTTACAGACTGAAGCCTACTCTCTGCGAGAATAAATCGATCGCGAGCAGGGAGCGATGATGTGTGGTCGGCGATGATGTCTGCAATATCGTCAGTTGGACCTGAAATTCCCCTTGGAACGCTACGCTGACGCTCTCACCCCCCAGCGTGGTTGGAACAGGGTCAGTCGGGGTACAATCTCGACAAGAGTACGGTAAATTCACACCATGCTTCCTTCTAAGGGTACACTGCTGTGTGTACGGTACGTGAAGTAATGATGAGCCCCTGAGCCTTGCCTCGTGCCGCTTTTCCGGAGCACACGTCTCGCTAACCGCGCCACGCCCCTGGAGATTGGTAGCGCATCTTGGGGCATGGCGTCCCACTTGTTACCAAGCATCCTGCGATACGGAGACTACGTTCCGTCTGGTTTGGAGAAGACATACCCTGTACAGGATGCGAATCCGTGGTGAACCGACTGCAGCTCCCTGGCTGCAACACGCGGACATCTGCGTAAGGTTTCGTGACTGGGGCGACCCCCAAGCCCGTCTTCCTTGTGGGCGTCTTGGCCTACATGTATCGACGTGCCCCCGATCCATATCATAAGATCAAAATGCCGTGTGGCATTCGCATGAGTACCCATCTGTCGTTTCTGTTGCTGAGCGCCAACTATGGGGCGTTATCTCATTCCTCAGTCATTGCTGGTTCTACAACTGATTTCCCTGGCCTCTTTTGCCCGCGCCCAGCCAACCAGTCGCCGCGACAATGCCATAGGCGACAGCGGCGACGACTACGGCACCGTCACATTTGTCTCCCGCCCTGACATCGTCGCGCTTCAATGGGAGCGGGCGGTATACGATGAAGAAGCTTTGGCTCCGGGATATTGGTTCGTGTCACCATATAAAAGCGTGGAGGTCCACGAGCGCCTCCCGTGGATGGGGCCCCAGATCTACGACTCTACCGGCGGCCTGATCTGGAGCGGCGGCTCGATGATACAGAATCGGAATGCCTTCGACCTCCAAGTTCAGCAGGTGGCAGGAAAGCCAATGCTCACCTTCATGGCGCGTAACACGACGCTGGAAGCCAAGCCGCGTGCCCACTCGCCATACAGCGACGACCACGCAGGTCACATCCTCGACGATTCGTACGATCTCTACGAAACCATTGCCATGGCCGACGCCGAGGGCAATTACAACATGCACGATTTGACCATCCTAAACGATGGAGAGCGCGCCCTCATGTTGACGCACCAAACGCAGGGTGGGGACGACCCAGTCATACTCCACTCCTATGAAGGACCGTGTGATATTATGTGGCAAGGATTCAGGGAGGTGGACCTTGCCACCGGAAGAAACGTCTTTGAATGGAACGCCAAGGGCCACATCGATCTCGCGGAGAGCAATCAGAAAGACGACACCTGGGAAGCAATGTGCGAGAATGGGTTCGACATCCTTCACCTGAATTCCGTCGACCGATTCGACGATGGTGATTACCTCCTCTCCGCCAGACACACCGATACCATCTACAAAATCTCGCACGTGGATGGCTCGATTGTATGGCGACTCGGCGGGCGCCAAAGCGACTTCCAATCCCTCGACATGGGCGCCAACTTTACACGGCAGCATCACGCCAAGTTTCGAGGCACGAGTGGTCCGTGGACGTGGATCTCACTCTTCAACAACGCCGCCGGCTCCGACGAGAGTCCCGGGAGTTGGCCCAGCAGCCCGTCTTCCTCCAGTCTGGTCCTCGCCTTGCGCACGGATGTGCAGCCCATGACCGTGCAGCTAGCTGGACGATATGAGCATCCAGACGGCAGCACTACAGCGGCCCGAGGCAGTGTTTCCTTGTTGGAAAACGGCAATGTATTCACGTGTTGGGTGATCTCCATGACCTTGTCCGAGCACAGCTTTGATGGCCGGCTCCTGATGAAAGCACGCGCGCGGATGGCCGGCGCCAATACCTACCGTGCGTTCAAGTCGCCATGGGTGGGTCGACCATCACGGCCGCCAGACGTTCTCTCCGTCGCCACGACGACGGTGCTCGAACGCCTGACGACATTGGAACACGGCTTCCTGAAGTTGACCAAGCGGGATCACATGACGATTACGGATCCGAATCACCTGACAACCTTGGTTCACGTGAGTTGGAATGGTGCAACGGAGGTCACGACCTGGCGCCTGCTGCGTACCGACGCGGCCGGCAATTTTCTCGACCCGATTGCCTCTGTCGCGCGTCAAGGCTTTGAGACTGCCATTTCCTTTCAGGGGTTCGCGGAGCATGTCGTTGTCGTAGCTATGGACCTTGACGGGGTGGAGATTGGAAGATCAAACGTCGTGCAGACGACACTGCCAGCCGAAGTGGAGAGTCTGTCAGCGACGGAAAGGGCGCAATGGATTCAAAAGCATTCCTCGACATCCCCGCCAACCTGGCCGTCGCTGGTGATGGTGGCTGTGATGTCCGGACTGCTGTTCACATGCTGTGTACTGGTAGTGTGGCGCACAGATACCATCCGGAGGAGACTACTGTGGTGGCGATCTACAGAATCTGCATACGCGCCTGTTGCTGAGACGGACGACGAACGCGCCTTCGAGAAAGTCGATGGCGGGTAGTCCTGCATCATCTCGCTAGAGTGGATATTGCTTTCCATTTCGTCGCCATCCATTTGGCCCCTCGTTCGTCCAACACGAACGCGAGTGAGGCCGAGTTGGCTACGGGTGAAGCCTGATGGCCAAATCTATTGTACTCTCTCCGCTGCCCACTACCTTTATTGACAAAGCCTCTCTCCGCTGCCCACTACCTTTATTGACAAAGCCACTCCCCTCCGCCGTCGATGTCATGCTCATCGGCTCTTTCTCTTTTCATGGATCTCCCCCCACCATCAACATCATTTTCGCTGCGGTCTGCAAGTCGCCGCTTTTGTTGACGCTCCTGGACTTCATTCTGACGTGATGCCAACCACGTATCGTCCACAATCAAGTTGCGTAGTGAATCGAAATCAATCGGGCCATCTACAAAGCACTGCTGGCCCGCGGCCTCCTCCACGGCGAGGGCCAGTGACAGTATGCCAGTGTCCTGGGGCTCGACACCACCGAAGCGTCCACTCGATACGATGTCACATCCTAGCTGGCAGAACCAGTCCGTAATGGTGTCCATGTCCGTGCCGTGAAATGCTCTCCATGTGCGAGCAGTGTTTTGATGTAGATGAAGAGCAGCAAAGGTCCAGCGATCGTGGTTGAACCTGGCCACCTAGACCTCGGTCGCGCCGATTTTGGACATCTGCTCACGTACTTCGGATGGGGGCGGGAGGGGGCCATCGGGCAAGATGTGGATATCTGGACGGGGGCGGGCATACGCATCCAAAATGGTGTGCATTACCCGGGAATTGAGTTGATTTCCGGGGAGTAGCATGGCCACTTGTGTCCAGTTGAAGTGCGCGAGTCTCTCATCGTCTTTGCCTGTGTAGTGGATTAGCCGCGAGGTCGTCATCGCGTGGTATCTGCTCGAGCGTACAGCGAAGGAAGTCCATTGCTCGCACGATACCAAAATCAGCATTTCTCGCAGCTCGATTGAACATTTCCCACGCTGTCGCTTCTAGCGGCGACGGGGGCGGCTCAGAGCCCAGGGCTTTCAGGCACATCTGGATCTTGTTGACTGCCCGTTGCTCGATATTAGGGGTAAGGTGTTCATGCCCAGGAGTGCTGGCGATTTGTCGTCTGATCGCCTTCGGTCGAGGTATACCCAGTGGGCCGGGTGGAGCATTTTGCAGTAGAGATGCCACCACCAACCGGACAATGGGCTCGATCTGCTCGCTGGGTGTCGTCATTGTAGCGGAGGGTGTGGAGATAATGTGGTCTGGCTTCTGAGTTCGTGACGGCAGGAGTGCAGGTAGGACAGCAAAAGGTGTGGGAGTTCACCAGACGAGTGGAGTCGTGCGCAAGGAATGGTATGGACGTTGTTCAACTGGAATTCGCCCCTCGAGTGTGGTACTTTCCGCGCATCGAGTTCTATAAAACTTGCAGCTTCCCGCACATCGCGGTTGGGGACAGTTCCTGCCGACTCTATTCTCGCACTGCGCCTTCCATCAGGACCCACTTCCACTTCCCTCGACTCGATTCGTTGCTCTCAAAACAGTTCAAAATGCACTCGCCAAGGCCATTTGCCCTCGAGATTCGATTTCTCCATTCCCATGTGATTGACTGATGAATCAATCAATCAATCAATCCTTGGCGTGGTGACCTTCCCGAACGCCTTCAGTACAAGGCTCTCGCAGTCGAGATATAAGTGTCGCGTGTATCTCAACGTCCGATCTCACTGTGCCATTGATTCTGCGATGATTTCACTTAGAAAATGTGACCGATTTGGTGATTGTTAAGCTCCCGGACGGAATGTTTTGACTCGTCAGCCTCGCCGTCTCGACTAGCCGGCTTGCCCTTTGCGGGGGTAGAAGAGATATAGCCTTACGGACAATAGTCCGTGTGCGATGATGACGAGGCCAATGCTTTCCATCAGTTGTAATGTGGAGCTTGCGAAATATATCGAAAAGCATCGATCGACTAGTAATCCCCCGAGCACGAAGCAGTTGATGAGCAGGAAAGAACCCTGAAGCGAAAATGTAGCAGCACGTGCAGTGGAACACATGCCGACATTGTTGATATGTATTAATTACAAAGACTATTGCGCGTGCAAATTCGATACAGATGACAAATGAAACGGGTTATGTACGCAATTGTCATATGGCCAGCGAAAGTCTCTCGTATACTGCCGAGCCCCGTAGCATTGGCGTCTTGCAGCCTGCGAGTGGTCGCGTCCATGTTCAGCGGCTACGTGCCATGGCCATGGCTTCCACCCTGGCTCTCACTCTAGCCTGATCCTTGGCTAGAGTCCGAGCCCTGGCTTCCATTCCAACCCGGTTGCTGGGTTGACGGCGGTTGCTGGTTTGGCGGAGGCTGCTGATTCGGGGGCGGCTGCTGGTTTGGCGGAGGTTGTTGGTTAGGGGGTGGCTGTTGGTTGGGGGGAGGTTGTTGATTAGGGGGTGGCTGTTGGTTGGGGGGCGGCTGCTGGTTTGGCGGAGGCTGCTGATTCGGGGGAGGCTGCTGGTTTGGCGGAGGTTGTTGGTTAGGGGGTGGCTGTTGGTGGGGGGGCGGCTGCTGGTTCGGAGGCTGGTTGTTCGGGGGCTGGTTGTTCGGGGGTTGCTGGTTTGGCGGAGGTTGATTGTTCGGGGGTTGGTTGTTCGGGGGTTGATTGTTTGGGGGTTGCTGGTTCGGCGGAGGTTGGTTGTTCGGGGGTTGATTGTTCGGAGGTTGGTTGTTCGGGGGTTGCTGGTTTGGCGGAGGTTGGTTGTTCGGAGGTTGCTGGTTCGGCGGGGGTTGATTGTTCGGAGGTTGATTGTTCGGGGGCTGATTGTTCGGGGGTTGATGTCCCGGCGGAGGTGGAGGGGGCTGTTGCTGACCCGGCGGAGGAGGGGGCCCCTGGCCGGGAGGAGGTGGTGGGGGGCCTTGTCCAGGAGGAGGCGGTGGCGGCGGCGGGCCCTGTCCCGGTGGAGGCGGTGGCGGGCGCTGGCCTGGAGGGGGTGGAGGCGGCGGTGGAGGTGGAGGAGGTGGAGGCGGAGGAGGTGGGCGGTGGCCTGGAGGAGGTGGTGGGGGTGGAGGTGGAGGAGTAGGCTGAGTATACGGCCATGAGGGAGTCGAAGTTGTATACGGCGGGGGATGCGGATGATGATGCGGCTTATGATGCGGCTGATGATGGCCCCACCCTCCGCGAGCCAGCAAGGCACGACGTTCGGGAGAGTCGTACACCTCCACGTCGGCCGGGACCGGCTGGGGAAGTGCCACGACCTGGGTGGCGGCGACCAACGCGGCCAAAAGGATGGCGTGATTCTTCATGTTTGCTAACGAGTGGATTGAATCGAAGTCAACGAGTGTGGGCGAGGGGATCCCTCGAAGAGTGTGGTGAGGACGTGTTCGGGAACAACGAACAGTCGTGGACCTCGTCCAGGCCGTGGGACGGGGGATGCCTTATATGTTCACCGCTGAACGCCGGGACATTGCTTGCTGACACCGGGGCATTGCTTGCTGACACCATCGTGAGTGGGTATGGCTGTGGTGACAGACTTTCGTTACAACCGTTGCAAGTTGCAATATCCTCAGGCATTACTGTCGTGTGAGAGTGAGACCTGGGGCACCGAGGGGGAAACCTTCGAGGACAACGTGGGCAGCTCCGCGGCGAGGCTGCGCATCGGGCCAATAGCATGGGGAAATTCTCCGGATGAGGAAAGGATTCAGGCTAAGCTAGCCCGGAAAGGCAGATGTGCAGGAGCAGAGCGGGAGTTTGCGTGATTTGCTGACCAGATCCAAAGTGCGATCGGCCTCGAAGAAAGGCCAATGCGGGGTGTGGCTGTCTGCTAGCATGATGGAGCTTCCCCGGACGCAGAGTCGTTGGAGACACGCCCCGGATGCGATCGCCCAGGTTTCCCCGGACGGCCGTGTCGGAGAGATGTCGAACCAACGGGATCTCATAACGAGGGGGCTGCAACTGTGAAATTTCCCCGGTGATGCACGCGGGGAAAAGTCAAATGCGGCAACGTGGAAATTACCATTGAACTCAAAGGTAATTCACGTTTCGTTGGCTTCTCGCATGGCCTCATCAGCACCCCCGACAAGATTCGGAGCCTAATAAAGGATGATGTGATGATTAGTAGTCGATAATTCCTCCATTAAGATGGTGGGGGCGCAGCACTCTCGCTCTCACGTTCCATGCACAAGGTTCAACTCAAATAGATCGTGGTGGATAGTCCTCACGCCGGCGGACACCAGAGTGTTGTAGTCATTTCGGTAATTATTGCTGTCCCTCCCTGAGTGATGGCTCACGTCTGGTCAGGTCTCAGACATCGATCGAGTCCGTACACAGTATTGGAGGTCTGGGCACCCTCCCAATATGATTGGTGTCAAGTCGAAGAAACGACGATACTCGCCACGCGATCCCAGTGTGCAGACCTAGATTGACGGGGCCAGTTGGGGCGAGTTCGGAGACGACCACGATCGACACCCTTTCGTATTGTGGCCGGAACTGTACCAAGTAAGCGCCGCATTTCCATGCTGGTCAAACATCGCGACCATGACTCGCCCGGCTATTGGTCCATTACGCCTTACTCACGCGTGAGACTCGATGCCGTGCAACGCCGGGCCTCACGTCTACAACGCCAATTGAGAGTTGGACGGGAGTGGGGTCTTCGAGGGAGCATCTCCAATTTCCATCCGTTCAACATCCGTAGCTCGACGTGTCTCACATTCTTCCTCTCCGGCGAGGAGCGGATGAGACACTCTCGGCCGCGGAAAGGCTGATGGAGGGGGTGGTGAGGGACAAGCAGTACCGGGAAGTAGACCGGGTATCGGCGAGAGACGACTTTGTAGCGGACGGGCACGGGCTGAGCCTTTGTCTTGAGAACTGAGGTTGTGCCTTGTTCACTGCAATGCGAAATCAGTCTCGAGTTCGGATACGGATGCGAGCCAATCTTCACGTGGGATTCGCTCGGGGATGGTCTTCAGCTGGACGAGACTCAAAATCTGTTGACATTGCCGGTGCGCTTATAGACCATCCCTGGGATTTTCAACACAGAAATACAGGCGACGAACATTTGGCGGTAGTGCATCCAAGGTACAACATCACATACCTTGCGCTTCAGGCACTCCAAGAAACCAGAGGGATGAGACGGCAGGCCATGCGACTATAGAGCACTGCCAGTTAGATGCGCAATACTGGCTCTTGACGTATGTCCCCGATGTAGATGATGATGGCGGATGTCGTGTCTCGCGACGGCATATGATGATGAAATGACGTTGATGGAGGGGCGAAGGGTCAAAACTCCAAGACTTCACTTCCACCCTGTACCCTACCCACCACAACAACTTGCTTCATTCGAATCATCAAAACCAGACAACATGAGTTCAGAAACCAGTCTCGATCTGTAAGAAGACAGGCCTACTCCTCCGTACTAGTTCAGCGCGATGATGCTAACAATCAAATCAGATACTCGGACGGCACGCCCAATGGCCACAAAATCAGCGTCACCCTCGAAGAACTCGGCGTCAAATATACCGCGCACCACATCGACATTTCCAAAAACACGCAAAAGGAAGACTGGTTCCTCAAGATCAACCGTACGACTCCCCTCCCGAGGAATGACAGATGAGAGCTGACCGAAATCACAGCGAATGGCCGTATTCCCGCCATCGTAGACAAGACCGGAGGCAAGTCGAAGAGAATTTTCGAGGGTGCGGCGATCCAGCTCTATCTCTGTGAAAAATTCGACAAAGACCACAAGATTAGCTTCCCATATGATAGCGATGAGTACTGGGAGTCGGTAGAGTGGATGGTGTGGATGCAATCGGGGCTTGGACCCATGCAAGGAGTAATCACTACACCAATTCTCCCTCATCATTCAGTGGTGAATCTTGCTGACACAAATACAGCAAGCCAATCATTTCTACCGCTACGCCCCGGAGAAAATCGAATACGGCATCAAGCGTTACCAGACCGAGACCAAACGGCTCTATCAAGTCCTCGAGGACCGATTGAAGACACAGCAATCTTCGGGCGACCAGCCCGCGTGGATCGTCGGTGGCAAATTCAGCATAGCCGACATCAGTTGCTTCTCGTGGGTCAATTGGGCCGAGTGGGCAGGTGCGTTCTAAGCCCCAGCCCGTCCGGCAGCCTGAAAACTGACAGGAGACAGGTATTGACACCGCGCCGTATCCTGAAATCGAGAAGTGGTTGCATGCTATCCAGAAGCGCCCAGCGGTCGCAAAGGGAGTCGACATTCCTGTCAAGTTCGAGATGAAGGGCAAGATGAAGAGCGGCAAAGACGCGGAGGAGTTTGCAAAGCACCACAGCAAATGGGTCATGGAGGGTATGAAGACGGACTCCTCGACGCATAAGTGATCGCTTTGTTCTTCGAGTCACTGCCACGGATGGGTATTAAAGGGGAACTGTGACTTCGTGGCTGACTTCTAGAAAACCCATCGCATTCATTCCCCAAACGACATTCAGGCATCAAATTCACTTTCCCGCTCCTTCCCAACTGAGCGCAGTCACAGCCTTGGCGCGTAGGTGGGGCTTGGGCTTCTCCTCCCCTCCCTTTTCTTCAGCCTATCAACATCCTCTCGAATCTCATCCCACACCCTCACCCATTTTCCATAACCTTTACGTTCATCCATACCTGCTCGCATCCTCCATCAAGCATCGCATCCTCCATCAAGCATCGCATCCTCCATCAAGCATCGCATCCTCCATCAAGCATCGCATCTTCCATCAAGCCACATCAGCGTTCAAGCATCTCCATCAGCGTCTCAAGCATCGCAATCCACGCGCGCTTCTCTGTAACTCCTGATCTAACCAACGCGCCCGCTGAGAGCCATCATCATGTCGCGCAACACCAACACCAACACCAAGATCACGAGCAACCTCACGACCATGCCTCTCGAGCTCCGTCACGCCGTCTACGACGTGATCGCCAACACGGAGTACGACATCAACCACGGTCCCTCCATCAGCCACTGCAACTACGACTCCATCACGCCCCTCAACGTAGCCCAGCTCAGCAGCGCCTTCCGCGCCGAGTTCCTCGAGCACCTGTGCACCACAATCAGCTTCAACATCCGCCTCAACTTCTGGCCCAGCCCTATGCCGCAGCCTCCCTTCCCCTATTTTTACAATTACGATCCAAACAATGATAACAGCGAGATCCTCGCTTCACGCCACTGGCTGGAGCAGCTGGGGTCAGAAGCGCCGCTAAAAAAGATCCGCTTCGTGCTGAAGAACGGCATCGCCAACAATAACACGTCACACGACTGGGAGGCGTATGTGCACGTTCACATCAAGGCTGGTGAGTGTTTTGCCCTTCCTTCCTTCTGTTCCTTTTCCAGCGCGTCTTCCATTTGCTGACAGTATCGTTGCGCCTGTGCAGATGGCATCAGTGTCACGCACGGCATGTCCCGATTCGGCTTTCAGGGAGAGAGCGGGCGGATCCAGAAGGTAGCAGATGCGATTCGTGCCAAGCTTGAGGGGATACAGCAGGAGAGCGGCGGGCGTGTTGGATGGGACTCGGTCAAGGAGCTCATTGCTGCCATCAACGCGTCGCAGGAGGACGGGAAGTTTGTGCGCTGAGGCTGAGTAGCCGCGGAAGGGTGGGAAAGGGGTGAGAGAGTAAATCACGAGAAGGTGCCACACGCAAGGGATGAGATGGAAATGAAATGCAATGGAATGATACAGCAAGGCGCAAGGAGACTTTTGGAACTCTGTTCTTGTTTCGTACGTACGACACCAAATGGAAGCAAGCAACCTCTATCAAAATGTGGGAGCATCCTACCCTCTCTTGAACGTAATGCACCCCCCATCTCTCCCCCTCATCTAGGACTGCGGAGCAGACGCGTCTAAGCGGTGTAGGTGGAAGCCGAGACATCGCCACCACGCCCGGTCCAGTTGACGTGAATGTCCTTGCCCTCGGGGTACTTTTCGCTCGCGTGCTCGGGCTTGATGCGGAAGGTGTGGGCGCCAAAGTAGTCGCGCTGGGCCTGGAGCAGGTTGGCGGGCAGGTCCTTGGTGCGGATGCCGTCGTAGAAGGAGAGCGCGGTGGAGAAGGCGGGGGTGGGGATACCCCAGGTGGCGGCCTTGGCGACGATGTCGCGCCAGCCGGGCTGCGCGGTGTGGATGGCCTTGTTGAAGAAGTCGTCGAAGAGCAGGTTCTCGAGGTCCGGGTTGGAGCGGTAGGCCTTGGTGATATCCTTGAGGAAGACGGAGCGGATGATGCACCCTCCGCGCCACATGAGCGCGATTTCGGGCTTCTGGAGCTTCCAGCCGTATTCCTTGGCAGCCTGGAATTGGGGTTAGCGGGGTTTCTCTGAGGATACGTGCGCGATGCGAATTGCTTACAGCTTGCATCAACATGAAACCCTGGGTGTATGAAATGATCTTGGAGGCGTAGAGAGCCTGCTCAAGGTTGTCAAGAACCTCTTGCTTGTTGCCGGAGAATTTGACCTCGGGGCCGGCGAGCTTCTTGCTGGCACGAATACGCTCGGCCTTCAAGGAGGACAAACATCTGGCGAACACGGCCTCACCGATGAGCGTCACGGGCTGGCCCATGTCAAGGGCGTTGATGGCGGTCCACTTGCCGGTACCCTTCTGGCCGGCCGAGTCGAGGATCTTCTCGACGAGCGCGGTGCCATCCTCGTCGTTGTAGTAGAGGATGTCGCGGGTGATTTCGATGAGGAAAGAGTCGAGCACGCCCTTGTTCCACTTGGCAAAGACATCGCCCATCTCCTTGTCGCTCATGCCGAGGCCACGCTTCATCATATCGTATGCCTGTTGTCGGACTCGAGTGATTAGATTTGTTCGAGTGAGAATGTAGAGCGCATCTTACCTCGGTGATGAGCTGCATGTCACCATACTCAATGCCGTTGTGCACCATCTTGACGTAGTGGCCAGCGCCCTCGTCACCGACCCATTGGCAGCAGGGCTCGCCGTCGGATTTGGCGGAAATGCTCTGCAGGACATCCTTGATGTGTGGCCAGGCCTCCTCGTTGCCACCGGGCATGATGGATGGACCGTATCGTGCGCCCTCCTCACCGCCGGACACACCGGCGCCGACGAAGCGGATGCCCTTGGAGGCGAGGTATTTGGTGCGGCGGTTGGTGTCCGGGAAGTGAGAGTTGCCTCCGTCAATGATGATGTCTCCCGTCTCGGCGCCGGCCTTCAACAGAGTCTCGATGAAGGCGTCGACGGCAGGACCGGCTTGGACGAGGATCATCATTCGGCGGGGCTTCTTGAGCTTCGAGAGGAATTCTTCGGCACTCCATGCGCCCACGATGCTCTTGCCCTTGGCCTCGTTCTCAAGGAAGCGATCGACTTTGGAGAGGGTACGGTTGAAGGCAACGACGGTGAAGCCGTGATCGGCGGCGTTGAGGATCAGGTTCTGGCCCATGACCGCGAGGCCAATGAGACCGAAGTCGCCGCTGTGGAGGGAAGGGCATGGTCAGCATTGTTTCTCCCTCGTACGGACACGGCGATGTTGCCAGTCGAGTCCTGGCAAAATACTGCTCGAGGCGGGAGCGGCGGGAAGTGGAGGAAGGCAGGACAATGGCACTTACACCGGCTCTTTTGAAGACATGTTGACGGGGGGAGATGTGGTGAGGTGGTGGGTGATGTTGTGAAGGCGTCGCTGGGATTGGGGGTGGTGCAGCGCTCGCAAGAGGTGGGATTGGAGTGGTTTGGAAGGAATTGTTGAAGTAGCTTTCATCATCGGCGCCAGCGTCAGTGCGATTTGGTGGGCCGCACGTGGGGCACGCAGAGTTTGTCAGCGCAAGCTCTTACGCAAACATGCAGTGCCAATGATGCGCGGCCAATGCGTGCACTTCCGCCCGCGCACTCAGCCTGAGCCTGGGTACAATATACACAGGGAAGGCGCCGGATAGATGCTGATGCAGATGCACGGAGGAGAAATGTGAGTTGCCGCCCGCATCCACCACCCCGCCACCCCTCTCCGCCCTTGCTTACGAGATGGCCTCCTCGTGACTCCAGTCCAATGGCGCCTCGGCTGCGCGGCTGGCATCCTTACTTAGGTAAGCCAGGTTCACGATGTGCATACACGTATTGTCAAGGTACATCGTGTCTGGGACAACACTAACCCAGCTCCGATATGCAGTGTATACGACAATGTCGCTACTGAGCCCCATATTCCACCCCTCTCCACATGCAAGTAACGCTCCTGTTCGAGACATGAGGCCTCTTGGCCGTTCTATTCAGCCGCCGGCGGCCTAAAAGGGTTGGACCTGCCTGTTTCGGCTCAACATCTCACCTTGCCCTCTCAATACACGACTGCACTCGTTCCTTGATTCTGTTCCAATTCCTCTTCCTACCCGTAGCAACATCCAACAGTCTAGTTACGATGCAGTGTCACCCGCTGCGAATCCTCCAAGCCGATGAGATACGGGAGGCAACCCGCATCTTAGTCGACTCCCTCGAAGGCATCGACCCATCCACGGTGCACTTCAAGAACATCTCTCTGCATGATCCTCCAAAAGCTTTGCTTTTACCTCATCTTGATGCTGAAGCGTCGGGCGTCCCGTTGCATCAGCGGCCATACGTGCCGAGATGTGTAGACATCATCTGGAGCACCAATGGTGGCAAGCAGGTCACCGAAAGCGTCGTGAGTCTCGATGCAAAGACCATCATTGCCAAATCACATCCCAAGCCGGGACAGCATGGTCCAAATGACAGGTGTGTGGGACTGGGTATGAACAGTTGGAGTTGCTCTCGGACTAAATCAACACCTCTAGATTGGAAATGGTGGAAGCCGCTGAAAAGATCCTCACGAATCAACGCGTGCTCAATGCAATCGACCAACTCAGGCTCCCCAAAGACATGGTCATCGCATTAGATCCTTGGATGTGTGAGTCAAATATAGCCAACAGCTGTGCTGTTCATACCAATCCCGACTGACTCTTCCGTTGTCGATCATTAGACGGCGCAGACCGGGACTCGACCATAGACACCCCCAAGTATATCCAATCTCTGCTCTATGCCCGCGCAAAAGACCATCCCGACTCGAATCAGTATTCTTACCCGCTGCCATTCTCTCCACTTCTGAATCTGTGGACCGGTGAAGTTGAACGCCTCGACCCCATCGCAACGGGCGGCAATGAGGACGGGCTCTCATACCATACCGCTCCGGACCCACCAATGGCACACTTGAAGCCCAATGACTACTACCCTGGCCTCCTTCCAGAGCCTACTAGAACCGACCTTGCCCCTCTCCACGTCGTCCAACCGGAAGGACCCAGCTTCCGAGTCACAGATGAAAACTGCGTGAGCTGGCAAAAGTGGCGATTCCGTGTCGGCTTCAACTATCGAGAAGGCACGGTCATTCACGACGTACGCTATGATGGGCGTCCGTTGTTTTACAGACTCAGTGTCAGCGAGATGACGGTGCCATATGGCGGTGAGAAGCTGTGTCCTACTCGTCGTCGCTGCAGCCAAACTGACTACCTCCATAGACCCTCGAAGCCCCACTCACCGCAAGCAAGCCTTCGATCTCGGTGATGCTGGAGGAGGCAGCTGCGCGAACAATCTCGCCCTTGGTTGTGACTGCCTAGGCGCCATCAAATACTTCTCGGGCTGGCTGAACGACAACCACGGCAACCCGGTCCCCGCCGAGAATGTAATCTGTCTCCACGAACAAGACGGCGGCATCGGGTGGAAGCACACCAATCACCGCACTGGCAATCCCGCCATCACTCGAGCGCGCAACTTGGTGGTGCAATCAATCATCACCATCGGTAATTATGAGTACATCTGGGCGTGGATCTTCATGCAAAACGGCAACCTCGAGCTCGAAACACGCGCAACCGGCATCCTCTCCACCTCCCCCATCGACCCCGGCAAGACCTCCGACTGGGGCACCGTAGTCTCGCCCGGCGTGCTCGCAGCAAACCACCAACACCTCTTCTGCATGCGCATCGACCCCATGATCGACGGTCCGCTCAACACCGTCGTCCAAGAAGACAGCATCGCCGTCCCGCCCTCGGAGCACGAAAACCCGCACGGAAACGCCTGGCGCGTGATCAAGACGCCGATTGAGAAATCGTCCCCCGCGGACGCCGCACCCTTCGCGAACCGCTGCTTCAAAATCGTCAACGAAAACATCCTCAATCCCATCTCTCGCAATCCCGTGGGCTTCAAGCTCGTTCCCCAGCCCTGCCAGACGATCCTCGCTCACAAGGACTCCGTCGCTCGACGACGGGCGCGCTTCGCCGAGCACCATATTTGGGTGACGCGGTACCGCGACGGGGATCTGTGGGCCGGTGGCAAGTGGACGAATCAGTCGTTGGAGGAGATTGATGGCGTGGCAGACTATGCTGCGAGGCAGGAGGATGTGCGGAACCAGGACCTCGTGGTGTGGCACACGTATGGCATGACGCATAATCCGCGGGTAGAGGACTTCCCCGTGATGCCGGTGGAGATTACGACGATCAGTTTGAAGCCGGCGGACTTTTTCGTCAAGAATCCGGCGATCGGTGAGTGCGGTGATGTGGCCACGGACTCGGACTGCACTAACGATCCTCGACAGATGTGCCGCAGAGCGCGCAAAAGGACAACAAGAGTGTGCTGGTTTTGGACGCGATGCCGACTGAGACGATGGACAAAGACGTTGGCAACAGGACAGCGAAACCATGTCAGTCGTGCGAAAAGGCCAAACTATAGCCCACCATCTATGCATAGCCAGTGCGCCCGAATGCTACAACTTCGCCTCCTTCTTCGGCGGCTGGATCGTGATATCCGTAAATGGCACGTCCAAATACTGCAGCATGAAATGAAACCTATCGCGATACCATCAGCATCAGCATCAACAGCACAACTCAGAAAAAGGCTTCACAACTCACCGATCACTCCCAAAAAACGGCTCCACCGTCCCATCCGCCTCTCCTCCCTTCCGGACCAAATGCCACGGCGCCCCATACGCTCCCTTCGCAACCAGCCCCGCCGTCTCATCCGTCAACAGCTTCTTATACTCCGGCGACGCGGCGCCCGCGAGGATCGCCTTCGCTTCCTCCTCGCTGAAGTGCCAGCGCAAACACTGCGTCATGAACTCCGGCTTGCTGATGTCGAGGTGCTCTTTCCAGTACGCGACCCAGAGGTCGTGGAATTGGGCTTCGAAGCGCGCGCGGGGGAAGTGGGCTTTTATATAAAGCATGCAGCGCATGGGCTAGTCGTGTTAGTTGTGGGGGCTGTGTTGGAGGACATGGAGGATTGTTGGTGATTACCAGGATGGAGAGGATGGGGAAGAAGGGCGGCGCGACGAGTTCCCAGCTCTGAAAGTATCGTCGTGCGCGTGGACCTTCGAATTTCGTGTGGGCGGCTTTGGCCGGGAGGGTCCAGGGCGGTTTGTTGCCTGGGTTCAAGCATGCGTGAGCGGGAGATAACAAGGAGGCCCATGTGCCAGGATCGAGGGCTACGTACCGCTTCCAACGTTGATGCCGCCTAGAAAGATGGGATGGAAACTAGGTGGGTAGAGGTCAGTGTCGGTCTTAGCAATATAGAGAGCAAGAGCCTCGACATACTCGATTTCAACGCCATGCTCCGCCAAAGCCTCTCGGTGTCTGGTGAGCCAGGTGAAAGCGTAGTAGGAGTACGGCGAATCTGTTCGTCCGTTCAATCAGTTTCATGCTCGTCGGATTTGTGTCGCGAGGGGTGCGATTGACTTACTGAAATCGAGATACGTGTCTATTCTGCCTCCGCTTGACATTGTTGTGATTCTGATTTCAACTCAAAGGGAAGATGAGAGGGGTAGAAGGGTTGTTGCGGGGAAATAGAGAGGCGTATGCAGCTGGTATTTATCGGTGAAGTCGAGGCCGGGATGCCTCGGCCGCGGGCGGATGTTCATTAATACAGACTCGTGGACCGACTCTTTCGGCTTCCAGCGACGAACGCAACTTTGTACCTGGAACTAGTAGAATTGTTACAGGAATGGTGCCAGGACCACGTATCGAACGAAAGCTTAAGATACCTCGTGTCTTGGAGAACAGGTGATGATTCGATTGCTATCCAGCCTGGCCGTAGTCATGAGACTCTTCAGCCTCACTGTTTGTTTAGTTGTCTTCCTTTCGCTCTCTAACATGCCATGTGGAAGAGCCTCACCCCCAAACACCATCGCTAAAATCACGAAAACATCTCTCAACCGAGAATCTTGTAACCCGCCGGGTTCTTCACCGGCTTCTTCTCAATATGCGCTCCTGTATTCGCCCTAAGCGGATCACTCTGATGCTTCGGCCCGCCACCGCCCTGCTGCTTGCCCTTTCCTTTCCCCTTGCCCTTATCGTTGTCTTTGCGCATGACGGGGCGAAGATCTGTTTTGGACCGCTGAATGGTGACGGGATGGCTGCCGATGTACTTACCCGTCATCTCACGCGCAGCCTTGAAACCCAATTCGCCGTCCGTGAACGACACGAAGCCATAGCCCTTCGACTTTGTCGTGCGCTTGTCACGAACCACCCGCGCTTTCGAGACGCCATACTGTGCAAAAGCTTTGGCGAGAGAGTCATCGGTCACTTCGCCCGCGAGATTGCCGACCATGATGCGGAACTGCGTCGGGTCCCACTCGAGGAGGGAGTCGTCCTGCCATGACTGCCCACCGCCTTTACGGACGACGGTCTTGTTTGGCTTTTCATCGCTATGAGCGTTCGCGGGAGTGTCGGTGGGTTGGGGTTGCTTGCCAGGGGCTACGGGTCCTTGACGAACGCCGACTTCGGTGAAGTTGGGGTTGCCGCCTTGCTCGCCTTTGCCGGAGCCTTTCTTGCCACGGTCGAGTTGGTCTTGGGGTGCGTAAGTTGCCTGCCACGCCGCTACCTGTGCATCGTACTCTGGATCGTACTGTGAGTTTTGGGAGGCGTATTGGGATGGTGCAGGCGGGGGAGCGAATGGGTTGCGGATCTCCGGGGGAGCAGTCTGATACTGTGCTTGTGGTTGCGCTTGAGCATATGCGTTGTAGCCTGCCGGGTACTGGTAGTTGTACTGCTGCTGCTGCTGTTGAGGGTACTGGGCGTTGTTGTTCCAGGATGGATGTGCCATGACCGGATAGGTGGCAGGTGGGCCAGGATATGAGTAGACGGGATAGTAGAACTGCTGGGTGGGATGGGGCTGATACGGTCCGTATGCGCCGGGGTTTGCGCCGTGACTCGGAAGGTAAGGGTTGCCGTATTGACCGGTGGCGTTGAGCTGGGAAGCTGTTAGCAAATGTCCGCCGTGAGTGACTGCTCCCCGAACAAAACGTGCTGCGTAGTAAGCTGGGCTTGAAACAGGGATGCACGGTTGGTACACTGGTCCGTATTTGGCAGTGCGCGGGTATGTCTTGCGATATTTGTTGGCCATGATGCAGCAGGCGAAAGAGAGCGAGATGCGAAAGCGGTGCAGTGCTGCGTGCAGCGTGCAGCGTGGTGGTGTGAAGAAAAGCAGACGTACCTTTTGTCGAGTGAGTGGCACCACGTTTGGCAGCGGCCGTTTGTCAGGTGAACTCCTGCAACACTTCCCTTCCCCGTTTGCAATGGAGAATGAGTCTATTGAAAGAATAGAAAGTTGCTGGAGTGTGGCGCTGTGGCTTGCGCGATCGTCGTGCGTCAGAAACTCTATTTGCGACTTTTGAAGCCCTGAACTGCTTCCACCTTCCCACGACCAGCAGGCAGAAGATGAGCGCCGACTCCACGCCCGCCCCTCCTTCTCGTGCCACTCCGAAGCGCAAGCGATCGCAATCTCCTGGACTTGCCAATGCACAATACGATGGCGCCCAGGACGAGGCAGATCTTCAATACGCCTACGATGACGACCTTCCCAGTGACGCGGAACACGCGTTTCCCACCTCGGACGGCGAAGAGAGTGGTGTGAGGGCAAAGAGGAGGAAGGTGGAGAGGCCGCGACAGCTGAACTATGTCCCATACATGACCCTCACGGGCCACAAGAGAGGAGTGTCGGCGGTCAAATTCTCGCCAGACGGAAGATGGATTGCGAGTTGCTGTAAGAGCGACTGCTGTATGATACCCTACGCGCAACACCAGTCCTAACAACCAAATAGCTGCAGATTGCACCATCAAAATCTGGGACGCCGTTACTGGAGCCCTCGCGCACACCCTCGAGGGCCATCTCGCCGGCATCAATTGCATCTCATGGAGTCCCGATTCCAAGTACCTCGCCTCCGGCTCCGACGACAAGCTCATCCGCCTCTGGGACGTGCAACGCGGCAAGTGCATGCCCACCCCTCTCACCGGCCACCACAACTACGTCTTCAGCCTGGCCTTCTCCCCCAAGGGCAACATGCTGGTGTCCGGCTCCTACGACGAAGCCGTCTTCCTCTGGGACGTGCGCACCGCCCGCCTCATGCGCAGTCTGCCCGCCCACTCCGACCCCGTTTCCGGCGTCGACTTTGTGCGAGACGGCACGCTCGCCGCGTCGTGTTCCAGCGACGGCTTGATCCGCATTTGGGATACCGGCACGGGACAGTGTCTCAAGACGCTCGTGCACGAGGACAACGCGGCCGTGACGAGCGTGCGCTTCTCCCCCAACGGCAAGTTCGTGCTCGCAGCTACACTGGACTCGTGCGTGCGCTTGTGGGATTACGTCGAAGGCCGGTGCGTGAAGACGTACCAGGGGCACCAGAACGAAAAGTTCAGCCTGAACGCCGGCTTCGGCGTGTACACTGCCGATCGCGAGCAAACTCCGGAAGACGACGAGGATGAGGACGGAGAGGGGCAGCACGATGTGAGCAGGTGGGCATTTGTCGTGTGCGGGAGTGAAGATGGCAAAATCGTGCTTTGGGACGTCAGCTCCAAGGAGGTGCTGCAGACGCTCTCGGGACACAGTGGGGTGGTGTTGGGCGTGGACGTCGGGCTGGATGACCAGACTATCGTGACGTGTGGCGTGGACAAGACGATCAAGATTTGGAAGAAGCAACCCACCGCGGCCATGAATGGGCATCATGAGCCTGCACTGCCGCAGCAGGCCTCGCGCGATGATCATGGAGTCGCTGAGCATGAACTCGCACAGAATGGGACGGCCGAGAACGGAGTCGGCGAGAATGGAGCCGTGCCTCACGAGCAATCATAAACGTCTTCCAGTCCCACCCCGACCGCTTTGGCAGAAAGGCCAGAATTCGAGAGCCCTGCAATCACACTTCCGTAACGGACAACGACATGAATGGCATCTCGAGCACTGCACACGTTCACAGCCATTGTCATGAGAGCAAACATAAAGGAGAAAGGAACGAAACGGAAGAAGAGCTTGCTTATGATAGTAAGCCAAGACGCCACCGCGCAAAGCAGCGGACAGCGACGTTCGTGAGTTTCCATGTTTGCGCCGTGATATCTCTTCCCTATGCAAACACGTAGGAGGCACAGTGTTCATTGCCTCCGACTTATAGTACAATTCTTTGGCGTTCCAAATCACCATCACCACGAAAGCAAGCGAGCGCACTCGTAATACATACTTCTGGCATTCTCCAACTCTCAGTCATTTTCTCCATCAACACCGGGTTACTTCTACCCACGCGTGCCTGCTGCAATTGCTCGGTGGTGTCCGCTCAAACCCCAGCGCCCAAGGATCCCTTCATAACGCCCGTTCTACGTCGTAATCTGCGTGTCCTGGCCTGTCGGTTGGCTTTCAGACTGGCCGTCTGACTGCTGCTGCTGCTGGCCAGGCAAGATGAGCTCCTCCGCTTGTCCAGCACTCTCCGAAAAGCCAGCAAAGCGATGGCTCGTTGCGCCATTGGTGGTGCCGCCATTCTCGCCCTCCATTGTCGGCACGCCATCGGTCGCAGTCCACACCTTGTCCTTGAACACGCCGCGCTGGCCCTCGATGTGTTTGAACGGGCAGTTGGGTTTCGTGCACGGCGTGTAGCGGCACATGATCTTGCTGTGGGTGAATTTGCACCCGGGCGCCGCGCAGTCCGCTCCGTTGCGGCACAGTGGCATGTCGGGGTGTTTGAAGGGGCAGCTGGGGTTGGTGCAGTTAGGGAAGAACTTGCAGTCGACTTCTTGCTTGAGGTGTTGTGTGCGTTGGGCCGGGGAGGGGTGGCGGCCGGAACATTTGTTGTTTTGGCAGGCGGCGCCGAAGGTGCATGTGTCGGTCAGGTCGATGGATTGGCCTGGTGGTGCGGCGGGTGACTGGTGCGCGTAGGGGCAGGCGGGGTTGGTGCAGTTGATGTTGAAGCGACAGACGGTCTCAAAGGGCTCTTTCTTGGCATCGACGTCCATGCCCGACGCGTCGCCATCTTGGGATCCGGAGGCGCGTGTGTTGGGTCGGCCGCCTTTAAAGTGTCCATTGGGCTTCCTGTCGACGCGCTCAAACAAGCTCTTCTTCCCTTGCCCGTTCTGCATAGGAGGCGCCTGGCCGCCGAGCATCTGTTGCATCATGGTCGCTTGCATCTCCATCATCTGCATAAAGGCCATTTGTTGTTGCGGATCCAGCTGGTTCATCATGGCGTTGGCTTGCACGGCAGGGTTCATCGCGCCCTGATGACCACCTCTTCCACCTCGACCAGCGCCGTTCATCATCCGCTGTACTCCATTCGCGAGGTTCTGCTGTCTCGGGCCGCGCGGGGGATCGCGATTCGCGTGCGCGTTGATACGACCAGCTCCTCCCGCTGCACCCTTAATCCGCCGTAACGAGTCGGGGAGGGAGTTTTCTCTGTTCAAGTGGTTGTTGAGTTGACCGAGCATGCGCGAGCCTCTGCCTCTTCCTGCTGCGCCAGGGCCGTTGCGCATGGCCTTTGGTCCGCTGGGTACAGCGCCGTCCACGAGCGCCGCATCGTCCATCTGCGAGTCGTCGGTAGCTGGTTGTGCCGAATCCGCCTCTTGCTGTTGTTCTTGTGGCGCAACTCCCATGTCCGCTTCTGCGGCAGAGGATGGCGGCGCGTTCATGGCGTGTAACTGGTCGAAGAGCCACTTTGCGAAAGCCGTCACGCTGGGGTCATCCTCGCCCACGCCCAACAGATCGCCGCCCAGCTCGGAGACGACGCCTTGGATGTCCTTGCCATTAACAAGCATCGTGGTCACGTACTCCGAGAGGGTAGTGTCGTTCTCTTCCGCCACCCAGCCGTACTCCATAAGTTTCGGTTGGACAGCGTTCTGGATGGTCTGCGCGAGCGCGCTGCCCGCTTCGACGGGTAACGCGGCCATGATAATGTGGTGTCGAGTCGAGTAGCGAGGGAGGAGAAGAATAAAGGAAAGGCGATGGTGTTGCGGTGAAAAGAGGGGATGTCACCGTACTACAGCAGGAGGTGTTCAAAGTGTTGTGAGTGAAGTTTGCCAGAAGCCGCGAGGAATAGGAACTGGTGACTAAGGCAACGCTCGGCCCACATGCACATCATTTCGCCAAGATTCCCTCGCCCTCTAAACCCAAAGGAGAAGCATCGGCCAGTGAGGGTCCAAAATTTCTGGGAGCGGCTTTGCCTGAGGGATGATCGTCCGTTGTCTGCTCATTCCCTCGCAACTTCTCGAGACAGCGTCGAAGAGATGAGCAGATCCAACGCGGTGGGTCTCGACGCGCCCGAGGACTCGCCGGAACCACAATGGGAAATCGACATGGACGGCGAAGAGGATTCGGATGTTGATGTGCGACTGGACGCCGAGTCCGACAAGAGCGAGGCGGAGGAGGAGCTGGAGAGATTGGTGTTTGGCGATGCGGCGGGTTTTCGAAAGAACTTGAAGGAGCTGGCTCGAGGGAATGTGGATGAAGACGTTCTCGTCGAAGGAACCACCGGTCTCGAAGGACTGGACGATGCAGATGTAGGTCAGACTCTCGGCAAGGCGCAGAGCGCAAGACACTGGACTGACATGCGTTAGCTGTTCATTACCGACCTTGACCCTACGACGGATGGCCTCCTGCCCCCAACTACTACCAAAGAGGAGGAGGACACTACCCTTCGATCTCGTCATCCTCCAGCCTGGGAAGATAGCGACGACGAGCGCTTGACGATTTCGTTGGCCTCGATTCCACGACTTCGCAAGCTTCGCCGAACGGAGGCGGAAGACGTGGTGAGCGGGAAGGAATACACGAGACGCCTTCGACAGCAGTACGAGCTACTCCACCCTGCCCCCGAGTGGGCAAAACGCGCGATACACCAGCCTTCGCGAAAGAGGAGGAGACTGTCGGCAAACGGTGCATCCGAGGACGAAATTGATTCGGACGAGGACGTGGAAATGGACGACGATCTACCCTCCGCCGCCCCGCTATCCAAACTCCTCCGCAATGCAGAAAGCCTTGTACGACAGTCTGGATCTGGAGCTGGCAAGAAACGAAAACTCCGTCCGGAAGTGATCGATATCCAGCGCACCAAAGACATCGCCATGGTTCAGCCTTCTGCAATCACCTCACTCTCATTCCACTCGCAATTACCCCTGTTGCTTTCTTCCGGCCCCTCGTCAACACTCTACCTCCACCACATTGCTCCTTCGCCCCCGGCTCCTACCCCGAATCCTTTGTTAACCAGCATGCACATCCGTGGCACGCCCCTGGCAACAACAGCATTCCATCCACAGGACGATCGGATCTTTCTATCCGCGCGGAGGCGATACTTTCACATCTGGAATCTTAATACCGGTCGCGTGGAGAAGGTCACTCGAGTTTACGGCCAGCAGCACGAGCAGAGAAGTATGGAGCGCTTCAAGATCAGTCCGGACGGGCAATGCATGGCTCTTCTAGGTTCGGCGCGGAAAGGAGGAGGTATCATCAACATTCTGGATGCGGGAAGTTTGCAGTGGATCTGTCAGGCGAGGATCGAGAGTCGAGGCGGCATTGCCGACTTTTGCTGGTGGAGAGACAGTCGTGGGCTGTGCATTGCGGGAAAGAACGGTGAAGTGACGGAGTGGTCGGTGAGCGAAACGAGAGTCATCGCTCGCTGGCAGGATGAAGGCGCGGTGGGAACTACAACGCTCGCACTCGGCGGACAGCACGAGTTCGTCAAGTCGACCATCGGAACGGATCGATGGGTGGTGATTGGCAGCAGCTCCGGTATTGTCAACATCTACGACCGACGAGTCTGGCTCGCTTCTCCCGCCGATGCAGCAGACCAACCTGTGCCTCTGCAGCCGAAACCTACCCGCGTGCTCGACCACCTGACAACGCCGACATCGCATCTCACCTTCTCTCCCGACGGCCAGCTGCTTGCCATGGCTTCGAGGTGGAAACACGACGCTCTTCGACTCGTACATCTACCTAGCTGCACGGTCTTCAAGAACTGGCCGACGAGCTCGACGCCGCTCGGAAGGATTACAAGCGTTGCTTTCGCGAGCGGGGACGTCATTGGCGGCGATGTCCATTGTCTGCTGGCTGTTGCCAACGAGCAAGGGAAGATTAGGATGTGGGAGATACGATGAAGATGGCGAGAGGATTAATCCATTAACCCAGACTAGGTACATCATACTCGTATCTTCGTCAAGCCACCCAATCTAGCAACCTTTCTTACATTTCCACGCTAAATCCACTCAACGAGCCGCTCAAGACCCCAAATGCACCTGGCCGGGATAGAACTCATACGAAGGCGACTGATGCTTTTCCCTGTCCGGCGCAAGGTGCATCTTGACACACATCTTCGTGACCTTGTCGTCGGCGTGCTTGAGGTGTTCCTTGCTGTGCGCGAGGTGCTCCTTGACGTGCATGTGTTCCATGGTGTGGGAGAACATGGAGCTGGAGCGGCGCGGGTGGGCTTCATCGGCGGGGTGTGGTTGTTGCGCGTGGGTTTCGGGGGTGGTGGAGGATTGCGAGGCGGTGCGGGACGAGTCGGAGGCCATTGTTGGGGTTGTTGGGGTTCAGATGAGGAAGGCTGTTGATGAGAGACTCGGTTGATTGTTGGAGTACGGGGTTGAATTCAATACGAATGAGTAGTTTGGTTGCTGGTGATATGCGTCTATTGAGTGCCTCAAGAGCCATATATTTATACCTTGTCTTGCCTGACCGTCTGGCTCACGCGACACACAACACCCTCGCGATGACTGAGCATTACGTCGGCCTTCGAGGTATTTTTGGCAATTTGAACCGCGTGCTATGGCGCCGCAGAGGCGTGGGGAGTGTTGGTCACGGTCTGATGATGAATCTTAGGCCCATATGACTGGTGGTTGGAGGGAGGGTATGACGTTGGATCCGTCCGCGGCCGCCAGCCTTGCCTGCGACTCGCTCGGATGCCGGCGGAGTTTGGGGATTCGGGTTGTCGAGCACGGCCGACAGCCTCCCTCCCTCGCCTGCCATCGCTACAAACCGACGGCCCGACTACCTTTTCGAGGTAACAACGCCACTCCTCCTGATGCAGCTTGCCGCGAGGCAGAGTGACGTCGTGTCTGCTGGGTCGGGCACGCAAGGCTATTACACAGGCTCACGTACACGATAGCCTGCGCCAAGGTCTACCTCGGGCTTGAAGATCCCCAAGGTTGCCTGGTCTTTCTACTTTGGGACTGCCTTCTGCTCATTCGTTACAAGACAAACGAGCTTCGGAAGCCTACGCGGACTGCAAGGCAACACGGAGGTTCGCATTCGCTTCGCTCAAATCTCACCGCATGCCAGACATATCTTAGGTAAGCGAGGTATTTTTGCCACCTGCGTTGCACTGGAGCGAGGGTAGTCCACTCCATCCTAGCAGACATAGAGCGAATTGCGTACATTGATTGCCATGGCGTCTCGGGGTGGAGGCACGAAGTGGAACCGCGAAATCAGTACGTCGTACTTCAAAGACGAGGACTTCTGGACAAAGTATCTTCGGGGCCGGCCTCCTCTTGTCGACGGCATCCTCGACAGCATCCTCGCCTACCATACCGAGCATGCCGGGCAGTTTGGCACGCTGCACGAGCCTGGAGCAGGAGGCGCCGTGCATTCGGCGAGGATCTCGCAACGCTTTGAGCGCGCGATTGTCACCGACCCGTCGGCGGAAAACATCAAGGTGGCGCGCGGGCGCCTGCCCGAGGCCAAGTATGAATTCCAGGTGTCCACATTGGAGGAGACTGGGACGAGCATCCCTGCTGCATCCGTGGACATGGTGTTTGCGGCGACGATGCTGCACTTCTGCGATGTGCCGCGCGCATTTGAAGCGGTGGCGCATCAGTTGAAGCCCGGCGGGACGTTCGTGGCGCTGTGTCTCGGAGTGTACGTGCTGGAGGATGCGGCGGCGCAAGAGGCAATGGAGGCCTTTTTCCATACCGTAATACGTGGAATGATACGGAAAGTGGGAGAGGGCTTGATGGAGCGGTCGAAGACGATGTTCTATGCCTACGACGACCTCGTCTTTCCCGAAGCCAGCTTCGACCAGCGCACCCAAGGCATCTTTTGGAACTGGAACGATGACCCGAGCGAGAACTGGTATAGATTTTCGGTGCCGCCCGAGTACCGAGCAAGGCAGCCACCGCTCGCGCGCGTAGGGACGCAGGCACAAGTGCTGCGGAAAGTGGATGAGAGTTTGGCCTTCGAGAAAGACATGGCCGGGCTAATGGAGCACATCAATACCTTCCCGTGGGACCAGGAAGATGAAGCGCAGAAGCAGGCCTTGCAGAGATTGGAGGCGCTCGTCGGTGATGGTACGGTCAAGGGCCACTGGCTTGCGAGTGTTATTATGGCCACACGGAAGTAGAGTAGCGGTCATGTGTGGGAGAAGCGAGTGCTGTGACGAGCACTGGAATGTCCGCCATGGAGATATAACCATTTTGCCTACATACATAGTAGAAAGATGTAGATACGGTAGTCATCCATGAAGAAGATGTCGTGGTTGGTGGCGCTGGTGGGCGGCCCAAGGCCGCCCAAACCCTTGCCCAAAGCGGAAGGATCGAACCGAGCCAAACCCTCTGTCTTTTCGACCTCACTTTCGGCGACGCTCCCGCTCCATTTATTGATAAATCCCACCAACCCAGCTTCCCTCCCCTCTTCGCCGTTCTTCTACCACACACCTCCACCCACCCACCTGTCTCCATCTCGTCGCTCCTCTCCCCTCCTTCCTCGTCCTCCCCCCGAGAGCACGAGGAGCGGATTTGCCGGTCTCTATGTGTCGATAGGGCCTCCGAGGACGGCGCGTAGCTGAGAGTGAGTTTGGGGAGAGCAAAAGGACGGAGAATACTTCTGCACACATCGACACCGAGTATTGCTTGCGGAGAGCGGAGAGGATGGCGGAGAACAAGAAGAACAGCATTGCCGGCAAGGTCGCGACGCCCAAGACCGCGCCTCCCCCCTCCTCCACCACCTCCTCTGCCGCCGCCGCCGCTGTCACCCCCGCGGCTCAGCAGCCAGTGATGGATCCCCTCGAGGCGCTGGCAAAGAGTATTGGCGCAAGGTGAGCACAATCGTTGATTGCCATCCTGCGAACACCTCACTCCGATCACAGCACTGACTACTACCACCACCCCGCAGAGTGAAATTAACCGCCGCCGGTCCCCAACCGCAAACATACGAAGGCACCCTCTTCACCGCCTGTCCCATCCTCAACGTCGTCATCCTAAACACGCGCTCATCAGCCACGCCACCGACTCCCGCCGTCAACGGCAATGCGCAGGCGGGCGACTACCACATCATCCCCGTGTCGCGTATCCAGACCTTCCAAATCATCTCTCCCGCCACGGGTGTGGAAAGCGGCGGAGAGGCCAGCTTCGCGAATACGCTGCCGCCCATTGGCCCGGTGGACGTGGTGCGCCTGCGACAGCGCGAGCAGGCGCGCATCGAGAAGCTGAAGGAGGAGGAGCGCAATCGCGGCAAGGGCGTGACGAAGGAGGCACAGGCGATCTTTGACTCGTTCAAGCGGATGTACGTTGGATGACATGGCTGCTATGTGGTCAGCTTCGGGAGGCGCATGAGGCTAATTCGATTCTGCAATCTAGTAATATGCCCATCCGCTGGCACAACCAGGAGATGATTGTGCACGAAGCCGTCATCATCGCCCCGCCGTACCAGGTGGAGAATTGCAAAGGGGCAAAGGACAAGCAGGAGGTGCTGAACCGCGTCAAGAAGGTGCTGGAGGGCGAGCGGCGGAAGTTGAAGGAGAAGGAGGAACGCGAGCGCAAGGCTGCCGCCGCTGCCAATGTGCGGAAAGGGGGTTGAACAGCCCTGACGTACGTGTCGTGCAGCGAGAAACTCACATGCAGTCAGGATCCTCGCTCCGACTTGACTATAGCGTAGTCGAATCGTGTGAAGGAGGAGTAGCGCAAAGCAGCTCATCCAATGCAGAAATATTCACATTCTATGCGGTCTCGGTCCAACGATACGTCTATGTCTACGATCCAACGACAGAAGGATTCGCCATCTTGAGGAAAAAGCCCAGCGTCTCGAGGTACTCCTCCGGCTCCTCCTGCATAATGGAATGACTGCTCAGGCCGAAGCGCACCCACATAACCTTGCACGTCGGCACCGTAAACCACTTCTGCATCGTCTCGGACGTGTAGTTGTCGTAGCGCCCGCTCACGACCAGCATGCCGCCCGGCACCGTCTTGGCCGTGATTTTGTGCAGGTCTTTCTCCATGAAGTCGTTGGGCTTCCGGGGGAGCGAGCCTCCCGCGTTAAAGCCGTACCTGTGCACGCGGGGAGAGGGGGTCAGTGGGTGCACTTGTTTCCGGACATCGCGGGGGATGCTGTCCGGTGCAGAGAGATGCAACAACTCACATGGTGCTGTAAACGGTGTCGTCCTCCCTGACCGTGTCAAACATGTTCAGCACGTGATCCGGCCATGGGCGCACGCGACACAACTGAAGTTTCAGGGTCAGCAAGTCTGCTCGAGGCAAGCTGAACAAGTCCTTCGGTTCCTTACGAAATTGCCAAACTCGTAAAAGACCGCCGCCTCAAGCTCCTCCGGCGGCACCTTCTCCCCTTCCTTGGCCCGGCGAAAGACGGCCTTGATATCCTCGGGCAACGCCTCGCGCGCCTTCTCGCGCACCGCGTGCCCATCCTTCATGCCCGTCCCTACATTGCCCACAACGAGCTTGCGGATCGCAGGGTGCTGCGTATAAGCGAACATCGCACCCAGCCGAGCACCCCAGCTGTGCCCGATGAGATCGACGTGCTTGATGCCATGCTGCGCCTGGAAGTAGGCAATGAGATTCGCCAGCTCGTCGATGAACAGCTCCGGCGTCCAGAGCGCCTCGTCCCCTTTCCGCTCGCGGAAGCGCGTACTGCCCCCGCAGCCCATCTGATCATACATGATGACCGGAATGCCGTAATCGGTGTGCAGGAGACTGAGCGCCTCGTTGCCTTTGTGCGTGGCACCGGGCCCGCCGTGCAGGACGATGAGCGGGACGGAAGTGGCGTCCAGCTCGCCCCAGAGCCAGTACGCCGTTTCGCCGGTGATGTCGAAGTTGGCGGGGTCAAAGGGGATTTTGCCTTGGGTTGTGCTGGGAGGGGCGGAGCGTTGGGGGCCTGGAGGGGGGTTGGGGATGGGGGGGAGTCGGGGCTGTTTACGCGCTGCCATTGTGGAGGTGTTGATTGAAGAGGGGACAGGGTGGGATAGGCAAAACTTGGAATGAAGAGGGTGGGGAGAAGACAAAGAGAAGACCTACGTTTGGAGAGCGAGTGTTGTGGGTAGAAAGCTGAGCGTGAAGTCTTATCAATCAATGATGAGGCAATCCGACCGACCCCGAGCCCTACATGGCACGTGGTAGCTGCGGGGAGGAGCTAAGTAAGAGGACGTGCAAGGCAGTGATCGGTAAAGGACCCAGGTGGCAGGTGGTGTCTCCGCGTCTCATCACTCAGCGCAGATCGCACAAAGCGTGGAGAGGGAAATGTAACTGCGGGTCGCACGCGGAGTGGAGGGCTGGTGAGATGTAACCGAATGAGGCAGGTGCTGGTAGGCAAGCCAGCTGAGCCTCCAACTAATAAGAAGTGTGGTGAGACAGGCAGCTGAGGGCAAGCGTGGAAGTCTAATACGTCTTGCGATGCCCCGATCAGGAACATTGAAGTCAATGGCAGACAGCATGCACGCACGTGTTGAACAAATCGAAAGGACTTGAGCTCAGCCCGGGACTCAGACCGAAGGGTCAAGAAGGGTAGCAAGCAGACTACAGCAAGCGTCGGGAAGAAGAATCAGCAACGTAATAGAAGTCAAAGGGAGCAGTATGATGTAAGAGCTACAACATAATAACACTCGAATTCGCGACCTGCCCGACAAAAAAGCACAAAAAAACAAACTCCTTCTCAGGAGGAAAGCAAGGCGAGACTCGTAGGACCCCAACAGGTTTGCGTTTTTAGGCCGCCGACCAACACATCGATTGACGCTGTGGTCACTGGTTAGAGGGCAAGCGTGAAGAAAAGAAAATATCGATATTGGAAGTGGTGACGAGGTTTAGCCGGACTGCCGTTTTGTTGTGTTGGTACTATCTGGAACATCAAAAGAAATATGTCGTTGGATAGTGTATGCGATGGGCAAACCTCGACGAGGCTGAAGACGGCCACGTGCAGTCCAAGCTTGGCCCTGCCCCGGGCTTACCTTAGCTATATCATACCGATGCAAGCAGTTCAAAGGATACAGCATTTCCAGTCCTCAATCTTGATAATACGCACCGTATAGTAGGTAATAGGGTATCACGCACAGCCCAGCCGACCCCCTTCTGTGCAATTCTATCCAAGCACTCGAATACAACCCGCAAGAAAACACAACGCTAAAACGCAGCACCGCGAATCCCTCATCAGTCTCCCTATATCCACCTCCCGCCCGGCCGATAGTACTCCTTCGGCGTAGACAAAGGCTCATCATACAATTCGTCGTCGTCGTAAACATCATCGTCGTCGTAATTCGCGTACGAGGCATCCGGTTGTCCCCGGCGCCGCTGGCGAGCCAGATCACCGGTGCTCGCCGCGACGTCCAACGCGGGCGCGGCGCCGGCGGGACCCTCCTCCTCCGGCTCCTCCACCATCTCCATCTCGCTGTACGTCGGCAGCGTGGTCAGCATCCGCGCACTATCACCATGCACGAGACCGGCGCGCTCTTCTTCCGTGGCGCCGTTGCCCGCGGTGCCGGGGTAGCTGTGATCGCGTCCGCCGCTGTTCCCGCTCATGAAACTCAGCGCGCCTCTGCTGCCCGGCCGCGGGTCTTCGGCGGCGTTGGAGCCTTTGCGGTGGAAGACGTTCTGGAAGCTGAACTGGCGCCGCGTGTTGGGGCTCAAGGGAGTCATGGCGGGGGACTTTGGTGGGGGTTCGGGGGGCGCGAGACTACTGCCTTTGGAGGAGAGGTCGCGTCTGCTGTTGCTGTCGGGGAGGTCGTTGACGAATTTGATGTGAGGGCCGCGGTAGGCGGTGTCTTGGGCTCCGTCAACTGGGGCCCGCTCAGAGCCAGACTTGGGCACGCCTTGCACCGTTTCGAGGGGGACGGGGCTGTGGCCCTCTCGTTTGCGCTGTTGGGAGCCGATATGGCTCATGCGGCCAATTCGTTCGAAGAAGCCAGGATGGGATGGGGTTTCTTCTTCGTCTTCTGCAGACGGGAATTGCGCCATACCGAGTGGTGGGTGCACGGTCTTTGATCGTTTGATCGACACGCTGCCGTGCGGTGTGCTCATCGTCCTCCGCCTCCGCAATCCATCCCATTCGAACTCTTCGTTCTCGCCAACCGGTTGCATCCTCTCTTCGTAAATTCGCTTCGCTTCAGCGGCCTGTCGCTTCGTCCGCACCTTGCTCATAGCACGCACGATACTCGCCCCGCTGCGGAGGGTATCCGCCCGAGGCTCGTATTCGGGTTCTGCTTGCTCGGCTACGGTGCGGATTTGGTCGAGGTCGCCGCTGAAGACTGCCGTGTCGGGGACGTCTTTGGAAGACTTTGCGAGTTGGAGTAGGATGACACCCGAGCAAATGACCAAGAAGCCGAGGACGACGTCGATGATCTGGACGGCTGTGCCGTGGAAGCCCTGAAAAAGGACGGCAGAGGCCACGATGGTGCTGCTGGTGAAGTAGACATAGTAGGTGGGCGTGACCAGGGCGGCGTTGAAGATGTTTAGGGCTTTCTGTTCAGTGTGTCAGTGAGTTTGCAAAAGATGAGTAGGACGATGCGTCACTCACGTTCAGGTAGATGATCTCGGTCAATAGCGTGCAAATGACAAAGGCAAGCAGGACGTAGATGAACCAGTGCGTGAATTGGCTCTGGCCGTTGATCTGCGCCAGGATTGCCGATCCGAGGCCTTGGGTAGCAACAACGCTCAAGCCTCCAATCAAGCTGCAGATGGTGAGGTAGACGAGCATGCTCTTCTTGCCGTATTTTGGCGCAACAAAGAAGACGACGCACACGCAGCCCACGATGATGACACCCGCGTAGGACAAGAAGCCCGGGGCGATGACATAGCTCTGCATCTGCTGAATGTCCTTAACAGAGGATTGTTGCGGAGCGTTGACGACAATGACGACGGAGCCGAGGATGCAGATGGCGCACGAGACCCATCCCACAAAAGACAGACGCTCTTTCAGGAAGATGGAGCTCCCGATGGTTGTGACCACGACGGATAATGCGCCCAATGGAGTGACGAGGATGGCGTCGGTGAAGGCGTATGCGACAAAGTTGCAGATCTCGCCGACAATCATGAGGGACATACCAGTCCACCACCAGCCGTTCTTGAGGTAGCCATAGCCCTCGCCGGCTTCCTCGTTGTATTTGACATTTGCTTTCAAGAGGCCCTTCTTCTTAATCACGAAAGAGACACCGATGAAGAGGCCGGAAGCGACGGCTAGGCAGATGCCAATGGTTTTGTAGATGGGTGGTCTGTCGCTGGTGGTGGTGGAAGAGGAGGAGGTGGTGGAGTTGGAGGTGGAATTATCGGCTCGCGCGAGAAGGAGGGTGGAGGCGTGGAGGGCGCGGTAGGCGGCAGCATCGGCGACGTCCATGGCGAGCAATGAGGGAGGAGAGGGCGACGCGGGGGAGGTTATCGGCAGGAGATGGAAGGCTGCATGTGGATAGGAGGGTTGGTAGGTCGTGTGGTAGGTTGAGAAGGTGGAGATGTTGCTGGAGTGCAGTCAATGGCGTTTGCGACTGGGTGGTTGTTCAGCAAGGCTAGGGTGATGAAGCGAATGTGGTCGGGAGAGTAATCCAATATCTCAGGCAGGAGTCGAGTGGAAGTAGACGAAGGAATGGCCAGGTCTCCTGGGCGGCAGAGGAGTGTAGGGGCGAGGTGGCGTGTTATGTGCAGCGGGAGGTGTTGGGAGTGACGAATGCTGTTCTGCGCCTCTTCTGGGGTGTTTGGGGCTAGAAGGGGAGGATGGAGTAAGCTTTTGTGGCGCAGTTCAAGTATCCCAGCAGTGGCGGTGGATGAATGATTCGAGGGTCAATCAATCGTTCGATCCCGTAGAGAAGGAAATAATCTCGACTGATAGCACCGGAGGAAGACGATCATTAGGAGAAAAGAGTTGCATGTTGTCGTGTGAACAGCACAACAGCCCCCCTTCGATCTGGAGGCACACGGACGTGGAAGGTGGATCGCCATCTGCCAACCACTCCTCCTCGCGACCTCGCGCTTGGGCCGCTGAAACGCCCTCGCGTTTCACCATTCGTCGCCTCCATCAGCCTTCCCGATTGGTACAAATGCACGTGACTCTTAGCATGTCCATATCCTATGCACTGGAGGAGACAATCGCGATCTCTTCCAAGTACACAGGCAATAAATACTGTACACTGCACTCGTCCCATCTATCCAGGCCATCCATCACTCTACAACATCCCCCGAAGCCCCTCCATCAACGCCTCCATTGGCGCCCATTCCACCACCCCCAACAGCTTCCCAGCCGTGGCCAGCATGAGCGGCGCATACCCCCAATGATTCATCTGCCCCTTGCCCACCATCCAGTAACACGCCGCACCATCCGTGAACGCAACCCCCGCACCCGCCAGCACAATCCAGCCGAGCGTGGCCGGCGTCCCACACAGCGCCGCCGCGAAGATGGCCGCGCCCATGAAGATGTCGCGGATCCCGTAGACGACGGCGAAGACGTGGATGGTCTGCTTCGCTTGCGCGAGGGCTGCTGTTGTTGTGTTGGCTTGCGACTTGGAGCTGGCTTTGGGCGTGTCTTCGGGCCAGGGCAGCTCAAAGAAGGAGAGCGCTTTCGCTGGGTTGAGAAAGGCCAGCACACCAAAGCCGATGAAGATTGATGCGTAGAGGAGCGCGCCGAGCTCGAGTTGGGCGAGTTGAGGGAGTGGCATGGTTACTTGCTGCCTGCTAAACCACCAGAATTGATGAAGGGGAGAGTGAGGTGGGAAGCGAGCCTTTATCTAGACACGAACTATGACCCGCCCAGCCTTTCTGCCTCGCTAGCGGTACACCAACACTGCTTAGGCGTTCTTGGAAATGTTGTAATGGGATGAGCTGAAGTCAGCGGCGCGGAACGTCGGATTTCCTAAGAGCCGGTCTTGGGTCCCGTGGAATGGAGTGGTTGGATGCCTAGAGCATCAAGACCTGGACGTCTTGACCAGTAGTAACAACAATCGGGTGGGTTTTGTGTTTTCATGTCGCTCTACTCATGTTAAATCCACTTGCAGAAAATCAGCACGGAAGGTGCGGATAGGCCTAGGCGCGGTAGTTGAGGTCAATGATTTTCAATGGGCCTGGGTGCCTGCGGCTTAGGTAAGAAATCGGTGTGCACTAGCAATTGAACTTCATGTTGCTTTGATATTCCTACCCGCCGCTCTATTGCCCTGCTCCTCCGGCCATCGTGAACTTGCGATGGCGGCGGCGCTGCTCAACGGCCACGCCAATGGAGCAGAGCCTGATGATGCCGACCACAACACCTACCCGGACATCTACACAGCCTCTTCCGTAGAAGATATCCGCACTACGCTGTCCGAACTCTCGCGTCGCGAGGCCGCCATCACCTCCAGTCTCGATACCTTCCTCGCCACCCAGAAGGATCTCGTCCGTACTCTGTCCCGTTTGGATCTCGCCCGAGCCCAAGTGGCCGCGCAGGTGGTGCACACGCGCAACATCAGCAATGGCCTGCTCGCTTCCGCCTCCACCACCGCCCACCGCATCTCCTCCGCCGTGCGCAACTTGGACCGCGAACAGGCCGCCGTCAAGTCGACGCTGAAGGTCGTCGAGCAAGTCGCCGACCTGAAAGCATGCGTCCTCGCCGTCACGGGTTCCATGGGTGCACCCCAGGATTGGGAGACTGCAGCCAGCTACCTGCACCGCGCCAGCCAAATCCCCGACGCTGTCATTGACAGCCCCTTTGCCGAGGAGGCTGTCCCTACCGCCGATGTGCCGGATGTTCCCCGTCATACGCTCAATGCCGCCTCGGAAAGCTTGTGTGCCCTCTTCTTGCGAGAATTCGACAAGGCCGCACGGGATGGTGACGGTGCGAGGGTGACTCGCTTCTTCAAATTGTTTCCCCTCATTGGCCGAAGTCAAGTCGGCCTCGATGCATATGGCAGATATGTCTGCTCGGGCGTTGCGAGTCGAGCCCGTAGCACGCTCAACACCGGCTCGGGAAATGCTCAGCCCCTGTTCTACGCCAATGCTCTGACGAAATTGTTCGAGCACATTGCCCAAATCGTGGACGGCCATGAACCTCTCGTGGAGCGCCACTATGGTGGTGGGAGCATGACGAAAGTCATTGAGCGCATTCAGATGGAAGCCGATGTTCAAGGCGGCATCATCCTCGATACTTGGGCAGAAGAACGAAGAGTGAATAGGAAATTGACGGATGTAAAGGCCTACCCCTACAACTTCCTGGTTCAGAGCTTTGTGCCCTCCTCAAAATCCGCCCTCTCTTCCACTCCCCGGACGGCATCGCCAGCCTTGGGCAACTCCACCGCCTCGGCAGTGCGCGCAGACGATGACGCCGTAGACATGAAGGAAGTCGATGCGCTACTCAACGAAAGCGCCGTCATGCTAGGCCGTTGGTCATTGTACGCTCGATTCATCGCGACCAAGACCGCCACACCCACTGAAGGCGAGAAGTTGCAAATGCCTCCCTTCGTCGCAAACAGCACCCTCGCAAAGAAAGCCCTCGGCCACCTCGTCGAGCCCTTCAACGCTCTCGCAACCTTCTTCTTCCGCCGCAGCGTGGAGCGAGCCTTCCAAATGGACGAGGCCCCATCCGATCTAACTCTGAACCCCAACAAAACCCTCGCATCCAGTGGCGGACCCTACATCACAAGCGCGGTCGACGATGTAATGTACATCCTCAATCAAGCCCTACAGCGCACTCTGTCTACGCGGTCAAAAGGAATCATCAACAGCGTGGTGCCCAGTTTCGGCCGTGTGCTCGGTGGCGACTTCTTCGGAATGATTCAGAGGAAGATGCGAGACGAAAGCTACCCCCGTGCCGTCATCCAGAATGCCCTTCCGCCCGAGAACACCATCATCGCCTTTCTCGTCTTGATGAATAACCTCGACGTGGCCACGAACTATGTGAAACGCATCATCCGGACATGTCTGGGTCCCGACCCGGCAGCCACCCTCACCGAGACCTTCCCCTTCGGCAACGACGCACAAGCCGTCGAGAAGACATTCCACGGCATGGAAAGCGGCTTCGAAGCGAAGACCACCGAGCTCATCAACGAAGCAGTGGAAGTAATGCTGCAGCACGTGATGCGGCCGCGCCTGCGTCCAGTATTAGTCGAAGCCTTCCGAGACGTGGAGTACCTCATCGAAGGCGAAGACGCCACGCACGCCGCCGAGAGCGAGCACGACGACCACGACGGAGACGCAGTAGCGCACCGCTTCGACCGCGGCTGGCACGCCTTCACCTCCCCCATCAAGCGCATCACCACGCCCGCAATCTACGACAAACTCCTCGCTGCTACGGTGACGTACCTCGCGCGCACGCTCGAGAAGCGCATTTGGTCCTACTACGAGCGAGTGAATGCTCTCGGCGCGGTGCGCTTGGAGCGAGACGTCGCTGGCATAGTCGCGGCGGCCGTCAAGGGTGGCAGATACGAGCTTCGCGATGCCTTCACCAAGTGCACGCAGATGACACTAGTACTGAACATGGAGGAAGATGAGTGGGAGGAGGTGTCAAAACTGAGTGGCAAGGAGCTGGAGCGGGCGACGGGAGTGCAGTGGAAGTTGGATGAGGGCGAGCGGAGACGTGTGCGAGCATTGTTGAAGAAGTGATCGCCCACCTGTCCGGCTGACAGATTAAGTCTCGTATCCCCGGAAATACTTCTCGACATCGACCGCTACAACCTCCCCACAATCTTGACTCGTATACCATTCGAATCAGACGGCAGGGTCCCGAGGAAGAACTCCATCGCCACCGTCGCATCTCTCTCCGTCGTCTCCCACAACTCCATCTCCACGGAGGTCAACAACATCGCAATGGTCAGATACAGCTCGGCCCACGCCAGGTTCATCCCGACGCACATTCTCGTCCCCCGGCCAAATGCTACCAAGCTTTTGTGCGCCTCCGCCGCTCCATCGCCCATGAAACGCTCAGGGTGGAACTCGAGCGGAGCAGGGAAGATGACCGGATTGGTGTGGATGAGGTAGCTGGACTGGCTCATCGTCGTGCCGCGGGGAATGTTGATGCCGTGGTAGTTGAGATCCTCGCCCGGCGCTACGCGCGCAAGACGCCCAGCTGTTCCATGCGACATGCGGATACCCTCTGTCAAGACGGCCGTGAGGAAGGGCAGCTTCTCTAGCGCGGAGACATCTGGCATCGGGGCCGAGGAGGACGGGATAACACCCCGCAGCTCCTCCATCAACCGCTTGTGGATCTCCGGGTTGGCGAGAATATGATACAACGTCACGGCCAACGTGCGGCCGGTCGTTTCCATGCCGGCGCCAACGAAAACATACGCGTCGTTCATGATGCGCTTCAGCGTCTTTTCCTCCGGCGGGAGCGCCTCGTCCGCGACTATCTCGTGGATTGCGGTCGTCCACTTCTCCTCGTCTGGCTTGTCCGTTCGCCGGGCATCATCATACGCCGCCTTGGTCAATCGGTCGACTTCTTTCTGCTTTTGCTTGTTCACGTCAAACCCCTCGTTCCCCTCCATGAACGACTCCGCCAGACGCAAAAGCGCTCGCGTGACCATGGGAAAAGCACGACCGATAGGATGAATCTGCGTGCTGCTGCGCAGCATCTCGTTGTACACCTTGGCATAGTCATCGGAGTCGAGCACGGAGATGGGAGCGCCGAAACAATACTCGGTGATGACCTCTACCACAACGCAATCAGCCAGCCACCACATCAAACGCTTTGAACCACTCACCCAACGTCAGCGCCCCACACGCATCCCTCAAATCCACCACCTCGCCCGTCCCCTCCCTCCTCAACAGACTCTCCCTCAGCACCTCAACCTTAGCTCGAATCCTCGGCTGCAACTCCAACACCTTCCCGCGACTAAAGAAGCCCGCAAACGCGCCGCGCCTTACACGATGCAGCCCATGCTCGAGCGTAGCAAACGCACTCCGCCCCGTAAACTCATCCAACCCCGCAAACCAAAACCACTCGGCGCTCTTGTCACGCCGCCGCTGCGGTCCGGTGGGATACACATCGGGGTAGAAGGCGATGTCGTTGATGTGGATTTCGTTGGGGCCGATGCGGATGATGGGGCCGTAGCGGGCGTGCAGCGCGGCGGTGTGAAAGAGGAATTGCCCGCGGTGAGGGTAGATGTCGTAGTAGGCTTGGTAGTAGTAGGTCAGGGCTGCGAGGCGCGGGCCGGGGATGTGGGAGAGGGGATGCAGGTAGAGGCGGTGTATTATTGCCGTTAAGAAGAGGAGGAGGATGGAAATTGAGAGGGCGAGGAAAGCGAAAGGCATGATTTCGAGCGGGCGATTCGACGATGGCGGTGGGGATCGAAGTCGGGATATTTGGCTGTAGGAATCAAACGCGCGAAAGGAAAAGCAATGGCAATCGTGAATGAGTGCATGCGGTCTACATCTCTTATACTGTGCACTTCGTCCAATGCTGACGCCGCCGAGTCGGCGTGCCGTGGTAAGCGTTCGGAGGATCGGATGATGCTGGCACTCTCCGAAGCCAGCGTCGGGTATTCTCAGCCTCTTCACATTACTTCAATGTCTACCATTCATAGCGGCAAATGTGGTTGCGTGCTCAACCATGTACTTGTCCATTGTCGCTTCCAGCTCGAGGACGAGTAAGCAGGCCGGGGGTGAAGCCCGACCATCAAGCGCCCTCCCGCTGGAAGAAGTAGATGTACGCAAACTTCTTCATCTCCTCCACATCGCCGCCGAGCGCCACTTTCTCATCGTTGAACAACACCCATCCCTCTCCCCCGCCCTCGCTAGCCGGCAATGCCTTCTTCACAAACGCCACGTAGTGGCCCGCGTGGATGGAGGCCCCTTTGTGGCAGACGATGCTGCTCAGGCCGAAGAGCGCGGGCTTCGTGTCTGCTTCGACCCCAGCTGCAGGCAACGCGGCTGTACTACCTTCGCCAGCAGCAGCAGGGGTGTCGTCCTCGCCAAAATCACCCGTGGCGTCCGGGTGCGAGAAGAGCCAATCCACTGCGCGCTCCATATCGCCTCCCGTTTCTTTGAGCGCCTGTCTCGCCTGTGGAGCTGAGAAGCCCATGGCACCGAGATTCTCGATTTTCTCCGGGTCCGCAACACCGCTGGCGGAGGTTGCCCCTGCTGCAGCTGCTCCGCCAGCATTCGGGATCGGCTCGTCGATATCTGGATCATCCATGTGCTCGAATAACCACGCCGCAGCCATGTCCGGCTCCACGTTACCGGTCGCTTGGAGAGCCTTTTCACACCGTACTCGAGGGAAGCCCATGCCCATCAGCATTTCTAGTGATGCTTCGTTCGGGACGAAAGCCCCTCCTGCACTCGCCGATCCGCCCGCTGCTATGTCCATGTCTTCCGGCAGTTCTTCTTCGTCAGGCTGCTTGCCTTGACTACGGTAAGGCTCGAAGTCAAAGACCTCGTCTCCAACGATAACCGGTACGTCCTGCTTCATCGGCACCCAGTTGACGAGCTCGAATCTTCTCGCATTGATGGCGAAGATTGTTGGGAAAGTCTTGAACAGCGACTGTTTGGTGAAGCCCTCCTCTCCGCACGAGGAGCATTTCAACTCCACGATTTCGGGCTCGGTAAAGTTGTCCAGGCATTCTTTGAGGGTGACGGCCTCGAATTCCTCTTTCTTCTCATCTTTGTCGCCATTCACCATGACGGTGTCGGTTTGTGGTAGTCGCTTGATGGGCACGGCGACCGATAGGTTCTCCATTTCATCTTGTCGGTAGCGAACCTTCATGCAATGCAAGCACTGAAGCTTCTGCTCCATGACGAATCGGAAGGCTTCGACGGGGTCTGTGACGTCTTTGTATTGTGCACGAGCAGCTTGCTGCGACCGGGTGACGAGCTTCAGAAGGTGCAGTAGCAACTCAAAGCCATCTTGCTGTCGCATCGTGCTGAATTCGGCATGGCCTTTGCCAATGAGATGTTTTAGCATTGCAGGCGCCAACCCTCTCTGGTGAGGCTGTTCGGAGCCGTCCGGGGAATGCAGTAGGTCTTTATCCGGGACGCTGTATCGGCCAGAGAGCAGGCCATCTGCCACTTTGCGGAGCTGCACCTCCAGATCATCCGCGGGTTTTGCAAGGGGCGGTATGGCCTCGTCCGGTCGGTAGTAGCGGTGTGCGAACTCCGGCATGGAGAATAAGGACTGCAAGACTGATGCCAGATAGCAGCTGTTACCTAGGTTCTTCAGTCCCGTCAGACCCGGCCCGAACAAGGCCTTCAACTCTTTGCCGTCTGCCGTTGTCATGCTGAAGTCGTAACTCAAATTGTGCTCCAGCTGCATTTCGACCACGCTCTTCTCGGTCTTGGTTCTGCTGGCAATGTCGATGCCCCAGTTCGCGAGGTGAGCAACCAGTTCGGGATCTGTCCGCTCTTCATCACACGCATAGCAGTGAATGTCCGCGTTGCCCTCGGCGGTCAACGAGCCCAGCTTGACGGCCACTGGGTGACCTGTAGCCTTGTTGTGTTCAACTTGATGGTTGTTACCAGGCGGTCCCATCCCCATAAACACCTTCCTCCCGCATCCCAGATTCCCGCACGTCAGACACAGCCACAGGTTCTCTTTCAGGTCACACTCCCGACAGTGACCAAGATCTCCGGAGGGTATAGGCCTTCCTGGCTCTTGCTCAAGGCATAGAGTGTGCTCGCAGGGAATCATCTCTTGCTCCCACGCTTGGACCTCCGCCTCTCGCGCGAATGTGTTCGCCTTGAGCACACCTTCCACCACCTGGGCCAGCTTGCCATCCTGTTTGATGTCATCGACTCCGCATTCCAGACAGCGTACAGTTGTGTGAGTGATGTAACGATCCTCGTCCGTTTCGGCCTGGATGGCCAGCTTGGTCATCTTCTCCGGCGGCTGGCCCTCATCTCGCTCTTTCCGCCTGCGAGTGCGCTTGATGTTGAGTGCGAGAGGGTGATTTGCTTGTTGGGCGTGCAGTCTGGAATGGATTCTCTCGCCGGCACAGCCGCCGTTGAAACAATGGAGGCAGACATCGAGACCAGCGGCATCGTCGATGCTGTCGAAGCAAAGGGTGCAGTCTTCACGGTAGACGGAATCGGTGGGTTTCGGTGGAGAGAGATTGGCCGAGGAGATGTGAGGACAAGCAGCCATGATCACAAGGAGTGATGAAGGAAGTTCACGTGGGGAGAAAAAGGGTAAAGACCGTGATGGAACGTTTGGATGCCGTGTTTGGGAAGAGGCGGGCAGAAAGTGGTGGAATGATGCAAGCCTAACTAGCTGCGTCATCAAGATTAGATAAGATCTTACCTGGATTCATTAGCGGGTGAAGTGGGTGAGGGTTAACAAAGCCAGAAGACCCATATGATTGCACTACTTTCTCATCTATCTCAATCAAATCTGCTCAACTCCCGTCGCTAGCCTTTAATAGTCTCTCGGCTGTCCAACAGTCACCGGGCATTTGTACACGTGCCGTCCTCGAATCAGGTAGTAGATGCTAGCAATGCTCATGACCCCAACAAACATGACACTAGGTGGCCGACCAGGGGAGAAAGATGACCTAGCAAAAGCTATATAGCCAAGCAAAAGGCCCTGGGGTCGAAGGAATGGGGTGATGATAGCTATTCCGCCTTTCATCTTGCAATGTTGCTCTTGCTATCGGCCAAGCAGGGTGGCAAGTCGAAATGGACGACGTAGATCGAGTAATCTTCATCAGATAAGTGGATGACCATTTCGGTTGGCGATTCATTTCGATTTGCTCAACATCTCGTCAACTCCCGAGTGTCGGATCAACGTGAAATCCTGTGTGGAGAGGGTGATATGTTAGCTTTGAAGTTAACATCGAGGGAGTAACGTACTAGCATCCACGTAGGTCCCCAGCCCGTCAGGATCTTGTTCATCCACGTTAGCATTCCCGGGCCCCAGACAATACCCGTCGACTTTCCTTGGACGAGTGGAGCGACCACCCTCTCTGCGAAGTCGGCCGTGTCCAAACTAGAGCCTTTGGGGACAGTTGCACCGTGGGCAACGCCGTAGATGGTAGCCTCGACCGATTTATACAGCGAGTCATCGGGCAGTTTAAAGTCGTCGAAGTAGGTCAGTCCTTTGCTTACAACGGCACCTGTAACCACGGAGACGACTGATACGCCAAACGGCTTGAGCTCAAGACGAAGGGTCTCGGCCATGATCTCTTGTGAGCGCTTCGAGGCGGCGTAGGTGCCTACCGGGTGGAGTACAATATCGTTAGCACATAAAAAAGATGAAATGGTGCGTCAGAAGGACGCGCGACCTGACTCACCCATCCATGGCACGTGGAGGTGGCCCGCAATCGAAGTGATGTTGACAATGGTGCCCTTGGCGGCGATGACCAGGGGGCTGAAGGCCTTGCTGACCCTTAGCGGGCCCCAAACATTGGATTCGAAGATCGCCTTGGCCTCATCGATGGATTCGTCCAGTAAGGGCATGAAGTGGTTGTGTGCGGCGTTGTTCACAAGGAAGTCGAGCCTTCCGCCCGTCTCACCCGAGACATCTTTGACGGCACGCGAGATTTGATCGTCCTTGGTCACGTCGAGCTGCAGCAGCGTCACGTTTGAACGGCTGGTGAAGCTGGTCATCTTGCCCACGGTACGCGCGGTGGCGAACACGCGAAACCCGCGATCCGCGAAGGACTGGGCCAACGCAGCCCCAATCCCACCGTCGCTGCAGCCGGTGATCAGCACTGACTTTGTCGCCGACATGTTGACTCGGTATCTCCTGCCACGGAAGCTCGATGGGACGAATGAGATAAAATCCTAGGGCGAGGTTGAGAGAACAGCTATGAGACTGGAGATGGAGACGGAAGAGGACGAGGTCGGAAGAGGATGAGGTTAAGTATACAGGGTGCCTTGATCAGTTCGACCCTTACCTCATGCTTACAGCGATGTTGCAAGCGCCTCATGCAATCCGTAGCACCCTTTCCCAAAAAGGAAAAAGTTTCGCGCGCGCTCGTGTGCAACCATCGCATTCAAGACACAGATATTGATATGCGCTCTATCAATAAGGAGGACCACGGTTGTGCGAGTCGATGTGAACACCCTTGATCGAGAAGGTGGGAGGCGTGGCGATCAAGAAGTTTGGGCAAGCTCCGGCATTAATTGCGAGGAGAACAGCCCGTGATCAGCGCCGACTTTGTCGTCGATACATGTTGGCTCGGTATCTCTTGGCATGGAAGCTCAGATGCGTCGGAGGAACCGAAGACGGAAGGTACAGCTGGCTTGACCAGCTTGTGAGGCCGGTTGAGCTCGCCTCTATGTTAAACGGCGAAAGGTAAGCGCTAAAGACCAACCTTTACTTGTATCATCCCGTCTCTTCCGGAGAGGAAAGGTCGGCGCACGACTAATGTGCAAAACAGCGGCATTGAGGACACAGGCCATTCTTGTGTGCTCTGTAAACAAGGGGGCACGGTTGTGCAAGATTGCCAGGCCGAATGCCGCATTCGACGAGGATTTGGGGAGGTTCGTGGGGTGTATACATGCAATGAGTAGAGAGAGTATGGGGTGAAGCTTTCCAGGTCCATGTTGCATGCCCGCGCGTCTGCATGTGGTCTAAAGGGGATTAGCTAAGCAACATTATGACGCTGGTGGGGCAGTTGGTGGGGCAGAGTAGAGTGGGAGTGCCGGAGTTAAATATTATCACATCAACCTCCCTCCCACTCCTCGCTTCGTCTCAACAATTCCTCCTCCTCTTCGACCCAGTCTCCATCAGAGAAACACCCCCATCTACACAAACCAATCAACATGGCATCCAACCCGGGAGCACGCTGCTGCACCATTGGCGTCACGCACGAGGGCCAAGCCAAGGGCGAGCTCAAGGACATTGAGGACGGTACATCGACTCCCCGACCCCACTGATCCCGCAAGCCCCTCTAACCTCGCCATCCAGTCAACTGCTACTTCTCCTATCCCGAGGACAAGTCAACGGCCAACGCCATCCTCCTCCTGCCCGATGTGATCGGACACAAGTTCATCAATGCACAGCTGTAAGCGTCTCACCCCTCGCAATACCACCCACTATCCACTCCTAACGCCCGTCCGCCCACAGCCTCGCCGACCAATTCGCCGCCAACGGCTACTTTGTCGTCATGCCCGACCTCTTCGAAGGCGACCCCATCCCCCTCAACCGCCCCGAGGGCTTCGACATCATGGAATGGCACAGCAAGTCCGGCCCGCAAGGGAAGGGCCACGGACCGGGGCAAGTCGATCCCATCGTAACAAAAGTGATCAAGGAGATGAAGGGGAATCTCGGCGTGAAGAAGATCGGCGCCGTTGGCTACTGTTTCGGCGCGAAGTCTGTCGCGCGCTTCTCGGCCAAGGGCAAGGGCGTTGATGTCGCCGCCATGGCGCATCCGTCTTTCGTCGACGCCGCGGAGATTAAAGCGATGGAGGCGCCCTTGAGCATCGCTGCTGCCGAGACGGACCAGATCTTCCCCGCGGAGAAGCGTCGGGAAACGGAGGATATCCTGAAGGAGCATCACATTCCTTACCAGGTCTGCCTGTACTCGGATGTCGAGCACGGCTTTGCTGTTCGCGGTGACCCGAAGAACCCCAAGGCCAAGTTCGCAAAGGAGGCCGCTTTCCTGCAGCACGTGCAGTGGTTTGACGAGTACCTCAAAGGCAAGCGCGATATTGCTGCGTAAGTCGACGAAGGCAGTGCTATCGAAGCCGCCGTACGGGCTGATGCCTCTTTAGAGAGGGCCCGAGGTTATAGAAAATGAAGCAGCACGCATAAAAGTCGATTAACTTGTGGCAGCTAATGCCATAAGGTTCCATCCGTCCCTACCACCCCCTCCGCCTCCCCCTCGCCTCATCCGCCCTCTCCTTCATCTTGCCCTTCCTCGCTTCATGCTTCCTCTTCTTTTCCTTCGCCCACTTCTCCGGCGCACTCACAGCCTCAATCCGCCTCTTGCGCCTCCTCTCTTCCCGCCTCTCCCTCGCCGCAGCACGCACAACCCCAAGAGCAGTAATGTATACCTCCGACCCCACCTTCTTCTGAATCACATCCATTACTTCCCGCGCCTTGTCGACGAGCTGATCGAAAGTCTCGCCTTCGGGCCGCGTCACGGTGGTATCCGTGAGGGAGTACAAGGGCTGCAGGACGGATTCCAGATTGGGGATGGAGGGTGTAACGCTGATGAGGGCGGTTTGGCATTGCACGGCTGCTGTGCGTGTTGTTGTAGGCAGGTTCTCTTGTCGGATGATGTACGTCAGGCGGTTGAAAAGGTACGCAATGGCGGAGGGATCTTTCGCTTGCGCTGTGTCGACCATCGTCTCGTCTTCTTCCTCTTCGTCGTCGGATGCATCCTCCGTGACTTCTCGCCACTTCATGCCATTCGCTGCAAAACAGCGGCCGAGAAATACAAGATTCCTCGCAGTCTGGGTTTGCAAGGCCTCACTCGTGTTTTCCGGGCCAGCTCGCAAAGTTCGCAGGCTGGAATAGCACCACTGCCGCAATTGGTCGGCATCCAGCGCCAACCCGCCCGAGCCTCGGAGAGGCAGGTTCGCCAGTCCCGAGCCTGTCTTGGAGCTGGTGCTCGCAAGATGGGAGAAGAGCACCTCCATCAGCTTCGCCGCGAGCTCCTTGACCTCCACATCGCCCACTCTGAGTACGGAGCTGAGTTTATCCCAAAGACCAGCTGACTCTCTCGCGAAAGCGACATCGGGCACAACATCAACCAGAACCTGGAAGGTCTGTAGAGCAGCATTCAAATTGGAGTTCTTCGCGTCATCCGAGTGCAGAACTTGCTCAATGTGCTCACAAAGGCTCTTTACATGCTTCGCAGACGGGACTCGCGCTCGAAGCAATACCATCCAGCATTGAAGCGCAGCGGTCTGAGTGCCTGGGTTGCTCTGATTCTGTAGCCATTTCGCCATAAGCCCGAGGTAAGTTGCCATCTGCTCTTCCGTGCTTCGCTCAAAGATCTTGCCAATCAGCAAGGCGGCCATCCTTCGGCACGATTGATCCGCATCAGCAACTTGAATAGGCACAAGTGCGATGAAAAGGGTGAAGGCCATTTGAGAGAGAGCGTCGTCAGGCAGCTTCGACAGCAGCTGATGCAGAAGTTCCATGATACTTTGTCGGCCAGTGGCATGCTCGTACTTGAGGTTCTCCACGAGGTATCCAGATTGCTTTCGAAGCCGCTCCTTGCCTTGGGGATATTCCAGCACAAACTGCAAGTAGGCACTTCTCGCACCTTCTTGCACGCTGCGGTCTGGGTTCGTGACAATCACTTTGCCCACTTCGTCCATGATCTCGTAGACTTCGGTGATCATGATCTTGCGCCCGAGCACAGCCCGCAAGAACTTGTAGACGATGCCTTGCCTATCCGGCTCATCGAGATCGTTCTTCAAGGCCTTCAACACATCAGCTAGATCGCGGTCTCGCACTTCTGCAGTACGCCTCTCTCGCAGCACACACGTGACGAGCTCAAGAGCAGCCCGTGCCGAGTCCGTAGTCATGCTAGGCGCGCCGTTGATGATTCGCATCGCTTCCTTGACGTACAGCGCGGCATTGCTATCGAGCTCCGCCATCTTGACCCTCATGATAGTGCTTAGCAGCTTGACAGCGGCCAGTTGGACTTCTTCGTGTCCCTCCACCAAGGAGTCGCCAGCGATGGGAAGGAATCCCGCCAAGTTTACCGGAGTCATCAGGTCTTCGTGCCGCTGAAGTACTCTACGGAGGAGGCTGAGTGCAAAGCTGACGAGCTTGAACGATTGTGACGTTGTTGGTCTTCGTGCTTTTCTGGCTACATCGGGTTCGGCTTGCATGATGTATCGATTGACTTTCACAGGAGTGGATCTTGCGCCGGCGCTGCCGTTCGCACGACTGACATGAGCTTGGCGCACAATCTCGTGGCAGAAGACCAATGTATCTCTGCTGTCCGCGGCGGCGTTTCGATCAATGCCCTTCCGAAGTCGGCTGAGGAGATCGTCAATCTTCGTGAGCACCTTGATGTCGAGCTTCTCGGCCAGTAGGGCTTGCAGAGGCTGTACGAGCCTGCCCAGTCGCTGAATTGGCGTCACGGTAGCCAAGAGCTCCATCGTGTCGAAGCTTTTGCTGCTTTTGACTTCCTTCATGGCACTCTTGTATTCCTCTGCATCCTTCTCTTGCCCAGTCGCACCGAAGATGTCGTCCATGATGATCGACATCAGATCGGGTAGGCATTCGTCGAGCTCGCCTGGTTCAAATCCACTCACTGTATTCACTAGCAGTGAGTGTACAGTGAAAGAGAGCACATGGAGCTGAGAGCCTCGTTGCAAAGCCGAGCGTAGCTCCTTGAGAAGAAATCCGAAGTAGGTCGGCCCAACGAGCGAGAAGATGCTAGCAAGGGACTTTCTTGCCTGGTCTCTTGCTTCTTGGCTACGGCTCCGTAGAACTTGGCAGACATCCGTAAGCACCGGTGGCAGGCGAGACGCAATATCTGGTTGCGGCAGCGTGAGTAAGAGCTTTGCGATAGTGATGGCGACGGGCATCCGGCGATCAACAGTGGACTCATCCTTGTGGTGAAGATAGCCAACCAGCGGCGGTAGGAGTTCGCGTTTGACAGTCTCTGATCTCTTTGACGTCTGCTCCGTAGAGTCGACATTGTCGTGAGTTCCGGAAGTCGTACTGATAGCATCGACAAAGACACTCAGAAGCCGCAAAGTCACCTTCTCATCATGATCCTCAGATTTGAGCAGATTCGCATAGCGCTTAAAGGTGGCTCTGAACACCGACCAGTTGAGCGCCTGCGCCAGCGCGCCGAGAGTTGCAACACTTTGATCTGCCAGCGTTCTACCAGAGTCACCTTCCGCAGGATGAAACACAAAATGCTCAAGCAAGGGTATGAAGAATTGAGTGACGTTGCTGGAGCGAAGCTTTGGCGCTTCATCGGAAAGGCGACGCAGAGCCCTCAGACGCCGGTGCTGCTGAATGTGGAGGATATTGGTGAAGAAAGAAGCTTCCTCGTCGCCATCCACAATCAGACTCCGCATGTCTTCCACGGCTGGCCACTGCGGGAGCTTCTCGACAATATACCCGAGCAGAAGGAGATACTCAGCCCTCACAAGCTCCGACTGGCTCTTGACGCCGTAGACGATGCCAGGAAGCACCGCAGATGATATCAATGGCTTGAAGGTATCCACGTCCTTCGATGCTGCATCCAAAAACCTCTGCAACGCTCTCGTGGCACTTGTTCGATTGACGAGGTCGTCTTCGTCTCGGACGTAGAAGAGGAAGACATGGACAAGAGGCTTCCATTGCTGCAGCGAGAACTCTCCACTCTGGGCGTAGACCTTTGCGAATGCAGCCTCCCTCCTGGCATGATCTGGTTCGCGGGAGATGCCGGTGGTCGAATCCAGATCTTGACATATCGTGGCAGTCTTTGCAAGATCTTCGTCATCTCTTGACATGGAGAGGAGCACCTCGGACAGGAGGAGCCGACTCGTGGAGTCATGGAACCGCGAGAAAAGACCGCAGAGTGCGTCGTAAAGCCGATCCACGGAGGAAAGATCGATCACGCCATTCTGAAGCAGCGACAGGATCGTCTTCAACAGTCCGACCTTCGTGGCGTTTGAAACGATCTTGTTCGGCTTCGTCAACAGATCGGTGCAGACCGTGACGATGGCTTCTGCCTCCTCGGAGTCACGAATTCGACCGGAAAGCAAAGTTAAGACAGAAATGCAGGCATCTAATACTGGCTTCGAAGTCTCTCGGCTGAGAACCTCCCCGATACTTCTTCCGAAACGAGAGATGTGCTCAGATGTAAAGTCGAAATTCGCATCCTCCCGAAGAATGGGCTCCAGAGCTTCTTGTAGCACGAAGAGGCGGACCTCATCTTTGGTGTTCGGCTCGCGAAGGAGGTCTGCGATGGAATCGAGGATGCGGACATCAAATTCGATCAAGAATCTTCGATGGGCAGATGAGGAAGCCCAGGCAGCCAGTAGCCGCAGTATGCCCGATACTCCTTGGGTGTTTTCCGACGCGAATTTGGACAAGCGAGGTGCGATGAGTTCCTCTACCGCAATGTGCGCGTACCGCGTAACATCAGGGGTCTCCATTGTCGAAAAGATGTGCACCAAACACTGAATGCCGGCCTGTCGGACGGATCGCAGGAGTGAGTTGTCTTTGAGATCTTCGCCGGCGCCACCACGCTCAATCTTCCGAGACGCCGCAACAGTGCACAACAAAGTGGCCGTCAGCAGCTTTGCGGCAAATGGCTGCAGGTCTGGACCGAGCGTTTGCAGCATGTCTTCCAGCATGTTGAGCATTCCAAGCTGTTGACGTAGTGGAACACTAAGCAAAGCCAGCAATGATTCCAACTCGTGGTCAGCGGTCAGCTGCAATGTTCGCAGAGACCCAAGAGCAATGTCCACAAACATGCCAAGGACATCTTCGCCATATCGTGACATGGCGATAAACACTGCCTTCCTTCTCGAGCCCTGCCCGTGTTGGCCACCAGCAACAGCTCTGCCATAGAGCAGGCGCAGTAAGACTGGCATCAGTTTTGGATGATCTTCGGGCTGGATGACACCCTCTTGCTCCTTGTCGTCGTTCTGAAGGAAGACTGACAGCTCTTCGCGGAACCTAGACTCATCCAGAAGATTGTTGAGATGCTCGCTGTATTGATTCACTCCAGAATGCTTCCATGCGAAAATAGCTTTGAGCGCGTGCTGTTGAATTTCAACGTCTCCATTCGCGCAGAGGTTTAATAGAGCGGTGTACACCTCGTCAGACTTGAAGAGCACTTTCGGATTGGTGAATTGCGCAAAGATTGCGAGCATTGCTTTCTGGTCTTTGCGTTTCCAGCGTTGCGGAGCGGCTTCGTCTTGCTCGTCTGGTACAGCGCCATCTTGCGCTCCCGCCCATCTCAGCAAGATCGGCACGAGCATGCGAGATCGCTTCTCGGCAACAGTTGGGATCTTGCTTAACACTCTTAGTGCCTGTTCGCGTGAGTTTGTGGCGATTGATGGTATATGGACATGTTGCGCTTGGAATTGTTCCTCGGCAGACAACCGCCCGCTGTCTGGAGTTTCGAAAACCTGCCGACAGATAGCGAACGACCTTGCGAAGTTAAAACACTCGAAATCTGAAATAGCCTGGAAGCCCGTCGAGTCTTTATCCAGAATGGCCGCTCGGTGTACCTCTTCATCGGGAGTTGGTTCAGAAGTTTGGTCTTCGATCCATGCTTGTGCGAGACCTGCGATGGTATCTTCGCCGAGCGAGGTCTTCGCAACATGCGCTAGAACATTGGCCGCATCATCCCATGCTTGCGACAGTCGAAGATTCAGGAGACCAAAGCAGTATCGGGGAATCGCCTTGCCCATCGTGTCGTCCATGTCTTGATGGTCTGCGCCGAGTCTTCGAATGTTCATTGAGAGTCCACGGCTTGTTTCCAAGCTGACTGGCGTAGATTCGATGGTGCAAGCGATCATCAAGACCTCGGGGACTGGAATCTTGCGGAGGGTGTATAGCGCTTGTATGATTTCGAGTGCCGCTTGCCGAATCTCATGACTTGGCATCGAGAGGCAATCGAGAAGCGAGGTTGTGAGTGCATCGATGTGTGCTCCTTCAAGGCTCGGGCTTGGTAGGGACGAGCGCTCGAGCAATCGCTGCATTGTAGACCAGAACCTCGTCAGATGCAGGTAACGATGACTCTCGCTGCACAGCTTTGGCCAGAGCTCGGCGAGGTCTCCGTCCTCTTTCCCGTCTTTGACCAGGGTCTCAAAGCACACGCCGAGTGCAAAATCTTGTACAGCAGTACTCCCGAAATTTGCATCTTCCAAGGCTCTCTGCAGCAGACTGAACTGTGCAGAGTGGAGTTTTTGTATTGTCGCAGGTGCCAACTTTAGAGTAGGACATGCAGAGAGAGCCAGGTCTGCTGAAGCCACACGCTCCATGATGTCGTCGGTCTCGGGAGTGTCTACGACACTCTGGAACCGCGTCAAGATGTGCTGCTGAAGTGCGTCCGGGCATGCCAGAGCGCCCTTTTCCATGTCTACCGCCAGTGCTGGAAGACGCTGAAGAATGGAACTTTCGTTCCCGGCATACTGCTCCAGGACAAATCTTTTGAACTCCGGAAGCACAAAGAGGCTGAACCTTTTCCGACCTAATCTCGCGAATAGATCACAGAACTGGAGAAAGTACGGAGCCAGTGTGCCTTGTCGCAGAGCTTTCAGGGAGTCCGAGGCCGATAGTGTTGCATCGATGGTTGCATGTTGCAATGTGAGCGCTGTTGCGCTGAGGAGCGAGTGTAGCGCGGACTCCCCTGCCTCATAGTCGTCTTGAGCTGCTAATTTGAGGAGTTTTCCGACTAGTCCCGTGAGAGGTGCCCAGTCTCGAACCCGACCGCCGTTGCGCACTGCCGCGATGGTGAACAGCAGTCTACTCGCGAGCTCCATCGAGAGCGGCCGTCCAGCTAGGTTGAGGTTGCTGATAAAATCGACAATCGTCTCCTGCACTGGTACGAAACCTTGGGCGTTGACGTGGTGAATGAGGCTCGTTAATGTACCGATCGTAACTTCTGTTGCTGCAATCTGGTTTCGATCGGGATGGCTTAAGATCTTGAGCAGGCTCTGCAAGACCGCGGTTCCGCCGGAGTGCAATCCGCCCTGCACTCCTTTCATCGACTCCGTGAGAAGGGTCATCACACCTTGCTGGTACATATCTTGGGATGCACCCCTCTCGTTGATGTCGCAATTGTCAAGTATGTGAGACATGATGATGTCCAAAGGTTCGCAGTCTCTTTGATATGATGTAGCGGTCTTTCGCATGAGAAAGCTCAAGCTCTCTGCGGCGAAGCGAATGATGAAGGGCTTCTGGGACTCTTTGCCCAGGTAAGGAGCCATCAAGTCGTACAGCGGGCGAAGATCAGGAACCAACAGCCTCGAAAGGTACTTGAACAGCCATGCTAGGCATGTGAAGCTCCATTCGACCACTGCAGGATCTGCGTGCCTTGCTGCGACCCGAGTCACAGTTGCCACAGCTCGTGCAAAGTGTTTTTCGAACCTTGTGTCCAGATCGTGTGCGAAATGCGAAAGAAGGCTGAGCAAGGGTTCCAGGGATAGTCCGTCTCCTTTCTCGATGTACGCCATCAACAGATCCATAATCTTTCCCTCATTGTGCAAGACTCCCGGCAAGCTGTCGGAGAGCGGCGCAACCTCTTTGACGAAAGCAGAGAAGTTCTGCGACAAATTCAGATCCCTCCATTCTTCCAGGGATCTTCCGAAGTATGTCGCCGTATCATTCACCAACTCTTCCTGGTCCCCAAGTTTCCGTCTCCTTCTGATCGGATCGATCTTCAAGTTCGCGATTCGCTCGGAGAAGGACTGATAGCGATGGAGGTTTGTGGTGGAAGTCGTGCGCTTCGACTGTTTCTGACGCTTCACCACCTTTGAAGGCTTTCGGGCCTTCATTTTGTCGCTGAGGAGCCTCGTTACGATGCCTCCATCTCTGTGTGAAAGTTCCACGGGAATTGTCAAGTCGTCAAAAAAAAGTTCAGAGTTCAAGATGTCGAGGTGGGGCGGGTTGGCCGGGAGGCTCGTGCCCGAACGGCCGCAGAAAGCTTATTCGATGCTGCGATATCAAAAGATTCTCAAGCCTCGACAACATTCTCTCAGTAGCGAAGCGGTGAATCAGAATGTTTCTCACCGTCTGACCCATGTGAAAACACAAGCACAATCGCCGCCATGGCCTCTAAAATGTGAGTCTCCTCTTGTCAAGCTATCTACATCTCACCAACCTCACCACCTGGTTGGGCTACAGGACGAGCGGCCATGGCTAATACCAAGTACAGCGTCGTCATAGGCGATGTCAACGGCCGCATTTCCGAACTCTTCACCAAGCTCTCGACTCTGCATGCGAAGCAGTCCTTTGCTTTCGCCATCATCGCAGGCAACCTCTTCTCACCAGCAGCCTCCACTTCCGAGGCCGAGCACACCGAGATCTCAACCCTACTCAATGGGGCAATCGACGTTCCCCTTCCAACGTACTTTGCCCTCGGCACTAACTCTTTGCCGACCGCTGTACTGGACAAACTACAGTCAAGCGATGGCGAGCTCTGTGCCAACTTGAGTTTACTTGGGCGGAGGGTGTCCATCAAGACGTCGAACGGCTTCCGAATCATCTCACTCGGCGGATCACACGTGGAAGGAAGCGACTCCTCTATGAGTGAATACGATGCTACGTACTCCGACGCTGACGCTACAGCACTCGTACGGGAGCTTCCAGATACAGACATACTCGTGACGAGCGACTGGCCAGCTGGAATCCGCGATGGATCAAAGGCATCGTACACAAGTGAGGCGCCCGGGGGAATCCGGAGTGTTTCAGACCTCTGCACGGCGCTGAAACCGAGGTACCACTTCTCTACGTCCGCAGCATTCTATGAGCGTGAACCCTTCTTCCACCCAGGACCTCGACCGCAATCAATCACTCGCTTCATCAGCCTCGCGCCCTTTGGCAACGCTGAGAAGCAGAAATGGATCTACGCATTCTCACTCGAACCGTCTGCGGCAGCACCTCCGACCATCCCGCAAGGCTGCACAGCATCTCCACTCACATCTGCAAAGAAGCGTAAACTCGAGCCTCAGCAGACCGCCTACAACAGTTTCAGATACTCCAACGGCGATACAAACGCCCAGTGGGAGCCAGATCGCAACAGGCGGAAACGCCAGAAGCACCAGCCACCGCCAACGCCTGATCAGTGCTTCTTCTGCCTCTCCAACGCCAACTGCGAGACTCACATGATCGGTTCAATAGGCGAAGACTGCTATGTGACGATTGCAAAGGGGCCACTGACCACGCGATCAACCTTTCCGGACTTGGGGTTTACGGGTCACGTGCTTCTCATCCCGCTCCACCACTCCGCCACGTTGTCGTCGATACCAGACCAGGACGCAAGGCAATCCACGGTGAAAGAAATGCAGCGGTATCGAACCGCGATGCACGACATGATTGCAACGAGGTCCAAGGGTGATGACGGTACGGCAAAACTAGGCGCGGTGACTTGGGAGATCAGTCGAGGGGGCGGGGTGCACGTTCACTGGCAATTTCTGCCGGTCTCCGTCGACCTCATTCAGAAAGGTCTCGTTGAAGCGGCATTCGACGTGGAGGCGGAGAACCTTTCATATCCCAAGTTTGCGAAGAAGTCGGCAGATGTCGCGGCAGCAGAAGAGGGCGATTACTTCAAAGTCATGATCTGGTCGGAGGCGATCCGCAAGGAGATGGTCCTGCTGCTTGACCGGGAGTTCCGATTCGACCTGCAATTCGGTCGAAAAGTCATGGCGAAGTTGCTAGGGCTGGAGAGCAGGACGGACTGGCGGGCGTGTGCACAAGACAAGACGGAGGAAGAAGCAGATGTGGCGGTGTTCAAAGAGGCCTTCAAGCAGTTCGACTTCTCCTTGGAGGAGTGATTATACCCGGCTATCGGCTGTAGCAATATCTCCGGCAGCGTCTATGAGAGTCGATGGATGTAGAATAGTCCGAAATTAGACATGAAACACTATCGTCTCTCTGATCGACTGCACAGTGCCAACACGAGGATTCAGGAACAAGCAAGAGATAGGCGCTGCTATGTTTGGATTGTGTGGGTCGGAACATTTTGATGGAGACGTCTCTGAAACGCCCGCCCGCTTCGACCAATGGGGGGGGCGGAAACAGCCGTTGTCAACCAAACTCTCTCGCTCGGGCGGCTATTCCCTCTGGACCCTCGACCACGACCGCAAGAGCTGTCCCTGTAGCACGCCGCCTTGCCCGCTTGTCCTGCAGCAAGCAGAGCAGTTGTCTGAGTCTTCTCGTTCGCATAGCTTTGGGACGAAGCATGCATTCCTGACCTACAAAGAGGCTGACATCCCCCCGTCCCCCGTGCGAAGACCTTTTGTTCCTGCATGTCGGGTCTCCACTTTCGGTTCAACTTCCCACGCCGGAAACAGCTTCACCACTGTCGACACCGCCGCCTGGAATCCTGGACATCGTCGCCTGCTGCGCCAAATACTCTTTGCCAGAGCTCAATCCCCCTTCCTTGAAGTATCACACATACCTATCCGAGCACTTTCGAAGTCAGACTCCGCCCAAAGTGTGAGTGTTGCATTCCTCAATGGCAGCAAGGCCGCGCGGATGGCAGACTTGGTTCTTTGAGTGAATACACGTCTGCATCACGCAGGCCGGTCTCAAGACGCTGTCCGAACGCTTGTCCGCGGTCTCACACAATCCATGCTAACGTGTGCGACAATAGTTGCCACATTCTCCCTTGTCCCGCCCTTACCCTCCGCCGATCACTGCCGCCCCGCCATCATTCACTGCATAACCTTCGCAACCCAATTCCACTGCTATAAGAACCTGCTGCCCAGCTCGAATAACACACTCCCTCTTCTCGAACCACCTCGCCCTGAAACCGCCTTTCCAAAGAGCAGCACAGCGAAACCTTCCCATGGCCAACCGCGCCCCGCCAGCCGCCGCTGGGTCGAGAAAGATCTCCTTCAATGTGTCGGAGCAATATGACATCCAGGATGTGGTAGGAGAAGGAGCATACGGAGTGGTGTGTTCTGCACTTCACAAGCCTTCCGGACAGAAGGTCGCGATCAAGAAGATCCAACCCACTGAGCACGTAATGTTCCTGTGAGTAACCCCTGTCCTTACCCCTTGACACCAATGGTCAGTCAGCTAATATTGCTCCTCCCAGTCTCCGAACTCTCCGCGAAATCAAGCTCTTGCGATACTTCAACCACGAAAATATCATCTCCATCCTCGACATTCAGAAGCCCCGCAACTACGAATCCTTCTCCGAAGTGTACCTCATCCAAGAGCTGATGGAGACGGACATGCACCGGGTGATCCGGACGCAAGAGCTGTCAGATGACCACTGCCAATACTTCATCTACCAAACCCTGCGGGCGCTCAAGGCCATGCATTCGGCAAACGTCCTCCACCGAGATCTTAAACCCTCAAACCTCCTCCTCAACGCCAACTGCGATCTGAAAGTCTGTGACTTCGGTCTTGCCCGATCTGCGGCAAGCACAGAAGACAACCAGGGCTTCATGACCGAATACGTGGCCACCCGGTGGTACCGAGCCCCCGAGATCATGCTCACGTTCAAGGAGTACACGAAAGCAATCGACGTCTGGTCGGTGGGATGTATTCTGGCGGAGATGCTCAGCGGCAAGCCGCTCTTCCCCGGGAAAGACTACCATCACCAGCTCACGCTAATCCTCGACGTCCTCGGCACACCTACTATGGAAGACTACTACGGCATCAAGTCGAGACGCGCGCGAGAATACATCCGCAGCTTGCCGTTCAAGAAGAAGATTCCCTGGAAAGTCATGTTTCCCAAGACATCGGATCTGGCGTTGGACCTGCTTGAGCGACTACTCGCCTTCAACCCTGTCAAGCGAATTAGCGTCGACGATGCACTCAAGCATCCATACTTGGAACCATATCACGACCCGGAGGACGAGCCCACGGCCGATCCCATCCCGGAAGAGTTCTTTGACTTTGACAAGAACAAGGATAATCTGAGCAAGGAGCAACTAAAGCGTAAGCTATCCTTCCCTCCCTTTGCAGATACATCAAGACTGACACAACTACTAGAACTGATTTACGAAGAGATCATGCGGTAATGCCATGTTACGAGCTCATCTTTCCTTTTGTCATTTTCAAAATGTAATAAGTATAGAACACCGCCTTACACAACGATGGCTGACGCGAACGTACAGCAACAAATCTTTCCCAACGACCCCCATCAAACTTGCCATCGCAAAGAATGCAACCATCACCTCCTCCCCTGCAACATCATCTGGAGGCAAGAAATCCTCCTCTACCACCAAGTCTGCGGCAAGCGGTGAGATTACAGTGCGGCCTGGACGTGGATATGAGGAAGCTGGGTATGTGAAGGGGACTGGAGCAGGGGTTGTCTTCTCTTTCGGCAGGTCTACTGAAGATGTTGACGATGGAACGGGGGCAATGAGCAGCTGGGCATAGCAGCTTTCAACGATGCATGAGCAGATGATAGATTCTTTCCCAGATTGAAGAACTCTCATTGGCAACTCTCTTGATAAGCTCTACTGTTTGGTCGTTGCCGATATGTAATAATGTGCAAGGCCTTGTGATGGTGGCTTCGCCAGAAATTTGAGATCACGTGCAGACTGATATGGAACCACGTGATCAGTGCCAAGCATTTTCCGTTGGCGCGGTTTAGACTCAGGCTTGATAATCAGCATCTGTCCTTCTTCCTCCTTCTCTCCCCATCCCCCATCCCTTCACTTCTTCTGTTCATCTTGGACCATCAAGTCCACCACCTCTTCTGCATCAATATCACGACCTGCGACATTTTCTACCGCTCAAACCCTCTCCGGCCGCCGCGACAGCCTCTTTGAGTGAGTGACGCATCAAGAGGCGGAAGGAGGCTGGGAGGCTGCCTTTGCGGCGTGCGCAAGACTCCTCGTATCGTTGGAGTGGGGAGACAAGTACGACCGTACTGTGGGAGTGCTGAGGTGATTCTGGACCGCGTTGAGCTTCTCTTGACCACTTCGCTGTGGAGCGCGCATTCACGCCACGAGCGTTGTCCTCGAGTTCCCTGAACTTCACCTCCGTCCACCGGTCGTTATCAGACAATAGGAAGAAAAGTCACTGCAACTGTTGTCGCAGGCAGCACTGTTATTGTTGAATACAAAACACACTGTTCTTCGAGGGTCGTGCTTCCTTGACACTGCCTTTGCTTTCCCTCCACTCCTTCCTTCTTGCTTTACCATAGAAGCTGCGAGCTGCTATCTGCGACCACCACAAAGTCAAGGTACTACCAACAACGACTTCACATCAGAGCGTCCCGACGACAAAGCACGTCTTTGAGGTCGCATCCGCACACTCAACGTCCTGGTCTTACACCACCTTCATCACTCCGAAACCATGTCTTCCTCCATTTTCTTCCGCTTCAAGTCGCAGAAGGATCCGCTACAGATCACTTTCGATGGCACCAGTCTGTCGGTGTTTGAGGTGAAACGTGAAATCATAGCGCTGTCCAAGTTGGGCGACGGTACGGACTTCGACCTCGACATCTACAGCGCCGACGGGAAAGATCGTAAGGACGCCCCTTCTCCCCCTTCGTTGATACATGAGCTAACCGGAGCAGTCTACGATGACGATACCACTCAGATTCCTCGATCCACCACGGTCATCGCCAGGCGACACCCTTCAAGACCAGGCGCTGGCCGAGCCGCACGCTACGTCACCGGCAAGATGCCCGTCAACGCCAAGAACGCACACCGCATCGAATCTATCGCTTCCTCGGCACCGATCAAGAGTACGCCGGTCGCCAACAATATGGTTAATGTAGGAGGCAAGGAGATGAGCGAGGAGGAGAAGCTGCAAGCCCTACTGAGCGCGAACGATCAATCGTGGAGGGCCGATCAAGCATCCATGTCGCACAAGCCCGTTGTACGTAGTACTTACAATAAGTCGGCCGCTGTCCCCGACAAGCCGTTACCCCCGGGCTACCTTTGTCATCGCTGCGGCGAGAAAGGCCACTGGATCCAAGCATGCCCCACTAACAACGACCCCAACTTCGACAACCGCAAAAAGATCAAACGCACCACTGGCATTCCCCGTTCCTTCCTCAAGGCCGTTGAAAAGCCGCCCGACGGCGAAGAAGCCAATCTCGACCCCGCGCAACGGCCGAAGAACATCATGTACACTGCCGACGGGGAGATGGTGACGTTTGAGCCGGACAACGCCACGTGGGAAAAGATCCAGGAGAAGCAGCATGCGGCGGCGGAGAAGGCCAAGGTGGTTGCGTCGGACGAGCAGGAAGTGCGGGATCGTGGGCTCGAATGTTCCCTACATAATGGCATTTTCGTCGAGCCCACCAAGACTCCGTGTTGCGAAAGGACGTTCTGCAATAATTGTATTGAGAGCGCGCTCCTCGACAGCGATCTCAAGTGTCCTAGTTGTGAGACGCAGCCTGTGTTGCTGGATCAGCTGCAGCCTGATGAAGAAGTGGTGGCGAAGCTGAAGGCGTATGAAGAGGAGAAGAAAGCGGAGAAGGAGAAGAAGCAGACGGAGACGACTCAAAGTCCTGCCGCTGCACCACCTGCAGATAGCACAGCCTCGACAGACGGACTTGCAGTCCAAGCCAACGGCCTGGAATCCGGCGCTTCCACCCCCAACGGCAAAAAGCGCGCCGCAGAAGACGAGCTACCAAACGACCGCAAACCCTCGAACCCCGCCGCCGCCGCCGCAGAAATGAAGAAGACGGGCTCCAGCCAAGGCAAATCGACTCCCACCGGACCAGCCGCCGCATCAAAAGCTCCCCAGCCGCCCATCGCTCCCGCAGCAGATCTCACGGAATTCCACAAGCAAATGCAAGCCATGTCGGCCAGCATGGGCGGGATGCAGAATGGAATGCCGGCCATGATGAACCCGATGATGGGCGGCTTCAATCCGATGATGATGGGCATGCCACCCATGCCGGGGATGCCTGGGATGTCTGGAATGCCTGGGATGCCTGGGATGCCTATGATGGGGATGCCGGGTATGAACATGCCCAACTTCAACGGCGGCAACATGAATATGAACGGGTGGCATGGAAATGGTATGGGGCCTGGCAATTGGCAGGGCGGTGGTGGGATGGGTAGGGGAGGAGGCATGCAGGGCAATGGGAATGATGGTGGTGCGTATATGCGGCAGCCTGTCAATCCCAATCGCCATCGGGGAAAGTATCAGCGGCCGCGGAGTGCGGATTATCGACAGATCTGAGGTGAATGAGACGGAGTTGAGGCATATGGCGACGTGCGTGGCTGGGCTTTGAACTATTAGCGATGGAGTTGGGATGAGAGATGCACTACGGATGAGGCGGTTCTCCGGTAGCCAAGTACTGTGTAACTCAAATTCATCTAACAACCACAACTGCTCCTGCTTGCGATTTCTCTTGTGGTCATTCAAATTATCTTGCATTTCCCCCGGGGATTATTATGTTAGAAGCTATGTACCGCTTCGACCTTGACCTGAACGCCTTTCGAGTCCAAGCGAGGATGGCTGATCTGAAAGTCATACTGAAACTTGACGTCCCTCTCATCCGTATCGACAAGCACCATATCATATCCAGCCAGCTCAGCAATCAGCAAACTCATCGACGCATTGGCGAGGCTGATGCCCAGACAGCGTCGGTGGCCCTTGCCCAACGCAACCATACAGCGCTTCCGGCGATTGACGGCCGCCTCGTCGTTGCCGGGGTTGTCCGGGTCCACGATCCAGCGGGAGGGATCGAAGCGGTGGGGTTGCGGGTAGAGAGTTTCGTCCGTGTGGGTGCAGTATGTGACTGTTGAAAGGGGGGTTTTTGGCGGCAGGGCGTAGGTTGTGCCCTGGTGTGGACCGGACGATGCGGTGTACCTGAGGGTTTCGTTGGGGGAGTAGCGACTCATTCGATTCGTTACTCCAAATGACAGGCGGTTCTGCAATGGTAGAAATGTTAGTATTTCATTGTTGTCGGTGTCTCTGCTCGCTCTTTTTCAAACAATCCTGGTTAACTTACCGCTTCCGTGAGCACCGCACTCAAATACGGCAGAGCCAACAGGTCTACGAGCGACAAAGTTCGCCCTTGTCTTCGTCTCGCGTCTGCAATCTCGCTCCGAAGCTTGTTCATCACTTCGGGCTGGTGAAGTAGATAGAAAGCGGCAATGCCCAGTGATTTGGCCGGGGACTCTGTGCCAGCCATGACGAGCAGCATCGCTTCATCCTCGAGACGACCGATCGTCTTCTCTTCCGGCGGTAGGATGGAGCTGTCCTTGAGCTCGTGGAATACCGAATATCGACCTTTCTGGCTGGTGTCGTTGTCTGCGAGAACAGCGGTGATGCGCTGACGCGTATCTTGTTTGAAGCGTATGATATCCCTCACTGGATCATGGTTAGCGAGTGAATATTCGTTAGGCGGATGATCGTAGAGAGAGAGCGACAATGATCGTGTTGGGTTGAATGGGCAATTTGCAAGGGGAAGCCTTGACCTACTTGCAAGAGGTATAGCTTTATCGCCAAATAGCGCCAGCATGACTTTGCTCAGTATGCGAAAGAAAGCAGTAAAGTGACGCCGGACGTTGACACCGAGCAATAGCTGTGCAAGATTGGTGCGTTGCCGCTTCGCCTCCTGCAAATCGTCGAGCAGATTCCCATCCGACCCGAACGAATACGAGCGCACAACGTCGTTCGAATATGCAAAGAAGATGTCCGATAGATTCACTGTGTGTCCACTCTCGGCGGCGATGTGTAGAATGCGGGCAACCTTGCCGTTCTTCTCGGCCATGAGCGACTCGAGACCGATGACGGCCTTTTGGCTGAAGAAGGGACTCATCGCGTCCTTTCTGATGCGGTGGAGTTCAAAGTCCTCGGCGCCGCCCATACTGCGGTCCACCACCATGCCCTCATTGACGATGGCGTTACGGCTTCTTTGCGCATATATCGTGTCCAAGTAGCTGGGGTCGCTGATGTGCACATGGTTCGGAGCCGGTCGGATAATAGGGCCGTATACATCGTGAAGCTTCTGCAATTGGAACGGGAGTTGCCCACCCCCCTTGCGAAAGCAATCGAAGTAGGCCTCATACCACGTTGTCAGAGCGGGTAGCCATGGCCCAGGGATCTTCGCTAGAGGATGGAAGAAGAGGTTGTAGACGGCCCTCCAGACGAGGAACGCAAGAACGACGCTGGCCACAAGCAGTGGATACCAGCTTCCCAACGCATCCATCTCGTCCTGTCTTTACGGGTTAAGAGACAAAGCGGTTGATGAGAGAATGGAAAGTCTTTCTGCCAGCCCCGGGAAGTAGACGTTTGTAACACTACGACACTTATCTTATCCGTGGCTCCGAAGAATCCTTCGCCACTTGTTCATGCGTCTTAAGCTTCACTACTCGTTCAAGTGAGTGAAGAAGGAATGTTCAGGATCACGGCTGGTTGCATTAGCCCTAAGACAGTAATGCTGACCGGGCGAGCAATAAAGCGGGCGGGGTAGGGACTCTGCAGTTCAGGCAACAGGCGAAGCGTGAGACGTGTCAGCAATGAACAGAGTCTCTATCCTTCCAAATTGTCAAATGCGCATGCCAGAGACAGGACGCTTCCTTATGCGCTGCGCCCCTGCATCAAAGTCCACAAAATCCCCTTCGCCAATTTCGACCAGAAATCCCGATTTGCCATGGGCAGGTTGAAGATCCAAAAGTAATGCGCCAGTCCCATGATGTTCTCATGCTTGACAGGCACGCCAGCATCCTTCAGCACCGCCGCTAGCACCGTGCAATCGTCCCGCGTAGCGTCATTGTCACTCGACACCACATACGTCGGAGGAAAGCCGCGAACAGCATCTGGCCCGCCTGCGACGGGGAAGAGATTGATGTGTGTGTTCGGCGGGGCAAGATCTCGTCGCTCGTAGATGGAATAGGCATCTGCGGCGGAAATGAAGGGCAGCGGGCCCGCGTTCTCGGTATAGGAAGAGTTGAGGTGCTTGTACTTCTCGGGCGTCGCGTCGGGATGCAGCACGACCGGGCACATAAGTGCTAGCCCTGCTACTTGGGATCCCTTGCCTTCTTGGACCAGGCGATAGACGACTGCTTGCGCGAGAGAGCCTCCTGTGCGCCGTGGAATCTATGGTCAGTTGCAGCTAACGGGAGGAAAGTCGAACGCACTCACCCGCAGACCCGCCCCAGACGACCATCTTGTCGGGATCGGCGCCATGTGCACGGGCACGTCCTCTCGCCCATTCGAACGCGCGATAGCAATCGTCGACTTCCTCCTCAAGTGACACTTGCATTCCGCATCGATAATCGACCGCAACAACCCATGACTCCGTCATACTGGCTATGATACGACACCCGCGATCTTCGGTGTCCAGGTTGCCTGCCACCCAACCGCCGCCGTGGCAGAAGATGATCATCGGCAATGGTTCTTCATTCGTGGTACCAGGCCGATAGACGCGGACTTTTGGACCGTTTGGTATCTGCATATCCTCTGCGTCGCTGTCAGTCCTTCCTAGCACGCGAGTGGAATGAAGCATTCCCTGGAAGACGGACTACTGATGATAGTCTCCGGCAGAGGCGGCTGAAGCCCCGCCAATGTGGTGAAGATCTGGTTAGCGGCGGCCTGCTGCAATTCAAGGTCTTCTGGTAAGACTGGCGGGGCGCCCATTGTCTTTGCGAACTGCTCGTGCGAGGTTAGATGGCCTTGTAGAGTTGACGTGGAGTGGAGGACTGCACGACATACTTCTTGCCATTCCTCCGTCCATGGTGATGAAACCATTTCTGCTCGACGAGTGAAATGACAGATAGATACGGGCGAACTGATCGACTGTCCAGGCTTTATTCGAATGCTCGGAAACGACTAGGAGAGAGATACATAACGTACATATATGTATCTGATCGGCTTTTCGTCGCGCCCTGCTTACATATGCCTTCCGTCGCTTACATGATTTGGAGCGTTTCCTAAGGGCTAATGGGCGTGAGGCGAGTGAGTGCTAAGGGAAGACCGGGACCGAGGATTGTACGAGAACTTCCCGCCGTCCAGGAGTCATTTTGAGCCGGGACGTGTATCCGGTTGTGACCATCATGACACCAATGCTCTTCAAGTTTCTGATGATGCGCGCGTGAAGTGTGTCTGACTAAGCCACAGCCTTCCACGTGACCGGCTTGTCCTCCACCCCGCAATTAGCGGAGCTCAGCTTCGATGACAACACACCCGCCTTGCCGAGTGAGAGGTCACGAGAGCTATCTCGAATCGGTGTGTTATCAAAGATTGGTTCGGTAGAGATGCTTCATTCGTTCCTCCCCAGCGTCTGCTTCGCCCTTCCATCACCCTCTACAGCTCCAGCCAGCATGTCGCTCTAACTCCTCCACCTCCACTCCTCCTCTGGCGCCCACAACATGCCCTTCCCTCACACTCCGTCCCCACCCGCCCTCTTCCCCACCTACCTACTCCCCTCCCTCCCCTTCCGCCGCCGCAAATCCAGCACCGACAGCAACGCCTCCACCCTCACCACCTCATCCACCGCCTCCTCTTCCCCTCCCACCACCACCTCGCTCCTCACAGGCCACACCTCGCATCTCCGCTGCGCCCGCTGTGCCGCCGATCTCGCCCTCTCCACCCAGATCATCAGCAAAGGTTTCACAGGCCGGCACGGACGCGCCTACCTCGTCGCCCCCTCGGCCAGCACTAGCATCAGCAACAACCCGATTGGACTCGGTAGCGCGAAGGCCAAAAACGACGCTCTGCCTAATTTGCCTAACACGTACACGCATAAACCCGTTCCGCGACAACTGGTTACAGGAGCGCATACGGTCGGCGACATCAGCTGCGCGCAGTGTGGGAGTCTGCTGGGATGGAAGTACGTCGCTGCTGAGGAGGAGGCGCAGAGGTACAAGGTTGGGAAGTTCATCCTTGAAACGAAGCGGGTTTGTCGGACGAGTACGTGGGATGGAGATGAGGGGGATGGGAACACTGGTTTGGGATTTGGGGGAAACCGACGAGACTCTCTACCTCCGAATATGGTGAAGGAGGTGGAGGAGCTTGAGTTTGACAGTCAGGACGAGGATGAGTGCGAGGATTTGTTTATGGGCATCTGGACGCCGCAGTTGGCGGCGCAGAGGCGGAAGAAGAACCGCTTTTGAAGGGACCCGATGCTTTCTGGATCTGGAGTTCGTTGGACTTGTTCAGTGTCTTTTGGTGATGGGATGGCGTTGGACGGCGTTGCAATACACGACGATACCCCTGCATAACGATACCCCCTGCATTGACAGCGACTAGTTTCGAGTAATTGAATGCGTACACATCTACAACAAGATTCTCAACGTCCCAAGCCCAGGACTCACAGACTCCTTACTCTTCAACGTAAGCACGGCCGCGCGCTGCGCAATCTCCATCATGTCCTCCACTCTCGACCCCGGCCGACTCGCCAGCCCGGCAATCAACGTGCCAGCAAAAGTGTCTCCCACGCCATTGACGCTGACAATTTCTTCAGGCGGGACTTGCTCCACCGCCGGGAAAAGGCGCATGTACACCCCGCCAACACCAAGCGTATCATCCGTCTCGTTCGCACAGCGAGACAAGATGTAAGGCGCATATTGCCCACTCGTCAACCTCTCATCGTGCGCCGGGAGGATTTGCGTGAGCAGAACGCCCTGCGAACCAAGTTTCGTGCAGATGGACGGGATGAAAGGTAGAAGTTGGATGCTCTGCTGCGGCACGCCTTGGTCCACGAGCTCATTCGATGTAGCCAATGCCATCTGCGTGCGGGCGCCGGAATGCGGGATGCCCAGGGCGTCGATGACTTGCCACCATTCCGCGCGGTCGAAGAGGCCTCTCTCCCGGGCGGCTGCATACATTGCGGCGAGCTCGTAGGCGTTTGGAGTTGCGAGGTGGATCGATGGGTTGGGAAAGATGGACAGCTCGTGGGGTTTTGGGAGATGGAAGAGTCTTGTGCTTTTGGCGTTGCTCACTGGCTCGAAGCTGACGTGGGTGTCTGTGGGCTTGCTGGCTTCAAGCCATCGGGCGAGGTGCTCGGGAGGCCAGTTGGCGTCGAGCACGAGATGGGAAGGAGGTGCTTGTTGTAGTTGCGGAAGCCAGAAGTCGTCAAAAGCGGCGCTGATGGTGTTCGCTCCGGATGCGTTCGATTCAAGGATGCTCATGTCTGCCATTGCCAGCACTAGGTCCTTGTTGTTATCGTTGACGGCGACGTATTGTGCTGTCCGGCTTCCACTGTCATCTGGTAAAGTCTTGATGCCAGTAGCAGACATTCCTGCTGCATTCAATGCCTCGAGAGCCGTTTTGCCGCCAAGATCGTCAGCAACAGCGCTACAAAGACGAACATTGGCCCCCATTAGATGCGCCGCTCTGGCCACGTTGCTACCGACACCGCCCAAGGCCTGACTGATCTGGGCAGGGTTGGAAGTGCGAAGTTCGGGCTGCGTTACGGGCGAGCCGGCGTCCTGCTCTGAGCGGGGAATGTAATCGCACGAGAGGTCAATCGCCAGACTTCCTGCGACAAACACATTCGCCGTGTGCTCAATACTTTTGCTCTTCGTGGTTTGAGATAGTCTCGGAGGGGAGCTTTGCGGAGGCACACTTGACCTTCTCAGCGAACTACCCTCGCTTCGCGATGGGGCTGCTGCACGAGCAACAATATGACCTGCAGAGACGCTCCGGCCACTACCTACAAGATGAGCCAAGTTCATTATCGAGTAGTCATGATACACTCACTTTTGTTCGCTCAACTCCTCCAGCTCAAGCCTGCTGAGCTCTTGGGCTACCTTTGCGCCACGAATCACGTTTGATTCGATCAATGCTCTATTGGCCTCCACGCTGTCGTTGCCAGTGATCTCCTTCATCTTGGACAGGATATACGGGGTGGCAGCGGCGCCGGTAATCCCAGCGGTATTGGCGAGTTGGAGAGCCTCATAGATGCCAGCTTCTATGACCTCCAGAGGTAGTGAATGGTGCTGAGGGATCGGATTGGCGAAAGATAGACCGCTTTGTAAGCCCAGCGAGCAGTGCGCGTGAATCACTCGCGCGGCCTCCGTCTCATCCCGCAATGTTTTGGGGCTGGGCACGCCACTCTCTCGAGTCCAAAAAGCAGGGAAATCAACGTTATTCCCACGGCCATCCGCAAACGTTGCAACTGCGACGCCTTGTGTCTCAAGATACTCCAGTGTCTTGGGAAGATCCAAGAAAGCTTTGCAGCCGCTGCTTATGACCGCCACGGGCGTTCGTCCCAGCTCCGTGAGATCCGCCGAGACGTCCATCGTTGTCTCTGCACCTCGATGCACGCCTCCCAACCCTCCAGTGGCAAAGACTTTGATGCCTGCCATGTGAGCAAGAATCATGGTCCCGGCGATCGTGGTGCCGCCGTTGAAAGGCTGGCCATTGGGCTGGCGTAGTCCAAGAGCGAAGCCAAGGTCGCGACGAGAGAGTTTGAGCGTGCCCGGATCGCCTGCCGAGGAGACGAGACGCATCAACTCATCAGCAGCGAGTCCGACGCGAGCAACGCCTTCGAGAATGCCGATCGTAGCTGGCACGCCGCCATTCGTTCTGACCAATGACTCAAGGCGTGCGGCCAGCGATAGATTCTCGGGGTAGGGATATCCATGCGTGTATATGGTCGTCTCGAGCGCTACGACGGGCCGATGTTCTGCGATGGCTTGTCGGACTTCTTCAGAGACTTGAAAGTAGCGCGAGTTGGATGATATTTGTCGTTTCGGAGTGACAGTCGGAGTGAGTCTTCTTGCTGTAGCCAGGCACGCTCTGCAAATCCACGGAGAACGAGACATCTTGCCGAAAGAACTACCCAGGAATCAACGCGGCTCTGCGAACTCAGCCAGCCGTTGAAGCCGCATCCGAAATTGAATCTGCTCTTATAATTGGACTTCCATGACTTTGTCTTGAGCGTGGAGTCGGATGGGATGGCGAGTGGAGTAAACGCATGCCCCATGGAGTTAGAGACGGCCACAGCCGGAGCTAATCCCAAAGAAGCCATCCATACACTTTTCCAAAAGACGACACGCAGCCTCGAGACATCCGGAGAACGCAAGCCAATGCCAACGCCACAAAGATGAGGTTACTACAATGGGCCTCCCTAGGCCTAGTAACACTCGCCGCCGCCGATTCGAACCTCACCCACGAATCGCGAAACATCCTGCCGTCGGTCTTCAAGCCGCCCCAGCACTTCCGCAATGTGAACCTCGTGCGCAACATCAACCTCGACAAGAGCTATGCCAAGGAGACGATCAATGTCGTGATCGAGAACATCGACAAAGAGCCGCAATCACACTACTACCTGCCATTCGAGCCCGGCACCATCGGGCGGATAGGAGCGGTGGAAGTCAAGGACAAGAAGAATCCGGAAAGGGGAGGCTTCGTCGCTGAAGTGACCGAACTCGATCCCTACAGGTATGCAGGCCGTTGTCGAGCCCGATGTATCCCACTGCTGACATTTGACAGCCCGACCGAGTTCTACAAAATCACCTTCCCGACTCCGTTGAAGCCGCAGGAGCAGCTCACCCTCTCCATCAACTACTATTCCCTGTCCATCCTCAATCCCCTCCCCGCTCAAATCGAACAAACCGACAAGCAATACGTCCTCTACTCCTTCTCCGTCTACGCACCATCCGCATACGTGACACAAAAGCAAAAGACAAAGCTTAAACTGCCGACAACAGACGTCCCTGACGCAGTGGTCCTCCCCAAATCCCTGAACGCCGAAGGCAAGGAAGATCCCCAGAAATCGGGCACAACCTACACATACGGGCCATACGGTGAGCGAGAAGCCGGCGCTACCCAAGAAGCTAGCGTACGCTACGAATTCACGAAGCCACTCGTGCACGGCAAGCTCCTCGAACGCGACGTCGAAGTCTCCCACTGGGGCGGGAACGTCGCTGTGGAAGAGAGACACTGGTTCACCAACCGTGGCGCCACGCTCAAGAACCACTTCAGCAGAGTCGCATGGCAGGCATCGTCCTACTACAACCCACCCACCAGCGCTCTGAAGGAGTTCCGCTACCCCTTGGTCGTTGGCAGTGCTGACGCCTACTTCATCGACGACATTGGCAATGTGTCCACCTCGCATTTCCGCTCGAGTAAGCGCGAAGCGACTTTGGAGCTCAAGCCGCGGTACCCAATCTTCGGTGGCTGGAATTACAGCTTCAAGGTCGGCTGGAACGGCGATTTGCAGAGTTTCGTTCGCAGGATCACTGGCTCAAGTGATGGGTACGTCTTGAAGGTGCCGTTCTTCGAGGGCCCGAAGCAAGCAGAGGGCGTGGAGTATGAGAGGCTGGTAACGAGAATCATTCTTCCGGAAGGCGCAAAGTAGGTTCCAGCCGTTCACCCATCTCATTCAAACGCATACACTAATAGGAATACCAGGAACGTCCGCTTCGAGACCGCCGTCCCCATCGTCAGCAACTCCACCGGCCTTCACCGCACCTTTATGGACACTGTAGGCCGGACGACCCTGACTCTGACGGCTGTGAATGTCGTGGACGAGCTGCGCGACCGCGATCTTGTGGTCATCTACGACTACCCATCTGCGGCGCGCTTCCGCAAGCCGCTCACGATCTTCGCGGGCGTGCTGGCCATTTTCGCCGTCAGCTGGGTCGTCGGCAATCTGGATGTGAGCATTGGGAAGAAGCAGAAGACCGCGTAGATGCTGCTGGGAACGGCGTCGTTTTGTAGCTGTAGCAATGTAGACGATTTTCTCTAGATTTCGTTCTGTCAACGTTATTTATACTTGTTTCATTTGACTCATTGTCTCATCGCTATGACTGTGCTGCTATGTTACATCCGAGCTATGGTATATGAACCACAAAGCAAGAGAGCCGGCTGTCCTCCTATTCGACGCGGCAACGCTTGTAGCGCTCACCATGAAGCTATTCGGTCAGGTAGAAGTCCTTTCGAGCACGACTACCAAGTCGTCATAACCTTCGGGTACTCCTTGCTGGAGATGCCCAGGTCTTCGAAGATGGTGTCGTCTCCCTTCAAGTTCTCGACGCGCGACTCATCCTCGTCCTGCAACTTTTCCAGCTCCTCCTGCGGCGTCGCTTTCGTGTCGTCCTCCTCGTCTTTGGGGGTGGGATCGAGATTGGAGCTGCTGTCGAAGTTCTCGCCGATCAACAGCATCGAAGCGTTGGTGTAGTCGATGTGCTTGGGGTGCGCCGGCATCCATCCACGACCACGGAACTCCTCGATGATCTCTTTGGGGTACTCTGCCGCGTTGGGGAGTTGCGCGTTGCCCGAGCCGGAAGACTCGGGGTTCTTGACGCTGAGAGCGAAGCTTCCTTTCGCTGCGAGGCCAACGTCCTTCTGCACTTCGCCGAGCTCCGAGGGGATCGTAAGCATGTATGCCAGGTGACTGGTGCCTTGGCCACCGCCGGTGGAGGTGATTGCATACACGCCTTCGCCAAGAGGGGTGACTTCTGGGGTTTGACGAGTTCCGACAGTCTTGGTGGAGTACTCCGAGCCTTGGAAGAACTCCTCTTTGAGCGTATCCATTGACGTCTTCGCCTTTTCAACGAAGCACATGAACCTGTCTTTTCCACTTTTGGGCCAGACTTTCTTTGGAAGCGCGATCAAACGGTTGTTTCCGATGTCTTGCACCGCACCATCCGTAATCTTGGCACCATCCGGAAGAGGGCGGAGGACGAAGTAGCTGCGAGCGAGGTCTTGAACGCTGTCGGGATCTTCCACGCCGACACGGCCGCGAGTGAAGAAGTAGATGATACCTTTCTCAAGGATGTTGGAGGGCATGGCTTGCTCGCGCTTCTTGTCCGTCTCAATAGCGTCAGCGGGGGCTGATGGCTCCTCGGACTCCTTCGTATCATCCTCCTGCTCAAACGTCAGTGTTCGCGCTACGACTGAAGGGGGCCAGCAGACTGTACCTTCGTAGTCGCACCAGCTTCGCCGGCGTCAGCCTTCACATCGTCCAGAGCGCTCTTCTCATCACCATCGGTCTTCTCGTTGTCCTTCTCCTTGGACTTCTCGTTGTCCTTCTCCTTGGCCTTCTCGTTGTCATTCTCCTTGGCGTTCTCGATGTCGTTCTCCTTGGCCTTCTCGATGTCGTTCTCCTTGGCCTTCTCGATGTCCTTCTCCTTGGCCTTCTCGTTATTGTTCTCCTTGGCCTTTCCGTCTTCCAAAGCGCTCTCATCCTCATTGCCAGTCTCTGCCTTGTCGATCTCATTTCCACCAGTCGGCTCGCCGTTCTTGTTCCCAGCGTCACCGTTCTCGGCAGCAGCTGCAGTCTCGGCGGTCTCGTTGTGCTTCGCATTGCCATTGGTCTCTGTAGCATCAGATTAGCAAGAGTGACCAACTCAAAGCGCAACAGCTTCGTAGGTTCAAACGAAACCAGAGCCAGAATCAGCAGGAATAAGCAGCAACTCACCTTTCGCCTGCTCCATCTCAACATCGTTGTCCTTAGCCTCGGCCTTGCCATCCTCAGCAGCGGCAGCAGGCACCGGCGCATCGATGGTCTCCTCTAGCGTCTTCTGATCCTTCGCTGGGCGACCGCGCTTCGCCTTGCCGGTCGGAGTAGCGTCGTCAGCCTTGCGCTTGGTGCCGCTGGCGCTCTTCTCCGACTGCGGGCTAGAGTTGTTGTTGTTGCCGTTCTGGCCGCTCAGACGCGAGGAAGAGCGTGTTCCTGCCATGGTTGATATAGGGTTCCTTTGATGAGTGAGTGAGGGAAGGTTCAGTTCTGCGATTCAGGTGTCAGCATTTAGTTGAAGCGCCGAGTCGCACAGTCTTGTACCTTGGATGTGGATGGAAGACGTACTGCGATGAGTGTGAGATCGGCGACGTGAGAACTGGGAGATTGAGAAGCAGGTGTTTGTAGCAAACGGAGAGAAGTGGTGTTGAAGGTGAGAAGGTGTAAGGTCGCAAGTTTCGCGAAAGGCTAACGACTGACAATGGCTTGAGGTCATCATTGAACCCGGGGGAAAACGCGCTAGAGCCCGCTAGCACGTGCACACGGCCAGGCGGCAATGACTTCATGGCCCAACTTCACTTGGATTTCAATAAATACAATTCACTTGTCACTCACTCGGCCACTCACTCACTCGCGCAATCTTGAGTGACGCTTCATTGTTGTTACTGAGGTTTCAGTATGTGGTGAGATTCACAATGCGCGATTCCAACATAGCTTGCTCGAGAAATGGCTTCTGAGGAGGATGAACGTCTACAAGCGGAGATATCTCTGCTGGAAGCGATGTACCCCGACCAAATCGAATGGGATGAGAGGAGCCGAGAGTTGAAGTATCACTCCAACCAAAGATCGCTGCAGCTGCGACTGCCCAATGCCTATCTCACGGATGCATTGCCGGAGATTCTGGCCGCAAACATTGACAGAGCGGACGTCCGAGATCAGCTCAAACAGCACATAGCTTCATGTAGCTGCGGAGAAGAGATTCTCGATTCTATCATCTATGCGTTTGGCGGCATCTCCGAAACTGCCATGCCGCCTCAATCTTCTGCGAATGATTCTGGTGCTGCTCCGACAGCTGAAGATGCAGGCGAAGCAACCATCATCGTCTGGCTCCATCACCTCCTGAACACCAACAAGCGCAAGCAAGCGCTGTCGCCAGCATCACCGAACGTGAATGGGCTCACAAAACCCGGATATCCTGGCGTGCTTGTCTATTCCGGCCCGAAGGGTGCTGTCCACGAGCATGTGGATGACCTCAAGCACCAGAACTGGCAAGCCTTTCAAGTGCGGCTTGAGAGTGATGACGAATGGACCTTCGCCCACGGCGCTGGAGTGAAAGAGGTCGAGGCGATGAAGGATGTCGTGGCGGCCATCGGCGAGTCGCGCAAAGAGGAGTTTCTGGCCGCCATGCGAATGAAGTAGGGACAGGGGCAATGCTCATCACCCTCGTCACTATCCCTTCTGGCAGTCTCGACCACTTTGAGACTTTACCTGCGAGTCTTGCAGGCAGGAGTCATCGAAGAGCCGGCCGTTCGTGTCATTCCGCCGGCGTGCAATTCCAGTATTGGCCATAAATATAGTGTTTCTCAGCTTTCACTCTGCTTCTTCTCCTCTGCCAGCTTCTGGCCAATCTCGTTGTTTTCCTCATCATAGAACTCGACGTCCCCATCATCTCCAAGCCTGCCCTTCCTCAGATACTGTCCTTTCTCCCGCAAGATATCCTCAATCGTGATGCCTTTATCAGAGAAAATTTTGAGATGATCGGAAATCAGATGGCGATTCTTACACCCCGGACAGGTAATCAGAGTCGTGCCGAAATGGTAGGCTTGTTTGGTGACACGGTGGGAGGAGCGGTGGAGGCATTTGCGGCACGTAAACGTCTGTTTGAGAGCGTCAGTCTTCGATTAGAGTCAGTGACAGTAGGCGAGCAGCGTAGCATACCAATTCGTAAGCGGGTTCTTCAGCTTTTCGAGCCGCGATTTCGCTTGCCTCTTTTGATGCATCGCTTGACGCTGAGTCGGTGTCGCGATCTGTGAGCGACCGCTGTGGTTCCGTTGATTCGCGACGAATTTGAGCTCTTATTGGGCGGGTGAGAATGCTGGTACGAGGGAGCCATGAAGGCGTTCGTTGGACATGAAAAGATCTCTGCGCGCGTGGAAAATGGACTGAGCACTGTCCAAGAACTGATCGCGACAGCCGTGGGAGCTGTCGCACGGCTGCTGTGGTAGCCATGATGGGCGGCGGATGAAAACAAAGAAAATGGGTGGCAGAGAATGGAATGGAATGCGACTTGGGCCTCGAGCGCTCTTACCCGATGCGGTGACGTCGACGCGTGCCTGCCTGAAAAAATGCCTGAGGACCCTGCATGAACTCTCTTTTGGCCACTCACAGCAGCGCCACGTGAACCCACCACACCCTTTCGACAACCTTTTGACACTTCCCAAAGCGTCACGTCTTGAACATCCATCTGCATGCCCTCATCGGCCTTCCCTCTCCTACCACGCCCTCCCCGCGCCTCTCCAACTATTTCTCTCCTCACTTCATCCACACCATCCCACGAAAACGAGCGCGGAATCAAGCCGATCTCGGCTTCCAACCACCTCAGCTACCCCACTATTCAGATGCTCATCACCGCATTTCGAGACGTGTGCTGAGCGGCAAGAGAAGGACGCAGCATGGCTTCGTTAGCCGGCAGGGGGCGGGCCAAAATACGAGCACCTAGAAGAGTAAGTATTCACCCGACAGGCAACACCCTCGTTCATCTGCGGCACCGAATTGCCTCCCTCGCGACAGCCTGGTCACTTGGACTTGCTATGGGACTGGCGCATGAGGCAGATTTGGACCGATTGCTGGCATCAGGTCACAAATAGCTAACATCATTTGCAGGGCTTGAACGGCGCCGATGTCGACTTCGAGACCACGTGGGCCGTCCTCGAGCAAGCCTTCAATGAGATTCACACCAAGAATGCCTCCGCTCTTTCATTCGAAGCGCTATACCGAAATGCCTACAAGATCGTGCTGAAGAAAAAGGGAGAAGAGCTCTACAACAAGGTCGCTAACTTCGAGGCCAATTGGCTCGGTAATGAAGTTCGCACACGCATCGTTCGACAACTCACCCACTCGCTGCTCACGCTCACCGAGGGCTCTTCACCCTCCTTGGCCGGCTCGGTCGAAAGGAAAGTGGCTGGCGAGAGCTTCCTTCGCACGCTCAAGCAGGCTTGGGAAGATCACCAGATCTGCATGGGCATGTTGACGGACGTGCTGATGTATATGGTAAGATATGTACCTCACTCGCGTGAAGTCGCAACAAGCTAACATCCCACCAGGACCGCGTGTATTGCACCGATCATCGGCAGCCGTCAATATACGCCAAAGCAATGGGCCTCTTTCGTGACCAAATTCTCCGATCGCCCGCACGACAGGGCTCGCCAGACCTCATCAATATCCTCACATCTGTCATTCTCGACCAGATACAAATGGGTCGTGATGGAGAGGACATCGATCAGTACCTCATCAAATCGAACGTTTTTATGCTGGAGGGTCTCTACGAGTCGGACCAAGAAGCGGAGGACGAAAAATTGTACCTGCAGCTATTCGAGCCGGTCTTTCTGGCCGCGAGCGCAGTCTTCTATCGACAGGAGGGCGAGCGGCTGTTGAAGGAGTCGGATGCTGGCACATACTGCAAAGAAGCGAAGAGGCGGATCGTGGAGGAGACGGACAGGTGCAGATCAACGCTCTCGGAGAGTACAACTCCAAAAATCCAGGCGGTGGTGGAGGACGAGCTCATCAGGAATAAGATGAAGGGGCTGATCGAGACCGAGAGTGGCGTGAAGTACATGGTGGACAACGACAAGTTCTACGAGCTGGGTTTGGTGTTTGAGCTCGAAGCTCGCGTCGACGCCCGAAAGCCAGAGCTCACAAAAGCCATGCAGCAGATCATCGTGGATATGGGCACACAGATCAACGATGCCGCCGTGGCTGTATCGCAAGCGCCGCCTCCTGCTCCTCTGGCCGCCGAAGATGGAGAGCAGGACAAGTCACGGCCGAATGCTACGAAGCAAATCAACCAGCAGACGGTCGCCGCTCTCAAGTGGGTCGAAGACATCCTGGCCCTCAAGGCTCGCTTCGACAACATCTGGAAGACCGCCTTCGCCTCCGATCAGACCGTATCGACCGCTTTGACCCGTAGCATGTCCGATGTGATCAATACGTTCAGCAGAGGAAGCGAGTACATTTCCCTCTTCATCGATGAGAACATGAAGAAGGGCATCAAGGACAAGACGGAGGCGGAGATTGACGACACGCTCGAGCAGGCCATCATCACCCTGCGGTATCTCCAAGACAAGGACATTTTCGAGACGTACTACAAGAAGCATCTCTGCAAGCGACTGCTGTTGAAGAAGAGCGTCAGTATCGAGGTGGAGAAGCAGATGATTTCGAGGATGAAGATCGAGCTGGGCAACTCGTTCACTTTGAAGCTGGAGGCGATGTTCAAAGACATGACGTTGTCGGAAGAGCTGACGGCAGGATACCGCGATTACGCGGTGAAGACGAGTGGTGCGGACCCCAAGCGCGTGGACCTCACCATCAACGTCCTCACCGCGATGACCTGGCCGCTCGAAGCGTTTCGATCTGGTGGCGAAGAAGAGCGAGAAGGCCGCACTCAGATCAACTTCCCCGGCTCCATCGAAAGGATCAAGACTGGATTCGAAAAGTTCTACTCGGAGAAGCACAACGGTCGCAAATTGACATGGCAAACCAACATGGGCGATGCAGATATCAAAGCCACCTTCCCTCGGTCTCGAAACGGGCGGCCCATGACGCATGATATCAATTGCTCGACGTATGCGATGCTCATCCTCCTGCTCTTCAACGACCTGCCCGCAGACAAATCCCTCACTGTGGAAGAGATCCAAGCCATGACGAACATCCCGGACAACGATCTGAAACGCAACCTGCAGTCCCTTGCTGTGGCACCGAAGACCCGATTCCTCGTCAAGGAACCGATGAGTCGCGAGATCAAACCTGGGGACAAGTTCCGATACAACGAGGACTTTTCCAGCAAAGTCATCAAGATCAAAGTCAACGTTGTTTCGGCGGGCAATCGGGTGGAAGGGGATCGCGAGAGGAAGGAGACGGAAAAGAAGAACAATGACTCGCGGTCCTTTGCCATCGAGGCGGCGGTCGTGAGGATCATGAAGTGAGTTGTTCGTCCACATCTCCTGCTTGTCATTGAAGCTGACCGTGACTCCTGCAGACAACGCAAACAGCTATCGCACTCGCAGCTGTTGACTGAAACCATAGATCAGCTGAAGGCGCAGTTCAAGCCGGATGTGGGCATGATCAAGAAGCGCATCGAGAGCTTGATTGAGCGGGAGTACCTGGAGCGCATGGATGATGCGCCGGTGCCGAGCTATAGGTACTTAGCATAGGGTGCGTGACCTCATATGTCGCAGGGGCTTGGGGCCTAGCCATTTTCGTTTTACCTGCTGGTTTGATGCGGGAGGCGATGAAACGCATGGGAGCATACGGGAACATGGATCATGGGAGGGTTTGCTCGAGAAAGCGAGGCGTTAGGAGGGGCCACTGCTTGATTTTTGCTTCATGTGACAAACGGATGGGTCATGTTGAGATGAAATGTGCGTGTTTGAGAGCTAGAGAGGTATGGAAGTTTCATGCCGAGTTTGATTTCTTACCCACTTGCTGCGTCTTCATGTTGGTCTTCATATCCGACCCTGGTCGGCGAAATGTGAATTGGAATATGCTGTGTGCAGTGCGCAGACAGATCTGTTTCACCAGGGATATGTAGAACGTGTCAGATATGCTGGCTCCCTTCTCGGGTGCTACAGTAGGACATGATACATGCTCTAACGCTTCAGCTTCTCCCCACTTTCCGTTTGCCACGTCGATGGCGGTGGAGACGGCCAAGCAGGGAGATGTGGCACAAGTGTTTGGGTGAAGTGCCGTGTCACTGCTGTATCACTGGGCAATGGTCCCAAGAGACCAAGGACGAGCTTCACGTGGCTGGGTATCCCAATGGCGGACAAGACACGTGTGACGCGCTGGGCAAAAGGATGCTGCGATACGTGCACAATGGAAAGAGAGCAAGGTGTGGCTTGAAACTCATTGTCCCCATCGACACCTCGCTAACCACGCGCTGCATTGATGCGCGACGCGAGAGCGAGTGTTGTGACTGCAGCACGTGTTGTCCCCGGCGATATTTGACGCAAACACAGCCCAGCGTAATCCAGCATCCACCAAGAAAATGAAGGTTGGAGATGTCATCTCAGCATCAATCTTCCATTGAGTGGCTCTCATTTCCTGAACCGCCAACCAAGGCCGGGCGACGAGGCGCCGAGCGACAGCAGATCGCCAATCCTCGACTCCTGTTCCTGAATGACGCTGCGGGAGCCGGGGGCGGGAGCTAAAGTTAGTCCAAACCTTGTGCGCTGCACCACTCACGCTTCACACGCGATGTGGGCCGGTAATCAAACATCTCTCCCCTTCAAACCGATTCTCAAGCCCCGACCGGCGCGTCTCGACGCACATCGCTGCTGTCACCGGCCCTGTTCGCATGTCGACCAAACTCATCACGGCAGCAAGCATCTCGCCCATCTCCAAGCCGTGCAATCGCAGTTCATCACGCCCCCGACTCCGCGAGCAGAGCGCCCGGCCGTTAGACGATTGATCCGTCGGCCATGTATACCTAATTTCAAACCGACCGTTAGATTAAGCTCCTTTTGATCGCCCCGGCCGTGCTGCGGTGCGCCGAATGAGATCCATGCTTTGCCATTTGCTCGCGCACGGCTCCTTCAAACACGATCCAAGGACTCGCCCCATCCCTGATCAGGCGGTGGCTGTCGGGCCATTTCGTGAAGCACCCGCGGCTCCCTTTTCTTGTCTCTGCTTTGCTTACCTTGCTTTCTCTTCCTGTTGACACTTCCTCTTCGTGCCTCTTCTCTCCCTCTCTGCTGTCGGTCGCTTCAGTCTCACTTGCGTTCACTCTCCTTTGAGCACTTGTGCTCGTTCCACTCCTTCCCACGCCCACCGTCACGCTCATTTCCCCTTCCGCCCTGGTCGGCTTGGATATATAACGAATCACGCTCGAACAGCGCCGACAACAAACAACAGCAGGCCCCCCATCACGAAGGCATATCGCAATCATGTCGCCCATCAACAGCCTCAGCGTTCTGGCATTCGCCTCCGTCGCCTTCGCCGTGCCTCACGCCCACGAGAACCACCACGCCCATCTGCACCACCACGTCCGCGCGGCAAAGGGCGAGTCTGGCAGCGGTGCGGCACCCTACCCCGTCCCGTCTTCTAGCGGTGCACCATACAACTATGGCTCCAGCGGCTTCGGCCCATGGTATGGAACGGGTGGTGGTTATGGATCCGGCTACGGCTGGTCCTCCACCCCGTCGTCGCCGGTTGGCCCCGAGCAGACCAACCCTGGATACGGTGGTGGACCGCACGGAGGCCCTGCCTCCACCTCCACCGTCCTCTCGACCATCTGGGTGTCGCCATCTCCCTCTCCTGCGGCCACCGCCGATCCCGTCGACAACGGCGTTTGCATCCCTGATGTCACCGTCACCAAGAAGGTCTACGTGACTGTCACTGCTGGATCTACCCCCACTGCTGCTGCTCAGGCGTGGTCGCCCCCAGCGGCTTCCCCAGCGGCTGCGCAGTCCACTACCTCCTCATCCGCCGACCCTTCGCCGTACAACGCTGGAGCCTGGGCATCCCCATCCTCGCCCGCCGCCGCCGCCGATCCCACCTCCGCCGCGTGGACTCCTGCAGATCCGTCCTACGGATCAGCTCCCACGAGCGCTGCGGCCTCGCCATCGAGCACTTCTTCCAGCTCCGGCTCCGGCTCCGGCTCCGGCTCCGGCTTGGGCCTCGCCAGCGCCTTTTCTGGCGGCAAGAAGGGCTTGGCCTACAACTCTGCCAGCCTCGTTACTCCCTTCATCGGCGCCTCGGGCGTCGGCTGGGCATACAACTGGGTCTCCGGCTCCGCCGGCCTCGCATCGGGCATCCCATACGTTGCCGAGCTTCACGACATGACTGAGACGTTCACGTCTGTGTGGATGGAGCAGGCCCAGGCCGCGATTGATGCCGGCACGGAGTATCTGTTCAGCTTCAACGAGCCCGATATTGCGTCGCAGGCCAACCTTTCCCCCGAGGCCGCCGCCGCGGGATGGAAGCAGTACATGGAGCCGTTCGCCGGCAAGGCCAAGCTTGTGAGTTGTTCCCTATCCGACTCCTTGATGTGTAGCAGCTTCTAACGCGTCAACACAGGTCGCGCCCGCCGTCTCCAACAGCGCCACGCCCGGCCAAGGCCTCTCGTGGCTCTCGGCATTCATGGCCGCCTGCGACGGCTGCACCTTTTCCGCCGTCAACCAGCATTGGTACGACTCGACGAGCAACGACATCAGCTACTTCCAGCAGCAGATCTCGCAAGCCGCCAGCCAATCCGGCCTGCCCGTCTTCGTGGGCGAGTTTGGCTTCATCGGCGACGACACCGAGATTGCGTCGGCGCTCACGCAAGCCATGGCCTGGATGGACGGCGAGGACAGCGTGGTAGGCTACGCCTACTACTTCCTCAGCGACGGCTTCTTGCTCGATGGCAGTGAGTTTCAATCTCTTTCCCTCTCGCGCGAGATCAGGCCCACTGACCATTCCCCTTCTTTCCAGCTACTCCAAGTCCCTACGGTCTTGCATACTTGGCGTAGATGTCGTACGCGTTGGAGATGGAATGATTGGGGTAGAGGGCAGCGGATGTCTACAGTAGCTGAAGGGAAGCGATTCTTGGAAGACGTGATTCTTTGTTTCGTGACCAGCATTGCAGCAGCTTCTTACGTTTCTTGTATATCTATTCCACAGCGGCATATTCAAACGTCGATGTTTCTGGTATGGTCATGTTGCAGCACGTTTCGTCTGGGTGATTAGATGAAGCGTAGCGTGATAAAAGCGTTCGATAGATTGTGCGATGGTGATGCGGATGCTTGCAGGCACTATGTCTTTGTCGTTTTATTATTATACACACAGTGGAGAGGGCAGGTCCAGGCCGGCATCAGCAGGGAACTTCCCAGCTACCCCCGTGCCCGTCTGCAGCGGCCTCATTTGCGGGTTGATGATTAAGGTTGGATCCGTGGTTCAATGCGCATTGAACCGGCCAACCTCACTAGCATCCACCGCAGCCAAGCTCGAGCTCGTCTCACTGACGAGGTGGGTGTGGAAAATCGCGGCAGGCTTTCGTTCTTTCCTTCTCTTCGTCCATACTATTCGTGTCAAAGGTAGGTGCGACTGGCGCACCTTCCTTCCTTCTTTTGCATTCGAGTGTCTTGGGTGCATACCTTACCCTCACTCCTCTTCTCTGCTGATCCCCCACGCCACATGTGACAATGAGGTTCGCTCTCCCGCATCATCACCCATCTCCCCCACCCATTCACTAACCTCTCGAATGCAGGTTCGGGCAGCAATTGCGAAGCTCGCTGATCAAGGATTGGTATTACTACTACATCTCATATGACGAGCTGAAGAAGCGGCTGCGAACCGACTTCGAGCACACCCCCGCCATCCACGCCGGGAAGTCGAAGAAGAAGGGCTGGTCGGAGGAGGATGAGCAGAGCTTCGTCAACCGGCTCGAGGAGGAGCTGGACAAGGTCTTCACCTTCCAAAAGGTGAAGAGCCAGGAGATTGTGCGCCGCATCAAGTCTAGCGAGAAGGAGGTCAACGATGTCATCTCGCGCACCGCGTCGGCCCAGAGCGATGATCGCCTGCGGAGCAACCAGCCTACGGAGGAAGAGTTTATGCTGCTGGAAGAGGACCTGTCGGACATCATCGCCGACGTGCACGATCTCGCCAAGTTCACCCAGCTCAACTACACCGGCTTCCAGAAGATCATCAAGAAGCATGACAAGATGACGCATTGGCATCTGAAGCCCGTATTTGCCGCTCGCCTCAACGCCCGCCCCTTCTTTAAGGACGACTACGATGAGACGGTGGTGAAGCTTTCCCGCTTATACGATCAGGTGCGCACGCGAGGCAATCCCACCAAAGGCGACTCCTCCGCCGGCGGCAAGCAGCAGAACTTTGTGCGCCAGACGACCAAGTACTGGGTGCATCCGGACAACATCACCGAGCTGAAGCTCATTATCCTCAAGCACCTTCCTGTCCTGGTCTTCAATCCCAGCAAGGAATTCGACAAGAAGGACTCCGCCATTACTTCCATCTACTACGACAATACCGACACATGGGAACTCTACGAAGGTCGACTGAAGAAGTCCGAAGGCGCCGAAGCTATCCGTCTCCGATGGTACGGTGGGATGGACAGCGACACCATCTTTGTGGAGAGGAAGACGCATCGAGAAGACTGGACGGGGGAGAAGTCGGTCAAGGCTCGCTTTTCGCTGAAAGAGAAGAATGTCAACGCTTTCCTTCGCGGCGAGATGACGACCGCACAAGCCTTTGAGAAGATGAGGAGAGAGGGCAAGAAGGGGGAGAAGGAGATTAACGATCTCGAACAGCTGGCCAAGGAGATACAATTCCGTGTGCTGGACCGTGACCTCGTCCCCGTCTGTCGATCTTTCTACAACCGAACTGCGTTCCAGCTGCCTGGCGATGCGCGGGTGCGGATATCGCTCGACACTGAGCTCACCATGGTTCGAGAAGACAATCTTGACGGCCGACAAAGAGCAGGCAAGAACTGGCGGCGAATGGATATTGGAATCGACTGGCCGTTCAACCAGTTGCCCGCTCAAGATGCCGAACGTTTCCCATACGGTGTGCTAGAAGTCAAGATCCAGACTGCCGCTGGCCAAGAACCGCCCGAGTGGATTCGCGAGCTCACTTCTTCCCATCTTGTCGAGGCGGTGCCGAAATTCTCAAAGTTCATCCACGGCTGCGCTACCCTCTTCCCCGACCGTATCGATCTTCTCCCCTTCTGGTTTCCCCAGATGGACGCCGATATTCGCAAGCCAGTCACACATGGATTTGGGATTGAAAGGCCGGGTCAAAGCACGGATACCAGCACAAGCATAGATGTGGATGATGACACTGACGATGAGGTGGCCGGTGATGACGACGAGCGGACACTACGAGCGCACGAGGAGGATGACGAGAATGTGCACAGACTGCGAGCAGCGCGCGACGCCCTCGAGCAACACGAGCAAGAAAGGCGCATGGCAGACGTGAACGGCGGGGATGGACCCAACGTCCTCGACGAAGAGGAGCGAATGGAAGCCAAGCCCATCGCCTCCATCGACGACGACTACCCACTCTACGACTCCGAAGACGAAGAGGAGGCCCTCGCGGAAGCCAAACGCATCGGCGGCTGGCGCTACCAATGGAAGCTCGTCCAGACCTACGCCAGCATCGCCGGCGACAAACTCCTCTACACTCTCAAACTCGCCACGCCGTTTCCCAAGCCCACGCAAATTCCTGTGCGAGAGGGCCGCTTTGGCCTGCCGAGCGCGGACAAGGTGCAGCAGAAACGCTTCAAGGCTCCGAAGGGCAAGAAGATCCACGTGCCGGTGAGAGTGGAGCCGAAGGTCTCCTTTGCCGCCGAGCGCACATTCCTCTCATGGGTGAGTCGACAGACCATCCCCTTTCACAAAACCACGTTTATACTAACATGCCTCCGCAGCTCGAATTCTCCATCATCCTCGGCTCCATCGCGGCGACACTGCTCAACTTCGGCGACGACATCTCCATGGCCTCCGCCTGGGCCTTCACGGCCGTCGCCCTCGTCGCCCTCTTCTACAGCATGGGCGTCTTCCTGTGGCGCGTGGACCGCATCAAGAAGAAGCGTGCCGTCTCCTACCACGACAAGTGGGGCCCGAGTTTTCTGTGTCTGGGACTGGTCATTGCCGTGGGCATTAGTTTTGGGTATCGCTTCAAGTATGGCGGGGAGGGGGGATTGAAGGGGGACTTGAAGGGGTGATGTTGTATTGTACAAATGGTCGAGTCTTGAGGACAATGGGGTGACGTTGTACTGTACGGAGTGTAGGGTTTTAAAAGAACACTGGCTTTGTTGTGCATACCTTAGGTACTTCACGTGTTGAACTAGATACCACATCGGTCAGCAGACTTACAATATATTCAGCCATTAGATTAAACTCGTTCTCACGCACACCATGCGCTCAATCGCATGTTCCCAAGTCAGCCTCATTCGCCTCGCACTCACTACAATGCACACGTACCCCATCATCCACCTCCCTCCCAGCGCCATTTCAAAAACCACCCCAAAAAAGCCAGGAAAATTCTCGGCTCTGATCCCCGCGCTTCATAAGCAATCAAACCTGCCCCACTCACCATCCAATGGGCGTATGGTCTAGCGGTATGACATCTTCTTAGCACGCAGCGTGATAAGTGGAGAAGGTTCCCGTAAGTGTTCCATCGCAACTAGCATACCATCCAGCGCTCGTTCTAACAGTGATAAAGGGTTCGACTCCGGGTTCGTCCATCTCTTTTGCATCGCCGCTGTCGATTGCGTATTTTTGTGAGTTTTGGGTGATTTTTCGTGATTTTATGATGGGGTGGGTGATGAGGGTGTATTTGAGGGCGAGACTCGGCGTGCGGCGGCCAATTCAGGTGTAGAATGGTCTAATGGGCTTAATACGACTGCATTGTCGGGTACAGAGGGTCAGTGTAGTTGCTCAGGTCTCAATGGCTACGTGAGATGCACTCTTCAGCATGTTGCGTGATATGTGAAAATTCTTTGTCTTTTTGAAGTGATACTGCATGGCTATGAGACCAGCAGCACACAATGACTTCCGAGAACGTGAGAACATGCGTATACTGAGAGGGGTTTAAAATGACCGGTGAAATGGCGCGTACAACATGAGATTCCGCTCTAACGAGTCCTATCTTGTCAAGAATTGTTCGACACTAGTATACACCCACAACGCTGCACTTCCGCTGAGGATGGGTGGACAGAGACATTGCCGTGGACGAGGACCGCGTTCTCTAGAAGGGCGGCAGGTAGAAGGGATATCCACCGTTTTTCACCCGAAAGATGCTGAGCAAGAAGGAGTACGTGCCGAAGATAACGCCGCCCCAGACGATCACGGCAATCTGTTGTGAGCGCGGATCGGCCATGCGGGGGACTTTGAGGGCGAGGGAGATGGTGGCAAAGGCGAGCACCCCGTCTGTTTGGGGAAGAAGATCACGATTAGTTGTCATCCGACAGAAGTGATTGCCATTGACAAGCGCAAACTTACAAATCGCAGCAATGATCTGCGTCTCCAGGCCCAACTGATTCTGGAAGCCGCCTGCAAAGTACGTGACCTTGCCCTTGCCGTCGGCCGCCACGTACGGCACTTTGCGAATATGGTTGAACATGTGGCCCGAGGTGAAGAGCAGGATAGCGATGATGGACAGGATAGCCCAGAGGTTGCGGCTTTGAATATAGGGCAGCATGTACGGCCAGGCAACGCTGATGAGGCTGATGACGCCGAGGGTGATGGTGGTCAGGGTGGCGATTTTGACGTAGTCTGTTGGGCGGACGACGGGGGGCTTTGGGGCGTCGGCGGGCAGTTGGCGGCTCAGCCAGGCGTGGATGGGGTCGGCGTTGTCGGAGCTGTGTGTGGTGTTAGAATGGAGTGAGAAAATATAGAGTGAAGCGGTTTTGCGTAGCGTACCCTGTAGTAAAGTCGTAGCGAACTGGGTTATTGCCGCTGGTCTTTGCATTGGGTCCAATTGTAGGGTAGTAGAGAAGTAGGACTGGAGCGGTTTGAAGTTGCATCTACACCCAGTTCCCGTTAGCACACCAAATGTTTTCCCATAGCTTACTGCATAGGTCATTGACACGCAGACATACCGCTTGGAAGGTGGCCTTGCCATCTTCAAAGTCCAATGTGCCAAAGAGCAATCTCGACTCGCCCTTCTTGTCCCCCTTTGCCCAACTCCTCGCCAGCAATTCCCACTCCGGTTGGAAGGTATTGCACAGGCCACATCCGAATCTTGCGTCGAGGGCCGTCAGGAGGACTGCGACGTGGTAGTCTCGTGGGGCGCTGGTGAGCTCGCTGTAGGAGACATCGTCGAGTTTGAGGCTTCGGGAGGTCGAGAGCTGTTGGGAGAGGCCGGTTGCGAAGCGGTCTTCGGCGGCGGCAGAGATTGGGGCGACGAGGCAGAGGAGAGGCAGCAATGCTGCTAATGAGCGTCGGAAGAATCTCATTTTGTGTGGTTTGCTGCTTTGCAATGGCAAAGGAAAGGGAGTGATCTCAGGCTCGTGAACTTTCCAATCCCACACCTGTCATCTAGCGGTTTGGGCGACTTGCCTAATTCGGCGCGGCTACTCCCGCCCCGAGTGTTTGGACGCATGTAAACAAAAGCGCGCCCGCCTGACTACCACACCACTCCCATCTTCAGCACCTCCTCCACCCATGCATGCAGCACTACAACATAGTGTAACATAGCAGCGATGGTCCCGGCACCTACAATGCACGCATCATACCACAACAACGAGCACGCGCTCCACAGCGCCGCCCTCGAGCTCAAATACACCCACAGCACGCACCTAGTCGACATCATAGCCAAAGACGAGGACATTCGCCGTCTACGCTTCGACATACATATCCTGGAAGATGATAATGAGGAGCTTCGTGAGCTCCTACAGCAGGAGGAGGACCGCTCGGACGCATTTGAGAAGATGGTGAACGAGAACCTGGCCCGCGCGGAAGAGGCAGAAGGACAGCTAGCGGAGGTGGAGGTTGATCTACGCCAGCGTGTGCAGGAGATTCAGGCTCTATTAGCCGAGAGAGCCGCGCTGCAGCATTCGAGCGAGGATGCCACTGCTGCGCTGACGGAGAAGCTGGCCTTGACTAGAGAGTTGTCCGTTCTGAAACCCGAGCTGGAACATTTGAAGGCGCAGGCTGCTTCATCGGAAGCACTGATGACGGAGAAGCTGGCACTGCAGCGACAGCTTTCCAATATTCAATGCGAGCTCGAAAATGCGAAGCGAGAGACTCAGCGCGCATTGGCTAAGCGGAGGAATACTGGTGTTGAGATCGCGCAAGAAGTGCAAATGGATGATTTGAAGAGACAGCTGGCGAAAGAGAAACGAGCGCGGCAGCGTGCTGAAGAGTCTGCCGAGAGCGCGTCAGGCGATGTACAGATTGACGACGTTCGCAAGCAATTGACCAAAGAGCGCAAGGCGCGACAAAAGGCCGAAGACCAACTCGCCGAGGCCCAGGACGCTACACAAGTGGAAGACGTGCGGAAAGACTTGCTCAAGGAGAAAAAGGCGAAAGCAAAGTTGGAGGAGGAGCTGGAGAAGTTGCAAGCGGAGCTCGAGAAGGAACAGAAAGCGGCCGCACGAGCGACAAAACGCGCGGATGGGAGTGCTCAGGCGGATGGCGAAGCCGAAGAGCTGCGCAACGAGCTGGCCAAGGAGAAGAAAGAACGCGCAAAGGCCGAAAAGGCTGTACAGCAAGCTGCCTCGGACTTTGAAGCACAGAAGGCAACCCTCGACGACAAGCTCACCCAATTCCGCAACAAGCTGAGGTCGACAAAGGACAAGCTGAAGGAAACCGAAGCTGAGCTGGTCGCCGCCCGCGAGGCCACTAATGTCGCTCCAGCCAAGAAAGGAACGACGACCAAAGCGAATCCCAAGAAACGCAGCGCCGCACAAATGGATCCCGACGCAACGACCCTCGGCACACCGGGCGACGGACCACCAGCCAAACGAGGTCGCAAAGCCGCAGCAGGCGTCGGTAACAAGTCAACCTTCACCCTCACGCCGTTCCTTAACAAGACAACGAGCGTAATTCAGGATGATGACGACGATGATGCCGACGGAGACCAAATCCCCAGCGACGCAGAAGCAACTCCCGTCGCAGCGGCGGCGAAGAAACAACCCCTAGCCGAACAACCAGCGAGCAAAACCAACATCCAACCGAAGAAAGCCACCGCCGCCCAACGCAAACCAAAAGCCCTCCCCGCCTTGGAAATGGTGACGGAGGAAAACGAGTCCGAGGACACGGCCATCCACAAGCAAGGGCAAGAAAACGACAACCCTAACCCCAGCAAAACCACCACCCTCAAACTCAAAACCAAGACCATCGATGGCCCCGACGCGACCAAGACAGCCGGAGATCCAGTCAAGCAGCGCCCGAAGATCCGCAAGTCGCTCGCGGACTTTGCCACCTTCGCCACCGAGCCCGCGGCGGAGAAGAAGAAGAAGCGGAAACTCGGGGGTTTGGGCAAGACGCTTTTCGACGAGGATGAGGAGTCGGCAACGACGGCGGCAGCGACGGCTGGCCCGGTTTCTAAGAGGGGCTTGTTTGGTGTGAAGGGGTTTGGTGGGTTGGGAGTGGGCGTTGGGGCGAAGAAGAAGGCTGGTGGGATTGGGGGGAGTTTTCTTGGGGGCTCGAGAGGTGCTGCTGGTGGTGGAGGGGCGAGTATGATGATTACGGCGGGCGATGGGAGCGGGTTCGTCTTTTCTCCGCTTAAGAAGGCGAGGAGGAATTTGGATGATACGCTGAGGGGGTGAGGTGGGCATGGTTCGTCGGGTTGAGTAGATACCTGAGTTCTGTCTTTGTTTCGTAGATTTCTTCAATCTGCATTACTCGTGCAATCCGAGTCTTTTGGTCACAGGGCCACTGTCGTTGGCGTTGAGAAGTTGCGAGTCCGTCGAGTTCCTCACGTCCATGTAGAGAGGCGCCACTCCGCGAGGAGGCGTAGCTGGATGACCCTACCACGCGTGTGCAGTCCCGTCGATTCGATTCGGTGCCTTCTCAGCCGATAGCCAGCGCGGTCTTGATGCGATGGTGGTGATGATGTAGATGTGGTTGAAAGTCCCACACAGCTTCATCCCCTCACCCATTCTCCCCTAGCACATCCTCCCTCCGCACGCCCGCACGTCTCCTCAGGCCCAGGAAGTAAGCTTCCTTGCTCTCCTTCCGCGAACTGTCCGGCTTGATTCGATGCACCTTCTCAAAGAGCTTCTTGAGCCTCAACTCGAAAGCGTGATCTTCGGCGCCCTGGTAGAATTTGCAGAGAAAGTGGCCGCCTGTGACGAGGGTGTCGTAGCAGAATGTCAGAGCGGCGTTGCAGAGATCCTGCGGCCTTGATGTCAGCATACATAGAGACGGAGGTGATGCAGAAGGAGTGACCACACACCATACTCCCGGCGTGATCGCGAAAGGGCATGCCGCTCGTGTTCATCATCCTGCGATACGGATTAGAAACACTCTTGATCCACATCGATGCCGTCTGCGGCCAGGGTTCAGACATGTCGCTCAGCACCACATTGACCACGCGGCCCTCGGCGCGATCCAGCGCCTTCTGCCCCGACAATCGCCCCGCCTGTTCTCCTCTCTCCCCCGGCTCCCCTTCCGCCCTCTCAATCACCCCCCTCCCTTCTTCCTCCAACTCCTCAACCGTCAACCCCTCCCCATCCCCACCCATCCCCCCCGACCGTCCCCTCCCCCTCCCCAGCCCCTCATCAACAACAAACTTCCGCACCTCCTCTCTAATCCCCTCGCTCAAAAAGTCTCCCTGAAGCGTACTCACGCCCCGCGGCGGCTGAGCAGGAATGACATCGATCCCCACCACGCGACCGCCCGGCTGCGTCTTGCTGATGGCCACCTGGCTCCACGACCCGGGGGCGTAGCCTAGATCGACGACCGTGGCGCCGGGGGTGAAGAGGTGGTGTTTGGCGTCGATTTCGAGGAGTTTGAAGGCGGCGCGCGACTTGAGGCCGCTGAGTTTCGAGGCGCGCGTGTAGGGGTCGCTGGTTTGGCGGGTTTTCCATCGCGCGCTGCTGGAGGAGGTTGTTGCGTAGGTGCTTTTGAGGAGGTGGGGGATGAGGGGGAGGGTGGTGGGCGTGAGGACCTGCTGGATGGGCGGGCGGTAAATGAGTGGATTACATTTTGTAGGAGATGTGCAGGCTCTCGGCAGTCTTGCGACTGTCCTTGAGAGCATTGACAGATGGAGAGAAGAGGGTTGAGACGAACAAGGACTGCATATGTATTGAAGGTGAGCTGCCTCGGAGGAATATGGTCGGAGCTTCACAGGCCCCCTGCACGGACGCATATGAGGTGGAGGTCCCGCACCCCTCCTCAACCATCCTTTCCCCCTACAACAGATCTCTGTGAAGCCGCCGCTCTAGTTTGAAACAGCATGAGTCTCGCTTTATGAGTATTATAATCGCCAATCAATGGCGCATTTCAGTCTTATCTAACGAGGACGCTGTGCAATACTCACCACGACACTCGCATGCTATTAGCCCTCCTCTGCCGCACGCAAGCGGCGCAAGAAGCAATGGGTATCTCAGATGCTAATCAAAACGAAAACCGACAGTCCAAAACAAGCGTAAGTACCAGCGCTCAGATTCGCTACCCAAAACCCACAAACGCGTACAGACCGACGCCAAGGTGCCCGGATGAAGATGCATCTGATGCCGGGTAGGATGCTGTGACACTCGTCATGACCCCCTCGACTCCGGCCTTCCCTCGCGAGACTCGGATTGCCTCTCCAGCGACGCCAGTCTAGCGGGCGCTTCCCGCGGCTGAGATGGCGACGAGCCGATAGCTAGACTCGCGACCGACATATCGACCAGCTCGCGATGCGATGACCGTGGCGGGTCGGGCTCACGACGACTTTGAGGCCGACTGTCTGTTCCGCTTCGCGAGCGCGCATGGCTGTGGTTGACCTTCCGCCCGGAGCCGGAAGAAGTCACACTGAACGGCGGCGAGGTGTATTGCGGGCCGGCAGACGGCATCGGCGCGGGTTGGTGCGGACCTTGGGCCTTGCGTTTGCGCGGCGACTCCCTGTAGTCGCTTTCGGAGGGGTGCGAGCCGGGGTGAGCGGAGTGCGGCTCACCTTTACTTGCGGGAGTTTGGGGATGGTTGGACTTTGATTCGGTGGGAGGCTGCCAGTGGTGGAAGTAGAGGGGCGAAGAGGACCCGTGCTGGTCTTGCACACTCTGACTTTGTTGCAACGGGTGTGCGCTGCCGGGTCCTTGCTGGTGAGGAGGTTGGTGGACGTGCATTTCGTTTGTCGTCAGTCGGGGCAATTGCGTATGCGTGGCGGATCGAGGGCCAGAGGTAGGTACGGGGCGGGTTGGAGCCGGCTGGTATGCGGAAAAGGTCGTTTGACTCGCGCCCGGCTGCTGATTGTGTTCTGCAGGCTGACTCGGCACGACCTGGTGTTGTTGAGGCTGCAACGCGCCGTACTGCGGGCCCGGTTGCCCGATCATGCGGACCTCTCCCAGCCTCGTATCTACGGGCGAGTGATGTTGGAGTTGCTGCTGAGCTGCCTGCAGCTGCGCGGCGTAACTCTGTAACATGTCGATGTGGAAAGTGGCGAGGCTGGAGCCGCCGATGCCAGCATAGATCATGGGGATCATGGGAGGAGGAATGCCGCCCTGCAGCGCCTCTCGAAGCATGGACGACTCGATGCGACGTTGCTCCAGCTTGAAGCTTTCTTGCTTCGTCTTTTCCTCTTCCTGCTTGCGCTTATCCTCCTCGGCCTTGGCGGCGAGCCAGTTCCGCATGGACTCCTCCTGATGGTCCTGCCACTGAGGGGCCGGCGGACCGGGCAACGGACCTAGGGATTGCGAGAGAGACTGAGAATGCCGCGACGGATCGGGCAACGTCATGGCCGACGGGGGCGGCAGGCCACGGTGAGGCGTCGTCATCTTGCTGCGTGCCGCGGAAATGTTGGTCCGCACGGTGCTCAGCGGCGAGTCGACGCGAGGCTGAGGAGAGAAACGGGACTTGGCGAGGGAGATGCGCGGGGAGAAGTCATGGATGAACCGGCCAGCGCCAAAGTCCGTCTTGGCGGGCTGTGAGATGGTGAGCGACATGGACATGAGGAGAGAGCGGGGTGAAAGAAGAAGAGCAAGAAGGAGACATGTGCGTGGGTAACGCAAGCAATGACGAGCAAAGGCGTGTGTGTTTCTGTGCGAGGGAAGCGGGCAGAATGGGGGTTTGCGGGGGGGAAGGGATTCGTTACATACTTGCAAACGAAGCAGGTCAAGACGAAAGAGGTGCGACGAGTCTTGCCCGAATTGCGTATGTAGGCCAGGGCAGCCCGATTCGTGGGACGGGCGTGGTGGTTCGGCGTGGGACAGCCGTTTGCGTGTTGATCGCCGTTGAGCAACGGTGATTCGCCCAAAGGTTAAAGTTGCTCGCGGCCCCGATACTGCATGCGACCAGGGAGATCCGGCCGGGGAAATTGATGCGACAGCAGGCCCGGCCTATCGCGCCCAATGAAGGGCAGAAGAGGGCAGATGCCCAGGCGGAGGGCAGGTATGCAAAATGGGACGCTGGTCAGCTGGGGCGAGCGTGTCGGGCTAGCAAGTGCTTGGGGATGTATTGGCTGCTGCCGCGTACGCGATGCGGAGCGATGGCGACATTCGATTGGAAGGGTAGGCGGGTGAGTGGCGACGGGGTGTTGATGAGAGCGAGAAAGGCGAGAGTGAAAAACAAATGGAATGATTTCAAGTCTCGCAGCCAAGCGCAGCCAGAACCTCAGCGCCACAATGTGCTTTGCATGGCCCCGGTGGAGGCAGCGTCTTTGCCCCCGTGATAGCAGTTCTTGCCGGAGCGGCAGCAGGTGCAGACGAGGCGCGCCTCGCCCTAACCGGTTCGAGGTGGGCAGAGAGGAATGTCAGGTACACGACGAGGTTAGCGTTTGACTTGGCGGCACAGCATCCGGATCCAGGCAGTCCAGGCAGATGTCTACGACGAGGGCATCAGATGACACGGATGCCTGCAAGCAAACCGGGCGGGCGGGGCCGACACACTGCCCTTCTCGTTGGAGACGATGACGGTGAGCGAGCCTGGAGGGGGGTGCAAAAGCATAATAGATGAAGGCATCCTTCTCATTCGAGGGGAGTGGGCAAGGCGGCGCATTCAGTCGTCGCCCACATTCCACCACACCCTCGCCCCCGGTCCACCAATCTCGAACCCTCTTCGGATCAGGCGCCTGCCGGCCCCCAACAGCGATGTTCGGATTGGGAAAATGAACGCTGCGGTGGCTGATGGGGACACAATGCTTGCGTCGACGCCACAGCATCATCTGGCAAAAGCCGGTTTGTGACGAGGCTCCGTTTGCATGATGACCCTCATCCGTCGCTCCACCGCCCGCGCGAACCTTCAATTTCCTTGAAACCGGATGAAGATTGCTGAAACTCACACGTCCGAAGGGTCATGTCGTACTCGAGTCCGCCCGTTTGCGCGACGAGGTAGATTGGAGTATGAATTGGTTGTGAATGGTCGTCGGCATTTCCTCAGAAATCTCCCGTTGCAGCCAATCAGACGCCGGCCAGCTTCTGTCGGCGACAACAATCCAGTTCTGGAATGTCTTCATCATCATCTTCCGTGCTTACCGGAAAGAGACGTATCAATCTGAATCACGCTACGCGGCACCCAGTCTCGGTGCAAGTTCCTGGCTGGAGAAATGCAAATACCTCCGCCAGAGTTACGTCGACAGCCCTGCGTCTGCCTCGCGTGAGCTGCACGTGCTGTCATTCGCCGACGGACCGACGATCCTGCAGATGCCATACATGCTCGGCAAAAAGAAACAAGCCTTTACCGCCGTCAGCCCATGTGCAATTGCAAGACGCCTCTCAGGCCTCCAGCATGAATGTGAGGTAGGAGGCTTGTCGATGTACTCTATGTAACAACTCGATGGGGAAGGAGCAAAAGTGCCGGATCGGCGAGGGCCGCGGCCCTTCAAGCCACGCCATCTGAGACATGCAGCTGGCCTGAGAAGCAACGGCCGATGTCTCACTTGCACGTGCAACTGAGCTCACTCACGTGAAGCGGTGTGCAGCCAATCCATCAGCACTGCATGTAGTGGATGTACGAGTAGGACAAGATACACAGGCCACTATATGCGTCCATTGCAGGCCACCGCAATCGAAGAAGGGGGTATCACAACCACATGCAGAGTCAAAAAGCAACATGCTCCGTCTACCTCTTTCCCGCCGCAGCTCTCTTTTTCCTCAGCTTCCACTCCACCCTTGCCACTCGCATCAACAGATCCTCGTCCTTGACCGGCACAAACGAGGTCAGCACCTTCATCGCGCCCTCGAAGTCGCTGTCGAGGAGAATCTCCCGCGTAGCATCGATGAGAGCCGCGCTCGTTGCGTGCAGCACATCCAGATCCGCGCCTCCGAACACCTCCTTCTCTCCATTCTTCACCAGCTTCTGCTGCGCCGGTGACTCCGCATCGCCCAACAGCATGAAAACATCCCACACCCGCAACTGCGCGGGAAACGGAATGCTCAGATTGAACAGCGTCAAATACCAGCGCGTCCCGTACGCCGTCGACGAAATGCCCAGAGCCTCCAATTGCTTTCCCACATCCCCATCCCGCAGCCAGTCGCGCTCAAAGTGCTCGAGCGCCTTCATCAGCCCGCCAAAGCCGCTTTCGAACAACTGCTCCAGCCCGCGCAACTGCCACATCCGCACCATCATCACAAAGGCATTCTCCTCGTCGAAGTAGCACAGTAGCGTCGTGGCCAGACTCGCCATGCCCTGCACATACCCAGTGTCGGGGAAGTATAGGCTGATGGCGTGCAGCACGCGGAACAGCAGTCGTTGCCCGCCCCGGTAGCGTCGGCGGAACATGACGTGCTGGCTGATGGTGCGCGGGACGTCGAGGTCGATTTGCACGTCGTCCGCGGACCCGACTTCCTGCAGTTTGTGGAAGTACATCATCAGCTCTGCATCGGAGGCGCCGATGCCGCGCTTCCGTGCGGAGGTGGAGAGGAAGCTGTGCCAGGCTGTTGCGCGCCAGCGGTCTGGGATGCCCTTCCATGTACGGCTGATGACTTTGGGGTCTGTAGTGTCGAATTCGAACTGCATTCCGCCACCTTTGCCCGTCGAGCGCATGCGTTGCTGTTTGACTTTGGCCATCTTTTGCCATTTTTCGTCGCGTAGACGCTCGCGTTTGCGGAAAACGGAGGCAGTGTGGCTGGCTTCTCGTTCCTCGGCCAGCTCTGCGAGGCCGGGTGGTAGCGTGAGCATATCAGGGGCTTCGGCGACTGCTCGCTTGTCTTTGGAGCGGAAGGGGTTGCCGGCCGGGACGTTGGCGGCAGAGCGGTGAGTATGGACGCTGTGTATTGATCGCGTGGTGGGATCTGCAGTTCCATTCGCGCCGCTTACCGAGCGGGAGGAGCGCGCGGCAGACGACACCACTCTCCCTAATCCACCGTGCCTTTTTGGCCTTTGTGAGGGTACTTGCAGGTTCGTGGCTATGCGCTGTCCACCGTCGCTGACAATTCTGTCTCCGTTCGAGAGTCTGATTGAGCTCCGCTTGGGCTTGATGAATCCGTATCGATCAACGTCTCGTCCGTCCACGTCTTCCCAGTCTTCCAACCCGCCCGCACGCTCATTAGGTTCGAGAAGCTTGCTTGTTCGCACTGGTAATGACGATGATCGGCCATTGGATGAGCCTGGTTTGTGGACATGAATGCTGTTAGGGGAGAGTTCCGGGTTGCTATTAGCAGTCGTGAAGCTCTCGGCGTCAATTGTGCTCGGTGGCTGAGGAGACCAGTTGGCCGCTTCTTCATCGCCGTGTTCATACATGCTGCGCACTCGCATGGAGAACGTCATCTCTTCCATCGACATCACTCGCGAACCGCTGACGTCGGGACTCAGCATGTCCCCATTCGATTCCGGTGCTTTCGCCGCGGCTTCACCCTGCGTGTGCGATTCGTCCACCACCACAGAAGGGGTATCTGCTGCGGCCGAGGCTGGCTCATCCTCCACATTCAGCGCCTCCGGTCGCTTGTTCATCTTCTTGCCAGCGTAGAGGAGACTGCCCCGTTGCGAGAAGGCAATCTGATCCGACACCAGATCCTCCAGATTCAGATCCTCAAATCTCGTCCGCGGGGCATCAGACGGCGCATCTGCAGCATGATCCTTCTCCACCAAGATAGCAGGCAGAGCAAGCTCTTTCACCGCGCTGCCATTTGTTTGCGCAGCAGCGGCATTTGTCTCGGCGGAGGAAGATCGGGGAGGGGTGGAGAAGGAGGGCTCAAAGCCGGAGTCGCGCTTGAGGTCGCCAGCCGGCTCTGGGGCTTTCAGGTTTGCGGTTTCGGGGCGAGCGGAGGAGGGCGGAGAGGTGCGAGGAGGGAGGGCGTCGGCGACATCGTCGTAGCGGATGGCTTTGAGGGGAGGGTTGGAATCCGGTGGAGTCGGCGAGCGGAGCCGCGTGTGGGATGACGCGCTTCCTAGCATTTTGTCGGGAAACTTGGACGGCCGGTGCAGTCACGCTTTCCGTTCGACAATGTGCCTGGAATCATCGAGGAGCGCGGTAGCACGGTTGTCGGAGGGGGAGCCAGGTCTAGATACATGTATGTCGATTATTTAAACGGGCAGGAGCGAGTGTGCGCATTTCTACAAGTCACATCCCGGACGGACGTGGAGGGAGGGTGGAGCCCGCGAGAAGAAGTTCGCGAGGCGTCGCAAATACGTCGTTTCCGTCCTCGCTAGCGCGCCATCGATCGCCCTTCCGGCAACCGAGATGGACGACGGCATTGCTCACGGCTCGCCAATAGGCAGGGGGGACGAGTGTCTCGCGGCAAGGGTAGGGGCATTCGTCGAGGGTAGCGAGCACGATGGTTTGCACTCGGCCGAGCTGACGGATCTCTCCAATGCGGATGATGCCATATGATAGACACTCTTCCCCTCAACCTTCTGCCTTCGCTTGCACGAGACGTCGATATAATTCGCCGCCCCGGGTCGGGACGGAGGGAAATGTCAATGATCACGAGCTGCAATCGCCCGAACGATCGTCGGACCTGTCACATCGCGCGTGGGCGTACAAAGGCCGTGATCGAGGAAAGCTGTGCGACAGCCTTTCGACCTGTTGAGAGATGCTGTGTCACATTCGTTAATCGAGTCGCTATATACGTTCCATTTTATCCAATCTTGCTCTCTGCTGAACGAACACATCATAGCCACACCAATTCCCACGTCACTCTGTCATCCTTACTGTCCTCTTCGACTACCTGTCCTCTTTCCACTTCGTCTCAAGCTGCCACGAGCCGCTTACTTCCCAGCAAGCCACCCAAACTTGCTCAGCCTGATGCGAGGCGCAATACCCACTACCAGAATAACAGCAGCAACAACCACAGCCCACAACTGAATCTGCAACACATTGACGTTGAAGTCCGTCTGCGTCGCCAGACAGATTGTAGCAAGCATCACCAGAAGCGTCAGGTAGCCCCCAACCCGATGGTACTTGTACATCGCCTTTGCATTCTCCTCCCCGCCGTACAAGCCCGGCAGGAAGTAGGCACTGATGCCCGCGAGGAGCTGAAGCAAGATCAAGATGTAGGTGACGAGGCCGAGGATGGCGTGCGGCGAGACAAAGTGCTCACCCTTGTGGCTGATCTTGTTGTACTCGATCACAATCAGGCCGGCGAGGGCGGTGAGGAAAGCGACGTCATTGAAGGCCGCGTGCCCGTACGTGCCCTGCTTTTTCTGCTTTGCCGTGTGCGTGGGCTGGACGAGGAGGATGCCTTGGACAAAGAGGAGCACTGCTGCGGAGTTGAGGAGCTGAAGAGGACGGACGAGGGTTAGTTTGGCCTGCTCGTTCTCTCATAATTTGCGGGAGGATACACGTACCGGATGCGCTGAGAACAGCTGCAAGTCGTGGGAGAAGACGCTGCCCCAAACGATGGCCGCGAGCTGTGTTGTTGTGAGCATACGCGCGCGAGAAGCAGATGGGCAGTACACCACTCACAATCCATGCTCCAAACTGTGCAATCACACCCGTGCCTGTATCAACCGATCAACATCTCCATCTCCTTCATCACTCCAAGATGCAGCATAGCTTACCAAGCACCAGATTGTGATACAGCGGCTTGCCCTCCTTCTGGCTCGCATCCCCCGATTCTCCAAGCAGAGGCTCTTCCTCTGATGTGCCGGGTACGCGTCGCTCTTCTTGTGCCATGTTTTGGTAGTACTGTGGTTTGTAGTCAGATGAGACGACCAAGAGCGGCAATGATCACGCAATTGAAGGAGGGAGAGGGGTTTCCACGGGGTAATCAGATCGTCATCCACAGCCACCCACTTCGGAGCTTCTGAAAACGTGAAGCCGACCTCCGACTGTGTGGGGTCGACCAATCAGATTCAAGATTTGGTCAACACTTCACGCTTCAAGTGCTGCAGGTAAGGCTACATGCTCATATGCTCATTGCATTTCAGATGGAACCGCAGACGCATGCAAATATCGCTGCGACACTGCATGTATCCAGACAATCATTCCTCCCCTCATCAGCTCCCCAACATCCCCTTCTCCCCGTTCCTCACCTCAAACATCCTCCCCACCAACTCCATCCACCTCTTCTGCCGCGCCCCCAGTTCTCGCCCAGCATACTTGAACTGCCTCGCCAACGCCTCCCTCACCTTCCCCCGCAGAATCTTCAAAGCAATCATCGTCCTCCAATCCCTGACTTTGAACTTCATGCGATTCCCATCAATCACAATCACCCCCGCGTAGACGTGAAACACCGCCTCGCCCGCCAACAGCACGAGCGCGAAGTCCGCCACACCCGTCGTCTCCTGCGCGTTCGTGAAGCGCGACGAGCCCTGCATGATGCTGTAGAAGGAGACGTATTGCACGTCGTGGGGGAGGCCGACTTTATTGACGGACGTAGGGTGCAGCGCGAGCGATTGGTTGTTGGCAATGTTGCGCCACCCTTTGCCTTCTCGCTTCACGATTTTGGGGTAGAAGGACCATGCCACGACGGAGGAGATGACGTGCTCATTGGCTTCTGCTGTGCTGTATCGCGGTGGTAGGGTGACGAAGTTGCGCTGTCGTGAGCCGGGGCGGATTTTGGTCAATGCTGCCCGTTCGCTGGGGTCGAGGTGCACGATCCCCGCATCGATGAGGGATGTTAGAAGCTGTGCTTTCAGGTCCTCGATATTGGCCAGGTTTTGCGGACTGAGGAAGTTCTTGTTGCAGAAGTGGTACTCGGAGAGTCCGGGTGTGATGCACGCCTTTCGCCATGAGCTGTACGCGTTGTACAGAGTGAGGAGATCGGAGTCGCCTCGCTTGAAGCCCAACCGCACAGTATCTGCCTGCTTCCTCGCGTACATTGGTGAGAGGAAAGGCGACTTCGAGCTCAGTGCGGCGGCGATGGTGAGGGCAAAGTCGAGACAGCCGAAAATCACACCATACAAGATCAGCTTTCCGAGCTGCGCATCGAGCGGTAGTTTCGCGAGCTGGCTTCCAAGGGTGGTCAGCTGTTCGCTGCTGGTCAGAGCACCCACTTCGATAAGAGCATCGATGGCTCTGCGGATATTCTTGCTCGACGGCGGATCAAGCGCTTCTGACAAGGCCTCTTCGATATTGCCGAGCTTGCAGATCTTCACACGCATGACGAGATCTTGCAAGGAGAGGCGGAGGATTTCAGGCATTTGCTGTTCCGCCATAAGGTTCTCGAATCGGTGCTTGGTGAAGAGATGGAAACAAATGCCCTCCTGCACACGACCCGCTCGACCACGACGCTGTTTCGCATTTGCCTTTGCGATGAAGGATTGAATCAGTCGTGACATTTGCCGGCGCTCATCGAATCGCATCTCCCGGTGCTTGCCAGTGTCGATGACACATGTCACGTCGGGAATGGTAATACCAGTCTCGGCTATGTTGGTCGCAATCACAATCTTCCTAGTTCCGTGCGGTGGTATCTCGAAAGCAGCTTGCTGGTCTTCGCTGGAGAAGGTCGAGTGCAGCGCATGGATCCGCCAGCCTTGCGCAAATGCGCGATGCCCGAGGAGCATGTCATTGAGCTGCCGAATCTCCTGTATCCCCGGCACGAACAGTAAAATGGCCTTGCTGAAGTCGATGTACTGCGAGTCAAAGGCAATCTTCTCCAGTAGTTTGATGATGAGTTCATAGTCGATCCTGTACTCATCGTAGTTCTGCAGGGTATTCCGCGTAGCAGCGCTGTACCCCTTCAATGCCTGCGTCGATCCCGGCTGGTCTCGATCTTCTGCGTCCACCTCATCTGCCTCACCATCGCCTTTGTCGTGAGCACTGTCCACAACATGGCCAGTGAGTTCGATGGCATCCTCCAGGAACAGCGGCGTGACCGGGAAAGTCCGACCAGGCACCTGAATAATCGGCGCATTGTCCAGATAGCGCGAGAACTTCTGCGCATCAACGGTAGCCGACATCAGGACGACCTTCAAATCCGGTCGCTGTTTTAGCATCGCGCGGACGACGATGAGCAAGAAGTCGGTGTCGATGTTCCGCTCGTGCACCTCGTCCAATACGAGATGCGTGATCTCGCGCAAGCCATTCTCGCTTTCCAGCATTCGGAGGACGATGCCAACGGTGGCATAAATGACCCTCGTCGAAGCGACGGCGTGCGATTCCAAGCGGATGGCGTATCCCACCAGAGACCGCGACGTGCCCAGATCATTCTTGTGCTCGCCGAGTTCCTCGGTGACTCGATGTGCCAACGAAATGGCGGAGATTCTGCGCGGCTGGGTGCAGTAGATCTTGCACGGACGACCGTTGGAGAGTTCGTGCTCGAGGATGAACTGAGGCAATTGCGTGGACTTTCCACTGCCAGTGTCGCCTTGCACGATTGTGATCTGGTTGCGCTGAATGGCTTCTAGCACTGCTGATTTGGCATGGTACATGGGTAGATTCATTCGGGTAGTCAACATTCGTTGGTAGCCTGGGGAGATGATCTTCCTGCTCCAGAGATCTATTAGAGGTTGCTGAGATGACTCTTTTGCTTCCAGTCCTGGCGTGTGCGGCCGGGATGCCGGGGTAGAACTCCCGTTGGTTGCGCCGAGTCGTCTGCTACTTGCGTTGAATACCACCTCGTTGTCGGAATCGTCGTCCTGCTGAGCGTTCTTCTCCACAAGCGTCCGCAGTTCTCGAACCACCTCCCGATCGGTAGCGTCGATGTGGTCGCGTTTGAGGATGACGAACTCATCCCACAGATCTCGGAAAGCCGGCGGGAGCTTCAAATGAGCTTTCTCCTCCTTTGGCGAGCCAGAGAAGATGAAGAACAGAGCGGCTGTCGCCACGTAGGACTCACTTTGTGAGGCCTCGGGGGTTGCCTCCATTATCATTGCGACGGAGATTTGGCGGTGTGATGCCTTCACCGATAGATGTTGCATGTACGATGCATTTGCGGTATCCTGCTCCTTGGTCCACTGGATCGTGACACTGTGCCGACAGGAGTAGGTGGTGGGCGAAATCTGGCGGTAGGCGATCTTACAGCGTGAGTCTCGAGACCGACACGCTTCCTCGAGGACTCTGCGAGCCGTCATATTGCCGGTAATGCGGCCGAAATCACGAACAGTGACTGCATGCGAGTCGCCAGGTCCATTTTCCCCAACAGTCGTGCTCTGCACCCCGGGTAGAGAATCGAACATGCCCCCCAAAAGAATATCATCATCATCAGGAGCTTCTAATATCTGCGCCCCAAGCTCATCTGCTTGCGCCAGCACGTCGGCCGATTGCCCCTTTGGACGCACGAGTAGGTTGTATGGTTCTGCCTCAGCGTCATGCTCGTTAGTTAGGTCGAGTCTCTTTCTTTGCGCCACTTCTTTCGCGATCTGAGCCTTCTGAAGATTCCACTGCGTGTCCGCCTCGCGCTGATCAAATAGAGGGTCCGACTGAATCTTGTGCAGCTTTTCGTTGAGTTTTGATTCTTCCAGGCGCTTCGGCTTCGGGACAGGGGTTGTGTTGGTGCGAGGATCGGCGGTCCCTTTTTTTGTCCGAGTTGGAGTAGGCGCCACTTCGAACAACCTGGCCTTGGTGCGCAGATAGATAGAGAGCAGCTCATCGGGCTCGAGATCGCTGTCGATGTCGCTCACATCTACGATTTCTTGCGCTGAAGAATTTGAAGTGTCCTGCGTGTCCGAGGGAGGTGAATCACGCTTCTGTCGTACACTGGACGTCTCCTCTTCGCTTTGCACAGCAGGAGTACTACTCGACTCGTCCTCGGAATCCAGTGCTCTGACTTTTGTTGTGGCAGCGTCGTACTCCCACAGCTCATTGGGGTCACATTCCAGTGCTAGCCAATCCAGTGCTTCTGCAAGACCCCATGCATTGGCTAATGTGATCTCTGCCGGTGGAGTGTGAAGGACAGCCTGGATGGCTTCTTGCACACGTGAAGGCACAATGCCAAGGTCGAGCAGGATCAAACGCAGAGTCCATATTCTCGACACTGCTTCATCCCCGCGAGGAAGGACATCGTGCTTGCGACTTCCGTGGTCGTGATCGAGATCTGCGATGACCAAATCGAAGAGCTGTTGCATCAGCTCTTCGGGGAGCCAGTTCCTGGTGGACAAAAAGTCTGCCTGACCGCGCAGTAACCTCTTCTCGGTCTGCAGTTTCGACGCCTGCCGAGCAGCTTCCTTCTTCACTTTCAACGCATGCGCCTCGACGAACTGTTGCAATTCGGATGTTTCCAGCTGTGCTTCGAGTTCCTCGGGACTGAGTTTTTGGAGATCATTGTCCGGCGCAGAGGTCGGCGCCTGCTCCGCAACGCTGTTGGTGGTGTCATTATTGTGGTTGTCGGGGGTGGCAAGGCCGGAAGACTCAAGGCTGTCGGGTTCCTGGGGCGTGTCGACTTTTGACTTGGATTGAATGGATGTTGTGGCGAAACCGCGAGCCGTGTTGGCCGTCTTTTTCTTCTTTTTATTACCGCCGGCCATTTCCACGTTGGGTCGAAGGCCTTGCGCGCGGGTCTATCCAAACAGTGGAAATGTTTGGCGAGTGGTAGAGAGAAGGATGAAATGTAGCATGCAGTCACAGCATCGAGATTTGCTGCAGGGTCCACACTCCGCATCGAATGCCCGATGCGGCGACCGCACATTCACCGCGCGACTCATCTCCAAATTTCGCCCGTATTTCATCCCGCCATCTCGCCCACATCGGCGCTCTCTGATGCCACGCGAGCATCTACATCCAACATGGCCGACGTCGTGGTGAACGGGCATACCGGCCTGGATGCGGTAGAGACCCGGCGCAGCCTGCTCTCCAACTCCACCAAACGACGCACGGCAGAGCTTCATTCCCTCCACCAGAGGCTCGCAGAAGGTAGGTGAGACGGCCCGGTCTGTCGATGGCAATGATGAAGCGCAACATGCGGATCTGACTCTGCCACAGGTGCCCTCCAACATGACATTCCTTTGATTCTCGACCTTCTCTCCGCCACTTATCCTTTCTTCGTCGATTCCAATTCCCGGCAAGCCGTCGAGAAATGTCTGGCTGCCATTGCCTCGCAGCCAGCAGCGGAGCACACCTTCTCCCCATTCGTCGATGACCTCCTGCACGAGTCAAACAAGATCGCCGTCGCTCCCGCCAATGCCTTTGTCCTCGTCCGATGGGCTTCTCTCCTCCTTCAGCACTGTGCGTTGCGAAAAGAGCTATGGGATTTACAAGGCATCAAGCTGCTGAACATCTTGACGAATTCGTTGAACACACTCTTCTCATCCGAGGCGAAGGAGAGTACTCGCGCCACCGCTTTGCGCGTAAGTCGACGGGCGATACGAGCACTTGCACGTGCGCAATGGAGTCTGGAGGCTTTGGAAGCGTGCATTGCGAGTCTCTGCACGAAGGCTAGTGGCCCCACGGCCAAAAATGCCATTACCCTGGGGATCATTGCTGGAGTCTGCTATAGAGTTGCTGGGCCATCGCACGATCTCATTGCGTCAAAGAAACCCGACTATATTGCCTTCTACCTGAGAGAACTCCTCGGATCTCGAGTGCAGCTGCCGGAATCCATTGGAAACGCGCTGTCGGACTTCTTCAACAGCTACGTAATGCTGGACGATCTCAAGACAGACATAGTACCCGCAGTGGAGAAGGCGTTGTTACGAGCGCCGGAAATTGTCCTGAATGACCTGGTTGCTCCGATCATCTCTTCTTTGCCCGAAGCTTTCGATCTCTCCGACATTCTCGTCGCCAATCTGCTGAAACCTTTGCTCTCAAACATCAAGTCGACAAATGCGCAAATCCGTAGCGGAGCTTTGCGCACGTTCGAGACCATCGCTGCCCGGTCCCATGAAGATTCCCTCGTGGCGAAAGCCTGCGATGAAATCCTCAATCCTCTGAAGTCCAACAAGGTGGCTTCCGCGGATCAGAGGGTCATTCACGCACAGATGCTCTCTAAACTCCACCTATCAGTCGATGTGGCCGCGAGGATACTCCAAGGACTCACGCCCGTTGCTATGAAAGAGGCCAATGAGACTGCCGTGTCCGCCGAATTACGTGCAATCGGCCTCTCGGCGAGTTTCGCATTGGCGCATAGCGTCAAGATTGAATCCGCCGTGATTGATGCTTTTACTAAAGGCCTTGCGGAGAAGCGCTTGCCGATGCGTCGTTTGTGGAGCTTATGTTTTGCCGATATCGTATGGTCGCTTGACGCAAACAGTCTTGAGGACGCATCCGCAGCCGGCTTCGTCGATGCGTCAATCGGTAAAATGATTGACTCTTTCAATGAAGTCGTTGCAAACCCCCTGCCGGCAGTGGCGAATGGGCAGGTGGTGGTAGCATTTGCGGTCACCGCATTATGTCTACAACGCCTCTCTGGTCTATCCGGCCTCAAGAGCGCGTCAATCCTGAAAAAGGCCAGCATCGGGGACAAGGCTTTAGCATTGGAGCCGAAGCCGTCATTTCTCCTCAATCTTCGCGTCTATGCCCGAATTACAGCCGAGGAGGATCTGCAGTGGTGCCTTCGCTCTCTTGTTGCGTCTTATCCTCTATTATCAGAGGAGCCTGCAGAATCAGCTTCGGCCATCGCATGGTCGCAGGGTCTGATCTATCTATGCGTCGCTAGCGCTGTCCCTGCCCCGATCAGAAACGCAGCGGTGGCGGCTGTCAGGTCCCTGCAGCAAAGTGATCATTCTAAAGCATCTAAAATCTTCACTCAAGGCCTGTACCGATGGTGCGAGGATGTCGAGTTGGAGTCAAAGGAAAGCGCTGCCGTCGCGGCGAAGACTGGTCGAGAGGACCTGTACAAAGTGCTGCGAAGTGTATGTCCGACAAGTCAAGACGCCACGCATGACGCCACGCCTGCTTCTCGAGTTCTCCTCGAGGAACAAATAACCCGTGTGCTCGTCTTGAGCAGGCCTCAATTGGTTCCACGAACTTCCTGGATCGAACTTTGCTTACGGACCGGACTTGATCCGGGCATCCTCGCCGCGAAGTCGTCCGAGCAGTGTCTTGTGCAGATCTTGGCTGTCACCGAGAACCCTGTCTGGAAGGTCCTGCCCGCATTCCAAAGCGCTGCCTTCAGTGCTGCCGCAGAACTGGCTTTTGTCGCTCCTGACGAGGTGACGCCCCTCATTCTTGCCCAGATCGAGCGAGATCTGGATCCTTCACAGCTGGACAACATCGGGCCTACGGAGGCTGCGATCTACAGGACACCAGAGGGAACCGCATTTGTGGATGTTTTATCCCGGCAAGGGCAGACCCAACAGCTGACCAAAACCGCCAAAGACTACGAGACGCTCAAGTGGGAGGAAGAGCTCCGAGCACAGCTTGCTCAGAAGAAAGGGCAGGCGAAGAAATTGACAGCCGACGAGCAGAGCAAAGTCAATGCGCAGCTGGCGAAGGAGTCTGCGATTCGGCTCAACGTGTCAGAAGTAGATGCTCGCCTGCGTCGAGGCATTGGCTTCATCAGTGGACTGGCCACTGGCCCTCCTACGGAAGCCGAAGCATGGTTTGGTCCGTCGGTCAAACGACTGTTTGACACTATTCAGGCTGGCGCCGGCTTCATCCTCGGAGATGCGGCCGCACTTGCTTACCTGCAATGCGCCGATCGAACCTCTTCTCGCTTGGGTGCGATGAGGCCGTTCATTGGCGTTGCAACTCTTCGCGCAGCCGGCGTTACGATATTGCCCGATAACCTCATGGCCGAGCCACTCGGCGATCTCGTCACTCGAGTTTTACACCGACTGCGATTCATGGGAGAACAGCGGCCTTTCGACGGGATCACGCTCAGCTACATCCTGCCACTGATCTTCCTTGTACTTGATCACGGCGGCATCGACCGTTCCTCGGCCGACGAAGCGGACGAGCAGATCATCTTGGTGGTCGAATTCTTGTCCTTTCACACTGAAGCCTTCAGCAATCCGCGATTGCCACGACAGCGGACACTGAGCACTTGCATAGCCGCTATGCAACGATACACCCAACACTTCCGGCCTCTGAGAGATTGTTTTACAGAATTGTGCCGATGCATGGGCGCCAACATCATCGAGGCTGAGACCGATAGTGCTGTCAAAGGAACGCTCGTTTCCGATGGTGCTGTACGTGGTGCTGTGCTTCAAGCCATCAGCGCCGAACTGGAGCTGGAAGACCGCATATTCTACGAAGAGATCTGGCTGGCTTGTCACGACGACGTGAGTGAAAATGTTGAGATTGCGCAAGAAATTTGGGAAGAGAACGAGCTCAAGGTCGAGCCCAAATCGGTCTTGCTCTGCCTGCCCTACCTCAGATCTCGGGATGCCCAGTTGCGACGAGCGGCTGGTCGTGCCATCGCTGCCTGTATCAAGCAGCATCCTGATGAGTTCTCCGGCGTGCTAGCGAGGCTGGAAGATACATACGTCGAGGATGCTAAGCTTCGGAAGCCCGAGCTCGACAGGTATGGGATGCCTGTCAAGAAGGATCTCGCAGATCCGTGGGAGTCAAGACACGGTGTGGGCCTGGCATTCAAATTCCTGGCACCTGTCTTTCCGTCCGACCATCTTGTCGAGTTTTTGCGGTTCCTCATCGAAAAAGGCCCATTGGGCGATCCAAATGCGTCTGTCAGAGACAGCATGCTTGATGCTGCAACCACCATTTCGTCCGTGCAAGGACAAAGTCAAGTCGAGGCGTTGATGGCACTCTGCGAGACCACGCTGTCAAGTTCCACCAGCAGCTCGCAGTCGCAAGATCTCGTCAACGAGGCTGTGGTGATCGTCTACGGCGCGCTTGCCCAGCATTTGCCCGTGGGTGATGCACGCATTCCGCTGGTCGTCCAACGGCTTCTCTCGACTCTCAGCACTCCTTCGGAATCGGTGCAATACGCCGTAGCCCAGTGTCTGCCGGCATTGGTACGTGCATCAAGCGATCGGGCAAGTCAATACCTCCAACAAACCATCGACGAGACTCTTCATGCCAAGAAGTATGCTGCACGACGTGGAGCTGCTTATGGATTGGCTGGAATTGTCAAAGGCCAGGGGATTGCCATTCTGAAAGATAACAGGGTCGTCTCTACCCTGAGAACTGCCACAGAGAACAAGAAAGACCCAAACGAGCGACAAGGAGCTTTCCTGGCGTACGAGCTGTTGTCTCATTTGCTCGGCCGCGTCTTTGAGCCCTATGTGGTTCAGTTTGTCCCTCAACTGTTGGTAGGCTTCGGTGACGCGAGCACAGACGTACGAGAGTCGTGTCTCGAGGCGGCGAAGACTTGCTTCTCATCGCTCAGCTCGTACGGCGTGAAGCAGGTCCTGCCAACGCTGCTCGAGGGTTTGCGAGAACAGCAATGGCGGAGCAAGAAAGGCGCTTCAGACTCGCTCGGCGCCATGGCGTACCTGGATCCCGAACAACTTGCCGTGAGCTTACCAGACATCATTCCGCCCCTCACAGACGTTCTCAACGACAGCCACAAAGAAGTCAGAGCTTCGGCAAATCGCAGTCTGCAGCGCTTCGGCGATGTCATTACCAATCCCGAGGTTAAGGGCGAAGTCAACATCCTTCTCAAGGCTCTGAGCGATCCAACGAAGTACACCGACGATGCTCTCGATGCTCTGATTAAAGTCAATTTCGTGCACTACCTGGATGCGCCATCCCTGGCGCTTGTAGTGCGCGTGCTCGAACGTGGACTAGGCGATAGGTCTGCGACCAAAAGGAAAGCCGCACAAATCATCGGAAGTCTCGCCCATCTCACCGAGCGCCGGGATCTCGTTACCCATCTTCCGCCATTGATCGCCGGTCTTCGAGTCGCCATTGTCGATCCTGTTCCGACTACTCGTGCCACAGCTTCGAAAGCCCTCGGCTCAACGATTGAGAAGCTGGGTGAGGATGCTCTGCCAGACCTCATCCCGAGCCTCATGCAGACGCTCAAGTCCGACACTGGAGCGGGCGATCGTCTTGGATCGGCACAAGCGCTCAGCGAAGTGCTCGCAGGTCTCGGTACGACACGTTTGGAAGAGACGCTTCCGACTATCCTCCAGAATGTGTCGAGCTCGAAAGCTGCTGTCCGCGAAGGCTTCATGTCGCTCTTCATCTTTTTGCCTGCTTGCTTTGGTCAGAGCTTCGCCAACTACCTCTCTCGAATTATTCCTCCGATCTTGGCGGGTCTTGCTGATGATATTGAGTCTATTCGCGAGACTGCATTACGAGCTGGACGTCTTTTGGTCAAGAACTTCGCTGCTCGCTCTGTCGACTTGCTCTTGCCCGAGTTGGAGCGCGGGCTTGCAGACGACAGCTACCGTATCCGTCTCAGTTCGGTGGAACTGGTGGGTGACCTCCTATTCAATCTGACGGGCATCAGCGGCAAAGCCGAACAGGAGGATGTGGAAGACAACGCGGTAGAAGCCGGCCAGTCCTTGCTCGATGTATTGGGAGAGGAGAAGAGGAACAAAGTGCTCTCCGCCCTTTACATCTGTCGCTGCGATACTTCTGGACTGGTCCGCACGGCCGCCATCGCCATCTGGAAGGCACTTGTTTCCACGCCTCGCACGCTTCGCGAGCTTGTTCCTACGCTCACTCAGTTGCTCATTCGCCGGCTGGCGAGTTCCAATATGGAGCAGAAGGTGATTGCGAGTAATGCGCTGGGAGAACTCATTCGGAAAGCGGGAGAGAACGTGTTCTCCACGCTGCTACCCACGCTCGAAGAAGGACTACGCACCTCAACGGACACGGATGCTCGACAGGGCATTTGCATTGCTCTTCGCGAACTCATTACGTCTGCTTCGCCAGACTCGCTTGAGGAGCACGACAAGACTCTTATTTCCGTCGTGAGGACGGGCGTGGTTGATCCTAATGATTCTGTGCGCGAGGCTGCTGCAGAAGCCTTTGACTCGCTGCAGAAAGCGCTCGGCAAGCGTGTTGTCGATCAGGTTCTGCCACACTTGCTCACTTTGCTGCGTGATGAAGACCAGGCGGAGAATGCGCTATCGGCTCTGCTGACGTTGCTGACCGAGACGACAAGATCCAACATCATCCTGCCGAATCTGCTCCCAACTCTCCTGACCGTGCCCGTCTCGGCTTTCAACGCGAGAGCGCTGGCCTCTTTGGCCGACGTCGCCGCGCCTGCCATGACGAGACGACTTCCCAACATCCTCAACGCGCTCATGGATAGTATCATTGCGTCCAAGGATGAAAGCCTCAAGGCTGAGCTCAACACCTCGTTCGATGCTATCTTGCTCTCCGTCGACGAGTATGACGGCTTGAACACGATGATGAGCGTGATGCTCGCCATGGTGAAGCACGACGACCATCGCAAACGCGCCGTTGCCGACATGCATATGGCCAAGTTTTTCGAGCGAGCCGAGATCGACTACTCCAGGTATTACCCCGACTTGATCCGCGCGTTCCTGATCGCGTTCGACGATGGCGATTCAGAGGTTGTGAAAGCAGCTTGGACGGCGCTGAGTGGTCTCACCTCACACTTGCGCAAGGAGGAGATGGAGTCGCTTGTCGTTTCTACTCGACAGACGCTCAACCACGTCGGCGTTTCTGGCCACAATTTACCGGGCTTCTCTCTGCCCAAGGGGATCAACGCAGTCCTGCCCATATTCCTGCAAGGTCTCATGAACGGCACGGCGGAGCAGCGAACACAGTCTGCCCTGGCCATCTCGGAAATCGTGGACAAGACAAGCGCGGATGGCCTCCGGCCGTTCGTTACGCAGATCACCGGTCCTCTCATCCGTGTCGTGTCAGAGAGATCGACGGATCTCAAGTGCGCTATCCTGCTCACTTTGAACAACATGCTTGAGAAGATCCCAACACTCCTGAAACCTTTCCTGCCGCAACTGCAGCGTACATTCGCAAAGTCGCTCGCCGACCCCTCAAGCGAAATTCTGCGTTCTCGCGCTGCTCGGGCGTTGGGCACACTCATCACCATGACGCCTCGCATCGATCCGCTCATCGCGGAGCTAGTAACCGGATGCAAGACCACCGATTCGGGCGTGAAGAACGCGATGCTAAAAGCCCTGTACGAAGTCGTGAGCAAAGCCGGCGCGAACATGAACGACGCGTCGCGCACCTCCATCCTCGCGCTCATCGACTCGGACAGCGGCGCGAGCAACGACAACGACAGCCTCAACATCACGCACGCCAAACTGCTCGGCGTGCTGATCAAAGTGCTCAACGCCGAGATTGCGGGCAGCCTCATCAAAGCGCGCGTGCTGCCGCCTCAACCCACGCACCAATCCATCCTCGCGCTGAACGCAGTCCTGCTCGAATCGCCTGACTCCCTCATCCCGTCTTTCGCCGACGTTACATCCGCGTCCATCGTCCAAGGCATCGCGAGCAAAGACCCCTTCATCTCGGACAACAGCGTGCTCGCAGCAGGCAAACACCTCCTCCTCCCCAGCACAACACCCAACACTCCAGAAAGCACCCCCCTCCTCTCCGCCCTCGCAAGCGTCGTCCCGCCCAACGCCTCCGCAATCGACACCCGCCGCCTCGCCCTCGTCGTCCTCCGCACCCTCAGCAGGGAAAACAACGCGCTCGTGCGCCCGCACCTCGCGGCCCTCATCCCGCCCATCTTCACCAGCGTCCGCGACCCCATTATCCCCATCAAACTCGCTGCGGAAGCTGCGTTCCTCGCTGCTTTTGATGTCGTCGAGGAGGACAGTGCGGTTTTCGATGCGTTTATGGCGAGTACGGAGATGCCGGCTGCGACGAAACGCAGTATGAGCGAGTACTTCAAGCGGGTTGTTGTGCGGTTGAGTGCACAAGCGAAGGAGAGGAAGGAAGCGCAAGGTGGAGGACGCGGACTGGGACTTGATAGTGATGAGGCGGAGGATCTGAAGGAGGTGATGGCGGTGGGCAAGGTGGATTTGGGAGAAGGCGGTGGGTTTGGGGATGATTAGAGGAGATGTGTGAGAGTCGGTAGGAGCTGTAGAGATTTTGTTATATGAATTTTCGTTTTTGCTATTCAGGAATGCGCAGATGCTGTCTATTAGGGCGGTTCGGCTCAACTCAGGACTTCGACTCGCTTGGTGGACTTCACGGGGTGATGATCGGAGAACCGCTAGCTCTTCGCCTTCGGCACGCCGTGAAGCATGCCGTCTGGATTCCTCACGCCCACCACATTCCCCTCCTGCACGCGTTTGAGCGTGAGCGCAGCAATGAGCGCAGCACCCACGCCCGAACCATCTTCAGCGGGTAGGATTTCGACCGGATCGTGCCCGCGTCCGAGCCGCTTGCCTTCGCGGTCCTTCTCCCAGTCGAGGATCTCCTTTAGAGCTTGTGCGCCGCGAGCCTGGTATCAACGTTAGCAGAGGTATGGTAGAAGTGAAGGAAGGAAGCATACCTTGAAGTGAGGATATTTGTTAAACACGCTCCCATCCGCTCCAACGTGCGCCGTCTTGTAGCCCTTCTTCTTGCAGATGGCCGCCACACCACACGCGCTCAACCGGGCAGAACGAGTGCCAATGAGCTCGGTCAGTCGACGGATCAGTTCCAGCTCCGGCTTGGTGCATTCAATACTGAGATGGGATTTGAAGGCGTCGTGCGTCTCCTGCAGATTCTCGTAGGGATCGTTCTCGATGTCTGAGAGCACACTGGCATCGAGCGAGTAGGGCTTCTGCAGCTTGGAGATGTCTTGGCCTTCGAAGATTTTGACGTCCGCTTTGGAGTGCAGGTCGACGAGGACGAGACGGAAGAGCTCGCCGAGGTAGAGGCCGGCAATCATCTTCTCGAAAGTCTGTTGGCCGGGGCGTGGGGAGTCCTTGTCGATGATGACGTCGTAGGGGGTGCGCGGGAGGACTTGATGCTCATTATCGAAGGCACCCCATTCGCAATTAATAGCGATCTCCTGGTCCGGGTCGAGGTTCATGTGCGCGAGCTTGCCGACTTCGCCGCAGTGCTCCATGTAGGCGGCGTTGCAGCCGGTGCCGAAGATGCAGCCGATGCGCATTTCCTGGTCGGTGTAGTTGCTAGCTATCAGGGTGCCGGTGGTGTCGTTGATGAGGGCGGTGAGCTTGATGGGCAGGCCGCGTTCCTTGAGCGCCGCCTCGAATTGCGGCACGACATCCTCGCCCTCGACGCCGGAGATGTCGAAGCCCTTGGTCCAGCGCTGCAGCACGCCGTGGTTGATGTACTCCTGGGTGGCGGGGTAGGAGAAGGTGAAGCCGAGGGGCAGGTTGTCGAGATTCTCGCCTTCGTGGTGGTACTCGATGAACTGCTGCAGACAGTCGGCCACGTAGCCCCACAGCTCCTCGCCGGTGCCGGTCTTGAGCTCCTCGGGCATGCGGTACTTGGACTGGATGATGTCGAACTCGCCCACCTCCTCGGGCAGGTTGATCTCGCAGACGCGCAGGTTGGTGCCGCCCATGTCGAGGGCGAGGAAGGTGCCCTGCTCGTGGCCGGTGGGGTAGCCCATGCACCACGTGGGGTTCATGGGGATGCTGCCACCCTCCTTGGATAGGCCTTTGGCGAGTTCGGAGACGAAGTGGTCGGTGATGGCCTTGAGCTTCGCCGTGTCGACGGTGAAGAGTTCCTCGAGGCGTTGGATCTCACCGAGCAGGTCCTTGGGCACGTCGGCCATGGAGCCTTTGCGGCTCGGCTGGCGTCGGGGCGTGGCGCGCGAGGCCATGTTGAAGGATAGTCGATGGTCGAGTGGTTAGAAGAATTGCAGGAAGGGACAGGGCCCGGGTGAGTTTAGGCAATTCGACTGGAATGAATGCGCCAATGCTTCCTACACCATCCACCCCGATCAATGCTGGTGATGCTGGTTGAGAGACGACGAGGAGCGTTTTGCCCAAGCAAAGGGGGAATTCCGGGGGAACGCGGAAGGGACAGGTCACGAGACAGAGGTACAACGGTGGTAGGAGCAATGGCAGGAAGGGACAATTGTCTGCGTCGAAGCAATGTTCGAGTATATACAAGGATGATGTCCCAAAAATCTCCAGAGCAGCCCCACTACAATGATCGCATCGCCCGCGTGCCCCTCCAATGCGGAAGCAGCCGGGATGGCATGGCATGGACGTGGAAGGGTTTGTCAAGAAGGCGTGGATGGGTCTGTGCAAGCGCAGGGCTAGAAAGATGGAAGTAGGTTGTCCCGATTAGCAAATCAGTGTCTTGTACTACATGTACTGCGATCAAGGAAGAGCTTACGGAGGAGTCGGTGTCATCTTTGATTTGCTGGTCCGTGATAGCATCGGAATATTTCAGGATGGGTGTATAATTGATCATGATTTGCACACCAACAGCCAAGCTTGACAACGTGAGATGAGCAAGCTGGCAGCGTCAATCGTCACCTCTTGTCTAACATCATCCCTCTTCCACATCTGCATCTCTCTTCCTCCAATCTCCCAAAGTAAGTCACCATCCTCCCTATCATCACCCATCTCCACACCCAGCTAACCCCCACCCCCAGCTCCCCAACCAACAAATCAAGCAACAATGTCCCTCACCCTCCTCCGCCGCACCACCACCCTCCCAACAACCCACCTCCTCCTCCGCACCTTCACCATGTCCTCGGTGCGAGCAGCAGAAGGCGACACCGGCGCCACCCGCTCCGGCGGCGCCTCGCAGGGCGACGCCTTCACCAAGCGCGAGCAGGCCTCCGAGGACTACTACGTCAAGCAGGAGGAGAAGAAGAAGCTGGAGGCGCTGAGGCAGCGGATTGCCGACAAGGAGGCCGACTTGGCCAAGGACCGGAAGGAGGCCGAGGAGATTTCGAAGAAGGGTTAGAGCTGCCTCTTGTCAATGGGGTTGAGTGGTGGATGATGGGAAGGGCGGGGGAGTCGAGTGCCGTTTAGTGGTGCTTGATGGAGGGGACATTGTTGATGGTCAGGCGGGTCTGGAGGTCTATGTGTATAGATAACGCCGTAGGCGCCGGGAAAGTAACTCGACTCGAATCATTGCACATCTGAAGCCTCTATCTCCATGCAGCCCTTTTCTTTTGCCTAGCCTATCACTCAAGCTGGCAGTAGTGCATGCACTTCGGCCCAGTCATACTACGCTATATGCACGTTGAAGACACAGCTGATTTTCATCCTTTGCATTGCATGTCTCTCTAAGAACTCCGAATGCGTGCAACTGGAGACGCCAGCGAAGTCGGACTACGAAAAAGGAAACCACTCCGCCTCCCCATTCCACCACATGCCATTTCACCAGCCATTGCCTCTCATCTAATGCAAGAAAGCTACAGCCAACGATAATGACTCTACGGCTGCTGGGGCTGGGCATCCGCATCGTCGCCCAAGAGCTGCTTCTTCTTGTCCTCCTTACGCTCCAGTCTCCGCTCACGTGCCGCCTTGTTCTTCGCACGCTTAGCATCCATCTCATCCTTGATTTGACGCTCACGCAGCTTCTCGGCCTTGGCCTTGTGGATCTGAAGGGGCAGTCAGTACATGTTCGAATATCGTGACGAGTCATGATGTCATCTCTCTCCATTGCTGGCGACGCATCAGAAGCAGGGCGACTTACGTGCTCGACGAGGGCACGCTTGTGCTTGAAGGTGTTACCCTTGCTCAGGTGGTAGAGTTCGTGGTAGAGGTGCTTGTCGATCTTGCCGGCGGCACGGTACTTGACCAACAGACGGCGGAGGACACGAAGACGACGCATCCACTGGACCTGACTGGAAGGCTGTCAGCATCGTGGTTCCATGATTCTTTGTAGTCCACAGTCCAACACATCCCTCCCCTCTTCTGTCCCCTCCATTGCCCTCCGGAGAGGCGGGTGAAAACTTACGTCGGCATCCTAGCATCGGCCGTACCCTTCCTCTTACCAAACCCTCTGTGTCTGCCAATTCGCCTCGCCGCAGTGAGCTCGCGGGCCCGGCTGCGCGAGTGCATCGTCACCGGTTTGCGGATGATGAGGCCATCGGCAATGAGTTTGCGGATGGTCTGGCGCGAGTTGGCGTTGGAGATTTCGTTGACTTCGTTCGGGTCGAGCCAGATCTTGCGCTTGCCGCAGTCCGCGACAGAGGCGGCGAGCCGCTTTTGCGTGGTAAGGTTCACCCTGTGTGGTGGAAGAGGGACGTGTTAGTGGATGGGTGCTTTGGTGCGTTTCTTCTTGCACCACATGGTGAAGGGGGTGAGGTGCCGCCTCGTGGCCGTCCGGCATCGTGGCAGTGTTACAGCACGCTCATCAGGATATGATTGCATTGAACTTACATCTTGACTGTGATTGACGATGGATGGTGATGGGTTTGTTGCGTCTGGGGGCGTCGCGGGACGTTTGATGAGGTGGTGCGAATGAGGGGATTCTTCGTGCGGATTGGGGCTTGGCACACGAAAAGCTAAAATTGAGCTAGCGCGCTGGTCACGTGCAGCAATCCCTCATCATGAGTCTTCCACGCCTGTTTTCGTCAATACACACACGCAAAACATTTGTGACGTGCTATCAAATATAGACCGTTGGTAGAATGCCAAAAGAGAATTGTATATTGGCGAGATTTGACGAACATTGACTCATCTATTTCTATTCTTCCTCAAATCTTCGCACCAACAACCCCTGCCCTTGCAACTGCTCCTTGACCTGCTTGACCGTCCACTCACCCCGGTGAAACATACCAGCACCAAGTGCAGCATCCACATCCGTCTGCTCAAACACTTCCGCAAAGTGATCGGCGTTCCCCGCTCCACTGGAAGCAATAACCGGAATCTTCACAGCGCCCTTCACACTCCTGATGAGCTCGAGGTCGAAGCCCGAGTTCGTGCCATCCTTGTCGATGCAGTTCAGCAGGATCTCGCCGGCTCCCATGGCTTCTACGGCGGTGACGAGCTGGATGACATCGAAGTCCCGAGTCTCTCGCCCGCCCTTGATCGTGCATGCGTACCAGCAGTGCTTCTCGCCGTTCGGACCGGGATATGCCGTGGCTATGGTGTGATGCGATATAGATTCTGCCGAGGCCACGTAGACACGCTTTGGGTCGACGGAGACGACTACTGCCTGAGCACCATATGCCTCGCTAATTGTCTCGATTGCCGTCTTGCCTGTTAAGATCTTGTTCGATGCGTAGTATTGCTCGGCCGCCGTCACTGCGTCCGAGCCAATGGAGACTTTGTCCGCTCCGGATTTGAAGTAGAGTGTTGCGACTTCCAATGCAGGCACTGTGCGTCCAGTGGATGGGTCGTGGGTATCTCTGATTCCGCCGCCAATCGTGAGCGGTACGAATACCGTTGCTGAGGTTTGGCGGAGGACTTCAAGCATGGGCAGATCTTTGATCGGAGTGTCGCGGAACGATGTGATGTTTAGAAAGGTGACTTCGTCCGCACCCTGCTCATAGTATTGCTGCGCTTTTTGGACGGGCTTGCCAAGATTGCGGACCGTGTTGTTTGACTTCTCCCGTACGTCGTATTGGTCACCTTTCGTCACCACGAGATCGCCTTGATCATTTGCCCGCACGTCGAGGCAGGCTATGATGCGGCGCGTGAGGCCATCCTTGACTGCCGCAGGTACGGATTGCAAGGCCTCTTCCCGTCGCCCTTCGAGGAAAGCCCTGATCACACGCTGACCAGCTGCACCGCTCTTCTCGGGATGGAATTGTGTAGCCAGGACGTTGTCTTTCGCGATGGCCCCAATGAAGTCTTGGCTGCCATATCGTGCGGTTGCAACAGTCCATCCGTCTTTCTCCAGTACACCAGCCCGATACGGAACCGCGTATGAGTGGACGTAATAATACTTGCTATCCGGCCTGAGTCCGTAGACACTTCTCGCCTCCGAGTCATCCTTTGACTGAGTGTTGGCCGAGTTCCAGCCAATGTGCGGGACACTTTTCTCCGAGTCATCAAATCGCTCAAGCCGGCCAGGCACGACACCAAATCCAGGGACAGTAGTGCTCTCTGCCGAGCCTTCGAAGAGAGCCTGTAGTCCTACGCAAATTCCCATGAAGGGTTTGCCCGATTCGATGAAAGCTTTCACGGACTCCGTGTAGCCAGCGTTATGGATTTGAGACAGGCAGTGTCCGAAATGGCCTACGCCAGGTAATATGAGCTTCTACATTTCCGTACTCTGTTAGTATGCGGCCGCAAAGCACTTATGCTGATGAGAAAGATCTGCCTCACCTCTGCATTGGCGACTTCGTCGGGCGACTTGATCCATTCCACATCCCAGCCGACCTTCTCAATGGCATTGACTAGAGATCTAATATTGCCGGCGGCGTAGTCGAGCAAGTGTACTTTTGGCATCTTGCTTAACTGTCTCAGCTGTAGTAAAATTGGTGTTATCGCAATCTCATTATCACAGTCTGAAAGGGTGGTGATAGGTTGTGTTTCCGTCGGCAGGTGACTCAAAGCAAGGGACTGGGATCGTAGTCGGTTTAGTGCAGCCAAGAAAGCTCACTCTCAACCAAAGGCAAGCCCAGAAGACTGATGGTCGTAAGGAGCCCGGTTGAGCTTTTGCAAGAATCGGCAAGCGTCAAACTAAACATGAAGGTATCCTCGCATTGAAAATATTCGTCCTCACGATAATCGGATCCATATACCGCGACTTTTGTCAAAGTCTGAAGAGAAGTGCAGTTATCAACCACACTAATCCTGATCAGGCAGTCCTACCTAAAAGATCTCTGACCACACTTTTCGGGCCATTCTACAGTGAACCACCTTATGCACCTTGACACACTGCCAGAATGGTGCGCAAACTCAAGCATCATGAGCAGCGGCTCCTGCGGAAAGTCGACTTCATCAACTACCCCTCCGACGCCACCCATCGCTCCTCGGCGGTGATCCGACGATACAATCTCTTCAATCCCGCCGACTACAGTTCCTACAACCGCCTCGCGGGATCGCTCAGGCATCTGGCGCATCGCCTCTCACTATTGCCGCCTGATTCGAGCTTTCGGAGGAAACATGAAGATCTGTTGCTGGAGAAGCTGTTCGACATGGGTCTAGTCGGGAGCGGAGGCGGCGGCAAAGGCAAGCTCAGCGATGTCGAGAGGAAGATTACAGTGTCTGCTTTCTGCCGGAGAAGATTGGGCGTGGTGATGACGAGACTGAGAATGGCGGAGAATGTGAGCGCCGCGAACAAGTTCATCGAGCAAGGCCATGTCAGGGTGGGTACGGAAGTGGTGACAGATTCTGCTTTTCTCGTTACGAGGTATGTGTGAACATCAGGCGGTTGCCTTCTGATGCCGTGCTAATACTGTGCAGGAATATGGAGGACTTCGTGACTTGGGTCGATTCATCGAAGATCAAACGCCACGTGATGCAATACCGTGACAAGCTGGACGATTTCGACTTGCTATGACGATAAGGATAACCGAGGAATGATATTCGATGGCTTTGAGTCGGATGTTCCAGGATACTCTCAAGACGATCCATGGATGTCAGATCTCCGAGACGGGGCGGTCCGCAATCTTCAAGCCTCTTGCAAACGCCAACCGCTGCAAACCCACGGCGGTATGTGAATCGAGACCATTCACGTCAATCCCGCATTCTGCCAAGGCTCAACAGTGAATCCATCAGACACATCCACCGCGTTCTGTGAATGGCGAGGAATTCTGCAGCTTGGACGAAAGGGGAAGGTTAGCTGCCTTAGTGTCACGTGCCTCCCGGCTGGGGGTGCATATTAAGCTCTTCCCCCACACACCTCTCCCTGAACCTTTCGCTCCGCGCTTGTATGCCCGCCATACTTGACCGAGCATCATCAATACGCCGCACACTTGCAAGGAATCAGTCGCACCCGCAGTTCCCGGACCGTTCCATCATCGAGTGGCGCTCCCCTCGTTTCCCGCTGCAGCGCACGGGCGTCGATGGTCTTCATCACACCTCTCCTTCATGGCATTCCATCAGTGGCTCACCAGTCCTAAGAAGCCTGGCGATGGCGCTCTAATGGGATCTGATGACGACGCTGTGATGGCCTATACTCTACCACATGGACAGCTCCAACAACTGCCCACCCGGCAACGCCCCTTTCTCGCTCCCCAACTAAAGTCTCACAGCCACAAGGTGAGAGAATATCTGCAAGAGTCAAACTCGAGATCTAAAACTGATGCCTCTCAGTCCGTGATCAATGAGCGCCACGACGAACATCATCTACCAACTCGCCCAAAGAAGCCGGCCGCACGTGACCTCAAACCCCGCCCACCCAACCTGAGTGCGACACATCCAGCAAACTACGGCCCTCAACCGTCACAGGTCAAACTTGCACAATCGGCGCTACGGTCATCCGACACTCGCACCGCTCCATACCCTCTTCCGCCTGCACCAAAGCTACCGCCAACACCAGCTCCATCCACTCCGGGAAGCGCATCGTCTGAACCGCCGTGGCGAGTCTACAACGACCCAATGTGGCAGACTTCCCAAGACCCGCATCATTGGGACACCAACTGCACGATCTTGAGATGCGATCGAGCGCTGGAGCCTGGCAACGTCATCTCACCTTGCTGGATGGCTGGGCTTCCATTCGGTGGGATGGTGGAGAGGGCTTATCACTACCCTTCTCTGGAGCGTACGCAAGAAGAGTAGACAGTGGGTTGGGGTGAACAGATTAAAACGATGATCGATGGTGTTTCATTTGTGTATCAGATTGGCGCGGCAGGCTTGCACTATGGACACTCGCAGATTGGCATGCGGTCCCCTTTTACTTCTTCGACTGCGGTGCGCGAACAATGCTCATATAATCGTACTTGCCATACGGTTCTCTGGAAATCGTGAAAAGCATTAGCGCGGTCCTGCGACGGGCAAATACGATCGTCTACAATTCGACTCACTTTTTCGGAATCTCGACGGCTTTCTCCCTCGCACCAAACCCATGTCTCTTCTTGTAGTATGGCAAGCCCTTTTCGGAGGCGTCGAGGTAGGACTCGAGGCCCGCGGCGTCGGCCTGGTCGGTGCCCCATTTAATCAGGCGTGCTGCGATTCCTGTACGTGGATCATGTCAGAGTCTGCTTCTGTGCGGTATTGGTCTGTCCACTAACCCTGTCCCTGGCACTCTTGGTCCACACCAAGCATTTCAAGCACTGTGTTCATTTCTCGCATCAGCTCGATTCGCTCTCATGGTGGCGGGCACGCATCAAGAGCAAGCGTGTACGCAGACATACTCCAATGTGGCTTCGTGCCCATCAATTCATGGCGGTTCTCCTCCATGCCACCGAAGAACGCACCCGCGACTTCCATGTCCCATTCGTCGTCCTTGACTTCGGGCCACTAGAAGGGTGGAGATGTCAGCGTACCTGCGTGCGGTATCATCGCAAGCGGAGGCTGATCAATCGCGCACCTTGCGCTCTAGATTACCATCCTGCTGCGGCACCATCCAACGACTGAAGCCCACGATCTTGTTGTCGTTTTGTGTGTCTTCGACAACGAAAGTGCGATCTGTGGGGTCTAAGTGGGTGAAATGGAGAGGTCAGCTGTGGGATTTGCCAGGTGCGTTCCGCTAGACACGTTCATTGATAGGATAGGAAGATGCACGTACTGTCGAGTCCTATACGCCAGGCGTCATTCCACCACTGCCGTATATTGGAATTATCGGGCGTGAAGTAAGCGAAGAAGGGTGCGTGGAAGAAACCTGGTGGATTGCATGCGTGTTAGGAACTTCGGCGGTCTTCGGCATGGCAGTAATGTCAAGGGCCTCACTATTATAGTAGACGCCGGTCATTGCTTCTGCATCTTCCTTCTTCGCAGGGCGAATGTGGAAGCGATCGCCGGAGAGGTGTAGATCGGCCATGCTGGCGTTGGTTGGGGGATTCAACTGAAGGAGAGTATAAGAGGCGAGGGAACTCTGAGGGAAAAAAAAAGAGCTGAACACTGCTTGATTATATCTTCATGCACATGCCTAAGTTTGACTCAGCCGCGGCCGTCGTGGAAATTCAGGCGATTACTCAAGGTAGAGCTGAAATACAGCGCTGGTCTGGAGCCGACGTGAGGTCGAATCTGGCAAGCGCTGCGGCTAATGATCGATCCTTACCTGATTAGGATGGAAGGCGGCTTCCAGACAGCAAGTGTGAGGTATTTGCCGACGCATACCTCGATCGACTACCGTGTGTGCACTCTTTCATGTTGTTAGGCATGAAGTAAGGCTCACATCCCGCCGTGAAGCCAGACGCGCACGATGGCAGCAGATCACCACCACAACTAACATCCCGCGTGTAAGCTCGGCGGAATTCGGTGCCGTTTGTACGAGAATGCGTGTCAGAGTGATCCAGAATAGGGTGGAGTGTAGAACGCAGGAGCCGCTGAGATTGATGTATACTCCTTGTGGTATATGGCACTGCCGACACACAAGTCTACCAGGGCAGGCTGCCGCAGTTGGCTGTACGGGCTCTTTCGGATTCGCTCGTGTACTTGACGCACGACCTGGTTTACACGCAGGCGTCTGGCGTCTCCTGGTGCATGCTGCACACCCTGCTCTGCACAGGCCAGACGTCTGATAGCAGGACTCCTGGCAGCTCTGTTATCTCCATTCCAAGGAAATCATCATCAACGACAAGCAGTTGCGCGCTTGCGCCCAGAGGCTCGGAGTCGTCACCCATGGGGGCGCGGAGATCGGAAAGCGTACGCTGCGGCGCTATCGCACAGTATCACTCGTGGACTGGAGGAAAAGCAACTTGGCTGTCGTCGTTCTTGGCCCGTCCACAACTGTCGCGTGCTACCCGCTGCCATATCTTTCCCTATGGTTCTTGGGATCCCGCTCGGGCGCGCCGGCAAGGGGGCTGTGCAGCGCAGCCTCGCGCGAGGGGAGCAAGCAGATCGATCGGCTCCATGCGTCTGCGGGAGATACCGAGGGCGATGCGGTTGTGCAGCCGTGAGATACGCCACGACGAGGGATGAGAAGTGGTGTTATGTGTTCTCCTCTGCAACTTATGTGAGACTGCCCCACGACCTCGCCCTTCTTTTACACGATCGCTCCTCTTATTCTTACTGTGAGAACGCCTTACGAGCTCGCGCTGTTTCGACGCAATCGCTCCGCTTCTACTCCGGCCAAGGATGCCAGGCTGGGGGTATCAAGCCCATGCAGCTCCTCTTCCCGCATTGGAGTATGATGAAAGGGTCCATATCGACAGAACCATGGGCAGAGCTCAGCGCGCCTCAATGCTGGGCCAGAGCGAGCATGATGGCGGCCGGGTAGGAACGACAGCCAAGGACGTTATCAGCAAGGCGAGGCTGCCAAGTGGCAGGTATATATACGACGATTCAACACGCGACACATGTGGCCAATCCCGATCTAGAGACGCCGGGGTGCAGCATGGGCATCGCCTCGCGCATTCAACCCTCGGCGAAAAGGCAGATAAGAGCACAGCACAGCCCGGCAATTCGTCCGTCTGTCGATTCACGGGTTGGTTAGGAAGGACTAGGAGCTGTCCCCTCCGGGAGGCAACTGATAAGGAAGTTGCGTGACCAATCAGAGCGCGAGCTGCCGCCCGGCTGAATTTGGTAATGACTTCATCTCACAGACCATCGACTTTGCCCCCAGACGCCTGGAGTCGCATTCCCGGCGGCACGGAGAGTTAAAAAATCAGAAGGGCAGAAGACGTGAAGATCCTCATGGGATGTCTGTCGCAAAGGCACGAGACGGTGCGTGTCGCGTGCAGCAAAAGAATGCGCAGCAAGCCAGCATGTCGAGGCGGGGTGGGAGGATGCGCAGATCAGCTGTTATCAGGCCAAACCCTCCAGAAATTCAGTTGGGTCATTGCCGAGTCTGCTAACGGAAACTCTCCAGCGTTGGCGGCGCTCGGCGCGCGTGCATCTCTAACGATCGTCTGCATCCGGGGATATTCGCATTAGAACCGTGACGGAGTATGAAAAGAAACGCTAACCACCTACTTCTCTACCCTTCCTCTTCCCTGTCTCTCACTTCACCCCAACCTTGCTTCTTCCCAATGCTGGCGGCCGCTTTTATATCTCTCACGGCCTGATACCCTTCCTTTCCCAACGCCCATCTCTCTCTACGGTATCCTCCCTGCCTGCTCCTGTCTTCCGCCGTGGTCATACCTGATCGCCAGCTGGCAACTCAACGCACACGCTCCCTCTCCCCCGCCCTACCGCCAGCATGCCTCCTCCCGACTTTACGTGGGCGGGTGCCTCCTACCCATGGATCGGCGCCCCAACCCTATTCAATGGCACATATCCTGAAGGAGGCAACTCCAGTACGTCCCTCACAACCCTCTCCCTGCCACCTGCTCGCGTGACTGTCGAAGCACGACTCGAGCAAGACCCCATTCAAGACTAACAATGACCCTCTGCAGAAACCACCAATCTCAACCAATGGTTCAGCTCCGGCGACCAAGCCTACATCATCGTTGCATCCGCCATGGTGCTCGTGATGATTCCCGGCCTCGGCTTCCTCTACTCTGGCCTCGCCCGCCGGAAATCGGCCCTCAGCATGATCTTCGCCTGCATGGCCTCCTTCTCCGTCATCACCTTCCAATGGTACTTCTGGGGCTACTCGTTGGCCTTTAGCTCCGCAGCGACGAATGGCTTCATTGGCGATCTAAGACACTTCGGACTGATGGGCGTCCTCGCTGCACCGAGTCCCGGCAGCCCGCTGATACCCGAACTGCTATACTCCTTCTACCAGCTGCAATTCTGTGCGACCACCGCCGCCATCGTCATGGGCGCGATCGCAGAGCGCGGCCGTCTCATCCCCTCTCTCGTCTTCATCTTCGTCTGGGCCACACTCGTCTACTGCCCCCTTGCTTACTGGGCCTGGGGTGCCAATGGCTGGGGCTTCTCCTGGGGCGTCATGGACTACGCCGGCGGCGGGCCCGTCGAAATCGGCTCCGGATTATCTGCCCTCGCCTACTCGTGGATCCTCGGACGCCGGCAAGAGAAGATGATGCTCAACTTCCGCCCGCACAACGTCTCCATGATCGTCCTCGGCACCGTCTTCCTCTGGTTCGGTTGGCTCGGCTTCAACGGCGGATCCGCGTTCGGCGCCAACCTCCGCGCTGTCATGGCGTGCTGGAACTCCAACCTCACCGCCATGTTCGCCGCCATGACCTGGACGATTCTCGACTGGAGGCTGGCGAAGAAGTGGTCGATGGTCGGCTGGTGTTCCGGCGCGATCGCCGGGCTCGTTGCCGCCACGCCCGCATCGGGTTACATCACGCCCTGGGCCTCGGTCGCCCTGGGCATCACAACGGGCATCCTGGCCAATTTTGGCACCAAAGTCAAGTACTGGATTCAGATCGACGACGCCATGGACGTCTTCGCCGAGCACGGCCTCGCGGGCATGATCGGACTCTTCTTCAACGGCATCTTCGGCGCGTCGTACATCATCGGCCTCGACGGCGTGAACACGGGCAGCATCCCCGGCGGCTGGATCGAGCACAACTGGATCCAGCTGGGCCAGCAAGTCGCGTACATCGTGGCGTGCACGGTCTACGCCTTCGTCGTCAGTGCGCTCATCGCCTTCATCATCAACAAAATCCCCGGCCTGCACCTCCGCGCCTCCGACGAGGCGGAGCTGCTCGGCATGGACGACGACCAGCTCGGCGAATTCGCGTACGATTACGTCGAGGTGCGGAGAGATTACCTCGCGTGGACGACGTCGAACAACCCCGACATGCCGCAGTCGGAGCGCCATGGGATCGAGGAGATGAGCGCCATGCTCGAGGGCAAGTCGCCGCCGGGCGAGAGCTCGACGTCGGGTGACAGCCATACTGGCGTGGGGGGCGACAGGCATGGAATTGAGGCCGAGAAGGTGGAGAAGGAGAAGAGAGGGGAGAGACACTCGGAGAAGGAATGATTTGCCGCGAGCGGTCTTCTTCTTGGGTTGCACGAATGTGTTTTACGACATGAAGTTTCTTCTTTTTTTATTTGCTTTGGCAAATGTCAATTGCAAGGCGTTTTGGACGGGCGAGATGAGCGGCCAGGAGACGGCACGCGTGCCTCGCGTGGGATTGAGCGAGTGCTTGGGCGGCATAGATGTTGTAGCTGTGGCGCAACCTACACAATCATGATAGAGAGACGTGGAAAATCTAGCCCACGATGGCATTGAACGTGACATTACTCAGTCCCGTCTTCACAGTACCTTTAATCCACCCACTCCATGCCCCAAGCCCGACGGCTCTCGAGTCGATTCTTGAGACCAGGTCTCGTCACTGCCCACAGCACTCGCCCGCTCCCCAACCTCAGCAACAACCTCGTCATCACGGAAAGCATTCTGCGCCTCCAACCTCTCCCTGTTGACCTTTAGATCAAACACGTCGAAACGCTGATAGTACCCGACGACATCATGAAACTGCTTCGGCTCCACACACGCATTCAAGTCCAAGTCCGCATACGCTATCCCTTCTTCTCCCACCACTGATTCGCCGACCTGCGTTCCTGTGGGGTCGATAAAGAGGCTGGCGCCTTGCGTGAGGCTGTCGAGTGTTTCTTCTGCTGAAGGGATGGCGGCAAGGATTTCGTCTATGAGGGGTTAGGGGCGGTGAAGAGGGGATGGACGGACAACGGCGCACCTCGGAAGACTTTGTCCATGTACATGGAGCTCATCACGCCGAAACACTTTGCTTCGAAGCAGTGGGCGCTTGTGCGGGTGCGGTTGGCCGCTAGATTGTCGTATTGCTTGCTTGGGGATGACGCAGTCGAGCCTTGCGTTTGCGAGGAGGACACTCGTCTCGTTGGCCAGACTAGACAAGGAGATATCAGCGTTGATCAACAGGCGAGTGGTACTTCTCAGACTCACCCGGCGGCCAAGTGGTAATGTGCAACTGCTCGCCCTGCGCCATCAAACTCCACCGCGCCAACGGATTCGTATTCTCACCACAAAGCAGCGCACCCACCTTCCCACACCGCTCCGTATCGACGACCCGCAAACCCGCGCCGTCGCCATTCGCCCACTACTCCCATAGTCAGCCAAATCAAACGCTACGTCAAGAACGAGAGGGATAGGCCTACAATCAACTTCTCATACCACGTCGGCACCAACTTCCGCTGATGATTCAGAATCTCGCCTTTGTCACTGATCAGCACCGCCGAGTTCCACAGGCACCCGACGCTCGCGCTAGAGCGCTCGTTGAAGCCAATGTGTGCGAAGATTTTGGCTTGCGCGCAGGTTTGGCGGAGCGTGCGGATTTCCGGGCCGGTGATGAGGAGGGACTGGTGGGCGAGGCGGGTGAAGAAGTGGTGGTTATCGATGGGGCTGGTGGGACCTGGATGTCACTTTCGGTGATCAGGAGTTATGAGATTGTTGGTACGCACGCTGCTAGTCCGGCCTGGGGTTCATGAGTGTTAGGATTGAGGTATTATCGAGTAGACGGTTCGGTGGGAGTGTAGCATACCCACAACGGATAAGCAGGAATATACGTCTCCGGAAAGACGACCAAGTCCGCGCGATTCCTCGCCGCTTCTTGAATCAGGCCCACTGTCTTCTGCACCGTCTTGGCCGTGTCGAGGAAGACGGGGCTGACGTTGCATGCTGTTCGGGCATCAGCTCGTGTACCTCTACGTGAAGACTATGGCATTGTCGTAGATTGAATTTACCTGCAACGCGGACCTTGGGAAGCCACGACATTCGGGCTAGAACAGTTGTCTCACGAGAGGAAATGAGGGTTTGTTAATGGGAGGAATAGTCACGAGGTGCGGTCCGGATTCTCCGTCGAGAGAGTGGAGTTGAGCCAATGGTTGTGAATCCCAAGCTTCCAAGACATAATACATACGAACCACGACGGTTGAGCGCGTACACAACCAGCAGCAATGGAAGCAAGTAAATAAAAACGGACGACGTATGAAGGTTCAACAATTGATACATACGGTCCTATACAAACAATAGTCGTAAGGCGAGTAGGTACTAGCACATCCTTGCCCCACCAAATCCCAATGACCAGAGGGTATCGCAGAAACGACCCTGCCCCAATACATGCCCTTCCCGATCCCAAAACCAGCCCCTCTGAAGAACGCCGTGACAATGTGTAGAAGACACCACATCAAAAGAGAGCCTGTCGCCTCTATGCGACCGCCAAACACTCGTCGAGAACGCCCATTAAATCATTCACGTCCGACTTGGTCGAGCCGCGCCAGCTCCATTCGGACTCTAGACCTTCCATCCCGTCTTCCATGCCGCCTGCGCCCCTTTCACGGTCCGTGAGTGCTCCGTTCACGGTAGGAGCAATGCCATTGACGCCTTGTGCGGCAGCGTCGGGCGCGGGGATATCGGGGTATCCATTGAGCAGGACGCGATGCGACAGGAACGGATCTTGCCTCAGATATGCATCATCCAGCCGCACGGCGAGGAGCATATCATCCATATCGAGGGCATGGCGCTTCGTCTGCATCCCCAGCTCCACCGGCAGCAAACCAGATGCATTTCGCTGAATGGCGCCGCGCTCGGCGCCCTCTTCTTCCTGCCGCAGCCGGCGCCGGTATCCACTCGTCTGGATGCAGCGCTCGGCGTTTGCGCGCGTATGCGCAAACATCTGGCCTAGGAGCTCTTTGAGGTAGATCTCGGTCGCGCGCTCCAGCAGCGTTACGCACCCCTCTACGCCACCCGATACTACGCCCCCCACCAATCCCTCCTCGTAGCAAATCGGCTCAATACGGCCTTGCACATCCTTCGAAGCAGGAAACTCCAGCGTCTCCGCCGCAAGGTTCTGCGCGAAGCGCTGCTTAATCTGTACATCCCAGCTCGTCTTCGCAATCCCGCCTGCCGCGCCCTGCGGCGCAACAACATCCGGCGGCTTGACAGCCAGCTCATTCCGGTAGTCCAGCATCTCCGTCAGCCTGTCGTTGACGGGCTTCCCGCTTTCCTTGAGCGTTTTGATGCGCCGGCGGTCGCGCGCGTGGATGGCCATGACCTCTTTCCGCAGCCGCTCCTCCGCTTTGTCGTTGGCGCCGCTCGCGCCTGCATTCTTGGACGTGGCGGCAGGCTTGTCCGTTGCGACGACCCATGGTGCTACGTCGGTTGGAGGCGGGTCGCGTAGGGTGTTGGCGTAGATGGAGGTGAGGAGGGTATTGTGTAAGCCAAGCGTGGAGATAGGAGAGAAGTTAGAGTTGGTGGAGGTGATGACAGAGGGCGCAGCGGAGAGGAGGGGCTGCAGAACCCAGCTGAGCTCGGCCTGGTTGAGGCTGCCGAGCACAAAGGCATTGATGGCGGTCTTGTAGTCGGTCCATTGGTCGCCGAGCGCCGCTTTCAGCTGCGTGTAGATGGGCTCGAGTTCGATGCGGGGCACGGGCGCCTTGCCGGTCTTGGTGGAGAGGGAGAGAGGGGTGGCGCTGGGTTTGGTGGTGAGACTCGGGGAGATGCCGAGCGTGAGCTCCGCGGGGTTCATCTTGGGTTATCGCTGGTCTGCCATGCGCGGCGAGAACGGCATGCGCTCCACGCAGCACCGGTCACGTGGGGCTTGGGAGGGGACTGTGAGGCTGGTTTGGATGGGTAAAGATGCGGCACGATTGCGCTGGCTTGCACGCCTGGATGCACTGCTGATGGGTGAAGTGCGCGCATGCGAAAGTGAATATGAGGTGCAGTATGCGGACGGGAGTGGAGGCGGGTTGGCCCGCTGCAACGGCCCGCGTCTGCACCTCAGGCTGCAGCACGTGTCTTTCAGGCACGAAGCATTGAGCTTCATCAGATTCGACTACAGCAGCTTCAATGCGACATCTCTCATTCCAATCATGCTATACTGCAAGACTGGCCAGCAGCTACGTGGCCCTCACAACTCGTTCCAGTTCATCATTCCCGCTTAAAACGCTCAACAACAGCACAAACCGACCCATCAGCTCCCATCCTGATCGTCGGGAGTGACAAGCACACTGCTCCTAACCGCCACAGTCTGCAAGCGACTACTAATCGGCAACTGATACTTCATCAGCCCCCTGACGGTCAACTGGAAAGGATGCTGCAGCACGCGCTCCCACCTCTCGCTGCCCCCACTTTCCGTCTTGTTTCCTGGCCGCTCGAGACGCAACTCGCCGGAGGAGTTCTGCGCGGCGCGTTTGAACGGCGATGCATCGAAATTGAGCGCTTGGTCTAGGTGGAAGATTTGGCCGAGGAGCATCGTTTGTCCGTCGCGTTCGAGGTCGTCGTCGTCGGGTGGGTCGGTGCCGTGGTCCACGCCACCTTTATAGACGTGCGGCTCGAGGGACAGATCCGAGTTTGCGTCGGAGTATGATGAGCCGGACCCAACGTGTTTACTCCTGGCAAAGACGTTCATGTCCATCTCCGTCACCGTGATGCCCAGGGCATTGGGGTTTACTGCCGCCACCCACAGATCGAGCATCAGCTCCTGCTCACTAGCCAACACGTTCGTGATTTGTAGAATCTCAACGTTGTACAGCGGTCGGTTGGACATGAACAAGAAGCCCAGTGTCCCAATGAGCACAGTCACCACAACGATGACGGCCAGGATGCAGCCGCCGTAGCGGCCACAGCGCCCGCGCCGCCGCACGCCGTAGTACTCGTCGATGGAAGGGCTGCGTTGGAATCTTCGCGTCGCGCCGAATTTGGGACTGCGTGGGCCGCGAACAGTCCCGACGAGAGGGGTGCGTTCGTCATCGCCAACCTCTGCATCGAAGTCGAATGACGAGTCCTGTTTCTTGCTAAACAGGCTGGACGGCTTCTGCTGCTGTAAAAGTCCCGTCTGCGCACTCCTCGGTGAGTTCGGCCTCGAACTCCGCTGCCCCGATCGCAGCTTCGAGGCCTGAGTGAATGGAGAGTCCGGATCGAACATGGACTGCTGACTCCCACCCCTCCCAAAGCGCCCGAAGTGTCTCGGCGTGTGGGAGCGCACAGATCCGCCTTTCCCATCTGGACTGTCGGGGTCATTGACGGCATTGTTGGAGAACTTCATGCTTCGTTTGCCTGCTACCCTCCGTGAATCGTCCATGATGTCGCCGAGGTTGCGGATGGCGCTGCGCTGTGCATCGGCGGTGCTGTGCGACGATGTGACGCTCGGCGTTCGCGAATGATGTCGGGCTCGTCGCTGCGGTTCGGGAGGGTTCGATTCGTATACGAATGTTTCTTCGGAATCGGAGGAGTTTGCTTCGTCGACGGCGTTGGCGACGCGTTGTTCGAAGATGTCGGCTTTGGATGAGGCTGCACGCACGCACATTGTCAGTATATCACACTGGAGTAAACGCGCCTGCAACGGGCAGACATACCGGTACTCTGATTAATACTCCTCGCCTTCGACGACGTCTTCTTACGCTCCTTCTTCGGTCGAATGGCCTCACTGCTAGGCTTTTGCCTCACGCTACCGCTGTTCTCTCCCCGTCCGGCGCCAGATCGATCGCCGACATTGAGTGCGGATTGCGGGACGGAAGGCACGGTCTCCGTCTCGACCGTCATGCCCTGTTTCGCATCGCCCGACCTCATCTTCGTCGACCCGAGCGACGCGTAGCTCTTCGACGCCGCACTTCGCGGTCGTGAATTCTGCTTGCTCTCGTCCTTCTTGCGGGGACTCTTGGCACCTGGACTTTCACTTCCGCTCTCGACTTTGCCCTCGCCATTCAAGATGCCATTGTCGGCACGTTTGGCTGGTCGTTTCTCGTCATCCGAAAGCTTCGTCAAGGGTTTGAGCTCTGCAGTTGCCGCGACCGCGGCCGGGCTTGGCTCTTTGATATCATCCGCATTCTCCTGCACAGTCTCAAGGATAGATTTCCCACTAGGTCCTCGTGATAGCGGTTGTTTTGCTGGCTGCAGCTGGCTGGTCTTGGTCGGTTCTTCGGCGTTTGATTTGGGCGGGGCAGGGGTCGAAGGGATGGGAGGAGTAGCGCCTTGCACACTGATATTGGGCGGCGCAGTGGTGAAGTCCGGCTTCTTAACACTTGTAGCGGAAGCTCTTCTAGAGCTCGAAGCGGAAGAAGGCGGCGGCGATTTTACACGCGGCGAAGCGGGTCGGTTTGGTGCTTGTTCGCCAGGAAGTCCTGCAGGCTTGGCTTGCTGCCTCGACAACTTCGACACAGCATCGGCAACTGTGCCTTGTTGCAATTGCGGCGCGTTCGCGGCGGAAAGGGCTCGTTGGATGGCAGCCGCCGAGGGTTGTGTGGATATGGGGTTCGTCAAGGATTGTGGTCGGACATCTTTCCGAATGGGCGAGGCATTGCGTGATGTGCGCGGACTCGAGGCTGGAGAGGGGGATTGCACTCGTTTCAGATTCCCAGCGGAAAGCTGCTTGTTCAATGGGGGCTGCGACGGTGGTGGAGGGGCAGTGTTCGAGGCGGGGGGAGAGGTGCCCGAGGGTTTGCGCGCGGCCGAGGTGTTGGCGGCATTGTTTGTCGGGGAGGGATCCGTCTGGTCGGAGGTGGGGTTGGGATGATGCTCTTGGCTATTGTTGTCGGCCATGGTGGTCGCCGCCCATCACAGTCGCGGGTGGAGGAAGGGGGCTGCGAGGCATGCGCCGACCTGGCCTTGCTCCGTTGTCGTCACCGACACTCCATTCCAACGCGTTATCGATAGGCGGTGCAGCAATGCGCAAGGTGTCGCGTGGCGTGCGGGGGGTGAGATTGGGGATGATCGAAGCAGCGCTGACTGGGGGAATAGTCGGAGGGAGAGGATGTCGAGAAGAGCAAGAGCAAGGAGCAGACGAATTAGCGGGAAGGGGATGGAGCGAGGGATGAATGGATGGAAGGGAAGTTCGGGTGCGTGACCTGCACACTATGGACGTGGCGTCGTCAGAGTGGCGTCAGTCGTTTCGGCCGTGGCGCACCAGGAACGCGCTCCGGCAAGGCAGACCGGTCCCATGACTAGATCAACAAAGAATCGTCCATTCAATTAGTAGCATTTCCTCCCTATTCTCTCCCAAGCGGGTAAATGCGTTGTCCGCGACGAGCCCATGATACTTCACGTGTTATTAAAGCATCCTCATCAACCATCCATCCCCGCCTCAACCATCCACCTCACCATCCCCCAAAACATGACTTCTGTCCTCCATTCCCCAAGTCCCCACCCCACCTCACCCACCTCCACATGGCCGCCAAACCTCATGCAACTCTTCCCGCCAACGCCAACGCCAACGCCTCACGCTACTGCTGCACCCTTCGGGAGAATGCAAAAGCCTGCTTGCCGAGCCCAACAGTAATGCAGCATGCAATAATCCCCCTAAGCTCCTAAGGTACCTACCTCACGCTTCCTTCCGCGTCCCAGTTTCCTGTTTCCCTGCAGCCTGCCTCACGAAAATTCCTCGGGTTGAGGTTCTATGCCAAGTTTCGCGTCGTCTTGTCGTATAAAAGGGCCAGTACCCTTGCAAGGCACGGCACATCTTCCGAGCGCGCAGCCTGTTCAGTGAGGACACATTGGTGAGCCAGTGGAGCATTTCCTCTCGTAAACTACATACATCGTTACTTTCTCGTGTTAACGCCTGCAGACTATGCCAAATGCAACACAAACGCAAATGCATGCGCGACGCAAACGCAGCAAGCATTCACTTCGCTTCTCCTCCTATGCGTCCCTTCCTTGTCCACCGTAGAATCGCCTTCCTTTGCCGCATTCAGATATCCACCATTTCCACATCCTGCTCCAAGTGCAACACATCGTCCGCTGGCCCCCAGTTCCCCTCATACACCGTCGCGCCCGCCCTTCGCCTCCGCTCCACCCACTGCACGCCGCCCGCAGCAATCAGCTGATCCACGAGAGGCCGCTGTTCAGGACGCGGGCAAATCATCCACTGCACCACGCTGTCCAGCGCCTCGGCATCATGCGGATCGACCATGAAGTTCGGTGGCTTGACCAGATCGCCGCTGCGCCCGACGCCGCCTCTCGCCGCCGCGACGGGGCGCAAGAAGCTGAGATCGTCTTCGTCGTCCTCGTAGGGTGAGAGATTGTTGCTGTCGCTCGCTGCGGCGTCTTTGTTGCCTTTTGGCGTCGAAATGGGCTCGCCCGACTCGTCGCGCACAAGGCTGTTGTCGGAGCTCCACGTCAGACTGGGCAAGTCGCTCATATCCCCCGCTCGTAGGCGTTGCCATGATGTGCCGTTGTCCGGTAGAATGATATTCCCCGCAATCTCCAGCATGATCATGCCGAGCGAGAAGATGTCGGCGGGCTTGTCGAAGCAACCCGACAGCACTTCCGGTCCGATGTACTCGCGGTCGCCCTCTCCATCCAGACCCGCCGGTGCCGGCCACTCGCTCGCCAGACCAAAATCGCCAATCTTCAGCACGCCTTCCCAGTCGATAAAGACATTCGCAGGCTTGAGATCGAGGTGGATGAAGTTCGAGTCGTGGATGGATTTGACACCCTGTGCCATCTCGAGCAGGATTTTCCAAATGCGAAAGTCGTCCAGCCGGCCCTTGAAGCCCGTCTGCGTCAGGAAGTCCTTGAGGTTGCCGTTCTCACAGTACTCCAATTGAATGTAGAGGTGGTTCTTCGACTCCCAGTCGTCCACCAGTTCCACCACGTGTTCGTGTCCGCGCATGGCTTTGAGGATCTGCACCTCGCGCATCTTACGCTGTCGGTCCTTGTTGCCTGCGTACGGCTTGCGCGACTTCTTCACCGCCCATACTTGACCCGCAGGACTCGCCGAGTTCCCGTTCTGCGTGCGAGTCACGTTGAACTGGCCCTCCACGCGGTACACTTGGGAGAATTCGCCGGTGCCGAGCGTAGTGATGTGGCCAAACCGGGCGGTCAACGCAGTATCGACATCGTTGGAGAAGTAGCTTGACGATGCGTGGCTGATGCCGAGACTGCCATTGAAGTGCTGATCCCTTGGACCCGTTGGCGTGGCCGGAGGAAAGCTAATGCTGTTCCCCAGGATTGGTGGCGGTCGACGTCCAGCGGAGATCGAGAGACTGCTGGGATCTGGAGGAGTGAAAGACTCGTGGAAAGACTCCTGGGGCGTGTGTGGAGACAGCTTCGGTCCGCGCTCATGCGTTTCGCTTCCGATCTCTTCTCCTACAAGAAAGAACGACTTAGTGTACGTGTTGCCAGATGTACTCATCAAGGGTGCGGATCTGAGCGATCTCTTCGCAGATGGCGACGGCGAAACCGGCATCTGCCCGTACTGCAGAGATCGACTTCTCCCAAACAAGGGTGACGGTGAGGTGCACGCCGTCAGCGTGATGAAAGGCATGGGCGATTCATCCAACGCGGGTAAGCGCCCCTTTCCCATCCTCTCGTGAGGGGTCTGGGCGGGAGAGTGGTGGTACTTACGATCCGTCAGAATCTCCGGGAGCTTGGCTTCTGCCCTGTCTGGCGCAGCGAAGATATCCGGATTGAGCGACGTCCTCCTGCCAAACAGACTGCTGCGTAGACTGTTACTCTTACCCTTGGACTGTGGGCGTGAAGCTGCCGATGTAGACTTTGTCGGTGTTGGTGGAAGATCATCGTTGCTGGAGTTGCTTTCCTGGTGCGAGGGCGAAGTGTTGACATCTTCCCCATCGATGCTGATGAAGCTTCCACTTCGAGTCAGTTGCGGTGCGCCAACTCTGGCCGCGAATATACTCAGTCCTTTCCCAACTCCGTCTACCGACACGATCGAGTTGCGAGCATTGAACGGCGTGGTAGGGCTACCGGAGTCGTGCATCGGATGAGCCAATCCACCGCCCAACACCGACGAAGGAGCTGGGGAGGACGGAAGTAACACATGAGCCTTCTTCGATGGCGTGTCGGGCATGTGAGTGCTGGAGTACAGACTCTCTGGCTGCATGTCCATGTTACGATTGCGCTTAGAGATCAATCCTGTGGACATGAACGCTTGAGGCAGAGGCTTGGCCATTCTGTATCCTTCGGGAGTCGCGAAAGATCCCTGGGATGATCCCTGGCTGGACTGAGCGTCGGAGCCATGTTGCGACCGAATTGCGCCAATCGGTAGAGACTTTGAAAAGCTCAAAGGTAGGTGGGAGGCGCCATTCGGTGGGTGGTGCGTAGCGACTTTGGACCGCTGTGAAGGCTGGCTATGGTCCTCAGCTACGCTGGATGCATTTGACGAGGAGGGCGTCAGGGCGTGCGACAGGGGATGCGGTTTCGGCGCGGACTGATACGCTCTCTGAGATGGCGGAGGGAAGAGGACAGGCGGCTCGTTTGCACCGCTCCGACGGAATGGAGATCCTGACTCGAGGCTTCGCAACGGCAAGGTGCTGTCCGTTGACATCCTCGGCCGCGTACGAATGAGCAGAGGGCTGAAAGTCAAGTCTCTTGCGGGTTCGAGGTGGAGCTTAGGTCTCCCAGTTGCGTTTCGTTGTTGCAGAGTGGACTTGCGCAGCCCGATCGGACGGCGCTGAGGCGAGTGCGCGTGTCCTGGTGTCGAAGAGGGTGCCTGCAAGTATGCGGGTCCCTGGGCGTCCTTTTCCTCCGCGGAATCGGCCGAATCGCTCTGGGAGTGATCGGAGCCTTGGTCGAAGACGTTGAAGTCGCATCCTAGAGAAGAAGGCCCATGTAGACTTCGACGCTTGACCGGCGGACTCTCGAACGTCGCGGCCTCGAGATCCATGACGCCGTCGCTTCGCTTGAGCGGACTCGACCTGATTGGCGACACGTCCTCTTTCTTCACCGATTGGAGTAGCTTGTCGGGCTTGAGGAAGTCGAATTTCTCGAATGAGTCGAGGTTAGGTTCGGAGGTGGTCGCAGGACCGTCACCTCCACAGTCCATGTTCTCCTGATCACCCTCCACAGAGGGCTTCCGGGAGAGCGACGGGTGTGCATTCGCTTGGCTGATGTTATCGGTCAAGGCGAGGCGCAACGGACTGTTGGGTGATGTCCTGCGTACCAACGGGCGCGCCGAGCCTGTGCGTCGAACAGAGTACTTTGGACGAGGGACAGGATCGGTGGCAGAGCCTGCGCTGTGTGCGCGGGAGACTGTGAGCAGGGAATTGGGTGGAGAGCTGGTCGTGCTGATCGTAGGGATGGAATAGCGACCCGGTTTGGACGGGGACTTGGAAAGCGAGCGCCGAATCTCTTGGATGGATGCGTAGCCGTCGATTGCGCCGGGTTGTATGTGACCGGGAGACAGCAGGTGGGCTGCGTTGCCTGGAGAGTGCCGGGGCGAGTATTCAAATTCCATCCTAGCTATTTCATCTCCTCAATGAGCGATCGGGGCGATTGTGTGCGCAGCGAGTCGATGGCGCTACAGTCGAGCGAGGCAGAGTGTCGCAGGGAGAGCACCGCGTGGGTGTTTACCCGTCTGTTGACTCAGATGATGGCAAATGCGCGGATGGTCGCGGCCTGTTAGGCAGCTCAATTCGGGGGACAGCGGTGAAGGGTGTTCGCGCCGTGGGCTTGTTTTGCGATGTCGTGCACACGAAGACGGAAGAGTGAATGCGTCCAGGACGGGCGGAATCGTGCGCGCGTGGGTGTAATATGGTAAGGATGAGTGACTCGGGGTACGGTGTGGTGCCAGGAATGCAGGGTGTATCAACACGCCGCGTGGTTCCGGCGATGTCGGGCGAGTCGGTCCTCCACCGGGCGCAGAGCGCTATAACGAGGCAAGAGTCGCAGAGTATGTCCGTTTTGTACAAGACTATGCACAGGAGACGTGACGGGGAGATGTTGAGGAGCAGGGGAAAAAGATCATCGTTGCAACGTCACCCACAGGGACGGCAGTCGCGACCCTGTGTCTTCGAAAACGCGCAGCGACCACCGCGCTAGTCTCGGAGCTAGGCGAAAAGTGGATCTCGGAGGAGCGTAATCACGTGCACGGGCGCGTGGAGTTGTTTTCGCAGGGAGCCTAGTAACGCCCAATACTGGGGGTGAATGGCATGAAATATCTCGTGAGAGTATCGACTATACGATGCTTTTCTTTTCCCTGCCAAAAATTCTACCATAAGCCCGCCCAAGGCTTTCGAATGTATACCGCGACGACAAGGAGCTTGGCGTTGTTTACCTCCAATGTAAACAGAGGTGCGCAAGCTGCTACGTCATCCCCAGTCGGAGCATTTCACCACTGCCGTTGCATCCAGTGGTTTTCCTAGCACGATCATGATGAGTGAGACATTCGCATCGCATGACACGCCGATCGCACAAGGGTCTTGCGTGGCGCATCCACACGTATGTGGCTGTCAGCCTAGCCATCATCATTGCTTGTCGGCTGGATACAGAATGCCGTTCTGCCGCCTCAAATCCTCCGTGATTCCAATCACCACCCTCGAGATTTCCTCGAGCTGCACGGACGCATTGGTATCCTTCTCCCTGATGATTCGAGCAAATTCTACCGCCTCCTCCTCCATATTGACGTTCGGCTTCTCCACTTGCTTGTATGGACCGGCAAGTTCTTCACTTTTCTTCGTCTTGGGATGCCAGTGTTTCACCGAACTGATATCCGTGGTGCCGTTGACGATCATAGTGCCCTTTGCCCCAAAGATTTCACAAGGCGCTGTGCTGGCGTAGCTCTTGGAGTTGTTGATCTGCACTCCGAATCCGTCATATCGCAAGATGATCACTCCTCCCCCGTCTACTCCAGTCCTGCAGATGAAAGGCACATAGACTTGGCTCTTGGGCGCGCCGAAGAGCGCAACTGCGAAGCTCACCGGGTATACACCAATATCAACCAAACTGCCTCCAGACAGATTGAGAGAGAAGATGTTGGGCTCTTCCCCCGCAAGGACATTGTCGTAGCGACTGCTGTACGATGCGTACACCAAACTTGCGCCGTAGATGGGACCCAATGCCTTTTCTTGCTTGATCAGCCGGTGTAGCAGCTTGAAGTTCGCCTCTTGAATATGTCTGAAAGCTTCGAGCAGGAAGACTCCCTTTTCTTTCGCTATCCGAAACAAATCGTCGAGTTCGGCTTTTGTCGAGGTCGCTGGCTTCTCGAGGATGACATGCTTTCCGGCAAGCAGCATCTGCTTGGCTTGTTCATAGTGCAAGCTGTTTGGGGAGGCGATGTACACAGCTTGGAGGTCGCCGGCAGCGGCGAGCTCGTCTAAGGACGTGTAGAGGTTGGAGCAGCCATGCTTCGATCCGAATGTCTGCGCCTGCTGTTGCGTGCGAGAATAGACTGCCTGGAGCTTCCACTTTCCGCTCTTGCTGGCCGCACTGACCCAGGAATCGGTGATCCAGTTCGATCCGATGGTGGCGTAGGGGATTGGGTCGGCCATTGGATGCAATACGAGCTGGTGGCACATGTGTCCACTCTCAACGGGACCTCCAACTCGACACGACAGATTTCATTCTCACGCCAACCGTTCCGCTGTCCCGCCCGCTGCCCTGCGGGTCCCGTCCGTGCCGCGACCCACAACTCGCCACAGATCTGGGGTTGGTTACATTGATCTCGATCACATGCGAGTCGACAGATTTCACAATGGCATCAATGGCCCGCGTCACCCACCACATCATGCTTACAGCCTTGCTTCTTATCCCATAAGCCGGGCGAGATTGGCAAAGGCTATCGTCGTCTGGCTTGCCGACCATGTTTTTGACTGGATCTTTCCGTGGTAGGTCAATTTCTTGCATGTTTGCCATTTGTTTGCGGTGTTTGGGAAATGAAAACGTTTGCAGTGAGAGGGAAATGCCAAACCAACATCGTCTGAATCCCCTAACTGCATTGACCGCTGCTGCGTGCCGAATCCCAACCAAACGAGACATCATGTGCTGACGCTGTACATTCATAGTAACCGGCTTCAGCGGTCCAGATCCAGAGCAAGAGCGCGATCCTCCAGCAAAAGCAACGAAACTGACCTTCCCCATCCACGAGCCACGGACAGGACAACAAGAATGGACTCACGAGTCGCCACCGCCCAAGTTCCAAGCGCTATTCGCCCGCATTCTCAGACCCACGGACATATCCGACAAACACTTCCAAGCTCTGAACATCACGACCTCGCCACCATGTTCCGTCGAAGATATGTTGCCATCACATGGGCCCCGTAGTCCGTACTTACTTCCCCTTTCGGATGCAGACACCCCTGCCCAAACCGAAGATCTAAATTTGGATCCAGCGACTGCGCGAAGACGAAAAGATTTCAACGATAGAGTTGCGGAACTTCGAATCGATAATGACCTGGCCTTTCGGACCATTAGCAGAACTGTGGCGGAAGGCATCAAGCCGCCTCGCATTGCTCATATGCGGAGATTTTGGGAGAGTGTCGAAAACATGAGCCAGTTTTGGGACGCGAGTCTGGACCAATACTACGAGACTACAGAAACTTCGGCAGAAGAAGGAGAAGAAGAGGGCAAAGGGGCAAAGCGTCTGAGGCTGGGGAGCGAGACAAATAAAGACTTCAAACTGGTAGTTGATGGGAAGGAAATCGTTCCCTTTCCCAACGACATACCCGCAGATCCCCCTCAGCCCAGAAAGCGATACAAAGGCCGACGCATCGGCGCTGGAACAGACATGCCCGACTCTTACCGCTCCGACACCGTGAGAGCGTTCGTCGAAGGCACCATCTGGCCCTTCCGCACCTCCCTCGCACCCCCACGAATCATGCCCATCGTGCAATTCGGCAAGCTTAACCTGCCTGTGCGACAGACAGCCGCAGTCTACCAACTACCCAATGACCGGACCAAGGCTCGACAAGGCTACTTGCGTGGTCCAATTTTGATTTTACAAGCGCGTCCTGAGCTCGGATTCGAGAAAGAGAATGGCGAGCAAGACGAGGAAAAGGCGCGGCTGGATCTCATGCGGGAGATCGGCGGGCTGCTGCATCTTGCTCAGGAGCGGCGGCGAGAGGCACAGGAGTACGTCAAGCCGGGCGAAGGGCAGTGGTGGACAACTGTACCGAGATGGGGCGGCGGGCCTGGTGGGGAAGTGCAAAATGAACTGGGCAATAGTGATATTGTTGATCTCGTGGAAGGGGTTCGGGAGGCGAGTCAAGAGGATGAGGGGAAGAAGACGAGTGGGTCGCGAAAGTCGAAGAGGAAGGAGGGCAATGCGATTCTGTGGAAGGAATTAAAAGCCGGCAAAGGGAACTGGGATGCGAAGACGGAGTACGCGGCTATCGGGCGGGAGCCGGAATCTCCATACGACGAGGTAAGGGATCAGATCACGAAAGGCGGGAGACATCTTGCTGAGCACGGTGTAGATTTTTCTGGTGTCGTCGCTCAACCACCACGTGTCGATTGTCAAGGCTATCGTCCACAACGACTACTCCGACTGTCTGACTTCCGGCAATCTCCCCGATCCCCTGCCGCAAGATCCGGAATGGTGTCGGCCAAAGGTCCAGCGCACAGTATGGTATGATCTCTTCGATGTGGAGCAGCGGTTGGAGCTCTTTCGCGCGCTGTGGGGAATCATGTCTTATATGACTCGATTCCATGAGGTCTGAACGAATCTCTAGACTGGAAAGGAGATTTCTAGCCAGGATAAGGGGAGCTCAAGGGCGAAGTGCAAACAATTTGCCGGCGACGGGCATCCACTCGTCCTCCCATCTCCGCTCGGATTCCTTTACAGCGCCGCTTCGCAGCTCGTGCAGCTTCTGGCCTCCAGCGCCGAACAGCTCGCGCAGTAGATCGGCTAGGCCATCCGCACTCTCGAAACCGCGGCCGTTCTTCCCTTCCTGCACAAGCTCCGGCCATGCTTCGAATTTGCTCCATCCCACCACCGGCAGACCGGCGCCAAACATGTCCACGACCTTCATCGGCAAATCCACTCCGGAAGATGACGTGTGAAGACTGACTCCGAGGTCCGCAGAGCCCAGCAATGCAGCGTAATCCTTTGCGCTCAGCCACGCCGTGTTGATCAAGACATTGCTGAGCTTGCCCTCTTGGTTCAATCTGCGGATCTGCGACAGATAGTGGTCCTTCTGTGGACCTTTGCCAGTAATGATAGCGAGAATTTTGGGCAGAGTCTGGTCGCCGTCGATGGCGGTGGAGTACGCCACCAGAGCATCGAGCAGGAGGGAGAAGTCCTCGTCTTGTGTCCACGAGGTGGAACTCACTAGCAGACGCCAGGCTTTGCCGTCAATGTCCGAAACGTACTCTGCCGTCTCTGGTAATCGCCGAAGGAACTCAGAGCGATGTTTAGCGGACAACGGCTGGAAGTACTTCGGGGGTCTATCGTGCAGCGCGGTAGCTTGAATACCCCATTTCTGCTCCAGGACCTTCGCCATGGCGTTTGTGACGGTGAAGTTGGCTGTGGCGCCACTGCCCCAGTATGATTCGTAGCGTTCGGCGTACTTCACGAGTTTATGGTCTGTTCCCAATCGCATAGCTAGAATGGAGTAGCCCAGATTATGCCAATCGATGACCAACAACGTATGGCGGTAGAAGCAGATAAATTGCGCGACGATGAGGGTGGGGATGGACGGCGGGTTCTGCACGAGCATCCATTTGGTCGCTTCCGAGCGGTAGCCTAGGGTGTAGTACAGGTTCCACGTCTGCCAGGCGATTTTGAAGGGGGCGAGAAGCAGGAAGAGAAGTTTGTTGCTCGTTTGGAGGAATTTTGGAAAGGGTGTGATGGGGATGATGTTGATGTATCGGTTGGCCAGCAGGTCTGGGTGGACGTCCGATTCCACGTAGCCAATGAGATTCACCTTGCCGCCGTGCGAGGCTATGCTCAAGGCGTGGTATTGCATTCGCGGGCTGCGGCCAATGTCGCCAAGAACGACGACTTGAACGGTGACATCGGTGCGTAGTTTGCCATTGCTGTCCTTGTGTTTGGAGAAGAAGGCGTATCCTGATCGATCGGCGTCTTTCTTGTCATCTGCGGTGAAGTCGTCCTCACTGAAATGGCCGACGTCAAAGGGGCCGTAGACGGAAGGGAGGGTGAGCAGAGTGCCGGCGATGGCCACGAAGATGAGAAGAGGAGTTGCAACAAACACTACCAACCACATTTTGTTGAGATTCCACGTCTATTGTGTTTGTCGGCGAGGCATTGTGAAGAAACTTCCGAGTGGAGTGAAAGACTGAGACCGACAGTTGTTCATCGATGGTTGAAGGCACGTGGGCGCGCATTAGGTTTGATGGCTTCGGCGGACTTCCGAGCCGCCTGCCGCACGCTAGACGCGCCGGCACGTGAAACAGGCTTCCAGGGAGCGCACGGTTCGCGGGCAGCAACCTTGATGACTGTTAGGCACCTCTCAATTGATTCCTCTACATACGCTGCCGGTGACAGCAATGTGGCATTCAAAGACATCAGTCTGAAAGAGTCGGAACCCTCACACCCTCCATGGCACGCTGAACACCCTCATCCGGTGTCCACCTCAACAACCACCTCGCGAATGGCGTCTGCGCATGGCCTGCCTACCTTTACACCCCCGGGCAGCCACTTCCACGCCCACTCTCGTTCCTATTCCGGCGCACATCTCTCCCCCGGCAAGGCAGCCTCGCATTCCTTCGCCCACGGCAATGGCAATCTCAACACCCCCGCCGTCGGCCCCAGTCCGCTCTTCACCCACGCCGAGTCGAGTCGAGAAACGAGTCCCGTCTTCTTTCCCAATGCCGCCAATGGCAGCCCATACAAACCACTATCGCCCTTCGACCACAACGCCCATGCCTTTCAACAAAACGCCGGCTTGTCGTCCAACCACCGTTACAGCTATTCGTCGCCAACGATGAAGAGTAGACCCAGAGGAGAGTCGGATCTGAGCCGGCCGGCGGATATGAAGAGCGCTGTATACCAACCCTCGTTGAGCAGCATCCCTGCTACCTCGACCTCCTGGTTCTCCCTGCCAGAAGCCCTGACGAGTCTTCTCATCACTGCGCCGCTGCTCCTGGCATCCGCGACGCTCTCCTCTACCTCTGCCATACCTCTGCACACATTTCCGCCCTTACCGCCTTATACTCCCATCGCTCAATCCTCCCTGGACATCTTGCTTCTGCCAGACGTCGGAGCGGTTTCTCGAACGCAAGGCCTAGTCAGCTCCGGGATCTTGACTTCTGGCACACTTCTACTCGTGGGGATCGTGGGCAAATTCCAGAGTTCAGAGCGGGCCTCTGACAGTGGCAAGCCATCCTCCCCATTCTTCAACTTGCGGAATGTTGCGAGCCTTCCTGCGCTCGAAACTGCGGCCCTCCGCATCCTGAGCGTGGGTCTACCGCTCTATGCATCAATGCTGATCGGAGCGTCTCGGACGGCCATCATCACGCTCGCCGCTCTTGCCGCGAACTTGGCACGGGCTGATCAGCCTAATCAACTGGATGAGTGGAGGCATGCGCTGGAGTCAAATGTTGCTACGTTCTCCGTCCTTCTTCTGTCACTTCTATCCGATGCGCTCGGGTTGACCATCCGCATTCGCCCAACCAACCTCATCATCGGATATCTTGCGCTCATGGTCTCGATCATGGCCATTCCCTCACCCTTTCCTACCCTGATCTCCTCCACTACTTCCAAGGCCAGAGTAGCAGTGTCGGCACGATCAATCTCGGCCATCTGGGCTCGCTCCTCCTCCGCTACCTTCAAACCATGCATATCGGCGTTTATCGCATCGCCGTCCAGCACCGATATCACCTTGGCCGGCGGACTTCTGACCGCGACCTTCACCGTCCTCGCATCAATCACGACATCCACCTCACCGGCCTGGTCGTTGACCTCTCTTATTCTCATCGCTCTCTCAGTGGTTTCAATGACTGCTGCGATCTTAATCGCGCAACCACCCACCCTCTGGAGTAAAGCCAAAATAGGTCTGGCCATGGGCTCTCTTTTGACGGCAGGCTTCTCCTTCCTCTTCTCTCCCCCAACCTGGTTTGGCACAATCTGCAACGGCGGCCTTGCCGCTTTGTCGTTCTTCAGTGTTCTGTACGATACCGAAAAGGACCAACTCCCTAACGAGACCAACGATCATGTACGACATACCCATTCGCACCAACTTCAACATCAGCATCAGCATCAGCATCGCTCCGCGAGCGGCACATCGGCGTTTACAGGCGTCATTCTGGCGTTTTGCGAGCCGGGCTCGCTTTTTCACACGATTTTGAGCGACAAGGACTCGCGGCGAATCGCTTACTTTACAATGTAAGTCTGTGAAACATAATTTTATGACTTTGCAGAACCCGACTGACCACGATCGCTAGACTTAACTTTGGCTTCATGCTCGTTCAAGGAGCCTATGGCTACATGAGCGGTTCTCTCGGCTTGCTAAGCGACACGGTACACATGCTCTTCGATTGTCTCGGATTAATCGTCGGACTAGGCGCGGCCGTGGCTTCGAAATGGCCCCCGAGCCCTGAGAGGCCGTACGGCTGGGGCAAGCTTAACACGCTCGCGGGCTTCGGCAATGGAATCTTCCTTATGCTCGTGAGTGTCGAGTTTGTGTGGGAGGCTATTGAGGGGATTGTGGAAGCGCGGGAGTTGCGGCATGTGCGCGAGCTGCTGGTCGTCAGCACGCTTGGGTTTCTGGTCAATATGGTGGGACTTTTTGCGTTTGGACACGCGCATGCTGGGCACGATCATGGTCATAGCCATGGGCACGGACATGCGCATGGCCACGCACACGGCCACAGCCACGGCCATCACCATCACGAACACACACACGACCACCACGAGCCTCACGACCACGCAAACGGGCACATCCATTCTGAACCTCACGACACTCATGACGACCACAAAGCTCCCTCCGCACCCACCGCCCAGGCCGACCACCACCACCACCACCACGATGACCACGAACACAACGAAAACATGCACGGCATCTTCCTGCACGTCGCCGCCGACGCCGGCGGCTCCCTAGCAGTCATCATAAGCACCGCCCTCACCCTCTGGCAGCCATGGTACGGCTGGGACCCCCTAGCCACAATCATCATCGCCATCCTGATCTTCTCCGCCGCCGTGCCGCTCGTCACCTCGTCCGGGCAAAAATTGTTACTCGTCGTGCCGGCTGAGCTGGAGTACGGGATTAAGGAGACGCTGCAGCGGCTTGTGGAGATTCGGGGGGTGGTGGGGTATGCTGTTCCGCGCTTTTGGGTGGACGAGGTTGATGGTGGGGGCGCGAAGAAGAGAGTGATGGGGGTTGTGCATGTTGTTGCTGCTGCCGGGGCGGATGTGGAGGATGTGAGGGAGCGGGTGGAGGCTTTCATTGCGGAGCGGAATATGAATGTTGTCGTGCATGTGGAGAGGGAGGGCGAGGGGCAGTGTTGGTGTGGAGGAGGTGGTAGTTAAGCGACGCTGAGAAGCATGCTTGTTCGCAAGAGCATATGATATGGGTTTGGAGGCATCCACATCTCCTCATCAATCTATACTTTCTACTTTTCAAGGCACACCCTCCACCTTCCACACCTTGACCGCCGCATCCGCCCCGCAACTCACCACCTTCGTCTCCTCCGTCCACCGCACCGCCCCCACGCCCTCCTTGTGCGCATTCAGCGCCCGCACCCGCTTCCCCGGATCACTCAAGCTCCACACAAACACATTCGTATCCAGCGCGCCGCTCACCGCCTTGCGCCCATCGGGGCTCCAATCAATCGACGTGACGCGCGCCGTGTGCGCCGACCACCGATTCGTCTCGAGACTCCACGACTTGCCCGCGTCAGAAGTGGCGTACACGAAGATCTTCCCGTTGCTGAGGCCCGCTGCGAGGTGCGTGCCGTCGGGCGAGAAGGCGAGGGTGGAGACGGGGTGCGTGGGGTCTTTGAGCTCGAGCATTGCGTCGAAGGATGTTGGGCCGGCGGCGGGGAAGATGCGGATGCGTTTGTCGTCTGCGCCGACGGCGATGGTGGCGCCTGAGGCTGCGATGCAGGTTGGCGGGGAGGGGAGTTTTTGCTTGCTTACTTCGTTGTTGTTGGCGTCGTACATTGTGATGCCGTTTGCGGTGGCGACGAGCGTGTGCGGTTTGCCGGAGAGGGTGGCGATGGCGATTCCCTTTGGCTGGCCGTCTGTTTTGACTGCGGAGCCGAGGAAAAATTTCTGCGAGGCGTCGATGCTGCGCAGTGTGTCGTCCCAGCCGACGCTGTAGATGCGGCCGTCTTGCGGCGATGCGGCGATGCCGGAGACTTGATTGGTGTGCATTGTGCCGTCGATGAGGTCTGCGGCGCCGGCGGAGAGGTCCCAGGCCCGCGCGCGGCCTTCGTAGCTGCCTGTCCAGAAGGTTTTGCTTGCCGGGAGGTATGCAGCGCTGGTGATGGCTTTTGCGTGTCCTCGGACGACTTTGGTTGGCTTTTCGCTGCCTTCGTTGAAGTAGTTTAGGTTGCCTTCCAGGTCGACGGAGATGACCAGTCCATCTGATCTGCTGCCGCCCGGCCAGGTCACACCGAGTTGCTGATCAGGCACGCTGACCGACCCTTCCTCCCCCAGTCTCCAACTCTGCGTGCATTTTCCGGCCTCGGCATCCCAGATCTTCACCGTCTGGTCTCCAGAACAAGTCACGAACTTCTTACTATCCTTTGCCCAGCTCACCCCAAAGATACTCCCCTTGTGCTCGCCCTCGCCAATCTGCTTGACCGCCTCGCCCGTCTTCCCATCGTACAGCCATATCCGCCGATCACTCCCCACACTCACAATCGCATTCCCATCCGGACTAAACTGCGTCCCATAGATGAACTTATCATGCTTGCCGCGTATGCTCGTATTGAACTTGAATGGCGCACCATGAAAGAAGCACAAACTCATATCATCGCTGCCGGTCGCAGCGCGCAAAGGCCGCTGCTGCCGTATGCTCACGCAATTAATCTGGCTCGAGTGGCCGCTGATCTCGCCCACGCTATTGCCCGAGTCGGCGGTGATGCAGTGCCCGAAGCGCTCCTTGCCGTCGCCCACGGCGATGATGCGCTGGCTGTCGCCGTCCCATGCTATGTCGTTGATCCGGCCTGCGATGATGCTGTACTCGCCTTTTGTCGTTTCTGCGCCTTGCGCGTCCCATACCCGCACTGTGCCGGCCACGTCACCGGAGGCGATGTAGAAGCCGGAGGGCGAGAATCGGGCGACGGTGGTGGGGTTGGTGTGCTGGGTGTATTGTTTGGAGAGGGTGAGGTCGTCGATGGAGCGCACGAAGATGGACTTGCCGTTGGCGTAGCATATTCGGTCGTGGGTGGAGGAGAGTGGGCAGGGCGTGCCGCGCGTGGTGGTTGGCGAGGCGGCGAGGATGGATTCTTTGATTGTGAGTTAGAGGATGTGTGTGAGTTAGTTGTGGGGTTTGGTATACCTGATTTGATCGACATGATTGTGGCCGTGGGGGAAGTGGAAGGAAGGAGGAGGAGGAGGAGGTGAAGTCGGCCATTGGCTTTTTGAAGATGAAGCCGGAGTTGGTGCCTGACGAGGCTGACGAATGCGCAGGCTGCCACTCATATGTAACATCTCTTGTACTGCCTCTACCATCTACGTCTGTTCTCTATATCTATCAATGACGCGTAATTCAGCAGCCTTCAGAAGCCTTTGCCAATATGCACCGACTCTCCTCCGCCATACCATAACGTGCCCTTTCGAAACTCCAGCCCTTTCTCCGTCCCTACAACCCACTCCCCTCCATCCTTGCTCCCATTTTCCTTTGGCCAATGCTCTCTTTGCAGCCACTCATTGATCCCGTCAATTGTCTCAGCCAGCTTCCGCACTTTGCCATGATCCACCTTACCCTCATCTGTTTCAAAGTCCTTCGTAGTAATGAACCTCGCAATCGTCAAATGGGCCGAAGGCGCAATATACCGACTTCCCACAGTCACACCTGCAGCCTGCACCTGATCCCACACGTCCCGGCGAAGATGGAGATATGTATACCAGTCATCGTCCAGACCGGCAGCCGGGACAAATTGAAGCGCTAGGCCTTGCGAATCGTAATTCACCAGCGGCCGCACCAACCTCGCCCGATGCTCAAAAGTGTAGTCAGTAATCTGAGCAACACTCGGCTCAATCGTTCTAACGACAGCCTCCATTTCCTCCTTGCTCAACGAATGCGCAACCTCCATGGTCGTCATGTGCAGTCGCGAAGGCTCCATGATCCACAGGTTCGGCACGACCGCCACCAGCTTCTCCTGGATCTCGTGGATCAGAGCTTTCAATGCCGTAGGTGGTCGAGCCCAGAAGGTGAGGCAATGCCGCCAGTCGGTGAATCCAGGTTCAAATTCGAGTTTGGCAAGCATTTCGTCGACGTTCATCCCGCGGAAGTCGGGAGACAGCATTTCGGCTCGTTTGAGGGCATTTCGGTCTGCGCGCTGCTGTTCGTAGCGTCGTTGGATTTGGAGCTGCTTGAAATGAGCCTTGTACACCGCAAATAGTGTTTTACATGTGGGCGGCTCACTGGATCATCGTTACAGGCGGTGATGAGATGCTGGAATGGGTTCTCCCCGAGGGGAGTCCGCGAGCCGATCGCGGATGAGTTGGCTGTGGTCATCGTGTCATTGGAGGCATTGCTTTCGCTGCACAAATGTGAAGGCGGAGAGGCTGGGATACATGTAGTAAGGCGGAGTGGAATCGTGCAGAAGTTTTGGTTGATGTTTGAGGTGTGGCTTCGGCCACGCTGTCCCACATCCCGACCTCGTCTAGACCAGGCTGGCCACGGCTACCTCCTCTCTATGCAACTCGCTATCTAACTTCGTCATCATATCGTCTCACACTTGACATCTTCGCACGTCTGCTACCTTTCGCCGACCTCAAAGATCATTCTCAGTGTACGCTCGCGACCACTTGATCAGCGAACTGAAGTCCTCCCAGCCAGCGACCCTTCCCTTACCACGCACCCGCGCCGCCTGTTCACTGCCATCTTCCTTTCCAACAAGCCACGACCGAGGACGCAAGCTGAACCTGTCCTTTTCTCGCACAAGCTGTGTTCTCTCTCCGACAGCTTCTTCACCAACGCGTGCGGCTTTCTTCGCTTTCGGTGGTACTAAGTTTGGCCCACTCTGCTCCTTGATAGCATCCGTCCTTCGTTCGCGGTGCTCAAGGATATCGACGTCAATGGTGTCTAGAGCCGCGATTCGGTACACATGGATGAGCTTCTTTTGACCAGGCCGACGAACACGACCGATCGCTTGGGCCATTGTCGCCTCGTATTCATATTGAGTATCCCGCAGTAACGGCGAGAGGAAAATCACATGGTTCGCATTCTGCAGATTGAATCCAGCCGCGGTTTCGGATGAAGCGTTTAGCACGAGAACTGTCGGTTTCGAAGCATCGTCGTTGCCGCTCTGCCGGAAGCTCTCGATTTGCTGGCCTGCCAATTTCGACTCTTTCACGACAATGGCGTTGATGCTGGCCTGTTGCAGCGCACTTTCTACTTCATGTAGCTGGGCTTCGTACTGCACAAACAGAATGGCTTGGTCTCCTTTCGTTCGTACTTGGCGTAGCAGGTTCGTCGCTGCTTCAACTTTCGCACCGAAAGGAGGAGTGGCCGCCGCAAGGAGACCACCCATTTTGTGATCCCACAGCAGATGGAAATCGCGTACATCGGCGGTGCAACCTTGGGCAGGGCACTTGGTTGTGCCTCTCCGAGTGGCGTCGTCAAAGCAGCTCGAGCATACGGTGTGGCCGCAGAATGCCGATACGCCGATGGAGGCCCCTTTCTGTCCCCTACAGTCGGATCTGTCGCACGTTACCCGAGCAGCCTTCTTCGCAACCTGCTGCTGGATGGCCTCGACGTTCTTCAGGAATCGCAGAGAACGATTGCAAACAAGCAATCGGGTAGCGATCTTGTTGAAGTCGCTCGTTCGGTCCCTCGCCCCCTTCTCCTTTCTCGCACCGTCGTCGTTCGAGGCGTCCTGATCCGAAGTTTTCGATGCCTTCTTCGCTTTAGCCTGCTGTCCAACGACCTCGAGAACGTGCTTGACGTCAGCGATCGTCTCTTCATCCCCGAGCATTCCCTTTTCAAGTCTCACTAATGCCCAATCTGCTAGGACCTCCGCTTCCATCGCCTTTGCCTCCACAGCTGCCTCCTCGAGATCAATCTTACACTGACCGATTTCCTTTTCGCGACGTCGGGTCAGCAGTGACAGTGCCTCAGTGGACGATGCAGCTACTTTAGATAGTGCCTCCTCCGCTGACTCGGACGTCGCGATCGCCTCGTGCAGTCTGGTATCGCGGTCTGTAGACTGAGCTTTGCTCTTGTTGGACTTGCGAATACGCATATCCAAAGAGTTCAGATGTTGGGACAACTCGGCATACACCGCACGGTGAGCAACATCTAGCGTCACAGGGACGAGGTGCTCCGTATACTCTAGATCTGCAAACTTCTCAATATCCCGACGAACGAAAGTGTCAAGGAATTGCTGTGCACTCTGGCGTATACGTTGGTGCACGCGAGCCGATGGCATCTGTTGCATCGACACGAATCGCTCGGAAGGAGTCATGTCCGCCCTCATCGCGGCCGCATTCTTCTGCTTCATGAGCCCACGGGCATCGCTACCCGTTCGCAGTTCAAGACCGAGGATGCTGGCCATTCTTGAAATGTCGTAGCAATCGTCCATAGCGGGCGTCGCTGACAATCCCCATCGTTTGTCAGCCACGAGGGATACGATGCAATTGTGGTCTTTGGCGTCCATCTGGTGGAACTCGTCCACGACGAGACGATTCCAGTAGAACATCTCGAAGAGGGGACAGTTGATCTTGCTCACGTTGATCGAGCCGCTAGCTTTGGGAGCGGTCTTCGAAGACTTCACCGAAGCGTCGTTCTTCCGGTCGGCAGCAGACACATACTCCCGGCCTCGGAGGCGACGCGAAGGAACGGATGCCTTGAAGACCTCGTCGTTGAGATTGTCCTCGTACTTGCGCTTTACAAGCTTCTGTAAGGCTCTAAGGCCGGAGCCCTGTAGAACCTCCAGATGCTCCGGTATGTCCTTCCGTGCAGCTTTGCGCCATTCCGCCAATGGCCTCGGACGTGTCGTCGTAGCTGGTCCTGGAATTCCGGCGAAATTGGCAAGTCTCTCGACGTAAGAGTCGGAGCTTGTCACGTTCTGGCTCACCAGGATACACTTCGCTTCTTGCATCTCCTGCAGTGTCACCTTGTCGAGGTCCGCAGTGGTGCTAATCGACAACACACCTTCGTCCCAGCCCATCTTTTCTTCAATCTCACTGCGCCACTGCTCCATTAGGCTTCTGGGTACGAGCACAAGAGTCGCTGCGGAAGGAAGAAGACCAGACGCAGCGGGAATGGGCTGGCTCTCTAGACTTTGGATGATGTCTGCAGCATTGCGTTCTAACAGCTCCGACTGTATCAAGGCCATCGTTTTGATTGTCTTGCCAGAGCCAGGAAAATCCGCGCAGATGCCTCCGCGCACCTCCACTTGGCCAGTAGCTCGCATCTCAGCCGTCCATCCCAAGCCCGGCAAGACCGCCTCCTCAATCTCCTCGACTTCGCACTTCACTGGTCGAGAGTCTTGCTGCTTCATCCAAGCCAGGGACAGTCGCTGTGTGGGAAACAATGTGACAGCACATTGCAGATCCTGTGAAAAGGGCCTGAGCCCGGTGGTCTTGCTTAGGCGAAATGGCCGGAATTTACTCGATTCTCCGGAGCCTGTTACGATGCGCCAGGAAAAGCGAAAGTCTTCGGTCTTCGAAGGCAAGCGTGCGAAGGCTCGATGCGCGAGAGACAAAAGATTGGCTCCTAGCAAGATGCGCTCGCCATCTTGCGTGAGTGATTTCTCGACCACGAGTGGATTTGGTCTCTGCTTAATTGCCCTTTCGAACATTGTAGCGCTCTGAGAATCTGGGTACGGTACGATTTCGTTCTTTTCGCCGAGTTTCCACCTCAGCGGAGGCGAGATCGGTGCACAAGCGGAGCATCTCTGAGTTGCATCAGGATGAGCGAAACTGAGCCATTCACCGATTGGGAACGAACGACGGAGCTCTTCGAATATCCATGAGTTTTCAGAATAGAACTGACGATCGTTCGCCAGAACAAGGGCCACCGAGAGATCGGAAATGTCCAGATCCATCTTCGAGACTTCGCGCGGGACTAAGCCGCCCACAATTGTCGTAGCTCTCTGGCACCCGTTAATGGACGGTGTTTTCAGACCCTTCAGTCGCACTGTCTGCAGCGACGAAGGCAATACTGTCATGTGACCATCATTAGGGACATCTGAAGACCAGTCGTCTATCTGCAAGACCGCCTCCACCCGGGGCTTAACATGGTCCCAGGATCGCCAGCCAACGACACGGCCGATGACGGGCCGTACCTCGTCGTACTCGAGAGAACCCTTGTTGGTGGCGAAGACAAATTGATCTAAGTCCTCGTGGCCGGTACGTGTTGGATCGAGGAACAGGTACAGAGGTTGGCCTCGCTTGTCCTGTTTGGCATACAGACTCTCATTTGCAGTGCCGCAGTGAGGTCGAAACTGATAGGTTCCTTCGATGGAGCGAGCTGCGCTGGGAATGTCTTTCTTGTCCAGAATCGAGATTGTGAGCATCTCCCACTGCCAATCGTCTCGAAAGTCGGGCAGGCCGATCCGTTGTAGCCACGACGGCGCTTTGCTCCCGCTTCCGGTGATGCTGATTCGGATGTCCGTAGTCGTTGGAAGCCGCCACTGCCAAGGGTTACCGAAGAGCGCGGCCCCGATGGGTGCAACCGCCACAGGCTGAGTTAAGGCCTGTCGAAGGGGATCATTGCTCGCCAGCTGAGCTGGGGGTAGAACAAAGAGCCGCCATTCCGCTCGCCCACCGATGAAAACCAGCTCCAAGCGTGCCGTTCGTGATTGATACATCAGGGTTAGGCAGTGTGTTCGTCGAAAGTGCGAGATGTGGAAAGGTTCCTTCACGCTCTGCTCGACATGTTCCAAATACTTCATGATATCGTCTTTCGTCGAGCGAGCGAGCTTTCGCAAGCCGTTGACTGTGCCTAGCTGGATGCGTAGCGGCAGACATGATCGAAGCTCCGTCTCGAAGGACTCCACGCTAATTCTGGTACTTCCTGACTCCGCGAGTTGCCGGTAGTTGTGGGCAGGGTTTCCGCCGCAAGCAACGCACGTCGTGTGTTCACAGTCCGTACACTGCTGGATAGGCTGCTTAGCGATACCCTGTGCGCCCTCGCAAAAGCACCGCCGTAAAGCCAGGGTAGCTCTCCGCAGTAGCATAGGCATGTCTACAATCTGCTCGTTGGAGTCCGATTCTTGTACGGTGTGCGCGCCAAGTAGCAGGGCTGTCTGGGCAGCGTTTCTGGACATTGGCTGCAGACCATTGGTCATCCTTCCGTCAGGCTGGCCTAAGAACTTGTACCCTGCGGTCAATGCAGATAGAATAGCCGATCCGACAACGGTTGTAGTCATAGCGTTGCCAGCAAGATTTCGCAAATCGCTTGGAGCCTCTGTTGTGAACGAGATTTTGTCAAGTGGCAGCCCCTGAAGCATCAGGGTTTCTTCCGGCAGCATCGCTCGCCCAGCATCAGAGATGAAGAACTGCGCAGTTGGAGTAATGCATCCCACGATCCCCATAGCGTTGCTGTCTTCCTGCATGTATACATTTTGAGTGATGTCGATAATTCGAGTTTTGTGTCGAACATCGTATCTGCCTTTTGATGGCAGGGCTTTGCGAAGGAGTAGAATATCGAGGGTGTCGAGCATGCGTTCCGAGAGTCCACGGTACCATGATTGCGATCCGTTTTCGGGAATAAGCATGGCTCCAGACTCTTGCCAATTTGTCAGGGGCCGTGCGAGCCCGAGTCGACTCTTGCGTCGATACTCCATTTGTGTGATCTCACACTTGGCCCAGGCGATTTCTCGGGTAGCCTCTTCCATGCGAGGCTGCTGATCACTGGTGCTCGAGGCGTTCGTCTGCAGAAAGGCAAGCACCGAGCTGCTTGCAGGTCGTTTGAACTTCGCCATCAGATCCGTCCACTTCTCACTGGCCGCTTTGTCTGCTTTTGCCAGTCGGCTCTGGTCGAAACATACCATATAGCCACGACATCTCGTCTGTGGGATGTAAAAGTCTTTCGAATCAACAGTCACTCCGGCGCAGAGGTAGTCTGAATCTTCGAAGAGTTTGAGCATGTCGTCCCACGGCGCGTGTAACACGTTCTCTAGCAATACGATGGAGGGTCGGTTCTTTGCACAGAAGGCATGTACGGCGTGAAAAGTATCACCGGATTCACCGCCGTCACTCATGCCCTTCCTCTGCCGGTTTCTGGCGGAGTAATCCACACACGATGTGCCTGCAATGAGCATATCAATGTCAGTGGGGATGCGAGCTTTGCCACCATACGCCGTGGTGGCTATGTCCTCGTCCGTATACATCGTTTCCGTGATGTCCCTGAATATGATAGGAGGATTGAAGTTCCTCTCGATGTACGCCTGCTTGTACGGTTCGATTTCTGCAGAGAAAACATGCTCCACGTTCAGAGTGTGTCCAGATTGCGCCTTCAAAACGTCCTCGACCTTCTGCAAGGCTAGTAAAGGGCTTTCCGTGCCTGAGCACATGGTTGCTACTCGAAGTGGACGGCTATGTAGATGTTCAAGCACCTTGTCGAGTCCGAGGGCAAGTGATCTTTCAGTCAGGTCCTGGAAGATCTCATCGACACTAGAGAGTGGTGGGAGGTCCAAGTTCAATCCATTGGAGACTTTGCCTCTGCCATGCAATTTGGTCATGTTCTTAGAGGTAGCTTTGGCCGAACCACCTTTGTTTGCCCCTCGGCTCGAGGACTGTGTAGACTTCTGTGGTCGCGATGGCTTGCGGTTGCGCTGAGAGACATTTTCTTCGTCTGATGACGCTGCACCGACTGAAGTGTCGTCTTCAGATTCTGTTGGCTCTCCGGCGTCAGTTGAGCTTGCCGCGGACTCCCCGGACATCTCAAAGTCGGAAGCGTCGGCATCTGGAAGGGCCTTTTTCGCCGCCGAGAGTCTGAATTTGGCACGGGATTGGGGCCTAGTCGTGTGGCGAGATGTGACGAGTTCGTGGTCGGATTCTTCGTCCGACAATGGCTCGGGTACGTACGATCGCCGAGCGATAGAGCGTCGTGGGCGTGACAGTGTATTTGATGTTGCTGGTTCGGACGCTGCTTGATCGGATAGCACTTGCTCAGGCGCTGCTTGCTCAGACGCTGCTTGCTCGAAGTAGTCGTCAGGTTCCCGGATGGGAGATGCTGGAGCAGCCACTGGTGCGACAGGAGCTGAAAAACGCGCAGACCTGGATCGTGCTGGTGCCTTCACAGCTGGTTTTCGCAAGGGAGACGACAGTGGTACATGATCAGACCGTAGAATGGAGGCCACATCATTGTTTCCGGTACCATTGGAAAAGCTTCGTACCGGTATGTGAACATAGTCGAGAACACGGCGTGTGAGGGCGGTTGGTGCCGGGGATGACTGAACGGCGCTGTTTTCGATCGCCTTCAGCGGCGTTCGTGAGGTGCGAGCCCTCTTCTTGTATTGAACGACCACAATTTCATCAGAGTCGTATTCATCGTCGGTGTGGTCGTACAAGGCTCGCCGCTTGCGAGTGGTACTGGCCGCCATTGAGTAAGTGTGCAGATGTAACAGTGCTGTCGTGATCTGTGCTTGAAAACACGTCGTGCGAGAAAAACGAGCTCGTTCAATGCCAGAATGGTAGCGTCCAATCACTGAGGTAGCGTGTCGGGCGATTCAATACATGTATGCCAAGGGCAAGAAGTCGTGCGCGGTAAGTGCCTGACACGCGGGTTGCGAGGGGGACGCGTCGAAGTGGTACAACAACGCGCCAACCGCTTTCGTAATTTAGAAAGGCAGCCGAAGCGCCGAACGCCGACTTCATGTCTGCGGCTGCACCGCTTGACTTGAGAATCATGTTTGCTGCAAAATAGCGAAGGAACAGCTACAAGTGGATGGGTAGTGTGAAGAACATGGAGTGGTGAAGAAAGCGAGAGGGAGTGAAGACCACTTTGAAAGGCACATGGTACCAACCACCTGACCGCTCGAAAGCTGCTGAACATGCACGGGTACGAAGATCTGAACTTCATATCGGACGCCGATATGATTGCACGGGACAAACAAATTGCGAGTGAGCTCACTTTGATACCTTCAACGCCTCCAAATGCTCACACTCCCAAGCGCCATGGCCATGCATCTCGTCCATACGTAACATCATAAGCTGGTGAGCCCTCCACTACTGCTCCGTAGCAAGCACCATCTTCTCCCTCTCACTCCTCCTCTTCGTCTCCTTCTTCTTGCTATGCTTCCGCTCATTCTCCTCCTTCCTCTTGATGCTCTTCAGCTCCACCTGCTTGATCTCTCCTGCCTTCTTGACCTGCTTCGGCACATGCCTGTGTCTTGCGATTCGGCGAATCTCCGGCATGTGCTGATATCGCTGTTTCAGCGCATCGTCGTATTGCAGTTTCTGTCTTTCTCGTGCGGTTTTGATGTGAGATCTTGAGGCGGCGTTCGCGCGCCATAGCCGTACGTTGCCATCATCGGAACCGGAGAGGACGTATTGATTGTCGGGCGTCCAGCAGCAGGAGAAGACACGCTGCATTCTATTGGTGTGGTAGACGTCGCGGCTGTGTCCTTCATTACGCTTCCAAAGGCGGATGCTGCGGTCGTAGGAGGCGGAGACAAGCTCTTCGCCCGTCGGGCTGAATTCGACATCCATGACCGCGCTTACGTGGTCTTTGAGGATGTTGAGCGCACGACTGAGGTTGCGCATGTCGAACATGTAGATGTTGTGGTCTTCGTTGGCGATAGCGAGATTGAAAGCTTCCATGGGATTCCAGCTGATGGAGTTGGAGGCGAGAGTAAGGATGGATCGATGGAGAGGCGATGAAGTGCGAAGGTCGTAGAGAACGAGGGAGCGGTCGGTGGCGGTTGAGGCGAGGATGCTGGTTTCGGTCTGGTTGAAGGAGATGGCGTTGATGGTGTCAATGCTCGTTGGCCAGGATAGTGTTTGGGTCGGTGCGGATGCTGGACGGTTGATGTCGTAGATGGAGACAACCGAAGATGAGACAGCGAATGCTGGTTCGGTGCGATGTCGAGTGATGCTGGTGTATGCGTTCTGTCCCAGCCAGGTTGCAAGAGGTGCGCTGTTGGAGGCTGTGTTGTATGGATCGTATAGTTTGACAGTCTTGTCGCTTCCGCACGACAATAACTTGCGATCTTTCGTCCAGCACATCCCCCTGACCAGATTATCATGCGCCTGTGTGTGCCAAATCTCGTCGCGACTCGGCACGTCCCAGACCTTGAGCACTCCATCGCCGCTCCCGCTCGCAAATCGATCTAGTGACTCTGGATCTTTGGCGAGATTGTAGACACCATCCACATGTCCTCTTCCTAATTGTGCGACAAAGGGGGCAGCGAACATTCGCTCCAGCTTCGTAGCATTGAGGGCGCGGGTATACTCTCTTGCCCGTTCGAAAGGATGGAGGGCAGGATCGAGATTTCGAGGTTGGCGAGCAACATCGCTGCCGGGAGCTTGGTGTGAGCTCGTCGAGCGAGAGAGCGCCTTGATTTTCTATACCTTCATCAGCTAGGTGCTCGCGATTATGGCCAGACTGCTTACCATCGCGGCGCAACAAACATCCTGGAAAAATATGTAGTTCCAGTATTTCGTAGAAGTCGAGAACTTTTTGAAGATGGGCAAAAATAAGGTTTCGGCAGTGGCCGAGCAGAGCCGCACCTTATTTGGTAGAGGCAACTTGCACCGCGCAACCTGCCGCAAGCGCCTTCCGCTAAGAGTCTCGACATCTCCTCCCCAAGAAGCTCCATCAACATCACGATTCCTCAGTGCGATCATCTCCGGCCATCACAACACTTTCAGCTGCGAATATGGCAGTCTCGGACGATACGAAGCAGCTGGAAGAGGCGGAACGTGTGAAGAAAGAGTCGCCTGCCACGGCGGAGAAGATATACAAGGACATTCTCTCCAAATCACCCGGTCAGAGCGACAAACAGATTCGTGTCTTTGAGAATGCTCTTGTCGGGCTGGGAGAGTTGTTGCGAGACCAGAAGCGAGCACAAGACCTCACAAACTTAATAAATCAGACACGAGATGTGCTCACGAGCTTCGCGAGAGCGAAGACGGCGAAGTTGGGTGAGAGCTGGCCTACAAAAGCGATTGATTGAAGTCCATACTGATGATACTACAGTCCGCCAACTCCTCGACCTCCTCGCCGAGATCCCCAACACTCTCGACATCCAAATCTCCACCACACGCTCCTGCATCGACTGGGCCGTGAAACAACGGCAAGGCTTCCTCCGCCAGAACCTCGAAGTGCGCCTGGTAGCCCTCTACATGCAGAAGTCCTCCTACTACGACGCCCTCACCCTCATCAACAGCCTCCTCAAAGAACTCAAACGCCTCGATGACAAGCTGGTGCTGGTGGAAGTGCAGCTGCTCGAAAGCCGCGTCTACCACGCCCTCGGTAACGTCCCTAAGGGCCGCGCAGCCCTCAGCTCCGCCCGCACCTCCGCCGCCTCCGTCTACACGCCGCCCCTCCTGCAAGCCGGCCTCGACATGCAATCGGGCCAGCTGCACGCCGAAGACGGCGACTTCAACACCGCCTTCTCCTACTTCATCGAAGCGATGGAAGGCTACCACAGCCATGACGACGCGGTGAAAGCCACGTCGGCGCTGCAATACATGCTGCTGTGCAAAATCATGCTGAACCTGAAAGACGACGTCGACCAGTTGATGACGTCCAAGCAGGCGCTCAAATACGCCGGCAAGAACCTCGACGCCATGAAGGCCGTGGCGCGCGCACACTCCAACCGCAGCCTGGAGGAGTACGAGACTGCGCTGCACACGTTCAAATTCGAGCTGGGTAACGACCGCTTCATCGCCTCGCATCTGCGTCGCCTGTACGATAGCATGCTGGAGCAGAACCTGATCAAAGTCATCGAGCCCTTCTCGCGCGTGGAGATCAGTCACGTGGCGCAGATGGTGGGACTGGATGTGCAACAGGTGGAGCGGAAGCTGAGCCAGATGATTCTGGATCGCGTGATTATCGGCGTGCTGGATCAGGGTGCGGGCGTGTTGGTGGTGTTTGATGAGACGGAGAGAGACAAGGGGTATGATGCTGCGCTGGACACGATTGAGAAGCTGAACAGCGTGGTGGATGTGCTGTACGCCAATCAGGCGAGTTTGTTGGAGTAAGGTGGAAGAGGTGTGGTAGAGATGAGCATAGAGCACCGACAGTCAAGATAGTTCTTTGATGAGAAGGCAATTCAATGCGAATCTACAATGCTCTACTGTACGAGATTACCGGCGAGAACGCTTGAAACGCCAGTCCGCACGAGACGGAAAGCTCAAGCAACGCCACTCTTGATACTGTTCTTCAGCGCCTCGGGAATGCCGTCGCCAGCCGTCCCGTTCATCGCCTTGTGTTTCCCAGAAAACACCTGCGCTCCATCCACCAGCCTCCTCTCCGCGTTCGGCCTCGTGTTGACGAAGTCGGGGTAGTTGAACGTCAACTCCACCGCGCCATTGACAATATGGTCCGCCGCTTCGACACCCAGCATGAGCGAGTGATCCTGGTTGCCGACCTCATACTTCCAGCTGCCGAAACGGCCTCGAGACCAAATGTCCAACGCCTCGAGTTTGGGCAGCAATTGTTTGAGCACGCCGTCGCGCTCGAGGGTCGGGGTGGGGTAGCCGTGGTCGAAGGCGCGGTGGTAGGTGGAGACGATCTCGTCGTTGGGACGCAGCATCTCGGTGTTGATCAGGCCCTGGATGGAGTCGGCGAGGAGCGTGTCGCGGTTGATAGCCTTCATCGAGGATTCGGAGACTTCGAGCATGATGCTCCAGTACGGACCCTCTTTGGCTTCTGCGGAGGCGGATTTACTGCCGTCGGCGAGTTGGAGGGTGGGAAGCTTGGTGGAGGCTTGCGGTTGGTTGTTGGGCGAGTAATTGGAGAAGATGGTGGCGCGGTAGAAGGGGCAGTTGTCTTCGGGGAAGTAGAGCCAGCATTTGTCGCCGATGCGTTCGGGGCGCTCGCCGCGGACGCCGACGCCGATGACGTGCGTGGTGCTGTAGAAGAGGCCCTTGCTGAGTTTGATGAGCTCGGGGTCGCGGATGCACTCGGTGAGGTGGTCGAGAGCCATGGTGTTGATCATCTTTTTGTAGTTGACGGTGGTCCCGTCGCCGAGGAGTACCCGGTGGTTCTCGGCGTCAACAATCTGCACTCGGCCGTGCTCACCAAAGCGACATTTGTTCTTGGGAAGAGTCTTGGCGACCTGAATCCAGATGTTGCCGGTGCCTCCATGCGCAGGGAAGCGGAAGGTGGCATTGGGTCCCCAGTTGCCGGCCGTCTTTCCGAGAATGGCGTTGGAGGTGACGAGCTTGACGTTGGGAGCGGCCACACGTTCTCCCAGCCAGGCGCATTGCATCTGAAGTGTTTTATGTCAGTCGACTAATCAACATCCCAATAGCTCTTCTCACGTACCTTTGTCGTCGGCACAGCCCAGACTTTGTAGTTGTACGGCCGCATGAACACATTTGCCACGCCTTCGCCGTTGTTGCGAACGATCCAATCATCAAAGTCTTTGGGCTTGGTGTTGGAGACTCTTGCTTCTAACGCGGCATCGATCATGCCCTCGATGCACAGCGCCTGATCTTGCTTGGGGAGCATGGAGATGTTGTTCTGGAAGGGGTATGGTACCCAAAGGCCCTTGTATCGGACGTAGGAGATGCGCTGGTGCGAGTACCAGTCGGAGTCGTTAGGCAAGGCTTCGTCGATGATGTCGTCAAAGTATTTGTAGTGGGAGAAGATGACGTGGCCGCCGACATCGTAGAGCTGGAATGGTGCTGGTTAGAGCGCGGTTGGTTTGGAGGGTTGAGGGGAGACGTACGAAGCCTTCTGGGGTGACATCGGTCGAGGCGAGGCCGCCTGCGGTCTCGTTGGTGTCGACAATCATCCATGACGGGCCGTCCTTGGAGACGTTAGCTGTTGAATGAGACTGGACGGGAGCAGAGACTGACAATTTGATTGAGACGTTTTGCAGCGCCCAGGCCTGTAGGACCGGCGCCAATGACGAGCACGTCAATGTCTCTATGAATGATGTCAGGAATGGAAAGATGTTTATTCGCTGGCGGGATCTCTCTTACATCTCCTGTCCATTTGCTTTGCTGATCTGGCGGCGGTGAGCCATGTTGGCGGACATTGGCTGACAGAGGGGAGGCGTGGGGGAGGAGTGTGGAGGGCTGTGGAGTTGTCAAGGTCACAGAATGGATGGGGTGCAGTTCGATGTGCTCGAGGACAAATTGACACGCATGAAAGAATCAATGGCAAGACGGTTGCCTCCCAACTTTTCCCGCCAGGGTCTCACTAAAACCAAAAGCTTGTGCTGCGAAGCACGAACCCGACGGCTGTGACGTTGAAATGTCTTGAAACTTTATTGCGCGGCCCCCCGGTTCACCCTGACGCTAGCCGGATTGGGAAGAGTTGGAGCGCAACGTGCGCTCGCAGTGGCCGCTCACGTCAACGGACCGGGTTCAACCCTGAACTTTTCTCCCCTTCTCACCATTCGATTACGCTCTGCCGTGATCTCTTGACACGCAATCGCCCGACACCGCTCACTTACTCCGGTGACTTCCAAGTGTCAATCGCATCCCCTCATCCCACACAACAGTCGAGCCGAGCGCAGCAGCCGTTGCACGAACGTTGCTGCCTACCACCCCGCACATCCTGCATCCGCATTTCCCTCGATAGATTGCAAGATGTCGCATAAAGAGGAGGCCATTGAGATGCAGGAGAAGGGACATCCCATGGAGGACGATGAGCGATCAGACCCGGCCGAGCCCATTCTGCCGACCACAGAAAAGGCTCCCGAACCACCAAAGGCCGCGTTGCACCCTGCGGTATACGTTGCGTACGTCCTCCAAATGCCATCCGTCTCTGCGCATGCTGAGCTGACACTCTCCTCTCCAGAACATGGATCACACTCTCTTCCAGCACCATTCTGTTCAACAAATACATCCTTTCCACCGCTGGGTTTCACTACCGTAAGCAGAACAAAACACCTCACCCGATATGACATAATGAATGCCGTGGCTAACAGTCTGGCACCACAGCAATCGTCCTCACAGCATGGCATCTGACCTTTGCCACAATCATGACCCAGCTCATGGCACGCTTCACACACATGCTCGATTCGCGCAAGAAGGTGCCCATGAACGGCCACGTCTACCTCCGCAAAATCGTGCCCATTGGTCTGATGTTCTCGCTCTCCCTCATCTGCGGCAACCAAGCCTACCTCTACCTCTCCGTATCTTTCATTCAGATGCTTAAGGTGAGTGCCTTGGATCCTTTCACAGCAAGATAGTCGAGACTAACAACCTATGCAGGCCACCATGCCTGTTGTAACGCTCGTCACTGGCTGGATCTTTGGTGTTTCCCCGCCCTCCATGAAGACGCTCAGCAACGTGTCTTTCATCGTGTTGGGTGTGATCATCGCCTCCTTTGGTGAGATCAAGTTCGTCCTCATCGGCTTCCTCTTCCAGTGCGCCGGCATCATCTTCGAAGCCACTCGCCTCGTCATGGTGCAGCAGCTCTTGTCCGGCGCCGAATTCAAGATGGACCCGCTCGTCTCCCTCTACTACTTCGCCCCTGTGTGCGCCGTCATGAACACAGTCATCGCCCTCTTCGCTGAAGTGCCGCACCTGACACTCGCGGAGGTTTCGAACGTCGGCTACTCCGTCCTGCTTCTCAATGGAGTCGTGGCCTTCCTTCTCAACATCTCTGTTGTCTTCTTGGTGAGTCTTCTCATATCAAAAACTCAACTACTCGCCCCCCGCTAATCAACCCGCCAGATCGGCAAAACCTCCTCCCTCGTCATGACCCTCTGCGGCGTCCTCAAAGACATCCTCCTCGTCCTCGCCAGCATGCTCATCTTCCGCGACCCCGTGACGGGCCTGCAGGCCTTCGGCTACAGCATCGCCATCTGCGGCCTGCTCTACTACCGTCTCGGCGCCGACCACATGAAGGAGTACTTTGGGCACGCCAAGCGCGGCTGGGCCGACTACGGCGTGCGCCACCCCGTCTTGCGCAAGGTGACGGTGGGCTTGGTGGTGGTGTTTACCTTGCTCATGCTGCTTACTGCGGTGTCGTCGACGGGCGTGGTGCCGGATAGCGCGAACCCGGTGAAGTGGCTTACGCCCTTGTTGGGCAAGCTCGGTGTGTAGAAGTAATTTGGGGTTGTAAGATTGAGACGATGGAGGTGTGGAGAGGGGTTGTTTGGTGTTGGTGTCGTTTATTGCGCGGCGTTTCGTAGCTATTCTACTACAATTAGAGCTTGACACATATGATTTCATCCCATTACACGTTGAGGGGGATGTGGTGACAACGCTGAAATTCATGTAAACTCAGTGCATGCCTATCTATCATGACCGTTCCCTTTGCCGCTTTTGCCCTCACTTCACAAACTGCAGAAAACAACGGGTAGGATATCTAAAAGGATCGAACAGAATACTCGTCCCAGCTTCGATGCACATCACGATCAGAGAAGCCACCTCAGCAGCGAATGCAAAGGCCCCCTCACTTCTGCGCCTTCTTCTCGGCCTCCTGCTTCGTCTGCTCGGCCTGCTTCTTCGCCTCGCCCGCCTTCTCCTCGCCCTTCTTCTTCGCCTGCTCGCCCTTCTCCTGCGCCGCGCCGACAAACTTCTCGGCCGTCTCCTCGACGCGCTTCACCACGTCGGCGGCCGTCTGCTTGCCCTCTTCGTACTTGGGGCCGAGGAAGTCGGCGACGGCCTGGAAGAAGTCGGAGGCGAGCTTCAGCTCGGTGCTGATGATGGCGAGGATGAGGGTGCTGAAGCCTGCGCCGCGGTTCTTGTGGGAGGCGGTCTTGTTGTATTCATCTAGAGCCAATGGATTAGTTGAAGTCGGGAGATAATCGGGATGATCACGTTGGATGACATACCATTGTAGGTGGTCCACACGTAGTTCCTGCCGTCGTCCGCAATCTTCAAAGGCCAGAAGATGAGCGACTTGCTCTTGTCGACAATGGTGTTGGTGTCCTCCTTCACGATCGGGAAGCGGGAATCGATCTGGTCGAGGCCGGAAGCCGCGAGCTCGTCGGCCTTCTTGGCGTAGGGGGCGGCATAGTGCTTGGGGGTTTCGAGATAGGGCTCGACGGGTTTGGCGAAGCGGGTGTAGGCGCTGTCGGCCAGCTCGAGCGACTTCTTGCCGTAGGGGTTGGACTTGAAGGTGGAGATGCCGTCGGAGACGACGGGGTAGGAGGTGAGGTGGTCGATGAATTGGGAGTTGGTGGTGCCGTTGGTTTGCGGCATGGTCGAGTCGGAGGTTGCGTGAGGCATGGGGTGTGGTTGTGGGTGTTTTGGGGGGTTTGTTGAGGAGAAGGGTGGATTGGCTGGTTGGAGTGCTATCAGTTGCTGAAGATCAGGGAAAGAGCGGACGAGTCGATGATCTCCTACCTTTTTGTTTCTGTTTCAGAGATTGGACGTGTGAAGAATCGTGATAAAGAAGAAACAGAGCGGTTGTATACAAAAGAAGCCTGATGAATGTTGAGCTGCCGCGTCTCTCACTTTTTCCAACAACTGGAGCAGGGCGAGCAACACTTTGGCATGTGAAAGCATTATGTCATCCGTGGCACCGTGCGTGGCGTCAACGCGCCAGCTCCACTCTCAACCTCCTTCTCCTGCACGATGGCAGAAGCGATGGCGATCATTGGGTGCTCCTTGCCCGACGCCTCCCTGTCCGTATCTCGGCCCAGCATGCCGCGCAACCCTATCACCCAGCTATCACTGATTGCGGACGAGGTACCCGATCCCTTCAGCAGACCAACACGGCCGGCAGCCCAGTGATCGTCAGTTGAATGCCGTGCTGCACAGCCAATAAGCGACATTATGCCTGCTCCTCTCTCTGTGCCACGCCGGCAGCCCGCGTCTTATTTGAGACACATTCTGCTATGAATTCCCTGTTTTTTGCTCGCCCAAATTACGCAGGGGATTGTACCATCCGTCACCTTCATGTCCTCATCCCGCAGGGTGCTACAATGGTACCTGGCATGTGAAACTCACAGACCCTTGCAACTATCAACGGCTCTATGCCGAGCGCCAACCGAAGCTCAGCCCAACAGCAGATGTCACGAACTCGGGCAACTACCGCCGAACCCCCAAGCTCTCAGCCTCGTCTGGACGCTGCCTTGCTGTGTTGGAGAGGTATTTTGACATGTGAAACACCTCGGAGCCACACATTTTACCCTCAACGACATCTCCTCTGACAGCTGGTGCTCGTTACACAGCAGCAACCCTTCCCTAACCGCGTGTCTTGCCTTCCCATGACAGCCAACGCACGTCACCACATCTATATGCACTCTCAACCTGTTTTCTTATCTCTGCTCACGAATAAGTCGCCGGATTGGGGAGAGAAGACGCCACCTCACGAGATACCATTAAATACTTCTTACTGCAGTACCTGATCCTTGCCCACTGCATGAGCTCGCTGCTTGTCTCCTCTTATTTCTGCATCCTGTAGACCGCTGGTGAATCCTGGGTTGGATCCAACGAGGCTGCTCCTTCCGCAATCTCGCGCTGCCACCATCTGCAGCCGTCTCCTCTATCCAATCTCAGCCTTCTCTCTCAATCAATCTCAACCACCTCGCAGACCCCTCCTTTTCCACCTCCACTACCCCCGGCCGCCACCTCCACCGCTTTGGGAATCAAGCCCGCACACATTGCTTTCGCCCCCGCAGCCTCCGCCGACCCCCTTTCAACAGCGCGAAAGAAGACCTTGCAATCCCCAAAGAAGTCCAGCGCCTCCACGCGATCGCCCATCTCCACCCTCTCTTTCCCCACCAGTAGCACAAAGTCCTCCGTCGCCGTCGTGTTCTGATAGTAGTGCCACACCGTACGCACAGTCGTGAAGCGGTTTCCCTTCATCCACGTGAAGTGCTTTTCTTGGTTGAAGGTGCGCGACTTCACGCCGATGTGCAGGACTCCGATCCAGTAGCGGTGCGGGGCGAGGGGCAGGCGGGGGATCAGATCCTTTGCGCGGACATGGATGTCGCGGTAGAATTTGAGGACAGGGGAGAGCGATTTGACGGGATCTGGGGGACCGGGAGGCCCGAAGTTGGGCAGGTGAGATGCGGGAGGCGCGGCTTTGGAGGTGGTGGTCGTGTTGGGATGCTGGCTGGTCTTGCTGCTGGCCGCAGTCTTGAGTGGCTTCGCGGGCGGCGGCATGTCGTTCGGCTTTGTGGCTGACTTGGGCTTCAGACTGGTGCTGGGAAGCTTGCGGTCTGCTTCGTCTGCTGGCCCTTCATCCTCGCTCTCGTTACTGGAGGGCTCTGGGAAGGCACTCTCGAACAAATCTCGCTCGTCTTCGCCGTTCGCGACTTGTTCCCATTCCATTTCTTCGTCGCGGCTTGCCCCAGTTGTGAAGTTGTTCTCGAAGTCCGTATTTGTGCGGCGTGAGATTTCAGCTCCAATCTCACGAGCCATCATCTCTCCGTTCTCGTACGCTGCGACTTCTTCTTGTGCATCCACGAATGCGTCCTCCTCTTCGTCGCTGGAGTATGACCCCATCGACATGCCCTCGTAGACTAGAGCAGATCTGCCGTTGGCCATACCATGCGTGGGATAGTCGTTCATATTTGATCTGGAGAAGGACATAGGCTGATTCGAGAAGAGTGAATACCGGGGCGGTAGCCCTGGCTGCTGGAAGCTCGCCATTTGGGTGGTTGCTTCCGGCATCGCGTAATAAGCTTGTCCTTCCCCCTGCCACTCATAGCCCGAAGGTTGCATGTCCTGCATCGCCTGGTAGTGTGAAGGGTGCATTCCCTGCATGGTCTGGTAGCGTGCGGAAGTGAGGTAGGTTGACGTGGCGGGAAGTGGCGCATTTATCGAACTCTGCTGCTGATACTCGCAGTCGGTGCAGATTGGAGCGTATCGCGGATCGTATGGTATCAGCGTGGAGCAGCCCTCGCAGTTGGCCATCATGGAGCTTTGCCGCCCGCGGGGGAGGTTATTGTGGTTGTACTCCATGTTGACGGTTCGTGTTGAAAGCTCGTTAGATGTTGGAAGTTATTGTCGCTAGATGGTTTCAGAACACGCGAAAGTAAGAAGTAATAAGGTTCGGACCAAAACAAGGAGATGGACGAGGCACCAGGTGGTGAAGGTCAGAGAGGTGAATGAAACAACTGAATAGCGTGTGGCCAGGCGCGAAGTGAGGTAAAATTGAACGCGCACAAGTGACGTTGTGTCAAGTGAGCTTTTGCGGAAGTATAAAGTCGGCGTTGGGTGCGCTTCGTTTACTTCCCTCCCTCCTCAACTCAAACTTCCTCGACTTTCCTTCCACACCTCCACACCACAAGCAACTCACTCTTCCGATACTCCAAAACACCAAGCACATCGGGAGTCAAAATGGCAGAGAGCAAACTTCGTCCGTGGACCGACGCAGAGAAGGTAGGTGGATGCCGACTCGTCAATCTCACTTTACCCTCACTTACTGATTCGACAACACCAGGTCGGCTTCCTGTTCCAGATCATCGAGAAAGGCGGCCCCATCCCCTGGGATGAGCTCACTCTTCCCGAGGGTCGCACCAAGAAGGCCGTCCAAGTGATGATCGACAAGGAGAAGCAGAAAATCAAGAAGGCGCGTGCCCAAGAGGCGGGAGCTGAGGGGAGCGGTGGAGAGGCGAACGACAAGAGCCCTGTGAAGACCCCCGCGAAGAAGCCCAAAGCAACCAAGGTGAGTCTCACTGTTCAACCTCTGTTCTACCTTATGAAATCATTTCTGACCTGGTCCATGTCTGCAGCGCAAGGCGAACGATGACGCTGGGGCCACTCCGAAAAAGGCCAAGGGCAAGGCGGGCAAGGCGCAAGTCAAGGCGGGCGAAGACGAAGAGAGCGATGATGGCGAGCGCATCAAGGAGGAGGAAGAGTTGGACTTCGACTAGATGCATTCACCTTCGCGGGGAACATTGTTGTTCGAAGTAGCAATGACGAGGCATGGACGGGGGTGTGCTCACATGGTAGTGCGGCAATCATCGTAGCAAATGACTAATTGAAGCAACTAGCCAGCACGTTCAGCCTCATCAATCAGACTGATACTCACTTCGAATGAAGCACTCTGGAGATGGTCAGACAGAGTGAGGTCACAGACACGCGACCCGGCGCAAGTGGGCCGAGCCGGTGAACTCTAAATCTTTCTGGATCCGCCTCCGACGTCTCTCAAAATTTCCAAGGCCTTCCTTTCACTCGTCATCCCCAGGCGCCTTCTTGCTCCATCACAGCGCGCCTTACTTGTATTTGTCCCTTTCGTTCCTTCTCGCTTTCGTTAATTCCCCCTCATGTGCTCGGCTGGATGCGTTGGAGCCGACTAAAACCCATCGCCGGATGTCTCAGCCACCGCAGCAGCACAGTCGAATCGCAAACCTTCGCAAACGTTTCGGGCATCAATGTACTTTGTAGATTTGTTTCCGGTGGGCAAACATCTATAATAAGTAATAAAAGTCATCCACGCCTTGGCTTCCGCCGTCACAACAACCATCCAACCCTCCTCTCTCCTCCCTTCCTCGCCAGAACCTTTGCCATGGACCACCCGACTACGAAAAGAAAACAGCCGCCTCCCAATTCTGTCTCAGATCGCCCGGTGAAACAAGTTCGAAGACCTTCGCCTACAATGCCCATTGGAGACAGAGGGCCGCTACAAAATGGCATCTCTGCCTCCCAGAATGAGACCCCGAATGGATACGGTTCGCCGATGGAAGAAGATGAGGATGTTCAAAGCCTGATACACGCCGCAGCAACCGCAGATACCGCAGAGTGGCAAGCGACGATCGAGAAGGTGGTGCAAAATGTGGTCAGCATACACTTCTGTCAGACGTGCGCATTCGACACCGAGTCCGCTCTTTCGAGCGAGGCAACGGGGTTCGTGGTGGATGCAGAGAGAGGGTACATCTTGACCAACCGCCATGTCGTCGGCGCAGGTCCATTCTGGGGATACTGCATCTTCGACAACCATGAGGAATGCGACGTCTACCCCGTCTACCGGGATCCTGTGCACGACTTTGGCATTCTCCGATTCGATCCAAAGGCCATCAAATACCTGCCGTTGGGAGAGCTCACACTACGACCAGATCTGGCAAAGGTCGGCGCGGAGATCAGAGTGGTTGGCAACGACGCCGGGGAGAAGCTGAGCATTCTTTCGGGAGTCATTTCAAGATTGGACCGGAACGCGCCTGATTATGGCGAGGGCTACTGCGATTTCAACACAAACTACATCCAAGCTGCTGCAGCTGCTTCGGGAGGCTCATCTGGATCGCCCGTTGTCAACATTGATGGCTTTGCGGTCGCCCTCCAGGCGGGTGGTAGAGCGGACGGTGCAGCCACAGATTACTTCCTCCCCCTCGATCGACCACTACGCGCTCTACAACTCATCAAAGAAGGGAAGCACGTCGACCGAGGCACGATACAAACGCAATGGATGATCAAAGCCTTCGATGAGTGTCGGAGATTAGGTCTCAGCTCGGAGTGGGAGGCCAAAATTCGAGCAGAGTTCCCAAAAGAGACTGGCATGCTCGTCGCAGAGTGCGTCCTACCCAAAGGCCCAGCGCACGAGAAGTTGGAGGAGGGAGACGTGCTGGTCCAAGTCAACGGCGAGCTACTCACGCAATTCGTCCGTCTTGACTCAATCCTAGACAGCAGCGTCGGCGGCAAAGTCAACCTCCTCGTCCAGCGAGGTGGCCAGAATATGGAGGTGGAGCTCGACGTTGGAGACCTCCATCAAATCACACCTGGTCGCTTCGTCTCGGTAGCAGGTGCCTCCTTCCACGATCTCTCATACCAACAAGCACGTCTCTATGCCGTCCCTCTGAAGGGCAGCGGCGTCTACTGCTGCGAAGCTTCTGGGTCATTCCGATTCGAAGGCTCTGAATCCGGCTGGCTAGTGCAGACCATCGACAACAAGCCCACGCCCGATCTCGACACATTCATTGAAGTGATGAAGGCAATACCGGACCGGAGCAGAGTGGTGGTGACGTACAAGCATCTTCGAGACATGCACACCCTCAACACCAGCATCATGTTGGTCGATCGGCATTGGCACAAACACATGCGCATGGCCACGCGAAACGACAAGACAGGGCTATGGGACTTTGAGGACCTCGCAGAGCCTGTGTCACCGACGACGCCAGTTCCCCGCAAGGCCAACTTCATTCAAATGGAGGGGTCTCAATACCCCGCAGCCGTCGACATTGTGCGCTCCTTTGTGAGAGTCAGTACGAGCATACCGCTGAAGCTTGATGGCTTTCCACGGGCTCGCAAGATTGGTTTTGGGCTTGTCATCGATGCCGACAAAGGTCTGGTGGTTGTGTCCAGAGCGATTGTTCCCTTTGACCTTTGCGATATCTCCATTACCATCGCCGATTCGATCATCGTGGATGCCAAGATTGTGTTTCTGCATCCGTTGCAGAACTATGCCATCCTGCAATACGACACCTCGCTCGTGCAGGCGCCGGTCAAGACTGCAAAGCTCTCGACTCGTTCGATCAAGCAAGGAGAGCAAACAATCTTCTTTGGCTACAATCAGAACCTGAGACCGGTTGTTGCGAAGACGGCGGTGACGGATATCACGACTGTTGCCATTCCCGCAAGCGCCCAAACGCCTCGATACCGCGCGGTGAATCTCGATGCCATTACTGTGGACTCTGGCCTGAGTGGGCAGTGCGGTAGCGGTGTTCTTGTCGCCGAAGATGGGACTGTACAAGCCTTGTGGCTGACCTACCTCGGCGAACGCAACGGACACAGCGGCAAAGACGTGGAATACCACTTGGGCTTTGCAACCCCCGCGCTTCTGCCAGTCATTGAGGAAATCAAGAGCGGAGGCAAACCAGACCTGCGCATTCTGAACTTGGAAATGCAGACAGTCCAGATGAGCCAGTCCCGCATCATGGGCGTTAGCGAGGAGTGGATCGACCGCGTGGAAAAGGAAGACCCGGAACGCCACCAGCTCTTCATGGTACGCAAGGTCGATGCCGGCAACATCGGCGGCCTCACCGAAGGCGACATCATCCTCACCCTCAATGACCGTCTGATCACGCGCGTGGACGACCTGGACGTCATGTACAACAACGAGACCCTCTCGGCCGTCGTCATTCGCAAGCAAGAGCAGCTCGCCCTTACCGTCCCTACAGTCCCCACCTCCGAACTCGAAACAAACCACGTCGTCGTCTTCTGCGGCGCCGTCCTGCACCGCCCGCACCACGCCGTGCGCCAGCAAATCTCCAAAGTGCACTCCGACATTTACGTGTCGGCGCGCATGCGCGGCAGTCCTGCCAACATGTACGGCCTCGGGCTGACAAACTTCATCATGGCGGTGAATGGGGTGCCGACGACGGACTTGCCGTCGTTTGTGCGGGAGACGGCCAAGATTCCGGACAACACGTATTTCCGGTTGAAGGTGATGACGTTTGATAACATGCCTTGGGTGGCGACGATGAAGAAGAATGAGCACTACTTCCCCACGGTGGAGTTTATCAAGGACCCGTCGGTGCGGGAGGGGTGGAGGAGGATCACGTATGAGGGTGGAGAGGTGAAGAGGGGTGAGGGAGAGGTGATGGCTGGTGCGGAGGCTGCGCCGCCGGAGGAGATGGTGGAGTGATTGATTGCGTGTGCACAAGCCCTATTCATGAGGGTACATGTAGTATAGTGTACACAGCGAATGATTTTGTGATCATTCCGTGAAGCATCCTGCGTGCATTGCACTTCTTCGTCCTTGCTTGTGGCGGATCCTCGGCTCTGCGAGGAGAAATGTAGACTGCCCTGATCCGTGTCTCCCCTCTCTCACGGCTATGGCATTTTACTTCGAAAAGCATCACGCTTCAAGGTGCTTCAATCAGAGGCTGCGACCTTTGGTAGAGAGCAAAGGCCTGGCGCACGATCTCTCAGTGCTCTCTGGACGTGCTTCATCCCGGATGGATTCGCCGACCGTTCTGCTGTCCTGGCAGTTATGTCCATCTCGCCTCTTTCAATCCAGCTTGTCAAGGTGTTCCAGCCGCGTAAGCACCACCTGCTTCGAAGTCTCCTGTATCTCGCCTGCGAGAAAGACCTCATCCAGAATCGCGTACACCTTGTAGAAATTAAACACCAAGTCCAACTCACACACATTCCCAAAGAACTGATCGAGCACCTCGACGAAAAAGTGTATTGCCTCCAAATATGCCAGCTCGTTGTCGTTGGCGTCGACGCATGCGCAGAAGAAGAGCCCGGCGTACCGCCGGTAGACGATCTTGCTGCTGCCCCGGAACTCGACGAAGTTGGATTGGTGTTTTTGGTCGCGTGGGGCGACGAGGCGGTGGATTTCGCCTTTCAGCTTGATCTTCTCGTCGTCGTTGTACGCGCCGTACCATTTTGCTAGGCGGGTCTTGCCTCTGGGTGGGTGTGAGTGAGGGGAGAGGGAGAGGGGTCGGAGAGGGGCGGTGCTTACTGCCGGTTTTGGATGAGAATGAAGGAGATGGCCATTGTTGGCAAGGAGGGCTGGGAGTGGCGACTATCGCGGTGTGTGCTCGAGGTGGTGCGGACGCGTGATTTTACATTGTCTGGTGTTGCGAATGCGATGTGGAAGGGATCGGGGTGAGGTTGAAGTCCTCAAGCTGTCGCACGCCGACCTCCTTACGTAAGCACACTGGTGCGCGCAGCCTTCCCTAAACGCTGCCAGAACATGAACGCGAGATACGATGCAGATATCTCCGACATGAAGCAGTTGCTCGTCATACCAATCACCATTACCCCTCGGTGCGGACTGGTCTTGCGCCCGGCGACATCATCATGGCCTCTCGAATCACCCTCTCGCTCTGGCCGACCAGCCTCGATTGTGTTCGCTGGTCTCAAGACAATCTCATTGCAGTTGGCGGCGGAGAGCACATTGCCATCCTCAGCCCGGATCTCAAAGAGTACGGTTGGCAATACTGTACATTTCGAGCCAACGAATTTACTGCCGCTGAGATCGCCCTGGCCGATCCGTTGAGTTCCAGCAACTTCTCTCCAGGCGAGGAGATCTCTATGCGTCATGTCCATGCGCTTTCGTGGTCTCCGCCTGGCCTCTTGAGATTTGGACGCTGTGGCCTGGCCGTTCTAAGTACGAATCACGTGCTTTCTCTGTGGGGTTGTCAAGGTCGGCCCAATGTTGAGACGAACTGGACACGGAGGCTCATTGTCAACCACACTCTACGAGCGTTCTACTCTGCCCGCGATCAAGATCGTCTCGAGTCCGAAAGTCAACGAGCGGAGCGCATTCAGGTCGCACAGCGGGTTCGCGCGTTTGCGTGGGCTGCGGCGACTCAGGACCAGAGTAGTAGACCTGTGGGATCGGCCCCACATGCCCAACATTACCTACTCGCCGTGTCGACAGAGGCAGGCGATATCTTGATCCTGCTTGTACGATCGCCCTACAATATCGTGTTTCCCCATCACAAAGACTGGGATGTACAAGTTCTCGGAACGGTCCACCTGCGTGAAACAGATTCTCAACCTCTGCAGAACGGACACACCGAGGAGGCTCTCCGAGGTACTGCTGATTATCTGGCGTGGGGTACATGGACACAAGACGCAAATGGACACACACAGACCGCACCTTTGGCTTACATTGTCAATGGTCAACTATACTGTATCAGCATACTCCTGGACACCTCGTCTGGTGCGCCACAAGCAAGCATCAAACGACATTCCAATGGCCTGCCTCTGCTGGACTCAGAAGTCAGCATGAGAGGCGTACTTGGGTTCGTACCAGATACCGACATGCTGGTGGCATTTGCCACAGACCGAGTCTTCTGCATCGACGTTTCCCGGAAAAATGAACACCCCGACGGCATGACTTCGCACGAACTTGACGACCAGTGGGACGAGATATCTGGCTTGGCCTTCACTCAACCAACGAAAGGTTCGACAAAGGTCCATATTGCCACGCACTTGTCGAGTGCTTCGGCGATCACAGCCATGCTCGCCCTGCCTTTCCAAGACCACTCTGACCGTGTTCTTCCCGCGTGGCAGGACGAGGTGAACGAGACCAGGAGAGTCTTTGGCGCACGACACAGCATCGGTCTCTTTGTCGCGGAACGAGTATGGGGAATTGCGAATTCTCCCATGAAAGACCACACCATCACCGCAGTGACCATGGTACCGTCGGATTCCGTGGCCTACCTAACAGCCACGGAACAAAAGACGGTTCTCACAATCAGCCGTGAGGTCGGACTAGATCAGGGCGACGTCGTACAGTCATATTTGCGGCTGAAGCGCTCTGCACCTGTGACATCAGAGACGATACTGTTCAGTCTACAAAGAGAGGCTGAGTTTGACTCGGATCGGGAAGGCATCGATCTGGCCATTGAAGTGGCAAAGGAGATGCTGACAGCGACCAACGGCCACTCAATTCCTACTCCTTCTGGTGACAGCATCGGGAGCGCTGTTCGCTATATTCGGCATACTCTTTTCATGGAGCCCGATGTCAAATGGGCAAGGCTTGAGTTGCTGATCAGCATCGCTTATAACGAGCCTACCTATGCTGGCTCGATTACTGAGGTCGTCTTTACGAGAGCGGTCGATACGGTCCTCAGCTTGCCCGACCAGTTCAGGACTGGGGGTCCCTTGAGCAAGAAAATCCTTCGTGCCTACACTGACATCAGTCAAAAGATGCTGGCTCAGGCGGACACGTCGAATGGAGCGGCTGCAGAAGAGTTCGAAGAGACGTGTGAGATCTGCAACGACACGATCACCCTGGAAAGCGTTCGATGGGCTCGATGTCGGAGTGGTCATCAGTTCTCGCGATGTGCGCTCACATTCATAGCGATTCAACGACCTGGAATCTCAAAGCAGTGTACGATCTGCGGGACACAGTATCTGAACGAGTGGAGTCTGCCGGAGCTGGGAGATCCAAGCAATCAGGGTGAAGTTGTGACGATGGATGAAGGCCAAGAAGAAGAGGACCCAGCAGCGAGTCTACCCGCAGCACCTGAACCACAGAGGGATCAGGCTGAGCCAATTGAATCTCTGGCTCGTATTATCTTTGCAGCTGTCGACAATTGTGTCCTTTGTGGAGGTGGGTTCGTGGCGTGAGGCTCACATGCCGTGCAACGTGGAGAAGTGGTGCTCAATTTCGCTGGAATGTGAATGCGAATTTGTTGTGACGACCAAAGCCAAACCCCAAGCCGTCATAGACTCTACACATTGTTCACGAGGAACGGCGACGCTGGTTCACAGCTACAATAGACTGGCTGGATGCGACATACCCTTCATCCTCCTTGACCGGCAATTTCGATGGAACACTATCTCCAGACCGACGCCGAGGAGATTCGCCTGTCCAATTCTCCTCGAAGATCGCCCCAGGTTACCCACGCCTTGACGAGTCCAATCACAAGCGTTCACCCTTTAATGCAACAGATGGACTCGATGCATGGTCAAATGGACCTGGGACTGCGAAACACCGACTACTTCGACGACGAGACATCTGATGAAGGCTCGCCGAGAGCGCCGACGAACTACGAAGGGGTGATGAACGACGGCTTGCTCGAAGGGAGAAGCATCTCCCGCAAAAAGCGATTTTCAGACCTTACGAATGAGCCTGTTGCTTCGCAGTGTGAGGGAAAGGGTGCACTGCGACCAAGTAGCGATGGATATCAGCGATTGACACCTACTATCCCGCTGGAAGACAATCGCTTCACAGCGCGGACACCAAGCAGCTCTTTGATCGGGTCGGTGGATGAGCTTCTTCCTGGCCCGAGGAGTAGTCCACCAAGCATGCCTCAGCGCCCTCACCAGGTCAGCAACAGAGGATTCAGAACATCTGAACGCATAGAGCCAACTCCAGATCGAGCCTCAAGGCTGGATCCCACTCTCAGTGCTTACGCCATTGCACACGACATCACGCTGCAGGCTCTGATGCGAGACGAATTCGCACTTGACAAGCAGTCTTTCCCACTCGCACCTCTTCAGATCCGGGATCGTTCGTCCTTACCGCCTGCCTCTCTTCGCTTGGACAGTGATCCTCGAAGTCCGCGAGATCGTCACATCTCTTCGCCACCCGAGACGAAAAAAGTTCACCTGATTCCGCCGCCAATAGACACATCCGCGCCTCGACGATCTCTTCCTGCAAACTTGGTCCGCACTCCTTTTCCATTCAGCCCAGAACATGCACATCCTCGATCGACCGGGCTTGATGCCGTTCACGGCTCCGTCAGTGCAACACTCTCCAATCCAGAAAGCACACTCACTCTCAGCATCCGCCAAAGCAACAAGAACAGCCGACGCAGGGTGACGACCCTCACCATCCCCGCAACGAATGATTTCCGGGCCTTACGATCTAACAGCACAAAGGAACAGCACTTCAGAGCTCTGGAATTCGACGACGCCGCACTCTTCAAAAGCCTGCGGAAATCTTACCTTCAGCTCGCCGGAGCATGGGCCGTCTTCTCTGCACGCTCCCTTCGTCGGATCATCGTGGAGGGGAACGCAATGAAAGAGATTGACCGCAACTACTGGATCCATCGACCTCAAAGCCCACGTCTGCGCGCCTCGAAAGATCTCCTGGATACCTTTGGTGAGGAGCGCATTATGCAGTACTACCGCAAGGCATCCCTCGGGAGATCAAGATATGCTTTTGTGCAATGGGCGCATCGACTCGCTGCTGCGCCCCCCGCAACTCGCTCCAACTCCCAACCAAAGGAAGATGAAGCCTTGGCGGAAGTCGAACAAGAGCATTCCGAAGGCTTGGAATTCGTGGTGTCGTGGTCTGTCACTCGCATCTCGCTTGCGCTTCTCCTGGTCATCATTGTCAGCGTGGCCGCGGCACTGTTGTGGATCTTCCTCGGCCGCAATAGTACTCCTGCCGGGTCTGTGGGTCATGGTGGTTTCCGGGATGCGGGGGACCGGGTGACTGCTGGTGTGGTGATGGGCATCTGCTTGCTGTTGCTTGGGCTGAGTGGGATTGGTGGGTGGTTGGGGGTGAGTTGGCTCGTCATGTAAGGGGTTGAGAGGAGTGCATCTAGACAATATGCCTAGAGTTACTACGGCAATGACCTCGCACGAGGACGTGGACTCTATACCTTACCGCGTGTCCACTTACTCGACCTCAGTCCCCATATTCTTCAGCAGTGCTCCCTGCACCTTCTTATCAATGTTTACAATCCACACTCGCGTCTCATTTAAAAGCAGCAGCTCGCCTTTCCTCGCAAAGCAGAAGTTCGCCACGCCGCCGGGTATAACGACCTTCCCGAGCAATTTTGCACCGGGACTCCAAACATTGACACCATCTCCGCATCCCGAATAAACGTTCCCTTCTAAATCGCATTTGATGCCGTCGGGTGCGCCGAAACTTGCCATTGCAAAGACTCGGCGGTTGGCGAGGAAGTGAGAGCCGTGTCGAGCTATTACGTCGAAGGCGTAGATCGTGGAGACGCGGGAGAGGTCTGTGGTGCCGTCGCCGTGGATGTAGTCGGTGTCTATAGACTCAATTAGTTGAGATTGACGGGCAGAAGATCGAGGCATTGCGTACCGGTAATGTACATGGTTTGCTCGTCGGGACTGAAGCAGAGGCCGTTGGGTCGATTGAACCCGTCGGCTACGACTCGGATGTCGCCTGTGCTTTCTGAGAAGCGGTATACTTGGCATGGCAAAGCAGGTCGTTCTCTGAAACCTTGCTCGTGCCCGTATAGCTGCGAATGTTAGCTGCTATTCGAGAATCGATTGATTGGCTTGTTCCTTACAGGATCCGTCTGAACGCGTTCGATTGGATTAGCAGATGTGATGAGCAACGAACGGTTGATGCTGCAGACTCACAAACCATAATGAACCATCCGAGTGCACGACAACATCGTTCACGCTGTTGAATAATCGACTGTGGAACCCGTCGATCAATGGCTTCGTCTGATACGGCGGATGTACCTCCATATGGACGAGCCCACCAGGTCTCGTCTTCGAGCCTTGGTCACAGAAGACGACGCCTTCCTTGTAATTGATACCGCCGTTGCCCATGACCACATCTGTGTCTATAATGTCGTATTCCCAGGTGCCATTGGATCTCGTTAACTTGCCCACGAGGATTGTCTGCTCCGAACTGTTCTTCGGAACGAATCGATTACTCGTAATGTAGAAGGCATCTTGTTGAGGAAGATACACCCCGGCCTCGTGAAATAGAGGGAATTCGTTCTCTAGGGCGAGTTCAATTGAAGGGTTACTCCCAAGGATGTTGGCGAATGCCTCGTCGTAAAGCGCGAAGTAAGGCTGGTTTGCATGCGCTTGCAACGACGAGCTCGCACATTGTGTGCGTTCCGCATACGATACGCGATGGATCCTCGATCTCACACTCATTGTTGGCTGCCTGGATCGCCCATGCAGCGTCGGGAGGCTTAAGCATGAATGACGTTTCGATCTTTCAAATCAATACATCGACTCCAGTTAAGTTGTCAAAAGCCGCCAGATCCCGACGCCTAGATCTCGTGTTAGCCTAATCCAGCAGGTGTACAGTCCTCTGCCTGCAGTTACCGATGCCCTTCATGACCAACCACCCATTTCATGCTCCTTTCTTCATCTCAGTGTTGGATTTCAAACGCCGACGCAGGAGGCCCAAGAGGGAAATAGAAAGACGGGGTGCATGACGGAGGACGTGGAGTTGCGGAGAAACCATGCGGAGTGTGTTCGTAACGTAAGTTACTTTAACTAACCCTTCCCGGTCGCGCCTGCCTCCTCTAATTCTCTCGACTCACGTGCTCCGTCGACCGCATCTGGCATCCATTTTCACTACACCGACGTTCGGCATGGCCAAACTCGAGGGAAATGTACTGCTCTACAACGTCACCCTTCTCGCTTGCCTGGGCTTCCTCCTTATCGGCTTTGGTATGAACATGTCATGGGAGACTCGTTCCGCTGGCTGGCTTGAGATCAGTCGCAGCGATGACATCCTTAAATCGGAGACAAAACTCTTGCTAATTCTGAATATCATTAGACAATGGCCTGATGGGTGAGATGAAGCCCGAAACACGCAAGATCTGGATCATACCAAGCTAACAGCCTCGTAGGTGGCTTGGTTAATGGTCGCTCTTTCGATACGACGTTCAACCTCGACACCTCCACGGCCTCGGGAGCGAACATCGTTGCATTAATAGTAGCTATCTACGAGGTGGGGTGCTTTTTTGGAGCCATTGTTACCGCTTTCATCGGCGAGACTCTCGGTCGGCGACGCAGTATCTTTGTGGGAACTGTTATCATGATTATCGGCGCCCTTCTCCAGGCTACATCCTACTACAGGTCTCAGCTCATCGTCGCTCGCATCGTCAGCGGCTTCGGAATGGGCTTCATCAACTCCACTGTCCCTGTCTTGATGGCCGAGTTCGCCCCCAAAGCCACCAGAGGCATTTTCGTCTGCGCACAACTCTCGACATTAAACCTGGGCATAGCGGTCGTCTACTGGATTGACTATGCCTTTGGAACAATCAAGAGTGGCCCAAGTTATGCTTGGAGAGTTCCTGTCATCCTCCAGTGTATCTTCCTCGTTTTAATGCTCATTGTACGTGGCGATCTTTCACCGAGACCGTGTCGGAGACGTATCGCTGACGTTTGTTGTCTCTCAGATCATTGCCATAATCCCCGAGACGCCCAGGTGGTACGATCGTTGCCTTCAGTTCACACCAGCCATAAAATTGCTAATTCCTCTAGGCTCGTTGCTCATAATCGACCTGACGAAGCCTTAGAAGTGCTCCGCCGCCTCAACCGGAAGAAGATGGACGATCAAATGATCGTCGACATCCATGCCGGCATCATCAACGCTGTTGTGGTTGAAAGTGCTGCTGGAACAGGCACGTGGAAGGACTTGCTGAAGAACGATGACATCCAGTCGCTGCGCCGCCTCTTGATTGCTTGCTCCATTCAAGCATTCCAACAGTTGGGAGGCATCAATGCCCTTATCTACTACTCGAATACAATGTGCGTTCTGAAGCTTGCTCTTGATGATTCGAGCGTGACTGACTCGACGTGCTTTGATCAGATTCTCCCAGAGCTTGAAATTCAGTCCCAATCTATCTGCATTGATGAGTGGATTTTTAAACACTTGGTGGGTCTGCTTTGACCAGCATTTCACTTTATATACTGACACTGCAACAGGTTCTTCATAGCATCCTTCATTCCCTGTATGATGCTCACAATTCTCGGCGCTTTGATACGCTTCTAACGTCCTCACAGGGTTCCTCATCGATCGTGTGGGCCGTCGGCCACTCCTCCTATCCATGGTATCCCTGATGTCCGCGGTAATGGTCGTCCAGACCGGCTTGATCTACAACGTGCAGAACAAGACGTCCATTGCCAAGGCGGCGGGTGCAGGAGCAGCCGCTATGCTGTTCATCTTCGAGGGCGCCTTCACCATTGGTATGCCTCCCTCCGTCCAAGACTGGGTTTTCCTATTAACGAAGTTTGTGCACAGGCTTTCAAGCAGTTGTATGGGTTTATCCAAGTGAGGTCTTACCGTTGAAGATACGCCAGAGAGGGTCGTCCATCTCGACCGCAAGCAACTGGATCATGAACTTCTTGATCGTGTACATCACGCCACCTGCTATCCAAAAGTAAGCACACTACCTCGAACCGGACCTCTCTGAAGACAGAGCTCCCACTAATGCATCCGCTATCAATCAGCATCGGCTACAAGACGTACATAATCTTCGCGGTGATCAATGCCGTGTTCGTTCCTATCGTCTACTTTTTCTACCCTGAGGTAAGGATTATGGGAGCTGCTATATCCAAAGACTATTCGCTAACAGATTCATGCACTCAGACCAAAGGTTTGGCCCTGGAAGACGTCGATCGCCTCTTCGCCAAACACGGAGGTGATGCTGAAAGGCGACTCAGCGCATTTGCGAACGAGCACCATGGGGTGGAGATAGCCAACGGTGGCGATATTGAGAAGCCAGTCAAGTATGCCACCTGATGCCCTGAATGACCGTACATGAAATATCATCGCTTTCAGTTCATCCCCGTGCTTTCAGACCGGGTTTCGCCACCATTTGGGTTCCGTCGACCACGTGACGCGCTTTGATGATATCCGCTGCCTGCAAGCGAGTCAGTCACGTCCACCTGCGCATAACATGAGTCTCATTGCAACTCACCTTCTCTGCAACCGCATAGACGGTCGCCCCTAGGCCCGCGCTGGGGATCAGTGGAATGATACTGGCATCGACCACACTCAGTCCCGTTGTTCCATAGACCCTCAACTCATTGTCTACAACCCCGCCGAGCTCCTGGGGCATCATCGCACAAGTCCCAGACACATGCCCAGTACTGCTTTCCGCATTACTCCGAATATGGATTCGCAGCCGCTCATCTTCAACGCCTTCGCTTGGTGGCGTGAAAGGCCTCCGGAACCCAAGCGCCGCACTTTCGCGCTCGTTCTCTTCCAAAGCGGCTTGCGCGGCGGTCATCGGCCAGCGCTCGACGGGCGTCAAGACAGACATTGCGCCCGTCCCCGCCCATACACGTGTGCGTTTGAGCGCGAGCATCATCATTTCCAAGTCGATGGGGTTGACGAGAGTCTGGAAGTCGACGAGTGGTGGCCCGTCGAGGGGATCCCATGGGTCGATGGAGACTGAGCCGCGCGCGAGCGGCTTTTGCAAGATGTGGAGGGCGTAAGAGTCGCCAGTGAGTGGCAGCTCCAACTGTGCTGATTTGTCGCTTGAAAGGGCTTTCAGGAGGAGTTCGCGCTGTTTGAAGAAGCCGGTAAGGAGTTCGGGACTTAGTGAGTACTCGCGAGGGAGGAATGCCAGAGTTGCTTCCAGATGTGCGGATTGCCATTGAAGCTGATCTGTGAAAAACGATGGTGGTGCGATGTCTGCTGCGGTGAACATTGATGCGACAGTGTGTGCCCCGGCGTATGGACCGGCACGTGTGCGATCGAACAGAGCCTGCATCTCTGCAGCGAAGGTGGCGTTGGTCGTCAGGTTCGTCGGAGTGTAAGCAAGGTCGGACTGGAAGTCGAAAGCAATGCCGGCGGCTGGGTGGTCTTGAAGATTCATGCCCACGCCCGGCAAGTCGATGCGAGGTTTCACGTCTGCTCTGAGCAACGTTTCTGTACGCCCTATTCCGCTTCTTTGCAGGATCAGCGACGAGTGCAGGCCGGCTGCTAATATGACCTCTTTGCGGGCGGTGATTGTCCTTGACTCGGTGATGTTGCGGCGTTTCACGACCACCCCATAAGCAGTGTTGCTCTCGTCCAGCAAGACAGACCGCACGCGATGGCCAGTCAACATCTCAAAATTCGGTCTTGACATGGCCGCATCCAGATGTCCAGTCACCGAATACGAGCGCGTCTGCGTCCTCGGATCCTGAGCCCGTGGAACCGAGATCATCCCATGCGCATCGCCGCCTGCGCCCTCCTTCGACTTCTGGATTCCCATTTCGTGCCAGCCTTGCATTTGAGGCATCAGTCCCGGCCACACCCAACCGGGAAAAGATACGTGAATGGGCCCGCTTCCACCATACGCCGCGGCCTCGTTAAACGTTACGTCGTGCTGCTCTTGCAACCGCTCACCTGGGGGCGTAAAGGTCACACTGCGTCGGAAATATGGCAGAAGACCATCCCAACCCCATCCAGGATTACCCAGTGCTTCCCAAGCATCGTAATCCTCGCGCGAGCCCCGGCTAAGCATCATGCTGTCGACAGTCGAGCCGCCTCCCGCGGTGGCTGCGGCGTAGACATTGGTGCGGCGGTTATTCAGGACGTTCTGCGGAACGGAGGTGTAGTTGTACATCAACTTGGGATCGTACAAAGCCCCAGCGCTGCTGTTGAAAGGCTGCCATGGTCGGGAGATGAGGGGATCGTCTCTGACAACTTCGCCGTACTCAATCACCAGGACTGTATGACCCGTCTCGCTCATGCGGTTGGCCACCACAAGCCCGCTCTGTCCGCCGCCGACAATGATAAAGTCGTAGACTTTGGTCTCATTGCGTTCTACTTCACTCCCGATCGGGCCGGACGGTCGAGGTCGAGCCTGTAGCCGGGAAGATTTTCGTCTTGAATTTATCTGACTGGATGAAGTTGAACGAAAGAGAAATATCCATGCCGCGACGGCGCACGCTAAGAAAAGAATGGAACGAAAAGCTAACCGACGCATCTTGAAGGCACACGTAAGAAATGCAAAGGGAGGGCAGTGTACATGTCCATTATTTGACAGGTCGCGGACTCACAGTACCCGTCGATCCGTCTCCTGACGATACAATGGCATCAGATGGCGAGCTCGCGCGCCAATTAGTCTACCTACGCCGTGTCTCGATCAATCTGCACTCGCGTAGTGTCCGGGGTGTAGTGGCGCCGCAATCTGCCAGCCTTGGCGAAGCATTGGCTAAATGGGGCAAGACCAAAACCTTATCCCTCAGCCTTGATTGAACTACAATAGACGCAAAAGGCGTGATCTGGAGAATATTACAAGCAGTACGCTGCAAACTAACGTGTACATTACAATCGTGTAGCGTCAGTTCTAATGGAGACAGAGAAATATCCCACCTCCGTCAATATTCGCGCCACGATGCAACACGAGCTTGTATCGAGATTGTCCGCGGCCTTGGCGACTCGCTAACTAGTACGGTACTGACTGCAGCTGTTCAGGGGGGTCCAATAATGGATCGCGTGATTGGTGGATCACCCCTATTCGAATAGCGCGCTGCAACATAGCTTATAGCCCCGCGCCCTGCTTTCGTATTGTTGCAGGGCTAGGCTTTACGATTTATCAGCAACGCGTTTTACGATGGACGACGCCAGAAGATGAATAGACTGCCACCAGGAAGGGGCAGGCTGCGGACGACCAGTGACGAGTTCTTTACATGATGCACCACCACACCCGTTCTGTGGAAGAGAAGGAGCTGGGGCTGCGAGCTCCGTGGGTTCCTGTCCGTACATCCAAGCAGTGAGTTTACTACTACACGTATACACTGCTCCGCAAGCTCAATAAACTGTCAAGGAACCGACCATCGTTCACCAGAATTCTCTCGGCGACTCTCCTACTCTTCTTTCTCGGATTATATGCCTCTCCAGCTTCAACATGGTCACGCGAGCAATGGCAAGATTCGATATTCGGAGTGACTCCCGCCAATGAGACACTTGGGTTCGGAGGAATCTTCCCAGTTGTGGCAGTGGGATCTCCAAGGAGAAAGGCACTACTTGAAAGAGCAGCCGTCACCGAGTTGAACTTGACCATCCCCGAACAAGTGGTGTGGACAGACGAGGATGTCCGACGCTTTCGAATCTTCCCCGAAGACAAATCGAGCGCAGGGAGGGGAAGCGTGACCGCGTGGCTGAGCCACCACGTTGCACTTCGGGCGTTCCTGGACTCGGGCCTTGAAACAGGTCTGATCCTCGAGGATGATGTGGACTGGGACATTCGTCTGCGGACGTACCAGATTCCGATTGCACAACGAGAAGCCAGATCGCTGTTCAATACGGGCCGGAGAGACGCCGGTAGCTACCCGTGGGGTCGTCCGGAAGGGTGGGACCTTTTGTGTAAGTCGTCGGAAGAAATCCCTCTTACCGTCCTACAACGTCTCCATGCTGACCTAAAAGATCTTGGTCACTGTATGGACTCATTCGACGACTGGGTGAAAGGCGTTGGGGTAGGGCACCGCCACCCTGAAGACCTCGAGAGAACAGAGCACAGAGTATACCGGGATCGCACGATGCTGGCTCCATCCGATCTGCATCCCTGGACGGCCTCGTTATTTACGTCATTCGACATACCCAAGGGCCACCGCATGCTTCACAGATCCGTGTTTCCGCTCTGCACCTTCGGATACGCCGTCACTCGGAAGGCTGCTGCGAAGATACTGACCACCATTGCGCCGCCAATGGAAATACCGAGCCGCCAAACTGGCGCGTACGATGTTGCGATCCTGAAGGGCTGCAATAGCGAGAACGGAGGGCAGCTCAGATGCTACAGTCTGCAGCCAGAACTGTTTCACCACATGCCTGCGAAGGCTGGCGATGGCATCGTTGCGAAGGCGGACGGGAATGAACGCAAGCCCGCGCTTCCCCCACTCGCTGTCGCAGGGATCCCACAAGACATGGTAGGTGTCACTGTCCTTGGGATGCGCCTATGCTGACCCTAAGATTGGTGTAGTACCGGAACGAAACGAGTAATATCGGCTGTGGGTTTTATAGCGGTGATTTCTACTTCGACGGAGACTTGGAAAGGCTGGAGTATCTGCGTACACAGGTGGTTCGACCGGGGCGCTGTCGTAAGCCTGGACGTGATGTTTCGTAGCTTACAGAAATGTGATTGCTTCCGATGTGTACGATTGAGAACGTGCTGTTCACAGACCCCCGCATCTCGCGCTAAAGTGGGGCGCGGAGAAGCCGGGGGGGGCGGAATTCGGCTCCATCCGAGGCCGCCTTTGGCCGCCTTGACGTGAAAACCGTGACCGTCTCTTGCCGTCTGCCCTCCGTCAATCGCCTCTAAGGACCGTGTCATCGTATTCTCGTCATGGAAAGTAGTGTGGCATACGATGCGGAGAGCCCTGGATCGTCCGGATCGGCAGTCGAGACACCGCCCAAAGGCGCGGCCCACTCGAGTGGAAGAGCTTCGAAGTCGGAGCGAGAGTAAGGCAGTGTGATCGTGAGGTGTGAAGCATGTGCTAATATCGGGTCAGGAAACGAACCTGTACGTAACCCTTGCGTTGCGACGATGTGCGCTGCAGCATGAGGAATGGGCCAAGCACAGTGCCCAGCCTCACTATCTCCCCTTCCGGCCAGATGGAACACAAGCTGAGTGAGGCCAGATCGAGCATGTCTTCATTGTCGGCAGAGAAAGTCGAGATGTGATCTGTAAGTTCAATTGCTGACAACATGGGAACACTCTCCTGCTGACCGACGTTCAGATACAGCAGTGGCGAACCAGGCCGGCCCCCATGCGAACGGTGCATTCGAGAGCAACACGAATGCATTCTCGGCGGCTCGAGACGAGGTGGGCGAAGAGTGAAACGCTCTCAGTCGGACCTGAATCACCCCGGTAGTGCAAGCACCGACGGCGCAGCGCTCGGAAACATCCTATCCCCCATGCCCATTGCTCCGCCCCGACGAGATGCCGCCGATGACCGAGTGCCGACATGGATCGACCGTGAATCACGTGTATTGCCGCCGCTCCGCCAGGACCCTCCCCAAGCTTCCATCCCGTCTGCCAAAATGACGGTGGATGACAGTGTTGCCGCCACTGACCTCCAGAATCCTGCGGACGCTCTTGAATTTCTCGCCAATGTTGCAGAGCGTGACTCGGGTTCCAACATGCTCCCACCGATTCAGGGATTCGGCAGATCACGTCAGTCGGCTACATCTCACGTACTGAACGACTCTGGTCGGCGCAGCGAGCAGCCGCAGTCAAGCGATGCCGTTGACTATCCGCCTCTGACACGGGGACTGATAACTTTTCAGATGATTCAGACGTTACTTGAGCGGTAAGTGACGCTCCAAGCAGGCAATCGCCCAGTTATCGCTGACGAATGTAGGTACGAGTCTCGATATCATCAATTCTTCCCCATATGCAGCCCCAATGTCATGCAGTATGAGCATCTGCAGACTAGCGCCGCCAAAGAGCCGCATCTACTTGCTGCTATACTCACGGTAGCCTCCAGAGACCAAAATGTAGGTGGTCCAGTAGCAGAGACTTACTACGACCATCCTCGCTGACCTATTCCTCGTACGAAAGGACTGGTGGCAGATACACGAAGCATGCTCGTCGCATATGCAGCAACTTATGGCGGACCTGGTGTACAGTGGTCGTGGAACGGTGGAAGCTGTCGAAGCCATGCTCATCCTCGCGGAGTGGGTCCCACGTCGGCCTCATGCAACCCAAGCCGTAGGCAGAGGTGAAGAAGATCAGGCAGCGTGGATGTTTGTGGGGGTAAGCCCTCTTGCTAAACCTCTTCACTTGCGCGTACGAGTACTGACCTTGTTCAGACTGCCATCAGATTAGGCTATCTGCTCGGTATCGACCGGACAGGCTTCCGAGGCGAGCACGATGGTCAGTCGCTGGAACTGAATCGGAAGCGTCTCGCTTGGGCCGCCTGCTACATGAGTGACAGACAAATCTCTGTCAGAGTTGGCAAAGCCTTCTGGTCTCGAGGTTAGTCCAGCTCTACCTGTTACAATGGTTCCTTATGCTCATACTCTATGCAGGTCCCGGCCCAATGACGGCCCTCCGAGCCGAGGACTTCCCCAGTCTCCGGACAAGACTAAATCAGGACGACTTTGCAGCAATCTTCCAGGCAAACCTCGAGCTCACTCAGCTCTTTTCCAATGCACACGACGTACTCTACGCAACCAAGGCTCGATCCAGCCAGTTGAACTTCGGCGGAGAGTATGTCAAATACATCGACGACTTTCGAGTTGCCCTACGCTCATGGCACAGTACTTGGGGCGTGTTCACCTGCTCGAGCCCATTGAAAGCCAGCCTCATACTTTCATACGAATATCTGCGACTGTACATCAATGCATTCGCCTACCAAGCCACGCTCAATCGATTGGTGGCACAGGTGCAAGCTTCCGCGAACGGGCAACCAACGCAGAAGCCCATGCACCCCTTCGGATCCGACTTGGCGAAAGAGCCAGACGCCCGCTTCATCTACGAGTCTCTGGATGCGGCGAAGTCATTGCTTAGCACCTTCAACAGCTTCGTGGATCCTCGCGAGACCTTCCGCTTCATGCCGTTGCGCTACTACTTGTACGTCATCTACAGCGCATGCTTCTTGTACAAGGCACGAGCGACGGGCGTCATGGGCGGTGATACACGTGGCTCCATCAAGCGGATGATCACCGACACCATCGATCGACTACAACAAGCCAGCGCCTGCGCCAACGATGTCGGAGATCGCTACTCGCGCCTCATTCGTCTGCTATGGCGCAAGCCTCCACCCCGGCAATCGGTAGCAGAGGGAGCAATGGACATCACCCGACCAAACACAGCTCAAGCCGGTCCAACGTCGAATGGCAACGGCATGCCACCCTTTGATCCCGCGATTTTCGACGGCAACGACGTGAATGCCTTCTCTTGGCTGGACCTGGGCGCGGTGGGAGACTTTGCGTTAACGAATAACGAGAGCGTCGGGAGTCTGGATGGTTTTGAGCACCTGAATGATAGTCCGACTGCGGGCTTTGCGGGCTTCGATGTGAATATGATGGCGCCGCAGTATAATTGGGAGACGGGGGTGACGTTCTAGAGGGGATTGTACGTACTGCGTGTTGGCAAGCGTATGACTAGCTGTAATAACACGGCTTGGAAGCTCGTTCATGCTTGCACACGTTCCACATTGATCCTCCTGCCTCTAACTCTCGCTCATTTGCCACTCCCGCTCTCCACACGAAGTTTGATTAATCTCGTCAAGCTTGGTCTGATCACCCGCAAGTATCGTACCTTGCCGCTTCGTTCAGTGTATCGGATGCTTGTTGTCTTGTATCACGACTTCTGCTTGGCCATATCCATCATCGAACGAGCGGTTTGGTCAGCGATAGCCAGGATCTGCTGTGCCGCTTGCTCCGCTGTATGCAGATTCTGCTGAGCCGCCTGCTGTGTTGTCTTTAACGTCCGCTGGGCTGTATCCAGAATTTGTTGAGAGGTCTGCCGGGCTGCCTCCAACGTCTGTTGAATCGTGAGGGTCATGTCGACAATCTCCTGCAGATCTGCGCGGTGCTCACGGCGAGGCTGGGGGCGCGCGGCTTGCAGATCCTGCATCCCCTCGCGGCATTCCGCAGTGCTCTGAGCGCTGTGCGAGGCCACCTCGCTTGTCACGCCTTTCTTTGGCTGATCTTGGTGACCGGTGTCATAGCGATTAACAGCCTTGCCATCTCCTTTCCACACCACACTCGCCAGCCGTCTACATGAAAGTTTCATCTTGGAGACGAGAGATTTGGCCTTGGCTTTCAGGATCGCCACGCCAGGCTTGTTCTTCTTGGGAGGTGGAGGTGTGGAGAAGCGAACGTGCCGACGAGTATCTGCCTCGCGCTTCCCGACAGTGGCTTCGCCAGATGCAAGACAATGGTGCGAATCTTTCGTATGCCTTGCTTGTTCACGACAAATCTGGCTGATCAAATTTTGCTGGGTATGTGCTGATGCTTGAGGAGCAGGCTGCCAGTCTTCATGGCAGAGATGGTGATCGGTCGATTTGGACTCCTCCTCCGAGCAGTGGCACTTCTCCCCGGAAGCAGCATGTTGAGATTCATTGAAAGCGTCCGCCAGTCGGCAAGACTCCATTATGCCTTCGAAAAAGGATCCAGTAGCGAGTGACAATTCACAGGCCTTGATGTAGACGCGATCCAGAATTTCAACATCTTGTTGCCGTGGCTTTGTTGGCATCTCGATTTGTAGCGACGAGAGTCCAGGCCAGACTTTTTCGGCCCAGCGGGTGGCCGACAGCGCGAAGCCTGGGGAAACACTTGTGACGGCCTGGTAGATCGAACGGGGCAGGCAAGGTGTGGAAGTAACGGCACAGTGAAACATCAACTGCATTGCAATTCCGGAAAGATCGGTCGGCTCATCAGGGATGCGTTGTAGGATGGCCTGGAAACTTTGTGCGATCATGAAGCGCTGTTCGTATGATGCACTCCAATCTGGTGCGGCATAGGTGAAAGGAGTCTTGAGGCCTTTGGCTGCGGCCTCCGTGGTGCGCGTATGGAAGTCGTTCTGGCTACCGCTAAGGTCGTCCGTTAGAGTGCCGAAACGAATCGAGTTGCCCACACTATACACGGTACACTCGTCAGCAAAGGATACCGAGGTATATGGTTGTTGCATTGGTCTCGCCGCGCAACACCTTCCAACAGTACTTGCGAGGCCGTCTATCGTTGCGTCGCGGGAGACCTCGCAACATGAACTTACATGTCAACTCGAAAATCTCGAAGCTTTGGGAGACTCCGCACGAGCCTGTTCAATGCTTGACCAGCAGTTCCTTGTCCTAGCATTACCGCAGTGGAAGTGGCTGGGTGAGGAATTGGTGGAGCAGCTCTTTGCGCGAACGGTTTGTCCTTCTTCATTTCTTCTGTCAACAGGTTGGTGGTGCCGAGCTACTCAACATGGTCAATAATGAACGGCAAACCGATGGAGCAAGACGCTCGATGATGCAACGCAACGAAAGACCAGCACACTCACAGATGGAATCTCAGAGTCCTCGTCTCGCGGTACTGCAATCTCATCGACTTCCAACAGCGGAGAGCAGCGGCGAAGTGGAAACGAGGCATTTTGGCCTGCGGATGAGTCGTTCCCAGAAGCATGGCCCGCTTCATTGTCTTGAAGCGTGTTGGATTGTGCTCTGCCACAAAGATTCGCAGCCGACGCTGCCTGCCCGTTCGTCTTGGGTGGCATGTTCGTAGGTGTTGCGAACAAGTCGTGTCGCCAACGCCCAGTGTGGTGGAGGAAGAAAATCTTCTTGGACGCTCTGCAAGAACAGGCAAAACAGGGTGGAGGTGTTGTCACCGTACAAATGCAGGGTGAATGAGCAAACGGGGAAAGCTTATGCAGCGCCACGTCGACATCGCTTGAGGCAAACGACAAACGGTGAATGAACGAAGCAAACTTTGACGTTGAACCAGCACCCATTTGATCCTTGTGCAGGTCGACACATACCACTGCTTTGGCCTGTGCTACTCTCATCTCGTTTCCCCTTACTTGGCCGTGCGAGGAAGGAGCGTAGGCATCGTGTCAAGGAAGGTGCGACCCTTTCCACCTTGAGCACGGTCCTTTGTCACTCGACCTCACAGAGCGTCGAAAGCCACGGAAGACCTCTCCTTATTCATCATCGTTTGAGCAATGTCGCACCAATCTGAACCCAAGGCCGATACAGGATTCCTCGAAGGATCTCATCAGCCTGGACCATCGGCCAACAAGCCCAAGAAGTCGGACTTGATGCAGGCATCGAACAATTTGTCGGAAGACGGCGCAGCAGCTCGTATAGCGAAAGTGGTGGACGCGCTGCCAGAGGGTCTCAGCAATGTCGCACGTTTTCATTATTACCTAGTGGAGCGCGTGAGTCTTTGCGCACCTCGCTGTTGTAACGAGATCTGACTTCCTTGCAGGCTCGTGAGGCGTACCGTCAAGGCGATCATGCCTCCTGCAAAGAGCAATGCCTCGAAGTCCTTCATCAGGCCTCTCTTCCAAACTACGCCTGCATCAAGACGCTCTTACTTCTATCTGGGGTAGTGAAGATCTCCGAGAGCTTCGTTCGTCTAGACGAGGCCATGGCCATCTGCGACGAGATCGAGGGACGCCGTGCAAACGATCCGGTCACTCCGAGGTTCCGGCAACTAGCTAAGGAGCTCCGCGAAGAGTTCACAGAGGCGTGGAATCTGGGGAAGAAGAGCCAGAAGGGCAAGACAGGGGAAGTCAGTGAGGCTACTGTCGGAGGGGTGCACGGAGTTCGCAATGCCGCTGAGACCGCGAAGAACCCGGGCACGGAGGTTCCAGCGACGGATTGAAAGGAAGATGGAAGATGATGTCCACCTGTTTCACTGGCGACCGGCATGTCGCCGGAGTAGATGGCAAGGGGCGTGGTGGTGCGTAGCGGAATGGACGAGATGAAGTCGCCGACCCCGACGGAGCTCCTCTTCGGCGCTGACTAAATGGATGGTGACCAGCGTACAAATGAAAGCATATAATTGACCCGCATAACACCGACCTGCAGCTTTTGCTTACCTTGCCTCCCCTTTTCTCCACCCGCTCGTCGGCGCATCTCGGCCTTCAAATAGGCCCGAACGCTCGCTTGTCGGCCAATGAAACTCGACCTCACTTGCTCACCTCATCAGCTGAATAATCGCCCTTCAGCCGTGCAGACGGGGACGGGGCTCGCAAATGCAGCGACGAGCTTCCCATCTAGGGATTATCAAGCAAGGCAACCGCACTCTAGACGTCGGCGCAGTATAAGTCCAGCCATTGTCTCCCCAACAATCCGCTGTCATCATCGCTCCTCCATCTCCCGACAATGGCCGCCGCATCCGCACGGAAGCCCATCCTCATCTCAGGCGGAGGCCTGGCATCTCTTCTTCTCGCCCGCTCTCTCCTTCGCTCCAAGATCCCTTTTGTGGTCTTTGAACGCGATGCTTCCCTCATCTTCCGGGCGCAGGGCTACCGCCTTCGGATGTCGAACGAGGGCCTGGACGCCATCGAGGAAGTGCTCGGACCCGGTTTTGACAAGTTCTGGCAGGCCACCAGCAAGACGGGTGGTGCCAAGGGCTTCGGTCTGTTGAATGCGGTCACGGGAGAGGACATTGAGCAAGACGGGACCACCCAAGTGTCCAAGGGGGAGCAGCAAGCGGCGGGCGGGAGCTATAAAGTTCCGGAGAAATTGGCGACGGAGAAGCTGCAGTCGAGGGGAGGCAAGACGATTGGGATCTCGCGTGGGGACATGCGTGCGCTGTTTATGGAGGGTTGCGAGCCCTTTATTCGATGGGATCATCACGTCGTCAGTTACGAGCTGACTGACCATGGCGTGAAAGCCGTCTTTGCCGACGGCTCTAAATCGGAGGAAGGCGAGATGCTGATTGGCGGCGAGGGCATCTACTCCAAGGTGGCCAAGCAGCTTTCGGACGGGAAGCTGAAGACGTACGACACGGGCGCGAGAGGTATTCACGGACAGTCACCGGCTACCGCGTTCAAGGGCTTGGGCGAAGGCGTCTGGCGATTGATCGACAGCACAAATCCCCAAGGCCAATCCTTCATCATCACCAACGTTCGCCCAGAGGATATGGACGACCCAAAAGCCGATCTTGGATGGACAATGAGTGCCACCCCGGGAGTCATCAATCCGCCCAACAACAACTTCCAAATCGTTGGTGAGACCGCAGCCAACATGGCCAAATCGCTGACTGCAAATTGGCATCCCAAGTACAAGCCGCTATTTGATGAGATGCGAGTGAAGGAGGCTGCGTTCTGGAAAATCACGTGCTCCACTCCTTCCGGCGTGCCTGTTTGGAAGAACGAAAACCGTGTGACTGTCATCGGTGATGCAGTACATTCCATGACTCCAGCGGGTGGAATTGGGGCAAACACGGCTATGCGTGATTCGGCACTTCTCGGGCGGTTGCTGGGGGAAGCTGGCGGGTACAAAGAAGGCCTTACAGCCGCGTATGAGGAGAAGATGAGGGTGTACGCGAGTGAGGCTGTGGCGCAGAGTTATGGGCTGGCCTCGAGCACGTTTCAAATCAAGATTGATGAGAACACGACGCCGGTGGTGGGGGCAGAGAGTAGAATTTAGAGGATAGACAGAATAACTCTTGCAATCGACTAAGAACGGACGGCTTTGTGCCATTCTTGTACAGCGAGCGCCCTGACGTCTTGTATAATCGAGTTCGGACTTTCCGCTGCTACGTAATGACCAGCATCGTCTCGCTCTGTTCCAATTAGTACGAACAATATTGTGTGAAGGCGGCAGACTGACCTTTATAAAACACCAAATTGCCCGTCCTCTCCACCGCTCGCTTGGAGGACGGCTCGGTGTCCCAGTAGAAGCTAGTATAGCCGAAAGGCACCGTGATTCGAATGGATGGGTCGATGGCGAACTCGGCGAAATGCTCGTGTCGAACGTTTTCGTAGTAGCAAAGCATGCTAGGCATGATTGTGCCGGTGAAGAAGTAGATTGAACAAGTGGCGAGGACATGCTGGGTCCAATAGCGTGTTTCCCACGATTCTGGGGCGGCGGCTTCGAGGTACTTTTCGCCGACGAACATCATGATGCCGATGGGGTTGTCGTGGAATCCCCAGCCGATTGTCATTGGGCGGGTGCGCATTTCTATGGCGTACTGTGGCATGTTAGACTCGAGATTGTGGGATGTTGTCAAGGAATCTGACCCCCATGTGGTTCTCCAACCAGTCGTCTCTATCGACGCGTCAGACGTCTATTCTCAAAGACGGGTTGTTGCTAATGACTTACACCCTGCCCTGGACCTCCAACTCGCGTGGAGTGTATTCGTTGCGCCCACGATGGTTAAGCTTGGGTAGAGGAGACGGAGCGAAATTGAAATGGATCAGTTTGCAGGAGTCGGTGTACCTGCAACCCATCCTGGTGTTGTAGCAACTAACGTCAGTACACGAAACGATCATGTCGAACAGAGGTAGATATTAGTGTCTTACTCGCGACCAATCCCTGTGTACTCGCGTCAGCTTGAAAAGTGTCCGCAGCCTTTGCTGGGATCCTGCGTCTGCGATGACTTACAGTGCGCCCAATCACCGCCGTGGAAATAGTATCTAAGAGAGCAATGTCAGTGTGACAGCCTTCAGCTACTGTCGGTCTCAGATCGCGTACTTATTATACCCAAGCCGTTTCATCAACGCATCAAAAATCCTTGCAGTGTCCTGCAACGTCCACTTTGACCGTGGAGGCCAATCGGAAAATCCGTAGCCAGGGAGAGAGGGTACAACGACGTTAAAGGCAGGAAGATCCTTGCTGGGTGGGTTTGCCAGAGGGCCCCAGACCTGATTGAACTCGTAGAAACTCCCTGGCCAGCCGTGACACATGATCAGAGGAATAGCATCCTCCCGAGGGCTCTTCGAATGGAGGAAATGAATCTTTATACCTTCGGGATGGTGGTACATGAAGTGTGGAGCGCTGTTGATTCTCTCTTGATGTTCGCTCCAATCGAAGTCATTGACCCACGCATCCCGAAGTTTTTTCGCCCATGTAGCGGGCGGGCAAAGTGTTTGTTAGACGAAATTCATCAACGGTTGATTGAGTGTGGGACCTACCCATATGCATCTCCATCCTGGGCTTCGGGGACAATGGGTTTGGGAGGGAGCCTTGTGTCTTCCAGTTTTCGTTTCAGCCGATCCACCTCAGCCTGTGGAATAGTCGGATCAAAAGGCTTGATGTCTTGAAGTTCGGCCATCACTAGGAGTCCACGTGGTTCAATGGAAAAGGCTGGACGTCAATGTCTACATGAGTTGAGGTATCTCCCCGCATTTGTCCAGCACGAGCCGCGGCGTTGGCGGGGTCGAATGGAGAAGCTCGATGCGGGGCTGACCACGCGCTCCGATTGGCCGGTGCGGCTTTTCTTGGCGCGACTTCATTGACGACACCTCTCGCGCGCGCCGGTCGAAAGCCATTGACCGGTAGACGTGCAATAACGATCAAGACAAGCGAGGCCACAAGCCTTGCGTTAGCGAGAGAACCGTGGCGCCGATTTTACGGGAGCTTTCGGAGGGACTTTTCAGTGGATTGCAAAAATTCTCGCTCGAAGCACCCAGAGTGGCGTCAGGATCTGGTTGTTAGCATCATAGCTGGTAGTGATTTTGTGGACCCGACCACCACCCGGATGCGCGCTTAATAACACCTGATACTGTGACATCCAACATGAGCGCTCGGTACGGCAGATTTTACTCTCTTCTGCACCAATCCATTCCCGCTTCTCAAAGACTCGTCCAACATACTCGACGAACGATGGCTTCTAAGGCAGGAGGAGCAGAATGCCCAGTGCACAATGTCGCTGGAGGTGGCACGAGGAACACGGATTGGTATGAGTTCAAAAGCCATCCCAGGTGGCAATTACCAGCAGTCACTGACATACGATCCTTAGGTGGCCCGAACAACTCCGTCTCAACATCCTCCGTCAGCACACCAATGTCACCAACCCACTCGACGACTTCGACTACCCCAGCGAGTTCAAAAGCCTTGGAAATGATTACTGGGAGTTGAAGAAGGATTTACATGCGTTGATGACCGACAGCCAAGACTGGTGGCCAGCAGACTTCGGACACTATGGCGGGCTGTTCGTCCGGATGGCCTGGCACAGCGCTGGAACATACCGTGTGTTTGACGGCCGTGGTGGTGGAGGCCATGGGCAGCAGCGTTTCGCGCCACTCAACAGGTAGGCGGTCCGGAAACATTTCTGTCTCTGCCAATGCTGATCCGCCCGTCAATAGCTGGCCTGACAACGTGAGCCTCGACAAGGCTCGCCGCCTGCTTTGGCCGATCAAAAACAAGTATGGAACGCGCATCAGTTGGAGTGATCTCATGCTGCTCACCGGCAACGTCGCCCTCGAGTCCATGGGTGTCAAAACCTTTGGATTCGCCGCCGGCAGAAACGATGACAACGAAGCTGATGAGGCAGTATACTGGGGCGTAAGTGCACTCTAGAGAGCTCGTCCGGCTGTTCCGAGACCAATCGCAGTGATAATCTCGCTGGTGAGGCTTGTATTTGCCAGCGAAATCACGTGATTGGTCAGAGCACGTGACTTATTCTACCCAACATTCTCAATAGTGTACAAAACACTCGCTAACCTTCAAAACCTTGCAGGGAGAGGCCACATGGCTTGGCAATGAGGTCAGATATAGTGAAGGCCAGCCTGGTCCGGATGGCCACGGCGTCGTAGATGGCGACCAATCTAAGATAGATCACTCGGACATCCACTCCCGCGACCTCGAAAAGCCTTTGGCCGCCGCCCACATGGGTCTGATCTACGTCAATCCCGAAGGCCCAGACGGCGTTCCGGATACCAAAGCATCGGCCCGCGATATCCGCACCACTTTCAGCCGTATGGGGATGGATGACGAAGAAACAGGTCCGTCCACCGAATACTTGCATCCTGTGGAATCACGCTTACATTTTCCTAGTCGCCCTCATTGCGGGTGGCCATACCTTCGGCAAGACTCACGGCGCTGCATCATCCGACCACGTCGGCAAGGAGCCCAACGCTGCAAGCCTCGAAGAGCAAGGCTTCGGCTGGCACAACAGCCACAAGACTGGCAAGGGTCCCGACACGATCACTTCTGGCTTGGAGGTGACATGGACAAGCCAGCCCACCACTTGGACGAACGACTACCTCAAATACATGTGTAAGTCATTAGGAACCACCCCCGTTCCTGTTACACTTATTGTCCTACGGTGTATCCATGCTGACCCTTAAACTCAAGATGCCTTTGAGTGGGAGTTAGAGAAGAGTCCAGCTGGAGCTTCGCAGTGGGTGGCCAAGGGCGCGGAAGCCACAATTCCCGATGCCTATGATGGTATGTTAAGGCCCCCCGCTCGGTAGTGTTGTCCATTTGCCCCGAGACATACTACCGCATTGGGAACCTCCTCCAGCGGATCTGGATCCATGCTGACCCATAAAATTGCTAGGAAATGTCAAGCACAAGCCTCGCATGCTTACCACAGATCTTGCGCTCCGCTACGGAGACGAGAACTACGACAAGATCTGCCGCCGATTCCTCGAGAACAACAATGAGCTTCATGACGCCTTTGCACGGGCTTGGTAAGCGCTGGTAATCAGCACCTTTATAAAGGATTCAGGGCTAACATTCGGGATCTAGGTTCAAGCTCCTGCACCGTGATATGGGGCCACGTTCGAGGTCCGTTTCCTTCGGAGACCTTGCTTAGCTGCTTCGAGATCGATCGCAACGGTGGCTCCGCCGGTGGCGATCATAGTTGCCACCGGTAGCAGCTTCGCGTAGTTGATCTCTCAGCACTGGGCTTGTTCCTAACCAATACTCATGAATGACAACAAGCACGTGCTAACCCTAGAGTTGCAGGTGGTTCGGCCCCGAGATCCCATCCGAAGTCTCTCTGTGGGAAGACCCGCTGCCAGAGCATGATGGCCCGGTCATCGATGGTAAGTCAGAACGGGCTTCAAAGCTGGGTGACGAACTTGCTAATGGATCCTGCAGAGGCGGACATCAAATCTTTGAAGCAGAAGATTCTCGCTCTTGGACTGCCGCTGAACCATTTCATCCTTGTGGCTTGGTCTTCAGCCTCGACTTTCCGTGGTACTGACTATAGAGGTGGAGCCAATGGCGCACGCATTCGACTAGCTCCACAGACAAGCTGGCCGATTAACAATCCTACGCCTGGTCCTCAAGGCTCGATCCTTCAGGAAGTCTTGCGCGGACTTGAAAATGTCCAACACGAGTTCAACCAATCTGGGAAGAAGGTCTCCGTGGCCGACCTGATTGTACTTGCCGGAAGCGCCGCTCTTGAGAAAGCCTCCGGCGTGAGCGTGCCTTTTACTCCAGGTCGCGTTGATGCCACCCAAGAACAGACGGACGAGACCGGCATGGCCCATCTTGAGCCACATGCCGACGGCTTCCGCAACTACGGCAAGAGCACAAGCCGTGTGAGCACGGAGCGCATGCTCATTGACCGCGCACAACTGCTCGGACTCTCCGCTCCTGAAATGACTGTCCTCGTTGGTGGGCTCCGCTCCCTCAACGCCAACTGGGATGGCTCAAGCTATGGAATCTTGACCAAGGTAAGCGTATTGAAAGCGTTGCTGTATTAATAAGCACTAACGCGATGACAGAACCCTGGCACGCTGTCAAACGACTTCTTCAAGAACCTGCTCGATATCAATACGGAATGGAAGCAAGGCAAGAACGGCGAGGTCTTTGAAGGCTTTGATCGCAAGACGGGCGAGAGCAAATGGCAGGCGTCGAGAGTAGATCTTGTTTTCGGCTCCCAGCCGGAGTTGAGAGCTATTGCGGAGGTCTATGCCAGCGACACGGCAAAGGACAGGTTCGTCCAGAAGTTTGTTGCGGCTTGGACGAAAGTCATGAATGCGGATCGCTTCGACCTCCGCTCACAGCCGGGAGCAAGCAAGGAGCACGCTCGTTTGTAGGTGGGAACGTTTACGAAGCTAGAAACTGCGTACTGGGTTCGTTGAAGTATTACATGCCTACGTTCATCGTTCCATTACCCCCTGTCGCCCCCAATACTCTCTACCGAAACGGTAGTAGTTGGAGTCCAACGCATCCATGGCCCCCTGTTGCTTTTTCGCACGCTCTTCGGCCTCTCAAGCCTTACGTGCCTGAGCCCCATTGCCATCGCCGGAAATTCGATGAGTTTGAGATGGTCTTGAAGTGCGGCGTGAAGGAGAGGAACAATTGGGCCGTCGTGGTCAAATGTATTCGGAGGGATGCGTCCACTCACATGCTGCAATTCGTATTGTGCGCGGATTGCGTCCATGAACGCTGTGCGTTTCTTCATGTTGATCGGGACTGTCGCGAGCAGCGATTCAACTTCCTTGTCGGACGCCGGTGCCGCCATGCAAATATACCAGTCCTTCTCGCACGCCTGTCAGGGATTAGCTTCGCCCCACTTTTTAGGCGGGGATCAATTCACCTCTTGCACAGTCCGGAAAGGGATGTTCGTCACCCGCTTGTCATCCTCATACATCGTCCACACGTCGAAAGACTGCGCCTCGAACTCCGTCGTCTTCTCCTCCGACGCGTCCTGCTGCGGCTTGCGTGCATCCGCTGCCGATGGTGACCCTCGCTCATAGGCCAGGTAGTGGCCGAAGTCGACGCTGTTCCCAATGTGGCGCAGAATCCATTTGATGTAGTACGGCCTTTCGCGGCCGGCCATGGCGAAAAGACGTTCCGGGAGCGATATGGCCGTCCTGACTTTGCTCTCGCCACGGCCGTCGAAGCGCTTGAGTTGGATGACGATTTCTGGGCCAAGGGAGTCCTGCGCGGGCTCCAGGCCTGTAGCCCTGCCGTGGATCGTGTCGGCCTCGCATTTGCCACACCTCTTCTCCACTTCCTCGACTTTGACCATCTGGTCAAGCAGTAGTGAGGTCAGCGACGTAGCGGGGGTCGACTCTTCTAATCCGATCGAGTAGATGACCTCTTCCTCGCTGGGACCATGGCTCTCGAGGTCGCAATCGATGCACCTGTCCTGTGCAGATTGTTAGCCTTTTCCGCGAGGAATCATCTTCGATTGTCATACCTTGCTCACGATGTTGTGACCGAACGCCGTGCGCGGTATCTGCCGGAGTTGTCAGCAAGTTCTTCGCGATGACATGCCTATGGATGAATCATGTACCTCTCCCAATCCGTCCATCATCACGTGTCGAAAGAACTCCTCCGCGTCTTGCTGTTTTCCGGGCACGTACTGGCGTAGGGAATGGTCCTTTCCGAAATGCGTCCAAAGCTGCTGCAACAAATGCTTCGAACCGTCGAACGACTTCGCTTTGATGGCCTGGATTAACTCGAAGAGCTTTTGTCCTAGCTCTTCATTGCCAGCCGGGGGAGCTTCTCCGCCGTGGAGCAAGACGTCCGGGGCCCGCTTGCTCGACAGTATCAGGCGAAACATGCCATTCTGATAGCATGTATTGCCGCCATTGAAGACACCCGTCTGCGTCTTCGTGTTCCCGGATTGAGGTTCGGCGCCCTTGAAGTACCTTTGACCGCCGGGGACGATACCAGGTTCGCGGGGCAGGCCTCGCTTTGCGCCTTCTTCGATAATCGTGTTGATGTTCTCTAACGGGAGGCCTTGCAATTGTCAGTGCACTTCCGCGATGGCGTTATAGGGATGTTCAACTCACCGCCAGCCTCGTACACCGGCTTGAATGCTACGGCCAGCAGACAACGTGCATTGTCATCGAGCCTCATGTCTCGGAACAGGCCTGTCAGCATCTCGTCCAAGCGATGCGCGAGCGTGTTTGAATAGTGTTCGGACTGTGGAGAAGGTGGGAAGTGTTCGTCTGGGCGCCACTCTCGTGCAGCCTCGCGGATACGCGCTCCGATCTCACTGTCGTTGGAAATGTCTTCGTCTTCTCCGTAGAAAACGGGCAAGAAGACCGATACAATCCGGTAAAAGCCTCGATCTTTCAAGCAATCGCCTACGATGACGGATAGTGAGCTCCTGCCCATGGCATAACCAGTTTGGTTCTCGATACGACTTACACAGATCTTTGACATCCTCTTCGGACACCTCTGCCCCGTTGGCGACTTGCTCACGGAATTTCTCGCACTCCTTCTGCAAGGCAATTGTCTCCTTCAAGCCTTTGGAGATGTCGAACTTGCTGAATCGATCCATCTTGGAGGTCATGGCTGGCGGTAGTCGGTGGTCTGTCTTCAAATGAAAGTCTGGTCAGCAACTGCAGAAGAGTCCTGCCTTGAGCGTCGGAGGACGGTTACCTTTGTCACCTAAGTGGTGAATTTCATCCAGTGACTTGGGCAGTCACTTCATGAAACGGGGACAGGGCGGGTGTGAATGGCGGGGAGTGAAGAGTCAAGTTCGGTTGAAAGACCGGTGGTGTGAAGACACGAGAGCTCGCAGTGGATTGATCGAACCAGTCTCAGCACAATCGCCGGTGTAACAGTCAAGTTTTGATTGGAAGGCTACGGACAAAAATCGAAAACATACTTCCCGGACACTGCGTTTGCAGACCTGCATACAAACGGACAATTCGAACAAACGGGCACGTGCATGCTTCAAGGCAACGAAGACCATTCACACAAGAACATTCAAGGGCCAGCAAACACATGGCAACGCCACCGACATTCGCTCAAAGACCTTCGCCACGACCATCTTCGCTCAGTCCATCATCCTGCAGCGCATCGTACAAATCACTCGCCTAGCTTGGCCGTACCTCTACGCCATGGACAACGAGGCACAGGAAGGGGATGAACGTGAGCGAGGGCCTAAGGACGGCAAGAAACCGGGCAAAGACGGCAAGAAGAACACATCGATCCCCAAGATGTGGCAGCTCGGCAAAGACTACCAAATCTACGACCCTTCCGATAGCGTGGCCTTCCTCAAGAAGACCATCAGCATGACTACGGGCAGGGCGATGCCCTTCGCATGGCAGTTAGCGCTCGTGGCCAACGACGCACTGAACGTGAGTGGCTAGGCTGACATCTGGGTCAACACCTCTAACTAACGTTGTTGTCCCAGGTTGAGTCGAAACACCTCGGCGTGGACGGGATGTTTTTCGTGTCCTACGGGGCCTTCTACCCCAAGGGAGACAGTGCCGATCGCATGCCTGAGTCGAAGCAATACATATTCGGGCCTCAGCTGTTCTTCGCTCGATTCCCCCAATTGGTGAGTGCGCTCGTCTACCCAATGGCTGTGGCTATCAACCTTCGCAGCCACCTGGCCATTCTTCAAACAATGTATCATTTGCTGACTCTCGATTCGTCACAGGGTTCCGAGAGAGAGCTGTGGAAGAACAAGTCGCCTGAAGACAAGATCCACCTCAGCAGCCTGTATTGGCTTCATCAACGACTGTCCAATCAACATCCCGTCCTCCCAATCTGGTGCACCCGAAGCAAATACTCTGCCGACATCGAGACACGCATCTCCCCGTTCCCCAACGCAGCTTCCTTTGGAGAGAACCTCTCCTCAAAGCCCCAGACTCGAGATACTACGACCGATGCGACAGGACGGACGAAAGGGCTTTACGTGGACCTAATTCAGGACCAACTCCTTTGTGCTTCTGCTCAGGACTATCGCGAGCGGTGTTCGGACGGCCCTCGTGGCTATCTAGTACCCTCAAGTGTCCAGACAGACCAGGAATGGAGGGACCAGCAGCTCCTGGACCAGCAGAATCCGATTGCTGCCTTCATCCGTGCGGTCGGCAAGGCGTACAACGACACTCCCGACGACCTAATAACCTACCAACACGCTCGCCAGTGGGCTCCTGTTGCGGAAATGCTCTACGTCAAGGACGCCGCGAAGATTGTCATCACTGCTGAAAATCATGAGAAGATGACCGCCGACTGAGGAGGAGGATCTGCTCAAGTTGAGGGATGCTGCAGGTTCGACACTGTACAGCTTCTGCCATACTTTAAAGGAGCCGAACAACCGAGTCGCGTGAGGTGTGGCGGTACAAACAGCGAAAGATGAAATCCGCAGGACAGAAACAGGACGAAGAGCAGGAGGGGTAAGGGGATGGTTGTAGTCGTTGATGATCCCGTTCAAAGTCCACGCTTTGTCTTCGTAACGAACTTCTTCAACTCTAATTTCTACTTTATCACTCTTCATCAGGAATGTCATCGTCCGACCCTTCAAAGCCTTCCAGACCTTCAGAGTCGTCCGACTCCGACTCATCCTCCTCATCCCGCTCCTCATCCCGCTCCTCTGCTTCGCTCCATTCACTGATCACAAGCCACCTCACCTTCTGAGCCGTCTTGCTCTCCCGGCGATCGGCCTTTGCCATAGCGTCGCCCGACCGCTCAGTCTTCTTCGCCACCTTCCTATCCCTCTTTGCCTCCACCTTAGCGATCTTCCTTCTCAGCTCCTCCTTGCTCGCCGAGGGCTGACTGTCCTGCGTTTCCAACAGGTCCAGCTCTTGCTGGAGCTTCGAAACCTTCCGATCACCCTTGAGCTGCTTCCTCTCGGCGCCTGCCGTTTTCTTAAAGGCCTTCGCTCGCTTTTTGGTCATTTTTCTGGATTGCTTTCGTTCCATCCTCGCGGCTTGATTGGCGCCCATCTTCCGCAGGAAGTTATCGGGCTTCACTTGCTGTGGCATATCGAAGTCAAGGGGCTGGACATAACCCTCCAGGGCTCGTACTCGCCGCACTCGCGGGTCGTCTCGATCGGGCATCTCCTCGGCCATCGCCTTGGCGGCTTGCTTCGATGAATAACGGGAGAGGTCATCCGGCTGCTGCTCGATGTCTGGCAGCTGCAGCTTCTCGTGAGGGTAGTGTACTTTAGACGCCATCTTCTTCGTTGTAAGGACGTTGAGATGAAGTCCCGCCGGGTGGAAGAGATTCGCGTTCATCGCTTTGACGTATGCCCTGGTTCGCGCATATGAGGTTGCGGCAGATGCGACTCCAGAGGCGACTTGCAATCCGATGCCGGCCCATTGCACGGGATCAAGACCGTAGAACATTCCCATCACGCCACCGACGACGCTGGCCCCTTGATATAAGGGGTGGGCTTGAAAAGATTTAGTGTTTGCTCAAATGAAAAGGGGAGGCGATATCACATACCCACGAACGCCTCGTTGAGCCCGTCAATAAAGGTGGCAAACGTTTCCTTGTCGATGCCATGCTCTGCTAGCCCTGGAGCATACGCTCTAACGAATGGGGAAAAGAATGCCCCCTTCCAGGTTTTACTAGTTTCTATCCTGAATCAGCAGGCTGTATGCGTAGGAGTTGGAAGGGCAGAACCCACGGGGAATGACAACAGGCAATGGCATTCCATGTCGTGAGGCGGAGACAGAGGGTGCTATGGTGAGATCGTGCGAGAGTGATGATTGTAGCCGGTTGTCACTGTCCGTCGGTTTGAGGGAGGGCGAAAGTGATCGGGGCTGGTTGTCGTGTCCCGCCTGCAGTGTTCGTGCGTTCAGCTGTTGGAATTGAAGACGTAGCGCTTCATCCTCAGGCTGTGTCTTGGGTTGGAGAGTATGTGATGATTTATCGTCGGAGTACAGTGGTTGCTTCTCTGGAGGGAAGCCAGTCGCTTGCTCGTAACTTGGGGGGTTCGACATGGTTCAATGAGATGTTGAGAGAGTAGATGGTAGAGAGCGTTCAAGTTTTGAAATGGTATTCAACGACAACCGCAATCAATATATATATCCGCTTGCGACCCTGTGGTTTCATCGTTGTTAGCAGTCTTGGCCGAGAATAGTAATAGGCACTGTAAATATCAAGATCAGCAGCGCTGAACAGAACACCCTTCCCCCAATGGCTAGCTGGACGTGTCGATCATTGGGAGAGGCTGAGTTTCGGTGGACCCAGGGCCCTAATTCGTGAATTTCGGTTGCCAAATATGCCTATACTGCCCGTTCAGGTAAGCAGGAAGTTGACCTGCCACCTCCGTCATTTGCCGCTGATTCCTATACAGGCCTGGGAGTGGAGTGAATTTAACCTTTTTGGTAAGTGGGGTGCAAACACGTGACGCTGCGCCGGACGTCGAACATCACGTCATCTCTGGGTTCCCAGATCGCGCAGCAATCTGGTCCCTACAGTTTTGAGAAGCATATTGAGGGTGCGCATGAGAGACGATATACGTGTGCATCAAGGTAGGCGACAGACACGAAGTGAGCTGAAATATGGCCACGTGCCATAGCAAGATCGACTCGCAATGCCGGAAACACGGCAGAAGTCTAAGTGCCTGCAGTGCGCGGGGGAAATATCCGACTCCAATCGTTTGCCCAGGTGGTTGTCGTTCTTCTATTCTCTGCACTCTGTTCGATTTCTTTACGTACAGTCATTTACTACATACTCTCCTCCTCACAGTCAGTCTTCACGCGGACATGAACACGATTCTCTCCTACAGCGAATGATCAACGTAGCGGAGAGTGCGCCGACATCGGCGCGGTCGTCGTCTCTTGCCACTATTCAACATGGAACGAGCCTCGTCGGAGAAGAAGAGCGAAGATCTTACCGTCGATACGCTCGAGGAATCTGCGGTCGAAGCACAGAAGTCTCACGATGAACGTACTCCTGAGCAGGCAGGCGATGCCATTGCTGAACCGTTGGACACGCCACCCGATGGTGGCTATGGATGGTCCGTCACATAGTCTCCACCACCACATAAGAATACTTGACTGACACAACAGCCAGGGTCGTCTGCTTTGCGCTTGCATTGATGAATGGAATGACGTGGGGTATAGCAGCGTAAGAGCCCGTTTCCTGTTCTCCACGTCCACCACTAACCCACTCAGTTCCTACGGCGTCTTCCTCAGCCATTACCTGGCAACCGACTACTTCCCGGGAGCCACTCCACTCGACTATGCATTCATAGGTGGCCTGGAATTCGGCGCCGCCATGCTCATCTCTCCTCTCACCACAATTTTGACTCGGGAACTAGGAAGGAGGGTCGTCATGTCGGCCGGAATCGTCATGATCAGCGGAGGCTACATCGCCGCCTCCTTCGCCTCGCAAATCTGGCAGCTGTATCTCACGCAAGGCGTCCTCGTAGGCCTTGGAATAGGCGCAATTTTCATCCCAGCCATTGCTGTACTTCCGCAGTGGTTCCTCAAACGCCGAAGCTTCGCCCAAAGTCTCGCCTCATCTGGTTCGGGTTTCCTCGGCTTGGCCTTCAGTCTGGCAACGGCTGCGATGATCAAGCAACTCGGACTGCCGTGGACGCTGCGCGTCATTGGACTTTTGGCATTTTTCGGAAATCTCGTCAGCATGGTACTTGTGCGCGATCGCAACCATCTCGTCAAACCCCCGCAATTGGGCTTCGCGGTTCATCTGCTCAAGCGATACGATTGCCTTTTGTTGCTCTGTTGGGCTTTTGTCCACGTCATGGGATATATGGTGCTGCTCTATAGGTAGGCCTGACCATTTGGAGAGGGAAGATGAGTTCCTGGTAACTAATACGAGTTTCTTCCGGCCAGCCTGTCAAGTTATGGAACGGAGGTTGTTGGGCTAAGTCAGGGCCAAGCGGGCATTCTCACTGCAATTCTGAACCTGGGCACGGGGATTGGAAGACCCCTAATAGGGCTGGCGAGTGATCGGTGGGGGAGGTGAGTGCCATGACCATCGGTCTCTGTTCTCGAACGTTGCTGACTTCCCAAAAGGATACCCGTTGCGTCATTGCTTACCTTTGCGAATGGACTTATCATTTTGGCATTCTGGATCGTAAGAAACCTTCAGGAAGAATATGTTCAGCTGCCTCGAGATCAATTGCAGCGATCGATACCTGGAAAAGCCCCTAGTAGCAAACTCGTGCAATTGATCAGAGCACTGAACTTATTCTTACCCAACACCCTTGAAGTGAGACAAAGCACTTGCTAACCCTACACTTCTAGCCAGCAAACTCGTTCGGATTCTTGCTGTTCTTCTCAGTGGTGGCTGGGGGCACCATGGGCGTGTTTTGGATGTAAAACGGCCTTCCCTTCGTTCCTCTGAAAGGCCAGACAACTAACATCGCTGCCAGGACCGTAGGACCACTCTGCGCCGAGGTTGCAGGCCTCAAAGAAGTCCCTTCCTTCCTCGCTCTTCAATGGCTTACCGTTGTATTGCCGACTACATTCGCCGAGGTACGTACTGCGTGTAAGTGAATGCAGACTTGTTCTTGACTGACACCTGTCAAGGTCATCGCGCTCTACCTTCGGCGCCCAAGCATGGGACGATGGAGCTATGTATGGTTACAGCTATTCGCTGCGATGTGCTACCTGGTGGGCAGTGGTTTCATCATTGAACTGTGGCGGATCAAAAGGAAGAAGAAGCGCCTGGCAGCCTCTGGTGCTGAGCATACACCGAGCTGATGAACGTTCGAGCTGTAAATTAAAGACACGATTGGCGTATAGAAGAACAAACCCTTAGCGCTGCGTGGATCTATCTGCTGCCATCATCACGATTTCATTTCTCATACGTTACGTGCGTCGATCAGCTAAAGTGGATGCCTTCCTGGTTGAAAGCATGCAACAGCAACAAAAAGTCCCCCTCATCACATGACCTCGCTCGTCTTTCGGCGAACCCGGTATCCTTCTCCAGCACCTTGACCACCTTCGACCTGACCAGCTCCGCCACCTTCCCCTTCCTTTTACGGTTGGCACCCTTCTTCGACGTCTTTCTCGCGAGTTCCTCCTTGAAAAAGTCCGGCACATCATCCCCATCTTCATCTACATCCATAATCCCATTCCACTCCTCATCAACATCCTCATCGACATCGTCCATCCCCACATCGACATCCATCCCCTCCTCCACCGGCCCATCATCAACAGCAATCCCCATTTGCGCGCAATAAGTCCGATAATTCGCCTCCAGCATCTCCATCACCGACGTCGTCCCCAAAAACGCACTCCTCAGCACCCGATTCTTCCGCACAAACGCAATCCGCAACAGTCCGTCCCATTCCTCATAGCTGATCTTCGGTCGTGGGTGCTTAGGCGATAGCCGCACCACGTTTGACTCGACCTGTGGAGGCGGGTTGAAATTGTTGCGTCCCACTTTCATCACGTGGTCAACTTTGGCCCACATCTGCGCATTCACACTGAGGCGCGAATAGAGTTTATCCGAGGGTTTGGCGAAGAGGCGCATAGCGAATTCGCGCTGAAACATGAGCACGCACGTCCTCGGTGACGGTGAAGCGGCGAGGAGTTTGAAGGTGAGGGGCGAGGAGATTTGGTAAGGAGTATTGGAGATGCAGACGTCGAAGTAAGGCAGTTGCGGCAGCTTAATCACATCACCGACAATCAGCTCCAATCTCTTGGCCGCGGGCGTGCCTTGGAAGCGTTTGGTGAGTTCCGCCGCCATGCGGGGATCTTGCTCGACGGCAATGACCTTCTTCGCTTTCTCCAGGATGCGGGTCGTCAGGTTGCCCGTACCCGGGCCGACTTCAAGCACAATATCGGATTGCTTGAGATCGGCCTTGTCGACGATGGCTTGCGCCACGCCGGGGTTTTTGAGAATGTGCTGGCCGAGGTCGGTGTTCATTTTGAAGATGCTATGCGCCGCTTTCCCCTTCTTTGCTGCCGCGGCGGCGTACGGATCGGATTTGGAGATGCCATTTTGCGGTTTGCGCCCGGACTTGGGCATTCTGATGTGCGGTATTGAAAGTAATGGCCTGGGGTGAAGGAGGGGAATTGAAGCCACCAGTGACTTGCGTATACCCCACAAAGTCCCTTGAGATCCCTTCAATTCCGTTCCGCAATCGAGATTCTTAATCAAGACTTGTGGGAAGTCTGGTGTTCAGATAGCTCCAGCGATAGAATCTCAAAATTCACTTCCAGGAATCGGGAAAATCACAACGCTAGCTAGCTCCGGCTCTTCCCGACCAATGAGCGCACAGCATGGGCACACCATATCAGCATCGCCTGATCACACCTTCCAATCGCGACAAATCGCAGTATTCAGGACTCCAGTCGCGGGGCGCAGTTTCAGCTCATCTAACACCACCGTCCAGAGCTACAAACCGCAGTTTGCATTCCATTCCGTGTTCCAAGATGTTGCTCTTCCACAAACCTGGAAGTGAAACCCTCCGCTAGCTCCGGCTCTCCCCGACCAATGAACGCGCAAGAGGTCAACACCACATCAGAACCGTCTCTAGAACCCCTTTACATCCCGTACGGAGTGGCTTCCTTCGCTCTCGTATTAGCAATCAACTTAACATGTCCCGTCTGGCGTCGTCCGTCTCCCATGGCCGCTACGCCGCCTCGCCTCAATTTCCCCAGCTCCTCCGCGGAGTAATGAGCCACGAAATGAGAGATGACTGCTTGCGGAAGTCCAGCCAGCCACCGCAAGGCTATCAGATTGCGATGCGCCACTCTAGCCTTCTTTTGGCGCGTCTTCCTCCCCCTCGGAGCTGATCCCCCTCAACCAGGATTGATCGCATCCTGCAAGAGCGTTCCGCGTTGCGACATACGCGCGGGCGTGGCGTCTCTGCAGCCTTGCTATTGAGTCCCGCCTTATGGCCTCCCGCGAGCAGATGGCAAGGGTGAGAGCTGCTGGACATAAAATCAGATGCCGTCTCCCACGTCCGACCACCTAGTACCACCTTCGCTTCGTCTCGTCGCTCGTCGCTCATTCTCTCCTTACTGTCGCTCAAGCTTCCCAACTATTACCCGCTCGTTATGCATCCATTCACTCTTCTTTTGCCGCTCCTCGGCCTCGCCGCCGCTGCACCTCCCCACGGCGGCACCAATTTCTGCAAAAAGGCGCTTCAATCCCTTGGTTCGGCGCAGCAGACCGCTGAGGCACGGCAGTACTGCTCCTCCCGGTATCCGGTAGGGCCGTTGACGGTCACCAAGACGTCTACCATCTATTCAGGGTATGCCCTTCGTAACGCGGCAATCGCACCGTGTGTTGACGTGATTGTAGCACCACCACCGCTGTCGTGACCTCCACCACCTCAATCACCACCATCACCTCCACCCAAACCAGTGTCACGACGACAACCTCGACCGTCACCTGCGGAGTCCCCACCACCACAATCCCGGAGCCGACCACCACTGCTGCGGCGCCGACGAAACGCGATGCCGATGTGAGCAAGCCCACGGCTTGGTCGCACTACCCAGCGAACGAGTTGAAACGGGCGTGCAATTGCCTTCAACACCACTCAACCCACACGGTGACCAAGACCATCACGGCGGAACACACCTCGACCTCTACGACCGACGTAAGTACCGCAGAGCAGTCATCCTCAACCGCATTCGTCTAACACCACCTCTTGCAGGTTGCCGGCACCACCACTACGAATACAGTCTCGATGTCGACCGCAACGGTCTACGTCGCTGACGTCCCGACATTCTCCATCTACGTGTTGGGACCGGCACCTACCGGCGGCACCAACAACAACGGTAACTACTGGGGATTGGGAGGAGTCTCCGGTTCAACTTACACCCAGATCATCGTCAACGAAGGGCAAAGCGGAGCGACGAGTTTCTCCCTCACGGCCGACGCCTCGCTGCAGGTGGATTCGGATCCCTCCACTGGTACGACCTACGACGGAGCCCTAGCCATCGAAGATTCGAGCTTCAGTGGGATTTCGCCATACTTGGTGTACGCTCAGACCCCGGCGGGAATCACTGCAGACCAGACAGACGGGACACAGGTCACCATCTCCTGTTCCATCACGGCGAACAGTGATAACACATGTCCCATGGCCTGCATCACTTCCGCCGGAAACTCCTACTTCAACTACTGCTCCTACGGTCTGCGCCTTGACCCGCAGGGTGGGAGCTGCGGAGACTACCAACACCCGTTCACTCCCTATGCCATCGCTCCTACGGTTTGAGGCGAGCGACGGACAATGGTCTGCTTTGTGCTTTTCGTGCCCGGTGGCGGCGATTTGGTTCTATACTACCTCTTGCAATCTATATCAATCGCTCTGAATTTCTGATGCAGGCCACATCGACGTGGCTTTCGGATTACACCCTTGTCTTCCCCCGAATCGTAGAGCTCAACGTTCCAGCTATGGTGGTGTGCTTCAACAATCCAGTGGAGCCGTGAGATACCATCTTTATAATACTCACCCTCCGCAATCATCATTCATCGTCGCTTTCCCATTCCTGGAATCGATTTTCCAAATTCCTGGAAAACCGAGACATCAGCTAGCGGCGGCTCTTCGCCGTCCAATGAACGCGCAGGATATCGACAGCACTCCAGCATCGCATCGTGGTTTACGCCGTTAATATTCCCACAAACCAAGGATGTTCACGTCAAATGAATGATGCATGGCTTCACCACACCGGACTCGAGTCTTTGGAGTGGCGAAAAGTCATTCTACCACCACTTCCGCTCCGCTACAACCGGTTTCCCGGTTCTGGGAAACATTCCTGAGATCAGCACTTCCGCTAGCTCCCGCTCTAGATGGCGAATCAGCGCGCAGTATGCAGCCAATGTTGATGAGAGCGGCATTTGCAGCTGACAAGGAGGATCAAGACGAACACTCGTGCAATACAATAGGAATGCCATAGACTGTACAAAGACCTCTACTTCACCCCACGGCCACCAGGGCCCTGAGGACTCACGCCGCGACTGCCCTCTCCCCCATCCACATCGACAGCAGTAGAATGGGCCTCCTTGACCGCAACCACGCCATCCACCCCGGCAGCCTCGTGCTCTACAACAACACTTCCCTCCCCATCCTCTCCATCGTCGTCGTACTCCCCTTGCACACGCTCATACACCCCTCCAGCATCCTTCTCCCCAGTCCTCTTTTCCATAATAAAGCTATCAATAATCCAGTACTGCACCATGTTCATCGCCAACGGGAAAATGAACATGGCGAATGCGATTTGCAGCCATTCCCTGCCTTCGGTCCACGCGAGTGCCCAGTCGCCCACCCACGGTAGCCAGGGCAGCATTTGGAAGAGGAGGAAGACGAAGAGTTTCATGCCTGTGAGGCCGATGAAGTAGATGATGGATTGCTTGAACCACCAGCTGGTGTGCGGTGGAGTTCCGTAATGGCCGGATTTGATGGATTCTTGCGGTCGAGCGAGAGGGGTGTAGCTGAAAGCTTTGTGGAGGACACGGAGGAGGAGGTAGAGGACTGGAATGCCGAGGGTGGTCTGGAAGATGGTCAGAGAAGAGCGTTGAACTTAGGAGACTCACACTCACATCAATAGCAAGATTGAGCAGATAGAAGCTGCACGGATTGGGAATGTCCGGGGGTGCACTTCCACCGCCAGTATCTCCTTCCGCCGCCTTGGCCGCAAATGTAGCGATTGCGGCTTTTTGAGCAGTATTCATCATATCCACCGATCCCAGCATACTCATCATCAAGTTCAGGACGTGAGTTAGGCAAGAACCCAAGACCTGCTTGCTGGCATCGAAGAAGAAGATTTTCCAAGGCCGTTTGGGGGTTTCACGCCAGCGCTTGAAGACGAGGGCCAGTAGAGCCACGGATCCGAGAGCTCCCTGTACCAGCAGTGCAAAGGGTCCGAGTAGACGACATTCTCCAGCTTCCGTGGTGCTGAGTGGTGAGTCAGATGTAGACGTCGGGGCGGGAGGGTCGGTGGATTCGAGAGAGTCCGACGGCTCCAGCGCAATGTCATCCTTTGCATCATCTACATCGGAACTTGGCGGCGGCTTCGAAGGCGCAGTGGCAATGCCAAAGGTGGGCTCCGTGGTAGTCGCCGTTTCCACCGTCGAAGTGGATGAAGGAGCGAACGTAATCTCCTCCTGCTTCACCCCAACGATATCCACCAACTTTGTCTCAAAGACCAAAGTCGCATCCATGGGTATAGCAGGCGGATGGCCCCAATGTCCATACGCCATGTCCGGGGGAATTGTCAACTTTCGCTCCTCCCCCGGACACATATTCATCAGGCCTTCATCCCAGCCACTTATGACTTGTCCTACCCCGAGGGTGAAGGTGATGGGCTGGCCACGCTTGTAGGATTCATCGAAGATGGCGCCAGTGGTGAGGAGGGTGCCGCGGTAGTCGACGCTGATTGAGTCGCCGGCTATTGTAGGACGGGAACATTTGACCGGTGTCTTTGTTTCGATGAGGAGATCGTCGGCGCGGATATGGGGGAGGAGGATGGAGAGGACGAAGAGGAGAGAAGATGTCGTGGACCGCATGGTGAAGCAAGGGCGTGCTCGATCCCTGTGCACGTACGTGGCTGTAGCACAGGCCGGGGTGTTTCGGATGAGGAACGGGGATGCGTTGGGCGCCGCGGGGGTCAAATATCGCGCAGCTGCGTAATCTTGATGTCAAGGCATTGTCTGAGACTTGGAGAACCAGACAGCAAATGGCCAAGAGGCTTGGAGGCAAGTGTCTGCCTTGAGGGTGTTGCCTTGGCGGAGAGGCCGGAGGTGGAGGCGACTGTCGTGGCGCTCTGCCGTTGCGGCCCGCGCCCGAGCCGTCTCCGTAAAGCTTAACCTCTGCTCTTCCGCCAGGCCGCATGGAGTTTCTCATGCCGGAGTTCCACAGCATCCACATCCTTCTGCAAACTCCCACAAGCTGAACCCCGATGTCGAGCCATGAGATGCCACCCTGCCCTGCCCTTCCACTTCATCATTCGGGTTTGTCGAAAGTAATCTCTCAAACCCGTGTTTCTTCAGCTGGCTTCGGCATTGATACGTGGCCTTCCACTAGTCAGTCCGGTGTGATTCAGCTCCGAAAGACCTCAGGTACTAAAAGGCATATATAAGTCTCTTCTCCCGCGTATATCTTTTCTTCTATAAAACTGTTCCTCTCAAAAAACCTACTACTCCACCACAATGGACATTCTCCATCGACTGGAAAAGGAGATTCTGTCCGCCGACAAACTGGAATCAGATGGCGTCCCCTCTGCCTCCATTGCCATCCTCGACAACGGCCGAGTGTCTGCCCACGTCATCAGCAATGGGAAGGAAGATATCGACACCGTCTATCAAGCCTGCAGCATCTCAAAAGCCATCGTCGGCCTCGCAGTGGCTAGACTTATCGACCAAGGACGCATCTCTTACGACACCAAAGTCGTCAACCATCTATCACAATCCGCCATCGACTGCCTGGTTGATGTCAAGACCGCGCATTTACTTCAACACGTCACAGTCGGCATGCTCCTCTCTCACACCTCCGGTCTGTCGCAGGGCGGCTTCGAGGGCTACCCAAACCACCCACCAGATGTAGAGACCGTACTCGCCGGCAAACAAGGCTCCAACACCCCTAAAATCCACTTCCTCACGCTCCCCGGCGCCCAATTCTCATACTCCGGCGGCGGCTTCACTGTGCTCCAGCTCGTGCTCGAAAACGTCACAGGCCAAACGATCCAGCAACTAATGCAAGACCTGGTCCTCAAACCCCTCGACATGACACGAAGCTGGTACGGCAACCTACCACCCAGCGAGCAAAACTACACCAGCGCCGGCGTAACCGGGTACACAAGATGCGAGCCAAGCCACCACAACTTCATCGAACTCGCCGCCGCAGGCCTCTGGACCACTCCCACAGATATGCTCAAAACCGTAGTCGCCGTGCAAGACTCCCTCTACACCTCCACCGGCTTCCTCACAACCGCCACAGCACAAGCCATGCTGGCGCCTCTCAGCCTCGACACAGGCCTATACAGCGGCACGAACGAGCTCGTCGCCGGTCGCTGCGTAGGAGGTTGGCAGGGAAACTCCATGACCTTCGCGCACTCCGGTCAAAACTTCCCCGGCTACACCTCTCTCCTCCTCGGTTTCATCCCCGGCGGCACCGGCTCAGGGAACGAGGAGAATCATGCAATGCACCGAAGCGGCATCGCAATCATGACCAACTCGCTCATCGGGCACAACGTGTGCATCAACCAGCTCGTCTCCGCGATGTTCCACCTCAAGGGCTGGCCGCGGTATAGGCATCTCTCTGCTGGGTTCCGGGAGGAGAACTGGGTCCCGTACGCTGCTTCGGAGGCCACGGTCGTCGATGCGGCGTGGAGAGAGTGGAAGGGGTCTTGGGGCCCGGCGTGGCGGATCGTAGAGAGTGAGAATGGCGGGCCGGCGGTTGGGTATAAGGATTTTCCGCCTATGAGGTTGCGGTCTGCTGCTGTTGGCGCAGCTGCAGGAGACGACAAGAAGGAATTGATGTTTGTCGTGGATGGAATCGACGTTGGCGTGAGGTTCACTTGGCAGGGCGAGGAGAGGGTGGTGGAGGTGATGCAAAAGGAGATCCTGACGCTGAGGCGGAGTTAACGGAACACTAACATAGACAAGGGGGACTTCCCCTTATGATTCTGGAGACAAGACATTACGAAACTAGAGTTACAGTAGCCACCGCCATCCCTCCTCATCTCATCATCACCAGACCATTTCCACTTCCACATCTAGTAATCAAAACCAGGCTCGGCCGTGGCAAGAATGGATGAGAAGAGCCCCCTCCATCTCTTCGAGAAGCAGAAGACCCATATGCAGAATCCCATAACAATCAAGTCAAGACCAGAAATGGACATCCAGACCCGAATCGCTCAATGCCGCTTGCAGCAGATAAGAATCCGGAAGAAGACGAAATCGAAGATCCATCAATACGAAGCCATTCGCCTCGAAAAAGAGGCGCCAATCCCCTCGCCCAGCTTCCTCCCCACGTCAAACGTACTGTGACTTCTCCCGGCCAACATGCCCCCTCTTATGCCTCCATGCTGCTGCACAGCGGCGGTAGGACTTGCATCCCCGAGTTCACCATCGGCCTGCCCAAAAGCAAAAGTCTGATGACGAAACAGCTTCTGCCTCTGCTTGACCTTTGCCATGCCGCGCTCGCAGGCCAGCTCATGTCGCTCATCATTCATCTCGACGTAATTCTGCGGGAAGCATTTGGAGCGGTGGTTGGCGAAGAATTTGCTGTAGCCGCCGTCGAGAATGTAGAGGTCTGGGTAGGAGAGTCTGGGGTAGTGGGCGGCATTGACATTACGGTCGTGGTTGCGGATGTGTTTTGCGGTGAGCGGCGCACGGTGGACAGAATACTCGCAGTGGAGGATGAGGAGAGTCGAGGGTTGTGGAGAGGCAGCATTGCTGAAGAGCTCGTGGGTGAGTTGTTGCTTGTCGTTGAAATTAACGGCATGCTCGATGTGCCCGCCATCGTATTCATATTCAAAGCGGCAGTCGACTATGAGTATTCGGTCGTAATCGGTGCTGTATTTGGAGTTCAAAATGTCGACCATGGTGTCTTGAGAGATGCGAGGGAGACTGTCGGGTTCATCATCCGGGATGAAGCAGGGGAGTTTGGGGAGGGGATGGGACTGGTCAATGTCCATGACAGAGGTGAGATTAGGCTGAGGCTCAAACGCGTCGTGCTCCTCCTTCATCACGTCGTCGGGGTGTTGAAACATGCTGAGTGACCTCCTCATTGCCTTGCGCTGAGGCCGAGCAAAAGCCGGGCGCCCAGCGGACGGCTTTCGTACATGACCGGTGGAGGGAGAGCCGGTGCTGCGACTCGTCGGGCCCATTGGCGGCCTTCGGGTGGGAGGAGGAGGCATGTTGAGTCTGGGGTCGTCGACAGGAGACACGCTGAGTCCCTCGACTAGACTGGGGGTTGACGCGCATGACAGGCCATTGGCAGCCAAGGTACCGAAGCGAAAGGGAGGGAGCGAGCTCTCGACACCGGGTCCTTGTTGCGGGATGTAGTTGGAAGATGCTGCCTTGGTACGGACAAGCGAGGGGCGGGTGAGTGGTCGTCTGCGCCTATGAAAGTGTTAGTGGGTGAGGAGCACGACAACACTGATTGCAACCTACTCGGGCGGTTGAAGGAAAGTCGAAGACTGGGCAAATGGAGGTTGCAAGAATTGTTGAGAGTCTTCGGACGATACAGAACCGGGGGTGATGCCAATGTCAATGTCGGGCGTGATTGCTGGAGTGGGCGAGGCAAGGGTGACTTGTGTGATGAGAAAGGGTGGCTTGTGAGGCAATGGCGAGACGTCCATGGCGTCGAGGCCCGGGGAGGAGGAGGGGACATCGGGAGTGGTGACTTCTTCGCCCTCGATGGGAGGAGTCATAAGTCGGCCTTTCCATGTGGTCAGTGTCAAAGGCAGCACAAGACAGGCATGAGCATCACTCACCACTATCATCATGAGGCTTCAGCAAATCGGCAGTAAACAGAGACCGTCGCGGAGTGGGAGCTTGTGGGCTAAAAGAGGAAAGAGGATGAGCACATGGTCGGGGTCTGGGCCTGGCCAAGCCGAATGGTGGTGGAATGGAATGTGAATTACCTCTTGTCAATGTGAAAGTTGGCGCCCAGATCCGCGGTGAGGGTGGAGGTGGGAGAGGAGCCTCGTGGGGGTTTGACGGTGAAATAGTCGGGTCTGCTGGTTGTGGGCTTCTGATGCATGCTCATGTTCCGAAAGTCAAAGTTGCTGGGGCAGAAGGGGTGGTATGTAGGGTTGTTGGAGCGCGACATTGGCAAGTCTTTTCGGCTGCCCCACGTGGCACATGGCTGGGGACGCATGGCCGCGAGCGGGGAGGAGTATTCCATGATGGGATGTGTGATGTCGTGTAGGTGGATGGTGCAGGACTCGTGGGTGGTGGTGTGCGCGAGCTGGCCGCGTCGGTGGAGGGTAAGGCGCTGTGGTGATGATACGACCGATTCAATTGCACCTGATCCAATGAGATGGATGCCGTCTAGATGCTGTCCCCAAGATCCAAGGAGCGTGTCGGCATGGAGAGGAGGGGAGGGGGAGGGGCGCTATTGGGGCTGGACGCTTCGCATTCTGCTCCTCCGCGGCGAGATGAACGAGTGACCAGGCGCGCCGGATGCAGACCACCAATAGCACCGGGCAGGAGGTGGACTGCCCGTGGGTGGAGAGGGCGAGGAGGGGGAATGAAGAAGGAAAGACGGTGATGGAGGAGGAGGAGCAGGAAGAGGCTCAATGGGGCAGGAAGCGGGATATCAGGCGGCGGAAGGCGCGAAGGTCGAATGCTTGAGCTTCGTTGCCGTTGCCGGGTGAGTTGGTTGGTCCCCGCAGCAAAGCCTTGCACAGTCCACCCACCCGCGACCCGCACCTTCCCGCCGACGCCCAAGCCAGCTCCTAGTCCCGCCGCACAGTCCAGCCCGCCGCCGCTGTCTCTCTCCTCTCCAGTCTATTGTACATCCTCTGCCCGTGCGTGCTCGTCCGTTGCCCATCATTTCTTAGGCGAGCAGGCCTAGGCAAAGGCGCGCGCTTGCATCGTCCATTCACGTTTGGCGGAGCACGTGTGGCATCAACTCCACCCCGCCGTCATCACGAAGTCAACGCGTTGTCAGGTGCTGCAGCAAGCCCCGCTCCCCTGTCTGTCTGTCTGTCCTTCCTTGCTTGCTGCATCGTCGATGGGCCAATGATCGATCCCTCTGCCCTCCCCCCGGGTGTAGGCGCGCTGCAGAGCAACAACGTGCCAAATTCTCCGGCCCTCGCTTGCTATCTGCGCCATGGATGCAAGACACCGAGCTTAATCACGCGCGGTCGAGACATTGCACGCTTCCACTCTCCTCTCGACGTTCTCGGTCTTTGACAGCCGAGGCGGCGCAACTGGACGAGCCGTCGATCCTCGCCAACTGGTCTTACCCGCGCCAAACAACCCGCGATCTCGAATGGTTGTCTTCTGGTTTCCCACATTCCATCGCTTCTCAACAATAATTCAGCCGGAAAATGCATTGGCTTCTTTCAGCTGGCCTGAGAGTTTGCCTTTTCCGCCGCCGCCCTCTCGCGTTGCCTAGCCATCATACTGTACTGTCCCACACTCCCGCGTCATTGGCTGGCATTGCACCACTCTCAAACACTGGTCTGTGTTGCATTTGCCGCCCGCTTATCTTTGCAGCATGTCATCATCACCGTTTTGCCTCCTCGCGATCGGACAAACCCGATCAGCTCTCCATCATCAACGGCTTGGCTTACGCCCGAGCAATATTACTCCAACGGTTCTGACCGACCATCATCATTATCCATCCTGTGCAGCAACCCTCTTCTGATCGATCTTCGATTCTCCCACATCGACGTCATCCTCGTTCAGCCGCTTTTGCCTGCCGTTACTTATGCAACCAAGAATCACCACCCGCTGCCAACATCCTTTCTCACCGATCGAAGATCTCTTCTCCGATTGGAAAGCGGGACGCCTGACACTCTACGCCGCGGCGGTACATCCGCGGCTGATCATGGTCGAGCCCTCTCTCGCACCACCCCACACCACACACTACATCCCACTCATCTCGCTCGTCATCGTTCGTTCCCCCAAATCCGTATTCCACCCGAGTCACGGCAATCGAAGTGATGGCGGCGAGGCGTCAGCCCATTGCATCCTGCAGTCCCTGACTCTGTCCACACTCGTCACCAAACCACAGACTGCAAAGCCCGTGGCGTTTGGAAAGTGCCGTGTGGACGACGACGCAAGAAAGAAGGCGTCCGAGGTTTTTACTTGCGCAATTTGGGCTGCTGGACGCGATGTTTACGTGTTTGGGACGTCAAGCTTTTTTCCCCCGCGTCACAAAACGCGCTAGAGGCGCGCGACACGTGATGTGGCTTCATCCTCAGTCACGTCCATCGAATCTGCTTTTCATCATTACGTCTTCCTCTGCTGCACTCCAACGTTATATATATATCCATACTTTACCATTCCATTGGAACCGTCCAATCTCCGACAACTCTGCCGCCATTGAAATCATGCCGAAATTCCAAATCTCGGCAGTTCCAATTCCTCGAGCGCAAACACCACCCTCCTTCGCCATCCTTCCGCCCACTTTCATCTCAAGACTTCCCCCCACCCCCCTAATTGTAACTAAACTGCGTCCTGCACAGCGGACACGTGCTCGCATTGCTCGTGCGAAACCACTTGAACAAGCAGCTGGCGTGGAAGATGTTCTTGCACGTCATGCACCGCTTCGCCGGCAGCTCCTTGGCCGCGCTGATGATGGAGTAGCAGATGGCGCACTCCGTGTGGCCCTTCAGCGCGCCCACCACGTTCTTGTGCCAGGCTGTCAGGCCGTCGATGATGCTGCCGTTCTTTAGGTGGGGAGAGAGAGGGTTAGGTTCGGGTGGTGAGGAGGAGAGGGGTGCGTAGGTCAAACTTACGGAGAACGTGATGACGCCCTGGCAGCCGCGGAGCCAGCTTTGCCATTTTTCTTCCTTGACTGCTACCCGGTTGATGCCGACCACTTGGGCGGAGGCCAGTGGGTAGGCGTCGGGCAGGATGACTTTGATGGCCATTGTCTGCTCGTCGACAAGATATCCGATGTGCACTTCTTTGCTGCGCATGCCCACTTTCACCGTCATGTGCTCGTACTCTGCATCCGTCTTCACGGTCTTCTCCGACCACTCTGCCACGCTCTCCAGTGCCGCGTTGACGAGCAAGGGGCTGAAGTACTTTGCCGTCCACGATTCAATCGCAGGCGGTGTCTGTCGGGACGTGAGGTTGAGGTAGTAAGTCTTGACCAGGTTTGGAAGATGAGACAGAGCCAGAAAATACAGATGCGCCAGCAGCCACTGGACATCCTTCTCGGGGCTAGGCTCGACATCGGCAACGTACGTCTGTAGGTCGAATTTCGACACGTCCGTCGGCTTCCCGGTAGTATGGCCGAGAAGATCAAAAGTCAGATCCAGTAAGCCCGTCAGATACCCATCGCCCTTGAGCTGCTCGATATAGTCGCTCCTGACTCGGAAGCTGGACCCGACAAAGTGGTCGAATACCAGTCGCCAGCTGAACAAGTAACCTTGCAGCGACAGCGGCATCATGCGATCGAACGAGGCATCGGCAAGCGAGTCGATGGTGGGAGCTTCCAGAATAAGCGAGAGCAGCTCGTCAGGCAACTGAGCAGTCTTGTTCTCAAGCGCGGCATCAAAGGAGATCTGCTCTTGGGCCGCGGGAATGTGTTGGTGCAGCAGGTCGAAGCCCGCCTGCATGACGGGACGCGAAGCACTGTTGAGTAGTGTGTAGAGCTCGTCCGCCTGTTGGATGGGTTTATATGGCAGCGAGGCCAATTGTCGAGCCAACAGCTCGTGAGTAATCAATAGCGGCTGGTTCGTCTCGTCGTGATTGCCGTTCGCCTCTAGGAGCAGGCGGATGAGCTCGCGACGAATTTGCTCATCCTCTTTCTGCAGTGCTTCGACCAAATCGTCATTTGCATCCTCGGATTTTGCCATTCTTCTCAGCGTGCCGAGGAGTTTGAGTGTGCCGTTCATCAGGACAATGTTCTCCCCGGAAATTGGCGTCTCGTTGTCCGTGGTCAGATCCGTACCCCAGCAAGCAATCAAGGCGGTCAAAACTTCCTCCCAGCGCTCACCATAGAGGTCGTGCATTGCAGGCAGAAGCTTCGCCATGGCTTTGAACATTTCGGTTTTGAGTGCCGTTGATACAGTTTCACCATGACCTCCCAACAGTGATTTGCCTAGCCACTGTGTCATTGCTTTGAGGAGGAACACAAGGCGCTGCTTCGCAATCCCCGTCGTAATCTCTTCTTGGGTATCGAGGATGGTGTTGAGGAGGATGAGTTGCTCAAGTGCTTTCTGTTCGTGCAGGGTATCGACACTGGTCAAGTCCGAAATCAGGCCGTTGCACCATTTGTTCAACCTCTGGCTGCTGGTGAGCGGCTGTCGCAACCCCAGCACGCACGCAGTCAACGGCAGCAGCTGCTTCTGGGAAATACGCTCTTCGAGCACCTTTTCGCCTTCTTGACTTTGCGTGCTCGAGAAGCCATGGACCTCGAATGCATTTGTCATGCTCTGAGCGTAGGCAAGCCATGTGTAGTACAACATTGGCGATAGCGCATCCTCGCCCTCTCGCAGTCTTTCCAGGGCGGTAAAGTCCGGTGCATCGGAATCCAAGGTGAGCGTGATGTCCGCGTCATAACCACTCAGAAGCTTGTTGGCTTCAGTGATAAACTCCAAGGCGGTGTCCTCGGCTTGAGTGTTATGTCGAGCGTTCCATAGTTCGTTCGTCCCGGGGAGGCTGACGTTGTCTTCTGCAATGTATACCATAGTTCGGAGTAGAGCCAAAATCATGCTCTTCTCCTCACCAAGCTGCTCAAGCGCACCAGAGCTCGAGAAGAACTTGGCGATGTAGACCGAGATGCGCAACGCTTGTGAGAGGCCCTCGGTGTCGAATTGCACAGCTTTCGAGGAAGCATGAGTGTTGTTCAGAAAATGGACAGCACCCCCAAAGGGGCTTGTGAGCGCCAGTGCAGCGTTTGGAGCCCGGACAACACTCTTGACAGCCAAAATCCAGACATTCAGCGATGGTAAGAGGTCTGAGATGTGCGTCGACTTCTGATCCGGGCCAATGAGTCGATTGGCCAGCTCCATAACGGCGTCAATTGGTAGCGAGGCTGGAGAAATTTGCTCCAGATGTTGTAGGACGACCTGATATCGACTTTGAACCGGCGGGCCATTCACAGAAGACGATAGCTTGGCAGAAAGCTCGTGAGCTTTATCGGCGACGCTATCGTCTGGGGATTGCTCCAGTCGGAGTAGGTTCGGGATCAATTCACTGCCAGGCCCATCATGCTTCGACATGAATCTGGTGACCGTTCGTGGACTGGATTGTTGTAGAAGGCCGATGACCGGCAACGCTGTCGCGGCATGGTTCGCCGTCGTGAGCGACTGCGTAAGCCTTGAGAGGATTGTATCCGACGTGGAGTCGGTAAGCACACCAAGCTCGACGAGATCCGCGAACAAAGCTCCAAAATCTCCTTGTGTTTCATCAGCAGAGCTGTGGATGAAGAAATCTTGGAGAGGCTGTGACCCTTTGGCAGCCGCCACACCCTCGCTCGGGGTGCTCGCAATAAACACAACCCGAAGAGCATCCAACTTGGCAGCGTCGTCTTCGGCCACATCCAGAATGGAGCTGAGGAGACGTGTGAAGGCAGCGGGGAATTTCGTGTCTGAGCTGATCGCATACAGGCCATGAACCAGGTGTGCCTGGGCGGGAGCGAACATCATATCTGGCAGGTCGTCTGCTGCAAATTCCAGATACGCCTCTCGGAACGCTTTGTCTTGCATCACTTGTTTGCCGCACGTATGAAGAAGATGGTCGACAATCCCGGCCGCGCCGTAAGGCTTTCCGTTGCGAGATCGCAGAAGGCCGATACACGTCGCCAGGGCTGTATTGCTTATGGCAATAAAGCATTGCTGTAGTCCATGACCAGATGCGTCACTCCAGAACAGCTTTTGCAACCCAGCCCAGCGAGCGCCACAGGCTGCAACGTGATCCTGCGACTTTTTGAAATCTTTCGACTGCTCTGGTTGCGAGACTCGTGCAAGTTCCAGCAACTTCTCTGCCTGGATCGGCCACTCTGTTTGTATGAGTGGCAAAGCCTTGGTGATCTTGAGAACCTTTGGAAGAACAGCAGTCGCATGAGCCCCAGCGATACTCCACTCTGCAGTCTCTGACTGAGGATGGAGATACTCTCGTACCAGTGGCAAAACGTGAGAATCAAGAACAGCCTCAGCTTCGGCCTGCTGAAGAGGTGATGTCAACAGTGAGGCGAAGTCCAGGTAAGTTGGCCAAGCCGTGGAGGCATTCTGCCGCTCCTCTCTCCTCGAAACGCCGGTACGCGCTGCAGACAGGAGATCGGAGATATCCTTGGGGTCTGACGGCATGACAGTAGCAGGGATGCTTGATAACAGACGATCCAGCGAAATCCAGAAATCTGCGGATGCCGACTGAGAGCCCCGCTTGACAAAGTGACGCAGGCGTGAGACGGCAGATTTCTTTCCTGCGTAGGCATCCGTCCAGATCGAGGGCATGAACGTAGTGAGGGACTCCAGGGTTGAAATGTAGTCGAGAGCTGAGCCAGTTTGACCTGAATGCAGGCCTTTGTCGACGTAGGCGGTGGAAATCGCTTGCGTATGGGGCTGCAGTAGCGTCGACCGTCTGTCCAGCACGGCTTGAATGAAGCGGTGCATGGATCGCCGAACGCCGGTATCAGGATGATTGACAAATTCCCACAGCTTGGGCTCGGAGAGGATTTCTTCATAGACTGATATTTCCTTCTCGAGGTCTGCGGGCTCTAATTCGTGGAGGAGGCTGCTGATGACTGTGAGGCTGGTTGCTACAATGCGGGCGTAAGTGGCCTCGGCGTCGTCTGGGTTGACAGTGCGCGGATCGCTGAGGGTTTGAATGGTCTCATACAGTGCCGCATCTCGGCAGTACTCCAAGATTGGACGCTGAAAGGCTTTGCGGACGCCATACACTTTCTCCGGAGTGTTGAAGACCAGATGGAGCGCATCCGAAGCAGCTTTGGCCCCCGCTCGATCGCTGTCGAAGAGACCAGCGAGCCAAGGGCCAGCGATTCTAGGCATGTGCGGGGCAGTCCGTTTGCCGCTTTTGGAGCATACATGACCGTTGAGGATGTGAGTGAGCTGGCGTACACGGCGAGAGTTGTCGATGGAAAGCCGGGGGAATACTCGGACCTGGTTCGAGTTGTCAGTACGGCACGGCTCAGAGGGACGCTGCAGAATCTCACCCATGCATCCAGAAAGGCTCCTTCAACATCGACAGTCGTAGTAGTGACGTAGGTCTGCAATTCTTCCAGTGCTTTGGCCTTCGTAGTGTCGTCCTTCTTGGAGAGGTTCTTAAACGCCACCACGACGTTGGCATCGGTGATGTTGGAGTAGTCCAAGGGTTCTTGAATGTAGGAGAGGATCGAGGATGAGCCTGCTGCAAAGGCGCTGCTGCCGAACCCTCCCGCCACGTACCCAGCGCGGCCACTGCTGGCTTGCGATTTGAATTGTCTCTTGCTCATGATGCTCAGATTTCGCGTTGCATACACGAGTCAGAGGTTTGGGGTATTTGGAGGGGAGAAAGAAGGACGAGGATTACATGGTCATTTATAGACAACAGCAACGCGAGGAGCGAAATGTCGGAGCGAAAAGAGAGGGACAACGAACGGCTTTGCATCGATTAAGCGTCTTGTGGACTCACCATGTCGTCGATATGCGTGCGCCACACGAAAGGATTTAAGGTTTGCTAGCGCACAGCCTGCGCGAGCGAAAATGTACCGCACGTGGCTGGAAGGCAGACGAACGCTCTTGGTGCACGTGGATGATTGCATTTTGAACTGCTACGAACGGCGAATCGAATTCGAGTTAGTGCGACAGGCTTGTACGCTGATTTGTATGGCAGGCAGACTTTGAGAGTCATCTGGCACGGCGAATCCCGACCACAATTGTACTCAGACAACGACAGCTCGCGGTAATGTCTATCGAATTTCGATGCCTGCCTCCCAAACCCGTCTTTCGTTGCTCGGAGCGTGCGCTACTCTTTCTGCAGATCCGTATTCTTCTCATCTGAGAACTCATTATGATGATCAATCACGGTATGAGTCTCGTTGTCAACCTCAATCTCTTGATGATAGATGGCGACCTCATGAGCATCGCCAAACAGAGCCGCAATTTCTTCCAGCGGCAGCCGGCGGGTATCCGGGAAGGTGAAGAGGAATACGAATCCGCCGATGAAGGTCAGAATGATGAAGACGAGATAGTATCTCCAGCCGATGTTGCTACACAGCATTAGCACAGCACGTCAACACGGCAGATCAAACTTACGCGAATGCAACTGGCGCGGCCTGAAGGTACACGACATTCGTCAGCGACACCATCGAAATCGACACGCACATTCCCTTTGCGCGGATGTGCGTGGGGAAGATTTCTCCCAAGAACGCCCATTCCGGTGCTGTAAACCGTCAGTATCATCCAAACCCGTCTGGAACATCCAGATCATACCGTTCAACATGGCAGTGTCAAAGATCTGAAAAACGAAAAACATCGCCACAGCTGCACTCAACGCAGCAGTGTTGTGGGAGGGCACGAATTCCGCCGTGAGTGCCGCCTCCACAATCAAACAACACATGCAACCCCACAAGCCGACCGCCATGTAGATGTTCCGGGGAAATCGGTCAATCAGAGGCATCGCAATGACGGACACGCCGAGCGTAAACGTCAGCCAAGCAGCTGGATACAACAGCTGTTTGACAACTGAGAACCCCAGCAGTCGATAAAGCGTGGGCCCGTAGTCTGCTACTGTTAGCGAATGCGGCGGGAGAAGATAAGAGGTACGCACTGTTAATGACGAGATCGCCCGAAGATTGGATAAAACCGCAAGTGGCCATTCCGATAAGTGCGCGTTTTCGATACGATGGCTTGCGGATAATGTCCAACCAGGAATTCCCCAGTGTCCGGTCAATCACAATCTGCTTCTTGATCTGGTACAACTCGGCCTTGGCGTACGCTTTGTCTGGATCGCGCGGGTCGCTGTGCAGGCGAGTGAGTATTCGTTCCGCCTCTTCGACACGTCCTTGCAGGATCAGCCATCGCGGGCTCTCCGGGACCCAGATTAGAGCGATCAAGGTCAGAAGCGCAAACCCGCTCTGCAATGCGAGTGGTGGTCTCCAGGTGTTGTCGACACCCCCCTTCTTCCAGAATAAGAAGCCAAACCCCACCCAGGCAGCAATGGCGTAGCCAAGGATGAAGAAGATGGAGTGCAATTCAACCAAACCGCCACGCATGCTGTTTGGGACAATCTCATTCATCAATAACTATTGAAAGTCAGCGAAAGTCTGTCGGAATCGAGGACCCGTCGCATACCGGAATTGCCGCCAGCATCATCATCGTGCCGAGTCCTGAGACAAAACGCATCACGATGAATTCGCCGATGTTCGTGCTACCTGCCATGATTGCTCCGGAGATGAGACACAGCGTCGCCGCCTACAAGGAGTCAGATCGTTATCGACTGTTTGACTACGACGGTGCACTTACCAATGCGATACTGGCCCTTCTCCCATACTTGTCTGCAACCCATGGAAGCAACAGCGGTCCAATGACCCCGCCGGCGAAGAAAAGTCCATTCGTGCAGGATTCCAGACTCAGCCCACCTGGTCGAGTCTCCAATGCGTAGTACTCGAGAAACGACGGTTGTCCTGCAGGTCATAAGTACGTACCCTTCGTTGAGTCGGAGAAGACGGAGCATTACCCAGAGTGGTTGCAATGATCGATGCAGAGTATCCATACGTGATCGAACCAAATCCCAACAGGAGCAGGACAAAGATGTTGTACGCATTGATCTGACGCCCTTGATGCTCGTTCTTGCCACCCGAAAGGAAACCCATACTGGCGGTATTGCAATTGTCTTGCCAGGTGGAAGTCGCCGGCGAGTTCTCTTGCAGGTATAAGGGGAGCATTATGCACGGCCGCGTCATGGAGTAGCCGCGTGCTTACCACGGCTATCCTGTGGGGAAAACGTGCGGAGAAACTGGGGAGGCTGAACTCTGGGGATTGCCGACCACACATCACGGCTGCGACGGCACCGCGTTTAAATTAGCTTGAAGCCGCACAAGCACCGAGGGCTAAGACATTGCAAGGCTTGTGCTGCGGTCAAGCTCGCACATACATATTCTCCGCTGGTATCGTTCATATCTAACGTTTCTCTCGAATCGATTTCTGGTGCACGATTGAAGCAAGATCGGAACGCCGGATACCACCCACTTCAATCAAAATATCAGAGCTGAACGACAATGGCATACCTCGAGGCTCCGCCACTCTCTCAGAAGATGCACGACCTTAACGGTCAAGTTGCCCTGATTGCAGGCATCGGATGTGTCGGCGAAGGATGGGGCAACGGCATCGCAATCGCCACCTTATTCGCCCGTCAAGGCGCAACTTTGTTCGGTTGCGACTTATCCTTGGAAGCTGCCGAAAAGTCCAAAGCGAAGATTCTCGCAGAGAGTCCAAAAGCCGACGTCCGCGTCGTGCAAGGAGACGTGACGTCTTCCGCTTCGATGGAGAACGTTGTGGCAGGCTGTATGAAGGCTCATGGCCGCATCGACATTCTCGTCAACAACGTCGGCCGAGCCGAGCCTGGGGATCCTGCTACGATGAGTGAGGCCGTCTGGGACAAACAGATGGAGCTGAATCTGAAGAGCGTCTACGTCAGCACGCACATTGTCCTGCCTATCATGGAGAAGCAGGCCACCGGGGGTGCTGTGGTCAACATTTCCTCCGTGGCTGGCCTGCGCTATATCGGTTCGCCACACATCGCGTACTCCACGGCAAAAGCGGCAATCCATTCGTTCACCCGATCAACAGCGGTTATGTTTGCGAGGAAGGGTGTGAGATTGAACACCGTCGTGCCCGGACTGATCAACACGCCTCTGGTGAAGATGATATTCGAGGAGAAATTGGGCGAGGATTATGAGAAGATTTCCAAACTCCGGGACGAGCAAGTTCCCATGGGTCGAATGGGATCGGCTTGGGATGTTGCAAACGCTGTGTTGTTTTTGGCGAGCAGAGAGGCCGGTTACATTACTGGCACGGAAATTGTTGTTGACGGCGGGTTCACTCAGAGCACCGGAAGAATGTAATGTTGAGTTGTATTAGAGACACATAGAGTATAGAATGTCGGAGCTTTTGATTCTTCGTAGAGGTATCGAACTGTGCTTCAAAAGACGCTCGCATGATGATGCTTCTCCTGAGCCCTTTCCGCCATTCGTTACCTCATTACTTCGCAGGTGCCTGGTTATCCGTCATACGACGCCATTTGAGAATCGGATTCCATCGACCACCCTACCACTTATTAGTCGTTGCCATTTCAACATTGTCTGCAAAACTTACCTTCAACTCCATAGGCGCATCAAGACTAAGAATCAAAAGATCACCCTCAAACTGCAGGACTCGCTTCTGCGTATCTCCCAACCAGTTCGGAAAGCTGGAGACGGAGAAGTGATGTTGGAGAAGCGGCTTCTCACCAGACTCATCTAAGTAGTACGCTCCAGTATATCCAATGTACCTCTCCGCCGATTCAGCCAACTCGCTCTGCGAACCGTCTGTTGGAAACGTGCCGGCGAAATTCTTCTGTCCGGGGCGTTGGAGCTGGGCGGACATGTAGCCATCTGGCGTGTACATGATGATGCCCCTTGCATCTTCGCCGAGGGGATGTAGTACGGTGGATGCCGACTCTTCCGAGTAGACTGCGTAGGAAACGAGCTCCCAGGCGCCGACCAGTTGATGGCGAAGAGAGGATTTGGCCGACATGAGTGCGTGAACAGACTGTGTTGCTTCAACTTGGATCACTGCTGCAAGCCCAGGCCGTCTGTGAGATCTAGTGGCGTTGTATTAAAGGCACCCTGCATACTCATTTCGTCCATGCATCGCTTCATGCTCTGATGTCGTCGATCGTTTGCTAAAGCCCAGGGACAAAGCACAATAACCGAAGGCTCCGAGGCTACGGTGACAAGGCTACCCTGAACGTTAGACGAACCCCTCGGCACTCCGCCTCAGGTAACGGTACATCACTATTGTACCCCGCCACGTTCGTAATGTCTTAATGACATAAACTCGTTCTTTTTGAACTACAACTTCGTCCCAATTTGTGATAACGACAACGTGACCTTTGACGCACCAGGCCGATAAACGCATCACCTGCACCTTCAACGACCAGACTGCCACGACATTAACATGGCTGCAGCGGTGGCCGCACCAACTAACGGTTTCCATTCCGACAAGGACAATGTCGTCCATGCGAAGTTGAACTACTACCTGGATCCATCGCTAGGTGGTACAGACTCCTTTGCGATTGGTACTGCAGGCGCATACCGTCGCAAATTCGATCAGCGACCTGTCGACATCAAAGACGCCAGGGGAATCCAGGATAAGTTCGACATTGACACCCACGGCTTCCAGTATCACAAACGGCCCAGCACAGAGAAAGACTTCACCGACGATGAACAGGTCAAACGTGTCGCATATCCCGAGGCCATTCAGCTGCTGAAAGACGTGTAAGCATCACTATTTCTGGAGGTATTCGAACTCTTAATAACCTCTCATTCGTATTGCAGCACCGGCGCCACCAATGTCTATGTCTTCAGTCACATCACCCGCCGTAATGACCCAGCCAAGGTACAAGCGGCGCTGAAGACAGACCTCAAGAAAAGCGACGATAACACGGTCGTCGAGGGAATCTTCCCAGCAAGCTACATCCACATCGACCAAACGCCAGCATGCGCGTTGCAGGTCTTCCAGGACCATTTCGACGATTCCTCGGACTTAGGCCGCCATGTACTTCAAAACAACGGCCGCTGGGGCATCATCAACCTCTGGCGACCAATCTCGCGCATCAAGCGGGACCCGTTGGCCGTGTGCGACGCGCGCACCATCACCGACGACAACTTGCTGCCCATCCGAATCCTGCAGCCGCCAAAGGATAGACCGACGCAATACGCCACCACGACCAAGGGCGAGTACATGGAGATCTATTCTGCGCGATACAGCGAAGGCCAGCAGTGGTATTATTGCAGTGAGATGGAGCCAGACGAGACGTTGCTCATCAGATGTTACGATTCGTCGACCAAGGAGGGCAGGGCGACCAGATGTCCGCATTCCGCCTTTGAGTGGCGGGACAACCCAGACGGTGGAGTGAGGGAGAGCATCGAGATTAGGTGTTTGGTGTTCTGGGAGAATGAGAAGAACTAGGTGCTACTAGCAAACTTGAGTAGTTATTGCAAACAGTCATTGCAACAGCAGCAAGTGAATGTAAGGAGATGTATACGTAGGCGTGAGGGTGAACGATCGAAGCACGTGAAATTATGTAAGCAATAGCAAGCCACGATGAGTCAGGCAACTCAAACCGCACATCATTCATGAAGACAAACGCTTGCCACTTATTATAGAACATTGCGGCTCCGTACTCCACAATCAAGGACAACCCGTCCTAATTACAGACACCATCTGAGCGAGCCCATGCGATAACAGAACCAGCGTCAGCGGATAGGCTCCGCTCTCTTCATCCGCCACCATGAAGTTCATGATCGAGGATCTTCCGGTCCTCTTTCCCTATCCACGGATCTATCCCGAACAATATGCCTACATGTGTGATCTCAAGCGCACATTGGATGCCGGGGGCCACTGTGTGCTGGAAATGCCTTCGGGCACCGGAAAGACCGTCTCTCTCCTCTCCTTGATCGTGGCCTACCAGCAACACTACCCGGAGCATCGAAAGCTGATCTACTGCTCACGGACAATGTCCGAGATCGAAAAGGCGCTTGCCGAGTTGAAAGCCCTGATGAAATATCGGGCGGATCAGTTGGGCCAAGAGGAAGACTTTCGTGGGTTGGGCTTGACCTCACGGAAGAACCTTTGCCTCCATCCTTCCGTGAAACGCGAGAAGAGTGGTGCGGTGGTTGATGCTCGGTGTAGGAGTCTGACCGCTGGCTTTGTGAAGGAGAAGAAAGAACGCGGCGAAGATGTTGATCTCTGCATCTATCACGACAATCTTGACCTTCTGGAACCCCACAATCTGATCCCGCCTGGCGTATGGACTCTCGATGGGATGCTGCGATACGGCGAGAGGCAGAAACAATGCCCCTACTTCACTGCCCGTCGCATGATGCCATTTTGCAATGTCATCATCTACTCTTACCACTATCTTCTTGACCCGAAAATTGCAGAGCGAGTATCGAAAGAACTATCCAAAGACTGCATCGTAGTCTTTGATGAAGCACACAACATCGACAACGTCTGCATCGAATCGCTCAGTATCGACTTGACAGAAGATTCCCTGCGAAAGGCGGCGAGAGGGGCCACCAATCTGGAAAAGAGAATCACCGAGATGAAAGAAACGGATGCGGAGAAGTTGCAAAACGAATATTCCAAACTGGTAGAGGGCCTACGCGAAGCGGATGAGGCGAGAGACGAAGGCGCCTTCATGTCCAACCCTGCATTGCCCGATGACCTCCTCAAGGAAGCCGTGCCTGGCAATATTCGCCGAGCCGAGCACTTCACTGCCTTCCTCAAACGCTTCATCGAGTACCTCAAGACCCGGATGAAGGTCTTGCACGTCATCTCAGAAACCCCGCCCTCTTTCTTACAGCATCTCAAGGAGCTCACCTTCATCGAAAAGAAGCCCCTGCGATTCTGTGCGGAACGTCTAACTTCACTCGTTCGCACCTTGGAGCTTACCAACATCGAGGACTACCAACCGCTTCAAGAAGTAGCGACATTTGCTACCTTGGTCGCCACCTACGACACTGGATTCCTGCTGATCCTGGAACCGTATGAGTCGGACACTGCCACTGTTCCCAACCCGATACTTCACTTCACTTGCCTAGACGCCGCGATCGCCATCAAGCCGGTCTTCGATCGTTTCAGCTCCGTCATCATCACGTCTGGAACGATCTCACCACTCGAAATGTACCCCAAAATGCTGGGCTTCACCACTGTGGTACAGGAGTCGTACGCCATGACCCTCGCAAGGCGATCATTCCTACCGATGATCGTCACCCGTGGCTCTGACCAAGGGCAAATTTCATCTGGCTTTCAAACGCGCAGTGATCCTGCCAACATTCGAAACTATGGCGCTCTCCTTATCGAGTTCTCCAAACTTACTCCGGATGGCATTGTCGTCTTCTTCCCCTCCTATCTGTACATGGAGAGTGTCATCTCGATGTGGCAGAGCATGGGCGTGCTGGATCAGGTGTGGAAGAGCAAATTGATTCTGGTCGAGACACCCGACAGTCAAGAGACCTCACTCGCTCTGGAGACCTATCGCACTGCTTGCAGCAATGGACGAGGTGCCATCTTGCTTTGCGTCGCTCGTGGTAAGGTGTCAGAAGGGATCGATTTCGACCATCACTACGGACGGACTGTGCTTTGTATCGGCGTTCCGTTCCAATACACCGAGTCACGAATTCTGAAAGCAAGGCTGGAATTCCTGCGCGAAACCTATCGCATCCGCGAGAACGACTTCTTATCCTTCGACGCCATGCGTCACTGTGCACAGTGTCTTGGACGCGTGTTGCGAGGGAAAGACGACTATGGGATCATGGTGATGGCAGACAAACGATTTGCCAAGAAGCGCACGCAGTTGCCGAAATGGATCTCAAGTGCGTTAATGGAGAGCGACGCTAACATGTCCGTCGATCAAGCCGTGGCATCTGCAAAGCGTTTCCTCAAAGTGATGAGCAAGCCGTTTCCCATCCGTCTGCAAGAGGGGATTAGTACGTGGAGTTACGAGGACTTGATGGAGCACCAGAGCAAGCTGCAGTCTGAGAAGCAGCGGGAGGTCAGGAATGGTGAAGCCAACGGTGGTGACTATCACCTTCACGGCGATGAAATTATGCGGGAAGCTGAGGCGGTCGAGGATGAGATGGAAGATGCCGATATGGAAGCGGCGATGATGGAGATTGATGCGTGAAGCAGACCGTTGCTCGCGCCCAATTACACCTGCTCATTTACACAACGGGGATTGCGAACAACGCAGACCACCTCCAAGCAGGCCATTGAGGTCCAGCCGCACGGAGAAGCAACCTGCCTGACAGCCTCCAAGATCACCAACGGCAATCACCGGTTGTATTTAGTATGACGTTAGCGGGGTAACGACGCCAGAGATTCATGCAGCGAACGAACACAAGTTTTTAGATCAAATACAACTCAACAATCACAATTACGATCTACAAAATGGCGACTCTCGTCATCCCCAAATCCGACTCGACAGTCCGCTTGCGGGCCATCGATGCAAAGTGCGCGGTGTCTCTCCACACCCGCAACTTCTTGGAACCCCAGCTCGTAGGCTTCGAGACACTCAATCTAACCACAGTTTGCTACTTAATCGATCACCCTGCTTCAGGCAAACGAATACTCTTCGACTGTGGCGCTAGAAAAGACTTTGAGAACTACTCGCCGGCTTTCAAGGATCGTCTCAATACCATTATCAAGGGCTTGAGGATTGAAGCGGATGTGAACGACATCTTGGAGGATGCCGGTATTTTATTGAGCTCTATCGATTCTATCGTATGGAGCCATTGGCATTGGGATCACATTGGGGCTGCAGCCAAGTTCCCGCGGTCTGCTGAGGTTGTTGTTGGTCCTGGCTTCAAGGACAACTTCATGCCGGGCTATCCCACAAACCCTCAAGCCCCTCTGCTGGATGCAGACTTCAGGTAAGCTGAAGTTGGTTGGCAGTACTGCACAAAGTGTCTGACACATTCAACAGGGATCGGACAGTGAATGAAATCTCCTTCGACAAATCGCCTCTCCGAATCGGCAACTTTGCAGCATTCGATTTCTTCGGCGACGGCTCCTTCTACCTGCTTGACAGCCCTGGACATGCAATAGGGCATATGTGCGGTCTGGCGAGAACTACCCCAACCACTTTTGTATTTCTAGGTGGAGATATCTGCCACTTTCCGGGCATGTTCCGTCCTGGCCCTCAGGCACCTCTCCCAGACCCAGTACCCTCCGCTCAGCTGGACGACTACTTCCCGATTCCCTGTCCCTGTTCATTGTTCACGAGACACCACCCTCTCATCGAGCCCGATTCGAAAGCTGCGAAATCATCGTCGTTCTTCGAAGTCACCTCAGTCAAACCATCTTCTTACCACGACCGAGAACCGGCTATGAACAGTATACGCGCAATGCAGGAGTTTGATGCGTCTCCCGACATTCTCGTATGCATCGCACATGATCCGACACTTCTTAAGGTATTGCCTTTATTGAATGATTCCATCGACGACGACTTAAACGAGTGGAAGGAACGGGGATTCAAGGAGAGGTTGCAATGGGGCTGGCTGAATGAGCTCCCTCGAAATGGCAAACCCGGTCGACCTGCGCTCGTCGAGGGCGCATGGAGGGATGGTAAAAAAATCACAGACTTTCAAGAACTGAAAGCGTCGAGTTGAGGTGGCCACATAGTAACTGATGGCAACGGAATTGCTTCCATGAATTCACACAATGTCAAAGCCTTGTCAAACGGAGTAAAAACGGCGCACCAAACTTTCGAGTCATCCGACCTCATCTCCCGACACCATCTTCCTTTCCATCAATCATCGTGAAACTACTTGGAAGCCAATCAAATACTAACGAGCCATGTCGAAATTCCCATTCGGCAAACCATCATTCCCCTTCGTAACCCTCGACGTCTTCACCACCACTCCCTTCGCCGGCAACCAACTAGCCATCGTCGTAATCCCACCAGACCAACATGACACCCTCACCACCGCGCAAATGCAAGCCGTGACGCGCGAATTCAACTTCTCCGAAACCGTCTTTCTCTTCCAGCGTGCCTCGCACGCCGCCACCGACGTGCCGGAATGGCGCATCCGCATCTTCTTCCCTAAGCATGAACTCGCCTTCGCCGGCCACCCGACTATCGGCACCGCCGTCTACGCTTTGGGGACGCTCATGCAGGGCGCGAACAAAGGGCGTCTGCTTTGCCCTGCTGGACCGATTGAGCTTGAGTATTTTCCCTCGGAGCAGAGGGCGCGAGCTAGCATTCCGCATAACTTCCATCGGCATACTGAGGCCGACTTTACGCGGGAGCAAGTTTATGCTTTGCAGCCGAAGCTGAAGGATGCCGGGGTGGAATTCAAGGATGTCAATGTGCTAAGTTCCGTGAAAGGGATGAATATTGTTGCAGTGGAGCTGGCCGATCGGGAGGCCCTCGCGCAGGTGTACATATCTGGAATCCCTGCGAGGCCGAAGCTGGACAGCGACTGGGATGTTGGATTTGGCGCCGCTTACTACTATGTTTTCATTGATCGTGGAGGAACGGGTCGACCTACGGTAATACGCACGCGGATGATGGAGGGGACGCTTGAGGATCCGGCCACCGGGTCAGCCGCGTGCGCTCTCAGCTGTGTAATTCCCCTCCCCAACCCCTCTCTACTGACCCATGGCTGACCCACCCAGTTTCTCGCGTTGGAGATGAGGCAAGGTGGCCAGACGGAGTTTCAAATCACACAGGGAGTGGAAATGGAGCGACAGAGCGAAATCAACGTCCGCGTGACGTTAGGTGATGGAGGCAAGGGCAACATCGAGAAGGTGGAATTGGGCGGTTGCGCTGTGCAAGTGACAGAAGGCAAGATTCGTTTATGATATCTCTCATGTAACTCCTCAAAGGAAGGTGGAAGTCGGGAGTGCAATCTGGACTAGATATACCTGACCAACGCCAAGTGTACAATGCCTCCTTCGAACGCTAACAAATCAATCTCGCTTCCCAACTCGATCACGCCGATGCCGACGCCGCGGCAGGGGCATCAGCAGGGAGCTTCTCAATCTCAATCTTGGGCATTGCGGCTCCAGTGCCTCCGAGGTCGGTCTGCTTCGCCTTTGGGTTCTTGGTGTAGTAGTTAGTGATGGCGGACTTGATTGCGTCTTCGGCAAGCATGGAGCAATGGACTGTCATCAATTGTTAGTCGGTGTGTAATGCAAAGTATGTGGCTTTTTGACTTACGCTTCACAGGAGGCAGACTCAGCTCCTTGGCAATCTCGGTATTCTTGATCCTCCCCGCCTGCTCCAGCGTCATCCCTCGCACCAACTCGGTCAGGTACGAGCTCGAGGCGATAGCAGAGCCGCAGCCAAAGGTCTTGAACTTGACATCGGTGATGGTATCATTGGCGGGGTCGACCTTGATCTGCAATTTCATCACGTCGCCACACGCCGGTGCACCCACCAAGCCCGTGCCCACGTCCGGAGCATTCTTCTGCATGCTGCCGACATTGCGAGGGTTGTTGTAGTGATCAAGCACCTTCTCGTGGTATTGTCGGCGGCTTATTTGCGATTGCGATGATGCTGTGACGGCGGGGGCGAGGCGGAAGGTGTTGGTGGTGGTGGGGCGGACGACGGTCTGCGCGGCACGGCTGGCCTGCGCCGGCACGGTGGCGAGCACTCTTCTGAACATTGCGTCGATGATTTGTGTGGAGTTTCGTGGATATTCGGGGACAAGGTTGATGATTGTCGTAGATGGAGATGTGAAGGAATGGTAGGGTAATGCGACGTTGGATGTCCCACTGCAGATATGACGAAACTTTGTTCTGGACCCCCGGCCGAGATACAGGCCTATTTCCGAGTCACGTGATAGATTAGTCATTCTTCTCCACACCCTCGAGGTCTTGGCGCTTGTCACTGGGGAACTTTTTGTTGCAACTTGACTTCAACTGTGACCCTTCATTCCCACCTCGACATCTCTTGCGCACTCCAAGCCATCAAGATGTCTCGCGGTGGAACGACCCTCTATGTCACTGGCTTTGGCCACGGCACGCGCGCCCGCGATCTCGCCTTCGAATTCGAACGGTACGTCACCAAACGGCGAAGCGAATTCGATTACCCCACCACCTCTTCACCTCGCCCTCGCCCTCGCCCTCCTCCCTCCCCTTGCGATACCCCTCCCCTCGGTACGAACGATCGGCCCCCGTCGTATCCATCCTCCCCTCCATCACCCTCGAGCGACTCGTTCGATGCGACCTCCCTACCCACCACCTCTATCGACCCCTCGCCTCGACCGCCGATGCACGATTGACTTCAGATATTGACTGTCTTTTCAAGGTACGGACGTCTCGTCCGCTGCGATATTCCAGCACCCCGTACTGCGAGTAGCAGACTGTAAGCCATTCTCACGAAGACAACGTCCCGTTTCATCTCACTGATGATATCCCAGCTTTGCATTTGTGGAGTATGAGAGCCGTCGCGATGCTGATGATGCCTACCACGAGATGCATAACAAGCGGATCGGGCGTGATGATCAACTGAAAATCGAGGTGCGTTGATGAGAAAGCAAAAGCTGGGCACACGATCGGCTAACGTGACATGGCACAGTGGGCTCGTACACCACCCTCCGCAAGCTGGCGCTTCGATGCCGGTCGTCCGCCTCGAAATGATCGTCGCTCCGAGCGCTCGCCCCGTCGTCGCTCTCGCTCACCGCCCCGCCGCCTCGAAGACGACAGGGAGCGTGACCCGGCCGATCGTGATCGCGACAGGCGTGACCGTCGTGACCGCGATCGCTCTCGCAGCCCCGACGACCGTGATCGCGACATGAAAGATCGTGACCGTGAGGATGACCGCGAGCGCGTAGGCGACCGTGATCGTGACAGGGAATACGAGCGAGAAAACGTGACTAACGGCGATGATCGCAAAGGTGTGTATACCCTTCCCAACAGGCCCTTCGAAACCAGCCGGCGCCCTCGAGGCTGACCTTCCGATTAGAGCGCGATGAAGAAGCTCCTCCCGTCCTCGACGATCTCGACACTGTGGAGTAGTAAACCAGAACGTTGAAGATCTCCGGGTGGTGGGAACTCGTCTGAGAATCCTCCCCGTCTCAAGATTGCGTAGGACGGATTACTCGATTGGGATCTGAGCACCCCTATCAACGGCAGAGACATGGACCGCCGAGGACCATGATCCACCCGCAGAGTCCTAGTCTAGAAGTAGCATCAAATGAAGAATGCAAACGTATCAGTTTCCAAATACCAGACTAGTCAGCATCACGCTGAAGCCGGCCAAGTCGTGGTCATATACACAATTGTATCTATTTCGTCCAAATGTAGCCACTGAAGTCTCTATTTCAAATGCTCCGGCCGCTTCGCATTCACCGGGCTGTGCGAAAGGGCGCCATTCGCTTGCGTACTACCCTGTCCAATATCCCCCGGGCTCATATCCGTCTGTAGATTCAAGGTATCTTGCATCAACGACATCGAACTACCCCTCCTCCTTTCTACTCCTCCTGCGTCGCCAGCAGCACCCGGCCCACCGACAACAGCAGTCGCTTTGCCACTCCTCTCCAGACTGCCCTGCCGTTCGTCGCCGAAAATTTCCTGCGCCTCCTGCACTGCCTCCTGCCGCATCTTGGTGTATTTCAGGTAGTTGTACGCGACGATGGAGAGGATCGTGACGACGAGGCCAGAAACGTTGATGGGGCTCAGCTCGTCGCCGAAAATCGCGCCCGCGGCGCTGATGGTCAGGACTTCTTTGAAGATGCCGCAGACCGACAGCGTGACGACCGAGGTGCGTTTCAGCAGTGCGAACTCGGCGCTGACCATGAGGAAGGCGAGGATGCCGGGGAAGAGCAGGAGGAGGAAGGATTGGAAGCCGCCTTCCGATGCGGCGAGGTCTTTGACGCCTTGGATAACGTTGGAGGGGCCTTCGATGGGGAGGGCGAGGGCGAAGAGGGCGAGGAACATGACGGGGGTGAGGAAGAAGATGCTGCTGAAGGGGTTGCTGGTTGCGCGGTTGCGGAGGAGGAGGATCTGCGTGAGACTCCAGCGGAAGCCGGAGCAGAAGCTGGCGAGCATGACGAGCACGAAGCCGAGGGCGTTGAAGGCTGTTTCGCCCGCGACCATCATGATGACGCCGATGGTCATGAGGGCGATGATGAGGATGAGCTTCCATGTCGGCCGCTCGAGGTGGAAGAGGAAGGCGAAGAGGAGGACGAAGCCGAGCACGCTGGATTTGCACATGGTGAAGAAGGTGAGGCTGATGAAGCGGAGGGAGAAGTTGCCCAGGCCAATGTCCAGGGCGGTGGCGGTGCCGCAGGGGCCGATGCGGGTCAGGTAGAAGAATTTGGTCATGAGGGGTTGTTGCTGCTGTTCTTGATCTTGTTGGAGGGCGTTGGGTTTCTGGGTATGGCCGTTGGAGAGGTCCTCCTGGGGATCGCCATCGATGTCGTTGTTGCTGAGACGCGAGTATGACGCCTCGTGTGGTCTGATGACGGGGGAGTTGCCCGGCCGGTAGTGAGGGAGAAAGTAGAGCACGGATGCTGCGAGAGCGAATTGGACGAGCATGTGTAGGCTGGTGGTGAAGAGGGGATAGGGAAAGTCGAGATTCTCGCCGGAGAACATCCATTTGTTGTAGACACTAATGGAGATGCTGAAGGTGTACCACAGGCCAATGAGGACGGCGTTGAGGAGGACGTTTTTGAGCAGGGTGGTGGTGACGAGCTTCTCGTCTGTGGTGCCATTGCTGCCGGGCACACTGCGCATGCTCACCGCGCCCGACACCTGCCCGTCGAGTCGCGAGTTCATCGTTTTCCGCCGCGTCCGCTGCTTTCGCTGTGTCGGTGTGAGGCCCGTCTCTTCATCGTCGACCATGCTTTCGTCGTCCGATCGTATCACGTCCATTTCCAGATCCGGCAGCGCTTTCCCCTCCGAGTCGTCGGAGCCCCCGCTCAAATACTCCCTACCGGCATGTCTGGATCCGTCGAAGAGCTGGTCTATCGCATGTCCGTTCTTCCGCCGAGTAGCAGGCATTCCATCCGAATACGAGGGAAGGTGCGAGGCAGAAGGTCCAGCATCAGCCTCGTGAGAGGGTGGGAGGAGGGGAGTGGTGGTGGAATCGCTGGGCGCCTGATCGCCCGGTGTTGGTGCTGGGGAGGAGGGTGAAGGGGCGTCCAGCGCCGGCGCAGCAGAAGAAGACTCCCACTGCCCCTTCGCATGTGCCATTGCCGGCTTGGCTGTTTGGCGATGACTAGGTGGGTTCGCCGTGACGATCGGCACAGTACAGCAGTGAACACGCTCGCTGCTGGCGATTAGCGAGGCCCTCCGCCGCCTCGGGTGCGCTAGTGGCTCCTCCCGCCCCGCCTTAGCGCCAAATGCTTTAACCAAATTCCAACCCAATGTCGAATTTTCCAGGTTCGCATCTTTTTCCGAACCCAAACCATTGCGCCGGGTGCCGATCGAGCGTCGAGGATGAGCAAGAGCAAGCGTGCCGCCGACGGTGCGCCGCTCGTCCACCCTTCGCGTCAGAAGCGTGTCAAGTACTCGGAACAGGACGTGCAACTCGCCCAAATCTACAACGACTTGGCCGACGAGGTTCAATCCGTCAGGATCCAGGCCGCTGGCGAGTTACTTCGGGCACTATCGGCCGAAGCGTCCGATCAACGTCAGCGACTCGACACCGCCGAGACACGACTAATTCGCGGTCTTTGCAGCGGACGAAAGGCTGCACGATTAGGCTTCTCCATTGCGCTTGCCGAAGTCTTTCGGTTGAAGTTTGGTGTCAGTGGGGAAGCGATCCCTCTGCAATCTACCGTCGACAACATCATCACATTGACCACCGTTACCGGCAATGTTAGCGGCCAGGAGAAACGAGACTATGGACTGGGCCGCAGATTCGCCTTTCAGGCTGTGCTTCAAAGCGACATTGGCGTTGCGAAGCGCTTGCCATTAGACGAATGGAGGTACCTCATCAAGTGTGTCTATGCTCTCGCTGCTCAAAAGCAATGGCTCCGACGGGAATGCGGTGCTGTGGTGCATGATTATCTCATCAGTCTGACCAGCTCACCCGACCCATCTCGCATCCAACCATTCATCGATGAGCTCGTCGAGCACAAGCTGGCCAAGACGCCGGAAGGTGTAGGGATATGGCTGGATGTGAAGGAGCGCTTCCCCGCGGTCCGACTTCCCAAAAACGTCTGGGAACACGAGGATCCATTGTCCGGAAAGGAGCGGGCACTGCTTGCGAAAGTGATGCTAGAGACCGCCGTCGACGACGATGATGCGCCTTCCAAAAAGGCGGGGTCTCGACAGGCTACTCCGAGCTTCGCATGGTCTGTTTTGCTCCATCGAGTCTCTGCGCAAGCGGATGTGAAGCGTTTCCGCAAATTCTGGGACGCTGTGGCCGCCTCTATGTTCTCTCCCTCGGCCTCCGCCGAACGAAAAGCATTGGGCTTCCAAGTGCTTTCACTGATTATCACTGAGGCCGAGTCACACATTGTCGAGACGGTCTTGAGTTCTGTCGAGGTGCTGCAATGCATCATTGACTCTCGTGCAAATCCCGAAAGGTATCTTTTCGATGCTGTGAGGACACCCCTCAATCACATCACTGCCCGGGCAAAGCAGGACAAGGGTCTATCATCAATACTATTCAGCGCACTCGTCGAGCATGGCGCTGCAAACTTTGATCAACTTACCAAGACGAAGACTGTCGAAGGCATTGTGGCGGAAGCAGATACCGATGCGCTCTTGGAAATAGCCACTTTTGCCATAAAGTTGATCGAAAGGTCCGGACTGACCGACCCGAGAGCAGTCGAGAATCAAAGACGAGCACTCGCAGACCTCCTAGTCAGTGCGGTCCGGACCCATCGATTGACTGGGCTCGTGACTTCAACAGAAAAGGCAGTGACACTAGCTCCTTGGATCCGTCATGTTCTGAAACAGTTCATGGACCTGGGAGAAGTTGCAGACGACGCCGTACCAAAACTCACAGAGTCAAGTCGAAGCGTGTTCCGCAATAGACTCATGTCCTGCTTGGCGACCTTTGCTGAAATGCCACTCGAGCACGCTGTCATCGCGAACCAATACGTCTCCAAGCTGGCATCAAAGTCCACCGCTCTTCGGGAGAAGCTACCGAGCAACGCACTTGCCGCAGTGGAAAGCGCGGGTGCTATTTCGAAGCAAATCGCCGCAAGCCAGCAGAGCAACGCAAGCATGCAGGCTTTCCAACTTCTTATAGGTCTGACCATTCTCCAGGTCTGTCACGAGGAGCCAGACAGCTTGCCAGCACTGGAAGATCTGCTCGCCTGCTATCAAACGATTGGACAGGGCGACTCCACGACCGTGCTCATCGAACTCTTGCTTAGCTTCATCTCGAAGCCGTCGGCACTCTATCGAAAGCTTGCCGAACAAGTCTTCTCGGCCTTCGCGGCGCAGTTGAATGCAGAGGGATTGGAGTCATTGATCGATGTTCTGCAGCAAAAGGAAAGCTTAAAGGGACAGCAGGCGATGTTTGAGACTGTCGATGAAGATGCAGACCAGCTTGGAAATGGTACTGATGAGGACGAGGAAGACTCCGATGACGACGACGACGACGTCGATGGAGCGATTGACGTCGAAGACGATTCCGACCTGGAGCTCGTGAACGGGAACATTGTCGAGAAAGACGATGAAAGCGAGTCTTCCTCGCAATCCCAAGAAGAGGATGACGCATCCGCCGAGGAAGACGACGAAGAAGCCATCTTCGACAAGAAACTCGCCGAAGCGCTCGGCACATCAGGCATGGACGGCCCCTCCTCCGACGAGGACGGCTCCGACATGGACGACGAGCAAATGATGGCCCTCGAGCCCCACCTCACCACCATCTTCAAAGAGCGACAGAAGGTCACGAGCAAGAAACAAGACCACAAAGACGCCAAGGAGAATATCGTCAACTTCAAGAACCGCGTGCTGGATCTGCTGATGATTTACGTCAAGAGTCAGTACGACAGCGTCCTGGCTTTGGACTTGATCTTGCCTCTTACAAGCTTGATTCGCACAACGGGCAACAAGGCAACGGCGGAGAAGGCCTTTGCTGTGCTGAAGCAGTACTTTGAGAGCTGCAGTAAGAACAAGCGTCTGCCCGTGCCTGAGAATGAAGCCGGCCAGAATCACGAGGGGTGCTTTGAGCTTTTGACGGCTGTGCATGAGGAGGTGCAATTAGATGGGTCGAAGCTGCATGCGAATGCGTGCAGTCGGTCTAGCCTGTTCTTGTGCCGAATCATCGTGGCGATGGATCCGGAGTTGTATGACAGGATTGCCAGCATGTATGCCTCGTTGCAGAGCGAGTGGTACTCGCATCCGTCGTCGAGGATTCCGAGCAGCATGTTCACTGAGTGGACGAGTTGGTCGATTAATACCAGGAGGAATCATTGAAGCAGATGCCATTCGGCGTGGATAGAGGTTGTCTGCAAGATATCTATCTAATCCATGCTCCTCACCAGGGGGTTTCCCACCACCTTTTCAAGCTGCTGCGCCTTCTATGCCTGCCCAGAGCGGATCTTCTCCAGCTCCGGAGTGCCCAGATGCACCAACTTATTAACCGCAGGCGGCTCGCTGTTGATCACAGCCTGCACCGCCTCGACCACCGTCCCCACGAGCCCCTTGGCACTAATCGAGTAGGTGACCGTCTCGCTCTTGACCTTCAACAGCGCAATACGCGGGTCGTCGGGCCCGCCGTCGTGCGTGCCGTCGCGCAGATCTCCAAGCCAGATCTTCAGCGCGGGCGAATAGTGCTTCTTGATCTCGGCCTTGTCCGTCACCACTTCCGCCTTGCCCGAGATGGACGCCCACTCGCCGGAGGAGTTGAGGAAGCCGAGGTTGACGTCGGAGTGGGCTTTGATGTCGTCCGTCTTGCCCGAGGAGTTGTTGGCGTGGAAGATGAAGTCGACGTCGTTGTTTTCCTATTGGGGGCAGACTGTTAGTTGATTGGGGGAGGGGGATGGAGTGAGGATGGGTTTACTTTGGCCGCGAGAGCCATGCATCGGCTGACCAGCGAGTCGCCCTCGGGGGATTTGGTGGTCATCATGCAGAACTTGCATTTCTCCACAAACTTGGCCAGGTCGGCGTGCTTCTCCTGGATGGAGGGCTCGGCCTCGTTCTTCGCCTTGAAGGGGTCGGACATGTTGGTTTGATGTGATTGGGATTGGGGAGAGTTGAAGTTGAGTGAGGAAAGTAAGGCCGTTGATGGAAGAGTAGTGGAATTGGTAGAGAGACGTGCGGGGATGTATCAGATACAAACATGCAGTGTCTCAGGCACGAGTGTCTTGTACCTACATACGTCAATGCAGCGGCGACACGAGGCTGCCTACGTCAGAGAGTGTCATAGATCGCTGCAGCCAATGGCGTGAGATCACCTCATGTAATCCTTGGCATTCACTCCCACTGCACTTCACTTCACCTTCCTTCCCGATTCGTAGGTGCAAGGCTTGCCGCTTGCCATCGCTTTTGGCTGCCATTGACTACCGCATGACCGTGTGCTCTTGCGTCCTCCCATTAACAGTCAGCTAGATGCGAGCAGGAGAAAGTGCAATCTGACCACGCCATCCCACCTCCATTCTCTCTTGCCATTGTCCACCTCAGCTGCGAAATGGCGGGCAAGAGATGCTCACCTCCAGGTAAGTCAACGTGCGCCAATCTCGTTTTACGTCAAAGTGTCCAATCCCCTTCAACCGTCTTCTGTTCACTCTCCTCTCCCCATATCCCCTTCATCCCTCCCATTCTCCATCCATCAATATCGGGGGCATGGAAGATGCAGATTATCGGTCTCAAGCGTAGGATTTCGGGTGAAGATCCTCCGCTGCCTTCGATCGTGAAGAAACGCTCCCGAATCTTCTGCCGCCCCTCCACGGCATCTCCTTCATACCTTCAAGCTTGCCCGACCTCTCCTCTGACCCCACCTCCGCCCGCCGCTTCGGGTCTGCTGCGCTGGAGGCAGAGAAGCACGCGACTTCTTTCCAAATTACCACTCTTCAGACGTGAGCGATGTTGCGTCATGGATTGTTCTATACGTTGTTAACCCTCTCCAGCGGTTGCTGCTACGTCCATGGCTGACGCCGACCCTTCGCCGTATTCCCATGCCATCACCCCTCCACCCGCCGTTCTCGTCACGCCATCAAATTTCGGGCGGCTCAGGAAGTTGGGCACTACCTCTTCCTCCACCCACGAGCAGCCTGTTGTGCCACAGCGCAAACGCTCCGTTCGATTTCGCGATGCTGATGCCCAAATGGACGGCCCTCGAGCCGAGACATCCTATCGCAACTCCAGAGAGTCTGGCAGAAGCAGTCTGTCCCAAAAGTTGTCGGATCACTTGGAAAGTCTGGGGGCGAAGCTTAACGGCACCAACGGCACGCAGACCATCGTGCATCGAGCGAGCCCACGCAAGAGACAATCCGTTCCGTACATGAATCCCGACGATGCAGACACCGAACCAATTCTGGGAAATGCTGTGCCCGTGCTCAACACCAATTCGTCCTTTACGCCCCCCTCGAACAATACGGACTGGTCCCCAGCGGGCACAGCCTCGACAGCTGCAACCTCCTTGACCTCACCACACTCGTCAGGACCATTTGCGCGCCGTCACGCTCTGGATGAATGTCAGAACCTGAGCAAAAGCTTCTCCGGCGGCGTTGACGAAGGTCTCCTCCCTCCTATCCAGGAAGACAACGGCCGCTTTCTCTTCATCCCGCTGCAAGAGAAGCCGATCGAGACCACGCCTTCCATCCTCACGGTGGAGAATGTGGCTGCAGCCAAGGTCTACCTCGAAACCCATTTTCACAAGCTACTCATGGAGCCAAGTTCGCCGCGGTCCCTCCGGTTAAAGAAATTCGAACAGTCCATGGCGGATCTAGGCTTTGCACACGACGAACGAGTCGCTGGAAGGCAGGAGTGGAATCGCGTGGAAAGCGAACACTTACGTCAGCTGCGAGTGTTAAAGTCAACGGCGGTGGGCCGGCATCAAGTCAAAGGCATCTCCATTGCCGGTTTCGACGTCATCCGCATCCTGGGCAAGGGCAGCTTCGGAGTAGTCCGCCTTGTCACGGAGCGACATTCAGCCTGCGTTGAGTCGGGCAAAACGTCAGCAGCGAATGGTCACAGGGCCGACAAGAGTATCAGCAACGTTGACGGGACTGCCAAACACAACCTTCCTACTGGCAAACCGCTTTCGGATGTCTTCGCCATGAAAGTCATCCGCAAGTCGGAAATGCTGCGCGCATGTCAAGAAGGCCACCTGCGCGCCGAGCGTGACTTTCTGGTGGGAGCGGAGGGTTCGCGCTGGGTGGTGCCACTCATGGCCAGCTTCCAGGACAATACGAATTTGTATCTCGTCATGGAGTACATGATCGGCGGCGACTTTCTCGGCCTGCTGTTACGGGAAGATGTGCTCGACGAGGCAACGGCCAGGTAGTACGTGGCCGAGATGATCCTCTGTGTAGAGGAGGCGCACAAGATGAAGTGGATTCATCGGGACATCAAGCCCGACAACTTCCTCATCAGTGCTTCTGGCCACTTGCGAATATCGGACTTTGGCCTGGCATTTGACGGCCATTGGGCGCATGGCCAGACGTACCATTCCAATCAGCGACAGGGCTTGCTGGAAAAGCTGGGCATTCGAGTCATCGGCGATGAGCAGGATGTTGTCGAAGCGCTCGAGGCCGAAGCAGCGGGTGAAGAGGTCGACTCGCCCAACCGCAAGACATCTGCAGCCAAACAGCAATCAAACTCCGAAGAAGGCGCCAAACGCGAAGGCCTACTCAACTGGCGCAACCGCACGGAACGGCGCAAGCTCGCCCGCAGCGTCGTGGGCACCAGCCAATACATGGCGCCCGAAGTCATCCTGGGCCAAGCGTACGACGGGCGCTGCGACTGGTGGAGCATCGGCATCATCCTGTACGAATGCCTCTACGGCCGCACACCCTTCTACTGCGAGAACAGGCAGAAGACCAAAGAGAAGATCGTCCGGCACCGCTCGACCCTCGAGTTCCCCGCTGCAGACCGCTGGGCTCGACCGACGACCGACGCTCGTCGTCTCCTCGCACCTCCGAGCGAAACGGCCATCGATCTGCTCCGCGGCATCCTAACAGACAAAGACATGAGACTAAGCTCGCAACGCTACCGCCACAGCGAAACGCGCTTCTTCGGCCGTCGCCCGTCCACCGGCCACAATCCCCTCGCCCGCCACGTTTGCCCCAACGGCGCAGAGGAAATCAAAGCGCACAAATTCTTCGCCGGCATCGCATGGTCACAACTCCACCTCTCCTCCCCACCCTTTGTCCCGCGCGTCCGCGAAAATCAGTCCATTACAAAATACTTCGAAGACGAGAAGGACTTGCTCTCCGACGAAAACTCCAGCTACGCCAGCGCCAAAGAGAAACTCCTCGAAGCCGTCGCCGCCGAAGACGATGCCAACATCCCGGACGCTCGAGCAAAGGAAATGCTAGGAGAGCAACACTACGCCCGCTACCGCGCCTCGCAGCTCGCAAAGGAAAAACACGACCTCGGGCTGGAATCCTGCTCCGACGGCGAAGTGGAGCGCATCAAAGCACACTTCGGCCCCGCGCGCTACGAAGCATGGAAAGCGGAGCGCAAAGTGCAAATGTGCGAGGAGCGGGCGCAGTTGGGGGACGCCAGCGGCGCTGCTGTTCCTGTCACCATGCCGGGTGCTGGGGGTGGCGCGAAACGCCCACCGAAGAAGGAAAAGAAGCGCGCTAGGGATAAAGTGCTGCGTGATCCGGAGCTGGCGCGCACGGTCATGGAGATCAGGAAGCGGAAGGCGTTCTTCGGGTATACGTGGCGGAGGCCTGGGGTTGTGGTTTTGGAGGGGAGGGCGGTGGCGGTGGGCGGTGGGGTCGGAAGGGGAAGGACGGGGAGTCGGAGGGGGGATTTGAGGGCTTTGGGCATGGTTTCGCCGTTGCCGGTTGCGTAGGAGGGGGGTTCTTTTGTATTGTTCAATCCCTGAGGATGGTTGGTTTTTGGCTGTCGCTGTGAGAGTTTGGTTGCTAGAACCCTGAGATAGTCTATCTTATAGGCAATTTGTTTCCGCAAGCACGTCTCGCCTTCATCAGCCTGACACACCACTGATGCAGAGGTAGACAGTAGGCTGTTAGAATCGCGATACAATAAGACTCAAACTCACGAAGAAGGGAACATGAAGCAAAAGGTGGAAGAGGCAGTAGAGGGCACACCGACGCCAAACGCTCATTCCATGTCTAGCTACTCGAAAGAAAGGGCACCACACAAGGAGGAGAGAAAAAGGTAAAAGGAATACACCCTCGTCATATAGACATAAAGCATATGCAGCATTCCCATTCGACGGAAAAACAGCAGCCCAGGATCAAGAAAACACACACATCGCACGCACTCACTCCTTTCCATGGTGTCCTCATTGCTCTACCCCCCCGAATTTCTCGTCTTTGTGTCAAAAGGAATGTGGTGGCGGTCTGTGGTGTGATGACGAGATGGGTTGATTGGTTTCCCCCGTCTGGAACTCCTTCCCACTGTGCTTGAACCTCCCAATCCTGATGTGTAATGTCGCGCGCGCTCTAGATGGCGTACTTCCGCGTCCACTCCCGGGCGGTTGCCTCGTAGCGGGAACGATCAGTCTTGTAGACGTGTGCGATTTCCGGGACGAGGGGATCGTCGGGGTTGGGGTCTGTGAGCATGGAGCAGATGGAGAGGAGGACTAATGTGGCGCAGCATGTTAGTTTGATATATCGCACAGGCAGACAGATGACGGAGACGCACCTTTGGAGATGGTCAGCGCCGGACTCCACTGGTCGCGCAGAATGTCGAGACAGATGCTGCCGTTGCTGTTGATGTTGGGGTGGTAGATGCGGGTGGTGAAGTTGACTTTGGGCGGCTTGAAGGGGTAGTCGGTGGGGAAGTGGATTGCGAGGAAGAAGACGCCGCCGGAGTAGGGGGAGTCGCCGGGGCCCATGATGGTGGCTTGCCAGTGGAACTGCAGGGTGGGTGTGTTAGTGCTTGCATGTGCGAGGGTGTGGTGGGGTGTGCTGGACGAGGTGGACGCACGAGGTCATCGCCTATCGGGCCGGCACTGCAGGAGGACGGCGGGTCACTGGGAGGCTTGTCAGCAGGCGGGTGGGGAGGGGTGAGGTGGGTGGTGGCATCGCATACCGTCCGAGGTCTGTGAGTTCCTGCAAGGAGATGTCAGCCTGGCTGGAAGTGTGTGGATAGAGGCCGGGCAAGATGAGCACGCGGCCTTCTTTGGGTATGACGCACCTTATTGATTCTCTTCAACGCCATTTTTGCTGTGTGGGAGGAGTGTGTGAGGGGATGGAGGGAGTTGTGGTGTACTGAGCGGAGGGGCTGGAGTGTGGTGTGGCAGATGTGGAAGGGTGGATGGTGGGTGGTGGTGTCGGTGGTGAAGTTTTGGTGGCGGTGGTGAAAAGAGGGTAAGGTTTGGCAGCGAAGGGAGAGTTGGGTGACGTGCAGCCGCCCAGCGGTAAAGAACTGGACGGGAAACCTTGAAGGGAAGGCACCGCCGCCAAGACTGCATTATGTAATCTGCACGTGAGGCGCATTTGATTGACATGCATGAGCCGTCGAAACTTCGATGCATGCCGGAAGCTTACGTGATTCACCATTCGATGGAAACAGAAGGACATCAGATGAAGACAGAAAGGTACGGCCAGTTGCCCGCTCACTCTACACCAACAATCTCTATACACCGTCATGCGACTTCCCAACGCCAATCGTACTACCGTTTTGTATCCCGCCAAACCAGAAATGTGCCTCCCAACTTCCTTACACGAATGCTTGAATACCAGTAATGGCCCGGCCCAGAATCAACGCTACATTATCAGTCAGCATTGTCTCTCGTGCAATACAACCAACTAGCGCAACTCACAGTGAATATCGCTTTGTCCCTCGTACGTTTGCGTGACAAAAAGATTGGAGACGTGCCGTCCAATATGATACTCATCACTCGCCGCATTGCCTCCGAAAATCTCCTGAAGACTGTAAAGAAAGTCAGCGACCGTCTCAGTCCTGGTCACAGCACACGACGAGCACTTACTTCCTCGCCCCGATCAATGCTCGATCACAGTTCTGCCTCTTGATCATCGAAATCATCTCAGGCGCATGCTTGCCCTCGTCCTTCAGTCGGCCGACCTGGTACGCCGCCATGATACCATACGCCGCATCGGTGCTCGCATCCGCCAGCTTCTTCTGCACCAGCTGGTACTTGGCAATCGGGTTGCCCTTGAACTGCTTCCGCTCCAACGCGTACTCGCGCGCCCGTGAGATCGCATCCTCCAGCGCTCCAATCACGCCCCACGCAATTCCGTACCGCGCGTTGTTCAAGCAGGAAAACGGGCCCTTCAATCCCTGCACTTCGGGGAACATCATCTCCTTCGGCACGGGCACTTCGTCCATCTGAATCATCCCCGTGATACTGGCGCGCAGCCCGTTCTTGTCGCCAATCTTCGGCGTCTCCAGCGTGCCGGGTGGACACTGCGAACGCTCAATCAAGAAGCCGCGGATCTTGCCCGTTTCCTGCAGCTTCGCCCACACCAGCAACACGTCCGCAATGGGGGAGTTGGTGATCCACGTCTTCGTCCCAGACAGGCTGTAGTACCCTTCCTTGCTCGGATGCGGCTTCGCCACACTCTCCATGCTGCCCGGGTCGCTGCCGTGATTGGGCTCCGTAAGGCCAAAACACCCTACCATTTTGCCCTGCGCCATAGGCGGCAGGAACTTCTCCTTCTGCTCCTCGCTGCCGAACTCTGCGATGCCGCCCATGGCCAGACTGGACTGCACGCTGAATCCGGAGCGGTAGCCGGAGTCCACGCGCTCGACGGCGCGGGTGATGAGGCCGGTGGCAACGGACGATACGCCGGCACAGCCATAGCCTTGGATGGAGGAACCGAGGAAGCCTAGCTCGCCCATTTCTTCCAGGATGCGCTTGTCGTACTCTTCTTTTCGGTATGCCTCTGTGGATTGCGTTAGAATTATATACGAAACAACGTAGGGGAGGATGAGGGAGCATACCGAGAACTCGAGGAAGTAGCTTTTCCTGGCAGTACTGCTCGGCCGTCTCCGCAATCGCCGTCTCCTCCTCGGTGTAGAGGCCCTGGGCACCCAAGGGGTCCTTCCAGTCAAATGTAGCGACAGAGCGACGAGAAAGCTGTGATACAGGCGACCGTTGGGCCAGTCGCCGCGCGGCGCGTGATGAGAGTGTTTTGTACATATTGTAAGCCGATGATCTACAATGAGAGACAGTAGTAAGAGCAGAAGAAACGAAGAGTCTGAAGAATGTCCGAGTCTCGGCGTGTCCGGGGCGTTGAATGGGTTTTATGTGATGATGCTTTGCCTCGAATGCATCTCGGCGAGATTCAATGCTGGGCCGAGGCTCGGTCCCGTTTTGGGAGGTCGAGGCGCCTCGTTTTCCCACTCGACGCGTAACCTGAGGCTGCTATCAAACCATGGCTAGCATGTAATATTAATCTCAACACATTGGGCTGCGTGTATTCCTTTGTGGAAATGTGTCTTGTCCATCCGGCACGAGATCGCCTTCCGAAAATGGCGATCCTCGACATCGCTCCTTCCTCACGTTGTTCTCTCTAAGCTCTGACGTCAACCGGGAAGGAGCAGCACATGAACGTGACATGAGCTGCAGGTAAGGCATGGTCCATCTCTCGTTTCTTCGCACTTTCTTCGCACTGGAACCCTCCCAAAATTGCACCGCAAGGGAACACCTTCTCCAGCGCGACAATACATGAGGCATCTCTCCACCACCGCCCTCACAATGTCCAAGCGAGTAAGTAGCCATGACCACCCCAGAATCGGAGCGCGAAGCTGACAGACATGACAAGATCTCCTACAAAGTCGAAGGCACAGTCCAAGGCGTCAACTTCCGGTAAATTTCATTCTCCTGTTCTCTCCACCCATCTCACATGGTGTATACAGCAACTGGACAACGAAAAAGGCCTCCTCCCTCGGCGTAACCGGCTGGGTGAAAAACGCCGACGATGGCTCCGTCATTGGCGAAGCGCAGGGCAGCGAGAACGCGCTGGACAAGTTCGTGCAGGCGCTGAATATGGGTCCCGGGGCGGCGGAGGTGAATAAAGTGCAGCAGAAGGATATTGAGGTCAAGGAGGGGGAGAAGGGGTTTGATCAGTAAGTGCCTTTGTAGGTTTGACCCAAGCGGGTCAGAGTTGGGGAGTAATGGATGGTAATTGATGACTGATGACGATTGTGTAGGATTAGATGGTGAGGCCAAATGCATCTGTTTGCAAGCACGCGGTTATTCCAGAGTTCCTGCAGTAGAAGTCCCGACTTTCCACGATATCCAACCCAAGCAATGCACCAATCTCACTTGAAATCAACCTTGTGTACAACCAGCCAAACAGGAGGTAACGAGCTTCCTCTCTTCGCAGACCACCCCATACTCTCCAAACTCCCTCCAGCCTTTTCACTATCATACTCAATCGTCGTGCCCTGGAAAGCCATCACGTCAACCCTCGGAGCTCCCGCTGGGAATAAGTAAACGACTCACCTTCTCCCAAGTCCCATTCCCACCCTCCACAGTCTCCGTCACCGCCCATCCCTTACAAACCTCCAGCACATCTGCATCTCGACTTTTCCGCAAAACATTCTCCACCACCATCTTGACCGTAAAGTGCACGCTGACTTTGAACACCTTGAACTCCCTATCCCCAGCAATTCTAATCAGCCACATCCTCAATGCGCCTTCGATCAAAGGGGAGAACTCACAGTTTCCGCCCACGATACCTCTCCTCCCAAACCGGCGCCGCTTTGCGGAAAATATGCAAAATCGTGTGCTCGAGCGGATACATGTAATTCACGCCTTTGGCCAGCGAAGGCGGCGCATTGGCATTGAACTTCTTCGCCTTCTTCTCTTTCGCTACTTTCTTTTCTTCACGCGTCTCAGCCGGCGGAGGGGGCACCAATGCCTCCGCAGCCGCTGGAGGTGGAGCGGGCACAGGAGCGGTGCAAAGCCCGTTGATTCCTACTGGTGCCCGAAGCCAAGGGGCTGGCTGCCATGCCCATGGAATGGGGGCGAGGGGAGTGGGGAGGTAGAACATTTGCACTGCGGCGGGTTGAGGGGTCGGTTCTGTGGGTGGTGTGGGAGGTTCGGGCTTTGGAGGCTGAGGTGGTGGAGGGTTGGCTTTCTTTCCGGCGCTGTCTGGATGCCACCGTCTGCGCGCCAGTAGGTTGCGCGGTGGTTGCTCATGTGGTGGTCTCTCCCCGGGGAAAGAGTTCTGCTCTGTCACGAGGAGACAGCAGGGGAGTGTGAAGCAAGAGTAGAGTCGAGTGCCACAGTCCTCGTGAAAACCAACAAAGAAGAGAAACGAAGAAGAAAAGGGAGAAGCAAAGCGCCCATCAAGTAACATATACCTATTCCCAGTACCTCCATCCACAGCTCCACGGCGCTCATTCCATCAAGCCTGCACGCCGCCATCGCTCCGAGCACGCGAACACACACGACCGCAGCAAACACCCTTTCCCCCCGAGATCACACGTATGTTCATGCGACGTGAAGGAATGCAGGCGGGAGGGGCAGGTGTCTCGGAGCTAGGCTTGCCCACATGCTGTGCCGTTGTGTCCGCGTGAGCAACATCCAATGGGGGGTCGGGTGAACATGCAGCTTGTGCGTGGTGAAGAGTGACTTGTGGGGTGGACACGTGGGTTCTGGAATGAGGGTTGCGTGGAAGGCTGGATCGGGAGAGGGAATGTGCTGTATGACAGGTGGTGCGCTAGATGACTCTTTGGTCTGAGCCGACGATGTAGAGCAACTTCTGCCTGCTATCGAAATCCTTCGATTTCGAGTGCTCGGCGTTTGCCAGCCTGTGACGCTATATTCAGTCATCAGCTACCACATGCTAGGCCGACGGCCACGGCGCAAGCAGCAGAGACACAGGGCCGCGAACTGTGCATTTTGATCTCCTGGCAAGCCGCCCCGCCAGATGATCGTCCACCGATCGCGCGTCCCGTAGTAGATACAACCTGGTGCCCTTGCTACATTCAATTCCAAAACGTGACATTGCTCGCATAACCCTGCATCGTTTCACTGATGGTGCGATCCGGCGCCTTGGACCGCTGTCCACTCAACTGCACGCAAGCGTACGTTAGCAAAACACTCACAAGAGTCGGTTAGGAACGAAAGCAAGACTTACCTCCATGCCCACACCGCGATGCAGCTGGACCAACCAGTCCACGTAACTGCTCGCCTCGCCGTTGCGATCTTCGTACAGCAGCCGAGCAAACTCATACTCCGCACCGTCAAGGCTCTGTCGCGCGAGTTGTATCGCCAAGCCCTTGCTCCCGCGGCCCTGCTCCAAATTGAGCAGAAGATTCCGCACCTGCGCATTCAACAGCGTCTCGAGCACAGGCAAAGCGTTGAGGTTCGGATCGAGTTTCTGCAGATCATCCATACCCGGGCCGAAGAGGTCCTCGAGGAGATTCGGCGAGACTTGGGCATGCAGCCATAAGAGCAGAATCTGGCCGTTGTCAACGAGGTATGCGCCACCTTGTTCGATCTGAGAGAAGGAGGCGCGCACGGCGCGGGGGATCTTGAGGTGCCCGCTTTCGTCCGCGAAGCCTTCCGAGGGGTCGAGGTTGTGCAGCGCAATCATGCGCGGGTAGAGGTACAAGCTGAGCTCGGCGGGGCCCATGCCCTTGATCAGTCTCGCTTCGTGAATTCTTCGGTCAGACGGCTCGTGGCCGCCTTTGATGGCGCGAGACTTGAGCAGGCCAAGGATGTACATGGCGAACTCTTTGAGATTCTCGGGCAGGACGAGCTGGCTGGTGGGATGGGCGCCGGAGAAGTTCTTTCGGTAGCCTGTGAGGATCTCGACCGTGCGGTCTTGCACGTTTTGCCGGATGTCTTTCAGTGGCTTATCGACGATCTTGTTCGCGGCTTCTTTCGCCAGCACGCTGATGACCGCGTCCTGGTCGACGAACTTCATGCTTTCTCGCGCCGTTTCGGAGACCGAGGCGACTACATTGCTGCACCGTACCCGTCGCTGGCCTGACGTGGTTGTGTAGAGGAGTGCGGATTGGAAGTGGGCATCAAGCTTCGAATCGAGCTAGAAGTGGTTGAGCATTAGCACAAGATCACCGAATAGAAGCGATGTGGTTGAGTCGATAACTTACCTTGCCATCATATGAGAACGTCACACACATCCCCGAATCTTCCGTCACCGACGCCATCTCCAGATCCGCGCCAAAGGTATGCTGCGTCAAGTTGCCAACGTAGTGCGCAATCTGCAGCCCATTCGAGCACCGCACCTTCATCAACGCCGCGTAGCCTTGATCTCGTGCAATCGTGTGACTGAGCTCCTTCTCCAGTCGCAAAAGATCTCGTGGGTAGCTCCAATTGGGGAAGTAGAAGGTCTCGCCGCCGGTCTTTTCAGCCACCAAGCCGATGGTGGCGATGTCAATGTACCCGCCTGATGGAGCAGAGAGGAAGAAGTCGACGCCCACGCCTGCCTTGACCATGTCGGCTTGCAGTTTCTTGAACGCTGCACTGTCGAGGGTCTTTAGGAGGTTACGGCTCGTATCGCTGTCATCGTTTTGAGAAGTTCCCTTGTCTCTGAGGATCAGCTTGCCCGGGCCATAGGTCGGAAGACTGCCTAGGCTGCAAATCACTTTCCCACCCGTGACTTCGAGTGCGGAGAGGGCGGCCTGTAGCGACGGCGCCAGTGCTGTGTCTGCGTGCTTGATGTTGAAGAACATCTTAGGAATCGACTGGAGGAGAGTGGTGATATTCTTCCTGCACTGTGCCGCATCGACAAAGAGGTGCTCTGCAGAGATCACTGAGAATGGATCGTCAAGTTCCGACATGACCATCTGCTGCGGTGCTGGAAAGGCGTTGGCGACGTTGTAGAAGTGAACCTCCCGGTCAAATGTTATGAATCCCACTTTGGCTCCAACGGGGATTTTAGAAGCCTTCGATGTCGGCTCGCCCTTGGTGTCGTCTTCGCCATTCGTTTCATCTTTCTCGTCGTCCTTGTCGTACAGTGCAGCCAGGATCCCATCGCAGACACCTTGCAAGAAGCCTCTCGTACAAGACTCCGCGCTAACATCAATCAAGAAAAGATAGCGCATCCCGACGGGCTCCTTGGACCAGTATTCCTTGGGAACAAGAAACTCGCAAGTGCCCAGAGTCAGCTCGGGTCGGGTCAAGCGATCCACACGAACACCAGATGGATCAGTGGGCGCGAAATACTCGGCTCCGACTTCGTTCGGGTGCCCGCAGAGATTGCAAGTCATGCGATTGCCACCGTTAGAGAAGATCATGAAGGGATTGATATAGGCTCGACATCTTCGACAGCGCGGGGGACCCGTCTCGCCAAAGTCGAGGACGGGGATAGGATTCTCGCCACTGGATTGTTTGGCGAGGGGTTGAAGAACAAGACTGAGAGGAAGACCCGTTGCGGCAAGTTGCTCGTGTGAGGAGGGAATGCAGTTCAGGGTGAGACGGGCGTATTTGGGAGAGGCGTTGCCCTGATCAAAGGCAACAAAGGGAGTCGTGGCGGGTGGGGGTAGGTGCTGTTCCATGGTGGGATAGACATGGCTTCGGTAGTATTCGGCGGGGAGGTCTCGACTCAGAGGCACGCTCGGAATCTGATCTGGATTCACCTTGCCCTGCGCACCGGGCTGACCCTGTTGCGCGCCGGCATTGGGAGTCATTGCAATGGGGGTGCCTGCTGACAATGCAGTCGCTGGTGACGTGGGTGATGCAGGCTGTGAATGAGGCTGCCATCCTTGACCAGGCTGCTGTTGCTGCCATGGTGCGAGATCTTGTCCTGGTTGTGGTTGTGCCGCTCCCATTTGTCCGTTGATGAGCTGCCCAGCTGCTGCACCAGGCGCAGCTTGCTCAAGCTGATGGTACGCATGTCTGTCCTTCTTCTTTCTAGGCTGGTGTGTCGTACTCCCATCCAAGTTCATCTGGCCCATCTGTTGCGCCAAACCCCCGCCACCCTGCTGTCCATTCTGATTGTACTGCTGCATTGTGTTTCGTCGAGGCTCGTCGTCACTAAGCGCCGGTACGACAGACGTCTCTGCTCTCTGTGAGGCACAAAATTGGTGAGTTCAGAGAGGCCGTAGTCAAATCGGAGGGGATGTCTCGTTCGCGAAGCTGCGACTCCGGATTGTAACTAGTAAGTTCGCTATATTCGTGCACGTCGTCAGTCGTTAGGCCTGAGTGGGAAAATCAGGGGCAATTGGCTGTCATATCCCAGGGCGGCGCAAAGAGAAGAGAAAGCTCCAAGAGGAGGGTGATGGTTGGGATAATAATTTCTCGAAATCTGGCCAACTTGCCCTTTTCGATGCATGTCGGCCGTCGCCTGCCTCAGGCTCGCCATTTGCCCCACCCCCATGACCGCGTCACGGCCCGCCCGCAGTGGGACGACCACACGTTCACGGTGCTTCCATCTCATCGCATTATAGGTACCGAAGCACGTCTGATCTATGGCACGGATCAAACACTTGTGCCCGACATCAGCAGACCATCCTAGTGATTTGGTGCAAGTTGAGACGTTCACGGGGTCATCAGCCTGACATCAGACATTGTTTTATGGACGATCATGTACATCTCTCATCCTTCGTCGACACCCTCACATTATGCCTGAATCTCCAGCTTCAGATCCCTGTTCTCGAGTATGGCACCAGGCTTCGCAGGCAACATGGCGCCCTTGGGAGGCTGGTTCTTCGACTTAAAATCGTCACAGATCTGCTCCATCGTCACCCATTCAACCCCCTCAAACTTGTTGATGTATTCGATGATACTGTGCATGGTTAGTGGGTTCCGTCTCCGTTCGAAGAGCCGGGCAACGACCTACCGCTCCAACATGAGCAGTCCATGCGGATGGCCACAGACATCGGGATGAACCGTCACGGGAAAGACGAATTCTTCTTCCTCGCGGTAGAAATAATCGAATTGGTTTAGCCAGAGCTCCTCCACGTCTTTGGGATTGACCCAGCCGTGGGAGTTTGCGGCCTGGTATTCATGTTAGCTTGCGCGCTTGGTTTCAGAGATCGACCGACATACCGCTTTGATGAACATCATCGGTGGCAAATCCTGTAGATCGATTAGCCAACACCATGGAACACGGACTGCCGACACTCACATCGAGATACCACGACGCTGGAATCTCGACCAACCCCGTCATCGGCCCGCCCTTCAGAGGCTTCATCCAATGATCCGGATGCTTCTCCAAATCAATCGGAATCCAGCTATCGCCCGTGCGCAGCCAGTAGCATTGGCAGTCATGGTGTGAGAATGAGTGGTCATACTCGAGTCCATACTTGAGCATCAACTCCGCACCCTCCTGCGAAGACTCCCACCACGGCGCAACGATCCCTCGAGGAGGCTTGCCGTCTTGAAATGCCGTGATCAAATTGTAGCACTGCACTTACCGGATCAGCAGATGCTGCAAGGAGACGACAATTGGCACGGCACACACCTTATCCATAACAGCCGTCTGCTGCTCCAACGTCATGCTCCGAGGATTCTCATGCGAGTAGCCATGCAGACCAATCTCATGGCCCTTTTCAACAATCATTCGGCATTCCTCGGGGAACGTCTCCAACGAGTGACCCGGGATGAAGAAGGTCGTTTTGATGCTGTACTTATCAAACAGCTTCAACAGACGACGTACTCCAATCGACCCGGCAAACAGCCCACGGGAGATATCCGACGTGCTGTCTTCACCTCCATAGCTTCCTAACCTGATTGTTGTCAGTATCCGTCGATAGGACGTACGCTGCGATAGAACAACGCACCAACCGGCCACCGCGTCAATGTCGACCGAAATGCAGCATTTGACCTTGCGAGCGGGCATATTTTCGATTGTTTTTCTATTGCCGGGCTGGGAAATGGTGTTGTAAAGAGGAGGCAGCCTGACATCATTGATAAGTTACCAGTCCCTCTGGCCGGTATCGCGGCTTCGCCGCTGTTGGTGCACACATACTCGATATGTTCTGAGAACTACGCGTAGCAGCCCGCGGTTCTTCGCGCGCAATCCCTCACGACTCCATCATCTGCGCCGTCGAATACATCTGATGGCGATCTGGCGATTCTCGGTGGGGAGACTGCTGCTTCCTTGTCTGTCCGTCACAAACGCATCAGCGCAGACTCTTCTGCATGTTCGAGATCTGCCGTGACCTCCTCGCGGCATCGACCCCTTCACCCGCTCGAGGGGCTAGATCGTCATGCAGCCTTTCCAGCATGAAACCATTAGGCTCTATAGACCTCTAGGTGCTGTGTACTGGCCAGATGTAAGGAGACGGGCCTCCGTAGTCCCGAGTCACTGTCGTTCCACGTTTCGATCTGCTTACACTCGATATCCCGGCTTCTCCATTAGCCGCCAACCTTCATCAACGAGCGAACGTCGCTTTTCGCTCGCCCTTTTTCCGAGAAATATATATATCTGCCCAATTTCCTGTTTTTCCATATATTCAGATCTCTGCATCCACAACACAACACTTGCCAGAACCTCTTTGACAGACTATCACACTGCTGCACCATTCCCTTCCCCTTGCGCAGATCTCCAAGCTATCCATCCAACTTCGGCACTCAAACCACTCCACATGGCTACCGCAATCGACAACATGACTGGCCAATTTGCGAAGATGATGTCCAAGACAGGCTTCCTCCACCTTCCACTGGAGCTGCGACAAATGGTGTACGACAAGCTTGTCCCAAAGGACCGACGTCTCACTGTCGCATGCCCTCAATCGGGTCCACGCCACCTTCCGCCGGTCCAAAGAATCATGAACCTCGCCCGAACCCACCGCCATCGCGAGCGAGCTTTGGTCCTGGATCATGAACAAAAGAATCACGCTCAAGGTCGTCATCTCACTGGCAGTGGACTTCTCGAAACTTGACCTCCATATGATCCCGTTCGACAAGGCCCATGAGATTGAAATTGTCATCGACCATCCGCGAGGCTGGATGGACACGGATTGTCTGCATGCCATGCGCGCAAAGATTGTCGAGTTCGTGGACATACTCAAGCCGTTCCCAGACCTGCCTTCCGTGCGGGTTGCCTTTCGGGAGAAAAAGCTGGGCCTCGTGTGTTATGACCACGATACAGCATTGTGCGAGGGAGTCTCGTTTCGAGGAACCGACAGTCATGATGATTCTGAAGTGTACGGATGGGGACTCACTCTTGTATACTCCGAAGACTACGACATGCCGGTTGTCGAATGCCTCATGCGGCCCTTCTTCCACCTACCGATCTGCAAGTCTTTCGCTATTGAACCCCTCAGTACAAGGCTTGTCAGGGATGAGGATCTACACGAAGAGGATGAACCATTCCTCTACGACGGGCTCTACGTGTCCTGGCTGTTTGGAGAAATCGAAACCCAGATCGAAAGGGGGTGATGGAGTCTTCGATAGATCTTCGGGGTTCGGGGGTGCGCAGCGGACCGACGACAGGTTTGTATATGTATTGCTTCACTTCATAGACACGTTATCAATTTGCACTACATCTGCCTTCCATGTTGTTCCCAGGGCGAGCAGGCGGACGGAAGTCTCTCGCTTGATCTGTACTCAAGGTCTTTTTCTCCTGCTGCGCTGCCGAGAAGCGGCCGATGGCCGGAGGGCCGACAACTCACGGCACGTGAGCAGATTTCATTTCATCTGCCCTTCGCGTCGTTTCCCGGGTTGAACAGGCGGGCGGAAGTCTCACTTGAAGTGTACTCAGGATCTTGTCCTTTCCCCGTGCTACCGAGACGTCCCCGATGGCGATAGAGCGGGGGCTTGCTTGGGTCGAAGTCGAGGAGTTGAGCTTGTACTCGTGAAATTTGATATCGTGCCTATGGAGGCTCTGCTGCCGCTCATCTGCCATCTCTCGAGAGCAGGGGCGGACAGCTAGGCTCGTGAGAACACTCTAAGCACCCTTATTAGACCTAGGGACGTGACGAAGAGTAGCTATAATGAGATCTGATGAAACACTATGCATAGTCGGCTCTCCCGCCATTTGGCATCTCTCGGCAGCACCATGTGAGAAAGCGGCTCCTGAATACACTCTGTATGGAATCTTAGCACGCCTTTCCGACCTGGGAACAACATACTTGGGCGCCTCGTGTTCTGGATCGCGTTTTGCTTTGCATTCTATCTACCAGCCGCTGCTGCTGCCGCTGCCTGCTTGTCAGCATCCAGCATCTTCTGTATGCCCGGTCGAGTTGAGCAACGAGTCCACCAAGCATTCACTGCTTTCCGACTGACAATCAGATCATCAAATCCAACCACAAAAAGTCGCTGGACCAGCGGAATGTAGTAGATATCGACAAGAGTGAAGTCATTTCCAGCCATGTAGTCGCGCTGACTCAAGAGGCCTTCAGCAACATCCAAAAACGCCTCGAGTGATTTCACCGCAGCTGAGACAGCAGCTTCGTCGGTAGGTAACCCCAAAAACTTGGGCTTCGCGAATCTCTCAAAGCTGATCCGAGCTGCAGGTTCCGCGAAGTAGCTCGTCTCCACGCCCTCCGCCTGATCGAAGAGAGCTGTGGCCTCGATGTCGGAGTCGGGTGGGAGCAGTGGGAAGGAGAACTTCCGCGCGAGGTATTTGCAAATCGCGCGGCTCTCGTAGAGGGTGAAGCCGTTGGGAAAGGCGATCGTTGGCACTTTGCCCCAGGGGTGTCGCTGCATATTTTCTTTGGACTGGATGTAAGGCGTTAGCTCTTACGAAGGATTGGATGGCGCGAGAGCGAATGACCAACCTTTTGCTCGCCTTTACGAAAATCTACCATTACGAGCTCGAAGTCTGTGAAGCCAGCATCGGCGAGAGACAGGCGAACGCGATCGCTATTGCTCGAGCCGCGGGCGCCATAGAGCGTGAAGGCGGGCATCTTCGACGAGGTGTGCAGGAGTTTCGAAATGAAGCTGGGGTTTGCAAACAGTCTTGACATGAATTGTGTACCTGATTTCGAGAGAAATTGGACGGTTTATATAGCCTGATGGGGGACAATGGCGCCTGGAACGCAGCCACGCCCGGTCGAGTGCTAAGGGATGGAGCAGAGCCTTGGAAGCCTTCTACGGCTCATCTGATTGGCGGGTTCGCTCTCGCTACCCAATCAAGTTAGCGTGGACGCCTCTTTCTCGCGGTCTCGGGCTTTCAACCACACTCCGCCTTCCCGGCCCCGATGGCCTTAGTGATAAATCAACACACGTCGTTCCATCCGCTCGCATGGCTTGCTCTCTATTATCATTGTCATCATTCGGAGGACATGTCCAATGTCCAGCCCGAACATGACGCGAAGCGTCGACCCAAGCGAAACAGGGGATGTAGAACCAAGCTGAAAACCGGTTGCGCAACTTGCAGGTCAGTTGAGCCATGTCGTGCATTCGTACGCGACTTCAGCTCTGTAGTAAACGTGCTCACTCCGCAATAGGATCAGGAGGGTCAAGTGTGACGAGGGTAGGCCGTTCTGCCAGAAATGTATCGGCACGGGTCGAACTTGCGATGGCTACGACTCTCCTTTTCGCTTTTGCAACACTCAACCCGTCGATAAGGCTCGTGCTGGCGGCGGCAAGTCACTGATTGAATCAAAATCCATCCGTGGCACCTTAACTGAGGTGCCTGTCCTGGACATCGATGACTTCACTCGCTACTTCTCCACCAAAACCCTGCTTGGTGCAAAACTGGACTGCGACGCTGAAGCCGAGCAGGTGCTCCAAGCCAGCTTGACTGATCCGCATGTACGAAACGCCGTACTGTCTCTCCTAGCTCTTCGAGAAGACCTCGAGAATTTCCCGGACGGTCGAGCGTCCGTTGCCCAAAAGACATCGAATTACGACTACGGCGTCGGGCAGTACTGTCTGGCTTTGGCGGGTCTGGCGTCCAACTTGTCATCTCCAGGATCCAGCGAGGCAAAGTCTGCCTTAATCTGTTGTCAAATTTTTATCAGCATTGAGCAAGTACGCGGAAATTACACCTCTCTGGCTCAGCATATCATCCGTGGACTCGGGATCATGCACGAATTGCGCGCAAGGCCAAGTTTGGGCGCTTTGAATCAACTGCTTCCTGCACACCACGAACAACTACCCCTCCTGGACGTTTTCATCATCAAGCTGTTTTCTGCTCCCTGCAAATTCAAAGATCCCCCACCGGCACCCGACGCAAAAGGGACGACACCGTCTGAGTGTCCAATTTCCGGTCTACGCACCGTTGCGCCCGACATGCGCAAAGAGCTGATAGGCATCGCCGCGTTAACGCTGGAGTTCCTCGGCAAAGTGTCATACGTCGAATCGGTGGATAGCGCTCTTCGACTGCTGTCCGACAAAGCAGAGCTACTGGACGCTTTGAATGCGTGGCTTGCTGATCTAGAACTCGTTCAGAAGAAGATCGGGTCTTCGGGCCCAGAACTTCTTTCGGTCTCTTTCATGCGCTTGTTCCATGTCATCCTGAACATTGTTCTTTTGAGAACATTAGACTATTCACGAGATAATCATGCCGAGCTGCTGACCGAGCACGAGCAACTGAAGGACGTGGCCAATACGGTGGAAGAAGGCGTAAAGGCTTATAGAACATTCAGCTGAAAAAGACAAAGAGGATTCGGTTCACACGGACTTAGATGAATTGTGGACTTCTCCAAGATTGCCGCGATGGAAGAAAGTATGCAGTAATACGCAGCAAACAGGATATTTGTATCCGCTTCAGATGACTACATCTCGAAGACATACGCTGGAATTGGACTGTTTCATAAAGCCGAAGAGCTGAAGTGGAAGTCGCAAGTCACTTCCGCCTTCACCTCCCCTCTTCTCCTCCTCACAGCCCAGCCGAACCTGCCGAGGCGGCAATACACTTCTTCTGCCAACAGCCTGATTTATTACAATACATTTCCACCTTCTCTTTTGCATCTGGAAATCCTTGCGCTTCCAATCTAATTACGCTGCTTGATAGAAGGCAGGTCTGTGGAAGGTACAATGGCGCCAATCGCCCCCCGGCCCATCAAGCGATTACTCGTGATCAACAGGTACCCTCCCGGCCATCGAACCTAGCGATGCACCTCTGAACTAATATGGCATAGAGGCGAAATCGCCACCCGAATACTGTCGTCCGCGCGCGAGCTCGGCATCGACACCGTCGCCGTCTACACCGAAAACGATGTCTCGCACACTTACAATGCCCGCCAGGCGGTGCAATTAAGCTCTCCCGCATCGTACATGGACGTCGCCGGCATGGTGGACGTCGCGAAGAAATACAGCGTCGATGCCGTGCACCCGGGGTATGGCTTCCTCTCGGAATCTGCGGATCTCGCGGCCCAGATGGCGGAGATTGGCGTCATGGTTGTTGGGCCTGGGGCGGAGAATCTGAGTCGCACGGGAGACAAGCTGTCGGCTCGGCGTCTTGCGGAGGAGTGTAATGTGCCTGTTCTACCGGCATTCACTCGGCCTACCGGGAAAGTAGAGGAGGTGAGGAAGTTTGCGGAGGAGAATGGCTTGCCGGTCATGATCAAGGCTGTTGACGGTGGTGGAGGGCGGGGTATCAGACTGGTACGGAACATGGACGATCTCAAAAGCCTGACGACTCGCGCTATCGAGGAGAGTCCGTCGAAACAGGTGTTTGCAGAGAGGGCTGCCGTGGATGGCTTCCGCCATGTCGAAGTGCAGATCATCGGCGATGGCAAGGGCAATGTCATGCATCTCTGGGAGCGAGAGTGCAGCATTCAACGAAGATATCAGAAGATTGTCGAGCTTGCTCCCAGCATGACTGTCGATCGGACGAAAGTCGCGCCTGTCATAGAGTCGGCCGTGGCCATGGCTAAGAAGGTGAGCTTCGTGTACTTTGGACGTGAATGTAGACGGACATGACTGACATGTTCTCAGGTCCGATACGCTTCTCTGGGCACATTCGAGTTCTTGTTCAACCCGAAGACCTCCGAGTATTTCTTCCTCGAAATTAATCCCAGACTCCAAGTCGAGCATACCATCACCGAGTCAATCTGCTCCGTCGACATCGTCAAGACGCAGCTCCGCATAGCCCAAGGCGCTTCATTCGAGGAAGCCGGCCTAACTGATTTATCCCAAGACCCCGTCCAACCACCAAAAGCCTTCTCAATCCAGCTCCGCATCACCGCAGAAGACCCCGAGAAAGCGTACTCCCTCAGCATCGGCAAAATCCAGTCCTTCCGCTTCCCCTCCGGCAACGGGATCCGCGTCGACACGCACCTCGTCGCCGACGTCCCGGCAGTCATCAGCACCGACTTCGACAGCGTCATTGCCAAACTCATCCTCACCGCGCGCACCTGGCAAGACGTGGTGATCAAAGCCCAGCGAGCGCTGCAGGATACATCGATCAAAGGCATCGCGACCAACCTCGCCCTCCTCCGTGCGATCGTGAACCACCCCGACTTCGAAGCAGGCGCATGCGACACGCAATGGCTCGAAGCGAAGCACGACGAGCTCCTAAAACGCAGCCAAGACATCGCATCCAAGACCAAAGACCCCCTTCACGGACTGGTGAACACGCAATCCGCCAGCCAATCCGGCGGAGCGCTCTCCGGCGCCTCGACCATGTTCCGCAAAGACGACGCCTGGTCCATCACCCTCACCCCAACATCAGGTGATGCTACAACGCAAAAACACCACCTGCAGCTCACCAAAGTCCTCAAAAACGACTTCCCCACCTCCTTCGCCGCCGAACTGTCATACACCATCCAAGGCGCCGGCGAAGCGCAGACTTTCCGCATGGACATGGAGAGCACGCGCGCGTCAGGCTCCACGCTCAACAGCCAGCACCCACAGGGCGACAAGGGCAATCGGGACCACGTGATTCTGCCCATTTCGGGCAAGTTGGTGGAAGTGCTGGTGGATGTGGGGGACGTGGTGGCGAAGGACGAGGCGATTTGCGTGGTGAAGCAGATGAAGATGGAGATTGAGATTCGGGCGCATAAGGCGGGGACGGTGGTGTGGGTGACGGAGGCGGAGGATGAGGAGGATGTGGCGGAGGGGATGTTGGCTGCTGTGGTGGAGGATGAGGCGCGGGCGAAGTTGTAGGCGTTGATTGTATACCTTGACGGTGAAATTCGGTCTATATGGTATCTTTGAGGTTTGCGCAGAGACTACACTATTAGTACATGCGCTCGCAATGCAGGCAATCATTCCCCCTCTCCCCCATGATCATCGTCATCGTAAATCTTCACCTTCGCCGCGTACTCCAGGATATTCGAAAACACCGTGTCCTGAATCAAATGCCCCTTGCCCCCCGCAACCCTCAGGATCAAATCGTTCAAACTCGCCCGCCCCAGGATATCGACGTGATCGCCCGTATTCGGTCCACCGCGGGGACTGAAGCGGTCGGGCTCGTGCGGCATTTCGTGCGTGATGACCTGCACTTTGCCGGGGTTGTAGCGTGGGATTTTCCAGCCGCGGTTGCACATGTAGCCCGAGGAGAGGAGGTTGACGGTTCCGTCGCCTTCGCCCATGAAGACGCCGTGGTCTATGAGGCCGTCTGCTGTGGTGACTGAGGAGTCTGGTTTTGGTGTTAGTTTGGGGGGCAGAATGGGGAGGGGATGTCGGGAAGAAACTGACCGATCATGACACTGGAGCCATTCGTCATGTCGTCTTCGCGATAGAAATACCCTCGCTCGGTGGGTTTGCCGACACCATAGAAGCAGTAAATCTTCATGTCCGGTGCGAGGGGTAGTCGTGTCTCCAGAGGATTGATCCATTTGGCGGGATCCAGCTGATTCTTCTCCACTTCCTTTCGCGAGTGGGCAACGCCTTGGCTGTAGCTGCTCTTGATGTTCTTGACATACGACGCCTCGGTATGGTCATACAGGTACGGCAGCGCTTGCGCGACGGTCAGATTCGTCTGTGTCTTGGAGCTGTTGGTCTCTTTGAAGTTCAAGAAGCTGCCGTAGGAGATGTTCTGGCCTGGTTGATCGTCAGGCGCCCAGGTGAGGTTTCCCCAGACTGCCTCTCCTCCGATGGGAAGCATGCTGCTGATGCCAGGCATTGCACGGAAGAGCTCGGCGCGCTCATTGCGCGAGAGGAATTTCTCCAGCCCGTACACGGCGAAAGCGTTGAGCTGGACGGTATCTCTCATCTCGCCGCTCAGCACTGCCGGTACGTCTTTGAGTGCGCCTAGCATGCAGCCAGATATGTTGATCCAGGCTTCGATGTGCTCATTGACCCAATCTGGGCCGCCGTTGCCGTAGCCCTCCGCCTCCACCCAATGAAAGAAGTAGTAGAGAACCTGCGAACCCATGGAGTGGGAAAGGAGTACGATTTTAAGCCCTGTGACCTGCCTCGCCACTTCGATGTGAGCTTTCAAGCGCGTGAAGTACTTGTCGCGGATCTCGCAGTTCAAATAGCTGAGCCTCCAGTCATATGCGGCAGTAAAGGCGCTGTTGGGGTCATAGCCAATTGTGGCCAGATTCTCGAGAATCTTATTCCATATCCAGTATCCAGTGATGAAGAAGTCCGCAGCATCGAAGCCTTGCGCGGCGCGCAGCTTGATTCCGGGCGGATCCAGTCCCGTGTCTGGATCCAACATTATGTGTCGCTTCCAGGCTGCCTTATCCAGCACCATCGCTCTCAGCATCGTCCAAGAACCCCATAGGCGTTTGCGGAAATACGGTCGAGATTGCGCTTCCACGCCCCAACTTTCCAAGCCGGTTGAAATGACTCCGGGAATCATGATAACGGGGAATTTGGAATGCACGCCCTCCGCCTTGGCCGCGAGTCCAATGGCGAACGAGTCATAGTCCACCGCTTCCTTTTCGGCAGTCTGCAATTACGACACCTCGGTCAATATCAGCCGTCGCGGAGGTCGTTGAAGCGAGCGCGCGCGCATCTCACCTGAAGGTTCTGCACATCCTTGATCAAGCCGGCAGGCAATACGTCTAGTAGAGAGTCCAAGCGCATATCCCCCAGCCCTGCCATCTCCACCAAACTGTCCAAACTGCCATTGCTGCTCGCGAAGAAGCCGGCAACGAAGACGCCAAATAGCCCGCCGAACACGAAAATCCAGGCAGTCCGCCCTTTGCTGCTCTTCTTCCTGCTCCCGGTGAGTTTTTCTAGCCGCTTCTTGGGCACCACTTTGTACTCGGCGCTATCTTTCTGGCCTGGCGCGGGACTCGCATCGCGGGAAGATTGGGGTGAGCTGTCCTCGCTGTCGACGCCTAGTCCGCGCAGGACGCGGCGGCGAAGATCAGACATGGGCGAGAGATGAGGAGGGGAATTTCGCGCTCATTGGAATGCTGAGGAGAAGAGGACGGGAGAAAACATCGTGACTTCGCGCGTCATCGCAACAAATATTGAAAACGTTGGCTTTCACATGTCGTCAAGCTACAACCGCTTAGTCATGAGTCGCCGGCATCATTCCCTTTGCGAACATCCCGCCGTAAGATGAAGACCATCCTGCAAATGCGGGTGATACCCATTCCCGATGAGCGGCGATAGTGAGGCTGGGGCGGGCAAAGATGCTGGGGCAGCCCTGCGCTACGTCTGCTACGGCAAGGAAAAGGAATCGCCGCACTTGCCGGCCATCAGGCGATTGATATCAAAGGACCTCTCGGAGCCCTACAGCATCTACGTCTACCGCTACTTCTTGTACCAATGGGGCGAATTGTGTTTTATGGTATGCTGTTCCTTCGTAACTCTTGGTATCCCCGTCGCCTCCGCTGATGGTGTCGAAAAGGCACTCGACCCCAGCGACAATGTCATCGGCGTGATCGTTTGCAAACTCGAGCCGCACCGAGGCGGTCCTTTACGCGGCTACATCGCCATGCTGGCCACGCGACAGGAACACCGAGGCAAAGGCATAGCATCGAAACTCGTGCGCATGGCGGTGGAGAAGATGCGAGAGCAAGACGCAGACGAAGTGAGTCGTTCGCTCTACACCATCCCCATGCGAAATTCTAACGATTGCAAAATTCTAACGATTGCAAAGATCGCGCTCGAGACGGAAGTGGACAACATCCCGTCCCTGCGTATCTACGAGAATCTCGGCTTCCTGCGCACCAAGCGCCTACATCGATACTACTTGAATGGTAACCCGGCGTACCGCCTCGTGTTGTACTTGAAGCCGGGCATTCCCTACAAACCGACCTACCCGCCTGAGATGATGCCTGAGGATGGCGGCGGCGGCGGCGGCGACCCGCTCCACGAGTCGGCGGGTCTTATGTCTGAGGATTTGATGGCGAGGCAGGCGGCGCAGATGCGCATTGAGAATGTGGAAGGCGAGAGGCATGATGGGATGAGAGGACCGCCGTGAGTATGGGACGGTTGGGCTGGATGGAGTCTTACGCCAAAGTCGCTCACTAATGTGCACGACGGTCATGCGCAAGCTATCGTAACACTCGCGACCGCGCCTCGACCGGGACGAATGGATTTGGTCACGCGCGGTCAAGCTGCGTGGGTCAGGCGATGAGGTTGTGATAGGAGCGACCAAGTGATGAAAAGACGTGAAGGCAAGAGATGGACAGTGAGAAGGGATGAATATCAGGGTAGCAAGCCAAGAAGGCGTCATGCGACAGCGTATGTATATACAGTATAGATGTAGCGCGGTAGCCAAGACTACACAATACAAGTAGAGAAAGCTTGTCCAAGATTGATGCAGCACGCACGACCGTCACCACCAAGCCTAGCCAAGAGGAAACAGCCGCCCGCGTCCGAAACAAACCAAGTCTTCATGCGCCGCCGCAATGCCGACCATCCCTGGCCCCCGTGCCCCAAGTCTTTGTGTATGCTCCGCATCATTATAGTGGTAAGAGGCCAGCCGATTCGGCGCCGACATTAGAAAATGAGGAAAATAAGAAATTGCCTTCGTTTGTGGTTGTCGACAAAACGATGCTGCTACTGCTATCGAGCACGTCAACTGACGCGCGCGACAGACAGCAGAGTCCGTTCCATGCCAGCCCGAGCCGAATCAATGAGGTGTTGGAGGATTGATTTAGAGGGCGGCGATGAGGCCGGCGACGGCGAGGACACCGCCAACGATGGGCTTGAGCATCTCACCCTCGCCGGTGGCGGGGACGGGAGTCGGGGTGGAGGCGGAGGTCCAGGCCTGCGGACGTTTTGTTAGTAGGAGCTCATGAAACGGTGTGGTGAGAGAGGCGATGGCTTACAGAGGTGGTGGTGTTCCACGCAGCAGTGGTGACGGCAGCGGGAGTGGTCCACGCGGAGCTGGTCCACGCAGGGCTGGTCTCAGAGGACCAGGCGGAGGTCTCGGAGCCCCAGCCAGTGGTCTCGGAGCCCCAGCCGGTGGCAGTGGCGGCGGCGGTGGTCCAGGCGGACTCGGCGGAAGACCAGGCGGAGGCGGCGGGGGTCTCGGTGCCCCAGCTGCCAGTCTCAGTGCCCCAGGAGCCCTCACTGGAGTGAAGCGTCAGCAATTGAATCGAGTTTCCCCAAGCACGCGACCGCGCGATGACTTACGACCAGGTTCCGCTGGGCGGGCCCCACTGGGCGACGGCAAGGCCAGCAAAGGCGGCGACGGCGATGACAGACTTCATTTTGATGGTGGAGGGTTTGGGTGTTTCGAAAAACGAATGTTTGGGGTATTAGATGTAGAGTGAACGAAAGACTGGGCAGAGATGCGTGTGGGTGAAGGAGAGAGGAAAAGACCAAGACGGGCGGGCGCATTTGGCTTTAAGAGAGGCCGGGCTTGTTTGACACAACACGAGCGCCCTCACCCAGTTGGGTGGAAAGGCTAATGCTCAACCGGTGGGCGGATGATACAATCCCGGGCTCTTCGCCAATGAGATGCAACGGCCCCTGAACCCGCGCGAATCTGAGACCCAGTCACGCCGGCGCATTGACCTGCGCGCGGAAAAGCGTGTTCTGCGCTCGGGGCCCTCCCCCAGCCTTCTCTGTCGCAGCTTGCTTTGCGCGCGCGCTCGTCGCCGGGCTGAACCTGGCCGGACGCCGTGTGCGACGGATCGTGCAGCTGTAGTTCAGCTGTCGCCAGCTGTAGCTCTTGTCATCATGCAAGGCTTCGGGTACGGAAGAGGGCCATGGTTTGGTTGGCTAAGAAATGGACCGGGCGGACGTGATCGATGGTCGGTACCAGGGGATGCTCCCGCGGGCGAGACGCTCCTCATCTCCCTGGCGCTCGCATCGCGCGATCCTACTCGGCCTCGGAGCCAAGAATTGTGGAGTTGGGGGGCCAAGGCGCGGTGGAAGGATGACATCGATGCTTGAGAAGCAGCAATTTTAATCAAATGGCTGGCAAGTGCTGTCCGACCGGACTTCCCAAATTAGAAACTCCCCATGGAGCGGCGGCGCTAGCCGGGGTTCGGGAAAGGAGGAGACCCGCAGCATCTCCTTCGGGCTACGACATATGCAAGGTACCGCGTGGTCAGCCGTGAGAGTAGGGCCATGAACGCCCACTGGCGCAATCGTCGAGCACAGCTTTGTCGAGACCGCACGTCAGGCGGAACAGACAGAGGCAGAGACGGAGAGGCGACGCGCTCGCAATCGATGCCGGGAAAAGTCTTTCCAGGACCGCGCATCCCAATCTGGCAGGAGAACAGACTCTGAAACTATGGTTCCACCAAATTGTGGATCCTTCACTGGCCGTTTTCCTCTCCACGCTTGCCAGAATTCACTGTTTGCCGTTGCTGCTGGAGAATCTGCACAGCAACCCCCGGCATCACGTGCTCGGTCATGTTGACAAAGCGAGTGCTCTGGTTATCATCATCTGTGATGATCGCGCCGGCCTGCCACTCACGTCATACACACAGGCATTGGCGCAACCCCCTGTGATTTTAAAAAGCGTCTCGGGTTCGAGACATCCGATAGCGTGAGACATCGTTGATGCGCATGTGGCGAGGACGTGTGAAACGTATGTTAACGTCGGCCTTGCAGTTGATCTGTTTCACACTCTGCGCTCGACATGCGACGATTCTGCTCGCTCGATCATCGTTGCGGACTGTCACGTGACTGACCGTGCATTCAATCACGTGACCCTATCACATCTGCCTGCAGTGCTGTGCCGAGTAGATGATAGCATGTTCCGTCGTCAGATATGTTGCCCTCACCAATGCCTGAGGAGGGCCTCTTTGTCACCACGTGTTGCTTGATGAAACACACATCTCTTGACCTGACGAAGCGGGCATCGGTCGACCTGTCGAAAATGCGAGTTGATCGTAGCCAATGCGCTCGTTCTCATTCCCCGACAGGGTGCCGAATGACAGTCCCATGATATATCCCACGTCTAAGCCGCCGCATATCACCAGCGAGAGCGTTCGCAAGCCAATGTGGATCTTCGCTTCCTTAGGCAAACATGCGGGATGGTTGCATTGCAGCTGACTACGTTCGAAGCTTACACACCAGTCAGCAATTGACTTCGTAGCTCCCTCTACCGTGTGCGCACAAAGGGCCGCATTCCTCCTCGCTGGCTCTATCGAGCACAAGGGAGCGTTGCAGAGTATAACACGATGGCTCGTCAGATAGCCAAAAGAGACCAAGGCCTGGTGAGTTTGTACCGCGCTGAGGAACGCACATTGTGGAACGTGTGAGGCTAAAACAACGATGAACGCAGCTTGACCATGGCACCAAGCCGCGATGGTGCAAGCAGCGCACCGAACCATTAGAAGTGCTGTGCCTCGGGCTTCATCGGACGGGAACAACGTGTAAGGCAGAGCGACACGCGAAGCACTGGCTCCGCCGCTGACGGCAACACAGCCATGTACGAAGCCATGGAGATTCTAGGCTACGGCACGCTCTACAACTCGCGCGAGGCGCTCCGCCGCAACCTGTGCACTTTCGTCGGCACAATGCTCACCGACAAGTACGAAGCGCGAGGCCCGTGGCCGCCTCGCATCGAGCAGTTCGAGTCGCTGTGGGGAGAGTATCGCGCCATCTCCGGCGAGGTGGCCTACGCCTTCTCGGAGGAGATCATCCCCCTCTACCCCGATGCCAAGATCATCCTCACGGTCCGCGACGACGAAGAAAAGTGGTTCGCCAGCTCCATGAATACGTCGTGGTACAACAACTCGCATCTGTTCACGCGCATCTTGTACGCACTCGACCCCAATTGGGTGCAGATAAGGGAGTACGTGGGCAAGATGTTCAAGTACTTCTACCGCGGCGATTTTCCTGCCAACGGCATCCGGATGTATCGCGAGCACAACGCGATGGTGAAGCGGCTGGGCGGCGACAGAGTTCTCGTCTTCAACACCAAAGACGGCTGGGGCCCGCTGTGCGAGCATTTGGGAAAGCCGGTGCCGAGCGTGCCGTTCCCTCACGTGAATAAGACGGCCGAGAATCGCCATCTCTTTCGTACCATGAGACTGGAAGGCATGCGGAAATTGGTGAAGAGATGGATGGCGAGAGGGAGCCTGACAGCGCTTGTATTTGCGCTCATTTGGTGGAGGCGAAAACGGATTGCAAGCATTCTGCAAGGTACGAGGGCAATGCTGATAGGCTAGTTACCTTACATCCACAAGCAAAGCTTCCCACTCGCCGTCCCTGCAGCAACCCAATCCTCAGTCGGGTGGAACTGGGCCACGGCCGGCACGGCGGTGATGGCATCACCACCCAGCTGCGCCAACTGCTGTCCCTGCGCGGTATAGATATCAACGAATCGACTCATATTCCCAATCACGAATCTCTGTATCCCATCCTGAGGCTGCATCTGCCACTGCGCGCGAAGTATGGTAACCCACCGCCCGGTCTGGTTGTTGTGAGGAATGATTTTGGAAGGCTGCATTTCGGCCTCCGTAAGCTCATGCCCAGTCTTCCATGTCCCTGCAGATGAGAAGTCGTAAATCTTGACCGTGTCGTCGTAGCTGGCAGTCGCGACTTGCCCTGCAGAGTTGAAGGCAGCGTGAGAGACGGACAAAGGAGATGTGTGCTCGCCCAGAAGCTGTGGATGTCTGTTCATGCCTTTGCCGGTGATCTTCCGGAGGTCCCAAACTTTCATCGTCCGGTCGAGAGAGGCAGTGGCGACGATATGGGGGTGCGCAGGATGCAGGGTGAAGCCGCCAATCTTCTTCTCCGACAGGTACAGGATGTCCGCCTGATCGCTGGGCGTTCGCATATCGTGGATTCCAAAGGCGCCGTTCAGCGTAGTGAAGTGCAGCTGATTGGGATCCGTTCTGCTGATTTCCACGCCCGATAGCGGCTCGTCTGCGCCTCTATCCGCGGGCGCGTAGATCTCCACGGCCGTACCTTTTTGCAGGTCTAATTTGCGAATTGACGAATCGTAGGAGGCGGAGAGTAGGGCATTCGAGTCGTGTGGATCGAATTGAAACGCGCTAATGGTGCGTGTATGAATCTTGAAGCTGCTGATGGCAGGCTCAAACTCATCGTCTTCGTCGCCGTCTTCGTCCGCGTCGTCCGCTTCTGCTTTGATGCGATCCGGAGCAGTCTGCGATCCATCGAATATTCCGAGATTCCCCAGCTTGTCGCCTGCAAATATCAATGGCTTATCCGTACCCGGATGGAAGCCAAGGCTGTAGATCCTCTCCGGCGTGATCTTGATCCTATTCGGCTCCGCACCCTCCCACAACTCCAGACCACTCATGCGCTCTCGCAAAGCGCGCAGCTCCTTATCCGAGGTGTCCTTAATGTCTTGCGCAGTAAAAGTGCGATGACCCGGATTCGCAGGGCCTACAGCAGTGAGCCAGTTGCCCGCTCGATTCCACGTCCTTCCATTGACAATCGCGTCCGCCAAGTTGATATCCTCCGACACCCGCTGGCGCTTGATGCGCTGCTGCTCCTGAAACAACTCCGTGTCCGCTTCCTCTTTCTGTCGCGCGACCTCCGAATCGGCGATGATGCCCTGCAATCTCGCTGACGTCCTACGAGGTCCATCATCGACCTTGACTTTTTTCTCCACGGGCTTCTTGCGCTTCTGTCCAGTAGCGGAGGAGGCGGGTTTGGCCTTCGATCGGGGCCCGAGGCCGGTCTGCGCTGCGTCGAGTTGGAGTTGTTGGAAAAGGGCCTGGTTTTTGGCAATCTTCTCTTGTCTTTGGAGCTCGTATTCGCTCAGGCCTTCTTTCTTGATAGCCATACTGTAAGATTACTATCCAAATGTTTCAACAAGTTCGAGTGTGTGCGGGTGAGACTGCTCTGGATCAAATGTCTGAATGGATGACGAAGACGCGAAGAAGCGCGTCAGCACGTGGGCCGAAAGTTTAATTTTTAATTCATGAGTCGTCCACCTCTTCTCATGTACTGCATCGAGGTTGTTCCGCCTAATATTCTAAGATAAATCGACGGGTGTTCACTTGATGCTTACCAGATCATCGATCCGGCAGCATGCACTGGACCAGCGGCCTCTTGCACAATGTCCAGCGCTATCCTTCCTCTATTGCACTCCAACAATTCTAGGTCACCACAATCGATCGATCAAACCAAATCGGCTCCTACAGAATGCGTTCAGTCGCGATGGACTTGAGAGCATAATGCCGTTTTCGACCCAAGCACGACGCCTACAGCGATTCCGAGTACCAAAAGTAGAGCACATACCCTTCGAACGGCGCGACAGGCCCCGACTCGAAAAAGAAGCGCACGTACCCTTCGACCGCAGTCATGAATCAAGAAACGATCGCGACGCGAACATCCCCTTTGAACGACAGCCCGGCGCGAAACCCAGAGACTCCTATGCTGAGCTGGAACTGGAAGGCTCGACCATCACGCCCAAGGAACGAAAGGCTTTTGAGAGCTTGCTGAGCCTGCAAAAGTCGAGGTCTGCGGCTGGACGGCAGGATGGAAAGGCGAGGGTAAAGGAGGGCGGCGAGGTGACTCCTGCTCCTGGCTTGGATGCTATGTTGGCTGCTGAAGGAGGGAAGGTGGATGCTGATGGGAGGCGGAGTTCCGAGATGCCTGAAGCTCTACGAGCGCTGGTGAGAGAATCACGGCAGAAGAAGAGGGAAGATCTTCAGGGCACTGCAACGCAAGCGCAGACCGTCGAATTTCTTCGTGAGACGCCAGGACCATTCATCAGCCAAGCGGCCAGCAAAGAACTGCACAGCGTGTCGAAAGCCATCGAAACGGCAACGACAGACACCCAAGTCTGGCAGGTCCTGCACGAGCGTGTACTTAGTCGCCTGCCGAAAACGGGTTCTGGTTCTCCAACAGTTGCTCGCAAGCAAAGAGCGAAAGTCAAAGAAGGCACGCCGACACCAGAACACAGCATCGCCAACAACGGGACAAAGGTCACCCCTCTGCTCGCGGAAACCCTGGCCACCCACCTCACGCAAACCTTCACCCACCTCGTCACTTCTTTCCCAACCTCCCACCTTCCGCTAAGCATCCTACCCACCCTCAAGACCTTCCCCCTGTCCGTGCAGCAACTCGGTGCCTCGACGAAACTCTACAACCAGCACATGAGCCTGCTGTACGAACGCTACGCCGATGTGCCCGGAATCGTGGACATGCTGGCTGAGATGGAGGCTCATGGAGTCGGCTTCGATAGTGGGACGTTGGAGGTGCTGGATGACGTCCTCGTGTATGCGAGAGAAGCTGGGAGGGGAGAGCACGGAGCGGGAGTGAGGATTGCGTGGCAGATGGAGAGGACGCGAGGGGCCTTGAGGGAGACGGCGAGCTGGAGACGGCGGATTGTGGAGAGGGTGGAAGAGGAGGCGATTAGACTGGCGCGGGTGAGAGATGGGGAGATGTTGTAGATGACATGATTTTACATATTCCCTCCTTCTAGATCGTGAAATGTTTCTTCGCGAGAAGATGGGTATCTGCCTGACCGCCCTGGCCATTCCGTACGCCGAGATGCAATGCTGTAGTGGTTTGTATCATATCCCAATCACATGGCGTTCCCCATCAAGCGCTTGCACTATTCTGCCGCTGCTGCTGTTGTTGTTGTTGCTGTTGCTGCTGCAATGCCTGCTGATAAGCCAGGGCTTGCCCCGGCGACCCTGTTCTCCCAGCACCACCCGCACTCATGGCCAGGAGCTTGGCATCGTTACCCGCCCACTCGGGAAACAGCTCTCGTAGTCGTTCATACTTCTCCGCCAGCGTGGGCAGCTGCTGCGGATGCTGCATGAACGCCGGGCCGGGGAGCGTGCGGGCGTCAGGCTGCATCTGCTGGCCCATGCGCGGCATGAGATATGCGATGTTGCCCTGCAGGCGGCGCAGGAGCTGGATGTAGTCGTCGGAGGCCATTTTATCGGACTGGCCGGCTTGCTTCATCTGCATGGCTTGCTGGGGGGAGATGGCGCCGCCTTGGTTCTCGGACTGCAGGCGCGCCATTTCGGCCAGGAGGTCTTGGTTGATTTCGAGGACGAGGGCGAGGCGCTGCTGTTCTCGGGTGGAGGGGGCGAGGGAGGGGGATTGAGCGGTGGATGTGGTGTTGCCGGTTGGTGTTAGGACATGGTCTGATTGTTGCGCGCTTGCGGCGGGCTGTTGTGGAAGAGGAGGAGCGGCCATCGGGTACTGAGTTGGAGTGGAGGAGGAGGAAGGTCTTGGGGTGGTGTGCTGACTGGTGGCATTGGGCGAGAGGCTTGCTCTGGGCTGCGCGCTCTGCCTGCCGGTGGGATGAGGCTGCTGCTGCTGCTGCTGCTGCTGGAGAGGGAAGTTTGCTAGGTTCGGAGTCAGCGTGGAAGAAAAGAGCAGGGCGCACCGGGGAGTGGAGCCACTGACCGGCGTAAGGCTGCATCGGCCAGCTCAAGCCAGGCTGGTTGACGCCATTCGGGGGAGGAGGGAAAGCTTGATTCTGGCCGAGATGCTGCTCGTATCGCGGCGCCGGGCGTGCAGAGGGATCGTAGTGGGCTGGGGGCAGAGAGCCGGAGGGCCCGGCAGGGCTGAAGGCCTGGGCGGGGTTGATGAAGGCTAACTGATTCATGGCGGCAGGTCAGGTAAGGCGATGGCGGTGGGCGGTGAGCGGCGCGGGCGAATGAGATTAGGGTGTGTGCGAGACGCGCTGCACTTGGTACGGGGATGCAGGCTGGAGCGCAGGCAAATCGCGATAGCGGAAGGAGCGTGGGAGGCAGAACCTTCCTTGGTCACACGTCTTGTCCCTGGTGGCGTCCGCTAGCGCCGGGCTAAGCGAGCGCCGATCCCCGCGTGCATCGATTGGTCCGAACTCTGACAGTGCAAGTCTCAGATCAAGCAAGCAACGCAGATATGAGAGGTGCGTTACTGAGTCGTCTCACGATGGAACTAACACGTAACACTAACGACTTCGTCAGGCCGAGGAGAGTACTACAAGAATAAGTACGGTCGCGGGGGTGGTCGTGGCCGGGGCAGAGGCGGCAGCCATGCTTTTGATGCGTCACAGCCTTCCCAAGCTCCCACAGATCAGCCTTATCGCATCGACAGAGACTGGAACCAATTGCACGCCGACCTCCATCAGATCGATGGCAGCCAATATGGTGAGTACTGTGCTCCTTCAGGTTGACGCGAATATGTACTAAACTCTTGAGCAGGTGCCTACCATCAATTGCGCGGTCAATACCATCACGTCGAACCCACCTTCACCCTCTCAGTCGACCGGGTGCAAGGAGATCCATATGCACCACCCTCACAGGTTAGGTGCATAATGCCATGGCAGGAAACCGGTTTGCCCAATGACTATCTCGCCTCCGACATCCGCAAGGTCGCTGCCTGCGATCTCATTACTCGCGTCGCAGCGGACGTAATCCGCGAGAGGCACATGAATCGCGGCATTGGGGATGGCAACGTAGGCTGGTCTGGCCCGAAAGGAGGTGCCTTCAACATCAATTCCCCGGGCCAGGAAGTCTTACCGCGAACGAGTGCGATGATTGCCGGGAGTGAGACCATCGAGCTACGCTTCACCGTCTCTCTCCCCGCTGCTGGTAGAAGGATCTTGGGGCCACAAGCCTGGCAGATTCTTGGGATCAATCTCGTTGAAATGATCTCACAATCATTGCTGCACCGAAACTTGCATTCGGACAAGCTTCGCGAGCACGTGATGTCCGTGGAAAGACAGCATGCACTGAGAGCGCAATTGCTTCCGCGAGGCTTGATCGCGTTCATTGCAAACGGCTCTATCTTGCCACGAGCTTCTGGTGCCGCTGCGCTGCCAATGGATAGCTCAAACGCCGTTCCTTTCAAGTCTCCCAAAGAAGCTGAAGTCAGTCTTACCTGCCTGGATGGAAGCAAGGTGCAAGGCATGGGCATCCCCCGAGGCATCACTCTCCTCACGGGTGGCGGCTTTCATGGCAAATCCACCCTCTTGGAAGCAATTGAACTCGGCATTTACAATCACATCCCCGGAGACGGCCGTGAGAGCGTCGTCACCGATCCCACCGCTGTCAAGATTCGCGCCGAAGATGGTCGTAGTGTGTCTGCCGTGGACATCAGTCCCTTTATCGCAAACCTACCAGGCAACAAAGACACCAAGACCTTCTCCACTGACGATGCCAGCGGCTCGACCTCAATGGCGGCCAATATCCAAGAAGCCATGGAAGGCGGATGCAAGACCGTCCTCATCGATGAGGACTCCTCGGCGACAAATCTACTGGTGCGGGATCAAAGAATGCAATCTCTAATTCAAAAGGAGCCGATTACGCCGCTAATCAGCAAGGCGAAAGCGATGTACAACGAGCACGGTGTCAGCACGATCATCGTTATCGGCGGCCTCGGAGACTGGCTGACTGTCTCTGACAACGTGATCCTCATGGACTCGTACATTCCTCGCATCATCACCGACCAAGCGAAAGCTGTGGTAGAGAGATACCCCAGCCTCGTGGCGCAAGATACAACGTATGGGACCTTACCAGAGCGCAAAGTACGCCTCTCACTCCGGGGCTTCAAATCACCACACGCGACGAGAATGAACTTCATCGGCATCAGGCCGCAAAACCAAAGTCCCGTCGACGATCCAGCGCAAGGCGAGGCTGGCGTCGATCTCTCCGGCCTGGATCAGATGGTCGAAATCGGACAGACGAGGAGTATTGCAGCCATGTTAGAGGGCGTTGAGAAGGCGACGGCAAGTCAAGCGTAAGTGCATCTCCTCCCCGACTAGTAAGTCTTTTCTTATGGCTAATGCGGACTCTTAGACTTCCTCTCTCAGCTTTACTCGAGCGCATGGACTCGAATCTTGGACTCGAGACGTGTCTGCCCGTCTCGCTTTTCGGAGGCGATCGGGTGGCTGTGCGCCGATTGGAGTTGGCTGCTGCGATTTCGCGATTCCGAGGATTGCAAGTGCATGATTAGGAGGGGATGGCATGACCACCATGCATTCCGAAGATACCGTTCGTGGGGGTGTGAAGCAGGACCGCCGAGAGCCAAGTACCCGCGCCACGGCAAGGCACTCTCGATAATCGGCTCGTATTTGCCTTGTGTACTTGGCGTAGTCACGTCGTAGAGCGCTCGGATTCGTATCTGGTTATGCGGCTGCCTGGCGACGACAAGACCCGGGACGATCGTTGGTGGAGAGTAGAGCACGTGGTTTTTGTTTACATCGACTGCGCCTCGACCTTAACTTTCACGCCCTCAGCCTCACGGTGAGCGGACGCAGAGGTTGGCAATGAACGTCTAGACGAACGATTGCGCTCAAAGACGGTATTGATCTAGTTGGTGTAGTTGTAAGGCTGATGCCGCCCTCGGCCTAGATTACCTTGACTAGGTACTTCGTCACGCTGCCGGAAAGGGCAAGACCCGGGCAAAAAGACAAATAAATGCACCCGGAATCTAAGATGACTGGCTAGAATAGGCCGAGTCTTCCTTTTGCAGGCATGGAGGCAAATCGAGTGATCATCGTAAAGCCGAGTTCCGCTGTGCCGCGAGATCTTAGTGGCGTGGGCGACTTGCATGACCCTTTAGGCTCGATAGCGATCACGTTCAGCCTGAGGCTCGGTGGTCATCTGTGGTTTCTGCCTGGGGCTGTGAGGCGCGGCACGGCATGGCGTAGCATGGCACTCGGGCCGGCTTGGCCGTTGCGTGACTTGTTGCTCGACATGGATGAAGCCACCAGAATAGTAGGATCGCTGGGAGGCGAGAGTCATGTGAGGCGGACGTAAGTGGCATTCGAGGCGAGTCCCATAAGGTGCAGCAGTTAGGGGCGGCAGGAGGGGTGGGTAAAGAAATGCCTCACGCCGCAGGTAGCAGGTTAGCTTGCAGGGCGCCAATGGAAAAGAAGCTTTCCCCACTTGCGGAGTAGCGGCAACGCGGGTTGAAACTCGGGTGGCGACTGGATGTTCCATCCATGACACCTTAGAACATCTCGTCTTGCTCGTGGGGCGCTTCAGCTATTGGCCACGCTACAAATACAAGTCGGCGCCCGGATTGTTCACCGTCATTCCACCGCTCGTTCCATCCCACCTCACACTAAACATCGCTTTTCCATCCCAAACGACCCCGCCCAAACACAGTCTTTCTACCGTCAACATGAACGGCGACACCAACGGCAAGGCGCCTCTCGACCACAGCTCGGGCGGCAGCCGCACTCACGTCCCCGGCGAGCCTCTCGTCCATGTCGAGCCGCCGCGACGCGAAGATCTGCAGCCATCGTACGCGCGAGTCATCAAGCCCGACGATGAAGACGAGGATCAACACGGCTGGTATGGAAGTGAGTACCTCGCACAACAGCAACCTTGCGACTCGCAGCAAGCACATCATGCTGACTCGTCTCCTCTCTCACAGGCATGATCAACGGCCTCGGTACATGCGTGGGAACCCTCGGTGCCATCCCCTGCTGTGTCTGCTGTCCCAACCCCTACAAGTACGATCAACAACACCCCTCTCTTCTATTCCCACAAACACTAACACCACCCACCTTCAGGCCCGTCGCGCAAGGTAACGTCGGTCTCGTCACCAAATTCGGCCGCTTCGCCCGCGCCGTCGACCCGGGTCTCGTCAAGATCAACCCCCTCTCCGAAAGCCTCATCCAAGTCGACGTCAAGATCCAAATCGTCGAGGTGCCCAAGCAAGTCTGCATGACCAAGGACAACGTCAACCTGACCCTCACCTCCGTCATCTACTACCACATCACCAGCCCGCACAAGGCGGCGTTCGGCATCTCCAACCTGCGCATCGCCCTCGTCGAGCGCACGCAGACCACCCTCCGCCACGTCATCGGTGCGCGCGTGCTGCAGGATGTGATTGAGCGGCGCGAGGAGATTGCGCAGTCCATCCGCGAGATTATTGAAGAGACGGCGACCGGTTGGGGTGTGGCGGTGGAGAGCATGCTCATCAAGGACATCATTTTCAGCCAGGAGTTGCAGGATAGCTTGTCCATGGCTGCGCAGAGCAAGCGGACGGGTGAGGCGAAGGTGATTAGTGCTCGTGCTGGTGCGTACTATACCTCCCCCTGACCTTCAGGATACCCCGCTGACAAACTTGAAACACAGAGGTCGAATCGGCCAAATTGATGCGTCAAGCCGCCGACATCCTCTCGAGCGCGCCGGCCATGCAAATCCGCTACCTCGAAGCCATGCAAGCCATGGCCAAGACGGCCAATTCCAAGGTGATCTTCCTGCCAGGTATGCAGCAGGCCACTTCCTTCAACCTAAGCCAATCCACATGCTAATCTACAACAGCACAAAACCAAACCGTCCAATCCCAACTCGCCGAAGCCGACAAGTACGGCGAAGGGCCGAGCAGATACCAGACGGAGAACTACGCCTCGGCCGGGCAGGAGTTTGCGGGCAGCACGCAGGGCTTCCAGAGCGCCATCAATGCCGGCGTGATTGAGCACATCTAGGCTGCTTGCCGTGGGTGAAGATGCTTTGTGTGTGTTGGAAAGGGGGATTGTGGTCTTTCTTTTTGGCACGCTCGTGATGATGGAGGAGGAGGAGGAGGAAGGTTGAGGTTTGCCGCGATACCCCTTTTGTGTCTGTGTCTTGATGTTTACTGTTTGCTTTTCCGTTCACTTAGTCTTTGTTGCTTGAATGGCAGTTTTCCCTCTTTCTTCTGCCGATTCTGTGTCGCTCTCTTCGTTCATCTCGCCCTGTACTATTCATGCTACTCAGAGTCGTCACGGAAGGCTGTCGGTCCTTCTGGCCCACTAAAGGCTGCACTGAGGAGTAATGGTATATACTGGACCATGCCCCGTGCGATGTCTAACTGACTAGGCGCGTGGAAGAGGAGGAGTGGTGGGGTTCATGTTGATCAAATGCTTACCAAAGCCATATCCGCGAGACGCCAATGGAAGGCGCGCCCCACACAACCCTGCAATTCACGCACGCAGGCTTTCCGTCCGTGCATTCACACAAAGTTCCAGACATTTAGCCCGAGGCCACGCAGGAAGTGTTCTGTTGCACAACGCCTCCCCAAAAGGCCCCTCTTCTTCTTCTTCTTGGCTGTGTATCCTACTCGAATGGATCGCCTGCGATAACCTCTGTGGCATCCGCATCTTTCACCATCCTCTTCTCTTCTTTCTCCCACCATGGCTGAACTCGCTACGCCCTCGGCCGCCGATATGGCCACCGCTCGAGTTCCCACTCCCGCCAACGACTCCAAGGACAAGAGTGTCCCGGCTGTCAAGCCCGAGCGACCGGATGAGGAGGTCTACAAGACTGAACTTGCAAAGGCCGAGAAAGAGTTGAAGTCGGCGGAAGAACGTCTGGTGTGTCATTCCCAGAGCAAAGGAAGCACGACAGGCCGGGAATGCAGCTAACAACGACACCTCTGCAGAAATCCATCAAGGCCAAGGTCGACCTCACCCGACCCAACAATAAAGACTCGCCCTCTGCCAAACGCCAGCAAGAACTCCGCGCCGAGCTCGCCACCATTCGCCAGCAGCAGCAGTCTAACAAGTCCGGCCGCACGCAGGTGCTGGAGAAGGTCAAGCGTCTCGATGAGAGCCTGAAATCGAGGATCGGCGAGCAAAAGACGGCGCGCAGCCGCATCAACTTCAAGTCGGCCGACGAGGTGCAAAAGGAGATTGACCGGCTGCAGAAGCAAGTCGACACCGGCACCATGAAGATTGTCGACGAGAAGAAGGCATTGGCCGACATTTCCCAGCTGAACCGGCAAAAGAAGACATTCGGGAGCTTCGACGAGGCGCAAAAGGGCATTGACGAGGTCAAGGCGCAGATTGCCGAGCTGAAGAAATCCCTCGATGATCCGGAACACAAGGCCCTGAGCGACAGGTACACAACCATCACCACCGAGCTCGACAAGATCAAGGCCGAGCAAGATGACGCCTTCAAGGGCCTCAACACCCTGCGCGACGAGCGCACCAAGGCCCACGAGGAGCAGCAGAAGAAGTACACGGCGGTGAAGGAGATCAAAGACCGCTACTTCAAAGCCCGCCGCGCCGCCGCCGAGTACGAGAAGGAAGCGCGCCGCATCCGCGATGAGAAGCGCCGCGCCGAAAACGACGCCTACCACCGCGGCCGCCGACAAGAAGTCGCCAAAGCGAAACTCGAAGAGGCCAGCGCGCCCGCGTACCAAGACGAAATCCGCACCACGCAGACCCTCATCGCCCACTTCGACCCCTCCTCCGTCCAAAAGCAAGACGCTTCGGGACCCGGCAAATTCGCCGCGACCGCCAGCCGCACCGTCGACGACTCCGGGATCAAAGGCACGCGCCTCGTGCGCAAGGGCGAAGACGAGGACAACTACTTCATCGGCAGCGCAGGCAAGAAGAACAAGCGCGGCGGACGAGGCCAACAGCAGACTAGCAGCGGCACCGCGAGCCCCGCGCCCGAGGGCAAATTCAATCTCGACATGGGCACCATCGACAGTCTGGGCCGCATTGGCGTCGACCCGCCCATGTCGCAGGCCGACGTGCCCGTCGTGGTGGAGAAGTTGAAGACGAAGCTCGAGTTCTGGAAGGGCGATCAGAAGCGCAAGACGGACGAGGTGAGATTGCTGCCCCGTATCGCTTCTGTGAACCCGCACGCAAGTACTAACATGATCATTCGCAGAACGTCGCCAACGCGCAGAAAGAAATCGACCGTCTCGAAGCCGAAGCGCAAAACGCCGACACCGGCAAGACTGACCGCGGCAACCACACGACCGATGCCGCGCGCAAACCCGCGCAGGAGAACCAGGGGGTGAACGGCGAAGCTTCAGCCGGCGCCGAGTTGGCGCAGGAGAAGGCGGCCGACGCGGACGTGGCGGACGAGCTGGAGAAGGTGAAGATTGAGGATGGCAAGGATGCTTTGGAGGGTGATGGCAATGCGTAAAAAGAAAGGGGCGGAGATGGAAAGTTTATGACTCTGCTGTTGTTTTCGAGCATCGGTATTGCCTGGCGGACGACGATTCGGATTTTTAATCGCAAAATGGCAGAATGGAAAATATCGTGGGGATTGCATCTGTGCTCTCGTTCACTTTGATCCCCCGTCTGGACGTCCCGTGATCTGTCAGCTAATATACAGCAAGCCCATGAGCCCATTAGCACAACCGCCTATCCTTCGCTGTGCATACCGACGCCCATTGCCCCCTTCAGCGAGCATGCAACACGCCTCACAAAGCCTTGATACTAGCAAAGAAAGGATTCGCCCTCAACGCCTCATTCCCCAACACCAGCGCCCTCATCCTCGCCACCTGGTCCTCCTTCCCCAAACTCTCCGCCTCCACCTCCGTCTTCCACCGCACCAAAATCTCCTTCAACATCCGCTTGCCCTCGTCGACCTGTTCCTTCGAAGCCCCGGCCCCGGCCGCGGCAGACCCCTCGTGATCGTGATTCCCACTCCCGGAGAAGTCCTCGAGCTCCTCTGCTTTCCGCTTCGCCATGTTGACCACTTTCGTCGGGAAGCGGACGAGCTCCGCGACGTGGATGCCGAAAGATTGGTCGCTGATGCCTGGTTCCACTTTGTAGAGTAGCGTGACTTCTCGCCGTCTGCTGCTGTTCTTGCTTCCGGCGCGCGGCGGGGCGTTGTCGCCGTCTTGCATCTCCGTGTCGTCGTCGTCGCTAATGTGCGCGACGACGTGCAGGTTCTTGACTTGCGGGTACGTCTCGTTTAGCGCCGTCAATTCGTGGAAATGCGTGGCGAAGAGCGCAAAGGCTCCGATTTCCTTCACGATGTGTTCACTAATGGCCCACGCGAGGCCGAAGCCGTCGTACGTGCTGGTGCCGCGGCCGAGCTCGTCGATGATGACGAGCGATTCGCGCGTCGCGGTTTTGAGGATGTTGGACGTCTCCAGCATCTCGGCCATGAAGGTGCTGACGCCTTTGAGTTGCGAGTCGGAGGCGCCGACGCGCGCGAGGATGCAATCGAAGAGGGTGAGTTCGGCGGTGGCGCAGGGGACGAAGCAGCCCGTTTGCGCCATTAGTGCTATCACGCCGATTTGGCGGATGTAGGTTGATTTGCCGCCCATGTTGCAGCCGGCTGGAGGTCACGTTAGAAGTGCTTCAATGCGTATCGGTGGTCCAGGCTTATGGTCGTGGACTTACTGATGATGAGAAACTCCGACTCCCCACGAACAAGCGCCACGTCGTTGGTGATGAATGAAACGTCGTCCTGCATCTCCATACACGGATGGCGGGCTTCCGTCAAAATCGTGCTCCCCGTTCCCCGAGGGTGGATCTTCGGTCTCACGTAGGCCGTAGGTGCATGTACCGACACGTGAGCAAAGCTGACGATGACATCCAGATGCGCGAGCACGCCCGCGAGCTTCTCCAGAACCGGGCAATAGGATGCGGCAACACCGACAACTTCGCTGACCAAGCCACCTTGCGTGCGTTCGTAGTTCTGCTCCAGCTGCTCGAACTCGCGCTTCATCTGCGACATGGCGGTGGTGGTGAAGAACACACCATTCTTCTGTGTCGAGCATTCCTGGTATTGCTTCTTGTTTCGAATCGCCGCCGCTTCATTTCGGGTGAGGCGAAAGCACCAACCGTGTACGCGATGGTTTTCGAGAAACAGCTTCTTCTCAATATCTTGGTTCAAGTCTGCACCAACCTTGCGGTGCTCTTTTTCCATATTATAGCGCAGAGTGTCCAATTTCTTCCGGATGATGCGTAGACCATCGTCGAACTCGGACTTGATCTTGTACTCGTGGTGGTCGATGGCGTCCAGGTCCACGGTCGTCTCCACCATTTCCTGCAACTTCGAAAAGCTGTCGGAGAACGAGCGCAGCTTGTCGGTGTACTCTACGTCAAGAGCATCCTTGTAGGCTTCGTCCATCACTCCTTCGAATGTCCCGATGAAGCCCGGGAGGCGGATGGTGACTTGATAGGCCCGCACAACGTCTTCAAGATTCGCCTTTTTGCGCTGAAACTTCTTTGCCAACTTGTACAAATCGGGAATGGATCTGAGGTGCTCTTCCTGTAGCGTCTGTCGAAGTTCCGTGTCGTTGACAAAGGCCTCGACAAGCTGTTGCCGCCGCTCAATCTCCTCTAGGCTCATTAGAGGCTGCTTGAGCCATTGTGCCAGAAGTCGACTGCCCACGGGGGTTTTGCAATGATTCAGCAAGCCATACAAGTTCATCGTCTTGGAGCCATCCTTTGGGCCAGGCATCAGATTCAAGGCTTTCAGTGCGGACGAGTCGAGCTTCATGTATTGGCTGAGGTCGTGCTGGTAGAGCTTGTATTCGCCAAAGTTGGTAGGGTCGGACATGACGCCTAGATACTTGATCAAGGCGGCGGCAGAACTCATTGCAAGCTTCAGGTCGGTCTGGGGAAGAGTGCCGGCTGCTCGCTCGTCGCGAAGTAGCCTCGTTAGATCCTGCTCGACGTCGCGGTTCCCAAAATCTGCTTGTGGCCGCTCGGAGACGGCACAGCCGCAGTTATCGGCAATTGCTCGCAGCTTCTGCAGTTCTGGATCCTTTTTCGTGCCATCGAATTGCAGCAGACACTCCCTCACACCAAGCTGGATGAGAAGAGACTCAAAGTTGGAGTAAATGTCGTTGTCCACAAACTCGCTGACGCCCAATTCGCGCACAGAAGCATCGGCAAAGCACACGCCGACATTTCGGGCTTCGGTCGCTTTTGCCGAGACCTTGACGGCGAGAATGATGGGAGCCGAGTCGACGTGGGCGCCGAGCTCATCTTCGACGTCTTGAAGATTGCCGGGCGAGGCCTGCTTTGCCACTTTCCACTGATTCCGCCCATGAGACTCGAAGATCTCCACGCGTCTGCCCAGGCGGAAGATGGCTTCACGTAGGAAGGCACGGTAAGCGGTGACGGTCATGGTCACGGACGGCAGGCCTGGATTGCTGCCGAGCGTCTTCAAGACAGAGGTGGTCTTGTATTGAGTCCGGGCGATGAGGATGGCATCGTCTCCGTGTGCCGACAGCCAGTCGCCACGGTCGAAGATGCGGACGGTGTCATGGCTTTTGCCTTTCTCCAATTCGAGGAAGGCCTTGCAGAAGCCGACCTCATCGTCGACCTTGAGTTCCGGGCGGGAAGCCATTGCGGATGTCAATGCTTTTGACGGGGCAGTCGAGAGACCTTTACATCAATCGGATCAAACGCCTCCCATTCATAGATTGCCGTGCATGATTTGTCCCTTGATGGGTCTGTCCAGTGTTTGCTTGCGATATTTGTCTTGAGATGGATCTTGACAAGGCGTGAGGCGCCACTCCGTCCCGACGCGTGAAGACGCGATCAATTTCGAGTCTGCCGGTCAAAAGTCGTGGTCGGACTCCGTCCTCACGACGGTGAGGTTCCTGCACCACTTCCACTCTACATCTTTACACAAACCGCGTCCGATGCTTCTCGATAGTCGGAGTGTCGACAATTATAGAGTGTCGCATTCCTGATCGTAAGTCCGAAACCCACACGTGCACCCAAGAGCGCCCAACTCGGACACCGCTGCTCGGCATATCGAACATATTCTTACTCCGTTTCCGATCCTCTACTACACCATCACCACCACAACATAACGTACCACTGTCTTACATCTGATCCACGTTCTCTGTCATTGCGCAGCCTACCTTCACGTTTCTCCCTTGCTCTGGCTACTCCTCGAGCCATGTCTTTCGCGATAGAACCCTTACAACCCGCGGACCTCGACGCCTTCATCACCATCTGGTGGGATGCTTTTGAGCCACTCCCGGCCAAAATGCTCTACCCGCAAGTATGTCCACGCGGCCTCACGCCCGACCTGATCGCACGCAAGCGCTGGCGCATCTCACGCCGAGACAACGAGACCTCCTTCTGCTTCTGTGCCCGCGACACCGCAACCAACGAAATCCTAGGCGTGACGTGGTGGTCACTAGTCAACGATGCTCCGAACACGCGGGAGGAAATCGACGCGGCTTTCGTCAAAGCGCGCGAAGCCAGATACGCCGGGCCGCAGGTCGAAGGCATGAATCTCGCCCTCTACGAGGTGTTCGTCCATAAGACTTTCTACCTCGAGGCGGAGATTATGGCGGGTCGGGGGCCGTACGTTAGCTTCTCCGTCCTGGCTACCGACCCCAAGCACCAGCGCCGTGGTGTCGGTGCTGTGCTGCTGAAGCAGTGCCTCGAGAAAGCGGACAGTCTGGGTTTGCCGGTGTTCTTAGAGTCCGGTGTGAATGGCAGGCCGTTGTATGAGCGGCATGGCTTTGAAGTGATACGGGACTTTGGCTTTGACCCTCGTGACTATGGAGGAAGATCGGATGCTCCGCATTGGTGCATGCTGCGGCCGGCGAAACGAGTCGATTAGAATGCATCCTCGTAACAGTCATTGCCAATATAGTATTGCCATCTATGGCGCTCACATCATATGCCTACATATCCATCGTATATCCTATGCCACCACTCGACTCGTCGCGGAGCCTCGCTTCTCCGACAGGCACCATGAATCGACCATGGCCTCAATCAGCGCAACCGCAACATGATGCCCCGTCTCCAGCGTCTCCGCATCGCTCTCGGCCGGCACGTGCAAAAACATCACCGGCCGATCCGACGCCTTCCCACCATCCACCTTCCCACTCCGCCTCCCATACCATGCCAAACTATTAAAATAAGTAAAGTCACACAAGTAATGCCCCGCATCCTCACTCAACTGACAATCCGCCTTGGCCGCCAGCGCCTCCGCAGGCAACAACCCCACATTCCCCCTCCACCTCCTCAGCACATCCTCGCAATCCAAACCCGAAGTCATAACTTCCGGACAATCCGCGAACCGCACCGCCCCATCCTCCGCCCTCAGCACCTCGCCATCCACATCCCGGTTCTTCCCGTACCCGTCGCGATGCGCAAACACTTCCGCAGTGTAGTGCTTGCGCCCCGACGCCATGCCAATGTGCAGCACGAGGTCCACGACGCCGCGCAGCGTGTTGTGCAGGATGGGCACGAGGCTGCGCACCTCGGCGTAGGAGACGCGGATTGGGGCTGCGTAGGCGATGATGCGGATGCGTTGGCCCGAGGCGGCGGCGCGGGGCAGCAGGCTGGGGAGTGCGCGCGTGATTTCGTAGGAGGGGTTGATGGGGTAGCGGTCTTGGAAGGCGCCGAAGCCTGTTACTAGCACCGTGATGACATCTGATGCGGGCTCTGGCCGGATGGGCTCGAGGGAACCCATGCGGTGCCTTGCGCGGGGTGGTTGTCCTGGCGTAGGCGGGAAAATAGTCCCTGGTGCGTGGCGAGGGCGCTGTTATCGCTCTGTCGATGCAAGGAACGGCGAAGTTCAAGACGGCGGGCGGAAAAAGCTGTGAGTGATTTATGTGTGGCCTAGTGAGGGGTGAAGGTGTCGTTGAATCGTTCCACAGATCGAAGAATCGCCGGAGGGTGGTAATTTTCCAATTGGTCGTCGGACAGAGGAGGCAAAGATGATATACGCACCGCGCACACGGATGGAATGAAATTGCAACGACGGAGTAAGGGAGAGTGATTAATTCTATGTCGTTGGTGATGTGGCGATATACCCAGCCTCGGGTAGAGGGGATGTCGCACGCTCTCGGCCCGATGCACCCACTACACCTTCCCTTTAGAGCAGCTCGTGCGGAGTAAAGGCCGAAAGGCTGCCGCCATCTGCAACACATATTCCTTTTCTCCTAAGTAGCTCCCAGCCTGTCGCAAACACCCCCGTTCAATCGTCCACTCTGATCTCTGCCGCTTTTCGTAATCGGTTCATGACTGCCGAAGCAGTGTCTCCTTCGTTATCGTCGATGCCTTCGACGAAGATTGCATCGACATCTTTCCGATCCAACTCTCGAAGGGCGGAGAAGATGCCTCGTGCAATACTCGCCGTGTCGTCACCCAGAGCGATGGTCGATAGCGCGAATGTAGTGCCGTTGTGTGTTATGTCGTGAGTAGTCAGAACAGCTCGACGTTTCGTCTCCGCCTTCAAAGCATCGAGCATTCCTGCGAATCCTGGCTTTTCAGCCATGTGCACAGGTTGCTTCCTTCTGAAGTCACCGTGATGTGGTCTCCGAGTCACACTCAAGCCATTGGACTCTCCAAGATTCCAAGACTTCGTGGTAACAACCCCAATATTCCTCCTAGGTCCCAAGAACCTCGACAGCTCTTCCAACGGAGGCGCATTCCTCCCCGACTCATACAACACCACCGTGGCCTTGGGCGAATAATGGCGATATTTCATTCCAGGGGCCTTCGGACGATCCCCAGGCGCCCCGGAAGCATCCTTGTATCCCACCTGTGTATTCTCCCACCCAGGACATGACCGCAACTGCTCGATACTCACACCGCCCGGCCGCAGAATCAACGGCGGGTTCGACAATCCGTCCACGACCGTGCTCTCAACGCCAACGTCACACGGCCCTCCGTCGAGGATAGTCTCAATTCGCCCGTCGAGATCGTGCGCAACATGCTCAGCGGCGGTCGGCGACGGCTTGGTTGACGCATTCGCAGACGGCGCAGCAATGGGCTTATCGGCTAGTTGGATCAGCGCCAGCGCCAGTACATGCCGCGGTATGCGTGCGCCAAACGTATCCAGACCAGCCGTCACTTCAGGCGCAAAGGGCGAATGAGCGGGATTCGGAAGAATGATGGTCAAAGGTCCAGGCCAGAATCTAGAGATGAGCGGTCTGTAAATTTCCGGAATCGGGTCCTCATCATTGTGATGCTGCACGCCGTTCGCGACGCGCCCATTCGTTTGCGCACTCGACGGTCGCAAACACTTTCTTAGCTGCCGAAGCGAAGCGAAATGCACAATCAACGGATTGTCCGCCGGTCTGCGCTTCGCCCGGTAGATTCCTCGCACGGCTTCCGATCTCGTGGCATCGGCTCCCAGGCCATAGACCGTTTCGGTGGGAAAGGCCACAGGGATGTTCGAGTGTCGGAGTTGCTCCGCCGCGCGTCTGAGATATGCTGCATCCGGAGAATTTGAGTCGAGTTGAATGTCGATCTCATCGAGCAGGTCGTCGGGGACTGGAATGGCGGTGACTTTCCCTATACGGCGTGCATCGATGGGGAGGACTTTCGTCGTGAAGTTGTCGTGCTCAGCCATCGTGGCGTAAGAGCGCGGAGCGGCTGCGGAGGTCCAGGAGCGTGAGAGGCATTGATCGAGTCTAGGTGATAGTTGTCTTGCTGCTGTGATGTAGCGTTTGCTTAGAATCATGCACGGAGGAATGGAGTCATGTTGAAGAGGGTAGAAATTTGGAGGTCAAATACGACCAATCCGGCTAGCGTGGCGGACGGACTCGCGCTGTCACGTGCCCCGATCACCATGATTCCTAGCACATATTATCTGATAGAGTGTATGGAATGGCACACGATATTCGTCCTGCGAAAATCATGCAGCGCTCCTATCCAAGCCTGCCGTTATCCATCGATCGCCATGAATACCCGTACCCAAAGGAAACATCCCAAACTCCACGCTAAGATAGCCCATCAGAAAGAAAAGAAGCTCCTCATCTCGACATCTGTGGCTTATTCGCCGTATTCACGGCCGGCGGGGGCCCGTCCACATCCGGATACGGCAGTCTGCGTCCCAAATCCCCCATGTTCATGAAAGTGCGTGGGCCGGGATCCGCGGGCGTACTGCTGGGTGGAGGATAGGCAGGCTGGTGGGGCGGTGGGGAGGATTGTTGGTGCTGAGAGAAGGTAGAGTCAACAGGCGTTTTCGGTGGGATTGGCGGAGGCGAGTCGTGGCTTCGACGGGCTGTGATTGGGTCTTGGTGAGCGTTGTAGACGTTATCGAGATGGGAGCGGGTTTGAGAGGGATAGCGCTGGTGGTATTGCGGTGACTCGTAGGTTGATGAGGCGGCGCTGGAGGATGGAGGAGGCGAGGTATGTGGTGTAGTCGTTTGCGGTGCGTAGTGTTGATCATTGGGCACAACGACGTACTTTTGATCTCCCGTGCTGGGCCGATGCTCGTAGTGTTGCGCACCGGGGCGGAAGCCTTGCGTCTGGTAGTACATGTCGTCGCCCGGGAGTTCGACTGCGTTTGCATGCGCGCCTGGAGGTAATGGCTTGTCCCATGGGTCTTGCCAGCTATATCTAGGACCATCGTGGTGGGTGGAGGAGCCATGAGCCTCGGCGCGATCGTGCCGGAGTTTGGCGAAATGGATCTTGCCCAACTTGTGTGCTGCGCCCTGGTTGATCACCTCCACGCGGTCGGTGGACAGGTACATTCGGGTATTGGTGCTGATCTCCGACAGACGCGCCCATTCGTTCATTCCAAATTCGCCGACACCCACCTCCACGTTCAGTCGGCAGTAGTTCTCCGGATTGACGCCGCGTTCGAAGAGATGCTTGTGCAGCATGTCTTGGTGTGTCTTCTCGCAACCCTCCAATTTGGATATCAAGCGTCGCCTCGCCTCGGCGAAGTCGCTCATACTTCCGCCCAAGAACCCCTCCCACCATTCTGTCTCTTTTCCTCGTGCGTCCGCGGCTCTTTTCCCGGTGCCGATACTTACGAAAACGCCCACTTCCCGACCCGGCCATTCGTTCGATACAGCCTCATCCAGGATCAATGGCGCGGGGTTGTATTTGCCAGGGCCTTCATCCAGGTAGACCGACTGGCCAATCTGAATCGGCTTGAACGCCATCGCCGTCGCGGAAGTGGCCCTACCAGCTTGCCAAATGGTGCAGTCCACCTCGGGCGCCGGCTCTTTTCGCGAGTCGTAGGAGCGTAGTAATTTGGTGACGGGTGTGCCTCTCATCACCGCCGTCACGGCAGTCTTCGCCCTGTTCTCCCTGGAATCGTACAGCAGAGCGTTTGGATCGCCCAGCGCAAGCGATCCAAAGGACAGCCTGTTGCTCGCCGGACTCCCACCCATTTGGCTGTACTTGCTGCTCTGACTGAAGGTTCTCTGCGGGCCTCGCATGGACGGCGCCGCGCTTTCCATGCTCCCCCGCGCCGAAGCACCCATCGGCGTCGCATTGGCAAGTGTATCGTTGCCCTCGTACTCCGACACGGTGTGTTCCCTAACGCACTCTCGAATCACCTCTTCCAACTTGCTCGCCTTGAACATCGTGCTCTTAAGCGGAATTCCCGCGAACGTCTTGTCCGTCTCGAAGACCCGCCGCGTCATGCGCACGTAGAGGTCTTTGCAGGTGTCGAGATCGAGGCGCAGGCGGCCGAGCATGATGGCGATGAGGCCGCCGGTGCCGGTGCCGGCGATGAGATCGAAGTGGTCGCATGGTCGAGGGATTTCGTGCCTTTTTGGTGCCCGGCCTTCGATTTCCACGAACGTCCTGTGCATGAGCTCTTGGAGAATGATGAGCATGGAGTAGCCTCGGACCCCTCCGCCATCGAGAGACAGGATTCGTAGTGGCGGGCCTTTGGTGGTGTCCTTTCTCTTTAGCCGTGTGACTTCGTCCATTTTACCGTCCTTTGTAGCGCGACATCCACCGCAAGTTGATCTGACCAAGCGAGTAGATCAACACACGCGCCAGATGTGTCTGCGCGACGCTTTCTTGCGGGGTTGGAGAGGATGAAGATGTGAAGGTTGGCGTGGACTTTCGTGGGGCGACCACTCGAAGGCTGCACTTAGGTCATACTGAGATCAGGTGACTGTGGTGTGCCAGACTCGCGATCACGGCTCTTCCTTCCAAACTCGGCGACGGCGAGGAAGTAGGTGAATGTACTGATCATGAGTCTCTATCCTGCAACAAACGAGCGGACCCTTCAGTGGAATCACGAGAATGAAGCTGCAGGATGCGCAACCTTGCCCTGATTTTCGGAGCGCGAGCGCCGGCACGTGCAATTCTCCGAACCACGATGCTGGATGCGGGGCATCGCCTTGCCACCCCTCATCAGCACCAGTCCCTAAGCCCGTGTAACACCCACCCCAGCCGTGTACTACTCGTCACATATCCATCATGGCGCAAGACACGGAGATGAAGATTGAGCAAATCTACGTTTACCCGATCAAGTCGTTGCGAGGAGTCTCGGTCGACTCGACAACCCTCACATCCCAGGGCTTCCCATACGACCGGTCATTCATGCTCCTGGAGGTCGTAGAGGTCAAGGACAACGACAAAGCAACAAATGGCGGTCAACCGACCTACAAAAACATGTCAATCGCCAGCTACAACTCCATGTGCCGTTTCGTCCCCACACTCAACACCACGGGCGAAGACCCGACCATGACCGTCACCTTCCACCCCCTCAACGGCGACAAAACGCAATCAATCCCCATCCCGCTGTCACCCGACACCGCCGAGCTGGAAGAAATCGACGTAGTGATGCACCTCAGCCCAACCAAAGCCTACAAAATGCCGGCCAAGTACAACGATTGGTTCGCCGCGTGTTTCGGACACCCGTGCGTGCTGGCCTACATCAGCGACAATTTGCGGGAAGTGCGCATGTCGTCGCCGAGGCACCGGCAGGCTGGTGCACAGGCAGATGGCACTGCTAGCAACGGCGGCAGCGGCTGGCTGTCCTCCCTCTCCTCCATGGCCACCAACTTCCTCGCCAGCGCTCCGGAAGAAGTCTCCACCATCCGCTTCGCCGACTGCGCCCCGTACCTCGTCGTCTCCTCGAAATCCATGGACTCCGTGCACGCGCGCCTGCCCGCAGGAGAGGAATTCGACATTACCAAGTTCCGGCCGAACATCGTCGTCAGCGGCGCCCAAAAGGCCTGGGAAGAAGACTTCTGGGCCGAGCTGAGTGTCGACAGCGGCAGCAGCGGCTCCGACACCGCCAAGACGCGTGTGAAGAAGATTGAGCTCGAGCACAACTGCGGCCGGTGCAGGAGTATCAATGTGGACTTTGAGACGGGGGCGCAGGGCACGGGCGAGGCGGGCAAGATGCTGAAGAAGTTGGCGAGCGATCGCAGGGTTGATGTGGGTTCGAAGTGGAGCCCCGTTTTTGGGCGGTATGCCTTCCTTCATCCGGATAGTGAGAAGATGGAGTTGAGGGTTGGGGAGGGGGTCAAGGTTACGAGGACGAATGGGGAGCATACGAAGTTTGGTGAGTTCCGTCGTTTACTTTACCATGCGATCGGGTTTGAGTGAGGTCTATGCTTACTGATGCCGCGTTACAGACTGGAAGGGGCTGTCGACCTTACCCGGAGGTGGAAAGGATGAATGATGATAACGAAGATTCCGATGAGAGCGGTGTTAGATTGCTTCGGAATTACTACTATGATGATGCGATTTACAGCTCATCTATGCTCGCCTCTATCCTCGCAAGCTTGGCTTGGACTCGTCGTCCTTCGCGGAGCCCTTCCACGAATGCCGAATGAACGTGCTTTTGCAGAAACACACGCGAGTCCAAGGCCTCAATGCCCTTTTAAACGCGTTCGAGCATGAGCTAGGGCGTGTGTTGCGAACGTCGGGATTGGCGAAGCTGAAAAAGGAGTGTCCCACTGAGCGGTTTTTAATTGTCCGCTAGTCCAGCTCGGTGTCGTCGCATATGCCATTCAGGCACCGTCCAGCTGCCGGCAAGAGGTTGTTGTTGGCCACATCAACATCTAATGAGATGTGCGTGGCGATTGTGTGTATGCTTTCTTGATCCACACAGCTCGACTCGGCCAATCAAGGCGTCGTGCGACGGATTTCCTCCACCACCCCGTCATCTCCTTCCTGACTCGCAAAGCTAGACTGCGAAGTCAGATCCTGCCTTGCACTCGTCTGAGCAGAAGTCGGCGTCTGACTGCCATGCTTCCTCTTGTGCGCATTCACCGTCGGCGCGTCAGGCTTCGCGGCATCTTTCGGCGCAGCGCCGCCCTGCCGCGAATACCGCTGGTTCGTAAGCTGCGGACCCGCGTGCCAAATGCCCTCTTGTCGCGGGTTCTGCGAAAGTAATGTGAAAGCAGCCTGGCGGATGCTGGGGTTGCGGCAACGGGAAATGGCCATCCAGAGGGGATCGGTGACCCAGAGGGAGAAAGAAAGGTACGGTGTGCCGGAGCTGCCGCCGGTGAGGGTGGGGAGGGGAGGGCAAGAGAAGGAAGCGAGGACTTCGCGGGCGAGGTCGACGATTGCGCGGAACTCGGCTTCGTAAGCGTCGTACGCCACCGGGCCGGCGGACTGGTCGACGGACGCCAGCATTGTGCCGACGAGGTGGTTGGCTTTGAGCACCATGGCGCGCTTGAGGTCCATGTTGGACATTTGCTCGCGCCGGTCGGCAAGGTATGCGGTGAAGGCGGCTTCCCATTTGGCGAACCACGGCGCGTAGCGGAGGTATTTCTCCGCCATGGTGACGGCGATGTGGTCCCTGGGGGCGGTGGGGTGGAAGCCTTGCATGAAGCGCATGACGCTGTTGAGCGCGGTGTGGAGGGTGTTGTGCGCGTGGTCGAGGCTGAAGACGTATTCGATGGGAGGGAGGGGGGGTGTTTGGTCGGAGGTGTCGATTTCCGGCCGGCGGCCTTTGTCGAGGAGGGCAGTCGCTTGTACTTCTAACCGCTCCACGATTGGTCGCATCTGCTCCAGGTCGTCCTCCTCGGCAGGAGACATGCTCGTGACATTCGGTCTGCCGGTCGCTTGCAACAGGCGACGACCCTGTAGCGCGTGGTTGACGGCACTGTCGCATCGGCCTTGCATAGCTTCAAAGCAGGTGAACAGTACGCACGTCGTCAAGGCGAGCCGTGAGTTGTGGATGCTCTGCCCGCCATCTTCAGAGTCCATGTTGGTGATGGCAGCCTGGCGGCTGGTCAAGCAAGAGATGGCTTTGTTGCACTGATCCAGCGCGAATTCGATGGCGCGTGCTTTGCGTTTTTCATCGGCAAACGCGCGCTGCATAATACACTCGTGCAACGCGCCGATGGCGGTGATGGCGTGCAGGATGGCGGGCTCCTGATAGGAAGTCTGGATGACCATGCGCTGCCAGAAGGTCGAGTCGAAGAAGCCGGCCATCTGAGGGGCGGAGAAGTTGACGAAGAAATTCAGACTGTGCCGTTCCCTCCAGTTCCGCCGCCATTTTGTATCCGGGCGAAACACGGTCAGGCTCGTCTGGGTCGCCAGGGCGGGCTGGTTCGCTGCTGGCGTCGTGGATTCGTAGTTGAGATTCCAGTCATCAGATATCGCAAGCTTGCACCCGGCGTTTTTGGGATCGCAAGCGAGCCCTCTCACACTAGGGAAGCAAAAGTCAGACAAGGCGAGGAAAGGTAGATGGTCCATCGTGCGGACGATACTTACAGACAAGGGATGCACCCTGTGAGCATCTTCTGCCTGCGAGTCTGCAGCTCCATCGCTGTCAGCTCCTCGAGGTTCATCTGGTTGGCGGGGGTGTTGCGTACTGAAGACGGCGAGCCACTACTATAGTTGGTGAACCACAATTCTTTGAACGACCGAGCTGAAGCATCGTACCCCAGCGATGCCGGCGACTGCTCCGCGCGCGCCAGGTTTTGTAGCTCGTTATCCTTCTCCGCGTTGGTCTCGAGAAAGTCTTGCACAATGTCTTCGTACGTCGTCCGCATGCGCTTGGGGGAGATGCCGGGGGTTGGCGAGCGCGAAATGTCGACGTTTGCATGCCAGTACCCGTCCGCCAGATCTTCCACCATATTTGTGGAATGGGCGTCTCCAGGTGCAGACATCTGGAGGGGTTGGTGTTGGGTTTATTCCAGAGAAGAGTGTTTCAGGTTGGAGGTTGGAGCTCAGCCGTGGGGATGCATGGCATGGGTCGGGCAGTAATCCGAATCAAGGGCTGAAGGGCGACGTTGGCAAGGTGAGGGATGGCGCAGCAGCGTGAGGCCAGCCAAAGAGTTGCATCGAGCAGAGGGCGCAGGGATGCGTGATATACTCTCAATATCTCCGGTCTCCGCAGCTCGCCCGCCCAGAAGGTCAATGCTGTATGAAATGATGGGCGCCTGCGCTGCGTGGGGTCCCAGAATCTCTAGGGATTGGAGCGTGCGGGACGCAGTGTGAAGTCGAGAATGTAAAAGAGCGACAGATGATCGGAGGAGAGCGCAATGGATGGAAAGCAACGAGTGGAGTCGCTGCTTGGAGGGCCGCCGTTCGCGCCCACTCACCAACTCTCCACCACGCCGGTGACGACTCTCGGGATGTCCACCGATCTTAACCGCATGCAGTAGGACCGTGGAGAGCTAGTCGATAAGCACCGCTCTAAAAGCCGCCCCAGCTGAAGGGGTCGCCGGCCGCCACGCAGGCCGTGGCGCACCTTTTCCCCATTAGAGTTACGACATCGCCCGGCCCACCCGTTGGTTGGCGCGGGATTCGAGCAGCCGCGGGCTGAACACCCGTGGCAGTGTTGGTCTTTTGTGGCCATCCCGTCCCACGCCTGGGATACATACTTGATGGAAAGGCGCCAGAGTCGAGAGCAAGGGCGCCGGAGGACACCTCCAAAATGGGGTATTGTAGGGAGAAGGATGATCGGCCATCTCCACGAGATCAGCCGTCCCCACGATCGAGCAGCGCTGCCATCAACCATGCCATGCTGTCCCACAAACCTTCATGTTTGGAATCCGTGGTCCATAGAGATTTACAGGGTCAGAAAGTGGGAACACGGACGCGTTGCGCGAGCGCAATTCTATTGGGCGGGTGTTGCGTCGATCACCACAGAATGGGCAAGGCTGGTGACAAGGAGAGGCCGAGGAAAATGAGGAGGCCTCGGAGTAGCCGGCGAGCCCCCGGTAATGTCGCCATGCCTTTGTTGCAGGCGCCGCACCTCTGCAAGCTTCCTGAGGCGCTTCCGTGTTGGTAGCGCTAGCCAAGCGGCCTTCTTCAAACCGGCCTGCCCGCCAGGTCCATCTAATTCTCGCAGAATTGCGTTCATTCACCGTTGGAGCAGCCGCCAGGACGACGCACGTTGGAAGATGAAGAAGCACTTGCGGCATTTCCACGGCCCGCGGTAGTCTCCGAGGTTTAGCGCCACCGACCCTTGGCGCCTCCCACCCATCAGGCAATCTTGCTGGTGGTCAATCAACGTCAACGGCGCGTGTCCTCGGAGCTCCCAGGTTCCATGTGCTGTGCTGCCCTGTCGCCGTCCCCCAAACCCGCTCGGCTTTGGCAACCCAATTCTGGGCAGTTATGCGTCTGTGTGGACACGGCCTGAAGATCACATCCAGGACCGTCACACCCCCGCGATGCCCCAGCCGTGTCTCGAGCGTCGCCGCCGGCCCTACGCCGTGCCTGCGAGCCTACAGCTCCCCTTCCTCGCCCACCGATGATGTAGCAATCATTGGCAGTGGCATCACGGGCCTGGCGTGTGCTTACTACCTCACCAAGGACCTTCCCAAGGCCAAGATCACCATCTACGAAGCTTCGGATCGCCTGGGTGGCTGGCTCTCCTCCACCCGTGTGCCAGTGAAGGATGGCTCCGTGCTCTTCGAGGCCGGCCCGCGCACCCTGCGCCCGACTTCCAATGGGCTGTTGTCTGTCAGGTTGGTATGAACATGCGTTGCTACCCTTGCCCCTATGGACGGAAGCTGATGCGCTACAGCTTCAAGAACTGGGCCTGAGTGGTGAAGCGATCCTCACCTCTCACCGATCTCCCGCCGCACAGAACCGCTACATCTACTGGCCCAACCATCTCGTCCGCCTGCCGCATCCCTCCTTTGGGCTCGTCGAGAACTTCTCCAGCGTCATTCGCGAGCCGCTGTTTAAGGGATCCATCTGGGCCACGCTTACCGAATTCGCAAAACGCGCTCGGAGTCCTGACGTTCAAGATGAGAGCTGTGGTGATTTCTTCTCCCGGCGATTGAGCAAGCCTTTTGTAGATCGGGTACTCAGCGCCGTCATCCACGGCATCTACGCTGGCGATGTGTGGAAGCTGTCTGCGAGAAGCCTCTTCGCGGGCGCGTGGAGAGATGAGCTCTTACATGGCAGTGTGTCCGCCGGCGCCTTGAAGAACAGCCGAGATGGCATTACTATCACGGCGCGAGAAGGGGATTTTCTGCAGGAGATGAAAAGCTTCCAATGGGAGGAGCCCTGGAAGTTCCTGCTGGGCAGAACCTCGGTATTCACGCTGAAGGATGGACTAGGCTCTTTGACTGACAATCTGGCTCGCCACTTGGTCCGCACGGGAACTGTGACCTTCAAATCCTCGACCATCGTGCAAGGGATCGCGAAGGATTCGGAGCAGGGCGGTGTGCTTGTGTCTACCATTGGCGCGCCACAGCCTAGGAGGCACGGAACTGTCATTTCGACTTTGGCTCCAGGCAAGCTGAACGCAATGAACAGCCAGTCCGCGAGCCTGGTGCCCGACCTGCCTTCGGTAGCAGTCATGACGGTCAACATGTATTTCCGCACACCGAACCTCGCACCGAATGGGTTCGGATATCTCATTCCCCAGGCGACGCCGTTTGAAAACAACCCGGAGCGAGCGCTGGGAGTCGTCTTTGACAATGCGTACTCTCCGTCGTCAGTAGACGCGGACAACGCGAATCAAATATCCGGGCAGCTCGATCAGGCCAATGACCCCAGCCTGATGGCGGATATCGGTGGGTTCATGTGGCACAATCGACCCGAGCGGCTCAAGACGCAAGACGATGTGCCGTTGCGCGGAACGAAGCTGACCGTCATGCTTGGCGGGCACTGGTGGGATGGCTGGCCCGCCTATCCCGACCAACAGGAGGGCCTCGCGCTGGCGCGGTCGGTGCTCGAGCGCCACCTCGGTATCAAGGAGGAGCCGGAGGCGTGGCAGGTGAACTTACAGAAGGACTGCATTCCGCAGTACATCGTGGGCCATCATGCACGACTGAAGGAGGGACACAACAGTCTTTGGCGCGAGTATCGGGGCCGACTACGGGTGGCGGGGAGTTGGATGTACGGAGTGGGGGTGAACGACTGCTTTCGGTCGGCGTATGAGGTGGTGCGCGCGCTGCGGGATGGCAGAGATGGCACTGGGTTGGAGCATGTGGGTGCGCCGGAAACGGTGCGTCTGCAGCCGAAGAGTGGTCGGGAAAGCGAGGAGAAGCAATAGACATGAGGGTGACCTGCATCATAGAACTGACAGGCTGTATCAAATTGCCGATAATACCATTCCCCTTGTGTTTGAGGACACGAACGAGTGGGGTCAGGGACGGTGAGGGAGATGAAGACGTTCCTTGTGTGTCGAGTCCAGCATACATCAGCCCTGATCAAGATGGCACGTGGCTTCCAGTCCCCATTTCAAGCGGTGTAGTACACCCCTCTACGCATATTCTGTCGCCACCCCTACATCAAGTGTCGTTGCTTCGCCGCGTTCCCCGCCGTGGAGAGCTGCCGCCGATGCCCCACTCCCCTCCAACCTGCCGCCCGCTCATTCGTCGAAACTCTCGTCTCCGCCCGCGAGCGTCTGGAATCTCCAGCTGAGGCCCATCCCACTCCTCCCACGTGGATGCCAGCGAGCAGCACTCACAGTGTCATCGCCGTGCCTGCTTTTGCCCGTCCTCGCGTCGTCTTTGTCCCGTGTGTGTGACACGCTGTTCTTGCGCCGCCCTTCCTCCGCCTCTCCCCGAGCTGCTTTCCGTTTCCCTCGGCGCCATTCGTCCCTTTCGCCGCTCAGCTGGCCGGTCCGCGGTGTAAACATCAATCCTCCCGCTGCTAAATCCTCATCGCTCTGGTCCGAAACGTCCGCACGTGGCCGTCGTTGGAATCCTGCCAGCACACTCTACTTCACTCCGCCGTCTCGAGTCTCCTCCCGCTCCATCGACGCGCATACAGCCCGGCGATCCATCCTCGCAGCGCCTCAGCTCGCCTTCACCTCCGATCCCCCTCGAAGCTCAAAAGAAGGACAAAGAAAGTCGCATAGCACATCCTTGCTGTCCAGCACCTGAGCACATCCACCCTCTACACGCATCCGTCCCATGTGCGCCATACGATAGTCCAACGAGCCGGCGCGGGCGAGCATGACGCTGCGGAGCAGCAAAGACAAGGCCGGCAACGGCAGTGTAGAAGGCGGCAAGGCCGACAGGAAACGCCATGGCTCCACGGAGAGCACCGATACCGTTCGCGGCCCGTTGGCTGGCAGGGGCACGCCGGTGGCGGTGAACACCGCCAAGAATGCGCAGTATGTACTTCTCTCTTTTTATGGAGGAGCTTGTGATCGATGTGGCCGTGGAAGTGGCATACTCATATGTGGTTTGGAAAAGGTGTGGGATGCACAGTCTCGACATCGTTTGCGTGCTCCACCGCATGGCTACACCAGTCTCACTCAGCAAGCAGCCTGGTTTGATGTCTCACTTACTAACTGTGAAACCGTGCTAGATTCGACCGAAAGGACTCAGAAGTCTCCCCATTCACCATGTCCCGTCCGCCACCTGCCAACCGAGCAAACATCGCACCATGGGAAGAAGAATCCCCGAGCAGACAAGGGAACGGCAAGACTGGCGGTGCTCCCCCTTCCAATCGACAATCAGCCTGGTCGCCAGGTGACCAGTTCGGCCAAATGCCCGCGTCCATCTTCGGCGCTCCCTACCAACCACACCTGAACGACAACGACGATGTCGTATCTCCCGGCTTCGTGAGCCCAAATCCAAACTCGTACTTTGGCGCGGCAGATGTGCGAAGACCTTCGGCCGCGAGTGCCGCAACGGCTTCTTCATCCGGCTCAAAGTCATCGGGTGCTGTAGGGAAGATTCACAAGAAGCTGCAAGGCTTCTTCGGTGATGATCCCAACAACGCGCAAGAGGATGGTGTGCAACACTCCGAAACGAGCTCGCTACAAAGTGGCACGCCTGCTCTTACCCCCGGTGGCACTACAACAAGCGCCAGGAACAATAACTCGGTCGCCGGCACTGGGGCGCCATCGCCCTCAGAATCCCGGCCGCGGACTCCCCCGGCAGGACCGAGCCATGAGGTCACGCCGTGGGATTTTCAAGACTCGCAGGTACGATGCGCCATTACACGTCTCCCCTGACCCCACTCGTGCTGACCCTACACTTCACAGAAGGCGTCCAACTCCACACCGTACCTTCCCGATCAGACCAACGGCCGATCGACCAAACCTTCGGTCACGCAGCGTCTGCCTCTGCTGGGACATCGACACCACCGCAGTTATGATGATCAGAAAGGCAGTACTCCTGGACGTCCATCGCGCCCTGCCACGAGCCGGGAAGCGTCGTACAACATGCAGGGGCAGCAACAGCCGTCGGCGTTAAGCGGGGCGTTTGGCAGCAAGAGTCGCGATCGCAGTCCCGCTCCTAGCATGCAGAGTACGCGGAGCCAGCAGAGTCCTGCCGATCATAAGACCGAGAAACACCATAAGCGCTCGCTGCTCGACAAGATCAAGGGAAAGCACAAGGGCGACGATAAGAAGGACGGCGGGCTACACAGTTCGCCTTCGGCCACCTCTCTCCAGAGCTCAAAAACCCGCAACGACACCAAATCGGTTGCGAAACCGTCAAAGAGCAGGCCGGAGGACAATAATGCCATTGCCCCGCTGAGGGAAAGGCAACACACACTGCTCCCCTTCAAGACGCGGAAAGACACTGTGGCAGACACTGCCAGGAAAGACCCAAACAAAGAGGTTCCTGGAGGGCGCCCGGGCCTGTTCCACCTGGACACCGACATGGGAGACATGGAGGGCATTGTTGATGCCAAGACCGGCCCGCTGTCACCGCCCACCGCTGGCGAGTTGGCCAACGACTGGACACCCGAAGCTGTGAAGGAAGTGGCGAATGAGGAGAAGGGAGCATGGGATGCACCAGACAGCTGGGCTGTGAAAAGGATTGCTCACGAAAACGCCGACCGCTTACGAGAGGTCGATGACGACGGCAACGTTGCCAGAGACGAAGATCCAGGACTGCTGTATTTCATGCGCATCTTCCGAGCCGACAGCACTTTTGCGGTGATTTCCGCAAGTCTCAACACCACGGCCGGAGAGCTTATCGGCATGATGGCGAAGAAGACGTTTCTGCAGGACGAGTTGGACAACTACCAGGTCGTCATGCGCAAGCAGACCACCAGTCGACAGCTTGCGCCTGGAGAGCGGCCACTTGCGATCCAGAAGCGACTTTTGGAGATGGCGGGCTACAAGGAGAATGACCACCTCGAAGATCTTGGCCGAGAGGATCACACATACCTATGTCGATTTACCTTTCTGCCCGCCAAAATGAGCGGCTACTCCAGCCTGGAGCGCGACCCTGGATTCAACAAGATGCACCGCTTCAATCACATCGATTTGGCTGGACGGAATCTCGTTACGATTCCCATTACGCTATATCAGAAAGCCACCGAGATCATCACATTGAACTTGTCGAAGAACCTAAAGCTCGACATCCCAAAGGACTTCGTCCAGAGCTGTACGCAGCTGCGAGAGATCAAGTATACGAGCAATGAGGCCTGGAGACTACCCCCGAGTCTGTCGCTTGCGAGCAGACTGACCATGCTGGATGTGTCCAACAACCGCCTCGAGCAGCTTGAGCATGCCGAATTGAACAGGCTGAGTGGTTTGGTCAGCCTGAAACTTTCCAACAACATGTTGTCCGGAGTGCCGTCGTACTTTGGGAAGTACCATGCTTTGAGAAGCCTGAATCTATCCTCCAATTCGCTTGCCAAATTTCCGGACGAACTGCGAGAGCTTGTGAGCTTGAGAGATCTGGACGTCAGTTTCAACGGCATCTCGGAGCTGGGGAACGTCGGGGCTTTGGTCAATCTTGAACGGCTGTGGGCAACGAACAACAAGCTGTCTGGACCATTTGATGCAAGCCTGAGCAAGCTGACGAATCTGCGAGAGATCGACGCGCGATTCAACGCCATCACGAACATTGATATCGTCTCGCAGCTGCCGAACTTGGAAATGCTGATGCTGGGACACAACTCGGTGTCGCAATTCGAAGGGACGTTCGCTCGGCTTAGAGTGCTGTTTCTGAACCACAACCCCGTCACCAAGTTCGATCTGAGCACCTCCGTCCCCACGCTCTCCGTGCTGAACCTCGCCTCTGCCAAGTTGGCGCAGCTGCCGGACGCCTTGTTCATGAAGATTCCGAGCCTCACCAAGCTGACCATCAGCAAGAACCACTTCGTCTCGCTATCTCCGAACTTTGGTCTCTTGTCGAGACTAGAGTATCTCAGCATTGCGAAGAACGAGCTCAGTCGAATTCCACCGGAGATTGGACGACTGACGGAGCTGAAATACCTCGATGTTCGCGAGAACAATCTGGGCATGCTGCCGGCGGAGCTGTGGTTTTTGAGGAAGCTAGAGACGCTGAATGTGTCTTCTAACGTGCTCTCCGACTTTCCCAAGCCCGGTGCTGCCCCGCCTGCGCCTCTTCCCGACGCGACTCCTAACATGAGTCCGGAGTTTGAAGAGCTGGGCCCGCTCGAGGACTTCCAGATGCGAAGACCCAGCCAGGCGTCTGGAGGTATGGGGAGTCAGACGGGCTCCACTGGCACAGTGTCGCGGAAGGGGTCGGTGGTGTCGTCCATATCTGCCAAGACGCCGACGATCGGCAGGTCGAACACGATGAGTAGCAACGTCGGAACCATCACACCGATCTCGAGAAAGGACTCGACGCTGTCGGGCAGGATGGCTGCGACGTTTGCGGGCTCGTTGCGGCACTTGTTCCTCGCGGACAATCGCTTAGAGGATGATGTGTTCAGCGAGCTTGTGCTGCTTCCTGAACTGCGCATTCTCAACCTGTCGTACAACCAGCTGTACGATATTCCGTCGCGCACGTTCCGGAGATGGCCGCAACTCACGGAGCTGTACTTGTCTGGGAACGACTTGACCTCGCTTCCTTCTGAGGATTTGGAAGAGGGCTCGAAGTTGAAGGTGCTGCATCTCAATGGGAACAAATTCCAGACGCTCCCAGCCGAGTTGGGTCAGGTGCAGAAACTTGCGATTCTCGATGTCGGCAGCAATCAGCTCAAATACAACGTCTCCAACTGGCCTTATGACTGGAATTGGAACTGGAATCACGCGCTGCGCTACCTCAACCTTTCCGGCAACAAGCGTCTCGAGATCAAGCCTAGTCAGCAGAGCAACCGCGAGACCAAGGACCTCACAGACTTCTCGTCGTTGGTGAATCTGAGGATTCTAGGTCTGATGGATGTTACGCTTACTATTCCCACCGTTCCAGACCAAGGGGCGGACAGACGTGTGCGGACTGCTGGTTCAATCATCGGCCAGACCATGCCGTACGGTATGGCGGACACCCTCGGTAGAAACGAGCACCTCTCCACACTAGACATGGTGGTGCCGCGCTTCCGCGGACACGAAGACGAGACATTGATTGGGCTGTTCGACGGCCAGACGCTGAACGCCAGCGGCAGTAGAATCGCCAAGTTCCTGCACGAGAAGTTCAAGCATCAATTCATCGAGGAGCTGGAAAAGGTCAAGGAGGGCGAGGATGCGATGGACGCTCTGCGCAGGACATACCTGGGCTTGAACAAGGAGCTGGCTTCCGCTGCGACGCAGATGATTGATGCCAGGGAGCACCCCAGTAGTGCGCTGGTGCATCGCGGCAGCGTGTCGGGTCCGGACTTGCAGGAGGATGACCTGTACTCTGGCGCTACGGCGACGGTCATGTATCTGCATGGCATGGAGCTGTACATGTCGAATGTTGGCGATGCGCAGGCGCTGTTGATTCAGTCTGAAGGCGGACACCGGATCATCACCAGGAAACACGACCCTGCCGAAGCGTCTGAACGTGCGCGCATTCGCGAAGCGGGAGGATTCGTGTCGCGGCAAGGCAAGCTCAACGATGTCCTGGACATCTCGCGTGCCTTTGGCTTCGTCCAGCAGACGCCGTGCGTCATCGCAGCTCCGCACGTGTGCAAAGTCGACATCAAAGAATCGGACGAGATGATCTTGCTGGCGTCAAGAGAGCTCTGGGACTACCTCACTCCCGACTTTGCCGTGGATGTAGCACGACAGGAGCGCGGCGACCTCATGCGTGCCGCGCAGAAACTTCGCGATCTCGCCATTGCTTTTGGTGCCACGGGCAAGATCATGGTGATGATGGTGGGCGTCAGCGATCTCCGCAAGCGCGAGAAGGCGCGTTTCCGAACGCACAGCATGAGCATGGCTCCGTCGGACGCTGCGCAGGACTACTTTTCCGGAAGACGCAAGAAGGGCCGAGACACCGTGGGCGACTCCAAGCTCGGCCGACTGGACAACGAAGTCGATGCGCCGCAGGGCGAAGTCACGCTCGTGTTTACCGATATCAAGAACAGCACGATTCTGTGGGAGACGTATCCCATTGCTATGCAGACGGCCATCAAGATGCACAACGAGGTCATGCGTCGCCAGTTGCGCATTATCGGCGGCTACGAGGTCAAGACGGAAGGTGATGCATTCATGGTCGCCTTCCCGACCGTCACGAGCGCACTGCTTTGGGCGTTCACGATCCAGAGCCAGTTGCTGGAGGTACAATGGCCGCAGGAAATCCTCAACAGCGTGCACGGGGAGGAAATGCAGGACTCGGACGGGAACGTCATCTTCAAGGGTCTCAGCGTGCGCATGGGTATACATTGGGGCCGACCCGTGTGCGAGATTGATCCCGTCACACGGCGCATGGACTACTTCGGCCCCATGGTCAACCGCGCGGCGAGAATCGAAGGCGTCGCGGACGGAGGGCAGGTATGCGTGTCGTCGGATTTCATCCAGGAAGTGCAGCGCCTCCTCGAGACGCAAATCGAGAGCGATCGATCGGGGTCAACGGGATCAGAGGACCAGATGAACGACGACCTCATGACGCAAGCGATCCGCCGCGAACTCCGCTCCCTCAGCAGCCAAGGCTTCGAAGTCAAAGATCTGGGCCAACGAACCCTGAAAGGCCTGGAGAATCCCGAGGTCATCTACCTCATGTACCCGCACTCGCTCGCCTCGCGCCTCGTCATTCAGCAGCAGAAGGCCGAGGCCGAGACCCGCGCGAGTCAACAGGCGGAGCAGGAGGGCCGCAAGGCGCGCAACAGTGCGTTAACCATCGACACCGACACCGTCTGGGACTTGTGGAAGGTCAGTCTGCGGCTGGAAATGCTGTGCAGCACGCTCGAGTGTCCGGGGTCGAAGGCGCTCAAGGCGCCGGAGACGGCGCTGCTGGAGTGGATCAAAGCGCGAGGCGGGGAGGTGACGGATCGGTTTTTGGTGAATTTCGTGGAGCATCAGATTAGTAGGATTGAGGTGAGATCATCCCTGCTCCCGCTCTGCCTCGTTGGCGACGTACAAAGTACTGACATTGGACACCAGACTTGCATCTCCAGTCTTGCGTTGCGCAACATGGTCCGCCCGTTTGCGGACGGTATGCTGACGCAGGCTTGCTCCATGTCGGAGATCCTGGAGGACGTTGCGTCGCAGCTGGCGGAGCTGAAGACCTTCAAGGAGCAGGCGGATTTCGACATTGCCCCGTCTTAAGTAAGGCGTGTTGGCGCTTTTCTTGTATGCTGGTTCCTGCACTTGGGCATGCTTTCTTCGAGCGGGGTTTGGAAATGGGTGTTTGCTTTTTCTGGCGTGGCGTTTGCGGAGCGATGGTTTGTATTCGTACAGTCACAGGGGCTCGCGCGCATGGGGGTTTTGTGTTGTTGGATGCGGATGCGGGTGCGCTTGGAGATATGAATGACGGCATTAACGACTTGGAAATAACTTCTGTAGGCGTCTTGCTGATAGCTTTGCTTTCTTGAGTACAGATGAGCAATCGACAGTCTCGAGCGCGAAGCCGAACCAATTACACTGTCCACGATGCCGTTCTCATTCCACCGTTCGATTCGTGAAAAAGTCACGTCGGGACTTCGTACTCCCTCGTTCCCTCTGTACTAAACAACACCACCACCGCTTCCCGCATCTCCTTGACATCAATCTCCGCACACACCTTCCTCAGCGCCGCCAACGTCGCCGCTCCACAAGGCCCAGCATTCACGCCCTGCGCCTGCAAAAACTGCACCTCCCGATGCGCCTCGCGATCCGTCACCGTCACCGCAGCGTACACCCCGTCTCGCAGCACAGGCCACGCGCTGAGCGACGTCGTGCCGCAGTTCATGCCGTTCATGACTGTGTCTCCCGTTTCGAGAGGCGTGATGTGGCCGCTGTGTAGGCTTTCTTTGAAGCTGGGCGCCGCTTCGGACTCGACGGTTATGATTTTTGTTGGGGGGTTGAGGGTTGTGTAGTGCGATGCTACGGCGTGGGCCCAGGAGCCGACGCCGACGGAGGCGATGGCGAGTGTGGCGGGTTTGTTGTTTGTTTGGGCTGCGATCTGTCGGTCGGTTTCGTTGAGGCAGGTGCTGTATCCTTCGGTTACCCACTTTGCGGAGATTGGTGTCAGTAAGGATGATGGTCGCCAACATGGGAATGGAGAGTACGTACTTGAGGGAATTCGGTGTACCCCTCCCAACTCGTATCCATCACCATCGTTGCACCAGTAGCCTCTGAGTCCTTCTGCACAGCAGCAATGGCATCGTCGTAACTCCCGCCCTCCAATACCCTCACGTCCGCACCCTCACCGCGGATCAAGTTTCGCGTGTACTCGTTCATAAAAGCCGGGACGTAGACCGTAATGGGAATGGCCAAGTACTTCGCCATCCGAGCACAGGCACGACCCCAGTTGCCCTCGGTGCAAGTGACGAGACGCACGTTGTGCTCGTTGCGCTGCTGGAGTTTGGCTGCGAGGTCTGTGGTCGAGAGGGATGTGGGGAGTGCGAGTTGGGCGCACACGGCGCGGTGGATGGCCCATGAGGCGCCGAGGATTTTGAAAGAGGGGAGGCCGAAGCGTGTGGATTCGTCTTTGACGAAGACGTGGGAGAGGCCGAGGGAGGTTGCTAGGGATGGGAGACTGTGGAGGGTTGTTTCTCCTGCGTGAGGGAGTGTGCGGTGGAAAGAGTCGAGATCTGGGTTCGCCTTTTGGTGGTCATGCGGTGTTGCTGTGGTTTGACGATGGGGGTTGATGAGGATGGAAGAGCGTTGGTATTGGGCGCCTGTGGATAGGTGCTTGGCTGTGTAGGACATTCTGGCACTCGAGGAGGTCTTTGGGAGTGGAGGGAGTGGAGGAGTGATGAGATGGAACTGTCAATCACCCACACCTACCTTGACTTACAATCTCCCCGTCTTCCCCCGCATCAGAGATTGTTCATGGACGCCAGGAGATGTCGAGGCTAGCCTTTGGAGGCAACGGGTGATGTCGAGGTCCACACCTCCAGTATGCCCAGCACTTGAGGGCCGGCCGAGATCGGAAGGTGGACCCGACGACCTCACATTGCATCACCGCGAGACTCTGTTCAATGCGATGCATCCCTAAACCTTTCTGCTCGACACCACACCTGACTGGATACTCATCTTTGAAAGGAGCGAGATGGAATAAGATCTTAACGCCATCCGTGCACACGTTTCGAAGTACTTGCCCGAGTATTGCTGGCAGGATTCGACAAGTCTTACGAAGTGAGGGGACTCCAAGATGGGCTCCGCTGGACAGAACGGCGCTGATGGCGGCGGGGGCGGTATACGCGTTGCCATTGATCGCGGTGGTGAGTAGCTACGCGCCTGGAACATCCCAACAACGCCTCCATTGACACACCTCGTGCAGGAACCTTCACCGACTGCGTGGGCAACCCGGGCAGTGGCAAGATGGAAGACGACGTAATCATCAAGCTCCTCTCCGTCGACCCCGAAAACTACGACGATGCACCGCTAGAAGGCATCAGGCGGCTGTTGTCGAAGTTCGAAGGCAAGGAAATCCCCAGAGGCGAGCCGCTCGACACCACCAAAATCGAAAGCATCCGCATGGGTACCACCGTCGCCACCAACGCCTTGCTGGAAAGGAAAGGCGAAGATATTGCCATGGTCGTGACTAAGGGCTTCAAAGATTGTCTGGAGATTGGAAATCAAAGCCGGCCCAACATCTTCGATTTGGCTATTCGGAAACCGGAGGTGTTGTATAAGAAGGTCGTCGAGATAGACGAGCGCGTGACTCTTGAAGACTATGCCGAGGACCCGGAGAGAAACGAGACCAAGGCCAAACCTCTGGATGAAGCTGGCTCGAATGCGGAGCTTGTCAAAGGTCTGAGCGGAGAGGCAGTCAGGGTCCTCCAAAGGCCAGATGAGAAGCGCATCAAGCAGCAGCTTCAAGAAGTCTATGACTCTGGACTGAGAAGTATTGCAGTCTGCCTGATGCACGGCTATACGTACCCTCACCATGAGGCGCTGGTCGGAAAGCTGGCGAAAGAGGTCGGCTTCGAGCACATCAGCTTGTCTCATGAACTGATGCCCATGATCAAGCTGGTGCCTCGTGCCACTTCCGCCTGTGCCGACGCATACCTGACACCTGCCATTCGGAAATACATCGACGGCTTCCAAGCTGGTTTCGAAGGCGGACTCGGAACGGCAAGCGTGAAGCATGAGAAGGGCTCTAAGGGCACTCGATGCGAGTTCATGCAGTCGGATGGTGGCCTGGTGGACGTTGACATCTTCTCCGGCTTGAGAGCCATTCTTTCCGGCCCAGCTGGAGGAGTGGTGGGCTATGCGTTGACATCTTATGATCCCGAGACGAAGACACCGGTGATAGGCTTCGACATGGGCGGAACGAGCACCGATGTCAGCCGCTACGGCGAGGGCCGGTATGAGCATGTCTTCGAGACTACCACTGCCGGTGTCACCATTCAAAGTCCACAGCTCGACATCAATACCGTTGCTGCTGGCGGAGGCTCAAGGCTGTTCTGGCGCAACGGCCTGTTTGTCGTTGGGCCCGAAAGTGCGGGTGCTCATCCTGGTCCGGCGTGCTACAGGAAAGACGGCCCACTCACCATCACTGATGCCAATCTATATCTCGGTCGCCTCCTGCCGGACTTCTTCCCCAAGATCTTCGGAAAGAATGAAGACGAAGGCCTCGACCCTAGTGCGAGCGAGAAGTTGTTCAAAGAGCTTGCCGACCAGATCAACAAGGACAACGCCGCATCGAACAAGGAGATGAGTATCGATGAAGTGGCGTATGGCTTCATCAAGATTGCAAACGAAACCATGACAAGGCCTATCAGGTCCTTGACAGAGGCGAGAGGACACGACACTTCGAAGCATCGACTGGCGACCTTTGGAGGTGCGGGCGGCCAGCATGCCGTTGCGATCGCTGAAGCGCTTGGCATCACCCAGATCCTCGTCCATCGATACTCATCGGTCTTATCGGCGTACGGAATGGCGCTCGCCGATGTTGTTGACGAGCGACAGGAACCCGAGTCCAAGGTCTGGTCTGACAAGGGCGATGTTCGCAAAACTCTCCAACAAAAGATGGACGAGCTCAAGAAAAAGTCGACTTCCACCTTGAAGGATCAGGGCTTTGACGACGATCACATCCACTTCGAGGAGTATCTCAATATGCGTTACCGTGGGACGGAATCGGCGTTGATGATCATCAAACCAACGGCCGAGCAGGCGAAGGAAGAGTTCGAAGACGATGATTGGGCTTTTGGTCGAGCCTTTGTCAAGCAGCACGAGCAAGAGTTCGGCTTCACTTTGCCCGACCGCGATATAATTATAGACGATGTCCGCGCGAGAGGGATCGGCAAGACATTCGAGGGCCAGGAAAAGACTGTCGATCAGCAGCTCAAAGACATCAAACCAAATGATTTGAAGAAGGGCGACAAGGTCTACGACACCAAATCGGTCTACTTTGAGGGCGGGAGGAAGGACACGGCGGTGTATAAGCTGGAAGACCTGGACGTTGGCGATCGGATCCAAGGCCCTGCCATTATCGCTGATGGTACGCAGACAATCGTCGTCACACCAGAGGCTTCTGCACTGTTGATTCGCACGCATGTGGTTATCAATATCGGAGAGTCGGATGCGATGGACAAGAAGGTGGACACGAAAGAGGTCGACCCAATCATGCTGTCTATCTTTGCGCATAGATTCATGGCCATTGCTGAGCAGATGGGCCGAGCACTGCAGAAGACCAGTGTCAGCACCAACGTTAAAGAGCGACTGGACTACTCCTGCGCCATGTTCGATGCAGATGGCGGTCTTGTCGCCAACGCGCCTCATCTGCCAGTGCATCTCGGCAGTATGTCGACGTGCGTGAAGAAGCAGGCGGAGATCTGGAAGGGCAAGCTGAAGAAAGGCGATGTCTTGGTCTCCAACCACCCCATGTTCGGAGGCACGCATTTGCCCGATATCACCGTCATCACACCCGCCTTCAGCGGTGACAATATCGTCTTCTACGTCGCCTCGAGAGCACATCACGCTGACATCGGCGGCATCCTCCCCGGCTCCATGCCTCCGCACTCTCGCGAGCTGTACCAAGAAGGCGCGCACATTAAGAGCGAGAAGCTTGTGTCAGAAGGCAACTTCAACGAAGAACGCATCATCGAGCTCCTCCACAAAGAACCCGCGCAATACCCCGGCTGCAGCGGCACGCGCTGTCTCGCCGACAACCTCAACGACCTCAAAGCCCAAGTCGCCGCCAACCACAAGGGCATCAACCTCATCAGCACCCTCATCGAAGACTACGGCGAAAAAGTCGTGCAATTCTACATGCACAACATCCAGGACAACGCGGAGCTGAGCGTGCGCAACCTGCTCAAAAGCGTCAGCAAGCGCTTCGAGGGCAAAGACCTCTCCGCCATTGACTACATGGACGACGGCAGCCCCATCCAACTCAAAGTCACCATCGACGCGGACAAGGGCGAAGCCGTCTTCGACTTCACCGGCACCGGCCCCGAAGTCTACGGCAACACCAACGCCCCGGAAGCCGTCACGTACAGCGCCATCATCTACTGCCTCCGCTGCCTCGTGAACGAAGACATCCCGCTCAACCAAGGCTGCTTGAAACCGATCAACGTCCGCATCCCCAAAAAATCCTTCCTCTCGCCCTCCGGCACCGCCGCCGTCGTAGGCGGCAACGTCCTCACCTCCCAGCGCGTCACGGACGTCGTGCTCAAAGCCTTCCAAGCGTGCGCCGCCAGCCAAGGCGACACGAACAACCTCACCTTCGGCTTCGGCGGGAACGTCGAAGGCGAAAAGGCCGTCAAGGGCTTCGGGTATTACGAGACGATCGCAGGCGGCTCCGGCGCCGGACCGCATTGGGACGGGACGAACGGAGTGCACACGCACATGACCAATACGCGCATCACGGACGCGGAGGTTTTCGAGCGCCGGTACCCCGTTATTCTCCGCGAGTTTGCCCTTCGGCCTGGAAGCCATGGCAAGGGGCAGCATAAGGGTGGCGATGGCGTGGTGCGCGATATCGAGTTCCGCATTCCGGTGCAGGTGAGCATTTTGAGTGAGCGGCGGGTGTATCATCCGTACGGGATGGCGGGCGGAGAGGACGCATCGACTGGTTTGAATTTGTGGGTGCGCAAAGTGTCGAAAGTGAGGGGGAGTGATCAAGAGGACCAAGAAAGTCGAGATGCGACTACGAGCGTCGACCGCGAGGAGAAGTTGACGAACGGCGAGGAGAAGCAGCATCAGGAGGGGACTGAAGACGAGGAAAACGAGGTGCGGTATATCAACATGGGCGCCAAGAATACGGCGAGCATGAAACCCGGGGAGAGGATTATTGTCATGACGCCCGGAGGCGGAGGCTGGGGTCCTGTGGGCAAAGACAGCGAGACGAAGGAGAAGGAGGATCCGAAGAAGAACTGGAAGGGTGGGAGTGTGGCGAGTAGACAGGCGGAGGCGGAGGCTTCTGCTTGATTGATGGATTGTACTGCTGCTGTTTCTTTTCATTTCAATAGTCGGGCCATTGAGGGTCGACTTCTTCCCGCCATGACTGGAAGCCGCCTTTGATGTCTTTCACTTTCTCCGTTGTGCCGCCGGAGCGGTCGATGATGGCTTTGGCTGCTAGTTGGCTATCGTTGCCAAAGCGACAGACGATATACTTGCATGCCGAGTCTTCATCATCTAGCACTCCAGCTTCCTCAGCGTGAGCGAGCCAGCTTGCCGCGTTGCCCGTCCAGGGCACATTAACAGACTCCGGGACCGCGCAGATAGCGAACTGCGTCTCGTCTCGAACATCTATGAGGGTGCCACGGGCGGCATTTGGTAGAATGGCGAATTCGGTGGGTGAAAGTCGAAGAGAGTGAGGAAGGATGTTGACGGGAATGGCGACGCCGCAGAAAGCAACGTAATCTAATGAGCCGCTGTCGAGACTGGCTTTTGTGATACTTGGCGTCGATGAGCAGACGGCGCAGTTGCTTCTCCTTGATCGGAGACGTGCGGTCCTGAATTGTGGATTGTTGTATGCGGAGAACATGAGCATCGATGCCTTTGGTGGTTCATCCGAAGTGCCGTTGCCCATGCTTTCAGGGGTTGCTTCCGCCCGTGGACGCGAGAGTAATTTGATGGCTTCTAGAGCTTGAAGAACGCCCATGGTGCCGACGACTGGACCAAGAATGCCGCCTTCGCCACAGCTCAGGACACTCTCGGCAGGAGGCGGCTTGGGGAAGATGCAGCGGTAGCAGGGACCACCTGATAAATCTCCTGGGGGGCGTGGAGGGTCATTGAGCACGATCAGTTGTCCCTCTGTTTTTAACGCAGAGGCCGATACAAGAGTCTTCCCGGTCAGAACGCAGGCGTCCGAGATCAGATAGCGGGAAGTCGGATGGTCTGTGCAATCTAGTATCAAATCGTAGCTGTTGAAAATGGCAAGGGCGTTCTCGGGCGAGACGTGGAATTTGTGGAGGTTGTATTCAACTAGTGGATTGAGTCTAGAGAGGCATTGGTAAGAAAGCAACCTATGCAAGATGATGTGACAACATACGCTCGAAGAGATTTATAAGCGCTATCAGCCTTGCTCATACCCACTCTGTCCGTCGAGTGGGCGATTTGCCTGTGCAAGTTGGACAGCTCGACGACATCGCCGTCCATCAGGCCTAGGGTGCCAACACCAGCGCCAGCCAGATACGTGGCTGCAGGACAACCTAGTCCGCCGACGCCGACAACGAGGACCTTGGCTTGCTTCAAGCGCAACTGGCCTTGCAAGCCCATCGTGGGCATAATGAGCTGCCGTCCATATCGTTTGTACTCGTCGGCCTGGAGCGGCCGTCTCTCGGCTTTGCTCGATGCGCCATTGGGTGGGCTCGAAACAGCATGGCTTCCGTTGCGGATTCCTTGGTCGAGATTGAGCAGGTTTGCTTTCAACGTCTGCAGCTGGCGCTCTTTCGCTCTGATTTGCTCCTCGAGACGTGCTTTTTGAGCTTCCAGCGTCTCGTCGGGCTCTGCGGCCGGCATGGTCGAAGTCGTTATTTGATGCCGTCCTGATGGTATACTCCAGCTCAGCAGCTTGCACGAAACGGCATGTCGCGCCGCTGCAGGTCGTCAAGCCAAGAGAGAGTCCTCGAGTGCGAGATGTTGGGTGCAGTTCTCGCCATGGCGCTCCCGGAACGTCCCGAAAGTTTGTGTTCGGGCCTCGCGTGCTCTGGCTTGAGCAAGGCTGCCACTGCATTCAGCCACAACTCCGCATATCGTTGTGGTTTGGACGGACGTAAAGCATGGGATGAAGCGGGGGTTATGATGGAAACGCAAGCCCTCAATGGATTATTCATACTCAATAAGCTACATCCTCCCAGATTGCTTTCCATCCACCACCCCACTGAACTTGACGTAGCGGTTACGAAAGGAGAAGCGCACAACAGTCAGAGTCCTGGCACATCAGATCGTCGAGTTGGTGTGGTGATGGCATTGACAGTCACAGCAGCCCTCCGCCCCAGACAAGCGGTTCTTCTGGTCGCTCGAGTGCGAGTGCGCTCTGTGAGGCGTGCCTTTGATTACATAGCTTGGAGGCCTAGTCGCAGGCGCCTCGGTTCCCGACGTGCGGTCGCCGGCCAGGGTTGAGGGCAGAGACTCGGAGACTGTATAGTCGTTCGTGTAGACGCTGGAGGTGATCTTGTACCTCTTGCGTTGCTCGACATCGTACTCCTCGCTTTCGGGCCACAGTGCTCGGCGAGGACGCAAGGTTATGATGCCAAGGATGAAATAGGCGCAGTAGCTGGACAGAGGCGGCAGTGCATTAGCTTGCCGATCAGTGTAGCAGAGACGTAGGTGGTGAATTACCAAACCACGGCACCAATCGCAATGAAGGGGACCAAAAAGGGCTCGCCTCCGTTGGCGTAGTCGCCGTTGTTGAGTGGACAGTACCCGACATCGGTCACTGTGTAGTATTCTGCTGCAGTCCACGTGCAAGGGAACCAGAGGCCGACGGCCACGATCCACAGAAGTAGTCCGAAGGAGCTGGAGATGACGATGTGCAGAGGTGACAGCGCGCGTCTCCAACGTTGGTGGAGATCGACGAGAGACACGAGCCAGACGACGATGGGGATCGCGATCCAGAACAGGACGTCGGGCCTGGAAAGAGATGTCAGTTGCGGCTGCGCAGCCTTAGGAAGTGGACATTGGAACCCACGCTTGATACTGGGCCAGTGGTCCGGACTCGTCGTCCTGGCTATCCGGGAAGACGGTGATGCAGGCGGCAGCGATACACAAGCCGACCATGACAGTGTTCCATGCTACGACGCTGAAGAGGGCGATAGCGACGGGGATGGAGTAAGGGCGCTGGTAGAGGATGGGGTGGGTGACATGACGAGGAGTCGCGGAGCGAGAGACGAGGCGGCGTTGAAAGAGAGCCATGATGGAGTAGAGTGCGGGTGGAGGTAGAGAAGCAGTCTCGAGCGAGAGAGAAGACGGTGTATTTGAGATGGCGGACACGTCCTACGAACGGTGGGAGCGTCGGGTGTCGCAGAGCAAGCTGTACCACGGCGGACCTCAATGGAGTAGGGATTGGAGGCAAAGGAGGAGGCGTAGCAGTCCCATTGGCCGCGCGAATCGCTCCTCGCGTGGTTCATGCAGTACCAAAGTGGCAGCCTGGCCTGGGGAAGCGGTGGCCCGGCTGACTGACGCGAGCAGGCAGCATCATTTCCCGCGGTTTGCTTCGTCTGAAGCCTTTTGAGTTTCACGAGATTTGTGGGGCGCTGCGTCTGGCTCCTTCTGGTTTTAGTAAGAAACCGATCTGCCGCCCTCTCTACCTACTCTGCTTACATCCATCTACAGTCTCACTCTGTCTTCTTCACTCTCGGCTCCTCTCGAGCTCCGAAACGATGCACGCCGCGTGCGAGGTAGGCGCAATGCACTTTGCAGCTCTCCAATAACATTGCCTGCATCGTAAGGAAGGGCAAGTGTTGTCGATTTGTTGTGAGCGATCGCCGTGAGCCGGGCGGCACTCAATGTTCACATGCGCCGGTCGGCAGGCCGGTGGAGGGAGCATCCAAGTACTGTAACTGCCGCCACCCCCGCCAGGGCCGTTGCCCGGCCCGTCCGGCTGGTGATGGTCTACGAACGGGTGATTGCATCAACACCTTACGGTGAACGAGATGTTTCCCCTCATTGACCCGGTAATGTAGATTCCCAATTCGTCTCTGAAGACACAGTATCGACCCATCCATCCAACCACGCCAGCTACGCGCCCTGTCTCGCCTTCTCCGCGCATATCATAGCAATAATCCGACTCAACTCCGCACTCTGCGCCGCATGCTCTTGAATCACCCGCGCATCCACCCCTTCCGCCTTCGACAACTCCCCCGTCGTCTTCAGCATTCGATTCTGCAGCAAGAGCATCTTCTGCAGCGTGTTGTCCAAGAAGGGTGCGGAAAACTTGACGTGCTCTTGACTGCCACTCGTGCCGTCAAACCGCATCTCAAGCTTGCGTGGTTTCCGCTTCTCTTCAGCCTCGACTTGGGGTTCTGGGGCTCGGGGTCTTGACGACAATGATGTTAGTGTGTTCGTTCTATTTGACCCAGAGGACGTGGTCCGCACCGCTCTACAAACGTGATGCTCTCCGCCATCTCTGCAACTCGGTTGGCGATTCGTGAAGCCATGATTGCGTATGCCGATCCCACGCCGCCGCCGCTCGCCGGGCTCTCGCCGGCGATGGAGTAGGCCTTGTTTGTAATTGGAGCAGCTTTCTGCGGCACCGACTTTGCATTCTTGTTGACTGTTGGTTTGGCTGCACCCGTCCCTGCCTTCTTCACTGGAGCACGTGCTGTCGACGGCTTGCGAGGTGCCGCTCCGTTGACCGACGGTTTTTGGGCTGGAACGGCCATGTTGATCGTGTCAATCCTCAGAGATGAGACAAACAGAACGAAACCACTAGTTGACCTACAGAATGAAGTGTTGCTTGCTACAACAAATGATCTCTATCTGACGCAAGGCGACGGAGGTGAGGCTGGCTGGCGGGTGTGGGGCGCATGTTCCACTTCCAGGAAACCTCGCCAGCTCCAAAACTTGAAAATCGCCCCTTGGATTGTACATGATCGTACGTCATCCTCGTGTTGAAGCTTGCCGAGCGTGGCTGGGCGACATAGGAATGGAGAAATACTTGCCAGATCCTGGTTTTGGAAAAGAAAGGAAAAAATGGACCAGGTTGGAGTGGCGAAGGCTGTTGCAGGCGAGTAGGTGGCGTGAAGACTCACCATCTTGAAGACCTTGCGTCTCATGTGATGGTATTGGGAATTACATGGCCGACGGCTCGACCTGGCTGAAGATATGGTCACCAAAGCAACATCGGCGAAGACTTCCTCAGCTCCTACGAAAGCTACGTCTTTTGTAGCCTCATCAAAGACGACATCCGTACGGTCCTCGCGGGCGGCATCGGTAGCAAACCATGATGAGAGAGCCGGACTCAGTCTCACAAAGCCCGGAAGCGGCAATACCAATCCCATCCAACATGGAAAGATGGGACAAGCAGAACGGGCGTTCAGCGCGGCGTCCACCTTTCTCTCCGGCATCATGGCCATCTCGGCCTCGCAGTTCATCGGCGCTCCTCTGAAACTCGTGGACCCCAAGTTCTACGCGGCTTACATGGCCTGGACAAAAGAGTCGTTCGCCATCCTCGTGACAACAATCACCCAATTCTGGTCGCCGACATTGATCCGAGTCAGCGGCGACGAAAGCATGCAAGGCCAACTATATCAAATGCCCGACGGCAGTCTCAAGTGCAACTTTCCCCACAGACTCGTGCTCATGGCCAACCACCAACTCTACACCGACTGGCTGTATCTTTGGTGGATCGCATACACCAACAAAATGCACGGCCACATCTACATCATCCTCAAGGAAAGCCTGAAATCCCTTCCCATCCTAGGCTGGGGAGCGCAATTCTACAACTTCATCTTCCTCTCGCGCAAGTGGGAGACGGACAAGGCCCGCTTTAAGAGCGCGTTGAATCGCCTCAAGAGCGCGCGTAGACCGATGTGGCTTCTCATCTTTCCGGAGGGCACAAACTTGTCCGCTGTCACGAGGGAGACGTCTGCGGCGTGGGCGAAGAAATCCGGGCTGCAGGATATGAAGCACCAGCTCTTGCCCCGGACGACGGGATTGCAATTCTGCTTGCAGGAGTTGCGCGGCACGACGAACTGGCTGTACGACTGCACCATTGCGTACGAAGGCATTCCCAACGGCATGTACGGGCAGGACATCTTCACTCTCCGCTCGTCGTTCTTCGAAGGTCGGCCGCCCAAGTCCGTCAATATGTTTTGGCGACGGTTCAAGCTCGCCGACGTCCCGCTGGACAACGACGAGGCGTTCGCGAGGTGGTTGAACAACCGCTGGCGAGAGAAGGATTACATCCTCGAGTACTTCTACAAATACAACCAGTTTCCCGACGAGGCTCCTCAGCAGGCGCTTGCAGCCGCACGAGGCCAGAAGAAGCCGAAGCACGCCAAAGCCATTTGCACGGAAGTCAAAGGCGAAGGTTGGCAGGAGTTTTTGAGCATTTTCGGACCCCTCACTACCGCAGCCGGCGCGCTGTCTGCTGTAGATCTGACGGAGCCGCTAAATGTCGATGCGATGCTCGCGCAGCTTGCGAAGCAGCAGACTGTGAATTTGCCGTTCTTGAACCAGCAGACGCTTGTTGATGCGGGTGAACAGGCCGTGCGCAACGCTCTCATGGCTGCACAACATTCGAATGCTCTTCCTCAGCCGGTGTTGAAGTATGTGCTGCAGGTAGCGCCCAAGTCACAGGAAGACATGAAGCAGGCATTGCTGGCTTCTGTTGCAGCGTTACCGACGACTGTTGCGAAAGCACCAGCCGTACACCTGAAAGCCGCTGGCAGTGTGGCCAACCCCTCTGCTAACACGATCAAACTGCCAGTGAGGCGCAAATCAAGTGCCGCCGCGGCATCGGACATTCAGAAGAGAATGCCACTAGCGAATGTCGAAAGTGCCGTGACGAGACCGCTCACCACAGCTGCTGTGCAGACTGCGGCGGCTTCAATTCAAAAGGCTGCGGGAGCTGCAGCTGCTCAGAAACAATCTCGCATTGAGAAGCAGACAGGAGTGCCTGGATCAAGTTGCAGTGTGTCCAAGAGACCGGCGAGCAGGGCTTCGAGAGTGCACGTGGTGAAGAAGCCGGCGTGAGAGGTGCTTGATGTACACATGGCTCGTAGTGTTTGATATGTCACTGATAAGTCCAGAAAGGACAACTTGATACCATCAAGAAATATTCGTGTAATTTGTCGACGATATAGTTGGCGGTGCCGGTCTTCGGTTGCATGCAAGATGGTTGGCCCACCCCTACCACCCAAACGTCACCCTGTTTCAATGTGCCCGAAAACTTGGAAGATGCGCAAGTGGGACACGACACTTGGATAGGTCACACGCCCAGGATGATTCTTGGTGCGGGAGCATAGTATAACGGAGTCGTCTACATTGCAAGCTATTAGTTGTCTTTTCATGTCGACTATTCCATCATCGGCAAACGAGAATCGAAGACAATGTTGTCTTCAATTGCGGGATGGGTCGAGGACAAAGCGACAAATTACTTGAGAACGGGCATTCAGGCGGGTGGAACGCTTGCGGGGAATGCAGTGTAGGTGTGCTCATCGACCAGGATGGCCTGGGACGAAGACTGGCTTACTCTCTTCTTGCGGAGTATTTGCTGACCGGAGGTAGCGGCGGAGTTGGCTCTCTGGTTGAAAACGCCGGTAGAACTGCAGGGAACAGTAAGGCTCCCGACAACCAATCCTCCGCCCATACGCCAGCTCGCTGACGGCAGAATCTACAAGCCGTGAGTGGCAGCATCGGCGGGGTCGGGAATACCATCAACGGGTATGGCGATGGCCTCAAGCGATCGATGTCTGCCGACGGTCCTGTATCGAGCGGTGCGCAGAAAAAGACGGCCGTGAAGCCCTCTGCGCCGCAAGCGAAGAAAGGTGGTGCTACGGGGTCTACTATCGGTCCACAGAAGAAGCCCACTGGGCAACCAAGGCCGCAACAAGCGTTGGCGGGCAAGAGCAAGCAACAGACTACCGCTCGTGGAGGAGTTGCCGTAGCTCAGCCCAGACCCGGCACAACGAAGACCGCAGCGGTGGGTAGAACATCTGTGGGCGCGTCCAGTCAGTCCGTCAACACACAATCGAAGAGCACGGCGGATGGTAAAATCAGGATCTCCCCCGAGAGCAGGCCAAAGCCGGGAGCGTCGAGAATCGCGGCGAGGACTGCGACTCCAGCTGCGAGGAAGCACAGTGGTGCAGATCCGCTGGGTATTGGACGGGATTTTGGGGATGTCAGCAAGACCAGGCCGAAGACGCAGACGCAGACGGGTGGTGGTAGCAAGGCTGCTCCAGGTCCCGTGAGGAAGGCGACGGCTGGTGATCCATTGGCGCTGGGGGATGAGATTGGAAAGATTGGGCGGAAGAGGTGAGGGACACGCTGTGCGAGCGGATGTTCATCTTACTGCGGATTATGCAATGCTTGTATCAAGGTACGAAGGCGCAAGACAGCATCTAGCCGGCGATGATCATCGCTGGAGCCGAGTCCAGTAGAGTCTGGCGAGGTCGAGTGGCATAGATGAGTGACAGCTGCTCACGATCACCAATGACTTGCAACACCACGACGGAGAGCGGGCGTAACAGAGTGTCGGCGTGATTGAAACGAAGTCGTGTCAGGCCACCGCTTCCACATAAAGAAAGTGTTTACATGAAAGATGGGCTAAGAATAAATCCAGCCAAACAAGCATCGACAAGCGGCGCAGCGAACCTAAGATAAGCCTTGCAGCAGCCAATCACGTGCGGCAGCATTCCACATGTTTCCACGGCGGGCTTGGGAGAAAAAGTCGCGCAGCAGCTGGCCCGCCCGACTCTTCTCGAAATCTCGCCATCGCCGTCTGCCGGCCGTGGGATTGTTGGGGGCGCGAGCCCATTCCATCGGGCGCCAGACGTCAGTTTCCAGATCACGCCTGTGGCTTAGAAGAGAGAAGATCTGAAAGGGCCAAGTCCACGCGATTCTCTTATATCCTTTCTCGCTTTTTCTCATTCGTGCTGTTCTTCCATCAACCTTTCATCTTCACTCACTGCTGCCGCTCAATCACTCTGTGCATTCGAGAGTGGCGTCGCTTTGACCGCTTGCCAGGCTCTCTCTGTTTACCGACCATTCCGCGTCGCCCGGTCCAGACCTTCGCGCAGCTTCGCACACCAGCACATCGAGTTCTCGTACCTTTTTTTTTTTGTTCGCGACCAGTTTCTAAAAATCCCGAATTTTGTCGGGCTTGTCTCTTTGCGAAGGCAGCGAGGGCGCGCCCTCAGTCTTCTGACCGCTCCCCAACACGACAACAATCACAACCGTCGCAGACATGGCTCACCAAAACACCACCATCCAGTTCGCCGACGACAATGTCCGCCTTGTGCGGTCCAATTCTACGTCTCAGCCGGAGACGACCGGTGTTGATCTCAATGAGGGCATAGTGAGTGTTGCTATCGATCCTTTTGTCCAGGCACTGCTAACTTTCCCACCTTGTAGGTCTTCAGCCGCACAGTGTCTATGGGACGCCGGTCATCCAGAGGACGCTCGTTGGACCGGAAAAGCACCCGAAGCTTCCACGCCGATGACGATCCGAACTACTCTGGTCTGCTGCGACCCGGCGATTACAAAAAGCGCCAGATCTTCAGTGGCAGCAAACTGTTCTTCCTGGCCTACCAAAGCATCGGCGTCATCTACGGCGACATCGGCACTTCGCCCCTCTACGTCTTCTCTTCCACCTTTGGAAACAAGGCCCCATCTCGCGACAACCTCATCGGAGTGACCTCCTTGATCCTCTGGGCCTTGATCGCCTATCCCACCGTGAAATACTGCCTCATCGTCCTCAACGCCGACAACGAAGGCGAGGGTGGTACCTTCTCCTGCTACTCGCTGCTCAGCCGCTATGTCAACATCACCCACCGCGATCCAAAGGAGGAGCCTCTGGTCAAGCTCGAACGGTACAAGACGGAGGAGCTATCACGGTCCAATCGTCACGTCCGGAACGTCGTCGAGGGGAGCACGTTCTTGAAGGTCTTGCTGAGGGTCATCGGTGTCTTGGCCGTCTCGATGGTCATGTCTGATGGCGTCCTCACTCCTGCGCAGTCTGTTCTTGGCGCGGTCCAGGGTTTGAACGTCGCGGCACCAGATATCAGCCACGGTGTTGTTATTGGTGTCACTTGCGCCATCTTGGTCCTTCTCTTCGCCATCCAACCCTTTGGCACTACCAAACTCGGCGCGACCTTCGCCCCGATAGTCATCATCTGGTTGGGACTGCTGGCTGGCTTTGGTATCAACAACCTGGTCCACCACGACTGGCGCGTGCTCAAAGCATTCAACCCGGGAGAGGCATTCATGTACCTAATCCGAAACAAGGAGGAGGGCTGGAAATCCCTGGGCGGTGTTTTGCTGGCCTTTACCGGTGTCGAAGCCCTCTTCGCCGATCTTGGAGCATTCAGCAAGAAAGCCATTCGAATTTCCTGGTTCTCGTGGTGTCTTCCGTGCTTGCTACTCACCTATGTGAGTTTTCCCGTTCCCAGCCGATGTTCTCAAACATACTAATCCGTCACAGACTGGCCAAGCAGCCTACATCTCGGTCGTTCCCAGCGCTTACGCCTCCCCCGTGTTCAGCACTTGCCCGAAAGGCGCCGTCATCCCGACTTTGATTCTTGCGGTGCTTGCTGCGATTGTGGCATCGCAAGCAATCATCACCGCAACCTTCCAACTGATCAGCCAGATCATCAAGCTGTCCTACTTCCCTCCGCTCAAGGTCATCCACACCTCCAAAATCTACCACCATCAACTCTACGTGCCAATGGCAAACTACCTCCTCTGCATAGGAACCGTGGCCGTCGCAGCAGTCTTCAACAATACCAACTCGCTCGGAAACGCATACGGAGTGTGCGTCATCTTCGTCACCTTCTTCGACACCCTGATGACAGCCTTGACCGCCCTGATCGTGTGGCGCGTCAAACCCTACTACGTCTTCCTCCCCTGGCTCGCCTTCGCCTCACTGGACGGCGCCTTCCTCTCCTCCGCCCTGCTCAAAGTGCCCACCGGCGCCTGGTTCACCCTCACCCTCGCCGCCATCCTCGCGCTCATCTTCCTCCTCTGGCGCTTCGGGAAGGAAAGCCAATGGCGCGCGGAAGCGGAAGACCGGCACAACATCTCCAAATTCGTCAACCGCGACGACGCCGGCAATCTGCGCCTCGCGGGCTACAAGGGCGGCGAGAACCTTTCCGTCATCAAGGGCCTCGGTATCTACTTTGACAAGTCGGGGCTCAAGACACCGCAGGTGTTTAGCCAGTACATCAGCAAGTTTGTCTGCATTCCGGAGGTGATGGTCTTCTTCCATATGCGGCCTCTGGAGTACCCCACTGTCTCCCCCGATGAGCGGTTTATCGTTTCGAGGATCAAGTCGCTCCCGAACTGCTACCGCGTGGTTCTGCGATACGGATTTATGGATGAAGTGATCACGCCCGATTTGGCGTCTTTGATCTACCGAAACCTCCGCGAATACGTGCTAAGAGATATGGCGCCGCGCGTGGCAGAGAAAGGCATTCCCGCCCCGGAAATGGCAATGCTTGGACCCAAGTATGGAAATGCCCAAGCCCTTGCGCCGGGCATCGAGACATCACTGAACGACAAGGACGCGTCTCGAGCGAACTCGACGGAAGAGGCACTACATGACGAGGAGCAGCTGGATCTGGTGTCGCTCGAGCACGCGTACGAGCACCGGGTCCTCTACATTCTCGGGAAGGAGGAGCTGGTGGTCAAGCGTGGCACAAGGTGGTGGAAGCAGGTGCTGTTGCGCACCTTTTTGTTGTTCCGAGACTACTCGCGGAACAAGATGTCGAATATCAAGCTGCCGACGGATCGTCTGGTGGAGCTGGGGTTCATCAAGGAGATGGGCGATACGGGGCGGCAGAAGGAATGAGCCTGGACACGAATGTCATGATGTGATATGATGTGATGAAATGGAGCAATTGTCGAAAGTTGTATAGAGCGAAGGGCAATTGACAGACGCGAATGTCGTCTTCTTCTTGTACATACCTGTACCCTTGCCACCATATCCTCAACCCTGTTATAGCCATGGCACACCGCACGGATGCAGGAGCTGCTCAAAGCGGTAAGAGCTCATGTGCAACTTTGCCTTTTTCGACGGCCCGTGCCTCTGATTTGCTGGGCGGCCTTCATCATCTTGACGCATCCAAGCCACGCTCAATTCTGCCAATTCACCGCTGCTCTGATTTCTTCCTCCTCCCTTCGACACCCCCATCGTTATCCAGTCCATCCACGCACTCGCTCGTTCTGGCAGGCTCACGCGAATTCCAACCAGCGCTTGGACGAAAACGGCTAGCCTGCCGATTCACTCGTGGGCGAATGAGGCAATTGAAGTCATTGCTGCCATTATACCAGCCATTTGAGCCTTGAACAGCGTCGTACACCAAATTTTGATAACTACCCCTGCGCAGCACGCGGCTTGAGAGTGCACCGCAAGCCATGTCCTCGACTACCAAGCCTGACCTGGCCAAGGTGGCAGGACCGGAATCGATGGCGAAACCTGAGCCGACCGCCCAAAGCTCCACCGCTCAAGATGGCGCCGCATCTGCACAGCCGAAGAAGAAGAAGCATCGCGCGGGCAGGCACAAGAAGAAGAATAAGAGAAGCAATTTCGGCCAGTCGGCAGACCTACGAGCGGAAGAGGCGTTGGATACGGGAGAGAGGCAGGGTGGTATTCCTGCGGGGGCGTTCTATCGCTTGCAGAATCGCAGTCACAGTCAGAGCAGTTTGGAGAGTGAGGCTCTGCTGGATCATCGTGGCTCGACTCCGCGACGGCCTCGAAGAGAGAGTCTACAGCAGACGGGCTTCACGCGGCCCAGTCTGCCCTACGCTCGCAATCGCGGAACAGCAATGTCGGGTGCTCTGGGGGGAGGGCATCGGTCTTCAAGACTCGCTCATGCTACTGGCGTTGCTATCAGCGATGATGGCGACGACGACGAGGGTCAGCCCACCGATCATACTCCGCTGCTTTCGAGGTCTCGCAATCAATCCCGTCCGGAAGTCTCCCGCGCTGGCTCGGGACACTATGGCTCTACACCTTATCGAGGCCGGAGGTCCTCCGTTCACTCGCATGCATCTTCGCGCAAGCGGATCGTGGCCACAAGTCATCTGCAGCCGACTATGGAAAGCGACGACGAGTACGACGTGAACAATCCTCCCTCTGTGCCAACCTCTCCACGCCTGGGTTCTCTCGACGATCTGATGATCAATGTCAATGACATCCCCGGGAGTCATTCCGAGCGTGGCCGCGATGCAGTCATCGACATTGACGAGGATGACCGCCGCTACTCTGGGAGCTCTTCAGAGGCAATGAGAAGAAGATCCACTGTGGCCGATCTCGCTGAGAGGGATGTCTGCTTCCCCGGAGACGCTGGCCTATCTGAGGATGGGGGAGATGGAGATGACCACCATTCCATGACCGGATCAGGCCAGCAAGGCCGGCGGCGCACGCGTCCGGGTCAATGGCCCGACCTAGACGTGCTGCATGATTGGAGTCGCGAGGAAAAGGAAGAGCGGACAGCGCAGGAGCACATCCGAGCCAAGAAGATCAATGAGCCGGTCATGGTTGGTGGCCGTCTACGTCCGGGCAAGACGGCGTGGCATCGGGAGGAGGACGAGCCGTTCCGCTTCACTTACTTCAACGAGATGTTTGATGGTACCATACATGCCCGTACGATCAGTGATCTTCTACAGGACGGCGCAACGTTCAGAGATCTTTTCATCCCTGATCATATCGAGCTGCAAGAGGATAGCGAGGGGGAGGAAGAGGGGGATGACAACGCACTCGTTCGCCCGGTCTTGGACAAGCATGCTTCGATCCACACTCATGCCTCGATCCACACTCCGTCAGTCGCAGGAGACCATCTCTCTCGACAGCCCTCCGTATTGAGCGACGCAGAGGCTTTGCGCTCTCCCGGAGGCAGCAAACCTCCAACGAGGACCAGCACGCCAACTGGCAAGGATTCCGAGGCGCCCACTCCGACACCCTACTCCAAACCTCCAAGATACGGTCCGCGGCCGACATTCTGGCTGGATGTGTTGCAGCCGACGGAGACGGAGATGAAAGTGCTGTCCAAAGCTTTCGGCATCCACCAGCTTACCACCGAGGACATTCTCATGCAGGAGCAGCGGGAGAAGGTGGAGCTGTTCGCATCCTACTACTTCCTGAACTATCGGTCCTTTGAGCAAGACAAGGAAAGCGAGGACTACATGGATCCCGTCAACTTCTACGCCGTCGTCTTCCGAGACGGCATCATCACCTTCCACCACTCGCAAACCCCGCATCCGGCCAACGTCAGGCGACGCATTCGCCAACTGAATGACTACATGTCGCCCACCGCCGACTGGATCAGCTATGCCCTCATCGACGACATCACCGACGTGTATGGCCCACGTGTATCGACGATTGAGGAGGAAGTGGACGAGATCGACGAGGAGATTCTCTACCTGCACGTCACCTCCGCCGACGATGCCGAGGGTATCAACCAGAACAAGAAGCCCGCGAAGCCCGAACGAAAGAGCTTCTGGAAGCGCTGGCCGTTCAATTCCACCAATCAATACGACAAGGGCGACGATACTGACAACAAGTTCAAGAGCGGCGGCGACATCCTTCGACAGGTCGGCGAGTGCCGCAAGAAAGTGATGGGCTTGTACCGTCTGCTCGGCAACAAGGCAGACGTCATCAAGGGTTTCGCGAAGCGATGCAACGAGAATTGGGAGGTGGCTCCGCGGAGCGAAATCGGCCTCTACCTCGGCGATATCCAAGATCATATCGTGACCATGAATAATAATCTGTCGCATTATGAGAGGTCAGTGTCTACCTCTTTGCTCTTCCCCCCAGATCTTGCTAACAATGCATCTGCAGCCTCCTCAGTCGCGCCCACAGCAATTACGTCGCGCAAATCAACATCCGCATGAACGAGCGCGCGGAACAAAACGCGGACATTCTCGGCAAGCTCACCGTCATCGGCACCATTGTGCTACCCATGAACATCATCACGGGCATGTGGGGCATGAACGTGTACGTGCCGGGGCAGGTGGAGTACAAGGAGGATCTGACGTGGTTTACGTGCATTACGGCCGGCCTGCTCCTGTTTGGCGTTACTTGCTACTTCATTGCGAAGAAGGCTTACGGGATTGTTTGAGAGATGTTGGGATTTACGTACATGTGGTGTGCATGGTTGGGGCGTATGCACATCGAGCTTGTTGGGACGAGCTGCAATGATACACATAATACCTTGCACAAGAACCTCTTGGTCTATTACTTGGTAAGGGCGTGTGCCTGCCTCAGATCATCAAACGTGTCCTGGTCGAATTCCCTCGCTTTGTCCAACGCGTGCCAGTGCGCGAAGGGATGGCACACGCCTTTGTAGATTTTGATTCGACTCGGAGTGCCGGACTTGTTGAGCAGATCGTTATACGCCACGCCCTCGTCACGCAGGACATCGAACTCCGCGCATCTGATCGAAGCTGGTGCTAGCCCGGCGTGAGAGGGCGCCAGGATGGGCGAGCAGATCCACTCGTCTTGCTTCTTCTTTCGCTCCTCTGCATTCGCGGGAAACATCAGTCATAGTGCCACTCACAGCAAGGGCAACACAAAGAGGCAAACTCACCAACATCCATCCCCAGCCAATGCCGCGAAAACCACCGCATGCGATTCAGCGGCAAACACGGCGCAAACTCGCAACTCCGCATACTCCCATACTCCACCCCGTCCGCCACGGGCCCCTCAAGCGGAATCGAGCGCGCATCAACAGCAGGCACAACCAGCAACTGCAGCCTCAAAATCGGCATGCCAGGCTCGTCGCGCGCGAGGAGCGCCAGCACGGCCGCGATGTGTCCGCCCGCTGACAACCCGCCGATAGAGACGCGGGAGGGATCGATGTTGAGGCTGCTGGCGTTGGCAAAGACCCATTTGAGCGCTGCCCAGCTGTCCCACACTTGGGCTGGGTGGGGGTGTTCGGGGGCTAGGCGGTAGTCGACGTCGACGACGATTAGGCCGAGGGTTTGCGTTGCTGAGCGGCACCAGGGTTCGTCGGAGAGGAGGGAGCCGATGACCCAGCCGCCTTTTGGGGGAGTGTTAGTCGTTGATTACCGTACGCTGTGAGAGGTGGTTCGTGGAGCTTACCGCCATGATAGTTGACGTGCGCGGGCAATAGGCCTTGCGCGTTCTTCAGACCTCCGGCTTCGATCGCTGCTTCGGTCGGCGTGTAGACTTTGACTCGGATCTCGCCCGCGGGATGCTCGACGGGGATACGGTGGATGGTTGCGTCTCCTACCTCCGGCTTCGGACCCGGTGTGATTGGGAAGGTGTATTTGGTGGTATTGGCACGGTATTCTCCGATGGAGACCTGGTCCGCGCGGAGACGAGGGGCTGGAGATGGTGGTCAGTGACATCGCCGTCAGCATTGGGATTGGGTGAAGCAGACCTTGGTATTTGTTGTAGATTTCTATGAATTGCGGATCGAGATGGGGCAGGAACTGCGGGAGGATTGGGTTTACGGGCTCGTGAGACATTTTGCGATATTGAGAAGTGGGTGATGGGTTGGGAGTGTGAAGCTCGTGCTGTCGGTACCTTCTAATTTGGGAAAGTCGTCTGGCGGAGGTTGCCTGGGCCCACAATTCGAGGCTACGATGCTCGACTGCCCGAGACATGCTTTGCTTTCTGAGTTGTGGGCAGTTTTGTTGGATTACTGGGGGCGCCATTGGAAGAGGGAGTGAATCGCGCAGGAACCTCGTCACGAGCAATTACTGCAATCGAGCGCAAAGCCTCGTGCATAGTCTCTATTTCGAATACACTGATGGCTCCTAGCTCATACTTTGAGAGCGAGCGTTCATCGCCGTGATGATGTCGATACCGCCCTAACGTCCTGGCCCCTAAGCCATGCCTCCCACAACGCCGATGACCACGTCCTTCATACGCCGCCACAGACCCGCATTCACATCCTCCATCTCTCTGACCGAGACTGAAACGCCCTTCACACCACCATAGCGCCCCGTGTAGTTGTTATTGCGCCCCGCAAGCTTCGGAGCCGCAGCCTTCAGACTTAGATCCAAGTCGATTCTCACCGTGGAAGGCTTCGGCTCCGCGCGCCACTAATCGATCCCATGCTCTTGTTTCAGCTTTTCTAAGTTCTCCTGTCGCTCGGCGAGGTCGGGCTGACTACTTGACGCAGTCGCGGCGCGGTCCTGTGCGGCTTTGACGGAGCGCTCGATCTGGTGGTAGAGCACGACGAGGTAGCGGTTCTGGAAGTTGAAGCCGTTTAGCTTGTCGCAAGCGGATTTGGCGTCCATGACATCTTCGTAGACGACGAATGCTGTGCCTTTGGTGTTGGTGGCGATGCCTTGGCGGATTTGTCTGCGAGGTGTTAGTGGATGGTGGGGGATGCGCGAGCGCCCCCGCCGAGGCTGTAGGCGCTGGAAGGCCGAGGACTCGGTGAAATGGCGATCGCGCGGGACATGCTAGCGTACCTGATGGGTCCGAATTTGCCAAAGAGATCGAACAAGTCTTCTGTCGAGACGTTGTAGGAGAGGTTCTTGACGAAGAGGGCGCTGTTGCAAGAATTAGTCAGAGCGCGCGCACCGAGGTGAGGGGCGTGGAGAATGTGAGACTCACCGGTTCACTTGTGGGTCGACCTTGGAACTACGACTCATAGCTTGGATAGCAGTTTCTGGGTGGTGACGGTCGCGTGGAGGGAGAGGGGAGGGTGTGAGGTGTAGGAAGGAAACAGAAGTGTGAAGAGTGAAAGGTGCACGTGATTGGCACGGCCACTCCCGCGTTAGCCGAAGCTTAATAGACTTGGCGAGGCCAGCAGCACATTCCCCAGCATTGCGTCCCGTCGAACAACCACACCCTCGCCCTCACCACTCCTGAACCCTTGGCTTGCTCTCGCGGATATGAGCTGGCCCTCTTTGAGTCTCACGGCATGACTGAATGAAATCACAAGCGCCAGCCTGCTGTCGCACAAGCAAACCTCACCCTTCTCCCTGCCTTACCCCACCGCACTTGCAAGCGCCTCCGCATGAGCAACACCGCTGCCACCGCCACACCGCAACCCCTCTTAAGAACCACCAAGCGTCTCGAATGCAATATAATCCGTCGGGAAACAGCCGTGTGCGAAGGCGAGAGTGAGCACGTGCGGGCCCCGTGCTGCACGCGCCGGCCTCACTTCCCCATCACCTCCGCAATTCCCCTCCACCCCCGACGGCTCCGCAATGGTTCACGCTCTCTACAACCCGACCTTCAAGGCTCCAAGCGGCTTCTTCCCACCCCGTGCGCGCTCGCCTACACCGCCGCGCGACTTTGTTGAGCCACTCTCGCCCACCAAACCAACCCCTCTGGAGCCTAGCTTCAACTACCCGGCCATCAACAACCATGTCAACTTCACAGTCAGGCCGGAAGGCGCTTTCATGGCAACAAGTTCAAGAGCAAGGGCATACAGTGCGAATCAAAAGAGCACACATCAACGTCGGCTTTCCACCATTGACACTCTGGCTGAAGCAGCGCTGGCGACCACTCCCTCACTCCAGCCCTTCTCGCCTTACCATACCACTGCCTTCCGCCAGCATGAGCACGTCGTGCCCCGAGATTACGCCTCCGGGGACGAGCCACCACACAAGCGCGCTCGTTCGGAGCTTCTTCCCTCAACGCTTGTGACGCAGTACGCTTCCCGCCCCGCTACGAGCTATCAATCCGCCAATGGCTGGTCGTCAAGTGTCGCTCGGCCTGCACCAGTCCACGACAGTCGGGTTGAAGAGGCGGCGTTGCTGCTCAACTTTCAGTCTGGGGGCTCGCCGCGTGAGCCTACATCTCCCAACCTGGCCTTCCCGGGTCAGCGGCCACATGCCAATAGCTTCCCTCAGGATGTATATCGGCCGCGACCAGTGGAGACAGTGATGCAACCACAGCCACCTCTCTTGCCTCCTTTCGATCCCCTGGATGCCCGCCAACTTCCGCCGATGCTTCCCTCTCCTCAAAAGACGATTGATGACAACGGATCCAGTCCGCGATACTCCGCATACAAGCCCAGCTCGACCGGCGATATCGTTATGCCTGATGTGGATGGCTACTCAGACCTGTCAAGTCAGCCTGTCATGCAAACCCACACGCCTCCAGAAGATGCTAGTACTGATATCGCCTTGAGCGAGACTTCCCAGCCGCCGAAACGACGCGGAAGAGGCTGGCCGAAGGGGAAGCCTAGAGGATCTGGTGCGCGGAAGACCATGGTCGAGAAGCTCGTTGCGAAGCGCACTGCGACACGTAAAAAGGGACTAGCGAAGGGCAAGGGTGATGACGTGAACAACGAACGTCCCGATACCCCCCAACCCCGGCGCAAAAGCTTCAGTGATATTGGACAATCCGGATTATCCATCGACGGTCCTTTCACTCAAATCCGAGCGAGGTCCGTGCCCGCAGAGACGCCGATGCTGATCCACGAAGTCAGCAATTCCAGGCCCATGCGTCGCAAGAATGCTGTCAAAGTTGATATCATCTGCGCTGGCTGCGAAACTACACGAGCGACGAGCTCCCATGGCGAACTCGACGAATGGATCTCCTGCAACGGCTGCAAGAACTGGTTCCACATCGACTGCGCAGGCTTTAAGAAAGCCCACGAAGTACGAGACGTGGACAAGTATTTCTGCGCCACTTGCGAGCCGGAGCATGGGAAAACAACATTTGTCCGGAAGAGCGCCCGCGCCCACACTTCAGTGGATTATGCGGAGTTACAACGAGGCGTGCTGAAGACGAGCGAGGAGAGTGCGGAGCACCATTACATCCAACCCATCAAAGACGGCACTTTCGTGTTTGACGAAGAAACATTTCCAAGAATGCGGCCCGAAATGGTGACCAAGGAGTTCTTTGAGAGGAGCAGCACGTTCGTTGAGCCGATCTGCATTCCTGCTGAGTGGAATCCGCGGCCTTGGGAAAAAAGAAGGGCGGAGACTTTTGGACCTGGTGTTGACGGTACCGCATCCGCATCTGACGACATCTTGGCAGAGCTCAATGCGGAAGAATTCGAGTACGACGCCATCCCGGACCTGGGCCAGGATGGTCTCGACATGATCATGCCGGAAGGTCTGACAGTGCGCCAAGTCTGCGGTCTCGTTGGTCCCGAAACGCCGATCGACGTGATTGATGTCAAGACGCAGAACACCGGTGCCAAATGGAATCTGAGCCGCTGGGCAGATTACTACGATGAAGTCGGCGAAGAAAAAGCGATTCGCAACGTCATCAGCCTGGAAGTGTCCCAGACAAAACTTGGGCGTCTCCTGCAACGGCCGAAGCTTGTGCGAGACATCGATCTGCAGGATGATGTTTGGCCTCAAGAAGAAATCGACAAAGGCAAATTCCCCAAGGTCCAATTCTACTGCCTCATGTCTGTTGCGGACAGCTACACCGATTTCCACATCGACTTCGGAGGAAGCAGCGTGTACTACCACATCCTCAAGGGCAAGAAGACGTTCTTCTTCATCCCACCGAAAGCGAAACATCTCAAGGCGTACGAGGAATGGAACGACAGTCCACAGCAGAATTTCACCTTCCTGCCCAGCATCACAAATGAATGCTACAGGGTGGATTTGAGTGAAGGAGATACCATGCTCATTCCGTCTGGCTGGATCCACGCAGTCTGGACACCCGAGGACAGTCTAGTAATTGGCGGCAACTTCCTCAACAGGATGTCGTACAAAAATCAGTTCAAGGTGGTTGAAATTGAGAAGGCCAACGAAACGCCACTGAAGTTCCGCTACCCACACTTTCAGAAGATCATGTGGTATACAGCCATCAAGTACCTTCGAGAGGATCCACTACCAGAAGCTGTGAGCCAGCTGTTCTACGAAGGCAAGCGATTCGAGAGAGAGGTTCCCGTGTGGGCGGACTTTGACGGCGAGATCGCAAACAATGACATGCGGCCAGGTGCGGACAACGCTCGGTTTTACAGTCAAGCTGAGGTCGAAGGTCTGCCAGACCTTGTCAACTTCATCTTCCGCACCGTCATGCTCGTCATGGGACGCGTAGAGGGCATCTCTGCCGATCGCATGAAGAGAGTGAACATCTCCATTCCAAAAGGTCACGGCGAGCCGCTCGAGCTGGCAAAGACCTTTGCTCTCTGGGTTGCGTGGAAGCGGGGGAATGAGGATCCGCCTGCCTGGGCTCATCCCGATGCTGTCCTGCCTAGTTCTAAGGAAGAAGGCCCACCCAAGAAACTGTCTGAGAGGAAGTTGAAAGAGCTGGAGCGAAAGGAGGCAATCGCTGCGTGGCGAGTGGCTCCCGATCGACAGAGTGCGCGGGTCATGACGAAGGAGGCCAAGAAAGATGCTGAAGTCGATGCCGATGCTATGCAAGGCGTTGTCAAGCACGAGAGCTCGTCGCCAGCTTCTGCGGCTCACGTGAACCAACAACCGCCACTCGCACAATACCAGAATGTGGCGTACGCTATGCCACAGCAGCTCGACCAAATGGTGCCCGGGCTCCCAGGTCATCATCTTAGCACGCCGAAGACCTCGGTTCTCGGACCTAAGCGCGTGGCCTGTGATGCGTGCCGAAAGCGACGTATCCGGTGTAAGCATAAGGATCAAGTCCAGCAAACCACCCCGAGCCAGAGCAGCCCTCCCACAGGTGGTAGCGTTGCCTTTCGAGCTCAGCTGGCATCGGAGCTGCATGAGGATATCGTGGTCACGCCGTCGAAGCCGGTACAGGTACAGCCTTCGAATGTGATGCGTGCAATGCCAGATGGTCATGCGAGTGCCGCGGAATACTCCTACGGGTTTGGGGACAGCCAGCAGACTGCAGGCAATCTACAAAGCAACGCGCCACAGCCGGGAACGAATGCGTACATCAGTGCCAACATCCCCATGACCATGAACGGGGTGCCCATTTTTGGAGAAGTGCCAAAGCGCGGCAGAAGCAAGGCTTGTGCCGAGTGTCGCAAGTCGAAGGTTTGTGTGCCCGAGTGTCGTGTTGCATCTCGTGGTTACTGACCCCCATGAACAGCGGCGATGTATTCACGACGAGAGCGGGAACGTCGATCCGGTCAAGGCGGCTGAGAACCCGGTTCCAAGGGGCACCGTTTCGGTGAAGAAGGCTGACGTTCCTCCGGAGGAAGGCGGATCGATGCTCCTCGCTCAGGCGTCTGAAGATACCTTGACCCATTCCCCAGTGACGAACGCTCAATTCCTGCCGGGCCGCGGAGTGTTGAAGCCACAGAGCCTTGCGTATAAGCAAGCCAAACCCTCGAAGGCAGCGAAACCGGCTCGCAAGTCTCATCCTGCAGCGGGCGGTCGTTTGTCTGCCACCTTCGAACAGTCAGCCCATCAAGAGGAACAGAGCGAGCCGCCTATCGACCCCAGCCTCTTTTCCATGGACGCCAATCCGCACAGCAATGCAGCATATGCGAACCCCCATATAACTTACCACGTCGAAGAGCCGAGCACCAATTACAACGAGCAGCAGTCGTACGAGATCCCGTCGCTCGAGCAGATCGCGAACGAAGTCTTGGTGGACTTGAATGGGAATGAGCATTCTGAGCAGAACCCCGCACGACAGCCAGGCGCGCATTCAAAGGAGGACAGAAAGGCTGACAGTGCTATCTTCATCGAGAAGACGGATCTTCCAAATGGCCAAGACCCATCCGGCATGGAAGTAGATGTCGAGCCAAGCCTAGCAACCGCGTTAGCAACGTCAGGGCTTCCAACAACAGGAGACGTGGCAGAGGACGCAGTAGCCCGTCCCTCTGTGGAAATTCATCATTCTACCGCTCCACAAGCCGCCGCAGCTGTCTCCACAACGCACGAGACATTACCACCCCAACCGCAGAGTGCCGCCAAAGCCGATCTCCCACTCTACCAACCTCCTGCATCGCTCTCCCAGTCCCCAGAAATGGGCAAAACCCAGCCCACACTTCCGAACGGCGTGACGCACCCGGCGCAAGACTCATCACCCCCTGCTCTGACTGCCTCGACCTCCTTGAAGCGCAAGCGTGATTCCACCTCTGCCACGCCGGGCGCGAAGGGCGGCAGCGCCAATGGCAGCAAGCGAATGAAGACCGAGGAGATCACAGACACGGCCGGTCTGAGCGAGGAGGAGAAGCGCAGTCTGGAGCTGGCGAAGATGTTGCAGCAGGAGGACCTTGGGCTGCGGAGGAGAAGCAAGTAGTGCTTGCGCGGTGGAGTGAGGTTTGGGCGAGAAGGTCTTTGATGGCTCTTGAGGAGAGGACGTCCCTTTATCATTGGCGAGGGTCGGTACCTGATGAAGTGAGATGATTGAGCGAGATGGTTTACGACTAGCTGCTTGCCAGCATCATCGCTCGTTTGACAGGCGCTAGCTAGGAAGTAATGATGACTCCTGGTCCCAGGCACAGCCGATCCTATTCCTTCAAGGGCATTTCTATCAACTGTCACGCCCGACCCACTCCGACGAGAGGTGTCAATTTCGACGCCACGAAGCTACTAAGCTACCTCCCTAGCCAGGCTGTCAGCATTAGGGCAGCGACAGCCGATCATCCATATAAGTATTAACCTCTCCATCGTACATTTCACGCCGTCTGTTTTGTGCAATAATCCGCACTAGACAACCGCCCATCCCAAGCATGCTCGACCTCAAACCCCACCCGGCGCTGCTCATCATCGACATGCAGAATGGCTTCTGCCACAAGGAGGGCAGTTTCAGGCGAGTTTCTGTCCTCGACATCGCCACCACCCAACATCTAACAAACGCAGCAAAGTCGGCATCCCAACGGCGAATGCGAGAGCCATCGTCCCGCAGATCCAGCGCCTTCGCACCGCGTGCAGAGAACACGGCATCCCCGTCATTTACGCTCGCTACGGGATGAAGCCGGATTACTCGGTGCGTGGACCTCCCAGTCGAACTCTGCGTTGGAGATGTCAAGAAAAACTCACACGATACCAGGACGCGGGCCTCGAATTCGAACCGGAAGGCGGCGCCGAAATCCTAGCCCTCGGCGGCTTCGTCCGCGGCACATGGGACACGGCTATCCTCGACGAACTCACGCCGGCGCCGGACGAGGTAGTGATTGACAAGAACCGCAGCTCCATGTTCTTCGGGACGAATTTGGAGGCGGTGTTGCGGGACAAGGGCGTTGACCACGTGCTTGTGACGGGGGTGGCGTCGCACGTTTGCGTCGAGTGCACGGCGCGCGATGCGTGGAGTCATGCGTTTTGGACGACGACGGTGCGGGATGCGACGGCTGCGTCGGACGTGGCGTTGCATGAGGCGAGTATGAAGAATATGCAGTGTTTTGGGGGCACGGCGGGGACGGAAGAGGTGGTGGAGGCGGTGGGGAGGTTGAAGACGAGGTCGTGAACGTGGTACGTGATTTGCTGGGAGGAGGTGTAGGGTCGTTAGAACTCCATGGGATCCCCTCCGGCCCCTGCTTCTTCCCTTTCGCGCTTGCCTCTTCCTTCCTCCTTCAGTAATGTCGCCACGTGCCCTCGGAAGTACTCCACGTATGGCTTCAGTCCGGTCTTCTGCCAGTCGAGCACCTTTGCCCTCTCCTCCTCGCTCATGGAAGCATTCTTCGCATCCCAGTCGTCAATCTCCTGCAACAACTGCGTGACAGTAGGCACCTCAAAGGGATCGAAGTCGTCTAGTCTCCTCACGTCAATCGGCACGCATACTCGCCCGGTGCCAGGATGTATCACGAAGGGGGACTTGAGCAAATGGTTGAGTTTCTTCGAGACTTCGGCATCGAGACGCGGATAGGTGTATTCCAGACGGATGTCTTGTTTGGCGTCTACGAGTTGTTTCGTTGTCAGCGTGGAGAGGTTGCCCGCTTCCGCTACCGTGTCAATGTCGGCCCATTTCTGGTTGGAGCTGCGGTTTGGCGCGCTGTCCCATTTCTTTTGGAGTGCTGCTGTGAGTGTCTTGTCCGGTAAGAGATTGAGCAGCTTTTCCGCCTGCTCGGAAGACTGCCAGGGATCTTGATCTGCCAGAACGTCCGTCTGGAAGTGGGGATTGAGGATCTTGAGACTCCTGTCGATGTGTGGATGCAGAGGACGCCGTATGCCCAGTCCCTTCTTGCCATGCTCGCTTCCTCGCAGCAGTTCCAAGTAGCCCGCGATCGACTTCCTCTTCGCATCGTCCATCTCTCGCGCTCGCTTGTCGCTGATCCAAGCGTGAGCACCTCTTCGTCCAGAGTAGACCCATAGAATATGCTGGAAGCCAAAGTCTTCTCGCAACGCCCCATCGACAACCTTGACAGCCATGACGATGAAGCGCCAGCATTTATGACAGATACTGGCGCCGGAGCAGCACGTTCGGATGGGATCGTAGTCCGTCATATCGATATCGAATACCAACTCTTTCATCACAGGGCGGAAGGAGCTGGCTGATCGCATCGTCTTTCGCTCACGCGGGTTCATGCTGTATTGCGGGCCGATTTCGAATCGGGTGGGAGTCATTTGAAGGCACTGTTTGCGGAACAGATCGGCCGAGGCGAAAGATTGGTAGCGGATGTAGGCATCGTTGGGGAGGACGAAAGCGAACTCGCGATTCTGAAAGTCTGGCTGTGGCGAAGCGGCATGGTTGAGCCATTGGAAGAGCGGGCGGAAGGGGAAGAGGCGTTGATAGAACTGGCGGAGGGTTTCGGGCTCGGAGTATTGGGCTTTGGGTGCGGCTTGCGGAGCTGGTTGGGAGCTGTCATCCGCCCGGGTCTGCACGCTGGAGGAGAACTCGTCATCGTCGTCGTCATCAAACAGTTCGTCGAGTTTCGCTGGTGCGGCGTTGGTCTGCTTCGATTCTGGCTCCTCCACGTCACTACTCTGCGCATCTGTATCCAGCGAGGTAGTGGGCGGTGCGTCTGGGAGGACTTCAGCCTCGCTGTTGAGCGCAGGCAGCTCTTGGCTGGACTCTGGTGATACTGCGTGAGGCATTGTGATTTGTGAGGGGACGCAGAGACGACGGTCAGTGTCGAGGCTCGAGTTAAAGTGAATTGCGGGAGACGCGTTGATGTTAGACGCGAGCACATCACGCGTCGGGATGAAGTAAGCCATGCTCAAAGTTACGCGGTAATGGTATTCAATCTGCGCCACGCTTCAAAAAGTCATGCTTTACGGCAGAGCTCACTACACTACGTCCAGAAGAACTGGTGTGTATTGTGCACCGCTTCGCTCCAAAACTGCCGTCTTTCGTTCCAGTCGAGAAGCTCGAGAGCCGCTGAATCATTCAACTGTTCTGCAATGTCTCGTGGTATTTTGCCCAAGGTGTTCTGCAGCTTTGGATCCGCCCCATGTCGAAGCAATACTGATGCGACATCCAGCTTCCTCAATGCGATGGCTCTGTGCAACGGACTGCCGAGGCCCTTTACCCCATACAAAGACCATGCCGGCTCGACTCCGTCGAACCTTAAGCGGTTGGGCGATGCACCTCGTTTCAGCAGTAACGTCGTCACTTCGCACGCCTTGTCTTTGCGCTCGACGGCCCAATTGAGCACGTCACCGCGGTGTACATCGCCACCGCGAGATAAGAGCATCTCGATGACTTTCGTATCTCCTCCAAGTGCAGCTCTAGATAGCGGAGTGTCGTATTCGTCGCCGGCGTTCGGATCCGCGCCGTGTTCGAGTAGCCACGTGAGCAGCTCTTTGTTATGAACGGCGTATCTAGAATGTGATTAGCAGCGATACGCATGCTGGCGTGATGACTTACCCCAACGCCGTTGGTCCCGCCATTTCGATTTGTTCGTTGATATCCCACCCATTCCACAAGAAAGCTTCGAAGCTCTTGATAGAACCAACTTCCAAAGCCTGCATGATCGGCAGCGTGTCGTAGTGGCTAGCCGCGATCAGTAGTGACACAATGTCGGATCGTGCATGGCGGATAGCAGTCAAAAGAGCGTCAACGGTCAGGGCAGAGGAGATGGACTCCAATGGTTTCAATAATGCCTGCCAGAGTGCGAGTATGGTGAAAACGGCTGGCAGGGAGCCTCGCACGACAGCAGCTTCTAGATCAGCCGCCGTCGGCACTATGCGTGTCTCATCGGTATGCTCAAGCTCGTCTTGGCTCGGCTGCAGTACGTTATACATGGTAATGAGTTGATAGTGTGATTTGAGGACATTGCATTGATGTAACCTCAGTGCGTGCAAGACGTTCCAATGCAGGAGCGTCCGTAGTTGGAAAGTACGCTTCGATGTGCGGGGCGACGCCTTCCGCCCCCGTCGCTCCTCTCCTGCCTATCCCGCCCAACGCAATTTCACCGGCATGTGCAGTGACAATGATGGAGGAAGTGGTAGATGGCGATGGATGGATATCAGATGATTCGAGCTTTTACGGTGAGTCCTCCAACCTTGCTTCACCGACATGGCCGCTGAGATGCCTGCAGGAGACGAGACCACACAAGCTCAATGGGAGCAGGAAGCTGCACGAACCTTGAAGCTACCACACGACCCTTTTGCACACGTAGCAAAACGACGGAAACTTGATCCCGCAGTCAAGGGAAAGGATGATAACGTCCTCACTTTCCTCAGATCAAGGCCGCAGATAGCCTCCATGAGAGAAGTAGCCGCAACTACACCCGCCGCCAAAAGGACATCTAAGAGGAACCTCAACGGCGATGAAGCAGCGGACCTCCTCTACAGTGATCGATTCAAGGGCCACGCAGCCGCTCGACAGCAAGACGAAACCGTCAATGCCTTTCTCAAACGACTCCCGGTCGCTGATCCCGCGACTGCAAACGCCGGGCCGTGGCTGTGGGTTAGCAGCTCACAGATCCCTCGGGCCCAGAAGCAACACGCGAAACGCGAGGATGTCGACGCTTTCATCGAGCAGGGTGAGAGCCTACTAGAAGCCTTCATCAAACGGAGAAGCACTGTGGAAGCGGAGAACCACGGCAAAGCGCCCGCGACAATCACTCGCTATATGCGTCCGCACCGTGACAAGCTGGAGAACGACTTGCTTTCTGCGGCAGTATCAACAGGCACGACTTGCGGCAAATGGATGCTGTTCCCCAGTTCCGAAGACTTGCCTCGTTTCTGGCGAGTGGTTGCGGAGGCCACGGCGGAAGGGAAGCTCGGCCCGGTCTCGAAAGTCGGCACATACGATCCTTTGGACAAAAAGGATGCGACGCTCATCTGTGTGTACACCTACGACTTCACGGACAACGACGACGTTCGACGGGTCCTGGATCAACTGGTTGAGCTCGGACTGTGCAGAAGGGACGGAAAGCCGATCTACTACAAATGCGACGCTTACACGTATCTCGGCATTGCGTCGGAGAACACGTACAAGTTGCGAGCGAGTTTGTTCTCGAGTGGAGAGGTGCTGAAGAATGAGGCGAAGGTGTTGGAAGATGGGCAGATTTTGCGGGGACAGAGGAAGAGTACGGCTACTGACAGTTTCTTTGCGTTGTGACATGGTTGCCGTCGATAATGACTGCTGAGGAGGGAATGCGATGGTCTCTTATGGCCTTGTCTGAACGAGGGGAATCAGCTTTCATTGATGAACGACCTTTCAATGGCATCCATAATTTCTTGTGCGCAGCAGTGAGATATATCTCGGCGAGCTCCGACTGCCAGAGCCTTCCCGATCAGGCCAGGCGTCAGCGCAAGCCTGACCGTTTACATAATGAAATCCACAGCAATGGCTGCGACACCTCGCTACTCCAATATATATAGGTACTCGACCTTGCACCTAGACCGATTCGAACTCCATGACAGCATTTGCGACGAGCGAGGCCTGTAGTAGCCATTTCCATACCCAACGGCTTGGGTAGGTCCTCAGACTGCCGTTCGTTGCTCCGTCTTCCTCATTGCTGCTGTCCCTCCCGACCCAGCGACTCTCTTTGGTTTCGTATGGCATCTCCGCATTAACCCGGAACACACCCTCATACTCGTATGTTTGACGCCAGACTCTACACTTCGTGCATTCGGGCAGCATGGCACCGCATTCCACGAGCTCACAGCCACCCTCCGGCGATGCCGAACCACAACCAACCTCCACCACCTCCCCCTCCGAAATCACCGTCCTCGCCTCCTCCCGCGCAGTCATCAACAGCAAAGTCACCCCCGCAACCATCGTCCTCTCCACCCGCACCGGCAAAATCACCTCCATCACCCCCTCAGTCCTCCCGCCATCCTCCTTCCCCGCGGGAACAACATACAAAGACCACACCCCACACATCCTCCTCCCGGGCCTGGTCGACGCGCACGTCCACCTCAACGAGCCCGGGCGAACGGAATGGGAGGGCTTCTGGCACGGCACGCGCGCGGCGGCGTTCGGAGGCGTGACGACGGTGATCGATATGCCTTTGAACGCCATCCCGCCTACGACCACGGTAGCGGGGATGAAAGAGAAGGTGGCAGCTGCGAGGGGCCAGTGTTGGGTGGATGTGGGGTTTTATGGAGGCATCATTCCCGGAAACGTCGGGGAGTTGAAGCCGTTGATTCAAGAGGGGGTGAGGGGATTCAAGGGGTTTCTGATTGACAGTGGGGTGGAGGAGTTTCCGGCCATTTCGCCGGAGGACATGAGGAAGGTGTTTGTGGAGTTGGCCGATGAGCCGACGACGGTCATGTTTCATGCGGAGATGCTGCCGCCAGTTGCTGCTGCAGGGGGAGAAGCCGCACCCTCTGGACCTCCGGAACTATACCAGACGTTTCTGGATTCGCGCCCAGCGACTTTCGAGACTTGCGCAATCTCGGAGATCATCAACAACGCACACCTGGCGCCGAACCTCCCACTACATATTGTGCATCTATCTGCGATAGAGGCGATCCCGTTACTTCGGAAAGCGCAGCAAGCTGGTATCAAAATCACGGCGGAAACGTGCTTCCACTATCTCAGCCTGGCGGCCGAACGGGTACAAGCGGGAGACACACGACACAAGTGCTGCCCACCGATACGAAGCCAGTCAAACCAGGATGGACTATGGCACGAGCTGCTGGAGGCAGGCGGGGTGATATCGACGGTGGTATCGGATCACTCGCCCTGCACCCCGGACCTCAAGCTGCTCGCTTCCCACATCCCACCTGCCAGCCGCGATGCAAAAGCAAGCGGGCGTACGGCATCGAACCAAGGCGATTTCATGTCGGCATGGGGCGGGGTGTCTTCGGTTGGGTTGGGTCTCAGCATCCTCTGGACAGAAGCAAGTCGGCGTCAGCTTGATCAGAACCAGACGATACTGGACATTGTGAACTGGTGCTGCATCAACACCGCCAAGCAGGTTGGACTAGAAGCAAGAAAGGGAGACTTGAGAGTGGGCATGGACGGCGATATTGCGGTTTTTGACGACGAGGCGGAGTTTGAAGTGGGGCCTCGAACGATGTTGTTCAGGAACAAGTGCTCGCCATACGAAGGCAAGGTGTTGAAGGGAGTGGTGCAGGAGACGTGGGTGAGGGGGAAGAAGGCGCATAGCAGAGCGGATGGGTTTGGGGAGAGGATGGGGCCGATGGGGGAGTTGATACTGGAGAGAAGGGAGAAGAAGGCAATCAGGTAGTGGCGTAGAGTGAGTGAGTGAATGAATGACAGATATGATGATTCGTGACGAGCATTTGATGTCTTTGAAGCCTCGAGTTTGTTCGGCGGCGGCCCGCACGGGCCCGAAAAAGGCTAAATCGGCGAGGAGGTATAAATACGCCCGAGCTCTTCCATCCTCCGACGTCTGTTGCTGACTGTAAATTCCGCATCGAGCCCTACATTCTTCCGTTTCCTCCTCCCCGTTGGGCAAGAAACAAACATCCGACTTGGCAGTCTGAGCCTTGCCATCCTCTCCACAGTGCAGCACAAGTAGCCCACGCGGCGCAACGTTCTTTCCCCGCTCGGCACGCGATCATTCTCGCCCTTTCTCGTGCTTCCGCTGGCCAAGGGCAAACGATGTCTTCATAGTCCACGCCACGTTGGATCTCCTCCACTCCACCCTCAATCAATCCCCACGAATCATGTGATCAAACACCATCACCACCATCGCTACCCCAATGCGACTCTACACCCCCGACTCCCTACTGTACCCCATCACAGTCACGAAGCTGCTCCGCCGCCCCGGCGACGACATCGAGCAGAACACCCCCCTCTTCACCTACCACTACCAGAGCGTCGTCAGCGTCTGGGACAAGGACCAGCGCGAAGATGTCGAGCAGACCGCCACCCTCTACGCCGACTTCGAGAGCGAGTTCGAAGGCTCCGTCCTCAGCCTAGACATCCAACGCGGCCAGGTGTTGACCGCGCGCACCTACGTCGGCGAGATCGACGAGCCCTGCAAGCATGAGGTGCAATATGGGGGGATTTGCGCCAATTGCGGCAAGGACATGACGACGGTGCAGTACAATTCGACGGCGCGGGGAACGGATCGCGCGACGGTCAATACGGTGCATGGACATACACAGCTGCTCGTGTCGCAAGAGCAGGCGAGCAGAGCAGACGAAGAGGCGAAGCGGCGCCTGCTGGATGCGCGGAAGCTGAGTCTCGTCGTGGATCTGGATCAGACCATCATTCACGCCACGGTCGATCCCACTGTGGCGGAGTGGCAGCGCGATCCCTCGAATCCGAACTACGATGCCGTGAAAGATGTGGAAGCCTTCCAGCTGGTGGACGATGGGCCGGGGGCTAGGGGCTGCTGGTACTACATCAAACTCCGACCAGGCCTGGAAGACTTTCTAGAAACGATTTCGCAGTTCTACGAACTACACATCTACACCATGGGCACGCGGGCGTACGCGCAGAACATCGCCAAGATCATCGATCCGCAGCACAAGATTTTCGGCGAGCGCATCTTGTCGCGCGACGAGAGTGGGAGTATGACTGCGAAGAATCTCAAGCGGCTGTTTCCCGTCGACACGAAGATGGTGGTGATTATCGACGATCGTGGCGACGTGTGGCATTGGAGTCCGAACCTTCTCAAGGTTAGCCCGTATGACTTCTTCGTGGGCATTGGGGATATCAATAGTAGTTTCCTCCCCAAGCGACCCGAGTTGGAGGCCAAGCCGGTCAAATCGAGCAAGACGGAGCAACAGCCTGCAAAAGAAGTTTCGGGAGACGCACCAAAGGCCGAGCCATCCGGCGCCGAGGGAAAAGCAGCAAACGGAGAGGTGTCTGCCGTGGATCGCATGGTGTCTATGGCCGGAAAGCAAGACGAAGGTAGCATCAAAGAGAAAGCGGAAGAGCAAGACGAGCAACTCAACGCACAGCTGCAAGACCGCCCACTGCTGCAGAAGCAAAAGATTTTGGACGCCGCGGAAGAAGAAGCCAAGACTTCGCCAGCAGTGGAGGCAGCTGGGGACCTTCTCGCAGAAAACGGAGAAGACGGACAAGACTCCTCCTCCGCCGCAGACCAACACCCGTCCAAATACCGCCACAATCTCCTACAAGACGACGACACGGAGCTCCACTACCTCGGCCAAAGTCTCCGCAACATTCACACCGCCTACTTCGACGAATACCAGCGCAAGACGGCCGGCGCCAAAGGCGGCCGCATCGCCGACCTGCGCCCCGGCCCTGCCAAGAAGCGCTCCCTCGACGAATTCGACCACATCCCCGACGCCGCAGTCATCGTAGCGAGCATGAAGCAGCGCGTGCTGGCCGGCGTGCACCTCGTCTTCTCCGGCGTGGTGCCGCTCGGCGTCGACATCCAGACGCACGACACGGCCATTTGGGCCAAGTCGTTTGGCGCCAGCATTAGCGAGAACATCACCAAGCGCACGACGCACGTCATTGCGTCGCCGGAGCGGCGGACGGCCAAGGTGCGCCAGGCGGCGAAGAAGAAGGGGCGCATTGCGATTGTCAGCCAGGCGTGGCTGTATGCTTGCTTCACGCAATGGAGGCGCGTAGACGAGGAGCCCTACCGCATCCACTCCGTTGCGCCTGCCAACGGCGGCGTGGGATTACCAGATAGCTTCGAAGGCAAGGACGAGGCGCTACTCTCTTCCTCCGACGGAGAGGCAACGCTTACAGAGGAGGAGGAAGACGACGATCTGGACAGCGGGCCGAACACGCCCAACGGCTTGGATCTGCGCCTCGCCGTCGCCGCCGAGCACGTCGAGGATGCAGAGGAGCTGGCGCGCTTCATGCCCAGCGAGGAACGCGCGGACAGCAGTCCCACGGAAGAGGAAGTCCCCGACTACTGGGGCGATATCAACGACGAACTAGCGGACTTTCTCGGCTCGGAAGCGGACGACGACGACGACGAAGATGGCGGCAGCGGCGGCGGCGGCGGGGAGAGTGACGGCGAGAGCGTGAAGAGCGATGCCTCGTCGTCGGGTTTGAGGACTCCGTCTCGCGGCGCGAAGAAGAGGAAGAGGGATCCTGCTGAGGCTGCGGATGGGGTGGGCGATGAGGATGGTGGGGGAGCGGGGGCGGGTAGTAGATTGCAGAAGAGGAAGCGCGAGGCTGCTGCTAGGACGAGCAGTTTGACGCAGATGGCTAAGGCGCCCTCGAGTCATGCTTCGACGCCTGCTGCTGCTACTACTACTGCCGCCGATGGTGATGTCGACGACGGCGTAGATGAGGCGGCCACGGCGGCGGAAGCAGCAGAAGAAGAAGAAGACGATAGTCTGGAAGCGATGCTCGCCGCCGAGATGGAGAGGCAAAGCGATGTGGAGTGAAAAGGCTCGAGCTCCATCGCGACCGACGAACACGTGTGATATTTTGATGCTTGTTGCTTGCATAGCGCGGACTTGTCTGTCTTGCTAGATTCTCTCGGTTGTATCCTGTTGTGTGGCAAGACCCCTTCTTTCCCACATATTTCTCTCAATCCCATTCCGCAGAGCCGATTATGTTCCTTCCAACGCCCTTGTCCACCTCCCATTCGCTCGAGATATGCTCACCCATCAGAATTCCATTCTCCCCATATTGCCAGATTACAATGATTACATGCATGTAGGTAGGTAGGTAGGAAAGGCGGCAAAGCCCGCCTACCCACCCGTCCTCAATCGAAGGCCCGCTCCAACCGAGTGCAGATGCATTGTCGTCCCGCCGCACCTTCCACCCCACCCCAGGTACCCAAACCCGATAGAATGCCACCTGCAACAATGCCCATTCGACACGAGAAAAAAAGTCGGATATAACTCTTGCGAACGAAAAGATGCTCTAGTCGTCCCGCTTGACCGGCCGATTGAGCGCCATGCTGGCGGTGAAATGCTCAAAGGTGGCAACGGCTTGTTTGCGCCAGGTGTCCGAGGGGCAGCGGACGTGGGAGGAGGCCTTTTTGTGCAGGGAGACGCCGGCGGCTTTGGTTGTTCTCGCCGGCGTTGTGGTTCGCTTCTTTGCGTGTGCTGGTGATTGCGAGGGCGATTTCGGTGTTGCGGAGGAGGAGGAGGATAAGGAGGAGCTGTGGGTGTTATTTTTTGAATTGGAGGATAGATGGTTGGTTGGGGAACTCACCCTGTCTTCTGATCCACGTTCTCCAGCACCTTCATGAACGACGGCTTCAGACTGACTTGATAGGCCAGCCTTTCGGTGAAGACGTGACTCAACACAGCCTGGCAAGCGGGGATAGACCCGAACAAAAAGCCGCCGATAAAAAAGAGTCCCGCCTCCGCCACACCGCCCAAAGGCCCAAAAAGCCTCCGACTGTACCCATCGCTCCTCTGCTCGTGCTGCTTGCCCTCATCGCACTCGTCCAGCAAGCCAGCTTCGCGCATCTCCTGCTCTCGCAGCGAGAGGCACAGATGGTGGTACTGCGCGTAGCGGTAGAAGTAGACGCAGATGAGCGACCAGCCGGCGAAGCGGCACAGGCCGGAAATGCGGAGGGCGAGGGCGAGGTGGTGGGGCACGGAGGCGCCGGCGAGGAGGTCGTAGATGGTGGTGGTGGCGAGGATGAGGGCGAGGTGCACGGGCACGAAGTGCGCTTCGAAGAGGCTGTTGAGCAGGGTGCACAGGTTGCGGAAGTGGATGGGCTTGTTGTAAGCGTGGGGGAAGGGTTGGGGGTGTCGCGTGGCTTGCGGGCTTGGGGGCGTGCATTTGATGATGGGCGTGGGGAGGGCGGCGCCGTTGGGGCTGCAGACGGCGGAGATGGCGTTGACGAGGAGGTGTTTGGTGTGCAGAACGGTGTCCAGCAGATCGGGCGAGGCGCCGAAACTCATTCTTCGTCGTCTCTCGAACATGCTGATAGTCTGTCGAATGGCATAGCCCGTGTCCAAGGAACCCCACATGTGCCGGAGCGCTTGCTTGTAGCGCGCTTTGAGGCCATCCACGTATCCACTGAAGCCAGTGCCGTCGCTGCTGACGTCGCACTGACTCGCGGCGGCGTAGACGACCTTGACGTTGAGATTGCCCGACAAAGCAAAGAAGCACTTCAAATACATGTGCATGTCTTCGCCGATGGCATCGGGCCCGGTGTCCCATCCGCCCACATTCTCCGCCAGAACCATTGGCAGAGAATAGACGGAGGTGGGAATGCAGATGTTCGAGCCGTCGTATAGATTGGAAATGCCGGCGCCGGCCCAAATCATGTCGGATGTGCGCACTGGGAGGGGGACTTCGTGGATATTGCGATCAAAGACGATCGGAGGCACGTAGATGGTCTCGGCGCTCGTTTCGGGGAAGCGATGGTGATATTGTGCGACTTGAGAAAAGTAGCGAGCGGAGAGGTGAGTGTCGGCTGCAATTTTGTCAAAAAAAAAATTGGTTGCAGTGGACGAGCGGATGAAACTCACAATCCATGGTGGTCATTATAACCTCTCCTTTGCTGGCATTGGCGTAGTCTTTGAAAGCTTGCTTGGCAGCCCAGCTCTCGTTGCTGCTTTTGCCCTGTGCTTCGCCAGGGATACCAAACGGGTGAATGGTGTAGCTCATGCGGTAAAAGGAGCTCTGGAAAGCTCGAATCAAGTTGGCCGCCTTCTTATCGGAATGCTCCTCCTTGGCCTCCATTGCAAGATAGATCTGTCACAGTCAGCGCGGCACACAAAATCAGGGATACTGGTGTAAAGATGCTCCTCACATGATATGCACTGCGAGCCTGCCAATGGCTGCCCAAGACCTTCAACGTCTCCTCCATCGTCTCGACGGACTCCTTGTAGGCGGGAATGATGATGACGAACTTCAGCGACGACGCGGCCTCGCCCTTCTCCAGGGTCTGCTTCTTGTACGCCTCTGCAACGGCCACGCTCTCCTTCATCCTCTTCATAACATCTCCAATAGCCCAGCACAGTCTCGCAGGAAACAAGACGGGGGCGATGTGGATGAATAGCGTGTACACGGCCAGCACGAGCTGCGAGGTGGCAGCCGCAGCACCGAGCCTGCTGCCATCCTGTTTGGTGTTGGGCGCGACGATCAACGAGACGAAGAGGAGAAAGAGCACGCCGAGCACGCTGATGGCGGGAATGCAGCGCGTCAGGTAGGCGTAGGTGGAGGCGCTCATGGTGAGCCGGAGACGGGGTTGCTGTGGGCGGCGAGGGAAGCTCACATGTCCAGCAGGCAGGAAGAGATGCACGGCGGCGGAGTGGAGGAGGGTGAGAAGGAGAAGCAGGGACAGGAGCAGGGCGCCATTGAGGGGGAGGCCGACGGGCGGCGACTCGTAAAAAAGTGGACGGCCCATGGATGGCTCGCCCTCGCCGCCTCCCTCCTAGGCTCCCCTTCTCCCACTCGTCCACACGAGCCACAAAGCACCCGACCGGCGTGTCAAGGCGGCCGCGCGAAATACGTCGAAAAAAGGGTCTCGATAAGGCTAGGTCGGCCGAGAGAAAGGGAAGCTGCAATGCACGCTGGTCCGAGCGGCGCGTGGGGAAAAAATGCTTGACACTCAGGGACGAGCCTAAATGGCGGCCAATCACAAGCGCGCTGGGTACGCGTGGCAGTGAGGCCGCCATCGGCTGGAACGGAATGTGATCGTAAAGTCAAAGCTGCTGCCTTTCCCTTGCCCTTCCCCTTCGCCCCCTTTGTTAGCCAGCACTGTTGATCAAGCGGCCGCGGTTGGGTAAATGCGGGTGCCTGCCCGCCAGTCGCATCTGCCTCTGCTTCCACGCCTCGCCCCGCCGTTGTGCCTTTGCTGGCCCGTGGCTGCGCGCGCGTGCTTCGAGAGTGGAGTTCCATTGGATGCACATTTCCCTATACACGGGCACCATTCCTTTTACCCAAGTGTGCGCAGATCCCGCCGATATGTATCGTCCTTCATGCCCTACAATTTAGACTGCTCTTCCCGCACCACCACCCCATGCTCCCCGCTCTTCTGCTTGTCCCTCAACACGCGCCGCAAAATCTTGCCGCTAGCGCTCTTTGGGATCTCCCCAATAAACTCCACCTCCTTCACCGCCTTGTATCGCACGCGATTGTCCCGCACGTACTTGATCAGCTCTCGGCCCAGCGCATCGTCACCCTCCGTGCCCGGCTTGGGCACAATGTACGCCTTGGGCACTTCGCCCGAATAGTCATCCTGGATGCCCAGCACCGCCACATCCTCCACCTTCTCGTGCCCGAGGAGCAGGTCCTCCAGCTCGGCGGGCGCGACGCCAATCCCCTTCACCTTGATCATCTCCTTTATCCGATCGAGGATGGTGATGACGCCGTGCTCGTCGATACTCCCCTGGTCGCCCGTGTGCAGGTAGCCCTCCTCGTCGAACGTCTCCTTGGTCGCCTTGTCGTTGTTCAGGTAGCCCATCACCACCTGGGGTCCCTTGGCCCAGATCTCTCCCGGCTCGCCGACCCCACCTTCCGTGCCGTCTTCCTTCATAATCTTCACCGTCGTCGACGCGCAGATTGTGCCGACGGTATGTGCGTACTTGAAGTCGTAGTGCGACGGTGGATGAGCGGTAATGCACGAGCACGATTCCTGTCGTCTGTTAGCCCAGATTCATACTTTCCGTCTCATTTCACACTTGCAGTCATGCCGTATCCCCTGTGATCGTTATTAGCACGGTCAAACTCCATCACCAACACGGTCTGTACTCACTGCTTGAATCCGCATTGAGGGAATTTCTTCTTCAACTGTTGAATGATTTCCTCACTCAACGGCGCCGCACCGGACGAGAAGCGGCGCAGCGCGCTCAAATCGTACTTGTCGACAATGGGGTCGCGCACCATGCGGATCAGAATCGGCGGCACCAAGAGCAACTCGCGCAGCTGGTACTCCTGCGTGGCCTCCAGCATGCTTTCCATGGTGAACGCGGGCAGCATCACGACCGTGGCATTGATGAGGACGGGCAGATGCAGCGCGTGCACGAGCCCGGTGATGTGGAAGGAGGGCAAGACGGCGAGCACCTTCTTGTGGTCGGAGGGAGTGATTTGCATGACCTGCAGGCACTGTGCAATCACGTTCTGGTGTGCAATCATGACCTGCGAGCGGATCAGTATTGGCCTCCTCATCAGGGGTTCGCCCCTTCACGCCTACCGCTTTCGGGAGTCCAGTCGTGCCCGAGCTAAAGGACAAGAAGCCACAAATGTCCATGTTGGTCTTGCCCTTGGGGATGGTGTAGTAAGGCACCTGCTCGCTCTCCTTCTTCCCCTCCTCAACCAGGTCCTTGATCGTCTTGTACCCCTTCATCTCGCCCTCAAGCAGAAACAGGTTCTCCTTGGGGATGCCGGCCTTTTTCGCCGCGGCAGTAGCCACTTCCATCGAGTCCGGATGCTGTTCCCCAATTCATCAGTCAACGCCTCCATCTCACGGACAACGTGACAATTCTCACCGTCATGAGGAACTTGGCCTCGCCCTTCTGCAGCGCATACGTCATCTCGTCCAAATTGTACGCCGGACTGGCGCCCGACACCTTGCCGCCCACGCGCAGCGTCGCATGCATGGCAATCGGGTACCAAATGTTATTCTGGCTGAACAGTGCCACCGTCTCGCCCACCTTCAGGCCGTACTTCTTCACCAGCGCGGTGGACACGTAGGTCGACACCTCCTTCACCTGCTTCCAGTTGAGCGTCTCCTTCGTCTTCGCATTGTGGTAGCCCGCCAGCTCTGCCTCGGGGAAGCGCGCGAGCGGGCTGTAGGTGGGGTGTTCGAAGAGCCATTGCCAGGTTGTGAGATCCCTGGGGACTGTGGGAAGGTGGGTTAGTGGGGGGTTCAGGAAGCGGACACGTGAAGTGTTGGGTTTCTGCCATTGCAGTGGGACGTACGGAGAATGTCGTTCTGCAGGCTTTTGAATGGCATCTTGATGTTGGGTGACTGGTGAACAGTCAGGTTGATGACCGTCACTTCATCGGGGGGTTGGAGGTAGTCGGCCGCCCCTCGGCCTGACTTCTCCGTCCGCGGGCCAGCGCTCCAATGGATGGCCTCGGTGGCCGAAGATGCGGGGAAAGGTCGTGTGGGGTAGCTCTTGGGGCTAGTCATAAACTGGAAAGATATCACCGTTGGTGTTACGTTAGCCGACGGATGAGGTAAGGCCGCAAGGCTAAGGTACGATAAGCCAAAAAGCTCTATACAACAATCGTCACCGCACTTCTCTCTCTCTCCCACTCCACCTGACAAGGCAGGCCACGTCGACCATCGCGCGAAGCATGCTCACTTCCACCGCCCTTCGCTGCGCCCGCTCTACCGCTCCATTCAGGTCTCTCCGCCACGTCGTCCCATCCCTCGCCTTCGCCCGCACCCCAACAATGGCCTCGCTCACCCCCCGCCGCGAGGCCTCGAGCAGCAGCGAAAAATCCCAAACCATCGCCCTCATAGGCAGCGGCACCATCGGCCTCTCCTTCGCCGCCCTGCACCTCGAGAAGAACCCCACCGCCACCGTCACCATCTTCGACACCCGCCCGGATTTGTACGAGTACATCACCACCCACCTGCCCTCCTACCTGCTCGACGCCCACACCTCCGCCAGCTGGCAGGACCGGCTCACGCTCGCGCCCACGCTGCAGAAAGCCGTCGAGTACGCGGACATTGTGCAGGAGCAGGGGCCGGAGAAGCTGGCGTTTAAGAAAGGCGTGTGGCCTGAGATTGAGAAGCACGCGCGGGGCGATGCGTTGTTCTGGTCGTCGACGTCTGGCATCCCTGCCAGCGAGCAGAATGTCGATATGAAGGACAAGAGCCGCTTGCTTGTCGTGCATCCCTACAATCCCCCGCACATCATGACACTGCTCGAGGTCGTGCCGAGCGCGCAGACGACGCAGGCGAGTATTAACAAGACGCTAAAGTATTGGAGATCACTCGGACGCACGCCGGTGGTGATCAAGAAGGAGTGCACGGGTTTCGTAGCGAATCGCCTGGCTTTTGCGTTGTTTCGCGAAGCCAGCTCGCTCGTTGCGCAGGGGGTGGTCGATGTGAAAGATCTGGATGCCATTGTCACGTCATCCATGGGCCCAAGATGGAGCATCGCCGGCCCCTTCAAGGCATATCACGCCGGAGGCGGGGAGGGAGGCTTGGAAGCACTGATGGACAAGATTGGCGATACAATTCAGGATGTCTGGGAGGCCAGTGCAAAGGACATCGAGAAGGAGAAGATTAACGTCGGCGAGGAGTGGCAGGCGATGGTCTGCAAGCAGACCGAGGAAGAATATGGAAACATTGACACCAAGGAGCGCGACTTCAAGACGAGAAAGGTGTTGCAGGCTGTGCAGGATAAGGTGAAATAGGGTCTCCCTCCACCCTGCTACATCTCAGGACGACAAGACTCGCATGGCCTGGCGACGTCTTTGGGTTGATGCCTCGCCATCGAACATCATTATCCCCTCTTCGTCGGCGGTACAGTCGGAACAGGCAGGATGACGAACGTGGTGACCAGCGTTTTGCTTCCATCAGCAAACGTATGCGTCAAAGTCACCAATGAAGAGGACATGCTGAAGCCCGGAGCGCTGATCTGCGTGGCGGACGTCAAGCTGCTGGGAGGTGAACGTGGCGATGCTGTCGCGGTGGTGCTCGGAGTAGGCGTCGGCGCAAGTCCGGCGGATGTCGGGGTCTGCGTCTGGGTGTTGAGGATGGTCACTACGGAGTTCGATGTTGCAACGGTGATTTGGTTCGAGGCACTGAGCGTCGTGGTAATGGAACGCAAGCTGGAGACAGAAGACTGATTCGGGGCACTCAGTGTGGTGGTGATGGAATGCAAGGAGGACGCGGAAGACGGGCTCGTGCCACTCAGCGTCGTGGTGACTGCAGTGGAGGTTTCAGTGGTGGGTTGGGCGCTCAGTGTGGTGGTGATTCCAATCGAGCTTCCCGCGGGAGTCAGAGGATTCGTTGTCGTGGTCGACGCCGCACTTGTATCGATCTGCTCCACAGCCGTGTGCGTCGTCGTGATAGAAACACCAGAGCTTGTCGAAGAAGAGCCACTGGAGCTCGTCGAAGAAGAAGCACTGGAGGTTGTCGAGGATGAAGGTGGCGACTCTTTATATTCCGTAGTGGTGATCGAAATGAACCCCGTCGCCATCGGCTGCGCACCGCTAAGCGTCTTCGTAATCGAAATCAACCCCGAACTTGTGCCCCCCACGTCCCCCATATTCCCGCTCGACAGAGAAGAGCTCGATGCGGAGGCCGTGAACGTAATAGTCACGCTCACCACCGAAGTGACGGTGCTGGTCGGCAGAGGAGTAATCGTAGTCGTAGTAGGTGTAGCCGCAGTACTCGTCGATCCAGCTCCAGATCCACACATTTTCCAACACCGCCAACTACCCGCCATCTTATCAAACCCAATCTGCCCCAAGTCCGCATACCCAGGATACACGATTGGCGCCGATGCGTTGCCCGTGCAGTTTGAGCCGGTGTACAGGAAGCAAACTTGGCCTTCGGACGGGCCGGCGGAGGATATATTGCCATTTAGGCCGGGGGGGAGTTGGGGAGCTTGGTGGATGTTAGTTTTCTGGCCGGTTGTTTGGATGTGGGTGTGTGTGTCGCTTACCGAATTCACCTGGGATGCCGCAGAGATTCTGTTGTTCGCCTTGCCAATTTGCTTCGGTGGTCACGAACATGCAGACATAGTCGGTGTTTGCTGCAGACCTGGTGGAGATGTGGGCGGTGAGTGAGATGGTGGTGGTGGTGGTGCGATTTGCGGTTGTGAGGGTGTAGGTTGCCAGTTGCAGGAGGAGGAGATGGAGCCAGAGCATTTTGAGTGGTCTGCTCGAGTGGTTTTATGAATGGAGCGAGCTGTAGACAGGTTGAGAGCTGGCGAGGCGGGGCTTGAGGGGTTGGGATGAGTGAGGAAAGGGGATGTGGTGTGAGAATGGGAAGAGAGAAAAGAGAAACGGCGCAAATGCCGGTGAATGTGTGGTGCCTTCCCTTTGTAGAGATGTAGCGTGGTTTCTTTCTTTCTTTTTTTGTGGTCTTCTTAGAATGCGAGGAAGGAGCTGTGCGATGTCCACATGATTGTGAGTGGACCTCATCCGTACCCAATGCTTCTATTTGTATCAATCCGAATTGGACGTTTTTATCGTTATGCGTCAATTACACTTTCGTCATAAGCTTGAGTCCCGTCTGTTTGACTCTGGCGAGAATCATGAAAAAGGTCCTGTTCGCTCGTCAGCATTACTGTTTGTTGTCAACCAATTAGCGAAATAGTAGAGTACATACCCGCCAGTCAACATGCATCCGGTATAGATCTTGAGATCCAGGTAGCTTCCACGGTCGTGCTGGATGATTGCGCCTCCAATTGGGGTGGAGATGAGGGCGGCAATCGAGATGATGGCGAAGATGGTGCCGGTGCGGACGCCTATCTGCCGCACGTCGGAGATCTGGGCGATCATGGAGGGAAGCAGGGAGACAAAGGCGCCGCTGCCGAACCCGAAGAAGGCGGCGAAGGTGATGATGGCGGCGTGGCTGGTGCCGGGCACCCAAAGCGCGAGCGTGATGATGGCTGGGAGGTTGATTGTTAGCGCCACTGCGTTCACGTGAGGGCGGTGGCAGGCTTACCGGTGAAGGCGTCCATGATGATCATCATGTTGAAGCGGCCGATCTTGTCGGCGAGGAAGCCGGGGATGGTTCGGCCGAAGAAGGAGGCGGCGTTGAGGATAGGGACGAGGTATTGAGCGAGGCTGTAGTCGATGCCGTAGTGCTCGCCCTCCAGGATGATGAAGGAGATGGGCAGGAACATTCCCATGAAGAAGAGGAAGGCGCCGGCGACGGTGAGGTCAAAGACAACCTCCTTGAGTGGTCGGATGAACTCCATGACGACGACGGGTTTGACTACGTGCTTCATGCGAGAGGTGATGGTGAGGTTGGCGATGATGAGCATGAAGAGGAGGAGGAAGGCTGTGCAACGCATGGCCCACGGGAAGCCAATTTCCGGAATGAGCTTCTGGACCTGTCCGTGGATCAGTACGATGGGCGTAGTTCGGGGGTGACTGCAGCACACGACATACCATGATCGGCAGGATAACTCCACCCAAGGAGCTTCCTGCGGCAATGGCGCCAAAGGCGGCGCCTCGCTTCTTGTAGAACCAAGTGGTGACGCTGCTCATGGCGGGACTGAGTGAGGTTAGAGGAGCTGGTTGTGTCGACGAAAGTGTAATATACTCACTAGAAGAGGATGCTTGCTCCGGTACTAGCACAGATGCCCTGTGCCAGTATGAACCTGAGTGGCGGATATTAGCAACACGATCACCGATTGCATCGATGCACCGGATTACTCACTGCCAGTATTCGGTGCAGAGGCTGGTCATCATCAAGCCAAACACCTCCAAGAAGGTGCCGACGAGCAAGAGGTATCTCGGTCCATAATTGTCGTAGACTTTGCCAATCACCGGCCCGAAGAAGAACATGAAGAAGACAGTGAGGGAGGAGATCCATCCGACGGTGCTAGGAGCGTAACTGGAGAGTTGGTGCTCCTGGTAGTAAGCTTGGAAGACGCCGACGCCTGTCACAATACGGTCAGTCGGGCACGCAACCCTCAGCATCCATTCGCTACTCACAATTGATCCAACCGAAAGAGGAGAAGAGCACACAGAAGCCGCCGAGGAGACAGAGCCATGCCTGTCTGCCGCCGTCAGGGTTCTCGCGGGGGTCGAAGAAGGCACCCGGTGGTGGGCCTTGGGGTTTCTCGGGAACGCCCTGCTCGACGTCGACCTCGCTGTCGCTGCTGGGCTTGTTGGAGTACGCGTCCAGAGCGGCGGCGTCTTTCTCTGATGCCATGGCGGAAGATGTGGGAGGGGACAGACTGGAGCGACTGGGGTGTCTGGAGGAGATGCTGTGATCAACAGTAGGTGAGAATGTCCGGTGAGCAAGACAGGGACGTAGAGAGCTGAACGATCGATGGAAAGCGAAGGGCAAGAGGGATTCGAAGTGAAAGATATGTGTCACGACGACCTACCTCTCCGGGGATAAGGAGCCATTATTAATGCGTCGCCATTTTACACCGTTGCACGCGAATGCCATGCAGACGGCGTCGTAGTTGGGGCCGGGCGCCGCGAGAGGAGGTGTACAACAAACCCCGAATCCCCGGGCGGGGCGGGGAAGGGGCGAATCAGACGAGGCAGTTGCGACGGTCCGCTACGGCAGGCGCCGTGGGCCTGGCCTTGGAAAGCCTTCTCGGGCTCAAACTCTGTCCGATTTGCTCGGCCGAAGCGGACAGCTCATCTACCAAGCACGCGGCGAGCTATTCACAGCTGTGTTGAATACCGCCTCAATGCTGGGTTTCAGTCGTCGCGTCCGCATGGCGCTTTCATGACGTGCTCGACGTGAACACACGGTAGTTCGGCCTTCCAGGTCCGCAGCATGGGCTCGTGTTGCGCAAGAGACATGTCGTAGGCTGCCAGGGGCGCGCCAGTGTGGTGCAAAGATCGCACTTGAGGGCATCTTCATTCGGACGTCCTCTTATTCATACCGCTATCACGAACTCTCCTCACTATGCAACCCCAGCATGCAAGGCATCATGACCACGTTTCTGCCCGACTTGTCTCTCGGTGTCTGATCTATCATCTACCGCCTTCCGTACATCTCTCAGCGCAGGATGCGCCAGGATTTCCGGCATTGAAAGACGTCGCCGTGGGTCTTCTTCCATCATGCCGCCGATGAGATGCTCTACGCTGTCCTCAGGCCGGCACATCAGTCGCGCTCGAGCCTCTCGAAACTTCCACAGCGAAGGCCCCTGCGCATCCCGCTCCGGCACAAACATATTGTACTCGCAACTCCACGTGATCTTACCCACCAGGAGAAAGTAAGCCACCACACCCATACTCCAGATGTCGACTTCCTTCCCGTACGTAGACGCAAATGCTCCGTTTTCGAGCTCGGGCGCCAGATACCCCACGGTTCCACAGTGGCCGACACGGGGCTTGTGTCCATCCGACGTCTGACAAATTGCCTGCCCTTCGTCCATGATGATCGCAAAGGGCCGCTCTCCGAGCTCCACCACCCCCAAGTTCGTTGGTTTCAAGTCCCGATGTATCCAGCCGCAGTCATGAAGTGCAGACAACCCGAGCAGGGTTTGGACGAAGAGCCTCTTCTTCACAGTTTCGAACTCTACACGCCATCGTCCCTTGGGCCTGAACTCGGCGAAATCCCCGAGAGCCAATGGCTTCCACAATAAGTACACCTCGCGATAAGGAGTCGGCGGTCGGTCGTGGGCGAGAACCGAATGTTTTTGCATCACAAATTTGCTATATCGATGTTCGCGGATGCTTGCAAGGATCTCATCGTATACTTGGAGCTCTTTCGTAGCAACGTCACCCTCTTTTGTGCTAAGGCGGAGTCGTTTCACGGCAACGACTTCTCCGGATCGCACGTGAGAGGCAGCGTGGACAAGGGACACGGCTGAGGCGCCAACAACACCATGCAATATCCAGTTTTCAATGCGCACATCGTGCGTAGAGGGTGTAGCGGACGTGGCTTCGTACCGCTTCTCTTGCCCGTAATATTCTGTAAGGGCCCGCTTTTTCGCTCGCTGGAAAGAAGCTTCATCCGAGACTTTGAATTCGAAGATGAAGCGAAATGGGCCGATGGATATCCGGGCGCGGCTCTCCAGTAATATCTTCGACCTTGGCGCAAGCGGCCGATCCTCCACGCGTATACCCTTGTGCCGAGCGTGAAGCCATAATCGGCCGTACTTCGAATCGAATGCGAAGTAACCTTGCCGAGCGTAGACGAGATTCGTTGTTGATGGCGATTCTGACAGTAGGTGCGACTGATGCTCTGAAGCATGAGGCGGAAGTAAAAGGTCGACCCCGCCAGACTCCGGGTATCGAACTAGATCTCCCGTTCCAAACCACCAGCCGAGCTGTGGGTTGAGTGGGCCCACGCCCTCCTCGAGACTTAGAACATAGCAGGGGGCGCCGTCGAACGAGTATTCTTCATCGTCAGATAAATCTGCCTCAGTGGTGAAGCCCGAGCTCGATTGATCGGGGTCTGGGGTGAACGCAGGACTGCGCGTTGCGGCGAGTGCTCCGGCCTGGCCTCGAATGAACTTTCGTTGATGCTCAAGATTGTGCGAAGCTTGATCGTAGATTACTTCGAGAACACTTTGCATGCCTCGAACAGCTCGAGGATTGGCTGCAGTCAGGCTTGCGAAATCGAGCTCGGCAACGCCGGTGTCAGGCATCACCACGCGGACGGAATGTGTAATTGCTCCTGCTGTGAGAGCTAAGTCAATGAAGGCAAAAGAACGATACCTCTCATCTGCCTTTTAACGTGGCGGCTATGCTGGCAGCCACCTACTGCGCACGTCGATGGCACAAGTCGCTCGGCAGATATAGGCGCTTGACGTTGATCTTCTCTGTCCGCCCATCACAGGCACCCTCTAAGCGCCAACATACTTTAGCGCTCCCTTACGCACCAATCAGGGTAGGGCATTTGCTGCGTTGTGCCGCCTAGCGGAAAGGGTTGTTTCATGGATGCAGAAGTGACAACTTGCTGTGCCGCACGCTATGGTTTTCAGCGCCTGGGTAGCCTTTCATCAAGGCCGTGAAATGTGCCGTGCTGCGCCCAGAATGAAGCTTGTTTTTGGAACAATATATCATCTCGGATGAAATCGCCGCCGTCAGTCGGAATCACTAATCTCCTCCGCCTCCGCAAGTTGTCTCGCTGCTTCAACCCTCCACTGTTCACGAGCTTCATCGGGGGTGGAGCCACGCTTCCATGCTTCGGCGACTTCTGCACCATACTTCCTCACGCGACAAGATTGCCCCAGACTATTGATTTTGTAGGCGAGTCGAACTTCTTCGCCGAAATTTGGATCGTAGATATCGTAGACATGCTCCGGTCGGGTACAGGGTGCCGAGGGCGTAGGACTCGCAGAGGCCGGAAGTTCGAAATGATCCTGGGCAACTGAAGATCTCGCAATGTCATTCCTGGGAAGCGTGCTTTCATGTGATTTTCCCATTGCAGAGCTGAGGTTTCTCGTATCCCTGGCGCTCAAGGCTTCATCCCGCACCCGAGTGGTATTCCCTTCCAAAATCGTGGTCTCTTCCAACTTTTCAACGCTGCTGGGCTTTCCATTCTCATCGGGATCGCCCCGTTGTTTCCTTGTATTGCTTCGTTTCGGCCGTGATGCGCGACTGGATATGATAGAGTCATAAGTCGGAGCTGAGAGTGCCCCAGCTCTAGGTGATGCTGAGCAAACCTGGGGCGATGAGAGCTTTCGCTTGCGGGTGTCTTTCGGAGCGGATGAGGCAGATATCCGGGCCGACGAAGGCGTTGGTGTGGAAGATGTTGGCGTCAAGAGCTGCGTGGGCACGGGCTGGGTCACAGCAGTCCCAAGATCGTTCGTAGTGTCGACACGCTTGTTGGAAGATGGGGAGGCGTAGCTTGGGCACGCAGGCGGCAACGGCTTCTCCTGCACTCTTCGCCGCTTGGCTGGTCTGTGATCGTAAAAGTCGTCATCGTTCGCATCACGCTCGTAGCAGCGTGATCGCGTGGCTGTGACCATGATGTGGTGCAGGTGGAGTCCAGGTTGGTCGGACGTGGAGTTGGGGTTGGAGTTGGAGATCTCCGGAGTTGTCTCGGCCGAAAGCCGGCCGCCGTCGCACCTCATCTGCTGCTTGTACTTGGTACTTCGCACTCTCATCTCTGCCGCGGACATCCATAGCGCTCGTAGCGTTATCTGCCTATTTCTTGCTGTTTGGCACTGGTCATTTCGAGATCATGACTGGTGCACTACACATACAGCTTTCCTCCCCTGACTGAGGGTGCTTTAAGCCAAGGAGAGCTACGTGTTGACGGTGCGTGAGCTGAAGCGAGCAACGCCGGCGGAGTAGCTTCCAAACATTGCTTCTTCATCTCGGTAAGAGCCAGATGAGGCATGAGAGCAAGGTGGATAAGGAGAAGGCATGGGGACATAGCCTTAGGAAAGGTATGTGATAATGCATCGCTGATATTCTTCATTGTCCCTCGCCCTATATTTCACCAGCGAAAGGCACAATCCGCACCGTATCTGTTGACACACGTCACGCCAAACTTCTCCGTCCATGGCCGATCGTCTCTCGACTCAACCGACCGAAACTCTTGGAACAGACGGGTCATGATATACTTCACCTCAGTCATCACGAGTTCCTGCCCAAGACATAATCTCGGACCTCCTCCGAATGGCGTGTAGCTGAAAGAAGACCGAATCGTTCGAATGCGCTCGCTACTCTCTGGGCCGGAATCGATCCAGCGATCGGGGTTGAAGACCTCGGCGTCCGCACCATAAACATCGGGATCTCGTTGCATCGCATAGCTCGACCAAATGACGGTGTGACCCGCAGGGATGAACATGGGAGCACTGCCATCGCTTCCGCCACCTCGAGGCAGTACAGTAGGCACCAGAGATTCTCGGCTGTTGAACGGCACAACTGGAAACACCCGAAGGGATTCATTAAGGATTGCGGAAAGGTACTGCAGCCTCTTCAATGAGTCGATGTCCGGCTTGCTCCCTCTCGGCACGACAGCGTCGATCTCCTCTCGCAAGCGCGCCACCACTTCAGGTCGTCGCGAGAGGATGTGGAACGTATTTGTTAGCAAGCCTGCCGTCGTGTCTCGTCCGGCGACCAAGATGTTCAGCAGCTCCGATCGAATGACGATCCTGTCGGTCGTCTGCTGCAACAGCTCGTCAAGGAACGTGTGGCGCTCCTCTTTGCCCACGAGTGAGCTCTTATCCGGCTTCTCCAGTCGCGCGACCAGCTTCTGTTCGATATACGAATCGATGTAATCGTTGACAAATTTCCTCTGGCGTCGGAAGTGACGGATATCGAAGAGCTCTGCAAGCTTGCCAACGCGCGACACATACCCGATATGCTCAACACAGGCATCGAAGGCTTTGAGGAAGTGGTCGTCCGACCCTTTCAATAGCGACTGTGTGGGCTCGCCTAAGAGATACTCTGTCGCGAAATCGGTCGTCATCCGAGAAAAGAGGTTGCCCAAGTCGAGTGTCGCACCCGGGCCTGCCTGCTTGATGACGGAGATGAGACTTGCGACGTGTTGCTCGAACATTGGCAAATTACCAATATCCTTCTTGCTGAAGCTGGGCTTCAATAGGGAGCGAGAGTGTTTCCAAGCCACGCCGTCAGTCGTGAATACCCCGCTCCCCAATGCTCGACCCCATGAATCTTTGCGTCGCCCACCGATACCCCAGGACTGGAAGTCGGTAGCCAGGATTGCCTTTAGGTTATCGGGACTCATGGTATAAGTCATGCGCTGTCCGAGATTCAACATGGTGTACGTCTTTGCGCCGATTTCCAGGAAGCGTGCTCGATTCACCTCCAGCAATCGATGGGATTTGGCCGCCTGGACAGCCGCGAGGAACGACGAGACTCCATAGTACCGCGTTGCGTACTCTGGCGGCGGCACGCAGTTGCGACTGTGGGCCAGAGCTCGATTTTTCCTCTGCGTTCGTAGCGAGTCCAGGATACGGACGCAGAGCAACAGCAGGAGGGCAAACAGCAGTGCGTTGCGGGCATGCTCCTTCAGGAAAGACTTCATGGTGAACGATGAGGTTTGTAACAGCTGGGAGGAGCGGCGAGCTCCTATGAGTGACTATTGAATGGGCTGCAGAAGGCCGATCTTCAGGCTGCTTACTTCTGACGGATTCGTAAGCACGCATGCGACCCTTCCGAGGTGGCATTCATGGACGATCGGGAATGCAGGGTGACCCGCAATAACGCAAAACAGGAAGGATCTTCTGCGGCCTGATTCCATGCGCAGACATGGCCGGTCTAAGCACCTCTGTTGTGGAGATTGACCCTCTCGTCTGTTTCACGTACGTTCAAACCCGACAACAATGCGCTCTAGAAGTGGACTGTCTCCAATGCATTGTCGCCTAATGTATAACACGCTCATTACCAAAAAGAATGAACCAACCCCATCTCCACAAGCGCCACCGGAACAGAATCGTCAAAACGAACCACAAATACAGCTGCATCGTCGTCACGAATTCCAGTCCTTTGGCGGAATTCCAGCCTCTCCCCGTCCAATGGATCCAATTCTTCATCCCATCGATATCTGGCTGTGTTGATGCGTCGACAAGATACACCAGCAAAAGACGAACATAGATGCCGATGTGCGACGCACCTACGCTTCCGATACCATCAACCCAAGTTGAATTCAACGCTAAGATCGTAGGATTGCCGGGAGGAAAGACTTGAAGGTAGAAGTTGGGCGCGGTATAATCGTTGGCGTGAGGGCTGAGGAGCTCCAAAGACGGACGATAGTAGCCTGTCGCCTTGATACAGATGTCGCACTTTTCGAAGACGGGTTTGGGTAAGCATTCGTCGGTTGCAGCATAGGGCACGTATTCCACCCCGTCCGAATCAAAACGATTCACGCGGCAGTTCATCCATGTAACATGCTTTTCACGCTATGAAGACTCTCAGTATATGTTTCATCGCTCTTGTTGTAATAGAATCGATTACCATCAGCTCGAACACTCGACTGTTGACGACGGGGGTCTTGCTGTACACCATCGATCTTTCACCAGAGGGTGCAAGGTGGCGGAGATCACTGCGGTAGCAGAAGAACCGGAGGAAGTACTCAAAAGCAGAGTCGCAGAGACCAAACGGGTCGACAATCAGCATTGCCATGATCAGGTTGAGCAGACGCCAACGCGGAATGATCCACCTGTTCGACTGAAGAATCAAGTCAGCATGCGCACATGCTTCTCTCTTGCCGTAAAGTGCTTACTCTCGCGCAGACCTTGACCGAAGCGGCTCCATTATCACAAGCGTGCTCGAGCGCCTCTGCAGCGCTCGCCCCCGCGCCGATAATGACGACCCGCTTGTCTCGAACCACGAGCCCGTCGAGACTGGAGGAGTGCCGGACCTCCCCTTCAAACCCATCTTCGCCTGCAACGTAGGGAGCGTACGGTCCTGCGCAGGTTCCAATGGCGCATATCACGCCGTCAAAGGTACCATATCGCTCGTCTTCGACGACCCATCGCTGCTCCCGCCGATACAGCCCCTGCACTCGACAGCCAAAAGTCGTTCGCTTCTCAAGCTCATACCGGTTCCACAACCCGTGTATCTGCCCAAGAATCTCCGCCTGCCTCGGGTACGGACTCTTCCAGTCGACTTCGGGATGGAAACGATAGAAATCCGAGGGAATCTGCAGGCTTGAGAATCGATTGACTCGCGGCCAGATGCCCCCTATCGCTGACCCGGTCTCGAAGATGTGGCACTCGAACCCAAGTCCGAGAATGTGGCAGGCGGCCGAGATGCCTGTGATGCCAGCGCCGATAATTGCAATGCGCAGGGCGGGCTTTCCCTCACCATGCTCAACGTAGGGCGATGTCTTGGATGCAGTCATGCTTGAAGAGCGGGAAGAGAGCGTGAAAGAGCTCTTATAATGTCGGATAAGGAAAGAGAACGCACTGCACCCAACAGCACTATATTCGCGGGAAAGATCACGCGGATGGTCCTCACAATCCTACGTGTTCCCTGCTTATGGCTTCGGATTCGCGTGGTGGAGGCGAATTGGCCCGCGGCTGACACCGCGTTGGTGATCACCCAATGCTACGCTCACGCTGTCTCAACGTGACGAAGCACCGACCCTATAGGGTGAGGATCGACCCAATGGTGGGTAGCATCTTTGCTATCGGGAAAAATCATGTCGAAGGGTGGATAAGCTATAGCCTACCGCTACATCATGGGCGTGACGCAAGCGTGGCGGCAATCGATGAATAATGTTGCCATTCCTGCAGACTTAGCGCTTCTTGTCTCTGTATATCCGGGCCAGAGACCAATACCATTACGCACTCCGAGGTAGATTTGGACGACTCCCACGTACAACCGTGAATCGCGATATGGCGCTAGCCAGGCGAACTACCGAGCGGTGAGCAGATCGTCTGGCGCTGCCAACTGTCAAATTTCAAATACAGGTGGGACTGAAAATCGAGGAAGGCAGATCCACAGTCCTCAAAGACAAAATTTATAGCCCCCATGTGCATCGCACTCGCGAACGTAGCCTGTCGTCGGTCAGCGCAGGAGACATGTTCAGCATAGCCCGTCTTTGTCAGACCGCGTCGGTGGAACCAATCAGTGCTCGAGCCTCACAGCCTTGCGCGAAGCATGGCCGAGGCTGATTGGCCACGCTCACGGCCAACGTCACAAGTCCGTCTGCCCTCATGCGCAAATTCGATGACGGGCCCCACCCACAATTCGGTTGCAGCATGGTCTGTACGCGATATGGAGACTGTGCTGCGTACAGTCAGCACTAATTGATGGCGTTGACGCATGAATTTGACGGGAGTGTGTGCTGTCGGGGAGCGGCAACGGTAAGCATCGTCCGAGACGCCACCCTCCGAGATCTACATTCGACGGGCGAGGATGTGGTAAGCTCGTAGGCAGGCTATCGTCTCCGCCTGTGCTTTTCTTCTGCCTCGACAAACGCTTGATCATTCGTTTCTTTTCAGCCCACAACAGAGATTATGTACGCTTTTGCGGGAATCTCTCAACAATGACGGCTCAATCCTCCGCCAAGAGCGACACGGCCAGCGCCGACCCCGAGGAGCAAGCAAAGGCTCAAGACGCCCTTGAAACCACTGAAAAGACAGAACAAGCTCCTGAGCGAGACGCGGCCTCTGAAGAGTCGCTCATCGTGACATGGGATGGTCCCGATGACCCAGAAAACCCGCTCAACTTTTCTTTGCGCTACAAATGCTGGATCACCGCCATCACGTCGCTCATGACATTCAGTGTGAGCTTTGGGAGCGCAATTTGGGCGGCAGCAACCGAAGCCACGGCAAAGGAGTTCCATGTCAGCAACGAACTGATGATTCTCGGAATCACGGTGTACGTACTCGGTTTCGCCACCGGTAAGTCGTTGTTACGCCAGGCCCTGCTCAACAGCGCCACTGCAGTAGAAAGATCCTGTGTCGACTGACACTAAGTACAGGTCCGCTTATCTTTGGCCCCATGTCCGAAGCGCTCGGGAGAACACGGCCTCTCATGGTCGGCTTCCTGCTTTTCATCATCTTCCAGATCCCGGTGGGTGTGGCGACAAATCTCGAAACGATCTTCCTTGGCCGCTTCTTGGAGGGCGCGTTTGGTAGTGCGCCACTTGCCATCGTGGCTGGCACGCTTGTTGACATATTCGACACCATCCCTCGGGGGGTGGCCACCATGGCCTACATGGCGGGCATCTTTGCAGGCCCTGCAATGGGCAATATTGTGGGCGAGTAGGTAACAGCTTGTCTGCCTTGCAATGCCGGCACTGACTGGGGTAGATACACCGTCCAAAACCCCGCGCTGGGCTGGAGGTGGACAGCGTGGTTCACCATGATCATCGCCGCGGTTGGCTTTGTGCCAGCAGTGTTCACCGTTCCCGAAACACACAACCCAACTTTGCTCCGCCGCAGAGCTGCACGCCAACGCTTGGAAACAAAGAACTGGGCGCTCCACTCCAAGATGGAGGAGGAGCCGATTCAGCTGAAGAGCCTTGCGGTCAAATACGGTCTCAAGCCCATCCGGATGGTCATCCACGAGCCCATCCTCTTCATCATGACCCTCTACGTGAGTCTGGTGTACGGCATATTGTATCTCACGTTCGTGGCGTATCCCTTCAGCTTCGAAGTCGTGCGAAGGATTGAGCCAGGTCCAGCGTCGCTTCCCTTCCTCGCCATCTTCATCGGCGTCGTCCTCGGAGCGGCGGGCATGGCGTGGGAAATGCGCGCCATCTTCGCCCCCAAGCTGGCCAAGGCCAAGATACCCATACCCGAACAACGGCTTCCGGTGACGATCGTGGGGTCATTCATCCTCCCAATCGGATTGTTTTGGTTTGCGTGGACGAGCTCGGCCAGCATCAACCCGTGGCCGCAAATCGTCTCGGGGGTCTTCATCGGCACGGGCATCGTGCTGATCTTCTTCTCCACCATCATCTACTTGGTCGACGTCTACCTCTTCGATGCCAACTCGGCGCTGGCCGTCAACAGCCTCTTCCGCAGCGCTGTGTCCGCGGCGTTCCCCTTGTTTGGCGCCATCATGTATGAGCGGCTCGGCGTGCCTTGGGCCACGAGCATTGTTGCGTTTGCCTGCGTGGCTTTGATTCCCGCACCAATCTTGTTCTACATTTATGGGAAGCGCATTCGCAGTTGGAGCAAGTATGCGTACTACTTTGGATGAGGCTCGTGTAGACACAGCGATAATGGTATCAGCGACTCATGTCTCTTAGAATGGAATGCCGCTGTCTGCTAGCCCCACACTGGATTTGATTACTCAGCATTCATGTCAACGTCATGCCATGCCACCCATCATGTTTCCATGCACCCTTCTTGCGTAGGTCGCCGCGATGCCACCCAAAGCTCCCAGAGCCGCGGAGCCCAGACTCTCGGCCCATTTCGACGCCTTCAACTCATCAGCGACTGGGCATCAGCGAGCGGAGAATCGACTGAGCGGAAGCACACTGTGGCGAGACTCAAGACACTTGAAACTCCGCGAGCAGTTTCGCAGCGGCCATGAAGGCGGCAAGAGGATTGCGGACACGGTCGGCGCGGGGAGTGATGGGAGTGTGAAGATGGGTTTGCTTGAGAATGGGACGGTGACGTGGCGGAGGGAGCAAGATCAATTGAGTTTGCAGGAAAGTTTGGATGCTGAGAGGGCGAGGAAGAGGGTGAAGGTGGACTATGATGACGATGATGCTCTGTCTGGCAAGGTGAGCAAACTGGATTCGAGGAAGCCGAAATTGCGCGAGACGAAGGAAGAGGATGAAGCTGGCCGACCGGATGTCTCGCCCTCGCGCTTCCTCTCCCCAATCGACCCCAACAGCTCCTTCTCGTCCACATCATCAACGAAACAGCAAGACGAGAAGGACGACACGGAAACACCAGAGTACCAACACACCGCCCCTCCGCAAATCTTTCACAACCTAGCTTTCTACATCAACGGCTCGACCGCACCCGTAATCTCCGACCACAAACTCAAGCGCCTCCTAACAGAACACGGAGCTGGCATATCCATCGCCCTCGGCAGACGAACCGTCACACACGTCATTCTCGGTCGGCCTGCGAGCAACGGCGGCGCAGGGGGTGGGCTGGCGGGCAGCAAGATCCACAAGGAAATCTCGGCGAAGCGAGGGGAGAGTGTGAAGTACGTTACGGCGGAGTGGGTGTTGGAGAGCGTGAAGGCGGGGAAACGATTGCCGGAGTCGAAGTTCGAGGCGCTGAGGTTGGCGCCGAAGGGGGTGGGCAGTGTGGCTGGTATGTTTGGGAAGAAGGAGAGGGTGGGGAAGACGGTTGATCATGGTTGAGGGGGTTGGCGTTGGGGTATGGATCGCAATGCCCCTTGGCTGCCCTACGTTTACAACATCGACATCTGGACTTACTGTGCCACTCAAGCCAGCTTGGTCACTCCCTCCAACATTGGGAGTATAATTGCGCAGAGAGCGGCATGAGTTGTAGATATCATATACGCATATCGCACACTCGGCTGGCGTACGTACCGGGGAGAAACGATGAAACTGCAGCCATTCGGCCAATGTGGCCGTGAAAGCCGTCACCTCTGTTGGCAAGACAGTCATCCCGCGCTCTCAGCTCCATCATCAAGCTCGCTCAGCTCGGACTCCTCACTTTCGTCCGACGCCTTCTTTTTCTTCTTTCCGACTCCCTTCTGGCCCTTCTTAGCCGCCCTGTCCGCCTTGGCAGCATCCTTCTCCCGTTTCCTCTCCATCTGACCCTCGATTCTCTCCCGTTCCTTCCGCCCCTTTCTCGCGAGCTGGGCCTCCAGCCCCAAGAACTCCTCGCTCTCAGTGTCCATCCCAACGAGCGACTCCAGCAACTTGATCTCCCGCGCCCACACCCCTTTATCCTCCTTCTCCTTTCCCTTTTCATCCTTCAACAGCACCCCATCGTCGTCTCTCGCTTCGATCGGCGTTTCGAGGATCAACGGCAAACCCTCGAATCGAGCATCGTTGACGATGTTGTGAAAGGTTCGCAAGCCGAGGAAGCCGGTGCCGATATTGGCATGTAGATCCTTATGGGAAGCAAAAGGTGCTTTGGAGTCGTTCATGTGGACGGCGCGGAGGTAATTGGTGCCCACGAGTTCGTGAAACTTGGACATGGTGTCGTTGAACGCGAACGGAGTCCGGAGATCGTAACCACCGGCGAAAGCGTGGCAGGTATCGAGGCACACGCCCACGCGGGATTTGTCGTTGATCAGGGCGATGATGTCGCGGAGGTCTTCGAAGGTGCTGCCGAGAACGTTTCCGCCGTGGGCCATGTTCTCGAGCAGGGTGATTACCGAAGACGTCTCCTTGTGCGCGCGGTTGATGTTGGAGGCGAGGTGTCGGATTGCGGTTGGTCTGTCGACCCCTGACGAGTTGGTGCCGGGGTGAAAGTTGTAGTAGACGATTCCCAGGCGCTCGCAGCGTTTGAGGTCGTCGAGGAACGAGTCGTAGGCCTGCTCGGTGCGGGTCTTGTCGGTGTGCGCGAGATTGACGAGATATGAGCCGTGTGGCACAACGTACTTGGCCTGATCATACGTATGAGAGCCACAATTGGAGTGGAAAGACGTGCAGACGTCGTCCAGCAATGGGGGATTGGCCCACTTGCGCTGAGATTTGAGAAACAAGGCAAAGGCATTGGCTCCGATGTGATGGCTGTTCAAGACGGCGTTGTGGACACCTGACGAATGTTTAGCTGTGAAGTCTGTCATGCTCGCGGTCACTACAAACTGACCCCCCGCGCCGCTCACGTGCGCTCCGATGTACAGCTTGTGTCCGACCGTTCGAGCAGCGAGCGGCATGGCCTCGGCCTGCTTTTCCTCCGCCGTCTTTCGCTTACGCACGACCTTTTTCTTCTTCTTTTGAGCGGGGTCTGTGTCCAACTCGGAGTCTTCCTTCTTGACAGTCTCCACAGCCTGACTTTTGCGTTTCTTCGTCACCTTCTTCGTATTCACTACCATCTCTTCGGCAAGCACTTCTTCCTTGACTTTCTGAGCTTTGCGTCTCTTGCTCGTTGGGCTATGAGGCTCTTCCACCCCATTGGCCAACGATTTGTCCGACTCCTCCTCTGCCTTCTTCCGCTTCGGCATCTTGCAGCGTCATTCGTAGTGGTGAGGTCAGTGTTCAGTGGCTCGAGATTCCCGAAAGAATGACGGTTACTTGCCCTCAGCATGCAGGAACGTGGAGCTTCGGCACGGACCGTCTCCACTCCCTCACCACCCACTCACTTCACTTCACTCTTTTGACACCGCCTCAACTCCCCATGCCATGGCCTACGTGAAAATACATCATCTCCATTCATCCACACGAAAAGAAACATCATGCCCAGGCAACTCCATTTTGATTTCTCGCAGTTATGTTCGAAAGATGAAACACAATCTGGCCTACTTCCTCCGACCAGCGAATCCAGGGCCCCACTCACAAACGAGCGTAGCCGACGTACTCGCCCGGCACCGCGTAGTCTGGCACCTTCATGTCAAGCGCACGACCACTGTACCCGAGATCTTCGGCCGTCAAGACGGCACACTTCTCGCCAATCAACAACGCCGTGCTGTAGGTGTTGCAGCCGACATTGTCGGGGCAGACCGACAAATCGGCCACCTTCAAGCCCTTGACTCCGTGCACGTTCAGGCGCTCGTCCAACACACCATGCTTGACGACACTGTTGCCCTCCTTCGGGCCCATGGAGCACGTGCCGAGCGAATGCCAGGTCTGGACGAGATATTTCGTTAGCATGAGTTTCGTGCACTGGGCATGATTCGGGCAAAACTTACAGTCTCAACGTGGCGCTTGACCCATTCTTCGACAGCCAACAAGTCCTCCTTGGAGTACACCAGGTCGTCGCGGACCGTCTGCTGGTTGCTGTTGAGCATGTTCTTCTCGAGCGGCTTCCCATCATCACTGTGGATCGACCAGGATCCGTGCTGGATGTTCGCAGTGAGATGGTTGGGCCCGGCGTATGCATTCGTCGTTGCCAAGTCCATGTCCTTGGCGCGGGCTGCGCTGTCGTAGCGGTAGAAGGGATGCATGCCCGTGACCTCTCCGGCGTACGCGTCCATACGACGAGCGGTCTCACGCGACTTGATGTAGCCCCACACCATGGGGATCATGTCTCGCTTGTCGTTCATGAAGCCGGCATCGAAGTCAGGAGCATCGTACGCCGAAGCGCTCGTGATGTGAGTAAAGCCACGGGAGAATGGATACTCCAAGAAGCTGTGCTTCAGTGTCAGCGTGGCGACCCCTTGTGTGGACTTTGAAATGCTTACTGGAACATCGTGAAGAACTTGCCCGGAGGCATGAGCATGTGGTCACCAAACCATCCGGCGATGACGGAGTAATGCATGACGGGCTTGTCAGGCTTGTCCTTGAAGTAGCTGTCCCAGCCCGAGATGAACTCTGGGAATGGCCAGCTCTTGAACTCCTCCAGCTCCTTCTCGTTCGGTCGCACCTTGACACCAGCGTCGATACCATTGGTCGCCAGCGGGCCAGTACCGTTGATGTTCCACTGGGCAAACACCTTCTCCTGCGTCTCCTTGTCGCCACGCACAAAGTCGTCGAACGACTCGACATGCGGCTTGGCACGGTAGGTGGCAAAGGTCAGGTAATGATCCTGGAAGTTGAGACCGACACCTGGAAGGTCGATGAGAGGCTTGACACCGGCCTTGCGCAGCTTCTCGGCATCACCGATGCCGGAGCGCTGGAGGATCAAAGGCGAGCTGAGCGTGCCGCCGCTGACGATGATCCACTTGCGAGCCTTGAAGTCGCGGGACTTCTTCTCGTTGGGGTGAAGAGGCTTGGTCGGCACGGTCCTGACGCCCACCGCGCGGTCGCCCTCGAGCAACACCTTCTCGCACTTGGTGTTGACGGCAAGGTGCAAGTTCTGGTGGTGCTGGCGAGTGGAATGGATGTAGGCATGGGCCGAGTCAGACCGACGGCCAGAGTCCCTGTTGATCCACTTGAGCCAGTGCTCAGCACCATGGCCGGTGACCAGATCCTGCAAGTCATCCGTGACGGGGATGTCTTGAGACTCGACTGCCCTCAGGAAGTCCTGCATGATGGGGTAGGTGTAGTTTCCTGATTTTGGTCAATGACAGATCACTTCGTCAGGGCAGTCATCACTCACCGAAGCTGACTTTGATTGGGCCTTCGAATCCGTGAATGTCACGGTTGTTGCAGGCACGTTGGTACGTTTCGTGCTTCTTCATCAAGGGAATGAGATTCTTGGTCTCCCAACCCTTCATCTTGAAGTCATCGTAGTCGGATGCTGACGCACGCGTGTACATCTAGGGCCATGTTAGACGAGCAGTTTTTCAACTCAAGACACGTTCAAACATACCATGAAGTTGATGCTGGATCCTCCCTAATTTGGCAACAAATCAGCAAACCATCCCCGCACATGTCGACATCCATTCAACTTACGCCGAGAATGTGAGCACATGGCACCTGGAGCAGACGAGCCAACGATTAGCCCATGTCTCGAATTACGATGCGGCGGGGTACGTACGATGGCCCTACGTCCCAAGAGCCATTCACTTGGTCGGGAATAGTAGAAGGTGGCAGTCTTGCTGTCCAGCTTCATGTTCCTGGGGTAGATACCCGGACGGAACACCCATGGGTTGTTGAGGTTGCTCTCGCCACCCTCGACGAGCAACACCTGGAGGTTATGGTCCAGATTGGCCAGACGGCCAGCCACCACACACCTTGACAACGGTCAGCAACATGGGACAATTGAACGCAGGAAGCTAATACACACCCGCATGATCCACCGCCAACGACAATGATATCAACCTCGTCTGGTACAGTCATTTTCGCGTTTGAGATTTCGTTTTCCTATCAAATTGAACAAAACGATGAAGGAGAGCTCACAGCGAAGTTACAGGCGGCAACCCTGGTATTTACTGTCAGCGACTCCCTCCACAATTAGACGCCCGGCACAGAGGAAGAGGAGCAGCCATCCAATGATCGAGCTCAATGCGTTGTATCCCCGCGCAAACCAGGTTCTCCACGGCATGTGGATACAAGCGTGACGAATGCCTGCAAGCAATGAGGGGCCAAAGAGCTCGAAGATCCCTCTTTGGGTGGTATACATGCTACGACAGTACTGGAGATCCCTACCTGCTATCCCGCGCAGGCCGGAGGAGGCGTGAGTACGTACTCTGAGGCAAGCAAGACAATGCTGCGCCCTGCATCCTTCGCCCAGAAGAGGACTGTTCCCCTCAATGCGACCCGCTTCGTCCAACCATTAAGGTAGCTTGGATGGGCAAGGGTGTTGGCTTGCGCTGACGGGGTGGTACTTCTGTCACGAATGTGCTGTTTGATCAACTGGGAAAGATCCGAGCGTTTGAGAAGAAGCGTGCAAGATCTGCTCAGCCGGCACAACCTCATCACAGTATCTGTCTCGTCATTCCAGACGGCGCCGTCGGTCGACCCATGAACAGTCCCAAGCTGTCTCGGCCTGCCGGCATGCAAGCCGTCCGTCCCGGCCTTGCCACGGTACAAATTGGTGGATATGCGGTGCGAGCTCCGGTGGCATGCTCAACATACGACGGCACCACGGGATGCTAGTGAGAAGCATGTCGCCCCCAATCCACCCAACGCTCGACGCCACCTTCACATGCCCTCCTCAAGAAGCTTTCCGCCGTTGTCTTTCCCCACACGTTAAATGGCGTTAGAGTTCGCATTTGCGGGGTAGCGTCGGAGGCTGTCGTGCCGCCCGTCCAACGCCCCACCTTGCCCGACTCCATCACCAACCACAAGGCTGCCCTCAGCTCACCGGCCGCCATGACGTCTCAATGATACAACGTGCTACATCCATCGATCAGGCTGACTAGGTATTTTCAGGAGACTAGAGGCCTCGAGCCAGAAGCATTCCACGCCAACAACGCAGCAAACGCCTTAGCTCTTGAACTCAATGGCCACAACGGACGAAGACCGGGGCCTGTCCTCTGCGCCCCCACTTTATGTGGTAAGACGAGTTCCATGTCGGACCGACGAAGATCAAGGGTCCGCCGAGCTCTCAAAATCACGCAGACGCAGACGCATGGCCCTTCGAGCGGGGAAATGCTGCGTGGGAGCTCCTTCAAAAAGGCAATCGCCGGTCTTGCTTATCCCTGTAATTGCATTTGGTCGCTGCTCGTTACCAGCTTGGAATAGGCATAACTCTCGGGGCGTTTGCTGGCCGAAAGTCTGTCATGTTGGCCAGCCCGGGGGCCTAAATTTATCATGAACTCCGCAATATGCTCGGCGCATGAGTCATTTATGCATCTCGATCCGTACACACACTGAGTAGATGGCAGTCGGGCGGCATCGAGACCGCTTTCCAATGGTGTGGAGAGGTGCACAGTCACATTGTCTTTAGTCATGAGTTCGGCGTGGCGAAGCTCCGCTGCCGGTGCATTGAAGCCAGATCCGACTTGCGCTCACAACATCATTTCCGAACGAGTCTTGAGGAAGAGCTTGGATTGGCAGGCTCCATATCATCGTACATGTTCTAGCAATACATTACCGTCTACGCTTCTTCCGAAATCTTCAATAGTGAATCCAACTTCCTGCCAGACTTCCGAGGTCTTCCCCATCGATACCGCCGCGCCGCCCTCACCCCGAACACAACCAGTATGGTGCCGCTCACTGCTCCCCAGAAAAGCCACACATTCGAACTGTGCAAGGGGTCCCGCTCTTGCTGCTGAACGAGCGCTTCTGAGATCGGTGGTGCAAGCGCGATGGTCGGATGTTTGGGGTTTAGCTGAACGTCCGTTTCGGTGCGCGCCGACCGGCCCAGTACCACGCCTTCGGCATCCAAAGCGAAGACGACAACCTCCTTTATGATGCCTTGGTATGTCATCAACGTCTCGAAGCCCTGCCGCTTGTGTGTCCCGATCGGATACATCTTGCTGTCCTTCACCTCGTACACCTGCCACTGCGCCACTTCGGTGGCACCATTCCAGCTCACATACACTTCTGTTCGTTGCTGGTGCTCGGCGGCCCAGGCGTATGCATCTGGTGGCGTGCGGGGCCAGCCTGTCCAGGGGTATTTGTAGGCGCGGTAGGAGTGCTGTAATTGCGCGGCCCAGCTGGCGTTCAGGAGCAGTTGGCCGGTCGCGGAGTGCTCCGCTATCACAGAGCGGTCCCACCAGGACAAAAGCGTGTTGCCGCCATCCAGAGGCTGCATGTTGCCTCGGCCGTGAATGTGGTTGGAATGGTCAAAGGTGCTCAGCTCTTGAGCAGTCATGGGCGACGAGGCGGTGTTGAGTAGTATTGTCATTCCCCGCGGAGGGTCGTTGCTCTTGTCAGGCTCTCCTGGTCGGACGGTGGCGTCCATGATCGAGAGGATGGTGTGTGTTTCGTTTTGCTCGCACACTCGAGCGTCGTTCTGTCCGGGGAAGTGATTGTCGAATTCAAAATCGCTGTAATTGCCTCCGAACCTCCAGAGGATCGAGCCGTCGATGCCAGATATCTTATACAGGGCATCAGAGTGGCGGAGGGAGAGCAGATACTCGCCGTCCGGGAACTTGTCGACAGAGTTGGCCTGGCTGCTTGTTCGTCAGCAATCGACACATCCGCAATGAGACCTGCTGGTACTACACTGACAGTGCGTCCCATGTATCCCATGCAGCGCGGGCACAGTCTGCTTCTACGAGCGTTTCATCTGCCCTGATATGGCCTCGTGCATTCCATTGAAAGGTGAGCGCCCACGTATCGGTGTCGCGCTCTTCGAACCCAGGCCAGTGCACGAACTGTTCACCATCGCATCCGACATTCGCCAACTCTTCTTGCGGTACTAGACCCCGGTCCTGGGTCAGAACCAGCGCCTTGGTATCGTTGTCAGCCAAGGCGAAGTCGTGGAGATTCACACTCCCGATCCTCGGTGGAGTGACGACTTGGATGACCTCGTAGCCATCATCGAGAATCGCGTAGGCATTGTTGAGGGTGTAGACAGCGGTCAGCCGGTCGACGCCGTCGATATTCGACACTTTGAAGTCTTTGACATTGTTGCCGTGGAACACTTCGCCGCCGCTCCATACCAATTCACCGTCGTCGTCGTAGATGTTCGGACTGGCCGACACATGCATGCCGGAGTCTTTCTTATCGACGTAGGTGTACGTAGGGGTGAACCAATAGCCCGGCGCCAGAGCTTGCCCATAGTGCATCCGCTTTACTCACATGAAATGTTAGCCAGGGCCGAACCTTGGATGGTCACAACCGCCGACGGAACCGTTGAGGAGTACTGACCGTTACGTCCCATCTGGGAGCGCGAATGTCGGGTCTCGTGACGAAGTGGAAGAAGTCGTCCTCCCGGGGTTTTGGCGTCTCGCGGCGCGGAGTGGGCGTGTCTCGCGCCCATGTCTCCGTGCCGAGCGAGAGCGAGAGCAAGAGCAGAAGAGAAGTGAACATTGCGTGCGCTTGACGAAGAAGCTGACATTGAAAGTGTTGCAGGAATAGACAGCGCGCCCAAATGGCATGGACAAAATGTTATTTAGGGAGGAGACAAAGCAGCAAGTACTCAGATACATTCTCCGGTCTTCTCATCAAGAGTGTACAATCAGGGGAACCGTTGTAGTAAGGCTGGCAGCCATGGGCGAAAGTGACGCCTGTGCAGCCAATCCCGTCCTTGTCACAGCCTGTTCATTCCCTATGTGAGCACAGTAAATGAAATGGGCAACTTTAAAGCCCCGTGCTGCCTAAAGAAGAGTCAGCACACCAGCACATTTTCGAAAGGGGAAGCGTGCATGGGGACGGCTTCCATCTTGAATCTATCAGAAGATGAGATGTATTTCATGGCCGTCGCAGTAGCGAGCAGGTGGTGCGATGTCTTTTCAGCCGCAGCCTTGCCAAGGCAGTAGGAATGCGCCGGGCAAGCGAATGACAGCTGACGGGCTGCATCCGCTTCGGCAGGAACTTATCAGTCAATCCTTTCGACTGCCGAGCCAGGCTGTTTTAGTACGATATGATCTCCCCTGCATCCTCGCGCCGGCAGGTAGATTAATAATGTCCGTGGATGTGCACTACAGTACTCCCACAACTCTTGGGCCTTTGGCACTGCTCTCAACCCAGCCTTCCAGCAGCGACTCGCTCCGCACTCGTCATGCCCGTCGGAATGTACAGCAATGCATGATCTTCAGCAATATCAGCGTAAGGATGTGACTGCAGCGGTCTCGGTTTCACGGATATGTCGTTATCAGGGGGTAGTAGTCGATCGCGGCAAAGGCGCGTCCGCGCGGAAAGAGGAACGCGCTCTACCTTGCCCCGACACCGGCTTTCGAGGGTCCGCCATGCCAGATTTGGCATGTGCTCGCGAGTTGACGATAAGGCCAGGGCCCGGACCCACCTCCACGAACGCGGGGAAGCGAACTGGGTATCCCGGGGGAAGAGATATCGGTGAAGGTGATATATATCCGCAGGGAGGAGGCTGGAAGGACGTCGTTTGTTGGATAACACTCATCGAGTTTCAACCTCGACGTATCCACATTCTCTTCCTTGTGAACGTCGACCCACGCCTCCCCAATCCATCGAGTCCAATGGCAGATCATCAAGAGTCTGTGGACGTACAGTTCCCCCCGGGCACCGTTCGGCTCGAGCGCAGTCAGTCACAACTCCAGCACGCAGTGCAATGGCACCCCAAAACTGACAACTCCAGTCCTCGACCGCACAAAAGGAGAAATCATCCTCCATCCCAGACCAACGGCCGATCCCAATGACCCGCTCAACTGGTCGAAATGGTACAAAGCCTGGAACTTCTCGCTCGTCTGCTTCTACACCCTCATGGTGTTTGTGAACCTCGACATCGGCACCGTGGTGTGGGGCGACACGCAGGAAGATCTCGGCTACACCTTATCGCAGAACACCTGGGGCTTCGGACTCAATACGCTCGGCCTGGCGTTCGGGTGCATCCTGTTCATTCCGTTTGCGTTGAAGTACGGCCGCCGACCGGTGTATATCTTGTCTGCGGCAGCGGATTTGGCGACGGCGATTTGGCAGGCTAAAATGCAGACCGTCGGCGATCTGTATGGATCGAATCTCATCTCTGGGTTGGCTGGTGCTATTAGTGAGACCATCTGCCAGATGACGATTGCCGACATGTTCTTCGTGCACCAGCGCGGCACGGCGAACGGCGTTTTCATTGTCATGGTCAACATCGGAGCCTTCTTGTCTCCTGTAGCTGCTGGCTTCTCGGCCCAGAATCAGGGATGGAGATGGCACGTAGCATCCGTGCTGCACAACGTCATATCCATCGCTAACACGTTACAGGATCTTTTGGTGGACTACCATCTTCTTTGCCATCCTCTTGGTTGTGTTCATCTTCTTTTACGAGGATACCAAGTACATCCCAGCCGCCCATGGCACGATTGCCATTTCCGAGGATGAAGACGCGCGCGTTGTTGTAGGAGCTGAGAGCAATATCGACGGCAAAGTCGACAGCAAAGGCGAGGACATCAGACAGACCGAGTCCGCACTCTCACAACAGCACACCCACGGCTCCAGCATCCCGCGCAAGACGTACTGGCAACGCTTGAAATTCACCACGACATCGCCGGGAGGCTTTGCGCCTTTCCTCAAGCACATGGTGAGCATCCTCCTTTTCGCGTACTAGACACGCATACTGACACGAGCTGCAAAGTATTTGCCGTTCGTTATTGTCCTGACCTTCCCGGCCTTCACGTACGCCGCAATCATCTACGGCTCGCTCTTAGCCTGGTTCTCCGTCGTCGTCTCCGTCTACAGCGGCTACTTCATCCTGCCACCCTACAACTTCTCCGCCGTGGGCGTAGGCCTGATGAATCTCCCGCCCTTCATCGGAAGCGTCATCGGATCCGTGTACGGCGGACTGCTAAGCGATTGGCTGATTGTGCGTCTCTCGCGCCGCAACAACGGAATCTACGAGCCCGAGATGCGGCTGTGGCTGGCACTGCCGGCCGTTTTTATCCTTCCGGGCTCGCTCCTGTTCTTCGGGTTGCCCACGGCTGAGGGGCTGCCGTGGATTATTCCTGCCGTGGGTGCGGGATTTTTTGGGTTCGGCTTTTCTGCCCTGGCTGATATTGCTTTGACGTATGCGATGGATTGCTATCAAGAGGTACGTACGCCGGGTTTGTGATGGCCAGGAATATACTAATCCGTGTTGCAGATTATCGGAGACGGCTTCGTGGCCGTGTGCTTTGTGCGAAACGCCTGCGCGACGATTGTGGCGTTCCTCTTGACGAATTGGATCGACGGCGTTGGTCTCGCGGCCTTGTTTTGGACATGTGCTGCGCTGTGTCTTGCGCTGGGATGTTTGACGTTCCCCTTGATGATATATGGCAAAAGACTCCGCATCTGGACGGCTCCGCGGCTCAAGGTCATGGCCTCGAGGCAGTTTGGGCATCGCGAGTCGTAGAGGTCGCGGCATGGATGATACACGCTTGTGTGATTTGATAGCCTCACGTTTCCTTTACGCAGCGCAAGAAACCTCGGATCTCCTCCAGGCCGTCCAAGTCGTTCTGTTGATGTGATATTTGGCGGCCTGTTTCTCGACAGATGGCGATTACCGACGCCGTGCCTTTCATTAGCTTCTCGCCCAAGGGTAAGCAGCCGTCGAAGTCGATCAGAATAGGCTCCTCGTTGGAATCGATACAGATGTTGTGCGGGTTGATATCGTTGTGTGCGAGGCCAAGAGAGTACAGATGTTCTATGGCGGCCGCAACGCCATGGATCACTCGTTTCTTCTGATCGGCGGAGAGGCCGTTGGCGGCGTAATCTGGTAAGTTGCCATCGTAGCGCTTGAGACAGATGTGGGAAATGCGGCCTGCTTCTTCGACACATCCGAGATATGAGACGATGTTGGGGTGTGGATCCTTGGAGAGTAGTTCTAGAACCGTGACTTCATTCAGGACACAATCGGCCACAAATGTTTCGCCGGGCTGACAATCGTCGTATTGGAACGACGGAGCCTTGAGGTAATGGATGGCAGAGTTGACCTTGGGGGCAACTTTTACCGTGTCGGAGAACTTTGGATGTATACAAGCGGATGGCACGGGTGATAAAGCGGCGAGAACGTCTCCCTCGTCAATCTCGTCGGCGTGTTCAGGCAGACGTGCGGTGTATGGGCTTCCTTGGACATAGGCGCTGACGGAGGTGTATAAGAAGCTCTGCTTGCTGTAGTCTTCCGTCCACTCGTGCACTTCTCTAAGGGAGAAGTAGGAGCCGTCTGGGGTTGTCCAGTCCATCCTTTTCCGCTCGAGTCAAGGGAGAGTTGTTCTCTTGAGGGGAGGTGATTGGGATGAAGATGAGGTTGTCGATGCCCGGACCAGCCCCACGGCTACACGGCGCCTAAAAGGCCGACGCTAGCATCGGAAGCGATCCGCGCAGCCAATCGCGAGCGTCGTCTCGACGTACGCGGTATCAAAGGCAACCAGAGCTGCAGGGCCGAATGGTGTTATGCGTTGCGGTGGACGGTGACTCCACCATCGTCTCCATCTGTCCTCGGGCATCGTCTCTACACCACCGCCAGCACTGTGAATCCATCTCACGCAATACCGCCAACACTCAAAAGAGCCCTACCCCTCGAACTGCTCGTATCCTCGCCCCAACAGCTTGGACTCGATCGTCCGACACTCTACTCTCCACGATCCCATCTCACTCCGTCAAGCAACGATGGTATGCTGAGGTGGGCACGACCATTGGTGGCATGTCAGAGAGCCGCCGATGGCGGCCTTCGCTTCCCATCAAATCGGTAGTCGAGCATCGTTCAGCAATGGCCTCAACTACACCGACCAACACGTCCCCGCCGGCTCCTGCAATTACCGCGATCTCAGCATCGGCACGCGAGCACCCGTCTGCGGATGCCAGCGCTTCTACTTGAACGCAAGCTACTATGCACATCAAGACGCTGGCGCCGAACGAACGTGGTGCTTCTGCGGCCACCACGCCTGCTTCCATAATGACTTCAGTCCGCAACACACATTGCAAGAGCAGGGTACAAGTGCTTCTAGAATACTCAAGCTGCCCGAACAGCATGAGACAAGAGTGCCAGGTGATTTAGATGGATTGGCACCTGCGATCTCTGGGAAAGCGCCAACGGGGCTGGGCATTCGCGCAGACTCGCGTTCACAATCCCAATCCATCAATACCCGAGTCTGGCAGGCGTTGAACGAATTTGCTCGTAATCAAGACGATGGAGGCGTGTCAGACACAACATCCAAGCTTGCCTCGACCGCGCCGCCAAGCGTTATTGACGACAACACTCGAGTCCAGTCAAGCCATACCGCTCAACGACAACTGCAACCTCATCGCTCGATGCGCCCGCCAATCAGTATTCCACCTACGGTTGTTCATCGACCCAACGAAGATTACAGCGCGACCGAGGTGGCAACGCCGAGTATCGCTGGCACGCCCGATTTCCGAGCACTTGCTCCAGCACCTCGTCCCGTTCGAACCTCTCTAGACCTGCTGCGGCCTGGGCCAGTTGATCGAGATTTGCCCAGCAGTCGACAAGCAGATGAAGTGCTGGCAGAGCATGTGGACTCTCCCCAGGAGCGTCCGCATGCCTCTTCTCATGCACCCGCCTCGCTGCAAGAACTCCACAATCTCATCCGCACGTACAGCCAGCGCTTGGAGGTTCTTGAGAGCCTCTCTTTCTCCTATGTATCGCCCGAGGAAATCCAAGAACGCTTTGAGCTCGTCGACGGCCGTCTTATTGACCTGGAATCCTGGCGTACGGAACATGACCGGGAGCACCCAAGTCCAGATCTACGCGACCCTCGCCCGAGTAGCAAACGTCGAAGACTCCTTCCGACCGAGACAGCGTCCTTTGGCTCCGATGCTTCCTTTGACAGCAATGCAGCTATCCATGCCGAAGCGGCCGTTCTCGCCACCTTGGCCGCCAATGCAGAAACGCACCCACGCATCGATGCTCTGGAGAGTCGTGTAATCGATCTCGAGAAGGCTGCACTCCCATCCTTCGCTCACCCATGGCACGTGCAAGTCGCTCTACTACCCTGGGGCAGAGAGCTTAGGGGCATCTGGTTTTCCTCGACCGAATCGACGCAGCACTCCCTCCAGACACAACCCGAAGAGTGGACTGGAGGGCAAGCAGCGCCAGGACTGTCTTTTGGCGCATCTGTTGCAGGTGCCTGGACAACCGAGTCGATCGAGGCTTGGGCTAACGAAGCACAAGAGTGGTTGTCGCCAAAAGCTTGTGGGCCCAATGGAACGGTATTCAAGCGCCTAGCCAGTCGTGGCTTGGTTCAGGACATCGTTCTCACCGCCGCTGATGCACGGCACATCTTGCACCGTGTGAGCGAGACCTTTCCAGAAAGCTGGCAGCGGCGAGCAGCAGAAGGTGCCAAGGAATCTACGTCTTACCAAGGCCTCAGTGAGCCCTTTGTGCCTCTGAGAAAGGCCCGCAAGTCGTCCCGTTTGCGATTCCTCAGCCCATCGGAGTTGGTTACCTCGGCGACCTGGACTGCTGCTTTTCTAGACGCAAGCGTCTTTATGAAGACTAACGGTGACCAGAGGAGACTCTACGTGACGGTTCCAGAAGCTTATCTCCAGCCAGCCGACTCCGTGGACCTCACATGGGCGCACATCCGCGCGTTGCCCGGTCCTTCCACAGAGACCCAACCCTCCGCCGCCACTCAGCAACCCGTCTCTGAAACGTGCTGGGCATACCAAACGAATCTCGATCATGCATTCAGCGCGCTCTCATCGTTCGGCTCACACGCATCTCAATGGAGCACGCGCAGCCAAATCGCCGACACCGCCGACCAAGCACATATCCGAGCACCGCTCTCCCCAAGCTCCGAGGCTCGCGTGCACGAGCACGCAAACCATCACCGATTCGTCTCGCTCCCAAGCTCAATGTCCACCCCCGCCGCTGCACAGCACCTCGGGGTCAACGCCCCACAACGCCGCGTCGTCTCCCTCGACCCTACGACTATAGGGCAGAAACACAGCTACTCCGAAGAAAGCATCGACACCAACGGCATGCCAACCACCAGCACTTCAACAGCAGCAGCAGCGCCCAAACGCCGCCGCATCTCCCTCTCCCCCGAAGCCGAGCGCCGCGGCGTCAACTTCTCCCCGCGCTGGTCCCGCGAGCCGCCCTCGCCACTCACAGCCTCCGAAGCAGCGATGGCAGGCACCGGCGCGAATGGAAGCGAGAATAACAAGAGCCCAGGAAGCCGCAGCAGACAGCAGCGGGGTAGTACGCCTTTTGCGTACGCAACGCCGCATAGTAATAGCAACTACGTTGGTGGTGGTGGTGGTGGTGGGCGAGCGGATTTGGGGTTTGCAACGTTTGGGGATGGGGATACGGAGGTTGGGACGGAGGTTTTGGGGGGTGCGGCTGGGAGTGAGCATGGGGAGGAGGAGTGGGAGGGGGTTGTTGATGTTGATGATGATGACGGGCTTGTTTCTGCGGAGCTTCGTGGAGATTTGGATTTGAGCGAGGGGGAGAGTCTGGATGAAGAGCTGGATGGTTGATGGAGTGATGAGGGTCGGGTTTTGTGTGGCATTTTTGTTTTCCGGCAAGCGAGGGCGTTCAATGGTGTTCTTTCATAGCGACTGGGTGGGGGGTTTTTGCATAAGACGGACGACACGACACGACACTTTGATCTCGGCGGATTATTGGGGCCTCCCGACCGCCAGTGTATGGATGAGAGGGAATCTCTGGTCAATGTACTTGTATCTAGATACAAACCCTAGATAGCACCATCTCCAATCTGAAATGTAACGATGTGTGTCATAGGTCTCACTGGGTGCCATTGTCGGGAAGAAAACACGCAAATACGGAAGGGCACAAAAGAGATTTCTACGCCATTGCAACGAGTCGAATGCCCACAAGGACGAAGGCAAACACGCTTACCTTGTGCAAACACATGGAAGGGACAGCTCATTCTCGCACATTCGCGAGAATGTCAGAAGGTTTGTTCAGAGATGCTTGCTTGCATTGAATAGTCTAATTCGTGGCTGCATAGCATCTCTCAGCCACCACGCTGAGGGAGTTCTGGTATGGTATCTAGCGGATGCGTTTCGCAATCCGTCCCACTCTTGTGCCTCCTCCGCACGCCATGAATGGACTTTTCGGACAGTCGTGCGAGCGGGTCACTCATGCAACGAGTTGCACCACACCGCCGGCTTCCTTGATCTTGCGCTCGGCATCTTTGCTGAAGTATCGTGCGCGAACGATGAGGGGGATCTCGGGGATGCGGCCCTTGCCGAGCACTTTGCTGTAGCCGAGAGAGAGGAGGTCGAGGACGGGGGCGGTGTCGGACTTGCTGCCGGCGAGGTACTTTTCGCGGTGCTCGAGAGGGACGAGGGACCAGAGCTGGAAGAGCAGGCAATGTCAGTCGGCGATGGAGAAGACTCAAAAGAAGGGTGGGCAGACATACCTTGTCGAGGTTGATGACGGGCTTCCAGAACTGGTTCTTCATCTTGTGGAAGTATCGCATACCGACTTTACCGAAGTAACCCGGATGGTACTTGTCGAGATTGGTTCGGTGGTGATGTTGACCACCGGCCATACCACGACCACCGGGATGCTTTCGGTGCTTGCCCACTCGTCCATGACCGGCCGAGACGTGGCCACGGCTGTGAAGGTGGTGTTAGTATGCGTTTTGAGCAGCGCAGGTCGCTAGCTGGCGCGCGGGCAACTCGCAAAGTCTCGCGCTGTGCTGAGAACCATGCTTGTTGGGAGAGAGACGTACTGCTTCCGCGTTTGGGTCTTTCGTGTAGGCATTGCGGTGGTGTTGGCTGTGCAATACTGAAGCTGAACACTGGAGAGAGATTTCGAAGTGGTTTGCGGAATTTGGATGTGTGCTGAAAGTTCGCTTACTCAGCGGGCTTGGCAATCGCTGCACGTGACCTCGCGACCTCACTTTTTGGACAGCAACCAGTGCAGCGAGGAAAAGCGACTTTACCAGCTCGAAAAAGACTACTGCCGTGGGATTTGATGAACTCGGATCAATTTGGCGATTCGCTATGCTGAGTGAAGCGCTCAAGGGCTATCGCGCTGCATAACCCCTTGCGCCGCTCTCAAAATTCTCTATCCCTTGCCGGCGCGCGCTATCACCGCATGATCTCGTAGTCTTGTGTGAGCATCTTGTTGCGGCGATCGATGCGTACTACCACGTCATGTACCCGATTGTCGTTACTTCTACCACCCTGCCTTACTCCCAGCCGTGCCTTTCTTCCAGCCGTCCGGTCCTCTCGAATCTTCGCCCAATGACTTCATCATTCGGTCTTGCTGATGAATGAAGCGCCTCAGTCAGGTCGTGTAATACTCATCGCGCTACATCGGATTTGTTGAGAGGGAGGTCAGGAACTGGAGCGTAGCGCCAGTTACTGTATCGGAGAGAGCGGTTCGCGCTGTGCAGTCCGTCTGCAAAGCCGGGTCGGTCGGCAAACTCAATGACCTTGTCCACCAGCTCTCCCAGCGTCCATACTTTGTAAGATACGCCGAGAAGGTGATCAATGTGGTGATCTGGGTGTTCAGTGACATGGATGACAGATGGAGGATTTGTGGGGAACATCTTGCGCCAGGATTCCTCGTTCGTTGACGCTGCCTTGAGCGCGTTGGTCTTCTTGTCGCGCTCGGCGACCACGATGGGCAACTCAGCAGGCATAGGCCACACCCTCTTCGGTTGGGAGAAGTGTAGTGTGTCGTAGGGAGGGATGATGGTGGTTCCATCTGGCTGGCGTGGAAACTCTGGCCGGCGGGGGAATTCTGGCCGAATATAAATCTTCAGATTGGGAAGGTCGAAGTAGCCTCCGCAACTTGCCGCCCAAAGACGGTTTTCGGGGGGCCACGGTGCCCACACATGGGACTGCCCGTATATCTTGTTCGCCAACGACTTGACGATGGATGATGTGATCGGGTTCCACGATGGCACACACGATGCAGGCTGGCTCTTGAAGAAGAGATCCTGTTGGAGCTTGAGGGAAGTGCTGATCAAGTTGTACCAGACGCGACTGACACGTTGGCAGGTGACCAGTTCCCGGACGTCGGTGAGTTGATGAAGGATATGCTCGAGAAGCTCCGTTGTGTTGAGGACTTTGGTGGCCGCTGATGACGATGAGGCTTTAATTCTTGACCTCTTATCATGCCTTTTGGCTCTCTTACTCATCGCATTCTCGCCGTTGCCATAGTGGATTTCTTTGAAGAGTGCCGACGTGGGGACTTCGCGTTCGTTGGCCCCCTTGCGCTTCGCCATGATGCCCGCGCGATGAGGATCGACGCGTGGAGCAACGGTCTTCGGCGTCAGTGCCGGAGTGTCCCTTTCGACATTTGTCGATGCTTTGTGAGTATGGAGTTGATGCGCCGCGATGGCGGACTGATGGTTTTGGTGTTGGTGTTGATGGAAACGAGAACAGCGTTGAGAGACCCTCACAATCAAATGCAGAGTTGAGAGAAGGTTTGAGGAGGTGGCGAGTGTTTGAAGAGGAAGCGTTTGGGAAGCACTGACCATGAAGTAGCGCGAAGCGCATGCATGCCTTGAACCCTGAGCTCACTCACACGATGACATATCTCACTCGCCCCGAATAAGCTATTGACTCTCCGATGAGGAAGGAGTGGCGAGCAGCGAGTTAGGTTCACAACGATCGCCTATCCTTCATCTCCACCCTGAGAATCTCGGGGTGTCGGTACACTCCCGGCATCATGCCAGTTCCTATCGCCCTCCTTATCGCCTTGGCCATCCGCCGTTGATTTCTCGGTCGCAAGCCTGTCTCATTGCTGTGCTTGATTCGCCCCATGTCCGTCACGTACTCCGACATCATGGCGAAATTCTGTGCAGGAAGGTCAGCGGTCGCGAACAAAGGCTTCAGATCCGAGTTTCGACGCGCGTACCTTGTAGTGATGAATCGGATTGATTCCCAGCTGATCAATATCATCGTGTCGCTGCTTGCCCTTCCGCCTAAACTTCTTCCACTTCGCCTGCTCTGCGCCGCTCAGATCGTGTGGCGCGTACACATCACCAACCCTCCATCTTCGTTGGGTCTGTCTTTCAAGATCCGCTCGACTCCAGGGTCGCTCGACCTCGGATGCGCGTAGTTCTTGTGCTCGCCGACGGGATGCAGCCGCGGTGTCGGAGATGATGGAGCTCGCTATGTCGTAGGATGTTCGAGGCACGGGTTTGTTTGGCTCGGCAGAGGTTTTCGGGGGAGTGCTGGTAGGTGTGGCGGAGGAGCGAATAGTTGCAGCCCGGGACTGCGTTGATTCATTACGAGAAGCTAGGAGTTGGCCTACGCGTTGTTAGATTCGAAGACTATGCAAGTCTGGGAAATGCGAAGCAGCTAACCAGCGAAAGCTGCAGTGGCAGATTGCTGTTGGCGCTGCACCGAAGATGAGCTCCAGGAACGACGACATTGGCGGCAGATGGAGGCAGGCTGAAGCGTGAGCCTCCTGAGCGCCGACTCGATGGACATGGAGGAAGAAGAGCAGACGCGCCGCGATGTTTCTGTCTCGTGCAAGGGGAGGAAGAAAGAGATGAAGTGGAATCTCGGGAGTGTCAATGCATCTCCGCAAAAAGTCTTGGCGCTTCACCTCGATCCATCCGTCCATCATCCATCCTCGACAGCTCGAGGGACAGTGCACATATTCGACTTGTTGAATGCATCGCGTTTCCTGCTTCCAACCCTTCCTCCTACACCATGTACATATACCGCTAATACGCCACCACTCCACATCTCGAAGATGCCGTCTCATCTGACGCGCAATGTCTTCCGCCGGCTCCTCGCGAATGAGCCGATTGTGCATCGAGGCTGTCTGCGTCAGCAGCCGCATCGGTCCTTCTCACATATCGGCAGCACACAAAGACCACGTCCGCATCGAGTCATCCCCTCATCTCTCCAAAATGTGCAGCGCAGATCGTTCTTCAACCTCAACATCTTCAGCAAGAGGGAGGAGGCGAAGGAAGCAGACAAGGACCCCGGGGTGGATAAGATGATGGAACTGGCCAAACGACAGCGGCTGAGAGCGAGAATGCCTCCAACAGAAGATGTCTACCGAGCAGTGAGAGTTTTCTTCGAGGCTAAGGCCAATCCGCAGAAGCTCTCCTCTCGTCGCCCCTTCACCGACACGCAAGCCCAGTTGGTTTTGCAAAGCCTGCGATACCTTGCGACCTCTCGAAAGACCGTGAAAGAGGTGGAAGGCCTCGCAGACGCGCAGGAATCCCAGCCCTTCATACGCAGCAAGCTTGGACGGAGGATGCTTAGCGTTGTGCGCCGCGACAACCAGGCCACCACCCAGGCTCATGTCGACCTCGCTCGCTTCTTATACGAGGAGGCAGAGTTCCCAGATCATCTTTATTTGCGATACCGCGCGTTTGTGGTGTATATCGAGACGTTATGTCACACCCGCCAGACGAATTTGGCTCGCGACGCCGTTCTCCAATATCAGCAAAGCCTACAGCAATCTTCTGGTCAAGATTCTGCGCTAGGAATAGAGGAGGAGAGCTCATCGGAAGCAGTGTTCGAGGACATGCTGATCGAGGATGATGATGCTGCCGCCGTTCAGCATGAAGGGAAGTTCGCGCAAACCGCGTGGGAGGCTATCCTGGCCGGCTACGTACGAGAAAACAACGAACCCGAGGTTCTACGGACCTTACAAGTGATGGACGGCCGCATTCCCCGTCCAGCAACTATGCCTATGATCACCCTCAGCATGCAAAGAAACAAAGCTGCTGATGTTAAGAAGTGGTGGTCACTGCGATGGTCCTTGCGTCCGTCTCGACCAACCCACGCAGATGTGAATGACGAACGGGATGGCAAAATACTTGCAAAAGTGCTACGCTGGTGTATCGCGAACAACGAGATTGAAACCGGGCAGGAGATTGTACGAGAGATGATGGCGTCCAACCCTTCCAAATTGATTTGGGACGCCGTGTTGATATGGGCCGCGGGCACGAAGAGGAGCGTTGATGAGATTGATCGTATGATTACGGTCATGGAAGACTCGAACACACACGTCTCCGACTGGTCGCAATGGCGCATGGCCGACATCGTCACGATCAACGGTCTTGTCGACCTTGCAATCTCCCTCAACGATCCGTACATGGCAGAGAGATTCATTGCACTCGGAAAGAGCCGCAACATCGAGCCGGATGCCAAGACGTTGGTTTTGCAGATGGACTATCGTCTGAGCGTAAACGATGTGGACGGCGCGTTGACCGCCTATAAGAATCTGCAGGCGAAAGACACATCCCTTCACGAGGACGTCCCCGCCGTCAATCGCCTCATCGTTGCGCTTTGCCGGAGCAAGTACCATGATTTTGACACGGTCATGAACGTTGCCGCAGATCTGGCGGATCGTCGAGCTCTCTTCGATGCGTTCACCGTCTCCACGCTCACTTCGTTACACCTCAGTCGCGACGAATACGACGACGTCGTCGATTTGCTGAATACTCATGCTTTCCACTACTCGTCGACCGAACGGACAGGGATTCGCGACGCCATTGTGTCCATCACTACCGACTCCAGCACTCCACTGTCTCGAGCCTGGCGGTCCTACGTGATCCTCCGAGATGTCTTTGACGAAATGCAACGCTCCGATCGCACAGCAATCATGACCGCCTTCCTCGACCGCGGCCGCTCAGATCTTGCCGTGAACGTCTTCCAGGACATGCGCATGCACACCCGCACCGACACCATCCCCACCATCGAGACCTACGTCCTGGCGTTCATAGGTCTGGCCAAGCTACGCGACATTGAAAGCATCGAGGTCGTGCACAACCTCCTCAAAATCGACATCAACATCAACCTCACCACCTACATCTACACCTCCCTCATCCTGGCATACACCGCGTGTGGCCAGCCTCGCACCGCTCTGACTTTCTGGGACGACATTGTAGCCTCACGTGAAGGCCCAACGTACAACAGCATCCACGCGGCCTTCCGAGCCTGCGAAAAGTCCATTTGGGGCCATGCTCGCGCGAAAAAGATTTGGGAGATGCTGCGGTCCCGCAGTGTTGATCTCGACCAGGATCTCTGGGCTTCGTACGTCGCTGCATTGGCTGGCAATGGCGATTTGGAGTCGGCTTTGTCGGTTCTGGAGGAAGGTGTTGCGGCGGGGGAGGTCGAGGTGGACTTTTTCGTACTGGGCAGCATGTATGCTGCGATGGCTGGGCGAGAGACCCAAGGCGATGTCGAGGCTTACGGGAAGGAGAAGTATCCGAAAGAGTGGGAGAAGCTGGAGGCGCTGGGGACAGAGGAGGACGAGAATGGGTGGAAGACTTTTAAGATTGATAGGGCGATCGGGCCTTGAGCATACATCTATGGCGAGTGCAAAGGGAGAACGTTGGCCATCAGCTTTCAGCGCAACAATGAATACCTGCTCTCCCTCGATGACCTCAGCTAGCACCGTCGCTTAGCCGGCCTGCTATCCGAAGCCGACGCGGAGAAGGTGGCACTGCTGCTACTGCTCGTACTGCTGGACGATGTCGTATCGCGGTCTTCACGATCCTCGGATTCTTTGCTCTGCTTCTGCTTCCGGCCCCCCGCGCGACCCTTCCTACCCGCCCTCCTCTCCTCCAAAGCTTTCACAAAGCGCGTGAATGGACCGGTATTGAGCTGTCGGCCCTCAGAGCGGTCTCCCTCCTTGGACTCCAACTCTTTCCTAGCCTGGCCAGTCTCGTCCGAAGAAGGCGAAGAGCTGCTGGTACTAATAACGCCGCTGGCGTGACTAGTCGACGAAGCCGAGTCGGAGCGCGCTCGAGCTCCCGCACCTCCCTCGACGTCTTTGGACTCGTTACGTCTCGCGGCCTTCAGCTCTGCATTCGGCCTGCGTCGCCAGCTCCTGGTGGGTTTGCTCTGCGAAGTCCATCAGCAAGGCGTCGGAGCGAGGTGTGTGGCGTGAAGACTGGACCCTAAGAGTTGCGTTGTGGGCTTTGGTATGGCGAACATGAAGCTGCGAGGGACTAAATCGTTCCTCAGGCTGCTGAGCAGGGGAGTTCGAAGACTGTTGATCGTTGGTGGGACGGTCCATGTCGTAGTCACATAAATTGATTCGATGGACAGGGCTTGTACTGAAGCAGATCCAAGTTGGTACTTGACGGCAATACATATGACATGAATCAATAGATGTATTGAATGCTGGCCAAAGACTACACGCTGGCAAAAGCGTCATCGCACCTCGAGAACCCTCATTCAAGGCCCGCATACGTATGCAGTGTAACGCCAGCCAGCAAGCTCCGCCTAGCTGTTCCATCCAACCAACAGCTCTCCTCCTACCTCTTACAAAACACCAAAGACACTCAATCACTGCTGCTACTACTACTGCTCGACGAGCCGGAGCCACGCCGATGTCGCCGCTGCTCCTTCCTATGCTTCTTCTCCTCCTTCCGATGGTGCTTGTCCTCCTTCTTATGATGCTTCTTGTACGTATCCTGTAGCATCGAGCCGCCGATCGCTCCTCCGAGTGCGCCTAGGACTCCATGTCCGGCTTGGTGGCCGCCCCAGGCCCCTGCTGCTCCTCCGCCTAGTGCTCCCATCAACTGTAGCAAGGATTTGATTAGTGTCGGTTTGAACCGATTTCGCGAAATTGCGAACAGTGCTTACACCTCGCTCTCCTTCAGGCCCTTGGCCTGGAGGATATCCGCCCTGTGCTGGGGGATATCCGGATTGCTGCGGCGGATACTGTTGCTGGTAGTTTTGCTGCGGAGGGTACTGCGCTCCGTACTGGTCTCGCTCCGCGTAATTCGAGCCCTGCGGCGGACCCTGGTGATGAGGACCTCCATAATTTTGAGGCGGGGCTGCCTGTTGATATGGCGCTCCGTAGTTGGGAGGTGGTGGACCCTGTTGAGGATACTGTTGATATCCGGGATCGCCGCCGCCGTAGTAGCCTTGGGCAGAGCCTTGTGTTTGATTGGAGTGTTGCGGGGGATAGTGCTGGCCGGGAGGCTGGTTGTATTGCTGTCCGTATGGCTCGCCGTACTGCGGGGGCTGGTTGTAGTGGTGGCCTCCTTGGCTCATTTTGGCGGATCTGTAGAGGATATGAGGAGGAGGAGTTTTGTGAACGCTACGAGAAGATGATGAAGCAAGATTCGAACGAAAGGAGAGTGACAAGACGGCCAAGAGAGGACAGCAGGTTAAGTACCTTGGCGAGATCGTCACTGCTCGGCCGAGTGGTGGGTAGTGAGGCTGAGCGTGCGGTGCAGTGCCACGTTGCCCGCGTCCAGCAGCCTCTGTTGGAAGAGCACCGCCATGACTGTCGTGAGAGCAGGCGGGTTTTATCCACGTCGCCTCATGTTGTCGTACTTCGCCCTTCACAAGGACAAGACGAAGCGCAGTTGTAGGCGGAATGACGAAGTGGATCAACTCCGCCTCGATGGGTCGTCTGCGGGAATCCTTTGACAGCCTGGTAGCCGGATTCGGAATAGCTCTGGCACGAAGCCACGTGATGTAGTATCAATTCACTCTATACTGTACATAGGGGGAGGAGACGGTGCGTTGGAGAACAAGACTCGCATCATTTCCTTCATCATACTTTCCCAATGACCAGATCGATGCTCCCAGTCTCCGACTCTAGATCTATCCGCCCTAAAGTGCCCGCCCAGTCAGACGCCCTCCCTTTTATCATATGTATCTCGCCGGGGGCGGCGAGTGCTTTATCATTCCTTTGCACATCCCTGCCTTTCACCTCGGCATGGTTGGACATGCTGACGCCGTCGATAGTGCCTTCCCACGCAGAGGGATATTGCAGCTGCATCGAGCCAGAGGTAGTGCGATGCGTGGACTCCATAAAGTGCGGCGTCCAATCCTGTGCCGAAGGATGGAGCACAGTGACGTTGGTATTGCCGCTGCCGGTCGATGTAGTGAGGTGAAGCGGGTGGGAACCGTCTCGAGACATCGCTCCACCGAGCGGATCGACCTCGATATCGACCGTGCCGCCCAACGTCTTGACGCTGAGCGAGTCGTAGAAGGTGTATCTGCCGCGGATAGCGCCTCTTCGAGTTTCCAAGGTGGTTTTAGGGGAGTTCCAGTAGCTGAGTTCGATCGAGCCTTGATTCGACTTGATGACTGTGCTGTTTCCTACCTTTATAGGGCCACTCGTGACCTGTTGTGCGTCTGGGATGCCTTCGTCCGGATTGAAAACGTAGTTTCTGTGATCGGCGAAACTCAATGATCGGAGCAACGTCGTCCAATTGCCAACCTCAAATCCAACCGGTACGTAAACTCCTACCCAGACACTCAGACAGGAGCGTTCAGTCGCTCCAGGCTGGGACGTACTGCCTTTCCTCAGACGGGGACTCCGCAACTTGAAGGTGTTCATGCCCACAGCGATCTCGTACTCTTCGATCTGCCAAGGTTTGTTTGTCGCCACATTACTTCGGACGGTGATCTCTGGGGTTGACCATGGATTGCGGTATGGTATGGAGATGATCTCCACTGTGCCAGAGATCTGAGGCTCGGTGAATTCGGCCGCAAGGCCCGTGTCGATTTCGTCAAAGAGGTTGAAATTGATGGGTTCCCCCTCGTGCTCTTCGCGATAGCGGTAACCCCAGCTATACCCGGTGTCGCCGGTGTACTCCTCGTGCTTGCTGAAGACATCGAATTTGCACTGCTCTGTACTCGGATGGTCTTTGTGATTATCACGCTTGTAGGCGGGTTGGTCCCGGAAGGGGTGCGACTCCCGTTCCCATTCCAAGTATTCCTGGTGTCTGATGATGGCGGGAATGATGAACGGGAGGGAGACGGAGAGCACGATGACGACGACCAGGGCAGCAGCGATGAATCGAATGGCTCGCTTGGTGAGTCCCAATTTGCGGCCCCTGGTTTTCTGCACGGTTCTAACGTACTCGGTGAATATCCGCCACAGCTGGCCGGCCACAACTCGTAGCTCCTTCACTAGATCTCGTTCCGGAGAGCCATAGATATCTCCACGCTCCACGCGGTCTTGGGACAGGAGACCGGTGTCGCTCATCGACTGCGGCATCGTTTCCGTCCAGCTGGATTCCGCGGCCCTCTGAGCACCGTCAGAGGCGATTGCTGCCGTGTAGCACGGTGGAGCGGCGTTGGAGTCTGGAGCAACCGACGACGCCTCGCCCGCGCCGCTTGATACTGCTGTGTGGTCCCAAGGCAGGGGGCTACCAGGAGCACTTGGCGGCAGACTTCGCTCCTCTGCGATTTCGAGCGCTTTTGCTACTTGCGCAGCGCGGGAGCTCTGTGCGAAGGCTCCTTCTGTATATCCGCTTGTCTGCGAGAGGTCATGCAATTCCAGTTCGGAGAGGGATTCCTGGTCGAAGTCGCGGTCGTCAGGGATGGATAAATTGTCGTCGTCCACGTCGATGAGTCGCGCGGCGGCCATCGGGCATTACCATCTCTGAGTATTCTGCAGGCCCGAAAATAAATATTTTGCAACGAAGCCCTGCCAAGAGCAGACCTTGCAATGACGATATGAGGTTTTTAAAGTGATGAATGCTGCCTGGGGATCGAGGATGTAATAATTTTAGGCAGCCAAATTGCTCCTCCGAACACAGCCGCAATCCACGTGCGCTGAGCCTCGCAAAATCCAGCCATCGCCATCCTATTGGGGCCGAAACGACCGTCATATTGACTGAGAAATCACGCATGAAACACAGGCGGTTTCTTTTGCCGGCAAAGTGTTAAATCGTGTTGGCCCGTCGATGGATAGGAGGGCGCTCGATATGATGACTAATTCCACGTGACTCTCGATCTCGTCCAAGTATTGACTACATAAATGCAATGCTTTCTAACCTTTCAAGTGTTCTTCTTTCCACATCAATCACGCCAGGTGATCGAAACGCTCCGTTCCATTTAGTCATGGAACTGATGCACGTAGCTCGGCGCGTAGCTCTCGTTCCCGTACGCACTGCCGCCAAACGCCAAATATCCCGAGATATACGGCTCCGGAATGGCAGTGATTTGCTTGAAGTCGCCCATGACCCAAACCATCTGCATCCCCATTATCATGTCCGCCAAAAATCAGCATAGAACATGAATGGAGAGTGAGTGTGGAACAGGAAATGTCTTGGAGTAGCCAGGACGCATGTCAAAGTGGGGAGTAGGGAGAGGAGTGCATTGCTCCTAGCATTGACTTACGTTGGTTACTATCGATCGTCAGCACTTGAGTCAGATACATTGACAACTATTCGAACTCACATATGACAATGAACCATCCAAACACCCGGGTCGTCGATTCGAATGCGCCAGGCTCGCCAACCCGCGTTGGCTCCAGCCGTGGTGACCGTCTCATATCGGTAGAGGTTGGTGGTGTCTCGAAGTACGGGATTATATCCTTGTAGCTTCTCGTCGTTCTCCGTGGCGTTGTAGGTACCGTTGCCGCCTGCGACAATGGTAAACGTTATATCTGACGTTGATAAGAAGGGCTTCAGCTTACTCCCAATGTCATAGTAATGACCACCGCTGTTAATCGTCAGTGACATTTTGTAGGCATGAGAACCGTCGAATAGACGACGCCGCACTTACTGCGCATGAAACGGATGAAAGTCCACACCGCCATTATTCTGCACCAGACTCCCTGTATTTTGAATCACCACCTCCACCACCTCTCCCACTTTGAACGGCCAAGTGTACGTGACATTGTCCCAGCCTTTATTCTTCAGCGCGCGCTCGTAGTTTGGGATTGCATCGGGGCCGTTCTCGTAGACATTCACGAGATAGGGCCTGTCAGCCGGCGTGGTTTGAATCGTTGATTCATTCCATTGGACACCGTTCAGTCTCCAAATATCGGTATCGCCAAAGACCTGACGTGGGTGGATTGTGAGTCGTCGCGTGACTTCACTTGCAGAGGGGAAGTTGTTAGCTTGTAGGGGCTCCAGCGCGTATTCTGACCAGTCGTACGTAGCATTAGATAGAGCGAGGGGAGGTTTAGCCGGACCAACGGTGATGGTAGGTCTCGCGTTCGAATAGCGCAGAACGCCGTAGCCGTAGTACACCGTGGGGCGGTCTTTCGTCTCGAACTGAATGAGATAGTCCGTTTGGTTGCGAATCTCTGCTTGCGATTTCGCCTGGAAGATTACATCGAACCGTTGGCCGGTGGAGACTTGCATGAACTTCTCGGTGTGCGGCTTGGTATATTGTCCGTCGGCTGCAACGATGGTGAAGTTGTCGTGGCCGACGATGCCGAGTTGGACCATGGACAGCGACGTTGCTCCGATGAAACGCAAACGATAGATCTTGCCGGGTTCGACGTCAATGACTGGAATGCTGCAGCCCGCCTTGCCTGCTGTGGCGGTGTTGGAGACTCCCACACCATTGATCAGAACGGCATTCGTCTCTCCGCTCCACACGAAAGGGTTGGAGGTCAGGCCGATGGTGATGTTGAGATCGGTCTTGTTGAAGTAATCGTTCAATTGGACGACCATCTCTTCGTCATATTCGTAAGGCGGTTTCCCAACGTCCTCAACGATCAACGGCCCCGATGCAGTGCCGAATTGGAAGCCTACGTGAGAGTGATAGAAGTATGTGCCTGCATCATTCGTCTCCGGGAAGACTTCGTAGTCGAAGTAGTGCAGGGGCGGGATTGGCCACTCACTGGCAGCCGGAGTGCCGTCGGAGAAGATGGCGCTTCGTTGACTGAGGCCATGCCAATGCTAGCGAATGTCAGTGGCGGCTGATCGTTCCTGGACGTGATGCCTTACCATTGTGGTGTTGCTTCCTTGCATATCGTTATACACCCTGATCCATGTTGGTTTACCGGGTTGCAGACGGAGCTCGGGGCCCGGGATCGTGCCATTGATCAGGACTGACGGGCGGTGTTCGCACGCGATAGAAACATTGGCAAATGTTACTCGGAGGACGTGATCCGGAACGAAGGTCTCATCATGAATTTTCGGCGCGCCATAAGATGATGGCGATCGAGCGGAAGTTGATGGGGCCCAAGCAAGCACGCCGAGGATGAAGGTCGTCAAGGACACCATCTTGACCCCAGACATGAATGGACAGACATGGCAGAGACGAAGCGAAAGACCAGCACGCCGCTGCTTTAATTCTCGGAACACATCAGGCGAGCAGCCTTCGGCGCTCAGCCGCACGCGCCACGATGCCGTCTCTCAGTGGGTTGAGCGACATCAAGCGACGTCACGATCCGACAGCCATGTCTTACCATTCCCGCCGTCTCGAGACTGGTCTGGACAACCTCAGTCCCGTGTTTGCTTCAAGCAGCTTATGAAGCCAGCTTATGCCAGACCAGTTTATCACAGTAGGAGAGAAGTTCTGTGATTAATGATTGTCGTAATTATTGATCTCGGCCGAGCATGTGCGTGCCATGTGCGCTCCAAGACCGTCGAATCCCGGTCGGTTAATGGCAGGACATGCTGATTCGACTGCCCCGACGCGATCGTCAACGATCGTCACCCGCTTTACCCCAATGACTCCCCCACAAGCACACCTCTTCCCCGCAGACTCGCCCTTGGCTGCCCCTTGGCTGCATGTCGATTACTTGAGCACACACCTTGCCACCGGTGCCGACTTCCATACCCGTCGGGCCCCCGCCGGTCGTCATCGCTACGTTGGGCCCTTCGTCCCCTCTACATGCTCTCTTCTTTCCTTCGACGTACTCCATCTCGCATCGACTACCAACCAGTTGCGACCTCCGTCGAGATGTCTACCCACAAGCACGACAAAAGCGACGAAGAAGTCGGTGTAGTGCATCGGGAGTTTGACCATGGCGATGACTTGGTGCAGAAGGATGTCATCCACGATCACGATGTTCTTGGTCGCTCCAATGTCACTCGGGAGGATGCGATGCATCTCGGCGAGCTCACGCCCGAAGAGCTGGTGCACGAGAAGAAGCTGCGTAAGAAGATAGATTGCTTGATCATGCCATTGGTCATGTTGGTGCGTTGACCTTGAGTTGGTGATGAAGTGCGACGCGAGCTGACGATTGTCAAAGGTGTACTTGATGAATTACATCGACCGCAACAGTATTTTGATCCTCGTTTCTTGATCTGAGGCATTAGTCACACTAACTCGACGACAGACTATGCTGCCGCTCGTCTGCAAGGATTGCAAGCCGACTTGAACCTCAGCGACTCTCAATGTAAGCCCGATACTTGCTTCGACGGCAGGAAACCCGAATATTAACGCTGAACTGCAAACAGACGAAACAGCGTTGAGTATTCTCTTCGTGGGCTATGTGAGTGTCCACTCGCCATCCATTTCAATACATGCCATCAGAACATTAACGGGCGCTCAGGTACTCATGCAAGTCCCATCCAACGCCTTACTCAACTTCTCCGGCAAGCCCTCATGGTACATTGGCTTCTGGGTCATCGCCTGGGGCTTGGTGTCCCTCCTCACGTCTCAAGTGAAGAACTTTGGCGACATCGTGGCCTGTCGCTTCATCCTCGGATTCGTGGAGGCCCCCTTCTTCTGCGGCGTCATCTTCTACCTGTCCAAATGGTACACCAGAGCCGAGTTGAGCTTCCGCATGGCCATCTTCTACTCCGCTTCTCTATTGTCAGGCGCTTTTGGCAATCTCATTGCCGCGGGCATCTTGAGCGGTTTGGCGGGTCGAGATGGACTCGCCGCATGGCAATGGCTTTACATCATCGAAGGCTCCATCACCATGGCCGTTGGCATTGTCATCGTCTTCGTTCTTCCTGACTTCCCCCACACCTGGAAGCTTCTATCGCCCGAGCTCAGATTCGTCGCGAATCGGCGTATGGCCGTGGATGCCGCCGAAGCGGACGTGGACGAGCCAGGGTCAAAGCAACACGCCCATGGGCTGAAGATGGCCTTTACCGACCCCAAGACCTACATCATCGCCTTCATGTACCACTGCGTCACGGGCGCCACAGGGTTTCAAAACTTCTTCCCGACGCTGACAGGCTCGCTTGGCTTCAACAACATCGACACTTTACTTCTCGTCGCGCCGCCCTACATGTTTATGGTCTTTTATTCTTACGGCCACAGCTACGCCTCGGACAAGCTCCGCAACCGCTACTGGTTCTGGATGTACCCGATCCCCATCACGATTGCAGGCTGCTTCATCTTCATGTTCGCCGACGGCTTCGGACCGCGCTACTTCAGCCTGTTCCTGTTGAACTTTGCCTTTGCCATGAATAGCACGGTATGTACATCCCAAACACTCCAGATGACCAGACGCTGACGTGTGTGTGTGTGACAGATCTACGCCTGGATCGCCTCGGCGATTCCCCGCCCACCCGCCAAACGCGCAGCGGCCATGGCCTTCATGAACAGCGTCGGCAACGCCGCGTCCATCTGGACGCCGTACACGTACAACAAGAAGTACAACGGGCACTACGACTTGGCTCTGGGCGTGGTGATTGGGCTCATGACGGCGGCTGGAATTGCGGGGACGGGGCTGCGGTTCTATCTGGCGGGCGAGAATAAGCGGTTGGAGCGGATGGATGGGGCGGATGCAGAGTTGACGCCCAAGGATATTAAGAGATTGCAGAGGACGGCGGAGCTGGAGGGGATTGATGTGGCTGCTGCTCGGCAGCTTCAGAAGGGGTTTAGATATCAACTCTGATTGGATAGGGTAGTGGATGTGGTATGATATACACTCTACATGCCCATGAATCCGCCTGTCTCGAGTGTTAGAGAATGCCACGCAACACATGTAGCTCGGGGCAATCTGATGTCGGAACTCACCATCGACGATAACGCCGCCTAATTTGAAACCCGTTAGTTGTCAACCACTTTGATGATGAAGGCAACGGATCACTCACTTCCAGACACGTAATCGCTCGCCGCACTCGCCAAAAAGATGACCGCGCCAGACAGATCTTTGGGGTCGCCCCATCGCTTCGCCGGCACGCGACTCATTAGGTAGTTGTTGAAGTCCTTGTACTTCGGGTCCGTGGAGTACTGCTCCGTCAATGCCGTCTTGAAGTAGCCCGGATCTGTGCTGTGTAAGTCGAAGATCTCCAAGGCGTATGTCAAGAATCTTACGAATGGAGTTGACCTGAATCCCCTTCTCGGCCCATTCGTTGGAGAGGGCTTTGGTGACTTGCCTAACACGTCAATCAGTATGATTGTCCAAAGCGGCTTGCTCGTGACGATCGATCTTACATCACCCCTCCCTTCGAAGCCGCATAAGGAGTGATATTCTTCCCGCCAATAAACGAGATAATCGAAGCAATGTTAATGATTTTCCCCGGACGACCGTCAGCAATCAACTTCTTCGCAAATTCCTGACACGACACCAGCGTAGCCTTGACATTAATATCGATGACAGCGTCGATGTCTTCGTCCGTGAAATCCGCCGCATCAGAGCGTCTTTGGATGCCGGCGCAATTGAGCAGGATGTCGGCCGACAGACTGCAGGAAAGCACTCGTAGTCAGAATGGCAAGCTTTCGGAGGAACTAGTCGATGACCAACCCATCACTCCAGATCTTCTGATACGTCGCGCGAATGGACTTGAGGTTCGACACGTCGCATTCGTATTTGCGGATCTTGCGCCCGCAGTCGGTGACGATCTTCGCCGTCCTCTCGCTGCCGGGATCGTTGTGGATTTCAATCGAGATGATGTCGGCGCCTGCGGGTTGTGAATTAGTGATGGGGCTGAGTTGTGTATCGTGTGCGTCTTGCCGGCGGAAGCGAGAGCGGTCGTCATTGCCTAGAAAGTGTTAGTGGTGAATAGATCGTGCAGAGAGGGTGCGAGGATCACCGTTCCCAATCCTCCTGTGCCGCCGGTGACGATGGCCGTCTTGCCGTGCAGGCCGAACATTTTCGCTACGTCAATGGCTCCCGACATGTTGGTGGTTGGATCTTGTCTAGATGAGATGAAGTGAAGTGTCGTTTAGTGTCTCGGATATGGCTCGTTACGGCGAATCAGAACACAGTATGTACAGGTACGGGTAGGTAGAAGAGGTAAAGTAGAGATGAGGTTGGCTACTGCGGGGTTCTCGGGTGAGCGCCCCTCCAAGCCGTCAAGCACGTCCTCACCAAGACATGAGACAGGTTATTCCGGGGGTAATCAGAGCAAATACAGCGGAGTCTCGAGTCTTTGGAGCAATCACGTCGTAGTTGTTAGTCAAATACATATATCCAGCACCATCAGCTGCGGTCATCGACCTCGTCAAAGTCATTCGGCAATTCGTACTCATCATCACGGTCACGCCCTGCGTCCCTCTCGGAATTGAATGTATTGACGTGTCGGAAGGTAGATCCAATCTTCCCGATGTGTTCTGGCGGGCCACATACCACTCGGGCAGCCATCAAAAGACGCTCCTTCTTATGGACAACGTCGCACCAGCATCCACCAACATCTCGTCCAGAATCTTCGCCCGATCCTCCAAATCATCTCGTATCCGCCGCAGCTCCATGCTCGGGCTCTCCTCGTCCAGCGATTCAATATGAGCCGCCATCCGCTGATGACTCCGCAGCAAATCCCGCCGCATCTCAATGCCATTCGCATACCGAATCGGCGGCCGGGGAGGCCGCATATGATGCAGAAATTGCACATCGTAATGAAACGAGACATCAGGCGAGACGCGCTGGCCACTCCCAAAGTACGGCCTGAGCGCCATGTCTTTGCGGTAATCGCACCAGGCGCGCAGCGCTTTGCGGTCGTCGCGGCTGGGCACGTGCCCGAGGTGCAGGTAGATCCAGATTTGCTCGTTCAGCTTCATGAGCGCAATGCTGTCGTCGTTGAGCTTTTCGAACGTGCGGATCACGTTGCTGAAGTTGTAGTCGTGCACGGCGAGGATGATGCAGGCGCGCGTCATTAAGATGGCCTTGTACTCCTTGAGCGTCTGTTTGCATGCTGCGAGGAGGCCGACGGGCGGCGGGCGCCTCTTGGGATGTCCCGCGGGAGACAAGAGCAAGGTGGTCGCATCGGCTAGGTGGTGGTAGATGTTATTTCGCAGTTCCGGCGGCAGGCCAAGGAAGGAGGCCTGGGCGATGGCTGTGGAGCCGGTGCTGTCGGAGCGCAGGCTGTCGACCACGCTGTCTTTGCGCTTCCTGCTGAACCGGTCCTTGACGCGACGGAATCCATCGCGCATCGTGGCTGTCGTCGCCCTGGGTCAGGACGATGCGTTGATTCTCGACGATGCCAGATAGGATGTATGTGAGGCGTTCATTTCCTTAAATCCCTCACTTAACTTAGAGATGGACCCTTGATTGCTGAGGAATTCTGGCTCGCCCATCTGGGGAAGCTGGCTCGGCTGGGCAAACTCGCAAGCTGGGGTCGCGCAGGTGTCGATGTGGCGGCTGCGAGGTCGGCGCATGCCCCACGGGGAAGCTCCACGGTCCTGGGTATGGTTGTCTGGTGATGAGAGAATCTATGTAATCAATTCCACGTTCATATACACTAACAATGAACGTCATCCAAAACTAGTGTGGAGAGATATGCACCGTCGTCTTATACTGAACCGAAACAATTGCAGACCATAGCATCGACGCTGGTTTCAACGCTCCCTATCAACGCTGAAACGAGCCATTGCGAAAGACATAGGGACGACCATCGGTGAACTAGCCCAGTATGCAGAGATCGTCTGATTCAATGGCCCAACCATCGTAGCTCGCTCAGACAGTCGACATCTTGCACTCGTCTAATCTGTAGATGGAGACTTAATACTTCGTGCCCGCTCTTCGCGCCTTTCACAAGCTAAACTCCAGTCGATTCCCAGCATAATCCCTCGCGAAGAAACGCTGCGGGTACTCCGCCCCCTTGCTTCCTACACCAATATCAGTAACGAGAACAGCCGTGACGTTCCAGGTCCCGTAAACATACCACTATTCTCCGCCCCCGGCTGATCCGCCTCCTGCGGCGCACTATCGCCGCCCTTCAAATGATGCTCCCAAACGCGCCGCCGCAACTCCAGCAACGCATCCGGCGACGCAATCCGGAAGCACGGATGGCGCGAGGACTTGGGTCCTGAGGGCCCGAAAGCGATGTGGATTTGCTGGCCGGAGTCGGCGATGTCGAACCTAGGGCAGCGATGCGTCAGTTCGTCCGAGGGAAAGAGTCCAGCGGATATATATATGACTGCATTGCTTGCTTGATGTGCTTGACGTACCATGCGAGAGTGCCTTTCTGTAGTTCGGGCACGGGTCGCGATTTCAGGCCCAGTGTTTCGCCATAGAAGGCGTGGGCTTGGTCGAGGGTGCCGGATGGGACTGTCAGATTGACGTGCGCGATGCCGCTGATCAAGGCGTTTGCCTGCGGGTGATGTCCGTTAGTCGTCATCTTGGTATGAATTAGACTGCGAGGGCGAAGGTGTCGAGGCCGAGTTCCTTTCGAAATCTATCGGAGAGATCAAAGTCACCGCGGGGAAGTTTCGAAGTTGCGTTGAACGTCGGCCGTGATCGGTGGTGCAGCGTCTGGCTTTGCGGAGCGCTTGAACACGATGAATTGGCAGGCGCCATGCTCACATTCCACGGCAGTCCTTTCAAAATTCACGACGATTCACTCATGCAGAAGTTTTAGCATGGATACGACAGTTTTAGACTTCTCAAACTCAAGAATCAACAATAGCCAAATGTCGACCTCTGTCAACACTGCCTTCAACAAGGCTGAGCAGCGCCATCTCTCACTCTACACCGCATTGCCCTCCAAATCCTTGACCCGCTTTCCATCCCGATACAACCCATCGACCATCGGCTCTCTGCCCGTCTTGCCGTCCACAGGCATCTCGTTCAAGAAATGCCAATGCATCACCTCCTTCCAGCCGCGCTGTTTCCAGTCGTTGATGGTGGCGTTGGGGAAGAAGGAGCCCGCCATGACCTCCCGGGGCGCGGTGTCGTGCGCGATGATGACCAGCACGTTGGGGTCGGCGTCGAACTCCATGAGATTGCGGATGGACTCCATTGCGGTGGGCGGATCGTGGTAGAACGAGGTTGGGCCGCTGGAGCACTTGTAGAAGGGGGTCTGTAGACCTCGGTCAGCTTTCAAGACAGGGGTGGGTTGTGTGAACATGAACAGAGACGTACCGTCCTTGCGGCATCTTGATTGGGATGGCACGCCGTGAAAACCGAGCACGGGCAAGGGTGCGGAAGGCGTTTGTCGAGCTGCGCCTTTGCCGGGATGGGATCCGGTAGTGGGACATACTCTGTCGGCCGGATATCTCCTGTGCGATCGTTAGTACTTCTCATCCAGTATTAAGCAGCATGCGGGAGTGCAAAAGCCACGCACCAGTAAAATGGCAGACATCGCCACCCATAAACACCGCCGTATCCGGCGTCGTCCTCACAAGAGCAGACACATGGCCCGTGGCGTGCCCCGGCACGTTCAACACATACAACGATCCGTCGCCAAAGTAGTCCCAAGCCTGAAACTTGCCAATCTTGGTGTTGAACGGGGCTTCGATGACATTGCGGCCCTTGAAGTCGGCCTCCCAGAAGGGCGACTCTTCCTTGGTGGGGTAGCCGGGGAGGAATGCGTCCTTGAAGCCTGGACCGACAATCAGGTCGACGGACTGGGGGAGACGAGAGATGTTTCCGCAATGATCAAAGTGCCTGGCAATCAATTAGCATCCACTCGTTTCACACATCCAAAACAATCCCCACCAATGGCTAAGAATAAAGGCCTTCAAGTTCTCCAGCTTAACGCCGCCCTTGGTGAGGATATCCGGCACATCCTCCGACACCTTCATCCCGGGCACATGGTTGCCGCACAGGTCGACAATCGCCGGCACCGAGTTCTGCCAGTCGACGCGGATGCCCATGTCGAAGATGAGCTCGGCGCCGCTGGCTTCATGCTTAATGTGGAAGCTGTAGTCGGGCAGGTTGAGCCAGTTGTGGCCCGGGATTTCGGGCTCGACGAGCATGTGCGGCGGCACGGTGATTTCGGCGGTGGTGTCGAGGATGGACACCTTGCAGGTGGAGTTGCTCTTGGGGAGGCCGAGGGAGGGGGCCTGCTTGGGGGTTGGGTTGGACATGGCGGGTAGACTTGGTAGGGTACCTTGGTGGTCAGATTGGGGGATGATTTGTTAAGTGCTGAAGGCTCTGGGCTCTTCTCTGTTTCGTTTGATGAATGTCGGTCCAATTGCTCGATTGCTTGGTGACAATGTTGTGTCATCCGACGAACGGAGGTGTTCTTGCTTTAGCTCCACGCCGTGGTGAGGGGTCGAGGGGTCGGGTCGTGCTCTGACATCAGGCCGGCTTCGTACGTGCCGCCCATATGTCGGCTCATTATATCCGGCGGGCATCGGCAACGCTCGTACTGGGTAACACGCAACGCAATACGACACTGTATTTCTATAGCTCATCGTGGCTGGGCCGCCCGCTATCACTTCGCAGATCCACACCTTTCTTCTGCCGCCACTTCTCCCACAGCTCAAAGAATTCTTTCTCGCTCGCCTTGTCCATCTGGTCGGGCAGAACGACGACGTATTCGATGTGCAAGGCGCCATGCGTCTGCCCGTCGCCTTCTTGTCGCCAGAATGGCATGCCTTCGCCAGGGACCACTTCCACCGTCCCGGGCTGCACCACCTGCCCGCGCGCCCGAGACAAGGGAACGACATGGCCGTCCAAATGCGTGATATTACGCGTCCAACCACCCATCCATGCTTCCCGCAGCGAAAGCACCTCGCGCCAGAACAAATCCTGCTCTTTGCGTCGGAAGAAGGTGCCATCCGTCTTGTCTTTGTCCTCCTGCCCCAGCACCGGCTCCGCCTCCTGGACCTGCACCAGAATGTCTCCTGCCGCCCAGTCGGGACTCTCGTCGCCCTCGTTCTCAAAGTGCACCCTCGCGCCGCGCGGCATGCCCTTCTCCACGTACAACTCGTGACTCTCCTCGTCGCGAACCACGCGATTGCCATCGCACACTTTGCACTTGTGCTTCACCGTGCTGCCCTTGCCTCCGCACACATCGCACTGCATCTGCATCTGCTGGAAGATGCCAGGGGCCAGCATGTGCTTTTGAATCACCATGCCTTGTCCATTGCACTTATGACACGTGTCCCGCTGCCCATCCGCGCTCCCACTGCCCGCGCACTTGGAGCAGATGACTTGCTTCTCCACCTTGATATCGTGCATCGCACCGGTGTAGAAGTCCTTCAATGGCACCCGCACCCGCAATTCCATGTTGGGCCCCCTCCTCTGCCCGCTGTGGAAGTGTCCGCCGCCTCCGAAGAAGCGAGAAAAGAGATCGAACGGATCATGCATGCCTCCCTGGCCGCCCTGGCCTCTTTGCTTGCGCTGCTTCACCCCCTCGTGCCCATACTGATCATACACGCGACGGATCTCGGAGTCGATGAGGACATCGTAGGCTTCGGCGACATCGACGAATTTCTGGTGCGCGGACTCGTCACCGGGATTCTTGTCGGGGTGGTACTTTTTGGACAGCGATCGGTAGGCCTTTTTGATTTGCCGGTCGTCGGCGTCTTTGTCGAGGCCGAGGAGCTGTGCAACCGGTTAGGAGGCTCTACCAGGCGGGTGGGGCTTGAGGGGTTGCACGAATCAACGCACCTTGTAGTAGTCTTCTGCGCAGACTGCTATGAGTGGCAGGATGCACAGAAGCACCAGAGCGGAGAAGAAGAGCATCTCTTGCGGTTATCGTAAGGACAGCATGTGAAGGAGTGGAAGCTGGGATGGAGAGGGAGGAAAGGCGCGGTGGGGGGTGCTTCGAGGTGTCCACCGTCGAGTGGCCGAATGTTGCTCGTTTGAGATGGACAGTGACTTGCCAAAGGTCGTAAAATCGATACAGGAACACTTCACGGCTGATCACGTCGCGTCCAATAATCAAGTCTCCCTAAAGACCATCCTGCATCTTTTTTAAACTGTCTCCCTGACACTTCGACACCTGGCCGTTCCTTAGCGTCGGGAGGCGCAACTCTAATTCCGTCGAGTCCGGGGGGTCGCACGTCACTCCCTGAGTAGCTAAGAATAGAGGCACAAATCCAGGTACCAGCATTTCAACCATCTCCGTCCATCCTGACCACGCAAGTCTCATTCAATGCTCGGAGCGAGTAAGAAAGACGGTGATCCGCGTCGTCCGCGTTGAAAACATGCCTTTCTCCACCTCTCTCCAGTTCAAGATGAAGGCGGCCGGCACCCTCGCCATCTTCATCGCAACGCTCCAAGCCGTATTCTACATCGCCGGCCTCGGATCCTTTCACGATTTCTTCTCCGGCGGCTGGCGGCCGAGACACTCCGTCTCCAAGACAATGCCTCGACCTCCGCCTCAAGTCGCCGAGTACGCGCTTGACAAAGTGCTGAACGACGCGAGCCCGGTCTTCGGAGCGTACGAGAACGTGCAGTCGGACAGCAGCACCTGGATGTCGCACTATCCCGACGAGACCAACATCGTGCACATGAATATCCCCGGCGCGCACGACGCAGCAACTTGGAACTACTCCGAAGCCACGCGACAGTCCATGGAACACATCACGAGCCTAGTCAGCGACACGAGCATCGACCCGAGTTGGTTCCGCTGCCAGAACCGCAGTATGATCGACATGCTCAACGCCGGCGTGCGGGCTTTCGATCTGCGCGCCGCGCAAGACGTCACTAAGTCCACTCTGGTCTTTTGGCATGGCCCAGCGTTGCAAAGCCAGACGGCCACCTTGGACCTCGTGCTGCACGCCTTCTACAAGTGGCTGGAAGACCATCCCTCCGAGACTGTACTGCTATCCATCAAGCACGAGGGCAGCAAGGACATGAAGAATTTCGATGATGCAGCCTTCCAGCAACAACTCTACGAAACGCTCACCTCTCCTGCCGCGAAGCGGTACATCCTGCAGGACCGTAATGTCTTTGGCACGCTCGGGCAGGCCCGAGGCAAAGCCATTCTTCTTCGACGGTTCGATTTGAACCTCCTCTCCACCTCCCACCAGAATGCAGTCCCCGGCATCCATTTCAGTCCGCAAAAGTGGACGGTGAATTCCGCAAACCTGGCCCTCATCTACAACGCCAATCCCAACCCGAAATCAGGCGATGCGGGCGTTGCATACATCGAGGACTTCTATCACCCAACCTCGCCCACCCTCGTCGAAGACATCGAACTCAAATACGCCGCGGTACAAAGCCATCTACGGCGAGCAGCTTCCAGTCGACAACCTGATGCCCTCTACTGGACCTTCACCAGCGGGACCAATACCAAGCATGATTCCGAGTCCTCGACTCCACGCAAAGTCGCGCTCGGCCGCGAGAAAGCAGACGGAGGCTCCCCGACCAATGGCGTCAACCAGCGGCTAGTCAATCTGCTGTCCGAGTTCCATGGGCAGAGGCTTGGGATCGTCATGTTTGACTACTTCGCTGAGCCCGATGATCTGCTTCCGAAATTCCTGGGATTGAGAGCGCCGTGAGCAGAGCCGTATGAGCAGTGCAGCCGCAAGCAGCCCATTTCCCTGGGGCAGACGATGCCGCGCCGATCGGCGAGGTCCATATGGGTATGCTGAATTACGACAACCCTCAAGCACCACCATGGCGCAATGATCGACTTCAGTCGTGCAACGACACAGATCGAAGTCCACACCGTCACCCAAGAGTGGCATGGAGAAGGCGTATGCGAAGAGGTAGTGTAATACCTAATGTCCCTCTTCGTGACATCCGGGGGAGTGAAAATGCCGGAGTGGATGTTCCAGTAGCATAGCGATCATCGTAATAGCCCGCCAAGATCTCTCTCCATACCCGTCACGCGCTCCTCCAATCCTCTCTTCTTGCGCTCCAGTTGCTGGATCTCCTCTTCCTCACGCTCCAGGTCTTGCTGCGTGAGAGGGACAGTAGTCTCGTCATTCTCAGCAATCTGCTGCGGCTCCGCACCATCATCGACATGGCCCGATCGGCTGGTGGGGCGATTCAGCGCCTGGAGTTCTGCCGTCTGCTCGGCTACTCGCGCTTCGTAATGGGCGATGTTTGCCTCCAGCTGTTGATGACGACGTCTCAATTGCGTGATCTTGTCTGCGGCGCCTGGGATTGGGCTATGGGGGGGCAAGAGTTAGCAGGTACGTGAGAAGAGGCGCCGAGCAGGCAGCATACTAGACAGCGGCCAACTTCTCGGCTCCTTGCAGCAATACCTCCACATCAATATCGCCCTTTTGCCGGCCTGTGCGATCCGTGCTCCTGGTCTTCTGGTACAAGTCGCCTCCCAGTACCGCCGCTACAGCCTTATTCTTCGGCTGTCTCGCATTGTACACGGTTGCCCTTCTCCCATGGCTGCTCGCAGAGAATTGTGCTAGTCCACTCGGCGGTGCACCAAAATCCGTGTTCCCAGACACCGTTGGCAGCGGAGGAGGTGCAAGGTGGAACAAGGCTCGTTCGTGCTGCTCGGTATCTCTGATGAGAGACGTGATGTCGTGGTTGGGAGAGAGGAGGGCATTGGTGAAGATTTTCGGGCCGGGAAAGGGGAGGTCGGCGATGGATGCTGCGCAGAGGGAGATTTGCTCCAGGTGGGAGTTTAATAGGGCCGTCATTGTCGGTTTGCTTGCTTGCGCGTTTATTGGATGCTTGGTGGGGGTTTGCAGCGCGTGTTTGGAGAACGCGCTTGACATCAATGCCAAGCTCTGCCAAGCCGCGTCAAGCCTGGGTCGGTGTCCCGCCGATCCATCATCCTTGCCCATCAAACCGCAGCCTTGTTGTGGTATTGGTCCCCTGATAATTCCGAGTCTATCAAAATGTGCATTCTTTCATGTTTTCTTTGGATGTTGAAGTACTGCACGCCATCTCCAAAGTTGATCAACGTCGCAAGTACGTATGCCGAATACGGCAACCACACGCCTATTTATTCCAAGCACGTGGCCCTGCGCGTTTTAGGGTTTGCTCACCCCATGAGCCCCGCGCTCCCGTTCACCTCCGTCCCTACTCTGTTTCCCTCTTCTTCACTGAAGACGTGCGCCGTCGCGCTTGTGAACGCTGCGGCGACTCTGCGGTTCTTCCCGCTGCATCCTGTCAAAAGTCTGCCCCAATGTTCCGCAAAAAGTCGCTGCTGATAGGCATCAACTACACCGGCAGCCAGCATGCCCTCCGCGGCTGCCACAAGGACGTGGAGAATGTGGCCGACTTTCTGTCATATCGCGGCTATTCATCGGATCCACGAGATCAAGTGATTCTGCGCGATGACCGAGGCGGCCCTTACTACCCCACCGGCCATAACATGCTGGCCGCTATGGACTGGCTGGTCAGTGAGCCAAACACCTGCTGCTTCTTGCACTACTCCGGACACGGCGGCCAGGTACCCAACCGCGACCGCGACTCGGGCTACGACGACACCATCGTCCCCGTGGACTTTGAGAGGAACGGGCAGATTCCCAGCGGCGTGCTCCACCGCCATCTGATCTCGCGGCTCTGGCCCAACAGCACCCTGTTCGTCATCTTCGACTGCTGCCACAGCGGAAGCGCCCTCGAACTGCCCTTTCTCTTCCGCACAGATGACGAGGGCAATCTCAACATGATGTCCGGTCTGCAGCAGGGTATGAGTATTCTGGATCACGGCTACTCGCTCATCTCCGGCGGCTTCGACATGAGCAGAGCGGCGGATGCGAAGCAACTCTATTCCGAGGCGTCCAGCTTCTTCAAAAGCTTGAGTGGCATGGGGCGTGGCAATCAAGGGCCGGGCGTCAGCGAAGAGCATTTCCAGAATGACTGGTCGCGCGAGCACAAATGGGTATGCATGTTCAGCGGCTGCAGGGATGACCAGACTTCCGCCGACGCCAACATTGGCGGAATCAGCGAGGGAGCCATGTCTTGGAGCTTCTTGCAAGTCATGAAGCAGTCGCCAAATCCCACGTTTGTGGAGGTATGTGCAAACTTTCAGGATGGATGTTTTACCCAGCTAAAACGTGCATAGACGCTGCAGATGACCCGCTCAATCTTGAAGCGGAGTCGGTACAATCAAGTCCCACAGCTATCTGTTGGTGTGCCTGAGCTCGACTTCAACCGACCTCTGTTTCTCTGAAGAATCGATGGGAATGCAGCGGTCGTATGTTTATTGAACCACGGTCTCTCTGGGGTGTCGTGATGGGTTGGTGTGAACTTCATGAGAAAACATCAAATCCCTTACGTCGATGAATGAAATGTCATATCTCACTTGATGTCGTGGATAAGCCTCCCATCCTCAGTCTTTGGGTCTCTTGATCTCTTGGTTCATTCATTATTCCTGCGCATGTACAAAGCAAAGTGAAGGTGAAGGTATATGCAGTCGATGCCAAGGAACACCTCCGCCTCTCGCCGATTCGCCAGAGCTGCCGATTCCAAAACTCTAAATCCACGTCTAGCCAGCAGCTGCACACGACATCCGCCTCACAACTCTCATCATCCCCATCCACCACCCACAAACATCATCACCATGGCGGACAAAATGGAGGTGGACGCCGTGAACGGCGAGAAAGAGGCAGAGACCGTCGGCCCTGCGCCAGACCTCCCTCCGGAACGAGGTACATGAGCCCTTGTTTGCCTCCGGGCCATCTCCTCTGCCACTACTGACACGTCTCCCCCATCCACAGTCATCATCAACAACTTCGGCCTCATCCGCCAGGCCGTCAATGCTTTCGACTCCCGCTTCACACTGCGCGCTCTGCGCTCCACTTCCACCCTCCGCAAGTCGGACAACTTCGCCGAAGCCATCCTGCAGGGCATTCGCACCGCCTTTCCCAAGCCCAACATTGGTCCGCGAAAAGTACTGGAAGATATGCTGCCGGACAGTGTGAAGAGCGCACAACATCAGCAAAATGGCGTGGCGAGTGGCGGAAAGGAGAAGGATGGTGGTGATGATCAGCAACTCCCGGAAATCTGGGCGTATCTTGGGGTCCTGGTCCAGGTAAGATACCCTCCATCATACACAACTGCCGCCGTGCTGATGATATAACAGGTCTACCTCTACGATGCGAAAGAGTACGAAGACGGTGCTTCCTTCAGCACCAACTTTGTGGAGAAGATCCGCAGCTGGAATCGGCGGACCCTCGACCCCATCGGCGCCAAAGCCTACTTCTACTATTCCCTCTTCCACGAGCAGCTATTGCCTTTGCCGCCATCCAAACAATCGCCCGTCATCGAAATCCGTCCCAAGCTCCTCGCCGCCCTACGCTCTGCCGTACTGCGAAAAGACAACGACACCCAAGCTGCGGTGACTGTGTTGCTCCTTCGCAACTACATCAGCACTGCCGACATTACTCAGGCCGATCTGTTGGTCGCGCAGACGCAATTCCCCAACAACGCCACGAACAACCAAGTGTGCCGCTACTTGTACTACCTTGGCCGCATCCGTGCCATTCAGCTGTCGTACACGCAGGCGCACGAACACCTCGAGTCCGCCACTCGCAAGTCTCCCACCAATGGCCCTGCGGTAGGGTTCTACCAGCAAGCCACCAAGCTTCTCATCGTCGTTGAGCTGCTGATGGGCGACATCCCCGACCGCTCACTCTTCCGACAGCCATCCCTCGAAACCGCCCTCTACCCCTACTTCAAGCTTGTCCAAGCCGTGCGCGTCGGCGATCTACAAGCCTTCCTCAAATGCGTCGGCGTGAACGAAGGCCAGTTCCGCAAAGACGGCACGTACACCCTCATCCTCCGCCTGCGCCAGAACGTCATCAAAACCGGCGTGCGCATGCTCTCCCTCTCCTACTCCCGCATCTCGCTCCGCGACATCTGCACGCGCCTGTCCATCCCCAGCGAGGAGAGCGCGGAGTACATCACGGCAAAAGCCATCCGTGACGGCGTGATTGAGGCCTCTCTCGACCACGCCAACGGCCACCTCGTCACCACGCCGCAGCGCGATGCGTACAGCACCACGGAGCCGAGCGAGGCGTTCCATGCGCGAATCAGCGCGTTGTTGGGCATGCGCGACGAGTGTGTGATGAGCATGCGCTACCCCATGGACAAGCATAAGCAGGAGATTCAAGAGGCGGCGAAGGCGAGGGAGAGGGAGCGGGAGTTGGCGAAGGAGATTGTGGAGGGCGAGGGTGATGTTGGTGATGATGACGATGGTGGGTTTGAGGGGATGTGAGGGGCTCCGAAGAGTGTTTGAATCGAAGGGTGTGGGATGTCATATAGAGCGGCTATCGAAGGGAATGCCCGACAATGCTCCTGTCCCCTTAACCGTAACCAAGAACTGACGCGATTCAGAGGCAGTATGACTGCGACACAAGAGAACGTGGCCGACCTTCACGACGACCTTATCTGCAACATGGTGCCGTGCATTAGACTTCTTCACTGCTGTTTTCAACCCTTGGTATTCGATAGGCCTCGTCAGTGTGGTTACTCGACGACAACACCCAGCAACCAACGATATCGCTTCACATACAGCATTCCATCAAGACCTGCTAGTGCCTTACGTGACCCGTATCGAAGTGGAGAGCCTCGTGTACCTGTGCAGTCATGCGTGCCGCTTTGACAGCGTCTTAGCAGGGATCTCGTTCACCACCGTTCAGAAGCAGCTGCACCTCGCCACCGTCAGGTAGGACGATCGCTTGACCAGGTGGTCTGTCTCTCCCAGAAGCGACCAGTTGTTCTCACAGCCCAGCTGACGCGCGTCAGGGTGCTATGCATGGACGGCCGAGGACCAGCACACATGTCGTACGCGTAGAGGCTTCACCAGTTTGCCACACCTGGCTTATGTTCACTGTCGGCTGTTGAAAGCATCCACCCTGGCTGCGATCTAGGAGGCTGTATGCGATGTGTTCGCATCGATCTTACGGAGGGCATAAAAGACCCTCCGTATCCCTCCTTCTTCGACTTTCCTTGACATAGCTTTAGCATCCAAGCTGCAGGACTCCTCGGCCTCGACAATGCTATACATACCTCTGGCTCTCTCTATACTGGCTCAAGCACAAAGCTTGTTGTATTGCCAACCTTCGTCGAGTTCGACAGCAGCATTCCACGCCGCCCGGACCTGCGTCCTAGGCCGCAGCCTCCGCAAAGCCCAGGCAACGGTCGCCGCTCACTTGTCGACTGTAGCAGCAATGCACCACCACCGCGGCCGGCCCATCCACCACCAAGGAACCCACCCCGGCCCAAACCTCCGAGGGCTCGTTGACACCAACGTCAACCTGTTCTACTATCGGAGAACCTGCCCGGGGCGTCAATTGCGCGCGGCATCGAAGCTACCATGACGACCGTTGTGTCTTCTGTTAACGGCACGGGGTGGTATTGACGAGCACCGATGGCCCCCCTCACTTCCAACCGCTCAATCGTGGAGCCGACAACGAGGCAGACTTCGACCCGAGTAAGACCAATATATCCGGCGACGTCCAAGACCCTGGGACCCTATACAAAGGACAGTATAAAGACGACAGGCAACGGGAAATAGAGGAAGATGTGCTCGTTCTGGCACAGCGACGGCAAACCAAATCACTCTTCCCATGGACGCCCGTGCTCCATCTCGTTCGCGGCTCGCATCAGGCCCAGAGACGACGGCGCACCACATTTTTCTTCCCATGGACGCGCGTGCTCCATCGCGTTCGCGCTCGCATCAGGCCCAGAGACGACGGTGCACATCGACCGTCTGGTTGCCGGCTTTCCGGCAAGAGCGACGGCGATTGAAGATTGCCCGGTGGGTCAGGATCTGTAGAGCTGTGTGCGGATGGAACAGTTGGCAGTCCTCCCCGCCCGCAACCACGTCCCAGACCTCAGCCCTCAGCCTCTTCGTCTGGTATATGCAACATGCGTTCGAAGTTGGGAGAAGCACGACTTGATTAATGCTTGTCGGTCACACCTCGCCTTCCGCCGCAACAAATCTGCGGTGGATGGAGACTGCGGTTGGATTCGGGTGCTAGCATTCGCAGTGTTGCTCAATCGCTCTACCGGGAGAAGCTTTTGGGGGATGATGCAATGCATCCTCCATCTTAAGACTGGAGAGGTTGGATTTTAGCGTAGGCGGCAGCAGGCAGCACGCCCTATACAGACACCATGAAAGCTTAACTACCCTCAAGTAGCGGACTTGACACCGTCCCTGACTCATGTCAATGGATATATCAAGGCCTCGACTGTCTTACACTCGTCCTTCACTCTACATCCTTCAGGTAAATCACATATATTCGCTAGTCACCGCCCAACTCGGCCACTTCAAGTCAGATCAATATGACGGCCAGACCACCCCTGCGTGTCCTCTTCTTCGACGTCTTCGGCACGTGTGTACAGCAGAGGCCGCCTGTAGCGGATGAACTATGGAAGGCCGCAAATGAGGCGCTTGAATCGAATGCGTCGATCAATGATGAAGTGCGGGCCAAGGCCACGGAGATGGTACTTATGTTTCGACCCGCCGCGCACACTCTGAATCTACACTGATCCGTCCCGCAGACATATGAGAAGTGGTTCGAGTTTGGGGGAGTCCGTACCCAGTTCAATTGGAATATCTTGCGAAACACCAAACTCACAGGAAACAGGAATGGAACGGAATCGAGCACACTGTCGTCCGCGAACAGATTGCCAAAACCGGCACAGTAGATTGGCGAGCAGTCGACCAATATCGCCAGGACGCCCTGCGCACTCTCCTCGCCCGCCACGGCCTGCTTCTTCTCCGCGAAGACCCCACCACCTCAGAGGTCCACATCGAGCCAGGCTCGCTCTTCGACGCAGCGCAATTCAAGCACCTCGCCACCATCTGGCACCGGCTTCCCCCGTGGCCCGACACTTGCCGCGGCTTAGACCTGCTCAACAAGAAGTTCTCGACAGTCACGCTGAGCAATGCGTACAACGACTTGATGAAAGGCCTCGTGGCGCACAGCAGTATCCCGTTCACCCAGGTGTACACCTCCGACCTGTTCCACTCGTACAAGCCGAACCCCAAGGTATATCTCGGAGCGGCGGAGAAGATGGGCGTGAAGCCGGAGGAGTGTGCGCTTGTGGCCGCGCATCTCGGGGATCTGAAGGGAGCGAAGGCGTGTGGGTTTCATGCGATCTATGTTGAACGGCCGCTGGAGGAGAAGACTCCGGCGTTGCGAGAAGAGAACATTCCCGATCTTGTGATCAAAGAGGACGAGGAGGGATTTGTTGCTCTTGCACGGCGTCTGGGGATCCAAGCTGAGTGAATGATCGGCCATGCCGCTCTTCACCTACACTTAGATATGGACAGGTGTAGACAGGGATTAACAGAGATACACTCCCTACTTCATATCAACGACCTCGTCCCATCCCCACTGACGCAGGAACAAATCCATCCATTCTGGACGCACAGCCTCCAGCTCCCGCAGTGTCGCACTCACCGTCTGAGTCTGGACAGACTCCAGCGGTGCAACACGGGCGTGTGGAAAGCGGATGGCGCGGTCTTGCAGGTTGTCGAAAAAGTCGATCAGCTTACCCGCCGGGTTCAGCCCCTCATTCACTCCCTGGAAACCACCGGCCTCTGCTACGCTTGCCTTTAACAGATCCACCCACTCCACGAACGACACGGTCTTCATTCCATCCGACATTCTCTCCCGCATCGCCGGAACAAGCTGCTTCCACTGCGAGGGACGAGGATTAACGATATGGAAGAAGTGCGCACTGCCCGCATCTTTGCCCATCTTCCTCGTCGCCTTGGCCGTCCGTCGACTTCGTCCAAGCAGTTCATCTCTGACAAACGGCGCGACAATATCGACAATGACCTGCGCAGCGACATCTGCAGGCACCCAGTCGACCACTTCGGTAGGCCCTAGAGTCTCTGGCAGGGCATTGAGCGCCATGGAGCTCTTGATGATGCTAGGGATCCATTCCCTCTCCGGCCATTTGCCCTTGGTATCGTGTCGAACCGGGCCGCAAAGCTGGCCAACGCGCACGATAGCGACAGGAATCGCGAACGTAGCAGCCGCGTGGCAAAGCAGGCGCTCAGACAACAGCTTCGACTGTCCATAACCCGTGCGCGCGACTTTCCAATCGAGGATCTCGACTTCGGGGACTTCAGAGCGCGAAGTAGGAGCTGCGGAGCCCCAGTTCGACGTGGCGCCGATGGACGAGACGAAGAGCAGTTTCATCGGGTGGGCGCTGTTATCGGCGACAGTGCGAGACTTGCAGAACTCGACCAAATACGCCATGCCTTCAATGAGCGGGCGGAAGGAGCGCACGTTGCGGTTGAAGTCCACAGGCCAGGCATTGTGGATGAAGACGTCAGCGTGCTGCGCCAGCTCGGCGTATGTAGGAGGCGCGAGGGCTAGCTGAGGTGCGGTGAAGTCGGCGGTGAAGAACTGCACTCGGCTGGCGTCGAGGGGCTGCGTTAGGCCTCGGACAGTATGCGCATTGCCTTGCTTCTCTCCTGCATTTTCGGCGCGGTTCAGGCAGATGACTTGATCGATTTGGGGCAATGACAGCAGCTCGTCGAGGAGGTATGCGCCCAAGTTACCAGTCGAGCCCGAGAGAATCACGTTGAAACTCATTGTGATGGGGAACGAAAGTGTAGAAGGGAAAGGAGCCGATGTCGAGGTGGGCTTTCCATGCATGAGCACCCAGTCGGTAAGCGCGGGGCGAGGCCAGATTTAAGTATTCCTCATCAGGCGGATCAGCTCTACATGTGGACGTATCACGACACAAAGGCGCAGTAAGTCATCTAGTTGCGAAGACAAATGATGCTTGAATACATTTATGCATCATTGGAGATGGACTGAAGAAGTCGAGGGCCGATGGAGTTACTACGGCGATGTCATGATCGTCTAGTGCTTAAGCAAGGCTGCCAACAACGTTCCAGCCTCGCGGCCGACTCCGGAGTCGTCGCGGCTTGGCTGGGAACGCTGTCCGCGAGATATTCATGGTGGCGCTCTCAAGGGGACACTGACTTGTTGTTCTTACAGTAGTAGATGGAAGGCGCACCCTGCAACAATGGAGCAGAGTCGAGTAGTCGTCAGCGCAAACGCATGCGACCTGGAAATCCATGACACGGGAGGCTGAGCGTAATGCGTCGGAGTAAGCAGCGGGCGTTCATTGTGCCGACCGCCTCCCATACCACGCGCACACAACCAGCCACCCGTCACGGCAGCTGGAAAATGCCCATCAAACCCATAGCTCTATCCTTACTTCTTCGTGCAAAACACTCAGAAGACTCAGTAGACATGCCTCCGCACGAAGGTCCTCCGCCACCGCCAGGCTGCAGCACCAGACTCCTCCACAATGTTATCGAGCAACGTGCCCGCGATGGACATTCACGCCCCATCGCCTCAGTTCCGCGCTCCAGCACGCTCGACGAGGGATACACGGATGTGTCCTACGCCATGTTTGCCAACGCTATTGATCGACTTGCCCACTGGATTCTCGCGACACTGGGAACGCCGACTAGAGACTGCGAACCGATTGTGTACGTGGCGCCGTTGGATCTGCGATATCAGATTCTGATGATAGCTGCCGTCAAGGCTGGATATATCGTGAGTTTCCCCCCAGTGCTCATCACTCTCGCCGTGCAATGTTGACTCTTGAGCTGTAGACATGCCTCATGTCCCCTCGCAACAGCAAAGACGCCTTCACCTCTCTCTTGCGAGAGTGCGGCGCAACGAAGCTCCTCACAACCGATCCTCCATCCCCCGCAATCGCAACAATGCTCAAATGTCAAGTCATGACCACCTTCACCATCCCGTCGCTCAGCGAGCTGCTCGACAAAACGCCCGTCCCGCCAGTCCGAATCAACGCAACATGGGAAGCATGGCGCTTCCGGCCCTTCGTAATGATCCACTCGTCCGGCAGCACGGGCACGCCGAAACTCTTCACCTTGAAGCACGGCAGCTTCGCGGCGCTGGACGGCTTCCAGCTGCTGGAGGGCAACGAGCTGGGCCAGCGGTTCGGCAACATGCGAGGCTTCGTGAGCCTGCCGCCGTTCCATATCGCCGGCATTACTTACACGCTGGCATTGCCGGTTTGGTTGGATTTCACCGCCGTCCTGCCGCCCGTGACTCCCTTGAATGCAGCCGTGGTCAACGCCGCACACGTGTCGGGGAGAGTCGAGTTTACGCTTCTCCCCCCGTCGATTGTCGTGGATCTCACCAAAGATCCAACCTATCTGCAAAACCTGACCCGCCTCGAACGCGTCGTCTTCACCGGCGGACCGCTACCAGAAGCCGCGGGAAAGTTGATAGCCCCGCACGCAAGGCTCGACGCCGGCTACGGAGCGACAGAGTGGAATGCAGTGCCGCAGCTGCCAAAAGACCGGGAAGACTGGGCCTTTATGCGGTTCAACGAGAGACAAGGGGGACTGGAGTTTCGCGAGCAAGACAACGGGCTGTACGAGATGGTGATATGCCGCAGCGAGGAGTGGGGAATGGCACAGCCGGTGTTCGTCACGCTGCCGGAGATCAACGAATTTCGCAGCAAAGATCTCTTCTCGAAACACCCCACCAAGCCCGGGTTGTGGAAGTACACGTCACGCTCGGACGACATTATCGTTTTCAGCAATGGGGAGAAACTCAATCCCGTGACCTTCGAGGGGATTGTTTCTTCTTCGCCGGACGTCAAGGGATGCGTCGTCATTGGCCAGGGAAGATTCCAGGCCTCGCTGTTGATGGAGCCATCCCGCCCACTCGGTGATGGAGAAGAAGAGCTGCTCGACCAGGTCTGGCCGTATATCCAGAAAGCAAACGAGATCACGGTGCGCCATGGCCGAGTGGCCAGAGACTGTGTATTCTTCACCGCCACCGAAAAACCGCTTCCACGCGCTGGCAAAGGGACAATCCAGCGCGCTGCCACCAATGCCTTGTATGCTCCCGAAACCGATGCGCTATATACGCGCATACACGCTGCTCCACTGGTAGACAATGTGCCCTCCAAGATGGCCCCGATCCTTATCGATGGAGAGGACCCCGAGCGCACTATGGCGTCCTTGCGGGAATTTATCTCCGAGGAAATCGGGCTCGAAGGGGCCAAAGACACCGACGACTTCTTCATGCTGGGCATGGACTCGCTGCAAGTCGTCAACATTGTCCGAGCGATCAACACAGCACGGCCGGACAACCCAATCGACGCAAAACAGGTGTACGACCATCCCTCGATAGTCCAGTTGGCGCAATATCTGCACATCCCACCATCTCGCGTCGTGGACAACGACGACTCGGACGACGAGGAACTCAAAGAGTCCTGGCTCGCGATGGAAGAGATGTATCAAGAGCTGAGCGCAGGCATGACCCCGAACCCAGGGAAACGCAGCCGGAGACCAAACCTCAACGGCTGGCTGCGTCCTTCCAACCAGGGCCCCGTGCTTCCCCCCGATGGCGGCAAAATCGCCTGGCTCCAAGTGCTGGCGATGGCATTGGTGAATTTCAACAACTTCGGCCTGGTCAATAGTTTCGGGGTGTTCCAGGCATACTACGAAACAACGCTTCTGCGCACCAGCTCGCCTTCTTCGATTGCGATTGTGGGCACGCTGCAAGGCGCTCTGCTGCTCATTGTGGGAGTCGTGTCGGGCCCGCTGTTCGACAAAGGCTACTTCAAGCCTGCACTCGTCGTTGCAAGTCTCGGTCTGGTATTTGCGTTGATGATGCTGAGCCTTTCGACACAGTACTATCAAGTTTTCCTCTCTCAAGGCCTACTCCTGGGCATCTGTTCTGGATTGCTCTACATCCCTAGGTGAGTGACTCATGCCGATGTATTTATGCTGGCCGTCGAGATTCATACTGACACGTGCATAAGCATCGCCCTGATTCCCGTCTACTTCAAGCGAAGACGAGGTCTTGCACTGGGCCTTGCGACAGGCGGCGGCTCAATTGGAGGCGTAATCTATCCCATCATCTTCCGCCGCCTGGTGGTCGAAGTGGGCTTTGGATGGGCAGTGCGAGTGTTGGGCTTCATCGCTCTCGTCACATTAGGGACTGCCGTGGGGTTGAGCAAGCCGATTGGAGTCAGGATTCAGCGGAAGCTACTGGAGCCTTCGGCGTTTCGTGACAAGGCATATGTCATGTTCCTTTTCTCTGCATTCTGTAAGAGCGTTTGGAGTTCCGAAGACGGCAAGCATTGCCTAGCTAACAGTTCATAGTCCTCCTGGCGGCCATGTTTGTGCCGTTCTTCCTGGCCACGGCCTACAGCATCCAGCATCTCCATGCCAACGCGGGACTGAGTTTTTACCTCATCTCAATCATGAATGCAGCTCAATTCTTCGGACGCCTGCTTCCCGCATGGCTTGCCGACCACCGCCATAGGATACTGGGCCCAGAAACTTTCCAGTTCGCTGGAGAAGTTTTTATGGGCATTCTCGGGTTCGCATGGGTAGGTGTGGGCAGCTTCGGAGACTTCATCCCCTGGGTCATCTTCTACGGCTTTTTCAGCGGGATGACAGTGACGCTGCCGGCGGTCGTCCTTCCTCACATCTGTCCGAACTTGGCGGTGTATGGAACACGCGTTGGGATGCTCTATGCCTGCGCGGGTGTCGGGCTCCTCATATCCACGCCTGTCGCAAGCGCACTGAATGCAAGCTCGGGAGGGTTTCTTGGAGCACAGCTTTGGACTGGAGCGTGCTGCCTCGTAGCAAGCTTGCTGTTCGTTGTGACCGGGCTCGAGATCAGAGAACGCAGGTTGCGGTACGAGATGGGTAAGAGAGGTAAGCGGGGCCCTCGGGGTCGTGAGATGGACATGAACTTCTTCCACTGGGACATGGTGTTCCGCATCAAAGAAAAATTGTAGATGCAGAGGATAATTCGCGACCAATGTGCAATATCACTCCATAATCTTTCCAATATGAGACGGGGCGCGCTGAGAGGCGGGGCCCAGGATGTTGGGGTAGGTCATGGTCGTTGCCGTGCCCGATATCGCACTCCACTGTGCAGTCGTCTCGGCGGTGGAAAGCGGGTGGGAGACGTGGCTTCGAATTTCATCGGCGTGCCAGGAAGGGGTGGTGGCGGTGGTGGATTTGGCATCGGGCTGGGATGGCGCGTATTGATGTGATGGCGCGTAATGATGGGATGGTGCGTAGATTTGCGATGGTGGCAGAGCCTCCAAGGCCGAAGTGTTGAAGTCCATCTGCTTGCCGTAGATGGAAGGACTCGGGGGAGGAGGGGTGGTGTTGAGCATCCTTTTCCACCATAATGAAAGGGTTCGGTAGATGAGGGGGGCAATAACGGGGAGGAGGACGAAGGAGAAGACGGTGGGGATGATCTCGAGGATGTTGCCGTTGCCGTCGTTTGAGCCTACGGCAAAGGCAAAGCACTTGGGGCGTGATTGGGTTAGCAATGCGAGGGGAGGAGTGGAGTACTCGGGGGTGAAAACTCACAACTCCAGCAGCAAAGGACATGAGAAGTGCGAAGAAGTCAATCACCAGGATGAGCAGGTATATTCGGACATCACGGATGTCGTCAGGGCTTCGATGAGGGGCGAAAAGAGCGAGAAAGCCAAAGAGAGCAATGTCGGCGGCGAGGAAGGCTATGCATACTTGGAGATTGCCTCCGTAGTAGTAGTCCACGGCGGGGGAGAAGCCGATGGCGAAACCCATGACGATTAACGCAAGCGTGATCTGAGTGATGCGAGCTGCGAGGATCCAGCGTTGCACCTTGCGGTCCTCCATCGTGAAGAGGTGTGCGTGAAGACGCAGGTGAGGGAGACGGAGAGGATGGGCGCACAATAGGTGCGTGAATGGGACGAAGGGTGGAAGATGCGCCGCTGACGGGTGAATCAAGCAATGCTGCGGCGGAAGAGGCGGTGGTAGGCGGAGGTGACGTGCCAACGTGCATGCCCGCGCTGTAGCTGGAAGCGCGGCGCGTCGGAATTACGGAGATGGCGCGCGGGGAGGGCAAGTAGGTACTGGACAGTAAGGGGCAGAGGCCCATGGTGGAGGGCGGAGAGAAGAAGGTCGGAAGGCTGCCGAAGGCAACACGATTTGTCGCGTTGTGATTCGCCATCATCTCGGATCAAAACGTTCCGAGGGCCAGTAAAAGCCCTCACTGCACTATTCTTGTAGGCATGCAGGAGACGCCAGACATGCCGACACTACTGCACGCCGTACGTCAACCACCCGACTGTTTCTAGTAGATCTACATGGACACATAATGCGTTAGGAACAAGGCTATTGCTTCATGGCCACTCCAGCGTGTAGATCTGTGCAAGTCACGTCTTTGACCCTCTCATTTGCCTTGGAGTCTATTTGCCGGGCGGTAAAGATTCCATCCAGCCCTAGTACAGTACCGAGGACAGACAGGGCGGCCAGGACTCATGCTGTAGCACCACGACAGCCACGGCGACGGCTAATAAGGCGAACGCCATGGATGCTGCATCACGAGACGATGTGTCCTGATTCACGGCCCTGGCAACAGCGTGTTCTCCCATCGTCAGGTTACATTTGCGGCTGATACTCTCTCGTGGCAGCGCAGCGCCATCGTGTGAAGCATGTGCAAGCATCAGCGCCGTTGCCGAGAGATGGCGACAGCCCCTGCCCAATCTGCGTGCCGGTCTGTCCACACTGCTCATGCATGCACTTGTCTGCGCTTCCACTGCATTGCTCAGCATGGCGCTGAGACATGGCCCTCCGCAAATCACGCATAGCACGGGGGGAACGTGGAGTCTGTCTCGTTGTCGTCAGCACGCAACCACGGTCAGACTCGCGATGCACATATGCAGACCTCGCCTCTCGAGGGGAAGCAACTTTATTCCCGCTGTTTCCCTTGAACCAAACAAATTAAGGTGAACCAACGGGCGGTCGCCTTGGCCGAAACAGGCAAGGCGGCCAGATGGTGATGGACGCGAGGCAGAGAGTGGAGAGGGTGTGGAAGCGAGGCCAGCTTGCCAGCATCATCAACGCTCCATACCAAGCTTGCTCGGAGGCACTGCACTCCCCGCCCGATCTCACTAGGCCTCTTTGCGACGCACACTGCGCCCTGGCCACGGCAGTTGCTTATATCGCATACGAGTCAGGTCTAGACCTCCGGCTGGGAGCCTTGCCGACATACTGTTAATCTAGGCCATTTCCTCTCTTTACCCTTTCGTCACTCCTGCTGGTTGGAGCGATCCAGTGCGTGCTCCCGTCCCAAACGAGCAATCATCCCGCGTTCTACCTTCCCAATCCGGCTGGTCTTTGGAGATGCTAGCCCACCAAGCCACAACGACTCCCTGACCGGTCATCATGGACGCACACGTCAGCAGAAGGTTCAGTGCATACCTCCGCAACGCCGTCTTCGCTACCTGATAGCAAGATGGGAGGGACATCAAGGTTCTTCCTTCGCTGGTGCTGTCATCCCCGTACAGTGTCCATGTGCTGTAACGTGCTCGTCGCACGTCGCCCGTCGCCCGCTGCTCCTTGCCATCTACTGGAAAATTGTGGATTGCGAAATGAAAACCAACCACGCCGCTAACGGATCTACATCCGAATCTGCTTGGCTGGCTCGCGCGCATCACGTCCATTCATCACCAGCAGAACCCTGCACGCCAAGGAGTGTAATGCGTGATCCGACAGGAATATTCGCAAGGGGGCTGATGAAGATCCAATGGCCGGCCGCCAACCGCACCGTGCCGGCAGTGGCTTGCAGCGGATGGGCTTGAGATGATAGACGCCCATCACGCAACTGGACCAGCGATACCCCTGCGGTGGCGATCGCCTCGCTCTAGACCGTGGCGCCCCTAGACGAGCCGCATCGGACCCGCGTGTTGGGTAGTGGCACGGCCTTTATCGCCGGGAGACTCAGGAACAGAGCGAATTGGACAAGCTCCTGGTTGGGATTAAGCGCGGCGGAGGATTGACAGCCTTTCTACGCTGCTTGGAAGCGACGCACCACCAAACTGCCTCGCTTGCACGGCTCGTGCCTCGAGTGGAGCCGTCGGATCTTCCCACCCGAGCCTTGCGGCAACGTCGGCCGCCCCTCTCGCTGCTGTTTGTTTGCCCACTCCCACCTGTTTTGGTGCACGTTGTGGATTCGTAACATCGATCCGGCAAAGGCTCCACTCGGAAGACTCTCGACAAGCGTCGAATGGTTCCAAGGACATGAACAGCCTTCTCCCGAAATACTGCAGATCAATCGCGCAATGGCCGCAATCGGTTATTACGAGGCTCGATGGTGATGCTGGCCGCACCAGCGTGTGTATAAAGCTACGCTCCGTCGTCCTCGAGATCAACGTCTTGTCCCACCAGCCTTCACCCAACTTCCACCAGCTTCCCCTTCCACCTGTCCATCACTCTCCACCCGGCCCTCACCCGCCCCACACAATCAACCGTTAAAATGAAGTTCTCCATCTTCTCCGTCGCCCTCCTGGCCGCCAGCGCCGTTGAGGCCGCCAAGGTTCCCAAGGTCCCCAAGGTCAAGACCAAGACCATCACCGTCCCAGGTATGTCAGCTTCCTCTCCCACTGTGAACATGGATAGCTGACTGTTCTCGCAAAGGCACCATCACCGTCCCCGGCACCACCATCACTGCGACGATCACTGCCATTGACCCTCCTAAGACCATCACGATCCCCACCACCATCACCAAGCAGATCACCAAGACTGCTGGCAAGGTCACCAAGACCGTCACCTCGATCGTCTCTGGCGAGGTGTCTACCGTGACCTCCATTGTCTCGGGTGCCGTTTCCACCGTGACTTCCGTCGTCTCCGCTGAGGCCTCCACTGTGACCTCCATCGTTTCGGGAGCCGTTTCGACTGTCACCTCGGTCGTCTCTGCCGAAGCCTCGACCGTCACCTCGATCGTCTCGGGAGCCGTTTCCACCGTCACCTCGGTCATCTCTGCCGAAGCCTCGACCGTCACCTCGATCATCTCTGGCGCCATCTCTACCATCACCGCTGCCTGCCCGACCCCGACTATCCCTACCGTCACCCTTCCTCCCGTGACCGTCTCCATCACCGCCTCGGTTCCTACCGTGACTCTTCCTCCCGTGACCGTCTCCGTCACCGCCTCGGTCACCGCATCTGTCCCGACCGTTACCATCACTCCTCCCGCGACCACCGTCACTATCGTAAGTTGATCTCAAGGAGCAACGCTCGCCGTGCGTGAATAGATCCATGCTGACTTGAACATCGTAGCCCGTGACCGTCTCCATTATCAACACCGCCACCGTAACCCTCCCCCTCTAAGCGTCTTTTCGACTTCGGTTCCGGGATTGAGTGAGGTCAGTCAGGCTGGATGAGTGTTTTTCCCTCATACATGGAAGGCGGCTAGGGGAAGCTGGTTTCTTAGTTGATCACAGGCTACTTTTTCTTTCCTCAACAATCCATTCTCGTTGAATCGCACAATCATTCTCTCCCAACTTCCCACTCCCACGCCTCCGATATATAAGCCTTGGGTCGTGCCAAGCGCGCATGTGCCGTTCAATTGTATGCAGAGTGAGTACACTGCATGCAATCTCGGCACGATGGTTTGGAACTCGCTTGTTGGCCATATATGAATGCACCACCAGAATCCACTGCGCGCCTACCACGCTTTCTCCCTTCGAGCTACAGTGTCTACAGTAACTTATCATCTGCACGGCGATCTCTACGCGCTACCAAATCCTCGTTCGGGTTCAATACGCACGCGCACGGCTGAGTCGCAGGCACGGACGACGTTGAAGCGGACGGATTCGGCGTATTCGCATACGACATTCCTCTAATAATGCAAGGATAAGCGACGCGCTATATCGCGAGGCTGGTGGAAACTGCACTGCGACGATCGGCAAAATCATCTCGCATCCATGGTAACGATAAACAACTGGAAGTTCGTGCAGGTGGTTGGGAACTTCAGGCTGTGAGCTCGTGGGGCGGGCGTGCAAGGCTGCTGGGCAGAGTCGTGATGTCATGATGTGTGGAGGTGGTGTTGGCAAGCTAGTCGTTCATCACCACGTTCTTCTTTGTAGTAAATCTGAGTCACAACTGCAATTCTAGATACCGGCCGATTCGAAGTGCAGTTGATCACCGCTCCTAAGTAATCTTATCACCACACGCAACAATGGTGAAAGACGACGAAACCGTCATCGAGTAAGCGTGATTGCACCTTTGTCTGTCGCAGCAAGAAATACTGACAGAGATTCGCGCAGGGAATTCAACGAGCTCGTCAACATGTCGGCGAAGGAGTTGAAGGACTGGCTGCAAAAGGAAGAATCTAGCAGTTCGGGCTGGAGCAAGGACGACGGGTCGGGGGAAACGGTTGGCCATGAAAGGTAGGTTGCATTGGATCAGATTCGAGGCTGGACATGGGCTGAGGCAATGGGATGCAGCGGCCGCAAGATCATCGAAATCTTGGAGAAGAATCCCAAGAAGGATCCGAAGAAGTACGACGATGAGGATCTGCAGCATATGCGCAAGGTTGTGGCGTACTGCAAGCGCCATCTCGCTCAGGAAGAAAAGGCGAAGCAAGACCCGGAGAGCAAGAGTGCGAGGAGCTTGAAGAACTGGGGTGAGTCTTTGTTTTGATGTCGTTGTATCTCGCCGAGCGGACACCGAATTGATTCTCCGTTATGCAGGTCACGATCCGCAAAAGTCGTGATGCCTATGCTCATGCGTCTATTCGTAGACTCGAACCACGTCAATCACTATCCCCGTCGTCATCGTCACTCAAGTCTATCAACCCTTTCGGCTTCAGTCTTCGCTGTGGCGCAACGGCGGCCTGCTTAGCCTTCCTGTCCCGCCCTTCGTCTTCGTCACTCCCACTCCCAGCGCCGTCACCCCATTTCTCGTTGAACTCCCTAGCTGCTTCCAGCTCATCCTTCAGCTCCCGCGCTTCTTTGATCTGCTTCGCCTTCTCTGCACTAAAGCGTCCAGTCATTCCCACGTCGTCCAACATTCTCTTCAAATGCCGGATCTTGTCTTTCGCCGAGTCGTAGGGTGCCAATTCGCGGTGCCAGAGCTTGCGTACGCCGCATTTGAGCAGCCAGGACTGAAGGCGTTTGATCTCTTCCTCGTCTGGGGACAGTTCTTTGCCTTTGTCCGCGGTCGACGACTTGGCTTTGTCGGGTTTGGATTGCTTTTTGGGTTGTGACTTTTTGGCCGCTGGAGACGTGGACTTTTTCTGCCGTTTCTGCTTGGGCGGTGGGTCGTCGTTTACGATGGAGTAGTCGCTTTCCTCCTCTTCTTCACGCGACTTTTCGTCTTGCTTGGCAACGCCGCCTAGATCGGACTCGGGGAGATCGGAGAGCGAGCTGCCTGTGTCACTCGGCACGTCGGCTTGTTTCGCCTTGGTGGCGGCAGCTTTTGATGTTTTCGCGGAGCGCTTGCCTGCACCCTCTGTCTCCGTAGGCGTCGGTTTTCTCGCCCTCTTCTTGCTCTGTACAGGTGCTTCGTCCGACTTGCGCTTCGTCCCAGCCTTGGGGGCCGGTTGATTCTTCAGCCTGTCCGCCTCATCCGCCTCGGCCTTGACAATGTCCTTGCTACGATTCTTCCACGCTGCAGTATCCTTGAAGAATCCCTCGTCCAATTCAAGTTCCTTCTCCGCCCTCGATCGGGCCGAGTTGATCGTGACGTCTTCATCGTTCTTCAGCGCAGCGCGAGTCACGCGGCGAAGGCATTGCTCGATCTCCGAGTCGGGAGGGATGTTGGCGGGTGTGGACAGGTCGTCTTCGGAGTCCGACATGGTGCATGCCTTGCGCAAGTGGCTGTGGATGGACCGACGCGTGTGGATATGATGTCAATGCACACAGCGACGCGACTTCGAGGTCTGCCTTGGAGCTCGGCCCCACCAATCAACCTTTCGCCCGCGAAACCTTAACTCGGCGGTGCATTTACAGTACTGAATGGCGAGCTCGCCTTTCTATCACTTTGTCTTCACGACATTACGCGTCAGTTCTCTGATTGCGCAGCTGGCTGGCCAATGTGGCCTCCTTTCAGCTCTTCGAACATGTCGTCGTCCACCAGTCCGACGCGAGAAGCGCACGCGCCGCCCTTGCCCGCAGGAAGCACTCGTGTGTGATGAAATCTGAGCCATCACATCCTGTAGCCGTCCGTCTGGTAGCCATAACGTATCACATTCCTCGAGGGTCAAGTACTGTCGCTTCTATGTCTTCCTATCTTCCTCGCTGTCTTGGAATTCACACACTTCCCGACCTCGGACTGGACTCTCGAAAGGCTCACGCCCATGCTACAGACGCAAGTCGTGTCTGTGCCAGCATGAGAGGCGGAAGACACGATCGAAGATCAATGATCGAGTCCCGTCCCATCTGTCAAGACACAATGCAGGCAGCCGTTCGGTCTCCATTCACGCGTCGATGGTGGAGTGAATGAAGTGCAGACGACACTCTCCAGGGAAGGTACAAACGCCGCTCGCTCCTGCCAGATCCCGTTCCTAATCGCACCTTCCTCATCGACCGCGTTGTTGCACAGACAAACCTTGATCCCCGTAGGTTACACGCTCTCATTCCCCGATTTCCTTCACGACCTACAACACCCTCCCTTCACCCCCACCAATTCGCCACCCTAAACCATCCCACTCCCAGGCATGACTGTTGCACGTCCTCACAAACACCTTCCCTCCCAAGCTTGGTGCCACTCGCGTTCTTGCGTCAAGTCAACATCCGTCAACAATCCACGAGTCCATAACAAACGTTCGTTCGCAGCTGCCTTCCCCTTGTCGCGTCATGCGTGAGTGAACTGACTTGGCCTCGCAGAAGCATTCATCTCCGACATGGCCTCCTTCAGTGACTCCACCGAGAACCAGGACGGCCGGCTCATCATCGTCGCCAACCGTCTTCCCGTCACCGTCAAGCGCGACGATGAAAGCGTCTACGAGTTCCATCCCTCCTCCGGCGGCTTGGTCTCGGGGCTGGCCGGAGTGAGGAGGAAGAACGAATTGCTGTGGTACGGATGGCCGGGGTTGGAAGTGCCGAGAGAGGACAAGGAGCACGTCAAGGAGCGCTGCCATCTCGACCACAACTGCATCCCTATCTTCATGTCCGAAGACGTGAGCGATCGACACTACAACGGCTTCTCCAATTCCGTCCTGTGGCCGCTCTTCCATTACCACCCCGAAGGCGCCATCTTCGACGACTTGCAATGGGACGGATACTACGAAGCCAACCACACCTTCGCCAAAGCGCTCGCCCCGGATCTCATCGACGATGACATTGTCTGGGTGCAAGACTACCACCTCATGCTGCTGCCGGAGATGCTCCGCAACGAAATCGACAAGATGGACGTCAAACCGAAGAATGTGAAGATCGGCTTCTTCCTCCACACCCCATTCCCCTCTTCCGAGCTCTTCCGTATTCTCCCCGTACGTGAGCAGATTCTCAATGGAGTGCTGCACTGCGATCTGATCGGCTTCCACACCCCCGACTATGCCCGCCACTTCCTCAACTCTTGCGCGCGTGTTCTGGGCTCCTCCACCATCCCTAGCGGTGTGCACTTTCGCGGACGATTGGTCGAAGTGAGGGAGTGCCCCATCGGAATCGATCCTCTCAAGTTTGCAGAGGGACTCCAAGAGCCCGGCGTCATAGCGCGCGTTCAGCAGCTCCAGAAGCGGTTCGCAGGGGTCAAGGTGATTGTTGGCGTGGATCGCCTGGATTACATCAAGGGGGTGCAACAAAAGCTCCACGCGCTCGAAGTCTTCTTGACGGATCACCCTGAGTGGATTGGCAAAGTGGTCCTCATCCAAGTCGCAGTGCCTTCGCGTGGTGAAGTCGAGGAATACAAGAACCTGCGCGCTGTGGTCAACGAGCTTGTGGGACGCATCAATGGCAGGTTCGGCACCATGGAGTTCACGCCCATCCACTTCATGCACAAGTCGGTGAACTTTCAGGAGCTCATTGCCCTCTACTCCGTCAGCGACGTGTGTCTGGTCACCAGCACGCGCGATGGAATGAATCTGGTCAGCTACGAATACATTGCCTGTCAACAGGAGCGCCACGGCGTGCTCATCCTCTCCGAGTTCGCAGGCGCAGCTCAGAGTCTCACCGGAGCGCTAGTCATCAATCCTTGGGATACGGCTGAGGTGGCGGATGCGCTGCATCAGGCCGTCGCCATGACTCCCCAACAACGCTTGGAGAATTACGAGAGACTGGCGCGCGTGGTCAACACCAAGACGTCGGAGAATTGGGGCACTACGTTTGTGCACGACATCATCAAGACTGCGGAGCAGCTTCCCATCTTCGAGCTGTGTGTCAGGTACACGTCGTCCGACTCGGAGTCAGAGATGCCTGATACAGTGGTGGACGCGGGGATCGCGCTGGAGAGCCCTGGAGACTTCGCCATCGGGAGGATGATTGAAGCCAGCGATGCGGACACGGAGGAAGACTCAGAGAAGTACGAACCCGATACTCGCACCCTGACCCCCTCCTCATCCAATTGACCGAAAGATATCCCTTCCTATGGTTCGTGTTGGCTGACACATTCGAGTAACAGGGAGTACAAGTCGCACGAAGAGGAAGAAATGGAAGATGAGGGGATTGTGTTGAAGGTGGAATCGAGGTCGCCACCAGCTCTGGACTGACCTCGTAGGTCTTCAACGGTCTACTACATACTGGCTCGTTGACGTCTTTTCAAGCCTCGCGATAAGGACGGGTGGAAGAGCGGCAAGGCATCGCAATGAAAGCGATGCGATACTTACGTTGCTGCTTTGTAACTTGGAGAGAGCGAAAGAGAGAGACGATGGAAGTAGCTGTTTATACTCTTCAAGCAAACTCATAAGGTGTGCGTCGTAGTGTTCGCTCATTCATTCACTCAAGAAAGCAAGCAAGCAGCAAGGCTGTCGTTCCACGCAAGTTTTGCGGCAACTTTGCCGAGCCATTCACATCGAACTTTCTCCCACACGCGATCCACGTCTCCCAATACACATATGCGTAGCTACAACTTCTTTCTGCCTTTCATGCGCCACTGCGACAAGCGCACGACCTAGCAAACGGCTGTGGACTACGCAAGACCACCCCGGGATGATGTCACCCTCCCCAACGCCCCTCCACCGGTGACCCTAAACCACAGCACAAGCGATGTTCACCTTCAATCCTCTCCTCGGCGCGCAGTCGCCATCGCGCGCCTCCCAATCCCTCCTCGAATTCAGCGGCGGCATCAAGATCCTCGTCGACGTCGGCTGGGACGAGAGCTTCAATGCCTGGGACCTGCAAGAGCTGGAGAAGCACGTGAACACGCTCAGCATCATCCTCCTCACCCACCCGACCCTCACACACATCGGCGCCTACGCGCACTGCTGCAAGCATGTTCCCGGCTTCAGCAGGATCCCGGTGTACGCGACGACGCCGGTGGTCAATCTGGGGAGGACGTTGATGCTCGATCTCTACGGCAGTAGTCCTTTGACTGCCTCTACTCTGTCGTTTGGCAGTCTTTTGCCTGTTTCAGAAGCGGAATCAGATCGCGCCAGCCTCTTGCTGCAGCCGCCGACGCCCGAGGAGATTGCGTCGTATTTTGGCCTCATCAACCCTCTCAAGTACTCGCAGCCGCATCAGCCGATCCCTTCACCGTTCTCGCCTTCCCTCTCCGGCTTGACCATTACTGCATACAGCGCGGGGCACACACTAGGAGGAACGATATGGCACATCCAACACGGGCTGGAAAGCATCGTCTATGCCGCCGACTGGAATCTGGCTCGAGAGCGCTTCTTGCCCGCCGCAGCATGGCTGAGCTCGGGCAGTGGCATTCTTGACCCTTTACACCGTCCAACGGCACTCATCTGCTCCAGCAGAGGCGTGGAGCGGGAAGAACGGCTCACCGTCGACACCCGCAACGACACCCTCATCTCACTCATTCGAGACACCATTGCCCAAGGCGGAAAAGTTCTCATCCCCACCGATTCATCGGCGCGAGTATTGGAGCTTGCATATGTGCTCAACCAGCACTGGCGCAGCAACGTTGATGGCCCGCACTCCAGTACCTACAAGAACACCAAAATCTACATGGCCTCGCGATCTAGCTCCACCACCCTCCGCTACTTGCAGAGCATGCTGGAATGGATGGACGGACAAATTACCCGTGACGCGGAGGCGGCCATCACACAGGGCCAGGGTGCCGGAGGCGCTGTCAATCCGCTGGACTGGAAGTTTGTGCGGCCCATTGAGAAGCAGACTCAGGTAGAACGGGCGTTAGCGAGGAGCAAACCATGTGTTTTGCTGACAAGCGACACCACGATCGAGTGGGGCTTCTCGAGGCAAGCCTTGGAAAGTCTCGCATCGGACGCGAAGAACCTGATCATCTTGACGGAGCAGTCGCAGCAAGGCGGCGGGTCGCGAGCTGGTGTTGGTCGGCGTCTGTGGGATTTGTACCAGGATTCTCAGGGCTCGACTGCCGGTCAGAACGGGACGAAAGTTGTTGATGCAAGTGGTGCTACCGTGGACATACGCGATGCTGCTCCCGAGCCTCTGAACGACGAGGAAACAGCCGTCTACCAGCAGTACCTGGCGAGACAACGACAAATGCACAGCACATTGCAAGGCGACAACACGCTCCTCGATGGAACGGGAGCGGGCATGGGAGACGATCAGGCCTCCGAATCCTCAGAGTCGTCCGATGAGGATGAAGACGCCGAGCATCAGGGACGGGCGTTGAAATTGTCAGCGCAATTGACCTCAAACAAGCGTAAAGTCGGAGCTTTGACCGACAAGGAGTTGGGCATCGACATTCTGCTCAGAGGCAAGGCCGTCCACGATTACGACGTACGCAACAAACGAGGTCGGGAGAGGATGTTTCCATTCCTCCCGCGCCGATCTCGCGACGACGACTTTGGCGATGTCATCAAGCCGGAAGAGTATCTGCGAGCGGACGAAAAGGATGAAGGAGAGGCTTTGGATGTCACTGGGGAGCAAGAAAGTACATCAGTTGGGCAGAAAAGAAAATGGGATGATTCTACCGTGTCCAAGAAGAACGCGCGCGGAGACAAGGCGGGCAACAAACGCGCAAAGGTTGAGCCGTCAGCGAAGAAAGACCGGGCCCCAGACGCCATCGATGCCCTCATTGCCAAAGCTACCGGCGAGGCGAAAGCGGGCACCGGTGGCGCGAATGGCGCGGGCGCCGCAGATGATCAAAGCAGCGACAGCGAGGAGAGCGAGTACGAGCCGGACGACGCTGCTCCATCCTACATCGGTCCGCAGAAAGTCGTCTTCACCACTCGCGCGCTGCAGCTCGACTTGCGCATCGCGTACGTCGATTTCACTGGACTATATCGGCTCAACGACATGAAGTCGCTCATTGGAAACATCAACCCGCGAAAGCTCATCGTCACCGCTGGCGATGAGCATGAAACGCAGACGCTCGCCACGGCGTGTCGCGAGGCTGAAGGCGGTCAGGCGGTGCAAGGCGAGACTTTCACGCCGCGCACGGGAGAGTGCGTTGATGCGAGCGTGGACACGAATGCGTGGACGGTGAAGCTGACGCGCGGCTTGATGAAACGCTTGCGATGGAGTCACGCGCCCGGAGGGCTGGAAGTCGTGGCTCTGGCCGGCAAGTTGGAAGCCGGCGGGGAAGAGGAGGCAGCGGCAGCGGCAGAAGAGAGCAGCGCGGCGAAGAAGAAGCTGAAGCTCATCAAAGGCGAAGGAGCAAGCAGCGGCGCTGGCAGTGAAGGCAACCCCACCCTACCAATCCTCGACCTCGTCTCCGCGCACCAAACTCATCACCAGCGCACTCAACCCCTGCGTGTCGGCGACTTGAGCCTCCCGCAGATCCGCGAAGCGGTCCAGCGACAAGGCCACACCGCCGAGTTTCGCGGCGGCGGCACGCTGCTCGTCGACGGGACGGTCGTGGTGCGCAAAAGTCCGGTCACCGGGGGCATTGAGGTCGAGGCGGGCAATTCGGGGTTTGGGCTGCCGCATTGGCGCACTCGGGGGCCGGATGGCCGCGCGAATACGGAGGGGACGTTTTATGCGGTGAAACAGTTGATTTATGATCGGTTGGCTGTTGTCATTGGGGCGTGAGAGTGGACTCTAGTATCTAGAATACAACAGCTCTCCTTTTCGCTGCTGCTATATCTCCGTTCCCATTTGAACACCGATTTCTAGCCATAGCAAAGGAGACCTCTTGAACAGCAGGTCATTGCCACCGGTGAGCCCGAGCACGCTCAACTCCGTTCGTTCATTCTCTGCGCCACCAGGCTGAAGATGGCCACGGATGACATGAACAGTACGAGATTGTAGAACTGCGCCGAAAGAGTCAACCATGGAGATTCCACCAGTTGCGATGGGGATTACTAACGGCATTGCGAGAGTACGCGCTCTCCTCGGCCTCCGTGCGCGCGTCTACGAAGAGGCGTCGCAGGTTGGGGAGATTTGATGCCTGCAGAAACGAAATTAGTTCGTGGTTTTCCGTACGTAGTGGTGTAGCATTACCATGTCTCCATCTATCAGATTGATCGGGCTATTCGGCCGCCATGGGAAGGAAGGATGAAGTACGGGTGTGGTGTCTCTCGAGCTCCGCAGTATGGAGGGAGGTCTTGGCGCAACGCTTAGTCAGTTCCGTCCCTCATGCAGTGTTCGAAACGACAACATCCATCCACCACCTCACTCCTCATTATCCTCGATCCCTTCCCAACCGGTGTTTGCGGCTTCCGATACCCACCATTTCTGCACTCCTGATTCGATCTTTGACCACGAAGCGTGCTTGCGACGAGGGGCTCGCCATAACTACTGCACACAACCAACAAAGCACCTGCATGCCGAGTGGGAAGAGGTGAAGGAGAAACACTCGGTGCGCTCGAAATAGATAGCATGGCAGTCAACAGATTACGAACGGCGCTGGGGACGCCGCGGAAAGGCGAGACGCACGAGCTGCGCGCCGGTCTGGTGTCGCAGTATGCGTACGAGCGCAAAGACTCCATCCAAAAGACCATCATGGCCATGACGCTAGGCAAGGACGTGTCGGTGCTGTTTCCCGATGTGCTCAAGAACATCGCCACCCCCGACCTCGACCAGAAGAAGCTCGTGTACCTCTACCTCATGAACTACGCCAAGTCGCATCCCGACCTTTGCATCCTCGCCGTGAATACTTTTGTGCAAGACTCCGAGGACCCGAACCCCCTCATTCGCGCCCTTGCCATCCGCACCATGGGCTGTATCCGGGTTGAAAAGATGATTGATTACATGGAAGAGCCGCTGCGGAAAACGCTGAAGGACGAGTCGCCGTACGTCCGGAAGACGGCGGCGTTATGCGTCGCTAAGCTCTTTGATCTCAACCCGGCTTTGTGTATCGAGAATGGGTTCTTGGAGACTTTGCAAGAGATGGTGGGCGATTCGAATCCGATGGTCGCGGCCAACTCCGTCACCGCGCTCGCCGAAATTCACGAAGTGGCCCCTGAGACACGCGCTCTCGTCGTGACGAGTCAGATGTTGAAGAAGATGCTTCTGGCTATGAACGAATGCACGGAATGGGGCCGGATCACCGTCCTCAAGACTCTCGCAGACTACCGAGCGTTGGATACCAAGGAAGCCGAGAACATCTGCGAGCGGGTGAGTCCGCAATTCCAGCACGTCAATCCCGCCGTTGTCCTGGCCGCCGTCAAGACAGTCTTCCTGCACATGCAGCACATCGAGAGTCAACAACTTCGCGCCACATATCTGAAGAAGATGGCCCCGCCTCTCGTCACGCTCGTCTCCTCGCAGCCCGAAGTTCAATACGTCGCCCTCCGCAATATCGACCTGCTCCTGCAGAAAGAACCCGGCATTCTCGAAAAGGAGATGCGAGTTTTTTTCTGCAAATACAACGACCCTCCCTACCTCAAACTCACCAAGCTGGAAATCATGGTGCGGATAGCAAACTCCAACAACGTCGACCAATTGCTAGCCGAGCTTAAGGAGTACGCCATGGAAGTCGACATGGATTTTGTGCGGAAGGCGGTGCGAGCCATTGGCCAAGTGGCCATTAAGATTGAAGAGTGTGCCGAGAGGGCGGTCAATGTGCTCCTCGAGTTGATCAACACCAAAGTGGGGTATGTCGTGCAAGAGGTCATTGTGGTCATCAAGGACATCTTCCGGAAGTATCCTGGCTACGAAGGCATCATTCCCACATTATGCTCGTGTATCGACGATTTGGACGAACCGAATGCGCGAGGCAGTCTGATTTGGATTGTTGGGGAGTATGCGGAGAAGATTTCCAACGCCAACGAGATCTTGACCGGTTTCGTGGAGGGATTCAACGAGGAATTCACCCAGGTTTGTTCCTTTCCGATGCCTTTCATCAGCCGGCAAGAAGCTAACCACATCCAGACACAACTCCAAATCCTCACAGCAGTCGTCAAGCTCTTCCTCAAGAAACCCGACGAATCGCAAAGCCTGGTCCAAAGAGTGCTCCAAGCCGCCACGGCTGAAAACGACAACCCCGACATCCGCGACCGCGCATACGTCTACTGGCGCCTGCTCTCCTCCGACCCGCAAATCGCAAAGAACATCGTCCTCTCCGCCCGCCCGCAAATCACCTCCACCATCCCGGTCCTCCCCGCCCCGCTCCTCAATACCCTCCTCCCCAACCTCTCCACCCTGGCCTCTGTCTACCACAAGCCGCCGCAAACCTTCCTCGGCGACGGCCGGAGCTCCGCCCTGCAAGCCGAAGCCCTCGAAGAAGCGAGGGAGAACGCGCGCGAGAATCCCATCGCCGCCGCGGCCGTCACGGCTGCTATTGCGGGCGGCAGCGCGCCGCAGCAAGCCCAGAGCAATGCGGAGAACCTCCTCGATATCGATTTTGACGGCTCGGCGCCTGCTTCGATGCAGAAGGCGCCAGGGCCGGGGGCGTCGGGGTTGGAGGGGCTGGCGGGCACGCCGCAGCGGGTTGCGTCGCCGCAGGTGGGAAGTGGAGGGGGGATGGACGATTTGGCGGGGATGTTTGGTGATGCTGGTGGCAGTGGGGTGAATGGTGGTGGGAGTGCGGACGATATGATAAATGGGTTTGCTGGTTTGGGGGTGAATGGTGGGCAGCAGGGGAGCGCGACGGGTGGGGAGAAGAAGACGAATGAGGATTTGCTGGGGTTGTTTTGAGGGACGAACGGGGTTGGATCGCAGATTCCCAATCAGAGCTACTAGAGTAGGACAGGACATGGCCGTGTGGCAATTATGAGCATCGAAGAAAGACTCGCACGGAGTGAGTCGCGTCAAGGCCCACGCCTTTACGGAGGGACTCATATTCGCGGCAGAAGTCACCCTCCGAGTCTATCTAAGCTGCGGTCTCCGAGAACCATGTCGAACACCAATCCAAACATAGCTTTTCCCCGGCATGCCTCTTCAATTACGTCTGCGAGTCCTTCAAGTCGTCTCGTCCACCTTATACACCAACTTGACTCCACTCACCTTGCCCGCCTTCAACAGCTCCAACCCCTCCAAAACACCCTGCAACCCGCCCTTACCAACTTGCGCAGGATGCACAGAAATCTGCGACGAAGCAAGCAGACGCGTACTCACATCCACAAACCTGTCCCATCCAAAATCATCAGCAATTCCACGAAAACAAGCACCGCGGGCCAACTCACCCCTTTGTAAACTCGAAATCCTCCGGTTTGGCGGGCATCTCCGCGGGCCCGAATTTGAACGCCTCGCCGACGACGGTATAGCCTAAAGTCCACTTGTTCACGACGTCCTCGCGGTCGTGCTTGACCTTGAGGAGGTAGGAGATTTCGCCGCCCTGGGACGAGATGGCGGCGCAGCAGATGGCGGGGGAGGCGCCTTCGGCGATGCAGTCGAGGGCTTTGGTTAGGGTGTTATTGGTGTAGGCGCGGATCTGGAGGGTGTGTGAGGATTGATTGCTGAGAGGGTGTGTCTAGTGTAAGGGAGGAGGGAAACGCACCTTCTCGCCGCACTTGGGATCGTTGTAATCAAACGCCTCCGTGGCGCCGAGCGCTTTGACGAATGGGAAGTTCCTCGGCGAGCAGACAGCAATGATGGGCGAGCAGCCGGAGTGCAGCGCGTACTGCAGCGCCAGCGAGCCTGTAGCCGTACTCGCGCCGTAGATCAACAGGGGATAGCCGGCCGATTTCCCGCTTCCGGGCAGCGGCAGCTCGAGGCTTTGATACAGCGCTTGGCCGCAGGTGATGACGCCGACGCCGAGCGTGCACGCTTCTTCGAAGCTGGTGTTGTCAGGGATGCGGAGCTGGACGTCGCCTTTGGCTACGCAGTATCTGGCGGGTGGAGAGGGTTAGGATTGGACGTGATGGGGATGGGTGGAGCGTGCGTGGGAGGACGGACTCGCCGAATACGCCGTCCTCCGGCTCGACTGCGTTCCCTCCGTGGCAGAAGCCGGCTATTCTGTCTTTTACGCCGGACGGTAGACATCAGAGCAGGTTCAATGGGTTGGAATGCGGGAAGACTCGATGACTTACCTCCCTTCTTCCACTCCTTCGTCACCTTGGACCCCACCTCTTCCACCACGCCAGCATAGTCGCAGCCGAGCGTGCAGCCGGGGGTAGAGAGCGCTTCGCTATCGCGATGCTTCCTGTAATTCACATGAGGTTATGCTCGAGTCTTTCCACGGATGTTCGCGCGAAAATCCCAACTCACCAATCAGTGGGATTCAACGCAACACTAGACAACAACAGCAGTGAGCATGGTGTTTTATCTAAAAGACACACGTCAATTGCTCACCACTTGACTTTGACCAAAACATAATCATCGCGCAGCCGAGGAACGGGCACGTCTTGAATCTCAGCCTTGCCTCGCGAGACGATTTTGATCGCTTTCATGGTCTGGGGCGGCATTGTGCAATAGAGTCTCGATGGAATTTCAGTCGTGGATCGGACTTCGAGTCTGAGGGTTTGAGTAGAGAAGAGTTGGGATGGTATTCTGTTGCAGCATTGAAGGATTACTGAGCGGATATGTAAGCGTGGGTGGATCGCGGTGCGATGACCCTGTGACGCCAAGTGGGGTCCGACGAAGGTGAAGGATGAAGTGACATCTGCTTCCCTGCAGTGCATGTGGTTGATGGACTGACTAATCTCAATGGTGCAAGTGCATGGGATGAGAGAGATACAGACGGGTGAGACTGCATTGATTGTCAAATCACGTAGGTAGGTTGAATTGGAGTAGTTCAGAAATAGTAGCTTAGGTATACGACACAATCATGTTAAACACCAACCAGAAGAATCGTGAGTCCGAATATAACGCCACGGCAAAATTCACATGTTCCATGTCTCCCTTCGTGTCACCTCGTAGGACGCTCCTCTCCCTTCCCTCCATCCTCCTCTTACCGCTTCGGTGGCGCAGAGGGCGGCGAGTACACGTTCTGATACGGCGGCTGCATCTCCACATTGTCATTGCGACCGTAATAGCCCTGGTACGAGGGCGGAGGAGCGGCGTAGGTGTTGTTGCCGTAGTTGTTGTTCGGGGCGTAGTAGGGGGTGTTGGAGAAGTTCTCGGGCGGAGGGGCGTTCGCATGGTGGCGGCCGCCAGCTCCTGGCACCCAGCCAGTACCGCGGTAGGGCGCGTAGCCCATCTTTCTGCGACGGCGCGCGGAGATGCAGCTGTGGGGGATAGCGGTGTTAGTGTGGATGCGCGCAAGACGGTGGACGTGGCTGGTGGCAAGACTCACGCGAAGAGGAAGAAGATGAGAATGGCGGCGGCGATGACGCAGCCGAGCACTACCCATCGCGCCCATGAGTCCCAAGGGCTGTAGCAGTTGCCGAAACTATCGTATCCATATCCGCATCTGCGAGGAAGGGCCATATTGTTAGTTGTCGTGTGACGAGTGGAGGGAGGGAAGGCTGCTGTCGCACGGGAGGGACGTACTCGCTATAGAAGCGCTTCTCGAGAAGGTTCGTCGTCGATGCCATGGCGCTTGGCGTGGTCTTGGAGTCGGGCGCAGTGGTGGTGTAATGCCGAGTTTTGGCAGGGGTTGGCAGGCTTGGAGGGCGTTTTATGGGGTGTAGAAGCAGGAGAGATGGATGACGTGGAAGAAGGGCGATTTGAGGTATTTGATGTGGAGAGAGGCGAAAGCTTGGTGCCAGTTAGCGCGCCGCCGCCTTATGCACAGCCACCGATTTGTTCGGGGCGTAGTCTGTCAATATACCTTGTGCTCTGCCGCTTTGCTTGACTTGTGGTGGGGAGGGTGTGCAGACGTCTACCGCGCTGGAGAGGTAATACCGGAAGAATATGACTATGAGTGCCGCTTGGAGGAGATTGGGGATGCTGCTTTGACAGGATGGAAAGAGTGAAGCCGCGTTCGCAGTGTTCGAGAGCAGGCCGCTGTCTTTTGCTGCGCCTCGGCGGTAGAGCGCCAACGCGTCATCCACCCAGCTGCGTCGCCTTCTTCACGCGCTAGCCCGATTAGGCCTGAAGTGAAGTTGACAGCTTCATGCACGCCTGCGAGGTGTGAAGAACAATAAATTACGAGAATTACTCCTCGATGCTTCCCAGCAAACACCTATACCTTTGCTTCCAATCGTAGCTGTTCCTGCATCTCTTCCTCTCCGAGAGATCGACGAGGGCAACAACAGCTACATGAGCACTTCCCGTCCATTGCTGGCGCTTAGTCTTCTCTCCTGAACTCTTGCCATCGAGTCGATAGCTGCCGATGAACGCCCCCCAAGAACCCATCTCGTCTTTATCATCGCCCTCGTCAGAGTATGTCGAGCGTCGTGCGTAGGAACATTGCTGAGTCGTAAGACCATCGTCGAAGCCGGCCGTCTCATTCATTCGCATGCCTTCATCAAGCCCCTATTTGTTGGCCCGAGCAATCAACCACTTCATCACCGCGTCCAGATTCGTCTCCTCTTTGGCGCTGATGCCGAAACAGCTGACCTCGCGATGATCGATGAGCTTGAGATTGAGCTGTTCGATGAGTTGGTCGACGTCCAGGTGGTCGGGTATGTCAGACTTGTTGCCCAGCACCAACAGAGCGATGCCCTCCATCGACGGTTTGCTGAGCAGGTCGTGAAGCTCCTCCTTGGCCACTGGTATCGCCTCCCTGTCGGCAGAGTCCACGATGAACCTGAGAGCGAGAATCAACGACGCGCTTTAGCCAAGGTTCACTCCGTGCCTCCACTTACACAATTGCATTCACACCACGACAATACCGCTCCCACATGGTGCGGAATCGAGGTTGGCCGCCGATGTCCCAGCTGTCAAAAACCGTCAGTCCCAGCCGCGCAGCGCATAGAGAAAGGCGTGTGGAAAATATACCATTTCAGGGTGACATGACCTTGCTGGACACGCTTCATGTTGAAGCCTACCGTCGGTATTGAGCTAGTACGGGATCAGTGAGTGAGCAGACACGGGGGGCCTTGGTCCGGATGGTACGCACTCGATGGTAAACTCTCCACCCTGCGCGACATTGTCAGACTCGGGGTACGGCAGAAAACAGGAGGGCGGGGAAAGCCTCACCGCCAATACCCTCAGCAACGATGTCTTGCCGGCGTTTTGAAGTCCAATCATCGTCACATCCAGCTCCTTGGACCTGTGTCACTGCGTCAGCATACGAGTAGTCACAGCACGGCGAACACTACGGGGCTTGCGATGGCGGGACGATGTTCCCTTACCAGAATAGGCTCATAAGGAAATTATAAATCCGCTTGAACATGCCGGGGGCCATGTTGAAATGATGAACCACCGGATGGTGTTGCGTTCACCACTGGTTCCAAGGGCAGCGTGGTTTGATCACAGCTAGTCGTTGTCCTTGATTGATAGTAAAGGCGGCAAATCCCCGTTCAATCCAGCGGTTTCCACGGCAGTAGTAAGGCTATCGACCAAGAAGACGAAAGACACGAGGTAGGCGGTGTATTAAAGCCTCCAGTTCTATCGATAAAATTCGCAGGAGAGCCTGCAGGGATGCGGTCGACAAGTCAGGCGGAGGCAGACGCAAAAGTGATGTCGGAGAGGGGACTGTATTAGCGGGAAGAAGTGGCTGGCGACCTGGATGCAGTCCTGATGTACCCTTCACCGGTCGGGAGTGGGACTTGCTGCAGGCGCCTGTGCGAGTGTGATGGCATGCGCGTGCAGGTGACGGTGTCGCCCGACGTCAACCAACCCAGAGTCCGGCACTTCTGTCTCGCCACGACTTTTGGCCGGCGTCCGCCTGCAAGTGGCCGGCTTATCGATAAGCTTCGACGTCGGGTGAACTTTTTGGTGAAATTTCTCGGGGACGCATTTGAAGATTAGACGGACCGGTCGCGATGTGCAGGGAACGATTCAACGCCATCTCATCGCGGGACCAGTGAGATTAGGAACACATCTTGTCAACATGGCGCCCGCGCGCATCGAACCGCAGACGGACTGGTCCACCGACTACGAGACTCAAAAGCGACATCAACTCTTCCGCAACCCCCCTTCCGACAAGACTGCATACCCGGCTCTGGCTGAGGCAATCCGGCCGCATGTTGAGTCCTTTGACGCTGTATTCGCTCCGCATGGCCAATTACATCATGCGCTCAAAGATATCGGCACCAAAACCTTTCTCGAACCCGACTCTGGGACTGGACTACGCAACCGAGTGCAGGTGCGAGTACGCGAACTCTTCCTCGACCGTAGTGTTTTGCCTCCCTCCAACAAACTCGAAGGCCGGAAGCGAGAGATCTTACCCGTGGAATGCCGAGAGAGACATGTCACGTACCGCGGGAGATTCCGAGGCCGGCTGGAGTGGCGCGTCAACGATGGCGAGTGGAAGGAGTCGCTCCGCGAGTTTGGCCATCTTCCCATCATGCTGCGATCAAATCGATGTCATCTGCAAGGCTTGTCACCTCGCGAGCTCGTCAACCGGAGGGAAGAAACAGAGGAACTTGGCGGCTACTTCATTGTCAACGGCATCGAAAAGTTGATTCGCATGCTCATTGTCAATCGGCGAAACTTTCCCGCCGCCATCATTCGGCCTTCTTTCAAGGGCAGAGGCTCGACTTACACCGAGTTTGGCGTCCAGATTCGCTCTGTCCGACGCGATCAAACATCCCAGACCAATGTGCTTCACTATCTCAATGACGGCAACATTGTTTTCCGGTTCTCGTGGAGGAAGAATGAGTACTTGGTGCCGGTGATGATGATCCTGAAAGCCCTCGTCGAGACGAACGACCGGGAGATCTACGAAGGCATCCTCGGCCAGGCGACGAAGAAGGGCGAGGAGACCAAGCAGTTCGTTGCGGAGCGAGTCGAGCTGCTCTTACGGAATTACAAGAGCTCCAACCTGCACAACCGAACGGCCTCGCTGGACTGGCTGGGATCCAAATTCCGAGTAGTGCTTGGAGTTCACGAAGACATGAGCGATGAGGAAGCTGGCATGCAATTCCTCAGCAAGATCGTCCTGCCTCATCTTGAGTCCGGCGATGTGGCTCACCGCGATGCCGACAAATTCAGAATGCTGCTCTTCATGATCCAAAAGCTGTATGCTCTGGTTGCCGGCGACTGCGCAGTCGACAATCCCGATGCTGTGCAAAATCAGGAGATTCTACTGCCCGGAGCGTTGTACGGCATGATCATAAAAGAGCGCGTCGACGAGTGGCTTGCGTCCATTGGCATGCGGCTTCGAGAGTGGTCACAGGGTACCCAGCGGCCCAGCTTCACCAGCAGCGAGTTCGAGAAGGAATTCTTGTCCAAAGTGCTTCGCAAGACCAACGAAAACATTGGACAATCCCTCGACTACTTTCTCTCCACCGGCAACCTCGTCAGCCCCAGCGGTCTCGACCTTCAGCAGGTCTCGGGCTTCACCGTTGTGGCCGAGAAGATCAACTTCTATCGATTCATCAGTCATTTCCGCATGGTACATCGCGGCAGCTTCTTTGCCCAACTCAAAACCACCACCGTTAGGAAGCTGCTCCCGGAGAGCTGGGGCTTCCTCTGCCCCGTCCATACCCCCGATGGAGCTCCGTGTGGACTACTGAACCATCTCGCCCATCGGTGCAAAGTCACTACCGCTCCCTCAGAGGCCTCGGCTCTTCCCCAACTCCTTTCCCAGCTCGGAGTAGAGGGCACATCACGGATAGCAACGTCAGACGACAATCTCACCGTACAACTTGACGGCCGCATCCTGGGCGTATGCAGCCGCAAACAGGCCAAAATCATCAGCGACACCCTGCGCTACTGGAAAGTCGAGGGCTCGCACGGCGTGCCACTGGAACTCGAGATCGGCTTAGTTATGCCGTCCAACGCTGGCCAGTATCCCGGCTTATACCTCTTCACATCTTCTGCACGCATGCTGCGGCCGGTCAAATACCTTCCGCTCGACAAGGTGGACTATGTGGGCTCCTTTGAGCAGCCCTTCATGTCGGTGGCGTGTACTGGGCCGGAAATTCAGTCCGGCGATTCGACCCACGCTGAGTACACGCCTACCAACATGCTGTCGATCGTTGCCAATCAGACACCTTTCTCTGATTTCAATCAATCGCCGCGCAACATGTATCAATGTCAGATGGGCAAGCAATCCATGGGCACGCCCGGGACAGCCCTGAAGTACCGAACCGACAACAAACTCTACCGATTACAGTCCGGGCAGACACCCGTTGTCAGGCCGCCGCTTCACAATCAGTACGGGCTCGACAATTTCCCCAATGGCACCAATGCCGTTGTTGCCGTGATTTCATACACCGGCTACGACATGGACGACGCTATGATTCTCAACAAGTCCGCGCACGAGAGAGGTTTTGGGCATGGAACTATCTACAAGACCAAGAAGATTGACCTGAGCGAGGACAACAAGCAGAGTCGCGGCCGCAGTGCCGGTGTGACGAGTATGTTTGGTTTCGCACCTAACAGCCTTGTCAAAGCCCAGTGGCGAAGTACCCTCGACGATGACGGGTTTGCAGCGATTGGACTGAAGGTCAAGGAAGGAGACATCATTGCCGCCTCGCATAGTGTGTCCTGGGATCCGTTGGCGGGGGATAATGGCGAGTACGTCAACAGGGATAACATCACCCATCTACACCGCTACAAGGAGCCCGAAGAAGGCTTTATCGAGGAGATCAAGTTGATTGGGAATGAAAATGGCAACGACGAACCCTGCCAAGCCATCAGCATCCGCATTCGAATCCCTCGATCACCGGTCATTGGAGACAAGTTCTCTTCTCGCCACGGCCAGAAGGGAGTGTGTTCTCAAAAGTGGCCTGCAATCGACATGCCCTTTACAGAATCGGGCATGCAGCCAGATGTCATCATCAATCCGCACGCCTTTCCGTCACGAATGACAATCGGCATGTTTGTGGAGTCTCTCGCGGGCAAGAGCGGAGCATTACACGGCCTGGCGCAGGACAGCACGCCGTTCCGGTTCAAAGACAAGGCGGGAGAAACGGCAGTCGAGCACTTCGGGCATCAGCTGAAGCGAGCGGGCTACAACTACTACGGCAACGAGCCTATGTACTCCGGGATTACAGGTGAAGAATTGGCGGCAGACATCTACGTTGGAGTGGTGTACTACCAAAGACTACGACACATGGTCAACGACAAGTTCCAAGTGCGCACAACCGGGCCGGTGACGCCATTGACGGGCCAGCCGATCAAGGGCAGAGCGAAGGGAGGCGGTATCCGAGTGGGAGAGATGGAGAGAGATTCGCTCATTGCGCACGGCACAGCTTTCCTGTTGCAGGACCGTCTACTCAATTGCAGCGACTACACCAAGGCGTGGATCTGTCGCTCCTGCGGCTCCTTCTTGTCCGTGCAGCCGAGCGTGTCGCAGTTCAATCGGAAGCGTCTGGCGGAAGGCGGACAGATGAGGTGTAAGCGGTGCAGTAGGAAGGTCCAGCCGGCGGATTCTAAAGTGGAGTGTTGGGAGGACGCGAAGGGGGAGAAGTGGTATGGAGGCGAGGATGTCACTTTGACTGCCGTGCCGGGCGTGTTGCGGTATTTGGATGTCGAGCTGGCGGCTATGGGGATTCGGATGAAGTTTGATGTGGGGCCGTGAGGGCTGGGTTAGGTAGATGTGAAAAACCTGTTCAAATGCCCACCTATTGTGAGTTTGCTATTGTTGGTTTGGTGACCTTTGAAGTGAAGTGAATGAGCAGCACGTGCAGCCTTGGCCAAACATTTTGCGGGGCGGGCGCGCTTCCGAACTTCGACTTCACACCTTCCACTCTCTCACTCTCCACGCTCTCCCACTCACTCCCGCCTTTCATTCACTCTTTCATCCTCTCGCGGCACCCACATCCTCCTCTGGCTTCACGCGCCTTCACGGCGGTGCCAGCGGTCTCGGTCTGCGCTACACCTTCCTTCCCCACACGAGCTGCGCACCACCACCCCCCTCCTTCCCCCCATTCTCAAGCACCGCACCTCTGCCACCCCAGCACACACTCGATACGCCACACGGCAGACTTCACACTCCTCCGCACAAAATGGCGCAACAGCCAGGCAACGCGCCGCAACAAGGCACCGTGCCGCTCATCAAACCCTCGCAAATCGATGGCCTCCCAGTCCTCGGCCCCGAGCAGAAAGCAAAGTACAAAGCCGGGCTCAGCAACCTCTGGCAGGTGCTTGAATCCTCGCCGCAAGGCAGCGCCGCGTACAGCGAGGCCGAGAGCAAGATCCGCGCCGCGAGCATGCAGTTGATGCAGGCTATTAGCAAGGGTCGCCCTGGCTCTGCTGGTGCTGCTGGTGCTGCTGGTGGACCTGGTCAGCCTGGCGCGGGACAGCAGAGACCACAGCCCGGTGCGATGAATCAGCAGCAGCAACAGCAACAGCAACAACAACAACAACCGCAGGCAGGAGGGGCGGCGCAGCGTCCGCAGGGCATGCAACAGCCGGCGGGAGGTCAGCAGGGTCCTGGGATGCTGGACGCAACGAAACGAGAACTTGCCAGCATTACCATCAACCTTCCACCCCAAGTCGCTCAGAGTAACGACCCGAACGTCGCTGGCAACTTCCGTCGGACATGGCTCAATCGCGCTACCCAAGTGCTCACACGAAGAGACTCTGCAAGAACACGGGGTTCGCAGCTGCAGAAGCTGCGCGACAGCGGGCAGGGCGGCACTGCACAGCAGATCCACGCGGAGATGGAGAAGTGCAAGCAGGACATGCAGGCCGCGCATCAAGAGTGGGAGCAACTCAAGCAGAACAACATGCGCTTCGCGCAGCAAAACCCCGTTCAAAATTCGTCGCAGGGTGCCCAGCCCATGAACCCCGGGGCGCCGCAGGGTCAGGGCGACGTCAATCAACAAAGTACAGCCATGTCACCTGCCCAACAGGCAGGCGGCTTCCAAAATCAAGTCGCCCCTTCACCGCAGCAGCAGGCGGCGTCGAACCAGCAACAGACGCCGCAGAGCGCAACACAGTCCCAGCCTCCGCAGAATCTCCCGCAGTCAAATAACAATCTTTCGCAGCAGCCTAACCAGCAGAGGCCCCAGATGAATGCTCAGCAAATCGCCCAAGCACAACAAAATATGCTCAATCAGCAACAGCAGCAGCAGCGTCAGAACATGATGGCGGCGGGAATGCAAGGCGCGAACCAACAACAAATGCCACAGCAACAGCCTCAGCAACAGCAACAGCAACGTCCACAGCCCCCGCAGCCTTTGAGCCATCAAGCTGCCATGTCGCAAGCTAGTTTCGCTCGTCAAGAATCCGCTCAACAGCAGCAGATGCGACAGCAGCAACAGCAGCCACAACAGGCACAGCAAGGACAACAATCCCAGCAACAACCGCAACAACAGCCGCAACAAGACCAGCAGCAACAACCCCAACAGCAACCACCGCCCCAAATGCCAATGATGCCCCACACCTCCGGCTTCAATCAAACCCCAACCCAACCCAGCCAGACTCCCACCTCCGCCCACCCGCAAGGCATGGGCTCCACCAAATTCCCCATCCCCAAACAACTCAACCTCGACGCCCGCACGCAGGGCCCCGTCCAAGGCCCAGCATCGCGCCCCACCCTCTCCAACGCAGGCATGATGGGCCAACCCGCGCTCCAGCGCGCCGCGCAATTCACCCTCGAAGGCGAAGGCGACCGCGTACTCTCGAAGCGCAAACTCGACGAGCTCGTGCGCCAAGTCACCGGCTCGACGGAAGGCGCGCTCACGCCCGAAGTCGAGGAGGCGGTGCTCACGCTCGCGGACGACTTTCTCGACAACGTCGTCACGGGCGCGTGTCGCCTGGCGAAGATCCGCAATTCCCAGACGCTCGATATCCGCGATTTGCAGATTGTGTTGGAGCGGAATTATGGCATTCGCATCCCTGGGTATAGTTTGGATGAGACGCGGACGGTGCGCAAGTTTCAGCCCGCTGAGGGGTGGAGGAGTAAGATGCAGGCTGTGCAGGCGGGGAAGGTGATGGGGGCTAGTCAGGGGAAGGATGTGTGAGTGTTGGCATGAGAGTTGGAAGCGATTACGGTATTCATGATCTTGGGAGCGGGCGATGGGTATGCATTTCTATAGGAGATAGCTTACATGAATTGGAGTGCATTGGTATGCATGTCGTCCAGCCTGCCTCTCTCACTTCCTCCAGTCGAACGGCAATGGCTGTTGCATACCCCCGCGGTGCCTTTAACGATATCGGCGGTGGGGAGATGTTCCAGTCTGCCCGGTGGGTACGATTCCTCGACTGTCGCTTTGATTCGTATCGTGCGGCCAACTTGGCCCCTCTCACTTCCCTCAGTCGAACCTCAAAGACCGTTCGCCATCCCCGCATCGCCTTCAACAATGTGAGCATCAAGGAGATGTTTCTGCCTTGCATCGCTGACCGGCGGCCTCGACGCTGGGAAAAATGGTGTTGGGCGTTGTCTCTGAACCCGGCCGCTCCTCGTCGCGTCTGCTGGTCAGGCATGTCTCGCTGCCTTTGCTCGGCGAGTTAAAGGGGGCGACTGTCGCTGTAGAGCCTGGCTCGCTGTTTCTTTTGCCGAGAGTGGCCATAGCGGCCAAGGCCCGATTGTCGATGCCTGACGGCATGAAATGACAAGTCCGACAAGACTTTTGAACTGGTGGACGCGGAAGAGTAAATCTGAGATGGAGCACTTTGGAATTCCATTTCAGTATCATCAGCTCCTAAAATGCTCAGGGCTCATGCTTGATCTTCCCCCCCCCCCCCCCCCCCCCCC